CAGCTAATTCCATCAAAACAACACCTACCCCTGCAATCCATTCACTCTGAATCACAAAACTCACAAAGTTACCAAAACACCCCCAGATCACCCCATTTCCCCTACCAATCCACCCCCACAGTACCTGATATACCAATCCTAGCATTCCTACTATTATTTCCGTATTTTTCCGTATTTTTCCGTATTTTTATCGCCCATCATTCTATCCCTATTCCTCTATGTATCTACCCTAGCTCCAGAGCCCATACCTAGCCCCATACATCCTCCCCATACCCTGCATCCAGCTATCCTAGCCCTACTGCACAATTACCCCCCATTTTCCTACCCTATCCTACCCCCTACCCCATCCCCTACCCATCCCCAAACCACCCCCTACCCCGGGGCCACACCCCATACCTACCCACCCATTTTTTCACGCATTTTTTGCCTATTTTTTCGCCCATTTTTCCAGCCAGAATACCCACCAGCACAACTGCTCTTTAATAAAGAGCCCTTATTAGCATGGGCCAGTAAGATGATGGGCTCTCTGTATAGAGTCCCAGTCTTACTACAGGCACTCTTTATAAAGAGGCTACATCATCTGGTGACAGATGGGCTAATGCGAGTGGCGTGAAAAACAGAAAGCATTGGGGAAGACACACCAGTCCTCGCCAACGTCCCCATATACACGATACAATGCATATCCGCAAGCGCTACGCCCTCGTGCACACCCATCCCTCCCCCATGCCCATGCCCATTCCCATTTGTTCAAGAGGACGAAGGAAATACAATTGACGGGACCACGACGACTTGAGGGCAAGGTGCGACACAAGGTTGAAGAGAGTGGCGCTGGTTAAGAGGACGACGATGGGGAAATTGTCGAGGGAAGAACTGAAGTGGATATGCGACGGGGTTCCCTGGGGAGCATAGGCGGGGGTAGGAGGGTCGAGACTTCTCGACAAGTCGAAAGAGCTAGAAGTGAACGTAACATCGACGATAAGAACAACGAGCAAAGTATCAAATAGAGGTATGAGTGGGACACACATTGTTCTCTACAGCACTCGACCTTCTAACTCATCCTTCTCGCCAACATGTCCCCGCTCAAACGGTCAAGCGATTCCCGCACACAATCATCAACCTCAACTGGATGAGGGCTTGAACCTCAGTACCACGCTCCGAAGCGATACTGGTATTGCTACGAACTCTGTCACGGCCGGACGAGATGACGCCCAATCCTGGGTAAGCCTCCCTGGCAACGTGGGGTTCTCTCAAAGAGCAGATGGGGTGTCCGCGCGCTAGCTCAACACACTAGCGTACCGACGGGGACGATCGAGAGCTCCGAGGCAGTGGCTTCCGTAAACGTCGGGCCTGGTTACCTTAAGATTCACCCGGAAGGTTGCCCAGCGCGAGATCGAAGGACTAGCTGACTACGCTAGCAGCGACGTGAAGACGTGAGGGTGAAGAGGATGAGCCTCTGTTCTGAGTTGTTCGTCCAGGAGTTGACGATCTCGAAGCTGGGGTATGTACATGCAAACTACTCTACCTATATACCCAAGCTGAGAGGGACGCGTAAGCCATGACGAAGAGGACGCGTAAGCTGGGGATGCGTATGCGTATCGAGTCATAGTCCGTAAGAATGAATGGATGGGGGTGACGAAGGGCCGCGCGTCGAGTGTGAAGGAGAGTGGAGGGGAGCCGCATCGTAGGGGAGGGAAGGTAACGGATGGAAAAGGAAAGGGACGCGTAAGCTAGGGGTGACGCGTACCAGGAGTCCGGGAGTCCGTGGGGGACGCGTAATCATAAGAGTCGTTGTCGGGATGTCGTAGGTGTGTCATGAGGGATTCGTAAGGGGACGGTAAATGGGTAGGGAAAAGGAAAAGGGAAAAGAAAAGTAAAAAGGAAAAAGAAATGAGTGTGGCGAGTGTGGCGAGACATACGAAAGAAAAGAAAAATAAATTGTCCATAACCGGCCATTCCTAATAAACTCTACACCACAATATGCCAAAATTCAATCCATGCATGGAACACGCAAGAGGAAGGACATATCCGAGTCTCACCTGGCCGACTGCCTATGTAGTTTGAGAGCGCGCGGAGATGAAATTGCGCGTGCGGAAGATGTTGTGCACTGTAGAAAGGCTGGGTGTGAGACTGAATGGGTGAGTTGTTCTTTCTAGCGTCACTTTTTATAAGTAAGTGACTTACAATAGGCTTCAATATCATTTAGCATGCGCTGGAGGCCTGGAATTTACTCCGAAAGGATGGATATGCGAGTCGTGCTCGACAGCTGAGACAGCGCACAAGAGGAAACACCATTAGACTGCGCTCAGTTGGTACTAGTGAGTCTGGTGAGAATCAAGGAGAGGCAGCTAGTGAGACGCCTTGCGTATATGTACAGAGGATTACCGCTCACCACGACGACTGCATTGAGACGCTTGCCAGTCGTGGTGAGCTTCCAAAGTACGCGTCGTGTACCGGTGTCGCGTCTCGACTCTCGAAACGAAATTAATTTGAAATACTTCCCGTTTTGGACGTGTGTGAAAACTTGATCCCTCAGGCTGATCCTCCATTCACATACCCCCTTGACCGCACCGTGCAAGTGAGAGGTCAACCGGTCATGCTCAATCGACACTTCGTTCGACTTTTGCGTCATTCACACTTCGTTCAACCTTTGCGTTTTCTCCCTCTATAGGACTCATGTAATGAGTACTGAGTGTCAGTACATGCACATCTCGTATACACACCACACTGGGCTCAATTCACTCTTCACAAAGACGCCTCCGATGGCCTGAGCGGTACTCGGACTCTACACTAAATGACCGACTGCGACGTCTCTTCTGCAGAATACAGACTTTTTCGGATCTTGGTGACTTTGATGAGGTACAAAAAGACTTGCTTACCTTGCTCGTACGGCATATATACGCCACGATCTCTCCCAGCAGCTCGTCCTCGTCACCCGCTTCATACCCAGCATCATCCTTCTTCGTGCCACACATCTTGACGTGAGTACAAGGCTCTATCGTGCGCCTCACATTGTCTCCCTCGCCATCAGCTTCGTATCCATCTGTGTTGTCTTCAGCGTCGTTTGTATCCGTCAAGACCCTTGACGCATCCGATGTCACAGCGTGGTCTTCATCGTCGGAGAGAAGTGAAGTTCTGGGAGAGTAATCCGCATCCTCGGTGTGATAACTGCCCTCGCTCAGACCAGGCCAGTAATAACGACGAGTATGGGGTTCATTTTCCTTGTTCTGCAAGTCAAGATCATGCCGGATTAAGTGACTAGAGACGGCTGGGGGTGAACACGAGGGGTCACTCACCGAGAGTGGCCCCGGGCCTGAACTAAGAGTACATGTCGATGCTGTAATCGTGTGCCAGGAACAGGAATGCCTGCCACAGGAGCGCGAAGGTGAGTTGGATTTTCTGGGAGTCGATAGCTGAGTGTTGTTTGGGGTACACTCCTCTAGAGCTTTCCTCTGCGGAGAAGGGACGTTGCTGGCGAGTGCCATGGAGGTAAGCTTCAACAAACGACCACTCTAGGGTGTTATTGTGCAGGTACGTTCGAGGAAGCGCCACCACACTAATGTCACAAGGTCGCTATCGGCCATGCAGCCGGGAGGTACTATCCCGACAGGAACGCCAAGCTCGAAACGAATTAACCTATGCCACCGCGCTCTCGACCGCCAGTTTCCCAATTCGCTTCGCCGACCACTGGCAGTGCTCCTCATAGCCATCGTCGCCTCTTTCGCTCAAACAATGCTGGTGTCTTTCTCTATGTTTTTTTGCTGCTATGAGAAGAGGCACTCACACAGGGACACGACCTTAGATTGTTGATATCTGCTCGTCGCCTGATAGTTGCTAGCTTGGATTTTTGCTTCCGCTTGCTATCAGCATTGCCCCTGCACCCCTATTCTGCTATCCTGCGCACCTGGCTTGGCTCTTGCTGGTCTCGTTGATTGCACATGACCTTGTTGAACTGTGGACGTGACTTCGTTGACTGCTAGTGCGACGGAGTTTGAAGAAGGGGGTATATAAACCCTCTCTTCAGTCCCACTTTCTCCTCATCCGAGTCACCCACCCCACTTTCTCCTCACTCCTCATCCCAGTCACCCACCCCACTCTTCCCACACCCACATCTCATCGCTCCAAACATCATGCCCACAGCTCGTAGTACCTCTCCCTCTGGCGGCAACGGCACCCCTCCCCCACCAGAGCCTGAACTTGTAGCTGAGCTCGCTCGGACGAAACGCAAGGTCTCTGTCCTCGAGGACGATCTCAAGAAAGCCCGTGGTCTGGCGAAAAAGCGACCTGTCACGTACGTGCTCATACGTTCTAACCTTTTTTTGTTTAGTTTCCGATCTCGTCATCAGCCTCAGGACTGTTGGTCGAGGTATCCCAAAGGTTGTCTCACTCTTCGTCGATCTTCCTACCCTCGTACACGAGGCGGATAGGCGTGAAGAGGCGGCCATGTTCGGTGCATTAGACCGTCTCGTTACAGATGAAGAAGATGGTGACCTCGCCGAGGAGGAGAAGGCAGAGCGTGACCGAACGTATGTGATTTCTATCTCTTTGAGTAATCCTACTTATCTGATCTATCCTCACCAGCCGGAACCGTAATTTCACTTCGTACCTTGCACTCAATGCATTGGTACCTGGCTTCAAGAAAACCATCGACCAACTTTCCTCGGAGGAACTCGCTGACTACTATACCCGCGTAAGTCTATATTGATACTTCTCTCGTGGTCTAGTAATGACTAAGGTTTCTGTAGCTCGGGGATGGCTGCACTGACGCTCGCGGTGACGATATTTTTAGCATGATAAGCGGTATGGCAGACTTCCTCAACAAGGCCGGCGCTACTCCCCCTCTTGACCCCGGTAGCCGCGAGGGTCGTGGTCGCGAGCACGAACTCTGTGGCCAATTGTTATGTCCGATTGAGTGGGACTGGGCAGATCCTGCGTAAGTACCTATCATATCGCACTCTCATGTATATCACTGACTGAGTTTACTGGTGATAGGGTTCGAGCCAACATCCAGAACGCTCATGGAAATTACGACGCGTCTAATAGATTCTTTCTACGTGGTTTCTATGCCGGCTTCAAGGGTGACGAGAACGATCTAGAGAAAGGGCTACTCATGAGCCCCCTTCTTGTGAAGGTTCGTATTTACTCCCTCTTTGGTCTCAACAGCCCCGCACGACGTCTGGTAATTGATTCCTATCCAAGGCGTTCAAGTTCCTGTTCACTTCTCCCAACTCTGCCAAAGATGTCGTCCTCATCCCTGCTGACGACGCTCATACCCTCGACAACCCCCCTGCGAAGAAGCGCAAGACCAAGGCGCCTATCACGGGTACAGTCGCTTCCAGGCTCCACATGGAAGAAGTCACTCCTCGTGCGCTTGCTTATGTTTGTGTTATGGTGCGTTGTTTTTTTTTGATCACCCCCGAGGTGATTCTTCATGTGCCGTCCATATCCTAGGTCGTATTCTCTCTTACCGACGCTCCACACTGGGATGCTTCCTACGACGGCTTCAACTACCGTGGTCTCTATAACTTCGTTATCGGCTTCTTTGAGGATGCGGAGACTCCTGAAGACAAGCAACGGGTGAAGACGCTTTTGCAATGGTGGAATAAGTGCGTAACCCTTCCTACTTCCTCGCCTTCTTGCAATTGTTGATGTTTCCATGAGCAGACAGATATTCCCTCATGCTTCATCTTCTACCAACAACTCTTCCGGTAACGCCTCTTACACAAAGCTTGCCGCTCAACGTCATGCTCGGGCTGCTGGTCGTCCCGTTGCTTAGTTATGATAGTTCCCGGTTGGCATGTTTCCTTATAGACTAGACTGGCTGTTTTACCATGCCGAGCTATGTTTTTCGTTCGTGGCGATTGATAGATAATATATGAATTTCTCTCTTACCCATCCGCCAAGGCCTACTGCGTGAATTGCCAATAGCCATAATCGGTATGACCTGCTCAGCTACTGATTGTAGTCTTTCGTTCTATTTATTGAGTTTTATGATGGACTGTGATTTCTCGTCAATACGACACTGATCGCTAATCCATGCAAAGTATGTACAGTCTCGTCACTTGGTCCAGCGAGTGGTCACAACTAATCTGGATTATATTGACTGCTAGTATATTTCACGATGAATTCAGTTTGGGATCGCGTATAGTGCTCGGTCGGAGTGCTGTACATTTACATTGCATAGCATAATTTAAGTCCCTACAGTATATGACGATGCTTCAAGACACCGAGACACATTGGGAAGCTGTGGCTCCTAGACGGTGTGATGTAAGGCATGACAGCAAGAGGGTGGTAGGGTGGCGATTCCCAATTTGTCTATCAGGGACCACAGATTGTACCGGATGGAAAAACACATGGTATGCCTGGCGTCCGTTACCAGACATCGTCATCTGACACAGAATGTTGTTTTGCATTGTCCCGGGTGGTACGGATTACAACGGATTGGTGTTCGGTACGATACATCGTCCATTTTTCTCAAATTCACTGATGATATTTGTGTGATGAGCCATCTTTCACTTGTTCTCGCACCGTCGCAATTGTGTTCGGCATGGATCTGTGGTGTCCGTGTATTTTTATGTGTCCCCGTTGTGGAGTAGGGCTCGAAAAGTTGAGCAGAGAGCAGCCCCACAGGGCCCTATTTCTGAGGGAACAATATAGCGGCCATTTTGTCCTGTTCTTTTTGTAGGCATCTCGGCCTTGTTTTGTAGTGTAGGAAAATGGTCAGCTACATGTCATTATGTTGTGTTTTCATAGAGATACAGGTCAAAAGTCCTCAGGCCCTTTTAGGTGCCCGATTTCTCGGGAAATCCCGCCGCAGAAAGGATATATGCAAACAGCAATAAAGAAATCAACACAGAGTTCCAAATTGCATTGCTACAACAGCTGCACAAATCTAATGATAAATATACTTGTGATACATGTTTTTATGCTTCTACTACAACCGCCAATCGTCAAGCTACAACACAAGCAATTACTTCTCACTCAACTCAGCGACACCGGGAAGAGTCTATGATTGGAGAGGGATGAAGGGACATTGATGAATACACACAGCAAAGCGCCAAGAATGACAACCACGAGACTCACCTTGCCCTCAAGAAGCTCAAGACTGGCTCCACCACCGGTGCTGACGTGACTGAGCTTGTCCTCGGCACCATAGTTGGCAACAACAGTGGCAGTATCACCACCACCGACGATGACGACAGCACCGTTCTTGGCAGCCTCGATGTTGGCATCGAGGAGGGACTTGGATCCTTCAGCGAAGGCGGGGAACTCGAACACACCGGCGGGACTAGGTACCACATAAGCTTGGATATATAAGCATAAAGCCGGAGAGGTACTCACCCATTCCAGAGGATGGTCTTCGCCTCGAGAACAGCTTCACGATAGAGTTCGCGACTCTTCACACCAGTATCGAGACCCATCCAACCTGCCGGGATGCCCTCAGCGTCGGTAGCGTACCCGGTCTACCAAAGCAGACAATGGTCAGATTGCACTACAGTGGGCACGGCCCATCCGAGAAGATAACGGCGCACCTTGGCATCCTTGTCGAACTTGTCGGCAGTAACGTAATCGATGGGGAAGACAATTTTGACGTTGTTCTTCTTAGCCTTCTCAACCAACGCTCCGACCTTTTCAGCGCCAGGAGCATCGAACAGCGAGTCGCCGATCTGATTGCGAGGGGTTATTGACGGACGAAGACACAAATGGTAGAGATAAAGCGCTTACGGAGACACCGTCGAGCGTCTTCTTGAAGGTATAGGCCATACCGCCACAGATGATGAGAGAGTTAACCTGAGATACCACGCCGATGAGTACACGCTCAGCACAAGGGTTTATTACCCGAACGCACCTTGTCCAGCATGTTATCGATGAGCTGAATCTTGTCGGAGACCTTGGCACCACCAAGGATGGCCAAGAAAGGCCGCTCGGGGCTCTCAAGCGCCTTCGCGAAGAAGTCGAGCTCCTTCTTGACGAGGAAACCAGCAGCACGCTGAGGAAGCTTGACGCCAACCATGGACGAGTGTGCACGGTGAGCGGTACCGAACGCGTCGTTCACGTAGACGTCGCCGAGGTTGGTGAGTCCCTGACGGAACTCGGCAACCTTGGTAGGGTCGGCCTTGGTCTTGTTGCCCTGCTTGTCCTTGACGGAACCCTCCTCTTCGATGTGGAAACGGAGATTTTCGAGGAGAATGACGGAACCGTTTTCGGCGGAGGCAACGGACTTCTCGACGTCGGGACCGACGCAATCGTGGAGGAAGATGACGGGCTTGCTGATGAGTTTAGAGAGCTCGTGGGAGACGGGTTCGAGGGAGTATTTGGGGTTGACTTTTCCGTCAGGACGTCCGAGATGGGACATCAAGATGATCTTGGCAGCACCTGAAGTAGGATGGGCATGACGGAGATATATAAAAGATTGCTCGGTACGCACCGTTTTCAAGGGCATATTTGATGGTCGGGAGAGCAGCGACGATACGCTGTTGGGTGAACATACACCGGTGAGCGTGTAGAAAAAGGGCGAGATAAAATGGACAAAACGTACGGCGGGGTTCGTGATCTTGCCATCTTGCATGGGAACATTGAAGTCGACACGGATGAGGACACGCTTGCCCTTGAGGTCAAGGTCTGTGATGGCAAGCTTGTTGGAGAGAGACATGGTATGGGAGGAAGATCGAGGAAGGTGATGGTTTGGAGGAAAGAAAAGGGGCCAATCGATGTGGACGCGGTCGGAATATGAAGGCTTGCAAACGGAAGAGGAGCCCGGGCCAGAACAGGCCAGATCCGGATCAATCTAATCTTGTTTCCTCTCCCGGCGCTGCTCGCCATCGGAATGCTCGGAGCTCGTCCGGAGCCTCGTCCTGCTCGAACACGATCATGGCCTCCCCAGACGAGTCTGCCGCTACCCAGACGGCCTCCGTCAACACCCTAGGCCTCGAGTTGGAGCAGCTCACTGTCTCCCCGTCTCAGCCAGACGATACGCCAGCCAAAGAAGAAGCTGTCTCGACACCGACGGATCCAGAATCCAAGGACAAGGACAAGAGGGCAAAAGAGAAGGAGAAGCCGTACCACAATCCCGATCGCGTTCTGACAGGCGGCTCTCAGCGAGTGCGTTTAATCCATGGCCATTCACTTTTTCTCTGCGTTCTTATTCGTGTAATTTCCAGGACAAACTCACTGAAGATGAGCTGAAAGAGCGCATGACCCGCATCAGGGAACAGAATGAGAAGATCAAGCAGCGGCGCGTCGTACGCCTCAATCTCTGAATACTCTTCCGTTTTTTTCCGCGTCTCTGATTCCACTTTCAAGGACGTCGATGCGGATGAACGAGCATTCAAGCAAACGCAAGAGGTCGAACGGCAGCGCCAGGCCAAGACTCGGAAGGTTCAGGACTCCATCGACCACGCCCGAGAGCAGAACGCGCAGCGCAAAATGGAGAAGCTTCAGAGTCGCGAGTGGGATTCTGGTAAGAAGACGGCCCCACCCGGGTCGAGGACAAAGCCCGTTCCTCCCCCAGCCGGGGACATCAAGATCTCCAAACCCGCCTCGTCCACCCCTACCGCCCCCGAAGGACCAGCCGCTCCCGCAGAGACTCCTGTTGCATCTGCTTCAGGCGCGTCAGAACCTGTGGCGGTCGCCAGCAATCCAGCCTCCCCGACCTCCCCCGGCAGGAGCGAGACCAGTCCTCGCGGACGAGGTGGCAGAGGTCGAGGGGCAGGCGGTCGAGGCAGAGGTCGCGGTCGAGGCAGGGGAGTTGGGGAGGCCATGGCGTCCCCGACGGCGGGAACACCCACCTCACCTTCCGCTTCTTGAACTTGAACGGTACCCTGGCTTGTACGTTCGCATTGTCTCCCCAGTTCCGTCATGACTCATTGATGACCATTCTCCAGGATACCCTCTTGCTTCCCTCCCTCGTGGTCAGGTGCTCTTCGCCCGACGCCGTCCATTTGCCATTCTCCCTGGATCCCTCGCTTTCGTGTTTGTACTGCTGTGTGAGTGAATTTAGTAATTCGTTGTATTCATATGTATAGTCCAGGTGGCTGATGATGGGAAAATAAAACAAGGACAGGTAATTAAACAAACAGGAATTCTCTTGAAAGAGAACATGAACATGTAGATGATGATTTGTGCTCGTGATGTGATAACAGTTTGTCTGTAATTTGGATGATGAAGATATGGACAGTCGCAGGGTATCCCGGATGTGTGCAAGGGTGTGCTCTACTCGTCGTATAAGCGTTGACAGCCAGCGGTCTCGAGCATCAGAAGAATACAGAAAAGCAAAAGGTCAAATGAAGAACACGGCACTGTGAAGGAGAATGTAAACGGAAGGTTCATGTTACGACACACCGCGGACCGTTTTTTGGCTTCAGTTTCCTGCCCCATGCGCGCTTCATGCTCTCTTTCAACGCCAAGTTGAACACATCCTGAACGCCGCTCCCGGACTTTGCTGAACATTCGATGTATTTCGCTCCTATCTCCTTTGCTACATCCAATCCCTGCTCTGGTGTTACTGGCGTCTGACCCTGAGCACCCAGCATCCGCCGTGTCTGTTCGTCTCGACGCAAATCTGTCTTGGTCCCGACCAGGATGAGCGGTGTTCCCTCGCAGAAGTGTGCGACCTCGGGATACCACTGCGAAGTTCATGACGCGTCTAAGCGGTCATGCTCGCGTCCCCGCAACGAGAGGGCTTACGCACCTTATCTTGGACATTGGCCAGGCTGACAGGGAAGTCGACGGAGAATACGATGAGGATAACGTCGCTTTCTGGGTAGCTGAGCGGCCGTAATCGGTCGTACTCTTCCTGCCCTGCCGTGTCCCACAATGCAAACTCTACGAGCTTCCCCTCGAATGTGACTTGTGTGACGTAATTCTCGAACACGGTTGGGATGTATGCCTGTACGCGTTCAGAGTCGCGATTGGCGTTCAACAAAGGTGCCACAAAGGAAGGCGAACGGGGGAACGCACTTCGGGGAACCTGTTCTCGGCATAAACGATCAAAAGACACGTCTTGCCGCAGCCACCTGTCGCGACGAATACGTGCATGAGGTCGAGGAAGGAAGCTGACGCGACGGAGTGTACTCACCGTCGCCGACAACGACCAGCTTCTTCTTCGCGTCTGGTCTACGTATGGTCCTGGGGGCCTGCCCAGACTGGTATGAATTATCCATGGAGAAATCTGGGGGCACGGAAGTGTCGAGCTAGCCTGCGTGGGGAGGAAGCACGGAAGCAAACGATGTGGGGATATTGTGGAGTGTGTTGAGTGGAAGGGGGGCAATAGGAAAATGTGCGGGTGGAGGACAACGGTAGATGGTGGATGGGTAAAGGAGAACGTTGCCGGCCAAATGGAAAGGCGAATGGAGGGAGAGAGGCACGCGCTGGACGACAAACAGAACCCGCCTCGAACAACCCACAAACGAACTCGCGCCAGGCCCCCGGATCCTATGACGCGCCATCAACATTCCCGGACCGCTGCGGCCAAGTCGCTCTGCACGACGTCCATGGCAAAAGCTCGCCGCCGTTCGACTCGCTCTGCAGCTCAGCCTTCTCCTGACCCCCAACCAGCAAACAGCGCCGAGCCAGCAGAGCAGGCATCTCCTGCTCCTCAAGACTCCCAGCCCACGACGGCTGTGGCCGAGGAAAGCTGCCCTGCGTGTAAACCAAATGATGAGAACAGACCTCTTGACTCCGACAAGGAGAGCTGGGTGCGCTGTGATGCCTGCAAAGATTGGTTCCACTGGAGGTGTGTGGGCGCCGACGACGACCTCTCTGTCATAGACAAATGGTGTGTCCCTTTATCCTGGCGCCACATCGCCACTCCTCATTCCCAATCCTACTCTCAGGTTCTGCAACCCCTGTCGCGAGAAGGACCCTTCCCGTACCATCACACACAAACCCCCCGCCCGAAAGTCCTCCCGCAAGAAATCCGTCCGCGACTACGCCAACATGCACTCCGGAGTCGACTCGTCCGACCCTCAGAAATGGCTCGCGATGATGCAGGGTAAAAGCATCTCCAAAGAGTCCTTCAAACGTATGAAGGGCTCTGAAGTCTCCACTGAGTGGCTCAACTCTGATCACACCGCCATGACTGAGCCTATCATTATCGAAGAACCGGACGGGCTCGGGATGGAGATGCCAGACTCAGAGCTGACCGTGAGCGAGATTGCCGATACGCTGGGAAAGGACACGCCTGTCGAGGTCATCGGTATCCCTTCCTGTTTATCCTCACCTCGGTGCGCTGTGCTGACGTCTTGATCCCTAGATGTGGCATCCCAGTCGAATACTCCAGGGTGGACGCTAGGCAAATGGGCCGCCTATTATGAGCAAGAGCCATCTGCTCGCGACAAAATCCGCAATGTCATCTCCCTCGAGGTCTCGGGAACAAAACTCGCAGATAAAATATTGCCACCAAAACTTGTACGCGAGATGGATTGGGTGGAAAAGTTTTGGCCGAGCACGAAAAAGGGAAAGGGGCACCTATATCCGAAGGTCCAGCTCTACTGCTTGATGGGTGTTGCAGGCGCTTGGACGGTATGAGTTATGTTTGCCACTCGCATATTCTGTTTCTGACATTCTTACAGGATTGGCATGTCGACTTTGCTGGGTCATCGGTCTACTATCACATATTGCGAGGTCAGAAGGTGAACACAGTACCCTGTCTCATGTGCTCGCTGCCCCTCAACCTTCGCGTTCAAGGTATTTTACTTCGTCAAGCCGACACCAGCCAATCTTGCCGCATATGAAATGTGGTCAGGCACGGAGCTACAAAGCACCACCTGGTTCGGCGACCTTGCAGACGAAGTCATCAAGGTTGAGCTCGTTGCTGGCAATACCATGCTCATCCCATCGGGATGGATACATGCAGTGGTATTTGCTTTCTCATTTCTACCTCTGGCGCCGCTTTATTGATATATACATGCGATGTGCTTATAGGCTACACCTGCAGATGCTCTGGTGTTCGGTGGCAATTTTCTGCACTCTTATAATGCATCGATTCGTAAGTGTCCACCACTGGCCTTCAACGAATTCTCACCTCTCAGCACTCTTCGATAGAATTGAGAGTGCGAGCCATCGAGATCGCTACCCATGTTCCGAAGAAATTTCGTTTCCCACTCTTTACCAAGTAAGTTCCCTATCAGATTATTTATCCATCCTCTGGTTTTGCTGACAGCCGTCGCTCTTCAGGTTATGTTGGTATGCTGGCGAGAGATACCTTCGAGACCTCAAAGCCAAAGAGGAGTTCCCTGAACGCGTCCTCACATCTATTCAAGCCCTCGCCGATTTCCTCGTTTCCGAAGCACGCACTCTCGAACGTGGCGCAGACGCGTCTGCTAAACGTGAAGCCAAAGAAAACGTCCCGAGCGACAGGGTGAAAGACGCGCCCGCTCTCGCACGTGAACTCCGCTGGCGAGCACGAGCTGCATCGGGATATAACAGTGACGACGAAGTAAACGATAAGAGGAACAGCCATCTGAAGACAAATGGGTCTTCGGATTCGATACCTGGCGTCATCGACGGGTACGGACATAGCAGCAAACGTAAGAGGTCGGAAGACCCAACGGAGACACACTTCCGCAATTTCCAGCCCAAGGCTTGGGAAGGGGTCACTGACAAAGGCGTGGAGAGCACGAATTTGAAGCTGAAGGCCCGCTTACCTGGGCCTGTGGATTCAGAACCGAATGCGTGGACGGGCAATTGGTTGGAGTGGCGTGAAGAGCTGGAGGATGAGAACGAAGGGATAGAGGTTGAAGTCAACAGGAAGAAGTATGTGAGTACGAAGGTGCGGAGGACTGCGAAAGGAGTTGAGAGACAGCGGGTAGAGCGGTTGGTGGAGAATTGGACGTGGACGCCGACACCACAGGCAGATGGGGATATTGCAGTTGTTACAGGTGCAGAGCCAGTGATGAAGGATGAGGAGATGGGAGATCCATGATGACCGTTCGTTAGCGTACTTTATCGGTTCTTACTTTGCATTTTCTTGTTGTTGTTTATTTTACGCTTTTCCTGATTGTGGCCACTCGTTGTGGCCCCAGCGGGAAGTCACGACTCACGAATCACGATCGATGATGCGTGGGAAGAGCGGCTCGTCAAGCCTGTTTCGTCGCCGACTTGCAAATGCGGTTCGCCATCTAAAGCACCATACGGAGTCTATCCATCTCATTTTCATTGCCTTTCCCACTTCGCTCAGTGACCTCACGCTCCCCTGACGTTCAAATTCCCGTCTTTGAAAGACTGGACGCAGAAATAATCCTAGAGTCGTCTGTCGATGTACCAGGAATACCCGCCTTCTCAGGAGCAGTATGCTGACCCAGGAGTGACGCCTCGAGCCACATCGGATCGCCGTCAGGGCTACATCCAATCCTACCCCAATTCCGTACAATCATATGAGTATGACGGTGCAGCCCAGCAGCAACAGCAGCAGCCGGTTTACGACCATGCCCCCATCGTTCCTCCCCGTGAGTCGCTGCGTCTACGTCTCACGCCAAAATTCCGTTCTCATTGCGAGCATTATGTCCTTCCGTTTCTACCTTCACTCGCATACTCTTAGCCCGCTCATTTACAATGCACCAGAACCGTTCCGTACCCTATCTACCCTCCGAGCAGGTGCAGACCAGCCCACAAGAGCCCGTCCCTCCGCTTCCACCTCCCTACGACCCCACCTCCGCATTGGATTCTTTCAAAGCACTCCACGTCGGCGACCCTGTTGAAAGGGCGCCCAGTGCAGCTTCTATGTCGCCCTCCGACCCAATCCCGAGGTCCGGCACATCCATGTCTAACCATTCGTACACTCGACCCATGAACGGTGGTCTACCTACTCGAAACATCAGACGCATGGCGGGTCAGCCTCTTCCTCCCCAAGCCGAAGTCCCATATTCCGATGTCATGTCGATTCATTCGACCAGCAGTGGCGACCGCCAAAGTGGAGCGTACGCGGACGGGAGCGAATACCACGGTTACCAGCCGCCGGAGTCCGATTCCACCAGCTTTTACTCGGTAAACAGTGGGCATAGCGGTGCTTCGGATCCCGCAGCGCAACAACAAGCATATGGTTACGCTCCCCAGCAGTACGGGCCTCCTGCACATCCTGCTTTACCCAATCCAGGCGAGTACAATCCACTCTATGCGGCTGCGTCGAACGTGCTTGGTGTCGGTCTCCCTCCACCCAACGGTGCTCCTCCGCAAGGTCCGGTCGGTTATGCCCCTCAACCACCTCCGAATCAAGGCTACGCAGGCCATCCAGGCGAGAGCGTCGTCTCCCTCTCGTCGAGTCACTCTATGCCCTCCATGGATTCGACTGGTACAATTCCGTATGGCCAAGGCGTACCCCCCGCCGGGTACGCCCCCTCAATCATGCCATCCAACGCCTCTACCCTCAGTCCCGTCGAAGATGCCGAATTCGAGCCTAGACCATCTATGAACCGAATGGGCACCGCGACCTCCGTTGCTCTTGCCACCCGCAAGATCAAAGCTGTGGATCTCCGCGCGCCGCCGTACACGAAAGAATACATTGACGGCTATCGACAACGAATAAAGGCCGATCCAGATCCTGAAGCCCACTTTGCATACGCGAAGTACCTCATCGACGCAGCGAAGAAGATCGGTGCAGACGCCAAGGACCAGCGGGCCGTGCGAAAATATCGCGATACGCTCGTTCAGGAGTCCTTGAAAGTGATGCGCCGACTGGCTACCCAGGGGCAGCCATACGACGAAGCTCAATTCTTCCTCGCTAATTGCCATGGAACTGGCATGCTCGGGCTACAAGTCGACCACGAAAAGGCGTATCATCTCTACCTTCAGGCAGCGAAGCAAAACCACCCGGCTGCGACTTATCGTGTAGCTGTATGCAACGAGATCGGTGCTGGGACGCGGAAAGAGCCACCCCGTGCGGCTGCATTCTATCGTAAAGCTGCCTCGTTAGGCGACACAGCAGCGATGTACAAGCTCGGGATGATCTTACTGCATGGTACCCTGGGCGAAGCCAAAAACCCACGCGAGTGCGTAGGATGGCTCCGGCGGGCAGCAGAGCAAGCCGACGAGGACAACCCGCACGCTCTGCACGAGCTCGCCCTTCTCCACGAGATGCCCAACAACCAATATGTCCCCTATGATCCCTACCGCGCGAGAGAACTCCTCACCAGGGCCGCACAGCTGGGCTATACCCAGTCGCAATATAAACTCGCCCAGTGTTATGAATACGGAACACTCGGTTGTCCCGTCGATCCCAGAAGGTCTATCGGGTGGTATACCAAGGCGGCAGAAAAGGGAAATTCAGAGGCTGAATTGGCGTTGAGCGGGTGGTATTTGACGGGAAGTGAGGGTGTGTTGGTTCAGAGTGATTCGGAGGCTTACTTGTGGGCAAGAAGAGCGGCGAATAAGGGCTTGAGCAAAGCGGAGTATGCGGTGGGATACTACGCAGAAGTTGGTATCGGAATTAAGCAGGATATTGAGTTTGCGAAGCGGTGGTATATGCGTGCGGCAGGTCAGTCTCTGTTACCTTTTCTTGCGCTGAGCAGGTCACCGCTAATCGTTCTCATCCTTACAGCACAAGGGAACAAGCGCGCTATGAACCGATTGACCGAGATGAAGAGGCAAGGCAATAAACGCGCCAACGTTGCTCGCCCCACACGACAACAAGCGAAAGACGAATGTGTCATCTCATGACCTGTTGGTCCATATCCCGTCGTCGTTTGTGCTCTTCACCTACTTTACTACTTCGTGCGTTCCGTTCGTCCGCCGACCCTTCGACTTCCCAATGGCTGGTCTGACACGGACCGTTCATTTTTTTTTCTTTGTCTTCTCCTTCTACCTTCACCACCTTCGATTTGATTTCAGACTTCAGCAACCCGGAATTCTTTGATGAGTACATACAGTACAGCTACAGGTACACAATCGACAACGGCATATATACCATCTTACGACTCGGCTTAGGCTTTTGCGTTCAGGCATGCAAACCTTCTGAATGCACATAATACAGACTTAACTCTCTTTCGTTCATCGACGTCATCTCCAGTTATGTTCGAACTCTGCTCATTTCTCTCTTACGCATCTTCCTATGCGTCTCATATTTATTACTTGGTATGTGTTTATCCAAACCGCGTTCGATAAACCCGTAGGTAAGCCCTCGTCTTGCATTGTGTAACTACGAATGCAATGTGTTCCAAAGTCGGCACGAAGAGCGTCACTATCCAGACCTGCATCCACAGTCACAAACTCGCACTAGTAGTTCAGTGTCTGAATGTCCCGACATACTAATCGAGGCGAAAGCCACAAACGAATCGGAACGTCACTTCCCATCGATTTGTAACCACATGCTCCACCTTTGCCTTTCTTCTTCACTGCCCTCAAACTGCCATTGAACTTTCTGTATTTCATCAAAGCCTTCTTCCATTGTGGGCTCTTCAAATCCCTTCTCATAAGTCGCGAACGCGAATTTCGGAAGGAGGTCCCGAGCCGGCTAGACGATTATAACATTCAATAGTCAATAACGCCTCACTCGGCGGCCAGTTTGCGACCACATTGAGGGGAAGAAATTCAGTGAATGATGACCTGACATACCTCTCCGATGACACTGGAGGGCGGACGGTTGAACGCCCTATAAAGATTATTATGCCACGCTAATCCCTGGCTCCCTTCAAAATGGAAACACCTATAATTCGCTTTAGTGATCATGAACGGTAGAAATCCAACTTAAGGACGCCTTCCTACCGAATGGGAACTTTGTACTTTTTTGCTATGTCGACATAGAACTTTCTTGTCATCACGTCTCGGTTCGTGTTGTCTTTCGGCCGCTTCAGTGAATTTCCCCCCGTATTCGAGAAAGGAGCAAACTAACCTACGACACAACTCTTCCCTGCTGAGAGAGCCTCTTGGACAGCCTTAACGCATTTATCCCTTGTTTTCAGTGTATCTTGATTGACGTGAACATAACCAAGTGGAAGAAAATGGCGCTTGAAGAAAGTCGACTTCCCAAGAGCAGGGTAGCCGACGAAGACAACCACTTCCTGGGGAGGCGAGCCTGGAGGGATGATGGGTGGTGCGTCTGCGGGTTTCGTAGCTACACATGGTAGTCAGACCGAATCTTCAAGAACGATGAATGGTCAACCTACAGGGTTGTTTGAGTGAGGATACGTGGAATCCGGGGAGATTATATGCCGCTGGTGCTGCTTTGATGAAAAACTCCTGACCAATAGGTCAGATCACATAAGTCAAGGAAGACAGCATGAATAAGTCACCTCCGGGGTGTAAAACCGTACACCTACGTTGATAGCGAACTTTCGATCGGTGCACGCGAAATCGGTTGGCCGCCCAGCTCCATCGCCGACGTAATACGACTGAGACTTGTCTTTCATCGGGCATGCAAGTCAACATGGCAGCTATTCGAGCTGCTAGAAAGAAACATACCGATCTCAACACCGCTCTCTTTAAAGATGCGTTCAAGCTCGTACCACATTCCGGGAATGGGCTTCCGAAATCCATCTTTTGCAGTAGCGGCAAATATCCGAAATGGTACATCGGGTAGCTATCGTCAAGTTGAGCTGCAGGCCATAAAACCGACGACATTCGACATCATACAGCAACTGAAAACTTAGACATCTTTCTTTTCCATTCATCAACTTGTTTGGGTCCCTTGAGACCAGCTTGATTAGTGATGAAAACGAGGGAATATCTAGCAGCGTAAAGAGTCAGTAGACGGTATTAGAAAGTTTATATGTCTCAGTTACCCAGCCTGAGAGACAGCAGTGAGCTTCTTCGGGACACCTTCTTTCCACCAGATGAACTCCGTCGGTCCAACACTAGTTTTACCTTTGCCGTAGGAAGACTTGATGACGGTGCCGTCAAGGTCAAAGACAGCCACTTTGACATGGTTTGATGGTTCGAGATTTATCCCGTATAGACAGGTTCGATGTGGACCCAAAGACGGCTTGACCCATTGTAACGAAGACTTTTCCGTCGGCTCCTTTAAAAAGATGGGGAAGACTGTGGGGCATGGCGTGCGGTTCAAATCAGATGCGACACGCCGGTCAGCATTGACCTCTGTAGAACTGTATGGACCCACGTTTAGTCTTCTTTTGCGTACTCTCCGCATCTGAAGGAGCGGTACGCTTCAAAGAGGATGTCCCTACAGAGCGAAACATCACAGGTGTAAAGGATGCGACCCTGCGAAAGGGAACGGACAGCATTACCTCGTTTGGCCGAGGTGTCCATGGAAGTTGAAAGAGAAGAGTGCGCTAGCGGCAGCGCTCAGCGCCAACCGGTCGGGGAAAGCCCTTGGTGACGTTGTGATGGATTTGGACCCGGCCAACAAAGTCCGAATCATCCTGCCCTTCGCGTATATCATGGTTTCTTCCTGCGTCAACTCTACGTCCGACCTGCCCAACTGGCGCGACCTGCTCAAGCTCGCCGTCAAACGCGACCGTGACGAGCGAACCGGACTTTCCAAACTCTACTATTCTGTCGCTAATCCTTGATCCCTTGCTAATACCGGAACCACTCTTTTCCTAACCATTCCCTATGCACCGGCCAACGCACAGTCGCAGCGAGCCAGCCGTGCGCTCTCTATCGTACTCTCCGTATACCTCGAGCTCACGCAATCATACCAACAACAACTCCTCGGAGGAGTCTCCCTTTATGTCGCCTAGCTCTTCATCCACGTCACCGTTTTCGCATTCGTCTGACTCCTGGACCTTTCTCCTCCCTCGGCGACCTCGATATGTCATTACGCTCGCCATCGTCGCCCTTACAGGCCTATTTCTGTGGCTCCACGCTGGACCTCTACCTCACGAGCATGAGCGCGAGCGCGTAGATCTCGAACCTTTTGAGTTTGAAGTGCTGCAAAATCCCCCTCCTTCACCTCTCGTCCAAGTCCTTCCTCCGACCACCATCACCGTCACGGCCCCAGCGGTTACCGAGACTGTTACCATTCAGCGAAGTTCACGGACGCTAGAGCCCGTTGTGTTCTCTTTGATTATGTGGTCAGAATCTTCGGCCATCGAAGGCGCTCTTTTGATCAAAGTACGTCCTTTCCTTTACTGTACATCACTTATACTAAGTCTGCCTATTTAGTCTGCCATTATGTATACTACGAGGCCGCTGGAGTTTCATATCATATGTGACGAGGAAGCGCAGAATCATCTCGAGAAGAAATTCCTACTCCTCGAACACCCAGCACAGAACATTCTTCTACGATTCTACCGAGTGTCGCGTCAGAGCATGACTGATCGTATACAACGTGAGGGTGGTATCCACACAGACCACTCCGCTGGCGTCCGTGAGTACTACACATATATATTGTTCCACACGAATGCATCCGCCATAGAGAAGGTCTAATACTGACAACAAACGTGTAGCTGGGCTCATGAAGCTATTTATCCATGAGATTCTCCCCGACTCCGTCCGTAAATCGATCTACGTCGATACCGATGCATTCTTCATCAGTATGTCAGCACTTTCAACCCTCACGGAGTTCATCACCGTTAACAACATCCCTCTACCTAGCTGATCCCGCGCTCCTCTGGCAAACGTTCGACACCCTCCGTCCTTCAACTGCCATCTCCATGCCCACCCATTACGACCAGAACTCGCCCGAATGGCACCATGCATCCAAGATCTGCTCCTGTGTCATGCTCCTAGACCTCTCAAAATTACGCTCTCTTCGCCTCATGGATTCCTCCATATACCGCGCCGACCCGACCTCGCGCTACCCCTCTGCCCTCTCACCGCCTCTTTTCCGATCACTATTTGGCCCTCCTGGTCCAGAAGATCACTACGAGGGCGTGGCGCTGGGAGATCAGGGATACTTTTGGGCGATCGTGAGCCAGAGGCCAGATATCTTTGAGCATTTGAGCTTCGACTGGGAGGTTTCGAGTTGCCTGGTGGACATGTACGGGACAGGACTGGACAGGAATAATGATGGAGCTACAGATGAGGAGGAGAGTCCTAGAATGTTGCATCTTTTCGAGACGCCACACCAGGGTGGCGTCGTTCACCCAAAGCTCGTTCACTTGTCAGTCCTTGCTCTTCTTCCCCCCATCTTCCTTTCCGAGTCAGGTTCTTCGTATGCTGACCTCATTCAAACCACTTGTCGCATTTAGTAACTGCCTAGATGGTGTCGACGTCTACTTCGACTGGCCAGGATGGACCGATCCCGAGAACAGCCTTGCGAAACGCTGGAAATCTACTCTAGATTATCATCTCGGCACGAAGTGGATTTGGCTTAATCGCGGTCGTGGAAAGCTTTTCGTGGACACTGTGCACGATCCACTCTTTGGAGACCAGAGGTTCGCCGTTGAACATAACATGCCCCTGGATCACTGAGCACCGGTTTCATAGAGCACATCTGCCCACTCCTGAACGTGCAGTACGAGCATGTCGAGCCTCATCATTCCTTCCGCGTTCGTTGTTCTCGTTTTGACGTTTTCTGGCATTCTGTCTTGCCGGAAACTCTTTCAGTTCCAGAAAGCCTCTTTTGTTATAAACCTCCTTTCCTCGCGATACATGTATCCTTTGGCTTCCTTTAATTTGCTTTGGAGATCATGATTGATGTCACAATTGGCTGGTAGACAGCGGGACTGTACATAACATATAGCATGGGCCTCATATCTCATACCTCACTCTTCATCTCAGCTGCTAAGTAGTTTGGAGCGGCAAATACCCTGCAATTTTCTGCCAATATCTATTAATTTGCATTACATACCATCCTATGTAGATTGTAGAGATGTGGATCTATGTGAATATCTCCGGGGCTGTCGTCGAAACATGGGCCCATGCACGGAAACATGGGTTCCAAAATGCAAGCCGCGAGCCTGAATCTATCGGACAGCGTCGCCATAATATTCTCTGCCCGAATGTGATGGTGGCAGATGTGGTCCGCCTGACTTTGGCTTGGGTCGGTGGGTGTCGACGGCGCCGATGGGTAGAGCATACCTGGCAGTGGTCGAAAATCAGTGAAGAATGTTCTACCATGAACTGCTGTAAGCGTCCGCTAGCCTACCTCTCTTCGTCACAACCGTAGGCTTTTGGCGTGAGCTTGATCACTGTATGCAGGGGAATCTTGATGTAAGGCAGATCAGCCTGAGGGAGGTTGTGGAAGTATGCGTAACTACACGGAGCGTTTCAGTATATACTAGCGAGCATAGAGCGGTAAGAACAGAGACTAACAGGCAACGAATAATGGCTTGATGTCCGATGAGCAAGATATTCTCTTGACGCTCAAGTTCCATGATAACAGGCTCAAGACGAACTACCACGTCCCGGTACGACTCGCCTCCTGAAGAAAAGATGTGTGCCCAATCCGTCAGCATTCAATTTCTGAGGACCCTAGTGCGGAACTGACCTCGGTAACGGTAGTTGAACTTGTCGTCATCCCGATTGGCAAAATCCTCCGGATACGCTTGCTACGTACGGGACCATAAACATGAGCAGCTTGTTCGCATGCACTTCCTCGAAACATCTCAAAAGATCGGCAAACGATGACAAACCTCGATCTCTTCGTAAGTCATGCCATCGCAGACACCCGCATCCAGCTCGTCCAGGGACTTCCACGTCAGTTTCGTATACGGAAGATTTTCTGCTGTCTGAATTGTTCTTGTGAGTGTCGATGTCCAGACCTATCGAGCAACCAGAAAGTTAGCTGACGCATGTTCGGTCGGAAATCACTAGAGGTCGAAGCGAGGTGGAAGAATAGGACTGTTCGTAGAGAGAAGGGAAGGGATGTAACCCAATGTAGCGGAAAAGACAGGATAGTTGCCCGAACAAGCGGAGAATGCGAGAGCATAAACTGACCGTAAGGGGAGCATCACCGATGTTGTCTGTGATGAGAGCTGGTAGGGCTTTGGAATACGCTAATCCTCTGTCTGACAAAGGAGCGTCACCGCCGATTTTCCCTTCCACGTTGTACTGACTCTCTCCATGCTAAACCATCTATCAACATTGATCGGAGAAGGAAGAGCATATATGAGCAAGCTCACCCTGGACAAGTAGATGCTCCTTGGCTTAAGATGGAGGTTCATCAGATAGAACGCAATCCGACTCTGTAGATACCCATGTATCCTGCAAACCGTGACCTGACTCCCCACATTGGTGATCCTGAAATAGCTCAGATGAGGCTCGTCGATTGTCTCATACACCTTCTCGTACTGCTCGATGCGCCGAAGGAAATCGTGTTTAGCTTTCTCGGGCGACATGTCCTTGTAGTCCGGATCGCCGGAGGAGACTTTGAGTGCGACATTTGCTGCGATGATGGCTGGATCGTCACAAACAGACTCAAGAAAGATCACCACGATGCCCTTTTCCTTTGCGACCCGAGATTCAATCTGTGCCCTGAGGTTGTGAGATTAGGGCGATATTCGGCAAGAGGAAAGGCACAGAGGGTGCCCGAGGTGAGCAGTGAAGTACCTTCTGGCGCGAGAACTGTTTGTGGCATCTGAGGATCTCGTTTAGCGGAGAGGTTCGGCAACAAAGATACAAACGCACCGTGTATACCGACATTGCCTCCCTGTTTCAACCAAGCTATAAGCATCTCAAGGCTGTCATTCGCTAGCTGGTCTCGCAATCTAGTAGCCTCTACATTGTCATGACTGAAATATGCCGCGGTATGGTCTTCCTTGATGCCACTCCTGGTAATATCAGTTGGCCAGGTTCGGAACCTTACTACTGGCGGTGGCTAGTACTCACTCCTGCTTCTTCTGCCTTGCTCGACTTCTTCTTAGTTGACCGACGTTGAACACCTGAGTGGATCATGAGGTGGTGGTCAAAAAAGAGGATAGCATCGCACAGACCTTCACATCGTATTCTAGCCACTGTCGATCATGATCAGTGGGATCCAATGATAGCAGACAAAATCGGACTCGCCTGCAGGTAGCGCATGAGTTTGTTACTGAGGTACGACTTTCCTCTCGCTGGCAATCCGACCTTCAATGCAATGTATTCATTTGCTGTGCCCAAGATATCTATCGTAGGCATACCATCGCCAGTACAATCTTTGCTTCTGAATAATCCGGCTTCGCGACTGACCAGTTCCGTACTCAACGTTCCATGTATGCATTTGAACGAGACGGACGATGAGCGTACCTTTACCTCCGATTCCTACAACGGACTTCGGTGGCGTCGCAGCCTGCGAACCCCTCCGACTTGGAGCATTCGACTGGTCAAACTGCTTCAGTCTATCCCGGATTTCCACCCCGTCCACCGTACCATCGACGATCACATCAGGCATCCCGAGATCGTAAGTTGTTTGGAAGTTGCAGCGATTTCAAACGCGCAGCCCCAGGTAAGCAGATAGATGGATAGTGGTCAGTTTAAGATAAATGAGATAGTAGAAGAAGAAATTGAGATATCGAAAGAACGGATGGTTGAGGGTAATAACAAGACGCCATCACTCACAGCGGACCGCCGGCGCCAAACATCTCAGGACGAGGACCGTCTCCGACCGTGTGCGGGATGGAGCTCCTCGACTGTAGGTTTCCGTGGGCCTCCAGAGCGGTATCGACCAAACTCAAGTCATCTGCCAGGGAGCTCATCTGCAGCGCCGTGAGCGTGGGCGAGGAGAAGACCGATCCAGACATGGTCTATTCCTGAAATTTCAAGTACTGTAGTCCTAATACCCAGGTTTGAGTGCTACAAATTCAGCACAAGAGATAACCGTATCAGATTCGTTATAGCGATCCGGTGAATCAGGCTTTCGTCTGGGTCGGTGTGGGATGATGGAGGGGCCGCACTACCAATTCGGATCGAGATGCGATTCCCGTGACGAGGTTTGCGGGTTGATTCGCAAAACGAAGGAAATAGCTTGTTCAGGTATAGATGGCCTTTCCTCGGATGGTGGTTTACAAGCTTGAGACAACGTGAGCGTGGGTGAGAGCAAGTATCACAAGGCGAAAACACAGGCAGTCAGAACCGCTACAGAACGACAAGCGCGAGAAACGTTGTGATGACGTCGGAGGCTCACATGCGTGGCGCGGCACTTCCGGCCCGGGACAATTTCGTTCTTCGTTCCTCTCGGGGCCACACTGACACTCGCCACTGCAAGATCTTGCAAGACGATATCGCAACAACGGTAGTGTAGTCAATAATTGGGATAATTTTATGGTGCGCTACATCTCATCCAATTGATAGGACTACTCGAAGATTCCCCCATAACCCACCAGTACGAACCACATCAGAGTCGCTCTGGCTCTCCGTCAGGACCGTCCAGACTCCAAGGACCGTCACATGGCGTTTGAAAAGTCCCCAGGGGATCTTGAGGCAGTCGAATACACGTTCATTGTCGTCGTAATCATGCTTGAACATCGACGTTGTCGTCTTCGCAGAGATTTGCCATTGTTGTCACATCCTCCGAGTCGTCTTCGTGGATTTGATATGTGTGGAAATAGCTGAGAAAGACAGGACTGAGAGAAGCGCCCAAGTTCAAAACCAGAAGCAGCAAGACTCGCCAAACTTCCAGCATCCCGAGAGCCAAATGAGCAACTGACAATGAGAAGGACGGATATATCTTTCAGTCGATGAGCGTACTTTGGGGGGACCATTCTTGCGTCACGGTTTGTCAACGTCCAGATCCTACGGAAACGCATTCTTGACTACCCCCCCATGGCCTAGAGCCATGAGTACCAGGTGGGCAAGAAGAGCCGACATCCAGAGCGTCCAGTCCCGAGTCTGGTACAGTTGCAGCTTGAAGTGTCGGAGCTGCGAGTTATTTTCCTTTGACGCGACCGTCGAAGGACAGCGCAGTGACCACCCAAGGCCAAGGATGAATAATTCCAAGCACCAAGGTACTTCACCAGGAACTAGATACCCTCAGGTATGTTTAGAGATCGCGAGGGAAACCAGCCAGATGATTAAAATGTATCTTCGGGATTGATATCTTGAACGTCTCCTAGATCCTGCAAAGTTCGAAGTGCCAAGCCACTTCGCCAGGAGCCAGATATGCTTATGCATAATTCGAGACCACGAAGGAAACCAGCCAGATGATCCAAATGTATCGTCGGGATCAATATCTTGAGTTTTGAGTCCTTAATAGATTTCCAAGACCAAGCAGTCTGGCTGAACTTGCCTGTCTGCGAATCAACTCGGAAGCGGGTGAACATAATATAGATGAAATGAAACGGAAGAGAACGTACAAGTGTCAGTCGGAGTCGGGTGGCCCTGGCACCTCTCGAGATAAAAGTCAACGATGTGGACGCTTTTACAAGTGAATCTTGAGGACATCATTGAAGGCCCTCAGTGTCGGAGTGAGTGAACCTTAGCGCTTTCATCCTCGTCGTGCAAGGGTAGACCAGCCAAGACGATTCGGAAGAAGCGAGACCGCACGAATACACAGAAAAGAGTGGAGGGAATACCGGGGCAACCAGAGAGATGGACATAAGGCTCTTGAGTCGCGTACTGCCACTGTCCCAAGAGCCAGATACCCTCAGGTATATTTCAAGCGACCCGAAGACCAGCCGGAATTGAAACCGTATCGTCCAATAGGTATCTTGAAGCTACCCTTGGTCTTGAGGAATCCAAATACCGAGCCACTTTGCCAGTAACTAGATACACCCAGGTATATTTAGAATTAGACACCGCGAGCGAAACCACTGGCAGCCACGTTGTTTCGTCCTTGTCGTCACTGCCAAATGACATAAAACTAGAGGATCCAAGCTAAGCGCACTACAAGACCATGCGTTCAATGAAAAACCTCAGCGTCGGCACGACTGGAATGCGGAGACCATCCGAGTCTAGTCGAGAGAGAGAGAGAGAGAGCAAACATAGCCAAGAATGGGGCCGCCTCGGCATTAAAGTCAAACCAGACGAAATAGTTCATCGGATATTGTGAACGACGTCGAACGCTTCATTCCATATCTTGGACGTGTCGATAAATCCACCTGTAAAGAAGGTGGGCACGCGTGGCAGTCGTTAGCTAAAATACGTGAATGGTGATGAAGAAGACGAGACCACTCACCGGTAGATATACATACCTCGTAAGCGTCTGTTGGCTTCCCTCGGAGGAGGTACTAGAGCCCCTAGACCACGACAAGGTCGATGCTATCCTAGGGGACCTTGAGGCTTTTGAGGACAGTTGTTGCTTGGTTGGCGGCGATGACGTTGACAGCCAGAGCGCCGAGCGGCTTGAACATGCCTTACTCACACTCACACACCTGTGAAAAAAAACTACACGAAATGCGTCAGAAAAGACCAGTGTATCGAAGCGCCAACTCACTCACCCGTTAGTAAGCGTCTGTTGGCTTCCCCCAGAGGATCGGACTCTGAGGTACTAGAGCCCCTGGACCACGACAAGGTCGACGCTATCCCAGGGGACCGGTCTTGAAGCTCATTGGAGCTCGGTGTCGACGTCGTGCTTGATCTCGTTCGTGAGGTCGATGTGGCCTAGCTCTAGCAGGACCAGCCCCAGCCCAGCAGCCCAGAGATCAAGCCCACGAAAACCAACAGAAGAAGTGACCTAGCAAACCTAGCAGACCCAGCAGACCTAGAGACCTAGCCTAAGAGACTCCACTTCCCGCCGCCCGGTGTTGATGCCGTGCTTGAGCTCGTTCGTGAGGTCGCTCCACGATGTCCTGCTTGAGCACGGTCGTGACGTCGATGTCGCCTAGGTCTAGCAAGACCAGCCCCATCACAGCAGCCTAGAGACGAAGCCGACGAAGCACAGCAACCTAGAATACAAGCCCACGAGACACAGCAGACGAAGACAGACAGCAGACTCAAAGAGACAACAGACCCAGAGACCCAGCCCGAGATACCCCAGATCCTGCCACCAGGTGTTGATGTCGTGTTTGATTGGAGTTGTCGACCAGACTCATCGTCGTGTCCGAGTGTTGATGGTCAGGGCGTCGATCGTGTTGAGCGTACCAAACTCACGCTAACACATCTGAAAGAAAGCTATATCAGATCCGTCAGAGAATATATGCGTATCAAAGGACACAACCACTCACTTGTCAGTAGACGTCTGCTGGCTTCGCTCAGAGGGCTGGCCTCTGAGTTACTAGAGCCCCCGGACCACAACAAGGTCGAGGTCATACCAAGGGAGGGGCTCAAGCTGAAGACTTGAGACAAGCGCAGAGACAAAGAGATAGAGATGACCCAAGAGTGTCGCCGTAGAGGAGAGTAAAGATAAAGGCGAGAGCGAAAAGATAAAAGCAAGGGCGAAAGGGAGAGAAAGCAGAGGTTGCCTAGAGTTGGGAGCAAGAACGATGATGGGTGGGCGGGTGAGCGGGGGGAGTAACGGCTAAGGAAGAGGTCGTCTGAGCTTCAGAATGTCGACCAAGCAGAAGGGTCGACACAGGTCACAAAACCCCGGACCAGTTTCTGAGGATCCTTACGACACGCACAACTGTAAAAGCTATAAGAAGCGGTCAGGGCAGTGTATACGCATGGAGGAGAACAAAAACTCACAAGTCAGTATAGTACATATACTGCGAGCGTCTGTTAGTTGCCGCCAGAGGATCGGACTCCGGGGTATTAAAGCCCCTGGACCACGACAAGGTCGACGCTCTCCCAGTGGTCGCTCGGTTGAAGACGATGATGCCGGTGATCAGAGCGTCGAGCGTCTTGCGCTTGAGGTCGTCTTACTCACAAGTATACACCTGGAGGAAACCAAAGAAACTGTTAGCGCAGTCATGATACTACTCGCGGCAAAGAATAAGAGACTCACATATTTGTATACATTTCTCGTGCTGTCTGTTAGTTTCGTGCCGGATATCGTCCGTACAATCACACGCCTGTAAGAGAATCTAGAGAAAATCAGCAATATAGTATGAAGTAGGAAACGTACCTTGCGAACGTCTGTTGGTTTCCCCCAGAGGATCGGACTCCGGGGTACTAAAGTCCCTGGACCACGGCAAGGTCGACGCTCTACCAGGGGAGGGACTCAAGCTGAAGACTTGAGACAAGCATAGAGAGATGGAGACGAAAGCGAGAGCGTAAAGAGGAGAGCGAGAGCGAAGAGAGGAAAGCGAGAGCGAAAAGAGGAAAGCGAGAGCGGAAATAATACCCACACTCACGGACCTGTGGAAAACAAAACTACACGAGATGCGTTAGAAAGTACATGAGGATCGAATGCTGATGGCCCACTTACCTGTCAGTAGCGTCTGTTGGCTTCCCTCAGAGGATCGGACTCTGAGGTACTAGAGCCCCTGGACCACGACAAGGTCGACGCTATACCAGGGGACCGGTCTTGAAGCCCTTTGGAGCTCGGTGTCGACGTCGTGCTTGAGCTCGGTCGTGAGGTCGATGTTGAAGTCGTGCTTGAGCTCGGTCGTGAGGTCGATGTCGATGTCGCCTAGCTCTAGACAGCCCAGCCCCAGCCCATAAACCTAGAGAGCAAGCCCACGAGACCCAGCAGCCTAGAGAGAAAGCCCGCAAGACCTAGCGACCAAAGAGGACAAACAGACGAAGAGACGAAGAGACGAAGCAGACAAAAAGACCCAGTAGACGAAGAGACACAACACACCTAAAGACCCAGCAGACCCAGAGACGCAGCCCAAGACGCCCTAGAGATCACCGCCCGTTGATGTCGTGCTTGATTGGAGTCGTCGACCGGCCTCGTCGTCGTGCCCGAGTGTTGAACATCAGGGCGTCGATCTTCTTGAGCTGACGGATACCCACACACGGCCTATGAAGAAAACTAAGCAGAAAACGTCAGTTGAAGATATCGATGAACGAGAGTAGAAGAAGGACTCACCGGTTAGTATACCTACCGCCCCTGCGTCTGTTGGCTTCCCTCAGAGGATCGGACTCTGAGGTACTAGAGCCCCTGGACCACGACAAGGTCGACGCTATCCCAGGGGACCGGTTTTGAAGCTCTTGGGGCCCGGTGTCGAGATTTTGTGGAGGGCGCTGCTGATGAAGGCAGGTCGACGCCGGTCTCTTACGTTCACACAGTCACACAGCTGTAGAAAAACTGAGGATGGTGTCAGCGTGGTCACTGGCATGAGCGAATCGAAAGGGAATACTCACAGATCAATACATGTTCCTCGCGGGCATCTATGAGTTTCGCGCTGGACTCCACTCCTGTAAGAGAAAATTAGTGACAGAAGTAGGATCAAGAGACGTACCTTATGAGCGTCTGTTAGCTTCCCTCCGAGGAGGTACTAAGCCCCTTGACCACGACAAGGTCGACGCTCTGCCAAGGGGAAGGACGATGCTGCTTTCGCAAGCAGAGCGCCGCACGTACCTGTACTCACACTCACACTCACACTCACGCACCTTTGAAGAAAACTAGACACGGAACATCAATAAAAGATCTATCAAACGACATTAGGAGACTCACCAGAACCACACTCGAATCCTGTAACATAATCTAAAACAAATCAGCGACGTAATATAAGGAAAAAAAGACGCACCTTGCGAGCGTCTGTTAGCTTCCCTCCGAAGAGGTACTGAGCCCCCTGACCACGGCAAGGTCGACGCTCTTCCAAGGGGAAGGACGATGCTGCTTTCGCAAGCAGAGCGTCGGAAGGAACACAGACCTACCTTGACTCACTCACACTCACGCCTGGAAAAAGACCTACCGGCGCTCAATACTCAGACCTACCGTTACTTACATTCAGACTCACTCACGCACATACCTTGACTCAGACCTACCTTAAATCACACTCACACGCACTCACCTATGAAGAAAACTAAGCACAGAACGTCAGTGAAATGTATAGAAGACCGAGAGTAGAAGACTCACCACAACCGCACGCCTGTAAGAGAATCTAAAGGAAATAAGTAGAATAATACAAGGAGAGAGACGCACCTTGCGAGCGTCTGTTGGCTTCCCTCCGAGGAGGTACTAAGCCCCCTGACCGCGACAAGGTCAACGCTCTGCCAAGGGGATCTTGAGGCTGTTGAGGTGAATCATATCTTGAGATGATGTTGAGGCTCGCGAGGACGTTGCTATTGCCCGCAGAGCGTCGGTCTTACTTACTCACACTCACACATAGAAACTTAAGCGCGATACATCAATAAACTATATGAGTGAACGAGAGTAGAAAACTCACCACAGCCCGACACGCCTGTAAGAAAATCTAAACCAAATCAGTGACATAGCATAAGGAGAGAAACGTACCTTCCGAGCGTCTGTTGGCTTCCCTCCGAAGAGGTACTGAGCCCCTGGACCACGACAAGGTCGACGCTCTACCCAGGGGGACTCACCTTCAAGAGAGACACAGAAACAGAGACGAGAGACGAGAGACATGATGGGAAGGGAGAAATGGGTGGATGGTGGATGTCGCCTAGACCGAGACCGAGACCGAGACCAGGACCAAGCTCTTACATGTTCCACCTTGGAGAAGATCAAGATCACACATTATATTAACTACGATCATACATACCTGGACATCACTCAATGTGTCGAGACTTAGACCTGAGAACCGAGAGAAACCTTAACTTAACTTACACACGAGTCGACGATGAAGGAGGAAGAAGAGGAGAGAGGGGAGAACAGAAGTCGCCCAAGCTCGAGTGTAGCCAAACCAGGAGTGTAGCCCAAGAGGAAAGACACCGTGCCTGTATATTAGTATGAGGGATGGAATCAATATAAAAGGCGATGAGTCGGCCAGACAGAAGGAGAGAGGGAAGGTAGAAGTCGCCTAGTAAGCTGAGGACTGTCGCCAGAGCAGAGCACTGTCGCCACAGATGAGAACTGAGTACCAAGGGATAGAGCGAGCTGAGGAGGAAGGTGTAGGAAGGAAGGAAGGAAAGAAGAATAGAGAAGGGAGGATATAGTACGGAAGGGGAAGAAGGGAGACGGAGACTATTCTCTAGGCGAAGGTCGATGAGGAAGAATGGGTGAGTGAAGATAGTAACGACGAAGGAAGAAAAGAGAAAGAAATGAAGGAAGGAGGGTCGCCTAAGCTCTAGAGTGTCTCCCAAGCCCAAGAGATCACACAGGGTTAGTGACGTACATACTACGAGGGCGAGTGTCGGTGAGGATGGGTGAGGGTGACTGTGGGTAGGTAAGAGTGGATGAGGATGAGGAAGGGTCGGTAAGGATGGACGATGGTGGGCGAGGGTCAATGAGGATAGGTGAGGGTTGGTGAGTGTAGGTAAGGGTAGGCGAGGGTCGATGAGGACTCGGCGATGATGGAAGACCACGATGGGTGAGGATGTAAGAGAGGATAAGCGAGAAAGGGGACGAAGAACATGAGGGAAAGGTGGAAGGACCGAGCCAATATATAGCAACTCGAGAACCACCATCCCAAAAAGGAAACGCACCTTATCGTAGCTGATAGTGATATGTACCTGATCATCGGGGAAGAGAAGATGAGGTCAGCAACGATGATGGCGACGATAGAGAGCAGGAGGGAGGGGGGCGCACCTGAGAGGGGAGTCGGTGAGGTCGACGTCGACGATGTTGACTATGGCGAAGAGGAGGGCAGGTCAGCAACGACGACGACGACAATGACGACGATGATAGAGAAGAGTAGGCGCACCTGAAGAGGGGGAGGGGGGGTCGATGATGTTGACGACGATGGCGAGGATGATGGCGACGACGACGACGCTGACGTGGCAAAGAGCGAAAGGCATCAGCGATGAGCGAAGGGAACAATGACGACTACGAGTATGGAGGGACTCACCAACACCAACATCGACGACCTCAACGTCGACAGCGGCGACGACAGCGAGCAAGCGACTGAGGAGGAGGGGAATGAGGAAGGCGAAAATGCGGGGGGGATGCCAGTGGTCGAAAGTCAACCAATGCATGCTCCCCAATTCCGTTCGAAGGGGCCCCTTATATACCCCTCTGAAGTCCGGAAAAATAAACCAGACACCGGAAATAAGAATCGGAAAAACGAAAAACGACGGGAACCCATGGAAACCACCACCAGCAGGTCGCCTCGAGGCAGGGCGCTATCGCATTCTGACGCTAAGCGAGTACTGGAGACTCAATGGAGTGTCCCAAAGCGGTAATAATTAGGAAAAAGAAGCGCACGGGTCCACTTGCGTAAGCGTGTGTCCGGGAAAGAAGTGTGATTTTATGACTTGGGCCGGAAAATGGAAGCTTCGCGATCAATCGATAAGAAAGAAAATGCCGCTGCGGAATGCGATCCGCGTTGCGTCTGGTGGAGCACAGGAATTAAAGCGAGGATAAGGCAGGCGGGCTCAAGAGAGCGTCCCAAATGGGAAGACAAAGGGTTCCCGGCTTGAGTTACGCGGCTCGCACTCAGAGCCGCTCGCTCACCCGCCTCCGCCATGTTCTTTCAGCCTGTCGCACGTCAAGTAGAGTGCTGCCACAGACATGTAACGGAATGGCGTAGAAAATTATTCAAGGGGACGTGCAGCACGCATAGGGGAGCGTCCAGAGGAAAGTTCAACTTGAACGTTTCGTGATCGGGGAACGTCGGATATCGGACACCGGATCGATGGATCTGCCGCAGCGTCGCGTGGAAAGCATGTGCGCCGCGTTGCGTTGCTATGTGGCGTCACGGTTCGGCGGCGTAACGGTGTGGCACGCCTTGGAACGTCTCGTCTTGTTGAGGACTCAGACTCAGAAAAAGAAAAAGAAGGGAGGGCATGGATAAGTGCATTTACGAATTCCTGATATAGTTTTTTTCGCATTGGTCTTTGAGGCCTCAAGAATCAAGATTAGTGGCGAGAACGAAACAGCATTGTTGCCCCTAAACATCGAGCGACTTGAAGTACACTACATTTCGTACACATATATTCTATTCTACGGCTCGAGAGGAATTATACATATTCTCTTAGTTCCATATCTGTTATATCTAACTGCCAGCAACGGCAGAATCGAGATAATGCACCTCTGAGCACGCCCTCAGTCGAGCGGCAGCCTGCTCAGGAGTAAGGTCCCTTTGAGCCTCTGCCATAAGCTCAAACCTACAGTAACAGCCAATCTCAGAATCAGCATCGCATCATCCTTGATAGTCAAGCAAGAGAGGTGCACTTACCCAACCAAGAACTTCCTGACGCTCGCGCTCCTCAATAACGGAGGGAAGAAGTGGAGGTGCAGATGCGCCACATTCTCTTCGTCTTGTTCCGGAGCCGTCTCGACCCCATCCTTTGCGGGAACAGGTCGTTGATGGATGCCCATTGAGTAAGCAAAGGAACAAGAGAAGAGATTGTCGTAGCGCTTGGTGATAGCGGAGAGGATGGAGGCGAAGGAGGATTTCTCGGACGAGCTGAGATGTGTGAGGGAGGGGATGTGGCGCTTGTATGGTAGGACTACGAGGCCATCAGTTTTGAGCATGAGTTTCGAGGAAAGGAAGATAGCAGCGTGCGTACGCATGATTTCGAAAGGCCAAGTTGCCCACCACGGGACCAATGCCACCCAATCCTCGTTCTTCACCACAACTCTTCCCTCATCCTGCTCAGCCCCTACCTCGAAGTGCGCGTACTCGCACAACATGCACGGACGTCCTTTCGGCCCGCGTGGCGCATCAGAGGGTGGGATATCCGAGTTGAGGGAATATTTAGTGAGTGAACTAAGTTCGAGGGAGGGGATGTGGGGGATCTCTGTCAGGGACCATGCCTGTCCGTGTGGATGAGGATTCGAGCATCCCATCATGGAGCCTTTGTTCTGCAGGGTGTGTATTGATACAGACATGCGAAGAACATACGAAAGTCTAGACATACCTCGAATATTTGCACGTATTTGATCTCCTCCTGATCACCTCTCTTCTTATAGACCGCAATCCACTCGTCAATGATCCTCAGAATATCCTCCTTGGCCAGCCTGGCCAGCGTCAAATCATGACGAGGATGAAATATGATAACATCGCACGCCCCATTCACCGGTTCGGTCGTCAGCAACGGGTGTGGTGCCACAGGGGCGAGTGGTCCCGGAGGAGGGAGTACAGCGGCATAGTCGTTGACGAAGGACATTGTGGCATCATAGACGTCATTCTTCTGTCCTCCAGCACGCTCGTTACCTGGGCATAGATAGCAGGCCGGGTCATATTGGGGGAGGGAAACTGCTTGAGGCGGTTCCGTTTGACCCAGCCAGGGACGCTTTGTACGATGCGGGGAAACGAGGATGTGCTCGTTTGTGAGGGGATTGACTGTGAATAATGTCAGTGCCGTCCGCATTGACAGAAAAAAGGAACGTACAGCGGCGATGAGGGTGGGTCGAGGGGTCGAACTGCTCTGCCATCGCTGTGTGAAAAAGGGAGGGGTTTCCAGATTTAATCGAGGCTACATCGTCATATATAGTGAAGCTGCTGAGCTCGAGCACATGCGTCTTTCCTCCGACGAGTCCGCTCTCGGCGTCGACGCCACACTCGTCCACAAGCCTCCTCCGCTTCCCGGCCCGGTCGGTTATTCATCGTTCCTGTCCCCTTCAACTTCAAGTTGCCACTTGCCACATCCAAGAACTATGTCTGCTCCCGAATCCGCCCCAAAACGCCGCAGAATTCAGCGCTCGCCCTCGCCAGAGTATAAGCTTGACGACGTCGAAGACTACGAACCATATATCCCAGTAGCTCAGAGGAAGCAAGCCAAGCTTGCGAAGCTCAATTCATGGGGTCCGAACGCTGACAAGGAGAAGGCTCGCCGGCTTCAGCAGGAGAAGGAGGAGCGGGAGGACGAAGAAGCTGAAGAGGAGCGTCGAAAGGAGCGGGCGAGGAAAGAGAGAACTCTGCTAATGGAGGCGCAAGAGGTTCATTCTAAGAAGGCTCTTGAAGGTCCGTGTCATTCATAGTCCGTGCTGTGATCTCCTTCCTGACGCGGCCCTCAGATGCTCAGAAGACCGAGTTGGAGAAGCGAGACGAAGAAGAGGCCCAAATTCTGGCTGCTATTGCCAGTCGAAAGAAGCTTGCCTCCGACCTGGAGCTTGCTCAAGGTGTGCAATACACTGAGCCTCTAAAGACTTCGTATGCTCGTCTCTTTCTCCGACGCGTCGCTACTCTCATATATCATTCTCTAGATGGAGACCCCCACATTATATTCGCAATAGGTCTGACGAGGAGCAAGCCAAAATCCGCGAAAAGCATCAAATTATTGTCGAGGGGCAAGACATCCCACCACCAATACCCTCTTTCGCCGTATGCTCCACGCTCGCTCTAAATTCTACTCCATAATAATTATATTTGACCCATAGGACATGAAACTTCCTGAACCTCTCCTCAAATTCCTCAAGTCAAAGCGTATCACTACCCCTACACCAATTCAAATCCAGGGTCTTCCTGTGGCGTAAGTCTCCCTCTTGACTACCTTCCTATGTACCAGTCGCTTCTCTAACTCCTCTATCTCATAGCTTCTCTGGTCGCGACATGATAGGCATTGCATTTACGGGCTCTGGCAAAACCCTTGCATTCTGCATTCCCATCATCATGCTCGCTCTCGAGGAAGAATCTAAACTCGCTTTCGTCCGCGGTGAAGGCCCAGTCGGTGTCATCCTCTGTCCCTCGCGTGAACTCGCCTCACAAACGTACGAGAATATTGTTCAATGGACAGAAGCACTTTCGTCCACAGGTCAATACCCGCGCCTCAATACCCTACTGTGTATGGGCGGAATCAGCATGGGCGAGCAGAGTCATGTGCTGAATAAGGGACTACATATCGTTGTGGCCACTCCAGGACGGTTGATCGACATGCTTGAGAAGAAGAAGTTCAATTTTGATAGTTGCAAGTATATGTGCATGGACGAGGCAGACAGGATGATTGACCTGGGTTTCGAGGAGGACGTTCGGAACATCATGAGTTTCTTCAAGGTGAGTCTACATTGGATGTGGTCCTCCTGGCGACATCAAGCCACTGACATGCTGTGTTTATATTGATTCCAGCGTCAACGTCAAACTCTCCTGTTCTCGGCTACCATGCCTCGAAAAATCCAAGACTTCGCCCAACAATCACTCATCAAACCCATTCTTGTCAACGTTGGTCGTGCCGGTGCTGCCAACTTGGACGTTCTGCAAGTGGTCGAATACGTCAAGCAGGAGGCAAAGATGGTCTACCTCCTAGAATGTCTGCAGAAGACTGCTCCTCCGGCTATCATTTTCAGTGAGAATAAGAACGAGGTTGATGGTGAGACGCGTCCCTACAACGGAAGTGATCAGCGAGGCTAATCCGTCCCCAATCTTAGACATTCAAGAGTATCTTCTTCTCAAAGGTGTCGAAGCTGTAGCCATTCACGGATCCAAATGTACGTCTCAAATTACCACTCATCTCTCCCTTCGTCCCTTGCTTGGCCAATTATCCCTTGCTTCACAACTGACTTCCCCTCGCAGCCCAAGAAGAACGTCAATACGCCATCAAATCCTTCAAATCCGGCGCCAAGGATGTCATGGTTGCATCCGGTGTTGCGTCTAAAGGTCTTGACTTCAACGATATCCAACACGTCATCATCTTCTCCATGCCCAAAGAAATCGAAGATTATGTGCATCAGATCGGCCGTACGGGGCGTAGTGGCAAGACCGGTATCGCGACGACATTCGTGAACATGAACACACCAGAACAGACCCTCTTAGATCTCAAGTATCTGTTGATGGAGGCTGGCCAGAAGTACGTTCCATCCCGTCCTTCGTGGCCGACGGTCAGACTGATCGCGCTTCTCTCAGGGTTCCTCCCTTCTTGCAAACTATCGAAGATCCGCGCGCAGCACAGGGCGGCGCCCTCAAGGGATGTCCGGTCTGTGGTGGTCTCGGACACGGTATCTCGAATTGTCCAAAGCTGGAAGATACACAGCGGCGGACGATGGCTGCTCATCGTTCGTCAGAGGGTGGAGGTGGATATTGATTACTTTATTGGTTCGGGGTCCTTTCCATCGCCACATTTTGTATTTTTATGTGCTTGTACCATCTCCTGCTCCTTATTTGTGGCAGTATTCTGTCTTGACCATTTCAAGAGTCATCCACTCCTCTTTACAGATCATACAATGATCTCCACGATGGTGAATGTTTCTACAAGAATATTGAGCAATATATTACATGCGGAGCAATAAGGTTTGACGTGGGTCAATATCGATGGCGGAACAGTTGCTTGAGTCGAATTAGAAGGTGGGCTGTGAGATAGTAAAAGGTACAAAGCGAGATCCAAACATACAAGAAACGAGCAAGAAAGAGGGGGAATATAGTATAAACAGTGAGCCAGTCGTATAACTAGTGATGATAATCATAGCGCTTGTGCATCTCGGCGGGACGGAAGACAGGCTTTTGCTTGCCCTTCCCACTACTGCTGGAAAAAAGGATGGGTATCGAGATGTCAGCCAATGCAGATGAAACGGGTCAAGGAACCAGAAAAGCACCCATTGTAACATCCAGAAATTGGACCGACTCGTGGTAGGACAGTACCACTCACCTCCCTTGAGCCGGAGTTCGCTTGATAAAGATGTCGAGCATTTGTGACTTGTATTTTTTCCATAACCGACTGACTTGTGCGTCTGATAGATCCGCCGCAATGTCTAAGCAGTCGTCGAAAGCTGTCATATCTGGAGAAGATAGTAAATGTCTGTGAAAACTGGTCGAGGATACTATATACCTCTGGGTTGCATCAGACTGAGCGTTTGAAGTGCTTCATCGCTCAAGTATGTGTCGATATCAGCGATCCCTTCCTCGTCTGCGACCTATGAGGCACGCCGGTTAATGCGGACTACAACTGTGCACAAGGCAAAGCAAAGGCGCACCATATCTCGGAAAGCTATCAGCTCCTCATAACAACCTTCGATAGGCTCCCCCGAGGGTGATGCAGCGGTTTGTTGCGTTTCTGCAACGGTAGAGGCCTGAGATTCTGGCGCCTTCTCGCGAGCACGAGTCGAACGAGCAGGTGGCCAGGTCTTCGGTGCCACAACCGGTTCCTCGTCCATCGGAACGAAATCTTGGTCGTGCCCATCATCATCGACATAGAGCGGCATAGGCTCTTCGATGGGATCTTCCGGAAGGTCTGCGTGGGGCCCCTTTCGTTTACCACGACTTGTAGCGGTGGCCGCTCTTGCCGGTTTCGGAGCCTTCGCGCGGGCTTGGGGGACTCGGAATTTCATGCTCAACTTTTGCCGCGTGTCTATGAACTCTTGCCATTTATCACCGAGCTGAAAAACGGGTAAATCATCAGCTAGCTGAGATGAATCAATGGGATATCACAGGACCTACCTGAGAATACTGGTTTGAGAAATTGCTCGAGTTGGTCTCCGAGACTTGCATGAATACGCTCAAGCTGACCAGATGGTCGTACAACCGCTCTGCCCGATTTAACTCCACATCTTTCCCTACACCAAACAACCTCAACCTCGTAAGATTCCCGTCTTTGCTCTTGCCTCGGAAGGCATCGATAACCATCTTGCGAGTGATTTTGAGCCTGGCTTGTTTCGCCTCCTTCACCAAGTGGATCAAGTTGACGGCATGGGGGGTCATGTCCTCCTCCACGAACCCTTCTGGGTTGGCGCAATTATCGCAAGTCCCGTGGCACTCCGCTGGATCGAATGGTTCAGCGAAATGTTGAAGAATCTGCGCTCGGCGACAATCGGCTTCGTTGAGTGAAAATTGGATGACCTGTCCGACTTCGGCCATTTGACGGTCCTTGTCCTCCTGCTTCAGCTCTTCGTTCTCCCGGATACGTTTGAAGAGGATTTGGCAATCCTTCCAAGAGTAAACTACGGGAATTCGTCAGCAGACGATGACTCAAGAGTTTTCTCCAGGACGTACAGAGCAGACAATCGGCTTTCTCCCCGTCACGTCCTGCGCGACCAGTCTCTTGATAGTAACTTAAAGAACTATTTAGTGGATGGGCCACCAAAACGATGTTCGGAAGCTTACCCAATGAGCGACGATGGAAGATCGTAGTGGATCACGAATCGGACTGGTGATTACACGAGATGAATATTGGACTGCTGAGGATGGACATGAAACGTACCATTTGCCTTATTGATACCCATGCCAAAGGCGATCTATTATCGCAGAAGTCAGGCTGGTATATGTCATATGCTGTACCATCATACTCACAGTCGCGACAATGATATCCGAAAAACCGTCCTTCCAATCTTGCAAGGTTTTCTGTTTGTCCGCATCGACCATCTTCGCATGAAAGTGCCTCGCCTTCAGGCCCATACCCCTCAGGTCCTTCGCTACCCTCTCACATGTATCTCGGCCTGTGCAGTATATCACGCCAGCCTTTCCGGGGTGGGTATTCTTGATGTAATCTGCAATTGTTCTGAAAAGGCTCCCACCGGGCTTCTTGCGGACGGAATAATGGAGATTGGGACGATTGAACGACTGTGTGAGGAATAGATGGCCTGGGCGTAATTGAAGGCCTTCGATTATGTGTGCTTGTACCTCTGGAGTGGCCGAAGCGGTCAACGCCATGATGGGAACATCGGGGAAGTCATTTCGGAGAGTGCGCAGGTGTTGATACTGAAGAATGTAGATGAGTACCCGAATTCGAGCCAGAGGCCGAGTGTGGAAAATATTGTCGGAGGACTGAAGAAACACATACCGAATCACGAAAATCGCGGCCCCAAGTACTGATGAGGTGCGCCTCGTCAACAACGAATCTTGCCAGATCACCCTGCTCATTACACTTCAACAACGTTTCCTTCATATCATCACTCTGTTTCAACCTCTCCGGCGTAACATACACAATCTCCGGCCTCTGCCCAAATGCTTTCACCCGGTTGCGCACCCTTGCACGTTCCGTATTGCTCTGTTCAGATGTAAACAGTTCAACATCGACGCCTCTCTCCTGCAGCTCCTTAACTTGATCGTGCATAAGAGCGATGAGAGGCGAAATGACCACGGTGACGCCTTTCGTCTTGCCAGCCTTGCAGACAGCGGGGACTTGATAGCAGAGAGATTTCCCGCCTCCGGTCGGCATAAGAATAAGGACGTCACGTCCTTCCAATGTACCGAGGATAGCTTCGGCTTGGTTGACACGAAAGCTCGGCAGTCCAAACGTGTCCTTCAGGACTCGTTTCGCTTCTGCATAATATGGATTCTTCGAATGGTCCACGATGAATGTGGTTGACGAAGCAGCCGCAAGGGGCCCACGGACTTTCGTCGTCGAAGACGTGGCAGTGGCTGCTGCCGTCGCAGCAGCACCTTGGGTCTCGATCTCCAGGATCTCATCGTCGGCGTCATCGAAATTGTGCCAATACTCAGCATCGCTTTCCGGGGCCTCATGATCGTCTGGTCCATCCTCGCCTTCATTCACAGCCGTTGAAGAAGTCTCTCCTTCGTCGGCAGCAGCGAACTTCTGTACTGGTGGCCGAGGGTGATAATCGTGGTCATCGGCGGGATCATCCAAGAGATGCGATCGTATCCGTGGGCTCTGGATCGGCGTCGTCGGCGTCGGAGGAGCAACGGCAAATGTAGTGGTTGATGGGAGACTGTCGCGAGTTTTGATGATAGCAAGAATCTCTTGTTTCCGATTTTCGATCATTTGACTGCATAGACTATGAACATCATAATTTCATGGATTGAGAGAATAGACACTTACATCATCTGGTCTGAAAGATACACGTCGAAAGGCTCCCCGCTCATCTGGCACTTGAATTTCTCCCGCTCCAATGAATCTACACGGTCATGATGAGCCATGCACAGTACTCGAAGATTCTCCGTCGGCATCTAGTCCATAAAGCAGCCTTGAATAAAGATTCGGGTGTAGTATCAGACAGGTGCTCACCGAATGCAAAGCCGCAGAGCTGGACGACGCAGGCGTGGGAATGTGCCCGTTGTCCTTCAAACGCGATGGTCCCGCCTGTGATGTTGGCTTTGATGTGTCCAATGGGTTACTTGAATGCCAAGTCTGCGAAGACGATGCATCTGGGTGATTCGTGGCAGACGATGTCGGCCCCCCTGACCTAGCCTTCAGCACCCCTGCGAAAAGATTATCCTTTGAACCCCCTTTTATCGAATGACTGGCCACTTTTTGTCGCTTAGATGGAGGAGAGGTGGGTCCATTACTAATCGTAAGACGTTTGGAAGCGCGATTTCGAGTGGGAGAGGGCGACGCAGATGAGAATGAAAGATCGATGCAGTCGTCGTCTGCAGGACCTTCGATAACTTCGATGCTGGGTGCGGCTTTCACAGGCACAGTCTTTGGAAGAGCGGGCTTTGCACGGCCGAATCCTGGGGTAGAGAAGGCAGGAAGGTTGGAAGGTTTACGAGCTGAATTTGTTTCGAGGCGATGGTGAGCATGAGATTCAAAGCAGAGGTGGATCGCACGCACTCAGTACCGTAGGTGTAGGTGGTACAACAGCATCACTCTTCGCCGGTTTGAACTTGAAATTCTGTCGAATGATAAGTGCATAACTACAGGATATACACCGCATGACACACCTTTGCCGTCGCATTGGCAGGGGTGGTAGACTGTGCGCGTTGGGTAGAGTTGGACGCGGTGGGCTTCTCGACGAGCCGACTACGCAAAGCGTCCAGATTATTTCTTGGCTGGCTCATCGCCTCTGCCGTTTATAGTGATGAAGCCGTGTACGACGACGACGACGGTGGGGGAGTGGTCGCAACGCTGGCGCGGTGGAGGCAAAGACAACTTTGTCCGCGTCGCGTTGATGGAACGTGACCGTTTACGAAAGTCCCAGGCTCGGCAATGACCGCGCTGTCCGTTCTTTCATCGGCTGGATACTTTCGAACTAACATACACATTCTTTGAAACGGTTCTATGCGTCCCACGTATGGTTCGCCGAGACGCATTATTATAGCCTAAATATTTGGGTTATGGGATGCATCGAAAGTCTACAAATGCCTCAGGCTCAGGCCGAACTTGTGCGACATCATAAAATGTCACGGTCGAACTGTGAGCTTGCACACCGGTCGTCGAGTCGTCCTTCACGATGGTAAATTGCGCTAAATTCTTCGAAAAATCTGTCTTCGTGTCACAATGAAGGCATATGTTTCAGTTTTTTCGAGTTCAGCTACTCAATGTAACTTGAACTCTCGACATCATATTATCACTCGTCAGCACTCTGAGGAAATCCAGATAACTCGCTTACCATGAGTGTGTACCCCTTGCAGTCTTGGAATAAACGAGCAGCACAGTGATATACACGCTACACTGCGAGCTTCGAGCGAGCGACGCTTGACAATGGAGACATGGCTCGTCACTAAGCGGCGGGTGAATTCGACTGTCAGACTATTCGGAGACCTTGACCATTGATTCAATTTTAGTGGGGTCGTCCACAGCAAGTATGAAAGTAGGAATGGGGTGTAGGATGTAAGCCTGAATAATTCGCTGTCTAGTATGTGCGTAGTGCGAACAAAATCGGAGTGACGGAGTTTGGACACGAGCGGAGTAAGAACGAGCGGACTTGCTCAGAATGGATATCCCAGTCAAATTGCTTCCGTTTCTCCTGTCTCCGAGACTGGAAACCCCTATCCTTCCCTAACCGTACTCGTCCTCGTGCTCATATAGCGTTCAACTGCCAACTCTTCGTTCGTCCCGCTCATCTCGCTGACGACGGAATTATGTCTGCTTTCACACAACGGCATGCTCCTTGACGCCGTCGCAAAGGATACAAGCACGCATACGTATACCATCGCAGTGGCCCAGGAGCTGGTGGAGTCTGATTTAGCTTGGATTGGGCTGTGGATTGGGCAAGATGTGAAGGAAGACATACAGTCCGGGGAGATGAAAACGCTGGTAGGTCAACTCAGATATCGCGATGCTTATATGTGCCGGGGTCCAAGAATCGGGTCATTCTGCCACTACCCTGCCGAACTTGTTACTTGATATACCCCCACCGCAAGCGTCACGCCAAATGTATCTTCTGATCGTTCTCGGTCCTCTGGTGCCCAGATACTCAGAGCAACTCGCTCTACATAGAGATGAGGAGCTATGAGTGGCTATGAGTGGCTGATTTGGACAACAGACGAGAAAGGGCAGTTTCTGGCCAATCGTTGGAATGGCTATCACGTCGCAGCTGCTTCCTCCATCCGACCCTAGGGACATCGCGCCACCCCTGTAGGGTGGCTAGAGACCTTATTGCAAAACCATGTGTCGTGCCATAGCGCATGGTATCGGTGCTGCAGTGAACGGCCTACGTACGCTTCGATGAGTAGCATCACTTGTTGGTACAAAGAGAAGGGCGACTGACCACGCCAGTTTGGCCGTACACACTCCTTTCACACCCCAAAATCATTTCGGGGCAATTTGCGGGTGTGTCACGGCACCGTTTTTGCGGGATGGATGTTGCCCGAAGCACACGGACAGTCGCTCCATCGACGCTCATGACGTTTGTCTCCATCGTCCGTAGTAGACATCTAGATAAAATGCCACAAAAGTGCCCGGAGGGTGATTAGACCCTGACAAAACCGTGGTCTGTGCCCAGTTCCAGGTTATCTGTCACAGTGGAGGGACCATAGATGAATATCTCGGTGTACAGTGGCTTCAAGCACTGTACCTGTCCCAACCATGTGGACCCTTTGGTAGCTTCTCAGCTCAATGAAGCCGAGAGTTCTAGAATGTCTGCTATGGCAGAATGCCATTCATTGTTATACAGTGGACGGCGTTGAACAAATGACCTCGCGTGGTACGCCACACAATCTGCGACGAGGCAATGCAGCTCCTCGAAGAATTTTACATCCCTGGATCGTGTACCAACTCAGGCATGCATATAGCCGTTGTTCATCTGTGACATTACAGTTGTCGCGAAGAGGGTGATCCAACCGACCATGTGAAGGTGCTAGCGCACCACGAAGACCGTGGTCCTACTGCCAGTGGTATGCAACATACGGTCCTCTTTCTTCTTGGCTGAGAGTCCTCGAGCAGTCAGAACATAAGACGCACCTTGACGGTCATGACAATCCTCCAAGCAACGCTCGTAGTGCTTTTGCCCTCCTTCTTTCGCATCCAAAGTAGCCCGTACAATTCTACAAAGTCGAATGATTACTGTAACAATAACCCTGGGGCAGAACGTCACATCACAGAGCCTTTTGTCTCTGTCGAGTGGAACGGGGTGACGAGTTATGGTTTGAGCCGCAATCGAGTCCATGGGGAGGCACTCACCGGGCCATAGGTTACGATACATATACTCCTGACAATCGAATTCTTCTCCTCTACCTCCTGGCCGAATTCGCGGCCTAGTGTGTTCCATTTGGTCCGTTGTTAACTGAAGCTGACGGATCGCCCCGTTCCTGCGTGGATTTAGTCCATCGTTGACTGAAGCTAACGGCTCGCCCAAGGTGTTCCTGCGTGGCCGACATTTGCTCCCGATCGTGAAGGCTTGAAGAAGTCGCCAGCAAGAACGAGACAGGTTTCTCAACGAGTCAAAACGGTAGCAGTGTGCGTACGAAGAACGGTCCTCTCCAGTGATGTGGTGGTTGAAATGCGACATTTACGTCCTTCCATGACCTTACGCCACGAACTACCGATGCCAGGTCGGGTAAGCACGCTGTAAAGACGCACTCTTGGTCTCAAGCTTCTGCTCTGACGCCTGCCCACATTGCTGACTCCGGAAAGTCCGGTGAGGTTTCTTGTCACTTTTGTTTTGCGAAATGTCTAACTTTCTTTCCCTGTTGAAGGATACTTAGTCTGGGTCACCGCCTGCACAGTCTAAGCACAGTTACAACAACGACGCCACCCGAACACGAACCAAGGAGGACCCTGGCAAGGCGGCTCGTTGCGCCACGAACCGGTCCTTCGTTTCTTGCGGCCGAACCCTAGCGGAAGTTCAACCTCAAACCGACTTTTAACGTTCAACGACGTCGTCCATGTTCCTCCGAGATGACTCGACTAGTCTTGCTCGCTGAGTCCCAGCCTTGCATCCCGTTCAGCGCTCTCCCGGCTGGATAGCTGATGTCTCTAATCGTCCATTGCACCTCATCAGCTGAATGACTTCAAAGATAGTCTTTGCGCCTAGTGTGTTTGCGTCTTTGACGGACACACTAAAGCCTATTTGCACCAGAAATTACTGCTTTGCTTCTGCGGATGCATGGGAAGTACGTCTCTATCATAGCTAATAAGCAGTAATAAGCCTCATATAGACTCGAAACTCCCGTGACGCTTCGACTACAAACAATACGGAAAGTTCGATCCGTTGTGTCAAGGCCGGATGGTTATGACTGTGCGGTCCTGGCACTCGCCACACAAACCCAAACTCTGTTCCGTGCTCAGGTGCGTAGAAGAGGAGATCACACGGCTCGTGAGTCGCCCATATCTCTACTCTATCAATCAGTTGGGCCATAACACCTCAACGGAACATGCTGTGGCGCAGAGAAAAGGATGGTGTCAAGACTCCAGACATAGGCATAGGTAATTTTACGAATTGCCAAACCTTCCACCTCGGTGGCTCAGAGCTCACTATGATTGTCGGCAGACTAGGAATTGCCGACTGTACGAACGTGCTACATCAGGGTGTTATACATAGACCACCAGAGTTAGTAGCCTATAGGCTAACAATAATCATCTACAATATATGGCACTATGATTGGGGAACTTTTCTCTCTATCGGCCCTCTATACCCCAGTGGGTGCCGTCCTGCGTCTCCAAGATTTCGATTCCATGGCCTGCTTCTTTGTGGACTGTATACTCAAATATAGAACACTTACCGTCCCTCGTTCACGTAGACGTCAAAATCGAGTAACAATGGCCAAAAACTCTCACTCGTTCGGATCGCCGGCGCCCTTGAACGTTGTCCATGCTCTTCAACCTCCATCAGTCGTCATTACACGTCATCTCACATCCGTCTTGGGCGTACCGCTGGGCTCGAAACCTTCTCAAGTACTTACGGCGTTGATTCATCTCCGTCACTCCGCCACAGGGCCCGCGGCAACACGACGACATTCCCCGCGAGGTCGGAGTCAAATTTTGAGTTTCAATGTGTTCATAGACGCATTGCCCTTGCGTAAAGCGCGTTTACGGTAAATAGGTGAGATATATCCCCGTTTCGCATCAGCCCTTCTTGTTTCGTCATTACCTCAAGCTCATCAGAATCTGCAGTTTTCTTTGCAGGAAGCGCCGACCGCCATGGTTCTTCTTTGACCCATCCATCGATGGAGCAAACACTGGCCATAGGCACGATGTCCCAGGAACCTTCATGCATTCCAGGAGCTACGCTTCATTTCTTCGACGGGTATTATCTGCTCAGCCTTCCACGAGTGGCTCTGCTTTAGAACTCCAAGCTCAGCCTTCAACTGTAACGTTCGTGATCTTAACATGTACGTCTAGCGGCCGTCGTCATTTCTCACATACAGGCGCACACTTTCTTATCTCACCTTCCACACATCGAATCTCTCACGGCTCTGCCGAAACATCAGCTGGCTGGCCATCCGTCTCATGCGTCTTGCTCCTCATTCCTACATAACAGCCCGTGTTTTCGGCTGACACAGCGGAATCAGAGAAGAAAGCATCCCGAAAGCATCCTTCCCTGCAATCTCGAAGAAACCCCCAGTGCCATCATGCAGAGCCGCAGACACATAGTTCAATCGCGACATTCGCTCGCTACTCCTTCGCTTAGGGGCCGTCGAGCTAAGTATACACCGAAGGTGTGGTAAAGTGGCGCCTGCCGTACAGGAGTATAATCGGAAGCTTATTCTACCAACTTCAGTAGATCCGCGCGTTGGGACGTACATCCATTCCGAGTTTTTGGGAACACCCATGCATCCAGCACAAGGACACTCATTCCGAATGCAACCACGTTCATCACGGCCCTGGCAGGCGCCCACTCCAAGTTAATGTCCGGCCCAACCATACATCATAGCAATCCTCCTTGAACTTTGTCCGGACGGGATGAAGTACCTATCGATGCGATACCCCGAATGTCATGAAATCGACAGTGGCACCATTCCTCACGTCCAGCGGTCCCACCATCAACTCGCATGTTAGAAAGACCCCGCTTAAGGGGCTTCCGAACATAACACATGTCGCGCTAGTACCAACCCTGTAACAAAAATCCAGTTTATCCACCACCGCGCGCACATCCTCTCACAAAGCCCGTATTTTTCCAGTATCTATCTTCCATTCACTGCTAGTTTTTCCGTCGTGCCATCAATCGTATCGGAATCATCTCCACCCCGCCCGGCCGCACAATATGACCGAAACAATCTCCTTCCTACCACGGTCCTCGAGCCTGACTGGCTGACTGACTGGCAGCCCCGTTCCAATCCAATCTCGTTCCGTCCTCACGCTCACTATCCGGAGTTCTATACTCACTAAATGCCGCAAAAAGCACACGGAGGCTGGTTTGCCGAAAGACTCAATCATGCCATGATACTACCACACGGGTTTGTACCTCATCTCATCACACTCACTTGCATATTCCCGCACAGACGCCCTTTCTTGCCCCTCACAGTATATTTACCGATAGATCACTCATATCACCCACAGTTCGATGAGGTATGTCGAAGGGGCAGGCACTTCAAGTTGTGACGGATGCGTGCGTGCGCACTCGCCCCGGACGGTAAGTATACTTTTGCGATACTTATAACTTGAATGCGCTCCAGGCACTCGCCGTTCATAAATAAGTAAACAGAGTTCAAGAAGCAAGAACCACGGTCCCCCATTCACGCCCTCGTTTCCGTCGTGCATCGATGGAGCAATACATAGCATCTCAACCGACCGTCTATTCACTGGGGCAGGCGTCCCCTCTGCCCCTCGGAGGCTTCCTCCTCCCCAGTCGGTTACTATACTTAGACGCCCTTCACAGCACGACGACGACGACAAGATCCCTCCTCTCTTCGTCGATTTCCGCTCTCGCTTCGACTTCTTCGTCCTCCCACTTCGTACCCTGCATGTCCTATGCGTGCATACACTGTGTCCTGTATGATACTTACCACACCGCGGCAAATATCACCACTTACTTAACCATGATCGACGAACAGATCTCAATCACACCCGTGTAAATCCATATCCAAAAAGCCTACCCCAGTGCAAGTTCTCCTCTTCTCCTCGGAGCGTGCCTCGGATCCTTGCCTTCCTTCCTTCCTTGCCTTCCTTTCTTCCTTCCTTCCGAGGCATACATACACTCCATACCTTCCGCAGATATTTATGCACACACCACCTCGCAGATATTTATGCAGCTAGATCGACATCCAGAAGCACCCGGTTCTGTCGCGGATTGCACCGTTCGATGTTCATCCTGTATTTCCCTCGAGCTCTCCATCCATCATCCTTCCATCGCTGCATTCCGAGGAGATACTTGTCCATGGATGTGTTATGTTGCTGCTTGCGAATGCCCCGAGTGTACCAGTAAGAATTACACCGCGGAGAACATCGAAGGCAGCAGAGTACGCCAATGAACGGCGTACTCGACGACCAACGCGTAGATTGCATCACCGCGAGGCGTTATAACAACTAGTCAACTACCCAATGTCAACGTCAAACATCCACTTCACCGCGCCAACACAGACAACCACTACCAATAACCCCGAACAACTGACCACCCCGAACGACGACCGACCGACCAGACACCACACAACACCATGCACGAGCCACAGACACAGACACAGACGATATCAAGCAAGCAAAGGAAGTAGATGCCACCAAAAAAACCCGGCACATCCACCGAAATTTAAACTCAAAATTCGTATGTTCAACTGCGAACGAAGGGGAGAATCCGTATATAGAGCGAGACTACAGACACAAACACAAAGCTAACAAGAACTCGAAACAAGAAACAAGAAACAAGAAAAGGTGTTGAAGGCAAAGACGAGGCAGACGAGGCAGGCATGGAGCAGACACTCGCAAGAAGTCAGATATATATATATGTATGTATCAAGGAGTACACGAACGCAAGAGATGACACTTTCGTAAACATCGTAACACAGAACACAGAACACGAACACGAACGCAAGAGACGAGACACGAGAGGCAGAGGCAGATGATAGGGTTGTGATGTACAGCCAGGAGCAGCATTCAAGAAAGAGATGTACAGCGAACGAAAGAAGCAGAGCCAATAGATAGACAGACGGATCGTATATTCACTTACCTACATCGCGATGCACGTATCCCCGAGCTTCTCCCTCAAACGGTCTCACCCTCCTCCGCACCGTGGCCATGTCCTCCGTGCTGCATCTGTCCGCGCTCAACGACACCGTTCATGGCCCCATTCTGCACCTGGACGGGCACGGGCGACAGTTTCGCGGTGGTGACATGCGAGGGATAGATCGGGGAGTGAGTGTACGCATAAGGCGCGGGAGGGGCGTACTGCGGGACCTGGGTATATCCCTGTGGAGGGCCGTGTGCGTGGGTCTCTGAGCGGGGCTGCATCTGGGCGTGAGCGGGATGGGTGTAGTACGGCTGGCCGTAGTGCTGGGGATAAGGCGTAAAGACGGCGGGGTAGTACTGGGGCTGACCGTGCGCGTGAGCCTGGGGGAGAGCTTGCGCGTGGGTGTAAGCGGGATGCTGGGGGTGAGGGGCGGCATAGACGACGTGACCGGAGAGAGCATGGGGCGGATGAGGGGAGGGAGTGTTCGGGTCCACATTACCCTCAGCGTTGTTGTTGACATGCCCATTGACGTTCCCGTTCCCGTTCGGATTACCGTTGGCGTGAGCATGGTGGACGTGAGACATGTCCTGGGGCTGGCCGTGCGCGATCATGGTCGGGACAGGAGGGGTACCGTTGTGGTTGAGGACCTGAGCATAGGCCGGAGCCTGGGAGAGGGGGTGGCCCATGTGGTGGGGTATAGGGGCGAGAAAGTACTGCTGGTAGTACTGAGGTGGCGCCTGTGGTGCCACCTGGCCCGGTTTGTACTGCTGAGGGTACTGGGGATAGTAGGTGGTGTAGGGGACAGGGGCGATGTGGGAGTAAGGGGGCGGCATGGACGGCGGGTGGGTTGTGGGCCCCGGAGGAACGGGGAGGGGGGGCTCAGCCTCGACGACCTGTTCGTGGTCGCCGGCGGCGTCTAGAGATGTGTGTGAATGGCGGGCAAGGGAAGGGACAGGGGACGGCGACGTACGTTTTCCATCGCGCTTCTTGTAAGGACCCCTCTTGATTCCCTTCTTCCTCTCCTTCCTCTGGGAATCGACGCACTCCTCTGCGATGCCGTACTTGACGCATCGGAGGCAGGGTCTGGCGTCGTCGCACTTCTTGCAGGCCTTCTGGCAGTTGGTGCAGGCGTTCTTGACCTGGCGGCGTTTGGCGCGCATCTGGGGGAGGCCGGAGGAGAGGAGGGAGGTGCCGAAGGGGTACATGTGCATGGGCATGGAGGGATATATGGTCATGGAGGACTGGGGGCCGTCCATGTTTGGATTGAGCTGGTCGAGGGAGTCGTCGTCGCCCTCGTCGTCGTGGGCGTGGACGTCAGACATCGGTGTGGCTCCTTGTGTGCGGGCGTCTATTTCGCGGGCCCTTTGGGGGGCGTCGAGGGTGGCCAAGCGAGGGGCAGAGGACACGTGGCGTGGACGGTGCGTGGGCGGGACGTTGTGCTGTATACATGGGAGGGGAAGACGGGGACGGTATAAGTAGGAGCGGGGGAGGGCACTGGGTGGCGCAAGTGGCCGGGGAGAGTGGCGGAATGAAAAGCGTACCGGACTTGTCGCTGAGCTGGCGGAGAGCGAAGAGGGTCGTCGACCGCGGCGCTGCAATCTCGGACTGAATCCGGCCTCCTTATGTACACCAGCCCTCGCCCTGCCCCTGGCCCTCGTCTCCTTTGCCCATTCTTCCCCATCCTTCCGTACATACTTACACCTCCATATCTTTGACACACTCCTGACGTGCAGAGACAATCGCACAACGCTCGCTTTCTGACGTACTAACGAGTAACGACAAAGGAGACTTTCAAAGTGCTCTCCGTTGCCATCTCAATGCACTCCACCTCTTTGTTCTTTATGTTCATCCACCTTTTGTGCTCTTTATTATTCTGCTGTAAATCAAACAATGCAAATGTCTTTTCATTCCAAAGAGTGCCAATCGCAGTGGGCCACAACGAAAGCCACCCGCAAGAAGCCCGAACGGCGTCAACAGAGCCAAACAAGACGCGAACACGAGGCGCTCCCGCCAGCCCCGTCGCCAACAGCCAAGCTCGGCGAACACTCCCAACAAGTCGAGCTCGCCGTCGCGCTCGCCCACAACACAACTCCCTCTCGTCCCCTTCGTCCCATCGTATACTCTTCCTCTTATTATTTTCTTCTTTTTCTGGTTCGATTTCGCCCATCTGTCTTCTCGTCGGTCTCCCCTTCTTTTCCCGCTCGCCCCCATCGTCCTAGGTTTGTAAGGCGCCATGTCCGCCTCGCCGTCACCGTCGCCAGAGTTCTCGCCAGTCATCCACGACAAGACGTTCGCGAAGAGAAAGGACAGGCCGCCCGCTCTCGACATCCTCCCACCGCCAGCCAACAACAACAACGAACTCCACCACGATCTCTACACCGCCATCACCGAGCCAGACTTTCACCACCAAAACGTGTGTTTTTTTCTCATTGCTCCTTCATATACAATCGCTTATATCGAACAACAGCTCTCATCTCTCGGCGACAACGGCTCCCTGCCACCCCCACAAACCGAGACCAGCGTTCGCTCCCCCTCCGCAACGTCATCCATCGACCCTTACTACCTCTCCGTCCACTCCCCCTCCACATCTCCCATCCCCCCCGTCCCAGAGCTCAACTATGTCAGCAAGACGCCCGACATGCAGTCATCGCGCCCCGTCGAGCCGGCCACCCCAGTACGCGATCCTGCTTCGATTGATCGCAGGGGCCTCCACGGCCTCGGTGAGCTCGCCACCCCGCGCTGGACGACGCGCACAGAACGTGAACGCGAACGCGGCCGCGACGTCGATGCGTCCTTGCTCATGCAGCCCGAGCTCGATGGCGTGATCGAGGAGGGCGAATCGTTCGCGAATATGGACGACGCCGAGGACAGGGATGATAGGGATAGCCCCTGGACCATCGAGGCCGTCGATGGCGAAGAAGAGGCCGAAGAACGCGATGAGGTGCCGTACCCTATTTTACGCTTGTGTCTCAGTCAACTGATTTCCTTCCAGCACACGGAAGTAAAGCCCATTCCGCGTGCCAACCGCTCTAGACGTTCAGTCGCCGAGGAGAGTGGCGGTGAAGAGGTCGTTTACCCACGACAGCCCCTTTCCGCCACCGTCAAACCCTCGACCGCGCCACCTGTCCCATCGACCCCTGGCAGAGCGGCCTCGTATTCGGTCGGTTCCGCCCACACGACCTTCGTCTCGCCCCTCAGACCGGCCAAGAAACGCACCTCGGAAGAGTTCGACATCGACGCCAACGCCATCCTCAAGAAACACACCCGCACTCCTTCCGGTGGCGGCGAACGCTCCAAAGACAAGGACGAAAAGTCTTCCTCCACGAATCGCAAACACCGCAGCCTCGGGAACGGGCTCCCGAGCTCGACTCCGCCAAAGGAGAAGAGCAGCAAAGATCGTCGGAGGGAGAGCAATACGTCCACTTCCGGACTTCTCAAAAGTGAGAAGCAATCCCGCCACACCTCCGCTAGCTCTTCCTCCTCGAGCCACGGAGAGACGCACCACCCCCGTCGCGTCCACACCACTGACTTTTCCCACTTGCCTCCCTCCCCTTCATCCTCTTCCATCCAACAATTCCTCCGTCATGCAGGAAGCAGCGGCGCTCTGGGAGCCTCCGCCTCGGCCTCTCAATCACTCAAGGAGTCGCAGTCGCAGTCTCACCATTCGCCCAATGTAGCGCACTCGCTGCTCAGAGGGACTCAGGAAGGCTGGTCCGGTATGGACGATCAAGCGACCGCTGAAGCGCTCCGCAAACTCGACGGCCTCTCCGGTAAATCTGGCGCGCGCGTTCGTTCAAGCATCAGCAGCAGCGTCCGTCCCGGGAGCTCCAGTCGGCCCTCGACACCTGCCAAATCCGCGAGCGGTCAGTGGGAGGGTATCGGGTCCGAAGGTAGTGGGGGAGGGAAGCTCAGTCGTCGGGGCAGTGCACGTGACAGCGTCGTTTCCGCGAAGGACAAGGATCTCACCCCTAACGCCAGTCGTCAGCTTGGTCTGGGAATCTCCACGGGAGAATTTGGCGAGATTGCGGGGAGTGCAGTAGGCAGCAGCGATGAGGCGATGCCTGGGTCTCCTATACACGACAAGCCGCTGAAAAAATCGGCGACTACGACCGGCGCGAGGCTCAGTTATACCCCCAAACGAGGATCGGCATCTTCGACGAATTACACCGGTACGCCTACGACGAGCTCACGCGATTCGGCGTCGTTGTCTACCGCGACCAGTCTTACGTCGGTCTCTGGACAATCGGCGAGGCATTCGGCGAGTGCAGCCGGTGGTGGAAACGGAAAGGTGAGGAGGAATAGTGGAGGAAGCGATTTTTCGGGTTCGCAGTCAGGAGATGCCGCCACTGTTTCTCTCGTCGCAGCTCCTGGCGAGCTGAGCGAGGGAGGGGAATTGGTTCCTCCCGTTCCGCCTCTGCCCAAGGATCTCCAGACCTATGGCAACAACAGCAGGTCGCCGCCTGCATCCTCCGTCAGCGCAGTATTTCCTTCGATGGAGGCCGAGGAGAAGGATAAGCATTCGAGCGACGAGAACAACGAACTTGATCGGACGGTCTCGATGATTATGCCTTCGGCACCTGCACCAGCCGCGCTTTCCACCACACCCCCGACTTATATTCAAGGTCCAAACCACCCGCAGGGATATATCTCCACGGCTTCCGCTCCTGCGGTGCTCAAGACTCCTTCCAAGAAATGGAGCTTCACGTCCGCGCTGGGCATGAAGCTCTCCGGTGCTCCATCTCAACCCGCCTCTCGGGATCGCGACAGCAGAGGTTCCCCGCTCGCTCTCAGCCCTCGCTCTGCGACCTTCAGTCAACCGAGTCGCAAGTCTTCGTCTAGAGATCGTCTCGAGACGTGGTCCCCGAACCAAGAAGCGATGAACTCCGCTGCGTCTCTCGCGTCCATGAGTTCCGTCGCGTCCGCCTCTAGCAGGAGTGGGAGTCACAACAACAACCAGGCGATGCTGAGCGCCACAAACTCGTCTGTACCTCCTCCCGTTCCTCGCCAACAGACGCCTAACAATGATGTCCCCGGCGATCATCGTCGTCATTCTCGTTCGTATAGCCGTTCGCGACCTGGGACCGCCGGTTCTGCCGCGAATGTGTCGAGCTCGCTGGCTGCGCCGCCGACGAACGCAGGACAGCAGCAGCAGACTCCGTTGAGTCCTTCTGGTTCGATGAAGAGAGGATCCAGCAAACGACTCACGCCTTCCTCTATCCCGTTCTTCCGCAGGTCATCGTCGCAATCTATGCAGTCCCCTCCGCCCGCCTCGGCCAATAACAGCGCGTATCCGACCGTTTCGCCTACGATGCCTACTTCCAACAACCTCAACAGCTCGCTCAGGACGCAGAAGAGCCAGTCGCCGATCGATTCGAGTCTTTCGACCCCGAGCACGCATGGATCGGCGCAGAAGAAGAGTTCGATGCTGAGCTTGGGCTCGTTGTTGAAGGGCTCGTCCTCGAGGCGGAATTTGCAGAACCAGAGCGGGACGGAGAAGAGCGATTATGAAAGGAGTGGGAAGGAGGGTGGTCTGGGCTCGAGTGGCAGTGGTTCGACGCCTGGAAGGGCGAGGAGGGAGATGGAGAGGGCGGAGAAGGAAAGGAAGAAGGAGGAGAAAGAGAAAGACAAGGGCGAAGGGAGGATTTCGGTGTTGATGGGTCGCAGGCGTGGAAAGGTGTGTCTTACGTTTTACCCATTTTCACTGTGTCGTGCAGCCACGTTTCTTTGGGGAGTTACGGCATATTTCCGCCTTTGTTGTCCTGTCGACCGATTGCTGACCGACTTTGTTCGCCGAAACCAGACCGTGTCGTCCACGTCGGAACAGAAGAAGGCTCATCAGCCTGTAAGTCTACCTCCTATGCAGATGTCTGCGTTGCCACAGGCAACAGCTCAACGAGTTGCGAATCTGAAGGCTAGCACGTCTTCCAACGGATCTTCCTCCACGACGCTCTCTCCGTCCAAGACCGGATCTTCGTCCTCTCGGGTCCTGGCTCCCACTACCAGCTCGCTGCAGAGGCAATCGGACGCGTCGCTCCGGAATAGGAATCAGTTACCAACCATCGCGGGGTCTCCTTCGGTGCTTGGAGTGTCTACGTCCTCTGCAAAAGAGGCCAGGGATGCCAGGGACATGCCGCCACCTTCATTGAATACCTCCAACTCCTCGTTCACGAAGGAAACGCCGACCAAGATTCCAAGGATCCACAGCAGGGGTTCGACCGTCACTTCGCCAGGGCTCAAAGGGTCTACGTCCTCCACCGTCGGCAGCAGCCGAAGACAGAGCGTCAATTTGAGCAGCGGAATGGTTGCTTCTGCGTCAGCTAACGAGCCTTCCCCACTGGCCACCGCGTCGATCGACGAGTTCGGTGTTTTAGCAGAGAACGGAGATGGGCCGACCAAATCGAACCTCAGCACCGTCCAGAAACAGCCGCACTTGGGGACGTCGCCTTCGTCGAATGGATCCAGCACGAGACACGCGTCTGCGAATATGTCCGGGTCGACTTCTGGTATCCCGAGGAAAGGTAATCGTGAGTCGATGTCGTTCTCCGGTCTCAGGAAGGGTTCGACGAGCTCGGTGACGTCACTCAATGCGGTTCCTCCCTCTGGTGGCGAGTCCGCCACGGCTTCGACCACATCCCACCGCTTCGCTGCGCTTTCGCCCTCTAAAGGCCTCAAACTGCTCACTCCGAAGGTTTCGCTCTCACATACCAAGAACCTCACTCACAGCAGTCATCACTCTGGCGCTTCCGCGGGCATTCACCAATCCATAACTGGGACCCCCTCCTCCAGCCGTCAATCGCTTGCTCAGTCATTCACACATTCGAATTCGAACTCGAATACACCAAGTCCCGTACCGATAGAAATCGACGAGGAAGAGCTCGCGGGCGACGAGGAGATGATGCATTACATCAAGAGGCAGCAGCAGAAGAAGTTGGCCCATGGTGCGACGCAGGCCGAGTTGGATGTTCTCTTGAACTTCCCTGAGCCGATATCTCCCGGTCAGCCTATCAGCCCGAACCACCTACTGAAGAGCAGTCAACGCCAGCATCTCTCGGAGTACGAGCGCAAGGAGGTCCTCGACTATCCGGCGGTCTACTACATCGGCGCCGGCAGCGACAAGAAGCCCGCCCACCCTGATAGACCCACGAACAACTTCGGTTACGATGACGAGCGGGGCGATTATCTGGTTGTGAACCACGATCACCTCGCGTTCCGGTACGAAGTCATAGATACGTTGGGTAAGGGCTCGTTTGGCCAGGTGCTGCACTGTCGCGACCATTGTACGGGTGAGTCGGTGGCGATCAAGATTATCCGCAACAAGAAACGGTTCCACCACCAGGCCCTTGTGGAAATCAAAATCCTGGATAATCTGCGAAAATGGGTATGTTCTTCGTCTCGTGCTTGAGGGCCCCTTCTAATCGTTTGTTGTGGTTAGGACTCCGAGGAGAAGCACCATGTCATCAAGATGACGGAGCACTTTTATTTCCGCAACCATCTCTGTATCGCCATGGAACTCCTTAGCATCAACTTGTACGAGCTCATCAAGGCGAACAACTTTGTCGGCTTCACAACCGCGCTCATTCGGCGGTTCACGAGTCAGATGCTCATGTCTCTTCAGCTCATGAGGCACCATCGGATCGTGCACTGCGATCTCAAGCCTGAGGTATGTTCAGGATGTCTCTTTGCGGTTGGTCTGTGAAGTGGGACTTATTTCTGGTGCTTTGCCTCGCAGAACGTTCTGCTGCGGCATCCGGCGAAGAGCGCGATCAAGGTTATTGACTTTGGAAGCAGCTGCCTCGAGCATGAGAAGAGTATGTATACATCCCATGTCGCCTGCAAAATTCGAAGCCTCATCTAATCGACCCGTTTTTATAGTCTACACGTACATCCAGAGTCGCTTCTATCGCTCCCCAGAGGTCATCCTCGGCATGAACTACCATATGGCGATCGACATGTGGAGTTTGGGGTGCATCTTGGCGGAACTCTACACGGGTTTCCCTATCTTCCCAGGCGAGAACGAACAGGAGCAGTTGTCGTGTATCATGGAGGTTCTCGGTGTTCCCGACAAGGAATTCGTCAACCGAAGCTCGAGAAAACGGCTCTTCTTCGGTATGTTCTCCTCTTCTCGTATTTACCACACAGGACGGTTTATCTCATCTCTTGTTTTTCGTAGATTCGACTGGCGCTCCTCGGCCTGTCGTGAACTCCAAGGGTCGTCGGAGACGTCCTGGCACGAAGACACTCGCTCAGGTGCTCAGGTGTGACGATGACCAGTTCGTCGACTTCATTGCCAAGTGTCTGGTCTGGGACCCAGAACGTCGCATGAAGCCGCAGAACGCCATGCGTCACGCCTTCATTCTTGCGGGCAAGGGGAGGAAGACTACGACTCCCGCACCGAGCGAGAAGGCTTCTAGCAGGACCATGCTGTCGTCGTCTTCGAACTTGTCGACTCGAGGGAGCAAGCCAACTGAAACTCCGAAGAAGTCCCAGATCAGCGCGCCAACGCCTTTGACGGCTCGTTCGAGCAGGACGAATAACACCCTGCCTGCTACGCCCAATGCCTCGACGTCAATGCACTCGTTGGGGTCTGCGAGGTCCTACAGGTCGTCACAGAACCAGGGGGTCTCGTCTTCCCATTACTCGAGCCGAACACTAAACGCCTTTGCCGTACGTTACTCATTTCTCACATCCATCCGACCATACTGATTTGTTCACATCTACTTTAGTCCGCTTCTAAATGAGCAAATCATCCTACGCCCTGTCTATTCCGGAATTGGATTTTTTATTACTTGCATTTCTCTTCTTTCCTTCACGTGTTCTTATGACCTTGGGTGCTAAGCAGTAGACCTCGAGTGCCCCTTTGAACGTTCATCATTGCCTTTTTCATGTTTATTTGTCCAAAATGCACGCATGCCGGCCTCTTCATACCCAATCTCCATGGCCTGCTGTACTTTACCCCTCTTGGCCGCTTTCTCTTCATCATGCTCTCCCGTCTTTCACCCACCTTAACGTTCACGCTTGTTATCCTCTATCCCCCTTCCTCCCCCCACCTTTCCTTTCCCTCGATTTGGTTGTCCTTATTTGCACGTCGTCCCATCAGTCAGTCCGTCTCTCGCAGGCAACTTCTCTTTCTCGTTCAAGTTATCACGATACATAAATTCCTCGCTCGTCCGTTATCATCCATCGCGTTCAACGTTCAGCCCTAGTCCACTCTGCGCTCAAAGCATTCGCTGCAATAATAATATACACTCTTCGCCCCTGGGCCCTGGATCATCATGTTGTCCATCCTCCGTCTTGTCTGTTCTCAGGGTCTATCGCACATTTAGGTTCTCATTCGGGATACATACCTGCCAGCCTCAGGATTGTGATCTTCGCTTCTTGCTTTGGTATTGGATACATAACGGTACAAGGGACTGGTATTTCCCTCGCTTGGCCCCATGGCCAAATATATTGCTTGGTTGTGTACTCAATCCTGGTGCGAGCTGAGTATTGTGAACCTATAGCATTCTCGGACGAATCTTGTCTCACATCACAGCATCACAAGGACTCGTGTCTACACGACGAAGTCTCGAACAGTAGCCTTCAGCGATTCCTCCAACGAGATAAACTCGTTACTCCCCAAGGTTTTCAACAACTCTACGCTGCGCTCTCTGCTCGAGATAACGCTCAAATCCTTCGCCTCATTAGCGATGTCCTCCGGGAACACCTTGTCTGGATAGGTTCTCCTAAAGATATCGAGGACGGTGCTCCAGTTGAACGGACTACCATAGGCAAAGAGGCGCTCCGATTTGACGGTGGGGTTGATCAGTGCCGCTACATGTAGGCGAGCCACATCGCGAACGTCGACGGACCAGACTGTCGCATCACGGCCCCGTCAGTATCGCGCGATTCTCAGGAGACGAACGGGAGGAACTTACAAGGTGAGACGGCGTTCGACTTGACCCATTCGAGATCTCCACCCAAGAGAACCTTAAACCAGGTCAGAGGACTACCGGGCGTAACATGACTCGCATGAAGCTGGGGACCTATAACCGCGCAAGGCAGGACTGTATTGAACTTGAAACTCGGCTTCATCTCTTCAACAAACTTCCAACATGTCTTCTCCGCCTCCGTTTTGCTCGCAGCATAAACGGCCAATCGTCTCTGGTCTTCATAAGGCGGCGGAGCCCAGGCTAGGATGCTGGCCTCGTCGTTCCAGCTGTCGGCGGTGAGTGTGCGCTCGACGTTTGGCTGCGGGAGGGCGCCTGTGGCGATCGCGGATGAGGTGAAGACAATGCTCTTCACGGAGGGTTCGCGGGAGGCTGCTTTGAGAATGCCTACGGCCCCGGCGACAGTTTCTGGTATCACGGCATTGGGGTCTGGCGAAAGAGAAACGATGGAGGCGATGTGGGCTACACCACTGACGCCTGCCGTAGATTGAGTGGTCAGTTCTTGCATGTACAGAGACCAATGTAAACCCGAGTCGTCGACTACTGACCCTTGATTGCCTCCTCCCAGGCCCCTTCAACGTCCATGCGAGGGACGACGACAAGCTCAAATTTCCCTGGCCCATATTTCTTGTTGAATTGCTCGGGAACCCACTGCGTCCTGGAGGCATCGCGGACGGTGCCACGAACTTTATAGCCCGAGAGCAGGAGCTGATCTGCAGTGTACGAACCGACGTAGCCATTCACACCAGTGATGAGGACGGTGGAACCTTTGGGGATGGTGAATTCGGACATGGTGATTGTTGAGCAGAACAAGGAAATCGACGCTGTCGGTGAAGAAGCTGGCTGGCTGTGTCAAGCCTGGTTGCTTGAGAGTGAGACAGTCGACCTTCTTCTTCCCTTTTATACGAATATCTTCTCCTGTGGAGATTTTGATTTACAAGCAAGAGAAGAACCCGAGTCATTGTTCGACCGAGTCGGACAATAGGTGGGTGCACTACCGCCTCTGCTGATGGAGTAAACGGGACCCGCCAAGGACCGCAAACTGGGTTAGTAAGATTGAGACAGAGAAGCGAGAGTGGGCTGACTTCTCTAGGGCCTTTCGTAGATGTGACCATTGAGCGCCAGAGCCACATGGTGAAAGTGGGCTGTTTTCTAGGGGAGACTCGTGCGAAGAGAGTAAGAGCTCTGACACTCCTTTATCCGTGCCGTGCTTTAGACCACCTCGACATTCATGGGTGTTGAACGCTAAACGCCACAGAACCCTTTTGCGTGTACAAGGGCAGGAGAAATCTCTACCACATTATCCCCATTCAGAGACATCGGCACCGTAGAACATGGCCTGACTCGATTGTGAATGAAAGCGAGTGAAAGCGGACAATCTTATGACTGGCGTGAGTGAGGATGTTGAAAGCGGCGAAATCCCAATTCCGGTTGATTACTATTTGTCTTTGTTGTCTAAAGGCTTCGTTCGTTACGTAACGGTAATATGTGGCGGTCAAGTGGCATGGTGAAGTCTCTGTCTTGGTTTCGGACCCAACAATATTCAACCAGACATATAAATATGCACACTGACAATTAATGTGTGTCAGCTACCAGCAATATGTGACCCAAATACAAAGATACTAGTCTATTCAATACTTGAGGGAGTTCAGACAGAGCAGATTCAACTCGGCGGCAGAGAGGCCGAGAAGTCGAATGGAGAGTCGACTTTGCGAGTATCCTTAGCCGAGGATACCAGAGTAGTCCAGTCATCTCCACCGTTGACTTGGACCTAGTATCCTTTGATCATCAGAATATTCACTGTTTGAGGGAAAGACTCGCTACGAACCTCAAAATCCTCCTTTTGGTGGGGGTCAGTCCCCGGGATGGGCTCCCAATACATCCAGGGTACGCCATACGAGTTTATCTTGTCAACGTTGCTCTTCATATTGGAGATCCTGGAAGAGTCGTCCGAAGAGTAAGCTGAGCCCCATTCCTCCACCAGAAGCTTCTTCCCAGCACTCTGAGCGGAAGAGACAGCGTTCTTCATGTAGCTGTCATAGCCGCTGAGAGTAAAGGTGTGTCAGTAGAATGCCCTCATTCACTAAATGGCTGTGTGTACACTCACTCGGTATAGTCATGAATCGCGACTACGTCAATATCGGCGCAGGAACTCCCAAAGAACAAGCTTTGCACACTAGCCCCGGCATTGCCGCCCCCGGTAAGGATTAACTGCCGAATGTTACGTGTTATAAATTAGCCTCTTTCTTTCCATATAATATGAGAGGTATATGGGGCTGATGCACCTGATTTTTGTTGCCAACATTGTTCCTGATCTGCGAAGCTGTCTTGCAGATCCAAGAAAGGTTCTCCTGATAAAAACTCGATGGTTCCTTGATCATGGGCCTGCGACCGAATACAACGACTCAGTTACAAACGGGATAAAGACACCATAACGCACGTACTCATTCTGGGCTTCAAAACCGAAGATGTAGTCAGATAGCTCTGACCAGGGCTTGCCATCAACGAGTGTATTGTTATGACCATTGAGGATGTGTGTGATGCGCGTATTGAAGTGCTCGATGGCGGCTATAACAAATATTGTCAGGATGCAGGTCAACCCATCTACGATAATACTGAACAATGACCTTCATTCGTGTAGAATCCCTGACTATGGTACTGGGTCCCGTATACGTCCGGGACACTGTTTTGCGACGTACCATCGAGCGAATTTTCTGAACAAAACATACATGTGCGTAGTTGATTTAGACAGTGACACAAGAGATAACAGCCTATGAGCTCACCTCCACCATGCAAGGCAATCAGAAGCTTTATCCCTCGGGCTTGAGCATCAACCTGATCGAGCGTCAAAATGGTGAAAGCACGAATATGTGCAATATATCTCACCATTAGTTGATCTATCTGCGTCAAGACCTTGTCGTTCCATTGCCCGAAGCCGTCAGCCTCCAAGTCTGGAACGCCAGGATTGCCACTGTTCTTGACATTCGCTGGCAGACCGCCAAAGGTCCTTAGAACCTGATCAAAGATGATATTTAACCCCCTGAAGACAGCAAGAGAGGCTGAGAGCCCTACCTTCATCCCTGCGGATTGCATAGCGTCGAGAAGAGTGTGTCTGTCATCATCAGGTAGATTGAAGGCGTAGTAGTTATTTGCACCAGCCCACGACGATGCGGCCAGAGCACCCGGTGCCAATAGAGCCAGCAAAGCGAGGGAGGAGGCCGAGAAGACCTTCATTGAAAGATTGAAGGATGCACAATAGTGTTGCGCGATGAGCTTTTTATACGGAGTGAAGACCTGTATGCTAAGACCGGAGATTTTCCGGTCTCCTTATGGAAACAAACCGCCGCATGAGGCAGTCCTCTGAACCGTGATGAGAAGTAGCCTGGGGGCTATACAAGTGCTTCTCGACAGCGTGAAACGTCGTTGAACTATAGAACGGAACTGGTTCGTTACCGTGCATCCTTGCCAAAGAACAGCAGCGGGGAACTAATGTATGGTAGGCGCATCACGTCGTGTGATAAGAATGAACCGAATAACATCTCTCACACGTTTGAGAGTATCAGGTTGAGAGCTGATCCACTGAGCTCTCGATAAGTATCCAGGGTATGCATGACTTGGAGAAACCAGACCGTGTCGGCGACAAGTACAGGAGAACCTACTAAAAGACTTCGCCGGCAACTGCACGAGTATTAATCTGTCGGTCTGGCTGCAGAGGACGGACGAGACGGATGGTAGCGGCTACTGATGATCATGACACGGCGTTATTCTTGACTCTGTTTGCGCGTGTTGACCAAAGGCTTCGTTACGTCAGCACATGTTATGATCGGTCGCGTCAAGCAAGCACTCGACCATTGGCATATCCAATCCACTTACAGGCCTTGACACACTGCTCGACACCAAATAATGAATGGCGCTGTCGTCGCTCAAAATGGCACCACTGAACTCCAACCAATATCGCCGACAGACACTCCGCGTCCTTCTCCGGCTTCACTGACTACCCTTCCACAAATACTTTCCGCACTGTCCTCGCTTCAGTCAGAAGAATCCGAACTCTCAGACTCACTCTCCCAGCTTCTCTCGTCTCAGGAGCCCATACTTGACTCCCTAGCACGCGTCCAGGCCCTTGCGCCACGTATTGATGACTTATACTCTGAAGCCTCACTCCTGTCCGACAAGGTCTCCGCCACAGCACGTACTGCAGAACGCGTCGGAGGGCGTGTCCGAACGCTAGATGAAGAGATGAGAAGAGTTCGAGAAGCGAATGAAAGGGTCGGCCAGGTCATGGAGCTGAAGGTCCTTCCTCTGCACCTACTGTCAGTAATCCAGCCATCTGTCCTCATGCTCTACACCTTCTTCAACAGTCATCTTTATCCGCTCTTCAGAAATCCATGGAGAGCCAAGACTGGGAGTCTGCCACCCGACACTGTGCGCGCGCCATGGCGCTACCGGACGAGGTCATCTCAGGGCCGTTCGCAGAAACCGCTGTCGTTAGTGAAACCGCCTCTTCGAAGTATACAGAATGTACTAATGGCGGTCACTCAGCCTACGTCAGAAAGTCATCTTCCACCCGCACAGACACTTCAGGCAGCGAGAGACACACTCTTAGACGTTTTTAGGCGCCAGTTTGACGAAGCCACCGCAGCAAGGGATGCCGCCGCCACGACGCGCTTCTTTAAGCTCTTCCCCGCTATAGGATGGGAGGCAGAAGGTCTCGAGGCCTATGCCGCGTTTGTTGTCGACCTCGTCAAAGTACGGCCTCCAGCGTCGGCCAAAAGTGAGAGCTATAAAATCTCGCATGTCAATGTAACAATACTCACCAAATACCTACTAGCTTCCTCGCCTCTGTATTATATCACATCATTAACCGCTCTGTTTGAGAGTATCGCCATGATCATCGATCAGCATCAGCCTGTGGTTGAGAAGTACTACGGTGCTGGGAAAATGGTCAACGTTATCGTACGCCTGCTCCAAGAATGCGACCGTGTCGCCAAAAGCTTGACAGAAAGTTGGGAAGAGGAACGATCAATGAAGCGAATGGTAAATACATAAAACTCTGTTCCCCCTTGCTCATCCTGATTGGCACCAGCTTTCTGAGATTGCGAATGTTGTTCCGTCACCAATTGCCGCCTCACCAGCCAATCGTCGGCAGCCTACACAAGGGTCTGCTGTTGAAGATGAAGTCGACGCACGAGAAATTGACAAAGTCATATCGGAAGCAGCGGGCATGGCCAGTCGATGGAATCTATTCCGACGGTTTCTCTATGACAGATTGAGGGTATGTGCCCTCTACGAGATTTTGTTCATGTGGAGACTTATCGCATCTTCACGCCATGAAGCCTGACTCTGAGGAACAAGATCCTGATGGTCAAACAGTGACTCCTCGAGGTGGAACCCCAGTACCCTCAACACAGAATTATCCGGAAATAGACTCCAAATTGCCTCCACCCGTTATTCCCGAGGCACTCAAGATGGTCGATTCCTCAGCGTGTAATCAACTCTTTGACGACCTCCTGAGTGCTTACTACACCCCTCTTGAAGTCTGGTATACTCGAAGCGCGATTGAGAAGGTACGTCGGTCCCCTTTCCACTACCTGTACTCTATCCGGAAACTGACATACACACCCAGGCTCACCGTCTTTCAACTCCCGATGCTCTTTCTTCGCCCGCAACCACGACAACTCCCGATGACGCATTCTACATCCTCAAAGTTGTCCTCACACGCCTTATCTCCACTGGTTCTCCTCGTGCACTCGAGCGTACATCTGTTCTGCTACGAGATGTCATCGAACGAGACTACGCAGGCGTCATCAAGCGAAAGATGGACGACGTCTATAGGACGGCTGGGGCCATGCGTGGGGAGAAGGCGGAGAGGGAGAGTCGGCTTTCCTTCATTGTACGCCACCTTCACGCTTTCCACCAACATCTACGGTATACTGATCTCATTCATGGACCATTCAGACTCTCTTGAACGACCTCGACATCTCGTCCTCGCATATGGAGAGGCTCATCAAAGACCTCGTTACGGCGCCCACGATTGATCAAGGTTTCTTGAACGAGGAAGCACCTATTGCGAAATCTAGTATCTCTGCGTTCAATAATCTGGTCCCGAAGTTCCGCTCCGTCCTTCGTTCTGGCATCGAACAGCTCTTCAACCAACTCCTCCGTCCTAAAATGCGCACCTTTCTTACCGACGTGTACAAGGACGTGTCGTACGTCCTCGATGAGGACGCCTACAACCAGTCTGAGTATCAAGACGTCGTGCGGAAACGGTTCGTCAAGGCATGGGAGGGCCTCGTGGAAGGGTATAAGGTGTGTGGATGGATGCGTTAAGACATTTTCTCAGAGCTTATGTTGATATAACTATACCAGGATACCTTCACCGAGGGCAACTTCAGACTCTTCTTCGGTCTCGCGCTGGACATCCTCATACGCCCATGGGAGAAGTACATTATGAGCATTCGTTATAGCGAGGTACAGCAAACCCATATCCCTTTCATGCTACTCCTGAAGCTTATGTGAGGGTGTAGCTTGGTGCCATTCGCCTCGACCGGGACCTGCGAGCCATAACTACTCATCTCTCTTCTCAGACTGCCTTCGGCGACGTGCGCGAGAAGTTTGTGCGTCTGCAGCAGATCTCCACGATCGCTAATCTGGACCAGGTATGTCTTTTTATGAGTCGAATGCCCATCAGGCAGCACGTTGATTCGCATTCATGCTACAGGAGGAAGATGTAGACGAGTTTTACAGCAGTTCTGGTATTCCGTGGAAATTAACAGAGCAGGAGGCGAGGACGATCGCAGGCCTCAAAATGTGACAGGACATGATTTACAGTGCCAAGTTCATATTGTCAAAGTACCTAGATTGGGTGTGTTTAAAGCCACCTGATTACACCAGACCCATAGGAAAAGCCAAAAAATACAGATACGCGTTATGCATTCAGGAAGCAATACTGCGCCAGAGAAAGGAAGAGATAATAGCAAGAGCATAGTCTGAGTCGTCCAGGGTATACAAAGTCTCATCCTCTTCGAAGCGCATCCAGACGTGCCTGAAGGGCATCCTCGTCGGAGAGTGCTGCGCCTCCACCGCCACCTCCGCCACCTCCGCCACCAGGCGAGTCGCCCCCAGATTTGGGCCCACCACCAGAAGGTGCGGCGTGTCCCTCTCCAAGGGCAACGGCTTTGCGCTCAGTGAGTGGTGAGGCACTCGCGAGCCCTGTTGGTGCATCGGCGAGCTACGGCAGCGGTGAACAATGGATGTATATTCATTAACACTGAAATTCTGGTTGATAGAGGGATAGATGAACAACGCACCTGTTGAGAAAGGCCGACTCCAATCTCATCGAGTACTTCCTTCAGAATCTTGTCACCTTCCTCTTCTTCGTCTTCTAGGTCGTCGTCCATGACATCGTCTACGGCATCGTTCATCATCTCCTCCTTCATGTCCATCTGTGCGCTTTCTCGCTCGAATTCATTCATGATCCGTTGTATTTGGGGTAGATTCAATCCGCGATTCATCCCCTTCATTGCCTATGTACGGCCGAAAGCAAGGGGTAGGGTAGGTGCGTAAGGAGCGATTAGGGTTTATCATGAGAAGTGGAGAGAGAGAGGGAGACACACCCGAGTGGCACCCCGCATCGCGTCCGCCATTTGTTGATTACTTCGCAGCGTCTGTATGCGCAAGCCTACCGCCTGCAGCTGAGTTCGCATTTGGTAGAACTTCTGAACATATCGTCTCGTCCGCACAAGGTCCTTCGCCATGATCTTGCATGCGTTCTACTCCGGCCAAGAATCGTACATACGACCAACAATTTGAGCCCTTCGCTTTGAACTCCAGCGGAGGCATGGGGAACAGGAGACGCACCATTTGGCCAGCCTTCGCACTCTTCTTGATATCCATGATGAGCTTCTTCTCGCTCTGCTCGAGCTTCGTCCGTTCCCGGTCGAGCTCACGCTGCGCTTTCGCGAGGGCGCGTTGATGTTGGCGCAGACGCTCTGCTGGGGTGACCGTTCGGCCAAAGAGTGTTTCCTATATGGCATAAGAGGTCGGATAAGAGAACAAGGCTGACGGATAGCTCGACATACGATGATATTCATGATCGAAAACGCGTAAAAACGAGGTCAAGTTGGAGGAGATGCGTGTTCGCAGTCAAGGCGATGATACAGGTCGCGCTTGATATTGAGTCGCGACGTCATCCAATTTGCACTTAGCTATACACTTCCCTTCCGGGCGTCTCCTGGTTCTTTCTAAATCATCCTGGGGCTCTCTACCCGAGCAACATTATCAAGATGGACCTACGAGAGACTCACTCCTCTAGCGACTAGATGTCACGTTGCATCCCAAACAGCACGATGTCTATCTTCAAGTTTCACGCCTCTAAGTATGTCGTACCAAACCGGCGACTCGCCACTGCCACTGCCTTCACTCTGAAAAATTCTTGGAAAATTCTGGATGATATAGAAATACAGTATAATGTTAAAACCCAATATATAAACTCTATATTATCACTTCCTCCCATAGTTCGACAGTATTGAAGAGACGGATATGTATTGTGGCTGGATTGTGAGCAGAGGAACGTTCAGCTTTAGCCTGGTACCCGCGGTGAAGGATGCACTCCACCTTGAGAACCAGTCTTTTTGAGTCGCCCTTGCCTTCTAGTACAAAGTATACGGTGCCTAGAAAGATATTGTTCTAGCCAACAATCACTGTACACTTTCAGAAAATTCCTTGCTTACCTGGAAGCCTTCGAGGATCCTTGGCTTTAAGAAGCAAAGGGAAAAGGGGGAAACCTTTGATCAACGCCAGAAGCAGGGTCAAAACCAGGTCCATGGTATAGATGATGCCATTTAACTATAATATCGAGTTGAGCACCGTCTCATGATGCATATGAAGTAATTCTGAACTCACAAACACAAAGAGTGCGGCGTATGCCAGGACGGTAGGCAAACTGAAGGTAAAGAGCGTGAACAAGATTGTGCCGAGCAGCAACTGATCGATCTCGTAGTGCCATGAGTCGATGTGATTGTGGAGCATGTTATGCCTTTTGCCTTATCTGCAGTTAGCCTTTATGTGCAGCATTCGAGAATGTGGCAACTGACCCCGGAACAGATTCCATAGTGAACGAAGAGTAGTGACCTGATAGGTGACAACCCTTTTCCAAAGCAGAAAGCCGATTCTTACGTGCAAAGTCGAAAGGGTCAGGGAATCCTTCAAGACTGACAGCAGCACAGTCAGACCGCCATAGCCGGATAGACCGATGAAATAGGTAAAGTCCGCTAAATATGGGGATACCTCCTGAAAAAGATCTGGACCACAGTTCAGTCGAGGATAGGGTGACATCGGAGGTTAAATGACCTGACATTTCCAAAGCCCTACAGCTCCTAAGAAAGCTTGACAGAAGAAATGACTGAGCTCATTGTTGAGCTTCAGGCCCGCAGGCCATGCATCCAACCAAATGAGCCCGTTTGTCATGAATTCGAGGAATAGTTTCTGCGAGAGTTGCTTGAGGTGCGGGTCTAATTTGAAAATGACTGGTGCGCACCTCGAAATTCGTACTAACGAGCGTCGCAATGAGAGGGTACCCCTCGCGAATAAAACTTCCAAGTGCAAACCCGAGTATGAGGTCGTTAAACAGCAACCACATCGTGTTGTTTAATCTGACAACTCAGAGGATAAGCCTGATTACACACGTAATAATGTGAAACGTACTGTATATATTCAACCGAAGATCCTAGTTCTCTATCCTGGTAGACCTCGCGTAGGTATGAAGGGACGGCCATGCATAGTCGCAATTGTGCGAAGATCTGGGCAACTAACATCGGTGGTCATCTAGAAGCGTTTGACGGGGTAATAAATGAGCTTACATGAATATGATACTTGTACGATAGGTGCTAACAGTGAGCAGCACGTCTTCAGCCAGCTGCAATGAAGGTCCCACACCCAGTGTCTATTCCAGCCAAAGGTCGATATTCCTCGGTTCCAGAGTGAAGAAGACATATAACTTAATGTCTTCGTCACCCACGACTCAGATACACGGAAGCGGGGTTGCAGATGCTGAGCGCAGTTTAACTGAGAATAGGAGGACATTGAGCGAGAGACAACCGATCACAGTATTTATGTAAATACCTCTGCAAGGACGCCCTCATCTAATCCAGCCCGTGCAAGTCGTGGGGCTGAATCCGGTATGTCGTATTTGGGCTGGGGTTTCAACAATTGGTGTGAAGCAAGCAGAGGAAGCTCTCGATCACTGTGCATAGTCAAAGTACCAAACGCCGAGCGCTGATAATGAATGACAGTGAAAGGCCTGATGATATGCATCATTAATAGATGCGTATAGCCAATAAACAATGTGCAACGCACTTTCCATCGATATGGTGGATGGAGAACTCAGGGGCCGCGCTATTTGGAGAAAATTTGTATCGTCCGACGATAGTCGGAGGTGTACAACAATCACTCTGATGCTGGTGATGGTGTAAAAGACGTTCAAGATACTGCTGTGCATGTTCTAGAGAAGTAAACCCATGAGCAACATACTTTCAAATGTATAGGATGTTGGTTTACCCTCCAGCTCGGCTCCGGGAATAACGCCAGCAACACAGATCATAGCTGGACGACTCCAACCATATATGTACCCCGACATGTCGAGATCTTCTTCCGGGAAGCATACAAAGCAGCTAGAATTAGCCGTCATTTCAGAGCGGCTTTGACGGGAAGACAGGATGAATTTTGTTGCCACTGATCACAAGAAGTAAAATTGAGACAGCGAGGTTCGGAACAGGTTGTACTTACACCGTGACGCCACAATTGGAAGCTCGGCTGGTCCGGATACTGCCGACATCTCTTTCTTTGTGGCGTCCACCATGGATCTCCCTCTCATTGGCGCCCACTGTTCTTTGAGCTCGTGTAACGAATTGGACCTCCTTCCAATACGATGTCTCTGCGACAAGCAATACTGCAGGAAACACTTCCTTCCTGATGACCATGCCTGTCCTATCAATCTTACTGCCACACCGCAACCAGCCCTCGATAAGCTCCAGCGGTGTGCTTCGGTCAATTGCAAGAAACCAAGTCTAGAAGCCTTCGTGAGGAGCTCTGATACAAACCGTGTACCTGCCTTGTGCCCTCGCTGTAATCTCGCATACTGTGCATCGTAAATATCCTGCTCATTATGCCATTTGAGCTTCGTGATCTCACACACTCTCATTTGCCAGTCACCGAGAACCTTCCTCTCACTCTTGCCCAGTGCCGTTGATAGAAAATCCTGCGAAGAATGAGGCAGCTCATGCTCTTCTCACAAAACACTTCCAAGTAGCGGGCAGAACTGGCTCTTCATCAGCCTCTAATACAGCACCCAAGAAACGTCCGACGGACCCCAAGAAATTGGCACAACTGCAAAAGATTGAACTGATGCAGATGCGCCATCGAGCAGTGCCCGGTGACCCCAAGGACAAGCCAGACACGATCTTGATTGACCAACGCTTGCATGTCAAGATTAAGGATGAGGTCGATGCGAAAGGCAAGGACAGAGTATTTTGGTTCCGCAAGGTGAGGCGAATAGCTCCGCGTTGCCAATGGGCTGCAGCGACTCATATTTATTCCAAGACCATTGGTGTCGGAAAAGCCCTCGATCTCCTGACAGCACAACTCGGCAAGACCACACCAGTTCGTCCTTTCACTCCTTCTGACCCTACCATTTGGACACATCTTAATCGTTTCTCCAGAGGTTACGGCTATCGAAAGTTGCCAACAATGGAGACGAGATCACAACCCTACGAAACGACCTACCGCTTGCAGACCAGGTTGATGATGGCACCATCCTGGTGATATCACAAAGCAATGTTTCAGGGTAGAAAGAGAGACCGAAGTTTGCTGGCCCTCCTCGGGGTTCTTACCGGCGCGATCAACAAGTTATCCCTAGGATGTACGTTGCAGCACGAGCACTAATCAGTCTAAGAGCATCCACGATTCATCCGAAAAGATACACTATAAGAAAGTCGAAGATCCCATAGACGACAGAACAAATATACGGTGCGATGAACGGAAGACGAGACGAGAGACATGGGAATAAGCGGTAAATCTCATCATGCGACCAGCGCAGCTAGACGGCGAAGATGTGAGACGTTGAGGTATGCAGGGACATAGGTCTCGAGGCCAGAAACCTCGCGGGGAAGAGGAAGTTCGTAAGGCCCGACCTCTTCGGCCTCGGGCAGCAGTAAGTGGTCGTTACGGTCATTCGCAACAACACGGGAGGCTACGATGCGCAAGATCTCAGGAGAGATAGGGTTCTGCAAGGGGTTTGGTCAGGAAGTGGTATGCATCTAAGCAGGATTGTAAACGTACCTCATAGTCAGCAACGTAGTAGTTTGTGCACATACGTTGAATCTGCATGGGACTGAGCATCCAACAGACATCGTAAATGATCTCGATGTCCGCCGCAGTCGCCTGGAGGATGCTATGAGCTCAAGCTCACTGGAACAATATCAGAGTGCTCACCTTCTTGAGCTGCAAGAGTTTTGTTGCTTGCATCAAGTGTTCGAGTTGTAGTGTGCCCTCTGGCATGTCATGCGACTTGCACCACTCCTCGATGCGCGTGATGTTGTATTGGATTTGCATAGCTGTATCGATATCATCAGTCGTTGATCTCTTCAAGGGTGCATAACAGGCAAGACTTACCTCGCTTCCACGAAGAGAAGTTACGCCTCATCAAAAGGTCATTGAAACTCGTAACACCGATGAGCTTCAGAAGCTCCGTCACCACCTGCTGCACTACGCTCTCCTCCATATAATAACTCTTCAAGCTCTTCCAGACCTTGTTCAGTAGGTTGAGGATATCGTCCATGCTGAACGCCGGCTGGCTATTCGAATTGAAGACGCGGTTGAAGAGGCGCCCGCCACCGTCGCTAGCGATGAAGCCCGGTAATGACTGGCTCTCGATGAGGGCGGGGATGACCATTTTCGAGAGTTTCTTCTTCGTCTCCGTCATCCACGTATGGTAGATGTTGTACTCGAGACTGTCCAAGTCATGTTTGACGACAGAGACAAGTCTCTCATAGTCTGACCAGTCGAATGGACGCACCGCGTTCTCTTCACCAGGTCCGATGCCTTGCAGCATATCGGACTCGGCGACGCAGATGAATGAGAGCATCTCATGGACGTTCGAAAGCCAATAGATACCGGGTATGATAGCATCCTCTCCAGGGAAACCCTATTTGGCATTGTCAGAAACGACCCTACACAGTAAACAAATCTACGCACCATGACATGAGCCTGTACGGTCTGCATAACGTTCGCAAGGAATCGTTCGCTCTCGGGTATAAGACCGTATTTCCACATCTCGTTCGTGACCAAGCTGATGAGGTTGGCAGGGAAGAGGATCTCCTTCACAGCCGAAGGGTTTGTAAGGCTAGGCAGTGGTATCTTAAGACCCTTAATAAGGCCGTCGAGCACATCCTCGTCTAGGTGCTTTATGTCTTGCAACAGGCGAATCTTCTCCTCTGCAGGATCGTCGTAGATGTTCGACAGACCGTTCTGCGCCCGCATCCGCGGAAGACCATCCTCGCCGTTGTAAGCGACAGATACAGCACGGGGGTTGGTATTCTGACTACGCTTGACAAGCGTCATAAGCTCGTCAGCAGACGTGCGGTAGTCGGCTGGACTAATGCCGTATACGCCTGCAGAGCTGTGTCTCCGCTGGTGTCTGCCTGCTGAAGTACCGTTGACGGGCGGGGGGCCTCCATTGACGGTGCCATTCGTAGGATTATTCTCGAGAGCACGGAGGGTAGGAGCGAAAGTGGGCGAAGTGGGGGCGTCGCGAGCGCCCTTGGTCAGAGCATTGAGGGCATACGAGCGATTGAGCTGTTCGCGGAGATTGTTGACTTCGCTCTTGAGCGTCGCGATGACAGAAGGGTCCTCGACAACCCGTGGTGGCGCGGTCTCGATCTGTTTGAGCTGAGCTTCTAGCTGGGCAGCTTGGCGAGCGATCTCGGCCTCCAATTTTTGAACAGCGCTGTCCCTCTCTTCTACGATGACCAATGTAGCCTCGAGCTGCTTCTGAACGTCGTCTTTCTGCCGGATGAGTTCGTCACGTTCTGTGGCAATAGCCTGAGCGACAACCAGATCTGCCTGAAGTTGCTTGCCACGGGCGTCAGCTTCCTCGTGTCGCGTCTGCCAATTCTGTAACTGCTGCTCGAGGATCGAAAGTTTCCCTTGAAGCTCCTTCTTCTCCTGTGTACGTGTTTGGAGGTTCTGCGTGAGCTCGACGACCTTGTTCTCAAGGCGGTACGATATCTCCTTGAACTTATTGACGGAGCGGGCTTCTTGTCGGAGAGCCTTGAGCTGCTTGCGGGCCAGTCGTCTACGAACACAAGACTGAAGATAGATGACGTGCTTGACATCGGTGTTGAAGTGTCGCCGCACAAGCCTGGACAGCGTTGTTAGCATAGAATGGCCGACCGTTAATTCGTGGAAGAACGCACATTCCCCTTAAAAGGCTCTGCAAGTTGACGGTAGCATGTCGATGACGTTTCTCTTTGAATCCACGTCGGGCCTGTGCGCCACGGACACCTGGGTGAAAAAATGAGGATCACATGGAATATCGGACTGACGATTCCTAGAAGCTTACGACTCTGGAAGCGAACGATAGCGGTCCTAATATCCGTGAACTTCTTCCGTTGAACAAACCTCCTAGCCATCTTTTGCAACCGAATGGCGACAGTCTCCCGTCGAACGAATTCGACCAAACGCCTCGCCATGATTCCTCGCCACCAAGTCTGTATCTTGATCGTCGCTGCACGCAATTCTCGATAGTGCTTGACAGCCATGTGGCGACGCATGTTCTTCTGAACAACAGTGACCATCGAGTTCAGCCTATCCGAGCGCAGGGACTCGAGCGCGGCGAGCATGCCTGCTCGGAAGAAGATTTTGGTTTTGCCAGCCTGGTACTTATCAGGGTCGTTGATAGTAGTGTCGAGGATCAGTGAGCAGAGCTCCCGGAGCTCCAGCTTCTGAATCATGGGGCCCCAGTGCGCGGACGACACAAGCATGTAGTACCTACACGAAGTCATGATGAATACAGTGAAAAATGACGGGAATGGACGACTTACCGCTCCGCAAACTCTTCGTACGTCCATCGGGTGGGATAACCAGCGCAACTGATACGAATGGTCTCTAGCACACCGCAAGCACGAAGTTGACTCAAAACCTGTTGTGGCGTGAACCTCCAGGCTTCCTTCTGCTCGTTTGGTTTGATACAACGGATATAATGGACGTTCGTGATGCTGAGCGTGTCCATAAGGTTATTCAGCGACGCCTTGAAGATTGAGGCCTGCGTAGGCTTCCTGACCGCTCCTCCCGGTCGCTTAGCACCGGCGTTCGAGCCACCAACGAGCGAAGAACGTCCGGGATCGGGAATAAGGGAAGCGCGACGTGAGCCACCACTAGCAGAGTCAGACGCAGAAGGAGAGGCTGGGTTTGGGCTGTCTGGAGGCTTGGCAGAAGCGAGAGCAGCGTCGAGAACTTCGCGAAGGAAAGGATTTTTGGTCGAAGCAAGAAGATTCATGTGTTCATCGGGAACGGTATCACGATTCTTCTCCAGGAAGCCGTCAACTTCGTACGTGACATCCAACGCGTAGTGGGCGATGGTGAATGCTGAACTGCCAAAACGGGGCTTCTTGAAGACATTCTTATATTCGGGCTTTCCGAGTTGGTTGTAGAGCTTCTGAAGGAAGGAGGCATCAGAACCGGAAGGCATGCGAGCCTCTTCATCGAGAAGAGCGAGTACACCCAGCTTGCTCTCGATGACATCGATACAAGGCTGGTTGTCTGAGAAGTCGATGAATGTCCAGTTGATTTCTTCCTTGACGTATTCCTCTTGTTCCAATTTGAAGACGTGTGCATTAAACTGAATTCAAGTTAGCGTGATGCAGTCCGGGGAGGAACAAATGTAAGATTACCTCTTGTTGCAGCTTTTCGTTGGCATAATTGATGCTGAATTGCTCGAAGGAATTCTGATCGAGAACATGTGAGTGATTGACCAGTACAGAACATATGAGCAGTGTCACCGACCTTTTGGAAGTGCTCGAAACCGTAGATATCCAACACACCAATAAACATTTCTGCCCGCCTCTCTGCCTCACCATTCTCTCCGGCAAGACTCTCATTGACGATCGCGACCAGCCACTCGAATAGACAAACGTACACAAACTTGGCCACACTGTCACGAACAACGGTCGCCTGTGCCGCATTCAAAGAGCTGATGATCTTCTCTGAGCGGGTCGTAATCTGCTTCTTGACAGTCCATTTCTTGAATTCGGCCTTATCGACACCCAAAAATCGGGTGGCAAGGAGTAACGCAGGGTCATTGTCGTCTATCGAAGAGTCGTTGCGCAAGGCTGTGATCTGGACGTTCCCGAGATGGAGGAGTGCGGACAGCAGTCGGAATACCGCCCACTGCTTTTCGATACCAATACCGATGGTGGACAAGGCGTGCTGTGTTTGACGGAACTCCTCTGCATCATCCACGCCTGCGATTGGTGTAGAAGACGGGCCACCTTGTTTGAGGTAGTGAAACTTGTTGATGTCGGAGTCAAGGCCAAGATCTTTGCGCTCCTTCAGCGGTGCGCCAGCACAGAGTTGATAGAAGATGTGGTAGTTCCGCTCGGTAAGTGGTTGGAAAACAATACGGGAACGCTCCAGAAGGTAAGTCCGGATGCGAGCACCAACGATTTGCTGTTTGCCATCGAACAAGATCTGAAACGCGAGATGAGTATGTTTCTGTATCTTGAAACGAGTCCCTACATACCTGGATATACTTTCCAAAACGCGACGAGTTGTCGTTACGGGTCGTCTTCGCGTTACCGAACGCTTCCAGAGCAGGATTAGTGGCAAGAATCTGCCGCTCGACTTCACTGGACTCGTCCAATGACGCTTTGGTCCTTGCTTTGGTAGTGGACTCCGGAGGATTGACGGAGGCAAGGTAACGCATGATGAATTTGGCCTAGAGGAGGTGAATCATGATCCACGAGGTCAGGACTCGACGATGTGGATGGCTTACAGATTCTGTCTTCCCGGCACCACTGAAGAAACACTATAAGACAAGACTTGAAGTAATAAATAAAATACACTCACCTCTCTCCGGAAACGATGATGGTTTGGCCCATACCTTCTTTCATCATGGCTGTATACGCGTCCTCCGCGATGGCAAATAGATGGGGTTCCAATTCCCCTCTCCGTCGACCGCTATAAGCCTGAATGATCTCGGACCCATAGAGAGTAACGCGTTGAAAGGGGTTCACGGCAATGAGGACGATACCACTGTAGGTGTATATACTATGTTGCGCGTATCGATTCCGAATAGTGTGAAGCACTGGATACAAGTTGACTGCTTGCCGAACGCAAAAACTCGTGCAGAACACGCACCTGAAGGCTCGTTGAGGTGAGAGAGAGTAGCTAAATCATCTGCGGTCTCGAGCAAAGGAGGGTTTCGTAGCGGGGGCAAGTCTTCCTTGCCTGCTTTGATGTCGTTAGCGGTCGTGTCAATATTAATTTCCTACGTTATAAGTGACGACTGAGCTGAGATTTTATGAATCGCGAGTCAATGCGTGTTGACGGACCTTTCCCCGCTCGTCCACGAAGGACAGCTTGATCTTGTCGTCGGTCTTGACGACGTTGGTAACCTCTGCGGAAATCCAGCCATGGTCCTTGTCAGCGAACCAGACCCTGGTCCCCTTGCTGTAGATGTTCTCTGCCATCGTCCGTCGTGGCAGAGGGGCGTGGTTGTGAGGAAGGGAAGCAGGCAAGAACAGAAGTACGAGCGCACTGCCCAAATCCAGTCCCTCGCTATACTACGAACACGTGATGCCACGTGCGCTCCCCGTCGCGTCGCGCACTGCGCAGCTCCATGGACCATCCTTCTCCACTAACTTTATCCTGCTTTAGAACCGTCTCAAGCTTCTAGGTATCTTGGACCCGGCCACCTCCTGCACGACATGCACCTATGTCTACATTGCACAAATTATCTGCTATTCTCTCAGTAATTCTGACACGGCGTGTCTGTGCTCGTTTGTTATCTACTTTCATATGTTCGGTGATTATCGTCATACGTCCTTTTTCTCGGTTCGGAGGGGATTATACCTTCCTGGTTTTGACGCTTAAGGAGCTCGTATTCGGCGTGCAGAAGAATATTGCACAACAAGTCGAAGCTACTGGTGATCTTTTTTGTCAGACTGAGCTGTTTCTTCTTGATATCCTAATTTACTTCGTCCGCTTAGTTCTCAACCTTGGTGGTGCTCTGGTCGCCATCTCGGTCTCGACCTCGTCGCGGTATCTCGCATCCCTTCTTCCTGACGATTCCGCTCGCGCAAGGACCATACCTGCTGTTTTCTTGATTCTGATCTGCTTCGTCGGTAGGTAGGCGATTCGTCAATGCCTAACCTGCAGTTCTGACTCGATCTATAGCGGGTTACTGCAAGAGCCGGTTGCCCCGCCTTACCCTGTCCGCACGTATCTCTTGCTTGGTTGCCACCTGGATTCTTACCACAGATGCTGGCGAAACAGAGGTATGCGACCATTTCTCGCTCAAGGCCTAGTACTAATGTTTTGGTCAGGGAAAATTTGAACTGTCCACCGATTTTATCTGGATTGTTTTGTGCCCTGCCATCATTTGCCTCCTCAGTGGGATGCTCTTTCTCACATGGTACTCCACCAGCTTCGCGAGGGAGGTTGCGTTAGGCATGTCGCAACTCCACGACAGCCTATCGCTGGCCCTTGACGAGGGTTTGGGACACGAGAGCACCGATGGTTCTCTGAAATACGGTCCTGGTGGTCACAGGCCCATCCTCGATGCCGTCTTGAAGCGATCAGTCATGCTCAACGCCTCATACTCCCAAGCGGCCTTTGAACTTCGTGTCGGCCGACTCAGTGGTTCGTGTTCGAACCCCACAGTTCCGTTATCCTCCATTTTTCTGATCTGTCCACTTTTAGTCAAATCGATTCGTCCGTTCATCAGTATCATCGAGCACCTCCGTCGTGAGATGTCTTCGCTTAGCGGAGCTCTAACAGGCTGCGTTCAATCCCAAACTATCACCACATTTCGGAGTCCGGCTCTGAACCTTGGCCATGCGATTCTCGATGCTATGAAGATAGCGGAAAAGTCCGTTGTCGCCTGTTTTGAACACTCTGTGCTCCACACCGTTTCATTGTCATCGGAGAAAGATTTCATCGCAGATGCACAAGCACAGCTGATAAAGGCCAGGGATGGAGTTCGCGAAAACCTAAAGCGGCACCTTGACGATATTGACATTAGTCACCGTTCTGTCCCAGGTGGGATGAAGCTCTCTAAGGAGTTATCGGATTCCTGCTCTTTCATGATCTCTCTACTACAAGTACGTGGTCACAGTGACCGCTGGATCACCCAATCTAACTCTTGTTCACGGCTAGATGGCTCATGAGCTTCGCCATGCACTCATAATTGCTCACAATATGACAACAGTTTACGACAAGTCCCGCACCCGTCTGTGGTACCCTCGCTTAACCTGGGCCTGGCTCGGTCTCCCACCCTCTACGATGATAAATGACGAGGACACAATACCAGAAGAGGTGCAGCATCGACATGTCGATCCCGAATCAGCTCTCAGTCTTGCAGAAGCTCGACAAGGTATCGCCGAACGAGCATATCCTGGAATTGATCCTCATAAGATACCCGTCACCGAAGTTCCATACAAGAACAAACCGGGCTTTCACATACTCCATCTCGGCTCATGGATATCCGGCTTTTGGGCAGCAAGGAAGGTGTTACGGGCCCGACTCGCGCTCTCCAAGTTTTTGAGAGTCATACACCATTCCAGCCATATCAAACATGCGACCAAGAATGCGGTTGGAGTTGCGTTACTGAGCCTTCCGGCGTTCCTTCCCATTGGGAGCCCAGGTGAGTGCGAACGTTCGAGTGTAGGATGTCCCTAACAGCTCTATAGGACAGCGATGGTTTACGTATATACACGGACAATGGGCGATCATCAGCTACGTCTGGGTTCTGGAGACAAATACTGGTGCGACTTGGCATGTTGGATATCTTCGAATAGTAAGATGTCTCTGTGATTGTAGATTTAAGACTCACTGATACATTTTCCTTAGTCTGGGACTATCATCGGAGCTGTCTACGCTTACGTCGTAAGTGGTGCATGCATCCCCTGACTTCAGGAGACACTCATGCCTTCGTCGCAGACGTGGCTCATTTGCCATACTAATCCATACGCTCTAGTCCTGTTTGTGACGGTCAGTTATTTTAATATGATGTGCCACATGGTACTGAATACCCCTCAGGTTGCCGATCTGCCTTTCAGCTGGATTATAGTGAACACTTCTATACCTTCACTTGGAGTTGTGGCGTGTGTACACCGTTATTCCCACGTAACGTTGCCACTGAACGCTGTTTCCCTCACAGTAACATCACTCTACCACCTATTGTTTTTGCGCGTTATTTGAGCCTGTCTTCGACCACTCCAGTAGTTGGTGAGCAATGACTCTGTACCGGCCTGTTCTTTTCTCACATATATCGATGTAGTTCTCGCTGCATTGAGAGCACTTACGATTGGAGTCGGCATTGTTGTTGCATTACTTGTGAACACTCTAGTGTATCCACGTCACTGTCGGGTTAGTCCTCAATATTATTCAGTATCATGTGGTAGCTAATATTCATCACTTGCTAGGTTTTGTATCTCTCAGATTCAAGTCGGACACTCAATCTCTTGAGTCAACTGTATCTTACTCTTGGGCGGTGAGTCAAATCTGCGCTTTATGGCTATTACAATTCGCACACTCAAGGCCGTCTCCAGTGATCTTTTCCAGCGTCACTACTATCTCACTCCTGACAACCGCCAAACCGCTCTCAGACTCGAGCAGCAAATACGGAGCGCACTATACCGACTGTCTCTTCTCCTGAACGCTATGAACGATGAACTAAGCTTGATTCCTGTCTGTATCTGCACATTTTCATACGTATACATGCACTGACGACGGACGCAGAAACCTATGCGTCAATATAGGAAAACCCTCACCCAACTTCAGACTATGCTAGATTTGATGACGGGCCTGCGAAAAGTCCGCGAGAACATACCAGTCAAGGAAACCATATCCACTGTATTTTCAGAACGTCGTGATTTTGTTCGTCTCTTCTTTCCTAGCAATGCCTACCCAGCTCACGGTCTACCTTTCCTTGCCGTTAGGTCTCTTGTATCTGCCTATCCCTACACGCCTGTGAATTTTCTTTCCGTTGCCGACGTCCACTCCCTCAATATCTTCCCTCCTCCCGACACGCCCTCAAAACGCTTGTCGGCCACATCGAAGACTCGATAAACGAAGCACGCGCCCGGGATCCCCGCGCCCTCGGCCTCCCCCTCATCTATTCCCTGGCCGAGATCGAATTTCTCAAGAATATCGTTGACACGATGGAAACCCTGCTGGATGTTTCGAGAGCACTCTTCGGGACGGCGGCATGGTTGACGGAGGAGCCAACGTGGAGGACGATAAGTGTGAATGATACAGAGGACTCGAACAGGGGCTGGTATAGCACTTTGTAATAATTCCATGCAGAGTATAAGCCATACTTTCGGCCATCATCTGCATATCGTGTATCTCTACGAACTTATGGCTTTATCCTGCACCTACATACATTTTTTTACGGCGTGATACTCATCAATGGAATAGACATCGCATGCATGGAAAGCACTCATTTTGGAAGGACGGTACCTAAAGCATTTCTGCTTTCGATGTGGAAGGCACACTAGTATACAAGAGAAGGAGGAGCAGGTAAACTTGGCAATGCCAATGACGTGGAGGACCTTTCGAGGAAAAGAGTACGCCTAGGTCTGCCTCACTCCTCTTCCTCCTCATCTGAGAAAGCCCTGCGTGCAGCATTTCGAGGGCCTCGTCTCGCTGTGCGTATCCGAATATCTTCCTCCTCCTCGCTCTCCACCTCCATATCGGCGTCTTCTTTCTCTTCCTCTACATTCCGAGCTTCGTCACCGGCCTCCTGCTTCTGTTGAGCTTGTTTTCGTCTCTCCTCCTGCTGACTGATTTTCGACTCCAACCGTTCCAACTCATCCTCTGAATCCAGGTCCTCTTTGCGCCTCTTCTTTTTACGAGCGGCACCACCATCGGTCGAACCACCTCCACCCTCTTCCTCCGAGTCCGCCACCAAAAAGTCGTCTTCCTGATACTCCCCTCCCCGTCTCCCCTCCTCTGGTGCACCTGCCCTCCTCTTCCTCGGGCTACTCTCACCCTCGGACTCCGACAACTCGAACTCCGCCTCCTCTTCATCGTCATCGCTCCACATATCATCCCCGGCCCTTCTTCTTGGCGCTGCTCTCTTCCTCCTCTGTCCCATTCTATCATCAGGGTCACCCCTGTCCGCCCTCGACTTCCGAGGCTTCTTCGACGCAGCCTTCATGAGCTCCTGCTTCTCCTTCTCCGGATCCATCTGGGGGTCGTCCGCCAACCGCATCCTTGCTGTCTTGCTCTTCTGCCCTACAGCACGCACGAGCAAACGATGAGTCTCGGATTGCATGTCGGTCGGTCGGAGAGACATGTATCCAGTAATGATGGCTTCAGCCTGGAGGATCTCAGCACGCTTGTGTTGCGCGACGAGATACGTGAGACCTTGAGATTTGGCGGTACGGGCAGGTTTTGTTGGGGACTGTGATTGAGACTGAGAGAGTTGGGACTGATATTGTGAAGCGCCTAACGTATGGCGAACGGAGGCAGCAGAGTTGTCGATCACTTGTGACATGTCGAAGTACTCTTTGCCCAGCCGCAGGCTCGTGGTGCCGTCCGACCATTTAATGACGCGAGCATTTGATTGACGTCGCTGCGAAGGTGAAAAGGAAAGGCATACATGAGATAGGTAAAGGAGAGAATGGTGTACATTATACTTACATCTTCACCGTAGTCATCCTTTACCCATCGCCAGCGAATGGTATTCTCCACGCGAAGCTTGATGCCCATGTCTCGTTCCTCAGGTGCCTTGGGAAGCGAAGACTCAGCATCCTCATCTTGCTCCGGTCCAATGTAAGTGTCTCGGTGAAACGGCTTTGAGTCTACTCTGACAAAATTAGGCATCCGAATGACCCAGTGCTGTCAATCAACGACGAAGTAAGTAAGTAGTTCATGGGTACGATGAGGGTAAGGACGCACCTGACCGTCCGAGCTCTTAGGCACCGGGATGTTTGGGATGTTGACTTCCGCCTGGAGCAAATTTTCGACAACGGGGGGAGCTTCGTCTTCCTCCTCGTACTCCAACTCCTGCCTTCTCTTGCGAGCGGAGGATGAGAGACCCTCAACAGGGGAAGGAGATTTGGTTTCAGGGCCGGTGGTTGTACTATGATTATTCGGTGTATTAGTCCTCAGTAGCGAAAGCAGTTGCAAGATTAACATACTCGTCCTGTTTAGCATTCTCGACCTCATTGTCTTCTCCAAAGAGGTCGCCCATTTCCTGGTCCTCATCCTCGTCGCCTTGGCTGGCGGCGCCAGGGGTATCCATATCGACATCTTCACTTTGTATCACAGGATCGTCTGTTTCAGCTTTTGGTTGCTGAAAGTTTAAGGCAGGAGGAGGAGAAGCGAGCGCGCCAGCAAGGGAAGACATATTGAGCTAGCTGCGATCTATCTTGACCAGAAGTGCGAGGGCCACACCAGTGACAACGCTCGTCGCTCGCCTCGCGCTGTCCGGCATTTGCCGTGCGCTCGCGCACCACGTGATGGACGCGTTGAGCGCTTACAAAAGGCGGCGCGTCCGCTTCTGCTTCCTGACACCGTCCACCATCATCAAGCTCGTCGTCCGATCTGTCGAAGACCCTCCTCGCCCTAGCTGCCTTCGACTTCCTTCGTATTTCGGCGTCGTTGAAGCTCAGTGCCTTTTCGATGACCTCGGTCACCCGCTCATGACGTGTCACCCGCTCTTCCACAAACCGTCCGCCTCCTTAGCCAACACTATGCATTCCATGTAACCTATGGAATGACATCTAACCTAAGTGCTTATGGGTTCGTCCGTGTTTCTTTTTGCTCGAGGTAGTTTCCCGTCCCGTTCGTTCCTTATGGCCTGACGACAGCCATTTGTCGATTCTTATCCAATCCGATGCGCGTCGATTTTGGGTGTCTGAATTCGAATTACGCGTCGTGGCAGATGCTCTCTGCATGATTTTGAGCCTTTATCGCTTGCATCGACTCCTGTGCTGTCATCCATACCATCTGCTTAAAGGTGCTTAGTTGTCCGATAACAGCCATTATCTCTCTACCTGACACACAGATCCCTGTCCGTGTGGCCTCGGGACCCTGGTTCTTGAATGAGCCCGTCGCAGTCTACACATACAGAATGCCCCCATCGCTCGCCGAAAATGATCTTCGGGTCAAGATTAGGTCGAGGATGCACGCTTTCATGTAGACCCGACGGCTCTCGTTCTTGATAAGGAAGGCCACACCGGGATGACACGGGATCCTAGGGGTTATGAGGGATAGTGACTGCGGCACTCTGCACTCGCGATGTGTTCTACTGTATTGTACGTGACATGTACAGGACGAGTGGGTTACGCACAGGCTCATCATCGTGCGGGAGCACCGTGTCTGGCGACCAGGATACATACAGACTTCTTCGCGAGGTCTTACTTCCCTGGTGTCGTTCCGTAATCAGAATACTTGCATTGCCGTCTTCGCGTAACGGATTGCTGACGAGGTTCGACGGGCGGACGGACGAGAACTACTGCTCTGCGGAGTGCCAAACGAGCTTTCCGCACAGAACACAGGCAGCCCGAGTCTCAGACTCTTCCCGAGTGTTTGCGTTGGGCAGTGGTCATAGGGCTGCTGTCCTATTGTTTCGCTCGAACCCGGAGATCTTTACGTGGCTTTACTCTCCGTGGGCCATCTTATCCGTCTCGTAGCTTTTCTTCACAGAAATGCGACAAGTCGGTTGAGGGAGGGGTCCTAAAATTAAATTAAACTGCATGGCTTTGGAGATTGGCGGGGCGTGGGCCCAAGGGTGGTCATGATTCGCCTGAGCATAGGGAACACACAGAAAAGCACTGGCTGGACGTCGTGATAGTGTAGGAGTGTCGTGCGTCAGGTGCTTTGGTACGAGACGAGAGGGATCGTGACTCTTATAGCGACTTGTTGTGTGGTGCACAACTAGGGGATCCTCTAGCACATTCATCCACCCCCAACTGTCGCCCTTCCATCTGCACACAGGAAGGCACACTGCGTTATCCTCCACCCAACCGATTGGCTTCTCATCGAGCATCCCAATTACCTTGATGCCACACTCGTGACAACCACAGGCGTTGAGCTTGCTGCAGACGCATCTTGGGCGATAGTGGGTTCATTCTCGAGGCCTCTGGGTGCATCGTTGTCATACAGCTAGGACTGCTAAGACCTTATTCTTCGAGCTTTCCTTCCAGTCCTCGTTTGTGCTCTTCCGTTCTCCAGTGGCTCTTCAGACCTGTTTCTTCTCAGTCACGCGGGCCTCGCTTTGTTGACCCACCGATCTGCTAAACCTGAAGCCGTTGTTTGTGCCCCGTCTCATCGCCCCGATGGTCTCCTTTCCTCCACGATGCTACTCGCTTCACCCGATCAGAATTGTGTTCCCCACGGGGTTTCGCAATAGAGATCCGTTCTCGCTCTCGATTCGTGGTGAATGCAGCTGGCCGTGTGTTGAAAGCCCGTCGGGTCTCCGATTGGACGGACCAGCAGGAACTCCGGTCTTTGGTGTGACGCAGTCGTGGCGAGATGCGTTGTCCTCGGGTCTGATCGAGGAAAGAGGTCGCCGCTCGGAGCACGTACAGGAAAGACACAGCGACTTCTGTGGGTTCGTTCAGAATAAGCGAGCAGAGCTCTGTACGCTCGGTTCGCCGAACGAGACGAAGTCACCCGGAGTAGTCACGCGTTTGTTCTCCGTCCCAAGAGCAGCAAAGTTCCGTCGCGTTCAGTTGTCTTCAAGCCGAAAGGTACGATGTGGTGCGCGATGGGTAAAAGGGTTGTAAGGTGCAGGGGGTGCATCGGTGCGAATAAGCCGATGTGCTCCTGGAACCGAAGTCGAGAGGGAGAGTGGCGGTGGTGCGAAAGCACTGGTAGCGTAGCGGGGGAAGTCCACTTCGGTGGCTTGGAGAGCGAGGTGAATGTGGTGTCACCAAATTTTTTCCAAACCTCCATCGCTTTCGTAGTGATGATTGTCTTTTCGTTTCGCGTATATTTTTCCTTCAGTAGGCCAAATGATCGGTTCTTTTGCTTGTATGCGCTGTATGTACCCGTGGTCTCTTGAGGCCACGGAACTTGCGGTTTTGCATTCCCGTGTGAACCGTGATGGTATGTACCTTGTTGGAACCTGCTTGCCAGGGATTTGGACCACACGTCCAGTCAACGAGGTCGTGCGAGCGTGCTTGCCGATCATAAGTGAGGCGGATGTTGTGTACATAGTAACAACAGGGAATGTACAATATATATTGAATGTTACTGCAGTACATGTTTGAACTACATAGCTAACCAACACTGATAACGCACGCAAACGTTAAAACGTCGCGCAAGGTTGCAAGCGGAGGACTGCTAAGAAATGTAGATGTACCGCAAGCTGATGCTTCCAGTACCGCGCCTCCATGGACGCGACCGATATCATCCCCGGTTCGGTTTGCTACGGTATTCCATACGAGCAAGACCGATGGGTGTGGGTAGGGCGAACTCGACAGAGACACCTGACTGTCGAGCGGTGTGATCTGGTACCTGTGGGTAGGATTGATGGCCGGGGGTGGTTTCAGATGGCGAGGGTACAAGTGAGGGTGCTCGTTTAGAACTGGTCGAGGAGACTCAATATGCGCGCGGTCTGGGTGCAGAGTGCTTTACATGGTGCGTATCAGCATTCCAGTCCCCCACTTTGAGCGTTTATCGCTGTCCGCTGAGCGTAAAACATGAGATCAGATAACTCACCTGGCTCTCAATTCCCGTTCACTTCATGGAGCGCAACAGAGTTGTCGGGGATAGCAGAAGACTGTCCGTCTGTGCCCGTATTGGGGGTCGTAAGATGTTCTGCAAGATCTGGAAAAGTTTGAAGCAAAGCCTCGTCGAAAAGAGCTCGGTATGACTAGAGGAATGATGAAAGCTGTCGAATCTAACGCTCGTAATACATTGACAGACTGAGAGCGCACCTCGATTGCGTTGATCTTTCCGTTCATGAACTGGTTCTCAGTAGCCGCTCGCTCTAGCCCGTCCTTCGTAAGGTGCGTCGGGTTGCGTCCGTTGTCGATGTCAGACATAATCTGAATGGGTATCATGGTCGGTATATGTGCTGCCATATCGTCTATCATGCTTAAGTGGTGGACGACCTCATTTCTGTGACGCGAAAGTTCCGTTTGTTTGGTTACATCGTAGGATACGCGATACAGAGAGAAAGACGCACACGCGATGTCCGACTTGTTTCCCGGACCCAACCTTGTCCTTCTCTTTCGTCGAGTCATTGACGACGGTCGTGCCAAGATTATAGAGAGCATTGGCGAGACCGAGAAGCTCCAGCTCGAGATCGCCTTGTGGACCACTGGGCGCTGGAGATTGGGATGAACGAGGAGAGTCCGGTACTGGAGGAGGTGGTGCCATCGAGAGTTGAACAGTGCTAGATAGGCTATCGAGGAACCGTAGAAGAAATCGAGAGGGAGAAAGTCACAGAGTGCTACTCGGTCAGGTTCAATTCTTGGTAGTTCTTGGTGTGAGCAGAGAGGTTCGCGATAGTTCACGACCGGTTTCTGTTTGCTCTTGTTGAAACCAGAGGCCGACGCCCCCCGCGACGCACCGAGCCGAACGCCCGGGGGCGTGTGTCACGTAGTGTGGCACTGGTGGCACCCCTACTTATCCGACACTGAGTAGTACTTGTAGTTTATTTTTCGAGACGAAGAGCATGAGCAGATGTTCAACGAAACATGAACAACACCCCTATCGAAAGCAAGCATTTCACTATTGAACGAGCAGCCAAGTTACAAAGCATGGTATCAAATTTCGACACAGTGTATGATGATGAGCGCCTCGCGCGCCGATACGTGGTACAGAGCAAAAATGGATAACGCTTGGATAGATAGTAGCAAAACAAACATACTTAATCTACAGAGCAATACCATCAGAGTCATATAATTCTGGGAAGAATGGCAGAAAAAGAACTCACAGATGAAGACTTCATTGACACGACGCCCCAACCTTATACTCTTACAACACATGACCTGCTCCGCCCTTGCACTTAATCACAACTCGATCTCGGTCGGAAACGCTCCATTTTGGTCGTCATCGTCTGCCAACTGCGAGGGCTTCAACATTCCAGGAACCCGAGCAGCCGCTTCTCTCTCCACCTGCAACTTTCTCTGTGTCTCCGCCTCTCGTTCGTCCAAAAACAGGTCGGAATGTTCTCCAGCGAACTCCTTGAGCTGTATGAGGAAGTCTCGGAGCGCAACCTTAAAGTCGCTGTAGTCTCTTGTTTCGTGGTATCGCGACAGATTTGCGACGAAGGTCGTGATGTTCTCCCTACAAATTATGCAAAGATTCAGTACGATATTCAGTTGGAACAAAAAAGGGGTATGAGGTACTCACTTTGAAGTGTGAGGAAATGCCGTAATCAACAAGTTTGCGATGTACGAGCGAATGAACTCGGCGTTGCTCCTGAACGGCATGCTCTCATCGTACAATGGTCCTGGAATCCTGTTGGTCTCGACCAGATGGATCAAGAGCGCCAGCAACTTTGCTTGCTCCCTGAACCCGCTCTGGTGCCCACCGTCTGTGAGGACGTAGAAGACCTCCTGGAGGAGGGTGATATAGTACTGCTGGAAGAACGGTCGCGCGAAGGTGCTATCATCAACCATGGATGCAAAAGTATTCACGAGCACGGTACAAACTGCAAGAGGACAAGTCAGTTCGAAGTAACAAGGAGGATTGAACAGCCGACTTGCGTTGTAGACCAGTCTCGGAGACGTCCCTTCCGGTATGCTTCATGGACCATACTATGCTGTTCATGAAGGCCTTGTATTGAGATGGGCTGAGCTTGAGCAATGCTATCATATACAAGTCGTCAGTCATGAAGGACTTGTTCGAGGGATGGGAGTTCCGCAACGTACGATGGAAGCAATGAGTAGTCAGTGAGCTCAAGAGCTTGAAAAGATTTAACCGATGCTCTGGATATTCTACAAAGTCCTGCTTGATCATATCCAGCGTGGGCTCAAATACGCCTTCAAAGATGGCAGGAACATATGGATGAATCCGAGCCTATAAGCACCCTTTGTCAGCTCTGATAAGCTTCGAAATTGACCACAATGGTTGACTTACATCCAGCTTCGTCACTACCACCTCCAATGCCTCCAGAACCGCCGCCTCCCTTGTCGATGGTGGATTCTTCTGGTAATCAGTCACGATAACGTCGAGGAACGGCGGGATAAAGTGCGTGCCAAGGGTGTCCAGGTCGACTGTCACGTTCTTCACATAGGTCTGCACAAGCTTCAGGATCTCACGCTTGACCGTGCGCGCGTATCGGACCCGAGGTGTCTTGGCCGCGATTTCGCCTACGGGCACGCACCGTGTTAGCGTGGGGGATGGTGTTGGATGGCTTACATCACCGGTAGTAGAGGCGTTGGGCGGGACGACGAGCAAGGTAAGAACATCGGCAGACCGAGACTGACCTTCGTTTGCCATTATGTCGACTATGACATCGCCGAGAGCGCGATAGAGTTTGAGTATGTCGAGATAGATTGTTCCGAGGTGATTGGTGAAAGCCTCGCCTAAGGAGGTACATGCAGAAACATACGAGCGCAGAACGTTGGCCAATATCTGGAGTGTGTCGGTCTTGAGGAGAACAGTGACATCCGTCGATGATTCGGCTAACATCTCCCACTGTCCGCAGCAAAATAATGAGTACTGGTCACTAGGAGGGGATCCCGCAAAGGAAGGGATAGAGAGGGAGTGGTACGTACTGCAGCTGTGGGAAGCTCCATGAGCTTGGCGATCATCCTCTCCCGCTCAGCCTGATTTGGATGAGCAACGATGATGTATCCCACTGCCTCGTAGAAGGAGTAAACCTGGGCAGGGGATAGATCGGCTGTGACGCGCTGCAGCATAGAGAGGATCTCCAAGATGAAAGCTTGTCGCTCGCCCTGCTGCCGAATGACGAGTGGGCGATGACATTTCTGCACAATTTTCATGAAGGTATCTATGGCCATGTCTTGGACACCTAACAAAACAATTAGTATCCATGGAACGAGAGAACGTATACGGCGAAAACTCATACCTTCGTGCGTCTCGTGCATGAACTCGAATAACTTCTGGATGACGGTCTTGAGGAACCGCCAATGACCCCTCAAGAACCGAGGATATTGCCCCACAATGTACATGATGGCAGAGGCGACCACAACCTTATCGTCCTTCCCCCTCTTCATCTCGCTTAGCCCAAGCAGGCTCTTGATCACCACAATGAAGAACGATGTTTCTTCTTCAGCCTCTACAACCAGTTCAGTCAGTATCTAGTCCATGCAGAGTTGCGAAATTCCAACAAGAGTGCGTACCCATAGTCCCCGAGATACTCCCAATAGCCCAACAGAGCCTATTTAGATTGTTCCAGCTCCACTCTGAACCATCAATCTGCCTGCCAAGCTTCTCAGTCAGGATATTCTCCGTTTCTTTGACGCCGAGATGGGTGAGATAGACGAGCAGTTGGCGCATGGAGTGGTAAAGAGCGATAGTATCTGTTTCTTGAACATGTTCGCGCACCATCTCGCCGTCTTCATTTTCGACCACGAGGACCTGTAAATTTCGTTAAATAGCTGGGTCTGGAGCAGAAGAAATTTCCAGAGTACGAACCTCTTCTGGTTTCGCCATGTTCTCAATGACGACCAACCTCAACTCGGACAGCACATCTGCGTAGACCCCTAACCTGATGAAAGCGATCGCCTCCGACCCTGGTGCTGTCGCCGTCATTTCACCCCCTTCGTGTCCGCTGGTGCTTCGGGATTGGAGGTAAAGCGGGCCAACGAAGCTGACCCAGTACTCGACACAGATCTTGAAGATTTCCCTCTCGTCTACGCGTGAGATTTTGAGCAGATATCCGTGTGCAAGTTTCAGTGGATCAAAGTCCTGTAGTAATAGCGGTGATCCTGATGCTTGGGATGTCTCGACGAGATTGAGGTGGCGCGACAGAAAATTGCAAAGGAATAGAGCAATAGATAATATGAAGTCTTGATTTTCCGTCGAGGACTCGGAATATGCGGCGGCGATGTCAGTCGAGGGAGGGATGAGGTGTGTGAGGGCCGTGATGACACGGTAGAAGACTTGCATTATGTGCTCTGTGTGCGTAGGTGGTACGTCAAGCGAGGCCATCTCGGCAAGGCATTTGATAGTAAGATTCCGGAATTGGGGGGCTTCAAGGTACTGTGAGATGAAATGTTATGAGCTGATGGTAATTGACTCGTTTTGAAGTGACGAAGGGGAGGAAGTGTGGGGTTCACCTTGTCCAAGAGACTATCTACCACGTCTGACCTGAACATGTAATCCACCGACAACCAATTCAGAAACCTCAGCAGCGTCCCCAATGTGGCCTTGATCAAGCTCGGTTTCGTCGCCTCTTTCAACACCTGCGTACACAGTGTGAAGATCTCACTAAACTCGTTCGCGAACTGCGTCTTCAGCTTCGCGATTTTATCGTGCGTCATCTGGGACGACGAATAGTCGAAGATCTCTTCTGAGAGGAGGCGTAGGATGTGCATGTTGTTTTCGCAGAGCGAGAGTGAATTGTGTGAGGACTGGATGAGCTCAGGCATGAAGGTGGGCCAATCCTGTGGCCAGTCTTGTTTGAGGATCTGCAATGTGGCGACCATGAATCGTTCAGTGGCACTGAGTGTCAAAAGGGGAACCATGGATGGTCAACATACCTGAACGAGGGCCATGTTGAGTTTGTTGAGATAAGTCTTCTCTCGCCGGGCTGTGGCCTCGTCTGAGGCGATTTGTACGTTGAGATTTATGACAAAGTTTCGGACACCTGCGTATATTCTGGTGAGCTCCCAATGACCCACCACTAACAGTATGAATGAAGCGCACCTTGTCGTTGATCCAACGGTAGGGCTTTCCACCGTGTATTGACGAGCTTCTCCAGAATCTGCAAACCAACGAACTACCATGGAAAAAGTATTGATCCGAGCGCTCAGGCTATAGGTACCAGGTATCTGGGTGGCAGGTGGCGCACCTTGCTCTGCGGATATGAAGACCGCTCCATAATCATAGGTACGCGTGTCCATGCATCTGAGTGCTCTTGGAATTGGGAAAGTACCCTTTGGGCTTGTTGTTGCTGAGGTGGTGGTTATGTCGTGATAAGTATGGTGGCCCAAGCGTCAAAGCGAGCATAGTCGACAGCACAACGGTCGCTTACCTGTTCGCCTCCTGAGCCAGAGTAGAGTGCCACAATGACTATGTCAAATAGCCCGACATCCAAATCTCTCGAGAAGTCAAGGATCGCCTGTGATTGTCGCAAATAACGAATGAGTAAGTCGCAGAAATGATGTCGGAACAGGCTCTGTACCTCCATCGTGTTATGACCCTCGGTCCTACTTAGTTGTGGGTATATGCAGTATATGCGGCAAGCGCTGCCTGTACAACGGGCAAGATGGGCAAGTTGGGAAGTTGTCGTGAAGGACGATGGACGTAACGGAAGTAAAAGTAGCTGATGGGACTACCAAATCGAACATCTATTGTTCGATCACGAGCCAGTGTCAGGATCTTATCTTATCTGCATAGAATACCGATGCCGCATCGCCGGCGATCTTGGCTTCAACTCTTGCTCCTTCACGCCGACGTTGACGATCTTGCACGCCCACCAAACTACACGCTCTCTGTACCAACTACCCTACGTTCTTTCTTATACACAGTCTCTACGGGTCCTGCTCGCTTCCTTTCGTCATGTTACGGCACGACATACTTCGTGGGTCTTGTTCTGGCCCTTTTCAGTGCTGGTCTCATCTGTTTTGCTCTCGTTAGCTGTCGCCATTGTCTCCGTTCTATGCACGCTCGCTCTATTTGGGCTACTGCTCCAACTTATCCCCATGCTCGTGCGGTTCCTTCGTCGACGCAACGGATCACACATCGTCGATATCGAGCATGCGCCCCGCAGCAACACCGGCTCCACCAGCGGACTCCACACCTTCAAGACCAGCGCGTCGCACCATCAAATCTCGCTTTCAGCATCGTGTCCTATTGTCGTAGAGCTTGAAGACGACGAAGGGGAGAAGGGAGAGTGGCAACTTGTGCTGACCCCCGCCACGCCACGGAAGGCGAAGGCTGAACGGCTCTGAGCATGGGTCTCGGCCTCATCTAACGTCTTTGGCTTGGCGTACGCAATGTATTTTATCTCGGTTTCTATTTTGGGCGGGATCATCGAAATGACATCAGCGCTTTGACCTGACGACGTTTTGTGCGGTTGTTGTGCGGCTACGGTGCATACCCGCTGTCGTGACATCATCCATTTCTCCCAATAAAAGTGCAGCCAGGTATGGACACCAACTGCACGACGCGTACGCTCCCCAGACCCGAACGCCCAACGCCAGCCAAATCTTCGCCATGTACGGTCGCAACAACGTGAACGACCCGAGCAAGAACGCCGCCACCACCGGCGGCACCATTCCGTTCAGCGTCGGAGCTTGGTTCAGGCTGCATGGCCTCGATCTCCTTACCATGGCTGCCATGGGTGCTCTTGGTCTCGGGATCTATGAAGCCTGTCAGTTCAAAGCCCCGATGCGTACCCTGCTGTAGTTGAACTTAGAACTGACTTCGCCGTCGTGTGCTCTAGCACCGGCTCCTAGTCGTTCATTTCCCGTATTCTTCCAGGATGGTCAGGTTGTCTACCCTCAATTTGCCTACCCTATTCGGAAAGAGGTTGTGCCAATCTGGTATGTTTTATTTTTTCTTCCTTCTCGAGTAGACAGGCAATTGATGAGTGCATGGACGTTTAGGTTGGCCGCTCTGCTCGCTTTCATCGTGCCTTTCGTCTTCTTTGTTCTTTTTCAGATTCGGAGGCGCAGTGCCAACGACTTTCTGACTACGAACATGGGTCTTCTCAAGAGTTTGATCACTGCTGCTGTCTTCCAGGTACATCATATCATAGAAATACATATACCTCTTCCCTGACATCTGCGATCCAATAGGTCTGGCTCAAGTGGCTCATTGGTGGCCTGCGTCCCCATTTCCTCGAAGCTTGTCAACCCAACCTCACCCAAGGTTCGGCACCGAGTGGTTCAGGGTTTGCCTCCATTATGTACGATCGCACTATCTGCACGGGCGACAAGGACACCATCGACGACTCGCTCGAGTCTTTCCCGTCCGGTCACTCGACAGCTGCATTCGCCGGCTTCATTTACCTTTCCCTGTATTTTAATGCGCAACTTAAGGTCATGAGCGCACACAACCCTGCATACTGGAAAATGATCTTGATGTTTTCCCCGATCCTCGGTGCAACACTGATTGCAGGAGCATTAACCATCGATGAATGTACGTCCTCCCCTTCCTTTAACCGTCTCAATAAATTTAGAATGATTCTCATCACCTGTCCTGCATGCATCACAGTCCACAACTGGTATGACGTAGCCTTCGGAGCCCTCATCGGCACCTGCACCGCCTTCGTCGCCTTCCGCCAAACCTTCGCCGCCATCTTCGATTTCCGGTTCAACCACATTCTCCTCCCACGACACACCTCCCTCTTCCACCGTTCTCCCCTCTCTGGCGCTGGCTTGCCTTACTATACCTACCATGCACCCGCAGCCGCAACTGGCCAAGATTTGCCGTTCACCCGGGAGGGCGGATGGGCGATGAACCAGGAGTCTTATGTCGGAGCTCCGGGAGATGCGACGGTCTTGATGGGCGGGGCTGGTGGTGGAGGGCTTGGTGCGGGCAATGGCGTTGGCGGTGGATATGGCCGTCACGGGTATGGACATGGTAATGGAGCCGGTGCTGCAGGGCCCGCGACGGATGGGTATCCACCGAACGCAGCCAGTCGCGTCTAAGTACTTCGCTCTTCCTTCCAATTTCTTGAGGCTCCGTGTTTCATGCTTTCGTTTCTGCATGCTAAAATATCTTCAAAGGCACCCTTACCTTTCACACACGTCTTTCACTTTCACGCATACACTATTGACGTTCTGCTACTGCGACCTGCTTAGGACTCTCACGAACACGAATTGTTACTCTACGTTTTTCTAGTCGCACACGATTGATATCATGATATATGTACGATAAGATGCGGATACCCTTACAATGCCCTCCAATTGTAATCCCAACCACCTATAACCGACAGCAGCGAGGCTATGCTGGCTACTGTATTGGTTCAAGTTCAACATCGTCGAGGGTCAGCGAAGTTATGATTTGGTTGATGTCTGTTTCTACGTGATGGTTGATAGTAGCAAGTGTTGGTGACCTCAGATTAAAAAAGGCAGCCTCGAGGGAAAGCGATGAGAAAGAAGCAGTCATATCCATGGCTTCCAGTAAAACTGCATCAACGGTTCGCTGGTCCGAGTAGTCCATCTCGTTCTGCGTCAACAGAACGATATTTCTATCTGAAGGTATTCTCTCCGTTTCGAGCTTGAGGATCTTTGCAGGCTCTGTCGTCTGCCTCGAAGTGGCGGTCAAGGCATCAGAGGCGAGCGAAGAGTTTCGAACTTCGAGGGTAAACTGGGACCAAGGTGGTCGTGGTCGGTGTACTACGAGTGCGCTGTGATTGTCTCTTGGTGTGATATCATGGTGCGGTGTAGAAACCGCAGGAAGGGAATCCGGAGAGGAAAATGGTCTAGCGGCGTAGTTCGACGGTCGAGGAATGATATGTGGAGTAGGTCCGTGACTGCCTGAGATGTCGTATCTATGTGTCGCAGGATGCAGTCGTGCATGACCACAGTAATACTCGGATGCAGACGCATGTGGAGGAAAAGGGTGTGGACCGTGGCGATGTAGCGGTCCAGGGAATGATGCACTGCGAAGCAGCAGGAAGGAAGCCAGAGCTCTTGCCATCGTTCAACGGCTCGAGTGGCTTGAAAAGTGATGTTAGTGATAAATGTTAGAGCAGGGTAGAAGGTAGCGCAACAGCGGTCGGACGTACGAGTCTGGTAGACTGGGTAAGACCCGCAATAGTCTCGAAATCGGGTGAGTATTGTTCGTTTCTCATCATTTTCTGAGTCAACCGAGCCGCAAACAGATAGGACGTAAAGCAAGATGAAGCAAGCGTTTAGAAAAGGGCGGAATGATAGTGGAAGGCCAATCTGATGGTTAGGTCAAGAGGAGAAAGGGAATGCACAATATTAGAGCGATGCAACTTCAAACTTGAAGTTCGCTGCCAGGCAGTTAAGCTTAGTGCGTTCACCCTGACACTGCGCAACAAATCCGTTGATTAGTTGAACATCAAGACAGACGGAAAGGAAATCAGACACGCAGAGCCTGGGTGTATGAGGTCGATGTGTCATCGACGTGTCAAGAAAGAAAGACGTTACCAAAAAGAGGAACAATAGGTGGCGTAAGTTCGTAAGTACATACTGACGCCACAACCGACTTAATCCATGTAGGTTTCTCGACATGTACGCAAGGAAAAGTAAGTATTCAAAGGGGAAACTCGAGCGTATGCTGTTCAGTCAAGCTAATCACCTGGACCCAACGCCTTTCAAGCATATGGGGCCTGTAGACTGTAGGTATTTACTAGTTCGACCTCGCCACACTCGAACATATCCTGACTCGGGCGTATCATTTATATTTATCAGACACAATATGCAAAGAAAATACGATCGCTAGATAAACAGACAAAATTCGACACAAACAGCTCTTACCTCCCTGAATGACCGGGCTCCACCAGATAGCCACCCAGCTCGACGGTAATCATCTTCTAAATCCGGAGGTAAACTCCGATGTAACACATCTGACACCTTTTGCAGCTTCAATTTCTCGAATTTCGTCGTCCATGAGAGAGGTATCGAGGAAGAATATCTCGACGGGATCCAAGTCAGGGAACAGATCCGATCTCTTGCCAAAGAGCGTGATCAGGAGGCTACTGTGCAACTCGATGAATGGCGCGGGCGGGAGGAAAATCCGAAGGATGACGAGCGCGGGGAGGGCTGTGGATCGTGGCGAGTACATGGATTGATTTTCATCTGTGCTTGGCGTGTGTAGGGACTGCAGGTGGTCATGCCATGCTTCCACAAAAGTATGTGCAATCTTGCCCACGAGATTTAGATATCGAATGCGCTGCATGGTCGAGAATATCGCATTTGCGTCGCTCGGGTGGATCGTGCGATCGCCCGTGAGAGAAACCGCAGTGAACGTCTCTAATCGGAACACCTTCAGAGAATGCACCAGACTGAAGTTCCATGCGCGCTGGTGGGTACTGACGTGAGAACTGAAATTGATCCGCAATTGCAGGTTATTGTAAGGATCGTCGACTCCAGCGCGACATATGCTCGTGTTGACTAGCAAGTCGCGAACGTCTGTTTTCCATGAGATAGCAAGGTGAGTATCATCATCACTGGATGCGACTTGATCGTGGCGAGTACTGATGACCTGGAGTAACGTATCGACCTCGTCCGGGTACGAATCGCCACTGTGCCAGTAGCATTCCAGCTCAACTTTTGTTTCGGCGGGTAGGACGAGAGACTCCATGAGTTTCGCGAGTGGCAATGGCGCATCGCTGCTACGTAGATACAACAGATTGGGCATGTTGACTGGATTGTGGTGTACGGACGACGTCGTCCAATCGTTGTAGACGATGTCGTGGTGTCTCTCTTCCGGAAACGTGAAGCTGAGGTCGAGGGATTCGAGGGAGGGCAATTGTCGCAGAATCGTGAACAACTCATCTGGTGTGGGCCGAGAGGCCACATTCAGATCGACCTCGAGGACCAGCGTGATCAAGTCCAGCCGAAACATGCGACTCGTCCACGGGAAAGTGCAGTCATACAGTTTGAGCACTCGCAGTTGAGGGCAACGTCCAGAAAAAAGATCGTCAGGGATCTGACACGTCCCTTCAGATAAGTCTTCGAGCCACAAATACTCGAGCATAGGTAGCTGAGGTATTCGGTGAATACTGGAAACGAGCTCCGTGAAGATGAAGCTTATCAGGTCGATTTCGAGCGTCTTGATATGATTGAGGTGAGGAAGAACCGCTTCGAGTCTTTCCTCATAAAATACATCACCCACGTCGTCGTCGAAATCGCTATGTAGAGCGATGGTTAACGGGGCAGATTTGGAGCGCTCAAAGGAAATGTGCCTCCACTCTGGGCCCCGATAGAACATGATGTCCGTCCATAACAACGCGCAATCAAGGGCTGCCTCGCGCCACAGATGACATACGTGAGTGATAGAAAGCCAGGTAGGATAGGCCTCGTCGTCTGGTAATATGTCGCCGTACTCGTCGGGTTCGTACAGTACGCTTTCGAGATCGGCAGCGGGAAAGAATAGGAAGATGGACGTGAGGACGGAGAAGGGCAGACGAGAGATGGGTGCGAGATCGTTGTGACGGCGTCGTAGTTCAACGGTGTCGTCGTTTTCATTGTCGATGTTGTCGGGGGCGATGTGGTGCATGGGTGAGTGGAACAAGGGGGTTGCCACCGAAGAGAGAAGCGTGACACGGTCGGAGTCGGCCAGCCACTGGCCAAAGCAGGCCAACGCCCCTTCCCTTCTTTCATCGACTGCGAGGATTATATACCCCAGAGCACGCTGCTCGCCACGACGACCTCCCTCCCTTTAATTATGGACAGCCTCTTCGGTAGGAAGAAAGCACGGCCACGACAAGGCTCTGTCTCCAACCCAGGCGAACTGCGCTCCGTGCCATACGACAGAGTCCCTCCAGGCTCCCCCGTCTCCGTCGCTCCTTCTCGCTCAAATGTCGTCTCCAATATTTCAGCTCCAATCACGAACCCCACCCTTACCGCAAACGGCACAGAGCTAAATCTTCACCTTCTCGGACGGCACAGATACGACCGCGAGCCATCTACGGCCTCCACCTCCAACACGCGTCCAAGTTCTCCGCAAACGTCTTCTGCAGATGACTCCTCCACGCTTTACACCGAGTCCATAGACTCACTACCCAAGCGGCGCATAAGACAGAGCGAGGCTTCTTCGTCCGGCAGACGGAGCCCATCCGTGGCAGACTATGGCCCATACCATTCCCCGACCTCCCCACCTCCGCCCCTTCCCAATTCTGCCAACTTAAACAACACCATGCGGCCAACATCGACAATGACTACCATGACTTCACGCTCGGATGGCAATCGCGCCTCGCGTTACGCGCCGTCGCTGGCGAGCAACGAAGCCCGTTCCACCTATTCTCACCACCACTTCCCGCATGCCCACCTTCACCGGCATCCTTCAGCAGACGAGTTCTACTTTCCACGGCCGGATTCCGATGCTGAGATCGAAGCCTTGTTTGACGACATGAAGCGTACGCGCGACCTCGGACAGTTGCCACACCTTACAATCGACCAGAAGTGGAATATGGTGGAGAGTCATGAAAGGATTCGGTGGAAGGATGAGAAGACGAGAGACGAGCAGTCGAGGAGGCAGCAGGATGCTGGGAGACCAGCGGCGATCGAGGAGGGGTCGCCACAGTGGTATGTAAAGAAGTTTCTGGACAAGACGATTACCGCGAAGCAGGCGTCGGGACTATGGGTGTCGTTGCGTGGTAAGGAGATGAGGTATGTTCTATCTCCGCTGTGGCACATCGGAGACTGATAAAGTCTTGTGGCGACGACTGACGATCCCTATAGTTGGTTCCGCGAATTCATCTCGATACAGGGCACCTCAGTACTGGCTCAGTCGCTATCACACATCAGCAGGAAAGGGTCACTAAGGTCAGAGCATTTCATTCAATTTAAATCTGCTTGTATCAAACCGAACCTTCCAGGCGAGACTCGGACAATCAACTCGAGTACGAGGTCGTGCGCTGTTTGAAGCAGATTTTAAACCACCCAGTCAGTAGCCACCCTCCTCCCACACTCAAGGCCTTCCTCATTAAAATATACCTCTTCGTCTAGTATGCTACGAGCGAGGCTCTTACACATCATCTCATTGTCACTCAAGTCGCTTCGTCTCTGAACTCACCACGCATAGGCACCAAGAAACTCTTGATCGAATTGCTCTCTTTCTTGGCTTATTGGAACGATGGCGAAGCCCACGGTCTCGTCATATCTGCCTTGGAGTCTCTCAGTTCAGCCAACGAGCAGGATCACACACCCTATGCTTACTGGTTCCAGAATATGGAGAGTATCCTTTCTGGCCGAGGAAAGATGGGCAGTCTTGTCGGTGCGAGTGAGGAGGTGCGGAAGAACGCAGCCATGGATGGATCCGTAAATGAGTATGCTGTACGTTCTCCATTTATGTCTTCTCTCCTATGAATATGTGCTGAAGTCCTCCATGTAGCTCTCGAACTTGATCCTGATCAATGGTATCGTGGACTTCATAGACGATCTGGACGTGCGGCTTCACCACCGGACGCAGATGGAGACCGCCGGCCTTCAGCGCATCATCGCCCTATGTCGAGAATTCAATTTCGGACCAATCGAAAAGCAACTCGACATCCTCCAAGATCAACTGGATGACGACGAGGCTAAGCTCAAGGAACGCCTCGACCAGGAGATCCTACGGGACCTGACCGATCTAGAGGACGTGTACAATGCTCTCAAAGCGCGGACGGAGGGTACCAGGGCTCACGACTACCTACTTTCAATGCTTCAACACCTTCTTCTGATCCGGGAAGAAGGTCCTTTACTCGACCATCATTATCAATTGATTGACACGCTCGTTAGCGATGTGGTCATGGACAAGAAGCTCGGTGGCGCCGAGGCACGGCTCGGTCAATCTGTCGAGCGCATCATCGGGCAGTTCAACGATGCCGACCAGTACAAGGTCGCGGAAGCCGACGCCGCCAGAGCACGGACAGAGGCTCGTCTCTTACAACTCGAGAACGATGCTCTCAAGGCGGAGGTGGAGCAGGGCAGCGAGGGGCTCGTCGGACAGCTGAAGGTGCAGATGGCTCACATGGAAGAGAAGTTGACTGTCTCAAGGGAGAACTGTTCACGACTTCAAGGCCAGCTCGCGAGCCAGAAGGCTGGATACGAGGAGCAAATTGCGCAGCTCGAAGCTCAGATCATGGAGCTGTTCAGAATGCTGAGGGAGGTCGGTAAGGGCGTGGACCAGATTCTGGACAGCGGTGGTATGGACCGCAAGACACTCATGGACACTCTTGAGAAACATCTCCAGCGGAATAAGACCATCGAGAAACTGGAAGGCTGGGAAGGAGAACGACCTCGTCGGAAGAAGAGGAACAAGGACGGGGAAGAGGAGAGCGAGACGGACGATGACGATGTTGGGGCCACACCGGGCAAGTCGAGCTTGAAAAGGAGAACGGGCTCAAAGAAGAATGGGAGGTCGGCGAAGTCGGCTCGGATGTCAGAGGCGCAGAATGCGAGAGCATCGCAATTCATGGACGCTGACGAGGCTGATGTACAAGAGCAGGTACAGCAACAGCTTGCGGCTGGTGTCAAGATCGTAAGCATAATTCTTCATCTGTTTTCTCCCGGTATCTTATTGAATTTTCGTCCAGTATCCTGCGCGGGATGGTCCTTTCGAGAGTCCGCGAACCGTCAACCGTTCAATTTCTCGGCGCCTTGCTCAAGACAGCCCGAGCATGAAACGCTCGAACAAATCACAGAATTTGCTCAGCGCTATTCAGGACGACAAGAGTGAAAGCGACCAAGACGGCTCACATTCCTCGTTCGGCCCCCGTGGTGACGACGAGAGTGAGTACGACCTTTCGACACGGAGCGGGTATACAGCACTCACTGAAGATACCCAAGCGACATCAGTCACGTCGTCCATTGATGTATCCCGCCAACCCGGTGTCGGTTCGCTAGCCGAGCAACTTTCGAAGCATTTCGCAGAGAAAGGCAAGACTATACCTGCTGCTGCCAACGATACCCCACAGATGTCACCAACACTGCCGTCTCTTGCAGAGGAACCCGATACGACAATAACGGGAGCCGCTCCACCTCCGCCACCTCCGCCACCACCTCCCCCGCCTCCGCCTCCCCCGCCTCCTCCTCCTCCTCCTCCTCCGGGTATGGCCGGAATGGGCAGTCCTCCTCCACCTCCTCCACCTCCTCCACCACCTGGCCCTGGTGGGATGCCCGCATTCTTCGGCGGCCCTCCACCACCACCTCCTCCTCCTGGTGCTCGCGGCTTCGACCCCGGCGCTCGTGCCTCCATGATGCTCGGCAACAATCTCAACGTCCTTCTATCCGCTCGAAAGGACATTCACATAGTTCCGAGCACGAAGATGAAACAGCTACAGTGGGATAAGCTACCGCAGCAGCAGGTAGCGAAGACTCTGTGGAGCGATGTGAACGAAGAGACGACGAAGGAGGCAGAGATGTTGCAGAAGCTCTCGAGTGACGGTATCTGGATGGAGATGGAGGAGGATTTCAAGGCGAAGCAGTTGGTCATCAATCTACTTGGTATGGCTGTCTTTGGTTCTCGTTTGCATCCACGCCAGTAATATCTGACATTATCTGTAGCCCGCCAGAAACGTGCAGAATTGAAGAGCGTACTCGACTCACAGACCAAGAAGCGTGTCGGTAAGTTATGTCAAAGGGATCCCTCAGCCATAATGTATCTCATGGCAATTTTTTTTCCTTCCAGAAATTCTCGTCCAGCGCGTGAAGAGGATGCCTCCGGAGGAAATCGCTCAAAGGATCAAAGACTACGACCCCGACGTCTGCACCCAAGTCTTCCTCAGCGAACTCAAGCGTGTGGTCCCCACACCCGAGCAGGTCCGCCTACATTCTTATCTACTTCTGCAGTCATTGCCCATTATGCATATGATCAACCTACAGTGCTGACCTTGTATTCGGGCTTGTCTAGGTTGGCAAGCTGAATGTCTACCGCAACGCAGACCCAGAAGAGCTCGCTGGGCTGCATCCGGCAGATCGCTTGATGGTCAAACTCATTCAAATCGATCGGCTGAACTCGCGCATCGACGGTATGCTGTATAAGATTACATTCCAAGAGCAGTGGTCTTTGCTCGATGACGTACGTGGTCTCTTCATGACCTTTGACACCTCGACTCAAGGACTATCGAACAGGGTGCGAGAAAGCTTTCGGATGCTGGAAAGTCACTACTGGGTGCCTCGAACTTCAAGGAGTTGCTCAATGTGTGTACTTCTCCTGGTTCTCGTGAAATTTAGATTCCGATAGGTGTACTCACCATCCGCCCTTCCTTAGCTTATCCTCTTGATTGGTAACTACATGAACGGCACAGGTATTAAGGGTGGTGCTTTCGGTTTCCGAGTCAGCAGTATCAACAAAGTACGTTGAGATGATCCCTTCTGATTTTTACATTCATTGTATTCACTCGTATGTTCTTTCTTTTCAGCTCGTTGACACAAAGTCAGCCAATAACATGACGTTGCTGCACTTCCTCGAGCGCACCGTATCGAAGCATTTCCCTGATATACAGCAATTCGTGAGCGAGTTGAGCGCGCCTGCTGAAGCGTACCGAGGTTCGTGGTCTCTCGCCAGTCTCATTTGCATGGTCTCATCGCTCATATCATCGTACAGTAAACCTGCTGGACGTTCGCAAAGGCCTCTCCGAGCTCCGAGAAGGCTTGAAGACCATCCGTAAAGAACTTCATGAGTTCCACGGCGAGCCGGAGACAAACGATCGGTATTCGCGTCAGATGTGGGATTTCCTGAGGAAGGGAAGCGCACAGTTGGAGGACCTCGAGGATATCGTAAACCTGGCAGACAATACGTTCACTGAAGTGGTCAAATACTTTGGCGAGGATGATAGGAATATGTCTTCTACAGAGTTTTATGGCATCTTCAAAACATTCCTCACGTCGTATCGGGTACGTCCGTTCCGGGATACCCTTGGAACTCGAGTTTACTGACGAATTGTTTGTTTTGTACCGCCAACAGAAATGCCAGCAGGACAATCGGGCGATACTTGAGGAGAAGGAGGCGGTCACGAGGCGGAAGCAAGCACAGGAGGAGATGAAGGCCACTCGCGACAGAGCACGAGAAGCCGCTACTCCAGGGGATCTTGAAGACACATCTGCTCTTGATGACCTCATGAACAAACTCCGCGCAGGTGACAGCGTTGGACGACGTACTCGTCGTGCTCGGCGGCCAAGTCGAGCCGGAGGAGGGACCGGTGGCGCTGCTCCCTCACTTAGTATCAACCCCGAGGCAACGTCTTCGCCACATCTGGGCGGCGTCGAAGCGGCAGATATGGCTATAGACATGTTGGCAACACTGAAGAGCGATGGGTTCGTGCCTACCCCGACGTCACCGACGGCGTCTTCGAGTGCACTTCCGACGGCGAGGAGAAGACGGTTGAGGACCGGAACTATTGCGGCTGATTTGGCGGCTGCTACGGAAGGTCTGGAGTTGTTGGAGGAGCAGCAGGAGCCTGACCAGGGACAGGGGCAAGAGCAGGAACAGGATGCAGAGGAGGATGACTCAACGTCGCCGGCTGGCTCGGCACTGAGGATGCTGCAGGCGCTCAACTCGAGCGAGGATGGATGATAGCTGGTGTCTGTGTTTGTGTCTGTGACTGGATCTTGGACCATAGCTAGCTGCGCTTGATATCCAACCCTCGTTTATTTTTTTGGCTAGTATGATTTCGTCTTTCGTTTCTTTATCTCTTTACCTCTCACTCTCGAATCTCACTCTCACTCCCACTCTCACTTTGAGCATTGCTTTCAGTCCAGTTCAGTTTTGTGTCCCTCTGCCATCCCTCTGCCACTCGTTACATTTGTTATTTTATTAGTGTATCTGCGTACTACTGTAGATGTGACGACTTATGAGCGCTGTGGCTTTTCTTCTAAGTTCCCTCAAATCCTGCGCCGACGCGTACGAACCACGTGCGAACGATGAACGAACCGCCATTTGGAAGTGACCGAAAACGGTTGTTTGCCTTTGTTACATAGGGCCACAAGGCGATGGCCTCGTTGATCACTGCTATATATTTTGCAATTGGGACAGTAAATCAATGCACGTCAACCTGAGCATGTTGAATATCTTCCGCATCACTACGTCCGGGAACGCCTGCAGTTGTCTCCTGTAGAGATCCCATCCCTTCTGCGGCTCCAGTACGTCTGTACATTCCTTTGACGGTATGTAAAAGTTCTGCACGAATACCCGAGTTGTGACGGTAAGTAATAGAGAATGCCGCCGATGAGAAGGGAGCGTTGACTTGGCTTGAGGAAAGGTCAGCCTCAGAGGCCGCACCATATTGAAACACTGACTCTCGGAGAGTGCGAAGAGCGCGTACATGTAAAGCCGGCTCGATATGCTCCGGTTCGTTGCGCGTGCAACAAGGCGCCTCGGGCGGTCTCATGTCGTGTATTTCTTGCTTCATAGCAGTCACCCGTACTCCCGCAAATATTGTCCGTTTTCTTTGGACCCTCGACGATTGACTCGACTCGAAGATGGCCAAGCCCAAAAAATCACCGTACAAAGCCATTTGTTCAAGTTTCTACACGACCACCAATCACTCTTGCGAACTGAACTGTGAACTAAAATTCAAGTTTAATTCCAGGGCCACGATGTTCGATTTCAGCTCGAGAACTTGGAGCGCAACAGGCCTACAAGATAGTCAAGCAAGGAAAATAGCTTACATCACGGCGAACGATACGAAAAACAAGTGCGGAAGCGGATCGATATATTGTATGTCGGAAAACCTGCATTCATCTGGTCGAGGTCGATGCGGCTTCGTCAAGTTTGACCAAGGTAGAGGGTACCCGGTCCCTTGGCCAAGGTGCAGGCCAACAACGTAAGGAAGCTCATATTTGACCAAGTCGGCCAAGCGCCCGGCCACCTTGGCCAAGCTGGCCAAACTTGACCAGCGTGGCCGAGTGGCGTCGAGCATGATCAACCTTACCGTGCGCTGCAGGGGATACTTTTTCCTCATTCCGTTTCCTTCAATTCAATGCACACAGAAGAAGACAATAGACAAATATATATTATAGGTAGGGTACAGGACATAGACGGCCCACTGGTACTACTGTACTGTACAGCTACACACAGGACGAATGCTATGGCAGACTCGGGAATATTCTCCAACCCATGTACAGACCAAGATACGATGAATATCTATAGTAGTCACAAGCAAATGATGCCCGAGAGGTAGGACAGACATACACAGAAGACGAAATGGCCCAAACGGACGGAAGTGGGACGGAAAGGCAATTGTACTGCACCTAGTAAAGTGTCTCCTACGAACCAGAGAAGAACTGCAAGGCGAAACTGGGCAACATTCAGCGTTTAGAGTGTGAAGACGATGGCCAACTATCATGCACCTATTACGACGTGTACCCTCCGCATATGACGATAACGCGATCGTCTATAGAGTGCGAGTCGCCGGGCGGTAATTTTGCGGCCGAACTGTTCGCCATGAGCGCAGTCACATCGGTGTGTTTGATAGAGCGTGGTTATTTCTTGGGTAAAGAAGAGGGAGGTGAGTATGATGGAGACCAAGACGTGAAGAGACAGGGCATGGTGGTGGTCGAAGACAACAACTTGTGAACGTCGCTCGCAGAATGTAAGTGGCTACGTATGATGTCATGGTCTCGGAAAACGCCGTCCTGCACCCTTGCACACATAATTCGCCACCTCTCGCCCCTCGCAGTGTGCGACAAATCTAATACTTACTCGACGTTGGACTTCTGGATATTTTCTACTAGCATCTTCCAATACACACACCGGTATATCTGGAACACCGCTCAGCTAACCGAGACCCGTACAGACTATCGAGTTTCAAAGTCGCCACACTAAGTATTCGCTAACTTAGCCGAAAATCAGGATATTGAGGTCCCATTCTTGGTCGTTCTCGGTCTATCTCAGTCAAGCTCTGCGTATAAAATCGCCAAACATGAGCAAGTGATGACCATGGGCCATATATCGTACGACCAAGTTGCCTCAAACTTGGCCAAGCATGAACACAAAGGCAATACACCGTGAAATGGTGGCTCCAAACTTGACCAAGCTTGGCCAAATACTCTGCTGTGCACGGCCAAGGTTCATCAAAAATGATCGTGCAGGCCAAAATAAACCCGCAGCCGCCAAAAGCCGCTAATCTTGACCATGCAAATGTCGGTTTTCCGACATACAACTTCACTGGATACAATGTCAGCTCTGTTCATCCTCTCGCGATTAGTCGGGGACAGTGCGAACTCGACATACCGAATCACACTCCTCGTCTCTCGCGAGATTTTGGTCCGGGTTTGTTATTCTTCCCACAAGACTTCTCTATATGCCTGTCCACAGCCCATGGACAGCTCAAAGACTTGCCACACTGTGGACAAGGGGCGCGAATCTTGTCGTGAACCGTGCCGATATGCCGTTTCAACTCATACTGCCCTTTGAACGTCGAAGCACAACCGGACATTGTGCACAACAACTTCCCCTCTTTAGTCATCTTCTGCCCTTGTCCTCCTTCATCACCATCGTCCTCTCTGCTCGGCAGTGAGATGATATCAATGGGTGGTGCAACACTAACCGAGACCACCTCACGACGAACGTCCACGCCGGCGGGCACCATGGGGCAATACATATGCCCATCATGGTGGCCCGTCGACGAGACGGCCGAGGGAGGTCGCAGCATGTGTCGTCGGCGAGCGGGTTGAATGGAATCGTGCGTATACGCACTGGATGGACCAGTCGCTGCTCCGATGTTACCGTGGTACTCCCTGTGGTGGTGTCCAGCATTCGAATAGTTATGTGGGCCGAGCGCAGATACGTGGGCTTGGTTGAGAGGATCTGACCCTCTGGCCCAGCCTGAATAGGTGATGTCGAATGGTGTATGAACTTGAGGGGTGCCAGAGGAAACCGGTATGTACGGCGGTGTGGATGGAGAACCAGAGGAGGAGAGTGACGAGGAAGAGGAAGAGAATTGAGATGGTGAGACGGGGGACCTTGGCGATGTCTCGGTAGTGCAGTCGAGGGAAATGCGTGGCGTTCCATAGGGTGAGAGTCCCTGGGCCGTCGCTGAACTATGTTCTGGCGAGAAAGATTGTGAGAGCATCATGGGCGAAATGCACCCATTTTCAGAGGCACGATCCAGATAGGCGGGGTTTGGCTGATTCGCAAAAGGCTAGAAGGAGAACCCAAGTATGAGATGGTGTACGCAGAAGAAATATCATTCACGACGAGCTAGAATTTCGGGACTCACGACGGCCTGATATCCGGAGCTGATAGATTGATCGAGCATGACTTGCCAGAAAAGAGCCTCTTGTTCAGTGGTTAGATGGGATGTGTCGGGCGTGTATGAAGACATCAAATTCGGGGCCCAGAAAGAAGTGCCAGGCCGCCGAAGACGCGGATTGGTATGGGACAAAGATAAATCATCGTCAAAGGTATATGGAGTTCCTGACATGGTGCTAGTATCGTGTGCTGAATCTCTAAAACCACTGTCCATGGATGAGAATATGGGCATGGTAGGAGCAAAGAGTATATCTCTCCGACGATGCCAATATTCACGGGAAGGTGATATGGGAGATTAAGCTGCAAGAGATTAAACTATAGCGTGGGCTCGACTTTATATACTGTCCTCCTTCAGCGCACCCACGGTTTGAAGGTTAAAGTTATCGACGCCCTAGATCGCCGCCACGATGACTCTCAATATAGGGCCCCCTTACACCCGTATCGATATACAGTAGAGATAGAGCTTCATCGTTCGAGCTAGCTTGGGAACCGAGTATACCAATTGGTGCCCAGATATCAACCGGGCGCAAAGCCGTAAGAGCCGTGCATGAAACGCAGCATTTTGGTGTCCTGGATAATGAGCTACCGCTCTCCGACCGGACCAATCACGATCGCAGTCCACCGTGGGGGGTACGGTTGTGCTAACAAAGGTAACACGTTCAAAAAAGAAGAGTGTTGACTGGCACGCATTGCGGTCCACGAATGTGCTGTGCATTCCGCTTCTGTGATGGCAGCTGTCTTCAGAACGATAGACGGCCCTCATAGTCTTCATGTGTGCCAAATAGGGCCGGGGGTGGGCAAACATAACCACGATCCAGTAGAAAACAAGCGTCGACGAAGCATTTACGACACTTCGAAGGCGCTGCGTAGGCATTTGCACATCCAGAAAGGGTTTGCGAAGTCAATCAGAGTGGCGTTGTTTGGCACACGCCAAAAAAATCCTGAAAGACTGAACGTCAAAGTCCAATGTCATAATCGCCGCAGTTAGCTCCACCGCGCCCGAGTGAGAAAGAAAGACATACGACTAAGGTTCAGAACGACATCAAGGATGGGTCCAGTATCGAATATTCGCGTGAGAATGGGATGTTTGGTGTTGTTAGGATCGGAAGGCGATGGCGTTTGATGGTACGTATGAGTATGGCTTGGCGTTTCTTGGCTGAAGCTCCCTCGCGAACCCCTTGCTGCCCCACGTTTGAACAGGGTTTACAACAAATAAAGATACAACTTACACTTTATAGACCAGTGTCGTGCAACTATATCCGGGCAATTATGGGACTACGGGGATGCAAGATGAACGAAAGGTAGGCTTGGATTACTCGGGCATGAACCCCAAAATAGCCAGGCGCCCACAACAAAACGGGGGCGAGCAACAAGGCGAGGCCAAGCCCGCTTTCTCGTTGACCATCACCATCAACTCTTCCTCTTTCATCTTTGCTCCCTTCGCTCTTTCAATCCTCACGATGTTCTCCGCCCTCACGCTCGCTCTTTCTCTCGCCTCAGCCTCCTTCGTCGCCGCTCAGTCCAATTCGAGCGATGGCACGCTCCAGATTGAGGCCATCGAGGCTCATTTCACGAATGCTGGCCTCGTCCCCTCCCTCCTTGCGACCTTTGACCCGTCTAGCATCCTGAACTTGACGTACGACTCAGTCGGCGCCATCTCGCCCGGCCAGTTGTTGTCCAAAGATCGTGCGTATTATCTTGACCATTGCGGTACGTTTACTGACGTGCATATGCAGAGGTCGCAAACGCGCCTGGCATCACTATCACCCCCGCCAATAGCTCAATCACCGACCTGACCTCCTCGAAGTACACCGTCGTCATGGCTGACGCTGACATCGTCGGCACAGACGAGTCGGCAGGGCAGACCCGCCACTGGCTCGTCAACGGCGCTTCCCTCTCTGGTATGTTCCTCATCAATTCCTCAATGCTTGACATCGCTCATTTGTCTTGTTTGACATTGTAGGTGACTCTGCTCCGTACACACTTTCGACGGATGGTGCTACCGCTGTCACGGACTACGCTGGTCCGGGCCCCGCTTCGGGCTCAGGTGCCCACCGGTATGCTGTCATTCTACCTTCGATCTTGTCCTGTTTAGTATGCTCATATTTTTTGAAAGTTATGTGATCCTCCTCCTTACCCAAGGCGACAACTTCAGCCCTCCCTCCGACCTCTCTTCGGCCAACGTAGGCGTTTCGGTCTTCAACCTGACTGACTACCTCTCGGCACGTATCTTCTCGCCCCTAATCCTGTTTATCATCTCAATTAATCAATATCTCAATCTATATAGACCAGCAACCTCGGCTCTCCCATCGCCGTATGTTTTTTCCTTCCCTCTTCATAGTCTCACTCGCTTATCGAGGTCTCGCAGGGGACGTACATCCAAGTTGAAGAAGGCACGGCCACGGCCTCCGTCTCCGCCACCTCCGCCGTCGTCACCTCCACCCTCGCTGCCGCCGCCTCTTCCGGTTCCTCCGGAAGCGGCACTTCCACTGGCAGCGCTTCGTCCTCGACCGCCAGTACCTCGTCCAGCGGAGCGCAAAGCACAGCCATCCTCAGCACTCCTCTCTTCCTCGTCGCCGGGCTTCTGTTCGTCATGACATTCTGAGATGGTCAACCTCGAGACGAATATGGATCAAGGAGTGTCAATCCACGGTGGAAAGGCATCTCGCTCTGTGCTTGCACGACGACTTTGCCGTCTTCTGTGGTTTTCGCTTCTTTGTTCCATGTCGCTTCATATCGTACCCTAGTCTTGTCTCATCGTGTCGTCTCTTACTCTCATATACTGCCTGTAGCTCTTAGCTCGCACGCACGCACTCGCTTAGTACTACGCTCGCTATACAACTCATTACCATACCCAGGCACCAAATATTGATTCTGTTTCATTGAAACGAAAAACAGACGACCATTCTTCTGAATCAGCACCATGCGAATAATGTAGTGAGGATGTGCATATGGACAAAAACGACGGAACATAAGATGAAAGATAAAAGCATAAAAGTCTCGCAAGGCAAAAAGCCTGCACGGACCAAACCTCAGCGACAGTCCAGCCCAGCTCGACAAAAGAGCAATCCCCAGACGAAATCTGACCTAGTTCCCATACCGCTCCCTAGCCTGTATTCCGAAAGACCAAAACGCATTCAGCAGGTCGCACAAAAACAGCACGAATGCGTTCCACAAGAATCTGTGTGTATCAAGACCGCTGGTCATGAACGTGAACCACTTACCGCGTCCTGCGCCTTGTGCACGTATCCAGTGTATCCCGGCTCGTACTTGCCCACCTCCACGCCCTTGCTCGCGCCGAGTCCAACTCCGGACGCGTAAATCTGTGTTTGGCTGGTAGAAGGATGTCATGTCAGTGATCACGTCAAGCAAACTCTTCATCGCGGTGTCTGGCAAGTTAGTGTTCCGGTCGAAAGGTGCACGCAGTGTGGCGTGTGACATTCGCCACAACGCCAAAGCATCGCATCGTACTCACATCGGCTCAACTCTGCCTTCCCCAGAGATCCCCAGTCCCGTGCCCTCCGTCCACCCCATCATCTTCAACAACTTATTCCCCACATTACTCTCGTCCTTGCCTGGCGCCACAGGCGGTGGAGGTGGACTCGGCGGTGGCGGTGGTCCCTCAGCCTTCCTCGCCTTGCGCTTGCCTTCGTCAGCGTGACCCGAAGGATCTGGAAGTGGCACATCGGGTTGATTGTGCATAATTCTGCGTTCGAAAGCGCGGTCGCGGTATTTCGGTTGTTCTGGCTTTGATGAGTCGGGTGCAGGGTTTGAAGCTGCTGCCTTCGCTGCGGTGGCCTTCTCGCGAGCGACGTCGCGGAGGTTTGCATCCTTGTAATTCTTCTGTTGACGTTGGTGGGCACGCAGAGGACGATCGGGGGTTAGTGCTCAGGTACGATGCAGCCCGCAGTGAAGATCAAGAATTGGGAAGGAAACAAGACCTTGTGCAGATCAGACTCTTTGTTGTGCCTCTTCAGCTGGTCCAACGACTTGAATTGCCTCGCACACAGCAGACACGTGAATTTGACCGTGTCTGAAAACTCGAAGTCCGTTTCTGGAGGAAGTGGCGTCTCTGCTTTGGGTTTCGGCTGCACCTTGGCTGTTTCCGGTGTTACAGACTTGTGGACGGTTTCCAGTGGTGCTGCGACCTAAAGATAGTATCATGTACCCGGGTATTTAGTGCTCTTCGCTGAGGTCGCATTAAGAAGCGGAAAAAAGGAATAAGATGGTTACTGGAGCGGTGGCAGGTGTGGAAGTAGAGGCAGATGGAGTGCTGAGAACTTCTTGAACTTGATTCCATTTATTGATGTTGTTGGCCGTCTGTTCGTTGACTTCGCTCAGCACTTGCCTAGATATGAGTGTCGTCGTATATGCCTTGAGAATACGCACCTTTTTGCTGGCTATCATAGGCGCAACCTTCTTGGCAGCAGCGACTACAGTCGAGTGATGTCAGCCCATACTTCACATGAATGAATGCAAATGGCAGCGACACACCTTTGGGATCTTCAGCGGCTTCTGCCTTCTCCGCTGCCGCGTCTTCACCAGCCGCGGGATCATCGTTCATGGAGAAACCTAGAGTCAAAGGAGCGGCCACCTTCGGTTTCGCTACCGGCATGCCTGAAGCATGAATACATGTTGACGGAACGTAAAGCAACATGAAAGGAGGCTCAAACCTGTTGTAGCTGCATTTGTCTTGTTAGGGGCCAAAGAACCCTTGAAGCTCAGCATGACCGGTTTGTCGGAAACTGGAAGGGCGGAAGGTTCGGCGGGTGCCAATGGACCAGATTCGGGTTCGGCAGCTGGTGAAGACTATAGTCAGCCTGGTTGTTTATCAAGACGAATCGTTGTGATATACCTTTCGGCTTCTTCTTCTTCTCCTTTGACGCGGCTACGTGCGCCTGCTGCGTGACTGGTTCCACCACATTGAACTCCAACATGGCGACCGTCGATGCTTCGTCCCAGTATCGCACCCAGCCACCTTCTACACCACCCAAATTCGTCGAGGAAGGTATGGAGCCTTCATCGCGCTGCATGGGATCCGAGAGCAGCTGGAAGGAGTACATATGAGCAAATGACGCCGCCACAGGTCGTTCGGAGATGCGGAAGCCATTTGGATGTATCTGTGGAGACATGGTAGCAGCCAAAACCGCTGACGCCGACTTGCAGAAGGGAAGAACAAGCGTTCAGTGTGGCGACAAAGAAGGCAGATAGAAGAAAGGATCACCTGCACGTCAACGAACTCCACGAACGCGAACCCCCAGCTCGACATTGTCACCTTGTCTTTGATCAAAATGATCCTCTTCATACCCTTCGCGCCTTCCTTTCCTGCTCCCGATGACCCTTTCATCGCTTGACATATCGCCTGTGGGCCCGAGAGCGGATCCAAACCTCTGAACAATAGGATCGGGGACTGAGAGTTCCCAATATCGCGAGTCCCGTCATTCGAGTGTGCCGGACGTCCAAACTTATTCTTGTCGCCTGGGTTCGCGCTCTGCGAATAATCGATCTTGACACGTCGGCCACTATGTGGCGCGCCTGTCTCGAGGGCTTTGTAGTATGCCTGGGTTGCAGAAGCGCCGTGTGAGGCTGGCGGAGGTACCTGGATGAATGGAAACAAGGGGTCCACAAATGCTCGCGCGTGCTCCACTGACGCGAACTGGGCGAAACCAAAGCCCTTGGATGCGCCTGCAAAGTGCAGAGAAAGCCACAATCGCCAAGAGTACAGAATCGCCCAGCGCAAGCAAAGACAAAAGAAAAGAACGAGTTGTCAATGCAAATGGCCAACAGCAGGAACAAGTGATGGGCAAGTGCCTGTTGATCTCTCTCGGATGATAGTGACAGTCTCGAGCTGACAGCCTTGACTGGTCAAATACGCCTGCAACTGTGAAGAGGGGGAAGGAGCCAGGGGAACAGACTAGATTGAGTATTCGTGTACGGAGAGAGGAACAAGTGAGAACGGACGTCGGCTTCTGTGAAGTCATTGTCGAGGCCCAGGAAGATGACATGCGCGCTCGGTTCACTGGCCACCATTCGCTTTTTGTTGGCATGGAAGTCGTTTCCGCCAGCATTGCCAACTCCGCCTCCACCACCACCACCACCACCTGCTCCTCCTCCTCTGCTGCTGCCGCCTCCGCCGCCGCCGCCTCTGCCACCAGCATAGCCTCCTCGGGAAGATGATTGATGTTGCTCGTAACCGTAGTATCCCGAATCGTAGTCATAGTTGTCGTAGCCGTAGTCATACGCGCCCTCGTCCCAACCCTGCCCGCCATCCTCGTATCCCTATATCTTCACTGTGAGTTGAATTGCGTCAGAAAGGTAGAGACTACGCACGCTGTTCCATTTTCGTTTCCTGCCTTCGCGGTGGTAACGATTCTCGCTGTCGTACCACCCACCGTCTTGATCATAATCGCCATCATCCCAAGAACCTTTTCCATTATCCCATTCTCGATTGTAGGCCATGACTGGAACGAAAAGATGTGTGTAGCGTCGCAATGGACGAAGCCGGAATGGGCGGAAGCTCGCGCGAGATGAGAGAAAGAGGAAGAGAGTCGGACAAACAAGGATCAACAAAAGTCCGCGACTTGACATCCACCATGGCTGGTCACGGTCAGTAGTCGCTCCATTTATCCTTCCCGATTTTTGCTGACACTTCTCTCTGGACTCTTTTGTAGGTTATGTCAAGGTAAGCATAATCTGACGACACACAATTTGGCCAGTTTATTGATTGTCCCAAAGCATGACCCTGCTGTCGAAAGATGGAACTCAATGGTGCGTCTCGCTCGCGCGTCGTCTGCTGCTTCCCAATTCACATGTTATATTCTTACTAGCGCGAGAACGTATGGAGGTACTTCAAATTCACTCGCCAAACGACCAAAGTATCTCTCATTGGGTTGGTCATCTTCCCCGGCGCGATATATCTAACTTCTACCTTGAGCATCGTGAGCCTTTCGTTCTGCGACTGATGTCATTTGTCATACCTCTTACCTCGCCAATATCTCGATGGATAGGGAAAGTGGGATTGGAAGGGCAGGCGAAAGGACGAGACACTGCTCAGGAACCCACCGGCTGCCGTAGAGCCCACCGAGGAGTAGATTATGGAGGTCTAACTATCATACACCAATACATTATCTCGCACCCCGTTCACCCGCACGAACCCTAAAATAAGTACACAATAACCCAGGTGACGAAGCCAGCCAGTCTGTCCAAGTCCAAATGGTCCTCTACAATCGCTTGCAGAGTTGGATAGCCACGGCACAACCTGCGCCTATGACGGAACTCAGTAATGCATGGGCGGGCGCGCGTTGTGAGTCGTGCTCGACTGCGATGTCCAGGTGTTCGAGCTCGTCGTCTCGGAATTCGCGAATGATGTCCTTCAATAAAGGAACGCTAGGATGCGCCTCTGAGACCTTCTCCATCTCTTTTAATTGACTAGAATAAGTGAGGTGTGAGTCGCTTTTCCGGAGTGAAACCTTGCCGATACGTACTCATCATAATGCTCCCCTATCACTGTCTCGACGGCCTCGGTGCAAGCCATGGCGGCTTCCTTCCCCATAAGTGCAGTGACGACACCCAACCCATATCCCCCAGCTTTCGCAAACTCCCAAAGCAGAGTGGGCCTGACCTGGTGCTGTACCTGGAGCTTGTTCATCACCGCTAGATGTTTCTTCTCTTGATCCCACATCTCCTGAGTACGACATCCAAAGTGGCGATGGTGAAACCGTAAATGAAACGAGATATAAACCATGAAGGCGTTGAGCATCAGTGATGCGACATCAATGCCGACAGTTCCTGGACAATGACGAATAGTTTTCAACGCACCTGGACCAAGGGACCGAGTTTGGGATCCCGGCCGAGAACAGCATGCTGGCCCCTGTAAATATAATTCGCAGCTATTTCTCCAGCTTGGTCCACACGCAGAGCTATGTCAATGGCCTCTCGTTGCTCCTCTGTGAGGTACTCGGGAGTACTTGAAGTTGAAGGATGTCCAGACCGAGATGGGTCGAAATACGCGTCTGATGGCAGTTGCGATGTTTCGGTATGCAGAGCAGCAACAGCGAAAGATACCCGAACGCGTATTAGAGAAGGAAACGCTCGACGAAGAGGGGAGAGGGCAAGGGACATGGTGGTAAGATGAAGGAAAGGGCGGGTTACCGAGGCGCCACAGAGGCGATGGGCCACACGAGAACTGAGGTCGGCTGCTCGGGATCGTTGATTACCTTGCTTGCAAGGTCTCTCCCACCCCGGTAATTGTGGCTGAGCGACTTTTTCGCACACAAAGCCAAACAGTTTGCGTAAGCTTTTCTCACATTTCTGTGGCACCCCTCACCCAACGCAAACGCGTACTTGATTACCACCATCAGGACGGAGCAATTTCTATTTGCCCTGGATCTACAGTTTTCGTACATTGTCAGCATGTTCCGCGAAAGTATGCTCGATGTCTGCACGCACAACGCGCTCAGGCCTGAAGAGCTATTAAATTATCGACGCCACAATGCATCAAGCCGATGCTTCTCCTGAGGCCTACGTACGCTTCGAGGCGCTGCTGCGGTCAGCGAAGCAAGAAACCTGACATCAGTGGCCATCGGAACGTGGATGTATTGTGCAGATTTAAAGGCTGCCTCTAATACGAGTTTGCGAGCCAAGAAGAACCATCTGTGGTGACTCTTGCGTGACCACCCAGAAGTAATTTCCGGTACTGAATACTCTGCAGAGTATATCGAACTTATTTGCTTCTGCACTCACATTACCCACTCTTCCAGTCGAGTTCCACAGTGTTTACCAACTTTACCTACGCGTAGTTAGTTGACTAGTTACACCCAAACAGCGCCCCTGGCCTGCGCCGGTGCTATATAAATGCATTTGATTAAGAAAAAAGAAAGAAAAAGGATTCTCTGCAGTATCGCTAACAAAGTTGCTACTGCAAATAAAGTGCACGAAAATATTGAGCACTGGTAGATATGCCATTGTCAGAAGAGGTCTCTCAAGCAAGGTCAGTGCCACAGCATGTGGAGCTTCCCTAGTTTTGGCAATGCGGCGGAATGATGTTCATCTTCAACCACAATCCTCTCCTTCCAACGTTCCGCTCTCTGCAACTGTTGTCTCGCCCTCTTGATCATCAGCTCGTTATGATGCCCATAGTTGAAATAACAATGTTCATCCTTTCCCCATCCGCCGTCCGGGACAGTCCAAGTGCCTGTTTCGGTTGTATTTCGTAGCTTTCGACGGGTCGACGAACTGACCATTTGGCTCAGTTGCTGACAATGTTCAGTAACAGTCGCAGAGGTACACGGTCAGTTCAGAAAATTGAAGCAAAATGGCACGTCATGTCTTTATCGGGGGTGCTCATCTCACAGCCAGTCCTGACATGGCTCTGCGGGATGCTACTTCTCAACTGAACCCTCGTTTGTGCCCGGGCCTGGATCATCTGCTTCACGGTTGCCTGTGCATCTCAAACGATTGTTCTCGCTGGCTATGGTACCAGACATCTAGCCTCGCCACAATGCACGCTGTGCGAATTCGTTGAACATCGTATGGCACCGGACGATCTGACCACCTCATCGCCATGGGCCTTGCTAGCTATCATCTGCTCCTTGTGGCCAAGGGACTGTTTACAGAGAGAAACCATCAAGGGGAAAACCCTCTTACATTCCCTTATGCCCGATGGGCGCCTTACGCACACCATTGCTGCATATATAAACCATGTACCATGGACTCTTGGTTCCCCAGCTCTTGCTCACTTCGATCTTCACCTGGTACTGGATAGTGAGCTTCACTTCCTTCACCCTCGTTCGAAAAATCCGTCTGACTTTGACCCCCATTTTAGCCTTAAATTCTTGTTCATTCACTACTATCACGCCACTCCTTTGCATTAACGCACTAACACGTTTAATATTTTCGACTCGTCATCCAATCGTCGTCAAATCTTTAGTAGTTCATTAATCGTCATGCACTCCTCATCTGTTCTCCTCGCTCTCACCATTGCCGCCTCCACGGCGTCAGCCGCTCCTCTTGGGTCAGCCCTTTCTTTTATCAAGTTCTCCGTCAGAAACTCATCGGGACATAGCACCAGGGACTTCGATTCTCGCTCTCTTTCATCTGAGCTTGGCCCACTTCTCAAGAAGTTGGGTTTAGGTGCTGCTGCAGGTGCTGGTGTCACCGCACTTGGTGACGCCCTCGGCGGTAGCTCCGACTCCAGCACCGCGCCAGCCTCCAAGCGTGACGATACCGCCTCGCCTTCGTGAGCATCATAGCTTCTATCCATGCGTATAGATTTTTCTCACATTTAGAACAGAATCTCGACGAGTCTTGCCGACCTTCTCATGAAGCTGAAGCTCGAGGAAGGTCATGGACCAGCCGTCATCAATTCTACCCTCTTTCAACGGGACCTCGCCGACCTCCTCCACGAGCTCCCCATCGCGGAAGGCCCCGGACCAATCGTCTCGAACAACTCACTCGTCCTCAGGGATATTGATGCTCGTGCCCTCTCTTCCGAGATCACTTCCATCCTCAAGAAGTTGGGCCTCGGTATAGCTGCTGGAGCCGGGACCACTGCCCTTGGTGACGCACTCGGCGGTAGTGACAGCTCCTCTGCTGCCGCACCGTCCGCTACTGGCACCAGCAAGCGTGAGCTCGAGTGAGTATTTTTTGGCCCGTCTCCGAGATGAGGTCTTGCTTACGATTATATCTCGCTATACAGAGAGTTTGAGGCCCGCGGATTCTCTTCTGAGATTGTCCCCCTCCTCAAGAAATTGGGCCTCGGTATCGCTGCTGGTGCTGGGACTACTGCCCTCGGTGACGCCGTCAGCGGCAGCGACAGCTCTTCGAGCAAGCGTGACTTGACGTATGTGCTTCATCTACGCCAAGAACGTATGACTTCCTCACCGTTCTGCCCATCTAGTGAATTCGAGGCTCGTGGATTGGGATCTGAAATCGTACCCCTCCTCAAGAAGCTGGGTCTCGGTATAGCCGCTGGTGCTGGGACTACCGCCCTTGGAGATGTCCTCGGTGGCAGCGATTCTTCGAGCGCTGCCGCGCCTGCTGCGACTCCTGCTAGCAGACGTGAGCTTATGTATGTCCATCACATCTGCACGAAAGTATTCTCTCTCGGATGTATCAGATGCTGACCCGTGTCCGGTTACACAGGGACTTTGATGCTCGCAGTCTCGGAAGTGCTCTCGGAAAGCTTCTCGGTGCCACGGAAGATGATATCGGTACCGTCTTGAAGAATGGCGCTATCGGTGGTGCCGTCACTGGCGGGGTCGTCTCCGCTGGAGATGCCGCCGAGAATGCAGCTAACTCCAAGAGAGATATAGACATCCGCAGCATCGGTAGTGCCCTCGGAAAGGTACTCGGTGCCACGGAAGACGATATCGGCACTGTACTCAAGAACGGCGCTATTGGTGGTGCTGTCACTGGCGGTGTCGTTTCTGCCGGGGATGCTATCGAGAGCGCCTTTGGAGGATCCAGCTCGAAGAGGGAGATCGACGAGAGGGCGCCTCTGAACCTCAGCCCGATTACCAAGGGCATCCTTGGGACTCTCACCGGCCTTACTGCTTCTTCTGGAGTCGAGGGATTGTTGGACCCGTCTTCCAAGAGGGAGATCGACGAGAGGGCGCCATTAAATCTCAGTCCCATCACTAAGGGTTTACTTGGAACTCTCACCGGTTTGGCAGCTTCTTCCGGAGTCGAGGCGTTGTTCGACCCATCTTCGAAGAGGGATATCGACGAAGACACCTTGAACGGCCTTATCCTCCCCCACCTTAGGATTGGGACTACCTCTCTTCCAGGGATCGAGGGATCGGCCGCCCCCTCTTCTTCGTACGTGTCTGTAGTAGCAACACTTTCGGCGCGACTTCTGACATCTCTTCAATCCAGGCGCCGCTCCGTAGACTACGGTGATGTCGAGTATGTCTCCAAAGCTTCTTCCTCCCATTGTATCACTCATCCTAGATGCTGATGATATCTTCCTACTGCAGCACCGCTACCCTCGTCGCTCTCCAGAAGCTCGCGAGCAGGGCATTGAACGAACTCGATTGAACGATTTATGACGACAGACGATATTTATTATATTACGCGTGTACCTTACCTTCGCTGCCCATAATGTGGAACTGTGGCTTTTTTTAACATTTTGGTTCTTGATACCCTCGCAATTTCTGACGGTGGAGATCGATTTACGTTCCTTGATACGCCACTGTATCTACCCAAAGTGGCCAAATCATTATTTTTTGGGTTTTACGCTGCTGTGCCTTGATACAAGCCTCGGTTTTATTTTGATGTTCAATAACCACGGTATTCTAAACATCAGTGAAGGTCCACAAGAAATTCACTGCCCCGGCCTGCACGCCATCTCCTGCTGCATGCACGGGCTTGGACGGAAAGACATCCTTCGAAGCGACGAGTGGATCCCGTAAGGCCGGCTCTTTCTTGATGGGCCGTTTGACCTCCGCATCAAAGAGCTACGAGGGAGAGAGAAAAAAATGGAAAATGTCAGCAAGCAGGTATCCCATGCGTAGGCATGCAATACTTGAATGAGCCACTCACCGTTCCATATGTATGGTCCAAAAAGTCCTCCAGCGGATAATTCGGCTTCGTAAAAGCCTCTCCGAAAATCTTTGCCAGTGTCGACACACCAGCATGGTAATGTCTCGTGTGGGCCTGAATCTCCCAGAGCGACGAATTCAGGGCGTTGGTGAGGTTCGGGTTTGATTCGGCGAAATCGAACGGGTCTGTGAAGTGCGAATACACAGAGTACAACGGTAAGCCGAAAGCGTCGAATGCGACGAGAAGCAAGGTGCGGGGTGTATGAGAGGATCAGAAGGATGGATCATACCATTGAATTCTCCCGCATCCTCTGCTTCCTCCCGATGTATCATAACCATCAACGCCGGATGTTGCTTAAGAACGTTATAGACGAACGGTATGACGATGACGATACTTGACGGAGGTGCTGAGAGCGACAGACGAGCGAGGCGCTTGACAAAGGACGCGAGAAGTGTTGCGGGAAGATGTCTGGCGAAGTCAACAAGGGCGTGGTGAGGAGAGTGGGGCGCGTGGAAGATGAAGAGATTGACCTACGTGGATGACAGGAATAATTCTGTGAGACGGAAGAAGCGTGCGCGGTGCTTCAAATATAGCAAGTCCTTATCAAGGAATGAGTACAGCCGTGTGTAGAACGATGGGTAGTCCCTATTACGGATTCATTTTGCCGACGTGAGCATGCGAAATGCTGTGTAAGGAAAGAAAGACATACAGGTTGTACTCTTTCATCAGAACGAAAAGTGCATTCAATGCCAGAAGCCCGATCACGCCACCTATACCAATGCAAAAAAAACACACATTAGAATCCATCCACTAGCACGGGCCCAACAAGTGATGGGAAACTGCTACGTCCCAATAGACACTAGAGTATAAACGCACCATAGTCCACACACCCACCAACCCAGTCCATACACATCACGGCCCTTGTCAGATGTGGCATGACCCCCCTGTGCATCACATTCAACGCTCGTATCACCATATCCTCCTCCGTCTTCCTCTTCTTCTCCCTCTCCGCGTTCTTCGCTTCATTATCTGTAGCCTTCCCTTTCCCTTCAGTCGATATCCGCAATTGTGGGAGGAGTGTAAGCCATAACCTGGTGAAGACGGCACGGTGCGAAGGAAGGGAGTGCAGGGACTGATGAACAGTGAGTTTGTTCAACCTCACTGATGGACCAGCTTTGGCTCCTTTCTTCGACTTCGTGTCATCTCCATCCTTTGGCTCGTCGAAGAATTTTCGCCAGTCGTCTTCGCCACCGCCTTCATTATCCTCCGCGGGCTCATCGTCAGACTCAGACTCCGACAGGGTGCCGGCCGGTTGATTAGCCTTGGATTTGGATTTTGTAGATTTTGGTTTGGGTGGCTTTGCGCCAAGCTCTTCGACCCACCAAGAGTTGAGTTCTTTGGCTTCTGTTGGGAACGTGGTGATACGCTCTAGGAGAGAGAGGAGGTTTTGGCGGACTTGCGGGGAGGAATGGGAGAGGAGAAGGGGCCTGGCAGGAACTGAGAACAGGGACCAGATGAGAAGTAAGAACTATACATACTGGGCATCCCGCATAAAGAACCACCGGATATCATCTTGAACATCCAGCCAAGTATCGAGAAAGAGGGTACGGACGTGCAAGTCGAGTAGACCATCGCTCGTCTGTTTTTGTGAAGAATTATCTGGACGGGGGAGGAGACGAGGAGATGACGGTGCGAGCACAAGGAAGGAGATAATATTTTTGAAAAATGGAACGTGGAACTGCGGCTGTGATTGGCCAGCAAAAGATTTAGACAGTGAAGTCGAGAGGTGCTTGAGTAACGAAAACAGAATCTGGAGCGCAGACGTCTGCCGGGGCACCATTGAGGTCAATGAACGGTGAATATTACAAAAATAATGAAAGCGCACCCGAAGCGAGACTTCTTCGTCCTTGAGCAATCCGCCCAAGTAGTCTGCGTACTCGTTCACCCTGTCCACAATCCACGCCCTGACCGCCTTTCCCTCCTCGCTGACGATGCCCTCGAACTTTCCTCCTGGCCCAAGTAGCAGTACGAAGATTCGATATACTGCATAGATAGCTTTTGAGACCAATTTAGGGTCTTCCAGTGTCCGTGTGAGAAGAAGCAAGTCTGCTAAGGGATTGAGGGATTCGTTCGAGGATATAGCTTCAGTGAGGGTCGACTCGAGTGCAGCGATTTTTGAGACAGTCAGTGAGTTGGTAGAAATGACGACAGACGACGAAGCAGTAATCTTTCGACGCTTTGTCGGAGGCGCGAGTGACGACGGCGCAGATGGCATTTTGTACGAGAGATGGGAGACGGAGAAGACGAGTGCAAAGATTTACGACTCGCCACAATGTTGCAATTTGCATCGCGCCACCTATCCTAGTTTGGCCGGCGCTTTGAGGAGCTTTGAGGTCACGCCGACCACGGGCCCTTCCCCAACGTTTATACCGCTTCAATCACTCCCATGTTTGCGCTCTGTGTCCCCAACCATGCAAGACATCACTCCCTCTGATTCGGAACGTCTGCACATCGACCGTCAACTAGAAGGCGGCCTCGACGAAAAATGTTGCGTAGACTCGCGACGCCGCCGAAACAGCCTTGCACCGATTTCTCGCCTGCCCCTCTGTCTCCTCACCGCCGTCTTCCTCTTTTTCCCCGCCACAGATCCCGAAACCGACGACGACGACAACGTAATCGACGACAACGACTTTCCTACTCTGCTTTCCATCACTCACGTGTGCCATTTCTGGCGCAAGGTTGCCCTTGATTCTGCGCTGTTATGGACGAACATCATGTTCTTACGGGGCCCACAATGGAGGCATGCTACCCTTCACCGCTCTAAATCTGCTCCGTTAACCATCTTGATACAACCTCCAATCCGAGTACTCGGTGACAATGAGGCAGATCGATACTCTCGACTTGAGAACAACACCCGCACCGTCCTTCCTCAGCTTCATCGGATCAAGGTCCTCGATGCATTGATCACACGCCGAATTTTACCGGAGCTCATTTCCAGCATGCAACAAATACCGCAGTTGCCTACCCTTGAATCTTTCCGCCTTGACACGGACCTTGCAGACCGACTCGATCTTCCCGATAACCTTCTGTCGGGACGTTGTCCTCGCCTGCGCAACCTACAGCTTTCTGCCTGTACTTTTGCGTGGACGACCGGGATGTTTCCCTCAGACTTGACCACACTGGAGCTAGTGATTTGTCTGTATCAAAATCCAAGACCCACACCGCACGAATTGTTCGCCATTCTGCGTCAACTACCCTTTCTCCAGGTCTTCGAACTTTGTTACGAACCTGGTTGGGAGACTGAGGACGATGGACTGTATCGCGAGTGGTCGTTGATGCCTCCATATCACCTCCCTGTCGACATGCCCAACTTACTGCGTCTATCAATCGAGGATGCGCCTTTGCCCTTGTCAAACCTTTTACAATCGCTCATCATACCGGCGCATGCGACGATAAGGGTCGACTGTTCCTACACGCATAGTCCTCGATCATTCAAGGACGAAATGTCCACATTACTTCGAACTATCGTTGTGCGCCATGATCGAATCCGAGCAGACCATACCGGTTCCTCCCTCTCAATGACATGGTCTGCAGGAACCAATGTCTTGGAAGACGCAAACATGACTATCGAAATAGCTATCAAGATCCCGGGAGTTGACGAACCCCTGCGTTGTTTGGAATTTTCGATCAGCGCCAGTCATTTCACCGAGTCGTTCATTCGCGAATATCAATTTGACCGCATTATGCAGTGGTCTTCATCCGAACTACAAATGGAGCAAGCCGTCTCTCTTTCCTTTCAGGGCAATTTTGCAATGAGTCCAGATGTCGCGCGCGACCTTTTCATGTCAATGGGTCGTATCCAGACCTTAGAGCTCAAGGACTCTATGATGTACAGAATTCCTCACACACTGAACCACTTTCTTTGCGCCGACCGTGACAATGCCGCCCCACCAGAACACCCTCCTACCACACCCTCCTTGCCCGCGCTTGTCACGCTCCATCTGCATAGGGTGATCGACTATGGACTCTATCACACGGGTGGTGGCCACTACCAAGACATGCCCACGATTCACAAAGAATTGGCTGACTTTTTCGAGTCGAGACATGCTCTGTTTCCTGACTTGGGACCCGTCGAGATCTTATTCCATGGTGCTGGTATTGCCGACAACGAACTTCAAGAACTCGAGGCTGTGAAGGGCATTCGATGCGCGAGAAGAGGCGTGGATACGTAGAGGGAGAGGCATTTTAGTTGAATGTCGTCGAGCCAATTTAGGTGTAGTGTTGGTCCTTGGGGCACGAGGAAGTACGCGACGTTTGTGGCCGGGTGTGTTCTCTGTTTTATGACCCAGTAACTAGACTTTTCTTGCTGATAAAACTCAAAAACATTCCGAAGACGAATTATGTATAAGGCTGGGGCGTGTTGGAATGAAGCAAGAGCATGATGATCGAGGCGCCAAGAGTTCAAAAGAGCTTCATGCAATGGAGAATCCTTGTCAATTGTGGCGCCGATGCTACGAATTTACGCCACTCGTTGTTCCTGTGTGTCACGAATCAAGACTAGACGCTAACCCAATATCTCTTTCTTTCTCACCAACTACAACAACGTATCGAAGAAGTCTCTCAACGCCCACTTCGCATGCCTGACCCTCTTTCTGTCTCGCCTAATGTCTTTCTAATTGACAACATTATCGAACAGTGCCAAGACGAAGAGAAACGCATCGCCGAGATCAAACGCCACGAAACGACTTTGCCCCTGTATCCCGCCTTCCCATTTTCCTTCTTACATCGATCTTCCTCTTTTTCCCCGCAATCAGAAAGGAAAACGATGACCTGTACCTGTACTGTGATCTCGAAGATGAAGACACATATTATCCGACATGGCTTGCGATTTAGTACCCATGTTTGCCACTTAGGGCGAGAGGCGGCCATCGGATGTCCACTGATGTGGACGAAAATCACCTTGGGTTCACCGGAGTGGGCTCGTGTCATGCGGCGCAGACAGCCTCTCGCTCTTACAATGCACTTGGTTTCGCGCCTTGAGTACTGGAATGCTTACCTATAGGTGACAGCGACAGGCTTGATATGTGACACTTTGGTCTTCGATCGCTAGCGGAATGCTCTTTGTGATCAGTTGGTATAAGCGTGCCTTGTCTTTTGTCTTGTCTTGTGCGGTGCCACCCGATCGTGACACGGCACGTTTCGACGTGTTATTGTTTGGTCCGTAACAATAGCAGTGCAAACGGTATATAATGGTCTCGGTCTTCGTCTCTGCTCCTTCTCTCTCCCGCCAACTTCTCAGCCTTCAACCTTCGACTATCAGACCTCAGTCTGCTCTGTTCGTCGTTTGCAACTGAATGGTCGTGTCGCACGACACATATCCGCTGCGCGCTCCTTGATATGCGTGTCTTGTCTCGGGGTTTTGTTCACTCGTGTTATCCATCACTCGGAGCGGGACGCTAGAGTGGGTGCCATTTAGCCTTCCTATGAAGGTACAGGGGGACCCTGTTGGCATTTAGGTTGAACTACACTTGTGTTCATGAGCCCCTTGATTCGTGCGTGTTCAGGACCCGCGAGTGGTCAGTGTCCGTTGCTGTATCAACTAGCATCGTGGTTGAATCTTCGGTACGTCTTTACTATTCGTCTAACTTCGGTTCATAAGGCTCACAGTATTGTGATAGGATTCAAGGCCCCGTAAATTCATGATGAAATATTTAAAGGCTGCCGGTATGTCCTTTCAACTTTACCTTTGCTCTCAGCCGGGTGACGCCAGAGCGCGCCCACTGGCTCGTTCAAGTGCAACGAAGCTCACATAACTAACCATCATACTTCCCCGTTTGTTATCTTCTAGACTCTTTGTCTCAAGCCATCGTGCTCAGGACTGCTCGAGATAGTCTTAGTCCCTGTACTTCAAGTGATTTCACGCGTCGCCTTTCACTAGTAAGTCGTAGCAATGAGTCGTTGCTGCCGATGATAACTGACATTATTCTTCCCTCTCAGTGGGTCATACACTGGCTTATTGGCAGCGACGACCACGCATCAACGAGAGAAGCCATCATTGCGACGGATATCTGTGGCAAAGGGTACGTGTCTGCCTTCTATGTCCCTCCGCACCACACTGATAATGATATATATATAGGCATCAACAAGTCTTCGACTTTCTTCACCGAGGCCGGGCGCAAGTCTGCCCGTTGCGCTTTCCGTCGCGCATGCTCAAGCCGTCCGAAATTCAACTTGAGTCGTCAAATGTCGCCGTCGCTATCGAGCCCCTTGGACGATCAACCTCCGCAACGGAGGCTGCCTTTTCCCTTCAACAAGTTCGGGCAGGTCGTCAACACGTACGCCTGCGTTTCTTCCTGGAGCCTCTGAGTCTGGACGTACGCTCTTCGAAAGTCCTCAGGCTACTAAACACCTCGATACTAGGCTCCGATGCCGAAACAAAACCCTATGTTTCAGCTATACGCCAAAGGCGTCACGCTCGCCGGTGTCTTAAAAGTGCTCGGCGACGCCGATCAGTACGTCGAGGTGTCCGCTTTCCACTTCCGTAAGGGAAGGGAGTTGTTTGCTCCTGAGGACGACCGTCGGCTTTGGTTATCCCACAAACTGGCAGGGGCCTTTCTCGAGCACTTTCTAGAGTTTGGATCTATGGTCGATCTCGATCATGCTGTAAGTCTTTACTCGAATGTGCATCAGCGAGTGGTCGCGAACCCGATAGGTGTAAGATAAGAACCTGGACGTGTCGAGGGCATGGACAGGTTTACCTTGTCTCGTCGTCTTCATGAAGTGTCTTCCTCTACAGGCCCTAAGTCCATCACGGTCGCTTGTCGCTTCGCGCTTGTGGTGCATTATCGCTATCGGCGCACAAAGGGCTCTGAGGATTCAACGATCCTATTCGGAGACCTGTACAACAAATTTATCTCCAGCATAGACGACATTCCGGCCTGGAAACTCTCTTCGCTCGATCGCCTTCGGAGAGCATGAGTCTTCCGGCATGCATTCGAGCTGCACCGATGTGGCCTGTGACTGTACGTGCGCATGTCAAGCCCTCTACATGCACTGACCCCCGAGGGAGAGCCGGGTCGTTTCTCTGGTGTACTCAGTTCGTCGTGGACAGCGTCTCAAAGATCGCTTCCGGTTGTCTGCCCTGCTAGAGTTGGGGCTTTGTCTGCGTTTGTGGACCCAGTTCACACGTCGTGTCGATGACGTCGTGAGAGGCGTTGTCGTTCTCAGGGAGTGCATAACGATAACAGATGCGTACAATTCCCGGAGGGATCTACTGTCTCCAAACAGTAGCAGAAGCTTCGGCGTGTGTTCGATCAATGCCTACGGACAGGGAGGTACAGCGGACAGCCTGAGCCCGAGAGCAAAGGAACAGAGGGACCGCACGGGCGGTAGGATGAATTACAAGTCTTGTAGGTGTGCATTCCCGAAACAAAAGCAAGGAAGAGTAGAAGAAATGAGGACTCGAGGACGGATGTATGAATATAGGTACTCAAATTACATGCGTTGAAAGGATATCACACTGGACGTCAGCCAATCGTTGTAGATGGACTGCGCCAGGACGTGATAATACAGGGATCCGACATCGATACAGGAAATAATTGAATGCGGAACGGTAGCAAAAAAAATGAATCACGAAAATAGAAACAGAGCATGAGAGAGAACGAGACAAGAAAGGGGAGCAGGTGAGTAGTACAGGTACATTGACCACAGGTGATGAAAGGACAACACGCTGGACGTCAGCCGATCGCTGTAGATGGACTGCGCCAGGATATGGTAATAACAAAGTACTCCGAAAGAATGTGAATGCAGATAAAAAAAAAAAGACGAGAAGAAACGAACCACGAAAATGAAACAAAGAGATGAGAAGGCGGGTGATGCGACAATACACGGACATTGACCACAGGTGTTGAAAATGCAACACGCTGGACAGCAGCCGATCGCTGTAGATGGACTGTGCCAGGACATGGTCAAAGAAAAGAAGAGTCGCGAAACGAGAGCAGGAGCAAAGCACAAGAAAAAAAAGGGTAGAAAGATTCACCAGTACGGATACGTAGACCACAGGCGTGAATAGGTAACGTGCTGGACACAGCCGATCGATGTAGATGGCCTGTGCCAGGACATGGTCGTGCATCTGGTACGAGGAGAGGAATTAAAGGGGAGCAGTGAACTTTAGTCCTACTGCAAAAGCGAAAGAAATCGGCGAGCTGGTTGACGGGGTCGCAGGACGCAAGAGAAGGAACCGACCGCACGATGTGAGATCTGTATGGGCAAATCATACTGATTGTCTGAGCGAAGAACGCTCCCCAACACCGCCTGATCCACGAAGATGGCGACCTGTGTAGACGCAACACAGGCCTGTTCGAGATGGTGATGGTCTGGGTTGGGGCGTGGGTCTTGAGATGTCCATCGGCTGGGAACGCTTGAGACCTCGTGGCCATTGACCTAAAGTGGTGCACGCAGGCTGCGGTGCGGGATCGTCGCCCAGGAGGTGGGCAACAAGGCTGAGCATGAGAGGACTACGGAGGGCGGTTGTGTCTCAGGGCTGCAAGCGGCTCTTGCGGTATCGTTTACCGAGGCGGGGCCCGGGAGACGTAGAGGCCAGGTACATCCGATGAAGTCGAACTCGAGGCTGTGTATAGCGACAACTAACAACGAGACAATGACGGGGTCAGAATAGGCGAAAGACACGGGACGGAGGATGAAGGAAGATACGCACACAATATGAGAAAGGCCTCACGGAGTATCGAATCCATAAAACAAGGCACTGACGCCAAACCGTGAATAGCCCGGACGACGACCGCTCAACAAATTGGGGGCTTCGACTTCGTCGATTGCAAGGTAGAATGGAAAGTCCGGAGGGTAGCGGCCCCATTCATGTAGCTCGAAGAACAAGCCCGGGCTCCTCTCAACCAAAGTGTCGAAACGGGTTTCAGCCGTCCGCTTTAGTTCTGCAATGGAACCTCGAGCCCTCGCGACATGTCGGTAGACCATGGAGAAAACATCATCACCCTCCGATGTCCGAGGTGGGTTCTGTTGAAAGACGGCCCAACATGCACTGTGATAGCCATCATCTACGTCTTTAGGAAGAAATTCCAAAAATCTGGAAAGTACGATGATGCGGGTGAGATAGAGGGCGTAGAAGCAGCGCTCCGCCGCAGCGGTACGACGCGATATGGCTTCAGGGCTGAGTGTCGCAGTGTCGACGGTAGCACCGAGCTCTTGGGTGGCGAGGAGGAGGTCTTGGGACAAATTACTCTTGAAAACTTCTTCCATTGTTTTATTTGGCGAATATGTGAAATAGAAACCCCAGTGTGTGCTGATACCTGTTAAGAGTTCTAATGTCTGTGGTTTGGGTTCTACGGTCTTATAAGGTCTACCAAGGATTACAAATGGATCAGTTAGGGTTACAAGATATATTTGAAAGATCAACGCACTGTCGGTCCTCAAAGGTGTCTGCCACACGTCCCCACCTGTCCCCCCAGGGCATCGCAAGATTACTGACTGAGAGAGGATTGAAGTGATCATAGAAATAAGATAAACGATAGCGATTGAACAGAGGCTCTACTTCAGCTAATGCCGCGTCAATCGGTGCATCGAGAGCATTAAAGAATGCGGCTGGGAATCCCGGTAAGTACAAGGATAAGGGATGATGAACAGCTGCACTCACGATGGTTACAATATGAATAGAGTTTGGTAAAGTCATCCTGAAGTTCCCAGAAGATGTCCATGAGCTCTGGATATTTGACGAGCACGGCTTGCGTGATGAGATCATCGGGCTTATCGCAAGACGATAAACCCATCGCTTGGGCGTAGGTTTCAAGGCCTCCCAGGTCGAACATGGAGTGACTGCCCCATATCCGAATGATTATGTTATCCCACATTGCCAACAGACGAGTTCGTTCGCGTTCAGGAATTTCTTCCCAGGGAACATGTGTGTGTCCTGAGGTAGCACTGGTAGCCGAGATGTCAACTGGAGGACGAGTGGGAATATTAGCCAACGGATGAAGAGGAAGGGGAGTTGCGGCGGTATTAGAAACTTGGATGGGGATACGGCGAGCTTGGACGCGATCGGAGGTGCGAGCTGAAGGAGGAACCGGAGCGTCGACAAAAGTTGAGGCAGGAATCGTGACGAATTCCGGGGTAGGCGTTGATCCGCGAGGGGGGAGTTGTACGGGAAGGCGAGGGGAGGCAGCTGGAATGTGAGGAGGGGTTGCTGCGATGTTCCTTCGAATGCGATCCGCAGTCATCCTAAGAAAGTAACGGCTCTGAATGGCAATGGCTGGCTCAGGTGACGAATCGCTCGCGTGTTTCGAAGGTGACGGTGCCAGACGATAACGCTTTGCATGGGGTTCTTCGGAGACATCGACGTCGAAATCGTCGTCGACAGTGAGGCGTCGACGTTTGACGAGAACAGGAGGCAGAGAAGCGATTGGGCCGTGAGCTGGGGTTGAAGCAGGAATGGGAGGTACGACAGTCGGATTGTGAGCCAAAGTTGCTGCAGTGTTCCTTCGAACGCGATCCGCGGTGGTCCTGAGTGAGTAACGGCTCTGGGGAGGGACGGTTGTTCGCGTCGATGAACGAGTCTTGCGTTTCGGTGGTGCAGATGTGAGATGTCGCTGGTGGTGACGTTTTGCCGGTGGCTCTTCACAGATATCGGCTTCCAGAGCGTTGCGTGGACGTTTGCTAGGGATGCGAGTTGTCGGAAGGATTGGGGCGGGAGCTGGGGTTGGAATGGGAAGGGGAGCCGCTGTAACTGGGATATGAGCTAGATTTTGTGTGACATTCCTTCGTGCCCGCTCTGCGGTAGTCCTAAGAGAATAGCGTCCCTGAGTCGAGAGGGCTGGCTTCGTCGAGAGACGCGCCTTACGCTTCGATGGTGGAGATGTCAGATGTCGCTGATGGTGACGCTTTGCCGGTGGCTCTTCACAGATATCGGCTTCCAGAGCGTTGCGTGGACGTTTGGTGGGGACGCGGGTAGTCGGAAGGATTGGGGCGGGAACTGGGGTTGGAATGGGAAGGGGAACCGGCGCAACTGGGATATGAGCTAAATTTTGTGTGACATTCCTTCGTGCACGCTCTGCGGTAGTCCTCAGAGAATAGCGTCTCTGAGTCGAGAGGGCTGGCTTCGTCGAGAGACGCACCTCACGCTTCGATGGTGTGGATGTCAGATGTCGCTGGTGATGCCGCTTTGCTGGCGGTTCGTCTGGGCTATCGACATCTTTGCGCCGACGTTTCCTTTCTGCGCAATTCTGTATGGCTTGAAGTGGGTACATTGTGCATTGACTGGATTGTCCAAGCGTGAAAGGAGGTATGCGGTAGTCGAGGTGAAAGGAACCGGGCACGTGGCATGACGCGAGCGCGTCGGCCGCTCTCGGCCGCTGCGCCCCGCTTTTCCATGGTGCCACCGTGTCCAAAGGTCACGTTATGTGTCAGGCTCGACCGTTATCTTCCTCGCTTGCTTTATTGAAGACGACACAGACGCGGAACGATCCGCAAACCCAACGTCGGCCGTTCAAAGTTCTCGTGTCGCCTGCTCTTGATTTCTCGCCTCTCTCCTCTCTTCCACCATCAACCCCGGCCTTCCCCTCGTAACTTTCTTGACTCTGTAGTCCCGACCCTGCTCTCTGTCCTTCGATTCTTCGAACACGCCATGTCTACAGGAAAGCGGACAGCAGACCATCTACCCCCTTCCGAACAGGTATCAAATCGTCCTCGCCATATCGCCCCCAAGTTCCTCGGCGTGCTGCTTCAGAGGAACCCTGTCTCAAGTCCTCCCTATGTTGCCCCCGTACCCGTTCCTCCGCATGCTGCTTCAGAAGGACCCTCTATGAACGACTCAAGTCCTCCCTATGTCGCACCCGTTCCTCCACATGTCGCCCCAGTTCCACCCTATGTCGTCCCCGTACCCATTCCTACACGTGCTGCTTCAGAAGGACCATTCAACGAAGACTCAGACAAAGACTCAAACAAAGACTCAACCAAAGACTCAGACAACAACTCATTCTGGTTCAAGCGGAGTCTTCGTCATGCTTTTCCGGATTTCCCTACTCCTTCGTCTTCGCCTTCTCACTCCCCCTGCCCCTCCCCCTCACACGCACTCTACCCTATACCCGAATCATCTGATGAGGAAGAATCGGACGCACATCACTCTCGCATCGACGCTCCCGATGGTAACCGTGAGACCTCTATGGATGCTACTCGGTCGCATGCGCAAGCTTCACCAGATACTTCGTCTCTTTGGAGGAGCTTGTCGTCTACGCAAAAGGCAGGGTACTCGAGGCAGTGTCAAGGGATATTAACTGCTGCAAGCAGGGAGGTGCCGCCGTTGAATCTGGCAGGGCTGACTCCTCACAGGCTTCTGGTCGCTCTGGGGATACACCATACAGTGAACGAAGCTAGTGCCAGGGCTGTGTTGAACAAACACAAAACGTTGCATGATCTGGTCCAATCCTTTCGGCATCATTTGAAGAACTCTCTCCCGATGGATATTGTGGCTTCTTACTTCTATGGGATTGTCAATCATGGCGAGTTTTTTTCCCGATCTACTAATGACAAGGCTAGGACTGACTTGAAATTATAGAAGCGTGGAAAGCCCTACCCACCTTGGGTGCAACACCGGACGATTGTATGTTCCCCTTATTGCGTCAAATGTATCAAGAAGCTGACACTCGTCACTTTAGCCCCTGCACCGTCTTTCGAGCAAGTTATGGCAACGCCCTCTGGACCACATCATTCACGCTCATCTGGTGAATCCTATGTGCAGCACATTGGCGAAACACCCCGTGAGTCATGTCATTCACGTCCACTCAATGCCAATTCTAACTTGACACCGGTGCAGGTACACCCGAGAATCAAGGCACGGTGCACCGCAAAATACCAGGTGAGTCATGTTATTCACATCCACTTGATGCCAATTCTAACTTGACACTGGTGCAGCTGCACCCAAGAAAAAACCCCCGCCCCCGCCACCCGTCCAGGGAACCACGCAAGCTACTTTGGATAGACCCACTATGCGTGCGACACCGGAAGATCGTACGTTCACATTATTGCTTCACATGAATCAAGAACATGACACTCTTCACTTTAGCCCCTGCGCCGTCTTTCGACCAAGTCAAGACAACACCTCCTAGGCCACAGCAAGCTAGAGAAACACCCTGTGAGTCATGTCATCCACGAAGTTCACTTGATGCCAATTCTGAATTGACCCCGGCGCAGACACTCCCGAAAAACTAGGCCCGAAGGAGGTCAAGCAAGCTCTCGCTGATGGTATGAAGAAGTACAGCTCCTTCTTTGATGGCCTAAAGTCCGGAAGACTGCCGTCCGAACGCTTTGAGCCTGGGGGGGATATGAGTTCGGTCTTTGCGCGTGATTTTATAGATTCGGACAAGGAGACGAACGATCTCTTAGCTAAGAGCAAATTTTCGGCCCCAGTCTCGTACGTGTCCTTCTTTGTTCGGTTATCGAAACGCACTGACATTCTCAAAGTCTGCTCTCTGGAGCTTCGGGGACCGGAAAGTCTCAGACATGTGCACGCCTCCTTGGAAACTCTCTTGGTTTAGGTTTTTCCTTTCAGCCCTCCGAACTCGGAAAGGACCCCACCGATCATGGCTTTCGGAGAGTTTCCGGCATGCTGAACTCTCTCGCATACAGGTCCAAGTTCGCCCCCATATCTGGCGACCCAGCGCAACTCGACGAGAATCGGAAACTTGTGCAAACTTTCGTCGCGACTTCGGTCCTGTGTCGGCTTTCTGTTCTCGAAGAATTCCTGGGCTGCAAACCAAAGGATGTGTCTGTTGAGACTTGGAAGATGCAGTGGGCTTTGTTTGAATTTCATCCCCAACTATCATACAAGGACTCTCCCGATCTCTACCAGGATATCTGCGAGTACTTGGAAGAGGACCTTCAAGATGCTTGTCCATCTACGATTTGGAGGCTAGCTCGAGAGAAAGTTCGTCGGCTGCAATCCCGCTTCCGACAATACATGGAGATCTTCTACCTGATCCTTGACGAGGCTCAGTTCGGCGCACTGTTGTACACCTCTCATTTTCGCTCTCGTGATGACCCTGGTCGTCCTAGTTCACTCTTGCCTGAGATGCTTGCGGCATTCAAGAACCTCGGCCTATTCGATCGTATCGTCATCTCCGGAATCAGCCTATCTGAGGACCAAATCATAGACTCCGTGCAGTCCACGACCGCTCGCTTGGGTACCGGCCTGAAGGTGGTCTATATTCCAGATGGTTTCTACGACAAGGAAGAGCAACGGAAGTATATAGTCAAGCATCTCGGGCCTTGGGCTAAAAAGCGCAAAATACCGGAAAAGTCCTTCGAACGGCTTGTCCAGCGGATGCTGGACTTGTTTCCCGGCCGGTGAGTCTTCATAGTTTGCTCTGCAGTCGCACATAATTCTTCTTAATCAATATTTCCCCAATCATCCAGGTATCGAGTGACTGCGTGCTTCATCGAGCTAGTGCTTCGATCCGATACCGAATCTCCTCATCGACTTTTCACTCTGTATGCTCTGCGTCTAACTGATGGCTATGTGTGTACGGATGGAGGTAAGATTGAGCGCGAAGAGGCATGCCTCGAAGACGAAGCGATCAAGCTCGCCGACGAGATCAGACCGATGATCGTCTGGAAGGAGTACGACTCCTTGCCCGCTGGTTCGTATTTCGATTACGCTACACCATTATATTTGCATTGAACTGACTGTTTGTCTTGCTCTAGACGTCAAGACGACGGTTATCCACATGGTCGCACGCTACCTCACCACCGGGACCCTGTCCACCATCACTGACAAGGAGCTGAAGCTCGTCAAGGCTAGTATAGGGCATGTACGCTGCGAAAAGACTTACGACGGGAGCAAAGACGAGAACAATATTCATTATGACGGGGGCAAAGACAAGAACAGTACTCACAAGTCGAGCGGCGCCGATGGACAAAAGGCCTTCGTCGTTTCCATCGACGAGCCGCTGGTGATTTTTTCTCTTATGATCCATTGCAAGGACGAGTTGATCAAGGCCGTGGCCGACTCCACGCGCTGGGCGCCCGAAGCCTGTTCGCAAGGACGATCGTACGAACTTCAGATCTTGGTCATCATCGCGCTGATGTTCGGCGGCCAATTCCGCAAGTTGGGCGATCTTCTCCTGTTTCACGAGAAATACAAACATCTGGAGAAACTCGAATGTGAGCTCGTCGCCATTTACAAGGTTGATGGCGAGTATATCGCGTCCTCGGCTGGGTGGGGTAGTGGTCCTAGTAGTAGCCTCCTCGGGTTCAGAGCCAACAAGGCCCCAGATTTGAAGGAGACCCTTGAACGTGGTGGAGGAGCCGCGTTCTATTTCCCCGACCCGAACAACCACATCGACGTGGAACTCTTTGTCAGACCCAGGGGTTCTTCGAAGATTATCAGGATCCGTGTGCAGGCCAAGTTTACTACTGGGGAGAACGGTAGCATCAGGTCGCTGACTTTCTGGGAGGCCTATCGCTCTCTTAACCCGGAATGGACCTACATGTCTCGCTGCAACAAACCGGTACGTTTGTTCCTCTTTCCGTCTGAATTTTCGAGTTTTATATCCATTTTCCTAACTGGCCGCTTTGCGTTCTCAATTCTGCAGGGAGAACCGGACTGGAAACTTTCGACTCAGGAAGGCCCCGCGATCATGGAGATCTTCGAGAAGATGCGACTGGCAAAGCACGGAGACTACGAGCCTCTGGTCCCACTATCTGCCGAGGACGAAGCGAAAATTCCGAACGATATCTACGTCATTGCCATCGCGGGGCCTGAGGAGACTCCCAAGCAGTTCAGGGAGTGCGAAGAGGCACTCTCGAACGACGCCTTCGGCCCTCTGGCCGTAACCAAGAGTTGGGCTTTCAAGGAATATTTCGGCGCTCCCTGGGCGCTGGCTGGTGCTCAGAACATGGTCAAGATTCCAGAGCCGAGGGCAACCTAGATCCAGAATTCTCGCCTCCGGAACTCTGTATGAACATCGCTCATTTGTGTTGTGTAATATTGTGTTTGTATGCTTTCATCTCCTCGAACTCTCTCGTTATCATTTTTACTTTGTGCTTTGCCCCATGCTCTCGTACACCGTGCCTCTTTTGTCAATTGTTTTGACAGCTTTGAATATACATGCTCTTTCATTATCATTGGCTTGGAGCGCTCGGTGATCCATTAAGTTCAAAGCACAAGAAGTGACGAGAAAGTTCCAGTCTTGCCTTAGACAGGTCAAATAAGTATACTACGCCCCTTCTCGTTCCAGCTCTTAGCTGGGGCCTTTCACGGTCTAGTCGAGAGCAGAAATAAACCTTCCTTCCTTCCTTCCTTCCTTCCTTCCTTCCTTCCTGAGGCTGGCTAGCTCAAGCGGACGCTGAGGGTGGAGTGCAATCGCGAAAGTCAAATAGTAGTATTGTATGTAGATAGATGTAGATTCGACGAAAAAGCTTCAACTACAGATATGGCACGGTTCAAGAAGTACACGCCCACAAACGGTCCTGGTCACTACTAGTCCTCATGGAAACCCGATCTCAAGCCTGAGGCTCCCGCGTTTATTTCTTGTCCGAATATCGTGATGATTCCGGCCAACAGAGGTGGCGAGGGAGATGTACAACGCATAAGACCGCATCCTGCGAATGTGCCGTAGACGAAGAAGAGAGGTGATGGCAGACAGAAAAAGCCGTCTGCGGTAAAGAAGAAAGCGCTCGAGTTTCCAGCGATGCAGAAGCTTTGTGCGTTGATTCGAAGATCCGGCGAAGAGTGGGAGGGAGCAGTGTGGAGCCAGGTAGAGAAGAGAGGCGGAGAATGAGCTGTGGCGCCATCGGGGTGGCGTGGATGACAGGCTTTGAACGGCGATGAGAGTTGCTCAAACGTTTTGTTACAGTCTCTGTTGACCGTGCGGCTCGATATCGCCACATTCCTCAGCGTCTCGGGCAGATTCGAAGTTGGCCGCGACATGTGGCAGACACTCTTCCATCGGATGCAACAGGTCAAAACATTGGAATTGAAAGGCCGGATGAGCTATGCGCTCGTCGAGGCTCTCAATCATTTTACTGTGGTTTCCTTGTCCGGCGACCAGGATGACGAGAGTGCCACCTCTTCGACATCGACCGTACCGCTTCCTAACCTCATCGCACTTCGCATTCACAGTGCCCACTTGTCTTTCCCGTTAGGCACTCAGACAATGTGCACCCAACTCGCGGAATTTCTATCGAAGAGAAAGGCGCTGCTTGACACCTAAGACGATTATTCTCGAGGATTGCCACGCCACCGATCCTCAGCTGCAGCAGCTAGTCGCGGCGGGTGGCGTTCATGTCGCGTGCAGTGGGCAACCGTATACCTGGGGAGCTGAAGGAATGGGTCTGTTTGGCGAGGAGGATGAGTGATTGGATTGGTGATGGCGAGCATAGTACGAGTTGGTTTCGATTCATGTCCACCAATGGGTTTCGATTACGATCTGTGGCCACACTGCTAGAGTCGGATGTCCTTCTGGCGTCGCCTCCAAGGAAATCGTGGTAGTGAGTCTGGCCGCCAAAGGTGGAAGAAGAGGCACAAATGAAGTAGTTTCTTCGTTCGCTTCTCCTCGAATAAATGGAGTCTAGAGCTGAAAATGGCTCTAGGAAGAAATATCGACCTCCCCCCATGAGAGAATGAATAGACCCAACCATCAACATTTCAAGTCCAGTCCTGGGCCTGAACAGTCAGCGGCCATATCATGAATTAGGCTCAATGAGCATTCTTCCAGTGCAAAATCCAGCCCAGTATCTCCGCTAATTCAGAGGTGAGACATAAGGGGCGTAAAGAAAAGCGCACACCATAAATTACGATCATAGCAAACACGCCCTCCACTGAGGCAGTCGCAACCATACATGCACCTACATGCGCGCACTGAGAAGTTATGATGATCCCTCCGCCTCGGTGATAACGCTCGACGAACCACCTGGCCGTGATGTTCTGTCAAGGTATATTTTGCCCGTAAGACCACCCCACGGAAGCTTTCCCCAGATCTCGTTCCTTTGGTCGTCGGTGAGCTTCACGTTTTTGTCGACGTAGGGTTTGAGCTAAGTGTAGATGGAGTAGGAAATAGCAGTGATGTCGAGAGAGAGGCCGGAGGTCGGAGGGAGTGAATAACAGCAAGAGCGTAGCAAAGAGTGGGGTCCAAGGCAGAACGTGGCGCGACGCATGGGCAAAGATGCCACGAGTATATCGACGGTCGGAACATTAGACAGATCAAAAAAGAGCAGCGAGCGCAGGCGCACCTTCGAGTTATTGATCTCCTCCACCGGTGGCGCGACGAAGAACCTCACTTTCTCGTCAATCAACCTGTACTTGGCCTTGCCCTTGACCACATGTTGACCCGGTGCACCCGTACGGCGACCATGGGGAAGAAAGGCCTGTCGTGTACCTGTATGTTCGTATTCATTTCCAGCCGTATTGCGGGTGATATAGATTCTGTCAGACAGTGGTTGCATTGCGAGACAGAGGAAGAGGCGGCAGTGAGGGAATGAGGAAGTTAGCACTGACCCTTGTAGTAGTCCTTATTTCCCCGCTTAGGAGTGAGCGGCCTTCTTGACGCCTTTGCGAGAGCAACGAGGGTAGGATGCATAGCTCAAATGTAACTGTGAGCGCAGAGTAGGTAAAGTGCAACTGCAAGTCGACTTCGCGAAATTCGAAATTCGAGCACTCGGCTTTTGCCGTGTATCCAGCCCAAGGACTTGGTGTGTTTCGTTCGTCGTGTCACGCCGACTTTCTCCGAACCTCGCACAAGTATACGTCTTTCATCGATCATCCCAGACAACGTAGATGAATCAACATTGACCACTCTCTTAGCTTCAGACATTGAGTTAGGGCGCAGGTTATCACGGCTGCACTTTTTTCGAGGCCAGTTGGTGAGCTCTGTTTCGGTCTATGACAATTGATGCACGAGGTTCTTGAAGTAACTGGCGATCGCTGGGGATACTATGAACCCCACCAACACTGCCAGCTGCGTGCTATATGCTGTCAATTCGTTCTTCGAGATCCATGGGATACTGAATATAACCTACTCTAAGCACATGATCTATCGGTCCACGCCGATCGTACGATCACTCAAATACAGACTGACGCTTGTTTCATCATCTTGCGAAGCAGTGTGTTTATAAAAACGCTGAAGCAATCGAGGGCCAAGCGTGTCACATTTCTGCCAGCTAGATCCATGCGTGCTGTAACTATATACTCCGAGAAAGTCCTGGTCGACTCGGACTGCTTTGGCGAGCATGATCCTTAGGGGCCTTTCTATGATGGCCGAGTTGTCCTTCCTGATCTGCAATCTGGACCTCACTTTCATGTCGACTGGTTGTCTCTCGCGTCAATGCGTTGAAACAAAATCAAGGGGATGGAACGTCTTCGGCACCGCACCCTTGTTTCCGGGCGGTACTTCAACTACTGCATAAAAGGCCGCATAGTAGCATTTTGGACCGTCAGCGCATGCTCACTTCGATATTCTTCTGGTACTGGATAGTGAGTCTTCCGTAGATGACGACTACGAGGCCACCATGCTCACAATTTTCTTCACAGTCCACCATTTTGTTTCCATTTACGCTCTCTATTCAGTCCTTCGTTAATCCTATACATCTTCGTCTACTTACACTCGAAACATCACAAGATTGAACCTATTTTTGCGGGCCACGTCATCTATTCAGACATCATGTACATTTCATCTACCCTCGTCGCGCTTCTCGTTGCGTCCGCTGTCGCCGCCGCCCCATTCTCGTAAGTGCATTTCACTTTTTGCATTCAGATCCCAAATTGAATAGCGCTTCACCAACGCTTACATTCGAATAGAGAACGTCGAGATCAGCTTTTCAACGTCAACGCACGCGCCTCAAAAGTCGGCAAAATTGCAAAGGGGGCATCCAGCAAGAGCGCCTCTAAAGTCAGCCTCAGCGGGATACTTGACTCCCTCGGCAATGGCCTCAACAATGTCGAGCAAGGTATCAACCTATTCAACGGGTTCAGCGCGGTGTTGGACCAGCTCCCTACACCAGCTGCCACGGCTCCAGCTCTCTCGACTCCTGCTGCCACTATGGATCCTACCAATTCCACAGCCCAGAATACGACTGGCAACTCCTCCGGGAACACACCGTCGTGAGTTATGTATCCTTCGATGATATGAGATTGTTTGCTCAGATTATCCTCAGGAAGCGATTCGCTCTGCCATTTGGCTCAGGCTTGTGCCAAATATTGTGAATCAAATATCTTCCATATGCTACGGTTGAGACTATACTAATGTCTCTTCTTCTACAAGCCCGGAAGGGACGGTGTTGTACGCAATGCTTACTATTATGATACGCAGCTCAGTTGCAAACTAACTCGACATGCGACCTCTTTTATAGTTCCCCTGAGGAGCAAACAAGGTTCGAGAAGGAATGTGTTCCTCATAGCACAGTGGTTACTTCCACCAGCGCGCCAGCTGTCACGACACCATCAGCACCAGCCCCTACCTCTCCTAGCCTGGTCGATGGACCCGAACGCAGGTCTTCCAAAGATGGTACCACTACCAACGGGCTAGAGTGAGCTTTTTCGGTCTACTGTCTTGCCTGACGTGTTCGCAGACTTAGCTAATGTTGATTCATCTGGTGATCAGTCCTGCCGCCCTCGCTGCGCTGCATAAACTTGTTACGAGAGTTCTTGACGAGCTTGATTGAATGGACAGACAATGAATTTGTTCGACGACTCTGGTTCATACAACGAGTGTACTTGCCTTGCGCTGGCCGCGATAGTCCATCATACAGCCGTTTAATATAGAATAACTTCCTGTGTGCCTTCTTTGTTGGTCAACAATCCTTTTCACGGTGACTTGATCATCGTTGTTGTAGACAGCGCATATTTCAGGTTTACACATACATCTCTTCGACGGTCAAAGGGCTGCACACAGTTCCACATCGCGCAAAGCATGACTAGCGGAAGTGAGATAAATTGACTGTCCTCGTTCATGTTGAGGGACCAATGACGCCAGGACGATGTCCTCAACTACAGGCCATCATGCGTAGGACTAGACAGCGAAGGCGTACTATGACGCAATAAATGACACATAGCCTCTCACTCTTCTCACTCCTCCTCGCCCTCCTCCTCCTCCTCCTCATCTTCTTCTTCTTCGTCCTCTTCGTCCTCCTCCTCTTCCTGGTCCGACGGCCATTCCTCGTCCTCCTCTTCACCTTCACTCTCTTGATCCACTTCTCTCCTCCTCTTGTCCCCGGTCGCCTTGTCGCCGCCCTCCTCTCCCACATCTACGCTTCCATCACCAAGGGTCACACAGGTCAACCGACTGCCCTTCGTATCGTAGATAGCCACCGGCTCTATCTGTGGTAGATCCTTGTATGCAACAGCCTGGGAGGATGACGAAGGTGTAGGGAGAGAGAACAGGTCATAAAGGTGGACAGTTCCGGCGGAGGAGACGGTCGTGAGAATGGTAGTCGAAGGCCGGGACGAAATAGGAAGTGCGATACGGAGGGTATCGAGTGCTTTGACACTACGTGTTGGCCAAAAACTTTAATAAGTTATTTGTTTACACATATAGTGAATAGGAGGACGCACCGATTTGTGTGTCCTACGAAGGTAGCTATATATTTTGGTGCAATTGTGACATCTGCATTGATTTCGTAGGCCACAGTTTTCTTGTCCTCAGCAGCGACGAGAAGGGCCTCGCCATCTCCGGAAGGCCGTAGAACAAATTTGATATCGTGTATACGTGCAGGGTGATCGACGGTGTGTAGGTGTGTGAGGTCCTGGAAGTCGACGAACGTGGTCAATATTGGTCGAGCTTTGGAATGTTGGGTCAAAAGGACACTTACAGTTGAATAGACATCGATGATTTTCTGGTGTTGAACAACAAGTAGGCTACCATTGACGGACCAGCGCACGAGCTCTCCCTCTAAGCAGGAAAACAATGACAAGACAAGCATTTAGCAAATGTTCAGCACGAAGCCATCTTGCGCCACAAAAAGCGCCACAAGAGAAAAAGCTCACCAAACCCAAGTCTCGTACTTCCACCCGCACGACCCCTCATGAGATCCCACATCCTCAGGGTTCTATCCTTTCCGACACTGAGTCCAACTTTTCCTGAAGGATGTACAGCGATAGAATTGATGGGTCCCTTGTGGCCCTTCAGCGAACGAAGGACTGCCCAATCCCTCGCGCGGAAGATACAAAGTGTGCCATCTTCGGATGCAGACAGAAGATGCGAGCGAGAAGGAAAAGAAAGATGTGTTATTGAGCCTGAAATGGCCGAGTCCAAATGATAGATGAGAACGCTAATTCCTACGTGGAAGAGAGAGGAGGCGCACCAGTATGGTGCATCAGTCCACCAATTTCTCTTTTCCTTCGCAAGTCCCAAACTTTGATGATCTCATCCGCACTTCCAGTCGCCAGCCATTTTCCTCCCTCCGGAGATGCAGCGACCGCCTTGACGCACGAGACGTGAGCAGGGAAGATGAAGATCGGTTTTAGGTTGAAGGTAAGCTCTTGGGAGGACGATGAAGGTGTAGAGATGGTGCCTTCCAAGCCATAGAGTAGTTTCTCGTATGTTCCAGCAACGATTTTGAACGTCTGGGGTAATGGTGACGGTTTCGAGTCGTCGACTTTATTTTGGAGGATAGTCGAAGATAGAGAGGCTGGGGGTGTAGGTGCGCGAGCTTTTCCCTTGCCTTTGCCATTGGCAGGAGCAGACACAACTGCTTTTGAGGTAGATTTGGACTTTTTGGAAGGAACCTTAGACACCTTTTCCTCTATCCTGGCTTTCTTGAACGGTCGCTTCGATTGTGTGGCGGAAGGCGCATTTTTAGTGGTGGTAGAAGAAGGCATCGTTTGCAAGGTTGGCCTCAGCGCCGGTCTTCGCTCATAGGGTCCCGAAAGATCGGCGACGAGCCAGGGGTGTGGCCCGCCCGAACGGTACAACTCAAAAATAATGAACTGACAGCTTATTTTGAAAACGACAGCGATACGAGACAGGGTCATAGCACAAAAGGTACACTACTTTACAGATCGATGATAGAGTTACTTCGCTGACCTTTAGGCTCCGAACTTCAATACGACCTTGGTTTCTCCCTCCTTCACCGTCACCCTCGGCGCCCCCGCTCCAGCTGCCAATTCCTGCGAGCCTTGCACCTTCTTCGTCTTCAGCTCGTCCAAGAACAAGCTGACACAGGCCAGCTCAAGAGCACCGTTCTCTACTTGCACCGTCACTTCGTTCTGTTCCCTCTTCACCACCACTGTGCCTGCAATGTTCTTCCCTTCGCCCGTGGGCACATCCACTCTCAATGTTGCACCCTCCTCAATCTCGTATAATTGCACCTCCAGACCCTTTGTATAGTCATAATCAGGCTTCTTCGTCTTTTTTGGGCCCATGAGTAGAACAGTGTTCGGCCGTATCCAAACGGGGATCTCGTCTAAGGGAACGACTTCGTTGATCCAGACAGGCCCAGTAACGGTGCGCGACGGGTCAAAGAGTGAGGTCCAACGGCCAGCAGGGAGGTAGTACTCAGTTTCTTCGCCTTTTGGCACGAAGACAGGTGCAACGAGGAGAGAGGGGCCTAGCATGTATTGACGGTCGAGTGTGTGAGTGGTCCGATCGGACAAGAATTCGAGGAACATCGCGCGTTGAAGTGGGTGGCCGACTTCATGCGCTTTCAATGCCTGATTGCAAAGAAGACAGCGAAAGATGGTGAGTAGGATACTTGAAGAAATACGAAGTCAGAATAAGACCTACGAGATCATAGATGTAGGGCATCAAGCGATGCTTCATATCTAAGAATTTCGCCATGCTGACAGCGGCCTCTTCACCATACTCCCATGGTACCCTGTACGTGTGGGATCCATGCAGACGCGAGTGAGAGGAAAACAGACCGTAGGCCACCCATCGCTGGTACACTTCAGGTGGCGGGCGACCCTAATAAAGCAGTTGAGAAAGATAAAAAGGACCAATATAGTCTCGCATACCTCGAAACCACCGATATCATGAGATGTAAACGCGAAGCCAGACATCGTCAAGCTAAGACCACCGCGAAGCGTCTCCGCCATAGCCTCAAAGCTCGACTCGCAGTCTCCACCCCAGTGCTTGAGCCCAAAGCATGAGTTGAGCTACAAGTACGGAGCAGATGAGAGCACTTACCACTGGAAGTCTCTGTCCACCAGCATGCGCCGCTCTGGCGAACACGATGGCTTCGCCCTTTCCAAATCTCTCCTCCAAAAGGCCGAAAACGAGTTTGTTGTAGGTGATAGCGTATACGTTATGCATACGCATGGGGTCCGAGCCATCGTGGAAGACAACCCCAGCATGGGGAATACGCTCCGCGAAGTCAGTCTAATAACCATCATATCAACGCCGTCTCCGTGTTACACGCCGTTAGAAATAAATATGCAAAGACATACCTTAAAGGTGTCGACGCCGAGATCAACTAGAGCATTGAGTTTTGCTTTGTACCATTCTGCCGCTTCCGGGTTCGTGAAATCCACGATCGCAAGACCAGGCTGCCAGAGGTCCCACTGCCACGGCGTTCCGTCCTTCCTTTTGATGAAGTACCCACCCTTCACTGCCTCCTCATATATAGGAGATAGTTGGGAGATGTATGGATTGACTGTAATGGCAAGTTTCAGCGTCCACAGAGACGAACAGATGTATGAAACTCAGAACTCACTCCAAACACATATCTTCCCACCATAGGTCTTCTTGATGTCCGCGAGATATTTCTTTGGGTCCGGGAAGTTGTCCGGATCGAATGTAAAAGAACACCACTCGTATTGTTTCATCCAGAAACAATCAAGGTGGAAGACTCGAACATTGCAGTCCCGATCCTGCATACCCTGCAAGAATCCGGCGACTGTCTTGCTGTCGTAGGACGTGAGGAATGACGTGGATAACCAGAGTCCGAAGGTCCAGGTCGGCAGAAGGCTGTGAAGTTTTCAAGTAAGCTCAATGCCGCATTCTGGTAGACTCGAGAAGAAGCCTTACGCAGGACGTCCAGTAATCCTTGTATACCTTTCCAAGATCTGCGACATAGGGTTTATAGTCAGTGGCAGTGAGCCAAGACAATGGAGGTGCCACAAATACCTGAAGTGGCGTCTCGCCGTAGATGATAAAATACTCCACCGACTCGCCGGCGACGCTAACTCCAACTCGAGAAACTTTCTCAGATCCTACTTCTACTTCGACCTCACCAGGGTGATTGATGAACACGCCATAGCCGCGGTTGGTCAGATAGAACGGAACGCATTTATATGCCTGATCACTCGAAGTTCCTCCATCTCTGTTCCATACACTGATGGTCTGACCTGCCAAGATAGACATATATATTAGCCTTTAATATTAAACAACATTGGAGGTGTGACTAGCATACCATTCTTCACGAAGGCACCGAACTGTTCTCCCATTCCATAGATCAGTTCGCCAGGAGATATATTCAACTCTGAGTGAATGTATCGCACAAGCTCCGGAGGGGTTTCGGGCTTCGGGTTTGAGCTCACATCGGTCGCCAGGCATGAGCTGTTCGCTGCCGTATTCTGAGTATACTTGTATGGTATATCGTAGATGGCCTGATGCTTGTATCCAGCAGAAGTCAGAGTGCGGTTAGGGGATTTGAACGTGACAGTATATGGGTAGGACGTGATTTCTGCGGTAAGGCCAGCTGTCGAGAGGGAGTACGTCAAAGACTTCTCGTGTGTCAGAGGCTCGCTCGGAGTGTCTACGGAGACGGAGGGGATGGGTGCATCGTCCGGGAAGAGTTCGATCTCCGGAGAGGGTTTAATGTGTTTGAAGTGGTCGATACGAACACCCACAACACCCTCGGTCGGGGAATAGACCTTGATACTCAATATGGGACCTGCGATTTCAGCGATGATGCAGTTTCAGTCAATCATCATTAGATTGAGGTGTACAGAACGGACCTCCAAGAGTATCGCCACGATGCTTAATCCACTTTGTTGCCACCTGAAAGTCAAAGCCATCCTTCTGTGGTGTGGCATTGACGACCTGGAGCCCATGATAGGCCTTTACCCCGTTCTTCAATAACCAGAAGCCGTCGTTGAATTTCATGACAAGAGGAAAGCCACCTTGATGTGGGAATGCAAGTGAACATTGCGCATGTTGGAGGTGTTTTTAAAGCAAGTAAGGTCCGGAAAATGTTGCGCGATGGTGCGAGCGGGCCGCAGGAGAGTGTGTTATATGCCCGAGAATTGGCCCCATGACCATGTACAGAGTGGACGTTACGCCCTTGATCCGTGCATCGTGATTGAAGAGTTGTCGTGAGATGCCCAGCGGAGTAAAAAAGCTATACGAAGCTCAAGCGTGAATAGCGACTATTCAAGAACAACAGCATCCGTCTAAATAAAGAGAGCAACCTTGATGTGTCAAGATGCAGAGGCAGGCAGATGCGTATGAGTGACTACTACCGCCGAAGGGTAAGCCACAATATCCCACAATAGCCGACGCGCCGCTGATGTCCAGGCTCGCCTGAAAGCGTAGGACTAGCCCTCAAAAGAGTCGTCCAGATGATGCATTGGTGCCACCCAGAAGGAGTAGAACTTGGTGAGACTCACTTCCGCCCCTCGCGGTGAAGTAGTAACTTCAGACAACTCGAAGGCGACTCGAGGGGTCCGGCGCAAGTGTCGGGGTTCGCGCCACGTGGAGAACACGTACACAAAGCCAAACAGCGCGTCGTGTTTCCACGGCTTTCCCAACGTCCGACTTCTTTGTTACGATGGGTCTGTCCGTCTGTTCGATGTGGACCCTAGGCCTCTTCTCTCGTCCATCAGAGACTCGTATTGGTGCTCATCTGGATAAAACCCGACCGACTCGATCCTACTAAGTACTGCTTTTTTGTTCTACCTCAGGCTTCCAAGTCGCCATCACGGGATTCTCCTGCGTATCTCGCCCTCTCGGTCCTAGACATCATCGTATCTAACCTATATCTTCATAGATTTCAGAGACATGTCCCCTTCACCACATTCTTCTTGTCTCTCCCCTAGTACTTTCAAATCCCTCCTGCCTCCGAGTCTGGAGCTATCAATAGTCGAGCCCTTGCCATGCAACGTCACTTCTTTCAACCCACCTGTCCAGAGCGTATTCTGCCCTCAACAACACACTTCCTCGCATCACTGTAAACTCACTTGGATGCTACGCATGTCTCTGCTCAAGGATTTGACCCGCCACATGACACTGCTTTTTAGTATGATGTCCCGTGAACCGCCACTCTCGACCTACCATCCGCTCGGAATACCTCTAGAGACTTCCTAGGCCCAATTGCTCTGCAGGCATCCTTTACTGGCAACTACGCCACACGAATCCATCGGCCTTCTTGTTCGAGTTCCGTTACCTTCTCGCTGCTGCCCAGTGCTCACTTGCTCAACTTCTGCAAGGCCTGCTCCACTCCGAGTCATCGTCGCCCCAATCGCTCTCTGCTGGCGTCTCCTCACCATACATCTTATACCTCCCCTGTTTTCTCTGGTACCACCTGGTTATCTTGTTTCGGATATTCCCTTCGTCAGACATCTTAAATCCTTCCAATGATCGCCACGGCGTCTCCTTTTAGAGCGTTACCCATAGCGATTTTCCTAGAGGTCACACAACCATCCCTCCCTGGGATTCCGTTTTCGTGCACGATCAATCAACGTCTTCTTTCATGCTTGACGAGCGGGTTCTTAAATTATAGTCCATACCCCACAAGTTGTGACCATTACACTAAGGGTACAACAGCTGTTGGGCGTCTGAATTTGCGGGTGCGTGTATAACTCTATCTCGCAGATGACATAGGCTAACCGGCCATCACCACTGTGAGGGTTCGTCCTTCTCAGGACATTGTTTGCATATGCCCCATTCAACCTCCGCCACACATGAGGTAAATATCTGTCACTTACTCGGGCACTCTGCGGTCGACTAAATACCCTTGTTGAGCGTCTCAGGCAATCACAGCTGTAGGTCCCGGTGCCTGTATTCTAGGTTCGGCCGCTGGCGTTCTGATTAACCTAAACAGGGTACTACACATGTAGGTTTATATTGTCTGCGCGGCTTACTCACAGCACCGTTCTTCAACCCAATAGAACAGTTACAAAAAAACACGGCAGTCCAGATATTTGCTCCCAAAGATGCGATGCTGCACTTGCTGTCGAAGTACTTATATGTTCTCGTCTACAGCAAAGCGAAAGTACGTCCCTCTGTTCGTACCCTTCGAATTTTTCCCATACTCTCTGGCTCAACGCAACATGTCGCACGCGCAGGCTGTAGCGTTGTATACTCACACTGTAACCGTTTTCCAGATGATCCGGTCCTAATTATGTGCATCTCTATTCCAAACTAATCGTTCGACTGAGGGAAGACCGGTTCCGAGTCGTCGTCATCCCTGTGCGGCACTGTGACCTTGCATTCCTTCATATGTAGGCCTACATATGTAAGGGAATGCAAGAGAGGCGACAAAGGCGAGATATGCGACGCCCTGTCGCTCCCCTAGGTCGTATTTAATCCACATAGGAAAGGGCACTTAGGAGATACCACCCACTTCTCAACGATGCAGTCCCCGTCCCTCTCCCCCATCATCGAACACTCCTTGGCCACGCTACCTTTGAGATATGCAGAAACGCGCCAGGTAGAGCTCATTCACGTCTGTCTTTGGCTTTTCCTTCTCCTTACAGTCATGTGCATTAGACCTTCGAGAGAATGCACGCCGCTTTCCTGCAGGACGGCATCCTTTCTCATGCATTCGGCAAAGAAAATGCCTACCACATTGTCACGAACTTGCTTCATACGCCTTTTATCGATCTTGCCATACGCTGCGACACCTCTACAGGGTGCTTCTTCATCCACCGCCCCGAGAGTCACCCCCTGTGCCTCGATTTTCACTACAGCAAGCTTTCAGCATCGTTATCCTGGACCTTCATTGTTCAACAGCTCTGGCATCCCAAGTTCTCCAGCGGTACTGACCGCTTCGTGGCCAACCCCAACGTTCAACTTCAGAACACAATGTTCTTCCTTCATGAGGGGCAGACGCGCGAGTGTGGCGTGACGGCGAAGCAGGCTATCGAGAAGGAGGTGAGGCATATCAAGGGCTGTGATGAGCAAGCACCGTAAGGGCTTTGCATTCCTGACTCCTTTCGTATGCTTCCTCTCGAGACGCGATTGTGCTTAACGACCCGTTGTTGACTCATTTGTCTATAGGCTGCCAACCATTCCAGCAAACAACGCCAGATCAACGGGATGACTCAGTCCTCCACGAAGAAGCCCATCGATCTCAAGAACTTTATTGCGCACCTAGGTCGCTCTGTGCAGAGGTATTTAAAGTATCTGGAGGTACGGATATAGACTGTTTCTTTGTTGATTTTTGGAGCCTCAAAAAAGGCGCACTATACTGACCAATTGGAAACTGCCAGGACCAGCCTAAAGAAGACCCTCTCGTGTCGCCAGACGGACGGACGCTCAACATTGACGACATTCTCATTCTGGGAGCCGTCAATGTTTCTCAAGGGGGTTGGCAACCTATCCTTGCCCACAATATACCCTGAGGACATTTAGTGCGCTCGTAGATGCACAGTGCTTGCAAGCAGGCAGCGGCGGAGTATGCAGTGACTCAGGCGGCGTTCTCTTCCCCTTCTACTGCCCCGTTTTCTGCTCGCCTTAAATCTACTGCACCGTTATTTGATGTTTTGTTTGTGTCTCAAAATTTCGGTGCTGGTGTTGTAAGTACGCAGAATTTCCACGACGTCCTCGTGGCACAGCAGATGTACAATATCACGTTCAACATTCTCGATCGGGGTTTCAATAGTATCGACATGGTCGGACTTTCTCGATCCGATCGCGACTTGATGACGACGTTACTGCGTAGCTGCAACGGCCGGACCAAGCGAAAAATGGCGGGGTGCCGTGACTGAAAAAATGCTCACCATGATAATCGATTTACAGTCTGTAATCACACGTTAAAGCCACTTACGTGAAATATAGGGAAGTATGGAGCAAACGGGGCAAAGGGAAGACTGGCGGGTGGTGGGAAGGAAACGACAAGATTAGATTGTAGCTGGTAGGGGTATATATATATGGCTCCCCATCGTATCTTATCAGATTATTGGACTTCAGCCCCATCTCCGACTCTTCGCCACCTCTGCTACTTGCCTAATAAAACACAGGGTGCCATAAAGTCAAACCTGTACGGCCTCTAGCATTCATCGAGGTATATCCAATACGAAAATATGGGCGTCACACCAGAGGAAATGGAGGCCGTCATTCGGTCTGCAATTCCAATCACTCATCTACAAATTCTCGACGAGTCGAGTGGATGTGGGGAGAACTATTCTGTCGTCATTGTCAGCGAGGTGCGTATCGTCTATGTCTCTTCGTTCGTGGATGCGATGTGTACTCAATCAACGTCCCCTTCGTACATGCGTAGGCGTTTGAGGGAAAGAATACGCTGGCCAGACATCGCATGGGTGAGGTTCTGTAGAGCCATCATCCCTGAAAGCCTTATCTGATAACCCACAACACGCGAAGTGAACGAGATGTTGAAGAAGGAGATTTCTTCCATCCACGCGTTCACACAGGTATGAGATGTTCCTTACGTCCGTGGGTCCGATCTTCTCTAATCTCGTGATACATATTTATGCATGGACCGTGGTAGAAAACGTTCACGCCGAAACAGTGGGAGGCGCAGCAGGCGAAGGGATAGTCGGGAACTTAAGGAGGTGACCGGGAGGCTCATACGACTCAGGGTAGTGCAATCATTCTTGGCTAGTTAAGGACGGCCACTGGGTAGATTCAACTATTCCTACATTCGCCAGTACAACATCTTAATCCGCACACTCCTCATGGCTATTTCCGCGTCGCAGTATTGCTACCCATCAAACACTGGATCCAGCTGCAGGTTGTACACACGATTGGCGTTGTGAAAAAAAGCACTTTTCGCAATGTTGATAGCTTGCGTTAAACTGAAGTCGCCTTGGCTGGTGTACTGACGGAGTAACTGCACGTATCGTCAGTTTAGCCAAGGTATCACTCATGAAGCGAGAGGTAGGACCTGAAGGAGAGCTTGACGAGCTTGCATTGTCCCCAGATAGTAGCTTTCGGGCCACCAATGCCCGTCCGCTGCACAATGTTAACACTTCATCAGGATATACCTTGTTACTATTAGAACGAATACACGCACTCGACCACATTATCTTGTTCATCGGCGTCAACTCGAAGACCTGCCTCAAGACTGTTCTCTGGCCATCACTGCTCAAAAACGGGAAAATCTCCCCGAAATCGAGGTATACATTTGCGTATACGGAGGTCAGATAACCAGCGTCGCGTGTGTAGGGATAAGAGGAGTGTAGAAGGACGAAAGTGGCGTTCGGGTGAGCTTTGATGAGCGGCTGGAGGTTTGCCGGGGAGGAACGCGTAAGAGTGATATCGTTGTCACCGAGGCCCGTGTGGAATTGCACTGGAAGGCTTGTGTGTCAGTGCGAAAAAGTCAGGGTGCTGATGGAAGAGGAGCATACCCGGTTTATTGAATTTTGCCGCGATAGTGAGTGTCACCTGCACGACCAAATCATTCAATGGTTTATCATCTAGTCTAAGCTCCTTGACCGGCCAGGCCTTCAGAAACTCCTTATAGATCCTCACGATCGCGTGGTCCAGTGCGGGTTCGTTGCCCGTCGGAGAGACATCAAGCCCCGAGCGGTAGCAGACGACAGATTTGAAGCCGCAGACCTCCGGACGACCAGCGGCGTTTGAGAGTTGGCGGACAAGCTCAATGCCAAACGTATGCATAAATTGGCGAGGATTGATAGTTGGATCGGTTGAGCGGAAGAAGGTGCTCAGGATAGTCTGATGTTACACATTAGGGCAAATTTCAAAAAGTTGCATCACTAAGAGCATGAAGTGGGGTAAACGATGTGTAACTGACCTCAGCAACTACCTCAACCCTGACAATCCTCCTGCTTGGACTCCATGTAAACTGATTATGCCACGTATAATCCTCTGCCATCTCCGCCACCCCACCGAGCCCATCATCCAGCAAAAGACATTGAATCCTCGTCGGTCCAAAACATAGCCTACATAGATCTTCATAGGTCATTCTATCCCGTGCTGCCTTCACGTCGTCCCAGGTTACATCATCGCCCTTAGTCCCGGCGTCATGAGACGTATTCATGCTCGAGTCTTGAGATTTATTGATCTGGAACAATTGTCCGAGCTCGATTGTAGCCCGATAGCATGCGACGGTGTGTACCGCATCGGGGGCGGCAAGACCAGAAGCTTCGGAGATGACACCTTCGAATGGAACAGAATGACGATGTGAGGATCGCAAAAGGGGGTGGGCGTGATTGTCGATGGCAGGGTAGCGGAGGCAGACGGCTTCCAGTTCGCGGAAGTCGAGGGCAGCGCTAGTCATGATATTGTCGGCGGATGGAGACTTGATGCTGGTATTACTTGGAAACAGGTCGAAAGTCGTCAGATACGGATGGGGTATCTGTCGTGCTGAGGGTGGTAGGTTAGAAACAGTGGGACGGAAGCAGAGCTAAGGGCCGACATTCGCTGATGCCTAGCAGAAAACAGCGAGCCCGGTAGCGAAAAGACCGTTATAGAAAATGGAATAGTGAGAGCAAGGTCTGGGAGGATCTTACAGGATCTTACTCCTCTTCTTCGAATTGATCACTGAGCGCTCTCTGGACGGAGAGGGGTTCCGCCAGTGTGGGAGTCTGTGCTATTTCGACCATCGAAACGGAGGGGATGTGAATTTCGTGCAGTCACGAATGCAGTATGAAAATACACCGTAATAAAGCATCGCAAGCCCACCTGAGAGCCCTGTGGCGTTCCAGTGACCAGGAGTGCGCCACAGATAACCCGGCCAATAGTGGCTGTGTAAGTTTTGGTATAAATGCGCCCAAAGTGTGGCGATAAATGCCATGGTCTAAAAGATGCTCAACTAGCGCGATGCATGATCGGAAGCCTTGTTCACGCTGGAACACAAACCCACCCAAAAGAATAATGCTCCATAGTACGGCGATAAAGCTTACCACCGCACAGAGCGAGATACAGCGGGCGCAGGCGTTTTTCGCGAAACCATTGAGGTCGTAACGGCCAAACCTAGGGAGAGATACCCTCGATAATAGAATGAGCTCAACTTCGAGTCCTGTTGATTGCAAGCCGTCCTGACTGCCTTGAACTGGCGATCCGATATTGAATGAATACTAATAAGCACCTGTACATCGAAATTTAAGAGACAGTTCAGCTTACATAAAATCTCCGACTCCCTATGCCTGAGTAGTGATGACTCTAGACGTTCCAGCGACGAGCTCGAAGAATGAATCGATATTGTTCAAGGACAATGAGCGATATTCAGGTTCCGGACATTGCCGAACTCGTGGGAAGGTGCGGCCTCATGGGGAACAATGGCTCGGACGGCTTTTGTGCCGCAAACAGACTCGCTTGTATAAAACCTTCCACGACAGCCGTGGGCCCGATGGTGTCTCTCCGAAGAATATCTGCACTGGCCTGCAGCTGGCTCAGCCTCTGTCTTGCTTTCGACTTTCCTGTTTCTTGACGTCTCCGCTTTCTCACTAGATTGCTGGCATTTCACCATCACTTGCTCCGGAAGCTTACTTACGACATATTATTTCTTGCTATTATCGATGTTCCTTCTACTTGCTGCTGCTGCCATCGCTACAAACCACATATCATATGTCAGCGGTCATGCATGTGAGTTCTTTTCCTTGGAATTCACTATTCCGCTGAGTCTCCTCGCTAATAACTCGACTTTTCTTAGCGATATTCCACCCTGCGATGTGGGGATTCAATGTTACCGACCAGACATTTCCTGTGAGGCGTATCCGAAAATTTTCATGGCGAACTCGTACTAATACTTCCTATAGTATGATAACCGTGCAGTTGCTCCATTGATGGACATGACTTTCGATCAGTGGTGGTTTCATGGCCATCTTGACTACCCTCCTCATGCAGAAGATGTATTCGAACTTCCTGCAGGATCAAACGTGACAACCGAAATAGGATGTAACAAGGCGAGTCTCAGTACTCACGTACCATCGGTCGCGCGTCTCATTATCACCTTCTCTCCTCCACCCTGCCGTCTCCAACAGGGCGCAACATCTTACTTCGCCTCTTCTGAAGGCGGCGATATCCGTTCTGGTGACGATGTTTGCCCAGGAAGTGATATCTCCGAGTATCACACAACCGGAATTGACGACGTCAAAGGCTGCGCGCTTGCCATCGCCTACAAGAGCAATGTCTCGGATGTACAGCCAGAGGACTTCACAGTGTTCAGTGTGAATCAGACCTGTGTGTGGACGAGGTTCACGGACTTCTCGGTGCCACAGAGGATGCCGCCGTGCCCGGATGGGGGTTGCATATGTGCTTGGTTTTGGATTCATTCGGTAAGCCGAACAGAACAATTCTTATGAAATAGACTGTGCGAACTAATTGACAATTGTACATACGACAGCCTGATAGCGGAGGAGAACAGAGTAAGTGCCATGGAACACAGTTCGTTCAATACAGTACAGTGGACTAATTGTCATACAGACTACATGACCGGATTTCAGTGCAACGTGACGAACTCAGTGTCTACTACCCCATTGGCCCCCGCTCAACTCGCTCGACGATGTGGTGCCGATCCGACGGCGAACAAAGCTGATCCTGTCATCGGAAATTGTACCTACGGTGCCAAAATGCCTCACTATTGGGTTCGTGTCCCTACGTGTCTTGTGTTCCGACCGAACTCCTACTGAAACGACAGACGTTTTCTTTATTCACACAGTATCAAAAAGAGCGCAACACCGTCAGCACCTAACTCACTTCATAGCCCACTTTATGCTCATTATACTCTCACAGATGTTTGAAGACACCTACCACCCACCTTTCTACACTGACCTGTACAACTTTCTCGATGGCCCACAGGACGACATCTTCGCTGACTCATATCACAACGATTCCATCCCGCAACCCTCCGAGAATCAGACCGCGTTGCCCGTGCTGAAGACCGTCGTACAGGGCCAGAAATTCCGCGTACCAGATGCCGCACAGGTTCTGAGCAACAATAGTCTTCTCGCATTGATACAACAGGCGGAGGCCAGTGCCAGCACGTTTATAGCTAGTGCAACCGTCGGTGCTGCTTCGGTACAAGCGTCGTCGACTGAAGCCGTACAGTCTGCGACTTCAGGCGCTCCTGCATCATCTAGTGCGCTGTCATCTGTATCCACATCGGCCGCTACCGCCATATCTACCTCCGTCACCACTTCCATCGAAACGACCACCGAGACCGAAACTCAAACTCAGACTCAGACCGTCGTCGTCATAGTAGCCGCCACATCCACCACTGCTCCTGCAGGCACCACGATGTTTCTCAACTCTATCAATCCCTCACTCAGCGCTACAGCCGATGCCTCTGCTTCGACTGCGTCTGGGAATGGGAGCGGGAATGGAACGGCGTTTGCATCGATGAATGGTGAGCTCAACAGCATGGTCAACGCCGTCAACATGACAAGTGCAGCAGATACTTCAAACGTCGAACTCGTCTCCGCATGGTACGCCATTCGCTTGACTGCACCTTCGTCACAGCTCTAAAGTGAACTGACTCGTATTCCACCTGACAAGCAGCAAACGCTCAGACCCTTCAGAACCTCAATCATCCACCACATCCTCCACTGACGAACACTATTCTTTCCCGCGCACATGGGCCTCCCGTCTTGGTATGGGGACCTACGAGCGAAAGCGGTCGATGCACAGCAGAACCGGCGGAGTCGAAGCTTTGTGGGGTTTGGGACTCTGGTGACACTGAGCGACGTCATCTTCCATCTTTCTTTGTTCACTATGGGCCATAATTTGGGGATCTGTGATCTTTTGTCTTTATAGCGCTAGCTTCCGCATTGACATATACATACTTACACTTGTAATTATTCGTCAGCGCCTTGATGTTGAGCTTTTGGTCTATCGTGGCCTATTCATCACCAGAACCCTGTTCTGAAGTCTGAACTTAAGAGACGATGGACCTTGAACGTTTGAACCTTGAAATCTTGGATCTGTGCGATCGTGCACCGCTTTCGCGTCGTCATGCCTGGAGCGATGAGCGAGGAGTGAGGGATATAATTTGCCCACGATGTAACGTGCAGCAACGAAAACATATGCAAACCTCAGAGCTCATAACCCGACCCCATAACTAAAACGAACGATAAAAGGTAATGTACTATGAAGAGAACGTGACTGTATGTATGAGTTTAACTCTGTAGTAGGAATATAATCGTACGCCGTCGAACCACAGGAAGAAAGTCCACAACAAGCTCTGGCGATAGGCTTCGACGAGCACTATGCGAGGGTAAAATGGATGACATGTAATAAAGATCCTAGACGAGGAGCATGGTGTTGAACACGTAGTCCCACACTTTGCCTGCCGGACGGAAGAGTCATATGAGCTGATTGGACCACCAATAGACTGGAGAGGGTTGTTGGCAATGAGGAGAGAGGGAACGTACTCGTGACACCAAAGCCAAGCTCGAAGTTCTTATAGTGGTGCGCAAGGTGGTACTTCTTCTGCTCTTTCAGGTACGCAGGGAGCTTGGTATGATGCATCCTGTATCATCCACGCACGCCAGCAAAGGAGAAAACTGAGCCCAAGCTTAGCTGGACGTATGATGAGAACTTACGCATAGTGCATACAGTCGTAAATGACATCTATATGGTGGCTTGAATAAAAAGGCGCAAAGACGCTCTAGCAGGGAGTACTCACAGAAGGTGTACGAGCCGGAGATGACGCCGTTCGCCATAGCGGGAGGGAAGAGGGCGTGTGCTAGCTGTGTGAACGGGTACGACAGAAGGGTGAACAGCACCGGTGGCATCACAAGCCTGAGGCTACAATTCATGAAATGGTAAACAGAAGTCTCCTACACAAGGAAAGAAGCGAGGCCACATACCGGTCCATAGGGAGATAATGATGGATACCATGCAACAAGAAGTGCAATGTCAAGAATATAGGCTTGTCAGGCAAGTAATAGTCGACGTGGAACAAGAACCGGTGGAGAGTGTACTCCAGAATGGTCCACACAACGTTGCCGAGGAAGAAGCACAACATGGTTTTGACATAGGCATCGACTGGGAGAGACAGGATGGAGGCCAGAGGCAGAGCGGGGTTGATGGAGAACGGAGGGAGAGGGCCACCGAATTGAAGGACGGAGCGAAGGCCAAGGTAGATGGCTATGGGCAGCCAGATGGTGGGGATGACATACCATGAGGTACGTGTGAAGACCTGCGGACCGTCACGTTCAATAAATGAGGATGAGACGGTCTGAGAGAAACAGACCTCAAGGAAGTCCGGCCCAAAGAGTCTGGCAGACTCCGTAAGATGGCGAGGCTGGTGTACTTGCTGAAGGTAATATGATTTGCTATTCACGATCAAAGTTCCAACGTCAATACCGAAGAAAAGGCTAGTAACTCATGGGCAGAAGTACCTGAAGTTAGCATCCCACATCTGCTTCAACAACGGCTTCCTCAAGTCCAAGAACTGGTTCTTCTCGAAGTCCTTCGCCTCGTCCGTATCCTCGGGGTGAAAATCGTCCGCCGGCACCCAATCCTCATCCACGAGCGACTCGCCCACTCCTAACCTTCCAATAACAAACTCTTCCATCATATCATACGCACTCTCCGAGTGCCCCGCATCCTTCATAGCCGCTTCAACATCTTTGCCTGCCTCCTGGAGAACAAGGTCGTCGCCTCCTGGGTGGTCTGGGAGAAAGCTAGTGACATCGTAGACCTTGCCGTTGAGAGTGACCCAGCAAGCAGAGTCGGATTTATGCGCCTGAACGTCCTCGGCGGTATAGATGCGGATGCGCTTAGACATTTTAGAGACCGTCGAAAGGAAAGAGTGAAAATACAAAGAGCAGTGGAACGACTGGGGAAGAGAGTGGGGCGCAGCGATGGACGTTGCTCCTCAAGCCGTGGAGAAGCCGGCCGTGGTTCGATTATGAGCGCGGACGCGATTAGATTACGAGCATGCGATTGGATCATCCCGGGTTCTCCGTTCCTTCCAGCTTAGCCTCGACTTCTGATCGACCTGTCCGGCCATATTCGAGATCTTCCTTGTTGTTCTACTTGACAGGAGTCCTCGGCTTATCTTTTCTTGTAAATATTCTAAGAGGTGACAATGCATTCCAACCGAGTCCTAGAGACACCTCTCCTGCTCTCGAGTCACCTCTCCCACCGCCTCCCCTCCAACCACTCCGTCTACCTCAAGCTCGAGGTCCGTTTCCGTCCCATATCAACCTCAAAGCAATCAAGCTGAATCAAGTTTCCTATGTAACAACACCTCGGCGCTCAATATGTTGCATATTATAGAACCTTCAACCTTGTCACTCTTATAAACTCCGCGGCCTCTCTCACTTTGTTCAGCACCAACTTTCCATCCACGGCCCTTCCCTGCACATTATCTGCGCTTCAGGTGGAAATGCAGGTCTCGCAGCAGCATGTGCATCTCAAAGTCTAGGCGTCAAGTGTACCATATTCTTGCCGGAAGGTGTGGCACCCTCCACGCGTGACTTTTTAAAGAGATTGTGCGCACACTTGGTCGTCGTAGGCAATTTCTACTTGGAGACGCTGAGGGCGGCCGAAGGCGCAGTCAAGAATGACGAGAGTGCGTAAGTTTCATTGATTGCCTTTCGAGTTCGTTGAGACTCTTCGAAGCTGATGCAGAAGTTTGTTAGAGTTCTAGCCCCCGCATACGATGATCCTATCGTTTGGGACGGTCACTCGTCCATGATCCACGAGATAAAGCAACAGCTACCTTTAGGAAAGAAACCACACGCTATAGTCTGCAGCGTCGGCGGAGGTGGACTGCTCGGAGGAATCATAGTTGGCTGCAAGAACGCAGGCTGGGACGATGGTCAGCCACCACAACATTCTTTCTCGGCCCAACTCCAATTCACCATCACCTCACCCAGTTCCAATAATTGCCCTCGAGACCCATGGCGCCAACTGTTTCCTCGAATCTATGTCGGCCAATCGTTCTGCCTCCGTATGTGCGGAGAATAACACCAATATCACTATCAAACAAGACCCGATACATAACGTCAAACTCGCTCACATCCACCATCTCACCTCAAAAGCGTCCTCACTCGGTGCTTCGGAGCCCGCGGCAGGAGTCGTAAAAATGGCTCTAGAAAGGAAAGGACGTGTTACTTGTGTTTCGATCCCTGACGAGCTCGCGATGCAGACTGGGAGGCTGTTTGCCGGTAGGCTTCCGGCTTCATTTCACGATAGAATCTGCGACTAAATTGGATCCAGATGATCACAAAATGCTCGTCGAGCTTGCCTGCAGCACGACTCTCGCGCCCTTATACTCGCCCACCCTCGTCTCTCACCTCTTTCCTCCCTCGTCGACGGAAACCGATGCACTCATCTTCATAGTCTGCGGTGGGTTCAAAGTCTCAAACGTCGAGATGGCGGAATATGGTCGCATTGTGGCGGAAAATGTGGCTAAAGGTGGATCGTGGCAGGTGAGGATCGACCAGCAAACTCTGGGTGTGCTAAAGGAGGAGGTAGAGGCATGACAGCTCTTGACATTGTATGTAGAATTACATAGAGGTTTGTTTCGAAAGGCGAATGACGAAATAGCAGTGGCGTAAAGCGAAAGTGGAAGTAGATAATATGAATATAGACACGCCTCAAGCATCATACGTGACAACGGATGCCACTGTCGACTCACTACACATGAACGAAGGCGCACGGCGTCAAGTGATCTTTCCGCCAGGGATTTGGGAACCAATTCTGACCTGCTACAAGAAGGTTTGAGCCCGATTGATCAATGTTTCGCTGTAGTATGATCCCCACCATAATGGCTTGTGCCACCCGATGCCGCCACCTGCCACGTCACCCGTGAGGGTGGCGGTGTGTGGCCCAGGCGAAGCTGCCGTGTACTTATCGAGAATGTCAAGGAGTTGCTCGCTTTGGACCAAATCCTTCTGTGGCAGGTCCGTATATGCTCTTGAGGACTACTTCGCGTCTTTACTCGGCGCTATGGGCACTCGCTCATGTGTAGAGACTCAAAAGTTTCCCAAGTGGCACCTACCCGGAGAGCCCCTCGTTGCATCACGAAAACTGTACCATTTCCCCTCAAATTTTGTGTGCGCACATTCAAAGATGTTTACATTATATGCCTATGCTATTGTCTTGTCTTCATTTGCCTATTGTGTAGCACCAGAGGTAAAAAGTCGGTTTGTAATCTGTCATAACCGCCACCTGTACTATACGCTTTTTTCCTTAATATCAATTCGTTTCCTCAATTGCGCACCCTGCACTACCACACACGAATGCTTCCACAACGACTACGATACGCACACAATTTTCCGGACATTTATACCATTTTATCTCGCCCTCCAAACCCCGTCGAACACCCACAGACCATATAAGGGAAACGGCTCGGCAAGTCCCGCACTCGCGCGTCGCCTCCTCATCCGTAGACTTAAAGCCTCGCGAAATGTCTCCCGTGGCATTTATCCTATCAACACACGAGGGACCAAGTGTACGCATGGCTTAGAGCATGCCAAGGGAGCTTCTACATTTCTCCGGAGACTTCTAGTATTTTATTCAGACCCCACAAGACATCCGATGGCGCTACGGAAGCTCGCACCGAACTACCGGTTCCTGTAGAACGATTCGAACTCCGCCGCCCAGTGGTTCTGCCCGCCTTCGAACGAAGCTCCAGGAGTTCCCTCCCAACTGTTTCGCCTCAAATAAAATCGTAGAATATAGTACCGACCTATGTCTTTCAACCCGTCCAACATTCAAGACGATCGGTCCAATATCCAAGTCACAACGACACGATCTTGCTCGAACTCGTGTCAGGGCCACCGGATAAGGGAGACACCGCAGCGATTCGACTATTGTCTAGTCAAATACCGAGTATTAGACATGGAGAGTATGCTACTGGTTCAAGAGCTTCCGCTTCCAATGCTCTATGATTTTATCTGTGCCTGAACTTTCGAGGATAATTGTTTAAGGCTGTGGCCTTGTACCCATTGTCCTCTAGATCAGTTTTTCCTTCTACCTACCCTTTACCTTGCATCGTATCGTCTCGTCTTAATTCAGGACTCTCTCTTTACATGCTACAAATGTTTCCACATTTTCCACAGTGTCCTTCGAAGGGCACAACCTTAGTGTACGAATACTTCATCTTCTCCTTTGATCACACTAGTAAATATTCGTCTCTGTTTGTTTCTACCTACTCGACCCGCGGTCTCAAATCTGTATAAATACGTAGCTAGGTCCTCCTGTATTTCTCCAGCTTTGTAGACCGTCTATTCCCGGCCGATTACCTAGACTCAATACACCCTTGCCCTTTTATTCCGACTTTTCTCTCGATTTCTGTCTTGAGCCGTGGGGTATCCTTAGTCCCTATCGCCCGGTCGTGACATAATCTCCTGCACATGGTACTGTCTGTGGATGGATGATCTAGACACCATTTCTCTTGCCCTCTTCTCAGGCAGCTCAGAATTGTCTCATAGCTCACGATAGTGGTCAATTTCATGCTAATTGAGTGTGTTTTCATGGAGATACAGCTCGAAAGTGTCTCACACTCAACCGCTGCCTGATTTCTCGGGAAATCCCGCCCGGAAAGGATATATGCAAACAGCAATAATGGCAGACAAAACAGAGAGAGCATACAACACAGCAAGAGCAAGAAAAATGAGATGAAGGGAAGGTGTTGCGATAATCGCCAATCACTAAGTGCGTGCTGTAGGGGAAGAGGGTCTGATTTTCAGACGCCGGACTGCTCCCGTGCTTTCTTGACTTGCTCCCTTCTTAGCATGGCGGCGGTCACTGTGAAACATATCAAGGACTGACACAGCCATGAAAGCATATGAGACAACGTACAATTAGAATGTATCATTGGCCGCTGAACATAGCTATCATCAGAGGCCACCGAACTCTGAGATTTCTGCCGAGCCTTCTCTGCAGACTGGAGGGCCTCCAGGCCGTTGGAGATCTTTTGAAGGATTGATTCCCTCATCTTCTCCTGCACCTCAACATTTTTCTCAGAGAACTTGGGGCACACCCATGGGGCGACGAGTTGACTGTGGGAGCCGCGAGTGTGTATTTCCAACTTCGTCACCACCCTGTACGCCGCAAAACACTCACCACACAGGGCGCATGACAGCTTCGAGACGCCGAAGTACGCGTAGAGGCCTGCCTGTCCGTGGAGGCTTGCAAGAAGTGTACATTGGCAGTGAGGATAGACAGACTCGTACTTGGGCTGTATCTGTTGACGAGGCACATCTGATTCGATAGTGAGGACTCAGGACTCAAAAGGGTGATATCCACATACCCTGTTTCGGTAACCGGAGGTTTTTGGGGAGGTCAAGGAAAACCTGTTCCAATACGTGATCACCGATCGACTTCCCTTCGCCATCCTTCTCCTCATCTTTCTTCCACCCGGACTCCTGCGCAGCTTGCCGAATCGTATCCAGTGTGATGTTGACAGAGATGGAGACGGGCGGTTGGGGATGGACGGCAACGACCTCGACCTTTGGGTCAATGAACGGGGCGAGAGAGGTAGACGTGACGAGGCGAGACACGCATGAGAAGTTACGGTGCGGAGTGATGAGTTTATTGATCCAACGCGCCAAGTCGTAACTGGAGCCTATCAAAGACGGATGAGCATTGTGGTATCGGGCGATCATCGGTGAAATCCTTACGGTTAAGGTAAAGCGTGCACAAGTTTAACACGTCCTGTCCCCGCTCGTCGATAACACGTTTGCCATATGATACCTCCAGAAGCTGCATCGCTATATTCACCATGGCCGAATCCTCTTTTGTCGGAGTCACGACGTCCCGGAGTGCAGCGTCCATAATGTCCAACGCCTCCGCGAACTCGGTGAGCTTTTCGCGCGCATCTGAGTCTCGCAGATCCTTGAGGAGATGCTGACGAAATGCGAGAGTGGAATCATCGGGTGGGTTGCTGCGATCCGCCTCGGCGTGTACGTTGCCGTCCTCGTAGACAACGTCTCGAAGCAGCTTGTTGAAGTCGTCGTATCGCTTGCGGAAGCGTTGCCTGAGTTTAGGCCACGCATACCCGATCACCCGATCCTCCAGATCATCGAGCTGTTTAATAATGGCGGGGTCCTGAACGTAGGGAGGAGAGCCCGGTATGCGGGGTGCAAACGAACGGATATCCCTGATGCAACGCACGATGTCTTTCAGGTGGTTGACGACAGTCTGTGGAACGGGGCAATTTTCGGCGACATAAAGGGTCACGAGGTCTTGGGTGATTGTAACACCTACGGCAACCACCTGGCCCTTCGCCTTGCAGACGGCGAGGGCGGCGAGGGCGTCCAAGAGTTGGGGTGTGCGCCTATCGTCTTTGACTTGCGAGGAGGTAGTCCTCCGAAGATTCTGAGCATTAGGTTCAGGTAGACCAGAGGCGAGGGTAGATAGGGTTTGTAGATCGATGGATGGGGGTTGCGAAGACGAAGCAGGCATAGTGGATGGGTGACGGTTCGGTTATTTGAAGTTTGTTTGAAGTAGAACGAGGGACAGAACGGACGTCTTATTGAAGAGGGGCGACGATTGCTCGAGGGCCCCGTGGGAAAAACGGCTCGTTCATTTCACGCGTCGCGTTCGCTGGCAGCTCTCGACACGCTCTCTCGTCTCCTCCTCTCTCTCAGTTTCTCATCGACCTCGGGCCAAAACCAAAATCTGTCGCATACCCAATCAAATTCAATGCTCTATACTCGTCAAATATCATACAAGAATGCGCCAATCAAGGCCAACGGTCAAGACAGGCTCCGAAAGCTCTCACACTACGTATGAGCGGGTACGAGATGGTGGAAAGAACAGAAGGGCAAGCGAAAGGATAGTCAATGGTATATAACATCAAGGTGCGTTCGGTCTATTCTGATTTTGAGGTGTGTGTGGGTTCGAGGGGCTTTGATCAGCAGCTCCGGTGTTGGGGGTAGCATTCGACGGTGTGGAGACTGTGGTCGACTAAGGAATACAATGTGTCACCTCGGAGGCGTGGTGCACACGAAATCCGAAGCACTCCTACGTACCTGGAATCTTTTTAAACTGTTTCCCTACGCTCGGTTGATGCTCCGTGACTGCTTGAGACAAGCCCGACAGTCGATGTACGAGCGCATATGTTTGTATGGCACGGTTCTCGTTCGACAACGTACGGGGGTCTACACCTCCAATGAATCGCTTTACGTGCTCTTGAATGGTTTCTCCTCGTAGCTCGCGAGAGTGGATATCGACGAGCTGGAGGTCCAGGACGTTACGAAGGTTGACTCTGAAGTAATGATGTAAGGCGCTGGAGTCCATTCGCCCATCCCAAACAACTTTCAGGACCTTGGGTGAGGTCAAGAGGGCGAATAGGGGTTTCAGGGAGACGGGTTGGCGTGCCAATGTGAGAGATGTTATATCGAAGATGAAGGTCTGGCCGTTGCGATCACCATCGGATTGGCGAGAGTTGCTAGGGGAGGGTGCAGAGCGGATGGTGATGAGGGAGAGAGTGCCGCCTGCGGTGCCTAGTTTGACCCCTTCACAGTCGAAGTATAAAGTACGAGAAGAGGAAAGAGCCGCCACGGCAGAGTTGAATGAAGCCCTGTCGTCGCATAACACTGGAACTGTGGTATACATAGCTGAGTCGGTCGAATCGTGATGAGAAGGCAATAAAGTGCGCTTGTAGAGGGCTCAAAAGACGTGTAGTGGGCGCTCCCTTTGAGCGAATCTTAGCGAGATTTGTGTGGCGTTTGTGGGAATTGAAGTCAATCATAGCACAATCGGGTGTCATATGAAGGGATTATGGTCATTAGAACTCAAACACGAACCAGCATGTATGCCATGATGAGATGCTGAGGAAGCGGTGAGGAAAGGACAAGGACAGACCATGATGCAAATGGGGTGTAGACGGGGTACAGCTTCAATCCGTAGTTCCACTTAGTCTCCCGAAGGCAGAACAGACTAGACTTCAACCGAGCAAAGGTCTGACGTCTGCTTTCCTTATTAGATTCGTTGACGCGAGGGTCCTTGTACCACCACCGGCTCAGCCGCACCTGGAGAGGACGCGGACTCCAGCCTCACGAACAACACGCGAATGCCAACGTCGAGATTGAGCGCGAGCTGCTGCGATGGAAAAACGGGCCTCCTCGATCAACTGCATGTCCAAATACAGTGCAGTCACCGTACACCGGTGGATGTTACAGGTTTCGATGGCATCATGAAAGACCAGCTAATTTTCTGAACTCGTTGACAACAGTCCCCTGCTTCCCCTTTGCCACAATGTCAACCGTTGTCCTGTTGGAGGTAGACGAATCTAACTGCGTCAAACCAGAGTACACACTGTACTCTCCAGCCGTTCCTATAAGTTGCAGGGGGAGGTATGATGTTTCGATACGCGGAGAAAGTGTGCCCGGTTGAGGAGTCGGAGCTGAGAAGATCGCTTCGACGCTGTCCGCGGCCCATGAAGTCAATACCTGCATTCCAAAACGAGGACATCGAAGAAAAATCAGCCTCGACTTATCAAACGAGCACGATAGGCAGAGGGCTTACTGCAGCGGTGATATTTACGGCCACCTTCCCAATGGAGTCAACCTCGGTGCCCAAGGACGAGAAGTGAGGGAGCCAAAGCACGGTGTCGTCCACAGCGTACTGTGCGGTGACCGAGTTGGCACTTGTGCCGAAGGTGGAAATTCCAGTGAACGAGTCAAAATAGGTGTTAAACGAATAGTAGTATGTCGTCCCAAAAATGCTGGATCCTATGTCTTGTGGGCCACTGTAAGCCGCTTCGATCGGATGGACGCCGGTTCCACTCGTGTTTCGTGAAGCGAAAGATATGCTGAATGAGACGGTTGTTGAGCACGAGAGGAGAGAATGAATGAATGACCGCTATATCTGTCCTCACGTACGTGATGGTGTTGAGTGGTTCACTGCTATCTGTGATCAAAAGCTGAACGAGAAATAGCTGTGAGGCGGAACGAGGGTAGTGATGGTGAGGAAGGTAAACCTACGCGGATGAATCCGGATATCGACATCGTCCCGTTCCACAGCACTTCCACCGTAACATTCACAGGTTTGATAGATAATGGCGATATCACTTCGCTCAGGTTGACTTCGGCCGGAACGGTATTGATCATCCGTTCGAACACGTCGGTGCAGGCATTCCGGAAATATCCTGAGGACTGTGATAGGCTGTTAATGAAGCGGAGAGGCTTTGAGTGGGAAATCGTTTGTCGCGTTGGCAGAGACGAGAGAAGGATGAACGTACGTTTTCATGGTGGCGTTGTTGTCTGATGTGTAGAGGCGTAGGTCGGAGCGGACTGTTACGTTGTCTGTGGTAACGAGAGGTCCACCTCGCTGGCCTGTCCAGGTAAGATACTCATTGACTCTGTTGCATTGTTCATAAGCAAGTATTTCGGAAGGAATAGCGAGAAGACAGGGCGCTCACACGTTTATATCAAAAGCTGCAGGTGTGGCGTCAAAATGGACACCACCTCCAGTATTGTTCGGTGTTATCGCGCTCGGAGGAACTATCTCAAACAAAAATTACCAGGAACGAGACCATCCTAATCAGCTGTCCATTCAACTCGTTCCACCTAAGGCCCGCAAAAGCAAGCAAACGCTTACCGACTTGCGGAAAACCGCCATTATGGACCGAACCCATCGTATGCCCACACGCGGTCAACGCAATAGAGTCACTTTGATCAAACCCGGCCAGTTGAAGACGACTCAGAGTGTCCTCGATGCTCGACTCTGGCTCGGGGACTCCGAATTCACCACCCTCTGTAGCATCGATGCGCCCGCCTCGAAGTGGGATTTGGGGACCGCTGCAGGCACCGACTGCCATCACGACACTGAGAGCTATGAGGTCTGACACTGTAGAGGTCGTCATTATCATTGTAGTCAGTATTGAGACGATCGTAAGTAGAAATAACAAGAGGGCACTCACTCGATGTATGCGCATTCACATAAGGTGCAAAGAAGGCAAGGGAGTCGTTCATAGCAGAGCCGCTATTCTCCGGACGCAAAGTTTCGAAGCCAATGGAGGCATCGATCCCACCGGTCCCCTTCTCCACATCTGCCGTCGCGAAATCATCTGCGATAAATGTCTTGAGAAAGGGGTATACAGACGACTTGAGACATGAGACGAGATAAAACGCACGAAATGCCACCCTTATCCATTGAGCAGCAGTCTCTCTTCCCAATAACTGGCTGCCACTGACATAGTTCGTACAGGGAGTTATAGCAGCTTTGAATCCTGCGTCGTTGGCGCCGCTCGTATCAACCAAGAGGTGCTCCAGCGAGTCATAGAGCGGGGAAGGCCAAGTGAGGACTGTCTCTGCAGAGCACGTCGATACGAGAGAAGCAGCAGTGAGGAGGGTCAGGGCAATGAAGGACATCATGGATTCACAGGTCAATGTTTGAGTGTACGCGTCGAGGAGATAAGTCGTCCGGACAATCTGTTCAGGGAGGCCACTTTATACGCGCAAAGATGCCTTGGGCGCCTTGCCTTCAGGGCGTCGGTCATGAGATACGCACAAGTAGACGCACACGGATAGACCTAAGGCAAAGTATTTTTTATCGAGGTACACTGATGGCCTGCAAGCGCTCGAGTGGTATCGGATGATAATGTGACGCCTGTCGGGGATTCGAACAGTTTTTTCGGGTAGTTTCGCAGAGGCTACAGACCACGAATTTTGGTGGAGGTCGACCTCGAATGCTCTGGGAGGAGGAGCAATCATCATAACTGCTTGAGGGTCACCGGCGTAATCGCTTAAGCGGTCTGAACATGTCTCCTAGTGGGCACGGTCTGTCGATGTCGAGTCCCAATAGAACATGCAAGTCCGATTTGAGCGTACTGTCTTATCCATGGAGAATAGACGGTCGAAGAGAGTCATAAGCAGCAAGTTGAAGGGAGAATACGGAGGTAGACTGCGTAGAAGTACATGTTGAGAGGTGGTAGTGGCGGCAGAAAAACAATGAACGATATAAATATAGCTATAAAACCCAAATCTAGAGTATGAGTATGCCCCCCAAACACATCCAGAAAACGCACCGAATAAAAGGCACGACCTGACTTCCATTACTCTGAAACTGAACCCTCCCAAAGACCCTGCACGGTCTCCCTCCTACACCAGCCTCGTTGATCGTCCCTCCGCTTCCCCAACCTCACTTTGAACCACATGGCCCTCCCTCTCCTCTTTCCGCTTCAGCTTCTGCGCCTTGAGCCTCTCCACTGCATCCCGCACTTCCGCATGATTTGAAGGAAGCACACGTACTGGCTTTTCTGAGGGAAAGAGCCGTTCTTTGTACTATATGTGAACCGAATCAGCCAAGATGTCAGTACCAATCATTCAGCAGCCCTGAACAGCGGCAATAGGAGATAGAGTGAATGAGGATTGGAAGTGTTACAAATGGAGATGTATAGAGTAGAGGAATGGTCGGAAGTGAAGGACAACAACGCACAGGGATAACATTCCTCGTATACCACTCCGGGTCTCCATAATGCAAGAACGCGAGCACGGGGAAGAAGACGTAGAGGCCGAACTTGAAGACTTCGAGGTTCGGTCCGGCCATGTCAGCGAACTCGGATGTGCTGGACTGTTTTGTATAGCGGTACTGATAATATTCGAGAGTATGTACGGCTAAAGGGCTGTCGCACAGTACAGCAGAAGCCACCAGAGATTTGGAATGGGACGAAGGAGGATAGCGAACGAGTAACAAATCCGACGCGAAGCGTGATTTTGTCGAAGTCGCGATTCACCAGGATTCACCCGCGTCGGCGCCACCTACAGCTAGTGGCACTTCGCTTTCTTTTCCAAATGTTTGTGGCGACACTTTTTCACAACTACTTTCTTTCCTTGAACTCCCTGCTCAACTCAGACTCGGGTTGTGCTTGTAGTCATGCTTGTGATATCAGAATTCAACTACGTAATACCAGTCCCGCTATACAATACATACACAAAGCTCAGCACAGAAAAGGGGTTTGGGTTCGAGAAAACAGAAGGAATAAAAAGGATGAAAAAAATCACGTCGAGGGACAGAAAGGGAAATCAGGGAGTTACGGAGAAGAATAAGTTAACCAGGTAGCTATAGGCCCAGACGATACGAACAGGACACGACAGTGATAGTCCGCCGAGAGTACTGAGTAGTTGGTGATGGATAGTTGATAGGTGGGTGCTCGATGAAATGCTGATGAGACGGGAATAAACAGTGAAATGGATTTTAAGGAGTGTATGTACGGGCTGAAAAGCCCCGAAGTGAGAAGCATAAGCAGACAAGACAACGAGTGGACAGTGTAATAAACACACAAATGCTGATAGACTGGCAGTCCGGAGCACAATTCGGAAAGGAGGCGTAGAGGAATAGAGACTTAATGATTGGGGGAATGTAGATATACGAAGGGGTAAAGGAAGAGCACACCCAAAACAGAGAAGGAATGATGCAACGATGTATATGGCAGTAAAGTGTTCCAATAAGAAAAGAAAAGGCAGAAAAAAGAAAGTAAAGGGATTAGAAACACACACAGCAGGCGAAAAAAAAAGAAAACAGGAAAGCGATGACAGTGAGAGATGAGAGATGAGGGAGGTAAAACAATGGTGATGGAGTCCATGGTGAGATGACGATGAATCAGACCGAATGGGGAGAACAAGACGGAGAACCGACAAGGATGCAGACGAGAGACAGCGCCAGAGAGAAAGACTGGGCGGCAGGACCGGCCGGAGCGAAAGAGGCGAGATCAACACCGAACGAATGGGCCTGTGGTGGATGTCGAGCTCTCCCGCTAATGACGGGTGGGCCTGCGGCGGGTGGCTTTTGAGTTTGGGGTGAGTGAAAACGTAGTTCACTGGACTGACTACGACGAGCCGCCGAATGGTCATGGCGCACTGAACAGCAACGCCATATCCTTCTCATCCGCCGCGTCCAACTGCCTCGATCTCGCCTTCAACCGCAACATCCTATCCAGACTCAAGAGCACCACCTTCGCAGCGCCCTTCGTATCCCTCCTCTCCGTCTCGTCGATCCTCAAGAACGCCGACCGATCCGCCCAGTGCTCGTCCTGCCAGATCGCAGCCTTGAGGATCAAGTCGTCCATATTCCTTTCCCACGCATCGGGATCGTCAAAATCGACCTGTTCCCTCCGGATAATGAGGGAGGAAAGGTAGTTGCCCTTGGAGGTCTGCACCTTCAGTGACGTCGGATGCGACCGAATATGCGAAACGAGGAAGTTGAGCGCGGATTTCGCTTCTTCGCCGAGCGGTGTAGGATTGAGCGCGTGGCCGTCGAGCTCCATGACGACCGGGAGCGGAATGACGACGGTCCACTTGTGCGAGGTGATAAGCGACGAGACCTCAGCGCGGGAAGAGAGGAGGATGTTGGTGTCGACGACGAGGACGGTGTAGCCTGGTACGATGCGCAGGAGGGGCCGAGTGGAGGCCGACTTGCGTGGTGTTCTGGGCTGGGATTTCCGTGAGATGGAGCCGGAGGACAACGAGGACGGTCCAGCCTGCCGCGAAGACTGCAAGAGAGCCCGAAGATGACGCCGGCGAGCCTAAAAATATATGAGTTCGCATCAGAACACACGCGGGCTGAATAGGAGGTTAACGAAACGGAATGTAAAAATAGAACGTACCTTGAGCGCCCTCACTTCTTGAGAATCACTCTCATCATCCTCGCTTTCCTCCTCGTCTTCGCCCTCCAACTCCTCATCCACATCCATCATATCCGCACCCTCATCCGCCCACCTCCGCCCGCGTTTCCTCCGCTCCTCCTCATCCCTCTCTTGTCTCTTCTCCTCTTCCCACATATGCACCTTCGCCTGCAACTCCCCCTCAACCCACCACTCGGCCTTACCCTCCGTCCACTTAAACCCATTAACAGTCTTCGCCAACCTCGTCCCCGCCCACGCCGTCCTCTGCCACCTCTTCTCATTCAACGACCTCGGCAACTTCCCATCGACCTCCTCCTCATCCTCATCATCGTCCTCAATCATCCCATCTCCCTGCCCAGCCCCAAACGCCTCCATCTCGTCCAACACCTCCATCTCCATCTTCCTTTCCTCATCATGTTTCCAGAACCCACGCTCGAACAGCCTCCGACCACCCCATGCCATCCCACGAATACACCAATCCTCAGGCAACCCCGCACGCGCAGCCAACGTCTCGCTCTGGCTCGCTGTCGCCCTCTTGATCGCATGTCTCGGCGACTGGGAGAAGAACCTCGCGAGCTTAGCCCAGGGGACCAATCGCTCGAGCGAAGCGAGGCCGACCGGGTGCCGGAGGACGGTAGCGAGGAAGGTGAGCAGAACGGTCAGGTACGGGTTTAATGTCGCGGGTCCGTACGCTCCTATTCTTCGCTCTGGGTGATCCAAGACCTGGTCGAGCATCGCGAAGGTGAGTTGCGCGGCGAGTTGGAACGCTGCGCTCGGTTGCTCCGGGACGTCGAGCTCCTCGAGGGCAGGCGACGTCTCGACGTTCACACCGTCCACGTCCATCTTCTCCTCCACTTTCCTAGCCAACTTCACCTTCGCCGCAACAGCCGCCGGTCCCGTCGCGACAGAGTTTCCAGCTGCCCCACTCCGCCTCAGGATCCCCTGCGGCTTCCCATACTCCAATAACGACGCGATATTCACACAGGCCATCATCGTCCATTCACGGCCTTCGGGATCTTCGTGCGCAAGACGCTCGAGGAGCCGTCCAAGCGAGGGCGCGAAGTCGTCGAGCTGGATGTTGGTGAAGAGCATCCCGTGGAGGAGAACGAAGAGGTCGGTGGAGGTCGCGTCGGGACCCGAGCGCCGCGCCTGCGCGGCTTGGGTCCACATCGGGAGCACTGATTCACGCGATGTCTGAAAGGGGTGGTAGGCGATCATGCTACGGAAATTGCAAATAGATTAGATATGACGAATGATCTAGGCGAGGTAGGTGATTGGATAGCCCAAAAAATGGACTTGAACGTACCTCTTCGTAAAATGGTAAACTCCCCGCAGATCCTCCCCTTCGGCTTCGCGAGAGAGGAGACCAAGATGATGATGAAGTTTGCCGTTGTTTGGAGTGTCGGTGATGCCCTCGAAATACCATTCACGAGCGATATTCCGCCATCGAACTTTCTCGGGCTCGAGATCGAACAATCGTGCTGCCACGATACCAACGCTCGGTGATGGCGAGTCGTCGATGCGAGCTGCGGGTTTCTCACTGATGGCGCTCATTGCGCGCGATGGGTTGAGCGACGATGGCGATTCGGACCTGTCCGCAGCAAGCATGGAGCCGGCGCTAAGTGTAGCGCCAGATGGGACCGGAGGATTGACCATGGCAGCGACGGCCATGCGATAGCGCGCGAGGTCACCGAGAGCTTCTAGCCATCCAGACTTGTAATCCCTGAGGTTGCGTTCCTCGAGGAGACCGGTGTAGAAGGTGTAGGAGTAGTAGATGAAGTCTTGGAGGTGCTCGAGGGCGACTTGGGAGGTGAATGAGGATCGACGGAGGTTCTCGAGGAGGCGGTGGAAAGCGTGTGACCAGAGGCGAATGATGATATTGTACTTTTCAGGTATATTTCGTAGAGATGCGGGAACGCTCGGTGCGAGGGAGATCTCGAGTAGATGATGCATCATCTCAGCGAGTCTGTGAGAAATGGCCACGATTGGTGAGATAGGGGGATAGACTCGAGGATAGAGCGGGAAAGAGAGGTGGGTTGTACGCACGACTTGTGATCCTCGATCATCTTCTTCCACCGAGTCTTCTCCGCGTCCTCTGACGTGAGTTCAGGACCCGGGCGAAGCACCGTCCTACTCTCCTCAGCACCGTCGTCCGCATCATCGCGAAGGATCTTTGTCTCGAGAGCGGAGATGTCTCGATACAACTTCTTCAGTTGAGCTGAGAAAGCGTTGTTGGTCCGTGACTCATCGCGGGGCTTGCGGTCAAATAATGACGAGGGAGCGGACGAACCGTCGGTGGTGCTCGAGGAGAGAGTGAAACTGGAGGAGGCGATGGACTGAGCGTAGGAAGATGCGGAGGAGACGGAGATGTAGTCGCCAGAAGATTTGGGGGTGGGCGTCGGTTTGCGAGCCTGCACGGAGAAGCGTACGGGATCGTCGCGGCGATAGTCGTACAGCTGGCGTTGCTGCTGTGGTGGTTCCCGCAGCTGGTTCGACTGCGGTTTCGGCGCTGGGCGAGCATGGGAGCTGCCTGGCGAGTCCGACATGGGTTCTGGTTCGTGTGTGCGACGCATGGGGATGGGATCTGCGTCGGGGTTGAATAGTTTCGCATTGGAGATTGTGTGGGATGGGCGAGGGGAGGAGGATATCTGGAGCCGCCTGGAGAAGTCGTCTGGATCGGGCTGGGAGACGATGAGTTGGGGTTGTGAGGGTGGCGGAGGTGGTTTGGACGGTGGCGAGCGGGCGCCTACTGGAGCAGGACGTTCTGCCCTCTCTCTTGTGCGTGGTGATGGGCTGCTGGCTGGTGAGAGGGGGTGTGCGAGAAAAGGAGGATGAACGTACGCATGATTCCTGCGCTGAAGAGCGATCAGTTTCTCTGCGAGATCTGTGGGCTGAGCCGGGTCGCGTTCACGGTGTTTGCGCGAGGGGCGCGCTGGCGACGGCTGCATCGTCTGGGCTGAGTGCGAAAGAGGAGAAGGGAAGGTCGAGGAGCGAACGAAAGAGCGATGAAGAAGAGGAAACTGCCTGCGCTGCGCACTCTCCCCCGCAGCATTTCCCCGCACGTGACCTCGTCCATCACCGCTCCCTCGTTCCGTCTTGGCGCTCCTCCGAAATGCCCGCGTGGCCCTGCCCCCGTTGTTATTTCATGAACTGCCTACAGACATTACAGAATATTCGACAACATAGCCATAGACAGACATTGACTCCTTCCCACAGCCTTCTTTCCCTCACCACGCCTGATGTCCCCCACTGACCAGAATACTGTGCAACGCCACACGTCAGAAGCCATCAAGATCGCATCTCGGAAGAAGAAAACAACAAAGGCAAACACGCACTCGGATCCGGTACAAAACGTTGATGCGTCAGACGCGAGCCACGATACGACTCCTCGCAGCTCGTCAGGACGTCCAATCCTACCGAGCGGATTCAGCTCCGACCACTTGGCCAGCAGTTCCGGCTGGATTTACACATCCGTAGGTTTCGTCCCATCCACCACAACGCACAAGTCAGCGCTTCAAGCGGCACAGTTGTAGTGACTATCTATTACTCGCCTGTTCGTCCAGATATGCGGCCGTCATCCTGGGTAACAGCCCATCGTCAGCTTTCATATTCTCTCCGCTGCGGAAACCACAAGTCCTTCCCGATGACGAACGTCGCCCTAGGGGAGGGACTACGCGCGCATACGTGTATTTCAACCCGCAGCCCGACAAGCGCTTCGCCGCAACGACCGCGCCCGGCCCCCTTTCTCCTCTGCATTATCTCCTCCTAATAGCTCCACACCCGTCTCCCCGCTTCGAATTCTCTCCCGTTCAACAAACAAACAAACCCCACTTCCCCAACCATGCCACGAAAGGAAACGGATCGCAGAGAGAATGGGAACCCACTCACGTCGTGTAGATATGGCCTGGCGACAGCGTATTCACTCTGATCTTCTTCGGTCCCAGCTCGCAGGCCATGCTCCGGCCCATCTGTAACACTGCGCTCTTGCTCGAGTTGTACGATACCCATGCGTGGTCCTGCGCAGAATCAGCGACCGCACAGTTTCGCAGTCGCGACACGTACGTCGTGCGTCGGCAACGTCAACTCATAGGTACGGTAGGCGAACTCACCTTGTTCGTAATGCTGCCGCTCATGGACGCGATCAGGATGATGCTCCCCGGCGTGCCAAACTTGACCATCTGTCGTCCAACAGCCTGCGCCGTAAACAACACCCCATTCACATTCACATTATGCACCTATCAAATAATCCACGCGTCAACCACCACCCTCCCTTCAAGCCCCGAACAAACGCAAACACTAACCTTCTTAAACTCCTCCGCAGGATACTCCAAACAATCCGTATCCTCCCTCAACACCCCCGCCGCCGCAACCCCCACATCCACCCTCCCCTCCCTCTTCGCCACCATCTCCCCAATACTCCACATCCCCCTCTGATCCGTCACATCCCCCCTCACATACTCCACCCTCGCCTCCCTACCCTCCCGTCTCCCCATCTCAGCCACATACGCCCTCACGGCCTCCCACTCCCTCCCCGGTTTTTCTGGTAGGTCGATACAATAAACCGCACGCGCGCCAGCCTCGGACAGGGCCATAGCCATCTCGAGTCCCAGGCCGCGATTCGCGCCAGAGACGAGCCCGACGCGATCAGCCAACGAAAACTCATCAGAGAGCTTAGAGCGGGGGGTCAGCGAGGGGGAGGACGGGGAGGAGGCATAGGCGAGGGCGGCGAGGACGCCGAGGGGGGCGTGCGGGGAGGTGGATTGTACGGGGAGGGTGCCTTTGGTTGCGGTGACGTTGAGCGGGGTCGGGGTCGGGGCTGGGATTGGGGAGGTGGTGCTGAATGTGCGTGGGGCGAGGAGACGGAGGGTGGGTGCGCAGACGCGAGAGCGTAAGGCTCCGCTGAGTAAGGTCCTGGACATCAACATCGACATTCCGACTTGCAGGGTTGGGACTTGGGATTTGGAGGTAAGTTCGTTCGCTGGCTCGTTCGTTCGTCTCGTCGACGGGGAGAGGCAAAGGGTGGCCGTCCAGAACTCCTCCTAAATATACCCTTCCTTTTCTTTTTCGCAATGCCACGCCTGACTATAGCCAGTCGAGTGGCCGTCCTAATCCCATCCCATCTTCACACATAGACAGCAAACTTTAGCTCCTTAGCTTGCCCTTTGCTCCCACTGCGTTCTAATCCCATATCACGCACGCCCGTGAACAAAGTTTGGACGGTGCGAACCGCGATGGGCAGATGACCTTCGTCCAGTGACCTTGACTTCCGGCGGAGAAGGTCGCAGTGTCAACTGAGAACTGAGAGGATTTCTCGATCTGATCGAGAGTGTTAGAAAGTTGGACGCGTACAGGCTTTGCGTTTTACGTCCTTTCACGGGCATATACATAGATGGTCTTGCAACTTCTTCATTGCGAGGTAGTGCGGCCTTACCAGCTTTATACTTGTAAAAGAAAGCCCATTGCCCAAGACTGACTTCGAGATCGATATCATGCAGAGTTTGGCCTGCGAGCATGGGACATTCATAGTCAAATGTCTGATGCCTTGCTTGGTGTGGACGCCAGATGACGTCCAATTTTCGTTTCCAAATCAGGTTGTCCAATTGTTGTCGGTCGCTTGGGTGGCGAATAGGGGCTTTGCCTTACATGACGCGAGTACGTCTTATATACTCAAGCTCAAGGGCGCCCTCCGTCCGTCCGTTTTCATATGCATAATTCCGTCTATATCTGTTATCAATCTACACTTGAATAGACGAGCATTTTGGATCTACAAAACGTGCTTGAGCCTGATGAAAATAGCGCTTCTGGATCACCTCCACGCCACACAAACTATGCGGATCTCTTCATATACTGGGATGAGCTCCCTTCTCTGCTTCTTTGGTATCGTTATCGACAGTAAAGAGCATCAATGTCGGTCTCTCCTTGTTCCTCTCCTGCGCCATCCATTTCACCATCGCCCTCACCCTCACCCTCGCCGCCGTCATCCGCATCTACCCCGCCACAGTCACTGTCACCCGAGTCGACCTACCCCGCACCCGTATTATGTGACGACGCCGCCTCTTGCACAAACGCGCTCAGCTCCCTGTCTTCCTGCACCACTCTGATCTTAGACTGTGAAGGCGTCGACCTGGGCACGGCCGACGGGGAGCTCTGTCTGCTTACCCTCCAAGCCGTAGCTCCTCAAATCAATCCGAGTCCTGCCATCACCACGGACCCGCCGCCCTCTGAATCTCCTCCAGTTTATATATTCGACATCACGACACTCAAACGAATTAATCATGACTTACAACCCGTCTTCCGCCTCCTCACCTCCCCCTCCATCCTCAAAATAGTCTGGGACGGCCGGATGGACTATAGCGCTCTACACCACTCATCCGACCTGCACGTCGATCTCAATCACGTACTCGACCTCCAAGTCGTGGATCTGCATTCGCGTACCGTCCGCGGGGAAGGCAAAGCCGATCATCTGAAGAGGTTACGAGATGGTTGTGTGTTGGCGAGGCTGCTGCAGAGGGACGACGCGTGGTGGAGATATCGGAATGTAAGGCGGGTGTCGAGTTTGTTGCAGGCTGTGAAAGAACACCGACCGGAGGGTTTTGAGCGGTTCAAGAAGGATCGAGGTACATCCATATCACTCATTCTCTAACCTCACACCCTGTCCCTGTCCTCATCACCGAATCCGCTAACTCTTCATCAATTGAAACTCTAGTCAATCACAACCTCTGGTCCACCCGCCCCCTCCCCGCCGAACATCTCAAGTACGCCGCCACAGACATCCACATGATTGCATCTCTCCACGCCTACTTCCTCGCCCGCAAATATATAACCCCAAAATCTCGAGAGCCTCTCTTAACTGAGAGCGAACGCTACATCACTTACTGGTCCGATCGTCAGCCTTCCGGTGTCACTCGAAACTATTTCGAACAGAACCCGTTCCTGCCACTCGAACTCATCGACGATCCCGGCCCTCTTCGCCGAGGTGGAAGGCAGACTAACGAGCCCGAGCACGAGCCCGCGACGGTGAAGAAGATGTGTAAGAAATGTAAGCGTGCGTTGAGCCAGGGTAGTTTCAATAGGGCGGGGTGGACGAAGACGAGTCTGAGGTGTTGTTGGGTGTGTTGGGCGGTGACGGATAATTTGTGGCATTGGAAGACGAGGGATAGGATGATGCAGAAGAAGGATGAGGAGAGGGCGCGTAGGGAACTGGGTACGTTTTTTTGTCGTTGTTGTAGTAGTTCGATCTTGATAATTGACATTCGCTGTTCGTGAGCTTAGAGTCTGCGTCCTCTCCAGATGCGGTTGAGCCGGTGGAGGAACAGGGAACTTCTCGTCAACGACTCTAGTCAGGAAAGTGGGCGTCAAACGTTGTCCGATTGAAATAGTTTGTTCGCGTTCAATCATGTGTGAAGCAACGCGACACAATTCACATTCAGACTGTACCACTTTGCATCACATCCATGCTAATTCTTTCCTCGCCGTTTCCTCCATATCTCGTGTTTGAGTTCTGCTGACCACGATCCCTCCACCGATCATGCTATGATTGACTGTGGTTCCCACCGACGCCACAAAAATACCGCTAAGATTGGTTCAAAAGGAGCATCCATAATTCTCCTCTTTTCCCACTACACACCAATTCTAAGCCCTCTCCAAGCGAGTCTTATTTCCTTCTCGTCACGACTCGACCTCCCCAACTATGGACAGCACAATCCCAGTGCTATGCGTCGACGAGGCTTCATTCAACTCTGCTGTGGCTACTCTTTCCTCTTCTCGCACTTTATACTTCGACTGTGAAGGGGTCCACCTAGGTACCGTAGGCGGCACACTCTCCACCATCACCATCCGCTCTGCACCCTCCTCCAACAACTCTCCTCAATCCGATCGTATTGTCAATGCCCAAACTTTCATCTTCGATATGATATCTCTCGCACAACAACAACAACAACCCTTCTCCCTTAAACCCCTCTTCGCCCTCTTGACCTCACCCAGAGTCCTAAAAGTTGTTTGGGATGGGCGAATGGACTCCAGCGCCTTACATCACTACTTCAGAGTCGATCTTCGTAACGTCCTGGACCTCCAGCTCGTCGACGTCCGCTCTCGCGCGCTACAAGAGCCGACCATTCAACAGCACGTAAAACGATTCGGTGGAGGTGTAGACCCGCGTACGCTGTCGGACGAGAACAGTGCGATATATACATATCTGCACGTAGATCGACTGTCAAGCTTGTTTCGAGCCGTCGAAGAGCATCAACCGAGCGTGAGGGACCAGCACAAACGGGGTATGTACGAGTGCTTTCGATTTCGTGTGCACGGGACCTCTGAGGTCATGCACTGAACTACAAACTGCATTATTCGTTCAGTCGACCCCAGTCTATGGGACGCCCGCCCCCTCCCGCAAGCATATATCAACTACGCAGCGAGGAAGGTCGACATGATCGCCATTCTCTACGCCCTCTTCCAGTCCCGCCTGTACATCACCAACGCGAAGCTACCCTCCTTACTCTCGCAAAGCGCACTCTACGTCTCCTTTTGGTCCGGTCCAGGCCGTCAGCCTACTCAAACCACGAACTACTTCCTTCGGAACTCATTCCTCCCTTTGGAGATCATCACCGAGCCCACTGGGTCGAAGAAGATGTGTGGCAAGTGCAGGAGAGGGCTGACTGAGGTTTCCTTTTCCCCGACCGCTTGGAGAACGAAGGCGAATCTGAACTGCTGGGTATGTCGTGCGGTCATACAGAATGAAAGGCATTGGGAGATGGTGGGTAATTAGGATGAATGCTGCTGGACGGAGAGAAGCCGCGTAGGGAATTGGGTACGTTTTTCCATCGCTGCAGTAGCTCGCGCTCAAAGTCGACGTTGACATTCGTGTGTTGTTCGTGAGGTTAGAGTCCGCACCCCTCGAGGTGCGGTGGAGCCAGTGGGGGCACAGGGACCCTCGCGTCAATGACTCTAGTGAGGAAAGCAGACGTCAGACCTTGCCCGGTTGAAGTCTAGTCTGACCTGCCTTCGGGAGACTAGGTAGCACTACGGAGAGTGCATAATTCACTCGACGGGTTACATGATTTCCTATTGACGTCAGATCTTGTTGTTCATTGACAACCTGACGGATATCAGCGACAGGGTTCATTGCCATGTCTTCACCTTCTTTAATATCGAGTTGGTTCCACCGCATTATCGCACAGACTGCATGCTCATTCGCGGTTAACCCCGTGCGAACTTCTTCCTCAAGCTGTATCCCGTCTACACCCCGTTTGCATCACGATCCCCCCTTGTCCTTTCCCCGCCGTTTCCTCAGCATCTCAGCATCGCATACATGCTGGTGTGAAGTTAGTGTTTGAGTTCTGATGACCACGATCCCTTCATGTGGAACCTGATTGTGCTATGATTGACTTCGGTTCTCACCAAACGCCACATAAATACCGCTCAGACTTGGTCAAAAGGAGACTCCATGTCTCTCTACTCCCACTACACAACATCTACAGAGAGCTATATTGCCATCTGATCACAATTCGTTCTCATCAGCTATGGATAACATAGTGCCAGTGTTATGTGACGACAGAGCTTCATTCACTTCTGCCGTGGCTGCTCTTTCCTCTTCTCGCACTTTATACTTCGACTGTGAAGGGGTCAAACTAGGCACCGTAGGCGGTACTCTCTCCCTCATCACCGTCCGCTCTGCACCCTTCCACAGCAACTCTCGCCAATCCGATGGTGATCGCAATGGCCAAACCTTCATCTTCGATATAACATCTCTCACATTGACACACCAACCCGTCTCCCTGAAACCACTATTCGCCCTCTTGACCTCACCCAAAGTCCTGAAAGTTGTCTGGGATGGGCGGATGGATTCAAGCGCCTTACATCACTACTTCAGAGTCGACCTTCGTAATGTCCTGGACCTCCAGCTCGTCGATATCCACTCTCGCGAGCTACGAGGGGAGACCATTCAAGAACACGTAAAACGATTCATTGGAGGTGTAGACCCGCGTACGCTGTCGAACGAGAACCGTGCCATGCAAACATATTCGCTCGTACACCGACTGTCGGGTTTGTCTCAGGCAGTTAAGGAGCATCAACCGAGCGTAGGAGAACAGTTCAAAAAGATTCCCGGTATGTTTCGTATGCACGGGACCTCCGGGGTGGCACACTGATCTACAAACTGTATTCCTCAGTCGACCACAGTCTATGGGACGCCCGCCCCCTCCCGCAAGCATATATCGACTACGCAGCCATGGATGTCGACATGATCGCCATTCTCTACGCCCTCTTCAAGTCCCGCTTGTACATCACCAACGCGAGACTTCCCTCCTTACTTTCGCAAAGCGCCTCCTACGTCTCCTTTTGGTCCGGTCCAGGCCGTCAGCCTACCCAAACCATGAACTACTTCCTTCGTAGCTCGTTCCTCCCTTTGGAGATCATCACTGAGCCCGCACCTGGGCCAAAGAAGATGTGTGGCAAGTGCAGGAGATATCTGACTGACGCTTCGTTTTCTCAGAACGCTTGGACAATGAATGCGAGATCGAAGGCGGGAGGGGCGAATCTGAACTGCTGGGTGTGTCGTGCGGTCATGGAGAATGAAAGGCATTGGAAGATGGTGGATAATATGAGGAAGAAGAGGATGAATGCTGCTGCACGGAAAGAAGCTCAGGGTGAATACAGCGAACATGCAATTGTCGTGACGTAGAAGAAGCTTATTAATCATCATGCTTTTCACAGCAGAGTCTAGCTCTCCCATCGATGCGAATGCAAGAGTGCGACCAGCGGCACGTCGCTGAAACTACGACTCATTCACCTTGTCGCAACCTGTATATCTCAACTCATGCCTTGACCTCACGTGTGAGAACGGTAAGATCGAGTGGCTTCATGCGGAACCATCTCCAATGTACCAGTAGCATTGAATTTCAGTTGGGGGGAGTGTATGAATGATATTTTACATGGCTCTGGATCGTTCGAAGTCAAGGTACAGACACGAACAGCGCGCAAGAGTTTAGGTGTCCTAGATGTCCTCCTTAGCCTGAACTCGGTAAGACTGAGAAATCTCGCATCATCGGTACATTGCATACTCAGTGTTGGCCAAGTCTTAGCAAGATCATCGAGTCGTGCAGAAACGCTCTCGGCTTTCACGCAAACGAATTTGTGTGCTATAGATTACATTTTGTCGGAGCTCGACTGTCCATGTATTCTTCTTCTTATCCTACAACCTGACCAACTTCTTCCGTGCTTCTGTGCGCTGTATATCCGAACAACCTGCCTAACATGTCTTCGCATAGGTGCCCGAATATTCTTGACCGCCTTTGTGTTCATGCTCCTGGATACGTCCATGTTCGTCCTCGTGGCTGGAGAGACGGTGTGTGTGAGCTCCAAGAGAGGCCAGTGCGTGTGCCGGAGAGTCTTCCTTCGCAAGCGACTCCGTTACCTCAATCTATGGAGATTTCACGGTCAGATACATCGCATAATGGCGCGAGGAGGTGGCTCACCAGGTCTGCGACAAGTCGATCGATGAGAGCCTCAGTCATGTTCTCTCTGACGACAACACGGAGAATTTCTACTTGATCAAGGTCTGGTGACAACTCGTAATTGGGCACAATCCTATGCAAGACCACATTGATGGTGAGGCTTCGCACCAAAAACAGGAGAACGACAGACGTACCATCCCTTCGTGCGAAGAAGGGTTTGAATCCACTTCTGTTGTATGTCCGGGTACTTCTGCTTGAAGCCATCCGAGAAACGGAACGAGACGACGGGAAGACCAGGTACGTAGTTCTAAATCGAAGGGTGAGGAGGACGATCAAGGCCTATAATTTTCGTCACCGACCTCGATATCTTCATCATCAAGTGCGGCCAGAGCTTGCTTCGCAGCTCCAGTCACTCCCCCTTCCTGCTCGATCTTGCGATGGATATCGCTCAAGACGAAGTAGTACCCGCTGTTCTCCAAAGCCCTCGAAAGCGTCCTCGCATTCTTCAAATCCGCAAGCGCCACATTGCGGTAACCCTCGAATCCAAGATGCAAGAAGTTGAAGTACTGCGCGATGATAGGTGCGGCGGGCCGAGAGAAATTCAAAGAGAAGGAGTACTCGACAGAGCCGAGGTAGTGAAGTTCGAAGATGAGATCCTTGGGTAGGTGTGCTTGATCACGCCAAATGATCCAGCCGACACCGACATAGGCAAGGCCAAACTTGTGGCCAGATGTGTTAATGGAAACGACACGGGGCAGCTTGAAGTCCCAGGGGAGTTTGGGCTGTGATCACGAACATAAGGTGTTGGATCATTTAGTAGTCGGAAAGGAACCTACGTTGGCGAAAGGTGCCACAAATGCTCCAGAAGCACCGTCAACTAGGGGAAGAGAATCAATGCTGAAGACCGTCACCAATGAGGGCATATTGTCATCAAATACCGTGGATAGGGACGAAATGGCCAGTTTTGGCTTCATACTCGTCCAACAAGTCTGACATCTCCTTGACTGGCTCGTAGTGACCTGTGTAAGTGCCTGGAAAAATAGTGTCACTTCGCTGGATGAGGCACGATGATTATCTGAGAGTTCTTACTGCCCAGGATGACATAAACACCGATGGTGTTTTCGTCCACGTAATCCATAGCCTTCTTGGGGTCAAGCCTGTACTTACTCTCCACAGAGACAGGGACCAGGCGCCTGACAATCCACACAGGGTTCAGCTTTCCGTTGGATGTAATGATGACAGAATCTTACATCTCAACCTCGAAGTACCTCGCGAACTTCTCCAAAGCAACTTGAGCATTACTGCCCATGACAATGTTGGGTCCCGGCTCGTGGATAGATTTGCCCGCCTTCTTGCGATTTTCTTGCCAGATTCTCTTCATGGCAAGACCACCAAGCTGGACGGCCTCCGAGGAGCCAGTGGTGGCCGTTCCAACAGCCTGATGAGAGGATGGTGCATGCCAGAGGTCTGCAAGGATGGAGATGCCTGGAAGAGATGAGAATTAGCTATTGATACAGGCATCTGAAGAAAAAAAAGTCGCACAGCGGGTGTGGATATTCTGAGTCATGGGGTACTCGTCCTGGTCGATCAAGTTCTTTGACATGTTCTCTTGCATGAGTTTATCAGCTTCTTCTGGCTATTTCGTTATTCGATATCAGCTTAGATTCCTGAGCGGGCGGACTCATCCACAGTACGAGGATACCACGAGGATTGAATAAAAATGTGGGTAGACATCGATAATTACCATCCACGTATGCACAAAAGACGCCAAATTCAATAGCGGAGAACCGTCAAGCGAGAGTTCATCGTGGATAAGTTGATATGACGCTTGAGCATTAGCTCCCTGTAACATAGGACATTCAATTGCTAGGTCTCGTACAAGGGCACGCGAGCGGATCATACCTTGGTCGGAATTTTGTATTTTGGGATCGAACTAGTGCCGTATCGAGCCCCGTATGCGTGGCTGAGAGTGTCGGGGTTGGACTTGGTTAGATGGTGGTGGTTTTTGTGGTCCTAAAGTGTAGAGAGGATTTAGCACCCGCCAAATTACGGCGTTTACACATCAGACGGGTTGTATATTCCAGGAATACATTGAGAAACCAAGTAATTTGTGCATACCTTGGACTGTTGAATGAGCCGGTCGGGGTTGACGTGCTAAGATCAACGAATCAAAGTCAACATTCTAGCAATGATGATGTACTCGTACCCAGCGACATACCTTAGAGAGAGCCATGATGTAAATGGAGGATTTTTCGGCGGTGGTGAAGATGCCGAAAGGAGGGGAATAGAGATGGGGCTACAGACATCTCCTCGTCTTTATAAATGAACATGGCGTCGCTGTTCGGTGACGCAGGAGGATGATGCTTTCCCTAAAGCTATATTTAGCCGTTCGCTTCTGACGTCATTTATCCCCCTTATTCGTCAAGCGCCACCGTGCACTGTGATGCCACAATATGAGTACGACCTTCAAACTCGACTCTGCCTCCTTTCCACTTGGATATAGAGCACAATATTTGGCGTCAGCAGTGCTAGTGATCACAGACCTGACCGTCATCTTCACTTTTTTCTGTCTTTGAGCTATAGCGTATACGATTGAAGGAGCCACAATCTTGCGTACCTGGAAGTGGCACTACTCGTATGCTTTCGGGATGGTGTATGAAATCGCACTCTTGTAGCCAGGCCCTTCACAACGAATGGTCCAACAGAACCAACCCCGAACAACCATCATCGTGGAGTTGGATGTGGCTCATGAATAGATCACTGTTGCTAAAACGATCACTGACTTTTGTTGACAAGCTGCGGCGAGGATGGACTCATGACCGCCTCGATGCTTCGTCTGTGGAATAAAGTGAGATCATACACACGTTCAGAGACCAGGCAGTCGCGTTGAAAGGAGCCGCGGCACCGAGAGGTAGCAAAATGAAGAAACGGTGCTCCAGGTAAACCCCATGATGATCATTCGGCAGGTTGTGAAGTTTGCGTGAATATCGCTATACGGCCGCTGTGCGCAACATGGCTGAAGAACGCTACGCATCTAGAATGTCAGCTACCTCCAACAGTCCTCCCTTGTGCACCGTGGTCTCCCGGCCATCTACGAATGCGTCAAACTGGGCACGAACAATCGACATGTCGAGATCTGGATCTTCCGTCCAACGGTGCACGTAAACAGTCTTCAGACCTCTTAAAATCCAAAGGAGATCCACTATCAACACGACGCTACCTTCATCATTGGTCGTCACACTATGACAACACGTACACTTTTTGTGCAGCTTGCACATCATATGCGTGAGCAGCGACCATGACGCATTCTTTAGGATGCAATCCAAGGAAAGACAGGGCTTTCAAATATATCGCGGGATCAGGCTATTCAAACTGTAGCAGAATCAGTTCATAGGTGTGGTTGCTGGCGGCACGTACCTTCGTCAATCCTAAAAGTTGCGAAGAAAATAGTGTGTGGAACGGAAGTCCAGAAGAGCGCACAATGTCCAATTGGAGCCGTGTAGTGCCATTGGCTAGCACAACGCTGAAGACAGAGTTATAAACCTCGATCAAAGCGCTGAGTGGAAGTGTTATGAAAAGTCGTACACGTCGAACCTATTCTTGAGCCTCTGAATTCCCGGTATTGAATCAGGCCATGCTGAACAAAACAGCAAGTTAGCAGCCAAGGTATTTATAGTCGCGTGGAAAGGTACTCACCCACCTGATTGTGCCATCCCTTCACGAGCCTTTCCCTCATTTCCTCGCTCCAGCCTGCGCTCTCTCCAACAAGCCTATCAAGTACACGACGATGTGTGATATCGATGTCCTCGTTCGGTTCTCCACGTTCGAATCGAGCGTGTATCTCTGCAAAGAAACCCAAACGCCACTGCAAGAGAAATTCGCCCAGGGTGTACGGCAGGGGTGGAGCCAGTGGAGGAAGCGATGTTATTAGGGGCAAAAGAGCAGAATGCCAGTCGGTACATGTTCCCATTAGATCAAAGACTATAGCCTTGCAGCCTTCGAACGCCGTCGTTTCCATGATTGTGACAAGAGCAGCCAGATAGCGAAAATACTGAGCTGTAGAGCGACACAAAGTCCGGACGCTGCGCAAAACGTTCCAGAATATGTTATATTAGCATCTTCAGATAAATAACCCAACATTTCGAGCCAGCGCACATTGAACAACGAAAGGGGAGGATGTTGTCGAACTTATCGAGCAGTCTGCCTCAGGTCTGCCTCGACTCCTCTACGGGTAAACCCGAAACGCCGCATTAAACACTTAGATTAGATTAGATGCCGCATCCTTTCCTTCTCGCCACCGTGACCATCCTGTCCTCGAGCTCACCGCCATGGTCGAAATCACAATTCGGAAGCGACCCAGAGAAGACGCAGTCGTGACCCAGCGCAAGTTCTTCAAGAAAACCGCGAGAGGGAAAGTCATCAAAGGTGTGCCGCAACCTGCTAATCATCTCGTGGTGTGTGCTGAGCGTCAACTTTCGCTCAGTCATCCGCGAGCGGTACTTGAGAGACGATGTTGTATGCGGTATACAAGGATGCAGGGAGTGCTCCAACCCAGAAGAGGGCTCCATACCTCGAAACGGCGCGACCGATCACAAGCAATTCCCTAATGGCCATTTCATCCTTCCGGACACGAACGTCTTCTTAGCTCAGGTCCGAGTCTTTCCCACCTTTCCTGTCTCTATGAGCCTGTGACATCTCCGGCGAAGATTGTATACTGTATGGTATCGACGGTGGCTTTGTACACACTCTCATGCACTACTTTTGTATATAGATGGACCTCATGGAATCGACTCTCTTTACCTCCCCTATCATCCTTCTCCAAACCGTCCTGGAAGAAGTCAGGCATCGCTCCCTTCCGCTTTACAATCGTCTCAAGGCCTTGACAAAGATGGACGAGAAGCGTACTTGGGTGTTCTACAATGAATTCAGATCGTACGTCTCGCCACAACAATCACTAGCGGCACCATTCTCACTATGGTGTCCAGCGAGACTGCCGTTGTGCGTGAAGAAGGAGAAACTCCAAATGACAGGAATGACCGAGGTACATATATCATTGTATTGGCTCCCGGTTCTCTGCCTTACACAACTTCATCTAGGTATCCGGAAAGGCGCTGCTTGGTACAATACTCATCTTTCCCTCACTCGCCCCCCAGTCCGAGGTCAAGAAAATGTCCCCCTTCCTCCTGTCGTTCTCTTGACAGACGACGTCGCCAATCGCCAAAAGGCCGAGAAAGATGGCATCCCGTGCCTCTCAGGTATCACTCTATGGTAGTCGCATTCTATGAACATGACTAACCGAGATGAACCGCAGTGCGTGCCTATGTTGATGGCATGCCAAATTCTGGCCAGTTGCTCGATTTGTTGTCTGCGACGGGTTCGGACGAACTGGAGCCTACTGCAGCAGCAGCTGCTGGTAGAGGTGCTCTTTATCCTGAGGTAATCACACTTTCTCTTCCCGAAGAAAACCCTACTCACACCTTCTGTGTCAGTATCTCCCTCCTTCTACCCTGACGGCAGGTGTAAAAGCCGGTGAACTACACCAGGGATTCTTCAATGCTAACCAGTACAATTACTTGGAGGTACATCTTATATCCCTTCTCAGACGTGACGATACTGACAGGGCTAATAGGGTAGCGTCAACGTACCTGCATTCTCCAAGCCGGTATTGCTGGTAGGACGGGAAAACATGAACCGTTCCGTACAAGGCGACGTCGTAGTGGTCGAGGTTTTCGACGAAAAAGAGTGGAAAGCTCCTGCGGATGAAGTCGTAGACCAAGAAATTACCTTGAAGAACGACGACGTAGAGGATTCGGAAGATGAGGGTGAAGGTGAAGATGCCGAGGCTATTTTGCGCGAGCGGAGAGCTCTGCAGTCTGAAGAGTCTGCAAGGCGGTCTGCGGAGAAACAACCTACTGGACGAGTGGTTGGTGTCATTAAGCGCAATTGGCGAGCGTGAGTGTTGTTATCCCTCTCCAAACCTTGTCCTCGTATACTCATCCCAAATGCCTACATAGATATGTGTGCCACATCGATTCTACGTCGTTAACATCTATCAATTCTACCTCACTATCCCAACAAACTGTTTTCGCAACTCCAGTTTCTCGTCTCTTACCCCGCATTCGCATGCGCACCCGCCAGGCTCCCTCCCTCTTGAATCAGAAGATTCTCGTCACCATAGACAAGTGGGATCGCACTTCACGGTATCCCGAAGGCCACTTTGTGCGTGCTCTAGGTAAGGTTGAAAGCAAAGAGGCTGAGCAGGAAAGTCTTTTGCTGGAGTTCGATGTGCCGTACAGACCATTCGGGAGGGCAATATTGGACTGTTTACCGAGTGAAGGTGAGAACTGGGTAGTGCCGCCAAAGAGTGAGGGGAATGCGATCTGGAGGGATAGGGAGGATCTGAGGGATATGGTCATTTGTAGCATTGACCCACCTGGTAATTTAAGTTCATTCCCATCTCTGACTTCGCGCTACTAACCAGTCGTACAGGATGCCAGGATATTGACGATGCTTTACATGCGAGAAGATTGCCCAATGGAAACATTGAGGCTGGAGTCCGTAAGGCTTTCCCAGTACTTCTCGTTGTTCTCGCTCACATGCTAAACGTGTATTTCAGATATTGCCGATGTCTCCCATTTTGTACTCCCGGATAATCCTATGGATAGCGAAGCTGCCTCTCGGGGGACGACCGTTTACCTGGTTGATAAACGGATAGACATGTTACCAGCCTTGCTGGGCACCAATCTCTGCTCTCTTCGGCCATTTGTTGAACGGCTAGCCTTCTCATGCATCTGGGTATGAATTTCAACGAGATCTCGCTGGACTTTAGACTAATAGACGTGTAGGAAATGACGGAGGACGCGAAGATCGTCAATGTTCGGTTTACGAAGTCTGTCATCGCTTCCAAGTCTGCGTTCACGTACGAGGAGGCACAGATTCGGAAGGATGACCCGTAAGCTTGCTCTCGTCCTCGCTGGCGTATGATTTGACTGACTATGATCAACAGCAACTTGCACGACGAGATTACTGAAGGTATCCGGCTACTCAACACCCTCGCCCTCAAACTCAAAGCTGGTCGTATGGCCGCCGGAGCTCTCAACCTCGCCTCCCCCGAAGTCAAAATCCACCTCGACACCGCCGAATCCTCCGACCCGATCGATGTCGAACAAAAAGAGCTCCGCGAGACAAACAGCCTCGTTGAAGAGTTCATGCTGCTCGCGAACATCAGCGTTGCGAAGAAGATACAAGAGACGTTCCCGCAGACGGCGGTACTGAGGAGACATTTGCCGCCTCCGAAGACGAACTTCGAGAAGTTGCAGGATATATTGAGGAAGAGAAAAGGTTTGACGCTGGATGTGTCGAGTTCGGGGGCGTTGGCAGATAGTCTAGATAAGTGCCTGGTGAGTTCATGTTTCCTACTCATGAAGCTCGAGGAATGTGTTTTGAGCATATGGACTGATGACGTGCACATAGGACCCGAGTGAGCCAGCATTCAACACCCTTGTCCGAATCATGGCTACTCGTTGCATGTTATCTGCGGAGTACTTCTGCTCAGGAAGTGTGTCGCGAGATACATTTGGCCATTATGGTTTGGCCACACCAATCTACACCCACTTCACCAGTCCCATTCGTCGTTATGCCGGCAAGTCTCCCTCATGCTGCCTTTTCTGACCCGTTTCCGCGATCTAACCACAGAGGAACATAGACGTTCTTGCTCACCGTCAACTCTCAGCTGCCATCAACTACACCCCTCTTCACGCCACACTACACTCTAAAGCCCACGTCGAGCGTGTCATGGACGTGATCAATCGAAGGCACAGGATGGCCCAGATGGCCGGGCGAGCCAGCGTCGAGTTTTATGTTGGCTTAGCCTTGAAAGGCAGAGGCGAGAAGGCAAGGGATGCAGGCGCGGAGAAAGTCACAGAGGAGGCCTTTGTTATACGAACGTTTAGGAATGGACTTGGAGTTTTTGTGTCGAAGTATGTTCTTTCTCTCTTCCTCCCGTCGCTGTTGCTGACAAACGTGCGGCGATATACAGGCTGGGCATCGAAGGTTTGGTGATGTTCAAGCGCGAGACACAATTCGATGCGGATAACTACACCATAACTGTTCCTTCGTCAGAGGCTGGAGGCAAGGATGTCGAGATTGCGGTGTTCGACAAGGTGACTGTGGCGATTGAGGTAGAAAAGGATAAGAACACGCAGAGAGGGAGGGTAAAAATGACTCTAGTCACTCCTGTAGACTCTAGTGCGTTGTAGTAGTACATCTCCGTGCAGAATTCCTCCATCTTTCGGCAGTAAGTGGAGCAGATCCTATCATTTGCGGGGTGCCACAACAACGCCACACTATCTCTTGATCTTATCTTGTCACAAAATGAACACGTCGCGTCGCCTGGTCGCGCTTCGCGAACCGTCCACGATTCACAGAGTGACGAGCTGCGCTGCTGGGACATCTCTCTTGAAGGTTTACTCTTTCTGCCCATCGTCCATCTCACGAGCGATACATCGCATAGTCTTTGCACGGGCTCACAGCTTGCTCTTGACCGCCATGCAGTTGCTTTGGCTGCTAGGGCTGCTGCCACTCGCTCCCACAGCGTTTGCTCAAGCCTCGAATGATAGTGATGCTCTAATATGGGGTGCTTACCGTCCAAATCTGTACTTTGGTCTACGGCCTCGATTCCCCCAATCGCTCATGACAGGTTTAATGTGGTACGGAACGCATGACTACCAGTCTCTTGGACGTATGTAATTTAGTAGCCGCTCCAAGCCTTTCACCATTTGACGCGGAGTATAGGTTCGCGACATGCTTGCGACCAAGGTGACAACCTCAATGGGTACACATGGACGACCTATGATGCTCGTGAAGGGGGTGTGCAGGTACTGAACGATGGTTACAATAATGTCAAAATCACCACGGAGTTCATCAAAGTGCCAGGTGGCAAGCATGGTGGTAGCTGGGCCGCGCGCATTAAGGGAGAGCCAATAAACCCAGGTGTGTACCCTGTCAATTTATTGCTGTGAGCTACTTCTTGATTCAGCCTTACGATTTTCAGACAAGATTTCTCGGACTTCTTTCATCTTCTATGCTGGCATTGAAGGATTTGGCGGTCTTGACATGGAAACGGATGAGGATGAGAATGTGAGCCTTTGCCTCTATCCACAACACACATATAACGGATTCCGTGTGGCGATGTGTTGACTTATGTGCGTTGTAGGGTATTGATGGCCCGATCGAGTTCTCAGGCTCTACTCCTGACCTCGACGAGTTCAAGCTTCGTATTGTGGATGGTGCGTTCTCTTCTCTAAAACTTCGTACTTTTCCAACCTGTGGTTTTCCAGGACCCGACAACCATTATGTGTCAGATGGCATGTTTGCCAAAGATTATGCCAACCGGATCGGCAAGTCGCACTTTGGTGGTTATAATCTCCCCCCGGGTGATGTCTGGCAAGCGAAAGGTAGGCTGAATCGAATTATGATATTCTATTACCGTTGACTCACATGAATGTGCAGAGTATATCATGAGAGACATTGTGCAATACGGAACTGCTGCGCTCGAGCCTTTCAAAGGCTCCACCGCCGGCCACCCCGATCCTTCCTGGGTCTTGCAGCTCTCCGACGAGACATTGACAAATAGCAACTTGTACGCAGTTCAGAAGATGTTTGATGGCAAATTCCAATTCGACGTCTTCTTCGAGAGCGCAAGTACCAACCAGAAACTGAGCTGTTCGTCGTCCCGTTTTATCGTTGCTCCGAATCTACTGACGCTGCGCCACAGCCGCCACACTGGACGAAGGAATTCCTGCTCTGGTGGCCAAATATGACCAACGCTTCTCTCAAGTCTTCCCTGTCCCTGCCCTTCCCGACCACCAGTCCCTCACCACATTCTCCCAAGCCATTACCTCCAACCTCATTGGTGGTGTCGGCTACTTCTATGGCCAATCCATTGTTGACGCTGGGTTTGCGTACGAGTGGGACGAAGATGACGAATCGGCCGGTGAAGAGGATTCGAAAAAGAGCAAGAGCGAGAAGGGTGCGAGACTGGTGGATCCGAAGGCGCTCTTAACGGCGACACCGAGTAGGAGTTTCTTCCCGAGAGGATTTTACTGGTAAGTGTACAATCAAGGTGCACTCGCAATGCGGGATTTAAAGTCTCATCTGGTATCTATAGGGATGAAGGATTCCACTTACTTCATATAGGAGAGTGGGACAATGATCTCAGTCTGGAAATCTTGAAGGACTGGATCAGTCTTATCGACGAAGACGGTTGGGTCGCTCGTGAGCAAATTCTCGGAGACGAAGCCCGCAGCAAGGTAAACCTTTCCGTGGTGTCCATTTTACTTTCCATCAATAATCGTTGCTCCTCTCTAGGTTCCCTCCGAGTTCCAAACCCAAGTTCCTAGCTTTGCGAACCCTCCCACCCTCACCATGGCCGTCACCGCATTCATCGGTCGTGTAAAGGCGGCGGCGGCAGTAGCCTCTGGTTCCACTGATGAACTCAGTGCAGAAGCCCTCGGCCTCGACTACGGCCTAACTGACTCCCAGACCCCTCTGTCTTCGCCACCCCTCGCCACCCTCCAACATCCCGGCTCTTTACACCTCACCTCCCCCAAGCTCGCCCTCTCCTACCTCAAATCAATCTACGAGCCCCTCAAGCGTCACTACAACTGGTTCCGCCGCACCCAGCGTGGCCAACTCAAGCAGTATGGCCGCAAGCCTCGATCGAGAACAGAGGCATACAGGTGGCGAGGACGGTCGGAGAAGCATGTATTGACGAGCGGGATGGACGATTATCCTAGGGGACCGCCTCATGCGGGAGAGTTACATTTGGATTTGATTAGTTGGATGGGATTCTTTACGAGAACTATGAGGGAAATTGCGGAATTTGTGGGCGAAGTGGACGATGCGGCATATTATAAGGACATGGAGGGGCAGATTGCCGCGAACATCGACGGTAAGTGACCTGTTTCCCCTTGTCGAGGGATCGAGGACTGATGTAGGGTTGGCGTTGTGCAGACCTTCACTGGAACGAAGAAGAACAGATGTACTGTGACGTTAGCGTCGATGACGACGGTAGTTCACCTCTCCAGTGTCATCCTCTCTTAACAGCTGATTAACATTTCCCGCCAGATGAATCCTACCACGTCTGCCACCGAGGCTACCTATCTCTCTTCCCCTTCCTCCTCGAACTCCTTCCGTCCTCATCTCCCCACCTTGGTTCCATTCTCACCCTTCTCCGCGACCCGGACCACCTCTGGTCGCCTTATGGGATCCGCAGTTTATCTGCTTCGCATCCCGAATTTGGACAAGGCGAGGATTACTGGAAGGGCCCTATCTGGGTGCAGATGAATTATCTTACACTGAAGGCTTTGTACAAGGTTTGTCTTGACCTTCTGAAATTAGCCGCGGGTGCGGATCCTCATAATAGTTGTATAGACATACATGAAGGAGGAAGGACCTTACCAACAACAGGCCCTGGAGATCTACGATGAATTACGGAAGAATATCATCAGCAATGTCCACAAGGTATGTTGAGCCCTTTCAAATTTCTCTTTGTGCCAGGCTCACCTGTAATGCTCAGGAATATGTCCGTACTGGATACGTCTGGGAGCAATACGATGCCAACAACGGCGAGGGCAGGAGAAGGTATGATCTTCCGTGCAATTTCCTTTAGCTTAGAATAACTTGTTGACTGGGACTCGTTCTGTCACTATAGCCATCCGTTCACGGGGTGGACGTCGTTAGTTACGCTGAGTACGTGAATTTCTCTCTGGTGTTCGGGGTGATGGCTGATGGTTTTTTTTTCTCTAGTTATCTCCGAAAAGTATTAAGACGCTTCATGCGACTGATTCAATGCCTAATCTTATACCATCGAGCGTGTGTGAACTCTCACCAGGATATCTTCGTACACAGTGGCCCCATAGCACCAGGGTTGAGGAACAACGTCAGACATCCTGCGAACAAAATTGTCACTCTGATCGCTTGTGAGGCTCCTTCCTCGGGATATTCCATCGTTCTGAACGAGAACGACTTCCGTGAAATCGCAAGGTCCTCCGGCACCACCGCAAATTCTGAACGCATTGTGGACTCTGCTGAGTACGAAGTGTTCTCCTTGCACAACGATGTCAAAAAGTGCTCTCAAGTTGAATTAGTCGAAGACGAGCCAAACGCTCCTAACCTGGGCCAACATCTAATCCTTTTTGTGGCGCCCGTATGCGTGTTCGTCTATCCGCATTTGATAGAAAACACTCATCCACGTTCTACCGATGAGTAACTGCGGCCCAGAACGTGGGCACGAACAGCCCAGAACCCAGAATATGCTCCTCTTTCCTCGTCCATCTTTGGGATCCCCTCATGAATCCTCACTGCGTCGCTTTCGCTATGTGGTCCCATCACAGCTTCTGTAAGTATAGTCTTTGATGATGATACGACCATAGGTCAACGGCCGCACAAGTATTCGCCTCCATCTCGCTTTGACTTGTCTCGCCCACAGACCCAGACCATTCTCGTCCTTATATAGCAATATCACAATTGTATGCTGAAATGATATCTGGGAAGGTGGGCTGATTCTACACTAATATGCTGTTACTTATATATTGGACAGTTAGTATTGTACAGTTCCTATCCTCCCCGCCCATCAAAGCTCGACGCATATACGTCCATTGCACTGTGGTTCAACAACATGTCCATCAGCCAGCAGTGCTTTAACTCCATCCCCGCTCTCACAAGCGTCAGGTTCGCCGTTCGTTATCTCGTCTCGAGGATTGGAACGACAAGCTGATATCTGGTGGCCCAACAGCCGGGCAACCCATGATGTGTTCGGCATGACAGGGCGGTTGTCGATCCCCTCGCCGTCCTGGCAAACACTACTTGGGTACACCGTGCTCATTCTGGTAGGCTTCTATATTCTTCGTCGATATCGTTCGCCTTGCAACTTTCGGAAAACTGACTCCGAATCATCTTCTCTAGAGTGCCGTGAACTTGATGACCGTCATCAGGATCGCTCCTCTGCCTAGCCCTCTGGATCCTACACGAACAGAATGGGAGATGTGCTACCCCCTCGCCATCTGGGACGTCCTCTTCCAATTTGCCTTCAATCTCAATGGGTTTACTGCTCTCGTTCGGCACGTCAAAGAGAGGTGAGTCTGAACTGGTCGGTTTCGAGCGGAATCAATACTTAGACGAAGGACTTACCTGTAGAGTCCCGTCGGATCTTCAACTATTCCTTATGGTGGCAACAATGCTTTTCTTTGTACCTGGGTATCTTGCGCATACCTGGGACTGGGGTAGCTGCAGTACCGCCGCGCCGCGGATTTATCATAACGCCGCATCGCTCATACCAATCTTCTACATTGGACTTGGGTTTGGTCTCCTTGGCATAGTATGTCCCAGAGTTAGTATTTCCGCCTCGACGTAGCTCACTGAATTTGGTCTTGCAGGGAGTCTATTTTGCTGTCAAGGTCCTCGGCGACCCAGACCTGGACAGGGCAACCGCTAGAGTTAAGGCCCAGGTGAGCGGAGATGGGAGCGAGGAATATGCTGGTGGAGAAATGCACAGGGCAGAAGAAAGGCTGAAGTGAATAGATAGCTCCAAGCTTCATAGAGAGGACATGCTGAGGGGGTGCTGTTTCCTGTACTTATATTATAATGTTGTAGAAATACTTAGAATATATATTTGCGATCTTGATGGATGACCTTGGCGTCAACCATACGGTCGACGTACAGGGTCTTTCGACATCTCTGAAGCTGGAAGAGCGGTCGATATGAATACCAGCATTGACAAGCCTAAATTTTTGAGTGTCTGAGTGGCGCACAGGATCGATGTGGACGCAGTCGGGTAGAGAGCCTGGATGCGGAGAGAATCGGAGTGGATAAACACGCCACTTGAAGAAATGAACGCGAGGCTCGCAGCGCCTTGCTCTCGCCCTCTCTACACCTGTCTCGAGCTGCAAACTTCAGCGCATCCACCGTGGCAGCAAGTCGCCGTTCCTCGCGATCGTCCTTGAAGGATCACATTTTCCGTTACTTCCAACGTCATCGAGTCATGGAACCTGCTGACCTTCGGAGTCCATCACGAGTCTCCATCCTACCTGGGCCCCTCTGTCCATGGGTAACTCTGATTTAGAGTCAGCTGGGCTGCTCTCGAGCTTTCCCAGGTCATGGGTGATTGTCTTTGCGGCAATAGTTGCACGCCTCCTTGTCTCGGTGCAGAATCATGAACGAATCTGCTTTGATACGCGCCAATATCTTCTGCTCGGACCTGCCGACGGTCGAAGTACCGCGGACGCCGTCAGTACGCTTCCGCTGTCTGCCTGGACTCTTGGCTCTGTGGCCCAGTGCTTCTGCAAAGACAAAGAAGAAACCCTTGCTGTCGTGCAAGCCCCATTATTAATGTCCTAGTCGTTCGGCTGAGCAGACGCGGTGGCACAGCATAACTTGTTGTAGCATCGGCCAAGGCGACAAGACTCTTGAGCTTGCCTTCGTCAGGAGCATAATCACCAGGGAACATCTAGACAAGCAGCGGAGGAGGGATGTTGGCGTCTCTTTCATCTCACATCCGCCGTATCTCCGCAGTCTTTATTCTTGGTTGACCGCCCGTTTAGGAAGCGATCCGGTTGAGATCGCAGATGCTTCAAACGACAGGCCCCGAAGGCGTGAGTACGCCGAGATCTGGCCTTGCACCCACCAGATACATAAATGCGACGTCCACACACCTCCTTTCCCTACCCGTACTCCTCTGTACTCGCTAACCAGCGCTAGATCGCAAGATCTTTACCACTACATCGTGCCATGCTCCCTCAGCTCTCACTCCTCGGGCGTGTTTCCTCATCCGCCGCCACTAGACGATTGTTGTCGACGTTGGTCGCCTCCCACGCCGCGGGAAACCTTCACTTCGCTCTCCGAAAATCCGTTCTTCCCACTCATCTACCCTCGCTCTCATCGTCGCCACTGCTGAACACCCCGAACGCACCCATACACGCTCTCCCTTCTTCGTGCGAACTGTACGATGGACGTGCAATGATCAACCGTCCACGGATGGTATCCAGCACTGAGAGCCTGTTCACCTCCCTCCCCGAACCCGAGACGTACGACGGTCCTGCCTGGACGCAGCACTGTCACGCCGCTGGCGATGCTCTCTTGATTACTCAAATCACTCTTAATGGTCAGTCTATACAATTATCTCTAGAGATTCTCGCTCACCTTCTTTCTCTTTATGAATTCAATAGTCCCCTCAAAGCACGTTCGCGCTGGTCGTCGTGCTTAAATCACAAAAGTTATGCATTGGGTTCGGCGATGATTAGATGCTAGAATCACCGCTTGGCTCGTGCTTGTACCATTGTATACCCTGTACACTATGTGTAAGTCTTTTCTCGACCATTTCTAGCGCTTCTCAATGCTGATGCCTATGGTTCTGCGCATTTAGGCACATTATCTGGATTTTCTACAGTTTTTAGGGTCATAGACATGCATGTTACAGTTATAGAGCTCATATGGACATTAGGGGAATAGAAGATCAATTATATGTTGTATTATCACCGCTCAGTCGCTGTTGGAAAATGTCCTCTTCGACAACATTGACTCGACTTCAAGAGGGGAGGGAACTGCTGCGATATACACAAGAAAAAATACCGAGGTGAATGTGGCGGTGGCGTACATATTGGGGGTTGAGCATCCGCTGCTCCAACCGTTTCCACCTCGTTCGCTCGCAAAGCTTTTGGGAGCCATCGGAGACTGCAACTGGCTGTTTCGAATGACCTCCATAAACCGATACGCCGTACTCGATAAAATAACACGTATTCATAGTGTTCCAGACACCGAGCGGGAATTACAGATTCGTACGCATCGCGCTCAACTTTATACCTGGATTCAGCGTCAGAAATCATCTATGACAGTCTATCTTCAGCTCCGTGATCTTCTAAGCAATTACAGGCAATCACTCAAGACATTCTTTTCTTGGCTCCTCTTTGATCACTTCCACCGTAAGTACCCCGCTTAATGAACAAGTTCAGCGTCTTGTCTGTAGGACTGCGGGGAAGAACGCTAGGCGAACTCTTAGCCTTGGGGATACTTTGGATGTCAGAGACCACTCGAAGGGGTTGGCAACCACTATACTTATTGCTTAGCCTCTGGCCAAGCCATACCTCTAAATCGGTCGTTATGAGCTACCAATAACGGAGCGGCGTTGATTGCAAGGCGATGTCGTACATACGCGTTTAGGGGGCGGCGACCTAAGCGAACAGGCTTCTGAATCTTGGTTCGGATTGGAGAAGCGGCGGACCTGGAGAAGTATGGGGTCTGGGACTGACCCTGAGTAGAGTGGTACTTACAGAATGGATGCGGGGTTCGTTGATATTGCGAGTCGCGACGCCGCCGTGCTTCGATTACTGGGCGAAGTAACTTACTAGCTCTTGCTCGACGGCAGACGGCACGACGGTGACCGTGACGACGTTAGCAGCAGAGTATTGTATATCGACGAATGAGACGAAGGATCGCATGCATTGAGGTAGTATGGGAGGACAGGCCTCTGGATCTCCCTCGAAATGAAAGAGGGGGGAGACGTAGCGAACGTTGGAGACTGAAACTGAGACTGCGATGAAGATTCGCTCCGAAGAGTTGGGCTGCCACCAGTGCCGCGATGTGCTCGATGTCAGAAAGGATGGGTCGAGTTCTGTGGATTATGTGGTGGGTGTCTATTATTGACACGGTAGAAGGCTTCAGCAAACTTTCACCATATGCATTGGTGTCGGACTCACCAATTACAAACAACTCGCGCGGGGAACTTGGAACCCACTTGGTTCGCTCCCGTCTATCGGCGGCTCCCGGCACGAGCCCATCTTGAGACTCTGCGTCGTACACTGCAAAGGAGGTCAAAACACGCTCGTATAACAGGCCTAACCAACATCGCACCGCGGCGATATGTAGTAGAGTATATGTATGTATATGTATAGAAATAGAGAGTTACGGATCGGTATCACATACTGGATGGGTAGGTACTTACTAGTCAAGCACCTAAGGCGGATTCAGAAACCGGAAACACTGTACGTGAACGGGCATGATTCAGAGACGAAGCATGACACGGAGGCTTGGACGGGTGGAAAGGGCTGTGAAAGGAAAGGAAGGAAAGGATGGTAGGCACATACGGGTGGCTAAAAGGCTATAAGTTATGTACATGTAGTCACATAGCTGCCTAGGGCGACTTGGAACAAGTGACAAGCTGGCTGTGGAAGGTGGGTGAGGAAGGCCCGAAAACCCGAAGAGATAGATAGAGTCATCGAGGCGAGCGAGAGAGAGAGAGCTCTGCGAGGCGGTACGGAGATATTTACAGACAGGTAGACTCAGAGTCCCAGAATGATTCGAGATGGACGGAGGGTATGGATCGTGGCGTGTATGCATAGGGGTATGAGTCATAGAAAAGGCCAACTAACAGTCAGAAGAGGTGACACGAAGCCAGCCAAAGTGGAAAAGGGTGGAGAAAAAGAACGAACACTGGGTTCCCCCGGTATGAGAGGAGAACGCTGCTCATGCATCGGAACGCAAGTACGCATCGACGTCGAACGTCTCAGGATCGAATCTTAACGACTCAAAATGCAACGAGTCGAGCCTCATCTCCGGCTCAAAGCCTTCATCCGCCGTGTTCGCATGCACATCCACATTCACAGCCGCCTCTGGCTCTGGCTCTCGACTATAACTCTCCTTACGCTCCATCATCGACGCTATGGGCAGGCGTCCAGATCCCATACTGCCCATCGACAGCATAGACTGCATCGACGGCCTACTCTGCGACGAAATCCGCCTCGCCTCCTGAATGTCCGCACTATCCAAGCTCTCGATCATAGGCGCCGGCTTGGTATAAATGTTCGGAATAATGAACCCATCGTCCGTGGGCGTCTCTGGCTCGGCACTAGACGGCAGCGAACCGTCCGTGGGTCCTGCCAGATCGGTGACGCTGGAGGAGGGACTGGTGGAGGAAGTGAAGAGGCTTTGGAGGTTCGCGAAGGAGAATCTGCGACGAGGGGCGGATTGTACACCGTCGAGAAGATAGGGGGAGTTCCCTCGAGAGGAAGAATCGCTCTCGGAAGGCGGGGAGGTGAGAGTAGATGCGGTTTGCAGCGTGGCTGCGTGGGAGACAGTGCGGCGTATCGGAGAACGCGGCGGGCGCGGTGGAGGATTTGAGGAATATGAGGCTGGGAGGTGAGTAGGCTCGACGGACGAAGGCTGGGGCACGGAGGGCTCGCTGTTGGAGAAGGGGAAGAACAAAGAGATGGGACGGGACTTCCGTCGTGAAAGCTTCGGCGTCTGCTCGTCTTCTACTTCGCCTGCTGTAGTCTCCTTGACCACCTGCTGAACCTCTGGACTCTTCGCGTTCTCCTTCATCGACGTCTTGCGCGTTCTCTTCCCTGCGTTCTTGATCGTCCGCAAAGCAAGCGTCGCGCGCCCCTTGAGCGTCTTACTCCTCTTCATCACAGTCTGCGCCTCCTCCTCCGGGCTCGGCTCAACGACGTCCCTCCTCCTCACTTTCACCACCTCCGCAATATCCACATCCTCCTCCCTTGCCCTACTCCTCTCCCTCCTCTCTGCCTCCCTCCTCTCCTCTCCTCCCTCCTCCCTCCTCGCCTCCTGCTCCTCCTCGTCCGCCCTATACTCAAACGAAGTCTCCGCAAGCATCTCAAGCCCAAACTCCGGTCTCGTCTGATAATACACCGAGCTCCTCCTCGGCATCACGATCTCCTCATGCTCTATAACATCCCTATGGAACACAGGCGCATCCTGCGCAGACGGATAATAAGCCTGCTCCGTCTCGAGTTTATACTGCAGCTCCGCCAAGGCCAAGTCCACCGAATCATTCGACTGCGACGCACCAACGCCCACTAGTGCGGCGTCGGACTCCTCTGAAGTGTCAGTGGAGTCGGGAGCATGAGGGTCAGCGGAGTTGAAGTAGCACCAGGTGGGCGTGTCGCATTGCTCTTCCTCCGGAGGGTGCACGTAGACGTCGGGGACGTGCATATGATAAGTATAAGGATACGGACCGCGGGGGTGCGGGTGGGGCTGGGTGCGCGTGCGGATCGACAGGGATCGTTTCGCCGGTGGGACTGGGGGGATACTAGCGGTGGTGTGGGGGTCCGAGTGTGAGCACTGGGGGCGGTGGGGGTGGTGTGGTAAGGAGTGTGAGGGAAGCGACGACATAGTTATGGGTTCGACTCCGTTGGTAGTGGACAAGTATCAACAAGTGGCTAGCGATGCTCAGTGCTCAGCTGCAGAACAAGGCCAGCGAAAAGGAGAAGGAGAAGAGAAAAAAGCGAAGCGAAGCGGGCAATCTCGCTCGAATCGAAGCGTGAAGCGAACCGAAAGAAGTTCAACTTGCATGGACCGGCGATCGCTCGAACATCTTACGTCATCATCCTTCAAAGCTTCATCGCCCAAAAATACTTTGAACTCACACAGGGTGGTTCTACAATTCACAAATATTTCGATTTCGCATGCCTTCGGAAAAATAACACAACACAACAAAGCCTACAGCTGCCTTTGCCTTGCCTTCCATCGCCACCTCGTCTTGTATATGGGTCTCGCCCTTGTCATCGTTCCTTCCTCCCCTCCCCTGTCTCTCTTGCGCCCACCCTACCACGTGCCGATCTCCCATCCTTCTCAACCCACCAACCTCGTCAAAGGCATCGTCGGACAGCAGAGGAATATGATGAACGGGCCAAGAAGAGAAGAAGGACACCGAGGAAAAATAAACACGACAAAGGGGACAAAAAATCATATCATCATCATGTATACAAACTAAGTCGCCGAACAACTGCACAGACTGAAGGAGAAATACGAGAGAAAAGAAGAAGATATATGGACGAGCGGTGGGTTGGTGTCGGATGTTGAGACGTTGCGGAATGATGCATCAGACAGGTAAACAGACGGGAGACGCGGACTTGAGAGAACGGAAAGAGAAGGTAAAAGCGGAGAAAAACGGAAAGACTGAATTGAAGTAAAAGCTCAAGAGAGTAAGAAGGAAATAATAGAAACGGCGAGGACGAGCAACCGGAACACGACGCCGCCGCGGGACGAGGACGAGAACACGAGACCTGCGCAGTTCGTCCACCAAGACGACCACGACGACGACGAAGGCCACGACAACCACAATGACGAGGTCGGTTGCGAATGCCCCGACGACGCCAGTGACGAGGGACCAGACGACCAAAGTGCTGAAGACATGTATGATGATGACGTAGGCGTTGACGACGATGTTGGCGAGGAAAGCGTACGCAAGGACCGGGCGACGACGACGACGACCTCTTCTTCGGGGGGAGTAGGGGCGGTAGGGAAATTGGGAGAAGAAGGCGAGGGAGGCGTAGGAGGAACTGAGCGGGGAAGAGGAAGAGGGTATGAAAGAGGGAACGATGAGGATGAGGTCGAAAACGAAGATGGGAACGCCATGAACTCGGCCAACACGTCTCTCTCCCGTCAATCGAGCGTGATCTTCATCTGCTCCAGCGGTATCGGCACGAAGTTGTTGATGTCGATGCCTCGCGAGCGAAGCTCGGGCTCGGTGTGTGGTGGTACGAGCCTCCGAATAAGGTCTGGACGGACTGACAGTTCTAAATACCGATGAAGAATGAACGTCAGCCAAACCGAGTAACAGCCAAGAGATACGAGGAAAACCGGATCTCACCCTCTCGTGTGAAATCGAAGAGAGGAGGGAAGTCCTTCCCGTTTGGCATCTTCGCGCCTTCCTGCCTCAACTCGTCGAAGAAGGGATGGATCATTGCCTCCACTGCACTCAGCCGTGCCTCGGGCGTGTACTCCAACAGCTTCGCCACCAAGTCAATGGATTCCGGTGCCGTTCGGGGCCGGAAGACCTGAAAAGCGCACGCAGACGTTACTGTCAGTCACACATTGAACGGGCCACCTCAAACGATGAAACGTACTTTTGAGAAGGGATGAGGCTTGATCTGAGGGAACTTGTGCTCCATATAGTTGGGGTTCATTGTCTTGATCTGCTCCCTCGAGGGAGTGCCCAAAACCTTGATGATCTCCACAAGCTGATCGATACCGCTCTCGCCAGGGAAGAGGGGTTGTCCGAGCATCAACTCGGCCATGACGCATCCCGTCGACCAAATGTCTAGATTCAATCACAAACGAGTTCAATGTGACACTCCACAGTAGAAGATGATGACTTGGCTGACCGATGTTGGTGGTATAGTTCGTCGCTCCAAAGATCAACTCGGGGGCGCGGTAGTACCTCGAGCAAATGTAGCTGACGTTCGGCTCTTTGGGGATGAGGATCTTGGCCGAACCAAAGTCACAAAGCTTGAGGACACCAGTTCCAGGGTTGAGGAGCAGATTCTGTGGTTTGATGTCACGGTGGCAGATGCCGACGGAGTGGATATAGGCTAGGGAGCGGAGCAATTGATACATGTAGAGCTTGATCTGGAGCATTGGCATTGGTTGCTTGAGTTTGGCGTAGTGGCGACTAGCGCGATATACAGTTTCGGGGACATATTCGAGCACAAGGTTGAGGTACACTTCATCTTTCTGGAAAACGACGGCGGCGAAGTAACATGCGACGGCGTCAGCGGTGTGGCGCGGGAGGGACAATGGGTGTGAGTGGACGAGGACAAACCTTGTCACCATTGGAATAAAAGTATGCTTTCAAATCGACGACGTTTGGATGGGAGACAAGGCGCATGATCTGCAGTTCTCGGTTCTAGAAAATAAAAATGTGTCGGAGATTCCGCGCGAGTCGGGGTCAGCATGATGGACGGAGAATTGACGTCAGGAGGTAGGTCCGAAGTAAATTGACGATTGCCACCGAGGCGAGAAAAAGATGGGGAAGAGCGATGGAAGAAACAATTTAGCGCGGAAGACTGACCTTGAACCGCTTGTCCTGCAAGACCTTCTTGATGGCAATATCGTCACCGGCTTCTGTCTCCGTGACGAGCTTTGCCTGGAAGACGACACCGAAGGAGCCGTTTCCGATGACTTTGCAGTTTGTATAGGAAACGTCCATTGTGTCGCCCGACTTTCCTTCGGAGGCGACGACTTTGACGACCTTCCGGGGGTCGTCGATGGCTGCACGATGAGGGGCGAAAGGGAAGGAAGACATGGTGAAGATGGGTCAACGAGACTGAGTCACTTGGACACGTCGGGGGAGAACAATGAGAGCCCCAATAAGGGAATCCGGGGGCGAAAGACGGGGGGGAGGGCGGGTGCAGGGAGGAGAATAAGGCAAGATGTGGGACGGGAAAATGAACGGCAAACGGCGGTGGAGAAGCGCTGAAAGAAAACGACGAAGGAAGGAGACGTACGATTGATCTTGACACCGTTTATTGGTGAGTGTGAGGCCATTGCAGAACTGGGTGGACACGTCGGTCGGGGAGCGGTCTGGGGAAACTACGATGGTGGAGACAGGAGCTGGCGCTGAGGACTCGGACTCGGTGTGAATCGGGAGGGGTCTGTACGCTGTCGTGAACGATGAGGACGGGTGTGAAAGGATGTGGATTGTGTGGAGGGGGATGTGGTGAGAGTTGGTGGTTGTGGTGAGAGAGGGCGTCGGAGGGGGGATGTGGTGCGAGCGAGTCGTTGGTGTCTTCCGCAAAGCGGTGGGACCGCCTGACCTTCTTGTTGTGCTCTGTTTGGACGCCCCCTTGCCCGCCCCCCCGACGCGTCCAACGAACACCTTTTCTTTCTTTCAATGTCGTCGCCCTTTGTGCTCTTGTGTCCCACTCCATTGTGCCTCTCATTGTCTCTCTTTTTTCTGCCACTCGCTGGCAGCGCCATGGCCCTCGTTGTGGCCGTACGTGGCGGCCACCCGATTGTCTCCGACAAACTTCAACGTCTCCATTTTCTGCTACTTTTCTGCTGAGCGTGTCTACTTATCTGCGTTGTCGCCTTAGCTCTCCTGCTCTCATGGCCAGTGCACTCTGGCCTCCCGTGCATACTGGTCGTAAGCGCCACCTTCACAATCTCGACAAGTTCGAGTCTCGAGTCTCTTCGGTCCCATCACGACCCCATGACTCTGCGCGCTCCTAACCCCACCTCAACGCCCACCCCTCCCATCACCCGACCTCCTCGTCCCCCACGCCTGCTTCCAATGTCCATGCTCGCCTCCTCCTCCATCCCCTTACCGGCCGTTCTTCGTGTTTTAGCCCGCCCCGCAGCTCGTACTCTAAGACACGAGGCCTCAACGATGACGCACCAGGATCCACCGTGACCGACTCGCAGGCAGCAATTTTCAGCGTTATCAACACAGCCATCCGCTATCCACCATCATCTCCTCTTTCGTCTTGGCGCGGTCTCATTGTCTTGTCCTCAGTTTTGCTCACGATCGCCTTCTCGTCTCCGACTCTCTCAGGTTCCCCGCTCGCTTCTATCTATCTGTCCTTACACTACGCCTGCAGTGCTCCGTCCCTTTCTTGCCACCCAATATAATTTGGTTTTCTCTTTCTCTTTCTTTTCGTTTTGAGTTCAAGCGATCCGTTTGCATGATGCCGAGCTCGAGGACCCGCGAGCAATCCTATCGCGCTATACTGCATCCAGTCCCAAGGAGCTCAAGCCCCGCATATGGACTCCCATTGGCCCCATCAACCTAGTTTTTCCTTCCCCCCCTCCCGAACTCTCTGCTCGATAGGGGTGTGGATCATGATGCCACACACTCGGCTCATTGCGAATGGGCATACGCTCCCGCTCTTTCTGATGTATCAATTCAGATTGCTGTTGCGCTCTGGAGTCTGGCCTTCCACATCTGTCTCTGGGCGTTGCTCGGCGTGTCTGCGATATGCCCTCTGCATCCGATACTCCGTCCACCAATTCGACTCGACGAACAGAGTTCAGCCACGACGAATTCCAAAGCCCAAGTAACTCGAAGTAACTTAGCTGTATTTCTCCAACACCCGACTGTCATGAAGACATCGACTCTGTCCACGATTGTCACGTCCCGCCCAGGCAGTCGAGTGACCTTCGAAGCCGAACGTACATCATTCTCTTCAAGTTTTTCATCGTCCTCCCCGGACATCCTTGTGCGCCGTATTTCTACAACAACCAACCGTCGATTCCGCCCACGATCGTCACGTCACGGCCCAGGACACTCGACTGACAATTCAAAGCCGAACATACATCATTCTCATCTTCATCACCCACTTGATCCGTGGCACACACACACACACACACACGCTCGCACGACACATTCGCGATGTAAGTATGCATTGTACGACGCTCACGGACGCGCCTCCATGGCCAAGGATCACGATGCGTTCCTTCCTGCCGCCTGCGAATCTCTCATCACGGACTCGGTGGTGGCGCGGGTTCGCATGTACTCTATACAGTACAGCAACTATACAGTCCAGTAGCTCGCAGAATCGCCCTCCAATAATAACACCGGGCTGTCCCGTTCGCGTCATAGTACCAGACATCAGTCCTCCGGATCTCAAATTTTAAAACAACTTTCATTCTCCATTTGCATCTGCGTGCTCAGCCAGCGCCCAACGTTCAACAGTGACACATACATATTCCTGCGCCGGAACGGAAGAGGAATGGCGGTTTTGTTCCGGGTGTGTCAGTTGCGGTTACTACACAGTAAGTAGCCAGTTTACCAGTTTGGACGATGGGATGGTGGCACCGAGGGTGGACACGCCGATCGTGTGCTTGTGTGTTCCTTCTTGGGCTTCGTGTCTTCCTACCTCTTGCTCCAATATATGGACTTGTGACTTCACTGCTGCACTGCACAATACGGCGCATCCGAGCACTCGAGCTTCGCCGCGCATTTTAGCCTTTAACATTGGAACCTTCTGCATCCAGATAAGTCACTCGTCAGACCTACCACTGGTTTGATGTATTTTTATGCGCCTGACCACCTGTTCGAAAAATTTCATCGTTGCGAACCTTGTGTACTCTGGTGAGGAACGGGAACTTACCGATATCGCTGTTGAGGAGATGTGTACATCACCTGTTCCGTCGTGATTCGTAGCGGTCCCAAGGGTTGTCCCGTTCGAATTATCCTTGGAGTCGCGAACCTGACTTGTGGCCGGTCCGAGTCTGTGTATTCCATGCAGAACAAAGAAAAAATACATATGACTAGCATACGATGAGCAGGTTTTTTAACTCTCAGGCAGAGCCCATTTTTCTTATGCATAGCAGTGCATGCCCGCACCTGTGCGGTGACCGACGGTCGCTGTTCCTACTACAAGGTACTCATGGTTGCACCTCAACCAGTCACGGTACTCCCAAAATTTCTTGCCTTTCGAGCTCGTGAGCTATATCCGTCTTGCATCACACTACTTAATACAAAACACTACCCATCGTATCCATCCAATCCGTCCACACGACCCCATCGTATCGATATTAAAACGAGAAGTCTGTAGCTTCGGGTCTGTGCGGTTGGTTTCCACCCCTGGGCCGACGACTCCTATTTATGCACACACACGGGTTGCTTGAAGGAGTTCGCCGAGTCGTATATCTTTTTGAGAATGGGAAGGACATATATATCCACATTGACACGAATATCGGATGTGTACTCCAGTGACGGTAAGTATGCTTGCGTATTTCCACGCCCACACTCGTCCAGCTGTATCGATTTGTACATGTCCTGTGTCCTCTTCTGAGTCCCAAGGCCGACTACGACCGTGCACGGATCCGTACACCCACACTATCTTATCTACGAACCTCCTTCTCCAAATCCTCCAAATCGCGAATCCCGTGAATGAATATCAATGGGGATACCGTAGCAACAGTTCAATCTTCAACGTTCTAGATCTTGAGAATCCCGGGCACCTGAATATAGTTTCGTAGGATCAGGATGACGGATGACGAGCGTTCGTGTGTCAAAGACGAGGGATTGCTTTCGGGTGGCGAGGATGGTGCGATACGGTGGCGGGGTTCGTGGCGACACAGGGATTCGATAGGGTTCGATGTATGAACGGGCCATGGTGATCGCGATGACGCAGTTTGCGTTTGGGAATATCGAGGACACTTTATGGTCGAGCATGAGGATGGCATAGAGGCAGACCCGACGGGTCGCGGTGAACTCTTGATTGGTTCGATGGAGGCCCGGGGTTAGTGGGTCTTGGAGGTTGTGGAAACAGCATGGTTGCCGAACGTATCTGTGCTTTAAGAAAGATACTCACTAACAAGAGGACAAAGAATGGATGTGTGAGCAAATATATGATTCAGAGTCTCGGAGAACCGCCGTGTCGCTGACCTTATGAAAGCCGGACAACGCCACTGGCACTCATCCCAAATACGTGCTCGTCATCCCATCCCGACGCAAAACAAGAAAATACTCGTCCATTTTCAGCTGACAGAGCGACCGACAGCGCAAACACAGCTGGGCGGTGCCACCGAAAAAGTCTGCAGCGAAGCTGCCACCATCGTCGTGCGAGAGTGTCGTGATCTGCACCCCATCGTATAATTGCCGGCCACGTGAGCAAAAAAAAATGAACAGGTCCGGAAGCTGGGTGCAGTGGCTTCCGGGCGGGAGACGAAGTTCTCGAGTATAAACTAGCAGAAAAAAAAGCGAGACGAGAAGGTCGTCTGAGGATCACGATGATGGAGATGGTCGGACAAGATTCCCAAGGGAGAAGGGGAGGAAAAGAAAGGAGGAGCACGGCGAAAAGCAGAAATTGACGCCATTTCGCGTCAGGCGGGCGGCCAGAAAAGGCAAGCGCACACCGGCTCTGCTTGACCCTCGCAGTCATTACTTTATATCTTCCCCCTTCGTCCGCTACCCAAATGTCCCTTTCTTCGCCCGCTTCATCACACAACCTTCGTCCCCCCCGCCGTCTCGTCACAATGCTTGCTGCCAACCAGTCTTACAGCTGCGACACCATCCCACCCGCTCGTATAGCCGAACTTTCTTCGCGCTCCCCTTCCCGCTCGCCGTCGCCCCATCCGTCAACGAGTACGACGTTCGATATCCCAGCTGTCACAGCCGAGGGGGAGCCGGAAGAGGACGAGGTGAGGGAGCGGTGGGGCGCCTCAGTGCAGGAACAGGAGCAAGAGGCGTCGACATCGACTCCGCCACCGTTGCAGCCATCGCAGGGCAGGAAGCTATGTATTCGCCATCAGCGCATGGCCGACGAGGGAATGAATCTACAACTGCAAAAGGTGTGTTCCTGTCAATAGCGTGTGGACTTTCGTTTCCTGTGAACCGCGACGCAGTTGTGTGTCTGCCATGTCCTACAAGCACCGGAGGTTACGCCTATCGTCCTCTGCCTTTAAGGTTGTATCTATCGCCCCTGCGTTTATAGCTAGCTCAAGGTAGCCTTCGCAAGCTTGCGCTATTGCTAAGTGTGGTAGCGTCTCAATATTGGACTCGCTCTCATTCGCTGTGGGCCGATGTCTGAGAAGTAATACTCGCGCTCAAGGTTATAAAATTGCCGACAGGCGATGTCGAAAGCCTTGCACATCCTTGCACCATCTTTCCCAATGCCACTTTTCTGTGTAGGCTGAAGCAGGGTGGAGCTATCCCGAGGCTTTCCATATCTGCCACATCTTGACTTCGTATTCCGTCGTCTTCTCGGCGAAACCAATAATGTGTTGCCGTTGCTTGACGAGTAGGACTCGTTCGATACGAACAAAATAGCTGCTGGAGTGTCCCAGTTTCATCTACACTGCATCTGTGGCGCTGTGCCTGTCTCCTTATCATCCTCCCGTTTCCGCCGTTATGTTCCGTGCGAACTTATGACGGAGTATCACCACTTTTTGTCGCTCATATTTCACTACTGCGCACAAGACCATAGTTGCTCATCTTCATCTTCTGTCCAGGCTCTCGATGACCTCCCCATCACCGAGCGCGAATCCATCAACGCAATATGGTCCAACTTCTCTTCATCCTCAGCACCACGGCGAGACCTCATCCTTCGCGGTATCCTCACTATGTGTTGCTTTTCACAACTGTCTCTCCTCACCGACGAACTCACGCACCTCATCCGCATCGACCCCTTCGCGCTCTTCCCACGCGAAGTCTCACTCAAAGTTCTTGGCTATCTCGATGCCATCTCACTCTGCCGCGCCGCACAGGTGAGCAGGCGATGGAAGTCCCTTGCGGACGATGACATCCTGTGGCGCGGTATCTGCGAACAGCACATCGGCCAGAAGTGTCGGAAGTGCGGTTGGGGACTGCCTGTACTTGAGCGCCGGAGGCTTCTTCCAGTGGCGTCAGTTTCGCCGTCGCCTATGCCACATGTCATCGCACCATCTGTGTCGAGCAAACGCAAGTTGATAGATAACTCATCCGAACCACCACGGCTGAAACGCCAACGCTCAGAGGCAACACACCCTGTGTTCCAACACGATCACGATCATGATCATCTTCCGACGACGCCTCTTCCAGTTTCACATCCTCTTCCTAGACCCCCTATCCCCGCATCAACCATAGAACCAGCCCGCACCCCCTCACCAACAATCCACTCGGCTGCTCTCACCGATCCCTCCGCCGTTCCCACCGTCACTCGCCCATGGAAATCCGTCTACTCCGAACGACTCACCGTCGAACGTAATTGGCGTCGTGGCCGTTGTTCGATGCGAATTCTCAAGGGCCACACGGACGGTGTCATGTGTCTCCAATTCTCAGAAACACTCCAACACCCATCGTTCCCCATCCTCATCACCGGCTCTTACGACCGCACCGCGCGTGTATGGAATCTCGAGACTGGGAAGGAGATGATGTGTCTGAAAGGCCACACGCGCGCTGTCAGGGCGCTCCAGTTCGACGACGCGAAGCTCATCACTGGGAGTATGGACCGGACGGTAAAGGTGTGGAATTGGAGGACGGGGAAGTGTATCAGGACGTTGGAGGGACATACGGATGGCGTGGTGTGTCTGAACTTTGACGGGAATGTGTTGGCCAGCGGGTCGGTGGATACGACTATCAAGGTGTGGAACTTCAGGACGGGAGAGTGCTTCACGTTGAGGGGACACAAGGACTGGGTTAACTCGGTCTTATTGTGGGATTCGCGCGGCGGCGATGGAGTTTCTCCCTCCTCTTCATCGTCCTCGGAATCGGTACCTTCGTTCGACTGTGCACCATCGCCTTGCAGTGGGAGTTCTTCAAGTGGGAGCGGCAGTGGCGCACCATGCATCGATCCCGGCAAGATGCTCTTCTCCGCCTCGGACGACGGCACCATCCGCCTCTGGGACCTCAATCTCCGTACATGCGTCCGCCAGTACACAGGCCACATGGGTCAAGTTCAAAGCCTGCGCCTCCTCGACATGGGTTGTGACGATTCCGAAGGCAGCTCTTCCACGGTTTCTTCTTCGACAGTCAAAGCCGCCGTACCGCCGAGTCATCCGGGTTACGAAGCGATCGTTGGACAGGGGCCCATGGACGAAGATTCGGACGTCGAGGTCGCCGTGACACCGGGCGTTTCGTCCCTTTCGCTGTCTGTTGATGGGCAGACAAGGAGACCGAGCGTGGCTGGTCTTGACGGTGGTGCGGCGGAAGGGGGGAAGAAGAAGCCGATGATCGTTTCGGGGAGTTTGGATAATACGATCCGGATCTGGGATGTGGAGAGCGGGAAGACGACGAAGACGTTGTTTGGGCATATTGAGGGGGTTTGGACTGTTGCGAGCGATAGGATGCGGTTGGTCAGTGGGAGTCATGATCGGACTATCAAGGTGCGTGTCCTTTTCGTTTATCATTTCTCCTCGAATAAAAAGGAAGAAAGCAGACGCTGACTGCTGGGGCGTGAATAGGTCTGGAGTCGAGAGGATGGGAAGTGCGTGACGACGCTGGTGGGGCATATGGGTGCGGTCACTTGTCTTGCGCTTGGGGAGGACAAGATCGTCTCGGGGAGCGACGATGGGGACGTGCGTGTATGGTCGTTCACGGGGTGATTCAACCCACCCTATTCTTTTCTTTTCTGTATCATCTCCGAGTCCATTGGTTTTCTATGCTTTTTCCCCCTCCCTCCTGTTATGTTTTGTTTACTTGGCTCTCGGTCCTTCAGTCCTTCCGGATATTTGTTGCGTTATCAGTTATCAAATTGCGCGGAGAGCATTTTCTCTTGCTTGCATAAGTACTGTATCTTTATTCCTTCTCCGTCTATTGTTTTATTACCACCTCTGAATCTACGCGTACACTTTCTGCTACTTAGTCGCTTATTCTTAGTTCGAGTTCATATACCGCACACCTCTCAATACAGACGTCTTTTTTGCGTTACTTTACCACCGGCACAGCATCGAATGCCCCGAGAGCGTATCGAGGACTGGAACTTAAGTATAACAGGTAGTGATCGCGGACTTGAGGGACCACTGTGGGGAGCAAAGAGGCCACCGTATGGGATGAGGGGCGTGACACGGGTCTGTTAGCGAAGACGATGGAAGGCGGTCAGCATCGAAAAAAAAAACAGACTAGACAGGAACTTAAGAGGGAGAGGGGGGGAGGGGTGAAAGTGGGGGTGAAGAGGAAACTTGGATCTCGAAGAAGAGCAACTTGAAGCCATCAACCTCCATATACCGCTCAAAGGGAACAATGAGCGCATGATACAGAGATCATGTCCGAGACACTGTATGCGTGGAATGCACTAGTTTCGAGGAAACCGAGAAGACGGTGTTCTCGATTAGGTCGAGTGTTTGACGTATGTCCATGTTTGGCAGCTTCGTGATTAATCTGTGAGCGGCGTGTCGATACAGTAAAAGAGCCATCCTAAATGAATCCGAGCATAGAAATCGGAGCCGTGAAGTGGAACAGGAAGAAGGGCCCTGATTCGGTTTAAGGCACTGTCTTTCAAATACCCTAACGGACAGAGAGGAAGAGAGACAGACACGGAACAAATATCACACAAGAAGCGGCGCGTCAAGTCATGATGGAGACCCAGCTCAATCGAACAAGTTCGCGCTGATCGGCAAGCTGAAGTGAGAACGCGAGTGGAAAAACGAGTAGTTGACAGGTCACAACACCCTCCCATCAAAGAGGGGGTCACATCAGGTAAGTGAGTGTACCAGGACTTATGCGGTGAACTCCAGATAAGTATCAGAGAGCGCTCGAGAGGACAATGAGCTGCCCCAATGAGGACTCGGAGGAGACTCGAATTGAAGTCAGCTCGAGCTCTGATGTCGTTTGGATGTCGTTGGAAGTCTGAGGAGTTAATGATAAGTACACCATGATAACTACTAGCAGCTCAAGGGAAAATTGCAAGAAAATATCTATGCGACGAGCTCACGAAAGAGTGCAAGGGCCTTGAACAAGGGGATCGATGATTGGTCGAGCTTGACATCTCAGGAATCCCAAAAATCTGAGATTGGCTGGGAGGGATGGTCTTCGCCGAACGTAAAGGATATCGCCGGGCAGCGATGACCTCCGGTGGCCCCGGGAATTCCCATCCTGTTGTGGTGATGGACACTGGAGGTCATCGCACGCCTTGCTGGTCAAACATGGACTCCGAAGGTTGTTGTTTCGCCATTATGACCTCGTGTGCTCACTGGAGTTCAGCATAGCACCAAGACTATATACCGATGAACAGGGCAAAACACCGCACGACCACAAAAGGTCACTCTCAAGGCATGTTGTCCGGAACTCACCAGCCGCATCCCATTCTTTTATTTGCATGCAATCTACGCGTCTGTGGCTGCTCTTTGTGGCTGCCGTTAGATCTTCAACGGTAATAGGAAACCTCTTGGGTCTTCGTGTGAGATATTTTACCTGGTGACATGGCTCACAGCCTAGCCCCGCGTTCTGCTACGGTGCAGAGTAGTAAAATGTTGCTGCTTGTCGACGGCATCGAAGATGACTAACGTTCCCTGTACCGGCGCATCATCCAATCGGAACAGTGGAGACCGTGAAATCGGCGAGAATCTAAACTCGGAGATTAGAGCGAAACTCAATCGAGTTTCGCTCCACCGGCACGAGCGCTCACCACTGAGTTTGGAGCATCAACCGTTCCAGTCTCGGCTTTTGAGTTTCGATTTTGGACGATTTCACGCTCTCTAGTAGGAAGAGGTCCGAAGGTGGTCCTGCCTCGGTCCGGTCTCGGTAAGTCTCAGCCCGTTCTAGGATTTCCGGATCTTGACCTCCTCCTCGATGCTCCGGAACGCGAGTGAGTATATATACTCGCGCTCTGCTCGTCGACTTTCCCTTGCTTTTCTTCAGGCCATTATTCCAGTGTTGATAATTGCTCTGGCGACAACAGCACTTGACTGTAAGCAAGTTAGGGCCAGTTTCTCTCGGGCTTTGCTCGGGCTCGTCTGCCTTTGGATTTCGTGGCAAACTCTGGTCTTGTGCTATGGCTGCCTCTGTGTATTTGTCCCAGTGCTTGATCTCGCCCCTTGTTTCCTATTGAGAACCTTTACCGTAGTGTACCTTGTACTTGTTTTGCTACAGATAATATATAATTTTTATCATTATTGTGACAGCCGACTGCGGCGTTAGCGTGAGCGTTCAACCATTGGAAGTAATATCGAAATTTATAATTATTCGTATCTTGAGTTTTTGTGCCACCATGGAGAGAAAACGACCATCCATGACCATCCATGGCCATGCGACCTCCATAATGGTTTGCGTTGGCCATGCCTCAGTAAAATGGGTTCACATGGTCTTCCCTGGCCAGTCATCATCTGACGGGCAATGACAGACAACACCAACACATCCTGGTCGGACTTACATCTGGAGGGTTTACTTGACCTGGACCGACCTCCCGAGGTTCCGTTCCGCCGTCGTTGTATGAGATGATGCTAGGTTTTTTTCCGTTGCCTCCCATGTTTCGACTCGTCGGGCTAGGACCTTGCCTGGTCCGCTTTTCAGGATTTCCCTGATGACTTGAAGTTGAACTTGTTCAGAGTGTGAGTGGCCACGTGCACGTCCCCGATTGTGGCCAAACTGTGGCACCCTAGGAATCGGCCGATGCAGCCGGCGGCAGGCCTTCGAACCCGCTCTGTGAGACGCCTTTTCACGCTGTTATAAACGTATCTCATCGCACAATATCGCATAAGGACCTGAAGCCGGGTCAGTAGGGCGACCAAGCCGGTGAAACATATAAATACGTTCCGATGACGAGAGAACACGATGTCGACGCTCTTCTTCCCTGTCACCTACCGACCACTGCCAGTGTCAGCCTAAGGGACCAAGCTCACCAGTCGGTCTCCTAGCCTGCTTGTACGAAATACGGTTTTTGTTTCAAAGTTTCCTCCAGGTTTTTCTGTGGACCAAGTTGTATAGGTAGGTGTCCGAGTGCTGGGCTCTGGAAGAAAGCTAATAAAACCGACAATTATACCCGCACAGCTATCGTGTCAGTAAACTACTGTCGAATGAATGAGACACAATCGTTCTTGAGCAGGGAGCATCCCAGCCCTACTGCAGTTCTTAGTTCCGCCGTCTCAGAGCTGCCTACAATTGTGCCTCGTCCCAGCTCAGACGATGTTGTAAACAGCCCTGGAGCCCGGAGCGGACGGCATGTGGAATGGGACTCGACTCTACCAACTGAGGATACTCAGCGACGACCGCCACCGCCGTCGCAATATCCTGGAAGGGGTACAATTGCAGACCCATACCTCGTGGACTGGGACTTAGGTGACCCGGAGAATCCGTATAATTGGCCGACTAGAAGAAAATGGTTGATTACTTCCCAGGTCAGCTCTGAGTCTTCGCCGCTCTCCGGCCTAGATTCTGAACATCAAGTCACAGCTAGCGCTCGGGACATGGACCGTATCATTCTCTAGCTCATCCTACAGCGGAGGAATGGAGTTCCTGAGACAAGACATACCGATGTCAGAGGAGGTGGTCGTTTTAGGTATATCTCTCTACGTACTTGGATTTGGGTGTGGGTGGGTGTTCTCTAGCTATCGCTATCGTTTGAATATGTTTATTGACGATGAAAGCCAAGCCCGCTACTTTTTGCCCCGTTGAGCGAGGTGAGTAGTGACATCATGATATAAACACCGGGGTACGGTCTGGCTGATGAGGTGGTTGAATTAGATGTATGGAAGAGTGAGTTCCATCGGTTTTCTTTGAACATCCTCTAGGGCCTACTAGGGTATACTAATGGTTTACATAGCGCCGCATATTTATCTTCACCTTCTCCACATATATGCTCTTTCATCTCGGTGGGGCACTTGGTCATAATGTTGCAGCTATCCTTGCTACTCGTCTGCTGGCTGGTATTTTTGGCTCTTCGCGTGAGTCTTATTCAGACTTGTGTGGAAAAAAAGGTTTCATGTACAAAGGAGGACATGCCGAGATCCTCACCTCGAGTTTTTTGGTACAAATATTGGTTTAGAGCTTGAAGCACTGCGCTGTACTCTAAAATTCAATTTAATCTGCGATGACGCTGACTTGACCACCGCTAGCACTCACAAATGCGGGAGGAGCTATCGCGGATATATTTAATGCTCGGGAGCGAGGCATTGCTTCAGCGATATACAGTACAGCGCCATACTTGGGCCCTGGTACGTCCGTCTGCAGAACTCACCTCTGGTAGATTTCTGACACCATACTTGAAAGTGATTGGACCCATCGTCGGTGGTTTTGTGGCACAGAATCCAAAACTAGGTTGGAGGTTTAATTTCTGGCTTATGCTTATCCTTTCTGCGGTCAACTTTGTATACGGTGTCGTTGTCACTCCCGAGACTGTACGCTCCCTTTTTCTATCATTGTCTAATAACCAGTCCAGATTCTGAAGCCTTTGTTCAGTATGGCCCCGTTCTTTTAAGAAGACGAGCGAGAAGACTGGAGAAGGAGTCCGGAGGTTCTGTGAAATATATCACTGCATATGACATGAAGCGGCATATGTCTTTCAAGGACATCATGAGAGTCAACTTAACTCGACCTTTCCGTATGTCCTTTTATAAGAATCTCAATATGTACGGGATACTCACCCCGAAGACTCCGGACGCTCAAATATCTAGGGTTCATGGTGACAGAACCTATTGTCGCCGTCACCGCCCTCTACATATCTATCACTTATGCCACTCTATACGCCCAATTCTCTGCCTTCCCTATTGTATTCCAGGAGCACCGCGGATTCAATGCAGGCGAGGGCGGGCTGGCCTTTTTAGGTATCGGGACAGGTGTATTGGTAGGGACAGCAATGGCGCCCCTCCAGAATGTGCTTTATTGGAGAGCCATGGCGAAGAGTCCGTGGGGACAGGCTCCACCTGAAGCGTAGGCTCTATGCTACTCTATACATGGTACTGAGCAATGACATATGCTACAACCCTAGACGGCTATATCTCTCTATGGCAGGTGGTGTACTTTTACCACTCGGCCTCTTTTGGTTCGCATGGTATGTACAATATTTTTCTCCGCTTATTCAACATCTATTGATGCCCTGTTGCCGAAACTTCTCATCAATGACCAGGACGACGTTCCCCTCCATTCACTGGATCGTTCCTATTCTCGGCGGTATCCCTATTGGTGCCGCTATAGCGTTCATCCTTCAATCCCTCACGGCCTACATGATGGACGCGTACACCATTTACTTTGCGTCTGCCATCGCAGCCACCGTCCTTTTACGATCGTTGTTTGCGCTTGCCTTCCCGCTGTTCAGTCCGGTGATGTTCAGGGCATTAGGAGACCAATGGGGATGTACTGTATTTGCACTTTTAGCGGTAGTGTGTGCACCAGTTCCCGTCTTGTTCAAGGTCAGTAGAGTTGAAATCTAGTGCCTCAAATGCCAGTAACTAAGGTGCGAAACTTCCGAATTCGCTAATTATGACTTAATTCTTCAGAGGTATGGGAAGTGGTTGAGGGGGAAGTCGAAGTTTGCGTGGAAGGAGCCAGAGTCAGATCCGTCGGATGGTCCTGGGACGTGGGCATCGTCGCAGACGACAACGGTGAGAGAGAAGGAGAAAGAGCCGGAATAATCGTGACAAAAGGTCGTATACCGTAGTACTTAGTGCGGGGAGGATACCACAATTACCTCCGTAGGTATTGAACGAAACCCGATTTGAACATAGTAACGACATTTTGTAGGTTGCGCTGTGTTACGGCGATACATACAGTTATTTGGTGATCCCATGCGAGGGTCATTTTTCGGGCAACCTCAATAGAGTAGAGTATCCAGGCATATCTGCTGTTCAAGATATCCTATCCGTCGTGCCAGACTTTCGGACCTCCTCCCTTACCTTGGAACACTTTATCAAGAACGCGTCAGTGGTCTCCGTAACCCTACTCGTGTACTTCACTCTCAATACCTCTTCGATAAGCTTCCTCACGCCAACAACGCCTTCATAAGCATTTATCTCCCATTTATTACCGTCGCGGGTATTGAAGAGCACGATGTGTGGCAGGGTGGGATGTTTGTGCTCGACGGACCAAAGATAGCCATAGATCGATGCTTGAACAGCGTGTTCGAGGGTCAGCTTCGACACGAATTTGATTTCCCAGATCGTAACTTCTTCCTGGTGTTCTTTCGACGACGACGCCGTCGCTTTTGCCGTGGAAGCCGCGCCAGTTTCACCAGAAGTTGGATCGCCCCCATACTGAATGATATCCGCATGTCCAAGGATGTCTGTTTCTGGCTTTTCCACTTCTGAATCCCCACCAGTCATCGTGACTCCCCTTTCCATCAATTTAGCCTCGAATCTCAATCTCAGGCCCGCTCCTGCTAACTGCTCCTCGAGTCTCATCCTTGCAGCGTCGAGGCCCTGTCCACACCAATCAAACGGGTGATGCTCCATCTGTAGTATCCTCGACTCATATCCTGACTGCTTTCCAGCGTATACACACGCCTTACGGCAAAGCCAAGCTGCAAATTGTTGCTTGTCGGAGGCAACATCACAGTGAGGGGTATTATCGGCTGTATAACCAAGGGTAGAGAGCGTGCCGGAGAGTGTGTACTCGCATGCCGCGACGACGGCAAGACCGTTCAGGTCGCTTACGGCCTCGTAGCGTTCTCTGCCAGGGGTCGAGTCTGTAAGTACCTTGTCGGGAGCAACAATATGTTCGGGTGGTGGTGATGATATATTGACTCGGGTGATCTGTAGATGAGTTTCAACGATGGCTTCGAGAGTTTGATCTGGGACATGGCGAGCTATTTCTGATACACGGACTGTTTTGGGAGAGAAAACTTTCTGAAGTGGTGCCTCCTTCATGTCGCGAGCGACGAGACTGATGTAGCGTCCTGTCTCGTAGAGCTGAGCAAGGGAGAGGAACGGCAATGGTTCCTGTGATTGGTCATGCAAGACGACGAGCTGTTTTTTTGCGCGAGTGAGTGCTACAAAGATCTCGTTGGGGCAAATGTCGACCGGTAAATCACGTCCATAGTACTTGAAGTAAGAAGCATCGACGCCATAGACTATAACCAGATCGCGTTCTTTCCCTTTAAACTGGTGATATGTAGAAACTGAGATTTTCCCCTCGAGTACGAGGTCGTCGAGAGGCCCCTCCTCTGAGGTTGGATCGGCGACCCCGAACTTGTAGACACTGGACAATAAATTCGTGAACCGAGAGACTACGTCGCTACGTGCCACGGACGGAGCGAGAACCGCCGTTCGCTCGGGACCATAACGTCTTATGAGAGGGGCTAGCTCTCGGGCGATTAAACGCTCTTGAAATGAGTTAACGTGCACATATATTGGCATCGGGCCGTTGTGGGAGCCAGCTAGATAGGGTTCACCACCGAGAAAGACTCCGTTCACGAAACGTGCAGTCTCATGGGAGAGCCGAAAGCTCGTACTGAGAGGTTGCTCGGTCCACGAGTAAGGCGATATTTCCCCCATTATATAGGAGGAGAGGCTAAGGAAACGAGCATCGCCGCCGCGAAAGCTGTGGATGGCCTGCCGCTCATCTCCAAGGGCCACAATTCGAGGAGCACGTCCACCGGCGGCACGTGTCATAGTCGAGATGAAGGCGCAAATGAACCAGAATAGTAACTCTGAACAGTCTTGTAGCTCGTCTAGAATGATGATGTCGTAAGGCCTGTCTGTCCACACCGGTATCTTTCCCTCTCGTCTGAAGCGGCGCAGTTCCTTGTCATCATATACTACAGCGGAGAACAGTTTGCCAGCCATTCCGTGGAATGTAGAGACCTCGCAATTCTCGTGGGGTCTCAGACGACGTGCGGTCTCCGACTGAAGCTGTTTAGAGAAGGTGAGGATGACTATGCGCTGACCAGAATTAGCGACGGAAATGGCTTCGGCTGTAGCAGTTTTTCCTGCGCCTGGGCGAGCAGATACGACAACGTTCTGAGTACGAGAAAGCACCGATATCTTTTTCTGCTCTGGTGAGGGCGTGAATGAGCGACTCGCCCTCGTATGGGCGAAAGCCGGTAGAGGGAGACCAGTGGCGCGGCATCTGGCAGTGGCGAGTCTGGATAGAAATGAAGTTCTGCCTGTAGCTGCTCGTATCTGTTGCCTACAGTCAGTAATAAGTGAAGTGTACTAGTAGACAACTCACTGCATATCCTAGGAAAGTAGACATTGGTGTGACGGTGATAAAGAAGAAGATGTAGCATAGCTGACGCGGTCAAGACGCGGTGATCAACTTGGGCACGCAAATTGCACGTGTACGCGTCGTGCGGCGACGATTTGAAATTCGTGTGGCGGGATTGCATGCAGAATATGTTGTACAGTACATTGCCTACTAACTTAAGTATACACTCATGAAAGAGTATGTCGCGAACGCTGGGGAGCTCGACGAGGAAGCCAACAACTGTCTTTTGGTCATCAATTGCGCGCAGTGAGCCACAAAGTTCTATCCTTCCCACTAACCCACTGCCCATTATGGGGCTTACAATCGCCATTCACAGCCAGTGCTCATTCTCCAAGGACGCACTCTATCTGGCGCCTTTGTTTGTAGTTATGCCATTCGTAAACATCTGCATATTACAAACACTAAACGTTCCTACATCTACTTCTATTCTTTACTCTATCGTGTCACATATGCAAGAAATTGGCGATCAACCCGGATACAAAGCCTTTCGAAGGGGCCCGAAAGTGAATGGTTTAGAGATAGAAGGCCTTGACGAGGGGAGAAACGACCTCGCCACCCTTCTTCTTGTAGAAGTCGACGACCTTCTTGCCGTAAACGGCGATGTCTACGAGTGAAGATGAGGGGTGAGCATATATTCACAGCGGGAGACCTGTCAGGTGGAGAACGTACTGTCGCCAGTGATACCGAACTTCTCGTAGACCTTCTTGTAGGGGCCCGAGGCACCCCAGGCGGGCAAGCCGTACTGCTCGTGGCTGTACTTGGCCCAACCAGCAGTCTAAAACCGAACGCGTTATAAGTACACATGCAGGTCAAAGCCAAGAGCGGACTGACCGAAAGAGCCTCGAGCGAGAGGATGGGAGCACCACTCCTCAACACGCTCAACCTGTACTCCTCTGGCTGCTGGTCGAAGGTCAACCAACACGGCAGAGAAACGACCCTGGTCTTGATCCCCTGCTCGTTCAACTTGGCCGCTGCCTCCAACGCAATGCTGACCTCACTTCCGGTCGACACGATCGTCAGGTCCTCCTGCTCAACCTCATGCACAACATAACCACCCTTGGCGGCCTTCTCGATGCTCGAGGCCTCGAGGTTGGGCAGGTTCTGGCGGGAGAGCGACAACACGGAGGGCGTGTGCTTCGACTGGAGTGCGACGAGGTAGGCAGCGGAGGTCTCGTTACCGTCTGCCGGGCGCCAGAACGCGAGGTTGGGAATGGCACGGAGGTGAATGGCGGTTTCGATAGGCTGGTGAGTGGGACCATCCTCGCCGAGACCGATGGAATCGTGAGTGGCGACCCAGATGACTTGGTGGCCCGTCAATGCGGAGAGACGGACGGCACCGGCGGCGTAAGAGACGAAGTTCAAGAAGGTGGCAACGAAGGGGACGATACCGCCGTAGGCGGCGATACCGTTGGCAATGGCTGCCATACCGTGTTCACGGACACCATAACGAACGTATGTGCCCTTGTACGAACCAAGGCCAGTGTTCTCGGGCTGGAAATCGATCATGGTCTTCGTCCTGGTCAAGTTGCTACCCGTAAGATCAGCAGAACCACCGAACAAGTCAGGGATGAAGGGGGTGATGGCAGTGAGGACGATTTCGGAGAGTTTGCGAGAAGCTTGGGCGGCATCAGTGGACTTGTAAGTGGGGAGTTTGGATTCCCAGCCCGCGGGGAGCTCGCCGGCGATACGACGGCTAAGTTCAGCGTGCTCGGAAGGGTACTTTTGCTTGTAGGAGGTCAGAAGGGCATTCCACTTGGATTCGAGCTCGGCACCTCGCTTCCCAACCTCAGCCCAGGTTGAGTAGACCTCCTGGGGGACGTAGAAGGAGGTGTTGGGATCAAAGCCAACGGCAGTCTTGAGGCTTGCGAGGTCATCAGCCTTGAGGGCTAGTGAACGAAGGGGTTAAAGCTGGCGGAGATGATATAGCGGCAGAGAACCCTTACGAGCACCGTGGACACCGTGAGTGCCCTGCTGCTTAGAGCCATAGCCGATCGTGGTCGTGAGACGGATGAGCGTAGGCTTGTTCTTCTCCGCACGAGCAGCTGCAATGGCGTTGTAGATAGCCTCCAAGTCACTGAGAATAGGAGAAATTATGTTTACGGTCGACTTCAAGACCGTAAAGCGCACTCACTGGTCACCGTCAGCAACGTGGAGAACTTGCCAGCCGTAGGCAAGATAACGCTGCTCGACGTTCTCAGTGAATGCAACGGCAGTGTCGCCATCGATGGAGATGTCTGTTTAATATGATCAGACGGGGCGGAATTTCAACAAAATATTCTACTCACGGTTGTCATCGTAGATCTGGACATCAAAACGAACCTGTCAGAAAATTGGGTGCAGAGCAGGCACAGGAGTACGTACGGCGATGAGGTTACCGAGCTGAAGGTGGCCTGCAAGACTGGATGCTTCGCTGGAGACACCCTCCATCAAACAACCATCACCGAGGAAAGCTGGATTATCGCGTCAACCAATGAGATTTGCCGATAGAGCACGAATTTATGCACCATAGGTATAGTTGTCGACAAGAGAAAACCCGTCGCGGTTGTAAACGGCTCCGAGGTGCGCCTGAGCCATAGCCAGGCCGACGGCGTTGGAGATACCTTGGCCGAGAGGACCAGTGGTAACCTCGATACCATCGGTGTGACCTGCTTCGGGGTGACCGGGAGTCAAGGAGTCAAGTTGACGGAATTGCTTGAGGTCATCCATGGAAAGTTTATATCCCAGGAGATGGAGGGTGATATACTGAAGTGCGCAACTAGATCTCCATTGATTTTTGTGCATTACTGGATGCAACGATGGGACTTACGCATGACTAAGAGAAGAAATGAATCAGTATACTGTATGTAATGAGGGATATGATACTGACCCGTTGGAAAGGACGAATCGATCACGGTTAAACCACTTGGAACTCTTCGGGTTCGCATTGAAGAACCTATAGGGGCAAACCAAGAGCCGTAAGGATGATCCGTAGCTTGCTCTACGGTGGTCACTGCGTACCGGGTGAAGAGGACCTGGGTCACAGGTGCCATGCCCATGGGCGCACCTACATGTCAGACGTAGATGAGAAAGATATTACAGTGTAGGGCTGAAAAATCTGCGATACGAACCTGGATGGCCGGAGTTCGCCTTGCCCACAACATCAGCGGCAAGCGTCCGGATGGTGGCGATGGACGTCTGATCGGAGCTCTGGGGAACAAACTTGGACATGATGTTAAGAGACAGGAAGGATGGGTCGTGGGCAGGGTGTGATGGTGGTTTTTAAGAGAGAGAGGTTGCGTGCGCGACGTGCGACGAAGAACGTATTACGGACTTCGGACCTCGGTTTATCATTTTCGGGCGGGTGCTCCATCCCGGCCGGCTACCGGCCCCCTTTTGACCCCAACGTATTCGTCTCGCCACTCAAAGCTCTTCCGGACTGCACAATCCCTGTCCTCTCTTTGTTCCTCTCCGTGGGGAGCCCAGGGCACCCGCTCACACTGTTTCTAAGCAATGCACCCACAATCGTCGGAGAAAAGACTCGGTTTAGTCTCTCCTTTCCTCTCTGTGGGAACACATTTTCTGACTTCTCACCGCCCGAACAGCTTGCCTCCAGCTCTTTGAGGCACTCGAGGAATGTCATGCAAATGCCTGGCTAAAATGGACTGGGGGCTGTAATCAGGCCAAGCTTGACCTCAACAAGTGCTTACACGGGGATGTGAGTCCTACCATGTCTCTTGAAAATATACCCTTAGCTCAGTGTTTCGTTATGGCTCGCCTTTCCTCTCCTCCCGTGTCAGTCTGTTGCCCGAGCTGCCAGGAACCGAGAAGACTCCAAGGCCAGACAGGCTAAGCGCGATCAAGCCTGGAAAGAGCTGCATGCGAACGATTAACGCCCCGAGTACGTCCACCAACGACCCTCCTTGCGTTTCACTACACAGCGCAACGACCATTGGTCGAGCGACCTCGAAGGTTTCCGGACGGCCGTTGGTTTCGCTCGTCAGAGCGGACGGAGTACGGCTTAGCGTCCTGTTTACTGTATATGGGCGACACCACACTTGTCACGGCTTTTCACCCCTAATGCCATCCATTCCCCCACTCATGTACACAGTCCAATCATTGGGTCCACAATGTTTACGTGACGGCCGCAAGCACAGTCGCTATCTTCAATAAACACTGCGTTCGCCTGATTTATCCTCCTGACGCCGCGACCAATATATCATCACCGACCAAGACGCTAATTAGTGTGGCCCACCCACAATTCCTACCCGCCAAATCATCCGTCACCGACGACAATTGGCTCGACTTCGAGCGACTTCCATGGCCTTCAGAGCTTCCCATACGTTTCAAGCATCACCGCAGCTCCACCCTCAAGCGCTGTAATTCTTGATCTCGGTGTCTTCTCTGTCTTCCAAGCTTTGGGTTTTGGGGGCTGCGAATAACAGACACAAAGGTATCGCGGCATGAATCAGAGCCCGGGCCTGCGCCTAATTATCTGTTGCTCGTTCAGTCGGAAAGCGGCTCTTGGTTCACAGTCATCTTCGGGTTCAGCTTTGACGGGGTTAGCCATTGAAGGTTGGCATGGTGGTCCAGGTCTGGCGTTTATGACAAGCGTTCGACGACCAATGCTATAGAACTGTGCCTCCTTCGAATTACAGGAGAACTATGAAAAGACTTGATACAGCACAGACACAGTCACGCGCAAAGCTCGCATACGTGATCAATAGAAAAAAAGAAAGAAAGCTTCTTCGTAACACAGGTCTTATGAAGCAGCCCAACTGTACGGTAAGGAGCAAAAAGAAATATGCCATGCATGCAGGATGGTAGCGGCGAGGTTCGAACTCGCGCGGACTTGCGCCCATTGGGATTCAAGAACTTAAATCCAACGCCTTAGACCAACTCGGCCACGCTACCCAGTTTCTTGTGGCATTAATATGTGTACAGATAGCCGCGGCGATACCCTTCCCCAATTAGGTATCTTAAAACATAATTGGCCTGCCAGGACTCGACGCAGATTATTCTGTAGCTTCGCTGTTAAATGTTAAGTCAGCGAGTCCTTGACGTGACACACAAACAACGTTGCTCGTGGTACATAAAAACCTGTACGATTGAACGCCTGAGAAAATGTCTTGACCTTTACAAGAACGATACAGTGCCTGCATGGCAAACGCCGCTTGCCTCTCTATTTCAAGTTCGCCATGCTGCGATCATCAGAAAGGACAAACAAAGTGCTGGACAGCGATAAGCCGCCGGCCGCTGTCAGGTACCGACATCACAGTTGCATAGGGACCGACTCTCATATTCCTCGAGCGGGACCGAACCGACGACGACGACGAGACAGGGGGTCAAGAAGACCAGCAAGCACGAAGTTCGCCGCGGTGAGTTTTTCCGGTGCAAAACACAATACTACTTGTGAGGCTGAATCACGGGCTCTCTCGTTTCGTACTCCAGCATCGTTTCTAGGACTTTTGCCGGCTCTTGCCCGACTGAGGCCGCAACACTATCCAACAGCGGGATCCTGCAGCCTTCCGAGCATCGTGTTACACTAAATTCTAACAGGTCCCATATCTACTAGTGACCCACAACGGCGAGCCTGTAGCCCACTATCTCTCCTTATGCGCCGGCACACCGATAGTTTTACTCCGAGCCCGACTTGTCGCTGTCTACGCCTGTCAAACGTAGACCCTTGAGGCCTTGCATATATCTCGCCGCCGGTCATCCTCATCAATATTTCTAGTTCCCTCTGACTCAAGCTCTCGCCGTCCTCTGGATTTGATTTTCAACCGTTCGTCTGTCCACTCTTTCGCCCATGAACCGCCAGGACCTATCGGCGCTGGCGCGTGTACCACATCTGGCCAGGCTCGCCAACCTCGGTGAGTGCCATGATGCCAATTGTCTCGTGGTCCGGATGGTCAGGGAGATATGTAGAAGCTGATTGTGGCGTATCTTTTCGTGCAAAGTGGGAGAGATATGCATAGCCGCCGATGCCGTGAAAGTTCATCGGGTGAGTGCATTCTGCTTGTACTGCGAGCGCGATGTGGACTCACTTCGACCTCTTGCAATCTGGGGGCTTCGGACGAAAAGCAACAGTGCAAAGACCTGGGGGACAGATGCGTTTCGCTGCTTGTGGCTATTCGTGACTCTTACGAGGGAATGGAGGGACCTGCCGCTCCCCAAATTTTAGAACAAGCCGATCCGTGCGTAGACTTTTCTGATGCGTCCTAATCCCTCTGACGTATCCATTCCGTTTCTATATTCTGCTGTGTCTACCCACGTACACAACCTTCAACAACCTCCAACAGTGCCATCTTCCGAATACACACGCGCCTGCAGGCTTGGGCCGCCCTCAACAAGATCAAGGCATTCGTGCAGCGAGACGACATGAAGCAAGCGATTGATAGCTCTAACCAGGATCTCGAGTTGTGTTTTCGGAGATTAGGATTGGAGCAGCCGTTGAATCAGAACCGGAATCAGGTACCGTCCTTTGCCGCCGTCGACTGTAGATCAGGTACTCAGCATGCCTTATTCGTCCTATCCCTCATCATGCGCCCGTGATACCTGCCGGATAGGCTGCAGCTACTTCAACTGGCGGCTCGGGCTCGCAAACGCAGCTTTCCTCTCCCGAACATAACCATCGACACTACTCTGTCGACTTCGGCGCCTCCCCACTCCTCGAACGTTCTTCTCCGCACAAGCCCTCCCGCCGCCCCGCAACCTCCCCCGGAAGAGGGCGGTCTACTACCGTACCTGAGATGGCATTGGCTGACGTGGACACCTCAGGGCGTCTAGCCTTGCAGCCAACCGCATACGCAGAAGCCGGGTCAGCCCTTGGCACGGTGTCGGAAGCAGAGGTTGGACTTCGACTCTTCGCGTAAAACTGTTCTCCCGAGTCTGACAGCTGCATGTGCCTCCTTTTGTAGGAGATCCGACAACAGTCAAGGATATATCACGGACGTCCAATATCGGGACCGCAAGGAGCGCGCCCAATGACTGTGTCGAAGTCCCTGATGGTTGACTGTGAGTGCGCCGTTGTCCGCCTCGATGCTTGTGGAAATACTGAGAGAGGTTCGGTCGTTTGTTCAGACACAAACGAGGTTAAGAAAGTTAGCGGAGGACCTGCATTCTCGACTGCCTTCTGTGATGTTTTTGTTGGGAGGCTTGTGAACCGGACGGTGCGCACATTTCGCGCATGTTATCGTGCATACTTACTTATGATAGTCCAGGTTGCTCTCACCTTTCCACGTCTGCTCAATTCTTCTCCTGCTGCCCAACGAAGCTTGCGAAAACACCTCGATACCTGGGGATGCTTGGATCACCCCAATGTTCTTAAAGTGGAAGGCACTGCGGTCATCGATGGCTGTGTATACCTAGTGCGTTGTGTTTGCTAACTCCTCTTGTCAGCGAGCGGGTCTGACGTGGACGACTGCACTGTTAGGTCAGCCCATGGATGGCCAATGGGACCGCTGCTTCGTATTTGAAGGGCAAGCCTGATGTTGACTGCGTTTACCTCCTTCGCGATATCGCTGCTGGTACGCTCCTTCCTTTGATTCAGATCCTGTATCGAACTAACTCCTCGATAGGCCTGAACTATCTCCACAGGTACGGAATGGTCCACGGCGACCTTCGGGGGGTGCGTCAACAATTTAATTTGTATCGTCAGAATGAACCTAATAATTCCAACAGATCAATGTTCTCGTTGACGATGTCGGGAGAGCGTGCGTGACCGACTTCGGCCTGTCACGACTTGTCGACGAGGTGAGAAATGTTCCCTTTTTACCCAATCGATTTCGAAGGATGCTCACATGTCTGTGAAGGTTTGCAATCCCGCAGAAGTTCCCGATTCCGGGAATTCTCGCTGGCTCGCCCCAGAACTAATCGCTGACTCTTCGTCGCCTGACAAAGCCTCAGATGTCTGGTCGTTTGGTATGCTCTGCCTCGAACTACTGACCGGAGAGCCACCATATCGAAATCATCCTCGCGAGAGATCCGCCATCTACGACATCGCTCTCGGCACACTACCTCAGCGGTCAGAAGGCGTTCGTGGCTTAACCGATCCAATGTGGGAACTCTTACAACGGTGTTGGCAAAAGCGCGCCGAAGCGCGACCTTCTATGAGGGCTGTGCTTTCCGACTTAGAAAGTCTGCTATGTATGTCGTTATCTTTATCCGCATGTCAATCTGTGGAGTAATTGACGAAATGTTCACATACTACAGCCTACCATACATCACCGCGTAGCACACACGCTAGCCCGCCTTCCCCACTAGTGCAATCACCAACCTCCGACTCCGATGCTTCATATAAATTGCTTCCACATCGTTCTTCTTCCCAACTTCCTACGCCCCCGCCTTCGCGATTACGACCTCACCCTCCAACCATCGATCTCATCCCAAATCCATCTGCAACTCTACTCTCACCCACGTCACCTGAGCCTCCCTCGTCAATAAGCAGTCATCCCAACAGCACACAATCTGACATCCTCGACTTCGCATCGTTTCTCAGCTCTGAACCGCCAGAAGCAACTCCGTCTCCTGCCAGCAGCTCGCTCAGCGTGAATGGAATGTCTTCACCACCAGGCACAACCAAATCTAATAGATTCCACGTGCCAAAGTTCGGGAGGGCCCATTCCGGCTCTTCAAAATCGCCCAAGCTGCCAAAGTCGTCCTCGCGACCTGCGACTGCAGATGCTCATTTCATGTCCTCTCCGCCTCCACCATTCCCTTCGTCGTTCAAATCTCCCCCGTCGTCGCTGCACTCTGGTCCATCTCGGCCAAGCACCTCTCGATCTGATTCATTCTCAGATGACACTAGCTCGAGTCCTCGAGGCATCGACTCTTTATCGTCGTACCAACCTTCACTCCGGAGCTCTGAAGAACACTCCTCTCCCAAAGAGTTAGCCGTGGCGCTTGATCGTGCGCTCAAAGATCCTAAACCGATATCCTTCGAGAAAGATGGGTTTATCGAGGCCGGGACGTTGAAGGGTCTGGTCTATAGATTGTTGACTCCGGAAGATTCCTCGGGAGATTTGGAATTCAAGGGGACATTTTTAGCGTGTTATAGGGCGTTCACCACGAGCGAAGATGTGTTCAATGCCCTGGAAAGCAGGTTTGAGAGCGAGGAGTCCGGGGTGCAGAGGCCTGACGGCATGTCGAATGTTCAGTTTTCGTGAGTACAATCGGTTCTGAACTTTGGGGAGGCCATATAGGAAGCTAACTCTGTGGCGCTGGCAATTTTAGCCTGCTGTCGTTCCTACATACATGGCTGAAGATGGACTTGCCGGACATGGGTCCATCTCTGTTGCACCGAATCAAGATATTTGCCATTTCGGTCCATGGCTCACGAACGCTGGAGACTAAGGCCAAGGAGATAGTCGTTCTTGCTGACGATAAGGTAGCGTTAACTTTTCCATTGTCCTGGACATCGTTGGATTGCGCTCACGTATCGATCCAGATTCAAAAGGGGGATGGCTCTATCAGAAGTTCAACACGGAGATCGAGGCACTCAACGCATGAAAACATCCCCAAAGCCTCGGATATCACACCTGCCGCACTCGCCGACGCCCTCACCATTCATGAAGGCGGCCTCTACTCCAGGATCACCCCGCCCGATTGTGTCGCCCACCTTTTACAGCTTCCCGGCAGCGACAATATTCACGCTGCGACCATCACAAACAACCGTATCGTCAACTGGGTCAAGAAGTCCATTCTACGCTCCAACGATGTCGATGCCCGATGTGCGGTGTACAAGTTCTTTGTGAACACGGCTCACGAGTGCAAGTTGAGGCGAAATTACTCTTCCATGGTGGCGATCGTGAACGCGTTACAATCAGCGACGGTTACGTCCTTGAAGCTGACGTCGAAGGAGAACCCACGTATGACCAATAAGGAGAAGCAACTGTTAAACGAGTTGAGCAGCTTGTTGGATCCGACTAGGAATCACAAGGCGTACAGGCAGGTAATCGACGAGAATAGGCAGCCTTGTGTACCTTGGCTCGGTGCGTCCCATCCTACCGTGTTTGCATCATCTCGGAGAGCACTGATCGTCGCATCCTTCATAGCTGTCCATCTCCGTGATGCGAACGCACTTCTAGGGCGTTACCCCTCTGTCATTGAGCGCGACTCACACTCTCTCATCAGCTTCACTCGCTACAGAAATCTCATCGCCCACGTTCGCAGCTTCCCCCAGTACAAACTCCCCGACACGAATGCTCAGGATGCTGAGTTGGTGAATGCCCTCATCTACCTTGAGCACCAATTGCATTCGATTAGCGTCGATGCGGAGACCGACAAACTATTCGAGGCTAGGAGTAAGGAACTGGCAATGAAGGAGGAGAAGCTGCGCGAGCAGAGGGTCCCGGAACTGAAATCCTTGGGATTCTACACCGGCGAGCCTTCGAGAAGTGAGAGCTCAAATGGGGTAAAGGCGACCGATAGGTCAACGACAATGGGTATACGAACGTGAAGTGCTGTCTCGTCCCAGTCGTCGTATGGGTTCTTCGATGCATTTCTGGTTTTATTCTTTCAATTTATTGGGATTTAGGTTAGACTAGGGATCTACTCGCGGCATTACTTGCATGTTTTCTTGCTTTACTCACTCCATCTTACGCCTTTTCTGTTTTTGTGTTGGCACCGAACTATTGTTGTTTTCCTACATGCGACTGCTACTGTCTCTAATCATTCGCCATATCACTATCAAACCTGCCTCATGTCTCTATCATGCCTTTCTCTGCCTTCCTTTCTTGTACGGCTGTCTAGTGAGCATCGGGTCGCGCGTCGAAACTGCTGTATTACATCGATACCTAAGTTGAATCTTGTTGATACGTCTACATTACACCCTTGCTTAGAGTTGCGCCTCGAACCAATCGCTATCTAATTTGTGTCTTTGCGTTGATATGAATGTTATGAAACATCATCCTTTACAGACGAGCCGAGTGTGTGTGGCCCATGACGCGCCACACATTGGAAAGGGGCTTTACGCCTTGTTCACGCCACTCGCGCGTACTTGTCAGCGGCCAGCCTCGCTGAAGCGGAAGTAAAATAATATATATAGACTACTTAGTATTTTGAAAGTACTACAGATACCCTTGCGTCGTGGATGAGTGGATGCTGAGGGGAGGAGGCTGTTTACTGCAACGAAAAGTGGTGCATATAGGCCAGGTACGTTCAGTACAATCACCGCCGCGATGGTGTATCGGATATTGCTGTCACTAAAGAATCCCGGCCTCCCTCCGAGCTCTTCCGAGGTGGCCGGTTCAACACAGTCCGATGCCACATCGCGGCACCCAAGCAGGCTGAGAGCACGCTACATTGCAGGTTTAATTCCGGGCTTCCTGTGAAGATAAAAATGAAAAAAACCCGAGTGGCTCAGTCTGCGAATGGCAGGTTCCTTTTTGGTTTGGATTCATGGTTATGACATTTTTCTGTATGGGTACCATCGATTCCATGCCGAAATTTGTCGGACGTTTATTGCTATGTTCGAGCTAATTGAGGATCTGCGTTCGATGTTCCTATTCCGAATTCTTTGCCTGTTGGTCATTCAGTCTCGAAATCCAGACTCAAAGATCGAGAAGACAATCGTTCCTCTTCACTTCCAGTCGTTTACGCAATTCCAGGAAACTCATGATGTTGATATCTTTCCACGCAACAGTTTACAATCGCAATCGATGAACATGTCCTACACTACACAAGACGAGCGCAGAACACGATGCAGGCGACATGCGTCTAGACTTCTTCCTTTTTTGAACGTGGCGTGCAGGCTAGTAGCGCACGTTTACTCGAAGATCCAGCTCTCCATGGCGTTGCTGTACTGGACAGCGCCCTCGGGGAACCAGCTAGATGTGTGCGTAAAGCAATCAGAAGACGAAGAGGATAATGAGAATTGAGACGCGACATACAGCTTGATCTCCTTCTCGGCGTTCTCGACAGAGTCCGAACCGTGGCAGATGTTGCGGCCGACAGCGAGGGCGAAGTCACCGCGGATGGTGCCTAAAACGCGAAAAGATAGGAGGAAACACGCGTTCAAAGCGTGTCAGACATACACGCGGGTAATGAGATGTAAGGTACGAAAGACTAACCGGGAGAAGAAGCGAGCGGGTTGGTAGCACCGAGCATGGCACGACCGGTCTTGACGCTGTCAAGACCCTGCCAGACCATGGCGACGACAGGGCCGGCAGCCATGTACTTGATGAGACCAGGGAAGAAGGGCTTGCCCTTCAAGTCCGCGTAGTCTGCAGCGGGCGAAGCGTGAGTTTCACTGTGCAGTAAGGAGAAACGAGATAAAACGTACGCTTCTCGAGGTGCTCGGGGGTAGCGTGGACGAGCTTGAGAGCAACGAGCTTGAAGCCGCGCGCCTCAAAGCGGGAGATGATGTTTCCAACGAGCCCGCGCTGGACACCGTCGGGCTATATAACACAAAATGTTCCATCGCGTTGAGATCAGTTTTTGTCTACGATGCGATGGAGCAATGGGCAAAGCGGAAGAGTACTAACCTTGACCATGATGTAGGTGCGTTCCTGGACAGACATATCTGAAATATAAGCTGGGGGATGTGTTGGTGGGGGATGTTCTGGTGGGGCTGTGGATGGCCTGAGGTGGATGAAGAGGAGAGGAAGAAGAAGAGCGGTGAGGACGAGGTTTATAGCAGTCGCGACTCTCATTATCGGTCTGCATCCATCTTCGCGGTAAAGTCCGCTCGCCACACGTGTAATCGCCTTCCATATCCGGCCTGCGCCACAACGTTCTGTTTTCCCGGCCGCTCCCGGGCCCGTGTTCCTCCTCCACCCAATCCCATCCACCGCACTTCGAATCTCCAGTAAACCTCTACAGAACGCCAACCATGTTCGGACCTCTGGGCTTCTCGCTCGCCCCCATTGTGCGCAAGTCGCCCACCCTTTTGAGCTGGACTAAGCCCTTCGCAAACTGGTACGTGGACAAGATGGGCTACAGGAAAGTCGGGTTCAAGTATGACGACCTCCGTGCGTTTCCCCCGTACTTGATGTTTCTATGCAGCACGTACTGAAATATACTGCAATTTTACTCTAGTTGTTGAGGAACGTGACGATGTCCAGAGGGTCAGTGTGAACCACCGAAGCCGTGCTCAACCAGGTGGCTAACTCACCTCCAATGGCTCACATAGGCTCTTGGCCGTCTCACACCCGCCGAAGCGTATGACCGTGCATTCCGCCTCAAGCGTGCCTCTCAAGCTAGCGTCCAACACAAAGATCTTCCCAAAGACCAGTGGACTAAGCCTGAAGAGGTGCGTCACGCTTTGCATCCTTTTACCCCGCCTTTTTCGACCGTTGCTCACTGAACTTTCAAAAACGGTTGTTCGGGGCACTCTACAGGATTCGCGCTATCTCAAGCCTCACGTGGTTGATGTCGCGCAAGAGAATGCTGAGCGGGCTACCTGGGACACCATGGAGGTTTCGAGGAAGCGGTAGATGTAGCATGGCGCTGTAAAACGCGGGGCGGTCGGTCTTAGACTCTCTTTTTTCCCCATTATATATCGCCCGAGCTGAAGCTCACATTCATTGAATGAATGGATGACATCATCGTGGTTGTGTGTTTAAACCTCTACGCGTAGCGCATGCCGTTGCTAGTCAAAACCTCCCACATTTTGCTCCTTGGTACCTCTGTCAATGCACGCCACACGCCACTTGCCTTCGATCGTCGAACGAAGGCCAGCGCTTCCAGAAATTGCGGGCATTACTCACACGTCTCAATTCCTATTTGCAGTCTATTCGACAGTTCATGAATCAAATCACACGAGGATGATGCGGCAGAATACTCTCGAGTCGAGAGGTAACGGACTTATACGATGCAGTACAGGCTATAGCGTCGAAATACGAATCAGGACATGCGAGGGGGAAATGCTAAGGATGCGAAGAATGCGAAGTATGCGAAGTATGCGGAATCAACAATAAAAAGGAATAACTAACGGTACACGTCCGTGAAACGACATTGTTCTAGATGATGCTGAAAAGGTGAAGTGTAATGCGAGAGACTATGCGGGGGTGATATTACATTGATGAGCTTGCAACAGGAAGCAGGAGACGACGAACAAAGATGGAAGAATGAAACGAAACAATCACCGACAGTCTAGAGGCGGGGCTACAGGACCAAACCGAAAAAAAGCAATACATGCGTTAGCACCCCGCCTCATGAACGACCCACCCTAAACACCCTCCTCCTCTCATACACAGGACTCTCGCAACCACTGTCGTCCTCGTCCGATGCTGGATAGGGCACCAACCTCACCAACTCCTCATCGTCCTGCATCTCTTCATCGTCGTCGTCGTCCGACCGCCCAAGGGAATAGTTCCCTAGTTGCAACGTCAAGAAGCCCACAGACTTTCCCCCGGGACATTTGATCTTTAGTGGCGTCGACCGAGGTGGAGATGGCGTTGACTGAGCTGGAGATGGCGTCGACCGAGCTGGAGACTCGTCCACTACCATCTCGACCTCCTTTGGCCGGTGCAGTTGCTCCTCGAGATGTCTCATCTCGGTCTGCAACATGCGCTTTTGCCGAGCCAACGCGGTCAGCTTCTGCTCCGACTTCACGCTCCTCGACGACATCTTCTTCTTCCTCACATTCCGATCGTCCTTGTCGTAAGGACTCTGAGAGCCGGAGGCGCGTCTCATCTGGGTGGTGACACGACGGATACCAGCACGAATTGGGCCGGCCTCTCCTTCGTTATGAAATTCGCCGAGATCTGGGGAGCCGGCTGCTCGATCGTTCCTTCTCGTCCTTCGACGCGGGCTTTTTGAAGTCGGAAGAGATGGATAAGAATTGTTGAAGGACGTTGAGGGGTAGTAAGACTCATCGTCCATAGTGGAGTCCTCAGAGTCGGAGGCATCAGAGTACGGCGAGGTGGGATAGGCAGAATGCGGGTAAGCGGCATAGTGGGAGTAGGTATGAGAATGATACGAGGCTGAATGGTCATGAAGGCGGAGTTTCTCCTCAAATTCCACGGTAATGTGGTCGATGTGGACTTGAGATACACCGTCATAGTATATGTGAACAGGGAAGTATCCCTAGAATTCCCGGGGATATATATTGGCACGAGACGAGGTAGGTCGAAAGCAAAAGGCGGCGTACCTGTTGGGAATATTTCGAAGCTTGGTATTGTTGGTGACCGCTCCAGCCTGCATAAGGAGCAGTGCCGAAGGCGCGTTGGTAGTTGCTAACGAACATAGACATCTCGGAGGTGTTATACTGAGGGAACTTTTAGTGGTGTAATTGTTCGCAAATTATTCACGACAATCGACTCTCGAGACGGTGTCGGTGGAGGTTGGCTGAAAAGTTCTTCTAACGAGACGAGCTTTTTGAATCATTCAACTTTCCCATGCCTGCGCTGTTCATGTCAAGCAAGCGAGAGTAGGACAAAGAGAAACCGAGCGTTTGGACATGCCATCATCCTTCTTTCGCTTCAATCCTCGACGGATTTGGGATGCCGTCGTCTCTTTGCGCCTGTGTGGACAATGGTCCATGCCACGTGTGGAGCCAGCGCTCCTACCCAAATGGGTCGGATGATCTTTGACTTTGAGAGTTTCCGGGCATCGCTCGGGAGAAGTGCGGTGACAACGAGCGCAACTTATGAAGAACTGTCTAGAATGATGCCAATGAGAGCGATGGTGAGCAGTTACGGGGCAGCGATGATAAAACGTGGGGCCATTGAGGACGGACAAAGCGCACTCTATATTCATGCACGTACGGACTGGGTCACCATCAGAACTTTGTGCTTTAGTGGCGGCCTCGCTGGGCAAAGTCATTTGGTCAAGATCCAGAACGATTCGGCCGTAGTTTGGGGCATAATGCTCCCCGTTGCTACAAAGTTGGTACCGGACCCGGCGACCAAGACGCGGAGCGAATATTTGGATCTTACGCCCTTCAGGTAGACACGACCCTACCTTGTGACAGTCGCTTCAGGCGTTGAAGGATAGAATTATATCCAGACGATAGGTCAAAAATATAATCACAAGGTGAGTTACGGCCACATCTGCCTCTTTGCCAGCACGACCACGTGTGAACAAGAATATGGACAGATTTGGAATTAAGTGGCGCACTTCTTACGCCACCGGGTAGTAAATTGTGGCCCAGAGTCCAAAAAGCTGAAACTACTGAACTACGCTGTGAATCTGAACAAGTAAACGTTGTGATCAGATATACAACACCCGGAGTGAGCGTGATTGCGAAACCCGAATATGAGTTGCATCTCGTCACAAAGTCCTCCAGTATTTCTTGGTAATACAGTCGATCTTCCTGTTCTGTCCAGCCCTCAGACGTACTCACGCTTTTGTTCCATCTAGTCAAATGGATATTCTTTGCTTCAGGTACGAACGTTGAAAGTCAGCCGCGTTATCTAGGAAATAAATCCTTCAATTGAAGCCTCGAGACAAGCCCGGAAAGTAAAATCTGGCGGAGGAGCTGAGAGGCTGAGTATAAGAAGCCAGTTCATTTATATTGGGTTAAACTCCCGGACGATCACCTCCTTTGTCATGTGGTGATGCTTCAGTAGAGGACAGGCTTATAGATTACTAAGAACAGGGTTCGTGTCCTTGAGTAGCGGCTGACACTCCGTCTTCAGGAATTAACTCGGGCCTAGACAAGACACTGGGTCTGTTCCGGCTGTTTGTTCACAAAGTCAGTGAGCATTGAGGGCGAAAGGACAGGTGGTAAATCATCCACGAGAAACAAGAGGAACACAATATGATAGTTACTGAGTCAGACTGTGTATCCTTCGAAAACTTGAAGTGTTTGTGGCGCTTACGCGGCCCTTGTCAATACTTACGGCGGTGCCACCCGGAAGGACGGACCTCCCCCTGTATCATGATGGCTGCGGTAAAGAGATGACTTTGAGCGAGTCAGGGAAATGGGCTGCTTACTCTGCAGAGAGCTTACATATCCCTGGAAGGTATTTCGAGAGGACTCAGACGGACAGGCAAGGCGAACGAGCGAGCGAAGGCGACCGAGAAAGCCAGATTTGGGTGGCCAAGGCTCCGTTGCGGCGACGAAAAGCCAACACGCGACAACAACGTTGAGTCACTGGCGTCACGCTCGTTCCCTAATAAGCCTCTCTTGTCTACCGCCATCGTCCCTGCGCCCCAAGACCACGCCAGCCTCCACAGTTGCCCGACACTCATCGCACAACTTCACGACCTCTTAGACCTTGTTATCACTCGTAATCAACCACTATGCGTTCCAAGTTCAAGGATGAGCACCCTTTCGGTCAGCGGCCTTGCGCAGTTGGAGTATATGACATCTCCGCTCATTGATATCTTGTTCTTTATTCACAGAGAAGCGCAAGGCAGAGGCAGAGCGCATCAGGCAGAAGTATCCAGATCGTATTCCAGTCAGTACTTCCCTAACTTGGAGGACTGTGATGTGTTATCTGACCCTAGTGGCGGATTACTCTAGGTAATTTGCGAGAAGGCAGATCGGACAGATATTCCTACCATCGACAAGAAGAAGTATCTTGTGCCTTCGGTGCGCCACGTCCTTTGTTTTGCAGCACCACCAGAGATCTAACTATTCGTCGACATTCAGGATCTTACTGTGGGACAGTTCGTGTACGTGATCCGGAAGCGTATCAAGCTCGCACCCGAGAAGGCTATCTTCATCTTCGTCGACGAGATCCTTCCACCAACGGCTGCACTGATGAGCGCGATCTACGAGGAGCACAAGTGCGTTTTCGCTCCTCTGTCTATCTCACCCACTTCTAATACCTGATTCCGTATACGTCGCTCCACAGAGACGAAGATAACTTCTTGTACGTCAGCTACTCGGGCGAGAACACCTTCGGTCAACAAGGATGGGTCGAGCTCCCTTCGGACGCATGATGCTGGTTCTCTCGAGGTTACGCGGATTGTTTTTGGATTTCTTCTTTCGTCATCTTGATATCTAATAATGTCCTGGCCTCTCTCATCGACGTAATGGACTATCGGCGTAGATGTTGAAGATCAGGACATTAGCATCCTTCATCCTGGGGTAATAGGGGCGTCTCGTCATCTGGACCACCGAGCCACCGTCCTGCCTGCCCCCATATCCCCCATCGTTGGTTCCGTCGTTCTTGCGCGTTGCTCGTCGTATATTGGCCTTTGTATTTTACTAGTATTGTTCCTGTCTACATTCGTTACAAAGAGAATTGTTATATATAGGAAACACATCTTACGTGAACTTCAATCTGTTCCTCTCGTCGTGGATGAGAGAAATGTCGTCTCCTTTCGAGTTCTATCCACTGAGAAGCTAGGAATAGTCTGACCGTCAAAATGCAACGTTACAGATAAGCGCTCGTCGCAATCAGGTAGGACGAGTCCTTGCTCAATCGCAGATAGAGCCTTGACGCAAGTTCCATGGTATAAAAACGTAGACACGTATAACGGTAGCTATACCTGATTGACTAAGAGAAGTATATGATAAGGACTATGAGATATCCACAGATATTGAGTAACACGCACTGCAATACTCATGCAAGTCCGCTCACGACGCTGACACTGTTGTCACAGCGGATAACGCTGGGTCCTGCGCGACACCCTCATCCAGCATCTCGAACACCGCTTCATCCAAACCACCGATATCGTCGACCTCCTTCCAGTACGCATCCTCTTCCTCCTCTTCCTCCACCCGTGGTTGATCATCGAAGGTCTGTTCCGGCTCAGGAGATGCAGCCCGTAGATCTTGTTCCGCCATAGCGACGTCCAACATCGCCACATCCGCCATGCGAGGGCCGCTGGAGGAAGGTGCAGATAGAGGCGCCGAAGACGAAGGCCTAGCTGGTTGTGATACGTGCTTTGCGGCTGTCGAGGGTTGCGTCCGACTAGAACTTGGTGTTTGGGCTACAGGCCTACCGCTGCTTCCATTCAGCGTCTCAACACCCTGCGAAGTGACGACAAAGTCCACCCATCCAGGCAAACAGACCGAACTGAAGACAATGTTCAGTCTTCGAACCAAAATCGTCTGATCCTGCGATCCGATTGTCTGTTGCTGAGGCGTAGATGACCGACCCGAGGCCGACGACGACGAATTTGGCGGCCTCAATCTCCCAACTGGACGTGCCCTCTTCACCGCCACCCTTTCACTCGCATCCACATATCTCCTCCTACCCGTCCTCGTCAACATTATCCTCGCGTTGATCTGATTCGCCCATACCAAACCCAGCGCGGCGCTCTTCCTGTCCTCGCCCGCCAGACTATCCGCACGGCCGAAAAATCGCGCTTGGTCATTGTATATCAGCTCGCCTCGTTGTCCGGTGTCTGCATCATGTGCGGTGCTGAAGACATCTACGACGTTATTAACAACGACAATAGCGAGCTGATGCTCTGAGGCCAAACGGTGGAGCATTACGGAAATTTCGGAGAGGCTGCGAGAGCGTTCGACGAGGGTTAAGGTTGAACTTTGTCCGCCGTCAGCAAATAGATCTGCAAGGGAGTCGATAACTAAGAGTCGAACCGGCATGTCCGGTTTTGTGGAAGTGGAAGAAGTGAGAGCTGACGGAGAGCCCGTCTGCTGAAGCAGTTCGGGTAGTTTCGTTGAGAGAACGAATTGAAGCATATCGACACTTTTAGTCTCGATAGTGAGGATGTTGGCGAGGTCGCAAGAGGGCGAAGAGGCCAAGAGAGGATGCTGGTTCAATATTTCCAGAAGACGAGGTGTGGGGAACGAGGAGTGAGTTCGTAGATAGCATGCTCGACCGTGCAGGCCACCTTGAGAGTGAGGGAGCTGTACTGTTAGAGAGAGCTGAAGGGCTAGTTGCGTCTTCCCGGAAGCTCTAGATCAAGACCATCGTCAACAGATGGTTTCATATGAGACCATAAGAGTATTACCCTTCACCGACAAGCTCCCATATCATCCTAGCCCGCAGGCCTCCTCCGAGCATCTCGTCCAGTAATGAATCACCCGTCGTAAACATGTCCTTTCCTTCTTGCGCTATTTCTCCAAGCGGACGCGGCCCACAGTTCAAATTCTTACAGACTGTGTCCATAATGGATCGGTAGACCGAATGTTCGATTCGGCATTTCCTCTTCACGTCCTGAGGGTGCATAAGCAGTAGATCCTCGACGCTGATTAGGCCTCCTAAGAGACACGCTCGCCCTAGTCAGTCCGATTCATTGCGTTAGACATGGAGGTTACGCACCTTTCTTTAGAGCAAACTTCTGACTCCCTGTGAGTTCAGATATCGAGGAAAGTTGGACATTGTCCATAATGGTGGTTCTCTGCAGGTCGAACAGTTGAATATTGCGAGCATGATGAACGCGTTCTTCAGCGATCGGTAAGCGCGTTCGCGACGCGTCCAGCGCCATTGACATGGTTCACTCTGAGTCCGGGACGCCGGGGTTCAAACGTGCGCGAGGGAACGAAGGGCAGAGTTATAACAGGACTTTGGCGGCAGCACCGTCTCCACCGGTCATAGTGCTTTTCACCTGCCCCAAGGTACAAATCGACCCGTTGATGTCCGCTCGGGCGCTCCTGGGGGAGCTCTTACCCGGTACGGACACCCTTGCCATAGAGGGTTTCGAGTTCACTCCCGTCCCGGCCAAGTATAACCTCTCATTCAAGCACACCCGCAGTGGTTCAGCGTACAACGTAGCGAAGCGCTTCGTGGATGCTTTCCGGAAGAACGGTCAGGACCCGAGAGTGAGACAAATGGCGGCTGTGTTCGCGAGCCAGGGCGGCGATGTCATGGATGCACTGGTGAATGGGTTGCCTCTTGCCTGATTCGTTCATATGGGTGGATGTTTACATTGTTTGTATGTACCGTGACCTAGACAGTGTCCAGTACTACTTTCAGGAATTCTACCACCTTTGCAACATCTTGCGCGGGATCCCGGACCTCGACAAACGGCTTGACAAGTACGCTATGCTCAACTAGCTCCAGTTCTGCACAGCTAGGTGTATCCGGCTCTCGTTCCGTGACCAACCAAGTCGCCTCCTCGAGCTCTGCGATTCTAGCGTCTGGTGCAGCAAATCCTTCGCGTCCGATACCTGTCTCGACGAATGATGGACGTCGGTTGACCGTGACGACTGGGAGGGGTCTTGCGGGGCGGAAGGTCTCTTTGGCGTCATGGAACATGCATGGCGATCTTGTCTCTCGAATACGCGACCCTGCCTTTCTCGATATTATCACGCCATACGACATCGTCGCTCTTCAGGAGACGTGGCTACTTGAGGGGTTCGAGGATGCCTTGCTGTGGCCAGACGGCTATAAGTGCTACGTATCTTCAAGACCCAGGCCGGTGTTTGAGGATTTCGGTCGATCGGGGGGAGGAGTGGCGATTCTGGTCCGAGAAGAGCTTGAGCACTCTGAGTGTAAACAGCTCTGCTGGCCCGACTTGCTTGTTCTCGACATGGGGGCTTTTTATCTCGTTGTCACCTATGTCCTCCCTTCAAACTCGGACTGGATGCACTGGACGGATGTGGCGCCTATGGATCGAGCTGAGGAAGTGATATCTTTCTGTGCAGCGGGTAGAGATAAAGGGGTGGTCTGGGTTGGAGACCTTAATGCGAGAACGGCTGAGTTATCGCTCAGCAATGGGTACCCGAGGAGGTCATTGGACGGTACCAGGACGCGACGGGGGGCGGACTTAGTAGAGTTTTGTGGGGATGTCGGGCTGGTTATTCTTAATGGGACTACCATTGAGGACACCACGCCTGGCTCGATGACATCTTTTCAACCGAACGGAAACGCTATGGTGGATTATGCCATTGCATCACCCTCGATGATCGCCCTGCTCTCTCCTAAGCTTTCCATCATCCCGTATCTCGAGGACTCGGATCACGCCCTTCTATCCTTGACTCTATGCTGGCCCACAGTGGTGGTACCTCGACGACGCTCGCGCCCTAAGCAGGTCAACGCTCGCACGCACGACTTCGCATTGCCTCCGCCTCGGGACCCAATGACGCAGGAACTGATCCCGCCATCCGAGCTCGATCTACTATACGAGGCTACTCTGGCAGCTAGGCGATCTCCCTCGGAAGCTTGTGACGAGCTCTATGGAGATTGCTATATCGACACAGCACCAATGTCAGTATGGACAGATGGGTCTTGTCACGGAAACGGGAGAGATGGAGCGAGGGCAGGAGCTGGAATCTGGTGGGCGGCAAATAGCCCTCGGAATGTCTCTGCGCGTGTTCCTGGTGCACAGACGAACATGCGTGGAGAGCTCTTGGCGGTCTACATCGCACTTAGAGAAGCGGACCCGAGGAGAACACTCATCCTCTACACCGATAATGAAGTCGTCATACGCACTTATTGTTATTGGGTGGAAGGGATGTTAGCGCGGGGCTGGAAGTGCGCCAATGCGGACATCATACGGTGATTACCTTGCAGACTGCTGTCCATGTCGTTGCTGATTGCGTCAATAGTCCTACTGCCGGTCTACTACATGCTCGTCCGGCTCGGGTCTGGTTTCGCTGGGTGAAGGGCCACAGTGGCGATGTCGGAAATGATGGATCGGACACAAAGGCGAACGAAGGCGCTCTTATCCCATTCGACCAAGCGTACCAAATTGAGGTCGACCTCCCTGTGGACTGGGTTTTCGATGATCTCGTGGACCGCATTGAAGGTTCGAAGGTGGTTACTCGGTTGGCGTCAGCGCCACCGCCACCAGAGGCTTTTCCGCTAGGGTTTCTACCAGATGATGCATTCGGATCTGGCTCTCATCGAGGGCGGGAACGGACACGACAACTCCAAGTGATAAACCTTGAGGAATTCTTGGCCTGTGCCCGGCGACATAACAAGGCTTTCTGGGATAAGATTCGTGATTGGTTGGACACGAAGAGGCGGCTTCTGGCTGTTCCGGTTGCAGATCTGGCGGACAACTTTTGCACACGTATGAATCCCCCGGCAATTCTACCCCCTCAATTTGACGGTGAAGCGCTGGCCAATGCTCGTCTGCTCTGCGACGCTATACCGCAGCGAACAAGTGACCGCACACGGGAAGGGTTTTTCTCACGTCTGTGGGAGGATGAGGATATCTGTTGGCTGAAGGAGAAAGCTAGGGAGCATACGGGGGGTGGAACGCCTGGGATTGATGGAACAACGTACAGGTTGTTCACGTCGATCCCTAATGACGCCCTCCGTGAGCTCTTTAACAGGTGTCTCACGGAGCTGGATGCTCCTCACGTATGGCTTACGACTCTTCTGGCCGGCATCCTAAAGCCTGGGAAGTCTCCTATCGACCCGAACTCTCACCGCCTGATTGCATTGGAGTCTTGTTTGCTCAAGATGCACACCGCTCTCACAGACCGTCGATTTCGCCAATGGGCAGAGGCGTACGACATCATTCCTGACTCACAGAATGGCTTCCGCCCTGGATATCGCACGAACAACAACATATTCATCCTACGGTGCGCTATCGAGCGAGCTCGGGCCGAAGGAAAGACCCTATATGTTGTCTTCCTTGATATCTCCAACGCGTTCCCCTCGACCGACCTGTCCACGCTTTGGTCCGACCTTTATGCGATGGGTGTAGGAGGGCCGATCTTCGACTGGTTGAGGATTCTATATGCACGAATGGCGTATATTGTGAGAGTGAACGGGGAGCTATCGGAGGCTTTCCAGTCGACGATTGGCGTTCTGACGGGCGATACCGGTTCCCCCTTCTTCTGGATCCTCTTCATGGCAGACTTACGGATACCGGTTCAGCCTGGCGATATAAGACTGGCCGGCCGCTCCATCCCCGATGTCGAACACGCTGATGACTGTGCAGTATGGGGTACCGTCCGTCCGTCCGTACAGCACCATCTCGATCACTTTAGTGGATGGACGAGGCGCAAAGGACTTCTCACCAATGTACCAAAGACGAAATCCATGTGCTTCGGTCCCTTGCCAACTCCGTCACTTGCAGAAGAACCCTTTACCTTCGATGGGGAGGATGTCGAGTGGGTGTCGAAGCACAAGTATACCGGCATCACGGTTACAAGCACCGAACGCGATATTTTCACCCTGCACTATCGGGAGAAGGGCCTGAGCGCCCAACGTGTCGCCAATGTCTGTTTTGCCGCAGAGTCTATGGTTGGTTCTATTCCTCCCCGGGAGGCTAGGATTCTCTATCTGGCCCGCGTCGATCCATTTCTCATATCCGCCTGTGACGTCATCATAGACATCTGTCTCAACAACTTGTGGAATCTGGAGAAAGTCCAGATCCGCTACATTCGTCGCCTATTGCATCTTAGGCGGCGAAGCATGTACCATGTTTTGTACTCTGAAACAGGACTCATGCCCCTTCGTTATCGACGTCTCATTCTGGCCCTTCGCTTTCTCCGGTACCTCGTACTCCTTCCGCAACGGCACTACGCTCGATGCGCATTTGACGACTCTCTCGATCTTGCACGGACTGGGAGGAGTGGATGGGTTGGAGACCTCGCTATCGCACTTGGCCGCTTGGATCACCCCGTTCACTTCGATTTCATGGCCGACGTAACTGTGGAAGTCGTAGATGGCCTCATCGAGGAGGTGGAGGCCTCTAGCGAACACTGGGTACGCGCGGTCATTGACAACTCCCCGAAAACGTGGCTCTTGAAAGATCGCGTAGAGATCACAAAGAATGGGAAGACCGACACGAGTGCCATTCTGTTCCGACACTATCTCCATATGATAATCCCTTCACACCGCTTCGCCTTTGTCGACATTCTGCTTTCGAACCATTCGTTGGCGATCGAAATGTTGCGTTGGCAATCTAGAGAGCGCCCCTACTACGTCCCGAGGGAATGGCGTCTCTGTCGCTTCTGTGTACAGGTGGATGTACATGCAGTGGAGGACGAGACACACGCTATCCTGCAATGCCCCTCGAATGATCACGTTCAGGCATACCGGGCACAGTTCTGGGAAGAACCAGTGGTGGCGATTTCGGGTGTACAGCATCGTGCGGACCTGTGGAGCGATTCGGAGAAGTTGAGGTACTTGGTTCATCGGCCGGAGTTTGCGAAAGCGTTGGGTAGACTGTTATATAATGTCTTGCGAGTATACGGTGGTACGCCAATGTTTGTACCACCGAGAGCATTGATAGAGGGCATCGAGTAGTTATTACTTTCCTTATTTAGAGTACTTACCCCAGGTTCTGGAACCCGTGAGAGGCCTGATATTATCTGGTAGATATTATACTTATCTCAGTTTATTGTTGGTATCACAGCGGTAAAGGTTCTCTGGTGGTTCCGTAGTAGTGTATTGGTACATACTTTGCTACGGATAGGGATATTGGTCCTTAAGGGCCCACTTTGTATCCTGAATAAACCTTCCTTCCTTCCTTCCTTCCTCTTGTCGCAAAACACGTGTGAAATGACACGTCCTGTGGCGCAAGAAACGGACATCGTGCATCCATAATGCATAAAATTACAACCAGAGGGCGAAGGCCTATAGACACGGCGGAGGCTCAACGCTACGGTTTTGAGGGTGGTCCAATCGACGAAGCGGCTCGCGGCACACGGGGGTGAGGTACCGGAGGGGGGACGCCCGGAGGGCGCCCGTGAAGAAGCCCGGAGGCGTGAGATTCGAGCAGGACGGACGGGACGAGGGCGGGTTACATGAACGAGGAGCGAACGATGCGAGACCCGAAACAGAAAAGAAAACAAAAAGATTCGAAAAGACAAGGAAGAGATCAGACGGAAAATAACAAAGATGAGGGTTATAAGGAGACGAGGATGAGGAACCGAGGCTCGAAATCTACTTTTTGGGATGGAGGTAGCGTACGTATGAACAGAGACATATGGCAAGACCTTCCTTTTGTGGTGGGCCCCACGACCGTGTGGCCCGGATTAAGTCTAAGTGGTGCAACAAAGTTAGAGGAGGGTAAACGATAAGTACTTATGTGGGATTGAAACGATAGCGCAACCGCGCGTACCGAGGGAGCATAGAATGATGAAAAAGCAAAATCGGGAAAAATCTAAACAACAGATACTTTTGTGAGATAAAACGATAGCGCGACCGCGCGTACCGAAGGAGCATTAAATGATGAAAAGCAGGGCACCGAGCGTTATTAAAGTAAGAAGCAAACAGAAAATTAAAAAGGATGTGGGCGGGCGGGTACCGAAAAAGAAGCTCGTGTGCCTGCGAGAAGGACAAAGAGGTGAGATATGGATCTAAAAAGACGCCGGGGGCGTGTAATAAAAGAACTACCGACCTGCAGGGACGACGAGGTGACTGAGGAGCAAAAACTGCGTCCAGCGGGCCACATCCCTATACCACAGGTCGGCATTCCCCGTCGCGGGACTCATCTCGGGGGCCGAGGCGCACGCGTCGTGGACGGCGCGGGAAGATCAGATTAGATTGATTTGCTTCGTACGAATTGGACTTGTGAAAACAACCGTCTTAACTCGACCAATCGACGAAGCGGCTCGCGGCACACGGGGGTGAGGTACCGGAGGGGGGACGCCCGGAGGGCGCCCGTGAAGAAGCCCGGAGGCGTGAGATTCGAGCAGGACGGACAGCCTACTGGAGTATTGAGAATAAGATGAATGATGTAGGGGATGTTGGGTAGTACTTTTGAAATAAAGATGGTTCGTCATGCTGGGATTGGGCGGGGTACGCGACCACTGGATAGGAAGGCCTGTAGAAGGGCCGGATTCTTGCGAACATACATCTCGAAGGCGTCCGACTTCCAGCGACCCATCCGTTGAATGAGATCGCGAGGCCAGCCGAGTGTGGCGAGGAATGTGGCGGCACCGGAACGCGGGGAGTGACCACTGACATTCCCGGTGAAATGACGACGGAACCGACGCATGAACCACGCGCGCGTGGGCGGGTTCCCGGCGGAAGTTAAGAATAGCTGGTAGTGAAGGGGGAAGCGAGAATCGCGAGATGAGATGTATCGGCGTACGATGGGAACCGGATCAAGGTCGTCGTGGAGCTTTTTGATGACGACTTCGGATCCGGCGAAGAGGGCGTCGGCTTTGTGCTTTGGTAGCCAATAGGAGATGCACTCGTCTTTTTCGTAGAATTTGACGGAGGTACGTTTGATGTTTTTGTTCGAGTCGCGGAGGTCAGGCCGATCGTGGTCGACAAGTTCCCCTAGTCGGTGTACCCCGTAGAAGGCACAGAGGAGAAGCGCCATGAAGAGGAGATCGTCGTGGGAAGGGCCGATCAGGGACTCGCAGACGCTGATGACATCTTCGATCGCGAGGGGATCTTTCCGGTTAGTGTCGGTCCCAAAGCGCTTCTTGGCGCCGGTAAGAGTGTTCTTGACGAGGGCGCTCCGGCGGTTCTTGCGTACATCGGGATAGAGATCCTCGAGTTCGGAGCTGATAGCGGAAAGGTAGGTGTCGACGGATTTGGGTTTTATGTAGGTACACAGCCAAGCGACGTATAGAGATAGGGTGTCGGCGGTAGGGTCGATTGGGAACGAATGGATTAAACAGAAATGAATGTAGGATTGGCAAGCAGACGAATAGGAGGCTTTCGTCGACCGATCCTTTGCGAATGAGACGTCGATAGCGCGCTCGCGAACGAGCCGTTCCAAGGACCACGACGGGCGAGACTGCCGGGACCTTGGGGATCTGGAAAGGATCGTCATAACCCCGCTGCCCCCAGCGGAAGTCGAGGGGGTTGAAACTGAAAGATACGAGCGCCCGGTGCCAGACGAAGTACCGTACCTAGATCGAATCGAGATATCGCATCTGCGATTGGGTTCTCCTCGCTTCGGATCCACACAACGCGCAGATCGATCTCGTAGTACTGACGAAGCTGAATGGAGTAAAGGAGGATGTCGTTATATGGGTCGTCGGCCTTCAGCTTGTCGAACACGTTGACGGCGTTTGTGTTATCGCAAAAAATGACGAGACGTTTAGGTCGAACGGGTTGTGCGCAAGCCCACTCTAGGGCAGAAACAACCGTTAATGCTTCGAAATAGAAAATACCCCCTGCAGCGCGAGGGTGGTTAAACCGCTCCGCTTGGAAGCCTATGTTTTGCTTCCCGCACCATATCCCCATGCCAGACCCAGACGCGTCCACCCAGACGTGCTGATCCGCATCTCCGATCCCCCAATCTGACGACTTCATCAAAAACACTCCACGCGACCTCACCACCCGGTCCGCAAACCATCCGAGATCCTTCTTCACAGCCACGTTCAGGAACACCGGGGCGTTCCGAGCCTTCTTCCCTCTGATCTTCTCATATGACGATTGGAGCGCGGGCCGGAGTAGCGGATCGACATTCAGCATCCAATTCGCCCATCCCAGGATTCGCTGCCACTCGACGAGAGGGCGCTTCCGATCTTTGAGGAACTGACGGATGGCGAGTGCGTGGCGCAGGCGGGATTCAGAATCAATGGAGATCGAGAGTTCATCGAGGTTAACCGTGAAGCCGATAATCTTGAGCGTCCGACCGTGTAACTGTTTCCGCTGTTCGTGTGGCACCCCAATCCAGTCCCACAGGCAGAGTAACCGAGCCTGTTTCCGAGGCATGAGCTCACCATACGGGACGTACATCTCCAACTCCTCATCATCCTCTACCCCAAACACATCGTCAACATAAGCCAACAGGCCCTCTATACCCCATTCATGTTCCGCCACCCATAAGATCAAACCCATAATAACGCAGAATAAGTAGCCGGCCGCGCGGTTCCCGAAATTGTTGCAGCGATCAACCCGGCGCTCGCCGTTAACCGTGATGACCTGGCGAGCCTGGAATAGAGGATCAACGGGCGCCAATCGGAACGCACCGGCGACGTCAGATTTGAAAAGGTAACGAGGAACGCGGCCCTTGCGATGTGTGGCGAGGATATTGTGTCCGAGGTGTTGAACATTATCGAGTTTGATGTTGACGGCGTCGCGTGCGATAGAGTCGTTCGGGGCCCCTTCCCCAATAGACTGATTGATTACCATACGAAAGTCATCCGAGTCGGGTTTCGGGACGGCGTGGACAGGTACCTCACACATCCCGGGCCACAATGGCTCGTCGAGTCGGGAAAAAACCTTCGATAGTCTCCCTAATTCCTCCTCCTTCTTCACCTGCGCCTTCAAAAACTCCAGCTCCTCCTCCTGCGAGGCCCGTTCTGGGAACGGCCTCGTAAACCACTCTCCATCACCCAAATCTAATAACGGCCAGAATCCCTTCCTAAACCCGCGTTCCACGGACGCCACAAGGGGCTGATTCGGATGACGCGCGAGAAGTCGAATGAATCTGTCAATGTGGATCGGCGTGACAATCTTGAACAGGTCCGGATGGGCCGCGATAGTCTGCCTCGTGGTCGCAAAGGCTGGGTTGTCAGGGGCGGGGGGCATCGGCAACGGTGGGAGGAATCTCGTAGCCGAGCTGGAAGGCGTCAGGAACGATGACGAGGCGTTCCAGACCATGTTCCGAGAATAGCGCGGACGCTTAGCCACTCGGATTGCCGGTACGTCGGGGACATATGTGGGCGCCATGCTCGGCAGAACCGCAGAAATGGCAACCGTGCTTGTACGGGCAGCGGTCGTCGTGTTTCTTACCGGCGTTGAACCTATGGCAGTAGTCTGACGAGGAGGCAGGAGTGGGGAACCGGGGCGCTTTCGGGAGGGAGGCGGGTCTGGCTGGTAAGCCGAATATGGAGTGGGCGGCTGCGCCGATGGGCGACATGTGGGCCTTGGCAAGATCGTCGAACTCGGCTGTATCGGTGAGCAGGAAGTTGTTGGATCTACCGGTCCTAGTCCGGACGGCGCGATCGTAATCAAGGATTGCGCCGTGGAAACGGTACGCTGTACCGGAGAAGAGTTTGGCGATGTGAGATGCGTACCCGATAAGCTCTCTCTCTCGGCAAGGGAACGCGAATTTGACGGCCTCGGCGTACATGCCATAGGCCTCGGACCATTCGAGCTTGTCCGTAACGCGACGAGTGATTTTGATTGAGTCCGAGTGGATCTCAAAATCTCCGAGCTTTTTTGATTCAGTGGCGTCGCCTGTGAGCGATCGGACCGTGGATGCGAGCTTATCGAAATCGATGTAGTAGCCCTGGAGTAGCTCTTTCCAGAGAGCTCGAGGGAATTGGGGAAGGTCGACGGCGTCGTGGAGCCGGAGAAGCGAAGTTGCGAGATCGGCGCGATAATTGGCTTTGAGTTTGTTGGCCTGAACGAGCGCTGCTGGGAGACGCGAAGTAAAGGATGAGCTACTGACGAATGGTAAAAGCTCTTCGTCAAAATTTCTCTTTGAGGGTCTCTCGTCGTCGTCGGCTCCGTCATCCTCAAGGTCATCGCGGGTTCGTCGCAGGCGAAGGCGTCGCTCATTCTCTCGTCTAACGGCGTCCTCATCCGTTGTAAGAGTGTTCCTCGCACGATCTCGCCCGTTGCCAGCGGGGAGATCTCGCTCGGCGTCGTTGTCGTCGTCCGGCACGTTGGCTCCATCTCGATTCTCATCAGAAGCGTTGGGCGCGCGGCGCTCCATGTCGCGGGTGATTGATCTGATGATCCCGATGTAGTTCTTACAGGCCTCGCGGCACTTGGTGATCTCGATACCGGCGGGTGGACCATCGAGATAGATGATCTCCGAGACGGCGTTGATGACTTCGTCTTCGGCAAGTTGGCTACGTCGGTACTTCTCCACCTCGGCGGTACATTTGTCGATGGTGGTCTTCTGGAGATGTTGGGGATTTTCTGGGACTCCATCAGCCGGCATGGGGGATGTGAAAATTTTCGTACGACGAAAATAATGATATTTAGATGCGCGAAGCGTGAAGTACCGAAAAAGAAGCTCGTGTGCCTGCGAGAAGGACAAAGAGGTGAGATATGGATCTAAAAAGACGCCGGGGGCGTGTAATAAAAGAACTACCGACCTGCAGGGACGACGAGGTGACTGAGGAGCAAAAACTGCGTCCAGCGGGCCACATCCCTATACCACAGGTCGGCATTCCCCGTCGCGGGACTCATCTCGGGGGCCGAGGCGCACGCGTCGTGGACGGCGCGGGAAGATCAGATTAGATTGATTTGCTTCGTACGAATTGGACTTGTGAAAACAACCGTCTTAACTCGATTAAATTGGAATATGCTGCTTCGTACGTTCTGAGTAAGGTATCGGATCCGACTGGCCTTTTTACAGTTACAACACATGAAGAAAACAGATATGCAAGACAGATACATGGGACCATCGCAACGACGCCAATCGACATTGCTGCTGTCGATTCCTCTAAACTCTCAGACATCGGTCCGTCTGCGTGCCAACTGTGGCGTAGAATCATTCCCACCACCACGCCCCAGTAACCCTCCAAGTCCTCCGACAACACTAGAAACGGCCTCTGTAATCTGCCGCTGCTGGCTTTGTGCGTGTTTGACATAAAATAGACGGACGTTTGTGCCGTTCCAGATACCGAGCGGCGTCATCCCGCGTACGTAGATTTCACCCCATATCAGGGATGAGAGCCATACAATGGAGCTCTCGGACCACTATGATGATATTATAGGTTTATGAGTATAGAGATAATGGTACAGAAAGACTCACGATGAATCTGCGAGGGGCCAGGGGTGGTGTCTGTGGTAAGACATGCTGGAGGGATACGTGGCCCAGGAAGTCGATGATAGCACCCGTGGCATTCTGTTTCTTCGCATTTTGTATGCTCTGGACTTTCGGCATGAGCTCTGCGACGACCAGCATAACAATGTCGAGAGGCAGTCTATAGACGGCCCATCAGCAAGGGGCCTATTAAATCGAAAGAATGGACAAACCCTTGCTGCCATGAGGTCACCTAAAAGCAACAAATCATGAGTCGAAAGGTAATGTAATGCGATCGAAACTGATCCTCCTCACCCATTCTTGTGAAGGAACGAAGCCATTCCTCCCCACACCAGCCAATGCCACTCTATCGAGGCTCGCATCCGTTTCCAATGACAAGGATCTGCCTCTATCCCTCATTTTTCCTCTCACCTTCTCAGAGACGGCAGGCAAGGGAGGGAACCCGCTAGAGGGTGGGCTCGTAGCAGTCGGTGACATGAGTGGCTGCGAAAACGCGGTATCTTCGGCCGCATCCACTGCTGCACCTCCACCGGTAGCCGCTGTCCCCTCTTCTTGAGTCGAATCAACGCGCACTTCAGTTAGGCTGTCCGCAGATTGAAGTCTGCTAGTGAGGCCTAACGCATTACTGTTCTCCCGCTCCAGCAAGCGCTGCTTCTCCTCATGGGGCTGTTCGACATCTGAAGCTCGACTCTTGCCCTTCGTATCCTTCTGGGCTTGCTCGTCTTTGGCTTGCTGTATACGCCGTATTTCTCGTAGTCCACGAGCGAGGGTAAAGGTACCCAAATTCTCGAAGGTCTTGTGCGCTCGAAGAATACCGTATAGCAAGTTTGCATTCTCTGTTGGATGATGGAATATAACGGCATTGAAGACCTCAAGTCTGTGGTGGATATCAGCTAAGATAGTTGAAAAGGTTGGTGGATGTGCGCATACAAGAAAAATAAGAGCCTCGGGTGACCCTCATCGGCGAGGAGGAAGGCGGGATTGGAGAAGGCGGTAAACAGCTGAATCAAGCGCGTTGAAGAGTTCAAGTTCAGATTCTTGAAGTGTGGCGCGGAGTTAGACAGAACGATGATGAGGGCTGGGTATAGCGAATTCAACGCTCCTGACGTCGTGGCAACTACATGGTACACGGCCTAGAACGAGCAGCGATTAGGACACAGAGATTATATCTGTAGGAAAGGGCGTACGTTGATCATGAAATCAGCAGCGGTACCTCCGACATTCCACTTTGTTGGTATGTGCTGTGCTTTCAAAGGGAAGGTAAGGCGGTATCCGAAGGCAGTTTCCGCTGATAAGGTCTGGATAATATAGGACAAGGCTCGACAGAGACCATGCTGTTCTAGAGTTGACGACGTCAAACAAATTATACCCTTTGGTGATATAGTTCACCACGTACGAGGTTTGTCTTTGATCTCAAGAGAGTAGCAGAGGAAGTACGCCACGATGTCCATCGACTTCTCCAAGTCGAGCAGATAGGCTTTGAATTTCTGGTCGGAAGTCAGTACACTTCGATAGATAGAGAAATGACAAGGACAAATTGCCATACCTTATTCAGTTCTATCATCTTCCAGAAGAAGGTAACTGCACCCAAATCAGACAGACAGAGTGTAGACAAATCGAAAGCTCCTTACTTGTCTCCACAATATATGGCACAGATCGTTTTGACCCGGGTAGTAGATTATTAAAGGATGCTATTTGTTGTTCGAGAATTCCCATGACACCATCGATGATGAATTGGAAGTCCTGAGTGCGATGCTATTGAAGAAAAAACTTCAGTGACTACCACGAGTCAGAAAATCAAGTCATACTTACCAATTTCGCAAGGAAGTACCGGAAAGCATTCGTTCGGGGTGTCGGAGCATACGACAGGCTGTCCTCAGCCCCGGTTGCAGCGTCTCTAGCGCTGCCGCCTTGAAAGTCTAGTAGAGCGCATAGCACTTGGAAGCAATGGCCCACAAGTATGGCTCTAGGGTCTTCACCCTTGAAGACAAGATGGTTATACGGAAGTCGGCCGGCAACACCCCCAATGGTACTACTAGGGTGAGGTTGAGCGGAGTTCATCGCAGTATTGAGCAAGGAGCAGAGCACGGTCAAGACGTCCCTCCGTGGCGTTCGTTGTACAAAGTGGATTGTATACAATGATGGAGTTGTGAACAGCGATGAGGGAGGCACGTATATTTGCCGAGAGAGAAGGACGAGAAGGAGACGAAGGACTTCAGATTTGTTGTTGTCTAACGAGGGACTTGGTCCGGTATCAACAGTAGATCCCACGCCCTTCTCCCTGTAACCAGTGAGTAGTGAGCATTGCAATAGCTGGCGGAAATCTGGCGATACTCACCATATGATATAGTTGATCTTGTAGTGGTCCACTTGGAGTTTAGATGGCAGAGTGAAGCCACAGCAGAAAAGAAGGTCGATAAGGCAGCTAAACAGCCGTTCGGCGAGCGATGGTGCCGTCTTGACTTGACTAGACTTCTGAGCGGGAGCCTGGCTCGAGGATGGAGCCGGCGCTGCAGTCTCCCCTGTATCCTCATCCTCATCTTCGATCACAAACTGAGGAACCTGCTCGGTCTCCTCCTGTACGTCTTGCCCTTCGACAACTTCCTTCTTCCAGAATATCTCCTGCTCGAAGATGGTTGACTCACTGTCAATCTCGAAGACGACTGGAAGGACGCGTTGTAAGACACGTATGCAGTTCAGAACTTCCTTCGTAGCGTTCCGTTCAGGGGCCCCACTCTTCATAAACGAAGATGCGAAGGACGTGACAGATGCAGACTGTGGGGATGGAAATGTGTGATCGGAAATAAGGTTGAACAGGCGGGCTGTGACTACGCGGATGAGTGTTGCGACGTTTTCAGGCGCTTCAAGCAAAGCTCGGCGAACTGGAGGCCACGGTCAGCAAGCAATAGGGCCAGAGGCAATGAGGGTTTACGCACTATCATGCGGAGAAATCAGAGAAAAGACGTCGGACGGCGAATCAAAAAGCACAACGTACTAAAGAGCATGGAATATAAGGCGAAGGCCACAGTCCGTCGCAATGGTTCAAACTCACTTGATCCCAGTAGCTGTCAGCCTCCGATATATTCTGTGTCCAAGCGAGCAATCAGGATTGATTATTAGCAAAGAACCCAACTACGACACACACCCGTACTGTGGCCAGTTTGGCTATACCCGTTGGTTGACTACGGAATGCAAGCTTTGCTTCATCGCCGAGGATACCAAATGGCGCGGAGAGTTTCTGTGGTATGTTGGCGATAGAAAACATGCCAAAGAAAGAGTAATAGGATGGAACTGTTGTAGAGGCACTTGTTGCCGTAGAACTCTGCCAGATGAATATTAAAGCAAGTGATAGTAGCACTGACAGTGGTTGACGTTGAGCGCTTGAGTTTCAATCCGTTTACCGCGCGAAGTCACAATTCGCCACGTGGTCGGTTCTAAGTCGTGCCACCCGACCCGGGCCACACTCTGTAGCGATCAAGAGGCTTCATGTTTCGGTGCAAAACTAGGTTCGCAAAGCCACCCGATACTTACTTCCACAAACACTAGTGGATTTTAGCGTAAAGTATGCGGAACACGGCCGCAATCTAGCGAAGGCCAAGATAGCGTCGATGAATCGCTATATTTTCATACTCCCAGTATAAAAAAGGAAAAGGCTATGGTAAAGTAGTACGTGGAATCGTCTCCGGGGTCAATGATAAATCATATGTAAGAGCAACAGTCCGCCTCGTCCAAGAAATGCCAAACACCTGACCCCGTATCACCAACTCTATATGATATGGATATAACCCAGGGTATATATGTCCGATCACAAGAAGGCGACGGCAGCACCAGCAGCAACCAGTGCAAACGCAATACTAACCCCTAAACGCGTCGCGTCCGAGGATGATCCCGACGAGGAGGAAGAGGAACTAGAGGCCGTGGCGGCTGGCGCGGCGGTTGCAATAGCATTGACACCCCCTGTCACAGGACCGTTGTCGGTTTCCTAACAATGTTCGATGGTATATTAGAATATGAGCATCGCTAGTGCGTTGCAGGCTTACCGTAACCTCATTAGATCCAATGGCCATAGCGGCACTCATGAATGCTTGGAAGGTGTTGCTGCCCGAAGTAGGGGCATTGATAGCGCTGTCGAGAGAAAATCAGAATACATATGTACCGCGGTGGTAAGGGGTTGAAACTCACCCGACCATGCCCAAACCGCAGTGGTCGATCTGCTTACAGTGGAACCAGATGGCTGAAATGGATATAGCAGATGAGACACGGCATAGCGACATATGAAAGTTTGACAAGGACATACGTTCTTGGTCGTTGGTGATGTTGATCGTGAACTGGACGGAAGTCTGGAGGCCAGAGTCGAAGCCTCCAGAAGAGCCGTTGGCAGCCGCGAGCCATGTGCATGGTTGATCGAACGAAGATTGAGTCACAGAATGGGCCAGGGAACCACTGATAACTATATATTCAGGTCCTGCGAGACTGGGGCATGGAAAGGAAAACGCACCTGGGGAAGAAGAAAGTAACAAGAGTGCCATTGGGGGCCGTGATGTTGTTAGGGTTGAACATAAATTGGGCATTTGGCGACACGTCTACCTGTAGAGGGGCCAAAAGCGATCGTGAGAATTTATAAACGACAGGAAACAATAGATATAACTCACGTTGATCTGGCCGGCCGTGCTAGCTGGAGCAGAAGGTGCAGGGGCAGCAGCAGCACTCGCCGACGTGGTGGTACCTCCTCCACCAGGTGCAGGACCATAGATTTGAGCGCTCACATAGGCCGGAAGCAACAAGCTGAGGACGGCGAAAGCGAGCATATCGACCTTAACCAATGGATTAGAGGAAGTGAGAAGGTATAGTCAAGCCAGGTGAGGGCGAGTGGGGCGGGTGAGAAGTTGTATTGGGTCGAGGAGCAAGGTCCTTAAAACCCTCAGCCTAATAAGAATATCTCCCCGAACGGGTGTTTGCAACTGCGGGAGGGGTGGGAGCAGCGCGACGGAACACGATCCTATGGGTGCAAACGGTAGGCCATCCCATCACACCTATGGACAGGATATTCGGAGAACACGCATTGGGTATGGTGTCAGTACTGGTGCAGAAAGATAGTGACCCGACAGCTAGGCGAGGGGTCTGGAGGAACCGAGAATAGAGGATCGACTCTCACGAAGTCACACTCTTACCGTCCGTTCTGTAGCCATTTCCGAGCTATTCCTGCCCCAGGAATAAAGCGGTGCAACGGCACGAGATGCTCACCGATAGGCTGGAGTGTGGTTGACGCGGGTACAATAAATTGGAGAGATGAACTTGAGGCGACGGTCATCCTTACAAAAGTAACTTGAAACGCGATACCCTCGAATTACGCGGTCCAAATGTCGTAGAGGATGACCATCCGAACAGGCTCATGGAAATCGACCAGGCATCCCGATCCTTGTTCAGAAGACTGCCCTAAAGAACCCTTGAACGCATGTGAAGAATTGTAGCCAGGAGGACAAAGGCTGGGAGTAGCGCTTACCCATTGCCAAGGATCATACTGGGAGGACCTACTCCGAGAACGATTCCCAGAGGATATCACGAACATCCAACGGCAAGTAAAATAGGAATAGGCTGTGTTTTCCGCAGTTTCTATGCCGTCCTCAGTGAGGTGGGATACATCTTGCTCGCATACCACAGCTGTTTGGAGACAACTCACTCTCACTCACAACTGCAGCCGGGACAAGAGACCTCTCACCTTGGGAAAGTCAGGCCTCATTGGCGGTGAGTACTTTCCCACCGATTGTCTGTGGATGTCAGGCCATCTTCATGAACGACCTGTGCGCGTTTCAAAAGAGATTGCGGATTCGGGGCCCCGCCCCATCCTCATACTCCGTGGTAAAGAACGACTCTTCTGACGCTCTCCGGGAAGTCCATTCCAACCCACAATAGGCCGCGTGAGAATCGAGTTATACGCACGACCGCACTGCATGTATCACTATAATTGGGGTTATCTTGAGTCTCAGGACTAGGTCAACAAAAGGTGGCATATTGAAGCTTGCATTGAGAAAATGTAGTTGTGAGCTGAATATGACTGCGACATGAAGCTATCTCCGGAGTGACACAAAAAGGACATGTCTATATTTACATCGTCTGAGCAAGAGTCAGTGTGATGAGCTACAATCGTACGTCTTAGGATCCTAAAACGATATGAAGGGAAGACGCACACAGCCTCGGTCACACATCGGCTTCCATCTCTCCCACATCCATGTCCTCTTCGTCGACCGAAAACTTAACAATTTTCGCGTCGAGTCGCCTCATTCCAACTAGAACCAGGACACCCGTCTCTGCGAAATTGGGAACGAGAACAATCCTACATCTCCGCTCATCATCCTTCACGAGCTTCGTCGAGAATTTTGGCTGGCATCCGATAGCGTAGACGTCAGGTGTCTGTGAGAGAATGAACGGGTCCTTCGTAAAGAACGGGTGGCACCATAGTGTGTCCGGCGCAGTAGGAGCCATATGTCGCCATCGGAGTGTGGACTCGGCCAACCCTAACCGCGTAGCAGGTGGACTAGGCACGTACTTGAACATGTCGTCTAGAGGTTGGCCCGAAGTCGCAAGGATTGTTCGTGCCCACGAATCTGACTTTTTGGCGGGTGACGGTGCCGACGGCGGTATGTTCTCTTGCTCCTGTGGCTTCCCAGGCGAGAGACGGATGTACGTAGGGTTCGTCTCGCAGGTAAAGGAAGAGAACGCTGCTGCGGGACCAAACATCATACGAGGAAGGGGTTGTTGTGGCAAGATGGTCCCAGAAGGATCGGAGGCGCCGGGAAGGAGATGTATAGGTAAGGTCCGCGCAAGGTCATGGAGGTGGCCAGAGAGATTGATTGTCGGATGAGGAGAGAAAGACGCGTTATCGTAGCCATACCGTTTCTGGACATGTATGATCAGCGATCGTATACATATAATAACAATATAATGCCAGACTCACTCCCTTCTTGTCTTTGTCCTTGGGGCTATCTTCCGCCGCGATCTGCGCATTGACTGCGTCTGAAAGAGAGTTCCCAAGAATCACGAGTCGCGATATTTGGGAAGCAGAGACTTGATCATCCAACCCTCCTGCTTCACCTGTCAGGTACTCGACCAACATCTGAATTTGGGCATCCGAGGGAGTGGGCGATCCAATATCGAGACCTGAAACGAAGGCAACATATTCTTCTTGTTGTACCGTTTTTGATGATGAGTCAGTCACCACGGCTGCATAATTCTCTTGTCAGGAATGAAAGTAACTGATGAGTAGAAAAAGAAGAAAATATTACGCGTGTCGTCCACGTCCATCCCATCCATATGTTCAGGGTGTGCTGCTTGCGAAGCCATTCCGGCATAGCACACATCCACCACCTGGAAGTCTCCATTCGCATTTTCATAGCCTAGGGCACCAAGGATGACACCAGTCACAAGTCGTTCTCTCTCGATCTTCTCACCGACGAGCTGGATTCGTCCAGATTCGTCTTCCAGAGTGACATGGTCATCAGCCGAGTAGATCTTGTCTCGAGGTGGTGGGGCAGGAATTGAGTGCTGATGAGCAGAAAAAATTAACGTGCAGACCAGTGCAAGCAGAGTAAAGCTTAGAACATACGTCTCTGCCGACGTCCTCCAACACATTAGCTTTTAGGGGCATCTCCATATACACTGTTCCCACGACAAAGCAAAGCTGGCCCCGCACAACTTCAAGAACTCTGGGAACAAGTACGGGTGACCCTGAGTATGGAATGAGGATCAATCAATATCGGAGAATTTGGTCGTGTGGTTGGGTGCAGTACTTCATGGCCTACGAAGGCTCCATCCAGGCATGTTATGACGTTTTAAGTGTACTCACCGCTAACTTCTCTCCATTTGCGCTCAGCCTCTCTCTCAACGTGTTCCCTCAGTAGTTTTAGACGAATAAAATAGATGTTTGCATATTGATGTTTGAACGACTTATTGGCGGCATCGATGGTGAATGAAGGAGTGGCCTCAACGAGCGGAAGGACAGAGGTGGGCAATCGAGAGTGAGCAGTCGAAGGACCAGCACTGGTTGATTATAGGTCAGTTAAGTGCTTCATGTCAGACGAATTCTATCACTCACATCTGGTCAACACGGGTCATGGCTATGAGGGTCACTGAACAGAAGCTGGCAGGACGCGACGGAACGCGTTACTTACGTCTTCGCGTTTTCTTGAGTGACTTTACGCGGCGAGGCTTGTGACACTACGCGTTCGATTGGTCGCCACCCTCAATGGAGCTCTCACGCCACACTGCTATTGTGTTCATGTGTGTCAACATTTCTAAACAATGTCCCAGACCAAGAAAGTGAACGAGTGTTCCTGAAGCATCTACTTGTTGTACCATTTCTCTTTTCATGTCCTGACTTTGACCTCCTCCCCATCCCATCCATTCCTCACCTTCACGTCCTCGTGCCAGGCTTCATGAACTTCTACCTCTGAGACGATTGTCTCAAACGCAATCCGAACCGGGACGGTGTATTCATTCTTCTCATATTTATTCACTACTGCCACACAAACGGACCGCTTCTCACTCCCCGGATGGGTACACAATTAGTACTGCAGACGCGTCAAGCCGCCTTAGCTTTCCCCTGATCGTACCAATTCAATCCGGAAGAGTCTCCCCATTGAATGAGGGGACGACACCGAAAGTTCTATTGAGATATTCTCTCACATATACTTCGAGAAGACTCCGTACAATGGAAAGTAGATCGTTTGTCGGAACAGACCAGTCAGCGAGATTCCTCTCACCATCCTTGTAGAAAGACCACCACAATATTTGAGGAGATGTTACTTGACCTATGGGGATCATTTGACTTTGGTTCCTGTGTGGCGTACTTCTGTAGATCAGGTCCGGTCGATAGGTCTGGGGAACACAAGTCGCGTACAAGTTTAGATAGTAGAGTAGAAGGCGTCGACGAGTTGCTTGCACAGAAGCGGAGGCGTAAGTACTATACCTGCATTTGTTCTTGTCTGATCTCACTGTCAAATCGGGCATAGTAAGTAGGTGGTCAAAGGTGTGGGCCCATGGGGTTTGAGTAGTTTGAGTACTCGATTTGAGATAGTACTAGTAGCATACGCTGGAATGTACCACGTTTTCGCGATGGGCTGCTGGGTTATCACGGGTAACTGCAATGTAACGGTTTGCTGGTATGCAAGTAATCCCTCCACTGTTTCGGGCCTGTGACTCGTGGTATTATACGTGGACATTGTTGAAGATTTATTCAAGTACCTCCGGCTGCGAGAAATAAGCATTGTCAGGCACTCATCGGGGAGAGGGGAAGGAGATTCGCCCTCTAATAGCCTAATAGCCACACAGTACCAAAGACTTCGTTGTGAGTTCAATATTATGAAGAGCCTGTTGGTCCCTTCCATGTGAACGCGTTCGAGCTCAAGAAGAAGAATGAGAGAAAAGGGCGAACTTCAACAGGAACGGTCACTCGGAGCCGGATTCGGGCTTCATTGTCCCACGGCAAATGCCGTTGTCGCACGGGGTTAAGGTTCCGTCGCCTCAAACGGGATCACTTTAAAGTGAAGCGGCCAGGGCGCAGCGCGCACTGTTTCGAAACAAATCCTCCCTTTCTCTGCACGTCCATCCGTTTCATCAACCTTTCGCGTAAACTTTTTTCTACCTGCCTTTACTTCACGAAACACACGACATACAATGTCACGACCAGTCCCGCTGGTGGCCCCAGGCCACACGCGTCCCGTAACGCATCTCAACTTCTCCGCGCTCCAGGACGATGGGACGTATCTCATGATCTCAAGTTGTAAAGACGGGAACCCAATGCTGCGGGAATGGACGGGCGATTGGGTGGGGACGTTTGTGGGGCATAAGGGGGCGGTTTGGAGTACGAAGCTCAGTCCAGATGCGTCGCGGGCGGCGTCGGGCAGCGCTGATTTCACGGCGTGAGTTCCTTGCCTTGCCGTTCTATTCATGTTCTTTGGTGCTGTTCTCTTTCTTTGAGATCATCTATTTGCATTGCATGGAATAACGCTTTGAACCGTGACGCGCTCGTACTAACATCATGGAATTGGAAACAGGAAGATCTGGGACACGTATACAGGCGACGCGTTGCACTCCTTCCCGCACAACCATATCGTCCGCAGTGTTGCCATCTCGCCTACGTCCTCGCATCTTTTGACGGGTGGTCAAGAAAAGAAGGCACGGATATTCGACTTGAGTAGACCTGATGCAGAACCGGATGTTCTGGTGAGCGACGGTAGCCCAACCTCTCATGACGGTACGGTTAAGAGCGTGGTCTGGGTGGGCGACCATACCGGAGTGACTGCAGGCGAGGATGGAGTCATCAAGTGAGTATCTCTCTTGTGCGTTGATCTGTGGAAGTTTTGGAAATTTCCACACACTCTGCCTCTGGCGATCTTTCATTGTACTGATTGTGGCGCCATCACTTTCGCATGACTCCTCACGTTAGGTGGTGGGATCTTCGCACACGTAAATTGACCACAAGTCTGAGCTTCCCTGGACCAATCACCTCGATGGAGCTCTCGCAACAAACGAATCGTCTTGTTGTCACCTCCGGCAAAACTGTCGCCTTCATCCCTGCCCTCCCCACTGGCGCACAGACTCACTCTGTCAACCTCCCATACGCACCATCATCGGCTTCGATCCACCCCATATTGCAGGATCGCTTTGTTACCGGTTGCTTGACGGATGAATGGGTCAGGGTCCATGGGATCAATGGTGAAGAAAGGGAAGTGTTGAAGGGACATCATGGACCCGTGCACTGTGTGGAGTATAGTCCGGATGGGGAGCTTTACGCCAGTGGAAGTGGTGAGTTCCATTTCTTTCTCTGAGGTATCAGCCTTAGGTACTCATTCATGCATCCGCATTCACGTTCTTCAGAGGATGGTACCATCCGGCTATGGCAAACCACCCCAGGCAAATCTTACGGTCTTTGGCAAGGCCACCCCAATGGTGGTTGATCGATATAGAGTTCTGACCCTTGGCTCGCGCGTCTTTGCTCTGGTGCTTCTCCTGGGACTTTGACGTGGTAAAAGATTTTCATCGGAACGCATTGTTTTCGTACGCATTTCCATCACTGTCGTCCTCGCTGTTGTGGCATTATTCTCCGAAGACTCACCGTAGAGGTCTTAAACTACATACATATGCTCAAGCTCTAAATCAGCGCACGCATTTCCTTCTCTCCCGCCAAGGTTGTGATCAGCCTCGTTTGCTTTCCCCACGTCCGATCCGCCATCCTCCGCCATCGCCGCCTACATTATATTGTCTCGCGCCCTGAGTGGCACACGCCACAAACAAACCAGTTTTTCGAGTCAGATGTTTGATCTCCATTCACCTTTGCCGGGTATACGCAGGGACCACGGCTGAGACTCGTCGTTGGCGTCTTATGTGGAACCTCATGTGGAGCAGCCTAGGTCGGATCTTCTTGAACCTTCTTGAGGTTGCTCGTACAGATATTCTCAGACCGACTCTGATGATCTCTGAACTGACGGCGTATTGCCGCATAATAAGTGTCTCGAGCTCCCTCGAGCGTTCTTTGGACATTCATGTGCGACTATGTGCATCGTCTGGGTGGGCCACAAGACCATGTCGAACTTCGAACACTGACGTGTTGTGGGACTTCCCCTCCAAACCTACTCCGACTTCCGAATCATTCCGAGTCCATAGCAGAAATCCTCTCTAAGCTTGAAGCAGCTGAAACAAACTACGCCACAATAAGATATGATGAATAACGAGATGACGAACTGAAAGTTGATATGTGGACTACGTGTCCGGTCACGTCAAGTGGATGCTAAGATCAACAGCGAACCTCGTGTCGGAAGTAGCGGAACTTGAAGAGTGAGCAATAAATATCAAAGAGTCATCTCGGGCCACACAGCCACGGAGGCGCAAGCCGAGCACCAATACAATGAGCGTCTTGGCACGCGTATAAAGCCCTTCTTCAACCTTCACCGCTTCACTCACAACGTCTCACGCACCCACGACACTCTCCCCGTAAATCATATCACACCAATTTTATATTCGTCATGATGGCCAGAAGTCCAAGCACATCGTCCCCGCGCTCTGAACCTACTCAACAACCCACCATGACCCACCACCCATCCCACTTCTCCTTCCTAGCAAACGTCTCCACACCCACACCCGGTCTCATCCAGTCCATAGCCGGAGCCGGCGCTCACTACTCTGACATGAATTCCGTATCACATACGGAGGGTCACCACAGACGGACAAGCTCCGGTTCGAATGGACATGGACATTCACATTCAGCTTCGGGGTTGCAAGTTGGGTCAGGGTCGGGAGGCGTGAAGCATAGGCGGGTCAGTAGCGTTCCGGCTGGAGAGGTAAATATGGAGCTATATAAGGATGTGCTAGAAGATCTGCAGGATTTGTATGAGTGTAGGCCGACGAGGACAATTATGGAGAGGAGGTGGAGGAGGGACGCGGTGTTCGAAGACCCGTTGGCGAAGTGTCAAGGTTGGAATGAGATTGCTCCTCAGGTACGTGCAGCTCTTGGTTCTTACACGACACTTTGCATGTTGGTAGAGCACTGATATGATTGTGGACTACAGTGGTTCGCTATGGTGAGCTTGCCATATCACAAACACAGCTCATGATCTTACTATGCCTACTTCCAGCCCAGAGTCTTTTCAAAGTCTACTACCCTCTCCCGACGGATCCTCTCGTCCATCGACTCCCCAATGCGACGTCTCATATTCTACCAAAAGCAAGAGTATGTCATTCGCCTCACCGGGCTCAAGAAGGTCAGTACCGTTCTTCGCCACACCCTCTACGCCACACCCCCTATAATCACATGCTAAAGACTGAACACGGCTACACTGTTCATAGGTAGTCGAGTCCATCATAGTCGTCGACCTCGACGACGACGACAAGATCATCCGTCTTGTCGACCAATGGGACGGTAAAGAGCCACCGAATGGAATGGGCACTGCGCTCCTCCGCCGGCTGAACGGACGAACACTTCCGTGGATCCCATACCTAGGGCACGTCCCCAGGAACGGACATTAAATCGACTGCAGTCATTGTGCTATGTGGTTCGGGGCCGTCGGGTTGACATTTTCTTGGGATCGAGCTGCGAGACGCCGCGAGGGTTAGGAAGTCGGGTAGTTGGAGTGTCGTGGAGGCGTAGTGGCATCGCTTTCCGTGCTGTGTCTAGGGATGCTTCGTTGATATTTGTACCGCGGTCGGTGTTTGATTTAAATGATGGGATGGACATTATACTGCTGTATGTTATAAATTACTGTGTCTGTACGAGTATCACTTCTGCATCTAGTCGACGAAGGGTGGTTCGTGTTGTTGGCGTACAGGGTGTGGTCCATCATGTACTCATGGTACCCCAGTTGTTTCTCAATGTTTGTCGCACATAATATATGCATTTTCTGTTACCGTCGAGTTTGAATATGACGATACTTCAAACAAGCAATATTTGACGAAGACTAGCCCAATGACCTGGTCTTGTCCCCATTTATTGCAGCCGCAAGAATTCAGAGATTTCGTGTGGTCCAGGCGTAAACTCCCTCCCTCCCTCTCTGAACGCTCTTTGAGACTATCACAGAAGTAACAATTCCAAGGAGTATCATCGTGACATACTAACATTTTTCCAATGTCCAAAGGCACCAGAATACCGAGGCATGATCCGAAGCTGTATTCTATATAAGCCTCGTCATGATGAATTCCGTTGTAGCGTAAATACTCTAGGAACTGAAAAGTAAACCAGGAAAAATGATTACGCGTTATTTCGTTAAGTACACAGGCTAAAGTTAGGCTTCCATAGTGAAGCTAGAGAGAAACGAACCAGATGATACACGTCACGATCGTAACACAGAAAGCAGAGATCAAAACAAAGAACCTGAACACGACAGAGAAAAGTCCTGGGAATCGGAGTCATTCCAGAATTAGCGCTCCTCTATTCCTTCGTAGTTGGCTCCGACGCCGCTTCCGTCGCCGCCTCCTCTCGCGCATCCGCCAAGAGCCGCTCGAGCTCAATCTCTCCCTTCTCTATGTCCGCGAGCGAGATATCGCTCCTGTCGCACATTCCACGGAAGATCCCGTCGGGTTTGTTGAAGAGGTTTACGGGCGTGTCGAATTCCTATTAACATGTTGATGAGATTAAAACAGTGTCGCACAATAACGAGGAGCGGTGAGAGTGAGATGAGATGGGACATACAGCAATCTGGCCATCGCTCATGACGAGGATACGGTCGTAGTTAATGATTGTTCGCAATCGGTCTGGAGAGAGTGAGCGGAAATCAGTCACACACACTGAAACCGAAAGCATACCACTTACGAGCAATGCAGAGAAGAGTGCGATCGTGGAACTGCGTTTGGATGGTCCTGAGAGAGAAAACTCATTCAGCAATCTACACCGGATATTTCCTATACTCAGCACCAGCGACATACCTCTGAATCTTCGCGTCTGTCTCCAAATCTACCGATGCTCTGTACCTTAGTCAGCCAACAGGTCCTCAAACTGGATCCCTCATACAAACCACTCACGTAGCCTCATCCAACACAACAACCCTGCTGTCTTTTACCAATGCTCTCGCAAGACTCAACAACGACCTCTCTCCTACCGACAAGTTGGCCCCTTCGCTCTCGATGACCGTGTCCAAACCAAACTTCCCCGCGTCAGCCGTGTTCTCGGTAGTTGGCGAGACAAGATACGAGCGTCGGAGGGCATCCCAGAGATGGGCGTCAGAGTAGACAGAGAAGGGATCAAGGTTGGAGCGGATTGTGCCTGTCATGACTATGTGAGCTGGCATTTCAGGAAGAGATGATACAGGTACGGACCCGAGAAAAGTAGAGGATCTTGCGGAATCTGTCAACGACTATCAACTGTTTGGTTCGACGTAGTAAACCACCGTTGAGCAACTCACGATGCTAATCGCTCTCCGAAGATCCCTGAGACCAAGCGTGGAGATATCGATCCTAAAAATCGAATCACGAGGTGAATAGGAAACAGTGATCGTGCGGAATATAATGCTCACCCATCAACGTTGATGCTCCCGGAACTGAGCTCGACGATACGGTATCTAACAATGATATTTAACGGTCAGCTTTAATTCTAACTGGAGCCTTCGAAAGACTCACAAAGCCAACATCAACGTCGACTTTCCGGCTCCAGTTCTGCGTTGCGTCATTAGATAATGCTCAGCTGACAGCTCTATTACGAAGGGTAAGAGATACGGCGTACCGTCCGACGACACCGATCTTCTCTCCTCCCCGTACACTCATGGTAATGCCTTTCAGCACTTCAGGCAAACCCGGTCTATACGACATTCTGACATCCTTGAACTCGACCGCCCCTTGTGACGGCCACTCGCTAGGAGGCTTGACGTCCTGCTTCTCATAGGCCGCTTCCTGGGGCACACCTCCTACGGAACGAGTGTAATGTGCCACTGGAGGGGAATCGTTATGAGACAATTTTGTTCTGGGTGCGCTGAACAAGCGGTTTATTTTACCTCTTTCGACTGCATTCATGTAATTCTAGACCATAATTCAGCTTATGTTTCATCCACATGAATTGAGGAGAATAGTGTTTACCTCTATCTCAGCGGTCTGACGAGTTACCACGCTGAAGGCCTGTACCAGTGAGGTGATATACGTGAGAATGAGACCGATCTGGTGATGAGGATGACCATCAGTATATACATATCATGGCAGAGTCATGGAATCACCACTGACCTGAGCAGGGTTGATGCCTGAAACATCGGTCACGGCCAGGAGGGCGATCTAAACAGAGCATGAGATATAAGCACCTCGCGTCGAGGTAAACTGCGATAATCTACGTACGATCAGGACCATGAAAGAGCCCATGAAGTCAAGACGGATCGCCAGCCACCTACGGATCGTACCGATGTCCTTCAGTCAATTTCCACAATATCAATTTGACACAAATGGCGTACCGTTGATTCGTGACACTGACGAAGAAAAGGTATGAAGACTGAGCACAGAGTTCAGATGTAGAGAACGTAGGAAATGAGACGTACGTGAGAACGAGAGCTCGGTCTTCCAGGTCGACGAAGTACTTGCTGTCGCGCACAAAACGAGCAACCTCGCCGTAGCTCCGGATGGTGGACAAGCCAGAGAGAGATTCCGACAGGTGGGCGTAAAGAATTGACCGTAACATGCCATCTACGTATTATTAAGTTTAAATTCATTCTCGACCCGGTTTGTCGCGACTTACCCAGACGTTTCAGCTGCGTTGTCAAAATAAAACTTAGTATCAGCTATTCAGAGCGGAACAAGGAACCTTCTCACTTCTTGGGCACTCGTTTGATAGAAGTGGTAGAAATATCCGTAACCGAGGACGAGGAATGGCAGGGCGATTACTGTGTACAAATGCGTCAGCTAAGGGCCGGCTACGCATGGACAGACCACATACGGAACCATTGTTCAACAATGACGATGAGGATGAGAGAACCAAACATCATAGCAACGATGATAACGGCTATAGGAACATGACTTGTTAGCATCCCTAGGTGTGAGGAGTACGGGAAAGATCTCACTATTCCTCACGGAGACTGAGATGAGGGGTCAATAATCAGTGCCTTGTAACATGTATTGACAGAGGGACATACCTGGAAGTTGATCGTCGATGGCTACGAAGGCAAAACATGATTAGCTTATGCTACAAGGAAATATAGAGAAACGTACAATCGAAGTCCTTGCCGAAAATACCGACAATTCGACCGAGAGGCTATCGCGCAAGTCAGAATTACGTTCAGTCGACAATTGGAAGGTGCTCACATTGGTATCGAAGTATGACATCGGTGCGTAGAAAATCCTAGGGACTGAATTAGACGAGCTTGATCTCTCAAGGCACGGGCAGCAGCTTACCGAGTCAGAGCCTTGTGATGCAAGTTCTGAGATACCCAAAAGCCCATCAAGTCGAGACACATGCCACTGCAGAGATGTCAGCAGTTTTTCCCGAGCCCATGGCAATCGCCACTTACAGAACAAGGAGGAATAACGATTGGCCGATGCCGAGCAGGGCGTAGAGGACTTGGTAGAAGGTCTGGGAATGGTTGAACGTACTACGAAAACGTTGAGAAGGAGTCCGAGGATTAAATATCAGGTTGATACTTACTTTCCCTGCCACCAGACCTGGAACAAAGAGGAGTATGAGTCAGTCACAAGAAACAGAGGGGCGATTCAGTATTGCTCACCAAGGCGTACGAGTTCAGGATTTGGCTGTGGAGAAGTATGAGGTGCATCAGCGTCGTCAAGCCATGGATGTATATATCTACACCACTCGTACCATGCTTGCTATTCTTATAGTTAGTATACCGCCGTGAATTGAATCATCTGATCGATTAACGCACCATGCAAACGGACAAAACGAGGATGAGTGGAACCATTACATAGCCTTTTCCAGCCTTCGAATATTCGCCATAAACTACATTCATAAAGGCCCTGTCAGCGCCGTGGTTCATCCAGTCACCCACTCCGAACTTACCCTTCCACGATACAGACCCGGTCTCTCGCCTCTCGGCCACCATCAAACGACCCTCCAACTTGTTTTTCACATGGTCATCTTTTCTCCTCGACTTCTCCTTCACATCTGCGACATCTAATGCGTGGGCGGGAGCGACGTCCGGTGCCGCCTCTTCAACCGCCTCAGTCGCCTGCTTCGCCTCCGGCTCTTCGTCCCTCTTCCTCTCCGCAGCATTGTCGTGGCCACCGAAGTCTCTGGCGAGCCTCGCGAATTCACTGTCACGCTCCATAAGATAATCATAGGTTCCGTGTTCAGCAATTCGGCCGTTCTCGAGGGTGTAGATGTAGTCAACTTCCGACAGGAAATGAAGCGCATGAGTGACGAGCATGACGGTCTTGCCCTGCCCGCGAAGAGCCCCGAGAATGGCATGTGTGAATAGCGCTCGTCCGACGTGTGAGTCTACCGCGCTCAGGGGGTCATCGAGAAGAACGACGTCAGCGTCGAAATAGAGGGCTCGCGCGATGCTGACCTGTATAGATTCGTATATTAGGTTTCACATCGAGTCAAAGCACGCACAAGGACAGGACGTACGCGTTGTTTTTGGCCGCCACTCAAGTTTATTCTGAAACCAAGATAAGTTAGACTTTGTTCTTTGTGAGATTTCACAGTTCTCTTACCCTTTTTCTCCGATCTTTAATCATATCAATATCAACATTGAATTTGGTAAATGAAAGAGAAAACGCACTTCGGTCAGATCAGCGGCAGGGAGCATGTCAAGATCAGCGAGAAGCGAGGCGTTCTCAATGACCTTCCAATACTTCTCTTCATCCCAAGGCTGGCCGAAGAGAACGTTGTCTCTCTGAAGGATAGAATTGTAGTATTTAGACGAGGTCGGTGATCTGTAAGAAACACCATGGACTGCGACGTACCAAAGTAGCGTTTTGGATCCACGCTGTCTGGGGACAGTACCCAACGCGACCCCCGAAGGTGACATCCCCACTAACACGCCGCATCTCACCAATCATGCCTTGAAGAAGACTCGACTACAATGTCTCATGTTAGAGCTGAACATCATGTAGATGTGAAGTAGGTACACACCTTTCCAGAACCGACAGGCCCGACAATTGCACACACAGTGCCTCTTTCGACGCCCATCGATATGTCTTCCACCCTGAACGGCCGTCTATCGTTCTGCACGTTCTCCGTAGATCCCGCTTCCACCTTCAAGTTCTTTTCCTTCTCTTTCTCCTTGAGCTTATCCTTGCTCTTCCCCGATTTCTTGCTGTCGGTTTCCTTCTGCGCTTCCTCCCATTCAAAGGTAGCATTCTTCGCCTGGACAGCGAATTTGAGTGCAGGGTCTATGGTGAGGGGATGATCCGGCATAATATCGGCATGGAAAAGTTCGGTGAGGCGGTTGAGTGCGTTGTGAGCATCTGTTATGCCCGAAAGCGCACGAGGCAAGAACATCATAGGTTGACGGAGCAGCTACCAAAGACAAGGATCAGTCACTGCTTGTCAACAAGATGAAAGAGCTATGTAAATCTCACGTTGAACAAGCTGAACGACGAGAATATGATGGCAGAGTTGAAAGCGTGGGATGTACCCGTATAACACACAAACGCGAGCGTCGCAGCGAGGACGGGCAAACTGAAGGCTAGGGCCACACTACGAGCAAATTCCTCAGTACGGGTTTCTGTGTGTCCAATAGGGAGAGGAAATGCAGTAAAACATACTTTGCAGAACGCGCAAACTGTATTTTACGAATACCATTGAGTTCCTTCTTTCGTATAAAGAAAATTCTCTGCAAAAAGGGCACTTCGTATGTGAAGTACTTGACGATTCTCATGGAACCTGTGTAAAGACTCGTTAATTCGCTGGCTGAAATTGGGCTGTGAAGATAATTGGCTTGCCCAGAATCTCGAGAATTTGTTTCGCCCTATTCGATGTATCAAGTGAGACACGAGTTCAACAAAGAGGAATAATGGCTGTGCCGACCGTTTGTCTGTCCATTGTACCGAATCTTTCCGCATTTTGAACTGCGCGGACATAATTTGCTCTTGGAGTGGGATGATTAGGACGAACAAAGCAAATCCAGCCAATGCCGAAGGGCCGAGTTGGACTAAGAGGATGATGAGGCAGACGATGGTCTGGATGGGCGCGGTCCAAGCTGCGATATAGAGCTATTCAGTAAAGGCTGACGGTAAGGCATAAGTATGTGAGCCACAAACCTGCATGCTAGGTGATAAAATAGTCCTAATGAGCGCAAATCCTACGAGATAGGTGCAGAGCGATAGCATTTTACTTACGAACCACTGAGCTGCATGCTCGACACGACTAATATCCGACGATATATAGTTCAGCAGCCTCGAGTTTGGGAACGAGGTCCTCGATTTTGGCGTGAGGACGACACCACGGTTGTACACTGAAGTAATCAAGGTAGCACGCACAAGCGCACCAGTCATCATCGATCTCCAGAAGAATTGATGCTGGAAGACGCTAGACATGATGACGAGAATGAGAAGACCGATGGCCATGCCAACGCCTCGTCCGATACTGGGAACACTTTCTCCACTGGCTTGGGCGCTAGAGCGGTCCTCACTAAAGTTGATGATTGCCTACAGATTAAGGTGAGCAGACGAGTGATGATAATTTGAATACGAGATAATAACCTTAATCAACAAGGGGGTCATGAGCTGCGACGTGTCTCCGATGACCTACGAGCCAAGATTTTCAGTCCCATTTCCATGATATGTATAGTCAGAACAGAACCGACCTTGGACAATCCGCCGGACCAGAATCGCCAGCCAAAAACATCGTTGAGGGCCCATGCGAGACTAGGCTCCCTCCTCCCGCCGAACTCCAGCCACTGCTTCTCCAGCTGTGCCCTCGTCTTTGAATATTCGGTGACATGAGCCAGCGAGCGTAGATTCCACCCCGTACGCTTCAGTAGGCTTGGTCGAATTTCGCCAGATGCAAGCCTCGCATTCCACTCATCGGCAACTTGAGTCCGATAGGTCCATGAAGCTTCGAGTTTGTCTGAAAGGAAGCCGGCCTGTCGAGTCTCATCCAGTTTCCATAGATCAGTGGCTTGCAAAGTTCGTTGATATCCGAGGACCTGAAAGGATGTCGTGAGACTTCGAGAAACCTCATAAGTACTGAAGACACTTACCATCATAGGATTCAACCACGAGTAAGTCAACATAGAAAAGAATGATGCATTCGCCAGAGGCGAGAGCTAAGATACACACGAAGGTCAGAGAACAAAGAGCGTCGGCAAAAATGTGACCTGTTGCTATGTTGTCTCACCTTCGCATCGTCTAAGGAGGCTGGCGCAGGCGATGGTGCGTTTTTTGGCCGCCTGATAAACCGAGTCAGACCTTTGTATTCCAGCAAGTGCGATACGATGTAGCGCACCATAATTGCCACCAACCCCTCCTATACAAGGTACGTCCGATACCAACGTCAAGCTCCACGTCTGGCTTGTGCTCTGGTGATGTGTTCGCAGAGCGATCAACCGCCTTCTCTTTTTCGTCCATGACGGAGACTGTAAGAGGAGAGGTGTCCTGGGAACCCTCGCGCGTAGAGATGAGGTAGCTGGGGGTACTCCTTCAGGCCGTCAGCTCCGCGCTGGGTATATATGCAAGAACCTCCGACGGAACGAGTCAGACGTTGAGAGCGTACCTAGGATCAAGTTCGCCGGACGTCCCGTCAGATTGAGATTATACTGAAAGGACCCAAAGACTGCGCCGGTGTGGGTATTATTAGTGTGTGGATCGTGGTGCGATTCTTAAAATAGCACCATTGGGTGCACTTATTAGTGTGCGTGTTCAATGGGCCAGTCAAAGACGGGTCAGGTTCATCAGGTCATATAATCGGAAGAGTAAGGGGCCTGCAACAAGCTGATACGTATAAGTACAGTGTATTTTGTTGATCGGGCGTTCTCAGAGACAACGCCAACAGCGGAGACACCGACGGGGTCCAGCTTCACAACTGTGGCGCCGAGGGACCACCGTCGGATGAGCGTCGGAGGGCACCGACGGTAATTTTCTTGCCATTTTATCGAGTATTTAGGGATATACCCGCTGACAAGGCCATGAGAAAGACACCGCGCGGTGAAATGAGGTGGACCACTGGAACAAGAGTTGGAAGGTTGATGGTTCGTGACGCTCGGCCAAGTCGGAAGAATTCGGTTACGGTCGGTTAATTCAACATCCCCAATACTCATAATGGCGCTCACGTGACCGCGTTTGCGCAACGGAGAGTAGCGGAGAGTTCTCTACAGAAGTTGGGAACACCTGGAGCTATCGACCCAGTGCTTTCGGCGACGTTGAGTGTCTTTGTTGGTCATTATGTCCTTAGCTTCGTTGGAGACAACCAAACGAATGATGATGTCCTCTCGGTCACTTTCTCGGACTTGCCAACTCTCTCGAGCTTTGCACACCTATACACCTCGTCTGGCTGGCCACAGTAAAGTTTGTTACGATATTTCACCCTTAATATTCAAGCATTTAAAGGCCTGTTGTGATCCCGATATAGTGGTCGAAAATCAAGGACCAGAAGGGTGCCAATGATCGGCAGAAATCCAAGATTTACGGTGGTGCATTTCGTGTACGTCTTCTTCTACCTGACTTAGACGAATTGAAGCTGAAGCACATGGATATAAGAATAGGACATTATGGTGGCTGTTCGAAGTATGTTTCGCGAATCCAAGCTCGAGACCGGGTTCTCTCTTATGATCTGTATGTGGATTTGGTAGATGGCGGTTCCGCGAACCCAGAGACCAACCTGGCGCTGTTCAACGCGTTAAGGAAGGCGAGGGACAATGGAGTTCCCAAACAAAATATAGAGAATGCTTTAGCTAAGGTAAGTCTTTGAATTTCTGTTGAATTGTTTCATGATAACTTGACTTGCGGTACAGGCCAGCGGGGAGAAAGATAAGAGCACCCATACGACATACGAAGTCATGGCGCACGGCTCTGTTGGGGTCGTTGTGTATGTCCATTTCTGCCAAACATCTTCTTACTTCACGCCCCTGATAGGATGAAGAGAATGTATAACAGATAACACGAACCGGACCCTTCAACGACTACGGGAAATCCTCAATAAGAACAAGTGCGTTTGTTTTGGCGCGTTGCACGAAGGTGTGCTGGCTGACGAAGACGGTCCGATCTGAAGCTCTCGGTTGGCGACGGTGGGCTTTCTTTTCCAACGGAAGGGATGTGTCCGCGTATCCGTCGAGAAAGGTGAAAACTTTGAGGCACGCATGGAGAAGCTCATCGAGACTGCACTGGAGGCGGATGCGGAGGATTTCGAAGAGTCGACAGACATGACTACATCAGAGGCCGTGGAAATACAGGTACGGGTGCACGTTTCACTCAGACATGAGTGAAGTATTGACTGCTAGGATGCGGTCGTAGTTCCTTTGTCCGCCTCAAGAACTCGCCAAACTCACCACGGCCGTCACCGCTTCCGGCCTCTCAAAGGAGTTGATCACAAGCGAGCTCATCTATACGCCGTCTGAAGGGCCAGTCGAAACCGATGAAGAGATGGAGACTAACATCGGAAAGCTAATCGAGGAACTGGAGGAGTACGAGGATACGTTGCGGGTGTGGACTACACTGGACTCCAATGAGGCTGGTTCATGATGCTCGGGCGGTGGGAGTTAGAGACGATGATAATATATACACATCTATGATGCAAAGAGAGCTGGTGCAGAATCGGGAAAGTGTGGAGGGGTTTATGAGTTGATGTTCTTCCCCAGACGTGCAAGGTGGTAGTTGATTGACGGTCGTGGCAGCTTTCTTTGGAAAGGCTGGAAGAGACAAACATTCCTCTTGTTAAGAGTGGTCGCAAACACTCATTTTCTCAAAGACGCACCGTGGTTCGCATACACTCGAAAAGAGACGTAGCAGATTGAGCGCAGGCTCCTGTGCTCATAACATCCGTTGTTGCGGCCCAACAACCCAACATAGCTGCTAGCTCAGGACCACAAGGGTTCGCTCCCTTTCCTATATGACCAATCAATTTAGCGAGGCGGCCCTGGTCAATACCTGCCCCGAAGAACTAAGACTGAGCGAACGCACTCTTTTGAGGGCGAACCTTCAACTTCTTGACATGCAAGCCCATACCTTCGCCTCCGTCCTATTCCAAAATGTATGTGTCTTGTTGTAAGGTGCTCGAGACCTAATCGAAGATATCGGTTCGGTTGACGCGTTTTTCGTAGAGTCAGAGGAGGGTGAAGTGGTTGAGTGGAGTCCGCCAACACGGTCGTGACTTCCAGAAAGGATGAACCCGGGGTTGAGGCAAGGGTGTCGGGAGATCGAGCGCCACCTGAGGGACCTCGGTCACCGCACTATCCTGCTAACGTGGCACTTCGATGACGGCCAGCCGCAGCTTTCCGCCACACCAGCTTGTACACCTTGACTTGCACTACTAGTACCATACGCTGCTCGACCCTACAATTCTCTTGACTTCAAACCTCTCAGAGGAGTACTTCTTACACCATGTCAGTTCCTGCTACGCTAAACAAGAACAATTCTGGTTCGTGACGCTACTTTGTTCCTACCAAGTCCCAGGCTGATCATGAAAGGATATCACAGCGGTGAAACGTATCATGCAGGAGGCACGCGAACTTGCCAATGACCCAAGCACAGAATATAGCGCTGCACCTCTGGAGGTGCGTAATGCTTCTCGCCTTAAATGTATCATATCCCTCATACGAATTCTGTATAGGACAATATATTCGTAAGGATCCTCTAACCAGCTTGCCGCCGCATAGCGGAAGTGCTGATTTCTGCTTCAAGGAATGGCACTGTACTCTGCGCGGGCCTTCGGAAACGGAATTCGAGGGTGGCCTCTATCACTTCCGTATCTTGCTACCCGCAGATTATCCCTTCCGACCGCCCAGCCTTATGATGCTCACCCCGAACGGTCGATTTGAGACTGGGACAAAGGTATGTGTGTTCTTATCATCTACGGTGACTGCAGTCTCTCATTTTGGTGTGACACAGATTTGCATCAGCTTCACTAACTGTATGCTCTATTCTCACACCGAAGTCTTGCTTGTTCTGATGTATATTGTGCACCGGTAGATCACGAGGAGCTGTGGCAACCGGCTTGGGGTGTTCGCACTGGTATGTTCCGCCATGTTTCGTCAGTCAATGTTAGACTTATGAGAACTAACGGGCGGGTAATAGCCATTATTGGTCTCATGGGTTTCTTCCCTTTGAAGGGGCAAGCCGCCGCTGGTGTTGGATCCATGGAGTCCAGCTCATCCGATCGCAAGAGACTGGCAGCACTGTGAGTCCACCTTCATGCCACAACTTTAAGTTGGTTCTTGCGAACGATTTTTAGTTCGCGGAAATGGGTCTGCCCAAGCTGCAACTGCACCAACGAAGAGTGTCTTCCGGACCCCCCGGAGAAGGCAGACTCTTCTACCGCGGAGGCTTCTACAAGCGTAGCTACGACAGAACCTACCCCTGACGGCACCGTGGCGCCTCCAGACCCCACGTCAGCCCCATCTCTCGTCCCAGCGGAGCCGATTCTTGCGCCAGAGCCACCGCTTGCATCGAATATCACTGCACCCCCACCTCAGCTCATTGCTGAACCTGTCGCTACTCTAACAGCCAAGTCCAAATCACCCAAATCCGTCTCATTCTCGTTGCCAGAGAACGCTACCCACGATACCTCTTCATCTCCTTCCGTTGCTGCCAGTATGAGCAACGATTCGACTAGAGTCACTAGTATGACGTCCTCTGGCAGTCAACCCTCGTCCGCCGTACCGATACCGCTCCAGGTGTCCACCAGGACAACCGTTATAGATGCCCAAGGTCCCAGCAGACCCCCGTTCATACTTGACGCTGCTATTGCTTTACTGCTCTCTGTCATCGTCGCTATCCTGTCGAAGAGGCTTCTCTAAGTCAATGCCTTGTTCGCTGATCCACCCTCTCGCGTCTACGTTCGGTCCTTTGTTCCAGCTGCGCTGTCACCATTTTACTCGTTTTCATCGTTGTTTTTCATTTGATTTCGTTTGTCTGTACATCGCTCTATGTCACGGACATTGTATTTCGATATCTCCGAATTTATCAGCCCGATATTTATGAACCGTGGATCGCTCTTTATTAGTTTCCTTTTGAACTGACCTGACTCCCCTAAGATTTTGGTCACACTTCATATGGCGGGTCAGCGAAGTGCCACCCTACTAGCTTGTGAGTTCCGATGTGTTCACCTACTTCGCTTGCTTTGACATTTCTCGTACTTTTGGCAATGCAGGTTTCCACGGCCCTATCTCACCCCCCAGAGTTTCCCCTCCTTGATATTCTTGCTTCGGAGAGAATTCCTATAGTGACTTCTCCATGCTCAGAATGCAGTGTTCCGCATGATGCATGATGACTTGGGGCCCATCTTGCAATCCAAAGGAATATTGGTACGAAGATAGTTTGTATCACGAAGGTGTAGTGCACGCGTTCTCTCACGTAGAATCTGAACCGGCCCGCCACGTAGAACCGACCATGGAATCGACGGAAGTCATTTCGGAGCCTTGGAAGAGTGATGATCTTCTTCTCCTTCTCCCTCGGCACACATTCACCCAGCTTGGCCACTTGTCAGGTCTCAACAAATCCACAATGACCTCCAATATCCCTAGCCATGTGGTGAATGCCTGAGAGACTCGGAGGATGGTGCCCCGTAATGACATTCTCTCCTCGTCACCTGTTGCCAGAGTACCTGCGGACTTGCCTCTGGCCCATCCTTCCAGGGGCCACGAACACAGTTGGTCTCCATCACGATGGCCTCGCCCCAATATCTTATGATACCTTGTTTTTCCGCTCTCGGCTAACATCCAGGGGCTGAGACATCATGCATCATCGTTGCTTGTATATAGGTGCAGTGGATCTCGTTGTCGACATTTCAACTTAACCTCGAGAGTTGCCCGACATGCGCTCTATTTTCACTATTCTTCTTCTCGTTTCATCTTCACTTGCGGCCCTTGTCCATCCGGGTGGCCTTCACACCGACGCTGACTTTGAGCGGGTCAAAGCTCATGTCGACGCTGGTGACGAGCCTTGGACCACGGGTTGGAACTTGTTGACGGCCAACAGCCATGCTCAAGCAACCTACACTATGCGCGGCCCTGTCACAACCATCATCCGTGGTTCCTCTCCTCTCGGCTCCGAGAACTATGTCCTCCTCTACAACGACATCCATGCCGCCTACCAGCTCGCACTCAGGTGGCGGATCTCCGGCAATACTTCCTTCGCAGACACGGCTGTCAGCATCCTCGACGCATGGGCAAGCACTGCGACCAGCATTGAAGGCGACTCCAACCGATTCCTCGCTTCTGGGATTTACGGATACGAAATGGCTAACGCCGGCGAGCTCATGCGAAACTACACCGGGTGGACTGGTCTCGCCCAGTTCCAAACGTGGATGTCGACGGTGTTCTACCCGTTGAACGAGAACTTCCTCGTCAACCACAATGACGCCCAGTGGTATCACTACAGAGCAAACTGGTATGTCCGGGTTTAAGATTGTGAGTCCGTCACATGAATCTTGACTTTTTTTGCGCTAGGGATCTCTGCAACATGGCGTCTGCCCTCGCAATCGGTATCTTGACCGACAACCAGACCATGTTCGATTGGGCCATCAGTCGCTTCAATGAGACCGAGGGCACAGGCCAGATCAACCATTTCCTCTGGCAGGGATACGAAGAAGACGGTAGTGGTAAGCTCTTGGAGCAGGGTGAAGAGGCGGGTCGTGACCAGGTGAGAACTTGGATTCTGGGTCGCTTCTATCACGCTGTTTCTAAATCGCTGACCGTCTTCCATCCGGTGTTAGGGTCACGCCACGCTCGACTTCTCGCTGATCGGAGCGTACGCACAAATGGCGTATAACCAAGGACAAGACCTGTTCGCCTACAACTCCAGCCAGATTCTTGGCGGGTAAGGAAACCATCGATCTGCCCAATCCACTATCCGCTCACCTGGTATTTACAACCTCAGTTCGGAGTATGTCGCCAAGTACAACCTCGGATTCGACGTCCCCTACACCCCACACATTGTTCCAGACTACGACGAGACAGTCATCTCCAATGCTAGCAGAGGTGACATTCGTCCCGCTTGGGAGCTGCTGTACGCGCACTATGGCGTCTTGAAGGGCTTGAACGCTTCGTGGACGGAGCAGATGAGGGATCTCGTCAACGAGCAGTCAGGCGGTGCAGAAGGAGGAGGGGGAAACTACGGGTCGACGTCCGGTGGGTTCGACCAGTTGGGCTTCGGTACGCTGATGTACCGCTTGGAATAAGCTCGGTTTTCTTTTCTCGTCCTCTACCCTCGAGAATCGGCTGGAACTCCGAGTACTTACATTTGTAGGTCATAGTCATGTGCGGCTTTCGTCTCGATTGTCGCTCGATTTTTTTTGATGTATTATACATACTTGTCACTCGTTACCGTTTGCTTTTGGTCAAACGATCAGAGGCGCTTCAGTCATTCCTTTACTTACAGGATTTCAATCGTTTCAACCTGCTGGCAAAATCTACTGCTTTACTTCCACACTTGCTCTCGTTGAATCTTGCCCCATAAACCAATTCTGTCTGTCTGAGAGGCAGGGAGGCGGGATCGATCTGACGGCGACCAGAAGGCTAGTAGTTGTGCAAGCAGGGCAGTATACGTGAAGGTACAGTAGGTATTTTGGAAATATGAGATCTATATGGACTGTACTTTTCGTTGTCCGACAGCCTCAGGCTTTCTTCGCCTCCCGCTCCTTCTTCCTCAGTGCCCGCTTACGAATATCTTTGTGAAGGGCATGAGTGTACCAAAGAACGAAGCGAGCAGGTGCAAGGCCCATGAAGTATGCGAGGAGAGAGTGACTCCAGTATGGAGTCTGGTTGCCGGGTGTGATAGACTTGAGGACCGAGCGAACATAGGATGCTGGCGTCGGCACCATCGCGGATGCGCGGCGGATTTTTGACATCGAAGATACCTAGAATGACGCGGTTAGTCGAAGTAGATGAAGGTTGAAAGCAATATTGTGACATACGACGAAGTAAGTGTTCGAATGCTCGACAACTATGCCCTTGGGTCCGAGTTCAGCCGCAAGGGCATCTGAGAATGTTGCGAGGAAGGCCTTTGACGCCGAGTAGGTCGCTAGCATAGGAGCTGGAGCAGCACCAGCGAAGGAGCCTAAGTTGAGAACCAAACCCCGTCGTCTGCAAAATTGGTGTCACGGGTCAGTTAGCTGAAAGAAAGTGGGCCAAATAACGCACCGGGAGACCATGCCAGGGGTCACAGCCGAGGTAACGCGAAGCGTTGCTTTGATGTTTATGGTGAGAATGTCGCTGATTTCTTCGGCAGGAGTCTCGACGAAGTCTACAGGCATCTCGTGCGACTTCCCGACATTGTTCACTGAAGAATTTAGTCAACATCTCGCATCCAGACTGATGATCGTAGGTCAACTGTTGGGAGTGAACTCACCAAGTACACCGACGTCCAAATCCTGAAGAGCAGTCGTAAACTTTTCATACGCGGCGTCATCCGCATGGGCAAAATCTATGACAAAGGTTTGGGTCTTGATATCCGACCCTACTTTGCTTTCTGATGCGACCCCTCGCGTCAATCACAGTAGACGCAAACCAATGCGATGACAAGAGCGTACGTATTTCCGAAGCCACAGTGGCCAGCTTTTCAGGATTCCTGGCCGCAAGCAAGACGTTGAACCCGGCTTTAGCAAGCTGCAACGCAAACTCGCGCCCAATACCGTCGGAAGCACCGGTCACAACTGATAGGGAGTTGTATGAGATGAGGGCCGGATCGACCAGGACTTCAGCTACGCACCTGCCCAAGCCCCCTTCTTTGCTCCAAATCTTTTCAGCTAGATAGTAATTACGCTTGTGAGTTGTTATAGAAGAGTCAGACAACAATGCACGCACTGAAATCCCTGGTAGGACGAACGCTTTCAAGAGAACAGTGCCAAACGACAGGAGGAAACATCCTGCAGACAAGGCTCCAAGAGCTTGTAAACCAGTCGATACTACGGGCGAGAGAGCACCAAGCATCGTGTCCAAACAAACGAATGCTTTCACACAATTGTGCGTGGAGGAGGGAGGTCAAGCGGAGGGAACGCGTCGCGTGCTGGCTCGGCTTGACGCGTTGTTGAAGGTTGTTGAGCTGGAATAGGCTGGAATTTGTTCAAATTCAGAGTTTTCTCACGCCGACTGCCCACCGACCCTCAACAACTCTGTCATCATAAGTAGTACTTCATTGCACTACATCGTCCGGATTTACAGACCTAAGAAGATAACCTGTTGACGACGTTTCTCTGACCTGCATGATGTCTGATCATTGGGCTTCGGATGAAGAGTCCACCACCAGGTTCGAGCTTTTGCCACAAAATTGTTCAATAGCACACTAATTATGTTTGTTGCTCTCTACAGACCTCAGGCTCGACCGTCTTTCGATTTACCATCTGTTTGCGGAAATATTCTCGCAGAAATTCCACAGCTTCAAACAGTCATACTCTCAAGTCTATCGAAAGTCACGAGGTTGGCGACTGTCCATGCCCTTCCTTTAGAGCTCCTCCAACAATGTTTTTCGGCGCTTGCCCAGGATGATCTGCCTCGTACAACCCTCGACGGGGTTCATCTTGGATGGATAACGGTCTCCCACGTATGTCGCGCGTGGAGAGAGGCTGCGATGGAGCTGTCTATGCTTTGGGGGAGACCTACCCTTGCACTTGGGCCTCGATGGTTCAGAGAGATGGCCCGACGAGCAGGATCTGCACCCCTCATCGTTCATTGCACTTGGCCTTATTCTCCTCGTCCGAAGCGGGCCGGCCCTTTCTCTCCTCGAATGGTGCGGCAGACTATTATCGGACACATGGACCATTTGAAGGAGCTTATATCGGAACCGAAATCAACAATATGTTACTCCGGCCTAGTCAAGGCGCTTATTCTTCCTGCTCATTCATTGACGACTATTGAATTGCATGCCTTTCCCTATGGTGCCCCGGCTCCGTTCTCTCTACCTACCAATTTCCTTGGCCAGGCAGCTCCTCGTTTACGCAAAATTTCTCTCCACGGCATCACAGGACAATGGGCCGTGTCATTGAGGCCCTTTCGCGACCTTCTACAGCTAAATATACTCGACGTCGGCCCCTCTCTTACGTCGTTCGATGATCTCCTTCACATACTGGGCGCGAGTCCACGTTTGGAGGAGTTATGCCTCCTCGGCGTATTGACCTCGTGGTTTGAGTCTGCAGGTAGCTCACGCCGCCTGCGTCTTCCCCATCTCCAATGCCTGATATTGGACGGTTATGCCGCCCCATGTGCGGAGTTGATACAAATCCTGGACCTGCCTGACACGGTCAGAATAAATTTAGTCCCTACATATTCCTCCTTGGACGATTGGCAACTCCTTTTCTCAGCTCTAGCCCAGCATTTCACCTCTCGTCTGCCTTTCCGCCGACTCTCGCTGATTCCTAAAACATTCCGTTTTGCCATGGAATCCGCGCCATACAATGCGAATGAGCCCGAACATGACCTATCGACAGCTTCATCATGCCCTCCGCTCTTGTATTTAGAGTGCATGGATTCCAAAGCTCATGTCATTCGCGCGGCCTTGGGGAATCTCCCTTACGCTGATCTCACCGAACTCGTCATAGCGGATAGGTACTACGACCGCGATCTGTGGACTGATAACCTCCGCTCACTGAAACAAGTACGCTACCTTCGAATCGAAGGGGACGGATTCCACCGTCTTGCCTGTGCTGCTATCGTAGACGGGGCGGAGAAAGGCGTCGATTTGTTTCCCCAACTCTCATTCCTCGAATTACACCACACGAATCTGAGTTCAGCCGGCCCGTTGGCTTGTGCAGCACTGATAGCCATGTTGATTCGACGGAAGAACTTGGGTTCCCCAATTGAAAGGTTCCACCTCACGCGTTGTGTAATCCCCTCTCAGGTAGTCAGCGACCTTGCTGAGGTTGTACCGGATATCGTAGAAGTGAAATGAGACTAGGATGCTACCAATATTGCTATGGACGAATCCGAGTAAGGTCTGGCATGACAGCATGTTCTACCACGACACCGCCTATTATACATCATGGTTAGCGTTGGTTTCCGATGGTGCTCCCTATGCCTCCACCTCCCCTCACATCCATAACCTTGTGTACGATATGGCTCGTGTATTCTCTACTTCCATTTCTTGTGCATAATACGATGTTGTCAGATAGTAAACGCCTCACGCACGCGATCGGACCAGTCAAGCTCGAGTCCAAGGTGAAATAAGGCTCCCAGAATTTCGCAGAGACATCGTGCCTTGAAAGACCAAAGGTGAGAGGTGTGTTTAGAGAATACAAGGTCAATAAGATAATGTACAATATATGGCCAAATAACGGCAGTGAAACCGATGCCAGGCGTAGTGTAGGTAAGACAATTGTTGAGATGATGGTGCCGCATGAGTGGTGGATGACGAGAACATATGAGGCGCCGCTTAGGCTGGGGCTGAGTTGGTCTCCTAAGAGCAGAGTAGCCCGTATTTCGACCGGAGAGAGTGGTTCCGTCTACTTTTTCCGTGGGTCCTCTGCCCAGAGCGGTTTCGCCACTTCCGGATCGCTCAACTAGAGTTACACATAAGAAGGGAGATGGTCAGCCACTTGGACATACGATAGGTAACAGCGATGTGTGATTTCTGCGACAACCAACGACACGGAAAGATGGTATCGTGCAGGGGGAAAACAACAATTGAGACGTACCACAGTCGCGTTCTGGTTCTTCATCGACGCCTCGAGAGCCACCCTCTGTGCCCGCTGCTCGTCCACTCTCTTCCTCAAATCCGGAGCCATAGCCTACAAAAATACCATGAGACCCTCATGCCACTCAGACAAGAACGAACAGACCTGGTAGAGCTCTTCTGAAGTCGGCGTGGTCGCTGCAATACCACCAACCCACAACATGTCAGTAACACATCGCGACTGCGAGGTGAGAAAGAACGCACTTCGCATGACCAGGTACCCAACGCCCATAACTAACACATATCATCAACGCAAGTCATCCACACCATATCACACTGATGAGGGCCATGAACCACGAAGACAGAACGACCGATGCGTACTTCCAGTCGTCACGAGCGTCATCCCAAACCACGGAAATTTATTTCCAGACATAATCAGTGCGGGTCTCGTCCAAGTTAAAACGACGCGATGGGGCGAACGGCGAGGACGAGGGGTGTGTTGCTGAAGTGTGCGTTGAGATAAAGGTGAATAACGTCGAGAGCTCCAACCAATGTCGGTTGGAGCTCTCCCCAATCAGCACAGGGGGTATTACAGAAAGTCGATCCAGGTCCCTGGGACATGGCTCAAACCATTAACTATCAGTGGCGGTGGCCCACTTCACACGCTCGAACTCTCCATAGTCGACTCGAAACCATTCACTGCTCGATATTAATATGAAGTGCTCACGACGGTAAGGCTACTCACCTCGCACAATTCCACCGGCAAATGTTACAGTGAGAACATCTCTCAATTCTTCCGCCTCGAACCTCGAACATCTCTAACTTACTGGCACCCCACCAGCGGCATCTTCATCTTCATCGCGACGGACGTAACATCCTCCTCCTTCCATGCCACACCATTTTATTTAAATCAACCTCCAGTCAGACATACAACCACCGACGTTCATCCTTCGATTTTTTTACACTCAACGCCATTCAGCTAGTCTACTACCCCTTCCGAAACCCTATTTTAATCCTAGTACTACGGATACTCACACCGCCCGGTATGCTAATACTGTATATGTTTCGCATTCACCTTATTCGCCTCCGTGCACGCACGCAATGTAAAACCTTGACACTGACAGAACACGCCATTACTTACGCTGCACTGGCACCTCCTCCTTCCTTCCTTCCTTCAACGTCCCGGGTGCAATCTTACTTGTTCTTCCGAGTCTGAGTCCATTTAGCACGATCGCGAGGCCAAGCAACAAGCAGGTTTTACTTACTAGGGTCCATGGAGATATCCTACCATTACCATTCCATTCCATTACGACGAATGTATATACCGGTAACCGAACAACGAGAACGACCAGACGAGACGCCGACGCCGACGCAGACGCCTATTCCAGAAAATAGAAAAACCCATGCAGAAAGAACTTGAAGAAGAAGAAAAAAAGAAAGAAGACCCTAGAGAGTGTATGTTGAGCGCGAATAGAAAACCATACGCATCATCGAAGAGTCCACCAGAATTCGAACGCCTCACGAACGGGTCTTGTATAATCACACAATTCACACCGGTCTCCAATCTCGACGAAGAAAACGACGGGTGTCGACTGAACACACAACACGACATGGTATCGACAATCGACAATCGACAAAATAATGGCCATGTCAGCCTCGACTCTGATACGGCGATACGGAGATACGTATACGTATAGTACAAATCACATGAACTTCGACCAAACAACGAAAATCGAATCGTACTCAACCAGAACCAGAGCCTTCGAACAGAACAAAATGGAACGGGCGGATAAACCAGTAAGAACACTATATTATATACAATAATCGTGGCTCGTCGCTGCGGGGTAAGAAAAAAACAACACAACAGAAGAAGTTGAGAGAGAGACAAATCGAGGATGGAGATGGAGATGGATATGACCGTACGCGATGGGGATGAACAGATGAGGAAAGGGACGGGGAGATGGTTTGGGGATGAGGTGATGGTGATGAGGTGGTGAGGTGATGGTGATGGCGCTGGATGCTTGACTGCGTGATGAGCGATGGACCGGGGATTGATGAGGCCGGAGGACTGCATAACGGTGTGTCGAGGAAGGAAAGGTGGATTGATTGAATGAAGGATGCGGTTAGGGAGGACGTTACTCATGGAGCGGGGGCGGGGGCGGGCTGAACTCGCTGCTGCAAGAGACGGGCGAAAGGGAAGGCGAAGGGGGACGTGTAAATAATCGCGACAGAAAGACGGCCAGATCCGGTATGTATGTGAGTATGTAGGAATGCGGATGGATGCGAGAGAACGAGGACAAGACGGACGGACGGACGGACGGACGGACGGTCCAAGAATATGCGTGTTATGTATATGCAGGTGCAGGTGCGGATGACGGAATGGAATGGAGATGGAGAACAGAAACGAAACGAAAAAAATGGTAGATGCAGAGATGCTATGCGATGCCAATGATCATGAGGATGAGGATGGAAGAACGAGAAAGAGACAATTCACGACGAAAAAGCCGGGATAACGGAGATTCAGATTCACCGCCCACTGACGACCTCCCCTCTTCTCTGCCTCCCAAACACCCTACTCATCCTCAACATACCTATACTGCTCCTCCGACTCTGCATCTCGATCCTCTCCAGCTCCTCCTCCCAAGCCCTCACCTGCTCCTGCGCCACCGCAATCTTTTTCTGCGTCCTCGTCGTGACGCCCGTAATAGTATTCACCCTCAACGTCGGTATAAGCCCATTCATGATCTCCTCGCTCTCCGCCCTCCCTGACCCATGGCCAAGACTCATACCAACACTCGACCCCGCACTCAAACTCGTTCTCAACTTCGTCGTCGTCGATGAGGGGGGCGAAATCGCAGCCACGGGCACCACAGGAACCTGAACAGGCGCAGGCTGCGCCACACTCGCCGCCATCGCCGTCCCCGGCCTCCACCCAACACTCAAACTGCCTCCCAGCCTCTCCAATACCACACCCGACCTTGGCCCACCCCCGTTCAAATTCCCCGCCTTGCTCGAATGCGAATGCGAATGCTCTCTCGACCCACTACTCGTATGCGGCCTCGGGCCCGCCGAGGTATGTGGCCTCGCATTCGAGCTCGAAGACCCGCTTTCTCTCGATCTTTTTCGTTTTGCATCTCGTGGGTCACACGTCCCAGGTCTTGTCGACCGCTTGGAGTTAGAGGAGCCGTCGACGGCCCATGGATCGTGCCCGTCGGGAGTGTTGGCTGCCGCTGGTAACTTCGCTTTCGTACGATGCGGTGACTTTGAGCCTCCGCGGGTGGGAGTGGTGGATGACGCGCCGAGGGATTCTTCGTATTTGGACATTGCCAGCGAACGTTCGGCAGCGTTAGTGGACACGACTGTGAGAGCTTGCTCTCTCAGCTCTAAGGAGTCTGTTCCAGAAGGCGAAGATACTACGATCTGTAATGCGAAGCGTATGAATAAGCGCACCGTACAAACGGAAATGCGAAAGGAGCGGGACCGCAAAAGACCTGACGAAGCAGCTGCGTCATGCCTTCTCTCCGAGACGCGGAAGATAAAAGGACATGGCGGCACCGAGGGATATAGATAAAGGTGTAACGATTGGAAAATGAGGACGCACTTTGACTTTGACGTAAAACCGAATTCTGCACATGTCAGTCGTGATCTGCTCGCCTAGTGCCCATTTGGTATGGCTTCGTGCGGCTGGCCATTGCACGGTCATCGTCCTCGACCAGACGCCAGTCTCCGGGTCCCGGACGAAGTGCCGAGCGGCGTTTTCGGTACCGACTACTGTGGACGTCGAGACTTTCGGTGCAGTGCTGGATGAACTCGAGGAGATGGAGGGTATGAGAGGATGGTGAGAGTCGTTCGTTTCTACGGTGTTTACGGTAAGGCTGCTGCCGGACAGGGATAAGCGTGAGTGTGATGCGGCGGGTGCACGGAGGGAGGATGGGGAATGATTGGGATAGTTCGGTGGCGATGAAGGAGGAGTGGTCCGGCCAGGAGAAGAGGAGAAGAAGTGTGGGTCCTCCGGGTCTAGTGAAGGGGATAGTGGCGAGGAGGCGACGGGGGACGAGGTGATGGAAGCGGGCGATTCTCGGATCTCGATGCGACGCTCGACGGTAAGCGAGGCGGAACGAATGGAGACGGATGGGTCGGTAGGACGAAGACTGACGCCGACCGAAAGAAGGTCGGTAGGACCGATGGGATCTGTCGGCACGTCGAGGTAGTAACGGATGACGGGCGCGCGGGGCTTCGTGGTCTGATGGGGGAGGTAACCGAACGGCGGCGGAGATGGGGGTGGGATGGGTGGGGGGAGGTCGAAGCGGGTGAAGTTATGGAGCTCAGCGGACTTGATGAGACGAGCGCCGACGCCGGTGAGGGGAAGATGGTTGACGACTGGGTGCGAGTTGTGGGTGATGATGATGGCGAAGAGAGGACTGATGGAACATACCTGCTTCGAGCCGCCAAAAGATGCGATAGTCCTGATAGTATGCGGCACTGAGTCCCGGGGTCTCCTTTGGAATTGTGATCCGAAAGGTGGAATCAAAGTCGCCGAGGGGGGCGGATTCTGCAGGGGGAGGACATTGCCAGAGGACGGTGGAGTAGTCTGCGAGGATGTTTGAGTGCACGGCGCCGCGACGACCGAGGCGAGACTCGTAGCACCTCACGGAAACGGTGAATGATTTTGCGGGTAGAGGCTTGCCGTCGTCGTCGAGTTTGGTGCGGACGACTGTAATGTGGGTGAGCGATGAGGGCGGGGGGGACGAGCAGCGCGTCTGAGGTGCTTACCTCCCTGTACGGTGACCGGAGTGAGGCCAAGGTAGCCAGTGTGGGGGAAGCGGACGCCGTTTCCAGTGGCGGAGGAGAGGAGGATGTGCATGTGTGGGGATGGAAGGCGTCCATGGCAGTAGCGGGATGCTGGCGTTATAAGAAGATGAGGGTGCCCATTCCGAGCAACCAAGAAGCAGCGTCCCATCTCGGCTGACTAAGCACATCAACGCCTTCCTTTCCTGTTTCAGACCCCACGCCTTCTTCCCCGGCTACTGTTCCCCTCCGCCTTCAACGTCCACAACAATGCCGCACTCAAGACTGTATGTGCCGACCCTCATCGGCGGCATGATCCTTACCGTCAGTCTCTCTTTACTCTCACTTGTCGCCCCGCTCATCGTCCAGTAGGGAGCATGCAACTCGCTATGGAGCAAGTACCAGGTCCGTACGCCCACTACCCCTCCCTTCTGCAATAGAACTGACCGGTTCGCAGGACATGCAATGCGTCGAGAACTGTGACGATCCCAACCCGAAGCACCATGTTCTGTACGAGCAGCCGGTGTGGCAGACCCTCCAGATGTTCCGTGCGTCTCTATTCGCATCCGCGCCTGCCATCCAGCTACTCATCTGTTGCCCGTCCTAGTCGGAGAGATGCTTTGTGCGCCGCTCGCCCACCCTAACCTTATTCTGCACGCTAACCTTTGAGTTCAAGGCTTCCTCCCTGTTCTTTACTCCTGGATCGCCTCCTACCGCTCTTCTTCCGTCCATCTCCCCGCAGACGACCAGCCAGAACACGTCCTCGGCTCGCCATCCAAGCTTCCCTCGCAGCAGCTCACCGGCTGGCGCGTCCTCCTGCTCTGGCTTCCTGCTTTCTGTGACCTAACCGGCACCACGGTCCGTGCCACCCCTTCCTTCTCCTCTTCCATTTGTCGCTCGCGTGCACCGCCACTCTCTTCCTCCTTTCAGTTCCCTAAACTCCTTCTCCCTCTTATTCTTGGCAACCGTCTCTCCTCCTCACGCTCACCCTCGAATCATGATTCGCCTTCCAGTTGATGAACATCGGCCTTCTTTATACTCCCGTCTCCATCTATCAGATGACACGCGGCGCCCTAGTCCTTTTTGTCGGCGTTCTCTCTGTTCTCTTCCTTCATCGTCGTCTTTGGCTCTACCAGTCCGTTTCTATTCCTTCGCTTCTCGCACAAGACGCCACCTCTCACACATCCTTTGCCGATCAGATGGATGTCTCTCCTCACCGTCATGGCCGGCGTTTCCCTCGTCGGCTTCAGTGGCTCCCTCATCAAGGACACTCTCCATCCCGATGCCGTCATAAACTCAACCTCCACAGAACACATTGACGGTCCCGTTGCCGAGCCCATTGACCAGCCGGAAGCAACGAAGGTTTTGATCGGTATGTCACCCCGGACTAGCTCAATCCGCTTATTACCGCCTCAACCTTACAATTGTTCTCCGCAGGCGTCTTCTTCATCCTATTCGCGCAGATCTTGTAAGCTCCAGCCTTATACCTCTTCTCGCCTCCATCCCCATGCCGCATATCGCTTCTCTACCATTCCTTCAATTCATCCATTATTCATACCATGCCCGATACTAACCTAACCTAACCTCGGCCCGATCCACCACGCGCGGTCAGCACGGCGACGCAATTCGTGGTCGAGGAGAAGCTCCTGTCGCGGTACACCATCGCGCCGCTTCTCGCTGTCGGCTACGAAGGCCTCTTCGGCGCCATCTCCGTCCTCATCCTTCTCCCTCTCCTTCCGCTCATCCCCATCTCCCCTACCTCCCCTGCCGCGCCTTGGTTCGACCTCCCGCGCGGATGGCACCAGCTCGTCGATAACCCCACTGTGCTCTGGTCTGGACTCGTTATCGCGTGCTCGATTGCGTTGTTCAACTTCTTTGGGTTGAGCGTGACTAGGCATGTCAGCGCTACCGCGAGGAGTCTGACCGATACGTGTCGTACGCTCGTCATCTGGATCGTAAGTCTCTCCCTCTCCCCCTCCGTCTGCATATCAAACAACTTGACCAAACCACATGAACGTGAACCCGAAAACAGATCTCGCTCCTCCTCGGCTGGGAACTCCTCCTCTTCCCGATCTCCCTCCTCCAAGTCCTCGGCTTCGCCCTCCTCGTCTACGGAACCTTCCTCTTCAACAACCTCGTCAGCCCGCCGTCCTTCCTCCGTCCCCGTCCTTCCTCTGCACCTGCAAACGCGGAGAGCGCCACGGAACCGCTACTGGCGGCGGAGGAGGACGAAGAGAGGAGAGAGGGATTGGAGGAGACGGCGGTGTTGCCTGTGGGTGGGGTGGGACATGCGGCTGGGTTCGATGTCGTTCCTGCGAAGGGGCATGATGAGTGATGAGTGATGTGAGATGTGAGATGTGAGTGAGCGAGTTTTAGAGTTGGTTTGCTAATGGATTGGATGGATGAGTGGTGGAATGTGGAATGCGTGGTCTAACTTAGCAGTTATGCGATGGCTTGCATTATTATTTTTCTTGGAACGTTACGCTTTCTTTTCTTAATTGTACACTACGTATACATCGTGCACGTCTGGACTTTTTATATATCTAGCCGCATCGCATAAGTAAGTACTTCAGACCCGCATCGCAACGCGTTCGTCCGTCGGTCTCGCTAGCACCCACTCGCATCCTTTGACAGTAAATCTCAGAGCATGCTAAGCCAAGCCATATAAATCCAAGACAATTCATCTATTCATCTCATCTCATTCGTCTATCCTCGGACGATCGCCCATAATACATATCCAGCCCAACAGCTTCCGAGCCCAGAGTCCATTATGATTTTGGCATTTGCACGTACTTACGGCCAAGACTGTAACAGACGCGGTGCGGTGCGGTTGTGGGGTGACATGACATGACATGACAATGACAGGATCGCGATTCCGATTCGTATCGGAGATCGCATCTCACTCACAATCTTGTCTTGTCGACGCGGGTTTGGCCATTCGATTGAATTGAATTGTGAGGGTTGTACGTCACCGTGTGGCTTGGAAGGACTGAGGAAAAGAAAGGGAGGGATACTGTACCATTTCGACCTTATGTTCACGGGGTGTGACCTGTGACGCTGTGAACTTGGCAAAATCGCAGTTCACATCGGTTATTTGGTGGCTGTACGACTCCCCCTGCTGTGACTTCGAGTTCATAAAAGATCCAAAATGACCTTTACATGTCGCGCCGGAGGCGCGAACCGAAAAATATTGATTTTCAAAGGTTTTTTCTCAGTTCACAGACCTCTGTGACCTGTGACCTCTTGGCGCTATGGGGTTCAAAGGGGTGTCCGTGACGCGTGACTGAACATAAGGTCGAAATAGTACAGTATGTCCTCAGCCGGGCCCGTCAAAGGAAGGAGCGCGAGGGATATCTTAGACTAGTACTCAAATCTCGGGATGATATAATTGATTTATTCCACTTTGACTTCTGTGGTTGTGTGGTGTGTGGTGTGTGGCCGTTTGTCCTCGAGTAAGAACTTGGGAGCGCTCGACAGCGCCAAGACCAAGACGTGCGTGTACATATTACAAAGGGAACCTAAATTGAAAATGGCAAAGCCCGACGACGACGACCACTTCGACCAACCGATGACTTCGAGATGAACCATGCCAGCGGCAGCGGCATGGGCATGCATATGGGCAAGCTTGAATACAGTATCCTCCCGAGAGCTTCGTTTGGTTCCGTTTCCGTTTCCGTGCGGGCATGGATCTCGTTCCGTCCGTTCGTCCTTCGTGGGGGCGGCGCACTGACACCCAAGTACCCATCTACAAATGAAATCCAGAGCATTCGAAGTTCGAATTTGGCCCGTCGACCGTCCTTCGAATTCTCCGTTTTTGATTTTTACTTTTAGCGCTATATAAGCGCGGATATACCGCTGCCGCCGGCTCTGTGCATATGATCATGCCGGGCTCCAGAGTTCGAGCGAAGACTTTTCGTTGACCTCGAGCTCAAACTGCATAGCATGACAAGGGCGCACTTATATTTGACGGGGAAGACCTGTCGAATGGTACGTGGTAACTTCCTTAAAACTCCTGCGTCCTGTCGGCCCGCTTTCGCTCCAAGCTCCTCTCCAGCCCTCGACTTCGAATGTGACCGTTTTCCGGCGGTCTCAGGCTGTTTCTTGGAACATCTCAATCTTTATGCTGCTTGACACGATCGGGGCGGGTCACCGCGATTCAGATGATATGTCAATGTTGGCCTCGGACTCGGAGGCTTTGTTTCCGGTCTGGGCTCTCAAGGAAGCAAGCTTCCTCGATCGGGGAGATGTTTGATGGAATTCAAGTTGGAGGGTAAGGATTCATAATTACTCGGTGTTGACGTCCTGCGATTGTCTTCAGCGGCCGCGGGAGGGTCTGTTGGGATGTGGGGTGATGTAGGATGGGATGGGGATTGAATAGCCTGGGGGATGAAGCTCGAAGTTGATGGGTTTGCTACGCAACGATCACTGGCAAGCTCCACGATATCGATGAGCATTGAAGACATCTAACTCGAAAAGAGTGGTGGTGGGATGGAGGCGCGGTACGTACATCACACCATACCATACCATACCATACCACTTGTTCTGATCCAGGGCTCGAGATTCTGTTCTGCTTTCGTTCCGGCCAACGCCAATTATAGCCTGGGACCGCAGCAAGAATTCATTCATTCAATTCATCTTACACCTAGTATGTAGTAAGCCTGAGTATAATCTCGGTCTTTGTACTAGCGCAGCGCTAAGTTAGAGTGCTCAGGCTTAGCGGCGGCCGTTGAATGGGCCGACATTCGTGCTGTCCACGCTCTGGCAGGGTTTTATTGACACGCCCATTTTATTACTTACTATACGGCGGCTTCGACTTCGAGATGCGATATGGTATGGTATGAGGGGACGCACTGCGGATGACGAACTTGGATGAACAGGCGGGTGAGTCCCCGTTCGATTACTTATTGTTTCGAGTCATCTTGCCAGTCTACTTATGCCCGACGCCGTCGATCATCGACAACACGGGAATTAATTCCCTCCTTTCATCGTCTTCTCCCTTCGCGTCTTCCGCCAAACGTTCATTAACGATTTAATAAACCAATCGATTTTCTTTCTGACCCGCCGTCTGGATCGCGATATCGCCTGTCGGACTTCGCATAACCCACAGCAAGGTTTGACTTCGCCGGGATTACCTTATTTTTAGTAAGTACTTAGGTGTCGATTGCTTGCTTCGATTGCAATGATGCTTCGCGTTGCCAGTTCGGCTGGTTCTGACTCCGTTGCGGGCTTCGCGTCTTCTGCTTCAAAGCAAAAAGCAAAGCAACGGAGGTCCTCGGCGCGGCGCTGGGCGTTGAACTTGGATCAGTACAGCTGATGTTGAAGGGTTCGTGACAGCGGCTTCCTCCCCTCACAATATTTTACAGCCACATTCTGGTCTGGCAGCAGCGTCTGATGCTTTGAAACTGGGAGGACTTGACGACGGCAACAGCTTCTAGTTTCATTTTCTTTGACGGTCAATCCTCCTGGACACGATTTCCCCCCAAGCTGAAAATCTGGAAGTTTGCTTAGGAGGACTTGTAGCTTCTGTTGGGGGTCATGAGTCATGACGTCGAGCGCCCAGATACCCAGCCTCACTCTTGTCTGTGCGTGCAACACTGCAAGTTATCGCACCGCATCATCATCTCACTGCTTATATTCTTGGCTGACATCCGTCTTTGGGTTTTCCTTCGCAGTTTTCAACCCTCGAAGCACAAATCAATCGTTCGCAAACATCACAACAAAGGTCAACCGTGATGCTTGTCCGAACCATCTGATCTTTGCACTGGCCCCGGTCTACTTCCCTTCTCCCGATATCTCACTCGTTGACGACTCCATCTGTTGTTCGTAGGTCCACCGAGGCGCCGCACCAGACCATATATAGTATGTTTTTGTTTCGATGGATGATTGAACTGACGCTGTGTTTCATCTTTCGGAACCGGAGGACGAGTAAGTTCGGAGTCCTTATTGCCATTCGGCCAGACTTTCGATGATACGGAAACTAGCCTTCACGGGGTTTTCAGAGTCTGATGTGGGCAATAGTTGTCCCACCATATATCCAGCAATCATGGACCTACTCGTACGTATGATGGACAAGTCTACGCCTGTTTTGGCGTCCTGGTGTCATACCGATTGCCCTTTAAACATGATATATTTCAGTACGATGCTGACTCGTTCTTGTCTACAACAATCGAGATCGCCCAGAAGGCTGCGTTCCGCCACATCTAACTCACCGTCGGGCCCTTTGATTGGAAGTACTGTCGGTGAAGATTCCACCATTGCGGCCACTATCATACCACCACCGTATTGATCAATAATTCTGCCGTCTGTTTCAGCGAATTCTTCTTTCTTGGAAGTTCGCCTCGATGTGCGACATGTGACGTTCGCTATGTAAGTGATAAAAGGTTACACAAATACGCATGGCTGTTATGCTGTAAAACTGATACTTGCCGAAAGCGTCGGCATCGAGGAATGCTGTCTGGTGCAGTCCGTTTCTGGCAGAGCCTGTGAATGCCGTAGGAATGTGGCGGTGGAATTGCCTGGCTATACAATCAACTTGCATGATGGTCTTTGAATCTGTCTGTGGTGCGTTCCATGATCACGAGAACTTACACGAACTGTTATGGTGCGTTCTACTTCCGAGATTCTGTTCGGCTTTCCGGTCAACACTCGTATATGCGATGTAGCGTGGTACTAATTATACCCTGAAAGTGCAGTCTCTGGCTAGGCGTGTAGGCGTCGTGGTAGCCGCTGATATCGGATGGCAGGTGAAGCTCGTCGCTCATCATTGCTACTGTCGTACCCGTTCGCTTCGACTTCGAAACGTGTAGTCCACGTACAATCCCAAGATGCACTGGCTGTGGGCAGGGTTCGCTACATCGTCGCCTATCAACTATGGTCCGCCGAGTGAGGCGAACGGCGGATAGCTCGATGATACCGGGAATTCAGTGAGTTTCCTTGTTCTGTCTACTTTCCTGCCGCACTTGGATATTTCCTGATTTAAAATCCTCCGCACTATGCAACATCGTCCGGCTCAATTATACAGGACTCGAAAAGTTGCTTTTCCTGACACAAGGTGTCCCATTATTGCCGCTCTGTCTCAGAATCAGCCAGCTACAGTCCACCTGCGAAATCCGCCTATCTCGACTAGCAAGATCGAGTTCGCCGACTCCCTGCCGCAAAAGAAACGGTCTGTTCGGTCAACGTGTCGAGATGGAAGTTGGCCTCGCTTGCAGGTTGGCCGTTCCGTCAAAGGTGTTCCAACTCCGCTGGACTCGCCTGCGAAGCTGGCGTACTTATTCCGCTTCGGCAAGGTGTACATATGACACGGAGCACATCGGCACGGCGAACTTCGACCTCGTGGTATTAGGCTGCGCAGTAAGAAGAATCAAGTTTGTGAGGCTTGACGACGCCACCGAAGTACATCGGTCGCCGGAACGGGGAGCCTAGACGTCTTCCAACTTCGGCGTGAAGCGGCATGGCCTGTGGGTATGTATGTGGGTCGTCGCAGCCTATCATCAACCGACATCGCCTGCCAGGATCACCGCGGAATTTACAGACCCGGACTCTTACTGTTCCTCGGCGACTCAAAGGCTGGCTTACCGAACTTTTAGATGGCGCTCAATGTCGAAGCCCCATCGTGAAATTCGTCTTGAACGCTTGCTAATCCGTCTCCGGGTCCGCAATGCTCAGCAATCGAATACCAAGTTTCGGTCATCGGAACCGTGAGCAAGGCTGGCTTTCTACTTCTGTTCCTCAACTACAGTGCGCCTATACATGCCTTTAACACCACTTGATTGCGGGAGCTGAGTCTATCTAGATCTACGGCAATGTCTGTAATTTGGGCGTGCCATTGCTACCTGGACTCAGTCCGGGCACTGACTGATGTTCTCCCAATCTGCACGTTATTCATGTCTCATTGAAACACTGTTTTGGGCCATTTCCTTCACACTTGATGGCAGATAGATCGCGCTGTCTTGATGAGCAATTCTACACTCAAGGGTAAGTCATCAGTGTTGTCCGCAAGCTGGTAGGCAGAACAACCGTCACCCAACAGCCTTCTCCTCGTGATCATCTGTCGGACGTTCTCTTTTGCGCGAGAAGTTGATGACGATGGCGCTTTGCTCGTTGTAAATGATGGCGCTATGTTTCATCAGAGCCTTCTTTGGGCTTCATTCTATCTTTCTTCTTGAATGCGATGCCGTGCCGACAATCCAATAGCTTCACATTCTGCAAACATCACCTTGACTAACAAGCCGATATGCGACGGATGCTACTTCGGAGGAAACCATGCTACTGCGCCCAAGTTGCCTACGGCTTCACTGTTCTCTCTAACAATCAACACAAGCTTTTTCCAGGCCTCGGGATCACGTCGACATCGAACGACTTTCCCTTCTCACGATGACTAACTTTCAGATAACAGACCGTAGGCCCCTCCGTAGACAAGGTCCAATAGCAGCGGCCGTCAACACTACGGTTGGCTATCCAGCATCACCCTGTGCCGCTTCAACTGGCTCACCGCTCATCGGACCGGTTAGTCCAAACTATCCAGTAGGTTAAACATCTCATGCAAAGTTACCTCCCTGTCGCTGTGAACTTTGCTGAGCGTTCGTTGCTAGTTCGGCGTGCGGCACGGTATCGTTACAGTGGTGTCAGCGGTTCGAGGGTTCTAATCAGCCTGCGGTGCTGACCATTCGGCTGATATTCTGTTTCTATTGCAGGCATAGGGCGCACTGTACTAAAACAGTCTCAAAATTCTGGCCTCTTACAGCCGATACTGGGAATCGAGTCGCGTCCTCCGACTCTGAACATCTGAACATGAATGCAGCCTCGCCTCCATTCCTGAGCCGGATACATGATCCCTGTCTACTCGGACGGGTCCTGCATTACTTTACCATAGTGTATTTGGGCGTATCGCGAATCGAGCCTTGCCTCTGAGCATAAGTAGAACAGTCCTGTGTTTGATCACAAACGGCCTCGTACTAATATATGGGCTAGTGAATATTGCATAGAGTAGCAGTTTCTCATTGAGATTAGCCCAAACGTCCTACATACATGGAGTTTGGAGACTGTATCATCGAGTGGTATGAAGGAGTTTTGACCGGCATCACTAACAACTACCGGCATGAGGGCGCTGTTACTGTTAGAGGGTGCAACGAGCGAACCGGACACTGCACAACCTAGCCACAAAATGTATGCATCCGTCCCAGAGGTTACGAAGACGATGGGTTGCTTAATCAACGGGCGCAGGGAATTGAGTGTAACGTTGTATTGGCTGCATGGTTAGCAACGAAAAGGAGCTGGTGCAGTTAGTGAACTGGTTGTACCTTAGGGAGAAGGGCGGTTACAGGCGTTATTGTGGAGAATGTGGAGACGATCGGTATGAGTAACAAGCAAGAAGGCAATTTGGAGAGGAGGCAGAAGATGAGTTCAATGGCCACTTTGTGCAAGCCTACGAAACAGTCACACAGGAGAAGAGGAGGTTCAAGAATTTGGAATTGTGCAAGAGATCATGAATACATGTTGTGCGGGACAAGAAGGAACAGAATTGTAGGTGGCAACAAGGAGGAGAAAGGGGAGCTAGGTGGCTTTTAAGACGAGGTCATGCAGAAGATAACAGAGGGGGCCGCGAGGGTTTTAAACGCTGAGTGACAGTGTCTGGAGAATATAGAGATTAGGAGTTTTCGGCGGGTTGTATAGATGGATGGACGTACCACTACTTCAGCTCCGGTCACTTTGTCGGTGTTGGAGAAGGCGAGTTGGGTTTTGGCCTTGGAATAAAGGATGTACGTAGACGGCTTGCTCCCGTCAGGGTTCGTCCATTGAGCTATAGTCATATGGTAAGTATCCAAGTGGTGTACAGGGAGGGTGGTATGTGCGTACCAGAGAGAGCCCCGCTGGTTGAGTTCAGCGTCCAGATCATGGAGAAATCGCCTTCTGCGACATTTGTGAACGGGATGAGGCTGTGATCGGAATGAAGAAAATAAGGTGGCGTGTTGGATATACAATTGAACGATGTACGTACCCAGTAAGTTCAGCGTCAGTCTGGCCGATGTATGGCGGCGAATAGTTGGCGTTCTAAACGATACAACGGCTAAGGTTAGTCTGGCGGCTACATAGGGAACGGATGGAGGTGCAAACCTGAGCCAACAAACTTCCGTTGACGGTGCCCTCGACAAACTTCAGCACGACGTCCCCGCTGGCAGCAGCACGACGGCGCCTTGTGGAACCGCTATCGGCAATGACTTGACTCCTAACAGGGGCGCACAAGGTGTCAGAAATGGTACGATTTGGGGTATTGGGAACTACACATACGGATCGTCAGCAGAAAGATGGCCGAGCACAGTACCGTCGGCCAGAGTAATCTCGGCGCGTCCTTGCGTTGTGCCTGCAGATGCGGCAGCTTGCCTAGCAGCTATAGGAGGAGAAGTAAAGTATGAGCGGCTTGCATCGAAGCAAAAAATGCAAAAAACAAAATGAACGGACCGATGATGGGGGTGGGTGTCCTCTTGACAGGGGCTAGAGGGCCGAGGTTGCGACGAAGGCGGTCGGCGTTGGTCTGCCTGACAGGAAGTTTCGCACCATCAACGCAAGCAGTGGCCATGAAGATGGCTGCCAAGAAGGCGAGGAGAGAGATCATGGAGCGAGTCTGCTGCATTGCTGTGGATGGATGTGGGAGTGTGGGCGTTGGAAGTTGAGAGGATAGATGAGGAGGAGTGGAACTAGAGGGAGAAGTTGTGATGGAGATAGAAACGCTGAGATGCTCTCGCTTATATACGAATTAGCTTGCGGCAACGACAGCTTTTTCGCAAGTGTCACCTCAAAAGGTGGAGTATATGCTAGACTTCCGATGCCTGAACAGCTTTTGCGGTCTATCGGTAAGCATGGCATCATCGGGAGCCAACTGTATCGCATGTCTCACACACAAAAAATGAAATAAGAAAGAAATTAAAAGAAAACAGATCTGAAACATTTTGAGACATCCTGCTGAAAAGGCTGTATCGAAGGCGGTGTGACGGCTTAAGCTCCCGAGTATTATTCGGCATGGTAGAGGGTTTGCATGAGTGGTGAAGGAGCTCATGCATATTTGGACTTTGACGTGACTGCCTTCAGCAACTCTGTAGAGGTGTGATAGGCAGAAGGTTGTGTCAAGCTTGAATCAACAGGCATTGTCGAGAGCATTGTCTTCCACGCGTCGTGTTTGGCTATTGCTTCGGATCCTAACAAGGCCAAATACGAGCAATCACGGGTGCCACATGACTTTTAAGATAAGTTACAGAGCGAGGAGCGAATGCGAACATACATCTGTTAATACATGCCTGACGAAGAGGGAGGGTGAGAGAAAAAAAGCGAACTCCATCGCGTTATGAGGATGCAAGCTTCCACATCCTATCCGCGTTCTCAAAGTCGGATCTCCCTTCTCTGAGGTTGACAACGTGGATATCTCCCGAGGTGCTCTCTGAGACCAGAAGAGAACGCAATCAATTAGCAGGTGAAGGGAAGGTGGACAGGGAAAAGTTATGGGCCAATAGGAACGAGTATGCATACCAACGAGCATCTTCTCGAGATTGCCGTGCCTGTCCAGTACGGGCTCGAACCCAAGGCCTTTATAGATCTGTAGCCGTAACCTGCCAATCCAGTCCAAAAATGACCATTCATCCCATCCGTTAGCACCGCACCGTTAAGGCGGACATGATGAATGAAGAAGTGGCGACAACTCACGCAGTCCCATCCAAATCGCTCTCCGCCTCTGCCGCCGGATCGCTCTCCTCAAGCATCCTCGCCTCCTCCTTCAGCCTCGCCAACTCCGCCTCCTTACTCGCCAATGCACTCTGTGCGTCATTTATCGCTTTCACGAGCTGGAGGCCTGTCGCGTCCAGTGCATTGACGGTTTCGAGGTGCTTCTCAGCAGAAGGGACAGAAGGTGGGCGGGTGGAGGAGGCACGGGCAGATTCGAGGATCCGGGAGAGGGCTATGTAGAGTAAGATCATAGCGGAAAGATTATGAGTGCTATAAAATGACGGATTACATGGCGAGGTTCGAAAAGGCGGGAAGGAGAGGTGGAGAGGGGATGCTGGGCCACATGCGTACCTTTAAGGTTATTCCGTGCTTCCTCAAGTTCCTTCTGACGCGCCTGTGCGCGAATGGACATCTGCTCTTCTGCAGCAGCAATAGTGAGGTAGTCCTCTTCTGGATCCAAGAACTGGGTCATCGTATGGATGCCTTTGCTTTCACATCGGGGTCGTTGTTAGTTAGCGTTCGAGCTCTGTACCGCCGAAGTTGACTAGAGCAATGATCATTGTTGGCTCACATGGCTTCCTGAATATCCATGTTGTATTTTTTTTCAAGTGTCCGAATACAGAGTTTAAGTTGTGAAGTGGGCCAAGGATTCACGCAGTCGTGGAAGAGAACAAGGAGTTCATCTCAAAAGGGACGTGTTTAAGACGCGTGACGTCACGCGTTTTCCGTTACATTGCGACGCCACAGAAACGCCACACTTTTGACTGCTTGGTACGGGACTGTGTACTAGTGGCTAAAGAATCGCTCTCTCGAGTAGTTTGAACAGAAAATAACACCCGACTAAATGAAACAAATCTGTCATGAATGAGGCGACAAGGCGCCTCCCGACCAACAACTTACATAGTTCAAGTCTCACAAGGGGAGGTACATGGGCGGCGATATACGTAAAAGAACTGAGAAACTCGAACAACCGACTCCTTAGTCGACGGTTGGGTCAATTTTGACAACGACTTTGCCAGTGGCTCGACCACTCTTTATCCTATCGTACGCATTGAGAGCATCCTCGAAGGTGTGAACGGAGTCGACAGGAGGCTTTACTTCACCTAAGTCATGACGAGAGGTGTTAGCGTCTAGGGAGCGTATCAGACAACTAAGTAGAGGCGTACTCTGCGCGAGTATCTCCTTCATGGCCTCGAGATCCTCCTTCTTATGATCAACTCCGACAATCCTGTATCAACACCAATGTCAGTGATCAACATGCACGCGTATGTTCTGTCGTGGAACAGAAGACGGAATCCAACGTACGCGAACTTCCGGTTAACACCTCCAAGGAACCTCGGAAGAAAGGCGAATACCAACTTGGAGATTTTCGGTGCGTCGCCCCAGGATTTCGGGGTTGGCCCGGTAGATACGAACACGCCACCGGGGGCGAGGTACTTCTCAGAATGAAGATAGAGGGAGCAGTCTGCCAGGCCGACAGCTTCAAAGATAGCATGATATTTAGGTGAAGGTGGATTCTGCTGGAGATAGGTGGCTAGGTCTTCTTTAGTGTAGTCAATGAACTAGAAGAAAGAAGAAGTGCAGTATGATCGTTGAGAATGCTATCGAGGATCACGGAGAAGTCTAGGTATTAACGCACCTCGTCAGCGCCCATCTTGCGAACGAACGCTTCATTCTTGCCAGACGCTGAGGCGACGACCTTGATGCCTCTCGCCTTTGCGAAGATAATGGCGAAAGCGCCGACAGATGTACTGCCGCCGTTGATAAAGACAGTCTGCCCAGCTTCCAGCTTTGCAACCTGGAAGAGTGCCTGATAGCCGGTCATACCAGCTAGTGAGATGCCGGCGGCCTGGGTCGGGGTGAGGTTCGGAGGACGAGTGGTGATATAGTCCGCAGGTACAACAGTATACTCAGAGAGAGCACCTTCCCTTGTCTTGAGGTTGAGGCCTAAATTGGACGACCTATGAGTACATTTTATAGAGAGGATGGCAGGGGTTAGGTGGACGACCTACCCACTGGTATCCAACCAAATATCTGATCACCGGTTGACCAGTGCGAACCATTTGGGTTGACTACTACGCCGGCGAAGTCATGCTCTGCGGTCAGAGGTCTTTTGGCAATGAAGTTGGGTAAAAGGCCGAGGAGTTTGTAGAACCTGACATTATGAAGAGGTCGTGTGAGAGACACGAAAGTTCCAGCAATGAAAGAGACAAAATGAACCTACACTGGATTGAGTGCACCCGCCTGAACCTTGACAAGAACCTCACCTGGCTTGAGCGCTGTAGGAACGGGTAAGTCCGTTACGAGTTTGAGAGCATCGCGAGGCTGCCCTTTGGCGACGGCGCGCCATGCTCGTTGGGTGGTGGGGATGGACATTGTGGCGGGGGTGAGAAGGAATTACTGATGAATGCGACATCACGACCAGCAAGCTTTATATGACGCCCTGTGAGAAAAAGGGACCTGTGATGGACCTCAATGGCCGATTCAAGGCCATAATGCGCCACAATGAGCCACAATGTCCATTTAGGTTGCACATTGGCAATTTGGATGACGCAGGCTGCTATCACGTGGCATGCGATTATCTAAGCGCGTTCGGAGATTTCGATCGCTTTGGACCGACAGTCACGAAAGGCGCCCTCTGCCCTTCTCCCTCAACATCTTCCATATCCTTCTGTCTTCTATCACCACCACCTTCAACGCTGCATATCACGGCTCTGCGGACAGAGTGCCTTCTTTATATCATATTTTGATCTGATATTCTCGTCATGGAGGTGCGTCTTCACCCCTTATTCATCCTGCGATTGCCCAAACTCACCGCTTCGTGTCCGAACCTAGGTTCTACTCGATTTCTCGAGAGATTTCGATGTCTCTCTCATGGACAACGTCGTCATGGCTCTTTACACTGGCAATGGTGGAAAAGAGGTGCGCGTTTTCGCGTTTATCGTCTCTAGTCTTGACTCATCCTTGTTCTCTGTTGCTTGCTGTGCCACCAGCAACAAGTCGCACAACAAGTTCTTGCCCAGTTCCAGGAGCATCCGGATGCATGGCAGAGGGTACCAGTCATTATGGAGAGCTCTAACTATCCCCAGACGAAGGTCCGCCATATCTTCTCTTAGCGTCGACGTCCGTTCTCACAAAGATCCCGCGCTCCAGTACATCGGTCTTCAGATTCTCGAGAAACTGATCAACACACGGTGGAAGACTTTGCCTGAGGACCAGAGACAAGGTATGGTCTACTTGTGAGGCGCGGCTGACTGCGTGCTGACGCGTCCTTAGGCGTTCGAAACTTCGTTGTTGGGATGACTGTTAAGGTGGCGTCCGATGAGGTTACAATGCGGAAAGAGAAGACCTATATCAACAAGCTCAATCTCGCTCTCGTACAAGTACGCTCAATCAACTCAATATCTGCGCGTACATAGATGTGCTGAGACAGAACACTAGATCCTCAAACAAGAGTGGCCACATAATTGGCCGACCTTCATTCCCGAACTCGTCGAATCCTGCAAGACGAACCTCTCCCTCTGCGAAAACAACATGATCATCCTGAAACTCCTCTCAGAAGAGATCTTCGACTTCTCTGCGGAGCAACTCACACAGGCCAAGGTCAAGAACCTCAAAAATCAGATGTGCGGAGAATTTTCCGAGATCTTCAAACTCTGCTCTGAGATCCTTGAGGAGGCCCAGAAGACATCGTTGGTGAAAGCAACTCTGGAAACACTCCTCCGATTCTTGAACTGGATTCCATTGGGCTTCATCTTCGAGACGACAATCGTCGACGTCCTCATTCAACGTGTAAGTCGTACGCCTCATGTCACTCATTGAGCCCCTGACGAGTTTCAAATAGTTCCTTGAAGTCCCAGACTTCCGCAACATCACTCTGAAATGCCTTGCAGAGGTCGCCGCACTGAATGTAGGCCCTGAGTACGATCCGAAGTTCGTCTCGCTGTTCGAGATGGTCATGACTGCCATCAATCGGATGGTCCCACCAAACACGAACATCGCGACAGCCTACGCAAGCTCAAATGACGCTGGTCAAGAATTCATCCTCAACCTCGCTCTCTTCCTCTCCAACTTCCTTCAAAATCATGTCCGCACCGTGGAGACCGAGAGGAGCAACGACGTCCTGCTCAACGCTCATCTCTACATGGTCAAGATCTCGCAGGTTGACGAGCGAGAGATCTTCAAGATCTGCTTGGAGTATTGGATCAAACTCGTTTCAGAGCTGTATGAGGAGATTCAGAATCTGCCGATTGGGGACAGCGGATTATTGATGGGATTGAGTTTGGGTGGCACGAGCGGTGCGCAGAACTTGATGAGCGGTATGTCTTTGAGGAAGAATATCTACTCAGACGTACTTTCGAATCTGCGTTTGGTTGTGATCGAGAAGATGGTCAAGCCTGAAGAGGTGAGTGTTTAATATGTCTGATGGCATGCCCTCGTGACACCAACGTGACGTTTCTGTTCTAGGTTCTGGTCGTTGAGAACGAAGAAGGAGAGATTGTTCGAGAGTTCATGAAGGAGTCGGACACCATCGTGCTCTACAAGTCTATGCGCGAACTTCTCGTTTACCTCACCCATCTGGACGTCTCGGATACGGAGACGATCCTCACAAGTAAGCTGGCGAAACAAGTCGACGGCGCGGAGTGGTCGTGGGGAAACCTTAACACTCTTTGCTGGGCCATTGGTTCGATATCTGGTGCCATGAGTACGTTGCATCTCGTTTCCCTTAACCTTCACACGACCTCTACTGACCACTTCTCATAGACGAGGAGACTGAGAAGCGCTTCCTTGTCACTGTCATCAAAGACCTACTTGGGCTTTGCGAGATCAAGCGTGGCAAGGACAACAAGGCTGTGGTGGCGTCAGATATCATGTATATCGTTGGACAGTACCCTCGCTTCCTCAAGGCGCATTGGAAGTTCTTGAAGACCGTTGTTAACAAGCTCTTCGAGTTCATGCACGAGACTCACGAAGGTTTGATACCCATTTGATTTCAACAAATTCAGTCTCTAAAGTAGACCACTGATCCCTCTGAACGCTCACAGGTGTGCAAGACATGGCTTGCGACACCTTCATCAAAATCGCACAGAAGTGCCGACGCCACTTCGTCATGCAGCAGTCGCAAGAGCAGGAACCCTTCGTAGACGAGATCCTCCGTCTTCTGCACCGCATCACGGTCGACCTCTCACCGCTTCAAGTTCACACATTCTACGAAGCAGTCGGGTACATGATTTCGGCGCAGCCCAACAAGCCACAACAGGAGAAACTCATTGCTAAGCTGATGGAGCTTCCAAACAACGCCGTACGTCTTCATTGTTCTTGTTGCGTTCTCGGTTTTGGTGGAGTTCCCGCTCAATCAAATTTCTCGTTGTTAGTGGGACAACTTGATGTCACAAGCCACGACGGACATGGAAGTCTTACACAACCCCGAAAGCATCCGTATCCTGGCAAATGTCCTCAAGACCAACGTCGCGGCGTGCACGTCAATCGGCAGTTTCTTCTTGCCCCAGATCGCACGGATATACATGGACATGCTCGGGTTATATCGCGCAGTCAGTGGCATCATCAGCGAGCTAGTAGCAAAGGACGGTCAGTACTTTTTCTACGCTTTTAATCAATTCAATCATGAGTATACGTCCTCACGAACTTGGTTTGCATCTCTCGTAATCAGGCCTCATTGCGACGAAGACCCCGAAGGTTCGTGGCCTTCGGACTGTGAAGAAGGAAATCTTGAAGCTTGTGGAGACGTACATCAAGAAGGCGGAAGACCTCGAGGCGGTTAACATCAACTTCATCCCACCATTACTCGACGCCGTCCTCGGCGATTACAATCGCAATGTCCCTACTGCTCGGGACGCAGAGGTGTTGAATGTTGTAGCCACCATCGTCACACGGCTTGGAGTACGCTCAGTCCTCGAATTTTCTCAATTCTACGATATTTACTGACTGACCTCACGTGGTGCAGAACCTGCTCACGCCACAAGTGCCACCGATCCTGGACGCTGTGTTTGAGCCGACGTTAAGCATGATCAACCAGGACTTTGCTGAGTTCCCAGAGCACCGTGTCGGGTTCTTCAAGCTTCTGCGGGCGATTAACTTAAATTGCTTCCCTGGTACTTTGCGTTTTCTTTTGTGTCATGGACGGATTTGTCACTGATGACGCGTCCGTGTTGTCTAGCCCTCCTCGCCCTTCCAGCACCACAGTTCAAGCTATTCATGGACAGTATCTCCTGGGCCATCAAACACACCATGAGAGACATCGTGGACACCGGTCTCAATTGTGCGTTCTTCTACATCCTCACAACTTCGCATAGCCCACTTACTAAGAGTCACTTTCGTTTATTTATCCCCAAAGTATGCATCGAAGTCATCAACAACTTCGCCGCTGCAGACCAAGGCGTCGCTACGGCCTTCTTCCAGCAGTACTACCTTTCTCTCCTCCAGGACACTTTCTTCGTCCTCACCGATGCGGACCACAAGAGTGGCTTCAAGCTCCAATGCTTGCTGTTGTCGCGCATGATCCAGCTCGTGGCCACGAATGCAATCCAGGCACCGCTGTTCGACCCGTCGACAGTGACGGACCCTAACCAGACAAATGTGGGCTTCGTAAGGGAGTACACTGCAAACTTGTTGAAGTCGGCGTTCCCTCACGCAGCAAAGTACGCTTTACTACTTTTCTTCTTGTCTGCAAGTTCAGAGCCTGACATACTCGTTTCGATAGCGCGGATATCAAGGCCTTTGTGTTCAACTTGTCAGAGTACCACAGCGACTTCAACCGGTTCAAGCTTGCGTTGCGTGACTTCCTTATCCAGCTCAAGGAGTTCTCGGGTGATAACTCGGAGCTCTTCCTCGACGAGAAAGAGGCTGAGACGCAGAGGAGGCTACAGGAGGAGCGCGAGGCCGCGATGCGCATCCCTGGCATGCTCAAGCCTTCGCAAATGGAGGACAAGGACGAGGATATCTAAGTCTGAAGCTTTGTGTCCGGTGGGCTCGTTCAGAGACGCTTGAACTCTCGTGTTCTTCTTTTGTCTCGTCTTCCTTCACCGGGTCCTGGCAGGAAACCAACCACGCATCAGCATCTTTCTCCTTTCTGTGTTTCTACAGTTTATTGTGCTCCTGGTCTTGTTTCCCTTTTCTATCTTCCTTCTCGTCTAGTCCGTCCGTCGCATGAAATCGCATCGCACTTTCCACCGCCGTCGCTGTCGTCGTTGTCCTTGCCCGTGTGTCCTTTTGAATTGTAAACCCACAAGACCATCTTTCCCCGTCCCCCGTCCCCCGTCGCCCCTATTCTCTTTCTCTCTTTGACTTGCGCATCGCGCTGTTTATTATACAGTACAGTACGCCCGTGTTGTCGATGTGATTCATGAACAGGCCTGCGCGCCCTCAATTTCCTTTTCATCTCTGCTTTCTTCCTTTCTTTTTCGCCTCATATTCGCGCTCAGGATGTAACGATAGGCGAAGGAGTTGTAGCAGCTTGCGTCGTGTTATACAAGGGGCGAGGTCACTGTACTGGTGAGACTGTTGTGTGGGTTCTGGAGGATGCCACGGCAGCTCGAGAATAAGTGGGTCGAAGAGGCAATATAGCGATATTCTATTGTATGTACTTTGCTGGCGTGTTTTCTCGTATTCATATAGAGTACCTTTGTGTCGCCATCTCGCTCATCACACTCACAAACCAAACCAAACCAAAACCAAATCTCGAAAACTCGCCAAAACCAAACCTCGAATTTTCAGAACAACACCAGAGAATCGAACGCGACATCGAAACGTCAAACCTCGAGCATCAAACCAACCTCAATCCTGAGGCCTGAAATCTCACACAACGACACACCCGAAAAAGAAATTGGACAGAGACTCAGACTCGGCACGGGAGGCCTGCATGCTGTATACCGTATACCGTAGACTGGAGACTGAGCTCGAACCTCAAACGAACGCATATCGAAATCGTGCCTTGCCTTGCGTTGACGGTGGCGGCGGCGGTGGCGATGGTGACACAACACAACTCAACACAACACAACTCAACTCAACTCAACTCAACTCAACTCAACTCAACTCAACGCGGCAGAGGAAAGGACGATGTATATGTATATATGTACGCAATGCACGCAGACAACTGAGGAAACCGACCAGACTGTGACTGTGACCGTGAAGGCGTGAAAAGTGAAAATAGAGCCATCGAAACATCGAGGCATCCGGGTCCGGGACGTGCGACAAGTAGGGCTGGCACGTTAAGTAGCAAGGAATCAGGAATCAGGTGTCAGGGATCAGGAAACGAAGAAAGGTGGGCAGGCGGAGTGGAGTGGAGTGGAGTTGAGACAGGCAAACACGACAGGTGAACAGTGAACAGGGAGCTAGAAAAGACGAACAGAAGAAAGAAGAGCAAAGGAAGAGAGTAAAACATGATAAATATACGCACGAAAACTGAGGCGAGGCGTGATGAGCGATGGAATCTGGATCCGGAGCTCTAAACTAAATATGCGACAAGAACAAGAACAAGTAAGAGTAAGAGGAGAAACCGTGAAGGGCGTGAAGCAAAAGGCAGGAAAAGGCAAGGCAAGGCGAGTAATAGGTAATAGGGCGACGAGTCACTGGAACACGGAGGGAGGCGCGAAAGTAGCGTAGCAGCGATGAAGAGGCGAGGCGTAAGAGAAGATAATCGAAAGGAGTAGAGAGGAAGGGAGCAGGGAAGGAGGAAGCACGCAGTGATGAAGTGAAATGTAAAAACAGAAGGAAAAGGTAACAGCGAAAAAAAGATCATGATATGAACGATGGTCCATCCATAGACGAGTGCGCTCATGAACCGAAGGCGCGTACAGGGCGGGAGGATGAAGTGGTGGAGAGGTGAAGTGGCGGAAAGGTGAAGTGGTGGAAGCCGGCGGTCGAGTGAGTCGGTATCAAAATGACTGTATAATAATCGTACACGGAAAAAAGAAGGAAAGAACAGAGTGGGGAGGATCCATATCGGGCTGTATATGAGAGTGTGAGTGTAGGCGCAGATGAATGGGGTCGGAGACTGGCTGGCTGATGTCGATGAAGACTTGCGGAGGAATGGATGTGGCGGTCTGTGATGTGATGTGATGTATGAGTCGGGTGCGCGCGCGTGTGTGTAAGGGTGAGCATAATCGGACGCAAGTGTCGGGATTGTCGTGTCATGTTGGCGGCATGGGAGGGCAAAGGCGAGCTCGCTCAAACATGCGCCCTCGCATGCCCCTGCGCCTGTCCCTGCCCCTGCTGCTGCTGCGTCCCAACCTGCTGCGAACCCGCCCTTCCATGTCCATGTCCATGCGCCCGCCCACCCGAATACGAACCCGAGTTCGCCGAAGTCACCCTCGAATAAATCGGCGGATGTCCACCACCTACTCCATTCCCTCCATTCCCTACAGCCGGCCAATACCCATGTCCATACGAAGCCGACTGATATCCGTTCACCGGTGTCGTATTATTGGCAGTCGTATTCGACCCAGATGCAGAAAACGACAAATGACTCGAACTCCACGCCGGACTCGATCCGGGACTCCCACTCGAACCCGACCCAGACCCAGACCCCGACGCCGAACTCGCATATCCCGACCCCGACCCAGACGCAGGCACCGGGCTAGGGCTAAACAGCGTCCGTGGTGGTGGTGGGCCAGCAAGTGAGGAGGGCGAACCAGGGAATGAGGAGGGCGAACCAGGGAATGAGGAGGGCGAACCAGGGAATGAGGAGGGCGAACCAGGGACGGAGATCGATTCCTCCAATATCTGACCGCTCTTGCCCATCCATGCCCATCGTTTACCGGGGTGGATGTTCGTGTTGGGGATGAGTGTGATGCCGCGTCGGGCGAGTTCGGTGACGATGCGGGCGATGTTTCGGGTGTCCTGTTTATTCGCGGATGCAAAGTCCGTAAGCGTGCACGACATCCGTGGCCAATGAGTTTGAGCGAAGAAAGAGAGAAAAGAAAAGACGAGAGGGAAGGAGAGAGGGGCTCACGTCGATCCCGCTATGTTGTCGCCCTTGGAAATTCCCGAGTCCGAGCGCGCGGAGCTGCGATTCGATGTTCATGGAGATGCGCCGGGGGAAGAGGGACTGAGTACGGCGGACGGCGGTGCATGCGAATCATTGAGAAGCAGGCGGCGAATGCGAATTATTGAGAGGGAGTGTGAGTCGTCGAGAGGGATGCGTGAGTCGTCGAGAGTGGTGTTTGAGTCGTCGAGAGGAAAGCGTGTCGTTCGGAGAACAACGTCGCGTGACGATTCACGAGCAGACCGGACGAACATACAACATACAGAGGGGGGAAAAGAAGCCAAAACAGCGTGGATTAGCCTTTGAGTTTCTGTGAGAAGTGAGAACGCGGGGTAGGGCGGGATGGAGCGATGTGGGGGATAACCCGATGCTTAATGGAGAACGGAGAACGAAAGTAAATCGGAAGTAGGACCGGGGACGGAGGGGAAGAGAAGTGAACCGGGGAGGGTCACGGAGGGAAGAGAAGTGAATCGGCGACGGGGAAATCGGAAATGGGGAATGGGAAAGGAAGGGAAGGGAGACAAGAGAACGGAAGGTATAAAAAGAAGGGAACGGAATGAGAGAAGAAGAAGAAGAGAATGGTCGGGTTGGGCACATGTGGATTCCTTTAGGGGGTTGGCATTCAAGGTGGTCGTTCCGGATGGGGAGAGTACGATTGTGTGCAAGGTGGGAAATGTGGCGTAGACAATAAAAAAAGTCGAATGTGGCGCATCGAGTAAAGGTTTACGCAAAAACAAAACAAAAAGAAGAAGAAGAAGAAGAAAGAAAGAAAGCACGAACTCACCTTCCGAGACGACGACCCCGCCGACTGAGCATGCCACTCCCCAACGAGCTTCCGCACGTCCATGATATCCCCCGCGAGCCATCTCGGCATTGCGATCTAGAAGTGTGATTTGTTTTGCACGAAGAGCGGATGTGTGTATGAGCATCGAGTATCGAATTGGAGCGAAAAAATGGGAGCGAAGAGCAAGGATCGAATAGGAGCGAAGAGTGGAAAGACGGCGAATGACGCAGCAAGCGAGGTGGTTCGAGTGTGCAAATGTAAGGGAAAATAGTTTGAGTGTGTGTACAAGAAGCAAACGCGGCGAAATAGTACGCGACGCCGGGACGTTAATTTCAGAGTAAATGAACGGGGGAAATTAAGGAAGGGCGATGGCGTGTATGGGTATGAGTATGGCGTATGCAGATGGACACAAATAAAGAGCAGGGAACGTCAGAATGGGTGAAGGGAGGGATATATCATATAACGTATTGACGCCAAGGGTGGCGCAACACCACCACACCCCTAAAACACAAAAAGAACTCACCTTCGAAATAAAACACTGCTTAACCACAAAATCCCTCACATCAAACGGCCCATCACTACACCAACAGAACCTGACGAGCCGCTCGCCCGTCACGGGGTGTATGAGTCCGTTCTTGATCAGGAAGGCGTTGAATTGGTTGACGACCTGCGGGAAATGGGGCGCCGAGTCGACTTGGGCCTGGGTGGGTGGGTGGCGCGTGCGGACAATGTGTTAGTATCGTAGTGTGTGCATGAGGTTTTTTTGAGACATGCGGTGGGTGTGTGGCGTGCAGGGGTGGAGGCAGAAGGAGAGGACAAAGACAAAGGGGAATGAAAGAGGAAAAAAAAGGAGAACGGAACGGACCTGGGTGATGCCGGTGAGTTGGGTGCAGAATGCGGAGAGTAAAGGTCTCCAAGTCGGTTTGACGAAGCTTCTGAACTCATCAACGACGTCCAGCCTGCTCGCCATACCATTCTGCTTGTCCTTCCACATGAGGAGGCACACGGGCCATTCCTATGTCCCCGTATCCCCGAAGTGAGATAAAGCGAGACAAGACAAGACGAGAGAAGAGAGAGAACGTACAATGATTTCGTTAGGCCAATGAAAGTCGGTGCCCTGCATGCACGTCGCCTCGACATCAAGAACAAGAAAAGCATCGTACGTCTGTCGACCAAGTGTAGACGTGAGCTGTGTCGAGACAGTAACAGTGGTTCCGGCAGAGTCGATCGGCGTCTGTACAGGGTACTGTGGTGGTTGTGGTTGTGTTTGTATTTGTGGCTGTTGAGATGATGCTGAAGGGGGAGGAGGCGGATGTTGTTGTTGGTGTTGTGCGGGGTGGGAGGGCGAAGGGGATGTCCTTGCGCGATATACGAAGGGTGTGGCGAGGGGGTTCCAGCGCGAAGGGGGCTTCACTGCGGAAAGCATATCTTTAGCGTCCTGCAGCTGCTCGTTCAAGTTCTCTACTTCTGCGTCGTTGATGTCGTTGTCGTCTGTAGTACTACCAGCACTTGGAGCACGATGTTCAAGGGCGGTCGTGGTATGCTCAGCCGAGGACGCAGTGCAGCATAGGACGAGGAAAGCGAGGGCAAGGAGGGAGGCGAGAGCGAGAGCGGCGAGGAGAGGCGAGCGGGCGACGGAGAGAAAGGCGGCGGTGCTGCTCATCCTCGTCGAGAGACAGTCTCAGATTAGGCGCCCATGCTTTATTTAATTTCATTCCCCCTTTGCGGTCGCCCTTCCTCGCCCCGGCCCGGCTAGTCCCCCCACCGCTTTTTTGCCTCCTCCCACTACCATCATCATGTCCCAGCACGGCGACGACCTCGAGGACGACTTTGTGCCGGATGATACTGTTGCGCTCTCTGATGACGGGGACGCAGCGTCCATAGTGGGTGACCCGGACGATATTGCCAATCTGCTCAGCGCGGACGAGGACGAGGACGAGGGCGCGGAGGAGCAGCAGAAGCAGCAGGCGAGCGCAGAGAAGAAGAGGAAGAGGAGAGAGAAGGAAAAGGAGAGGAAGCTCAAAGTCCGTCCGTGCTCTTTCAGCCCTCACATCCAACTCGCACTCAATACACTCAATAGAAACGCAAGCTCGCGGAGGAATCAGGCACTGCGAACGACCGTTCCTCGTCCCCTTCCTCCTCCTCGCTCATAGCCGCCCAGCCACCACATAGGATCGCAGAGTATCTCGCTTCGATGCAGGCAAAGTCATTCCCCAAGATGTCCGCCCTCGAGCTCCAGGACAGACAGATACCAGGTATGCCTGAATCCCGTGAGACCGCCAGAGTGCGAGTGAACGAGCTTTGACACACACGCCCAGGTAGAGAGCTCAATAGCGGATACGACCTCATGGAAGGGATCGAGGACTTTGGAAGACTTGGTCCAGTTTATAGTACAAAGTACGCTACTCCGTCACCCACCCACCCCACTCCTTTCATCTCCCGTCATACTCATACCTCATCTCAACTCATACGAACACCTTATCTCCGCCGCTCGCCACACTCCTCACAGCGGTCCCAACGCTCCACACCCGCCTCTCACAACGCACCAAATCCCCCGGTTCGCCCACCCTCCTGGTCCTAACCTCCGCCGCCTTGCGCACCGCGGACATGACACGGGCCCTCAAGAGCACTGTCTCGCGCGCTAGCCTCCCTTTGCCCAGCGACAAGAGCGCACCCACCGGAATCGAGAAGAGCGCTCCCACCGGAATCGACAAGAGCGCTCCCACCGGAATCGACAAGAGCGCTCCCACCGGAATCGAGAAGAGCACGCCCACCGGAAAGAGTGACGAGAAGAAGGGTGAGGCCTCCATCCGCCTCTTCACCGAAAAAAGCGGCGAAGTCGCAAAGCTCTTCGCGAAACACTTCAAGCTCGACGAACACGTCCGCTATTTATCCAAGACGAAGGTGGGCGCCGCGGTGGGCACGCCTGGACGGGTAGGCAAGCTGTTGTGCGAGACTGGTTAGTTTCTCCCTCCCTTTATTCCTTCTCCTTCTCCTCCTCCCTCCATCCTCCTCCCTCCATCCCGTCATCCCTTCATCTACATAATTCTCTCTCTTTGATAATCACGCTTACGCTCGCCCACCCCCAGACTCCCTAAAAACAACAGCCCTAACCCACATCATCCTCGATACCACCCACATCGACACCAAGAAGCGCTCATTGCTCGATATTCCAGAGACGAGGGACGAGGTGTTCAGGACTGTGTTGGGCGCGCCTAGTGTTAGGGAGGGGATTCGGGAGGGGAGGATCAGTGTTGTGTTGTTTTGAGGTGAGGTGAGGTGAGGTTGGGTGGGGTGGGGGGAGGGGGGGAGGGATGTTTGGGGAGAGGAGGGGGGGTGGATGATGTAGCCTACTCAATTACTCTTCTTTTCACTCACATTGCATTTGACGTTCACCACACCACATAACACGCACACGCATCGATTTGTTTTCGCATTTTTATGCCATATTTTTTTAATTATATTGTAAATCTTATGAATCACGATGCGCAGAGGAATATGTAGAGCAGAACAGAGCACAGTAGGATGATGGACGGGGGGGGGTACGGAACAGGAGATGAAATAGGGAGGTCCAGAGGTTGTGAGGCCTAGAAACCTTTAGGATTCGTGCGTTGTGTGATCTGTTCATGGTCATAGAAAACTGGATCAGTGTTTTGTCGCGGGGTGCAGATGATCGGGGAGCGAAAGTTCGAGTCGGAATGAATGCGCGAAAGTTCAAGTCGAAATGAAAAATAAAAGGGAACCGAGAAAACGAGAATGCGGAAAAGGTTGGAGAATAAGATGCGAGGAGGGAATATGATATGAATGAATGTATGATCACTCGACTGGCCATGGCGTCGGTGTTGGTGTGGTTGGGTGTCGTGTGATGTGGTTTGGCTGACGTTCGAGAGAGGGAGGGAGGTGGGGAGGATGTGTTTTTCGGCTTGGACGGAGTCACTGAGTGATTTGTTGGGGGGATATGTGGGAGTTGGAGGAAGGGGGGTTGGAGGAAGGGGAGTTGGAGTTGGAGGAAGGGTGGGATGTGGTTGTGGTTGTGGTTGTGGATGTGGATGGTTGTAGGAAAGACATGAAGGAATTCGACGACTACGACTGAAAGATGACACGGAGAGCAAGGCGGAACACCCAACAGCCAACAACTCAAACAAACAAACAATCCCATCCAACCACCCAACCACCCAAACACCCAAACACCACAAAACAACATCGAAAAGCTCGAAAAAAGAATGAACTCACCCTAGTGAACTTCGGAACCTTATGCACGCTCTTCCTGTACCCGCGACTGTGCGGGTTGAACACCGTGTACTTGTCCCTTGCTGGCATCTCGTGCTCTTTTGGGAGTTCGAGGGCTTTTGTCTGCGCACCATAGTCAGTGACCAAACATGAGCAGGCAAACCGGGGTGGGTGGGACGACAGGGAGGGAGATTGGGACGGCGAATGGATGGATGCTGGACATACGAGAGCAGAACACTGCACCCCACTAGCGCGCACGGCCTCGATCACGGCGTCGACCTTCTTCAGACGGGCACGAACGTTCGCTTTGCGCGTCACGGAGAGCTTCCAGGGCGATTTCCTGTTTGACCACCACCACCACCACCACCACCAATGTCAGTTCTTTGGGTCTTTGAAAACGATGGAGAGGAAGAAGAAGAGGAGTATGGGAAAGATGGATGTACCAGAGAAGACCGCCCTGAGCGACGAGCGTTGGTCTGAACGCGCCGAACATGGCTGCAAGTATGAAATAATTGAACTCGAGAATTCGTGGAGGAGCAGGAACAGTCGCCACACGTTCCCCAGCACGGCTCATATTTCCCACGCTTCCAAACGCCTGACCCGCCTCTGCGTCAAACGCGACTCTGTCACTGTCAGACTCGTACTCTCACCCACACATACTCCTGCTTACTTCTTGACCGTCTGTCACTCGCTCACCGCTACGATGAGCGGAACAGTGGCCGTCGTGCCGAATGGCTCCGCGAATGGACATATCGACCTTTCTTCTGCTGCGAACGGGCACGCTAATGGCGGGCCTATGAGGTTCACGAGCGGAATGATTCTTCCTCCTCCCGAAGTTAAATGTACGTCTACTTGTATTCCTTGTCTACCGTCCGACTTGCTAATGCAATGTTGCGTATACGTGTGATTGCAGCCATCATCGACCGCACCGCGAACTTCGTCGCCCGCTCGGCCAATCCCCCCCAATTCGAAGACAAAATCCGCGAAAACCAGCGCCAGGACCCCAAGTTCTCGTTCCTCAACCCGGCTGACCCGTACCATGCGTACTACAGGAACAGGATGGACAAGGTCACGAAGGGGGAACTGGACGAGGACGTGACGATGAAGGATGGTGGGAAGGACGGGGAGGGGAAGGTCGATGGCGAGGGTGCGGGAGGGGAACAGGGAGCGGAGCAGGGAGAGGGAGGGGGGAAGAAGGTGGAGGAGGATGTGGGTGTTGAGCCGCCTAGTCCGGAGTTCATATTGGAGCTGCCGAGTATCAGTGCGATTGATCTGTGCGTCGTCTTTCGCGTGTCTTTTCAGAATAATCATAATCATAATACTAATAACATGGATGGACGGTATACAGTGATATCATGAAGCTAACCGCGCTCTTCACCGCCCGTCGCGGCCGCTCCTTCCTCCAAGCCCTCTCCGTGAAAGAATCGCGCAACTACCAATTCGACTTCCTCAAGCCCACGCACTCCCTCTTCCCCGTCTTCAACCAGCTCATCGAGCAGTACACGAAAGTGCTTCTCCCGCCGCCCGCGAAGCTCGAGGAGCTGAAGAAGAGGGCACAGCCGGGCGCGAAGTGGGAGATGCTGGAGAATGCGAGGAAGTATGCGAAATGGGAGCAGAAGAAGAGGGACCAGGAGAGGAAGAGGGAGGATGATCGGGAGGCTGAGCGGCGTGAGTGGTCTTTTCTCTTCTCTCTAGAAAGTATGCTCATGGAATGATGTCGGTTTGTTTCTCTCCAGTGGCGTTCGCGGAGATCGACTGGCACGACTACGCCATCGTACAGACCATCGAATTCACCGCGGCAGACGCAGCCTCCGAACTCCCGCCCCCAATGTCCGTCCAAGAAGTCGAGAACATGACGCTCGCACAAAAGAGACACGCGGCTATGATCATGGAGACTACCGCCGAAGAGGTCGAGGCGCACCGCGCGCGCCAGGCAGAGGCAGAACAGAACGTGGCGAACGGCGTGGGTGGTGCGGGTGCGGAGGACGGCGATGCGATGATGGAGAGTGACGAGGAGGAGGATGCGGAGGATGCGGAGTTGAAGGAGAGGAAGAGGAGGGAGGAGGAAGAGAGGAATAGGGAGATGGAGAGGGCGAAGGCTATTCAGGCGAGCTCGTTGGGCGCTGGTGGACAGATGAAGATCAGGACGGACTACGTCGCGAAAGGTACGCTCATCTATTTCTCAGCATACACGCCATGTCATGTTACTGATGGCTTGCTCTGTTCGTGCAGTTGGTCAGAAGAACAAGGTGGCGCTCACGACGTGTAGCATCTGTGGACAGCAAATCCCAGTCAACGAGCTCGACGAGCACATGCGTATCGAGCTTCTCGACCCGCGTTGGAAATCCCAGCGCGACGCGCTCGAAGCTCGCAAAGCACAGGCCTCCGAGCTCCAGCGCGGTGCCAACGTCGTCTCGTCGCTCAAGAACCTGGCCAGGACCCGTGTGGACATCTTCGGTGGAGAAGACGACGAGGAGAGGCGGAAGAGGGAGGAAGAGGAGGAGAACCAGAAGAGAAAGGAGAGGGAGAAGGTCATCTGGGATGGTCATACGGCCAGCAAGGTCACGACGATGGACAAGTATGCGACGAACTCGAACATCGACGAGCAGATCGCGGCTATTCATCGTGCAAAACTGGGTCTTGGACCGTGAGTCTCTTTTCTATTCCACATCACACTCCTGTCTAATGTTTACACTCATCATCCAGGCAAGAAGGCACCATCGGGCCAGGCATCGGTCCCGTCGCTGCCCCACCCCCTCTCACCGGCCTTCCAGCCTCCAACCCCCTCCCCGCCATGTCCATGCCTCCCTCCATGTCCTCCCTCCCCTCCAAGCCCATCTCCGCCGACCCTTCCCAATCCTCCTCCAATCCCACCAACATCACCACGACCTTCCCCCCCGCGCCTCTCCCAAACCCGAACGCCATCCCAAACCCCGCCTACTCCGCCGCCACGATCTCGTCCGGCCCACAGCCACCTTCGATGTACCCACCGCAGCCTGCGCCGGTCATGTTGCCGCCTCTGCATTACCAGGGTCTGGACGCGGCACAACCGTTTGGGTATCAGCCTCCGCCTGTGAGACCCGTCGCGCCTTATGCGCCCAGTCCGGTTGGCGTTGGGGCCCCTGGTGTACCTGGGCAGGGATCACCGATGGGCATGGGTGTGCAGCCTGCGATTATTGGGGGTGCGACGCCGGGGATGCAGGGTCCGCAGGGCGCGAGTGTCGGGATGGTGAGGAGTGCAGATGAGATGATGGAGGGTGGCGGGGGTGCGGGTGCGGAGGATGGGGGACCGGCGGCGAAGAGGCAGAAGGTGGCGAAGTTGCCTGGTGGGCAGTTGTATCCTGAGCAGGACTGGATCAATATGCATCCCGTGAGTAACGCATGTTTTATGTTATTCATGGTCAATTTCTCTGAACCTTTTTTTTTTGCTGCGAACAGAACCCTATCACGATACAAGTCCAAATACCGTCAGACAAGCCCGAACTCGGCCTCGACGGCTCGCTCGTGACCATCCCGGACCTGTCACTCGACCTGCTCGTGTCCACGCTCCGAGACCGGATCATGAAATCGACGAACATCGGGATCGGGTACTCGCATATCAGGCTTGCGCATGAGGGGAAGATGATGAGCAATCAGGCGAGCATCGCGAGCTATAATTTGGAGGAGGACGATACGGTGGTGTTGAGCGTGAGGGAGCCGAAGAAGAAGAAGTAGGGCGCGGGTGATGATGTCTTCGGGAAGGGGGTGGAGGAGGATGGAGGCGGTAGCGAAGGAGTGGAGGAGGAGGAGGAGGAGGAGGGGAGGGATGGAGGTGAGGTGGATAGGATATGTTTGTATGATTGCGTTGGTGGTCGACTCTGCATTGCTGATTTTCTATTTCCATGGTCTCTCTAAAATTCACGAGCCTGCGCTTTCTTGAATTGGTGTCATGTAGCCGATCTGTGATACTGTTCGCATTGACTCCTGGCGCTATCTACCCTCGAAATTTGGGATCGATGTGGTTTCCGACTCAAGAGTCGCGCCGCTGCATTCTCCATTGCAAACCCAACGACCGTCTTGTGTGAGGTCTGCTTTGGAGACTATGGAAACCCCAAAATCATCGACCCAATACCATCGGAGGGACCCGGTCTGTTTCGTTTCAACCTCGGAACATCTCGGCGCCACATTCACCATTCATCTTGAGCCACCCCCCGATCACTGGCCATGGCAGGAAAGACGCTGTCTTCCCCTTACATGTGATGTATGGTGCAGCAAGAGGACATACGCTCGCCAGATTTAGCCGTCTAAGCTCTCGATTGCGAGCTGGATCGATCTCTGAATCGAGTAAGTATTAGGGCCAAAGTAGGGCACATACCCTTTCTGCTCACTGTTGCACCCTACCGCGCGGCTGGTGGGATGGGGGACGCACCGGCACTGCAACTGCAACTGCAACTGGCCATGGATACGTTAACGAGACCCAGTGTATGACTAACCTAGGTATGGGGATGGACTCGGAGGTGATCTGAGGGATTTTGGCCGCGCCCTTGGACCAGCGAGCATCTTCAAACCCGAAAGTCGGAGAACTACAGTAATACTTGCAGGAAATGGTCCGGTGTGAATCGCACATCACACAACAACACGAGGGAATGGAGTGGAGGACCGCGGGTAGCAGTCTGTCCTACCAAAACGCATATCTTTGGAGGGACGTGACGGGAACAGGCTCGTAGACGATCGTAAAAAATAGGGAGGAACGTCGAGGAAACTGTGTGACGGTAAGAAAGGGTGAAGGGGAAGGGTGAAACGGGGAGGGGGTGCATGTGAAGTGGTGATGGTGAAGATGCAGACCAGGATAGGATCATGATAGAGGGCAGTGTAGAAGATGCAGTCGGAGAGGATGGCTAGAGTAACTTTGGTCGTGATGGGACATGAAAAAGTGAGATGCATGCTGGGGTGAAGATGGATGGATGGGATGTATGGGATGGAGATGTACACGATGCAAAGCGAGAGTTGGATGCCAATGAAACGACCGAAGAAGTGATGATGCCTATGTGAGACGACGAAAGCTGACGGGACCAAGAAAACTTGAAAGAAAACAATGCGATGCAGAAAGCCCAAAAGAGAGAAAAGGAAAAAAGTATGCCAGAGAAGAGTAGCACACATGTACAACGACCATCGGCAACGAAGTCCACGAAGATCGCTTGTACGCAATGTCCGACAACAATTACTCGAGTCGCGACCTGTGACCCCTGTGTACAAGCCTCGCCCAGCCGAACGAAGCTGTAGACCCTGAGATCGACAAAGCCGCCTTAAAAACCCAGAAAACCCTAAAAGAGAACGACCAAGAACCTCCAAGAACCCTCATACAGGCACACGCCCGTGAACCCCTACAACGTTGACCTCCCGGGTTGCTAGAGCGGCGATCTGGTTGTGAACAGACGACGCCCTCATCGAACAAGAAAAGTCGGATCTGCAGGATAAGATTCAAAACGGATGTATGAGTACGTAGAACAGCACGAAGTGTAACTGATGCAGTTAGAGCTGAAGATTGAAAGACGTACACGAAGACAAATGCATGGTGACAGCGCCAACAACACCGAAGCATAAAACGGGCTCAAACAGGTGTTGAAGGCGCATGTTGGTTCGGTAGCCAAGCCATAACTGTGCGGAGAACCCCGCACTGCGGGGACATGGTTTGTCTTCGGTTTTGATATATCCGCATCATATGGCACCCCCCGTGTAGTGCCCTTTTCTCCTGTGCGTGTGGTTGTGTGGAGTAAGCAGTCCCCTCGAAGCGAAGGATATGCATGAATGGCGGTCGGAGCACGAAAGCACTAGTGCTAGCGACACGTATGGGTGTTGAGATGATAGAAGGAGTGAACGGAAGGAAAGGATGCATGATAGGAGTCTTGTTAGATAGCACCGAAGTCGCGGGGGTCGGGACTAGTATCTGAACGGGCGAAAGGACGAGGCCATGAAACACCCCTAACGGAGGCCATCCGCCAGTGGACAAGGGGAGGCGAAAGAGGAGGTGCGTCGTGAGATGTTGGAGGATCACGCTGCTGAGGATGCGAGGCGGAGATAGCGCTGCGGGTCACTGCATTTGGGCAACTCCAGGACCTATCGGGCATTTTGAAGCGAATGTTCGACCTGTCGATGAACGGGCGACGGATTTCGAGGAGTGAACCGCGGTGAAACCGGGGGTGAGCAGGGGGCTCGCATTCCGAAGGGTGAGATTGGACGCTAGATCCCGAACTCGAGGAAGGGGTGTTCGTGGAAGTGGGTAGGGGCACGGTATCCCTGAGCCACTGCTCGTCTCGTTCGTTGGGGCGTGGGGTAGTATATGCTCGACGAAACATGGACCGTGGCGAAAGAAGGAGAGGGGACTTCGCGAGCGAGGGGGGTACGGGGATTTCAGGTTTTACTGGATTTAAGATAGACTTTGTAGAAGAGCTGCGAATCATGGGTGGTCTCTGGGGACGTCCGCGAATGGGTAAAGTCGCCATCTTGGACGAGAGACACGGGCTGCGTTGCATTTCTGATTTCGTCGTCGTGGTCGTAGTTGGAGAGGTCTATAATAAGTAGAGGTAGGGGATGGAAAGAAGGAAGAGGAGGGAGCAGCCGACCCTCCTTTATAAAGCTTTAAGTAGGCGCTTCTTCGGCAAGCAGGCTACAAAAAGCAGCCCCGAACGGCTGGCTTCTACAAATTTGCTTCCGAGTTCTATCCCTTTATAGCCTGCGGCTGTGCTTCGATACACGCCCTTCCCGCCTTTACCCATTTCGGCTGACCCTGTATCACGGACATCCATGAGCTCTTCCCTTGCAACTCCTGCACTCTATCAGCTCTCCTTTCTCCGCTCGCAGGCCCTCGTGCTTTGTGCCATACATATCCCTATGCGCTGCGCCATCGCTGATTCAAGATACAACTATCAGACCCTCGTTTCTCTCCGTTCACTGCCCTCAGCTTACATCCTCCCATACCGTCTATCACCCCCTGGCGGCAGGTCAAATACTAGATAGCAATGAGCGCTTTTCTTTCAACTCCGGTCAACTCTGCCATGAGTCTCTTCGCAGTCTCTTGTCGCCGATCAGAACCCCCGGACATTCAATGCTTCACCTCCTGATCGCAATGGTCCGCGGACGACTATCGACGATCTACCGTTACATCCACATTCGTTCGCGATACTTAGCAATGCCTGAGACCTGCCCTGGTTGCGGAACATCTGTTATGAATACAAACGCTCTTATGTCTGTGTCTCCGCACGGCTTGGACTCTGATCAGGCGCTCTTAGCAGCCTCCCAGTACCTGAATGCCACGGCGCCATACACGGCCTGTAGGAATCTGCCTGCACCCGTTTCCTGAGTCAGCTTCGCTTCTACTGTAATGCCAACCGCCTGGCAAGCAAGGCGATTCCTTCTCTTTCAGTTTCGGAAACCTCCCTCATCTTCGCGTCTTCGACAGTTTCATTTACCACATAGCTTCTGTCAATCACTGCGCGACAATCACAAGCCCCTTCCGCCTGCCTTTTGCGAGTCTTTTGCGCCGATAGATCCGGCTACTTCCAGCAAGACAGGACGCTGCGTAATAAACCTTGCTCTGTAGGCATCCATCCGTTGTAGGGTCGTTCAGTGCCGATTCATGAGTGGCGACCGTCAGTCTCCTGACTTTTATCGATTTTCTAGTCTTTCCATGCGTAGCATTGACAAACCTGTTCTATTGCTAGCTATTGTCTCCGACGCGTTCCGACTGTGAATAGATCAGACGCCGCCAACGTCCTAAGTCGTCGGACGGTCCCCTCACCGTTTTATAGCATGCCATTATTGACTCAGCAACGATGTCGCACCCTCGCCGCTAGACGCTCTAGCAGGGCTTCCTGCGGATTTGTTGAATGGTTGCATGTTGCCAGCATCGGTTTAGATGGTAGTGAAGATTGAACCATGCTTCTTTGGTAAGTTTTGCGAACTCGCCGGTTTTCCTCAGCTGATCCAACTGTGCATTGCTTGACGTGTCACCTAGCTATTGACTCGCTGGGTCATACTTAATCTACATGTCAATTCCGTGCGCAAAGGTTGGTGTACATCGCGATTTCCCGCCCCTTCTATTGGTTCTGTGTGATAAGCACAGGACGAACATTTGCAGGACTGTGAGAGTACAGATGTTACGCCGCCGAATCTTTTTCAGCCTCTCGCTCCTTACATGCTTTACGTCCGACCGTCTCCGACGAATCTTGTTCTTCCCAGTCGTCTATCACCTTCGGCTCACGTATCACCCTTGACCCTTTCACCCATATCATAAAGCCTACCTACCTCCGATGCACATCTCATCCCATCCCACACGCCGCTCCGTCTATGTACTCCGACTCGAAACAACGCTCGCTATGCATGTCGGTCAACCAGCGATCCGATATGAACTGTAACTCCGTTTCTCCGTCTCTAGGGCTCTAAATGCGTATACAACACAACACCGATCCTAGGGCATCCCTTCGAGACGTTGAACGGCCCTCGGATCTCCCAGTCTTAGGCTTTTAGGCTCGTCTTCCGACGACAAGCTCCCGAGTCGCATCCATACGCAGGGTTCAACTTTTTATCACAACTATATATATCTAGGTGCTTCTTGAGGCTTGACTCCTGGACTGTTTACGCTGAAGTCAGACACTACGCCCAATCGATCCGCGAGCACTTTGTTACGGCTACTCGTCATGCGCTTCATCTCCTTGTTCTCTGCACCCCCTGGTTTTCTCAGACTTGACGCCTTCAGCAGCACTTGCCTTCAAGCTTCACGACTCCAATCAAACGAGCCAGCACCAGTTTCGTTTGGGGATGGACGTTCGACTTCGGGCTCCCGCGCAGCCGACGTCCTGTGAACTCGTGTGTTCCCCTGATCCCCTTCGGAAGACAGAAATGAGTACGCATATCCGAGCGGGGTTGATGCCTTCCTAATACTAATAAAACTCACCCCTTCTGCGGATACTCAGCTTCCGTGCGCCGTGTTTAGGCCTCTCTGGCGGCGAACTACTACTTTGCTTAACGATAATAATAAGAACCCCCTTGACAAGGCTTTGAACCCTAAGCTAAATACTTACGCACGGTTGTCGGAGGTTGGGGTATTTGGGGCGTGGCCATGGCCTACTTGTGAGATACTTGAACACGGTATTTATAGCGATGCTAGGTAGTGGCCGTCGCTTTCGCCTGCGTGTACATTGTGTGACTGAACTGTGGTGTGACTTTCGAAATGATGCGGAACAACTTGGGGGCAATATTTCCGCGATGAGCTTGTGAGGCACAACTGTAAGCTAACACTATATGTATATACTTAGGTAACACACAACTGTAGTGATAGTTCATCTCATTGACAAGAATAACTGCATGCAATTTTGTAGCCTTTCGGTGGCATAGCTCGTGTTCGATGGGACACTTGGGCCACAGTAGAATAGTCACTCGCCACTTTGCTGCGCCGCCTTGCCGGTGGCCAATTTGGCTTAAGCGGAAGTCAAAGAGTATATATATATATATATTGTGTAGACTTTTAATAGTATTATAGAACCCTTGTGTACGTACGTGAGTGAATGGATAAATGAGAGGAAACTATTTTCCGTCGTAGAAGTGGTGCATATAACCAAGATACAACCCTACTCAAACGCCGCCGCGATGGTGTATCGGATATTGCTGTCGGTAAAGTCATCCCGGCCACGTCTCGGAGCTCGCCGGTTCGACGCACCTCCGATGCACCATTTCGGCTGGCACCCTGGGTTTCCTGTGTAATAAAAAACCCGAAGTGGCTCAGTCTACTAGCTAAACTACAGGTTTTTTGGTTCGGATTTAGAGCTAATGTGTATTTCGATCTTTTCGTCATTATGTGGCCGTTCAGGGTGTCCCACCAAATATGCCGAGCGATATCCCACAGACTACGATTGCAAGTTGTATACAGTTCCTCTTACGGAAGAAATCGACCAACATCACAGCCGTGCGTTACCTACATAGTGCCAGCTGAAGCGCACGGACGGGCACATGGAATACGAAGAATGAACAAAGGTTCGACGACACTGTATATTAAATGTGAAGCAAAACAAGAAACCGGAACAGGAGAAGCAAGAGAACGAACATCCACATCGCATCGCATCGCGTCACGCCACAAGTCCTTTTCCGGGTCATAACTTACATCGACATCCACCGGACTGCAAACGGTATCATCCATAGGCTCTACCCTCCATCTACGACGCGAGTCCAGCAGGCGCAGCCTGCGATATCTTCAAAAATGAACAAACAACATCGACGTCAGTCACCCAGCCACCCACATCCGAGAACAGAAAGAAAAGAACTGACCGCAAACTCGGGCCTCACGATCCACACCTTCCTCCCATCCTTCTGTGCCACTTCCTTCACCTTCACCTCGATCGCGTTCTTCTTCACCTTATGCACCTTCAGCTCCTGATAGACTGAGTCGACCAGGGCAGGGAGGCTTCCTGTCGCCAGCGAGTCGATCTTGGAGAGAAGGAGGGAGAGGTGCGCGTCGGGGAAGGGATGTTTCGGGGGTGCGGGAGGTTTCTTGGGGGTGAGGTTTGGGGCGGAGGAGCTGGAGGGGACGGGTGAATTGAGGTTGGGGTTGGGATTGATGTGAGCAGTTTGGATGACATGTGCGGGGAGAGCTGGGACGGCGAATTGGGGCGCGGATGTTGAGGGGGCGAGGGTTGAGGACGATGAGGCTTTGGGCGTTGTGTGAGGCCTGTGAGCCTCCAGGGGTTGTGAGACGAACATGAATGGGTTGATTGGGTATGGGGTATCTGTGCAAATAATTCGTAATGAGTGGAAGACGGGGAGCGAGTTTAGAACATGAGTTACCGTTGAACAGGTGTATCCGGTATTGCGAGAATTCAGACTCCCCGATGTGGCTCTCCCAGCATGGTCCTTTGGTATACGGTATCAAGGCCACCTCTACCTTTCTCTTCTTGACCTTCGTGCCATTATCTTTCTTCGGTTTCTCCTGCTCAACCGCCTTCCTCTTGCCCTTGGAGGCCGAGTCCCCAAGCAACAAGAACGGGAATTCTTCGAGACCGTCCCGTTCTTCAATAGGCGTAACGACTTCCTCTTCATCATCGTCTACCAACCACCCCTTCAACTCATCATCCTCGCTATCGCTCTCCTCCTTCTCCTCATCACTCCCGTTCGCCACATCATCCCCTCCTCCCTCCTCTTCGCCCTCCCACTCCGCCTCACTATCATACGAATAATCCACAGCGACATCGTCACGACCGAACGGTGTTCGAGGGCCCACGAACTGCGAACGTCGCGTGAAGGTGCCGTAGTAACCTGGGCGGACGTCTTCGTGGAACATGAGAGCTTTCACGGGTAGTTTGTTGCGGTTGCGGAGGTCGGAGAGAAGTCGTCGGACGGTTGTGGCGTCGTCTGTGACTTCCGCTTCTGTGAGACGGGTAATGATAGAGCGGACGGGCTCGGGATGATAAGTCTTGTAACTAGATGTCTTTCGTCGGGGATGGCGACGTGCGTCGAGCGGTGGAGGTAAGCTAGCGATAACGGACTTGAGATCTGGAGCTGAAAGGACAGTTAGTGTTTGGCAACAGGTGGCTAGAAGGGATGTCTACTTACGGTTACGTTCCTCAAGGCTTGAGATGAATGGGTCATCGATCATTTCAACGTCTGAATCTTCGATTTCAATGACACTGTCTGAATCAAGGACAATGACGTCGTCGTCCTGCTTCCGCCTTCGCTTCCTGGATTCTTGGAACCAGTTCGTAGGAGCCATTGTCGTGTCCTTCTTCACCACGAACGGTCTGAAAGTCTTTTCAAAGTCCGACACCGTTGGTTTCTTAGGAGAGGGTGATGCGGTCGGCGTCGATTGCTTCGGTGTGGACGAGGTGGAGGCTGTAGGGGCCGGGGCAGATGTCGAAGCCTTGAGTTTACCAAAAAAGCTAGACATGATAGACCGCGACTTCTCCTGGGCGTCCTTCTCCTTCTTCTCCTTCTCGGCTTTTGCGGCCTTCTTCTCTAACCGTTCCTTATCCTGAATCACGAATAGGTCAGTGAAGTTAGTCTAAGGGAGTCTACAACCGTAAACTAAAGTCACCTTGGCAGCCCTCTCTGCTGCTTTCTCCGGGTCGATAGCCTTTTCTTTCTTTGGGCGACCAGCCTTGCCTGTCCGTGAATCGTCATTCTCGTTTTCACCAGGGTCCAATTTGGCGTCTTGTGACTTTGGAGAAGGCGAAACGCTACGTGCGGATGTGGCATCGTTAGAATTCCCATGGGTAAGAGGTGTGTGCTTCGTCGAAGCCTTGACGCCGAGTAAAGACTCCTGTTCGGTTTGCGGAAGGGCAGCAAATAATGCCCGAACATCTTTCTTTGCCTGGTGAAATCAATCAGTATGATTCCCATGTTGTGTACTCATGAATACTCACTTGTACCCTCTCAGCTAACCGTGCATCTGCCTTGTCGCGTGATACTTTCGGTAGCCAGTCATAATATTCCGGCTTCACTTCCCATCTCCAAACGCACAGTGAGGGAGGTGTCCTGCCTCCCTGAGGCGCGTCAATTCCGTAATTGACACGTGTGGCGACGTGCTTGACTGCAGCTTCAATGACTGACAGGGGAAGTGGGCGTGAATTCTTCGTGGTTTCCGAGTCATGGTCGCCTTCCATTGGCAGGAGCTCGCGTTGTATGTATTTGGATATTGATACTAAGGGTTTGTCGCTGTAGAGTGTTTTAACACGTATTTGGGGATAACTAAACGGCATGTACTCACCTCTCGTGGACAAGCTTCGCTATGAGCGGCTGATGCTCTGCAGGGACTTCTGTTAGGGCGGGTCCCTGCTTCTCTACGATCTGCTCTAGTAGTTCCCGAAACTTGACTAGTTCTGTATATGTACAGCGTAAGTTGTTCCATCACGAAAGGTGAACTATAAACACGCAAAAGGACGCGCACCTTGCATCGTCTCAGTAATCTTCTCCAGCGACATTGCCTTCTGTTTGAATACCACTTTCCCTCCTCTAATCTCAATCATCATGGGCATATCGCGGTTCTCAGACGGTACCGACGCGTTGACTGTCATGTTCGACTCCCTGAACACGATTGTGTTGATCGAGAAGTCGAGTACTCACCCGTATCCGGCGTAGACGACGCGCCTTCTCCTTTTCGACGCGAAATTATCGTCAATGACGTTCTCCCGGTAAGTCTGCAATATGGAACGTACCTTTCTTAAAATCGAGGTCCGTCATGACTGTGAATTTTACGTCCATAGGATTGAGAAGGCGATAGAGATGGGCTCGAAGGACGTTGACACGAGAAAGCAGGCAGGTGGAGCCTTGACACAGGGATGCGTGTGAAACTGTGACGGGACGCGACTGTCACGGCGCGATCGTGACTTCATCTCGCACGACGCGTCGCCGCCTTTCGTTCCTAATCTGTTCCTAACCCAATCCTGACCGCGGCTCTATTAGTATTTGAACTCCATCATGAATTCCTTCTTCCAAGTACAACCGTCGAGAAAAGCCACCAAGGAGCAGGTATCCGCTGATACAAATCTTCAGCCATGGGTTGAGAAATAGTACGTCCTTCTCCTCGTGATGAACCCATCAAGCTGACCCCGACACACCAGTCGGCCAAAAACAATTGAGGATGTATCAGCACAAGAACACATCGTTGCTGTACTTGAAAAGACTCTAACATCAACAAATGTGCGCCCTTATGTTGTGCCACTGCCCAAGTCGATTTTGCTCATGCTTGCTCTGGCTGCAGCTCCCACACATGCTCTTCTATGGCCCTCCTGGAACGGGGAAGACATCCACTATTCTAGCATTGTCTCGTCAACTCTTTGGGTATGCAGACTGTTTTACTAGGACTTTTTGTGGACACTTACGTTACTCTCAAGACCAGATAATTTCCGTTCTCGAGTCTTGGAACTGAACGCCTCAGACGAACGAGGAATCGCCATCGTACGTGAAAAGATCAAGAACTTCGCCCGACAAACTCCACGCGCACAAGCGGTCTCGTCAGACGGCAAGGCATACCCATGTCCGCCCTACAAAATTATTATTCTTGACGAAGCAGACAGTATGACACAAGACGCCCAGGCTGCACTTCGGCGAATCATGGAGACGTATGCACATATAACCCGTTTTTGCTTGGTTTGCAATTATGTTACACGGTATGTGAGGTTTTCCATACCTGAATCGTACATTATTGAATGCCAAGGGGTCGCACAGAATCATTGAGCCTCTCGCCTCCCGGTGCTCCAAATTCCGTTTCAAGCCCCTCGACGACTCATCCTCGACAAATCGTCTAGAGCATATCGCCCTCTCCGAGCAACTCCGCGTAAAACCCGATGTCTTTTCAGCCCTCATCTCCACCTCAGGCGGTGACCTCCGTAGAGCCATCACATACTTACAATCCGCCGCTCGTCTATCAGCCGCCAGTGAGACAGAGACCACCATCTCACCGCGAGACATTCAAGAGATCGCAGGTGTAGTGCCGGATGCTGTGATTAACAACTTCGCACGTTCTCTGGGTATCGAAGTTGTCAATACTGAGGAAGGGGAGGAGATGGATGTGGACATGGATGCTGATCAGTCAACTAAGCTGAAAGGCTTTGATCTTATCCGGAATAAGGTGCGGGCGATGATGAGGGAGGGCTACTCAGCCTCTCAAGTCCTAACACAAGTGAGTATCCATGCGCATAATCTATATCTATCGTCTCTGACAGTATCACAATAAAGCTCCACGACATCATCATCCTCCATCAGAACTTGACTGCCCGTCAGAAATCGAAGTGCGCCCTAGTCATGGCAGAGGCCGATAAAGCGCTATGTGATGGGTCAGACGAGGAGCTTTGGGTCTTAGAGGTAGCTTTGAAGGTGAACAAGGCAGTCTCATAAAACCTCTTCTTTATTCCGTTCTCTTGTACTTCCTTGGCTTCACCGCTATGTACCTTGCTATACTGCACTTGCTGGCTCCATTCATACTGCACGGCTTGAGAAGAGCGAAAACACTTGTTTGAGTGTGCAAAATGATTCTATTGTGAAGATGATAGTACTACACAGTCTATAGAGCCTTCTCAGGCGTTGCAGGGCAGTGTATGTGTCGGCATAAAAGTACGGAAAAAAATCACGAATCCCATTCCTCTGCATCGTAGAAGCCTGGTATGGGCTGGTGTACTTCCATCGAATAGCCTTTCAATTCACCGCACGGTTCAAATACCTTGTAAATTAGGAACCGGATCATCGTCGCAACAATAATCAAGCTAAGATGCAGAGCGTGCGTCCTCGATTGCAAACGGTCTGGGATAGCAGGAAGTATGAGCTGGCGTGCTTCAAAGTTATTCGTCGACTCTGCACACTCGATTGGGCTATCGTATTCCACAACCGCGCCGAACCTCACACACTTTGACGCCTTCTTGGCGACGATGCGGCGAATTGGTGGACGCGGTTTACGGATACACGAGCGGAGGGACTCGAGGCTCCAAGCCCTCTCGGGGTTTACTGGTCGGGGATCAATCGCGTCCAACTCCTCGATGGTGGAGGACGAGGAGAGGTCGTCGGCGGAGGAGGTGGTCGAAATGGTTGAATATGACGGAGAGCTTTCTAGCTTGGAAAGGTCCGTGTTTGTCGATGACATCGTGTTGAGTGTGTCCATTGATTCGGCATGGACAAGGGCGGGGATGATGGCCAGCCTACCAATGTCGACTGGTGATGACTTTAGAATAGACTTCGACTGCTTGCCCCCCTTCTCGCAAAGAAGTATGTCGGGGATAAGGTTCATGGTAGGTTTGTCCGAAACTGGAATAATGATGTTGATGGGTGGTTGTGACTCCTTGGTGGAGGGAAGGGCAGCTCGACGAAAGAAACCTGTTGATAATGACGCGAATAAGTTAAATGGGCGATGGGAGACGAAGGAGGTAAGGCACGTACGAAGAGACTTGATAACCCTTGTCAACTTCATCATTTTGGCAGAGGGAAGCGCCTGTGAAGGCGTCTTCGCAAGTTGGAGGGATATTGTGGAGGGCATGATGGGTTATTTGCGAGTTGTGATATGCCAAAACAGATGGTAGGGGTGAATATGAGCGATGGGGCTGGCCAAGGAAGGAACCCGAGTACGCTCAAGCAGTGTATACAGACGGTGGATAGTGGTGGAAAACAAGCAAGCGGTGTAGAGTACCAGAATCTTAGCGGGGCGCTTTCTATACGCTGGGAACCATCTACCGGAGGTACTCAGTTCGGAGCGGCAGATTGTGAGACTCACTGAATCGGGGCGAGATTTTTGAGACAAGCCCGAAGTGACACGGAGAAAGATATTGCAGATATTTGAGATTACTGGATCTATAAGGCGTATAAGAGCTATCCATTGCAAGTAATGAAATGCGAGGAGCTGATGTAGTTGGCAGAAGGTTGTCGACTCCTAAGTAGTCCATGCTTGACGACATCGAGGATATTATTCAAAGGAACTTTGTTTGGAGAATGTCTCGGGTGAAGTCTGTACTGCTGCGTGCGTCGCCCATTCCACAGGACCTAGACAACAGGATATATCAAGCTGAGTGATTCGCATGGAGGAGAAGGCGAACGTCGACGTCCAACTCCGAGCTCCAAGTCCGTAGCGAAGCGCCACAATCGGCGTGGCGCCACTTTCCCACGAGGTCGTGCGGGGACCGAATTTGGACAGACTTGAACTTGAACTTGTTTCCGTCCTGTTTCCATCGTCTCACCAGTGCACCAGTACCCATGGGGCCCCTGTACACATCAAATGGCTTACAGCTGCGCTGTGAATATTCCTAGCGATCGCTATAGATAGAAGAAAAAACTTCCCTTTCACAGGATAGCGCCTCAGGCTCCAAAGTACACCTTCTTGTCTCATAGCACTTAGACTCAACTGCCCTGTTTTCCTGTGCGATTACTTCACTTTGGATCCTATCTCATGATGAATCTCGAGGTCTTCAGTATCTTGAGTCTTGATATAATGAGCTCCGTCATATACTTGTGACGCCCGTGGACTTGGCCACATCGGAGCACCCTGCGTCTTCGATAGGGTTGCCTCCGTTGCGTCAGCGATCGAACAGTTCGAGTTCAACATCTTTTCTGGCGGTCCGCGGTGTGCTTTCCAACTTCTCCATCCTAAACCACTCTCACCTAGCCTTGACGGTCACAACAACGACCGCTATCCATCGCTAACCTCCTCATATCTACCAACGGTCCTTACGTGCCATCTACCTCTGTCGAATCCGCAGCGCTTGCGCACCTGTCTCTCAGCCTAGCCGCCAATACCTCTGGAGGAGTCTTCACCAACTATCGTTCACCGTCCGCCGCCCGTTGTGAACCCGCCACCTCACGATAGCCATGAACTCTTTTGTCAACCTCGCGGTCATGCTCACGTTCTTGCTCTCGCTCGCTCCTTACAAGTCTCTGGCCGTTGGGAGCTCGAATGTCTCGAGATACCCTCTAGCTGTGCGGGGAAATGAGACCGCAGAGCAAGGTTCAAAACCAGACAAGGACGCTGTTGATCATGGTCCCCCCACTGACAAGCGCTTCGACAACGCACGGTTTACCTACTATGCGGACGGTTTGGGGGCGTGCGGCCAGTTCAACGGCCCTGGAGACTTCGTGAGTACAGAACTTCGTTCGACATTTTTGTTGTGCGCGTGCTCATTGGTATTTCTTGCTGTTAGATTGTAGCTCTGAACACGCCCGTTAGTACTCGTACAGTGATCCTCGCGGAAGTCGACGATTCTCACCTTTTCTCCAATCGTATAGCAATGGGATGGAGGATCGCACTGTTTCGCCAGTATCACCATCACAGCCAATGGCAAAACGGCTCAGGCAAGGATAATGGACCAGGTATGTCCCCGCCCGTTATCTTTCACCTCTCACCTACCGACGATCCTCTTCAGTGCCCAGGATGCCCCTTCGGCGGACTCGACTTCTCACAAGGTCTCTTCGATTACTTCGCGCCCGAGAGTGCTGGCGTAATCTACGGGCGTTGGGAATATGGGAGTGGCCCAAGCTCGAGATCCGATGTCGTGCTGGACGACAAACCTGCGCACCCTATGAATCTTCACCAGATACCCTCGTATTCCTCGCCTACATCCTCCTCTACCAGCTCGAGTACCTTGTCGACTACAACATCGTCCTCCGGTATGCTCACGGCTACGGCTACACCAACTCTCGGAACCACGTCCATCGTGGAAACTGTCCTCGTCGAAACTAGCGGCCCAAATAACGTTAATCCCACCACCATCACCCTCACCGCCGCCGGTGACTCCCTTCCCACCACCTCACTCGAGAAGGTGATCGTCTTGAGCACTAGCACAGTCTATGGGACCGATCTACCCATCCCGACGCCAGGTCCTCCGTTCACGCTGCGGCCGGGACAACAGGTAGCCGCAGGGAACGTCCAAGCGATGAATCTGGCAAACATTCAGCTTGGGAGGATGTTGGAGGATGCAGTCATCGCTAAACAGGAGGCATTTTGATCTTTGAGGGTGCACGAGGAATGGACAAGAGTGGGGCGCTATCGTTGCTGGAGGGGGTGTGTACACGAAGAGATGATAGGACGCCGTTCACTCTGTCGCTCGTGACTTGGCTGGACATGATGACTCTCGGATTCTATGACCTGTGCTCCGTCTCACCCGATGAACTTGCTTCGCGCTTCGCTGGAGGCTCGCTTCCGTTCAAGTTATACCATATTTCTTTCCTACCGACTACTCAAACTGTAGCTCACGACGTCACCGCTGTTCGACTTACTTTTCACTACCACACAATTGTCAGCCTCGCTGACCATCGAAATGGCCCTCTTTCCTTAAGATTGATATGGGGTCTTTCTTACACGTTAGATTAAGCAACCTTTGGCATCTCATCGGTGAGAAGTCCGGTCTGACGATGGGAGCCGCCATGCGACAACGTCCGTCGCAACGACCTTTCGCATGAAGGGACCCCTGGAGATTGAGAAAAGTCTCCAATGATAGCTCAAACTTATCATTTCTCAATCAGACATGGGCCTCGCTCAGAGTACCGGAGCAGAAGACCACAGGGATGCGCACCGCGGAATTGATTCAATGACGGAAATAGGTTACGGGAACGCGCCAACCGGGTGGTTGAATCGATTGATGGGTGCCTTACCTAGACCTGCGCCCCAAAGCCGGAGCTCTTGGCGGTGCTTGGTAAGCGGAGTCCCCGTCGTTTCGTCGATTTCTTCCTTCAACCCGAACGTCTACGTGCACCGTGTTCCTTCACGTCCCGCTTTACGCTTTTCCTTCTTTTTGCTCTAAGCAGCTGTCTTTACTCATTCTCAGCCAATAGTCCTTCATTTTCCTCTGTGTCGCTCTTGCAGCTTTTTGCCCTCGGGCTATACCAACAACAAAACCCCACTACACCCCACACTTCATCCCGGCTCAAACATGCGCGCGTTCTCCGGCCTCTCATTCCTGCTCTCGCTCGCAATCCCCCTGGCAGCCCTCACCTCTGTCGCGGCGGATGCTCACGATGCCCAGTTCAGAAGGAGGGATCATAGAAAAAGAATGCCCGACACGTCCAGCGTCGAGAAACGAAGCTTCGACAATGCCCGCTTCACGTACTTTGTGGACGGTCTTGGGGCGTGCGGGCAGACGAACGTTGCCAGTGACTTTGTGAGAAAGCCCAGCTTTTCTTAATTTGGATTCTTTCTGACTTGGCGTCCTTAGATTGTTGCGCTGAACACTCATGTAAGTGCTTGTATGAAGGTGTTTGGTAAATCTGGCTGACCACAGAGTACCCTATAGCAATGGGACGGTGGTTCGCATTGTTTTGAGGCCATCACCATCACGTACAATGGAAAAACCGCTACAGCTTCCATTGCGGACGAGGTGCGTTCATCAAACCGTTGTCCCATGCTAGTTTACCCAGTCTCCGCTAATACCGCCCTTCTAGTGTCAAGAATGTCCCGAAAACGCGCTCGACTTCTCCCAAGGTCTCTTCGATTATTTTGCGTCTGAAGATGCCGGAACCATATACGGCTCCTGGAGTTATGCCTCGGACACCGCCGCGACCTCGTCGTCTTCCGTCTGGACGCCTACTACCACTTCTACGTCCTCGACCTGGGTTGCCCCAACCACATCCTCGACACCCACGCCTACGCCCACACCTACTCCGACAACCTCTTCCACTTGGAGCTCTAGCTCCTCATGGTCCTCAAGCACCTGGTCCAGCAGCAGCAGCAGCAGCAGTAGCAGCTTCAGTTCCAGTTCCTCGTACTCCAGCAGCTCTGTCGTCTCGTCCAGTAGCGCGGCACCCTCAAGCAGCACAACGGACGCGGCCGCCGTCGCCACCGGCGTTGTAGCATCGGGCAACATTTATTCCGCGAACATGGCTCTCGTCCAGTTGGGAATGTTTTTGGAAGACGTTGTCGCTGCATCTTCGTAGATCATCTCATCTTGATTATCGGATCGCTGACGGCAGCGCGTAGAGCAATATACTGTACTGGGTGGGAGTGCGGACACTGATGTTTTCTTGTTTTCGGACTTACGTTTCTGTTTTGATATCCTACGGCGACATACGTTTTAACAATGTGCTGATACCTGCTAATACACAATTTATTGGACTTTCTATAGCATTTGACAAAGCGGTTTTGTCTCACCCCAGATTCATCGTGCACGTTCGAACTCTTACCTTCTCGTCCATCGCGTGCTGGACGTGAGAGGCAACAACCTCACCGTCTACGCCACGACTCTCACGACTTTACGGTTTGTCGTTCTCTGTGTATATCCGGTGGCGGGTGGCAATGTTCATCCGCGTTCTCTAGCGCTCCCTAGCCTCCTTTCCAGGGTTATCTTTCTGATAGGAAGGTTCAAACGGGGACGAGGCCCTCCCGTCACCATGCAGTTCACCTCACTCCTTTCATCTTTTGGCAAGTCAGCAGCGTCATGGTCCGTTCGGAGGAACGGCCATCTGACCGATGTGGCCGTAAGCGCTCGAACGCATGGCAGCCGCGTGGCCCCGCGTGGCTGTTCCTTCGACTCGTTTGTGTTGTTTCAACGCCCTGAGCCACTCTTTGTTGCCGATATCGAGAGATCTATTTCTTCCTCGCACTCTTTCCCCTGTCCGAGGACCGATTCCGCGACACTACAAAATGGGGGACACTTTGAGACTCATGGGTGCCCAGCGGCCTTTGTCTTTTGTCTTTCGACGTGCGAACCCCCATCGTACATTCTCACTCGCCCTGAGCCTCTCAGTTTCCTCAGGTGCCACACAGTCAAAATGTCCGAGACTGTATCGTGAGTCCTTAGTTCCGTCGGCACGATTTATGTGTCTCTGACGTTGCTCGTGTTCCCTTTGTGACTACATTCTGCCGTCTTGCGGAGTAGAACCTCGTACTTCTTTATTGCCCTCTACATAACCCCCACCCGCAACGTATACCGCTGGAAACTCGTCATGTCGCCCACAAAACTGCCAACAGGCCGCGTCCTACTCTCCGAAATCAAACAGAACCCCGCCACACGCGAGTGGTATTCCTATCATCGACACGATATGATTTCACCTGCGGATGACCCCACGTTTGTTGGCTGTGTCGTCCTTCCGCGGCCTTATGTCTGTGAATCGAGTACAGAGGAGGTGGCGCAGTGGGTGAGAAACTTCCCGTCAGTGAACGGGAGGGCGAAGCGGGAATGGAATAACGAGAGGTGGTGTATATGGTTATTGAGGACCCTGGACCAACCGAGACCGGCGGGACAGGATCAGGGTTCTAGTGGGGATTCGAACGGGCAGGTGGTGTTGGATGATGGGATGGGAGTGGGAGCAATGGGGGAGAGAGAGTTGTATGATAGGGTTTATGACGCCGCTAGAGCGTTTGGAGGCGCTGGTAGGTGTATATTTTACGCTGGTGGTAAAGGGATCCCATTCTCTATCTTGAGCACGGAATAGTATAATCGCCGTTTCGTTTCTTTGAGTTGCAGGGGTATGTATTGACCGAGTGTGTTGTATTTTTGTTCTTTACCTTTACTAGAGTTGTATGTCAAGTACTAGTGGCTTCCGGCTGATACGTTTGGTATGCATTGTACATGTCTGGGTTTAACTTCGATAGCGATGCCTCGTTGGACCGCGTTTTGTGGCCCCGGTCCGGACCGGATCGCTCGAACTTTCTCCGTCAAGGTTCGTCGGGAATAGCCGTAAGCCCCTTTCTGCAGTTGAATGTTCACACTCGTACCAGCTCGTACCTTGACTCCAGCTGCGTGTTTGATCGAGGGTTCTAACATTCGCCGCTGAACTCGAACAGGTATTTACACCGTTATATATGGACCCATATGTCATACTCTGATCTAGGGAGACCTCTACGGAGAGCCAGAAATGGTCCTGTCATTGAGGTTCCCGCATTCGCGGCGTTCAAGGAGCTTTCCAAACTCCTTCGACAACCGGAGTCTGAAGTTAAACATTCACCCTCAGATACTCTCTACGTTTTACACAGCCATGCGGTAAGGCGCGCGACCGGTTTTACTTACCCAGAACCTGCGAGCCGCTGTGGGCCACAACCTTTTGCCTGTGCCGCACTCGCCGACCCAGTTTTGAGAGTCGGAGCGCATTACTTCAAACTCCTCGGACCCACAGCGACCTCTAAGTAATGCCCTCCTTTACCTTGACGTCTCCGTCACCCCTTGAGCCAAGAACTCTGGGGCTCGTGGCCGAGTCTTCGTTAAAGCTTGGGCCACGATTATTTTGTTCACCCTCCCGCTTTTGTTCCCTTGCCGATTCCATGATGGAACCCATGTCTCACATATGCAGACAGGATATAACAGTATCGTATGCCCTCACTTTTGTCACCTGCTCTTTTCCTGTATCTATGACTCTGATCTCGATATTTGCTTGCGCCCAAAGCCAAGGACACCCTTAGGCGTTTGAACCTGTTAACAGCCCAGCCCAGCCCATCCCATCCACTCATCATCGTCCCCACATACGTACTGGTTCTCTTCCACATACGGGCGGCAGCCGCCTACGCATCCACTTGTGTTATGTGATTTATCGCTTTCGTCGCCGTGCTCGCTTTGTATATGCATGGGTTCTGCCCGAGTTTGGGAGTAGTTTTCAATTCGGTCGCTGTGTGGCTGAACGTTGCGTCCGTGAGTGCTATTATATGGGAGGGAGAGATTGGATGGAGGTACTTGTGGGGCAGTTCAAAATCGATGAAGGGACCAGGGCGGTCGATGTCAGTGGAGAGGAAGAAAGTCATGTGCATAGACAGTTATTGCGTGCACGACGCGGGATGCCCAAAGATCACTCCAATTAACCCAGAGAAAAACATAGGAGAACTACACTGGCTGTTTCTTTAACATTTTATCCTTGTAAACCACTCAGTCTAACTCATACCCCTTCCTCGCCTCCAAAATCAACTTTTCGGGACAATCCAAGGCAAACCTCCCACTCGCCTGCCTATACACCAGATACGTCGAAGTCCTCCTCTTATGTGTCCCTACTAACGGTTCCCTTCCCTCTACGACGTCTCGCATGAACGACTTAGTTGCTTCGAGCATCTCGAGAGCGGGGATGCCGGCGGTGGCGTGACCACATTGGATGAGGACGCCGCGGCTGGCCCAATGGGCCGGACCAGGAGAAAGTAACCTGGATTTCTCGGAGATGGGGGAGGTAGGAGAGTTTGCGAAGGATGCGAGGGCTTGGGAGGTTTTAGTCTGGACGAAGGACATCAGGTAGTCGATTGTGTCGAACCAATCGAAGAGGTTGCCTTCCATGCTGAACGCGATCTGTACAGAAATCAGGACTCTTCTTCAAGTCAGAAGTTCGAGAGGTCATCATACCGGCATGCCGTCATACAGTGTATCTCCAACATACAGCATACCCTCGGACTCGTCCCAGATCGCCACCTCATCGGGTGTGTGCCCCGGCGTATGCAAAACATGCACATGGGGCGACTGGGGAATGGAATATCCGTGAGGAACGAGCGTAGGTGTGTACTTGGGCAGCTTGATACCGAGATACGCGCAAAGAGAGGAGTATTGGAGTTGGTCGGGAGTCAAGAAGGATGGGTCGTTCCCGGACGAGAGGATAGGGGTATCCGCGAAGCCCTCAGTTCCCACTGTACACGGCCAAGCCAAACAGAAGAGTTTTTGTGTAAGTATAGGTATGACTCGAGAAATAGAAGACTGACGGATATGGTCGTAATGGCAGTGTGTGATGACTATCACATACTTCATCTTCCCTCCCTCGTTTATCGGCCTCTTCCCGTTCACGTCGACCGGAATGGTCTCAATGAACTCCCGCAGACTCTTCACGGAAATCCCAGGACGCCTCGTATGTCCTCCACACCCGGTATCAATAAGCACGATCGTATTCGTCGCATAGTTCATGAGCGCATAGATATATGGAGATTCGCCATAAATATCGTCGGGCTCGTTAATGAGGAACGTCGTAGCGTTCAGACGATATGCGACGAAAGCCGCGGTCCTAGGTGCCTGCCATCCAACGGTAGGCAGACAAGAGGTGAGAGCAGAGAAACAGGCTGACATGGTGGTGGTGGGATAGTTGGGAGGTGGGATCCTGGGAGGTCAGCTGTACGACCAGGATATTGAGGTTGTTATACGTTGTTATCCTTATCTGCGTGGGCTGAGTACTCATACGCTCACGATCAGGGCGGTTGTGAGCCGTTGGACCTGGCTATGATAATGTTCTGAACGATATTGCCAACCAGATATCGACAAAAGTATTTCGCCGAAGCATGTGAAGAAACGCCTTCAGAGGGACATCGCAAGGATATCGTAAAGGTGGCGGTTGGGTGGCGGTCGGTGCGGGTGCGGGGATTGCGCACGACGTATCAAATTGTGGAGCGAAAATATAACCACCCAGAAATTTCAGCGAAGCAATCTAGAGCATGCTGAAGATATTGAGGCATATTTTCTGGTGACGGTCGAGGTATGATGACGGAGTGGAACGGTTGAGACAACGAGTGGCACAGCCTGAGGGTCCGAGAAAGGCAAGGGTGGACGTCCCCGGAATACGAGCAACTGCTGCACGAGTCGGTTTCAAGCGCCCTTGCTCTCTCCAGCCTTCTCCGTTTCCCTCTCGCCATCTTCTTCCTTTCTCTCTCATCGTTCACGACAACGATGGGGAACAGTGCGTCCTCGTCAGGACGTGGCCCCCATGACGACACCGTAGATTTTGGGTTTCTTACCCCGCAGGGCGTTTACACCGGTCAAAGGGACTGGAATGAGTCGATTGTCGGCCAACTCATCTGCGAGCGTAAGCTCGCTCCATTTTACCGCCCACTCGAGGACTATGACCCCTCCTGGGACGACGAACGGATACTGGCAGCTCGGAAGGAGCCACCTAATCTAAACGGTGACGCGACCGAATCCATACGCTCAGAGGCCTCTAGCACTTCCAAGCACGGACATCACAAGCGGCCAAGTAACGTCAAGGATGTTACACGCTCGCCGGAGGCTGCCATCTACCGTGGCGCTGTAGAATGCCCAATTTGTTTCCTAGTACGTCCATCGTCTTTGCTCATGTCCCCCTCACTTGCTTATTACGTCACCGTCAACCCATCCTGCTCGCATGACTCCCCTCTCTACACTCGCTTTTTCCAGTATTACCCCTCTAATATCAACAAGTCACGATGTTGCGATCAAGCCATTTGTACCGAATGTTTTGTCCAAATCAAACGCTCCGAGCCCACCGTCACTCACCTCCAGTCTGATCCCGCATGCTGTCCATATTGTGTCCAAGAATATTTCGGCGTTGTATATACTCCTCCTCGATGGCGTGCAGGTATTGGAAGCGAGGGATGGGTGAGTTGCTGTCTTTGCTCGCATATCGTGCCACCTCTGAAGCTCCCTCTCGCCTCTGATGGGTATCCGTCAGAATGCTCCGTCTTGGCCCGAGCAGGGCTCGAACGAGCAACCACCCATCGGAATGCAGAAGCGCCGCAAGAGCTTCGGTGCGGACAGTAGCGAGGTTGTCACTACAGGTATTTGTTCTTCCATTAACATCTTGGAGAAGTTTAGACTCAAGGGAGTACACGGTTCAGATCAAATACGTCCCGACTGGGAATCTAAACTGGCAGCAGTTAAGGCTGCTGCTGCTCGGCGTGCCAACAGACGTATCATCATGAGGCAAGTTGGCGATCGACTTATTCCTGTCGGAGTCACCAGTGGCCGCGTGCATGCACTCCCAGCCGAAGGTGGCGAGCCTGCTACTGGCGATGGCTCGGGAAGTCGGAGATCACGTAGGCGGCAGCAAAATGAGCTCAATCACTTATTGGGATCTATGGGACTAGGAGGACAAGATCTGGAAGAGGTATGTATCCACGTTACATATCATAGTGGATTGCTATAGCTGAGAATATCTCACTGATGCATATCTCCGCTCCAGCTGATGGTCATGGAAGCCATGCGACTTTCACTTCTCGAGCACGAGGAACAGCAGCGTCGTGAAGCTCAACAACGAACACAGAACGGTGGTGAAGGTTCCAGTGCTGCGCAATCACCGAGCGAGGAGCCAGCTCAGCCAGCCTCCGAGGAGCCAAGTGCCGCAGCTCACTCCTCCTCAATCTCAATCTCCTTCAATGCAGCGGGAGACCGTGTACCTGCTTCCTCTCACTCTGCTTCACCTTCTCCGATCAGCACTACTCGTCCAGGTGCCTCCGCCAATCCCACACCGCCTAACGGATCCACCCCTCCATCCCCAGCTACACCGCAACCCATACCTGGAACCATTACACCTGTCATTGTTCCTTCACCAGAACCAGCTGAAGAGGCGGCGGTTAGCGACGTATCGGTCGGCCATGAAAATGCTCATGATGAACCAGGCGAACCGGTAGACCTACGCGGGGCACCTCACCCTCCTGCTACTCCTACTCCGTCTTCGTCAGCCTCAGCAAACCCGAGTCTCACGGTGCCTGTCGAGCTCGGTTCGCGTCAAATGAGTATCGGATCAAGTATCGTCTCCGAACCGTCGGTATCATCACCGATAGATGAACAGGATGGCGGGAGCGGGAAAGGAAAGGGTAAAGAGAAGGAAGGCGCGGGATATTCGATGTTGGCGTCGTCAGAGGAGTCATTGGTAGCAAGGGCTCCGCTATTGAGGTCAGAGACGATGAATACGACGTTCACCCAGGCAACGCATGGAGATGGCGAGGAAGCAGACGGCTCATTGTAGGCGATTGACGTCTACAGATGCCGGTGTGGGATGTGGTGTAATTTTAGTATCTTTCTACGTGGACGTTTTATGCGCTAAGCTTGGGACGGATAGGATGGTACGTCTGTAAGTATGGATGCTTTGCTCACGGTGTAGTCTGAGCTCCTTTGGGTCGGTATGGTCTTCTCTTCAACGCAGAATCGTGATGGGAGGACCGCAGACCGTTGGGCGAATCAGGCATTGTACATTTCGTACCATCCTCACCATCGATGTCTCTACATTTCACACCTCGCCTTTTTGACTTCAGGTTCTCTGTTTTTTAGTTTCTCTCCATCTCTGATCGTCCAGTTGTGCACACCTGTCTGTTCATGCCACTCGTCGCTCTCCTTGTAGCTTAATACACTAGAGTTCCTCTTTGCATTCTCATCCTGCTGATAATGACTTCATTCTAATGATTCGCCTGAATGTGAGAATCCTAGTTTCTATTCTGAGCTACTGTGGGTAAGAGCTGACTTCCTCCGTCGCTGAAAATCCTGAGCCTTATGTGAATCTTCATCGTGTTCCGACCCCTCAAGCTCCCCAGTTCCCCAGTTCGCTTTTCTTAAAATACATCTCTCATTACTCAAAGACCGTTCACAATTTGTCGTCCTGACTGTTCGAGTATATATAAATAAAACAAGTGCGCTCGGCAAATGCCTGCGGTGAAGGCGACAGAAACTCGCGTGATTGCACGACGTTGGCGGCTGGAAGCTTTGGTCTAGGGCGTAACTTACGCATTGAAAGTACTTACACTCTGATCTTCTCATCCATGGGCTCGTTATTTCCCATGTCCCGCTCACGACCGTTTGGAACGGACCCAGGGTGCGATAGCGCTGGGTTTGTAAATTTCTAGCAAATTCCCCACAGGTCAATCGGCCACGTCAGCGACTCGCACGTGCGCAGGAAAACAGCCCCGGTTCCGCGAGTATACAAGTTCGCGCCTTGGTCTTCGTCTCTGCAAAGCACTGGCCATGGACTCCCCTTGGACCAATTCCGCTGAGGAAACTCTTCGTTTCTTCCAATCTGACCCGGCTACAGGTCTTTCGCAAGACCAGGTGAACAAGCATGCTCAAACGTATGGCAAGAACGGTGCGCATACTTACCCTTGCTTTTCTATCGAAAGGGCAGCATTTGCTCATCTTGTTCTTTATCTTGTTTCGCCCGCTAGAACTTCCTGAGGACCCATCAACACCATTATGGGAGCTGATCCTTGAACAGTTCAAGGACCAGCTTGTACTCATCCTTCTCGCCTCGGCCGTCATTTCATTCGTTCTCGCTTTGCTCGAAGATAATGAGTGCGGCTCGATATGGGGCGCATTCGTGGAACCGTCCGTTATTCTGCTCATCCTCATCGCCAATGCGACTGTTGGAGTTATCCAGGAGACAAATGCGGAGAAAGCCATCGACGTGCGTACAGCTTAGAATTTGCGGGTTTCTCTGGTATTTAGTTTTCTTTCGTACAGGCTTTGAAAGAGTACTCGCCCGACGAGGCCAAGGTTTTGCGTGGCGGACAAATAGGTCGTATTCACTCCACCGAACTCGTCCCAGGAGATATCGTCGCTGTCGCCGTTGGCGATAAGATCCCCGCCGACTGTCGCCTTCTCTCCGTCTCATCCAGCAGCTTCCGTATCGACCAGGCTATCCTCACCGGCGAGAGTGTCAGCGTGAACAAGTCCACTGAAGTCGTTCCGGATCTCAAGGCTGTGAAGCAAGACATGACGAACATGCTCTTCTCGGTCAGTTTCGGCCTTCGGGCTTTCGTCTCTACTTTTCGTTCCACTCAGAAACTGATTTGGTGCAATACAGGGTACGACTGTCGTCAACGGAAGTGCACGGGCTATCGTTGTTTTCACCGGTCAACGCACAGCTATTGGTGACATCCACAAGTCCATCTCCTCGCAGATCAACGAAAAGACCCCCTTGAAACGCAAGCTGGACGACTTCGGTGATCAGCTCGCGAAGGTCATCACTGTCATTTGTATCCTTGTCTGGGTCGTCAATTTCCGTCACTTCTGGGATCCGTCCCACCATGGCGTCCTTAAGGGAGCTATTTACTACTTCAAGATCGCCGTCGCACTGGCTGTGGCTGCTATCCCTGAAGGTCTTGCTGCTGTGATCACTGCTTGTTTGGCGTTGGGCACGAAGAAGATGGCACAGAAGAATGCAATTGTGCGAAACCTGCCGAGCGTGGAGACTCTGGGGAGCACGAATGTCATTTGCTCGGACAAGACGGGAACTTTGACGACGAACCAGATGTGTGTCTCGAAGGTAAGCGATACGATCATCACACATTCCCCATCTGGATGCTGCTGATCTTCTCTTCAACAGTTCTTTGTCGCCGGCTCGAGTGGCACCCCGCAGGAATACCTAGTCGAGGGAACATCTTTCTCGCCTTTAGGATCCATCACGACCGCCAACGGGAAGGATGCATCCGCCGACCTCCACTCAGAACCCATGCAGCGCTTGGCCGAAATCAGCGCCATCTGTAACGATTCGAAGATTGTGTACCTCCAGGTTCGTGCCGTTCCTACGCTACGTATTCACAACACTGACCAGTATCACAGGAGAAGGATGCCTACGCCAATGTCGGGGAACCTACTGAAGCTGCTCTCAAAGTCCTCGCCGAAAAAATTGGCTGCCCCGACAAGGAGCTTACTGCGTCGCTCTCTACCCTCCCTCCTGTGGTCCGTGCCAGCGCTGTCAACGACTACTACGAACGTACCATTCCCCGTCTCCTCACCTTCGAGTTCTCTCGTGACCGCAAGATGATGTCCGTCCTGGTGAACCACAATGGCACAGGTGCTCTTTTCGTCAAAGGCGCACCTGAATCTGTTCTCGACCGCTGCAGTTCCATTCTCGTTCCTGGTGGCGAACATGCCCCACTTACTGCCGCCACCCGTAACGCCATCTTGGAGCAGACCATCACTTACGGCAAACACGGTCTCCGCACCCTCGCTCTCGCCTTCGTCAATGTTCATGACACGGATGCGGCTCACTACAAGTCACAAAGCTCGACCGACTACTCCCGTTTCGAACAGGGTCTCACCTTCGTCTCTCTCGTCGGCATGCTCGACCCTCCCAGGCCCGAGGTCCGCCCTGCCGTTGCGAACTGCAAAGCTGCTGGAATCCGTGTCATCTGTATCACCGGCGACAACAAAGGTACGGCGGAGACGATTTGTAGGCAAATTGGGATCTTCGGCGAGGATGAAGATTTGACGGGCAAGAGTTACACCGGACGAGAGTTTGAGGCACTCAGTCAGGAGGAGAAGGTCTTGGCTGTGCAAAGGGCTTCGTTGTTCAGTCGGACAGAACCTGGTCACAAGAGCCAGTTGGTCGATTTGTTGCAGGGATTGGGCTTGGTTGTGGCTATGGTGAGTCGCTTTTGCCATCGCGTGTGCGGTTATATGTACTAAATGTTTTCGTTCTGTAGACTGGTGATGGTGTCAATGATGCCCCTGCTTTGAAAAAAGCCGATATCGGTGTCGCTATGGGAAGTGGCACTGATGTCGCAAAACTCGCCGCCGATATGGTTCTCGCGGACTCGAACTTTGCCACAATAGAATTGGCTGTCGAGGAAGGTAGACTTATCTATAACAACACGAAGCAATTTATCCGCTATCTAAGTGCGTGTCATACTTTCAATGTCTTTTCTTATGGGCAGAGTTACTGACCGTACCTACAGTTTCCTCCAACATCGGCGAGGTCGTCAGTATCTTCTTGACGGTCCTCCTCGGAATGCCTGAGGCGCTTATTCCCGTCCAACTACTCTGGGTCAACCTCGTCACGGATAGTCTTCCGGCTACGGCTTTGGGCTTCAACCCTCCAGACCATTCGATCATGCGTGTACCACCGCGGAGTAGCCGTGAGCCCTTGATCTCCAAGTGGCTCTTCTTCCGTTATATGGTCGTTGGCACGTATGTCGGTGTCGCCACTGTGGCCGGCTACGCGTGGTGGTTCATGTTTTACAGCGAGGGCCCCCAGATCACGTTCAACCAACTTGTACGTCCCCCTCTATCCTCGTTCAATCTGAGTCACACTCACGAATATCACTCTATAGACTCACTTCCACCAATGCTCGTCTCTGTTCCCCGAGATCGGCTGTGAGATGTTCACAAACACGATGGCAAACCGCGCTTCGACGATCTCACTTTCCATCCTTGTCACCGTCGAGATGTTCAACGCGATGAACTCCCTCTCTGAGAACGAGTCCTTGTTGCGTCTGCCGCTGTGGAAGAACCAGTTCCTCGTCGCCGCGATCACGTTGAGCATGGCGCTTCACTTTATGATCTTATATGTTCCCTTCTTTAGCGTGAGTTTCCTCCCTCTTTTTTTGCCCGTGAAGGGTGTGTCTGCGTGTGTGACCTTTACTGATGTACCCTCGATTACAGGCGCTATTCCATATCACGCCTCTCAATTGGGTTGAGTGGAAGGCCGTATTATACCTGAGCGCACCCGTGTTGGCAATAGACGAAGTGTTGAAGTTTGTTTCGGTGCGTTGATCCCTTCCTTCCTTTCCCGAGGTCGACGTCTTGCGTGGTACTTATACTGATCTCTATCGGTTCATAGGCGACTTTTGTGGACCCTCCGACGAAGGTCAAGGCGGACTGATGAGGAAGACATGGACTAATGACTGTTACAACACTCAGATTTTTATACACCACCCATTTGTATTCATGTAGAGCATCTTAAAACTAATGGGATGTTATGGATCTTGACCACCGTCTTTTCGTTGTCGATGATACGCTATAAATTGCTCGAGCAGTTTCATGAAGGGCTATATTCAGTGATATACTGCGAGTCAATAGAACTTGAAGGAAGGTCCTATCTAACCGTCTTTACGACCTCGATTTCTGTTTCAGATGTTTGAGTTCTGGCATAGTACGAGACGTGGCAAACTTGTGCGTGTATTCATTCTGTCTTTGCTAGGGCTTTCACTGACAACTATCTATGAGGTACAGGTAGTTTCAAGAAACCACACGGACGCGACTAAGTCCTGCACTGAAGTCAAACATCGCAATGTCTCGGAAGTATATTCTCAGTTCAAACTCGTCTCGGATTTCGTATGAGACTTAAGACATATTCCTAGCCTAGCGGGCTCGTTGTGAGTCTGCATTCAAGTTCTACGATGCATGGGTCTACGACTCCATCCCTCCCACCTCTCCCACCCCTCCCATTTCTCAACCACTTCTATTACTACCTCCGCTTCTCTGCCTGCTACCACTATACCTCCATCCACCTGCTAGTCCAATACCTCCCATGTCTAGCTCTGCTCATCATGTCACACCGGATCGTGGCCTCGCCAACCGCAAGATCGACAACGGGAAGATCATCCTCACCCACCTTCTAGGCTGTGGCACCTTCGGCTCCGTTTATCACGCTCGCGAGACTCACCATCCATACACCGAATACGCCGTCAAGGCCCTCAAAAAAACCTCGCCGAGCGACGACTCCTGGAACTCGGAGATCGAATACCACTGCGAGGTCTCCGATGATCCCAATATCTGCACGATCCACCGCGTTATCGAGGAAAACAAATTTATATTTGTCCTCATGGATCTTTGTCAGAGTGGGGACTTGCAGGCGGCGATCGAGAAGAGGGCGATATATTATAGGAGGGACGAGCTGTTGAAGGCGGCGTTCATTGGGGCTTTGGACTCGGTGGATGCGTGTCATGCACGGGGAATATTTCATCGCGATCTGAAACCGGATAATTTCTTGGTTTCGCTGGATGGGGCGAGGGTTTGGCTGACGGATTTCGGCATCGCGACCAAGAGGAAGTCGAGCGACGAGTATGCTGGAACACCGTGCTATAAGAGCCCGAGTCAGTGTTCATTCTCATTTTCGTTGTGGGGGTCATTTTACTAAAGCAGTCGGTCGTGCATGCCGGTAACAGATGCTATCCAGGTCGTCCAAGGAAAAAAGTCCGGGGAACTTCGCGTAGTGGCCAAGCCATACGTCCACCAGGCAAACGACATTTATGCGCTAGGATTGATTCTCGTGAACATGATCATCGGCTGTGATCCCTGGCGCTTCGCGATACCCTACATCGACGGGAACTATCGTCTCTTCCTCGGCGACCCAGGCATCTTCCTACACTGTTACCCCATGTCTGTCGAAGCAAACGACCTCATCCGAAAAATCCTACACCCCCAGGTCAAGATGCGTCCGTCATTGAAGGAGATCAGAGGGGACGTCGAGAAGGTCAAGACGTTCTTCTTGACCGAAAAGGAGATCCTGAAGGCATCCCCGAGGGCGAGGGAAAAGGCATTCCGTTTACATCTCAAACAGGCGGAAGCCCAGCTCAAGCCGGTTGTGTCCGCCACAATCATTACTCCTCCAACCGAGCAAGTCAGCACTCTGAGGCGCATTCGGTCCATGTTCACTGGGTTGGACGGTTCACGGCGCAACAAGGATCCTCATGCTCCTGCTGTCGTCCTCAAACCCAAGTCGGCGCACCCAGAGGCCACCGTTCGACCTCGATTCATTTCCGCGATGTCGTCGCAGTCGATGCTGCAAAGTCCTCAACCGCTCACTCGCGATAATCTCGACGCTTCGAATTCGTCAACTCTGAAGCCCCGTCGGATGGCCTCTGCGCTGCTTGGTCTCCCGACACTCGCTATGCCCGTCTTCAACAAAGTCTCGGCTATGTCGACCGACTCTCTCTCTCCCGGGCTCCCCTATGCACAAACGCAGGACGGCTCACCATCGACGATGTTCAAGTTCAAGACGTGGGGGGCTAGGGAGGAAACGTTGACAACGGGGAAGGAGAAGTCTGGATTGAGTAGAAAATTGTCGAGGATATTCTTGCCGGTGACGAACGAGGGGGCTGCGTGCTGATCTGCGATTCCCTTGGTTTCTTCTTGTATCTCGTATAATTGCCATTTTTTTAATCCTTATTTGTTACTGCCCGATATTTGCTTCGAAAGCTGCATACATAATCATACATATATCTTTTTACGCAAGTCCGTACGAGCGACAGAACTACAATGAGACTGACCAATACGTCTCCATGTTGTTACATTTGTTGGACTTCGTCAACATCAATCAAGCGAGCTGAGCCGGCGTCATCCTCTCCACCTCGTCCTCCGACTCATCATCGCTATCACCCACCCTCTGCTGTGTCGCCCAGACCGCCTCCTCCAGCGCCTCGAGATCCCATCCCGTCATAGCCTTCTCAATCTTCAACTCACTGAGCGCTTTGCCCAACTCGCTCAATTTCTCGTTACTGAAACATAGCAGACACGCGAACTCTCGTCAGGAAATGAATCACGAATTATCAAGAGCGAAAGATGAACTTACGTTGTGTATCGCGCCACCCATGTACAGAGGTCGTCGACCCAGATCCGCGAGTATACGTAGTATACTTCATGTTTGTCCAGGATGGCACGTATCTCGAGGAGAGAGCGCAATACTGCATGAGTTCCGCGCTGTAAGAATCCCGCTACATCTTGACGACAACGTTCAGCGAGAAGCCAAGAACGGTGTAAGGGAAAGGCGAGCGAGCGACGGTACGACGGTATCAATGCGTTCGAGAGGACAGACGGCGGGAACGACTGGACCGAAGGGTACGAGGACGCCCTCGTTACGTTGGGTTTCGATGCACTAGCGATGATGAAGTCGATGTCACTGCTTGTGGTAGCGTGATGCGGAACGATGTGTGGAATATGTTCTGGAGTTGTCGGATGGACGGGAGTCCGGTATGGCGGAGGGTCAAGGGCGGAAAAATAGGGTGTAAGGACTGAGATCGTCCAGGCGCTTTCGGGCGTGGGATCGTGTTGTGTTGTTCGGGCGTCGTATGCGTACGAGAAGAGGAGGGTGACGAGCGTCAAGTAGAGAGAATGTGTTTGGGCCGGTGTGGCCAGATCTGCGGTGGGTGGCGTAAGATGAGATAGGGGCTAAACTAGAGTAAGGAAGGAACTGAGTTCGCTCACACTCTTTCTGAGGGAGCTGAAGCATGGTCATATTTTCAGCCTCGGTGAATGGTGCCACAGCGGGTGCGGCGAGGTGGGGGTGTTCCCAAGAGATGAGCTCCGCGATGTATTCGTTGTCTGCAAAGTCCGCCCTGCTCTATAGAGTGAGTTTCGGTACTCTGAGCATAGTTAAGAAGGACCGACATGTAATGCTCTTCATCCCATTTCTCATCCTCATGCGCGATGCGACGCTTCTGACGTTCGGACACAGTAAGTGTTTCCGCGTCCGCACCGAGCTCATTGACTTCATTCTCCGTCGTCGTGACGTGTCTAAAGTAACCGGTGTACATGTCCAGAAAGCCGTAACGTTTCTCCAGAGTCATATGAAGATCAGCTATCGGCTCTGGGACGGTCTGCGGGAGCTGCCAGTCATTCTCAGCGGCTATAACGCAGCACATATATCAGGACTATGCCGTCCAGAAATCGTGATTGAGAATGGAGGGTGCATACCTTTGAGGATTTCACGCTGTTCGGAAGTGAGTTCTTTCTCTTCGAGCGTCAGACTTTCTGCCTGATCAACCAGCTCTTGATCGTCTCCATTTGTATCATCCTGTGATGAAAGGACTTCGATGGAAGGCTGGACCACCTGTGAGGGTCGCGGCGCTAACAGTCTCGCCAACATGTCGAGATCAGGAAAGTCTTGTCCTTTATTTTCTTTAGTCAGAGTCACGGTCAGATAACCTGAGCCAGGGTCATATTTGGCTCCTGAAGCGTCGTCTTCTAGGACGTTGTGCGGTAGATTGAGCCGGAGAAAGTATGGTGCTATGTGCACAGAGAAAATGTTCTCATCGACATGAATTTCTACTTCGGAGGCCTGGCAGTTCCGTCAGCGCCTGGTCAAGTGAGACGCAGAGGCGACATACGCGAACAGAGGGGCAGTAGATGGATATGACCACAGCATCGTCGGTCTGCGCGCACGAAAAGCGCGGGGTGATCATGTCTGGATGATGGTGTTTCGAGGAAGAGAAGACGCCGGGGAGCCGGGTCGAGATAAGATCTGCGAACTTGGTTACCGAGGATGTGGCGGTGCGGGTAAAATGGGCGATAATATATATGAAATCTCGAAAGCAGGAACGAAAGCAAGCGTTCACCGAGACCGCGACCCCTGCGAACACGAAGCAGCAGCGAAAACACTAGTACATAATGGATACCCAGGTACTTTTCATTTCCACACCCACAGTCTTTCGTTCTTCCCGCTTTGAACCTTCATGTCCGTCCAGCGACTCCCAGCTTTTCCGCCTCTCGAGACCGTCGAGCGCATCATCCTCCATGAGAAACAGGGGAATTGCGTTCCGGTCTATGTCCAGCTCCCCGCAGAGCTCCTGACCCCGGTCATGGCCTACCTTCGGATAGCGAAGGACTCAAAGTACAGTTTTCTACTAGAGTCCGTAATATCTGGCGAAAACGTCGCTCGGTACAGTTTCATCGGCGCTGGCATGTCCCATCCACTCGCATGACTCATCCCGGTCAGTGCCACTCATACACTCTCCCCGCAGACCCATTCAAAGTCATCAAAATCGGACCCAATGAAGAAATCAAAGGAGATCCCATGACTCATCTCCAGCGCGAGCTCTCCGTCTACAAATATGTCAAGATCCCCGAAGTTCCAACCTTCACCGGCGGTGCCATCGGTTTCGTCTCTTACGACTCGATCATGCACTTCGAGCCTAAAACACAGCGCGACCTAGCGGACCCTCTCAAAATCCCCGAAGCAGTATTCATGCTCGCAGACACACTCCTCATCTACGACCATCTCTACCAGAACGTCAAAGTCGTCTCGCACGTCATTTGTCCCGAGACGGCAGGGGCGTCCAACCTCACGTTCATCTACCAGACTGCTGTGGCGAAGGCGAAGAGGCTAGCTCGTGTGATTACGAGTCTGACGACGCCGGAGGTGGATCAACCTCCGATCACGCTCGGGAACGAGTCAAAGTCGAATGTTGGAAAGGAGGGGTACGAGGGCTTCGTGACGTCGTTGAAGAAGAGGATTGTGGCGGGAGATATCATCCAGGCTGTACCATCGCAGAGACTGGCAAGGCCAACGCAGCTACATCCGTTCAATGTCTACCGACATCTGAGGCAAGTAAACCCCAGTCCGTACATGTTTTACCTCGATTGTGGCGGGTTGCAGGTCGTCGGGGCTAGCCCAGAGACGCTGTGTAAAGTGGAGAGCCGAAAGGTTTACAACCATGCCATTGCGGGTACGACAAAACGCGGAAAGACACCAGAAGGTGAGATTGATCTCTTTCTTGATTCCCTCCGACGTGGGCTAATTTCTGTCTGTTTAGAGGATAGGTTACTGGGAGAAGAGCTTCAGAAGTCCGAGAAGGACCGAGCGGAACACATCATGCTCGTCGACCTCGCACGGAATGACGTTAACCGAGTCTGCCAACCGAAGACGGTCAAAGTCGACGAGCTAATGAAGCTGGAAAAGTTCAGCCATGTCATTCATCTGACCTCGCAAGTTTCGGGCGTACTGCGAGATGGTCTGGACAGGTTCGTCGACATGTACCCTTCTCACCCCGGTGTTGCGTCCTCATATCTCATTATCTCAGATTTGATGCCTTCCGGTCAATATTCCCGGCTGGGACAGTATCTGGAGCACCAAAAATCAAGGCCATCGAGCTTGTGTATGGGTTAGAGAAGGAGCGTCGGGGTGTGTATGCTGGCGCAGTGGGACGTTGGGATTTTGCGAACGACGAGATGGACACATGCATTGCTATCCGGACTATGGTCTTCAAGGATGGAGTGGCATACCTACAGGCAGGAGGTGGAATTGTGTACGACAGCGTGGAGGAAGACGAGTACGTCGAGACGCTCAATAAACTGCAAGGTAACGTCCGTGCACTCGAAGGCGCAGAAAGTGAGTCTCCGTAATCTCTCCCACATGTACTACCGGCGTTGACTATTGTCGTTGCAGAGTATTGGTATGATCTCCAACAAACTAAGGCTAGACGGACGCCATAATGGGATGACTCCCGTGGAAAGTAATTATATGTATTGTTAATGTATCTACAAGTCATCATCCTCGATCCCGAGAGAACGCCTCTTGGCGTCACGGTTCCGTCGCGTCTCCTTGTAAGCCTGCTGCTCAGCCTTCTTCGCCTCCCTCTCCGCGTTCTGCAAAGCACCCTCTCTACCCGCAACGCTCAATACGCCCGCAACAATCTCCGCGACCCTCGTGCTCTCGTCGTTGGCTGGGATAGGATACATGACAATCCTCGGATCCGCGTTTGAATCAACGATACCGATGGTCGGAACGTGCTGAATGGCGCACTCGCGAATTGCGTGCATGTTCGTGAGAGGATTGAGGAAAACGACGAGGTCTGGCGTGATGATAGTCTCTTCTACGGTCTCCACCCCAAACGTCTGGATCATGTTGGTGAGAGTACCAGGGAGCCACTTTTCTCCGACGTGGTATGCCTGCTTGCCTATCCGCTCAGCAGCCTTGCGGACGGCTGGTCGGATATCTGGTCGTGTGCCGACAAAGACGACCCGACCTCCGTTGGCTGTTACAGCGCGGACGAGAGATGCGGCACGACGAAGGAGAGCGATGGTGTTTTCGAGGTCGATGATGGTGATGCCAGCACGTGTACCGTAAGCGTAGGGGATGAAATTGGGGTTCATGAGGGCGCGAGAGTGGCCCATGTGAGCGCCAGAGGCGACGAGGGCAGAGAGGGTGAGGGTGCTGGGACTGTGTGGTCGGTGGAGGGTATGATGTGGTTGCCATGTATTGTCCCGTGTTTGAGAAGAGCCGTATTGGGAGAACTCGTCAACTGTAGAGCCATGTCAGAGATATGTATGACATTGTGGTTCAGAGAGACGTACTGAGCATTCTGTACTCTGCTTTTCGAATTTGGAAGGCAGACCAGTCCTCCTGGGTCTCGAGGCGCATACCCTCGGGGGAAGCAGCGGTGGTCACCGCGCGTTTTGATGTGGATGCATGTCTAAAGACTGCCGATGATGATGAGGCCGAGCAAGTACGCCTCGTCGCCGACGACAGCGCAGACAGCGACCGAAGGGACATGGAGAGCTGAAGCACGACTTGTTCTTTGCGCCGCGAACGAGCGCGAAAGAGGGCCCCCGGGATCCAGTCGGCTGAGAGCTCCGGGGTCCCTCCTGGGGCGCGTGGGGCTTAGTCATCAGTTCATCGATTTTTTTCAGGACGGCTCGCTGTGGACGACCTTTACCTGCTCCTCCCATCCCACCCAAAAACCGGTTCATTCCCCTCCTTCTTCTCCCCCTCTCTACTCAAAAATGGCTGACGACCTCTTCGATGGTGCTATCGGTATCGATCTCGGAACTACCTACTCGTGAGTTGTTGCGGAGTGCACACCTCTCCCTTAGCCCGTTCTTAGACGTCTTTTCCTCGTGTAGCTGTGTCGGAGTGTGGCAAAACGACCGTGTCGAGATCATCGCCAACGACCGTGAGTTTTGTTTTTTGTTTTGAAAATGTAGCCTGTGCTGAGCCAGAAATGCAGAGGGTAACAGGACCACGCCCTCCTACGTCGCCTTCTCCGCCGAGGAGCGCTTGATCGGCGATGCTGCCAAAAACCAGGCCGCCATGAACCCTCGCAACACTGTATTCGATGCCAAGCGTCTCATCGGTCGCCGCTTTGAGTGAGTCCTCGCTTTGATTGCTATACACCAATGTTTATTAATCCGCCCATCAGTGACCCCGATGTTAAGAAGGTATTTTTATTCCGTCGATTTAGATTTTTATCGGTCTATTCAATTTATGTCACTCGTATTGGCTCGTAGGACATGACCCACTGGCCTTTCACCGTCGTCGAGAAGGACGGCTCTCCTCTGATCCAGGTCGAGTACCTCGGTGACGAGAAGACTTTCAGCCCCCAGGAGATCTCCGCCATGGTTCTCACCAAAATGAAGGACATTTCTGAGGCCAAGCTCGGAAAGGAGGTCAAGAAGGCCGTCGTTACGTGCGTTCCCCCCTATAACGTTTTTCTGGGCCGCGTGTTGATGATATTACGGATTCGTCAGCGTGCCCGCCTACTTCAACGACTCCCAGCGTCTTGCCACCAAGGACGCCGGTGCCATCGCCGGTCTCGATGTTCTCCGTATCATCAACGAGCCCACCGCCGCTGCCATCGCCTACGGTCTCGACTCGCAATCCAAGACCGAGCGCAACGTCCTCATCTTCGATCTCGGTGGTGGAACTTTCGATGTCTCCCTCCTTAACATCACCGGTGGTGTCTTCGCCGTCAAGGCCACCGCTGGTGACACCCATTTGGGTGGTGAGGACTTCGATAACGCCCTCCTTGACTTCTTCAAGAACGACTTCAAGAAGAAGACCAAGCTCGACATCTCCGACGACGCTCGTGCCCTCAGGAGATTGAGGAGTGCTTGCGAGCGTGCGAAGAGGACGCTTTCTTCCGTCGCTCAGACTACCGTTGAGGTTGACTCGCTCTTCCAGGTCCGTCATCTCTGTTCGTGTTGTGCAAATAATATTCGATCTAACGGGTTATATCGTACAGGGTGAGGACTTCTCGGCCAACATCTCCCGTGCCCGTTTCGAGGAGATCAACGCCACCCTCTTTAAGTCCACGATGGAGCCCGTCGAGAAGGTCTTGAAGGACGCCAAGATGCCCCGTGAGAAGGTCGACGACATCGTCCTCGTCGGTGGCTCCACCCGTATTCCCAAGATCCAGGCTTTGGTTTCTGAGTTCTTCGGTGGCCGTCAGCTCAACAAGTCAATCAACCCCGACGAGGCTGTCGCCTACGGTGCTGCTGTTCAGGCCGCCGTCTTGACCGGTCAGACCTCCGAGAAGACCCAGGACCTCCTCCTTCTCGATGTCGCTCCTCTCTCCCTCGGTGTTGCCATGCAGGGCGATGTCTTCGGTATCGTCGTGCCCAGGAACACCCCTATCCCCACCAACAAGTCGCGTACTTTCACGACCGTTGAGGACAACCAGACCCAGGTCACCTTCCCCGTGTAAGTTCGCTCTATCCTCTGCGCATGTGACGTACACTCATGGGCATCTCCTCTCCAGCTACGAGGGTGAGCGTACCCAGTGCCGCGACAACCGTCTCCTCGGCGAGTTCGAGCTCACTGGTATCCCACCGATGCCCCGTGGCCAGGCTGAGCTCGTTACCACCTTTGAGGTCGATGCCAACGGTCTTTTGAAGGTATCCGCTATGGACCGTGCTTCCGGCCGGAAGGCTTCCATCAGTATGTCTCTTTCTAGCCCATACTCAATCGCATCTGTGCTGACGATGTCGACTTTCTCCAGGCATCACCAACTCCGTCGGCCGTCTCTCATCGGCAGAGATTGACCAGATGATCAAGGATGCTGAGCAGTTCAAGCAGGCCGACAAGGAGTTCTCTGCCCGTCACGAGGCCAAGTCCGACTTGGAGGCTTACATCCACCAAGTCGAGGGCACCATCACCTCGCCCGAGATCGGCATGAAGCTTAAGCGTGGAGCTAAGTCGCAGGTTGAGTCTGAGCTCGCCCGTGCGCTCGAGAAGCTCGAGATTGAGGACTCGACGGCGGACGAGTTGCGCAAGGCGCAGTTGGGCATCAAGCGTGCGCTCCAGAAGGCGACCGCTGGTATCCGGTGAGGTGGTGGTTGAGGAATGTCGTTTTTTTCGCTTATGTTTCGATCATATTTTCTTGCTCCGTCTGTTGTTCTTTACTCTTCGCACGTTTCCTCCTCCACACGCTTCTTCCTTTTCATTTTGCTTTGCGATGTTTGATGCGGCCGTCGGTGCGCGCACGGTTGGCTTGAGGGTGGGTGGCAGGCAGATGGAGAGGAGGAGCGAAGGGGTAAACCAAAATGAAGCGGGGATTGGAGTGAATGACCCGTTCTTAGCTGCATCCGTCGTCGACTGTTTTGATCCTCACTCGTTGTATTCATCGCTGTTTCCGAGCTTGAAAAGTGTATCCATGCCGCCTGTTATGCAGAATTCAATCTCGCTGTTTGCCTCGAAGGAAAATCTGTGAGTGATGGACCCTGGCGGGGTGGAAAGGCCGAGAGGGAGGAAAAGCGTGTGCCAAGGCGACGAAGGGACGGGAGCCATGTGGGTGGGTCGAACCTGGTTGGACGCTGCCGCCAAGCGTCGCCAAAGAAATCTTGCCCGTCGTGAGCCCGCTCTTTCCTCGTCGTTCTTCCCCAAGGCCTCTGTACGTTCACCAACGGGCTCTTCAGCCTCCATCCCTCTTTTGTTCACCACTATCCTTAACACCCTCACCGACTCCGAACACAATGCGCGCTTCGTCCCTCGTCGCTTTCTCCGCTCTCTCCTTCGCACTGCCCTACCTCGCTCTTGCCAATGACCACAGCGGCCATGCTCGTCGTCACCACGACATCGCTGCTCGTCACCCAACGGACAAGAGAGATCCTGAGGTGCTCTCAAAGAGATATGACAATATGAGGTTTACCTTCTATGATGTTGGCCTGTGAGTCTTCGTTCCGTTAATCTGAAAAGGAAGGCGGATCATTGAGGGCGGATTTCATAGTGGCTCCTGCGGTAACACCAATGTTGCCTCTGACTTCGTGAGTACCCCTTCATCCTGTGTAACTAGACTAAGTCATGTCTGACAATAGTTTTGTAGATTGTTGCCCTGAACTCCGATGTAAGTTGCATTGCCCTTGGTAGCCACGCACTTTTTTGTTGCGGAAACTTATACGTGCGAATCCTCATAGCAATACGGAAGTGGCTACCCTGGTCCCTACTGTGGTGACAGTATCACTATCACCGCCAACGGAAAGACTACGACTGCCCAGATCCAGGATGAGGTGCGTTCTCTCCGTCTTATTGAGTATACCCGATCTAATCGGCTGTCTTTCTGTATCAGTGCCCCGGCTGCCCCTACGGTGGTTTGGACTTCTCCCGTGGCCTCTTCGACTACTTCGCCGATGAGTCCGTCGGTGTCCTCTATGGTACCTGGAACTTCGTCAACGGCGGGGGAGGAGGTGACACCTCTACCTACACGTACGTCGCCCCGACCACCTCCTCGACCTGGGTGGCTCCAACCACCTCTTCCACCTGGGTCGCCCCGACCACTTCGTCTACCTGGGTAGAGCCCACCACGTCGTCCACTTGGGTCGCCCCCACGACGTCCTCCACCTGGGTCGCCCCGACCACTTCCAGCACCTGGTCCTCCAGCTCTACCTGGAGCAGCTCTTCTTCGTGGAGTAGCAGCTCCTGGAGCTCCTCCTCCGCATGGTCTTCGTCCTCCGCATGGTCGTCGTCCGCCACTCCCTCGTCGTCTGCAGCCAGTGCCACCGCTTCGGCGAGTGGTCTTGCGGAGTCTTCGGGCACGCTTTCAGGCTCGGCGGCGACTGGAAACATCAACGAAGGGAACCAGGTCATCATCGGCCTTGGAGGCCTCGTCGCTGCCGGCCAGGCTGTCGCGGCGGCTTAATTTCACTACCTATTTCAATTTCTTCATTCCCATTTTTGGGCTGGCTTCTCTGTTGGATTAATTGATCACCTCACACTCGTTTGGTCCCTTCATATCACTCGCTCGCTAGGCGGGGCGAAAATGTCATGTTCACGATAAAAATCACCTAGTACTAGCTACCTCCGTCCCCCCGTCATGTCCATAGGATGTCCATACGTCTTATTTACCGTACCTAAGTATCCCACTACCTACCCACGGACATCTATCGGACGTTTTTCCTCATACTATCCGGGCCTTTTATACGTGACATCATATTTTTCGCTTCTCCATTTCCTAGCTGGTGGTGTGCGTTTGTGTTGTGTTTCGGTTGTGTTGACAGTGAACGATCACTAGCCCTGCTATATACCCAGCTAACTAACCTATCCCCACCCCGCCGTTCTCATCCTCCGATTATCATTGTCATGGATTCTGGTTTCGTCTTTTTGATTGAGTGTCCTTTTTTATATCTATTCACTCTCGTTGTTTGTGGTAATAGTGGTTGTGTGTTTAGGGCCTGTGTGTTTCGTTAAGCGTTAATTAACGTTGTCGTAGCGTTCAATTATCGGGTCTGCCCCCCTGTTCCATTTTTTTTGGTCATGACGGCTTGCGTGTCGTGTTATCTTTGCTTTTTTTTGCTGGTACAGTACCCTCACTCGTTGGCGACAACACGAATTCTTGGGAGGCTATAGCATCCACGCTCGCCACAGTGGCGTTGGGTTGTTCCATCCGGGAATGCCGCGGTGAGGTTCAGCAAAGGTTCGTCCGAGACATCGACGCGATACAGCTCATCTCCCGCTTCCGAAACACCCTCACCAACGAAACCCCACCCACTGCTCCGTGCACTCAAAGAAGCCATGTACGACCTCGGACCTGTCTTGCCTAGATTTGCGACTCTGCCGCCTGAGCACACTGGATGTGTATATAACTAGTTTGCTGAACTGGAACCGGATTTCATTCTCTCGCCACCTTCCCGTCTCAAGACCTCTTTCTTTCTTCCTTTTTTTTCTACTCAACTCTCGTCATGACACGGGACTTCTCAGGCAGCGCCTTCGTCTCAGAGTCTCTCGTTCTCGGCGACGTACTTTCTTCCACCCCTTCTGGCAACCTCTACCACGCCCGCGACATCTTCGGGGGCCAGCCCTACGCCGTCAAATGCCTCACCAACACCTCCCACCAACGCGAACGTCGCATCTACGACTCGCTCGTCGATTTCGATCACGCTAACGTACAGAGACATTACTTCACCTTCCGGCGTGCAGGGCACACTTTCTCCGTCATGGACTTCTGCGAGCCTGACAACAGTCTCGCGGCGTCGATTGCGGACGATATGTTTTATGGGAACGATGAGATATTGAAGGGCGTGTTTGTGCAGGTCCTCGATGCGGTGGAGGCGTGTCAGAGGAGGGGGGTGTATCATAGGGATCTGAGCCCGCAGAATGTGTTTTTGGAGGAGGATGGGAGGAGGGTCGTGTTGGCTAATTTCGGGCGCGCGTCGGAGATGGATATGTCTGTGGACTGTTCGGGTGGGGATGAAAGGTTTATGAGTCCAGGTGGGCACTTTTTCCGTTTCTCTGCGGATGGGTCGGAGGTAAGAGCGAGTTGGTCTGACAATGAGATCTTATACTAGAAATGCTGGCGGCGAATGGCACGGAAGAATATTCCAGCGGTCTCAGCGACATCTGGTCACTCGGTGTTCTCCTCTTCGCTATGCTAACGGGCCAAGAGCCTTGGTCCAGTGCATCTACCAGTGATGAAGAAGACATGGACGAGAACCTCTCAGGATTTCTGTCCGACCCGACTTTCTTCATGCAGAACTTCTTGCTTTCGATCGAAGCAAACCGCTTGCTTCGTCGTATCCTGGTCATCGATCCCAATAGCCGTATGTCCCTGGCGGGCATACGTAGGGAGATCACAAAAACGAATACATTCTTCCTCAGCGAGGACGAGATGATTTGCCGTAAGTCTCAATATACTCCATACTTTCACGTCTCATGGTCTGAGCTGACCGTAACCTCGATAATACTAGCCCGCGCTGGTCGCCGCCATTGGCTTCACACCGGACTCTTTTCTTCTCCATCCTCACCCACCCTGTCGTCTTCAGACCCAGACGACCAATATATTTACAGCCCTCCCAGTATCGAATTCGATCCGGTCGTCGGCTTCTCCCCTAGACCTAGAAGCTCGCTGTCTTCGAGTTCGCTACCCTATGTCACCACCACCGAAGCTTCTCCCGTCGAACCATCATCCTCAGGTCTCCCCGTCACCGTGCCCTCCTCCCTCGACGAAGACCCACTAGTCTACGCCTACAAAATCTTCGCTAGCCCCGCTCCTGCCTCCACAGCCACATTCCCAACCACGCCCACCCGTCCTCCATTGCGCCACTTTGCGGCAAATTCAGAGTCGGGTGGTCCAGAAAACGACGACGATAACAACGAGAACAAAGGGAATGGGTTGCTTACGGCGGAACCATATCGTACTGGGAGAAGATACTCGCCCTCTTCGAGATCAGGGTCGTCTTCTGACCGGTCTGGCTCGTCGTCGCCGAGCTCGAGCGAGGGGTGTATCACGCCTGAGGATGAGCTTACGGAGTACGCCGTGCATACCTATGCTAGGGCTAGATCACCTTCAACAGATAACGAAGAAGAAGAAGAAGATGACGACGACGACGCTGAGCTTGAGTGGGGTAGGAACGAAGAGCTCGAGGTTGAGGTCGAGGAGGTTGCTGATGCGAATTTGCCAGTAGTCCGACTAGAGGCGATCAAAAGATGTGGTGGAAATGCCGCGCTAGATGTCGAGGAAAAGGATTTATTCGCGCTTCCAGTGGCTCCAAAGTCTTCGCCCAGGATGCCTAGTCATGGCGGGAAGTGGCCCGGGGGCTGCGAGCGTCATCACGATGGGGCCGTCCCGGGAGGTATGCTGGGTGTGACGCCGGAGATGGCGACGTCGCATGTGTTGCATTATGCGGTGCAGATGCTGCATGTGTTTCCGCCTGAGCCTGCGAGGAGGTGGATGTGAGAGTGAAGGGGGGCGTGTAGGAAGATGGAGTTCTTTGGGGGTTTGAGGCGTCTTGCGTATTATTATTAGTGTATCCTTATGGCTCGTACTGTTGCTTTGCTTACTGGTTCAGACATGTGTTGTAGACATAGAAGCACATGGTGATCTTTTCAAAACAAAGTTGAAGCTCTATGACCATAGAAGAACTTCCGTGTTCGAGATGTGGCACAGGTGTGGCCCCCATTCCTAGGACCTAGATGAATGTGGTCGGCGAGTGCCGACGTTCGTAGAACTCATCTTTGCTTCATCTCCACCACCATCCTTTCATTCACTTAGGGGTTGATCGAGAGACGACACCCTCACAATGTTCAAGAAGTGACTATCTCTTGACGGTCTAGCCAATACGTATGTGCTAATCATCGCAGAAAAGATTCTCGCCCACGACCGACATCGCAGGGCAGACACCGCCCAAGTCCTCGATCCAACGATCCATAAGATCGAGCATCCTTTCCCAGTGGAAGATTGACCAGGAGACACTGGAAGAGATATGGCCAAAGAAGGAATCCATCATCCACGTAAAATGGTCTGTCGTTGTTCTTACTTTACCTCTCCCCGAGTGCAAGCTCACTGACTCCTCATTCGTGCGGTGATTGTACGTCCTGGATTCGTTGACCCGTCCTGCGTCCGGACTGGACGATAGCAGAGAGCATGTCTCTATCTACACTCTCCACGGCGAACCCTTGTTCTTCCAACACTTCGATGGGCCCTTCTACCCGACACTCCGACTCTTCCATAAATGTACGTCTTCTTACTCTTCCAGTGCTCCGCATATCGCATATCAGCTTTGGTCCTTCGTGCGGGCTTACAAAACGGTCCTCCCACTCCACCGCACGCCCCGCAGACCCCTTCATCCTCCCTCATGTCCAAATAGACCGTGGAGCGATCCGTTTCCTCCTCGCCGGCGCACACATGATGTGTCCAGGAATGACCTCCGCAGGAGGCGGTCTCCCATCCGCGGAGGACGCGCTGCCACCCGACACTCCCGTGGCCTTCAACGCAGAGGGCAAGGAGCACGCTGTCGGGATCGGTATCACGAAGATGGGGACGGAGGAGATGAAGAAGGTGAACAAGGGTGTCGGCGTGGAGTCGGTCACGTATTTGGGAGACGATCTTTGGGCGTTGCAGAAGTTGTAAGACCATGATGGGGGCCGTTCATACTTGTTGTACTGATATGAGAAGAAGTCGAGCACAGAATAAGAGGAAAGAAAAGCGGGATTGCCTATCCCGCTGAACTTTGATTGTCCGTTCTTTCGTTGGATCCGGAAGGCTCGCCACATTTCCCTGTCTCCACCACCTGAAAGGCTCCATGCTCGAACCCATTGATCCGTTAAAGATTTGACCGTTCTGGCCAGTGCTCAGGGCAGGATCACGTTGAATGAAGCTTAGAGATTTCCTTGTCGCAGCAGATGGTGGCGACATGCCGACTAGCTGTATTCTGGCAGTACAGCAGTCCGGATTCAGAGGGATCAAAGCCCATGCCGTCCTAGGGTGACCAGACTCTGAGTGGCCCAATGCCCGCCAATGTGTTCAACTCTGCCCGAATATTCTCGCACTACTACACCCTCGTATATTACTCGCAGTCCGTTCACTATGAAGATGGATTGAGTTGCGCCACATCCATGACCGTGGGAAGCTCTGGGAAGCCTACACAAGTGACGCTTTGAATTTCTGACTTGTCATCCTGCCGTGACCTTCATCGTCCTGTACTCGAGCTAGATATGTCTGCCACTCTCGAGGCATCACCATTTCAATACAACGACTCGTTCAAGCCTTCTAAATCTCGAAAAAGGCGAAAGCACCCCACTCAAACTCCTAACGCCGCAGACCTCTACACGCGCTGTGCAGAAGAGCTCAAGTCTGGCTCATGGCTCGATCAATGTCACCGTTCGTACGCATACCTCTTTCTCCTTGTCGTTATCTCGATCTACGGAGGGCAATTCTAATGTTTCATAACAATATGCTTTCTCGCTCGTGAACAGGCCTTATGACTGGCGCCTTGACTGAAGGCTCATCGCACTTTTCGCGCGTGTTGTGTCTTGGGTTAGGATGTCCCACTTCATCGAAAGAGGCTCGTGCCCAGCTGGCCCTTCTCCTCGAGATATGTCAACGTAACTCCTTGGTATGTGCAGGGGCCATGGCGATCTAATATAGTCTTCACGCTAATCCTCACCTTTGCTCTGTAGGACCTTAGTAGGATCTTCGTCTATGACCCTGTGTTCACGGATGAGGACGTAAAATTTCTCAATGGCCTCCAGATATCAGTGCTGTCGGAGAACAAAGTTAGTGGCTCTCGCTTTCTAGCTAGTTAGTATGCATTTGTTAAAGGTGGTCTCCTGAACCTTTGATTGCACTATCTTTCCATTGCAGCATGGACGTTATTCTATCGAAACGCCAACCCTACTGTTCATGCCACATTGCGACAAGAAACTTTACGAACGCCTACTGCGCGAGAACTGGACGCCTGAACGGCTGTCTAACCTCTTCATGATCTGTAATAACTTCAGAGAATATCTTGACAGGTACGTTATCTCTGCGCCACATCGAAAACCGACAGTTCATCTCCATCTAACCATGTCACGCCACACTCGTCTGCTCGTTCGCCTGATGACAACACCCTTCTAGTCATCCGTCTCATGTGCTCATGGCTGAATTCCCTTGCATCTCTCGGCTCAGTGAGTTCTCTTTCTACGCTTCCCTCGTTCAACTCCGCCTGTTTCGCATTTCATCTACCCATCCCACCTACTCCGGAGGCGCCACATCACCACTACTATTTTCTTTCGACGGTTCTTCCCAAGCAGTCATCCGGCTCTCCGGGCCACACTGCTCCCTACTTTGCCAGCCATCTTCCCACATCTGAATTCGAATATCCCTCGCCCTTCTGTCTCCAACCTATCCCTTCACGACTACCTTCCATTCCCAAGACCCTATGAGCTGCATTCTTCACACTGATACGCCTTGTCCCCTTATCCCGTCCTATCCTCTTCTTGGCCGCTCTTGTACTTGTCTTTCCCTCGCCTGCTCACCATCATCCCGAAACGAACGCTCAACGAAAACAAACACCTTGTCATGACATAGCGCCTTATCTGTCAACCCGACCGCTCCCGACCGGGTCGACTTACCCGAACGCCTTCACGAGCACTGCGATACAATATATTGCAGCTCTCGCCCCCTCTACGCCACAAACGCAAACACAAACACAAACGCCAGCGCTACCTCCTCCCAGCGATAACGCATTCTGGGAGTTGCCGCCCGAGCTAGGCGCCCAAGCTGAAGATGATCAAGCTCCTCGAGGTCACGGCGCTCAGGCCCAGGAGGCTGATACAGGCGCCGGAAGCGGGGAGAACGACGGTTTTGTGACTGTGGGGCGTACGCGGACGACGGGAGCGCAAGGGTGCTTCGTATGACTAGGCTTGAGGGGGCTGACCTGAAGGTTTCGCTGTCTGTAGAACCTGGGTGGACGATAAGGGCGAGTCAAGGGGACAAGTTTGTCCGACTTGCAGTGGTACCCGTGGCGTTCGACTCACTTATTGTTTCTGAATCGAGCACCTCGTGTTTTTACAAGGACGTATGATACGTATCATTGTCTGTCACGGTTCGTTCGTTCTTCGTCTGTGACTCTGGATGGAAAGATCCTTGTGTTCGCTGGTCGCGTGGCGCCGTCCGTTTAGGTTCACCTCGTTCTGCCAAAGTCTTGGGATCTTCGGTCCCTCGGCGGCAGTCCTTTGATTCACACAAAAAGGACGTGACCGGTGCGATCCAAATCTATCTGTGGAACACAGCGCTTTGACCAGCCAGCCTCCCATGACATACGTATCAGGATCAGAACCCGATACTTTCCATCCTACCAGCGGGACCACGCAAGGTTCGAACGTTCAAAGTCCCTCTCATCGACATCATGCAGGCCAGACCCACCATCAGCGGGAAGAACCCGATGGGTGTAGACTCGGAGTGCAACAGATCTCCCACCTACAGTTGCAGGGCGAGAACGAGGAACGAGATACCGTCGACCATTGGCAGGCCTGGCCTACGGCTGCTTGATTGGTCGGTACGTGTTCGTTGGCTGGCTGGCTTGCTTGCAGGCACGTTCCGGTGTGATGATGACCATGGCCTCTACTTATCATCAGCAAGGCGACGAAAACAGATCGCGAAACGCGCAACGCCGCTGGGTCATCGAAGGAAGCCAACAGCTGTGGGTGAACACCTGTAAACGCTCACATTCGTGGAGCTCTACGCTCGGTGCTTTCTTCCCATTCGCAGCTGTGAATAAGTGGACGGTTGGGTTCTTTCAATGCATGCAAAGAACATGAAGGCGCGCGTCTCGGGACTTATCAGGACGCATAATAGAGTTCGTCGACGTCTCGATGATGGAAACATTTTAGCGAATCGGACATGTGCCGTGCACGACTGACCATGGGATACTATTGTACGGTATAGATATTCGAGTCCGTGGAGCCGGTCGGAGTGCTCACGGTGGGGGCTTCGTCGTTGCCGTACTGTCAATGGGTACATACGCATCAGGCGGTGAATATTTGCATCCCGCTAGAGCTTCGTCAGGTGCAGGGTAATATGGCCCCACTGAAAACGCTCCCTGGGTGGGGTCGAGCGAAGCTTAGAATGAGCTTGAAGCTTGAAGCGTACCGCACGGGTCTGTACCGTCGTCGAATCCTGCCAGTCACAGAAACCGTCCGTGGTCCAGGCGGCTTAGATATCTATGTGGTAGCACGAAATTTGGCCGGCTTACCTGCGGCTCAGACCGTCTAGGCTTTCGTGGACATGATCAGCCTAAATTCCAAAAAACCGAAACGGTAATTAAACGCGCGAGGCTAGGATACCAGCCTCGAGTTTTCTGTCACGCATCCGGCAAATTCGAACATGATATAGTGAAAGTTACGAGCCTGGCTCTCGCGACCGCATTGAACCAATCTGCGACAGTTGTCTTATCTGGCATGCGAGTCTCAAGCTTCCGCTTGAAGGCTCCTGGAGGTCTCATCTCACAACAAAAAGAAAAACGAAACCTTCGCGGTTTCTCGCTTTGGCCGGGCACACCAGTCACTGCACACATGGGGGAAGAGTCAGGACATTTCAACTCCCGCAACCGTAAACCGTCTTCTGCGATCTCCGATCCCGTGAGTCCGTGCGTTCGTTCGTGACGAATTGCGAATCCCCGCGCGGGATTTGATTGTTACGTAGTTTTGCATCCGGCCCAGTCTATACTTGGAAGTAGAAACACTGCTCGCGTGCCCCCCAAATTGGCGTCATATCTGGGCTCCCGGGTTCCTCCCACATCGCGCTGCGTCACGGTTCCTTACACGCTGCGTCAGTGGGTGGGTGCACCACTGGCCAGTTATCTCCTGTCGACGCGACTCGGAGTTATCTTGGAGGAACGCAGACAGACGGTGACGGGACGGATGTGAACGAAGAGCAGCAGCAGTGTATTCCCAAAAAGATATGGAAGTGTAGGTACGAGAGAGCAAGAGTACGAGGAGAGAAGTCATCAAAGGAAGAGAGAGAGGGATGCCACGAAATAGAGCGCAAGACTATAAAAGAACTAGAAAAATGATATGATGCAGGGGTAAAATGTCGAAGTATGTATAAGGGGCAAGTGGCAGTGGGGATGGGGAAGGGGCAAGTGGAGTGGGGGAGTGATGGTGACGATGATAATGAGACCAAGAGAGAGAGAGAGCAGAGAGAGAAATAGAGAGAGAGGATGAGAGGACAAGAACGAGGCAAGAACAAAGACGAACAGGGAAACCAGCAATATGTTACAGAGAAAAGATGCAATAATAACTAGTGCCTAGCACTCCTGATGATAGACGTGATTAAACGCATGAGGCGAAGTACGATGATCTTCTGGGAAAGGGAGCGGGTCGAGTTCGAAAGGGTAGAAGTAGGCGTCGTCCGTATCAACGTATACCTGCGGCTCGTCCCGGCCCTGCCGCGGCCTGAGGATGGCGTCCTGGTACATGGGAATGGATCGAGAATGAGACGGCGTAGACAGGGAATCCGACTCGTCGTCTGACAGATCCTCTATAGCGTCAGGAACGGGCATGTCGTCGACGTCTTCCGACTCGTAGTAGGGCAGGGCGAGGTCGAGTGGCGGGTATGAGCAATTAAGGGAGTCGAACTCGAGTGGCCGAATGAGGGAGGAGTGGTACGGCGGGTAGACAATAGGGTATGGCATCGCAATCGGAGGGTCGTTATACACAGGGTGGTGACCGATGAGATCGTCCGAGGAAGACATAGGAGAAACGGGAGGGGTGAAAGGGGGCTCGTCGTCATCCGGGGAGTTGGCATAGTCCTCTACGTCCTCGTCACCTAACGATTCGAGCAGAGAGTCGAACCATTGGGACTCGGATTCCGGAGTGTCTCGTGGTGGCGAGGGGTCGACAAGCATGCCCGCGTCGGGGAACATGAACGAGTCGTGCTCCTCGTCGGCGCAGACCATGTCGTCCTCTTCGTCCTCTTCAGTAGCATATACAGAATTTACATCGGCCTGGCTGCAAGGTGGGGCCGGAGAGGAAGGCTGTGAGTGAATGAGGGAGTTTTTGAGGAGGACCCAGCGGTGCAAGCTGCACTTGTCGCGGGAACTCGTGGTTCCGTGCGAGAGTTGCAGCTTGGAGCGGGCGACCTGGAATAAGCTCGGTTGCTGTGCTGACATGTACGAATGGTTGGAGCGGGTGGCGATATGACAGTGATGAATGGAGGGGGTGGGCGTGGCGGGATGCACTATAGAACACGAGAAACGCGTATTTAATGAAAGAGAACTACTTAGAGTATTCGTGGAGAACATACCACTAAAAGAGGCCGGTAATTCAGCGGTGTATACGATAGACTATGACTGGTTCGAAGAGGATGGTGCCGTGTTTGGATTTACGGGCTTGCTTGTCGACCATGGTTATGAGGGGTCGGCCCAAGTCTGCAACTGACGAGAGCACTTGGGGGTAGAGGGACCGGACGGGGCGGACGCTGGGGGGGACTTATGAGCGGGACATTGGACAAGGTACGAGGAGAGTTGGGCTGAGGAGGCGCGGCCAGTCCGCCTTTATATCGGACGCCTTGACTCGAGTCTGGCGCCGCGGTTCGCACGCGCTTACGACAACGCTGTCACGCAAGTCACGTCGTCGCGCAATCGGAGCCTTGCCTCCCGAGCCTGTCCGATTGCGTATCGACCCTGCCACTCCTCGCGACATCCATCGCAACAGCACTCAAGCGGTGACCACATTCCGCCATGATCTCCCCCAAGCACGGACGAGCACACAAATTCGATGAGTTGACAAATAAACAAACAAAAAACATTGGTCCGAACTTGTGCAGCGATACAGTGGTATGAGAGAGAACATGTCCAGCTCCAGGGAATATACAAACCAGCCCCCCGTCTCATCCTTCGTCCATCTCGTCCCCCGCCTCCTCGTCTTTCACCGTCTCCAGAAGCTTCTTGATCTTGTTCACGCTTTTTGGGGACACATCGCGTGCGACGGCGAGCAGCTGCGCTGACTTGACCTCGTCGCCAATCAACCGGTACGCCCGCGCTAGCTGGAAGATAACGTTCGACTCTTCGGGTGTCGAGTCGCGGAGATACTCCAGGTCCCTCACGGCAGCCTGTACAAGCAACGGACAGGAGCGAGCGCCATGAGCTCCAACACGTACGGCACCAAATTAACCACCCAGCCAAAACTCACCGTGTATCGCTTCATACCGATAAGCATTTTCGCTCGCCGATAGCGCACCAGCGCGTTCTCAGGCGAGAGTTTGACTGCTTCGTTGAAGAGTGCTAGTGCTCCCTCGCGATCTCCGCGGCGTTCAACAGCCTAAAAAGTCGCAGACGACCATGTTAGCCCTCACACCCATTAATGCCGACCAGTCCCGTCCGGTGATCAAGTTAGGAAGGCCAGGTCAGGAAAAAGCTTACCATCCCGACACAACCCAACAACACGGCATTGTTTGGATGGATCTCCGCCGCTTTCCGGTAATGGTATTCGGCCATGCGGATTTTGCTCATCCTAAGGTAACATGTCCCTAACCCATACCTGGCCGGGTGATAAGCGTCGTGCCGCAAACCCAAAAAAGAAGGTTGTCCATGGGATGAAAGAAGAAACATACCATGCATTGTAGTGTCGGCTATCAGCACGTAAAGCCGTCTGGAACGCCAATATAGCATTGTCGATGTCTTCGTCAATTAGCTCATGCCCGGCCAGGGTGAAGGCGTACGCGCAAGTGGGATCGAGTGCGTACGCACGACGGAAACACGTCAAAGCTTGTCCACGCTCTTTCTGCAGCGAAAACGTGTTGCCGACTGCTATCCAAGCTTGAGGTGACCGCGGATCAATTGAGAGCAGTTCTTGGGCGAGAAAGGAAAGTTGAACCGTTCTTTGCAGATGCCATAGGAGTGTCGAAAACAATTCCATGTTATATAGCCGGCATGGCTCTAACGCTCGAACAGCCTGGAAAGCTCTCTCCGCCTATACGGTCAAAGTCAGTCGCAGAAGACCAGGAAAGGGAGTGCGAAGTACGTACAGCGGTGTAGTCTGCCCTCTCAAAATGAGCTCGTCCGACCATAGCCATCACCAGTGGTGAACGCTGGTGTACATGCGGCAGCTTCTCAAGCTCATCGAGACATAACTTTGTATCATACATTGCTAATGCTCTTGTTGCGCTTGCAAACAGTCGCATTAGATCATAGATGTACTGATCTGCTAGCTCGGCGTCATACGCTTCTTGTGCGGCCTGTTCTTGAGCAGCCGTATTGCTCGAGGAGGCCGATCGTGGTGAATGTGTTGCTGATGGTGGTGTTGTCGATCTAGGAAGCTCAGCAGGAGGATGGGGATCGTCCTCAGTGTCGGAGTCTATCGACCGGGAGGTGGTTCGTGTGGCTTGTCGTTTACGTTCTCGAGCTGCTGGCTGCTAAAGAAACCCTCAATCCAGCTGAGTTCCAAATGGATAGACAAATATGGACATGATATGTTCACGAACCTTGGTAGAAGTGGTCGCCTTGCTGTTTCCACCCATAAGCCGTGCGCTCCGTCGCGTAAGTGCTGCATTCGTATCACGCTCCGATTTGCCGGCACCGGCGACTGTCGTATTCCTGGAGGACGCCGCCGCAGACTGGGGTCGGCGACCGGCCAGAGATGAGTAGGAGTTAGAGACGGTCAAGGCCGGGCGTGCGCGTGCCTTTTTCGAGCGTGCATCTTCCGCCACCCCTGCCAATATCGATTGTTGCTTGAGTGCTTTGCTCGCTGCCTCGCCCGCGCGTCGCGTTCCAGCGATTGGTCGCCGCAACTTCTTCGTGACGGGTCCGACTTCATCGGAGGAAGAGAGTGGACGAGAGGGTTGTGTCGCGGTTGGTAATCGTGAGGGCCGGGTATGTGCTGCCATAAGAGAGTTCTCCGGTGGGTACACGACAGACTCGTTTGAAACACTGTAAATCCGATCATGAAGTCAGAAGTGCGTGAGCGGTGAATTTGCGGCTGCAACTTACAGGGAATCTCGCGGCCCTAGACGAAGCGGTTGTACATTCCCTTGATCTGCTCGGAAACCGCGGAAGAGGTTTCCCGTATTCCCAGTATCAGGAGTGAAAAATCCTACTCCGGTAGCAACGGGGACTGGTGGAAGTTTGAACGCTGGAGGTTCCTCTGCAACTGGCCGCTTTACTGGAGTAGGTCGAGATGGAAAGAGATCTTCGATCTCAGGCACATCACCTGGGGATGATCGCATTGGCTGGTCGTGCGCGGGGTCAAAGAGAAGTTTAAAGAGCATACCTAGCGAACAGAGTCCTTCCAAAGCCTCCCATAACATGGGATCAAGTCGAAGAGCCTCTTGAAAGCTCTTGCGAGCCTGGTCGGGGAGGTTGCCTTTCAGTGCGCTTGTCCCAGATCGACAATGAAGAATGGCTTCCTCGGGGAATGCGCGGGCGGATCGGGAACCAAGTGATGCTGGCCAGAGACACCTCAACATATCAGAATCGGGAAGGAAAGAACGAGGAAGTACATGAACGCACGTGTCGGCGTATATGGTTGCTTCAGGCTCTCCTCCAATGTTTCTCGCGCCTGTCTATGTCTTCCCAGAGAACTACTAGCCTTTGACCCAATTTCGAGGCAGCCGCTGCACGGTATGGAATCCTTGGTGGCATAGACAATGTGTAAGGCCGCATGTGGTTGGCCAGAGCGAAGCATGGCGGTGGCATACAGATGGCGAGCATCATGACTGCTCGGATCCAAAGAAAAATAACGTTCGGCATAAAATAGGGCGGATTTGTAGAGGTCTGCGTCCAAACACGACCATACGAGACTGATGAATCGCTGGGACAGAGCAGGCAGGAAAGTGGGATTTGTTTCTTGTTGCATAGAGTTGGCCTAGAGCATAGAGCGCGACGCGAGACGAAGAGAGACCGCCAGGAGCGCCACCGAATTTGCTGGAGAGTCCCGACGCGACTATTATGTTGCCGCCAGAGGAGAGTATGAGGAAAGGTTATAAAGGCGCCCCCAGTTGTGTCGCCGACACGGAAGTACAGCGCCACGCGTCGTTCAACGGAAATGCTCACGTGACCCTGACCACCACGCTACTTTTGTTCCTTCTTGTTCGGACACAAGCTCGGTGCGACCTGGTGCGACACAGGCAGGACAGACCCTCTCCATTTTCTTAGATGAAAACGCCGGAGGTACAGATTCCAGCGCAAAAAAGGTGCAAGAGTACAAAACGGGCAATGCTTTACTTTTGTGTATCTACTAGCAGAATATCGCTTCCTCTTTCATTCCTTCTAATGTCCGTGGCCATCATCTGCTTTTTGTTCTGCAAAGTAAAACATGAGCGTCCGTAACCCACAAAATTATCACATGAGAACTTACCAGGAACACATTGAATGGCATCATCGATCCGGAGCAGAGATACGGCAGCCTCGAACGCGGACTTCAAGCTGCGAACTTTGCTGACCGTTGGCTCGAGCACACCCGCCGCCACATTATCCCGCACTTCCCCGTTTAACAAATCCAGGCCATACCGAAGGAGAACCTTCTTCTGATCTCCTGCCGGTGCATTTTGCGCTGCATTGTGGTATGCCCGAAGCTTGGCGACGAGGTCAGTCGCGTCCTTTGCGGCGTTTACGGCGAGAGTCTTGGGAATAACAAGAAGCGCGCTGGCAAACTCTGCGATGGCGAGTTGTTCCCGAGAGCCCTAGGGACGCGAAAAATTAGTAGGCCATCGTAACCGTGAGGTAATGGAGACAAACCAAAGTCGTTGCAAAGTTCTCCAGGTAGATGCTCAGCGCACTCTCCACCGCTCCTCCTCCAGGAACTACAGAGCCACTCTCGAGCGTGCGCTTGATAATCGAAAGCGTATCGTGCAGAGCCCTCTCCATCTCGTCTAACATATAATCATTCGCGCCACGCAAGATGATCGACGCAGAGCTGACGACCTTCGTGCCCTTGACCAGTATCAGCTCGTCATCTGATATCCGCTCCTGCACGACTTCCTCCGCGGTACCCAAGAAGCTCGCCTCGAAGGTCTCGTCGCCGTTCAGGTTTGCAAGACTCGAAACGAGTTGACCACCGGTTGCCTTCGCAATACGACGGAGGTCCTCCTTTCTACACCGACGAACGGCCATGGCACCAGCCTCCACAAACTCCTTGAGAGCAAGGTCATCGATACCCTTTGTGGTGAGAATGACGTTTGCACCAGCAGCGAGGATTTTGCGAATACGTTCGAGAGTGATATCGGCTTCGCTGTAAGTCACAATGATCGATGATAAGTGGTATTCTGAACGGATAATGCTTGACTAACCGTTTACGAATCTCTTCCAGTTGGTTAGGGTCTTCGACGAGGATTTGGACACCCAATTGCATACGGATTTTGCGGAGATCGATGTCCAAACAGGCGATCTTGGCGTTCGTGATCCGTGTTTTCATGGCTTTATAGAAGTTCAATACTGTTTCAATATGTTCTCGGCAACCCAAAACGCACCTTGCGATGCAACAGTGCAGTTCAATGCGTAACCCTTCACAAAGATAGACTCGCGAGCACTCCGTCCGTGAGCCTTGAGCACATTGACTGCCTTCACAGGGTATTTGGTCTCCCCACGCGAATTCGTGGTCTTGACGGCAAGCATGGCATCGACGGCCATCGGTGCAAACAAGTCATCATCTCTGAAGGCAAAATTCAAGGTTCTGAAAAGAATTAAATGTGAGATGAACATACCCGCCGATGACCTTACTCGACATACTAGTCTTCGCAGCATTGATCAAAGCATCCTTTCCTAGCGCATCTACCTTCACACTCAACTGATCCTGCATGAACCTGACCGCCTCTCTGCACGCGAGCCTATAGCCAGTGATGATTGTCGTAGGGTGAATCTTCGCCTTTACAAGCTCGTTCGCCCGTCGTAAAAGTTCAGCGGCAATGATGACAACAGATGTGGTTCCATCTCCAACTTCCTTGTCCTGCTTTTGAGCTAGATCGACAAATATGCGACCGGCTGGGTGCTCGACGGAAAGGAGGCCAAGGATCGTAGCACCATCATTAGAAATCGTGACTTCCTAACAATTATGAGCCGCATCAGAATCCAAAGAAATCAGCAGGGTTACACAACGCACTCCAATGTTGTCCACCAGCATCTTATCCAGTCCGAGTGGCCCAAGGGAACTTTTCACGATGTTTGCAATCGTCATGGCCGCAACGACTGCAAGTCCATAATGAATGCATTTAGGGTATGAAGGTGGGCAAGTAACTCTCGAAACGCACCATTCTGATCGCGGATATCCTGACCAGATACCCTGTCACCACCGAGGAAGGCTCCAGCTCTGGGATCGCGTTGGAACATAGACATGGTGAATGTAGAAGAGATGGAGAAGAGCTGCAGACTTTGGGCGCGCGTACTCTGAAGCCACGGTCCGCGGACCATACCCTGACTTCCTTTCCAGGATGTGGCCCGGACCGCGACATGGACCTCCCCCTAAACTGAGCCTAGTAACGCATCTTGAACACTTCTAGCTTTCCCGTGTCCCTCTTACATGGCAGTCTTGAATATTCCCCTGCATCTACTACTCCTTATCCATCTACATCTCCTTCGATGCCCTCATATTGATAATCCAGAGTATACCCAAGATTTATTCAACCCCCAAGTTCGTGGCATTCGCGAGCGATCGAAGACAATGGAGGACGTCTGTTATTTCCTTGTCGGAAAGGTGGAGAGATCGGCCCAAGCAGCCAAACGCGTACGAACTCGCATTCTAAGGCGTGACTTTCTCGCAACTAACACACTCGCATGGTGCTAGTAGATTCTACCGACATATCCATGTTTGCAACCATCCGAATCTACAGCATTTCGAACTGCCTTGACCAAATATGTCGAAATGTTGCGCAATCGAGTCGTTAGGCCAGAGAGTCAACCTGTTTTGACATCTTCAAATAATGCTAAGAATAAGAAGGATCATGCTACAACTGATGCTTGGTGGTGGAAAGACACAGTAGTGCGGAAGTCTATAATCGAAGAGTGCTCGGGTGACCGGTATGCTCGCAGTATTGTCTATCGTAACATTCAAACAACAGCGTTGACAACAATCCAGCTTTGAGCGCCTGCTGATCGCACTCTCGACACACGCAATTTGGAGTAGTTCACGTCCGACATCTGCTGATACCATACATGCCGATGAGAATACCGCACTGGTGAGTTGTTCGCCGGGAAAGTCCCGAATTTCTATCTCATCTACACAGACAGGTTAGTCTGCAAGAGCTGCCCATGCGATATGCATCCCTTGTCGTCTCTTCTCAGTCCTACCGACTCGCATGGGAACGCACAGCTGCATTGCTGCTACAAAGACAGCACGAATTGGATACTTTACGAGTCAGTGGAATTTCAGTAGCCCTCCAAACGGTTAACCACAGCGCTATTACTCACCGAAGACGCTTTCCAGAGAGCACTCACAGATCCAAAACACAAGCCATTATCGAGATACGCGTCTATCGCGACAGACCGGCTTGTGGAACTGTGCGCATCGCGAAAAGCAGATCTATTACGGGATGGGTGGGTAGATGCAGATGGACAGAAAGCTCTGGATTTCCTGCTTGATCTAGCAAACTTGAAGGATGTCGAGAGAACGCCTCAACATATATCCTCGGGTAACTCTGAACCATTGACCATTCAAGCTCCTGCGCCCGGTCAAGTAAGTACTTTTTGACGTTGATTAGCCTTCGCGTAACTCATAGATATAGAGCCCACCTGCTCAACCTCTTGCCACAGCCGCAGCCCATCACCCTTCACATCTCAAAGCACTCACTACTCCACTTTTACCTCGAACATCCTTGTCCACCGACACCGATCATACGACTGCAGACACTGCGGTGCAATCAACTACCACCTCCCTCTCAATGAACATCACGCTTAGAGAGCGATCGCATGCTGCAGAACGCAGTAAGACCGCTCTAGAGGAAGCTTTGCGTCGCATGCGAATAATGGGTCAGGGTCTCGATGCGCGACTGGAGAAAGCTCAGGCAAGGGTGCAAGCGGCAGTCAGACCGGACGTGGTCTTGGATTTGCCGGTGGTGAATAATGCAGGGCTTAATGTTGATTTTGAGGTAAGTGCTCAGCGCCCAAACACTGTTACCGCAAACCCACGTCTAACACTCAATTTTATTCCCTTTCCTAGGCACCTACGTCTCTGGATCCTCCTGCGAAGACAACGCCTAAAGGGCCCCGAACCGTAGAAGAGCATATGCATCATATTCTGATGACCGAGTTGTCTCAGTATCCTACCATTCCGTCAAAACCAACTATCTCATACATGGCGACCGAAGCCGGTCAGTTTTTCATACCTGCAACTCGTGGTGATTAACTCACTGAATCCACCGTCGTTCTACCCTCTAATGGCTCAAAAGCAGTGACACGAGACGTTCCAAGTCGGCCTGGACCTTCACGCTCTCAGACGACTGGTCCTTTGCGTATTACCAAGAGCAGAGCTGCACCCGCACGACCTGAAATTACATCCAGGGTGCCTCTACCGTCGCCAATCAAGGTTCGCCCAACCCCTACGACCATTGAAGCCGAGCGTGTTAGTACAATTACACCTTTCTCTTTCTCAATGTGTTCTTCGTTTCTTCAGTGTTCTTTGTTTCTTCGTGACTCATGCAATTCAACATCTTATCTTTTACCAGATTGTTGATTCCATGAACGAGAGCACCACCTCGAGTAACTTCAATATAACAAATCGCACCCCGAAAGCCTCCAGAACACTCAAGAGGCCTAGATTAATCCCCTTGTCGGCTACCTCAGATCCATTTTCTTCCAGGCCCTCGTCGGCCAGACCTGCTGAAAGTGCACCTGTATCAGTGGAGGAGATCCCGGCTCTCCTCGATGAGGAACATATGGTCGATATTGGTCAAGGTTCAGAGTCAGTGGACATCGTCGAGCCCGGGAGAGAGGTGAAGGCGGAGACAGAGGTGCAGGAGCTGGCGGAGATCGCCAGTGTTGCAAGTGAAGGTAGCGCTGTGAGCGAACAACGGGATGGAGAAGACGTAGGTTCAGAGACAGATGCACCGTTCTCAGAGTCTGTCGCAGAGGAGGAAGAAGAAACGCGAGAAGACGACGAGGTATACGAAGGCAAGAGTATGTCGTTGCGGGATATATTGGTACAAGCAGGTGACGCCACGTTTGCTCAGTACGATTTGCTAGGTGAGTGTTCGCGTTTACTCTTGCTATCTTTCTCGTGTCAGTATGCTCATGTTCTTGGGTGTCAAAGCTGAGGATGACGAAGATCTTGCGGACCAGACATTCGGCTGGGATTGATGTAACTCCTGTGCTTTGTATTGTATCTCTATTATGGCCATTCTAATGCGGAACTACTGCTGAGTTTAGAGGCCATTGGACGGTGCAGATAAATTGATTCGCTCAAAACAATGTTCGACCTTGACTACAAGCCTGAATACAACCTCCACGAGACCAAGACGTATCATATTTTACGGTTTGTCGCTCGAAGCTTCGATACACAGTCCATCCCTTTGCATCTCCTCCAAAAACGAAAGGCTGGCGGTAGGGACAGGCAGGTCGAGGTATGCGGGCTTCTTCACGATTGACCTCGATCTGGAGACCAGGACCGTCTTCACTGGTTCATCCCTCTGTTGTATTTTAGGCAGAAGGTTATGTCAATATCGGATTGGTTCAAGTATATCGTAAGGTATGCAACTGCACTCACGTTGTTACAGGGAGCATCTCTAGTCTTCGTCGCGAAGAATACGCCACCGCTCGAGCGCCTCCACGAACCTGGGCTTTCCTCTGTATTCTTTCTGCTCTGAGCGATATCCTCCCGGCTGATGTCGCACCCTTGTCTTATATCGTTTGATTCTTCATCTTGACCTGCCCTTGCTACAACTTCACCCTGCTCTGCGAGTCCATGACGAAAGCTGAAAGGATTGATCACATAAGAGGTATGCGAGTTCACTTGCCCCAGCCGACTTGGCTGGCTTGGCTCTTCCTGGAAGAAGTATTCAGTGGGAGGTGTATTGCCTGAGGAAGATTCTGTGTGGCGAAAGGGTTGGGCAATGGCGCGGCGGAGGCTTGCCATGGACTTCGAAGTGGTTTCGCGGCGAGTGGGCGGAGGTCTGGGATCGGTAGAACGTTGCGCATGCTGAGCTACGGGAGATGCTAGCACGATAGGATGGATTTCTGGTGTGTGGTGATGAGGAGGGGGATGTGGATGGTGCAATCGGAGCTTGGGTACAGTCTATAATGATGTAAGTCGTAGTTTCCAAAGGACCTGCCAACGCTTATTGTGACCACTGACCAAATGAGAAGAACGAAGCTTCTGGACTGAGGGTACCTGCATTGCGCTGTCAGCAAAACGATATCAACTGTTACAGGACGTATATTACCTGTGTCTGGTGATTGTGCTCTGTGGCCTTCGATTCAGTCTGCTTGCTCGTTGATGTAGTAGCGGACCAGGTACTGGTCGTCCGTGATGTCATAGTGTCCCAAGCCTCCGCTAGAGCCGTAGTATCTGTAGCCGCCTAAGGGATGTATGCCTTCAGAATGCGATAAATACGAGATGAAGGTATTGCCCACGTACCTTGACTTTCGCGAGCTTCCGTGTTGACTTCCTCCTCTGCAAGTAGCCACCAATCGAGGACATGTTCAGGATACAGATAAAAGGTGATATGAAGAAACAGTAGGCTACGGTGCAGATAGAATATACAAGCGATACTACTTCTCCGTGTTCTCAGGCATCACTTTAGCGGGGAATCCGACATGGCCCAGCGGTGAGTGGGGAGTGACTTGGTCTCGGAGACGCGGATGTCCCACACAGGGTCTAGGCACTTCTTAATTACCCGGGACAATTCGTGGGACAAATGCCTCCTTTGAAAGGATGCGTATTCCTTGCATCGCAAGTATTCTAGCAGCCAAGTACAAAAACAAGTAGTTGTGGTACAGAGCCAACCTGAGCACAACTTGAATCTATCGAGTGCTAATTGGTGGAGGTGGGACCGGGACGGTGGCTCGATGGGAAACGTGGCGGAAGTACCTAATCAGCCGGTTCAGGCATCTGGGGAATCTCTGCCACTTCACCTCCAGGCCCTTTTCATTCAAAATTTCCTTGTTTCTCTCCTCCACCCCGCTTTCTCCCATCGAATCTACTCATAAATCTGCCCTCACTTGTCCACTTATCTCCCGTAAAGAAATCCCAACGATGTCTGCTGTGTCCTCGCCGTTAAACGCGGTAATTGTCCCCGCCTCATCTTCTCGCTACTGTCCCGCGTGTCACGTCATGGCTTTCGACTGAGACAGTCTTCCCTGTTCTTCCCCAGGCACACCAACATGCTGCTAACGCGGACGATTATCTGAGCCAAGGCCTGTTCATTCCCGCCTCTGAGGAGCACAAGAAGGCCGCGGACGCGTTTCAGGCCTGTGTCGAGGCGTCCAATGACGAGAATGTCAGTTCGAAGTTTGTTGTGTCCCGCATTCATTTCCAATTTAGGACTATCATTTGTGTATAGGCGAAGCGAACACTGCGGATGCTATATAACGAACACATAAAGGAAGCGAAAGAGCTGCAGAGGAAAGTCGACAAGCTGAAAGAGGACGGAATTGATCCTTCGCTACCCCAGAAATTATCCTCCCCTACACGCCCTTCCCCCACGCCTTCAAACATTTCGCGAGGTCCCTCACCAACTCCAACATCGAACCTCCGGGGTCCTTCAATGATAGACTCGCAGCAAACAGTTGACGAATCATTCATGGTTTTGGGACAGCAGGTACGTCATACAACCTTATATTTTCTCCCTCGTAGTTCGGTTTCGTTCATACCCCCATCCCATGAACATCGCCAGTCTGCGGACGCTGGTGACGCGTTCAACAAGTTCTGGAAAGCAATGGAGACACTAGACCATCTATCACAACCAGTCGCCTTCGCCACAGCTTCTCTTGGCTTCCACGAGGTTTCGCGAAGAACCCTCAAGAGAGAAGGCAGTAATAGCAGTGACACGGATGTGGAGGATACTATACGGTCGAGAAAAGGATTCGCCAGAGGACAGTCGAGAGCTCTTTCGCCAGACAACTCGTTCGCAACCGCATATGATGGAGACGCTGGCGGTGCACGGAGTACCATGGCGAAATCCAGCAGGATAAGCCAATCTATCGTAGATTTGAGGAATGATTTTGATGAGATCGTGGATGAAGGTGAGTAGTATGAGCTCCTTGTTCTCACCTCTGGCGCTCAACAAGCATCTTGAACGCAGACTACGACTCGTCCGACTCCTTCTGCATGATCCCCTCAAAATCCGAACCTTCCACGTCCACACTCAAAAAAGAGGTCTCGTCACTCAAGTCCGAGCTTGAAGCTGTCCGGAAACAACTCGAAACCGCAGAACGTACGATCAGAATCCGTAAGGAACAGGACCATCAGCTTCGGGATAACATTGTTGTGGCCCGCACACAGGTGTGTTCTCATGCCCTCGTCTGATTTCTGTACTAAAGACGCAAATACTCATCGCATTATCTCTCCGCCTTGTAGGCACAACGCGCAATGGGTGCGTCTGCCGTAATCCAGCGTCCAGGACAGTCCGCATTCGACCTCAACGCCCTCAATATGGCCTTACCTCCAATGCCCTCTGCTATCCTCCCTGTCCCTACTGTTCCCAATCGCGATAAAGAGGCACAACTGTCACGTCGCGTCAAAGAACTAGAAGAGGAAGTCCGAGCTGTACGCATAGAGAACGAGAAACAGGTACGTTCAGCACTTGATCGCAGTCTCCCACCTCTGTCTTGTTCTGCTACTGCTGCGACGACTCACGCAATCGTCTTTGAACCCTCAGAAAGCAATGATCAACAAATTCCGAGAGAAGTGGGATAAGTTGAAAGAGTCCGCGAAACGCAAACGGGAAGCCAGGGCAGCGTCCGGCGCCCATAATTCGACGGTACACGAGCGAATTGACGAGGAACCCGAGGCAGAGGCAGAGCAGGATGAGGCGCAAGCACAAGCTTAATACGCCTGCTTTTGCTGTGCTCGAACGTTTGCGCGTTCCCCTCTTATAGCGCTATCTAGTTGTGACGGTGGATTCTTTTTACTGACAGGATAGATTCGCGGACTGTACGGAGTTCGGTATCGGAAGGTGCGCGGTTGTGCGGTTGAGATATGTAGACACGGCATAGCTTGCGTCATCGTGGGCATGCCATAAAATGTCTTTTTGTCGTCGAGCGGCTGTAACTCGCGCCTCCATGAAGGCTACGGTGCTGAGGGGTGATATGAACGGATTCTCTGTGGTAACACGACTCGGATGTATCAATAGTGTCTTATTCCACTTACTATACCTGCTCCTCCTATTCTTGGTTCTTTCCTTGACCATTGTACATGCTTCATCAGTCCTCCACATTATGCTTTTTTTGTACCCCTCTACTTTTTGGAATCAGTAGGTGTGTCTCGTCTTTGCCTCTCCTGTAAGTGCAACCTCAGTAACGTCGGTTCGGTCATGCGTTCGAATTCTGAAACTCAAGTGGCGTCGATGTTTGCTCGTGTTTGTTCTTGATAGGATCTCAAGCCTTTGCCAAACAACCTGTATGACCGATCAGTGACTTGCTAATGCCTCCGAATGAGACACCCGTTCGTATCACGCTTTCGCGTCGCTTTTCTCGGCATGTTCGTCTCGGCTTCTGGCTGTCGCAGTCTACAAGCAGTTTGCGCCTCCTGTCACCATCGGATCGATTGAGATGGCGCACAGCAGCCGGGAGTTCTCATTACAGTGTCGGATGTCACGTCCGCAGTGGTTCAAGCAGGACGTCTCAGGTTTTTTCTTCTAATGCGATACATGCGTTCCAAATGCCTCTCGAGATGACGCTAATTACTCTCGCGCTGGCTCCAAAGGCTGATCGAGATAACGGCAGTCTAAGGCTTCACTCGCTTTCCTTGGCCACTCGCCGCCTACTCAAGAGCTGGTATATAACTGAGAGCCTCCAAGGCTTTTTATCCTCATCTCCAACATCGCCAACTTCTTCGTCCACTTCCACATCTACACTTATCTCATTCGTAAACCCCATCCACATTCAACGATGCAGCAGACCCGTTCAATGATCTCTCTCCTCGCCTTCTTGGCAGCCATTCTCATGACCACCACTTGTGTCGATGCTGCGAATCTTCCTACTAGGCAAACAAACGCCGACCGCCTTCGTCGCAATCTTGGCCCTATGGCCCCTGTCAAGAGGGTTCCCACTCCCGCCCTCGGTTCGTTGCTTTCTTCTTGTTTCCTAATCTGATACAGGATACTCAATTCTATATCAATTCTCATAGCTGCCAGACAAGCCGCTGCCTCTGCAGGGACAACCCAGGGGCGAGCCGCGATTACTCTGGCTGATGGAACTGTTCTTGGCCATCTTTCTGCTGACGATCCGTGAGTCCTATTCGCAACAGCCATATAAAGTCCATGACTCACAGTCCACACAGGAGTCAAGTTAACGCTGATAGCACCACCACGAAGAGACGCCGTGCTGCCAGCAGTGATGTTGTCTTGAAGTTTGTAGAGGGCGCCGCAAACGGCAGCTTGTTGGCCCAGGTCTGTCCCTGAGTTTCTTGCCGTGATAATGCGTACTGACTTCATTACCCGCCGCTCCCTGTAGAATGCCAACTATTCACCACCGTACATCGGCCAGACTGATGCCGACCTCACTGGGTATGTCACACTCATCCAGTCCACAGCTTACCTCCACTCACACCCCCTCCTGTCAGGTCTATTCCATTCACAAACGTTGCGGAAGGCGACCTATCCACGATTTGGACCTTGAACTCTACCAGCGGAACCCTTTCAGGTATGTCCACAGCCTCCCAATTCGTCACCTCCTGTTATTCATTCGTGACCCATTACAGCCCAATGGACCAACCCAGACGGCAGCAAACCGTCTACGTACATCCTTTACCACAAGGCTAAGACCCAGCTCACTTTCTCCAACACCGACACTGTCGAAGGTGCTGAGGCAGTCGTAAGTCCGCATCCTTATTCTACAGCTATCATTGTCGCTAATATTTCCCTCGTTACCAGACCCTTTCGCTCAGCGTATAAAAAGCATGTCCCTAATCTGATCCAGCATGCTTTGTTCTCTTTGTGCACTTGTAACACTCCACGCATGTTTGTACAGCCCTCCTTCTGCATCCCTTCTCACCCATCACTCCAGCACCGTTGTTATCATATGATTTTCGTTTCCTCCCCATTTCGCACGATCCTTCTTGTCCCCTCTCCTGCACATACACTTTATGATACATTAAGTACACTTGCTACATATCATCAGCCTTGCAATAATCATCCAAAACCACAGTTCAATTTTTTTGCGTGACTGTTCTTCTGGCACCTTATACAGTCACATTGGACAATCAGTCGGCCATTGGTCGGCATACGCACTTAGCTCGATCCTTGACAACGTCGTCCAAGCTAAAAATGCACAATCCGTATCCATTCGGAAAAATGAACCCATCTGCAGCCTGCTCCCCCTTTTGCACTCTCCCGTCTCGCCACACTCTTTGCATTACGGCCTTGAAAGTCAAGTGGCACTCATGTTTGGTCGTATTTGGTCATGTTAGGACCCGAAGCAATAGCCAAACATGCCGCGAAAGACAACGCTTGTTCATTCAAGATACCGAAGCCTGAGACAACCTCCTGCCTATCACGCGATTATACCGAGTTATGCATGAGCTCGCGCTTGACCTAGGCTCTGACCAACCGTTATATATGACGTGAAGGGAATCGTTCACCGATACACTTAACCACTCCACAGCTACTCAGCGTGCAAACGCTCTATCATGCCGAATACTGTACTTTTTCGAGCAGAAGTTCACGCCACCGCCCCTCGGGCGTTGCCGTGATGACATAATCCACCTGTGTCCTGGTTCACAAGCAGGTCGGGACATGGGACACTGTTCACGAACTTTCATGCTTTTCCAGGGATATCATGCTTCATAACGGCCCTGTGGCCCCTCCTTGGCTGCTTTTCTGCACCTAATACAATATAATGACAAGCAAACCCCAGATTTCACCTTATAGGCATTGACGAGGCCAAAATGAGGTCAAATTGATGTCAACAGGATATTTTCTGAATACTCGCTAATTCTCGCTTTGTCCCGTTTACCTGTTCACTCCAGGTCAACGGTATGGGACTGTCCCGGGGCACAGGTTCGTTCGCGATCCCCGTGGGACACGGGACACGAACTTGTGCGCGAAAAACTACAGTAAGTAATGCTCGGGACCGTACGTCGTTACACCGCCCTCGATACAGCCTTTTCAGTAGGAGGTCTCAAAATGTCTCAGATTTCTTTTTTCTTCCTCTTGTTTTTTTTGGGTGTGAGACATGCGATGCAGTTGACTCCCGGTGATGCCATGCTCATCGATAGACCGTAAAAGATGCACAGGCATCGGAAGTCTAGGATATACTCCACCCCCTGAGGTGATACTTGCGGCTGGTATGACCAAAGCTAACTCGTATATAAGCGAGAACGTCTTAGCGTTTCTATCCATCACAACTTCTGTCTTTAGTTCCATCTTCACTGTTCTTCCTCATCCATCCCATCAATCTCCACACATCGAACGCCCAGACTCCTCCATCAAACCACAACCATGCAACAGACTCGCTCCCTGATCTCTCTCGTGGCCTTCTTGGCAGCCATATTTATGGCCACTGCTTGCGTTGATGCTGCGAAGCTTCCTGTAAGGCAGACCAACGCCGACCGCCTTCGTCGCAACCTCGGTCCTCTGGCCCCTGTCAAGAGAACACCTACCCCCATCATTGGTTCGTTATTTTTTTCTGCGTTTGTTGCATCGATGCAAGCCACTCATACTCTACACCTCCTCCTACAGCCGCTAGGCAAGCTGCCGCATCTGCAGGCACAACGCAAGGACGCGTCGCGATTACTCTGGCCGATGGCACTGTGCTCGGCCATCTTTCTGCTGACGACCCGTGTGTATATATATACTCTCACCCGAAATTGTAACACAACTGACAGGCTGCGTATCCATGTTAGGAGCCAAGTTACCACCGATGCCAGTTCCACGAGGCGGCGTCGTGCTGATGCTAGTGGCGATGTTGTGTTGAAGTTCGTTGAGGGCAGCGTCAACGGAAGTCTGTTGGCTCAGGTTGGTACCTTCACCCTTTCCCTTTGTAGCCGCCGTACTGACCCCAGTTGCCTGATCGTGCAGAATGCCAAATATTCACCGCCTTACATCGGTCAGACAGATTCTGAACTTACTGGGTGCGCACATTGCCATGTTTTACATCCGACACGTCATCTTAGTCTCGTCATTCCGATTACAGCCTCATACCGTTCACGAACGTTGCCGAAGGAGACATGTCTATGATCTGGACTCTGAACTCAACCAGTGGAGCGCTCTCTGGTACGCCCATACCACGCTCCCTGATCGTAACCTGAAAACTTACTATATGACCACAGCTCAATGGACGAACCCTGACGGGAGCAAGCCGTCTACGTACATCTTGTATTCCAAAGCCAAGACCCAACTCGCTTTCTCCAACACAAAAGACGTAACTGGATCTGAAGTAGTGGTATGTCCATCCCCTTCTATATAAGTCGTCCAGCTTCTCTAATTAGTGAATTTCTTAGACCCTGTCCCTTAGCGTTTAAAAACACCCGCTCCGTTATCTTTTGCATGATATCTTTTCGAATGTTATCCCATCCACACTTTCCATAGTGGCAACATTCACATGCATCTATGTATATTCGTGATACGCAAAACACCTGTATCTGATTTATTGCACAATGAAAAAATGCTCAACCCCATACTCTCCCCCTTGGCTGAATAAATCAACCTCATTCCGCATGCGCCCCCGCCAATCCAACATCTGCCAGTCCACCAGTTTTCAACCCCAAACTAATCGTCCCTCTTGGCTATAGCCCAAAATTGGGTGTCCTCCACATTTTCCACAATGATTTCCGTACCCGCACTTCTCTCCAAGGTATTCCTAACCCTTTCAATATCTGTTCTCGACGTCGCTTTCGTTACCAACAAATGCACCGCACCGAGAGTCGAACCCAATCCCCTGCGCCCGTCGATCAAGCGACTCAATATCCCCGTGGTACTGCCACTTTGGTCTTCACTAACGCGGGGCAGCTTCTTGCGTAGCTGCGTACGTTCTTGACCGGGTACTAGCGTAAACGTGTCGTTAGTGTTGCCTAACCGCTTTTCGACCGTCAATGTACGAGAGAGATCGGGTTCGAAGAGGAAGAGGCGTTGAAGACCAGGCAGGCAAGCTCGTTGCCGCGCCGATATATCGCCAGTATTAACGTGGCCTAGGCTTGAAGGCAGAGGCTGTGACTCGAGTATATTGATCTTCAACAAGGTGTCCAGGAATTTGTCTGCGACTTGATGGCCGCACAAGATGTTTTGCAGCCCGCTCAGGCGCTCCACAGCGTTCTCAGTGTCTTGGATACTCCATCTGAATGACGGGCGTGGACCCACGAAGAAATTATGGCTGGGGTAGGCAGAGTACATCGCTAGCGTCTTGACAGTCTTCCAGTTCGCGGGCACGATGTCGATAAGACGAAGGAGTGTGACGTTGGCGACCTTGTCGTTCGAACGGTCAGGTATTGGGAGGGAAAGTCGTACTTCGGGTGGACGGATACAACCTGGGAGAGGCAAAGAGGGAAGAGGACGAGGCAGTATGCCGGACCCGAGATGGATCATGAGTGTGCTAGTGGCCGTATTGTCATAGGGGGTGGAGCCATGATGGGTGTACTTGAAGAGAAGTTCGTTGAAGATTGACTTCGAGATCACAGATGCAGGAAAGCACAATGACTGCACTAGACCAAAGACGCGATCATAGGCCAGCTCGGGTGTATCGAACAGCGGGCCAATGCGCGTCGCGTCGATATGTAGCACAGACAGTGCCTTCCCAAGCACCAGCTGCTCATAAAAGCGGAGGACATCATCGAGTCTATCGCAAGTGACTTTGAGACTCTCCAACCGAGGAAGGACGACCAAGGGGGCACCTGCTGTCCTAACAGGCCATTGGAGCGGCATACAGTTCTGGAGCTCCAGATCCTCTAGCGAGTGCGACAGGATTCTGAGGGTTGAAAGAAGCTGTTCGGCAGGTGTACGTACGCGAGATTCTATCTCTCTCCGACTCTCCTCGAAAGCCGCGCTGCAGCTGAACCCGATAGACAAGGAGGTGAGAGCCGATGTTGTGAAGATGGGGGAGTTCCACGCGGGAATAACATTCAAGAGTGAGAACCAGCGAAGTTGAGGTGCAGAGGCGCCCCCGAGCCAGGTAAGAGGCATACGGAAGTAATCTGATCTATCAATGGTAGGCACGGACTCGTGTGCATGGAACTCGAGCCGTTCGAGGTGGGGTTGGGTTTTCTCAAGTTGGTCGAGGGTGGGGTCGTTGGCGACATGGAAACGTTCGAGGTCTATTTCGAGAGCACGGATCTTCGGGCGAGTTGGAAGCTTGAGCGTGAATTTGCGCAGTTTACCGTGAATCAAAGATGAAGAGGTGTGTCGAAGGGTCAGCGGCACGCCATTCGACCGGCGAAGCATCTCTCGCGACCACTCTTCTCCTAGAACGGCAGGGTCGATGTACGTCCATAGTGTCTTACAGCCCAGGGCTACCTTTCTCCATTCGCGACAGACTTGAGTGGCAAATATCCATCCCAGATGCAACATGTCCACCTCTGGTACATTGACACCAGATGGACCCTGACAGGAGCCTCGGGAAGTGATGCGATGCGGTGGAGCGAGTTGGCGGAGGTTTACGAGTATCCTGCGAAGAACATCCTTTGGAAGCCTTCGAAAGAGCTGTACACTGCACAGCGGACGAGAGTTGATAATGTAGGTGGGCAGAAGTGCGAAAAGAATTGCGACGTTGAAGAAAAAAAAAGTCAATAAACGACTCTTTAGTGATGCAAGAGAAAGGCTCACGATCTCAATGCGACCTCAGAGGACGGGTCCTGCTCGATCTTTCGAGTAGATACTATAGTTTTTGAATTTCGACGAGGCATAGCACAGGTCGGGTGCGCTGTCAGTGGAAGGGGGTCAAAGTGGGGGTAATTGTAACCTTCAAGAGCTTTTATACTGAGCAAATAATAAGTCATGGATAAGAACAAAGAGCACCCGTCCAGAAGGATGCGGGGTGAATTGAATAGACGTAAGGAATCTTTTGTACGTCGTTTTGCAATCATTGTTCTTGCATTGTTCGACAAGAAGGGAATCGGAGTGCCAATTTGGCTCAGGAACAAGATTTCTAAGCTGGAACCAGCACACTACGAAGTCTTTCAGGAGCCAGGCATCAGGCCTCAGGATCGGAGAGACTATAGCGGAGTCAGTGCTGGTGAGTGCAAAACGTGGATGGCCGTCATGATCAAGTGTCAAGCATGTCAAGGCCACAATGCAATGTCCAAATTCTTGGTGCCACATTGATACGGTGACGTCAAAGACGCGGTTCAACGCGGCGACCATCCTCGAACATCCTTCCCCGCAATTATTACATTTGTAATTTCTTCTGCTCCCTGTTCTTACCGCTGATCAACTGTCTCAAAAACTCTGGTATATATCAGCGTTACCCAGTAACTGGTGCCTCTCTTTGCATATCAAAGCTTCAGAAACGTCCCTATGGGTTCGGCCTCTTCAAAAACAGCACGTAAACTGCCCAAACAGCCATCTTGGGCTGGTGCTCGAACACCCGGACCTGGACCGGCTGCAGTTCAAGCCCAAGCCGCTGCAAATGATGCTGTCACATCGCAGGGTCCGAAGACTATGAGGAGCCAAAAGGAGAGTCCGTATGCGAGCGGGAGCAAGGACGAAGGTGCGTGCTTCTTATACTGAACAATTTTTGAGGATGCGTGGCACTGAACTTTCCTTGAGCGGGTGGTGCCCTATGGTGGATGATGGATGGTTGTGTATGGGGCTGAATAGCTATAATGAGGGACGCACAGGATCCTCAGCTGCATGCAAATTTGACGAGGCTCGGGCCTGTCAAAGTGGACCATCATATGCAGAGTATCAAACTGGTGTGTACTAAACTCAACTTCTACTTCATAGCGCTATTGTTACCTGTCTACCTTCTCTCAACCGTTGACTCTTACCACGACGTTGATTGGCTAAAATCATTCACCTTAATCTTACCTCCACTCCACAGCGGGGCGAGGAAGTCAACCGATCACATTCCTCCCGCCTCCAATCCGAAGCCGAGGCCAACTCCTCACAAGCACCACATAATCGTATGCTCGCCATGACACTTTCTGATCTCCTCGACGAGCGAAAACATGTCGCGACACGAAAAGAGTTGACGAGCCTGGCGGAGAGGTATGGAATTGACGTGGAGAAGCTCGAGAGCGTGGCGAGATTTGTGAATACACCAACGGTCGAGGACGGTAGCGTGAGGACTGTGACAGATAGCGATGGAAATGAGAAGGTCACTATGCTGGTGAGTGATGATCTTGTCGAATTCTCGATGCGTTGGTTGGAGAGCGAGACTTACGGTGTGCTTTTTGGCTCAGGCTTCGTGGAAAGATCCTGTCATTGTGAATGATCCCTCGGCACGTATCGCATAGCGTGAATCTCAGGCTCAGGCCCTCGTTTTCAAAAAGACGTACAGTTTCGTTTCTCGTTTCTTGCTCGTCTACCATTACATTATTTGGGTTTTGCGTCGACCCCTATTTAAATAAGTAACACCACTCCGTCCGTGGCTAGTTCTAATATTGGAATAAAAAGAGAATGGCATCCCAAGTGGTCACGTCTACCTGTATTGAATCCTGCGATACCCGCAAACCGTGTAAATCTTTGTTTAAAGAGCAAGGCCAGAGCTGTGGCCCACCAGAGGCGGAAAAAATGAACTCGAGATGATTGGACGCCACACGCGTGTTTGATTCCGAACGTCAGCTGACCGCGATACTCTTCCGTCATTTCGCGTCGAAGCCATCCAATAATCCTTCGTGATACACCCCGGTCGAGCTCCTTGGCCTGAATATTCTTTACAATGTTCAAGCAAGTAGGCAAATCCGCCAACTCCCGCTTACTTCGGAGGCTACACTCCCATGCATCCTCTTCTGGGTCCAGAAAAGTTACACGAGCAGCCATTGGCGGATCCATACTCCTTACCTCTGCAGCACTCGCCGGAAGTCAGCTCTCAGACGGGTTTAAAATATACAACGATGCAGACCTTATATTCGAGAAGAAGAAAACTCCGAAGGAGATCGAGATTCCGGCAGTAGAGGATAAGGATGGGAAGCTCAGGGCAGTCGTGTGGGGGTCGAATAGGTACGTCCATCCTCTCGTCTCCGTACAGTGTCATACTGTACACGAGAGGGTGTATAGGAGTGCAGATCTACAATGACGTTCATTACCCTTGTGCAGGAATCACGTTCTTCTTCCGGAGGATGCTACAGAGTCAATACGCACGCCTGCAACGGCCGCGTTCCTCGAGAATGTCGCATTACGGGACTTGGCTTTGCATGAGACGCATGCAGCTTGTGTGGATGCGAGAGGCGATATCTATCAATGGGGAGATGGCTTCTATAACTCTTCCAGCTCTGAATCACAATCACAAAATAGAGGGCCAAAACTCACGTTGAGCGGGAAGGTGCGTACATTCATTCCGTTCCTCCTACTCGAAATTGGGATCCCTGATATCTCATACCTGTGTGTATGTAGAACATCACACAAATAAAACTGACCGACTCTCGCGTCTTTGCCCTTTCTTCATCCGGAAAAGTTTACGTCCTCTCGTCACAATCCGAGAAACAAGCGCCTCACCCAGGTCTTCCGACGCCCGGGAGCTCACCGTGGTGGGGCACAGGTTGGATATGGGCCGAGGAAATAGGGGTGGACTTCATTGAAGTCGTTCCGGCAGAATCACTCTCGTGGGGTGAAAAGTACACTCTCAACCATGCTCTTGACCATGAGACTCCTTTATTAATATCCTGGGATCGTGCAGATTCGTGTCAATAGCAGCAGGAAGGGATCACCTCCTCGCTCTGACCTCCTCTGGTCGTACCTTTGCCCATCCTATCGACAAAGACGCAAACAGCCACGGCCAACTCGGTTTCCGTAAATTCGACATCGCAGACCCATCGTCCTCCACCTCTCTATCCCGCTTGCACGTCGAGCTCATCCCCAAATCTGCCGTTGACCCGTATGCGAACAAGGCAAGATACAACAGACAGACGCGCGGCAATCAATGGTTTGAAGCTGCACCTCCGTTGAACGCAGAAGATGGAGCTTCATCGTCGGCTCCGACGCCGAGAGACATGTTGCTGCCTGTATCGGAGAACCTGATGGGCGTGAACGACGAGCCCATAAGGTTTTGTGATAAGTTGTTCGAAGTACCAAGTTTGAAGGGCGTGAAAATCGATCAAATTGCGGCGGGTGCACGGAGTAGTTACGCGAAGACGGATTCAGGGAGAGTACTTGGATGGGGAGCGAACGAGTATGGGTACGTACTCTCTACGCTTTGTCTCATAATTATCGCTGATCGTGAGCTGGTTTATACTCGTACAGACAGATCGGCCTAGGCGGTACTGTCACCCTCGACACTGTCAACATCCCCACCGAAGTCGTCCTATGGCGCTCCACCTCAGGAAACACACAGACAAAATGCATAGACCTCAACGCAGGCGGCAATCTCGCGTTCTTCACCGTCGAGCGCATCGACGGGACAGGTATCCCGACGATCGAGCTGCTTTCGTGTGGGAACGGACAGTATGGGGGCTTGGGGAACGCGATGTACAGTAATGCGCAGGGTGTGCCGGTGAGGACGAAGAACGTTAGTGGGTTACTAGAATGTGAGATTTTTTTCTTGTGACTTTGGTTGTGTGTTTCTCGTTCAGGGATAGAGTATGAACTGAATTGACATTGTGTGATAGATTCGGAAAAGACAAATAACCTCCAACCCATCCCTCCATCCTCACTCTCCATCTCTTCCGACGGTCACGTCCTCCTCACACTGGATACGCTCCTCCGTTCCGGTCCCTCTTCCTCTCCCTCTTTTACAAGCACCACACCCACAACAGGCCAAGACCTCTTCGTCTGGGGCACAAACTACGACTACCAGCTCGGCACGGGCAAACGCACTTCGAGCGCCGTGCCCGTCAACTTGACGCGAGGGGACGGGAACAGGTTTATGTTGATGAGGACGAAGGCTGCGGAAGTGAGGGATGGGAGTGGGAGGGTCTGGAAGAGGGGGGTGAATGTGGAGCAGGTGGCGGTGGCAGGGGTTGGTGGGAGTGCGGTTTATTGGAGGATATATCAGTGAGGCTGGGATGTGAATGTGACGGATTGGTGATGCTAGAGAGGACCTGGTTGGGGGAACCTGCACGGTGAGGCGTGGTGGTGAGGGGCTGGTGATGGAAGGCATGAAGCGCCCGTCCGTGCGTGCCGTCAGGTTTTTCTGACTATCACGCATTCTATTCTATACTTCTGCACGAGTACTTCTCGGTCGGGACGTCATCAGTGTATCATTAGTTCCCATTATCTTTATCAACCCAGCTCATTTACTTCTCAGGATCGAATATGCATGTCCTGCGCGTGGTGCAGAGTTCTGATACCCCCGTGCTTTTGTGGCGCCTGCATGGAAGCGCTCTAACAAGATTGCGGACACCGGCCGTCCAACATTCGGCATCCAGACTGCTCTGTCTGGCCCTCAAATTGCATTAGGTCGGTCACCGAGATCTGATGTGCGTGTTCAACTGAACCACGTCGTGAAGTTACTCCCCACGCCTAAGATCGTATTCGCGATCTCCCTCGCCACGATCCTATCCGACTGTTCCGAAGGGTGTAGCTCATCGTACCTATAACCACGCCGATGCATGCCACAGTCAGGTTCAATCAGCATCAGTGCTCAGCGACGATAACGGTAAACAGAGAATCAGGAAACATGAGCAAGGGGCTTCCGGAATCAGATGCACAAGGGCAGAACTGAATTCGAGATCGTCAGGAAGCTTGAAGACGTACCAGACGAAACTGTCTCTATCCGTCCCATTCGCGATCGTACACACGCCCGTATCAGTGGGGCTCTCGTTCAGCTCGTACACGCAGGACTTGACGGCGCCAGTGGTGTTGAGGGGGGCGGTGCCGTTCAGGTAGGCGGAGGGGTTATCGAGGATAGAGGTGAAGAGGGCGTGGGAGTCGAAGAGACCTGTTCGTTGTGCGTCAGTGTGTGTTCATCGGCGTAGGGGATTCAATAGTGAATTAGTATTAGGAATGTGACGAAGAAGATGATTCAGAGGGAGAAAGAACGGACCGATGTGAGCATCGGGAAGAGAAGCGGGCAAAGCTTCGAGCATGAGTCGAGCGATTTCGTTCGCAGAGACGCTGAGCTCCGTCATGAAGAGATGCCATTCTGTCGTGTTGCGTTCCCGGGTCCAGTAGTGGTTGGTGTAGGAATCGTTAGCGTAGAGAGGGGTGCGCTCCAGGGGAATGACCTTTATGACAGAAAAACATGAGCACACAGGGGAAAATGGATCATAGTCCATGTATGTGTATGAGATGGGACAACAGAAGCGACCGGAGTATACTGACGTTTTGCCAGAGAAAGTTCCGAGCCCCACTATCGTAGAGCGTCTTCACCCAGTCAATCGCACATTTCGTCGTGTCGACTACCGTCACACCGTTCGTCTGTCCTCCGGTCAATAACGTATTTGGGCCCAACTATTCACCGGATTTAGGTCCCCATAATCAAAACGAGAATATAGATCAAGAAGAATCGCAATGAGCTTTTTTTTCCTTGCACAGACATGTCAGCGGCCAAATTGGCGGGAAAGGACCCTCACGTCGTTCGTCCCGATCCAGAGCGTATACAACGTATCGTCTGCTTCAGGTTGTATCGTCCCGTTCGCGACTTCTGCAAAATATGCTGGTAATTCGTCTTGTACGACCGCAGGAAATGGACGGGGAGTGAGCAGTTGAGAGCAGGGTGCGCCGGAGCGGGCGAATGGGTAGAGCGTGACGTTGGCATAGCCGCTTCAGATCATTGCACAGATTGTGGCAATGTAAGTGATGAGTATGAACATCGTGAGTCTGCAATTTCGGAAGGAGTTGGAAGGGGTGGAAAGAGCAGACCTGGCATAGACGGGCCATTGTGTGCCTCCGTTGCTTATTGTCACAATATCAGTATACGAGTCTCCGAAAGTCGCCAATTTCTTGATCTGCCCAGGCGAGGGACCTTTTGTCGCGAGTACGCCCGGTAGAGCAAAAAGGCCCGCCCCAAGCACAGGTAGAGAGAAAGACAGCATCTGCGTGGCAAAGTGGCTTTAATGGCTCGACGTTATGGTGACTCAGTAACTGCGGGTAAAAGAGAGCAGGGCGACCAGACGAGCGAGCACATTGTCATATGTAGACAATATAAATACGTCCTCGAAGTCTCGAAGGATGTATTTCTAGAGAGTCGGCGGCCCGTGCAGAGTAGACGTGACGAAGTGCGAGGTCGCCGGGGATGTTACACAAGGCGTCCGGGTCGTTTGCGGTTGTGCGTGTGATCGACGTTCTGTTGATCATGGAGGTCAGATGATGGGAGGGCCGGAGGTTGGGCGGTCTGAGTCCGCTGGAGGCATTATAGAAATGACGAGGGTATCAGTCGAGATGGATGCTTAGACCTGAATTGTAGAGGGGAGGAGGCTGCTCTGAATTCGATTGTGTAGCCTGAGCACGGAGATGTGGCCCAAACCTCCTCAAGCAAGTGTGTCACTGAGGTGGAAGGGAGATCCTGATCAAGCTTTGGTTCGAGGCGTTGATACTTAGAATGCCTGGTAAACATGTCTCCAAAGAATCTGATTGGCAACTCAGAGGATGAGCAGCTCTGCTTTGAACGTGGACCCGAGCAGTCATCGGCTTTGGCAATGATATCATGTTAATGTAGCATATGAGAAAATGATGTTCTGGCCTCTATAGCATGGTGATGAACAGACGAGTACGATAGCTACCTATGATAGAAGACGGTTGGTCGAGGAGCAAGACAATTGGGGCGAAGAAAGCCACGGTGTTCGATCGTGTTGGGAGCGTGTGGCGCTGGAAGGAAATCTCGAGCGTGTATCAGGAAGGTATTCTCGGTGTATGACCTGGGAAGAATGACCAAAACCGACCACGATGAGAACATACGGCCGGTATCATGGACGCATGTTGGACGATTACGCACAGCTGAAGGCTGACCGAATCTGCGTCTATCTGCGTGTGGCCCAGCACGATGCGATGAGGAATTCGGCGTGCGTATCGGGACTCGATGCAGAACGAGGCATCGATTGTGCTTACGTTCACGGTCTGTGGTAATGTGAGTGCTTTTGTGAGGCCAAAAAGAGAATATGTATGTGTGGTATACGGTTGGGGGATGGGGAGATGAGACGTTCTGGAGGTTGTCTGAAGGGCAGGCAACGGAAGCCGAGAAGCCGAATAATTGAGATCGCGCGGAAGAGGAATGGTAAATGAGCGATATTTCCTTTTTGAACGTTTCCTCCAGACGCGCACGAGGCTGGCCAGGACGTCCGCTCAGTAATAAGACGTCCGTTCGACCCTTCCCTCTTCTCTTCAGACCCCCACTTGCGCTGGTCCCCTTCCGCCCGTTTGTTTCACGCTAGCTACGCTTGCAGAGGGTATCGATTCCGAAACTCACCCCCAGACCGTCGTTTAGGCAACACAGACCCCCTGTGAAGTCGTCTTTACCAGCTGCGGACAAGCAGACATATAATCCTTCATCGGTTTCGACCCTGACATCCCAACACCCCCCTTGACGCCCCGGATTCCCTTCTTTTCCCCCACTCGCCTTTCTCGCCACCTCTCGCAATGGCTCAGTCACTCGCTTCTTCCCCCGTCGACGTTCTATCCCAATCCAGCCGCTGGGCGGATGACTCGGCTTCCGACGACGAGATCGTCTGGAGCCTTTCAAGCTCTGGAGAGCTCTCTCTTGCCAGCAGGGCCGTCCCGGGCTCACCCCGCTCGGACGATTTCATTCTCATAAGTCGGCCCACTTCTCCTTCCCTCTCTCGTGCCGACGCACAGGCCCTCGCCGATGCTTTCTCTTCCATGTCCATGAGCCCTGCCACTTCGACCAACCTTCAATCTACCAGGGCGAAGCCTCAGCCCAAGAACCCCAAACTCACTACTAATAATAATACCATCATCACTGCCACCTCTTCCCCCGCTACCAACGCCGAAGAGAAGCCTCAACCGGCGTCACCGAAACGTCGCAGGCGGAAGACCCGGAGCAGGAGCAAGACCCCTGAACTCGAGAAGACCAATGTCACCGACTCGTACCCGTCCCCTCCCTCGTCCCCGGCGCAGAATCGCACTGCTGCGAAGTCTGCCACCACCCCTCCCGCCTCGCCCTCCAAACCCAGGAAGGCGAAGAAGCAGACCTCAGCTCCGGCTGCAGGTGCTCAGGCGGTCGTAAGTGGAGAAGGTGCGACGACTGGATTGGGACAGAGGACCGTCGTCGACGATGTCTCCGAGTTTGGAGACGAGAAGGAATCGCCCGTTTACAACGAGGCGAGGGATTTCATGTCTAAGTGCGCGCTTTTTCTAGTCGCCTTTACGTCTTCATGCCACTCGCGGTAGCTTACTGACCGATCATCGATTGTACCCATTTCTGTTCGCACAGATACCTCGCCAGCCCTCCCCCACCGGGGAACAATGGGTCGGCTCTCCTCCTCTGCCAGGCTCTCATCATCGAGCTCGGCCTTAACTCCACCAAGCCGAGCTCGAATGCTTCGAAGCCTGCCACTGCTTCTTACTTTTCCAATCCCAACCTGCCGCGCTCCTTGACCCAAGCAAAGGCCTTATTGAAGAGCCAAGCCTTTATCAGCATTCGTGACTACCTCGATGAGCGCGAGCATGGGCCAGTGGCTTTGCGTAACGCCATGCATGGCAGTCGCAAGAGCCTGGTGAAGGACATCCGCCGAACGCCCAACAAGCGCACACCGTTGAAGTGGGTCAAGCAAACGGGGTTGAATGTACTGTTGGTCAACACCAGGGCATGAGCGCGCCATGCGTGAGCACCCTAGAATGGCGTCCCCCTTGGACTTACCATAGTTACGATCATGATTTCACCCTGGCCAACCCGCCCATATCCTATTCCGTTTTCTTATGCTCTCGCTCGTTTGAGCTCACACGCCGTGTATTTGATTCCGTCCGACTTGTCTCTTTTTGTTTCCTATTTTTGCACTTCTCGCCACGCGCCCGCCTTTTATGTGTGTCTTTTATCTTCGCTTCCTCGTTGCTTGCTCATTTGCTTTTCACATATCTATCTCTTCTGCGCCACACCTGTCGTTCTCCCAGGTGTGGCGTTTGTACGATTATCGTGTCGTTTCATCCTTCGCGCCCTCACTCAGGGGCTTATCAGAGTGGACGTTCTGCATCTGCTGATCCGCGTCTGATTCTTGAGTCCTATGATTGCCGTTTGACATTCCTGCCATACATAACGTTCCACGCCATTTCCATACTTGCACCTATCTCTCATCACCTCTTGCCTTCTACAACCCCCTCCCAGCCCATCTCGCCACACAAGCTCATACTGTCGTATTGTGTTATGTCGTGGCGTGTTGGCGCATACGATCTCTCTGTGATATAACTCTCGTTCAATGCTTTCCCTCCTTCTCCATCTCTTTCTGTAATCTTTGACTGCCAGATTCTACTTAGCACGTAACCTATAGTTATCGATCCGTTTGGTCTGGTCTGACTAGCGCTCTACGACTATAGTTTGTAGCTGCTGCTGGTCTGCCTCTCTTTGTATCGTATGGTTCGAACTTTGCCATTAGTTGCGCGTGTATAAATCAATGTAACTTTTCGTTCACCCCTCATCTGTCTCTTTCGCTCGCTCGAGCTCACTTGACCATGGGACTGTTAACTTGTGTCGTGGTGTTTGCGTGGATTGGTCCTGAAGGTGCGTTACTCCCATTTCAATATTATTATGTTACATCAGAGACAGCTAACGAACGAACGAGCGTATAGTAGTACAACGCATCGCACTAACAAGGTCAAAATTACTTCGATGCCTGTGCTGATGGCGCCGGGGTAACAGGAGCATACCGCAACATCCATTCAGCGCTGAAATCAGGCTTCACGGGCTCTTGCTTCTGGAAGGCCTCTTCCTCGATGACCAACACCTCCTTCCCCCTCCTATCTTTCTTCACCCACTCTACCACTCCACCCTCATCTCTAGGCTCGAAACCCTCCAAAGCTTTTGGCCTCCAACTAGGCTTCAACGCGTCCCACCTCGCCTTCACACACGCATGTATCGTCTCGTTCGTCCTCCCCTTCTCTCCCTCCGTCTCACTAACGTACGCCCCAGGCGTCCTATACTTCCAACTCCAAGTCTGCCCCTTCTTATACGAATCATACCACTTCCCACACCCCCATCCCTTCCAATCCCTATCCGGCGCCCCATCCTTGTGCTCCATCCGGTTCTTCGACTTGATTTTCCACGGGTGGTGTGAGAGATCGAGTTCGGAGGTGATGTAGGCTAGGTCGAAGGAGAGGTAGGGGAGGCAGAGGTCGATCATCCAGGAGAGGGTTAGGTCGGCTAGGGCTTGGTCGGGGTAGCCGCCGCCGATGTTGGTGTGTACACCGGGGAACCAGGTTTGTTTCAGGGTGATTGCTGTGGGGAGAGGGTATGTGTAAGTGAGCCGGGCACACACACGATCCAGCAGAGACTCGAGGCAGGAAGGGTTCGTGACTTACTTTTTGCGGCGTCTTCATCGGTGGGGAGGTGCCACATCGTGGGGGTGAAGGGTCCTCTGCATTCGTCGAGAGCGAGTGCATGGAATGCATTCTCGATACCTATGGAGAAGTTTTACGACATTTGGTGAGCCCTCGATTAAACACAAGAAAGACCGATCGCTCTCACCTTTCACAAGGCCTCCATCGAAATGCTGATACTCACCCGATACACCCCCAGCATTCGACGTCGGCCTCCACGGGATCCCCAAGCTCGCGACCGTATCCCAGCATCCCACAACCTTCACCTTCACCTCGTACAACCTCGGAACATACGCCCCTTTCGCCGGCTTCCAATACTTCTGATCCAACTCCATACTCCCCCTCAACTTGGCCAGATGCGCCTCAAACGCCTCCTTCCCCTTCTTATACTCCACCAACGCGTCCTTAAACGCCCACGAATACCGCTTCGAAAACACACCCAACCTTGCTACAATATTCGCCAACACCCTCGCCGTGAACGCGCCCCTCGAGAACCCGAACACGAACAGCTCGTCGCCGGGGAGGTAATTGTTCATGATGAACGTGTACCCGTCCGCAACGTTCTCTTCCACACCCTCGCCCAGTGCTCCCTGGACGACTGTCCCGATACCGCCCATGCCGAGGTCCTGCGTCCCGACGCCGGAGACGTAGAAGACGAGTTGTTGCACGGGGAGGTCGGGTGAATTGAGGAGAGCATGGCAGAGACGGTTGACGTTGGTGGAGACTGACCAGTCGCCACGGCTGGCGGATTGACCGGTTCCGTCAAAGGCGATGATGATGCGTTTCATGGTGCAACTTGAGAGCCTGTGGAAGGAGGGATTTGGTGGAGTTGGGATGTTGAATTCCGCAGGTATGTAGCATAATTTATGTACTCGTGCTGTGCCTCATGAAGCTCTCTTCTCGAAGGTACCAAGGGTCTTCGGTCCAAGAGCTGCGCCTCCTTCCATTCAACCGCCGATCCCAGGACAAACAGGTCCTACAATTAATACAACCAGCTGCAAAGATCGTCCATGGTCCCTTTGACTAGGCGAAAAGAGTAGGCATGGAGGCGGGCTATGTCCGCGTTGGGCAGGGTCCAGTGGGGATAAAGCGGATATGAACGCAGGCTGCTAGCGATTAATTGGTTCGAACATGGCATTTATGTGCGATCTGCCGGGAGGATATTGACAGTGACAGTTATGGAATCATGCAGGGTGCGGAGAGCTGAAGAGGGGCATAGCCTTCCGGAGGATATGATGAACGGGAGCCAGAATTTAACCAGAGTAGGATGGGGAACTTGACATTCTGTGAGAAAAACGTACGGTGATGTGACCTGTGATGCAAAACATAGAGGTATGGTACAGGCCTAGGAAGACACGGACAAGACCAGAAGGGGCGAATTCGAGACGGATGGAACGGGACGCGACTGTTTCTCGCCTGAATTCTCGTTTCTTACCCGAGCTCCTCGCTTTTCTCGATATGACTCATGGATTTGTGACGAAAACAGGTAGAAATGTGTGTATATCCGCGAAAAGGAGCCGCATTAAGTATAGTATAAAGCATCGAGAGATATCATGTCGAGTTGTCTAACTTAGCTCTGGGCGCACTAGCAATATATACGACTCGTTCACTTCGATATATCACGTTGTTCAGTCGCAATCTTCGTCTTTCCTCGATGTCCGATTTATTGTGAAGCAAAGTGATTAGTTTCGTGAGGAAAGCAGGCGAGAAATGAGTATGTACCGGTGGCGAAGAGTCGTACGTGTTACCAATACACCCAGAACTAGGGAAGCTCCACATGCTGTGGCACTGACCTTGCTTGAGAGACCTCTTCTGACAATGGCATATCTACCAATGCTCAATATTTATGTGCACTTTATTTGCAGTAGCAACTTTGTTAGCGATACTGCAGAGTATTCAGGGCCGGAAATTACTTCTGGATGGTCACGCAAGAGTCGCGCCACAGATGGTTCTTCTTGGCTCGCAAACTCGTATTCAACTCGTTTCAGAGGCAGCCTTTAAATCTGCACAATACATCCACGTTCCGATGGCCACTGATGTCAGGTTTCTTGCTTCGCTGACCGCAGCAGCGCCTCGAAGCGTACCACTGTGCACGCCATTCGGATTGAAAGTCACCCTGAGAAACACCAGTAAATGTAATTTTATTCGCTCACCCGCCGGTATAAAGTTCACTTGTGTACGGTGACTTTCAACCATCTCACAGTATAACAGAGGGGGATTGAAAATCACCCCTTATATTGCCGAATTCACTCACATCGGCCGGAACGGAAATTCACACTTTTCACCAGAGAAATATCACTCAATTGTGTTCGGTGGTGCTTGGTGACTGCAATCCAAAATATATTGCCCATAAATTGACTTGCTATTGCAACTACAAGTACATACATGGAAGTACATACAGTCTACCTACACCGAGCGTCGAGTACTACGAGGAAATAAGTAACAAGTAATTTACCAAGTAATAGTGAGGCACGCTCACAAAAATTCACGATGCCGTATACTAACCATTGGTCGCAGACTCGCAGGGCCTCCCAGTTAGACCAACACAGAACCTGAATAATTACAAGAGAAAATCATGAACCGGTGGACGGCCCTTCACACCTTCATAACCCGTGTAGCGAGCACCCAATACCGGAGCAAAAGCATCCTGTGCCTGGCTGTATACAAGCTAGTAACCGATTGGCCATACGCTCTGGCTAGCATGATCGAAGGCCGCCTCATTGAAACATGGATTCCAAGAATGAGGACTTACCGGGGTGATACAACACAACATGGACATCCTGATCTCCTTCAAGATATGCCTTCTCGAGTAGAGCGAAACCTATAACACGGAATGTCGCAAATGTCAGAGGAGCAATGATAACGCTCGATGATGAGCGAGGTAATGGGACAAACGAGAAGGCCGATGTCGAGGTTGGACATAACGAGCAACATCCCACAAAAGAGAAGTCTGCATACACAGCTGGAACAGGTTGGTCAGTTGGATAGATCACATTAAAGATACAAAGAGCACACTAAGGACGTCGACGACGGCGAGATATCCATGCGCCGGCGTTGCAGAACATCCTTCGACGACGTGGTTCGACTGGAAGGAGCGGCGAAGAGCGCCCGGCTCTGCGCATGCTGGCATGCAATGCAAGCGATGATGTCATCCGGTGAGTTACTCTTTAGGGCAGGCTAAAACCGCCTTCAGAACGGGCGCTTCTGCATATTTCCCGCCTCACCCGCATTCACTCCATCGCGAGCTTCACCCTAAACGACTCGTTTAACGAGTGAAAAGTGTATTTCAACCTCCCTTGAGGTGACATTCAACTGTTTTCACGTGCACAGTGTACGTAGGCCTCAGGAGAAGCATCGGCCTGATTCATTGTGGCGTCGATAGCCCTTCAGGCCTGAGCGCGTTGCGCAGATATCGAGCATACTTTCGCGAAACATGCTGGGCATGTACAGAAACTGTATAGCCAGGGCAAATAGAAATTGCTCCGTCCTGATGATGGTAATCAAGTGCGCGATTGCATTGAGTGAGGGGTGCCACAGAAATGTGAGAAAAGCTTACGCAAACTGTTTGGCTTTGTGTGCGAAAAAGTCGCTCAGCCACAATTACCGGGGTGGGAGAGACCTTGCAAGCAAGGTAACTATTACTGTAATGCCGCAGTGCTCTAGCGGTTAGACTCGTCAAGACTCATTCGAGAGGTCGTGAGGTCGAACCAGCCTTAGACCACTTCAAGATGCGGCGAGAAGGTTGGGTTACCTGCATAATCAAAAACAAATCCATGTGGCTGTGATTCACATTGAAGTCGAAAAGGCGACGCAGGTTTTTGACTCCAGACCAGAGCTCTTCTTTTGTTCTGAATAGCTCTCTGTGCTGTGGATACTCATTCAGCGTGATACGAAACGACATCACGAAAGAACACCTTTTCTATACAACTCGACAGGAGAAAGTGCGTGGGCAAGATGATATTTCCCGAGACCTTATACTACAGTGGAGACATTACCTCCTGTTCCTTCGACCACATCACAGATACTCAAGATAGCCGTAGTATTAAAGTTCATTTACATAAATTGCGGTGCAGTCATAGTCAACAAGTGTATGCGTATATCTGGACCATGATCACATCCTTCTCACACGAAGAGGGGATGATCGAAGTTTCTAGATTGATGAAGTAAAAATACAAGAGCAGGAGCGGAGGAAGTCTAAATCGGAGTGTAGCACAGGTGAAAAATTTTGTTGGGCAGGAGCAGGACGATAACCATTGTTACTAAAGCATGCCGGTATTACTGTGTGCCATAATCGAATGAATTAATCGCAAGTCGTTCTCGGTACAGATGAGAAAAACTTACGAAGTCCCACAACGTTCCGAATGCGTGAATACCAGCCTCCTTACATCCCTGCGTGATCTCTGCATTGCCTTGATAGTTCGACGTGATGAACACCACTATTCATTCGCCCCGTGTTCAATTGTTCTCAATATCGAGGTAAAATTGTCTAGCATGGGAATTGAGATTCGCACCTTCAGCCTGCCACGAATCCCACACTTCCTTCAGAATTTTCATGGTGTCTGGACGTCCGCCGCGCTGCTTACTGTCCCAAAGCAGGACGCGACCTTCGAGATGACGATGGATGAGACCCGAGATTGTTGGGCCGAAAGTTTTCTCCTGGTCAGAGCCTGGCAATAAGATCTCAGCGCCCATATGCGCTCAACGTATACACTAAAGATAGCTACCAATCCAGATGAGATACCTAGAGACCAATGAAAGACCATGATAAGAGGTTTTTCATGGTTTCCGAAAGTGGAATGGAGAACTGACCAGTTGGGACTTTGAATGCAAGTCGCAAGTGCGGCACCCAGACCAGTACCCGTGCAGATACGGATCCCCCTTTTGTAGAGCGTAGACGTATTCGACACACCGGCGAACTGGAATGCCGAGAACCTAAGCACAGAAACAATGAAATTGCGTTCTGAGAACGTACGAACCTTCAACTCCCTCGTCCAGATCCTCTCTGGAGGGTCATTTACAAGACTGCGGGTAAAGTCGCCTTGGACACCGCAGATGAGGTAATGATATTTTGCATGTCTCCCTTCTCTACGGACCTAGACGCGTCAGAGAGAGGGTCTCTAAGAATATGATAAGTGACATACGAGATCACACCAAAAGCGTGGTATTCCTTGACAGCGGACCGACTGATACGAGCGAGCAAACCTTGTTGCATACCACGTTCAAACCGGAGGATTGCAACCTTTGGTGAAGGCTAGGCAGAGATTCTACATCAATCATAGAAGCTCGCAGGAAGGAGATAAGATAAGAAAGACTGACCAACTCAATGTCAACCTTGACATGACGTGTACAAGCCCACGGAGTGACGGTGCTACAAGGGGTCGGCTGAATTAGCTGAGCGCGAGCGAACGAAACCGCGGGAGCACTTACAAGATAGTCATACCCATCACGAACCAGAAATCTTGTTGACGGACGATGTGTTTGCCGCTGACGTCCCACGACTGGGTGTCTTCATCCCAGCAATCGCCGAGGATAGTAAAGACCCCTGCGCGAAGGATACTTCAAGTTAGATCCCTCGACTAACGGACCAGCATAGAACATACATGTGAGGACAATACCCGTCCAGCCGACGAATCGATGAGGGCGTTCAAAAGCGCTACAATAGTCGTGTCAGAGACGTTTACCAAAACGAAGAAGGATAAAAACGGTTTACTTATGATGGTTATTCCGAACCCAAGGGAAAGCCGCCATGGCGGTGATCACCAGAGCGAGGTTGGTGACAACGCCAAACACCAATATAGCGTCGTTTTGAGAATTGTGAGCCACGAAGTTACGGACAACTTTGAGAAGAATCCATATGATCCCGGAAGTGGCACATCCGCTATGAATACCACCCAGATGCTAGAAGGAATAATAAGCGACACGTCTCCTGTGAATGTGTGGGGATGTAAGCCTACCTGGAGGACCGAGGTACAAGCAAGACGAAATCTTAGCGGGGTCCACTAGAACAAGAAGAGGCATCAATAACTGTTTCTCCCTAGGTCTCGGAGTGTAACTATACCTTGGCGAAAAACGTGTTAACAAAGAGATAGAGTAGTCGACCAAAAATCTCGTTCCTGACGAGGATAGCGACGTTGATATTCGCAAGTGCGATACCACTATTATACCGTAGGCCGTATTGCCACACACCGCCAGCCGCTAGACCAAGGCCAATCATGTTGAGCGTCACGGTGAAGACGAACAGTTTCCTGGATGTAATAACGTCAGTGATGTCCAAGAAAAACATTAATACAGGATATAGTACCTGTAGGTGTTGAACCATAGCTGCCAGAGAATCCACTTGGAAACTTTCTTCTTAGGTTTGGTCGGAGGTTTCGCCGTTGGTGGCTTGGGCGCGGACGGTAGGTCTACGGACTTGATGTCTGTGTGGACATTTGTTGAATCCGTCTTGTTCTTCTCTATGTCGAAGCTAACGACGGTCAACTGGTTCATGGAAATGTCGAGCATGCCCTTCTCCGGGTCCTCGTTGGGCGGGGTGATTGAGCCAGGGGTAGGAGGCGCAGAGGACATGTTTGAAGGATTAATCTATGAGTGGGAGTAAAGTGTATGGAGGGGAGATGGGTAATGGGTGAAGGGGAAGCGTAAGCGGGTGGCGAATCTGAATTGAGTCGAACCGAGTTTTAAACACCGGGGGAGGCCTGTGAACTGAAAGGTGGCTATGTTCTTGAACATCATGGCTGAGGACTCTTGTATAGAAGCAATGTATGTGACGAAAGGAGACATGCGTCGTTAGACAGAGACGCGCTTGCTCGAGCGAGACTTCCTCGGAGCGTCAGGGTGGCAGTAGGACCAGCGTACGTTCATCACGACGCACCAGCACAGATAGTGTGTGAATATCCAAACCGAGTGTTGTGTCCGGAGGGAAGATAAATGCCAACACCCGACATCTCCATGTGCGCAGGTTAAGAAATCCAGAAAGAGTTTGCTCTCGATCGTCAAAATGCAGTTTTGTTGTGGCGGAACCTATTCCCACGAATGCCTGCCCAGAGCTGTGACGCTCGGCGGCCAATTCTTCTGAGAGCCACAAAACCTCAGGAGGCGCCCAAGCAAAATCTTCGCGTATAGCGCCACTGCAGTGCAGCTAGCAGCGGAACTCTGCTCTTCCGGAGACGCGTAGAATATTCAGAGTGAGAAACTCGGTGGGGACGTAGGGTGGAATTTGCCATTCATGTTCAGCTCCAGTGTTCGCCGATGATAACCCCAAAGCCTCCAACCCCTCATGCCAATCTGTCATTGAATTGTCCTTGGCAGGTAAGCATACGCAAGACGTTCACTTGAGCGAAAGAAGCAATTGGAGTTACACACCTCTTTCACGCGTACTAAAGCCGAGGCACGGCGAAGATCGTTGAACACATATACGACATTGCATCACAGATAAGACAATGCAGCAAAGTTCCAAGTTAAGAGCAGCTTGCGCCCTTGACTCGGCGATCCACGGAAGAGCATTGAAGACTGGGATCATCAATTTCGGGTTGACCTCGCGAAGCCATAGATCCATCGGAAGATAGCTGCACAGTGACAAAAACGTCGCAGATAAAAACGAGACCATGAATTTCTCTGAGTAAATAGCCTGGCTTTTCGAGCACGATGACGGCTCGCTATAACTCGGCGATTGATGCCTCAGGAAGGTGGTCTGATCAAACGTGCCTTGTCCTGCGAAGAAGACATCAAAAGGCTAGAGGTAGAGATCCGCGGAAAAGCGATAGGATATTGAAGCTATAATCCTTAACTGAGTATAAGGACGCAGGGGTTTGGCTCAACCAAGGCTCAACGACCTCCGAACAAATAATTACGTAAGTGATCAAGTTGATCCTTTAGGATCCTCACTTTCGTGAACGCCGTTGAAAATGTCTCGAGTCGCCGGGCGGCATTTCAACAACGCTGATTGCTGGATCACCTGGAATGATGATGCATAGGCATCATTCACCGTAGGCATTGGGCAACTTTAGTGCCGCTCTGCGACATGTCCGACATTCATGGTGGCTTTGTGGCCGCGGCTGTGCTGAACCGGCGCTGCTTCCTCCGTAAGTTGCAGTATGATAAGGGTGCCGTTCATGACGGACGGCGGGAGAATCGTAGAAGGACGTGCGAAAGCATAGCGAAAGACGATAGAGCTATCATTAAGACATACGGAACGTGGCCCATGGATATGAACGACTGCGGGAAAAGTGACACGACGTGAGTGACAACCGAGATACAGCAGAGAAGGGAGAAAAATAATAATAATCCAACACCCGAGAGCATCAATGGAATGAGTAGAATGAAAGATAGACGGATTCTCAAAGAGGCAAAAAAATACATAGCACTCGCCGTCGCGGCGTCGACATCAGTTCGCCTCCGCGTACTCCTGTAGATGCTTCAGGTGTTGTGAGACGCTCTCTTTGAACATGACAATATCACTGCAATTCTTGATGATGGCCCGCACAGTCTCCTCTCTCAAGCGTGTCACCTTCTCAATCTGCTCTCGGTACCTGGATAGAAAGAGAAAAGAGGTGAGCTTGACAGACGTGAGTCTAACATTGACCAGATCAATACTCACGCAATCTGTAGTGATTGCAATCGAGACTTCACACCGACGCCATTGGCTAGCGCTGCTGTCCTAGCCTGTGCCAGGTCGCGCTCGAGACGAGTGGCTTCAGCATTGCTTACCAACGCCTCCTGTTGTGCCGCCTGTATGAACGATAATCAGAAGGTCTGTCAAAGAGTGTGATCTCGAGCCTGCTTGACGTACCTCACGTAAATCGTCGGCTTGCTCGTTCAGGGCCCCAACCTTCTTATCGAGCTCGTTGATCTCTTCTTCCAGATTCTCGCACTCCGAGACCAGGATTTCGAGTTCATTGTCCAGTTGTATTCGTTCAGTTTCGACATTGTCCTTCTCTCCCCGTCTAGACTGGGATATCTCGCTCAACGTTGGCTTGATGACTCGTTGGATATCGGATCCTGTGAGAATGTGTGATGGATGTGATGCAGCGGTGTTCAACTCCAAGGTCAGATCGACATTTTGGAATGGTGACGGCAGGGGTGGGAAGAGACCGAGGCTCGAAATCAAGGATGTGTAGGCGTCAAGAGCTTCCTCTGCTGCGGCGGAGCGATTCTCAACTTGGACCTCCAAAGTCATGATGTTGTTGTGAGACTCGGCGATCCTGTACTTCAGGTCTTCTAAACTACGCGTGAGCTGCTCATGCTCTGTAGTCATCCGGTGGACTTCTTCTGGAGACAGATTTTGCTCCCTTACGACGTCCGAAAGCCTGTTCTGTTCGGCTCGGAGGTCGTCCAGGTATTTGGCTAAACAACGTTTCAATCACCGACGACATAGTGCGAAGAGAAGGAGAGCGTACTTCGAATAGCGAGATCAGCTTTCTCGTCAGAGATTGTCTTGAGATAGCCTGTTCTCCTATCTGTAAAGTACTGGAGAAGTTTCTCGAATTTGGCTAAATCGCTCTTGATGGTCTGGTTCTTTGCCTCGACTTGTACTATCGGAGCCTATCGACACGGTCATCGTTAAGGAAACTTTCCGACAAAATCTTGAAAAACTTCGAACCTCAGATGAGTGTAGTTTCTCCAACTCAGTTCTGAGCTGGTCAAACTGCTTCCGTTCTTCCTCCAAGCCAAGCAATGTACGCTCGTTCTTCTTCGCTGCAGAGTTGATTAGTTTATGTAAAATACACAGATTGTACGTATCCACTTACCATATCTTTGTTCTAACTCTTGTTCTTCCTGGGTAAAGTCATCGGAGTTGGCGAGAAACCGCTCGTACGTATTGACACAATGCTCGAACGCTAATGCTCGATGATGGTTCTCGTCATCGAACTCCTCAGGCACCGTGTCAAGTAATTGCAGGGTCGGTTCGTCACTGTTCGCGTACTGGAAGCGTTGCTAGTTGAAGACAAGCTGTTAACACCCGTTCGTATGTTAAGACTGATATGCAGACACAGATCAGCGCGGAATAGATTGACCTACCTCGACCAGATTCACTAACCAATGCAGGACACCGAGAAGAGACGGCCAAGAGTGCATACTAGCTGGTGCAGCCAACCATTTCGAGTCCAACTGGCCAACAAAGGGATATCGAAGAGCTCGCATGGCCGGTAGGAACTCATCTTCAAAGCGTGCAGAGTGATTAAAAGGATAGTTGGGATCCAGAAGGAGAACAAGATGGTGGAAAATAGCTCGAAAGTCTTTCCCTGTGATGTTGGCCAGTGTCGATGGATGGATGTCGTAGCCTGAGTTCTGCAGCTCCGTGACAATATCCTGGCGCATTTTGACCTGAAACTGTCGATCTCGAAGAGGACGAGAGTCCTTAACGGGTAGAGGAGGCGGAGGCATGGGCGCTCCGCCCCACATTGATCCTCGACGTGTGCTACTATAGGCATCCACATTTCAGTTGCAAGCTCCTCCCTTCATCTCTTGACCCAATCCATTTACCACTGACCTGTTCATCGGTGTCCGACCATAGTTTGGTTTCGAGGCGCTAGCCAGCAGGGGATTCATATTCTGAGAGCGGTACATTGATGATTGCCGTGGATTCGTACCCGGAGGTGCCATGTTTGGTGTAGGGAAAGGGGCGCCTCTGAGGGCAGGGCCAGCCATGGACATACGCATCCCAGAAGGTTGTTTCTTGACAGACGAAGCTGGGATGGGTATATGAGACCGCGTACTCGCAAACAAATCCGGGGCTTGCATAGTCGAGCGGCGGTGGCCCTCCATAACGAGACGCGACGAAAGCAGATGAAAGAGTCAACAACGCGTGACAATCGCGTCGGTCACAATGAAAGCGCACGCGAGCGTGCGAATATTTTCCAAGTCGAGCGTTCTTGCCTCGCTCCAGAGCGGGGCCGCATCTGGTAGAGTTGAGTCTTGGTAGACTCGTTCTGACTCTCGCTAGCACTATATATCACTAGCTCGATCGATACCAACGATATTCGTTCTTCTTGGGTACCACTGCGCTACTGTCTAACTGGACTAACATGACCACCTACCAATCAAGAGAGCTCTTTGGTGGCGCTATCGCCGCTTTGTTGCCACCCACTCTAGTCGACGCCTCGTATGTTTCTTGCTCAAATTATTCCTTTTGGATATTGATCGATGGAATGCAGTCAACTTCGTCAAGTCCCTGACACACAGGAAGTATTTTTATATCCCGACTCAGACGTCAGCATTATCGTCGAGATCCTCGAACGCGTCGAGCCCAGCGATTTCTCGGAAGCCGCCAAGTTTGCCTCTCGTCTCTGTCATCATTCTATACATATCTGACTCGACCAACATATCAGGTTCCATTTTGATTCGCTCGCTCATGACAACTCAGCACAGTCCAGTGCTGTGCGCGAAATCGCCATCATTCCGAACGACAGAGGGGACCAGACACCGTCTCCTGTCGTACTTTACGGCACGCAGCTCGTCCAAAAATTCAATCGTGCCGATGTGGATGATGTCCGAATCCTCTTGGCCCTCTACAGGGTAGAGCATAAGGGAGTAGACGTCGTGATGACCATGAACATACCCATGAGAGCGAGCGATAACGGAGCCGTGGGGGAAGAAGGTTTCACGACCGCGAAGGCAGATTTTGATACTGCCGTTCGTTCACTTCAAATCGCCGATTTTGGCCTGTTCGAGGGATGAGGTGATAGAAGATGCAATGATGGGTGTACGACTACTGTAAAAGGAAAGCGGCGAGCCTTGTATGCCCAGAAATGGACGACGCAGGAAGGGACGACTTTGCATGCTCAGAAAGGAACGACGTTTGTGTGCTCAGAACAGACCGAGATAATGAATGAGGATTGCGTGACAGGGAACAGTGGCTCAGAGGGCTTTGTCAAAGTTTCCGATCAAATACATGTGCGAGATGGATCAATTTCGAGAGTGCTTGATGGCTGGCGAATTAGAAAGAGCGCACGTTAAAAAGGAATAAATATGAACTAGTCAAAGCAGTGTCCAACAGGCACGACGTAGTGTAGAGCAATGGGGCAACAGGGCTACAAGTTGTGGCAATGAATCTGCACGTCGAGAGTCACATATAGAATATAGAGAAACGGGACAAGATGACGAATTGGAAAAAGAAATCTATGGAAGAGAGCGAAATATGTGCAAAGATGTTTGGAAGGATAAGAGGACAGAGAGGAATATGTGGTTGTGAAGAGGAGTCGGGGCTTTTTAGACGCTGAGCAAGAGTGTCTGTGTGCAATGAGAATATGAGCAATAGAGGACGTCATAGAGGTGACGGTGGCTTACGATTGCTTCAGCTCCTTCCACATCGTCGGTGTTGGAGAAGGCGAGCTGGGTCTTGGCCTTGAAGTACAGAATGTACGTAGTAGGCTTGCTGCCGTCGGGGTTGGTCCATTGAGCTGTAATTGGGATACGTTGAGCGATAGCTGACGACGAGAAGAAGCATGGTGAGCATACCTGAGAGAGCGCCGCTGGTGGAGTTCAAGGTCCACATCGTGGACAAGTCACCCTCCGCAACGTTTGTGAATGGAATTGAGCTGTTGGTGGATAGTAAGTAAAATAAATTTGATATGGTCAGATAGACAAGGCGTACCCAGTAAGTTCAGCGTCAGTCTGACCGATGTACGGTGGGGAGTAGTTGGCATTCTGCACGAAGAGGAATTAGGATCAGTGGGCGATATTGCAACGAGCCGCACGTAGAAACATACCTGGGACAATAGGCTGCCATTGACAGTACCCTCCACGAACTTCAAGACGACGTCGCCACTGGAGGCACGACGTCTCCTCTTGGTGGTGCTGTCAGTGTTGACTTGGCTCGGGTCGTCAGCCGAAAGGTGGCCGAGCACGGTTCCATCCGCGAGGACAATCTCAGCACGTCCCTGGGTCGTGCCGGCAGAAGCAGCCGCTTGTCTAGCAGCTACGATAAATAATATGGAAGTGAGTATGCTGCATGGGTCAATAAAACAGGAAGAAGCAACGAACCGAGTACGGGGGTCGGGACCCTCTTGACTGGGGCCAGAGGGCCAAGGTTGCGACGAAGGCGATCGGCGTTGGTCTGCCTGGTAGGAAGGTTCGCAGCGTCGACACAAGCAGTCGCCATGAAGATGGCTGCCACGAAGGCGAAGAGAGAGATCAAGGAGCGAGTCTGCTGCATTGTGATGGGTGGAGAGGAGGGGTAAGGGTGTGTGAGATGTGGGCGTTGAAATGGCAGCTGGAGAGGAGCGGGAGGATGAAACTGTGGTGACTGTTTGGAGTGAGGATAGAACGCCAAGTTGTTCCCCCTTATATACGAGTGAGCTTTAGTCACATCCTAGGCTTTCGCCATCGCAAAAGCGCACGTATCACCTCAGCGGTTGGAGCATATCCTAGACTTCCGACGTCCAGAACATATTTTGCGGCCTACCAGCGAGCAGTTGGCGTCATCGAGAACAATTTTCATCGCATGTATCACATCCCGCAGAAAAAAAGAAGGAAAACAGATCTGAGACTTCCGCCGAAAGCTGTATCGAACGTGCTCAGGCTCTCGGCCATTCGGCATGATAGAACTGGTGAGCGGCAGAGTGAAAGATCGTGTCATGTCTAGACTTCGACATGGGTGGCCTCAGCGATCCGGTACGAAGTTGCGATTATACCGCAGAAGGCCATTCAGGCTCCGATCAACGAGCGGTGTTGTTCACGCGTCATGGTTTGGCTAGGGCTTCGGATCCTAACAAGGCCAAATACGAACAAACACCAGCGCCACACGATTTGGTATTCATCAACTATTATTGCTTCCCGGGCCCGAGCGTGAGTTCAGTTTTGCAAAACAAATCTCCTCAAGGTGTCGAATGGCGCAAAAGTGAGAGAGAAAACGTGATTCATCTATATATGCATTTTTTCGCTTTGCCAGCCAGCGCGGGGCGCGTAGTATACACAAAGGGAGTCGAATCGGGTCGTGACCTGGAAAGCTGAGACCGAAGACTGAACGAGAAAGAATAGAAAAGAAAAGGAAAGAAAGAAAACCAGAATCAAGAACGAGAGAAACAAGTCAAACCAAAGAAGAGAGGTGACAAAGAGAAAGATGACGTCCAGAGGCAGACGGTAAAGACATCAATATTGCACGTTAAACACTGAATCAAACAAAACGAAGCTATAGGGGAAATTTAGATGGAAAGAAAAACGCCCTTGTAGCGTCGAACAAAAGCGACACGACGCAAGATCCAGATCCTCGTCCTTCGTCCGAACAGAATGAATTTTTACTATCCTAAAAGAAAATGCGATCGATCTGAATAGCTAGCGAGGGCGTGGATGCCTAAGAAGTGACTGAGATGGGTAGGCAATGGATTGGCGGTGGGGGCTGGTGGTCATTGTGGGCGGCGTCGGTCAAGTCCGGGGTATCGAGAAGATAAAACAGATGGTAACCAATTGCGAGCATCGAACCAAAACCCAACGATGGCGAAAGACAACGTGAAGTTGGAGGAAATGATATTTGATAACGTGGATAGATGAACATGAAACGAGGAGGGAGAAAAGGGGTAAGAGAAAAGAGAGAACGGAGATAAAGGGAAAGAGAGAAAGAGAATAGAATGCGAGACAGCTTGACGTGCGAGACGAAACGTAGATGATGATTTGTGATGTGAACAGAAATTGCGATAGTAAGAATTGCGCGGCCGTCTTCATTCAAGCGTGGTATGTTCCCATGCTCTGAGGGTTCTGTTGATACATGTACATGTAGGCCTGCTGCTGGAAGGCCTGAGGCGGCATGGACTGTGGTGGCATCCCACCGTACGAGGGCTGGCTCATACCGAGAAGGCTGTTCGCATTGGGTCCGGGAGACTGAGATCCATAGGGAGCTTGCGGAATGGGCGTGGACGATGCGGAAGGAATATTGTTCATCGAGCCTTGGCGACGTACGGCAGATCTAGGGCTCGCCATCTCGGGCGAGCGCAGCGCGAAGGGGTTGAAAGGATCCGTTGCGGGAGAAAACGCAGATGCAGGGTTAGAGCCACGGGCGCTACGAGGCGTATGCATATTTTGGTGTTGGTGCTGGCCATGATTGTTCGCGTTGGTGTTGTAACCAGGGTCAATGGAGAGCTGAGGAGGGCCCGACTGAGGGTTTTGTCCGCCCATCTGCAGCGCGGCCATCATGGAGGCCAGATTCTGGTCATGAGCGGAATATCCGGAAGGAAGGCTGGTCATCCCATACGGAGACGACGGGGAGCTGAACTTGGGCTTGGCGCCTGGAGTCGAAGTCGCACCACCGTTCGGGAAGTTCGGCTGAAGGTTGGGGATGGGAAGACCAACTTCCTCGATGAGGCGGCGGTAAGCCTGGGTAGCGATGACCTTCAGCTCGATGAGGACGCGCTTCGTAGCCTCGATGTAAGCGGGCCTTTGAGAAGGATCAATGAAGGGGCTCGTGAGGACCTTGTGGACCACAGCCACACCATTCACTTGATCGCCCAAGACATCGGTGAGGACGTGGTCCGCGGGAGAGTTGAACAAAGCATCGACGATCTGGGCAGACGCCAGAGGCTCCACTTTCTGGTTCACGATGCGCAAGACGGTCAAAGACGCGAGCTTATGAGTGCAAAGGTGCGAAAGGTGAGGGGTGAAGCGAGGCGCCAGGAGAAGGTAGCGAGAGGGGAAGCCGGACGTATCGAGGAGCCAGGTGAGAAGAAGGGCACCATTAGGGTTCGTGGCCAAAGGAATGGAGTTCAAGATGATCGCAGTCGCAATGCGTCGTTTCTGGCTAACAGTCACATGAGGGCTCTCCAGGCAAGCCCTCATGGAACGAGCGCCGAAACGGCCTTGAGCAACGTCCCACAGACGATCTACCATGGCATCGAAGATGAAGTCATCGGCGGGCTGACCGAACCGTAAGCAACACCTGAGAGGAGAAACGAAGTCAGCCTGATTTCAAGCATCTGAGAATGTATTCTAAACTCACTGCACAACGTAGTTGCCGAACTGATCGAGCAGCAAAGGAGGCGCGTAAGCTCGCAAGTTGGATGCGACTAACGCCACCTCCTCTGGGGTCTGCACACAGTCAATGACTTTCTGCGCAGCCCAAGTCCCATTCTTGTGAATCCCGATCGAGGCGAGATGGGGACCAAGGCGTTCCAACATCGCCAAGCGTGCCGGAGCAGAACACTTCTCGAACAACTTCTGGACAACCTACAAGTACAGTGGTAGCGTGAGCATGACTCATGTGACAATTGTGCGACAAGAATGCCTACCGTGTTGCCCAACCAGTCCGACGCAAGGTCGACGATCTCTCCATCGAGGAAGTCAGCAGCGACTTGTTCGATTTCCTCATCAGAGATAGTGTTCGAGTCCATCCTCTTACGGAGCTCCCTGAGTTTAGACGCGTCCCAGCGCCTAGTGTGAGGCCTCTCGGAGACCGGCGGGATCGTCGTGTAATACATCATCGGAGGACGGAAGTCTATTGAATTGATTGAACGTCAATATCATCAAAACGAACTTTCAAATCATTGAATAATGAAACTCACCGGCAGCCACCTGAATATCAGCGTCCGCGTCTGAGCTACCACCCGCGAGTTCCTTCAAAATCATCTGCTGCTCCGTCACATTCGGCGTCCAGCCCGCAGGCTTAGGCGCGCCATCGTTAACGAACGCGGTGTTGTGGGTGCCGTTGCTGATCATGCTGAGGAGCAAATTCGAGCGATAGTTTTCGACTGCGCCACCGAGCACCTGCTGGTCGACAGGAATCGTAGAGGCACCCTTGACGCTGCGCAAAGCGTGGATGGTCGCACCGACGCTCAAGTCACCGATACCCTGGACACTGACACCGGTAGCTTCCTCCGGCGCACCAGCACCTTCCTGCCCGTTCTTGACAGGGACCTTCGCGAACCCGATTCGGATCGCACCAACGTCGCTACCCAAGACATCACGCCCGTTGAGAGCTTTACGGGCTCTGACAGCGTCGTCCAAGCGCTCGAAGTTGATGAAACCGCAGTTCTTGTGAGTCAAGACCCTAGCGGACTCGATGGGACCGTAAGGGCTGAACACGCTCAAGATGGTCGCGGGAGTAGTGGTCGAAGGAATCGAGCCGATCCAGAGAGCACGAGTGGGCGAAGACTGGAGCTGGGCATCCATGCCATTGAGACCGGGGTTCGCGGCGTCCTTGTTTGCGGCAGTGGTCGCAGTTCGGTTGCTAGGAGGAGCAGCAGTCGAACCCTTGCCAGGGGCGGCGGGTGCGCTGTCCGCTTTCCCGAAGCCGATACGAACGGTCTGACCGTTTGGCATACCGATGTTTCCACCGAGACGGTTGAGGACGTCCTCCTTGGCGCGGACAGCGTCACCTTGATCCACGAAATTAACGAACCCACACTCCTATAGATGCACAAACGCCCACGTCAGTTACCTATCGCCAACGTGCCAATTATGTCTCTCACCTTCTCTGGTAAAAGCCTCAAGCTCTCAATGGCACCGTACGGAGCAAATACGTGAATAAGCTGCTCGCTCGTGACAGAGCTATCAAGATTCCCAATCCACAACGATCTCGTCGGCGCCTGCATCTGCGTCGAAGGTTCTGACTTGGGCGAAACGGCCCTGCCCTGTTGAGAGGGGGCACCCAAATAGGACGTAGGCGTCCTAACGCCTGGTAATTCGCCGTTGGGAAAGCGGACCGTGGGTGACGATCCACCTCTGGGACCACCCATCTTGTCCGACTTCAAGATCCCAGCAGACCCGCCCATCTGATTGACGGAAGCTCCACCGAATGCAGACATGGGGCTGGTGAGCTCATATGGCGAGGGGATCTGCTCCAGGGTGGGAGCAGGTCGACGAGGGATGGGCGTGGGATTGTCGAGTGTCCCGACCGATATAGCACGGGGGCGACTGCTGGTGAGATTCGCGCCGAGATGGTCGCTCTGCCTGAAGCCCTTGGCGACGTAGGAAGAGGGAAGGTAGTTTGCGTCGTTGACCATCTCGCCGTATGCGTCGAGGCCTTGCTGGTTGTACGGCTGCTCGTACATTTCCTCCTCCTCTGCGTTAGGGGTAGAAAGCAGCGAGGCGGCGGTGGACGGCATGCGACGGTACGGGTTCGAAACGGTGCTCGCACGCAGACGAGGAGGATTTGCGACATTCCCTGCGATCTGCGCCTGAGCCTGGTGGCGTAGTTCAGACATCGTAGCTGCAGGAGGCTGGCGGTGATGGTGATAATGAGTCTCGTCCAAACCAAGATAATCGAGGGTGTGAACGTCGAATTCGTCAGCTCCCGAATCCATTGACGTAACAGAACGTAACTCGTCCAAAGGAGAAAAAGTGCTATTGTTGTTCCCGGAAGAGAGCCAGGAATGCGCGAAGATACTGCCGCCGTTAAAAGCAGTGGAAAGATCCTTAGAGGGCAGCATGGTCAACGAGCCGGAACGCAGGCGGCTGTTACGTTCGGTAAGGGCGGACGCGGCCACGGAAGAAGCGACGGAAGCAGAATGCCGCAAGCTGGGGCGCATAGGGGGCACGCCCGACGAGGGGGTCTGCGCGGGGGAGGCGGCATGCTGGAGCTGTTCGGTGAAGGACTCTGTGGAGGGGAGCGTGCTGCCGAGGTTGGAGGCCTGAGCGTACTGCTGGGCGGCGAGGGAAATGTTGGAGGGTAAGGTCCCGGCCCTCGCCCTCCGGAACCCTGCGGGGTAAGTGCTGGGAGGCAAACCAGAGCCATCCGCTGGAGTTGTGGTCGAAGGAGAATTGTCATTAGGTGGGGAACCGCCTGAAGCTAGAGCGCGCAGCGCAGGAGGCCTGTATCTCCCGATCATGCTCTCTCCCTGCATTTCGCGCGCTCTGGTTGGGCAAGGATGTGTTGAGCGTCGCGCAGGAGACGGTGAAGAGCACAGAGAAGAACACACCTCTTCGCATAGGCGGCCGAGGGGGCCGGAGGGGGCGTCTTGCCTGAAGGCCTGGAGAAACCACTGGGATCGGCGGAAAGAGACATTACGACTTTGGCGACGAATAGAGATTAGGTATTACTGAAGGTTGGGTTGTTTGAGGGGCGAGCCTCGTAGAGACGTAATACGAAAAAGACGGCTGGCGCAGACTTCGTACCGTGCGGTATGTGGAAGCCCTTGGGTCGCGCGTCTGGATGGTTACTATGTGCTGAAGGAGCTTGTCGGGTGGGTCGTGAGCGTTCTTGAAGCGAAAGCGATTGTTTAGGACGGAAGAAAAGAAAAATTTTGGAGGGCAAAGATACAAAGGCCCGGGCTACTACAGTAGGGGGACGCTGCGTCCAGAATAAGTAGAGGGAAACTGTACTGGTTAGGACCGCCCTCATCGTCGCCAGCCCTCCCGGCTCACTCCTCCCACCCGCCGCTCCAAACTCCGCCCGGCACCCCCCCTCGCCCCTTTCCTCATCTGCTCGTCGACGGCCTTGTTCTCGTTCTCGTCCCCGGTTCACACGCCCAAGACATCATCAATCAATCGTCATTCATTGCATACACCAGAACAAACAAGAGCGGTGGAACGTTTCGTCACGAAATAACAATATGTCTCGGAAGTAAAGTAGGGTAAGCTAAGCTATACGAACGCCTCCGCATGCCCGTGCAAAAAAAAAAGAGAACAAGACCAGTCGGGCATGCGGCATTGGGGTATGCCTGATCGTCGGCAGAGGCAGAGCCGAAGCGTATGTGTAGAGTACTGTAGCGGAGGGAAACGTCGGACGCCTTGAATGCGCAGAGCATCAGACAAAAATGGGCAAAAAGTCGAAGAAGAATGTAAGTACGTGATACAACTGTAAGTTCGGGGTTCAAAGCGGAGACGACGGGCAGAAAAAAAAAAGCAGTCTACTGTACGGCATACGGAAAGAAGAAGACTTGCGGCATGGTAAGCATAATGTTGCATATGTAGCGCAAGCGCTGACGGCCCTCAGCGGCCAAACATAGAACCTAAACCCTCACGCTCGTCTGCACGAACGCGTTCGTGAACGAGCCGTAGCATTCGCCACCCTCATCGACCGACGCAGCCCTGCGCGGTCCCGGTCCCGCGATCGACGTCGAATAGCGCTCTTCTCACGTACTTTCTCCGGCACTTTCTCGCTCATATTCTCCGTAGGTTCCGAGGAAGGTTGTGGAAGGGGACGAGCCGTCAGAGGTGTCGGAGAAGATTCCCATCCAGCGAAGTCGACAAGCGTCTGGAAAACCTCCTGCTCCGTCGGGCTCAGGGGAGTCTCCATCACCGAGTCGTCCTCGAACTCGACCTCGAAATTGGACTTCTTGGGCGAGGAAATGAAGAACGATTCTGTTTTGTAACGCGGAGATTCCCATGCCGGACCGTCATCATGCGGTAGTACGTCACGTTTTCGTGGCGAGAAGGGCACCCTACCGTCGAATGACGAGCGGAAGGACGGCCCAAACTGCGTGAGCAGCCATCCGCGAGCACCAGACCGATGGAACTCCTGGAGTGCAGGAGGGAAACGTTCGGACAGGGAGTCCGAGAGGAAAACATCGAGAACGTCCCCACAAACAGAATGCTCCGCCACAAAAGCCCGAGCCTCCGCCAGTGGCACCCAGGTCCCACAGACGAACGTAGATCCGTGCGTGATGGTGATCGCGTTGGGGATTGATGCCATCCGGGGAACCGGAATGTTGAAATGGTTGATGATAGAGCCTAGATTGACGAAGTCGGTGTCCAGGCGGCGGAGAAGCAACGTTGAGCCAATAGTCATCTGATACACAGAGATGCCTAGAAGATGGGGGATGAGGAAAGTATTCGGACGTAAATGTCAGAAAAAAAGCGTACCTTCGAACTGCGTGGCGCTGATACCCGGAGTACACGGTTCGCACGTGTGTACTACAACCGACTCTGAGCGCAAAGAATCTGGGGCGTCGAAGGTGGAGGGAGTATACGTGTCGCGAGGACGGAAGCGAGGCGTGGATAAAATCGGAACGAAAGGTGACTTGAGAGTCAAGTAAGATGGTGAGACAAGGGGTGGCGTGCGTGGCGCATCGTCATGAGTATCGTCAGAGTCCGCTGAGGGCGAGTACGCAACTGGAAGAGAGTCGAATGAAGGGTCCGGATGGAAGCGTGGTGCGGAGGCGGTGGCGCTACGACTCTGTGGTCCTTTGCTGTCCCATGTGCCAGCATCAATATCCTGTGGCGAGATGCTGTCCGGTCCCAATAATTCTACATCCTGCCATAGGAGCTCGCTCGGCCTACGTTCGCAAGCCCACCGCATTCCATCGGGCTCAGAGGCAGGAGATAAGGCGGAGAGCGGCGTCAAAGGTGAACCACAGATATGCTCGTCTTCGTCAGGGACCGTGGCGTAAGATACGGCGTCTCCTGCAGGAAGTGGCTCGAGGAAAGCCTCTTCATGGTCCTCCTCCTTGATGTACGGATGGTCGAATGGGGAAGGGCGGTCATCGAACGATGGACTGAAAGCACCGAGCCTATCAAAGTCGGACCAATCCTGCTCCTCATCCTTGACTTGCAACCCGTCCTTAATTTCCGACTTGGCGACCTCGGTGACGACCTTTAGGAGCTTGCGGCGTATATCTAGGCGGTCATACTCCTCCAACGTGCCTCCCACAATGTCTTCTTCCTGTTGCTCCTGCTTGACGCGTACCTCGTCCAGATGGTCCGGAGCATCTGAGTATATATCCTCCGCAGGCCCTAGAGGCTCATCATCATCATCGTCTGAATCACTCCAGTCAAAGTCTTCTTCGTCCTGCTCTCCCCAGGAGACGGAGACGCTCCGGCGCCGGTCTGGAGCAGACCACATCGGTGGCCTCGCTTCGAAGTAGTCGACATCGTCCTCTGAATCCGGTGGAAGAGATGCGAGGGACATGAGTGAGGGGGAACGGCGGAATGCAGCGACTGGCTGGAAGGATGTATGAGTGGCAGGAGATTCGGACTCGGATGATGAAGACATGGAGGCGTCTTGGTCCGAATCCTCTTCCGACTCCGAGGACTCCGAGTCGAGTGACATCTCGTCGTCGTCATGGGCGTCGTCATCGTCGCCGTCACTGTCACCATCGTCAGAATCGGATTGGCGGGAGAGGTCGATGATTTCTCGGGGAGGTAACGTCGCTGGTTGAGGTGGGGGAGGCGGAGAAAGTGACGGGGAGGCCGAGATAGTGATTGAGGGGGAGCGAGTGAGAGAGCCCGGTCTGAGACGAAGGGTCAACTTTACTTTCGATGGCCTCTTTTCTGTATCACTGGCACTCTCCGAACCCTCATCCGCCCTGCCATCCGCACAAGCTCGCAAAGGCCTTTTCCGCTTCTGTCCACACATTTCCTGACGACGTGTTCTATCCCTCTCCCTTTTCCGTTCCCTCGAAGAGACTGGGAGCGCTCCTATTTTGCCATTTTCATTATATTCGCAAAGACGAATTCCGGCGCGTGCAAAAGGACAAGGGGCGCCAGAGGCACGACTAAGATACCAGACCTGGGTACCTCTCCTGAAATTAGTCATTCGTGTCTCTCCTTTGGGTAGAGGGCAGTGAGCGCCACCGGTGCGAGAGTAAAGGGCCGGAAGGAGGTCATCGTCTGACGAAGAGCCTGAGAGGGTGTGACGGGCGAGAAGGGGAAGGTCTTGCTGCGCTTCGCATCGACTCATATGATTGCGGATGTATGTGGTGATGGCTTGCCCAGCCGCGGAAACACTACACGGAGTCAGGGGGTAAGTGGCTACACTTCATATAGGGTTAGGGTTGAGCCACATACTTTTGGCACATTAGCCCGTGCTTCAAGGTCATCTCCGACAGATCCTTGATGGTCATAGCGCGGTTGTTCTATGAAAAGGGGTAGGTGGGTGCTGTGGCGTCAATAATTCGAACATATTCCGAAAAGGCATAGCTACGCACCACGGACATGAAAGCGCGTCCAATGGCAAGGAAAACCTTGCTACTCGAGTCATCTATGTGGAGGATGACATGAGGGAACGGAAATAAGGACGTGTCATCTTGAGCTGGCTCTGTGGCTGGCGTAGCGTCGGACTTGTGAAGTGAAATGGCTGGCCTAATCTTGCGCGGCGGTGCTGGAGGGGCGGGGGACTGACGAAGACGAGCGGAAGGCTTTATAACGGAGTTGTTGCGTATTCTTGTACCGTATGAGTGTTGGACGTGGGCGGCGGGGACGTTCGTGAAGGCAGGAACATTAAAAGAATTGTTTGATGAGGATGAATCCATACAGCGTTAGCATTAATTGAATGTAGAGACTGGTAGTGGGAGAAGGCCAGTCGACCAGCGAGCAGAGATTATTTGGTGGTGGTCGTAGGGAAAGAGAGGGGGAGTGTGTGGGGAGGGGAAATGGGGAGGGGAAGTGGTTGTTGCGAGAAGAGGGACGGAAGAGAGAAGCATCCACGGGGAAGATATCTTTATCGACTCGCGAAAGCGATTTGCCAATTCCCTTGCCGCGCCCCCGGGCACCGCCGTCCATAACGTCAGCGTTCCAATCACCGCGTCAGCGTCCCGGCCCTATGCCCCCGCCTTCCTCCCCACAGCCTGTCCTCCCATCGCCCCTCCTGTCCACAGCACCAGCGAGCGAGAGAGCACCGTCGCAAACGAAGAGCGCGGGATGGTGAGCCTCGAGGATAGGAACGCTCATGCGGATCGCAGCAGAAGAACAAAGGGTGCACTCACCTGGGAACTTCCATTCCCCACGACGACCTGAAGATGATCCACTCCCGCTCAAACTGATCCAGGCCCCAAAGGCAGGTCCCAAATCGTCCAATTGTGCCCATTCAGCCCGCGCAGATGCCGTAATGGCACCGTGGCGGAAAATAGAGTCCATTCAAGCCTTCCCTAGCGAAGAGACTCACCATCGTCGTAAGCCCAGCGTAGGAGGTGAGTGCAGTCAACGATGAGTGGCAAGAGCACGTTGCTGCCAGCATCGTTGCGATCAGCGTCGACGCGCCAAGGGAGAGTGCGAAGCGGACTTTCATTATACATTGGAAATTGAGACGAGGACCCCAGATCAAGGAACCGCGTCAGATCACGTGGAATACGCGTCAAGACCCGTTTCGGCAGTGTGAACTACGGAATCTACGGCCTTCCCGGAACCGGAAGCATAGCGACGGCCTGTTCCAGATTTGTCAAATCTGTCGTCAAACGTGGCCTGAACGTCGCCACGCCAGAGCCCCTGTCGTGCGTCCCAGTCATTCTCTATCGTCGTATCACCTTGTTCTGGCCTTCAGCACGAGACCAGATAACCAAAAGGTCCAAGCACTCGCGAATCCTCCTCGTTCTACGTCCTGCGATGTTCTCTCGGCAAGCGGTCCAGGAGTCACTCGGGCTCAACAATGTGCCATACGACGTGAGGAAAATTTATTTTCACAAGTCGTGAGTCCTGCCAGGTCCTGCCATTGGCTCAGAACAAGCTGGAAAAGCATACCACCTCCTAGCAGCCCCGCATCGCACTACGTGTCTCTTTGGGTACCTGCATACGTGACGTTCTACCGCCACCGTCTAGGGCCTTCGAAGATCGTGCTGACCTCTTCCGTGCTAACTTACGTCCAACTACTCGTGCAATGCGTCCAGCTTTTGTTTGTAGTTTGAGGCACCTTCGCCTGTTCCAACATGAGCTCTGGAACCGCATGTTCTCGTTAATAATAATCGATGCATCTACACCAAGGGTCCTCTCTTCTTGTCTGGCCTAAAGCTGGGGAGGTTCACTCCCATTCCGGTGAACTATCATTCGCGTCCTTCCGTTGTGCACCAAGATCATTCCGGACCCCACACGCAACCTTCAATAGACTCTCGATGACTTTCATCCTCGCCTTACACGCATGTTCGATTCCTTTGTTCTTGGACCTCTGGAGACCCCGCCATTTCTCAGTGGCAGCCTGACCCTTTGTTCTCCTCTTCGTCTTTCGCCACTCTGCGCAGGTCTGATCCGCAACCGGAGACGGACCGCAAGATACCCCAACGCCTCTGCTATTGTACTCTCTGAGAAACCCGAATATCAAAGCATAAATCTTCTTAGAATAGCCAGTAACAGGTTTTACATTTGGTTTCACCATATTTATACCTCCGATCCGCTCTCGATGGCGCCCAGCACAGTCAATTTTCGCCACCTCGATCTCAGGGATGGAGCAATAGGCTGAGACAATAGTTTCCGTGATCTAAGACCTATGCTTAGGCATCGAGCTCTGTACGGGCTTTTGATGCGACCAACTCACTCAAACACGCCACCCAATAATTGTGAATCACCGACATGACCACCAGGCCGGACGCCAATACACCCCACCGACCCCTCCAATAGACGTGACGTTCTTCCATCCTACCTCACCTCACCTCCACCCACATCCCCCCCACCCGAGATTCATCGCGCCACCCCTTGTCGCCACTCACTGCGCCACCATGTCTCCCATCACTACTCCTCCCGACCGTACCCTCAGGAACAAAATCATCGATAACGGCACCGTCATACTCACAGAGCTCCTTGGCGCAGGTTCCTTCGGGTCGGTATATCGCGCACACGATATCATCCACCCCTCGACAGTCTACGCTGTCAAGGCCCTCAAGAAAGCTCCGCCCAAACCCGAGCCTGGGCGTGAGCCGCACTCCACCCCTACGCGCGATGCTCGCTACGACGAGGAGATCCACCTCCACAAGAAGGTTTCCGGACATCCTAACATCGTAACGGTCCATCGCGTCGTCGAAGAAGACGACTTCATCTTCGTCTTGATGGACCTCGTCGACACTGGGGACCTATCGGCTGCGATCGGGAAGCGGTGTATATACTACAAGCAGGAATCGCTCTTGAAAAAGGCGTTCTTGCAAGTCATGGATGCTGTGGAAGCCTGCCACGCGGCTGGGATCTCGCATCGAGACGTGAAGCCGGATAATGTCCTGGTTTCGCCGGACGGTGCACAGGTCTGGTTGACCGATTTCGGGACTGCGACGCGCCGGAAGGGGAGTAAGGACTTCGCTGGGACACCGGGGTACAGACCTCCGGAATCCCTCTCATTGCGGACTAACGATCCTCGGGGTGCCCGTATTGGAGGCAAACAACACACTCATTGTGTCAACGACCGTTGGGCACTAGGCATTTTACTCCTTGTGATGAGTACGCCACCTTTCTCTGATATTACTTACGAAACATGATGTTGACCTTCGAGTTTGTTTCCAGTCACCTGCTCCAGCCCTTGGAAGTATGCTCTCACCACCGCCGATCTCAACTACCTCCACTTCCGCAACGACCCAGATTACCTCCGCAACACCTACCCCATCTCCCCCGAAGCCAACGCCCTCATCCGTCGCATCCTCGACTGGGATCCCGCAAAACGTCTCTCGATGGACCAAATGCGTAAAGAAGTGAAGAAAATCGACACCTTCTGGTTGACGGATCGACAGCTGCCCAAAGCTCCCGGCCCAGTGCGCGACTACGCGTTCAAGGTCTTCCTGAGGCAGTCGCATTACAAGCCTCCCAAGCAACCGACGATGACGGTGGCGGAACGGATAGGCAGATTGAGGATGAGGCACTTGGGCTCTTCCTCCTCGAAGACGCTTGTTCCCGACCCCCGTCCCAAGAAACGTATCCTCTCTCCAGAGGAGCTAGCAGAAGAGAAGGCCGAGGCTGAACTTAAGGCGAAGGCGTGGGCCATAGTCAAGGCTAAAGCAAAGGCCGAACTCCTTGCTGGTCATCCCATCCCCGCCCCCTCTCCCAGAGTCTCCGAATCCCCATCGCTCTACTCAGTGGCGTCTTTCCAAGGCGCACACCACTGGCCCCTCCCTCCCTCCGGACCTGCCCCAGCAGCCTCGACCCTCCACCCCCTCCCTTACCCCGCTCCCCCCGCCGGCCCCTCAGCTCTCGCACGCAATGCCGTCGAGGCCTCCCTCACCTCCATCCCTGCAGCCGTTGTCCCCGCCGCTTCGACCTCGAGACCTTCACCCAGATTCCTCGATCGTCTTCGCCCGTCATTCCTCGCCATCCCTCCTCTCACCGGCCGCGACAGCAACACCAAAACCTCCACCAGTTCCGTCTCGTCGGCTTCCGAGCTTCCTCCTACACCAGTTGACGACGGTCCAAAACAAGGACGCCACCAACTTCGCATCGTCGTCGCATCTGAGGCTCGTGGGATCGACGGAGACGCCATAGATTCGCCCGCCATCTCCCCAACGATGTCAGAGGGACATCCACAGGCCCACCGACCACCGATCTTTAGGTTCAAGACGTGGGGGGCTAGAGTGTCGGACGAGAAGGCAAAGGAGAAGCGACAAGGGTTGGGGACGAGGAAGTTGTCGAGCATATTTCTATCGCCTTCAGGTGCCAGCGGAAAGTTTTTGTTTTGAAGAGCGTCGATACTGTTTATTATGCGCTTGACGACTCTATTCGTTGTTCACACATGTCAGGATATGATATCAGAGATGTTTCGAGATTCATCCGCCTATCGTCATTCGCCAACAACCTCGAGCGTACACGTATGGGTAAGATGATATACAGAGGACAGATGTGTGATCACGGCAAATCGAGAAACTGGAAAGAAAATGGAAACTGGGACAAAAGGGGGTAGGGCGAAGATATAGAAAAGGATATGAACACAAAGCTAGAGATGAAGAGGGAAGACAATAATCTTATAATGTAAGCGAAACCGTAGGCCATGCAGGAGAGGAAGAGACGATGAAATCCAAGAGAAAGTGAGCACGATAGAGGTCTCATGCAGCAGCCTATAGGATGGTATCATTAGCGATGAAGTCCACAGACAGAGAACAATGATGAGACTGACCTTCTTGGATGCAGGTTTCTTCGTCACCTTCGCCTTCGGCGCAGCCTTTGGCTTCGATGCCTTGGTAGCTGCCGCCTTCGCTGCCACCTTCTTGTCGGTCGACTTCGCAGAGGTGGTCTTCTTCTTGGGTGCGTCAGCCTTCTTGGCGGTGGCGGTGGTCTTCTTCGTTGTTGTCGAGGTCTTCTTGGTGGCAGGTGTCTTCTTCGCGGCGGTGGTAGCAGCAGGCTTCTTCGCTGGTGCAGCTTTCTTTGCGGGGGCAGCCTTGGGCTTCACAGCCTTCTTCTCGACAGGCTTCTTCTCGGCGGCCTTGACGGGAGCCTTCTTGGAGGGAGGCTTGGTGTTCTACAGCGTAGCATCAAGCCACTGAAAAGGATAAGAGACATAAGAAAAGAACGTACCTCCTTAGCCTCGGTCTCAGCCTTCGACTTCTTGGGCGCAAGCTTGACCTAGATGGTACATGATGTCAGCATCATGCACCATGGGACGATACATCGACGGACACGCACCTTGCCAGAGAGGCCCTTGGGAAGACTGAACAAGCCAGTCTCAGCACCGCCAGAGATGGCACGCGCAAGGTGGGAATTGTTGGTGGCGTTTTGCTCGAGCTTGTACTTCTCCTCTGCGAACTGGAAGATAGGGGCGTCAGTCCCGAAGGATCGTCAACGAATCATCAACAATGCTCACCTTCTTGATCGTCGCACGAGACACGCCAGATCGGGAGTCCTCAGGGTTGGCAGCGATACATTCCTGGAGGGGACAAGGTCATCAAACATGTCGGACACATGCCGAGATGGGAGGACTGATAAGGCGGAAGGCCCCCATCAACGTAGGCGAAGACACGTACCTTCACGATATCCTTCCAGGAGGGATGCTCAGCAGCAGCGCCCTTGGGAGCAGCAGCCTTCTTCGCGGCGGGCTTCTTGGCAGTAGCCTTGGAGGCGGGCTTCGCCTTGGTGGTGGTCTCCTTCTTGTCTTTGGCGGCTCTGCCAGTGCGAGGGCGGGTAGAGGCCTTCTCCTCAATGACTTGTTCAGCCTCAGGAGCGACAACAGGAGCTTCAGCAGTAGGAGAGGACATTGTAGTAGCGAGTTGTTGGGTTGGGAGGCGCGAGGGTTGTAGTGGTTGAGGTGCAAGGCAGGGGGTCAGCGGGACGAGATGTGGCGGAAGAGGGAAGAAGCCATGCGTCATTTATATGGCGGGGCAAATAAGGTTCAACGGTAAACGAAGCGCGACACGTTCACGTGATCCTGTTGACCTGTCATCGACAATTCACGTGACTACAGCATGCAACAGCTGTGGCGCACGGGCCAGTGGCCAGTGGCCACGGCCCACCCACCCACCGCCAGTCCGTCTATCGTCTCGTACATCGCAACGACCACGTCGAGACCGGTTTTCGTTTCTTTTTTCTGCCACTTTTGTCCAGCTGCCCTCTCGTACCAGTGCTGTCCCAAACTCTGCCGCTGTCGCGATGAGAACATGGCCGATTCAGGCGCGAGATACGACGAACATTCGGTCGTTCACGAGTAATTCTTATACGCAGCACCCTTGCGAAAGTCATGTCGAGAGTAAACCTCCGTCAGTTAGGAGGGAGGTAGCTATAGCCAGATTTTTCTCGTACCTTCGTACCTCTTCGTAGGTACCTAGACCATATGCAAAGCTATGCAAAGCTGTTATGAACCTTTCTTGTGCCTTCCCCTAGTCCCCCTGTCCCTACTCGTCAACGACCCGGACAGATATGTCGTGGAAGCAGTGCCTACATCACCGAGTCAGCACCACGCAGAATTGTGCAGCCACCTTTTTTGCTCAGAAGGCTGGAAACGAGAGTTTCGCTTTTAAAACGTCATGATGGTCGACTCGGAAATTATAGCTCAAAGCTGCATCCCGAACTCGAGGCCAAAGTCTGAAACGCTACGTTCATTTACGACTGGCATCCCGGCATGGGAGATCTCGCATAAATCTGGTGTCTCTTCTCGTTGCTTATATATAGTAACCCATTGGAGCATTGCAGGATCAATGTACTTCCCGCGGCGACCAATGGATTTACTTGTCGAACCCCCGAATCACTGTCCCGCATTGAGGGTTCTCCCTTTGGTTCTCGTCCTTTCTGACGCTATACAAGGAAATATTCGGTGGCATATCGTATAGCATTCGCCCGCAAAATTATGGGATCTAGGCACTCGCCAAACTTCCCTGACTGCGAGGAACGTCATGCTTTCTCGATAAAAGGAGGGTGAAGTCTTGCGCGCCCTCCTACGTTAACCGTGTCTCAGTTTCCTGTTCATCTCCCTTTCTCTCAACCACTCTCGACCTACCCTCACAAGACGTTGTCACGTCCCCACATTCTTTGCATACAGTTGCTTCCTGCTTGACCAAATATGTTCCGCTCTACTATCACTCTTTTCCTCGTCGGTGTCCTCGCCACCCTGATGTCTGCTATGGCTGCCCCCGTGAAGCGTGGTACCGGAAGAGGCACCTTCTTCTCGGTCGGAGTAAGCGCGTTTGAACTTTACACGACCTGCATAGTCTGATATTTTCTGGCCTTACTTTGCGTCGATAGCTCGGCGCCTGTGGTTGGAACAGCGTCGATGCTGACTACGTCGTCGCACTTCCCACCTCCGACTATGGCGATGGCTCAAACTGTGGCAAGGTACGTCGTCGGTGCCCCCATTCTATCTTCACTTCATTCTAACCAGAACTTAACCGTCGGCCACGTAACGTGCACTTATAGCACATCACCATCGAAGCGAACGGCGTCCAATCCGACGCCGTCGTCGTTGACGAGTGCCCCAGCTGTGCGGAAGGTGCTCTTGGTCCGTCACTTTTTACCTTGACCTCTGAAGTACATGATTCTTATCGCGATGTGGTTCTCCTTGTATAGACATGTCTACTGGCCTCTTCCAGACCTTCGGCAGTCTTTCCGTCGGCGTCGTCACAGTTAACTGGTGGTACAAAGACTAGTAGACGCCTCTTTTGCTCAGACCTGCCACCCCCGACGCAATATCCAAACGTCAAATTGCCACACTTGACCCGTTATCACACATCACTTTCACATACCCTACTTCTCCCTGCCGTTCGCATTCCGATTCTTTACTACATCCTTTGAAGCTGTAGTGCTGGACCGCATAGCATGTGCATCACCCTCTTTCAACCCCTCGTAAATACCCCAGGCAGTTGTCAGCACACCGCTCCCTTTCCACTCCTGGACTGTTTCTGTTTCTTGCATGGATGATGGACATATACTTTATTAGTTCCGATGCTCTTGTTTGTGGTATAATGGTCATCGTGTTGTCGTGTTGTCATCCATATCTACTTCGACGCGCAGGCGTGCAACGCATTAGAGTCAGTAAAGAAGACCCCTGTGGCGTGCCTACAATAAGTATTCATCTCCGCCTCAATTGGCTGGTATGAATTGCCCTCGTTCCTTTGAGTGGCATCAGGTTCTTTTCAGACTTCTCACATCTGCCCTGGGCCTGAACCTGCCTGAATCAAACTACACCATCGCCTCACATCGTCTCTTATGTTCAAACCAAGCAGCATCTGCGTGGCGATGTACTCCCGCGGAGACGGCGAGACGTTCCATCAGTGCGTCGTCATACCCACTCAATCGACGGGCCAAAAGAGTAAAAAGCTGCACGCCACGAACTTGTCGGGTGGTTGGGTCTACGAAGTCATTGAAGATGATCTTGACAAAGCTCTTGCCCTTGTCACGGTCGTTGAGCTCGGTTAAGATGTCCGCTACTCGATGCATATACTCGTGTCTGATGATTCTGTTGCAGGCATGCTCACACCCGAAAGGACATTCGGACAGCTCGATGAGCTACTCCGCGACATCCCGCTGAACTTGTCTTCCGAGGACCTCGACACCGGGGAATTCGAAAGGTTTGCTTGTCGTGTTTGGACCAGACAAGCTATCCGTTACATGGTTCGGAAGGGTTTTATACTTTGCGACGATGCAAAAGCTGCACATGATGAGGTCGTTCAACGCGCTTTAGAGAACGACGCCGCAGTCTCCACTGGGACCGGCAAATTCACATACTGCGTCTCGAGCTACTGTACCTGACTCCTCCCGTGTCGTGTCAAGGAACAATATGGAAGGACCCCAATGGACGAAAGGGGGGAGTGAGAATAGATAATGTTGATTTGTCTGAAGGACCCATTCTGCGGGAGCAAAGCAAGCTGACAGCTTAGAAAAACATCCATACATAAAAGCAATATCGAAAGAGTCCGGAAGCCAGCCAACAGCAAAGCTTAACATCCCGCCCACCCACCGAAGGACAGCGAACTTGCCCACTCCAATACATCCAAGAAAGAAGTCAAATATCTAGTGTGTTACTTCTTGGCAAGTTCACGTCAATGGACCTCTCCACAGATTAAAGCCCATGATCCACCTCGCGACGGTCTTCTCATTTTGTAGGCGCCCAAACCTTGAACGAACCATTCGTCTGGGCGCGCGCGACCAGGCCGGTGGGGACCCAAACCTCCTCATTTTCCTCGATCTTTCCTTCCACATCCTCGCCCTCCGCCAAAAGCTTACCCACAATCGGGCCCCTGACGAACAACTTGCCCACCGGGTCCTTACCACTCTCCACCTCCCCATCATTCACCTCCCTCAGCTTCACTTCCACATTGATGACCGGCGGGCCAACGTGGGCGATTGACGAAGGTGCAAAAGTCTGAAGGTCGAGAGGGTGAGAAGCAAAGATTGGAGCAGTGGCAACGGGGTGAATGCGCGCGTTGACGAAAGGAACCGAGAGCGTGATACGGGCCGGGGTGAGAGCGTCGGAGTCGAGGCCAGGGTCGCCTGCGACGACAACACCGCGGAGGTTACCCGCGCCTTCGCCGATGACCTTGGTGCGAGCGCCCTCGAAGACAAGACGGTCCCAGAGACCTTCTTTCGTGATGTAGCCGTCCATGATACCAGCCATCTTTTGTCTCCAGGCCATAGGGAAGGCGAAACTCTTTTCGGATTCTGACGTAATAGACGAGGTGAGGGCAGTGAGATGGGTGGGTTTGATGAACAGAATAGTGGGAGAAGGCAGTGGGTACGCTTTCGTAGAGAAGAGATCCTGAAGACCAGGAGTTGCAGCTAATGAGGGGCAATCGAAGAAAAATCAAAATTGCTGACAGAGTAGCCGTGACCCATAGCAAACTTACCTCCTTCACCGCTGTACTGTTTGGTGCTGGCGAGCGTAGCGAAGCTCGTGCCCTCATGCAGAGCTGTGTAGGCGATGGATCGACCAAAGGTGGTGCTCAAGGAGTGAGCAGACACGATAGTATCCAAAGGTGACATAGGGTTCGACAGGGGGAGCAGGGCACGGGTCGCGGTAACACCAGCAGTTAGGTTTTGGTGAGTCAGCTGAGCGGCCTGCAGCTTTCCAGTGTTGTCCTCAAAGAAAGATACAGTGAAGACAGTGTCCGGTTCTATTTTTAGATTATGAACATGAGTGTATGGTCTAAACGAGAGCTTCATACGAAGAGACCAACCTGGTGGAGGGCTCGCAAGCAGCTGCCCTTGCTTCCCCTCCGCCTCCACGTCGTCCCACCTGACGAGTTTAATGTGCTTCGATGCCATTTGAGCTGTCCTAGCGTCAGGTTCTCCGAGGACGACGACAACATGGTGGGCAAGCTCATTAGAGTCGTAGATCAGTTCAAGTACGTGAGGCAGGAAAGCAGCGTCAATAATAATGCCGGAAGGAGGGTGAGAGTCCAGCACGGGAGAGATCAGAGAAGGTGATGAAAGGGTGAAGGAAGGGATCGAATGAGACGCCAAAGCAATGTCGGTGATGAGGAATTCTACATGGTCACGTCAAACGATTGACATCGACATTGGCGTTACAGGGCACTTACCGACACAGTCGTTGAGCAGCAAAAGAACATTCGAATCCCGAGTGAGGCCGGCTCGTAGGAGGCCCGAACCGAATGCGGCCGCACGAGCTCGCAACTCCGTATTGCTAATCTAGAATATATATAATCATTATACAGCCATGCCCGCTGCAATCATGACCAACGCACCTTGGTGGACCATAGAGTACGAGGAGCATCGAATTCAGGTTTCACCAAATCAATGAGGGTCAATACCTCCTTCGCCGGTCTCGTCGGAAGCTAACCATTGCATGCGGAGGTTCAACATTCACGAATAGCATGAACATTAGGAATAACATATACACGTACCCTGCCCATGAGACCTGTTGCATAGTTTCTGTGTACAGCACTCTCTCCTGGGTTTCTCACCCTGCCCACATCACTCTGTCGTCCGAGCAGTATAGGATGCACGAGCGGCTGAGGCTTGTACAAGTTGGTAAGCAAGAACACAGAAGCAGCGATGAGACCGAGGAGAACAGTCAGGTCATCCGTAGCAAGGTGGTCAGAGAGAGCCATGGCAAGCTATTTGCCGGCTGTCGAGCGTGCTACGTCGATGTAGTGGTCGAAGGGGAGAAAGGCGCCAGTGATGATGAAGTGGTGGTGTTCGGTGTGTTTCGCTGGCTCTCGTTCTGCCAAGTCCCTTCGCAAACGCCCGACCGCTGCGGGCTCTCGCCACTCATGACATATTTGGCATTTTGCATCTTCCTCTCTACTCTCGCCACTCTTGCTGCAAGGGTTCTTCTGCCTGGCTTGCCCTTTTGTCTTTGTCAAATGGTAGACCCGAACATGCTATCTAACTACTTGACGAGATGATTATTCCACTCAAAGTAGTGAACTACGATGGAATGCATGGGCTCCTTGACGCTTTGTGGCTCCCTGCATATCCTGGTTAACTGGCTTCAATCTGCTCTTTGTTCTCCGTATCTATGCAAATATGTCATATCTTGACTCGAGGCAACATCTGTATCACAATTGACATCACGTGAAGGAAAATGAGAATGCCTTAAAAGCCTCAAGTGTGGGTGTCTGCGCCGCGCATACTACGCACTCCGCCCCTTCACCTACTCACCGTTGCTTGCCCCCTTCGAACATCCAAACCTCTCTCACATCTTCACTATTTTCCTCACCGATGGCTATTTCCTCCGACAAGACTTCCAAGACGAAGACCTCGAAGGCTGAGAAACCCGCGACCGAGCCCAAGGCTGTTGCGACGAAGGCTAAGGCGACCGCTACTGCCACCCACCCTTCGTGGGCTGATATAATCAAGGTGCGTAAGACTCCCTCCTTTTGAATCAGTGGGAGTTCTAGCTGGCGCTATGCTGCGAGTATAAAGCGGATACCACCTGGGATAGACGCACGGACCATGGTCCGTGCAGGCGCCACATATTATCTCTAGGCCATTGCCATTTCCTCGCCATTTCCTCGCCAAAACGCACCTATATGACTACCTTTCCCTGACTCTTACTTTTCGTCTACAGGAGTGTATCGCCGCACACCCCGAAGACAGCCGTCAAGGTGTCTCGCGTCCCATGATCAAGAATGTCAGTAGCGACTCACTAGTCGCGACCTATCGTTAGAAAACTCTTGACTAACGTCCGCGTGCCCATCATCACAGTACGCAGAGTCCAGGTACAACCTTCCTCAGACAAAAGTTACCAGCAGCCAGCTTGCTCGCGCGATCGCGCATGGTGCTGAGAAGGGCATCTTTGTTCTCCCCAAAGGTGATTCAACAGTCGCGCTGTGCAAAGCATGGTTACTCAATACAATGCTCCACACCCGTAGGCCCCTCTGGTAGAGTCAAGCTCCCTCCAAAAGCGAACAAGGAACCCATTAAAGAGGTTCGTCCATTGTTCTCTACGATATGTCCTTGTGCACCAATGACAGTTCCATCCAGAATGCGCTCTCTAAGAAGCCTACCGTTGCGACCAAGACTGATACCCCCAAGACTAACACAAAGGACAAGAAGGTCGTGCAAAGGGAGCCTAAGCAAGACACTCCTGCCCTCAAGAAGACCACTACTAAGAAAGCGGAGCCTGCCCCCAAGGCCGCTGCTAAGAAAGTGGCGCCTGCTCCCAAGGCCGCTGCGAAGAATGACACCAGCAAAAGAGCTACTACGGGCGACACTACCAAGGCCGGTACTGCGAAGGAAACAGCCAAGAAGGCCCTCCCGAAGAAGACTGCTACCAATGGATCGAAAGCGAAGATGGCTCCAAAGCCTCGCGCGTCGCGTTCTAAGGCTGCTGAAAAGCCCGCCTCCGCTGCGAAACCCGTCTCAGGCGCGAGCTCGACCGTATCGGCTAGGGCTTGAAGTTGTACGCGACCCGTCTACGAAGGGAAATTTATGACGTGATCTTCATATGTTGTTTCTATGGCCTCTGAGCCGCCATGCACTAGTAGTGGTTCTGTCGCTGTACGGGTTTCTTTGTGGTGATCGTTTCTAAGATGTATTGATAATGACTGTGCCCCGTCTATGCCCAATTACATGTACTATAATCTATACTGTGAACCGTCTTCATAATGTGAACTCAAGTAAGACTCACTTGCCCTCAAATACCCTGAAACTGAGGAGATGAGGCCATACCTGCGCCACGGTGGCGTTAACTAGAAACAGCGCGTATTTGCAATGACGCCACAGACTGTAACTGTGTGCCCCTTCTCTCTTTCTTTCTTCCTACCACCGACCGAGCTTGACGAATCTTGTACGCTATGTTCCTGATTACATCTGTCCTCCGAAGCTGGACTCATTGAACGATTGGGTGCTGACAAAATCAAAACACCAAGCATTGTATATCGACACATTGCTCATATCCTTCATCAGGACGAGGTGGCGATATACGAGTAGTTGCACATAGCCTTCAAGTGAGTAGACCACTCGTTCTCAGTAGAAGCAAAGATTCTCATTTGCGTCTAGTTGCTGTATCTTCTTCACTGGAGCTAATGACCGCAGAAGCTGCTTCCCAGATCCGGGAGGTCATTAATCGCCTTCAAACACCCATTGCGGATCTACCAACTCTACTAGCTCTCGTAGCGGCTCCTCTCGAATGCTTGAATCTCCTACCACCACAATATCGGTCATTTAACACGTCGCCAATCCCCGCTGACGCATTACATGCTACTCGACATCTACCTCCTCTACAACGCGCCATCCTTGAGCATGTAATCCCTCACTGGCACCCGATCCTCTCGGAACAGAAAATGACACCGTTGATCGACCAATACTTTGTTCCAGACGCGTTTTCGTACTCCAACTCCTCTGCGGGACAGGTTGTGCTGCATGCGTACTCCACGCTGCTTTCTCTGCCCTTTACGCCGTATTCATTGGACGTGCTGGCAAGATTGTCGAAGGCATACCCAATCGACCGATTGCACTCTGCTATCTTCACCACGAAAAGTCCACAATCTGAGATGGCGTGGGAAGACATTGTCAAGAATGTCGTTTCTGTACCTCCAAAGGTAGCCAATGGTCTTGCCGGCAAAAACACCACGCCACCAGAGTTAGAGCAGGGGCCGTACTATGCGAATGTATGCTCTCGGTCTGAGGTACTGGTTCATACGCTTGCCACCAATAATAGGAAAGGTTCGTTTGACACAACTTTTCAGCTCGAATGTAAAGTGGCTTGACATGGTCCAGGTAGCATTCCATCGGTCGCCTATCTCTTCGCGCGGCTTGTGAGCATTGGGGCGTTTCCACCGTCGCCACCGAATATTCCCTCTCAGCCTTCTTTTTTTGCCTCCGTCCTCCCAGCGATTCGTGACCGTTTGTCGGGTGGCCCAGACCCGTCAAGCTATACTGACTTTTGGGCAGAGCTTTTGAGCTCGTTGTCATCATCGTTGACGGTACAGAGCATCGTTACCTCGCTGTTCGGCCACGTCATACGGATTGAATCTGCTCTTGACCCATTACCTCGCACCAGAGCGCTTGTCAAGGGTGAATCCGAGCTTTTTCGCGGCCTTCTGGGACCACTCAACAAGAAGAATGAATTGTGGGATAATATTGTCGCAATAATACTTGGGAGAGAGTGGCCCGAAGGACATGCAAGAGTCTTTGCTTGCTGGGCCGCAAGCTCGCAGGTCGGGGTGGTAGATGAAGACGGTAAGCCCCTAGACTTCAGTCATAGCGGTGGTTAGGCTGATTATCTGCGACTTTCAGGACTTGGGGCTCTGCTGGACAAAACACTCGATGTTTGGTCCTCCTCAGAACACATCAAGCATTCACTTCTTTCCCGACATCACTGTTAGTCATTCGTCATGAATCCATCGTCCACGGCCTAAACTTAATCTACATCATAGACATGACGCTTCTCCTTCTCACCACCATCTCGTACCTCCCGAACAACTCTCCGATCCTAACAGAACTATCGTTTCATTCTCCCTTCATACGCTGTATCGGCACATACATCGGCCACCTGGACCCATCTGTTCGACGTTGCGGTATGCTCGTCGCCGAAGAGATCGCTAGTCGAACCGGCAAGTCTCTTAATTTTGGCGATTGGAACGGAGATGATGGTGGCAAGCTATGGTCCCGAGAAGTACGCACTCTCATCGCCGAGAGAGACGCGGACGCCCAATCTCCAAAGGATGATTCCGGAGAACCCATCGAGCTGAAGCTGGAGGACCTCTTAATCGAAGATGCCATTGGTCCTTCACAGGAGAACAAGCCTGTATCACTACCTGCAGCGGGCGGATACGACTCAGACGATTCTCTCACTGGCTATGCGTCGCCTACATCCTCCCGGTCTGCGTCTCCTACTCCATCAGAACTCGAGGAGTACGAGAAGGATCCGACAGTGCGCTTAGGTCGCAACAAGATCACGAGGCCGGTTTATTTAGCACAGCTCGGCGAGCTGATACGACACACGAGCGGTATGAAGAGTGAGCAGGAGAGTCAGGAGGCAGACAAGATTGAGATGGGACTGAACACCGCTGAAGAGTTGATTAGGCGAAAGAGAAACTTTGGAACAGAACTTCGTGAGCTGATCTCCCACCGTTATTTATGGTTACGCTTTCTGACGAACGTATGCACTTGTCACGCAGAGGAGAATGCTGTGAATCTGGTGTATGGGCTTATCGGCCTAAACAATAACTACGAGCTAGAAGGTTTTGACTACAAGCGGCAGGCAGCGCTCAATGCTCTCGTAGCATGCTGTCCTCGTAGAGCCGCGCCGTAAGTTCCTTCACTCATCGACTATATGGCCTAGTATTTATCTGACTGTGTGCAGTGCAATCATCGAAGAGTTCTTCAAGAACCAGTATTCGACCGACCAACGCTACGTGATGCTCAATGCTCTAGCTCTTGGCGCCCGCGAACTCGCAGACCTTCCGCTCCCAGATGCCGCCGTAGTCCGGCCTCTCATAAGTGACAAGCTCGAGTTCCCCACCAAGCGTCTTCCCCCAGCTCTGCACGACCGCTACACCCGGAGCGAAGCAACATCACAAGTACAAGGCCTACTTACATCTATCTCCCGAAAATCTATCGAAAACACGAAGGAAACAACCGAACAAAGCGCTCCAGAGCTCATTCGCGAGCGTCGTTTACGAGTCCGTCAACCTGCCAAAGTTACCGAGATGCACCGGCCGAGCACGTCGCAAACTGTACACAACATTCGATCCTCGACTCTGCAGCAACCTCGAGTGGCCACCTTCATGGATGTCGCTGTCGAATCCTTTATATACCCTCTAATCAGTCGGTTTTGGTTGTTCCTGAGAGACGAGCAGGCTCGGGAGGATAGGACTGCACAACGAGAGAAGTTACATCGATATCAGGGTGCAGGGACGGGACTCGTGTTGAGTGCCGTCGTGCTCTCGCATTTCCTGGCAACGCTCGCAGTGCTAGTACACGCCGCCAGACATGCGCCGGAATGGCTGGCCGTTGTGGCACCGGACGCTCTCGAACTCGCAGTCACGTTAGGCACCCGGCCAGTCTCCAGTTCTCCGGACGAAGACGATGACAGTGATGACGAGGAGATGTCGAATGCATCGCAGCCAAAAAACCGAGAAGACAAAGAGGCGCGAGTGCTGACCATGGCACTCGAACTAGCACTCATAGTATTGGATGGGTGTGCAGAACTGGATGGCGGGAGGTCATTAGGACTAGAACACACAGCGCTATTGTTGGGTACCGGAGAGTGGGCTGGTCAAGTTTTTACGCGTCTGGAAAAGGGGCTTCTGGTCAAAGGTGGTGGGGGTATGGCGGAGGCCAGGTTGAGCAAGGCGGCCGCTGGTGTGGTTTTGAAGGCGAACGAACTTGCTGAGAGATGGAGGAGGTCTATGATCGATTTGGCTCGCTGATGGGTATATCTACTTCCGCTATCGTCTTACAATATTGTTCAGGATCCTTGGCTATTGTCACGTCAAGGACCTTTTCTGGTGTAAATGTACAAAATCAAATGTGCCTTATAGAACATTTGTGAGCGGCGAAACCGATTACTACAAGAGGCAGGGAGAATACTACACGAGACATCTCTTTAGGAAAGAGCTAAAGCGCATGGGGTAAGTACGAGACTCTATCCCCCCGAAGTATTCACAACATCTTTGTAGAAAGATCTCGATTTGCTTCAGTCATGACAAAAAGCGACGAAGGATGTGGTGCGCCACACTTGGGCCACAAGCACCATTTACGAGCACAACGATTGGCTCGGCAACGTGCGGCTGTCTCCTCCAGGTCAACGTCAACGCTGTCTACGACAGCGAGCCCAATATTCTTGCCACTGTCACCACCGCCATGTCCTTGTTCGCCCGACTTCCCAAACGCGTATGCCTTCCCCGACCAACACGGTCGGCAAGACAATTCGCTACATCTTCGTCAAGACGATCCGATGCCTTGTTCGTTGTTCGTGGACTATTCCTTCACCTCCATCCTACTACTCGGAAAGCTCATACAAATGGAATTTTAGCACCGGGATACTACTTATAATAACCCTAAGGTATGTCTGTCGGTATGTACCATTTTAACTCTTTATGCTTATGTAGGAGAATAGATCCCATTTGAATTCAATGCGGAGAACATGAAGCGCGCACAGGACATCATCTCTCACTACCCACCTCAGTACAAGAAAGCCGCCGTTATTCCTTTGCTGGACCTAGGCCAAAGGCAGAACAAGGGATGGACCAGTATTAGCGTTATGAACTATGTTGCGAAGCTGTTGGAGATGCCTCCTATGCGTGTGTACGAGGTGGCGACCTTCTACACTATGTTCAACCGGTACGTTCCGCTCGCATTGCACAACCGGTCTGCCTACTGACCATCCCTACGTCTACGCTCTTGCATGGGTACAGTGAACCGATCGGTGATAACTTCGTCCAAGTTTGCACAACCACACCATGTATGCTTCGCGGTTCGAACGAGATCCTGGACACCGTGTGCAAGCACCTAGGCGGTATCAAACCCGGCGAGACAACGAAGGACGGGAAATTCACGGTCATTGAGGTCGAGTGCCAGGGTGCCTGCAGTAATGCACCAATGATGGTTGTTGGGGATGATTTCTACGTGCGTTTTTGTATATTTTGCCCTCGAGAGACGAATATCTGATCGGTCGAACAGGAGGACTTGACGGACGAGTCTACGAAGAAGATCTTGGATGCTTTCTCCAAGGGTACTAAGCCTAAACCAGGCCCTCAAAGCGGACGTCAGACGAGTGAGAACTCCGCAGGCCTTACCTCGCTCACATCCAAGGTTCGTGTCTGCTGTACTCATATGGCTGTAAGTTCTACTGACTGTCTAACGTTTCTATAGCCGTACGGACCCGGAGAGTTCTGTTCACCAGAGTTTGCTTAGCTTGCCGTTGTTATCGAGTATTGTAGAGTCTTTATTGGATCCCTTTCGCATGAAACTTCCAGCATGGACGACAATGGCGTGCAAACACAAGGCTCAGTAGAAGCTGCGACGCCCTTGCATGAGATTCCAAGATTTCCATATGCGATGTTTACAATTGTGGGTGGGTATGAAATTCGTTAGCTGGTCGTCAATTCTTCGTCATCAATCGTCTCCCTCTCCGTCATCATGCCAGTTGCCACCTTGACCTCCCTCGGACAGCCTGTTGATGATGTACCTAGAGGTCGATGAAATTGAGTACAGTAAGTGAGAAGGGAATATGCCAGGCGGACTCACTCAACCTCTTCTTTGAGATCCAAACAGTATCGGTCTGAGGAGAATTTAGAAAGATGGAGACAGGCAATTATTCAACACTGCAGCTTACCGAGTGGAAGGTCAGAGTCGTCATAGCCTGCCGACAAGTTATCGAGTCCTTGTCAGACTTCTTGTATTTAAAAATCATGCTGTTCAAGAACGCACCGAAGGGCATCTCAATTTCCTCCGCTATACCCTCAATGCCCATTAATGTGAAAGCGACGACTGTCACGACAGGGACCATGGCCCAGCCGAGCTCTTTGACGAGGGTGAAAGGGAGCGCGAATAGGTACAGGAAGACGCATTGCTTGAGATGAATACCGTCTACGACGGAGGGATGAGTAAGGCGAATTTGGCATGAGATGGGTGAGGCCTACAGGATTTGGGAATGGGCGTGTTCGCTATGCGTTCAAGTGAGGTCATTTGGTCGACCATGCTCTGGACACTTCAGAGGAGAAAGGATATTAGTGGCATACGACGGCGAACACTGAGTGGTCTTACATCAGGTTCATAGAGTTGGTACCTGTAGGACCCTTTTAGTGTGATTTATTCCTGGGACGTAAGTAATCTCACTTACCAGCAGGACCGACAGTTTCGAGATAACCTTCTCGACGGAATGCGAAAAGGTACCGCGTGATTTCGTGTGCAACTCTATGAGCAGATATCAGCGGTAAACCAAGACTGTAAATATTTTCAAAGAGACAAGCGTACACAAGCGGGAGAGGTATCGTCGATTCCGTGTGCGAGTCAAAGGTGATGGTCTGGTACTCAGGGCCCAAGAGAGCCGTCCTCGCTGTGGGTATCTTATCTTTGCTCCTCTTCACCCTCACCCTTTTCGTCGCTGCCGGAGTTTCCTCCATATCCCCTTGTTCGACGTCAGCAGTCCTCCCGATCAGTCTTTCCATGCTCCCGGACCTGGAATCCTCAGGACTAGCCAGTACATCAGTTGCGTTATATGTACCTTTCCTTGTCGAAGAAGCCGCCGAAGTCGATCTCGTACGGGGATCGTGAACCTTGAGGAAAGAGTGTGGTACGACACCGATGTAATCGTTCCAGTTCAGGCCATCTTCCTCGCGCAGGTAATGTTTTACGGCATAGGCGAACGTGAGACAGAGTTTGAGCATTTCAGCTTTCCGCTGGCTGAGTTGGGTTGGTGTGAGAGATGGTGTTGGAGATTTGCCCTTGACGACGTCGTCCTGGGGTGGGAAGGAGACATATATCCAGATGAGACGGGAAAGATTGCGGACCTATATGGTGCAGCAGTAGGTATCAGTTCAAACTAGGATCATGAGATTCACCAGGCGTACATTGGAGGTCAGGGAACCAAAGGTCTTTCGACCTTCGTAGTAACGATCATAAGAGGTTCTGGATTGTTGATCTCAGAATGGTTGACCATGGATGCTTCTAGAAGCATACGTACCCATTCCTTCAAAGGAGAAAGTAGTGAGTAAGTTACAATTGAGGTGCCACACTGGAACATACCTAAACACCAGGATGAGACCGACCTGCACCAAACAAAATGACTCAGATGGAGGGGAAACAACATGAAATTATATGATATCGAGGACCCACCACAACAGCTAACAAAGGCGTGACGGAGTTCGTGATGCTCACAGACTTGCCGCTGTGGGACAGGTATGCCACAGCGATCGCCAGAATCGTCATCGTCAAAACAGGAAAGAAAATATGGTACACGATCTACAGAACAAGAATATATTGTGAGCGATGAGGATAATGAAACATTAAATTGAGCGTACGCTATTCTTTAAGCGCAAAACATCTGGCAACCATGAATACTGTAAGACCTGGGTTAGTTGAATGCCGTTGACGAAGCAGGAACTTGGAGCCGAACCTTTCGTAGATGTCTTCTAGATATGAACTTGCGTTTCTGTTACACCCATAAGGAGTGGCGGTCAATACAACTGCCAAATCAGCGGGTTCAACGATCAAGTACCTTTGCAGGTCTGCCTCCCGTGCTCGAAGATGCTTTCGCGTTCGGCATGTTGCAAATGTTCGAGAGATGATGTCGTGACACAAAGAGACAGTGAAGAAACAGATTATCGTATTACACTGGTCGATACTATCGCATTGACCACGACGACACGAACAACGCACAGATACTGGGATAGACAGATTCTGAGGCTTTACGCTGCGAAGGTTGAGGTCGACGATGGCTCGCTAAGACAGCGCAGGCTGATGCCGACGTCATCACGCGCCACGAGGCATTGACACAGACATCTGACACGATCCCGCGGCATGGCGCGCTTTCATGGACTTCGTCTGCGCCCGCCGCTCCGAGCACATCGCATCCTCTTCTCGATCTCGCTACTTCTACTGATATATTTCCTTCGCCCAAAGCCTTCAACAAAAGCCCTTCGAGGGGATGTCCGACCAGCATGCCCAAAGCCATGACAACGTCTCACAGGTCTTTTTGTATCGTGAATTGACAATTCTGCCTCTGCTGGACAGTTGGACAGCCTCGTCCAGTAATCTGCCTTCGTCTGGTGCGGCTTCTGCCAAAAATTCTCCGTTAATGTTTCGGCCTTCTGAGCAGCGGCGTCTCGCGTGTCGCTGCATATATTTATGAAACATGCAAGCATGGGTACGAATCGTACACTAACCTGAAGAGAACTCCACAATGCAGCTCTAACCTTTTATTCCTCACGAGCGAGTGTTGTGTGTGGACGAACGATGGCCTGCTCGTCGGAGCTCTCGCTACCCTGATCTAAATCGTCAATCCTAGATATTGTCAAACGGACCATCCACATGTCAGAGAAACACCACAGCACAAAAACGAGACACATATCTATGAGAAGAGACTAACCACGGGTTTCCACTAGCCGTAGTGGGAGTGCTACTCAATCCATTATACAGCGGTTCTTCCTCCCCAGAAAGAGCCACGCCCTGACTTCGCTTCCAAGGCCAATTCCAGCTCTGGTTCCTCCGTCTTGGCGCGGCCGACGACGAAGAGAATGTAGGAAGTGAGAGAGAAGGTGCAGAGGTGCGTATGATGAATATCTTGATGAAGTAGTAGGTGAAGAGCAGTGTCGTAAAGAGGGAGGAATAGAATGCAAGGGGATCCCAGATTTGGAGGGTCAGACCAACCAACGCCCTATTCAACGCCAAAGTACATTCAGTGTAGTAGAGAAAAGAGGCCATAAAAATAAAAGAGTGGAAGAGAACTACGCACCCAAGGACCCTCATCGCCGGGTAGAAAAACAACAATCCCAGGTAAGCCATCAACCATGGATCCCGAATAAGCGCCTCCCTCCCTTCCCTCTCACATTCGATCAATTGTGGCCAGACACCCATCGCCGCCGAATACGTCCCGAAGGCCCACAAGATCTCGTACAGCCATCCTAAACCCCAAGAGCCTTGTCCTCCCACGATCCTCAGGCGCGCACCCCATCCATACCACTTATAGTTGAAGGTGAGGGAAAGAACGAGACACAGAAACATAATCCCATTGTACTGGAATTTCTCAGAAGGGGAAAGAGAAGCAGGCCGGAGTGACAGAGAACGTATGTGGAGGAGGTAGAGGGTGTAGAGAGGGAAAGGAACGAAGAAGAAAATGAATATAACGGAAGCCCAGAAGGGAGGGAAGTACGAAAGGATAGAGGGAGAGGGACCGAGAAGTGGGAGGAAGTAGAACGTAAGGTAAGAGAGGGCGAGTATCAATTGAGTTGGGACGGAGATTCCTGATGAATCAAAATGAGTCGATAGATACGAGAGCCTGCGAGGTGAAACTACACACCTTCTCCGCCGTACTTCAAGAGTCTATACCATATGACAGGATACTGAAGGATACTTATATACGCTGTTGGAGGTTGCTTGTTGTTCCCTTTTGTCCATTGATGAGCCGCAGGAAGACATACCCACGAAAGTGATCACAGCTCCTATGACTGTGATCAGGCTCTCAGCAGTCGTTCCGGACATATTTCTGACAGCACCACTTTAATTGGTGGTTGTTTTGGTCAAATTCGAGGACAACACGTAGGACAGAATACGGATCGGCTGGGCAAGATGGATGGGAGAGGAAAGGTGAACTCTTCGACGTTACGCCCCCCGGCCTGCGAGAGCTGTTCTTTATAATCCCGATGCCACGACTATGATGGTCGCCGTGGTCTCAGCGCTTACGATATAAATGTAAAAGTAGGATGCCGAGGGCCGCTCAGGCCTGAGCCCTGATAAAGTCAAAAATCGGTGCACTCAGGCATGACCCCCTATGCAAGAAAACGAAGAAATAGCCACAATAGTTAGAATAACGGTATGGCGAAGCAGCTAAACAATGACGACTGACCATACAATATCGAGAACAGTACCGGCCTAAAAAGACGGATTAGCTTCACGTTTCCAAAGGGCATACTCGGTGATGCGACTATGAGATCCGAGTCGTAGATGGAAACAGAGCCGCCCGCCGATGTCAGCATTCCCTTGTCATCGGAGTTCATATCGTACCAAGAGCAAGAGCTTTGAGAACGGCACTGTGGCGAAGTCTCATCGTGAGGGCTACATAGGGCGGTGGTATACAACAAACGAGTGACAGCTATTATAACAATGGACAAGGTAGAAATACAGTAAGCGAGCGTGGTGTACTAGGAATTGAAGTAATAGACGGTGGAAAGCTAAGGGGGAGGGACAGCGAGACGACAGTGGTTAAGTATCCCAAGAATATAGATGTACCTGGAAAGGTCCTGACGTAAGGGTTCCGATGATGACAGGGGATATTATAATATACCATGAACAAGACAGGTATCGCTGGGTGAAGAAGGTATACTGAGGGTACGGGCCAGACCGGGATGTTGGGAGTATCGAAGGTGACGCAGGAACAGAGTGAAAGAAAATCGGGGAGACAGAGCTTGGAGCTCGTACAAGGACACAGAGATTCGAGGTTGTTGGCGGATACGTGAAAGTGATGCAGAAATAGCCCGTGATTGAATCTAGACATCCACCTAGACTGCAGAAGGACACGGGGCCGACGAGCCAGACCGCGAGCGTTTCCCCAACGGTCTAATCATCAGCGGCGAATCCAACTGCAAGTCCGTAAAAGCTCTGATAACTGCATCCTCGAATGACCGTACCGATCCCGGAGTGCCGGTGGTCTGTCCCATGTAGTAGTACGAAGGCGAAAGCGGAGGAGTTGGCACAGGCGAATTCTTGCGATGTAATATCAGCTTGGGAAGATTCATGCCCTTGCGAGACGGACGTGAGGCAGAGGGTGGTTGGGCCTGGGAAACGAAGTAGGAGGATTCGAGAGGAGAGCTGAGAAAATGCCCATAAGGAGAGCCGAGCGAAAGAGAAGGCTTAGAAGGATAATTGGCCACGTGAGGCTGGAGAAGAGCGGGAGCCCCAGAGTCGCTAGACATGGGTGAAGAGACAAAGTAGCAGGCCTGAAGGTCGCAAGGTGACAAGGGAGTCAAGTTGTCGGGGGAGTGACCTTGCTCGGAGGTGGTTTGAAACACGGACTTGCAGGTGGCACGACGGGGCAGTTCGGGAGGCATGTCAGGCGTGTGGATAATTTGGTCGATGGGCGTCACAGGGATCCGGCTCGCGTCAGTAGATGGTGCTAGGCCAGTACGGACAGAGAAGTAGCTGGTGGGTGGGTTGGGAGGTGGTTGCATTGTACCCTTTGAGATGGCCCTGCCCGTAGATTGAATCCGAGGCGGCGGAAGAAAGTCGATATGCAAGGCTGGTCTGTTGGTCTTGCGGCGGGTCGACAGGGACGCGTTCGAGCTAGTAGGAACAGGGATAGCCCCAAAGCGAGGTTCCGAGAAGTGAGCTTGAATAGAGGATTTGGTGTCGGATCCATGGCTTTCAGAAATGGTAGGCTCCGACTGCGACGGCCCCGGACCAAACACAAACGGCAGTTCTTCCGCCGGTGTGACGACAATCTGAGGATGAGTACTTTGAAATAATGAATCTGGTGTAATCAATTAAATAAGACGGAATATCATTCACAGAGAATGAGGAGGCTTCACCTTGCGTAGGAGTGGCATCTCTGTCAGCAGGGAGCAATGCTTCACTCGTCCTAGGGTTACTCCCATAGATAAGCCTCTTCACTGCAAAAGATTGTGTTTAGTGGTACAATCAAAGAACTGCCAAGGAGGCAGCTCACTCTTGACGTCGTTCTTGTACACGAGGGCGAGTTGCTGCAGGTGGCTTGAGATCTGTCTGCGCGAGCGGGTTCTTCCGGTCTTCTGGTGCAAGTACTCTTGGATGAGCTGGCATCGCCCGAGGCTAGGTTGTTCGGGGGAGTCTATGTCGCGAGACCGCATCTTCACTCGACGCTTACCCATCGGAGGATATAGTGCGAGGGCTGTCTTAAAACGTCAACTACGATACAATGTCATACACTGAAGCATTCATACCTTCCAAGAAGGCAGCATGAAGGTCCGGCGACCAAATAACCTCTCCATCGGCTAAGCATCGAGTCTTGATATTGCGTTTGAGAGGCCACATTGAGCGGGGAGAGGAAGGAGCGGAAAGGGAAGAAAAGAAAGGCATGATAAGTCGTGGCGGCGGCGGTGGTCTTGCGGTCCTAGGTTTCCGGTCTTGAGGTCGAGATGTCGCTGAGGGGTGGGACAAGAGAGAGACACAACCCTCCTGACGGTCTATATACTCGTTCAGCTGGGCGAAGGGATCGAAGGGATCGAGAAGGCTTCAACATCAGTGGAGTTGCGGCGGTGTGAGACGGCAGCACCAATTCTTTTCGGGACCGACAAGTACATTGTGAGGCTCTTCTGAAGCTGCATAGTCACAAAATGAATAAGGTGAAAAGTGAGCGGGCGTAAAACAATCGCGCGCAAAAAGACTGATGACGAGAATGACCAAAGACTGACGCAGGCGGCAGCGCCGCAGAACTCAAGCCAAAGCGGAACTTCGGAAGAGAGCGGACGCGGAAGTAGCCGAGCGCTCAGCGCGCCGCGAGGAATATCCACGTGATCGCGTCGCGGAGCTCGAACGGCGAACGCGTCGTTGGCCCCTGTTTTCCGAAGACTTGGCTTGACCTTGGACATGTCGCACATCTCCCTCCTCTCAGGCTCAAGCTAGACCGTCGCTTTCTTTGACCTATGGAGAAAAAGTCTGGAATGATTCAAGAGCTCATCCACGAGCTCAAACGACAGGCTGGGCCATGGAAACAAGAGCTCAAAGACTGCGTTGCCGAGATCTCGGCATGTCTTGACAGCCTGGTGAGTCCTGTCGTACTTTAGGGGCCACAAGTACTCTCTGACTTGCTTTTCCAAGTTCGAAGACTCTAGATCTGTCCGAAAAGTGGATACAGAGGCAGCCTGTCAAGTTTTCCGACGCTCTTTTCGGCCTCTTTATGAATCTTTTCCTCTGCTTTCCTTACAACTTTCCGTCCGCGTTTTTACCATAATCACAGCCGACAAGATTGTCAATGCGGAAGTACGAGACGGTAGTCCTGATAGACTATACTGGGATGACTTGGCAGCGCAACTTCTGTCCGGGGTGCTTGTGAGTCGCAAACTATCTGGCTGGTCGTTCAAGCGAATTCATGTCACGGCATCTGCAGGATTACTTGGACGATCACGACTCCGGTATGTTTACGCATAACATCTTAGCGCAATCCACGCCAATTAGAGCCACAGAAACTCCCAAGTCAGATAGCCACAAGGTCAAGACTTCTGTCGGTCAAGCTTTCTACGCCAACCTCTGCCTTACTTTCTTCCCATCCGAGCCTACCGCGACCACGACAGTCATCCACAGTGGCAAGTTACGCGATTTGGTACGTGCAACTCTCTTTTGTTCGCTTCCTGTGTCGTACATGCTTTACTCATTACTCCTTCTCTGACTAAAAAAAAAACTGGATATATGCGCTCAAATCTGGGCTGATGCTGCAGGCCTACCGGCTACTCTCCCAAACGGCAAGTTCTCATCCCGAAAACCAACAAAAACTCCGCAAACCGAGTGTTCTTGGAGGGTGAGGACGCTTTTTCTTCGAGTCTGATCTCCCTCATGCTAAAGTGCTTTCTGGTCCCAGGCATCGACTAGGTCGACTTATCCTTCATACGAAAGGTAAATAACGCCGATTTATGCCATGATTTTCCTGCGGCTCACACTATTTCAGATTATCTCCCGTTGGAGGGCCTCCTGGACTTGCTCGCTCCATTGATACCTCCACTCAAGGTCTCCTCCCCGCGTGTTCGCGAGAAATTCATCAAGGAGGCTTTTGAAGGGACACAGAGTAATGCCGGGGATGCAATTTGTCGGCTATTGATTAGCACCACGAACATACGCGAATGGGAAGAGATGCATTCGAAAGTCATAGATATTCTTGCCAGTGATATAACGTTGTCAGTTATTATTCTCACTATGGCGTGTTTCTCCCAAGCTGATAAGTCTCCATGCTCACAGCCCCCAGCCATTTTCTGTGGCGGAGATTGTCATCGGGAATTCTGCATTCCGTTCCCCCGAACGCCTGATATTCGATCGTCAACATGCAATATATACCGTCGACGTGCGTAATTTGTCCGCTTATCCTTTAAGAGCATTGCTAGACATCGAGTTGACCCCCACGACAGGACAACGGTGCGTGCGAGACGATCAGAGTTCCATTCAAGACCGTCAAGCAGGTCAAGGTGGAAAGCTCTTCCGGGTCTATTCAAGTTCTAATGTCCTCGCCGGCCATGTTCGGTGACCTGCCCATGGCGCCAGCCGAGGGTCATGATCCATCTTCTATGACTTTCCGACTTCGAAAATCCGACGTCGACAGGTTCGTGACCACGGTCACCAAACGCGGCATGGTACGTACTGCTCATGTTTCGTTTTCAGTAGTGTTATGGGGCTAATTTTTATGCGAGCAGGGGTCCATAACCTTCAAGGATGGCACGGCGGTGGTGAGGTCGAGACATCGCTTCTCTCTCGTGAGAACGACGTTAGGGGCAGATCCATCCGACGACTTGCCCCCACCCCCTTCGTACGATGTGAGTCGTTGATGGTCTTATGTTTTCTTCTTCTTTGGTTGCAGTGGGGCTCAATATCTCGTACAGGAAAAGGTCAAGAGTCTACAAGCAGATGGTACGTGTCTCTATTCACCTGAAATACACCTTCTTACACTCTTTTACCATAATACATAGACTCTTCCGACAATGAGAGCAAACCCGACTCCCGTCGCAGTGGCAACTTGTCGATCCACGCACCCAGCGCGTGCAAACCGATCACTTCTTATCCCATTCCCATTCCTGTTTCCATTCCCGCACCGACCCATTGTCTCCCAACACCGGCTACCCCACCTCGGGGACCTCAAGCTCCCCGTCACCCTACACATCCTGCACTCACAATCCAAGTTCAGGTCCAAGCCCCTCCCACACTGACCCGCGGTCGATCTCCCACTATTGCTTCATCCGGCCAGCTCCCCAGGACCCAGAGTAAAATGATGCGTGACGGCGTCTTCGGAGCGAGCGACGAGGAGCTCTCTGAGTTGTCTGAGCATGAGATAGTTGCGGTGCCGAAGAAGCTATTCGACGCTCCTCCCGGTGCTGGTGCTTCGAAGACTGCGCCTACTCGTGTGACGAAGGAGAATAGTGGCGCCGGCAGAGGTAGGAAGTGGGGAGGACAACAGGGCTCTGGGGGCGGCGAGGGCAAGGCGGAAGAAGAGGTCACTGATCCTTCTTCAGGTTCAGAGTCGGATAGGGCTCCACCTGTCAGGGGACGTGGACGAAAGGTCGTCGGTTCATTCGCCAGCAACCCTACCGCGACGCAGCAGGAGAAGAAGTCACCCAAATCATCGAAGCAAAACAAAGCTCCTGTCAAGAGGCGTGCAGTCGCAGAGGAGTCTGAGATCGACGAGGATGGTCATTCGGGGTCGGAGTCGGACAGAGCGCCTCCGGTTAAAGGGAAAGGAGGGAGGGGAAGAAGGGTTGTGAGCTCCTTCGTCAGTGAGGGTCAGGTCGAAGCGGCTCCAGAGAAGGCAGAGGCGACGGCATCGAAGGGGAAGCTGAAGAAGAAGAAAGCGATCGCGAAGGAGCTCGAGTACGAAGACGATGACGAACGTCCTCCCAGCCCTCCGTCTCAGTCTGCGGCGACGATCAAGACCCAAACCCGTCCAGCCGATAGAAAATCTGTTCCACAGCCGCCGAAAGCGAAGGAGGTAAAGCAGAAGAGGAATGATGTGGTCGAAGAGCCTATGGAGGAAGAGGAAGGAGAAGAGTCTCCCGCTCCGAGGAGATCTACAAGGGCGTCTGCTGCCGCTGCCTCGAAGAAGATCGCGAATGTGGTAGCTGCGGGGAATAGTTCGCAGGAAAGTGGCACCGAAGAGGGCGCGAAGGAAACGAACTCTCCTCTTCCTCTTCCTCCAGCTCCTGTTCTTCCCCAGGTTGTTGCGAAGCCCAGAGCGGCGATCACAAAGACCAAAGGTCGGTGTTTCTGTTCTTGTTGTATGGTGCGACGACTAAAACGGGCGCATATACCCAGGTAAAGCGCGTGCAGACGACAGCGAAACTTTGGTTCCCACTTCAGAAGGTGAATTATATCGTCTGTTAGTTTTCAATCCAGAGCTCAATTGTATCGTAGATCGGCCTAGAGTTAGAAAGGATCCTACAGTCATTCCCTCGCCTCCCAAGCCAACGGAAGATACCACTCGGACAGTTGGGACTAAGCGCAAGCGTGGAGCACAAGAAGACCGTGACGATAATCCTTTTCTCGTCAACGACGAGACCACTGCGCCCCCCTCGCCCAAGCGTATTCGTGCATCAGAAGCATCTGCGAAACCAACCAAATCCGCTGCCGCCCGATCAGACTCTCAAGTCACCAAATCTCGCAACAACGCTACTACCCGGACCACCAAGAAATACGGGGCCAAGAAGGACAAAACATCTCATCCCGCCCGCCCTTCGACTCGAGCTGAGGCTATTGAGATCGATTTCGACGAGATTCCGGGTTCACACCCGGCTCGAGTCACTGCCCCTTCGACGTCCACTTTTGCATTCAATACGTTGCCTCCTTCGTCGCCACAGAGGTCTAGTTCGCCACCCACTGTCCTTCCTGTGACGAAGCCTCTCATCTCTGGTATGAAAGGGAAGGATGGCAAGGTTACTCCCCAGAAGAATGCGCAGGCCATAGCTCCTACCAAACCTCGTCCTCGGGCTATAATCACGAAGAAGGAGAACCCGCCACCGCCACTTCCCAAGGAATCTGACTCTGAACCTCCGGGTCCTCCAGCGAAAACGAGGACAACGAAGCCTACGACACGTGCACCTGCTGGCGGGAAGAAGTCTGGAAAGCGTGGTGCTCGACCTTTGCCTGAGGATCTATCTTCGGATTCCGAACCCCCGAAAGCGACGAAGGTCATCAAGTCGTCCAAAACGAAGCGTGGGGCGAAGAAGGCTGCTGCTTCTGCTGTCGTGAAGAACGATCGGCGCTCAGGAAACCAGGATGAAGATGAGGATGGGTCTGCTGTGGAAGATGAGATTCAGCCTTTCTCATCGTCTCCTAGGGAGACTAGGGCTGCTGCGAAAACACGGGCAGCGGGCAAAGTCGTATGTCTCTTTCATTCACTTAACGTCCATGACCGATTTGACCATGTCCTAGTCCACGAGTCCAAATTCCGTAACGACCAACAACGAAGCAACGAAGGCGAAACCAGCAGCCAAGTCGAACAAGTCGAACAAGGCACCATGGCTCGATGAGAAGTTCTCGCCGAAGAGCAAGGAATTGTCTGGAGACGCCGCAAAACTTCGTGGAGAGCATCTCGTCTCTGCTGACGAGGTCATGGCGGGGCCGTCTGACTCGGAACTGGTAGCTAAAGATTGGGAAACCATGGAGGTTGTGGAGAATGCTGCTGAAGTGATACCGGAGCCACCGTCGGTCAAAGAGGCAAGCAAGATTTTGGTTGTTTGTCCAGGTTGTACTCATCATCGCCGTTCTTCAGACCACAGTTAGGTCGCTCCCTGGCCGAAAGTCGAGCACAGCTGTGACTGGTGTAGGTCGCCTTTCATAATTAACTGTTTGTGTGCTGATGCATTGAGCGCTTGATACAGACCGATGTCCCAATGGCCGATGCAAGGCAGGATAAAGAGGCATGCCTTGTCTCTATATCATCATGCGCTTTATATATTTATCATACTGTTCCACAGCGTCAACCAATCACCGCTCAACTTCATCCCGGATTCAAGTCCAAAGCAGGAACCTTTGAAGTAAGTACCGCCAGGCTTAAGTCTGTTCTTCTGCTCAACTTCGTCGGTCGCAGGATGTTATCATGGCTCCTCCCAGCCGAACGGGATCCCATGGCGAGCCCGAGGAGATGGAAGTACTTCCTGAACAGCCTTCCCGTGAAAGAACGGCCACTACGGCCTACGCCACCCAAGCTCCAGCCCAGTCCCCCAGCCCTTCGCCTCCACCCGCACCTCTTGTCGACACCGTCGAAAGTGACCCCGACGCAACTCTCCTGCCAGATATTGGTGAATTCACTGTCAGAAGCAAAGCCTACGACGTTATTATTCAATCTCCCCAGTCTCACGGCCAACAGGTACATACACCTTTGGAGGTCCGGAACGTGTCTATGTCGTCGCCGCCACAGAGAGGAGCGACGAGCGTCGAGAGGCATCGGAAGAGCGTTTCGTTCTTGGAACGTGAGGAAGAGGATATGGACGTCACGGTCGTGGGGGGATTGCAAGATGAACACGGGGAAGGCGAGGCTGAACCTATTGTTGCAACGACAGAAGAGAGAACGCGCCAGCGTGAGTTATCAACCTTTCATCCTGCGCCGTATCGTTAGCTCAATTGTGTACCAGCGATGTCGTCGAAAGCTCGTGGAAAGCAACGCGCAGTCGAGGAACGGCCTTCTCCACTCGCGTTCACACCGAAAGCGGGGTATCTTAACTTGCATGGCTCTGTGCAGCCATCTCGTCCTCGAACCGGTATGCTCTCCGCCAACTCTATCCTCAACTACAGCCAAGCTAACATGGATGCACTATGTAGCGGATCCACCGCGTCAAACATTGGCCTCTGCGAGCTCAAAAACCAACGCTCAGGACGTTCCTTCCCGGTTCGAGCAACCTGTCCGCCAGGGTTCCATCGGTAATCGTCTTCGTCCACGGGAAGAGCGTCTAGCCACAGACGACCCACTTGAGGTCATCTATGAGGTTAGTTTTGTTGTACCATGCAGAAAGACATGAACGAATATTAATCCCTCTTTCAGACCATCAACAAGATCACAGACGCCATCAAGTATGGAATACAATCCAAGTACGACGGTGTGCGCGATAGTACTCGACAGTTGAAGACGAAGCTTCTGATGCGAGCCATGGAGGACCTTGATGAGCTGCATGAGGATAAGTACGACCCTCTCACCCCGTCATCCTTCCTCCATCTTAGCTTTGCTCTCGTCTCCACCATTCAGTCATACTAACATCCACCGCAGCGTCACCACCTACAACACCCTCCTCGCTCTCGAACAAGCCTACACCGATTATTCCCAACGCTCTCTCGACGCCCTGACGGAAGCTCACCGTGTCGGCGCAGAGAGCCAGAAGAAGCTGAAGGAGCTGATTAAGGAACATGATAAGATGGCGAAGGAGCATGCGAAGAAGGTTCCGAGTGTGAAGGGTTTGCCGGGGAGTATCGCGAAGTGGAAGACGAAGTGATCGCTACTATGAACGCTCTCTGACTCTGCTATCGCTTTTGGACTCGGCCTGCTTGTCTCCTTTTCTCGATCCCTGACACCTCGGATTCTTGGTCTTTCTTCCCCTCTGCCTCTGTTGCGCTTCCTGCCTCGACCCGGACTCATGATGCCTGCTTGCTATGCCTCTGCACGGTCTCTCGTCTCTCTTCTGTCTGCCGTGCCTCTGAACCACCGCATGCCCGTTTCTTGATCTTTCTTGGTCCTCATGCTCTTTGCTCGCCCTCGCAACTCCTTTCTGCGTGTCCTCTCTCTCTGTTCCACAAAGCCCCCTCAGCTTCGGACGCGCTGTTTTTTCTTGCTCTGAATCGTTGGGCTGTATGCTATATGTCTTTCCCTTATGCTAACTGTATGACTTATGACTCGTGGATTGACATCGTCTTGTCTCGTCTCGTACCGTACCGTAGCATGATTCAGACCGCTTGTAGCCTCTAGATTGGCCATTGTATTGTAATTTGTGTGTGTGTGTGTGTGTGTGTGTGATGGAAAGATAGGGTCGTTTTGTACACTTTTGTAATCAGTCGGAGTCTTGTTGCGGACATGGGGTCAATGGATGTATTATTTCTTTCATTCGTGAATATGACGGGTGTACAAAAACATAGTCGATGATACATGATACACGGTAGCAGTTAAAGTCGGTGTACGATCATACTAAGTATGAGGAAACCCCTCTGAGTTTGAGTGCACACGGAACGCAGGCAAGTTGAGCTAGATGAGGGAGCGATGAGTATGTATGTTAGGACCTGTCGGTGGCCATGGAGGCCCGCATTTTGGTCTGTCTGAGGCTTGGACTGGGACTGAGACGCGACAGTCTCGCGTATACGCCACCGCCACACTGACGCAGGCCCAGCTGTCTACCGACTCGAGTTGAACAAAAAAATCCGAAAATCCGAAAATCTGAAGGTGTCAGTATCAGTATCTTCCAACCAACACTCACGATCTAGACTCCAGTTACGAGCCACCAGGACTTGGGGTGACCATGGGCCGAAGCGCAAGGATGTCAGATGCGAAATGTGAGATGTGAGACTTATACTCACTGGCCAGTGGCCGTCAGTTCCGCGAGGTTTCAGACCGGAGGACTGGCAGGAAGGGGCGAGGAGGAAGAATTGGTACAGTAGAAGAGTATAAAATGTGAGGGCGTGCGTACCTACGAGTGAGGTAGCAGACAAGGATATCTTTCTCTCATTTCCCAACTCTCGTCTTTCGTCACTGGTCTCTCCTGCTCTCGTCTTTCGTCTCTCATCCCTTGACCGCCTGCTCTACCACGAACCAGACTCCCTACTCAGATTTCGAGAGCTTACCATCCACACACATCCACACACACATCCACATCCAAATACCACTCACGCTTCGAACGCACGCACCACTACCACCAACCACTACCACCAACCCCTACCCCCACCCATCACCATCACCAATCACAATGTACACAATCCACAACCTCATCCCCCTCCTCCCCTCCCCCTCCCCCTCTCCCTCCCCCTCCCCCTCTGCCTCTCCTCCCTCCTCATACTCCACCCTCTCCTCCTCATCCCCCATAGCCACGCACATCCACGCCTCCATCTCCGCCCACCTCCCCCCAACCGAACTCCTCAAATCCATAGGCCTAGCCCTGGCCTTCATCCTGCCTATCATGCTCATATGTACGGTTTGGGGTGTTCTTCGAATCAGAGGCAGAACCAAGGCGAGGAAGCGAGAAGAAGAGCGGGTAAGGATGGGGAGGATGGGGAGGATGGGGATGGGGTTGAGGTCGGTGGTGCGAAGGATGGGGATGGGGGAGGGGTTGAGGGGTGGGGAGGGGATGGAGGGGATGGAGGGGTCGAGGTTTACGAAGCGGTTTGAGAGGAGGGGAAGGAAGGAGAGAAATGCCGAGGTAGGGATAGGAGGAGAAGGAGGAGAGAGCAAGTCGAGGTTTGCGCGGTTCGTGGGGGTTGTGCTTCGGTCCAAGGACGGCACGATGACGAGCAACACGGAGGAGTACGATATCGAGAAAGGAGTGCCGAGGATTACGATTACGATGCCTGTGCCGGCTGTTATCCGTGCGGATAGTCTCGAGAGTAAGGGAGGGGCGAAGGGTATTAGGGGAGGGGAGGAGCAGGAGTTAGCGGAGGGGATGCCTGTGGTGGCTTATGTGCGTGGGGAGAGCGTTGAGTCGAGGATTTGAGTGGTGTAGACGTACCTTGGGCATGCTATTTTATTCCGTTATGTATTTCACGAGAGGGACGTACGATTATGAGGTGTGTTTTGCGACGTTGTGGACCTATCATACATAATGAAACACACAAGGCCTGTTCCCGCTTTCTGCACATGAAGAAACGAATCCAAGCAAGGATATGTTCAGTCTGCACGCTCAGGATTCGTCAAGACAAAGGAGATGTGCATTCTGCGCCGACAGAATACAACCAGGATTCGGTTTTGCGAGGGCAGAAAGGAGGAACCTGCGTCGTATCATCGAGAGCTTGCGCCACAATGGGTGGCGTCGAACTGAACGAGTCATATTACGGAGTCGAACCACGTACACCTTTTGCGTTGAACACCTGTTGGAACGATGGTCACGATTGCAAGAAGAGAGCGAGCTATGAGAGGAAGAAAGAAAGATGAGCACATGATCAGAGGACAGAAACGGGCGGGCGCAAAGCGGTCGCGCGGCGATTGTCTGCAGTCGACGCGACACTTCGGTACTCTTTCTTGGACACAACGCCGTCGCCACTCGACTCGCAGACGCAGCTTGGATCAAGGGTGCTACGACCGATGCCAGCCTTCGACCCCGTGCGCGACGCCGTCATGAACTCACCCACCCAGCCGTCCCCCGGCCTCCCCCCGCCACCCTTCGCGTCCCCGTCTTTTTCCATCGGCAGGTCCTCCCGCCAGCATCAGCACCACCAACAACCACAACCAGAACAGGAGCAGCAGTCGCCACCAGCACCAGTTCGCCGTGCAACAGACCTTTCCGTGCTACTGAACAACCCTGTTCCTTCGATGCAGTCTCCATTCGCGCACGGGAGCCCAGCGCAGGCCCCGAACGGGCCCCCCCGCTCGCTCTCCCATCTTCTCATCTCAGACGAACACGTAACCTCGCCTTCTTCCTCGTATCCCCATACACCTCAGTCCCAGTCCGCCCCTGTTCAGGCGCCGCATCGGTACCCGCCATCGCCGGACGACAAACTCGCCAGGGCACCGCCTCTTTCCCGCCACTCCTCCACCCAACCCTCCCAGCTCTCCCTCCCCTCCCAGTTCCAACACGCCCCTCCAGAGCCAGATCATTCACATCCGACCTCTCCGTATCAGGAAACCACCCGCTCGTCCGCGTTCTCTTCGCCCGACGCGCTCTTCACGCCCGTCACGGAACGAAACCCGTACTTCCCTCAGGTCCCGCCGTCGCCGTACCACAACAATAATAATAGCAGTGCCGCTGCCAGCTCACGCTCCCCCGCAGTCTCGAACGTGACCCTCTCGAGACCTTCGACGTCCGGTTCGATATCATACCACCCCCCACCCTCGCCCTCTCCCGGTCTCCCTACCACGCTGGCGGCAATGCGTCCACCTCCATCTCCTCCTACCACTCGCAGACCTCCCTCTTCCTCTTCCTCATCCACACACACACTCCCCTCCCGCCCCACATCCTCTTCCGCCCCACCTCTTCCCCTTCCTCCCCAGCCCTCCCAACCTCCTCAACCTCAATCCCAGCTAATACCACGAAAACCACCAACGCTCCCCTACGCCCCCATCCGCAAAACAGAACCCACCACCGTCCTCATCCCGCTCTCTGCAGACGAAGCAAGGATGTACGCGAATTATATAGGCATGGGCGCGCGGAGGCTCGCGAAACGCAAGAGGGCGGAGATGGAGGAGGCGGAGAATCAGAGGGCTATGGGGGTGGTTGGGATAGGGATGGGGATGGGGAAGCGTGGACATGAAAATGAAGGCGGCGGGTATGGGGGGTATGGTGGGTATGGTGGGCCGGATGGGAGGGACGGGTTGGGGGAGGATGGGCCGAGGGTGAAGAGGAGTAGGGATGTGGGGATGGTGGTTACTCATTGTGCGTGTCATTCTCTTTCTCAGTATCATATCTTCTAGGCACTCATGACACCGACACACAGACAATGCGAGGCCGGAAGTGGGCCTCGTGCAGAGGAGGGAGTCGCCCATCATCGGTCTCCGTAACTTCAATAACTGGATAAAATCGGTACTCATCACGAAATTCGCGCATCCCGCGCTCGTCGCGTCGCCGAGCGGGAGGGGGAAGGTGCTCGATATGGGATGTGGCAAGGGCGGGGATCTCGCGAAGTGGAGTAAGGCGAGGGTGAGGGAGTATGTTGGATTAGGTGCGCTTTTACACCCATTCCTCCTTCCTACCCATACTCATTCGTACCAAATCCACAATTTTGGCATGACGAACGCACGCAGACATCGCCGCCATCTCAATCGACCAAGCCCGCACCCGCTTCGAATCCCTCCACCGCCGCTTCGACGCCTTCTTCTCCGCCCTAGACTGCTACTCCTCCCCTCTCCCCGCCGCCGTGCCCTCCTCTCGCCTCTCCACGCCCTTCGACGTCGTGAGCATGCAGTTCTGTATGCATTATGCGTTTGAGGACGAGGGGAAGGCGAGGTGTATGTTGGGGAATGTGAGTGGGTGGTTGAGGGAGGGAGGGGTTGTGGTGGGGACGATTCCGAATGCGGAACAGTTGTTGTTAGTCTTCTTTCTTTCTCCTCCTTACCCTTCTATTATCCACTCTTGGGAGGGGACATGCTGATTCTGGGACACGGACATGGTGTGTTGCGATACAGGGCCCAGCTAGACGCACTCCCCCCAAACGCGACGGACCTCTCGTTTGGAAACGCGGTGTATAGGATCAAGTTCGACGATCGGAATTCGAGACCAACCTTTGGACATCGCTATTCGTTCTTTTTGCAGGACGCGGTGGAGGATGTGCCGGAGTATATCGTGCATTGGGATAATTTCGTTAGGTATGCGTCCCTCTCCCTCTCCCTCTCACCTCCTTCTCCTCCCTCCCTCCCTCCGTCCCTCCATTCCTCTCATCTCCCTCGTTCACAAAACTGACCTCGACACCTCGACGTTGACCTGTCGGCGTATGTAGCATGGCAGCCGAATACGACCTCCACCCGATCTTCAAGCGCGAGTTCCACGAGATGTTCGAGGATGAGCACGAGCATCCCGAGTTTGGACCGTTGATGGAGCGGATGAAGGTGCGCGATCGGGACGGGGCGAGTCAGATGGATGAGGATCAGTGGGAGGCTGCTAGTGAGTTCCTATTCTTTCCTCTTCTCCCTCTTCTTTTTCTATGTTCGTGCTCCTTTTCCTTGTTGTTGGTGTTTTTTGTGGGGTTGCCTGTTTGTGTGATTTGTGGACGGGCGGGTGGAAGGATGTATGAGCTGATGCTGATGAATGATCGAATCATAGATATCTACATCGCGTTCGCGCTGGAGAAGAGGTCGACACCGTCACTGTAACTCTCACCTGCAGATCTCCTCTTCCATTTTTCCATCTTTTTCCATTTTTTTGGGCGTCTACGCTCTCCTCCGCGTCTGAGACTCGGGTGCTTGTTAATGTCACCCCTACGCGGCCTTTCGTGCCTTTACCTTCTACCTGCTACGTCTATTTTCTAGTACAGTGATACAGATACAGTATGCGCTCCCTTCCGACTAGTCACGATCAACCTTATGCTGTTCCTGTGCCGTGTCCGTTCCCTCCGAGTTTGAGTCAATGGTTTCAGCCAGAGTCACTAACTTGAACTAGTTCCAGATCATGTTCTCTCTCTCCTTTTTCTTTCACTTTCATGTCATGCCTGTGTATTTTATCATTACAGTACAGTTACGGTATATGTCTTGTATGAAGTATTTTGTTCGTTAGAGATTTGGTACGTTGTTGTGGGTGCGTGTCGTAGGTGGTCTATTTGAGTTTTGAGTTGGATTTTTGAGTCAGTTGGGCCACACACTGGTAGAACGGCCACTCGCCACTTTCGCCGTGCCGCCTTGCCGGTCAGTCTGGCTTACTAATAGGCGAAGTAGAGCAAAATGCAAACAAACGCACAATTATATACGTAGAGTAGCACACTGTCACGGTGTCGCGCATGAGTAGTGAATGAAGAACGAGGAGGAGACCATTTTCTGTCACAAAAAGTAGTGCATACAGCCCATGTACGCCCAATACAATCACCGCCGCGATGGTGTATCGGATATTGCTGTCACAAAAGTAATCCCGACGAACTTCCGAACTCTTCCGAGGTCGTCGGTTCAACACAGTCCGATGCCACTAATCGCGGCACCCATGCAGACTGAGTAGCACGCTACATTGCAGGTTTAATTCCGGGCTTCCTGCGAAATAAAAAACCCGAGTGGCTCAGTCTGCACATGGTGGAATTTTTTGGTGAGGATTTGGGGCTGGTTTTGATGACGGTCTTTTTTCACGTGCACACGCGACCGTCGACGCAACTATTGAGAGCTTGTTGAAAAGTCGTGAGTCTCCGCGATCGTTTTCGTCTGCCAGTGTCTGTGCACTGGCTACTTACTCGTCGTCACACCAGCTCATTCGTTATTAGGCTTGATGAATGCTCTAATTCTAATTCCAAACGTGTCTCGAATGCGGAATACTGAAAACTCGCCCGGACTTGACATCCTCCACTCTGAATCTCTAGAGTTTGGCCAGACCGTTCCTCCCATAGCTAGTTTTCGCAATGGCCTGTTGGTTAACATGTCCTTCCGACTCCTCATCCGCTGCACCATCTGAAGGTGAGCCACTCTTCCGCTTGGCTGATAACAGGCTTCTCTGTACCCCATTCCGGGTCCAGCGCGAGCTTCAGGCTCGGCCTCCATTCGTTCTTTTCGTCGGGACTAGCAGGATGGGCGCTGCTGTCGGTTCTTCTCCCAGGAGCGAACTTATCCACTTACATAGCCGGTGCAAATGTGCATGAAGGGCACGATTTCCTATATTTCGAAGTTTGGCGGGTGCGTTCTCTTCATTCCTTGGTGTGGCGTCTCTTTGTTGTCCAGGAGGAATATTATAGCACCTTTTCCGAGAGGGGCTTCTGATAGAGGTCTTTATCTTTCTATTCGTGTCCTGCGATAAATATGGTCTCTCTACCACGAGGTGAGGAGCCTTCATCACCCGCTTGGTCTCCTTACGGAACTCTGTGTGTCGGATCAGATGCATTTTTTCCTGGTCCTAGTGACCATAAGATCCAACGACTGGAACAAGCCCAGCGTCGATGACTCTATAAAGCACCATTCAGGATGTATCAATACTTACCTGGGCGAACCGTCTGTATATTCAGGACCGTTTGAAACGCCCTACGGATAGTCACCTGCTGGCCTGCTACTTCCTTTTACTCCTCGGTTCGAGAAACAAGGCGACATCTCCGCAAATTGCGGTAACGGTAACTCAGGCTTTCAGCGTGTCCTTGGGCGCCTTCCCGTATTCATTTTTGGACCGCCCGACTAGAGTTGCTGAGTGACTCGTCCTATGAATATCTGGCTGTTGTTGATGAACCACACGGCGGCGGTTCTTTACCGTCGTATCGATTGTTATAGTGCGTCATCTCTACTATGTCTAAAAAAATGCTCGAAGACCAGGGTTCACCACGTTTACCGAGCAAGGCTACTGGTCGCATAATTGTTTCCGCTCATTGATATTCGAAGCATCACCGCGAGCTGTTGCCTGAACATGCCTCTCGAGTCAGTAGGCGCTTGGAGATACGAACTCCCGTGCGACCTCAGTCACAACATTCGGAGCCTTCGCGTGACGTCCTTGGATCATTGGAACAGAGGTCACCTTGACTCCAACAGTCACAGTGGCTCGGACTGACGCCACCGAATCCTTGACCAAGTATAAAGGAGTGAGCCTCTTACGTGATGCGATCCCCACCCTTCCCTCCATCTCTCGAGCCCCATCCCTGTCCGTGAATCCCAACCGTAAAAAGTAAACAGCCATGTCGACCCCCCAGGATATCGAGAACCTTCAGAACGATTTCTTCGCTTCTGTCGTCGACTACTCGTTCAGCCAACCGGCCTCCGTCCCCGAACATGTCATCATGTCCAAACTCCGAGCTCTCCATTCAACCTCGCAGCACGTCGCCGTCGAGGACTGCTCCTTCCAGCTCTCTGCCTTCTTGAATGCAAGGGACATCACCTTCGCCATCAAGGACACTGGGTCCGAATATGCACCACATCAGTTTTTCAATTGGAATCATGCCCCGATGGGACAATCCGCATTGTACTCGACGCTCCAGTCCGGGCTCCTCGAGTTCGAGTGGGAAGGCACATCATTCTTGGTGTACAAACTTGGATGGCAATCGAACATAGGGCAAAGGAAAGCGCTGTACGACTTCGTCTTCGGGTCTAAGTCGAGCGGAAGGACAGATGAACCCTCGGACGGAGAGAAGCTGGTAACGGAAGTATATAGGTGGCAGACGAGCCTGAAGGACGAGATGTGGGTGTTCCAGGATGGGTCGTGGCAGAAGGATAAGGAGATGTGGAAGTCGATCCAGGCTTGTTCGTGGGATGACCTCGTGCTGGAGAGACAGTTCCAGCAGGGCTTGGCCCGCGATACGGAGACGTTCTTCAGCTCAAAGGACATCTATCAGTCGCTGGGAATCACTTGGAAGCGAGGTATGTGGTCCAGATCACCTCATGCCCTATCTATTTTTTCTCCTCGGTGCCAGAACTGATCCGGGCATTCGAATAGGCCTCCTCCTCCTCGGTCCTCCAGGAAACGGCAAGACCGAGAGCATCAAGGTCCTGCTGAAGGAGAGTGGCCAAGCTGCCCTCTATGTCAAATCTTTCACGACACAAGTAGGCCCCGAACACGGCGTCCGAGCGATCTTCAACCACGCACGAGCCAATGCGCCTTGCATCCTCGTCCTCGAAGACCTCGACTCAATGGTCGGCCCCGGTGTGCGCTCCTTCTTCCTCAACGAGCTCGACGGCCTGGTGAGTCCTCCCAGACCCCATCGATGTTCCTTCAAACGGGAATGAATTATTCATCAGTGAATTGGTTTTGACTTTGAAATATAGACCAAAAACGAAGGCATCCTCACCATTGCCACCACCAACCACCCCGAACGCATCGACGACGCAATCCTCAACCGACCCTCCCGCTTCGACGTCAAATACGACTTTATTCTCCCCACACCCGAGCTCCGCACCCAATACTCCATCAAATGGCTCCAGAAGATCGTCGACTTGGGCCCGAAGAAGGAGAGCACCGGTGGTGACGGCCAGGTCCTCGGAGCGGTGCGGTTCGAGAGGAAGCACGAGGATTTGGCGAAGGAGATCGCGGAACAGACGGACGGGTGGTCTTTTGCGTTCTTGAAGGAGCTGTACGTCCTTGGTAGTCACTGGCTTTTGGCTATTGAGATACTGACTGACATTTTTGTTATATGACTGATCAACGTTCGTCAGGTTTGTCTCCTTCCTCCTCCGTCTAGCACACGATCGCTCTCGCAGTGCTTCCGCCCCCACGAGCACCACCGAAACACAAGCTCCAGACGCCATTCTCATTAACCAGATCAGCAAGCTCGACGAGCAGATCCGTAAAGGCAACGAAGCGATGGCAGGAGAAGGCCCGGGGTCCGCAGATGGAGGGGACGGAGTTGTTGGCGGTCGAGTGGCTCGGAGGATGATGAGAGGCGGCTTTCAAGTCCCCATGATGATGGGTCACCAGGTGCCACACACCGGTGCCAACTTCTAAGGTGCTGGTTGTCCATGTCAGGTTACTTTGGGAGGAGGTCGTATGGGATGGGTTCGCTGTATCTGAGGAACTTGAAGCTTTCGAGAGTTTGTACGTTAGTGGGTATTTAGGATGAATAGATGTGATTATACACGGAGAGTCTGTATGCGACGAAGTATAGTGTGGCGCATTCAACACAGCATTGAGAACAAATTGACTACCGAACATCGAGACCAAATCGAGACTGTCCCATTGTCAGCTTAGGAATATAGGAAAGGTGTCAAAATAGGGCATTAATTAAGAAGGGATTACGAGCATGGTGATTTATCCTATTCAATGATATCGCAATGAAGCATGGAATATTACGGTGGCAGACGACCGTCCCGTGTACCTGCCAGATAAATACGAGCGCTGTGCGTATATGAAGAACAAAGCATGAAAGCGACGAACATTCCTCCAGAGCAACCTCTCAGCACGACTGACTACATAAGGACCAAAAATACAGAAAACCAGAACTAAAGCAAAACAAAACGAACCTCCGGCCCCCAAACGAGCAATACTCGGCGAAACGACTTTCGAACCCCGGCCAAGACCATACCTCTCACCTCAATCGAAGTGCGCCCAGTGCCCCTTCACGCCCAACCTGCACTTCTCACAATCCGTCCTCGGACCCATAGAGAACCTTGGCTTCGGTTTCGGTCGACCGTGCGCCCCGTCTGGCTGCACAGGAGGAGTCTCCATCCGTACATCTTCCCACATCGTCTGGTCCGCATCTACCTGCACATTTCCAGCTTGGCTGAGCGGCGAAGCAGGTGAAGGCGAATGATGCCGCAGGAACGAGGGAGGTAGAGGACCCGTCGGGCTAACGGGACTGGGAGTGTTGCCCAGTGGGGGCGTGGGTGCTGACGGGTGGTTTACTGTCAGGAATGGAGAGCTTGGATTCGGTAATGGTGGGGATGGTCGTGATGGATGGTCGAAGTGGGGATAGGGCGAATATGGTGACCCAGACATGGCGGAAGAGTGTGGCGATGCGTGGTCTATGGATATTGAGATTGCGGGAACTAGGGAGCGTGCCTGAGGAGATCGTAGTATTGGTTCGTCATCGCAGCTCTTTGTATGCATCGTGTGCATGTTCCGTTAGTCTATAGTAAAGCAAAGTTCCGCAACGATACTCACCATGCTTACATCGTCGCTGTGAGCGTAAGGCGACGCGTTTGGTGCGATAGTCAACTCTCGCGTCTGAGCGACCCATTGCTCTTCCCTCCCGTTTACATTTCCATGGTGTAGAGAGGGTGTAACTGGCGTATATGCCTGTGCGTGGGCCACCGCCTGGTACGAGGGCAGAGAGGATAGTAGGGGCACCGAAGTATCACTGTTCACGGAGACCAGTAGTCGTTTCTGATGCATAAAACTAATCAGTATCATAGAGAGATCTACACCGAAAACGGCTATCATCCTCGCCACCCACCATCGGTCGTTCTGTGGGACTCGGCGACTCTGGAGAACGTGCGCGCTTGGTCGAGCTTCGCATAGTGCGGAAGGAGGGTGACTTGAGGTCGATTTCCATTCGGATTTGCCTAGTTAACAAATTTGGATGGCTAGAGGAGAGGGTGAAGAGGATGTCTGATACCAACAAGGGAGAAGATGCTGGTTAAGAACAAAATAGAGAAAGATGATCAGTTCTGGGCGCACAGCAGCCGGCTTCGTTATATATGTCTGTGGCAATTGTTCGTGTCCGGAGCCAGTCAGTTGGGTCCATGCCTGTTGTGTCCAAGTCACGGTTGTGTCGATGTCCTCTTGCCAACCTCATGTAGATGTGGCACCCATCTTCACCCGCTTGTTGCCATCCTGCCTTTGCACGGGAAGAAACTAGATCGAACTGAGTCTATTTGGCTCCGACCCCTCTGGAAAGGCCGTTTCTACCCCTGCAGAAAGTGCTTTTGAGTTTCCAATGCCCTTGGAGGACCTGAAGGAGAATCACGCAGTCCAAAGACATCATTATGCATTGCACATAAATAAATGAATGTATCGGTTCTGACACACAATCAACCGGCATAAATACGACATCAACACGGAGTGCAGTACTAGTCACAATTCATAATCAAGACACTGTCCAAGGACGCAGACATCGACAAAAGGCAACGAATTCAGCCGAATCAGAAGCCAAAATCGACACCAATGGTCCGAGCCAAAAAGACATGCATAAGTCGCTTTGAGATTCATTTAGTAATTTGTATTGGAAACAAAACGGGTACAATCAAGTCGAACACAAGGTAGTTGAACGCCACAGCGGCAGGACGCGCAGAACGGCTTTCAAAGCGACAGGCGCGTACGTTCGCGGGCGGACAGTGAAGGAGAAAACGTGGGTGAGGCGTAGCAATAGAAGCAGGAGCTTGAAAACAGTGAAAGAAGACCAACCGGACAACCAAAGTGGAGAAGAAAAGGAACGCTATGTGGTAATAGTTGTACGGGCTGCATTGTCTGGGGTATGATCGGGCCAGAGGAGTGTACTCATATGCAGAGCCAGAATTACGGATAGCAGGGATAGCGAAGGGTCCAAGCGAGCAAGGGAACGCTCAGGAGGAAACGGCGAAAGAAAAACCAAGAGACAAAGCAAGTAGATCAAATTCAGATAGAGCGTAAATGGTAGCTCGAGAGAAAAAAGGATAAGAAGGAAGAGGAATGTTGAAGTTGAACGGAAATAAGGAAGTGACAAAAAGGGGTCAAGAAGGTGAGTCAAAGCCCCTGGCGTTGATTCGCATTATGGCGGGCGCGTATTAGACAAGAAGAGAAAGGGGGATCCGGAATTGAAATGGGGCATATACAGATGAAAATGTGAAGTTGAAACCGTGAATTGTGAGCCGTGGAATGATTGAAAGGGTGGATGAATGGTTAAGTGGACTGAGTGATGGGATTCGGTATGCTGTGGTCCGTGAAGAGTCTCCGAGTCTTTGCCTGCGAGGCAGGCGATGCACTGTTGAGGCCAACGATACAGTCGATGTGAGGGTGGGAGTCAATGACGAGACGGGCGCGTTGATATCGATGCTGAATCCATTTGTCCGAGAAGCTGAGAAGAGAGGGCGCGAAGGGGGAGAAGAGCGGGGGTAGCAGAGAGAAGACCAGAGATAATGACCGTGAGCAACGACGTTGCGCGTGAGGTTGGATGAGGAGCTCCAATCCATAGAGCATAAGAGAGTAAACAGAGGCAGCATAGGACAAAGCGAGAAGACTTGAAGGAACATAATGGCATACTACGGCCTGATAGTCGACCGCGAGAAGATGGTCATGTCGGCAGAAACGTGACGGGCGTTCTTGTTTTCTCCTTTCCGACTGGCGACGACAATGATGGCAATGAGATCGAGAGACCATCCACTCAGAAGGCCGCTCCAAACCGACCCCCATAGGTCTCAGCCCTCACCAACGGCGCCACCTTCCTCGCGCCCACCGGCACCCCCAAAGCCGGCATCTTCTTCCCCTTCATCCCGACTCCCATCCCCTTCGTCGGTGGCGGACAAGGACTGTCACCCACATCTGAATCCTCCTCTTCGCTCATCACGAAGGACGTATTCCCATGGCTAGCACCACTAGCATTCGCGCTAGAACTATAACTGTTCTCCTCCAAAGTGCTCAACGCGCTGCTCCCAGCCCCGACGAGACTCCTCCTCGCCCTCGCCACGTTCGCCGACGCGAACAACTGCGTCGGACCCGTCGGTGCCGAGTTGCGTTTCCTATCCTTCACGGGCGGCTGGGACGATGTCGAGGAAGAAGTAGCCGACGTCGATGACTGCGAGCCGCCCCCGAGACCCATGGCCTCTCCATAAGCATAGGACTTAGTCCTCCCGAACTTGCCCTTCCGGAAGGCGTCGAGGTCTTCCTTGCGGGAGGCGGCATGGTGGGGATCGTCCATGCGGACGTAGGCGCGTGGCTGACAGCGCTCACCACTGTCTTTAAAGTATTGGCAGTAGCCGCCTTCGAGGACGTAGACCTCAGGGTAGTGAACCTTGGGGTAGTTGTGGTTGTTGAGAGCGCGGTCCTTCGAGCGAAGGTGCTTGGCGCTACATGAACAATCACGTGAGAACCCCGACGGCCAGCCACACGACCAAGGCTAGGTAGGTGAGAGGACTTACAAGGTCGGAGCGCGCTTGACGCTGAACTCGCAGTGGAAGATCAGAATAGACTTGCGAGGGCCTGGGCCGCTGATGCTTGGGGGAGGCTTGTTGACCTTGGGGCCGAGCAAGAACTCTTCGAGAGCTGTCGTATTGTTGATGTTGATGGCACCAGGGACGTGACCTCCATTGTATTCGTAGTCGAACCTGCAGTCGATGATGGTGTATGAGGTCAGACGGCTGTTGAACTCTCCGTCAAGGAGCCTGTTCAACTATAGAGCGTGCGAACATCGATCAATAAAGTCCCACCCTCTGGCCAAGGAAATGAGAAGGTGCACTTACTGTGCTGCTCTTGATCCTCATCAACCCGTCCTCCCGAACACGGTGACATGGAAGGATCTTACCACTGGCCTCATTGTCACCGAAACCACCCCACTGGGGCATCGACCTGGGGCTAACTTCAAGGTTCGCCTTCGCCATGTTATCGACGGCAGTGAGGGGACGGAAGTCCTCAGTCCCATCGCGCCTACGGATGGTCCTAGTCTGCTGCCTCTGCTTATAAGCAGCCGCGGGGCTCGACATATCACCGGTAGACTCGAAAGAGGAATCTCCGTCGTCCATGGCTTCCAAGTTGAGCCCAGTTGGAAGCATAGCTGAGAACGCACGACGAGGCGGGGGGAGAGGCGCACTGATGGGCGCATCGTGTTCTTCGTCGTTCGAGGGTTCGAGAGTCGAGATGGCAGGACGACGGGGCCGTTTGACACCAACAGTATGGGAAGCACCGCCCAGACCACTGAGCATCGGCTTCGCCAGGCGTTGGATCAGAGTCTGACTAGCGTTCATGTTGCGCTCGAGCTTCATCTCGATGGGCGAGGATGGCTCAGCGGCCGGTGAGCTCTCGAGGGCGCCGATACTGCCTGCACGACGACGGCCAACAGGGACATCAGGAGAGATAGCGGAACGACGTTTCTTTCCAACGTAGGCAGGAGAGTCATCGAGGGCGCGGACGGGGGAATTCGACTCGAAGAATAGATTGTTGAAGCCCTTGCCCGAAGGTGGGCCGGGAGCCGGCGAAGGCGCCGGTGACGAGAGGTAGGCGTTGTTGACTTCCGACGGGATGTGAATAAAAGAATTGTCGACATCCATGGCGTCAGGGGAGGAGGGTTCTGTAGGCTACATGTGATCGCACACTCAGCATCACGGCCCCGACACAGGAACAATGGAAGACTCACATCAAACATGTTGGACTCTTGCTTTGTACTGGAGGGGTCGAAATCATTCACCTGGGACATCCACTCTGTGGGGATAGCTGATCGCTGGACGCGCTTGTCGCGAACGCTGGAGGATTTCATGGACACCTCGTCGTTGACTTGAGGGCTAGATGCGAGAGGGTTGTGGTCGCTGTCGTTGCTTGCATCTCGTCCGAACAGCCTTGCTCCGCTCATGCGTTCCATATGGCCATTCATCGTCTTGGACATACGAGGGAATGCGGGGGAGATATCCATCATGTCGTCCCTCTCGTCATCGGGGGCGAGACCGACCGTGTCGCGGTGGGGAGAGTTGAGGGAGACAGTGGAGGCGAAGGAAAGTTCGAGATCGGAAGAAAGGAACTCATCAATGTCGTTATTAGCACCGGACACGCGCTGGCTGAGCTTTCGGGTGGGGGCAGGAGGAGGAGCGAGGTAACGCGATTGAACGTTGTTCGTGGGTGGTGGTGCGAATGTTTGCATGTTGTCGGGATCTATTCGAATGCTAGGTGGTCTTGGTGCTGGTGAGTTTATTCTCGGCCTCTTGTTGGGTCTTGTGTTGAGTTTTCTTGCTGGATAGTATGTGGATAGAGACATGTTGACGTAGAGGGTCGTATGAGGTTGAAGACGCGTAAGATGTTAATGAGCACACGGTAGGCACGATCGTTCACGGATGTTGAAGTTCGAGACGATGTGGTTGGAGGCCAAGGACAACGCACAGCGGGTGGCAACGCGGTGGTTGATCAGTGATCTGAAGGAAGAGGAGGTCCTAGGACGACGGGGTTAAATACGAACCAGAGCGATGTGTCTTGTGTCCTGAGATCTGGATCGTGGGTCGCCGGATCGATGCAGTTTGAGCACGAACTGAAGTCGAACAATGGAGAGGAGTTAGCCGAGAATGGAGGGGAAAGTTGCGGAGTGGAATTTGAAAGCGGTAAAGAGTCATCCCTCGCCCGATCGCTACAACAGCCGGATACGAGGGCACGAGCCGAGCAATACGCAGGGGTGGCGGGACGGACGGATGTCGGAAGACGAGAAGGAGACACTCACGTTGTCCCTAACGAGTGTTCTTGCGGAGGAGGCCGCACCTAGCTCAACGTATAGCAGATACAGACAATACTCGTCAGCGCGAGCTCGATGTACACGACGACGACGGGAGGCGGACACTGCGCTCACACGCGAAGTCCAACCGTGTGGGTCCGTGTTTGGCGCGCTTTAGCGCCCGCCAGAACCGCTACGTAAACGCGAGAAAGACACAGAAAGTGGCACTCACGATGCTTGTTATGTTGTGTGTCGCCGGGATAGGGAGTGTGCCAGTGCTCGCTGGTCTCTTGCCGTCCGAGGTGTCCGTTTCCAAAGGCCTGTCCAACCCCGGGCCAATGCGCATTTATATTTTCCTTTATTTATGTCTTGTTTTTCGGACGCGGTTCGACTTCGTGTCAATTTACCCCACGTGACCGCGTTTCGTCGCGTCCCCGTTCTTCCCGCCATCATTTCTCCTTCTCCCGCTCCACTTCGGCGAGAAGTCATACCTCTTACATCTTCCATCTTTGCGTCATATAGCTCTGCTTGGGGTGTTCGTACCACTATTTCAGCAGCCACAGGAGAAACGTCTTGGGCCACAGTGGCACTCCAACCTTCTCCCTCCCCATACGTCCTAGGCCGCCGACACCGGGCGGCGGGTAGCTTCGGTTTCCAACCCCCTTCACAGTTGCTTTATTCGCCATCCCTGCCGCGGTCCACGCGGTTCTGCGCGTCCAGCCTGTTACATTCCGTTACCACCTCGCTTGGAACCCTCTGGGCCCTGGCTACGCAAATTTGTCTTCGTGCCGAGCTCTAATTTGACCAGATCTGCGAGCTTCTTCGGACCCCCTGTTGCAAACCGAATCCGACGCCGCGCGGTCGAACAGCTCGCAAACAAGAACCGATATTTTTCGCTGATATATCTTACGTTGACGGCCGGTGACGATGCGAAACATTCATCCCAGTGCGCTGGTAAGTGCCCACCCATATGCATCCCACGGCGGATCACTCAGCCTCGTTTCGTATCGCCGACGCGTTTGATACAGTTGCGACGCAGACGTAGGTTGTGTGGCGCTAGATACATTTTTGGTCATGGCAGGGTCTACATAAACGTCTACTACTTCCCTCAGTGTTGTCGCCCATCATCTCATCACTGTCCGAGCTTCGTCCTGAGATCTTCAACGGTGTGGTCGAGGAAATACCTCCACTCCGGAACCACATAGTCCATCTTGTCATGCCTCAGCTCCGGGTACGAAGTCCGAATCGCCTCGATAATCGCGTCGTACGCGATCTGGTTCACCGCGACTGTTCAATCCGAGGACTCGAATATTCAATTTAAATGGGCCACGTACCGCATAGCCCGCCTCATTCAGATGCAGACCATCGTAGAGGTATTTGTTCAGCGCCCTCTCGTCCTGACCCGCACTTTCCCAGAGCTTCGTCCAGACGTCTACAACGGGTATACCCTCCTTCTCGCCTACACGTCCCACCTCCCTCGCATACTCTCTCGTATTCTCAAACGTTCGGTCCAACTCCACTGGAGGATCTCTAGCCACATTGGTTCAGCCATCAAGTACCCACCCTCACCACTCACCCTACCTCTTGACGCGCACATATCATATACGGGCCAGAACTCACCTCTTTGCGAGATCAGCACCTCGCTGGTACGTGTTCACCGGTGGTGGCGCGATGAGCAAGATCTTCGTGTTCGGGGAATAATAAGGCGACTCGGGTGAAGTGATCATATGGATGATGGTCTGCAAGTTCTCGGAGAATCGGGGCAAGGGTACGTGTTGTGGCGACTGTTTCAGGCAGGCATCGTTCGCGCCGAACCAGATGGTGAGGAGACGGACGGGGGCGACGTGTTTCTGTTCATGCTGTTTTGCGAAGATCTAGACATGTGGGTTCAGTTAATTGGTTGACGATCATGGATGCCTTAGGCGGATGTGGGATGTGGGGGTGTTGTATGTCGGTGCTCCGGTGCCACAGGGGAAATGACAGGTAGTCACCTTCTCAAAGACGGGGAGGGCCCATTCGGTGGTGTACCCAGAGTACCCACGGTTGAGCACGTCGAATTTACGAGCGTAAACGTCTGTAAACAGACCATCCTAATCAACTGCATGTTCTGCTATTCGATCACCGCCATCGATTCGAGGAGTGCCGCTACTTACGAGCGAGACGCGCCCCGATACCGTTGAGCTCCCAAGCGCCCTGCGTGATGGAGTCTCCGAAGAGCATGATCGCGTCGAGCGTAGTAGCTGCCATCGTTGCTCTCGTTTCTATGAGGTTCCAAGTGTTCTGTATAACGGGACCGGAGACGAGCTCGAGGTGGACTTGGTGCTTTGAAGGCGAGGCAGCAGTGATCGGGATGCGATCTCTTGTTATCGTCCGGCATTATCCGCCTTTACCCCAGATGAACCTTTTTGGGTAAGAAAGTATGAGAGGCGTAACCTTCCTTCCCTCCTCGAACGAACTTCTTGATCGCTTTTCGCTGCCGATACTGCGTTGTTGTGAATTTCTTTATCGCTAGCTTCTGTGCACCGCGAAACACTCACATCGACGGACACGTCTCAGGATGCTGCGAGGCTGCCACGGGAGTTTGAAGTTACTCCACTACCGCCTGTCCATATTTTTTTAGCCATGAGGCCGAGTTTGCCTCCGTTTTGGTTCTTTTTACGCGTCAACACCCATAGCCCATGACCTGCTCAGCACAGTGCGGACTAGTGATCCGGCTATCGTCTGCAGATCCTGGCAACTACAACCAACACCGGGTCTTGACTTCTAATTGCGTCAGATATCGAGCTTGATTGCCCGTAAGTACACGACGTTGTTTTTCGTGCTGTACGTCTCCGCAACAAGAGCGAAATCAATAGCCAATCATCATCACGCCAGCCGCTATCGTATCTCGCCCCAGTGAGCGGCAATTCGATATCTCTTGAATCTTCCGCTATTCCATCCTCGAGGCCCCTATTCGGTACGAGTTTATCATCCTTCTTCTTCTTCCGTCAAAACTTCCGGTCTTGACCCTAATCTGCGTTCCCACCTCTCCGCCGTTCCGCGGCCTGTCATGGCAGGTTGCGACTTCTGCAGGCTAGGCCGAACCGAGCGACCATCATCGACATCACCATTATCGTCACCTCTCTTCGCACAGACTTGCACCACTTCTATCACCGCTACCACCACCACCGCTTCCTCCGCTGGTACTGCAACCACCACTATCGCAGGCGAACTTCACAGTACCAGGCATCAGAGCTCGTCCTCGTATGAGCGTCCGTCTCCGTCATGCCTCTCTCCAAGCGTAACCTCTTCCCCCAAGCCCTCCGAGCCCTCTCTTCTACTTCTTTCAGTTTTAGCTGGGCTCCCAAGTTCCAGTACCATTCTTCTCCGGAATACGAACAGCGCGCTCGTAAACATTTCACGCCTCCCACTACCCCCCTCGCTGCTCTGCACTGTGCTATTCCGAAGAGACTGCAGAAACGATCGACTAGACGGTCGTTGTATTACGTCGCGCGACATCTTGCTTTCACTTGGGCTTTCTATATTCTTGCTTGTCATATCGATGCTTGGTCTTCGAGGTTGACTTCTCGGCTCACAGGACCGTCTTCATCACCATCATCTGGGTCAGGGGTGAAAGTGGGCGCAGAGGGCGAGACAAACGCAGGTTTGGGTCTGGATGCGGTAGATGAGATGGGAAGAACGATGGTGAAGACGATGGTAGCAGGGCTAGGCTGGTGCGCGTATTGGTGGTGGCAGGGTATCGCGTTTGCTGGGATATGGTGTTTGGCTCACGAGGTGCGTTCTCTTCCTGTTTAGCCTGTCCCTTGTGATATCGCCCGTTCTGCTTTCTTCGATCGTGGGTCGCGTGCCTCGCGGGTTTGGCTTGGCGAACTCTGTTTTGCTGATTTTATTTGATTGTGGGTGAACGCGGTTGGTCGTCGATATGGGTGATGGGTGAACTGGGATGTTGTGGGTAGGCTGGACACGACGCGCTTTCGCCTTATGGATGGGTGAACACTGCGATTGGGATCGTATTGCACACCACGGTCTTGGTCCCTTATTTCTCGTGGAAGATTACTCACCGAACGCATCATGTAAGTTTCACATTCGTCTTCATTCCAGCCTGCAAAATATGTCTAGACTGAAGCTTGAATGTGGTTGTATATACACACAGAAATTCACGAACAATCTAGAGCGCGACGAGACGCACATACCTTTCACCCGTCGAGATCTCGTCCTCCCCGTAGAAAGAATAGCGGTACGAACGGACTACAAGCATATCGTAGAGGAAACTCCGGTCTATACGCTCTGTAGACTCATCATGAGACAGTTCCTGTAAGTCTATCGACCTCCTTCCCTTCCCCCTTATTCTCTTCCCCGCTTGCCTCTCTACCTCCGTTATCGAGAAGCAACGAGCGGAACCGGTACTAACGGAGATTGCTGTCACCCGACCTGTGTTTGGTTTTGATATGCCTTTTACAGAGGATACCAGCTCTATCTAATGTTAGTTTCCAGCTCACTTGACTTCGACCTCGGATCATGGTCATTGATTGTTGTTAACGTTTACTTTGGCCGTGGAATGTGTGCCTTCACCTGGAACGGTTCTGTTCTTTTTGTGTGGTGCCTGTAGATACAACCGCAAGGGAAACCCAAGGTACCCTGCGGGGACCAGCGTACGTCGTGTGCCTTTCCTGCATTTGGACTCCTCTCTTCGGCTGACGGACTGTTTCGGACAAACCCATTTCTGCTCGACAGCATTTCCGTCCTTCTTCCCAGATATTCAAACCTGAAGATAGTACGCTCTTTCCGCTCGTCTGACCACGGCTCCTTACCAAGTCTTTCTCTGGCGTATCGATCCCATGCTCACCTCATCGTAGGAAACCTGATTATTATATCTAATGTATGCATCGGCACGATGCTGTCACTCCTTGCTGTGTGGATGTACTTTACTGGCTTTGCAAATGTCTGCAAATTGTACATTATTCCTTGGCTCGTGAGTCTTCTGCGCTCTATCGTCCTTCGGTTTGTATCGACTAATCGTTTATTGATGCATTGAATATGACAGTGTGCCAATAACTGGTACGTCCTTCTAGAGTCCGGATGTTAGATTGCGCTCATGCAGTTCGTTGTGATGTAAAGGATCATCACCATAACTTACCTGCAACATTCTGACCCGACTATCCCTTACTATCGACGTGTGCGTTCGTCTCATGGATCCCCTGTTCATCTCATCTAATGGAATCGCGGCAATAGGATCAGTGGACGTTTGTCAGAGGCGCACTCACCACCGTTGATCGACCCCTCTTAGGCTGGATCGGGCGGTTTTTCCTGCATAATGTTCGTTTACCATCTTTCAATATCTCCAGAGATAGGTCAGTTGCTCATACCTGTATGGAACAGGCTGCCCACGACGCTGTCGCACATCACTTCTTCCCTTCCATCCCATTCTGTAAGTCCTGACTTTCTATATGGGTGACGGCGATGCTCAACGAAATGATTGTCTGACCCCCATTGCACCGTAGATAACCAGCCAGAGGTGACCAGAGTACTCAAGCCCCTCCTCTCTGATCAATACAACTACGACTCAACGGTACTTACCTTCCCCCCCTATTCACGACACTGCTAACCTACCCTTCGCCCGTCTATCAACAGCCAACACTCTACGCCCTATGGCGCTCATTCACCCAATGCACCTTCATCGAACCCGACGGCGACATCGTGTTCTACAAGAACCAACAAGGGACCGCGACGCGCATTGTCAATCCTAAGGTCGTGCCTTTCAGAGTACGACATTCTCCTCGAGGATCGGTGGGGTCTGTTGGTTCGATTGAGACCGTTTCGTCTCTGACTGGCTAGAGTGGCCTTTCTTGCCTACTGTCATCTGATTCCTTATATCCTTCGTGAGATTCGTCATAGAGGTTTCGAGTACGTGCCTTGATTCTCGCTTTTGTGGAGATGTGGCCCCTAGTGGGTTATATCGCTGTGTACGAAGTATTGTTTGGCACGGAGGTTACGTGTACGAGTAATGACTGCTAGTATTGCTTCGCTGTTTACGACTATCCACGATCGTATTGTTCTGTTTATTGTACTAATGTTACACGTCCAATTCTTGACTTCGCGGGCTACGACCTGTAAAAGAAACCTCCACCACTGTTGGGTTCGTGAGAGGGTAGTCATTCTTTGATCTCGTTCTTGTGGAATATCTCTGTGGCGAGGAATATTTGAAGGTGTTACCATGTAGTCGTGTGTGCGTAAGTATATACTCACCTGGTACTTCGGGCATCCATCTACGGCCGCGAGACAGAAAAGCATGAGTGTTACGATGACACGGAAGAGGTTCAAACATCAAAACCTACTTGGCTTTATACTTCATAAAGAATTCGCCCTTCGGCGGGAGCGCATCTGGCTCGTCCAAAGTGCCATAGAACACGTACGTGTGGTCTCCCGCATTTTCCTGCCCATAACACATGGTTTGAGCTTAGCAACGTTTGCCACTCCGAAAGGAGGAGACTGGGGAAGAGAAAATATATGTACCCCGAACTCCATGATCCCGCTTCCACATTCCGAACAAAACTCCCTCGTGAGCAGCGTCCCGGATCCATTGTCCCCGACGTGCTTCTTGATTCTGTCTTCGCCTTGAGTGTACTTGAACCCTTTCCGTGGAACTTTGCTAGTAATTCCACCCTCACAACCTGTGAATTTCTGTCCATCGGATAATGCATTGGGCCATGGTGAAGATATGTTGAGCGCCACACCACATTTGGTGATGAGCATCAGTGCGCACTGGGGAAGCTCACCTTACAGTTCTTGCAGTGACAGATAGAGGTACGAGCTTCGTCTGGGGAGTTCAATGTCAACTCGTACTGGACGCTACGACAGTAGCATGAGCCGGTGTAGGTGGTCATTTTAGCAGAGCACTGGGTACTAGTAGTGAAGCGTTCTTTTCGAGGTTCAGAGTACTTCACTTCGATGAAGAGCGTATTGTACTTCTTGGTACGGCCAGCAAGAACAAGTAGCTGCATAAATATCGTAGGCCATTGCAGGGATGGGAGGTGGAGGTGACGTAGAGTGCAGAAACATGACGTCCGTGAGGAGAATCGCTGTGGCGAGGACGTTCTTGTTGGGGGAAGACCTCTCCGGCAATTTCCGCCCTTTCTTGAACGCACTCATCACGACTCATTCGCCGAAGGCGGCCTCTTCCTTCAGTCTTTCAGCATGGATCAACCACCAATACCGATCCACGTATCTAACAATCGTGCATTTGTGTGGAATGTAGATGGTTTGTCTACAATACCCTGCAATACCTTCTGGCCAGATGCTGATATTCGCGATATTTGATGTTTTCTTCGCTGTGGCCCAACAGACGCTGCGGTCATGCGCTCAAAATATCGCATCTGTGGCGTGTTGGGTGGAACACTTCCCCACCTATCACAGCAAAATGTCTTCTTGGGATTGCCATACATTCTCATGCCTGAGGAGGTGGCACTCCTCGTCAACGAAGGTGGCACCTCATTCTTCACCTCTCATTATTTCCTGTTTCACGGGACTCCTGCACTCCGCCCTTTTCTTTTCTTCTAAATTGCATCTAATCAAATACGAGATCGTCACTCACGCAATTCTGATTTTCTTTCCTGTTCATAGGGTTTGCAGTCCTAGTTGACGACCCAGAAGCCCACCACGATCCTACAATCTCCCAACTCGCATCCTGGGATCTCGACCGCACCCAAGACGTCGAAAAACAGCTCAAAGTCCTCCAAACACAGCTAGCGTCCTCCAACCCCGTCAAAGAAGACAAATCCATGAGCGAGGTCGCTATTCAGAAACGAAAAGAACGAGAGGAGAAGAGACGGAAAGCTGCAGAGGCGGCTCAGAAGGCTGCTGCAGAAGCCACGGGAGACGCTCTATTCGTGCCAGAAACTTCTCCAGCATCGGAAGTACCACAGAATACCCTTGTGAATGCTTCCTCGGCCGCTGGGATAGGATCGTCGTCGACATCTGCTAGTGTTCCATACACCGTCTCTGTACCGACTACCTCCGACGGCTTCAGCTGGTACGCTCCGGAGAAACATACGTATTCGACGCTGAAAGCAGCACAAGACGCTGGCATCTGGACATATCCTTCCACAGAAGAAGAAAAGGCAAAATGTGGAGTGTTTAGCGATCTGTGGCACAAAGGGTATTATATGGGCGGAGGGAGTAAGTTCGGTGGTGAATGGCTCGTTTACCCTGGTAACGCCTCTCGACACTCGTTTTCAACGTCCTCTTAGCTGATTTTTACGATACGGTATACAGGCGACCCGCTGCGCTATCATTCGCACTTCGCTGCTACAGTGCAATCGTCACCGAACGCGCCATTGCACCCGATGGAGGTTGTGGCTCATGGACGGTTGGGCACTGCGACGAAGAAGGCTCATGTGCTTTGTGGGTGGGACCCTGAGAGCAAGGAAGTGACATATCTTAGTATCGAGTGGGCTGGGTTCGGCTGAGACGTCATTGTCGGTTCGCAAGCAGTGTATATACGAGGGACAAGTAATACATGTAGCAGGAAAGATAGCAGCGATCGTGAAAGCATAGTCTCGTGCATAGAGGTGGTATACGATGTAATGTAAGTATTGAGTCTTCCGGACATTGTTAGAGATGATATCGCCGATTTCTACAGGATATCCAATGCCTGGCGCAGACGCTTCCAAGCAACAACTCGACGAGAATGGTCGATAGTCACGCCACCTCAATCTGCCTTCCTTCTCCCACCTCTTTGAACTCTCTCCCTGGTTCTGACTTCAGGCCCCGCAAACCCAACCCTTCCTTGCCCTATATTCGCCCCAGCTCCACCCATGCCATTCATACCTCCTGACGCTGCCCGCATACCCATCCTCATCTCAATCTCCTCTCCCTCCCCATCCTCCAAGCTATCTGCCTTATCATTCCACCTCCCTCTCGCCAACCCACCACTCCCAATCCCAGCTCCTCCACCATGGCCTCTCCCGCCCCTCATTCCTAGACTGAGGATCTTCACCACCCAATCGTTGATGAAAATGACAGGCTGGAAGATGGGGAGACGTATTGGAACGTATGGTGAGGGGTGTATGGTAGCTTGTTGTTGGTTCTGAGAATGTGAGGCGGTGGCAGCGGATGATGGGGCCGGGATGGGGTTGTAAGGATCATAAGGACCTGGACGGGCGTGCATTGCCATTATTATATACTTACAAAGTTGAGCGCTATGTGAGCACAGATGAAAGGCACATGGACGAAAGTGGAACTTACTGAAGGGAAGAGAAGAGCGAAGAGTGCTGCATTAGCTAGGGTGCTTCCCCAGATGCATAGTGCGGCCGATGGAAGACCTAAAAGAATAAGCAGGTCATCTCTAGCGGAATTGAGAGATACTGGAGCGTACGCACCGAAGGCGAAGTAATAAGCCCAACGCTCCTCTAGATGTCGAACTCGTCGCGAGAGCGAAAGTCCCCGTGCTATCCATATGAACCTGTATGACACGCAGTACACCATCAACTTCTCTTCTCTTTCTCCAACCCAAGGAAGAAGTAGACTCACTCGAAGCAATAATACCTATATTCGACCCAATGAACTGAGCCACCTGACCATGCACACGACCATAACTCATGAGTTTGAAAGAGACTCACGCATCCACCCAACATAAAAACGTAAACTCTGCCAAGCCACCCACGAACGGAACATACCCCAGCGCAAATCCCAGCACCACACTTGTGACAATCATAACTCCTCGGTACGCCGAAGTGGCCAAAGAGTTAAGGAAAGCAATATAAGCGTTGGGCGCAGGTCCGGAATCGGCAGGGGAAGCGTAAGAGGAGCGACCGTGTTGGAGAGTATAGGTGCGGTTCGCTATAAGGGTACACCATGATGTCTATTCCACATTGTAGGAAAAGGGGTATTTCAGACGCATGAGCGAGGCGGGTGAGCGGATGAAAGGAAGGACTCACATTGAGGTAGAGCGATGCGCAAACGATGGGAAATATCCACAGGATCTGGTAGAACCATCCCACATTCCTATGAAGCCATTTCTGCGGCTGATCCTTCGCGAGCGGGTGTAACAGAAGGTCGAATATATAGATTGACGAGAGTGAGATCAGGTTTAAAAGGAGTGACTTCAGTGCGTTCGCCCGTATCTCAGCGTCGCTGTAATCCCCAAGCGCAAGTCAGTATTGTAGCATGAACCATAGATATTCATAGGAGAGACCACACCTGGCCACCAGTCGCACGACGACATCCCACCGAAATGCATCTACGAGCCCACGCCAAGCCCACTGAGCTTGCAACAATAAAGAGTCCTGCAGGGGCAGAAATGTGGGGTATGATGACCGTGCAGAACCGTAAGCGGAGTATTGAGTATTCCGCGCTTGAGGGTCTCGTAGGACAGGTCTCGACATTGTGTGGAGTCCGTGCTGATCCTAGGATGGGAAGCCCAGACTACTGCAGTGCTGGACGCTCTGAAACAAGGATGTCGTGTGGCGAAACACGCTGGCGATGCGTGGCACAAAGGGGTGTGGCGTGGCTGCTACCGAAATGATCACGGCCGCCCAAAGGGGTTGTTTGGAACCGAAGCTTTTGCCAAACAACGCCTCAACACGTGACTTGCGATGTTCGTTCTTGTTCCACCAAGATGGCGAACGACTGCTGGTACACATAACAGCTTCAAAACATCGTAGCAGAGCGCACTGAGGTTCTCGAAGATCAGTCGACACATATTTCGACACAAAAGTCTATCAGGAGAAAGAGATATAGAAGACCAAAAGAGGTAACACGGCATGCGCATAGGTGCATATGGTTCATAATCACCGTCAAAGATAACTTACATTACAAATCGAACAAGGAAAAGGAAGATAGTCTCGAGCAGAAAAAGGTACCAAAAATGAAGAGACAAACGGAGCCGAGACGAGAGACCCGAGCTAAGATCAAGAAAAACGACGGAGGCAGAGGCAGGCGTAGGCTATCTTCGAATGGAGACTAAAGTGTACACTGTGGGATGCGAAGCAAGGCACTATATAGTACAGTGGAGACTATGAGATAAAAACAAGTACGCGTTTCTAGCTCATGCTCAGTCCTAGAAGAGGCATCACGTTAAACACGTATCGCAACCGACGAGGATAAGCCAACTGTCTCAACGCACCTTCTTCGTGGAAGCAGGCTTGCTCTTAGAGGCAGGAGCTTTCTTCGCAGGGGCTTTCTTGGTGGCAGCAGTCTTGGCCTTGGAAGTGGGCTTAGCGCCAGTGACCGCCTGTGAAAGTCAGAGGCCCGAGTCAGCTATGGTTCAGATGGAGAAAAACAATTCATCGCAATGCACCTTCTTCGCCGCGCCGCGCTTGGACGGAGAGGTTGGCTTCCTCTCAGCAGGCGCCTTCTTACCAGCCAAAGTCTTTTTGGGCTCTGCCTTCTTCGCTGCAGGCTTCTTCGGTGCGGCCTTTGCAGCAGGCGCTTTGGCGGCGGGCTTCTTCGCGGCGGCAGGCCTGCCAGCAGCTGGCTTCTTCACGGTCTTAGCTTTGGTCGCCTTCGCTACTTTGGGCTTCGCAGCCGCTTTAGTAGAGGCCTTTGCAACTGGCTTGGTGGTCTTCGCAGCAGGCTTGTTCTATAAGTGTGGTTTCGCCACGTGAGCTATTGGACTTCGACCTATCTGACACTCAGCATTCATGCACATACCTCCTTCGCAGCAGAGGCCTCGCCAGTGGGCTTGGTCTTTGGAGAAAGCTTGACGCGACCAGAAGGTCCTAGAGAGGGTGGGTGAGCTTTGGGTCCTACCGGTGAGTCACCACATGAGTCGTTACCTTTAGGGAGCACAAAAGTGCCTTTATCGGCACCAGTAGTGATAGCCTTGTTGAGCTGGGTAGTCTGAGCGTTGCCCAGCTCTAGCTTGTACTTCTCCTCGACGAACCTATTCGACAGTCAGTTTGATAAGTATTAGATGACAAAACCAGTCAAATCAACTGACTTCTTGATTTGGGGGCGGGAAACACCTTGACGCGCCTCTTCAGGGTGCGCAGCGATACATTCCTAATTTTAACAGGATATCAAGTTCAGTACGAGTTGGAATTAGTTACATGAGTTAGAGAGCGATGCAAAGAGCGCCGAGAGCACAAATACACGCATGTTGGGCGAGGGGAAAACGTGTGACGACGGAGAGCGACCCCAAAGTGCCGCGCGGCGACAGCCGGGAGTGTGCGAGCTGCCCCTTTTGGGGTCATCGTCGACGACGATGGCAAGGAGATAACAACGACTAGACAAGGCGTAGAGCAGGACAAGGTCGTCGAGAGGACATTTGAGAACTGTTTCGCACCTTGATCATATCAGCCCAGGTAGGGTGAGTGGGGGCAGCCTTCGTCGCGGCGGCCTTCTTCGCAGCAGGCTTCGCAGAGCTGCTCTTCTTGGTAGCGGACATGTTGCTTGAGTTTGTGAAGGGTAGGGTGAGTTTGTGTTAGGTTGAGTGTCGAGGGCAGACGAGTGAATAGGGTGGTCGGCGGCGGGCTGGGCGAGTTGGGCGGGGGATGGTGGGGGTTTGGGACAGAAGATGTTGAAACTCCGAGACGCGATTCCGGTTTGTTTACCGCTCGACGCGCATCACGTGGTCAGTACACAAACTTTGTTTGTCCTACCTGTTCATATCGTTTCCCACTCAAGTGCCCAGGTGTGATGAGTATGGGGGATGTAATAAATGCTGAACAAGCGGCGGCGAGGAGTACAGAGGTCTGCATGCCGGCGAAGATGACGAGTAGCGCCATATTCATGAAGTAAAGCCAAGAAACCTCCATTTACCCAGCTTTTAAAGAACTCAAAAGCACTTCCAAGGAAGCATTCGAGTCCATCGAAGCTATATCCAAGCTATTTTCCCATCGGAAAGCGCATGGTAAATTTCAAGAGGAGGAGGAAGAGGTCGCAGCGGCGATGCGGACGGAGAGTCGGAGACCCGAGCGTACGGACTGCTTTACATCGTGCTATGTAGATCTTGGCTTGGTTCGGCACTGGCCGGGTCTGACATAAGCCGATCGCTGGACCAATCCCCGAACACTCGTCTCAACTTCGCCCTTACTTGTCTTCGTAAAATGTCCATTTCGCCGTCTCTCCAAGCGTCAGCTCGTTCAGCATATCGTGCTTTATATCGCGCATCTGCCGTCACATTCTCTGGTATTTGCCCTTGCATTGCTTCGGAAAGTTATGACTGATATAGTTCTGTACCAGGCGATGCCCCAGTCCTCACAGGTGCTTTGCTTTCGTTGCTCGCGTCGAAGGCTCTACCCTGATATGCTCCGAGCCTATAGCTTTCAGACAGAAGATGCGAAACGATACTATACAAGGGCGATCGTTGACGGACGAGAAAGCGTACGAAGAGAATGTGAAGTTGGCTCGTGAGATTGTCGACGTGCTCCGTAAGAACATCGTCCAAGCTCGGAAAGTAGACGGTGCATCAGGAAGGCCGGATGACGAGACATGGAGTACGTTGACAACTATACTTTGCTGTACCTACCAGCTTCTGATGCTGTCCCCTTAGAAATCTGTATAACGAAGGATACTGAACTGGCCGACAATGACACTATCAAGAAAGCCGCAGCCATTCCTCTTGAGCCTTCCGGACGAAGTCTCCGCAGGAAAGAAAAGCAGAAGGAAAAACAGTCAGAGGCCACAACGTATGCACTCCTGAATATTTCTCTGGTCCCTTTGCTTCCATTTGATACCCCGTCGCCGTTCTGATACAGGAGCCTTTGACTCAGCCCTCCGCCCCCGTCACCCACTGCTCCCCGCTTCTATTCTCAACTCAAAAAAGCACATAAACAACGTATAATACCAGAGCTCAAAGAGAGCGATCTCGAGGAGAACTTTGTCCGAGGTGCGTCCGTTTCGTATGCCATCTCTCGTCTGACGCTGAATTTACGGCTCTTGGCTGGTGGATGTGACACATAGGTAGCGGTCCAGGTGGACAGTCTGTCAATAAGACCGAAAATAATGTACAGCTTCTTCATAAACCGACTGGCATCCGAGTTACTTGCCACGAGACCCGCTCTTTAGAACAAAATCGCACGATTGCCCGAAAGAAGCTTTTGAATCAAGTGAGTCGTTCGCACCGTGGTTGGACGATTCTCGTCCTTTCCGGCTTTTACACTGATCTGAATGTAATGCTCAGCTGGACCAACTTGCGAACCCTGGACTTTCGAAAAGTGAGATGGGGAGAGCTAAACAGGCGGAGCGTGAACGTAGGCAACGACGCAAACAACGTAAGAAGGCCAGCAAGGCAGGGACTCAATCCGATGAAAGCGCGTAAACTGCCAGCAACGCAGTGGACTCTGCCGAACAATTCGTGTCCTTCCTTCAACATGTCTGACTAGGTCGTTTGCTCACCCACCGCGAGATCGTAGAGTTACCTTCGATCGACCCCCTGCATACGGCCCATTGCTTCTTCCTCGTGCATGTATTTATATAGTAATCTCCGCTCAACACATAATTATTATTTCTCACACCTCTGCCCCTATAATAAATCCTCAACGCCCATAGAGAACCGGAAAACGACCTTGTCGCTCTGTACATATTGTGGCGAAGTGGCGCACAACACATGCGTGAGAAGTACCTTCTTGCTATGGACCCGGTTCGATGGAAACGCGACTTGGATCTGTATCACATCGGCACAGTCGCGTTCATCTTGCCTCGTCCCCTTCTTTCTAAAACACCTGTTTCGGTACGAGCTCTGTTTAGGTAACCCTGCACCCTTCTGGTTATCAAGATGGCGAATAGCGGTAATAATATGGGCACCGCTCTTAGACGGTACACGTCCTTTCTTCATTGTACTTGCCTCAGCTTTACCGTCACAATATCTACCAGTTGCGCACATATCTCATGGATATCGCTCTTACTAGGTTAGAGGCTGTTACCTCCCGTTTAGAGGACCTCGCTGCGTCGTTTCCCGGTATCGCTGCACAGCCGGGTGCACTACCAGCTTCGACCACTGGCTCTGCTCCATCCTCGCAGCCTGCTCCTACCCGTCCTGCAGCAGTAGAGATCGACGAACTACCACATGTGGCCGTGTTCCAACAGATTGTAGATGAGAAGATTCAACCTGCGCTGAAGCTACTAGGTAGTATCTCGGAGGGTGTGGAAGCTATGCAGGAACAGGTGCGCTTCGTTCAAGTTCTTCAGCTCCATATTTCCTGTATTTGTGTTAGTTTATTGCTCTGATACACTGCTTATTTACACTCCTGTCTGTAGACGAAGTTGGCCGAACGCATCTGGGTTGCATCGGCGGATATAGTCAAGACTGCTGGGTCCTGTAAGAAACCGGACGACAAGGCACTCCAGGCGCTCATCGCGAGTTTGAACGAGGATATCATCAAGCTGGGAGACTTGAAGTCGAAGAATAAGAAGGATAGGGATTACTGGGACCATATGGCTGTGCTTGCTGAGAGCTCGCCTGCAGTCGGTTGGATTGTTAACGTGCGTCCGTCTAACTTTCGAATCATCGATGTGCACTTGTTAAAATGCGATACAATTAACCACGGATGGTAGACTAAACCCTTGCCATACGTGACCGGCGTTGAGGAGTCTACCCAGTTTTATGGAAATCGCCTCATCAAGACGTTCAAGGAGAAGCCAGAGTAGGTAGACACCCGTCCACGTCCTGAGTCCATCCTACTAAAGTATAATGGACTAAATAGGGGCGGAAAGCATGTAGAATGGGTTCGGGCTTACATGGGTATCTTCCCTGCGTTGAAGAGCTACATCAAAGAATTCCACATGACCGGTTTGACATGGAATCCGAAGGCATGTCACTAGCGTAGCATTGCACCTTGCTTCCTCCTGCTGATAACTTCCACAGGGATTGGCTTTGGCAGAATACCAGTCGAAGTCCGCGTCATCGGCCCCCCCTGCCGCACCAGCAGGAGGCCCTCCTCCCCCACCTCCCCCTCCACCGCCACCCGGTCCTCCTCCACCTCCACCCGCAGGATCTGCACCTGCAGCACCTGCAGGTGGCCATGCTGCACTGTTCGCTGATCTCAGCAAGGGTGCCGACGTGACAAAGGGTCTTAGGAAAGTGGATAAGAGTGAGATGACCCACAAGAACCCTACGTTGAGAGCGAGTAGCGTCGTGCCTGCCTCGACTTCACCGGCTGCAGGTGAGTGCTTTCTGAAATTTTGTTGCTCGTTGGTGATTGACGGTGAGTCCAGCGCCGAAACGGCCCACAAAGCCTACGAAGCCTCAGGCACTCGCGGGCAAGAAGCCGTCTAAATTCGCGCTTGAGGGCAACAAATGGGTCATCGTGAGTCTTGATATTGGTTTGTGTCGCTGTTGAGCCAATGACCAACGTGTATCTCCAACAGGAATACCAAGAAGATGTGTCCAGGTTGGACGTGGAAAATGTGGAGATGAACCAGACGGTCAACTTGTATGGTTGTAAGCGGGCGACCATTGTCATCAAGGGCAAGGTCAACGCTGTCACGATAGGTCGGGGGACCTTCAACTTTTCCCGTACACTCTACTGATACCCGTTCTTCTCGAATAGCAAACTGTAACAAAACCTCTGTCCTCGTCGAATCGGTCGTCTCCACGGTCTCCGTTACCAACTCCCCTTCCTTCACCCTGCAAATCACCGGCAACGCTCCCACCATCCAACTCGACTCTACCGACTCTGGCCAGATCTTCTTGAGCAAGGATTGTCTCGGCGTGGAGATCACGACGGCGAAGTGCAGTAGCATCAATGTGAACTTGCCTGTCGAGGGTGAGGAGGATGGTGTCTTTGAGGAGAAGGCGATGCCGGAGATGTTGATGACGAAGGTTGTGGGAGGGAAGTTGGAGACTAGCGTTGTGGAACATGTCGGTTAGAGCGGTGTACGTGTCGTTGCAGTTTGAGGGTTGTACGTGTCAGGCAAGAGGGAACGACAATTTGAGACGATCTTTCTTTTTCACTTGGATCAACTAATGATACCTAATAATGGAATATATTGTTCTGAGCGCTGGCTGCTCTGACAATTCAGTTTCTTCAGGAACGAGCAAGGTCGGAACGACGGTGGAGCGTCGTCACAATACCGTCATCCGTCAATCTTGCCGTTCATCGAACGTTCTCCCATCGCGTGCTGCCGGTTACTTTACAGAGGCACCCGACGCGATGGTAACGAGCTGCTATAAACGCCCCATCGTCAACGCTGACCGTTGTCCGCCATGCTGCTCGTCGTCCTCGCGAGCCTCGACGTCCTCTTCTGCTGTGAACTCCTGGGAAATATGAACCCGAGCGCTGTGATCTCAGATGGGCCGACGGCAGCCAAGTCTGATGTCAGCGATTGCCGAGAGCCGGGCTACGCGACGTCTCCTTCCGCTTCTGCTTGGCGAATTGGGCGACAAATCTGCGGTTGTTTCTGACGCTGGTCTTCTCCACATACACTCTCTCCTCTGCTTCGCTAGCACTTCCTGCACGTTCTTTCCTCCCTCCAACTTTGATTTTAAGCCTTCGAACACATCATGGATGATCCAGGATGGCACGCACGTCGACGAGCGGCAGAGGTACGTCTGATGTTTCCTTGAATACACCGCTTCATAGCTCACACGGATATGAAAATGTAACGTTGTTGTGTTCGAAAGCAAACTCAAGGTCGACACCCAGTAAGGGGCCCAGATGGACACTACCAGCCCACAGAGCAAGTCCAACCCATGAACGAAAGCTTCATCGGTGGCTTTGCTCCCCAGCCTTCACCCATCCCTACAGGTCGCTATTCTCACCACCAAAGCTATCACTTTCCGCAACCAGACGCGAATGGAAATGGCCCACCTCCTCCTGTTCCTCCGAAGCAGTCGAGGACATCGCTGCAGTCGGATTTGACGCAAATGACTGCTGCGGAGAGGTCTCAACACTTCAAGGTAGCGAAGATGCATCCGAATTTGCAGTTCATGTGTGGACCGCTCTTGAGATATGATACTGTTGATGAAAGGGGTGTGTGGCGTGGTGCTGCTATGATTGTTAGTGAGTGGCTCTTCTATCACGATGGACGCGAGTAAGATTGTTGACGGTGAACGTCTTGCAGCGGTGGACGCCGGTTCGACGTACGAACCCAATCCTATGCTCACTTACGAATGGGATCCCACCGGACCGAACTTCAGACCTGTTCATCGTGTCAAGCAAAGTCTTAGCGGGCAGGGCAAGTCCACCTACGACCTTGGTCCCCATCCCGCAGACCCCATGGCGCCTTCGTTCTCTCAAAGCCCGACTGACGACGGCCACATGTATCAAAGTCCCCAAGCACGCAAGGAGACCGTACCTGGACAAGAATTGTGGGCCTACGTGGGGAACGCAGGGTAAGTCTCGGATCTTACTCATGCTTGCTTATGTTTTTGCTGAGTGGTAAGTCTTGGTATGTGGGTGTGGGCGTTTCAGGTCGTTCACGTTCTGGAGATTTCTCATTGAGATTCCACTCGGGGATAAGGAGATGAAGATTCGGTATAGCATCAACCATGGGATCGAGTTGAATTTCTTTGTTCCGGGTCGTCAACAGACTATGCGCCTTGCTGCTTATTCCGTCAGTCCGAACTCGTCCAACAATGCCCTTCTACGACCTCTCGCTGTTCACTGACAGTTCTCGTCACAGTGTAATGGTTTCAGTGCTGGTGTCAACCCCGATGACTTCCGCGGACCAGGTTTCCAAACTGGTTACGACCCAGTATGGGTGGACCTTCTCGCCAAGCATGACGAGCGTCCATTCCACGCCTTGGTCGGCGGGGGAGACCAACTTTACTGTGATGGGTACGTTTCTCTTAGTCTTCCCATACCATGACCTTTGGACTGAGACATGACGTATGTTTTGTTCATGCAGTCTTACACGAGAGCCCGAGATGCAAGACTGGGTGACACAAGCCAAGCCGGAGGACAAGATGAACTACACTCTGACAGAGGAGATGGCCCTCGCTATCGATCGGTTCTACTTTAATCATTACTGCCAAGTATTCCGGAGTGGCGCCTTTGCGAGAGCGAACAGTTCAATGTACGTGTATACCTGATTGGTTTGACTTGGTCACCTACTTATGGAACGATCGCTCCCACACCAGACCTATGATGAATATGTGTGGTGCGCTCGACTACTTAGGTTATCGTGCCGCGCTCCTTGCTGAAAAGTGTCGATATTCTCGTTCTTGGTGTAGATGACCACGGTGCGTACCTTGAAGCTACTCAAACCGATCTGTATTCCTCTTATTGACCCTGCCGCATGACCAGATCTGGTGAGCCCTTGATCGTCACTTTGTACGTTTGACTTGGTTGACCAGAAAACCATACAAGATTGACGGATTCGGAAGTTGTACGTGCGCCTTCTACAACACCTTGTCACCCCAACCTTTTCCTTGGCCAGTAAATCATTCACTGACGGTCGACTGGACAGATCCTGACGCGCTACAGCAAGCTCAGGTCTTCAACACGTATGACTTCTGAGTTTGATTGTATTTTATGTGACCATTGCTCAACTCAAATTATAGGATCGGCGCGCGAGGATACTGGTTCTTCCTTATTTTCCAGTGCTTCATCAACCGTGCGTCTGCGTCATTGTCCCTACGCAATACCGTATACTGACTCTCGGGTTTCGCTTGCAAATTCACAGCGAGCCTTGACGGACTAGATGACGCACCAGGGTCCCATCTCAACAAGTCTCTCATCATAGGCCAACGAGGCCCGTTCATCCCATTCCCTTCCCACTCTTTCCTATCATACATTGGGCCAACAAGTTATTGCCTTATGCTCGATTGTCGGTACGTAGTACTAGTCATATGACTCTCCTCTCTCGCCTTTTTTTTTGCTGGCTTATAGAATGCGCATTGTTGCCGTGTAGAGCGGAGAGGAAGTTGAGCCAGGTATGTAGTGAGATGGAGTACCGTAAGGTATTTGATAGGTTGCAGGCTCTTCCACGGCATGTCGAACATTTGATTGTTCAACTTGGTACATTGTTCCTCAATCAGTTCCTAGAGCTATGAAGTTGAATTCAAATTGTATGCAGGTATCCCGATCGCATATCCTCGGATGGTCTTCTTGGAGACGATGTTGTCGTCAAAGTTGAACCCCCTTGTGTCATTGGGACGCTCTGGATCATTGGGGCTCAAAGGCTTCGTGAACAAATTTAACGCGGATGCTGAATTGTTGGATGACCTGGTTCGTTCTCTTCTCATCCTAACTGCATATCTCGAACTCAAGTCGTCCCCTCTCTGTTCGCAGAATGACCATTGGACATCAAAGCACCACAAGGTAGCTCTATAGCTCACCCGTATTCAGTATGATGGGGCACTGATAGACTACACCACCGCCTTCTCCACTCTCAGACCGAACGCAACTGGTTCCTCGAACAACTACAACAGCTCGCCATTCGTCGACGTATCCGTATTACATTCGTATCAGGCGACGTCCATTGTGCGGCGGTCGGCGTGCTGAAGACGCTAACGAGGAAGAAGGCCGTTGATGTCCCGCCCGAGCAGGACTATAGGTATATGTTGAACATCGTATCCAGTACGTATCCTTTATTTTTGTTGAGGCAACGGGAGTTGGTACTGAAGTGGCGTGGTTTTACGTTTGCATAGGTGCTATTGTGAATACACCGTAAGCTAATATGTCATTAGCAGACGAAGTTCGTATCTGATGATTATCCCCCTGTAGACCTCCTGCAGGCGTGCTCGCTCTTGTAGGCCAGTTGTCGACCAAGACACATCGGACGATGCACTACTGCGATACCGACGAGACAATGGTATATCGGTCCCTTCTATTGAACGGGTTTCTCCGTACTGACGACGTCTAAACATTTCTAGATGCCAATCTTCGACAAGGACACCAACGGCACGAACAACAAGAACAAGTTCATCATGGGCCGTCGAAACTGGTGTAGTATTGTCTATGATGACCACACTGGGGACTTCATTTTCGATATTCGGGTGGAGAAGGAGAAGGGGAATGGGGAGACTATTGGGTACGTATCACTGCCTTCGTGTCCCCACTTTATGGCCAGAAAAGCACTACGTCCTAACCGTGATATGTTGTTTCTAGTTATGTGACCAGGGCTCCTGCTCCGAAATGGCAGCCTATAGCCTGAACCACAACACCGCTGAAGAAATGTCGGTCCTTGTTCATTCCCTCGCTCAGAAAAAAAATATGACGCGCACACTTTCTGTTCAGTGCAGTCCATTCAGCAACCGTTTCTCACTTACTCTACGTATGACCCCTCGCTCAATTTTAGTATTTATTATCAACTTCTCTCCCTCTTTTCATTTCCATCTAATGTGCCTCGTCTCTCGCTTTGCTTTCGCTCCCGTTCTCTATTCAAGCTATTCGGTGTCTATGAGTCTTGATTTTTTTGAGGTTCGAATATCAGTCCTACCTCTCGTCTTCACAAGCTATCTCCATACGCAATCTTTCACCCTGACTCCTTTGCATTGCATTCTATAACTCGACATGCTACCCTCCTAACCTTTCCTTCCGAGGAACAGCACACTGTATACTGACGACCCCGACACCCAAAGGATACCCTTAACTTATGCAAGTCGAGATAACCAAACCCAGTTGGCTTTGATTTTGTGGATTGACCATCTGTCTACTACCTCTGTGTGGCCTCAACTGACTCGCAAATCCGACAGCTTTCGACGCGTGCACGTCCTTCAATTCGAAACTTAGCCTCAAATCCAAAAAAAAAATCCACCATGTGCAGACTGAGCCACTCGGGTTTTTTCATTCGCAGGAAGCCCGGAATTAAACCTGCAATGTAGCGTGCTACTCAGCCTGCATCGGGTGCCGCGATGTGGCATCGGACTGTGTTGAACCGACGACCTCGGAAGAGTTCGGAAGTTCGTCGGGATTACTTTTGTGACAGCAATATCCGATACACCATCGCGGCGGTGATTGTATTGGGCGTACCTGGATTATATGCACCACTTTTGTGGCACAAAATGGTCTCCTCCCGCCATTCATTCACTCATGCACGACACAATGTATAGTCTGTATTATGTAGATGATTTTAATTTTGTTCTACTTCGCCCCAGCTAGACTGACCGGCAAGGCGACGCGGCGAAAGTGGCAGGTCGCTGTTCTGCCGCCAGGATGTGGCCCAACTGATTCACAAGTCACTCCGACAGCTTTCGACGCGGGCACGTCCTTCATGATCAATTCGAAACTTGGCCTCAAATCCGAAAAAAAAAAAGTACCACCGTGTGCAGACTGAGCCACTCGGGTTTTTTATTTCGCAGGAAGCCCGGAATTAAACCTGCAATGTAGCGTGCTACTCAGCCTGCTTGGGTGCCGCGATGTGGCATCGGATTGTGTTGAACCGGCGACCTCGGAAGATTTCGGAGGGTGGCCGGGATTCTTTAGTGACAGCATTATCCGATACACCATCGCGGCGGTGATTGTATTGGGCGTACCTGGCTCATATGCACCACTTTTTGTGGCACAAAATGGACTCCTCTTGTAATTCATTCACTTATGCACGACGTCAACACAATGTACTTATACTCTGTGTAGATAATCGTAATTCTGTTCTACTTCGCAGAAACTGACCGGCAAGGCGACGCGGCGAAAGTGGCGAGTCGCCGTCACGGGTCAGGTGGCGTCGTTGTGTTTGCACTGTGCAGCCGTCAGCGATCTGTTTTCGTGTCGTGTGCCATTGCAAAGTCACAGTGTGGTTAAATAGTGTGTACATGTATGGAGGGTATATGTGTGCAGGGAAGGCCTGTTCAATCCATGAATGTGAAAGAACGAAAATCGTCCTAATGAGTGGTTCCTTGCTAGAAACTTTGTATACCGCGGATCGCAATCCATTGCTCACGAACCCTCCTCCTCCTCCACCTCCATCCTCTGATCATGATACTGCATCCCTCCTCCGCCACCACTCCCACCACCGCCACCAACTGGCACTCCACCCCCTCCGCCCCTACCCATCATCCCTACATTCTGCTCCTCCTCTTCCTCCTCCTCCTCTTCGACCCCTCTCCGTTGCCCTTGTCCTTCTCTCCGTTCACCCTCCGCATCCTCCTCCACCTCACCTATCCCGTGTTCAGGATCAGGCTCATCCGCATATTCAGAATTATACCCGCTCTGAAAGCCAGAGCCAGGCGTATTAGGCGTCGGAGCAGGCGAATACGCCGAGTCCATAACAGTGCCAGGACCTTGACTCTGACTCTGACTCTGACTTTGGCCTTGACTTTGACCTTGACCGAGGCTAACACTAGGGCTAGGCCCAGGACCGTCCGAAGCCGCTACCCTTCCCAAACGGGGATCGTACGCGGAACTGGGGCCATTACCAGGACCAGCACCTGAACTGAAATTGGAATGGGAATGGGAATTGTGGTTGAAATTGAGGGAGGAGGGATTAGAGGAGGATTGGCTCATGTTCATGCTCATGCCGACGGACATGGTGTGCGGTGCGGGGGGAGGATCGGGATAAGGTATAGAATGGGGATGGGGATGGGGATGGGGATGAGGATGGGAGTGGGAGATGTCGCGCATGATGATTTCGACGTCAACGCCGTGGGGGAAGCGGACTTCGTCGAGGTCGTCGTACTGTGGATGAGGGTCGGAACGGGGATGCGATTGCGGTTGTGGTTGTGGTTGTGGTTCGGATCGAGATTGAGGCGGATGTTGAGTTGGGGAGAAATGATGGGTGTTCAGGGGCACAGATGGTTCGGGTTGTGGTGGTGGTGGCGTCGAATCCGTAGGGAGCGAAATGGTAGGAATCGACAACGGGATGGCAGGATGCGACGTCGCGATCGGCGGTGGCGTACTCCCCTCCCTCTCCGCCTCCTGCTTCAACATCGTCGCCCCCAGTCCCAATCCCAACCCCACCGGCTGAACCCCCGAAACCGAAGGAGCCACACTCGGCTCCCTCGACAGAATCTGCGACTGCTCCCTCGAAACCTCCGACCTCGCTCTGTCTCGCTCCCTCTCCCTCTCGCGTTCCCTTTCCATATCGACCTCTGCTTTCGTCTTCTGCTTCTTCGCGTCCGCCTGGGCCTTTCGTTTCTCCCGCTGTGCGGCCTTTTTCACCTCGGCGGACTCGGTCACGGCGCGGGCGGTGGCTTCTGTGCGTGCGGTCTCGTCTTCGCGTTTGTCCATCGCCCATTGCTCGTCCATGTATTCGGGGTAGCGTTCGTGGAGCGGACGCCAGGTTCTTTCTGTAGCTATACCCGTAGCCGAGGTGGGTGTGGCGTTCAGTGTGGCGTCGATGTCGGGAGGTGGAGGGAACGCAAAGTTAGGTCCTGGGTTGATACGAACGCGAGCACCGTTAAAGAGCGAGATGAGCGGGTAATACCCCAACGACCCGTCGTCGAACGGATTCAACGTATGTTCCTTCGCGCCCTCCCTCAGCCTCTTACCCCTGTCCCGTTTCCTCTTGTCCAACGGCGCTCGCAACGGACAGAAATCGTAAAGGTCGCGAAACGCGGTGCCCTGCGATTCACCATTCACGAAGAACGCGATCTGAGAGTTCGGGAGGGTCGGTAGAGGACGCATCGGGGCAGGTTCGGGCGGCACGTCTTTAGAGCCCCGACCACGCTCGGGCACGTTCTTCACCGTTGCGGATTTCTTAGTCGAGGACGGGAGGGAGGTCGTCTCGGTAGGCCTGTTCGAGCGCGAGGTGTCCATTAATGCTATCATCTCTTTACTCTGCGGATATTCGAGGGATTCCCAGTATTCCTGTCCTTTGAAGTCAATGGCGATGCGTTCGCGTTTAAGGTGCGCGGGATCGTGCGGGTCGTTCTTCACGGGCGAACGGAGCGGAGGGAGGGAGATGTACATCCCTATAGTATCGCCCACCCCGAATGCACGTCCATAAGGCCTCGTACGCGATAGCGTGACCTTCTCGCCCGTCTTGTCACGTATCCCATACGAATACCCGTCCAATCCACACGGCGCGTTCAACGGTGCCTCGCGTCGTCCAAATCCAAGCCGGACGTGCGCGCCCTCGCGACTCGAATACGACCCGGGTCCGTCGAGCGAGCGAGCGCCGCCACCATGTTCGACCGTCACCTCGACGTACCACTTTCCTTCCCTGAGAGGAACGTTCATCCGTGCGCTCCGGAACCCTTTATCGCCCAGCAAACCTAGTCCATCCTGTGTCACCCGCACGAACGGACTGCGGTCTTCCCAGCTCACGCGACACTTCTGTGGCGCGCTCTCGATAGTCCGGAAGGGGAGTGTCGCGTCTGGCGAGGCGACGCCGGCGGGTGTGTAGCGGAATCCGATACGGTTCAAGGGGACGAGGTCGGTGGTGCTGTATGGTGAGGCGTCAGAAATGGGGATAAAGACCGGGCCACGGGAGACGGTGAGGCGGGGTCGGTTGAGCAGGGAGGGATGGGTGGGCGTTATGGAGGATGAGGATGGGAGCAGGACGTTCTCTGTTCCCGGGTTTGTGCTGGGATTGGGGTTGGGGGTGCCGCCGCCGACGTCGGAGGGAGCGGGGGAGGCGGCGGCGGAGGTGCGTTGGTGGGTGTTGTGTCCTGTTTTACGCTTTTTGGCGGGGGGTGGTTGGGAATGGGCGGGGGCGACGGTGAAGGGGGATTCTGAGCGCGGTGGGGAGGAGCCGCCTGCGAGCATCGTGGATGGTGAGCGCGACAATTCGTGAAGCTGGAAGAGGAAGACAAGGCGTGAGCCCGAGCAAGAGCAGACACTTGCATTGGATAGCCCCTAACCTTAGACTGGGGTCTGTAGCCCCTCAGCTTGAGTGGCGCCGCGTGTTTTGACCCTCCTCCGAACTCAACCATGACTGCTCTAAGGTACGTGTCTTAATCCCGCTTGAGATCTATCGGCGCTGAACTTATGATGTAGACGCATCCAGAAAGTCAGTAACCTTAGAAGATCTTCCAGAGACATCCATCCATAACACACCTGACATGATGACATTGTGCTTTAGGAGCTCAAGGACATCAACAGCCAGCCCATTCCTGTACATATCGTGTTCTTCCTCTTTCCTCTAGAAAACTTGCTGACCCTCATCTCATATATTTAGGGCGTAACTGTCGAACCTCTAGAGGATAACCTCTTCATCTGGAACTGCTCGATCGCAGCAGCTGTAAGTTACGCCACCCTCCCTACCGTGTCATAACCTGCTCGTCCTTCATCCCCCATCTCCTCCATATACTCCCGTAAACCGATCCGTGGTAATATGGATAGTCTCTACACGGTATGCTTACTCTCTTGTGGATTTATTATCTAGGGAGATAGTCCATATAAGGGTGGCACCTTCAACTTCAAGGTCGAGCTCCCGGACAACTATCCCTTCAAAGCGCCTTCCGTACGTCACATCACCAGTCTTCTCTACGCATATACATGCACGTGCTCATGTCATTGTTACGGGTGTATGTCTTTGATGTTGAAGGTGACGTTCTCGACTAAGATCTACCATCCCGGAATCAACGAAGAGGGCCACATCTGCGTACCCATCCTCCGCGATCAGGTCCGTTCTGCTCTTCGCACAACTCTACTTTATATCTCACCACATTCTTCATGTTCTGGTATTTGGTATGCTGCGAATATAGTGGAAACCTGCTATCACACTGTCCACCGGTACGTCCACCTGCACTCTACGTCTGCGCCACCCAAGCTAATGCTAATGCTGACGCTCGCCACTTTATCTGTGTAGTGTTGAACGTCATACAGGAGAAAGTGAACAACCCGAGTCCGGACGATCCTTTTGAGCCCGATATCGCTGCGGTGAGCGCATTCCCTCCAGTTGTGTTCCGTGTAGCTGTAGCTGATGTTGAATGTTTATCCGATTTCGCGAACAGCAACTCAAGGAGGAAAGACCGAAGTTTCTCGCGACTGCGAAGGAGTGGACGAAGAAGTACGTCTCTCCACCATTGTGTACTCGTATAAACGTTCCTAATAACACGGGTGGTTGTCGACTGTTTAGGTATGCCACGGGCTCGTGATCCAGTATTGTGAACGACAACACAAACGATGGCCGATGAATGACGAACATGAAGATGTATCAGATATGTCAAATGTGCATTGTATGAAGAATTTGTACCGAGTCTCCACTTGCGCTCGTCTATTCTGATGATAGAAGACCGACCAACCTGATACTACCGAGAAGAATCTACCAAGCTCTCCGTGATCTCCCCTGCCTCGACCGCAACAGCAATCCACTATAACCCTGCTCTCATCCTCGCCACCCGAATCTCACCCATGACCCCAACACATCAGGACCACTCACTATTTTCCTTCAGTCATAGCTCGTCTCTCGAACTCGTGTTAGGATCTATATGTATGTACGATCTAGACAATGTCTGTTCGCGACCACGCCTCGGTGGGACGTACATAACACGACGGCAGAGGGGATAAGCAGCTATCTCCTTACGCGCTTGATGAATGGTGGACGGTATTATTACTACTGCCGACTGGGATGTAGTTTTCTGGAAACTAGATCAAGCTCGAGCCGTTATAATTACCTTCCCTGCAAAATGTCGAGGGAGGTTGAGTGGGCCAGACGAGCCTGGATGGAAGACGTCGATAATTGCCAGCTGTGACGCGACCTGTTCTGGAGAGTAAGTTTTATTCCATTGGATGTTTTGGCCATCCAAGAGTTGTGAATTTCGCGAAGATATTGCAGAAGTGACCAATCAAGGGGAGAGCGTGATTAGGCCCAGATCCGAGCAGAATCATCAGGCACTTGAGGACGAGAATAAACGGTCGGTGACGGCGCGTCCTGATTGAGACGGGCCTTGTTAGTCTTCCCCTCTCCTTTCGCTTTTCGTTTCTCCCTCAGCCTTACTCTGGACGCCCGCAGGCCCGGCACATCGCAGCGTCCTGCCGTCAGTTGCCCACCGTCGTTCGCTCTTCTCTTGTCTTTTCCAGTTCAACTTCTTCGCATCTTGCATCTTACATACCGCCAACTCCTCGTGTCCCACACGTTGCCTCGCCTCTCCTTCCTCTTTCACCTTTCTAATTCTGTACCCACCCACCCTCGACAAGCTCCCTGAACGCATCGTGTAAGAAACGAGGTCCTGAGCCCGACTTTTAGCCCAGCATGCACCGTTTCCGGTAAGTACACCCTACCCTCTCTGCCTCCCTCCAATCTCATACTTACTCACGGTCCCGACCTCTCCACCCACCCTACCTTTCCTCCTCGGCGATCTTCTCGTCTTTACGGCCGCGATCAAAACACGACTCTACTCGGGTCGCAATTCATACTCACCACAATCCCGCACCGCACCGACCGTCGAACGCGCTCTCGACCACACACTCTCCATCTAATTGCCTACTTGAACCCTGCACATCCCACACACCCGCAATCAATACCCCAATACCAATACCAATTTCCTCCGATCCTCCCCATACGACACGCACATCCGCATATCCACACCCTACGACTAACTCCCCTGCCTCCCCATTTCCAGCAAGTGGTCCGATCCGAGGAGAAGCCAGGTCCCCGAGAGCGCGAGGTCGGGCGCCGGACCTTCGTCTCAGTCCCAGTCGCAGGCGTCGTCCTCGTCCTCCTCGTCGTCGATGCGTCAACCTCCCGCGCTTGCCCCTGAACCGCTACCCGCCCTTCCCGTCGTCAGCGACTTTCGGACTTCACTCATCTTACCAGAGTGCGTCTCATCGTCTCTCGGCTGTCATGATCAAGTGTATTTAACTGACGACTCGATCGGCTTGGTGTTTTTTTTTTCGGTGGTGGTTTATTGTTATTGTTATTGTTGTGTTTGTGATGGGTTGACGTCACGAACCCGACCTCCAGTCTTTCCCGTCGATTCACCCTCCTCCGTTCCTCAACCGGCGATCCCGTCTCCGTCGACGACCTCCGCTCCAAATTCGCCGAACAACGCGCCCGAGGCTCCGACATCCAAGTCTCGGAAGAAGAAGAAGACATGATCCTCGACACGCTCAACCGTCTCCGCGTCAAATCGTCCACCTCCACCACCTCCACCTCCCACACCTCCACCACCAACACTTACTCCAACATGAACACCGATACGGACGACAGGGGCGGAGACTCGGGATACGCACCCGGCCGGGATTCGTCCGTGCAGAGCTCGCCTGCGAGCGGACATAGCCAGAGCAGTAAACGATACAGTAATAATTTGTTTGGGAGCGGACGGTTGAAGGATTATAGTTATTATCGGAGCGTGACGGCTTCGCAGCCGAGACAGAGAAGAGGGAGTGCGAGGAGTGGGATCTCGACGGTTTCGGAGGGGGTGAGCAGTGATGGGACTACCAGTGGTGGTGGTGGTGGTGGTGGTGGTGGTGGTGGTGTAAATAGGGCGGTCACACCGGAGGGGGGAAATGCGCAAGGAGAGTTATCGTCGTTGGAGGGGCCGGGGAATAGCAATAGCAATAGGTCTGCGGGGGTGGGATCGTCGATGGCTTCTTTGGACGAGTCGCAGGAGGAAGAGGAGAGTGTTAGGCCTGCGAAGGGGATGCATAGGGGTGACTATTTGAGGAGGGCGTCGAGGGCTTTGGAGGAGGCGATCAGAGAGATCGAGGAAGATGTGGAGGGCGAAGCGGAGGCGGAGGAAGAAGAACACGAACAAGTGGAAGAAGAAGAGGATCCGGACGGGGACAGGGACGATCAGGTTTTAGTGCCCCGTTCGCCCGTCGGCGGCGTGAACAAGCACCACGATGCGTTCGAGAGCCTTTCACATGAACTGGTGCGTGTTTTCTCTGCATTTAATCACCGTGCTTTTAGGAGGTTTCCAGTCCTTTAGTCCTGTTCGTTGCGGAAATCTAATTTCGGCTCAATTTATTATCGGTCACGCTTCCCTTCCATCCAGGACCGCACGCCGAAAAATATCGCGTCTGCTATTTCGGCGGAATACGAAACGGGCACAGCCCTCTCGTACGATCATCATCATCATCACATTCCCACATCCTCGTCCCCGAGCAACTGCAACAACGCTAGCAGCAATAACACTAACACTAACAATGTCGGCGGCGGCAGTAGCAGCCATCGTGCTTCCTCCCCATGGTCCCGCTCGCCCACCGTGTCTCCGACGCCGAGATTACCTGGTTATATACCGGGCATGCCACGGCCCATGACCCCTCGCGACTTTGGGATGGATTCGGACGATCAGTCGACTACGCCGCGCGCTACGTCCCCTCGTCTTCCTGACCACCGGGCCTCTCCTGGTATCTCGCTGCCAAATTTAGCTTCGAACCTCCACAAACGCGATTCTTCGAGTCGCACGGGCTCCCCGCTTGCCGCCACCGCCACCGTCACCGCCACTGGTGCTCATTCTCAGTTTATCACACGCTCGTTCAAGGCGAATGGGACTTCTTCGACCTACTCCAACGTCAACGCCAGTGCGGAACAGAGGGATCGGAGCTCGCCGGTGGAGGATAGGGACCGCGAAAGGTTCAGTGGGGATGTGGACACGGACGATTCATACCTCGACTTTGGGACCCCTCAGGAATCTTCGATTTTGGGTGGTCGTCGTCGTCCAGCGTCACCTCTCACTGGCCTCGCATACCAAGCCATGTCAGTCCCTTCGCGCCCGAGCACACCCTCCAGCATCACCTGGCGGTCGTCCTCCAACGCCGCCAGTCCGCAGAAGGCCACATTCGCTGCCGGGCACAACAAGAACAATTCCTCGCTCAGCTCGTCTTCCGGCGATTGGCAGGATCAGTCGGGTTCTGGTTCTGGTTCGCGCACACCGGAGAGAAGGGGAAGTTTGTCGAGACAGAGTCATGCGCGGAACGATAGCATGACGAGCACGAATGACGTCCACGACCCCGCGGGCATGTCACGCTCGAAATCAGCGCTCTCGACCTCTCGCTCCTTACGCTCTCCTGCCCTGCCCGACTCGCCACTCCTAGACGGACAGGACACGCCCAATTTGTTCGGGATGGCGATGTCGCCCACGGGGCGGATCGTGCCAGAAAGTCATAGTCATAGTCGGTCGCCGTCAGCGATGTCGTTGGCCGACCTCGGTCCGCCGGCTTCTGCGGTTTCGGTCTCGGTGTCGAGTCGGGGTTTGAGGTCGCCTACGCCGACGGGCTCGTCTGCTTGGTCTCCTACGTCCACCACGTTCCCCGAAGGACGGATGTCGCCCAACAACAACAATAACAACAACAACTCCAGCACAAACACGCACCACCCCCGCGCGTCGTCCAAACAGAGCTTCACGTCTCCCTTCTCCCTCGGCCAGTCCCACCCGCTCCTGCTCTCACCTACGGGCAACTCTTCGAGATCATCGCTCGAGTCTGCGGGCTCGAGCTATCATTCGTGGGACGAGGCGCATAAGCATGATCGGACGATCGCGATGTTCGCCGCGCTCGAGTCGTCGACGCAGCCCGTCTGGCATGATCTCTCGTCCAGCACCGATAAGTCGTCTTCGTCCACTGCGGGCGGTATCGGTGTGGGTGCGGGCATGGGTGAGGCGGAGGAGGTGTTGCAGAGCGTCGCGGGGCTGACGAAGGCGGATTTGGTGGCGGTGCAGGAGAGGTTGATCGTGGCTGCGAGGGCGAGGGCGGAGGCGCCGATGGATGTGGCGAGGGAGAGGAGGGAGTCGTTGAAGAGGAGGAGGCCGTCGACTTCGCAGTCTACGTATTCTCAGAATGGGAATGGGAGGGATAGTAGGGTAAGTTGATTTGTTGCAAGATTTGATTAGTGGTGGACTAACCGTGAACTGTTATCGGTTAGGCTGCGGATCCTATTCCTCCGAGTCAATCGCAATCCACCTCTCAATCGCAATCGCAATCGCAATCTCAACCTCAATCTCAACATCAACATCAGGCTCAAGTCCAGTCTATACCCGCTCCGGACCATGTGCAGAAGGCGCTCCTCGAGTCCGTTCTGCATAGTATAGATGCCTCTCCCCGTGGTCGCGTTACGCCTATCACAGTGCCTACCCAACCTCAGTCTAAGCCCGACACGGCAGAAGACACTCCGGTCAATTCGCCGACGGATACGCAGCTTTCTAGCCCGACTAGGAGGCGTAGGGCATTGGCGGACGCTCTATTCGGAGGAACTGAATTGGTGTCCACCACTCCGTCCCCTGTGCCCCGTCTTGCTTTCGACGACGACGACGATGTCAAAGAGCCAGGTACACCACATGACGATGGTGATCATCCAGACGCCTTCATGGCTCACTCTCCTGAACCAATCGCAGATGATACAGTCCCTCAACCCAGCTCACCGGCACCTCCCAGCCCTCGTATCATCACACCCGCTCCCGACCAACCTTTCGTGACCAAAAGCCAGCTCGAGCAAGATGTCCTTCGCCGGACCGAAGCCGCGATGGCTCAGCTCAAGCCCACGTCCTCCTCCAATCTCAGAGTGAACGAGATCTCTGGCGGTACGCATCGGAGGCAGAAGATCAATCCTCACCAGATATCCAGCCCCACGCTCGTTTCTGCGTCTACGAGCGTCGATACCATCCCTCTGCGCGCGACTTCCGTTACCTCCTCCGCCAACGTCGCCCACTCTCATCCTCATCCCCATTCTCAGCCTCATGCTCCCCAGAATACTTCCAAATTGGGTTCCCGCTTTAAGCGCCTAAGGGGCACGTTACGCTCGAAGCCGGGCGAAGAGACGCCCTATGCTTCCGACGCGGGCTCGCCACATTCCGCAGGCCCTCAGTCGCACTCTCAGTATCCACGCTTCGGGTCTGCGACTTTACATCCTTCGGCCGTTCAATCGGTCATGAGCGCTACCGAGGCGGGTGGGTTCAGGGTCCCCTTGCCCAGTCCGCCAGCCTCAGCTGGACCAGGTTTGAAGGGCTTCATGGCCAGGTTCCGTAGGCCACGCACGGCAGAGGGGATGAACGAACCCTCTAGCGGCGCCGAACATCGGAAGCCACCGCTATCGTCGTCCACGTCGGCGCCTATCGCTCATACCATGCAGACCCTACAAGCTCAGTCACACCACACCCGTGCATTCACGGAGGAGGTACGATCTGCCCCTGCGGACAACGTCACCTTCCACGGATTTGGGTCATTTTCGTCTACACCGTCATCCCCTAACGCTCCGTCTCATTCGCATTCAAACTCGCATTCCGAACCGTTCTTCGATCGCGAGGTTTCTCCTCAGCCTGCATCATCTGCCTCGGCCTCTCCGTCTGCGTCTGCAGACCAAGCCGCTTTGAAGCAGTTGTTCGACGCCGCTTCGAATCTCGGTCTCGATCAGGGTGCCCTCAACGACTTGCTAGCCCGTTCCGGTTCCATCTCGTCAAAGGCCAAATCTAACGTCTCGAAGCACGCATCCGCCGCGCCAAGTCACAAAAGCGGACGGACGGAAGTGTCCTGGCTCGAGCGTTCTCGCTCCCCCATGACGCTCTCCGAGGGCCGGCCAAGCTTGGACCAACAGCTGCACAACCAGCAGCACCCACGCCCTCCAACGCCCTCCTCGCCGAAACCCACCTCGACTTCGGACGCCGTGCGAAAGCTCTCCATCCGGAAAGCCACTGCTCGCCCGGCTCGTGAGACGGCCGGCAGTGCAAACAATGCGTCCTCCTCCATAGACGCGGATAGGACCGTGCTTCGGAGAACCTTGATCTTCCCCTCGGAGTCAAGGCAGTCGACGGCAGACGTTGGCTCTCTTTTCCCCAAGAGCACGACTTCTTCGTCACGCCGTCGGCGTTCTGCGAGCGCTGCCTCCGTTCACTCGCAGCGGTCCATACACGATCGGGCACCTACGCCCCCTCCGCCCAAGTCTCCGACCGGTCGTCGGTTCTCGACTGATACGACGCCGCCTATGCCGTCATTACCTAGTGCGCTGAGGGCGCAAGTCGAACAACACAACATACCCGTTCCACCATTACCCACTGCGTTGGAGCAGTCTAATTCGGCGTATGATTCTTTGTGGGTCTCCATTCTTTTGCCCTCGTCTCCTTTCGTGATCGTTCCAGGCCGCTGACGATGACACCCCGAATAGATATGAATTTTATGCTACCGACGGAAAACCTGCGATCGCTGTCTCTGGCGAACCCAAAGCGGACGTTGAGGACCCGGCGTCTAACACAGATGGCCGTGCCGTCGAGGTTCTCGAGCTGGCTAACGGTGAGACAATATGGTACGCCGCTTCCAGGGACTCCACGCGAGCGTTATCGATTGATCTTCTTACTCTCGTTAAAAACAATAAGGTCCATCGTGAATGGGCTCCGCGACGATGATGCCGAGTCACTGTACATGAACAGGGCTAGCTTCGTTTCGGACTACTCTTACCGTGATCCTGGCGAGGGAGTTCAATTGTTCATCAAAGAACATGCGAGAAAAGGTTCAAAGGACAGCACGAGTTCGTTCCTCTCTCGAAGGAAGACACAGCAGCAGGCTCCACGACGACCGGAGACCAAGGTAGGTTCTCGTAATCTGTGCCAGTTGGCCACGTCTGACATTTGTCCTCCAGGTGTTTTTCAGCTCCTCGCAACAGATAGGGCGTCTCATCGACAACCTTTCGTCGGGGATGGAGGCTGGTTCTTTCAATATCGTGCCCACAGCTCCTGCACCCAACTCGTCCTCCTACCATTCTGAGTCGGATGTCCATTGGACCGTGGAAGAACGGCTCGAACATATGCTCGGCAGTATGAGCACGACTTGATCGCTTTTCTCGTCACTTCTCTATTAATGTGATGTGCTTTCACCTTCTGATTATGGACATGGACTCTTTGACTCGTCCGAGCTACTTTGTTTTTCCGATGCTTTGTTTTCTATGCACCGATCTGGGCTTCTTTATTCTCCCCCTTGCTTCTCCTTCTTCATCTCTCTATCGTCTTCTTGCTTTCCGCTGCAAAATTCACACCCACTGCATACCCTATGTTCTCGTTATTATGTACATAAATAATTAAGGTTCCACAAACCGATACCTTCTTTGCCATCTCCATTCTACCGTCCCTATCCGGCCTCCTCAGAAAAGCAACACGCACACACATCCATTCTAGGCCCACCCGCGAACCCTGCTCGAAACTGCCACTAGCTATAGTATAGAACCCAGGAGCTTCGCTCCGACGATTATATCGTCACACCTCATAATCCCATCTTGTCCACCCATCTGTTTATAGTGAGCGCCACGACTGCGTCGATGAACAACGGAAGATGAGCGAATGTGAAGTTGAGGCTCGCGAATGGCAAAGGCATGTTCAAGTTGTGGAGCGTCGTCGAACGTTCATTGTCCGGCCGATAGTAGCCGAGCAGCTGCTGTCCAGGGAAGGTGTAGAGCTGCAGAATGCATATGGAAAGAAGCGGGAGTTTCGCGTTGAGTTATTGATCCTGATACGGTTCTCTATAGATGGACCAAAACGGGAATACTTGCATCGTAACTCTCGGTGCCGGTCCTTCGCCACATGTAACGCTGCTGGGTGTTTCCTGACACGAATTGTCGGTCGCTAAAAGGAGGTAGATGCCAGCGGGGCTCTGTTCAGTGGTCCTGCAGCATGTACTGAGGATATAGTCGCTTACTTGGGATTATGCTCCAGGATGTAGAACTCCTTCATGTGGAACTGCCTTCCATCGATGGTGGCCGTTCCCTGGGAGAAGGGCATTTCACCGACCGTACTTTCGCTAAGGCGCGTTGGATCTTAGACGTGACGATGGCGAGACATACCAGGAGGTTCCGGCCAGCCCAATCCAGCGTAGCCACGGGAACCCCGGTCGCCCCATGACCTCGATAGAACTGAAGATTAAGCATAAGGCAAAATCAGACTTCAAGAGCTCCGATAATCAGAAGACGGTCAAAAGCAAAACAGACGGACCGTCGTCTTCGCGCCATTGATCCCCTCAATTATCGTTTCGACGAAGATTCCCCATGTTGGTTGGTTGCAGAGGACGATGACACCGTGCCTAGGGTCGTTGGCGTTGCCCGTGAAGTGCGCCACGTAGTTGGAATTTACCATGGCAAGTAGTGTTGGGTTGTGGGTTGGAAGTGTAGGCTCAAGGTTGGATGGTCCGGCCGGAGGGTATGCGTGTCTCCTCCCTCGAAGAAACGGGACATGTTTATATCTCGCGAGAGAAAGGCGTTTCCTAGGACTGTGTCTCAGTCTGTGTCATGAGGGGTAGTAGTAATGAGAACGTTGAGAACGTTGAGAGCTTTATCGATCGTGGCGCCGTTCCGAGAAGCATTGGTGAGCATTGAGTAGGCCTAGGGTCGCCCGGATTGCTGGAGGCACAGGTCCCCAAAAAGGGACTCACGGAATACTCACCTCGAGGAAGGTACACCAACACACCAGGTCAGTCCAGCAGTCTATTTCACGACGGACTTCATACGCGCAATGGTCTGGGACCTCACCCACAGCCTATTGCATGGTTTCACTTAAGAACGGATCATTGCTCCGTTTCTCTTTCTCCGCCCCCGAAGGAGCGAGGCGGAAGATGGAACACAAAAAGGCGCCGTCGGCCAAGGTGCCATTGGTGTGAAGACGAACAGAGCACTGCAATCCGTATCAAGAGCTGACCTTCCACAGAGGCCGCTTCCGCCCCTTTCGAGTAATGTGTACGGCACTGGCGCCGGGAGCTCCCCCTCCGAATGCAAGTACGACTGTCTCCTCTGCACCGGCTCCTTTCGCGATGCCTCGTTTCCGCAATTCGATGGCTTCTTTTGCGAACTTGAATCGAGCCTGGTCGGATCCTACGGACCGCAGACCACCAATCGTCCATCAGTATAAGATCCCGACAGACGGAGAGAAAGCAAGGCGGTGCGAAGATGAAATTCGTCTGCGAACCGATTTGAAACGTGGACGACTCGACGGCAGTCTTGAAGAGATTGAAAGGCACCCGAGAAAATATCTGGAGCAAAGTATTTCTTCCGTTACTCTGTGGTGACGTATCGTGGATCTGGAGGACCGAAGGAAGGGTGACGACGAGGAAGTGTAGGACGTCGTCACGTAGTCGCTGGGCATAGTACCCGAAAAGGGTGGGTGCTGGCAGATTTTCAGGTGTTGTAGTTCCGTCCGTAGATGAGGGTATGGTCTCGACGAAGTCCAGCCAGCCGTTTATCGTTTCGACGGTAATGGATTGTTGGCAGGCCTCGTAAGCATAGGAGCATAAATCATCCATTCTACCCAGCAGACATGCGGCTGCGAGAACTCCTCGGGCATTTTCAGGGCGTAGTAGCTTCAATGCAGCGGCAGAGTAGAGGTATCCCAGAGCTGAGAATAGGAATGAGATCGTCAGACAGAACAGTGGCATCGGGACAAATGTGACGCCGTCGTACCTACGAAAAAGCCCTGTTATCAATACGCGTAAGTAAGAACTCCGAGGACCGGTCGCTTTACGATGGAAAGAAGGACTTACTTCCTGTGTGACTTCTGGGTCGTGTTCAAGGTCTACATAAATCACACGCATACTCCCTGACTGTGGCGATGTTGACATTAAATGAACAAGGTATGGAGAGCGGGAGAGGATGAGCGCATGGAGCCGATATGATTGTTGTTGAACATGCTGTAGAACGGCGAGGAAGTTCAGTCAGGGTGCTGTCGATTGACTGTGGAAATCTTACAAGGATGGTGTCCGCGTAGTTCTGTTCCGGTGTAGCGGAGGTTAGTTCACTAGAAAATGTCTGCACGACGGTGAAGTACTCACACCGGCCTGGAACCCAAATTCGTATAAATGATTTATAATGGATACATCATGGTTGAAGTATGGAGACCTAGCAGCGAGGGCAAAGAGCAAACGATGCTCAATTAACTACTCTGAACATTCGCATCGCGCCACCGGCGCCTTTGTCCAACAATTCACGTCTTTCGAGGTCCAACACCACAGCGAGCTCCAGCACAGCTCGTATTGTTTCAGTATGTAGTTACTTACTGAGATAACCCATTTGCAGATCCCAACGTGTGTGAGGTGCCGTTGCCTGCCTGCTTCGTGAGTCCATCCTCGGAAGGGGTCAAAAGGGGGGTGCCACCCCCCGTGGCGCTACTGCTCTTGCTCGGCCCAGCCTGTCCATTGATGGAAGTCGAGGAAGATGCAGTTGTCGCCATCGCGTTTGGAGCAGTTATTTTTTTCGGGAAGAACAAAGAGGAAGACAGAAGAGAAGGAATCCAAGTTGAAGTGGATGTGAACGTTGAACCTCGCGCCACGGTGAGAGCAGTGTGACCGTTACATGTCACATACCCCAGTGATGTTCTGTGATGCTCAGTGATGTGGATGTGGCGAGTTCATAGATTTATCGAAACATGTAATTATTGATGGGTGAGCCAGTTTACCAGGCCTTCCAAGTCACTAACTACACCGAATTGATCACTATCTGTAGGGTTCATGTCGACCTGGTTCAATAATCCATCCCCCATGTGAACGAAGCGCGTCATAAGATTGTGTGCCACCCCCTGTTCCATCGCCCCTGGGCCACAAATCGGCGGATATGTAGGCGGTGGGGCTGCATATATCTGATCAGGAGTGAGTGTTACTGGTTCGTCCAACGTTTGGTCCACCGGCTCGACTTGTGAAGGAATAGTTAACTATGAGCAATTTGTGGAACCGCAAATCAATTCAGTCAGGATATATGTCGCACACGATGAAGCACTTCCAAACAAGCAGAAAAAAGCATGCTATAAGCGTAGAGGAGGTACGGAGTGGCATAAAAGGAGACGGGTCTTACCATATGGGACCTGTCAGAAGCGAAGTTACCCAGAAAGTTGAGGCAGGGAATCACTCGAAAAAGACTGCCAGTGTAACCGACAGTAAATCAGTTCAGCCTTTATCAGTGAGCCTTCCTTTACCCCTGAGTATTAATACAAACGCACCTCTGGTAATGTGGAGGGAAGTCGTGTTGAAGATCGAAGGTATCAAGGGCGTAGTCTGTGGTTTGGTCAAAAGCCTGGTCTCGCATTCAACTGAATCATCGTTCTCGGTTCTCACCTGGCCAGGGAGATGGATTCGTCGAGCGTGAATCAAAGTCATATACCCAGCTCATTGTCGAGACCACATCAGAATCTGCTGGCGTTGAAGGAGCGAACCAGTCGGCAGCTTTAGGCCGGACGACCAAGATGACGTGGTAATCCCAGACCACAACACCATCTCTCCCAAGTTTCTGATTCTTCAGAGCAACCTAGCATTATTATATAGGGAATGAACGCAACCTCCCAAGTCAGACATGGCTGCAAAACTCCACAAACCGTCTTCGTGTGATTCGAGATAAAGACCACGAATATGTCCCAGGCCTCACGAACAGAGAGCTGATCGTAGAACGCTTGCGCCAAGAGGTAGATGTTCTCCTCGCAATAGTGGCTAGTATAGGCGATATCAGCTGGTAAAGCCGGAGGACGACGAATCCCAGCAGTTGCGCTTGCCATCGGAGGATCAAGAATCTCTGAAATGGTCGGAAGATGACTCAAGTTATATAAGATGCATTCGAACTCCGCGTCGATCAGAACCGAATTATGAAATACAAGACTTCCCCGCAATCCCGCACTTCCGCCCGACCGAGTCACTGTCTGCCCTCCACCCTCCATCCACCGCTACAAAAAGACAATATGATATGTACAAAGGTCCAGTCAATTACTTCATCATTTATAGTCGTACAACTCGGAAACAGCAAGCTAAATATGCAGAGAACAGATCTATAACACAGTAGGTGGATAAAACGTTGAATCAGGACTAGTACTGGCAGAATTTCCGGACACCGAAGCACGGGATAATGCTGGTAAGGGACTGACCGGGACACGCACCGATAGCAGGGGTATGAGAAACACAAGACCGTTTCAACGACTCCTCACCAACACGCCCCGGCAAACATATCTGCTACCCCTCACTCCGCCCTGAATGCCTGACCAGGGTCCTACTTCATACTCCACGTCTGCGTCACCTTCTTCTTCCTGATATCCTCCAACTCTGGCGTGCTAGGACGGCGGTCGGGTACGTAGGGTACGAAGATTCCCTTGGAACTTGTCTGATGCTGCCTCTGTGGCGCTGGTGCGGAGTGGGTTGGTTGGTTTGAGTTTGAAGTTTGTGGAGTGGGGAAGGAAGTTGAAGAGGATTGGACTGCGTGCAGGTGCATGTGAGAGGCTGGTATATGGCGGGGGTATTGAGAGGGACGAGGAGATTGACGAGGTGCGTGTTGCATGCTTGTGAATGGGTGGGTTGCGAATGGGTCGAACGACGCGAGAGGCGACTGGTTCACAGTGGAGGTCGATGAGTTTGCAGACATGATAACGGTGAGTGGATAGATGGATGAGTGAATATTATATCGTGATTTGGTGAGGTGAGAGCTTGTTAGCGATGCTAGTAGAAGGTCTGTTGGAGTGGTAGGAGATGGGGAGCGAAAATGGGACTCTTCAGCAGAGCTTATATAGTGGTAAAGTGGGGGACCCAAGGAGTCCCGACGTGTGTCCGGTGTGTCTTGTATCTTCCATGCGCTGTCAGAACCACTCGGATTCACAATCTCTCATAATTCAAGAGTAACCGGATCGCGCAAAGCGGACTCAAGACGGAACAATTCATAGCTGACGGGACCCGATCCAGCTTGTCATGTGAATGCATGTTCCCCATGTTCTCAGTTCCTTACGGCCTTCCAGCGCTCCATCTTCCACAGGAATGCGGGGTAAGAGAAAGTCCTAGCTGCTCACAAGGGCCCTGGCTCAGGAGATCTGCAGATTCACGCTAGGCTCGGACCTATCACCGACGGTCTTCCTGAGCCAATAATAATCAATGTAGCACGATAATCTCGCAACTTTCAAGATAACTTTCCTCGTTCGCAGTTCACGAGTGTGAAGTCCGTCTTTTTGTGCGACCTTCCGAGCCTGCTGAGAGAGATACGGCGGATCATATGTTCTCTGTGTCTATCGGGGCGTCTGCTAGCTCTATTTCCATCGTACTCGGTGTGTCCGTGCCTCCAAATTCACGTCTCCGAGACGTTTACGGTGCACAGTTGTACATAAGTTGCATGCTGATTGTACGACCATCTCCGGGCCTCGCATTGCCAGCACCCCTTGCTACTGTCCTTCTGATACGCGTACGTTATCGTCCTGGCCTTTACGCCCACCCCATCCTACCCCAGAAAGATACTCTTCTGCGAATCATCCAGTGAGCTTGCACAACCGGACTCGCACGGCAACGGTCAGCCTCAGTCAGCGGACGATTGTGATATGATCGAAGTCGTTGGAAGTATATCACGGATGTAGCGAACGTTTGAGCGTGCCAGCGAGGTTCTCAGCTCTGGAAGCTGTGTGGGGGAAATTTGCAGGCGGATAGAGTTCAGATGTGCGGAGGGTGTGCGTATCAGACGAGGCAGGAGGCAGGACGGTATGAAACGGATGCAGCGAGCGGCAGGGGACGGGCCTGTGCGGCGAAACTTCGTACTTGGATCTATGTAAGGAGTCAAGCTCGAGCTTGTTGAACGAGGCCGAGAGCAAGTGATATGGCGTTGAATATGGGCAGGTGCGGGCAGGGCTTTCTCGGGGTCACCTGCTGGCGTTTGCCACCGTCAATAATAAATTTTTGAGACATCACGGTCTTTGTTCGAACGATATTTAACGACTCAAGAGAGTATTTTCTCTCCATATAGTAGGTTTTACCGCTCGTCATGCCTCAAGACTAGATATTCCCATCTAGACCGAGCTCGCCCTTCATAGCTGGAAGATTAGAGCAGTCAGCCAAAATATACAAGGTTCATCCAATTCAACTGATGGACATACGCTCAACCGGAGCCTTGCGACACCTCGGATGCTTTTCTTACCCCATGTTCAACATCCAACTTCTCTTGCCGATGATTGTCTCCGTTGAATGACCTCACTGGGGCAGCCCGAGCATTATGACTTCATACCCAGGCCCACTCCTTGCGAACACTAGAGTTTCGAACACAGCGAACGATGATATGAAATCAGGAGCGTAGATTGCGCGTGAATTTTCGTGCATCGGGACGAGATCCAGAAGTTGCGAAGGAATCGGAAAGAAGCGCGGGGGAAGATGAGGGCAAGATGAGGCTTAAAGTTACTGTGAACCTTGGGGAAGTTTGCGAGCCCTGCGAGCTATGTGTGCCTGTGATGGGAGATGCTGGTCGGTGTTGCGTCATTCACTCCCCTGTCGACGGACATCCGCGAGCTTGATATGCAAAATCATAGTCAGCCAAAGGTACCTAGCAGATACGGGGTGGTCCAGGCTGTCTCGGAAGCGGATATCGACCATGTTGAGGCTGGCATATGAAAGATGTTGCTGGGATAGATTAGGTGCGTGAGTAGAGACATCTTTAGACGTTGTAAATCTTCATATGTTTCACCGACGAATGACCACGGCTAGCTTAAGGCGGGAATGCAAAGTCAAAAATGGATGGGGCTCGCCAGCTGGAGATATCGAGATGAGGCTGGATAACCGTAGCTGTGCTGGTGCAGTCGTCATCGAACGTCGTCTACTCCTGTCTGAAGAGGCTTTCAGAAGTAGATTAGCCTCAGGGATACGTACAACTGAACATAGCGAAGGAAGCAAAACCTAACGAAACCGATGTTAAGTCCGCGTATCAGTACGTTTGATATTAGTATTAGTACGAGAAATAACAAACACTGTGAGTTGAACTCGATATGCAGGAACTTGAGACATGACATGGCGTGATTTTATGGCATACACGTGCGGCCGGTGTGTGTAGTGTCAACGGACATTACAGGAATTTCAACGAGCTCGACGTCAGTAAACCGCGATGCTCGGCAAGATTCTCACATGTGGGTATCTCTGTGTCGCCAGGGTGTGTCCATTGCGATTGGATGGCTGAAGCTTATATTACGGCGGCAAGGCTGGAATGGTCCAGAGAATGGCGAGAGGGAAAGGCAAGGGGCGATATACGTATGAGCAACTACATCGGTCATGACAGAACTACGGCTCACCTACATACGAGCACGGCGTTTCTTCGTTCCAAGCGCTCAAGACTGCACCTTCCCGAAAGCAACGGTAATCGACATGTTCCTATTATGCACCACTTACGAGGAGGGCAATACCCCTATCTCACTTTAACAAGGAGAGGATTTCCCTCGACGGCGGGCTTGCACCTACTGGGATGCGAGGTCGCCGAGGAGTTACTTCATCTAAAGGACAGACAGGGGCCGGGGAAGGACACTGTCTCCGGATTTTGGGAAGGGCTGTAATTCATCGACCATGAAGTTGGTGGACAGAGCGATGACGATTTGTAATGTATGCATTTCTCGATCGAGGATAAAACAAGAACAAGGTCTGACGAGACACACGGAGATGAGTCCGGTGGCGCAGAGTGTCATGGTAGGCATTGGCGTCATCTTTGATGTTGTCGAGTTCGCAAGTGGGCTTCCTCAGCCTGGAGATAAGCAGCACAGTAGGATAATTCGAGTGTGGGATGCATGCTGCTCGAAGTATCAGTTACAGATAGGAGAGAAGACGCGCGAGTCTCGCACATGAAAGCACCGCTGTCGATGAGATCCTCCAAAGGAGAGAGAAGCTATTACATCGTCAAGCACAGCGTGCTGAATACTTACTAGGCTGATGTGGGTGTGATATGCTGTCGACTAGCATCGAGACCTCTTGGGAGTAACACAGTGATACCTACTAGAAAGGTTGCTCTTCTTTGAGTAGAAGTGAGTCTCGTTTGTTTGTCGTCTGGCAGTTTTTGAGGTAGAAGAACGGAGTTATCGTACGGTAGCGCTGCAGTATGGACGATAAACAGAATTACAAGTTTGCACCTGTATGACAGAGGAGCACTGGTCTGATGCGTGTTAATCCTTGCGCCGAGAAAAAAGGGAAAAAGCGGTGCACGTACGGGGAAGATGAGGGTGGCGCTAGCACTAGAAAAATGAATACGAGGTTTGTCTCGTAGCAGCTGAGGAAGAGCATAGGAAACCAAAGCCAATATTCGCAGTACCACATGAGTGCCATATTCAGGGGAGACAAGAACACAGCATAGACAGCGAGTCTGAGGGTGATTTCTAGAAAGCGACACCATGAGTTCAGGCACTGAGCACGTTCAACCAAGTCTGAGGATGGGGACGTCCACGTAGGCGGGAAAATCGAGGGGAATACATAGCCTCAGGAAGCGATATATTGAGAGGCAGAAGTAGGATCAAGTTGGAATGTAAGAGCGGGAGGTTGGGTTGGGAACGGTGTTTGACGGTCGTGGGAGACCGGGGCTACGTCGGGTAGCGGCGGGGGCTATTTTTGCCATATTTTCCTGTTGGGGAGCCGTTGGGCGGAGAGGAAACGCCGCCGAGGCCGACAGTGCGCGGGTCCGGGTCGAGAGCCGAGGAGAGTGACTGAGCTCAGCGCGCTCCATCCCTCCATCATCCCGTCCTCCTCAATCCTCTTTCTTCTCAAACGTCGGCAGGCCCTTCAGTTTCTACCGCCATGTCGACCCCGGCTGCTGGTGAATTGTCAGTTACTATTTCTCTCTCTTTATATGTGTCATTTGTTCTGACAAAATCCACCAACCGTGCAGGAAGAAGATCAGGATCACAGGTCTGTACTCCCTTGGCCTTGTTCTGCTTCGCCACCCACTTACACATTCTTCTTAGTCGTCGCTGCCGATGGCTTGTCCAAACGCGATGTCTTTAGACTACCAGATCCTTTCGCTGTCATCACCGTGGACGCGGAGCAGACGCACACAACGAGCGTCATCAAGAAAACACTTAATCCCTATTGGAACGAGAGCTTCGATATGTGCGTCCTAATCTTAATCGTACAATACCTCACTCCTCAATTCACACGAATATAGCATGGTCAAGGAGTCGTCTGTCGTTGCCGTTCAGATTTTTGACCAGCGCAAGTTTAAGCGCCGGGACCAGGGGTTTTTGGGCGTCGTAAATGTTAAAGTCAGTGACGTGCTCGATCTAGAATTGGGCGGCCATGGTGCGTAGTCATGTTTTGAAATCCCTCTCAACCCTCCTAAATTTCCCCGATGCGCCCAGAGATGCTTCAAGTGGACCTCAAAAAGTCCAACGACAATCTCGTCGTACACGGCAAACTTATTGTATATCTCTCCACCAACCTCAGCCAGCCTGCCACCAACTCTCGCCCTGCCGCTGGCACATCTGGCCTCACCAACGCCCTTGGAGCTATGAACATGAACGAGTCTCAGCTCTCTGTCAACAACCCCGCTGCGGGCAGTAGCTCCGCCGCGCTTTCTCGCACCCCTAGTTCTCACGCCAATCCCCAGGACCAGCACGTCACAATGCCTACTCCCTCTGTATCTGCTGAGCCCGAGCAGCCATCACCTAATGCTGGTGCCCGCCCCATTAGCTCTTCTGGCACTGCTCCTCCTCCATCTAACGCCCCCACCGCTGCACGTACTACTGCCCCCGGAGTCGTCTCACCAGGACAAACCGCAGTCGCAAACAGTCAGGCGCAGAACAACTTCAACCCCAATGAGGATCAGTTTGGCCAGCTTCCGCCAGGCTGGGAACGCCGCATTGACCCTCTTGGCCGAACCTACTATGTCGACCACAACACTCGTAGCACGACTTGGAACAGGCCTTCGGCTTCCGCGACTACAAACACCCATGTACAAGAGGGCGAGACCAACGCCGCTAGAGATCAGCACAACCGTCGTATCCTTGCTGATGATCTCCTCGAGGCAAACAACTCCAATAACATGGCCCGAACCGGTTCGGCAGTTGCACAACCTGCAAACACTGCTGCAGCTGCCGTCGCCGCGAGCACGAACGCGACGACGCCAGGGAGTGGAAACTTGCCTGCTGGCTGGGAGGAGCGCTACACACCAGAAGGTCGGCCGTATTACGTCGACCATAACACCCGCACAACGACATGGGTCGACCCCCGTCGGCAGACTATCATCCGCGTCATGGGTCCGAACGGCCAGAACACCGCACTCCAGCCACAAACGATCTCGCAGCTCGGACCACTTCCTTCTGGTTGGGAGATGCGTCTTACGTCGACGGCCAGGGTATACTTCGTGGACCACAACACCAAGACAACGACTTGGGACGACCCGAGGTTGCCTTCGAGTTTGGACGCGAATGTGCCGCAGTACAAGCGCGACTTCAGGAGAAAGCTTATCTATTTCAGGAGTCAGCCGGCAATGCGCGCACAGCCTGGGAACTGCCAGATCAAAGTCAGGAGGAATCATATCTTCGAGGACAGTTATGCAGAGATTATGAGGCAGACGCCAAACGACTTGAAGAAGAGGTTGATGATCAAGTTCGACGGAGAGGATGGTTTGGATTATGGTGGTCTCTCCAGGTCAGTGGCGATGTTTCTTGTATCTGGCTTTCCTTGCTGACCATGCGCCACATTCCAGAGAATTCTTCTTCCTGCTCTCGCACGAGATGTTCAACCCCTTCTATTGCTTATTCGAGTACTCGGCGCACGATAACTACACTCTGCAGATCAACCCTGCATCAGGCGTCAACCCGGAACATTTGAACTACTTCAAGTTCATTGGTCGCTGTCTCGGTCTCGGTATCTTCCACCGTCGCTTCCTCGACGCGTACTTCATCGTCAGTTTCTACAAGATGATCCTGAAGAAGAAGGTCACACTCGCAGATCTCGAGTCCGTCGATGCTGAACTTCACCGTGGCTTGACATGGATGTTGTACGTGCATTTTTGTTTCTTTGCTATCGTAGGTAGCGACTCACCGGCGTGTACAATTCTTCAGGGAGAACGACATCACAGATATCATCGACGAGACGTTCACCACCACGGAGGAACGTTTCGGCGAATTGGTCACCATCGACCTCAAGCCGGGCGGTGCCGACGAGCCTGTGACGCAGGATAACAAGAAGGAGTACGTCGACCATGTCGTCGAGTACCGTATCTCGAAGCGCGTCAAGGAGCAGTTCGATGCGTTCATGTCCGGTTTCAGCGAGTTGATCCCTCAGGACCTGATCAACGTGTTCGATGAACGCGAACTTGAACTGCTCATTGGCGGCATGTCCGAGATTGATGTGTACGTGCCATTCTATTTATTTAATCTAGCTATGCCTCATTTTTCCGTTGAATTTAGTGATGACTGGACGAAGTTCACTGACTACCGTGGCTACGAGGTCAACGACGAGGTTATTCAGTGGTTCTGGAAGTGTGTTCGTTCGTGGCCTCCCGAGCGCAAGTCGCGCCTGCTCCAGTTCGCCACAGGTACCTCGCGGATACCCGTCAATGGTTTCAAGGACCTCCAGGGCTCGGACGGTCCAAGACGGTTCACGATCGAGAAGGCAGGAGATCCGAGTCAGCTGCCGAAGAGTCACACATGCTTCAACAGGATTGACTTGCCGCCGTATAAAGACTATGCGAGCTTGGAGCAGAAGCTGACGCTGGCTGTTGAGTGCGTACCATATCTCTTGTCCAGTTGTTTGGTCGTGGTTTGCTGATGTTTTGACTCCGTTCATAGGGAGACTGTCGGGTTCGGTCAGGAGTAAACGAACTGATCTCTCGCATCCTCATCTAGTCCTATCTTTTTCTTCACCCACGGCTGTCCATAGTCTGTTTCATTTATCTCTTATCTCGGTCTCTCTACTCGTGCTTGTCCATCTGAACATGTAGTACTACTCCCCCTATCTCCTTAGTCCCATATATGTCCCTCTACTTTCTATACTCATCTCTTGACATTCCTCCTCGGATCCTGGATGAATGCAGACTACGTCTCCACCCGGCCTCCGTCGAGAGCTCTCAGATACGACTAGCGTTCCGTTCATGTTTATTCTCTCTATTGCATGGTTCACCGGCGTCTTGCGTCCGGTCGGTTTCTTTCTCCTTTTCCACCATCTCCGATCGGGTGTACAGTTCTCGTTCTTCGTCGTCGGGTCCGTTTATCTTACCTTAGCCTACCTCTAGCCACTCAAATTTCGGTTTCGATTGGTCTGTATGAAGAGCATTTTGTTTGATCGTTTGACTTTTGCCCTGTTCCCTTTTGTGTGTCGTTCGGCGGGTACGCTTTTGGGTACGTTGTTTTACGTAGATCGCGTGAGTGGAGTAGCTAGCTTTCACTCTCATCATTAGCCGCTACTACTCTTATGAATGGACAATGTTGCTCTATCGGCCGTAAGTACGTACGTGGTTGGATACGAGCAAGTGCGAGTGGGATGAGATGCTGGCATGATATAGGTTGCAAGGTAGTGGGCTCAGTGCCCTTTACTGTCACAGCCCGTGCCTTCGTTCTATATCTGTCTAAGGTGTCTAATGTGTGTAGCTCCTCTAGTCGTCCGACTGTAAAGCTAGCCGTGTCCTCTTTTTACGCCCCAATAGGAGTCAGCCCAATCGCCTCATCCCTCGCACCCCCACTCGCACTCCCTCTACTCACAACACTACCCCCACCGAACCTCCGCCCATGCATCCGCGGTGCAATCCGTCTGAGAACCTTCCTCCACGGACTGACTTCGAATATTTTGTCCAACCCTTCGAGCGAGACGCCCCTACTCTCCGGTTGGAAAAGGATGCAGACGATGACGGTGATGAGGGCGCAGGCGCCGAAGAGGAAGTAGGGGCCTGAGGAGGAGCGGGAGAGGAAGAGGGGCGTGGAGAAGGCGATGATCCAGTTGACGACCTATTTGTTGACAATGCAAAATCGCGATGAGAGGCCAGTGGCAAAAACATATGATATGTAAAATGGGACAAAGCAGTTATTCCCGATGAAAGCTGCTGGCTCACCCAGTTCGCGCATTGTCCGAGAGAGGTGGCAGCTGCTCGCGTGTGCATCGGTTGGATCTCAGAACAATAAATTCGATTTACGACGGCCCACGACGTGGCGTAGGCCACGACGAAGACGTAGATGAGCGCTATGATCGTCCATTTGCCGGCGGTCGTGGTGGACGCCTGGCTGGCGTAGAGAGAACCGATGGCGATCATGGTCCCGGAGATGACCAGGCCGCCGTTGATCATCGAGCTGTGGCGGCCCCATTTGTCGGTGAAGATTTGGGTGATGATGGTGCATACGATGTTGAGAATACCTGCTATGCCGGATGCGAGAAATGCGGATGTTGTTGAAGATAGTCCTGCTTGAGAGAACAGTACCGGCGCATACTGTTTCGCAACGTTTGCATAAGCTGCCTCATCAGAAATTAAATTATGGAACAACGCACATAGAGAACACCGTCGATCCCACATGCCTGTGAAGTTGTGAGCCATGTAAACAAAATTTCTTGTACAAAGGATATACCTGTTGCATGCCCATCAAGAAGACACCCAGCAACGTCCGCTTCCTCACATCTTTGGCGAACAACGCGGTGACGGTGACACCCTTGCGTTTGTCCCTGACATTCGCTCCAGTGCGAGCATACTCTTGTTCGGAAGTGAGCTCGTCCCTTTCCCGCTCTTCCACCTCTTGCTCCTTCTCCGCTTCGGTGGCCGTGAAACCGAGTCTCGCCCAGGCTCGCGCCGCGTCTTCCGTTCGTCCGACATGTTGGAGCCACCGAGGGGAGTGAGGAAGAAAAAGCGAGCCCGCGGAGAATATGAAAGAAACGATCGCCTGCATGATGAATAACAGTCGCCAGGAGACGGAAGATGACAGGTTGATGCTTCCATAAGAAACAAAATATCCTAGATGGTTCATGAGGTAGATACACAGCAGGGATAACGTTAGATCCTTACCCGCTGCAATACCAGTGGTGATCAAAAGCTGGCATAAACAAGAGAGTCTTCCCCTCAGGTTGGTGGGAGAAATCTCCAAGATGTAAACCGTGACCGTAGACAAGAATAACCCTTCGCCCACTCCTGCGATACACCTGCCGACGAAAAGCTGAGGTAATTTGTAGGATGTGCTGGCTATGAGGGACCCGACGCCAAAGACCAGACCACCAAGCGCAAAAGTACGAGTGCGAGAAATACGGTCCGATAAATGGCCAGCGAAGATGGATGAGATTGAAGCTGTGATGAGGATTGAGGAGACGATGAGACCCTGGAGAGTGGCGGAGATAGAGTTGAATTGAGCTTCAAACTGTGGCATGACGGTTACTGGGCCAATCGATCCTACATAAGTGGTGAGTGGGAACCAGCAGTGCTGACATCATCCAGGCATTGAGATTCACCTGTATCAAAACCAAATATAAATCCGCCTATGGATGCGAATACAGTGCACAATGTGTATGTATGGAGGTATTGGCTGGTTGCACGTTGCATTCGCTGTTTGAACGTAGTACGCGTAGGTTCAATGGGTTGGCTGATAGAAGTGACCATTTAGAGTAAGCATTCGGGCCCGATAGTTTTATCGCGAGTTGAGCGACCTTTCGAAAGGGGGCATCGCTGTTTGCAGGCCCCGCTCTTGAACCTCGAACGGGGCTTTCTTAAGGTATGCGTGAGGGGTAATAGGCTGATATAAAGGTCAGGGAACCTACCGAGTGAGCATCATCGGAATCAGAGGAGGGCGTCATGTCTCAGCTAAAATCTCTAGTATAAGTACTGGCCCTTCACAGACTGAACAGAGTGGGCAATTCAGATGAGACGCAGATGAAAAAGTCCTGTACGAGAGCGCAAGCGGTAAGGGCAACTTTCTTGAAAGAATACAGCGACCACTTTTATATGCCAGCCTCGAAATTTTCGTTGGCGTGGAGGTCCGAGTCGCTGAGTACGAAGGAGAGGCTAGCGGTGGCATTGCGTTGGTTCGGAGAGATGGACTTTTTACGAAGTCGCACGGACCTGTATGGACCCGAGGACGCCAAGCACTCGGGCAACGCGTGTCGTCACCATGAGCCGATCGCGTGGATCACGGCGTGTCTACACGCGTAAACAAGTGTGAGAAAATAGACCTAGAATGGAAATGTCCAACATGGTCTTGTCCTTTGGGCCCTTGTCGCCAGAGCAGCTTGGACCCTATCCCTTTCTGCCCCTTTCTATCCTTCATCCCTACCCCTAGTCTTGCACTAACTCGGCCCATCTCTATACCACAAGTTGACTAGCAATGCTCGTCGGGAGTGTTGCTGCAGCAGTCGCGTCGATTGAGACGCGGTGCCGGGAGCTTGAAGAGGAGAACGGCAACCTCCAGATTACGGTGGAAACCCTTGCCACATCAGAGAAACGTCTCGCCACACAACTTAAACGATGCGAATCACAACGCGATCGTGCTCAGGAGATCCTCGATGCGCTGGAAGTAGAGAGGATGACTCGCATGGAGGAGGACCAGGCTACTGACGACGCCCGTATGGAGGAGCTCACCGCCCAATTCACGAATATTCAACACCGCCTGGAGAAGAAGATTGCTGAGCGAGACAGGCAAATTGAAGACCTTCAGAAGCAGCTTCAGTCTGCTACATCTCGTCCTACTCCGGTGCGCATTTCGTCCCTGTTACCAGCTCCGCCTCCAGCCAACATCTCCGCTATGTCAGACACAGCGAACAGCCTTGTCTCGGCGTCCGTCTTTTGTCGATGTCCTATCCTCAGCTCGTCCGCGAACCTCTGCGTACCAAGAGGATGACAGCAGACGGGGGCGAACCCAATCCCGTTCATCGAAACCTGCGAGTCGAATGGCAATGAGGGACAACTCTGAAGACGGTGCTTTTTTGGCACCAAGCTCATCGTCGCCTCATCCTTCACAACCTTCGAGCGCGGAGACCAGCATGACTCAGATCACGGTGAGAACTGGTTTCCTCTCTTTCTGCTGAGGTTATGGCAATAGTGTTTACTCTTTGGGATTTAGTCTAACTCCTCTTACCGCTCGAAGCCTCCGTCACCGTCTCCGGAGAGTAGCCCGGTACGTAACCTAAGTTTGGTCATGTCACAAGACTTACCTTTTTTTTTGTAGCAGCGACCTGATCACACGCAAGCCGATACGAGAGGACGCGTTGCACAACGAGCTACGCCCGCGAGGCCCAGGGTGAGTCCTCTCCAGGAATGTGACGACATTTGCATGTCTTGACCTCAATTGCGGCTCCTTTCAGAAATCCGTGCAAGAATATCCTGCTTCACAATCTCAGAGTGCACGATCGGTAAATCCTTTTGGTATCGACCGTTGAGTCTACTCTGATCAATCGATGCGTTTAGACGAAGAGTACTTTCGTTGGTGTAGTCGTCCCGCCTCGCTCTCAGTCACGAAATGCTCGACCTTACGCCACCGTTGTACGCGTCTTTATCACCGGCATCTGAGACAGTCGTGGATACTCAACTACTCTTGTAGGCATCAAGGACGCGCTCTCGCTCTCATCCCCGGGTACAAGACTCATCCGATACGGCAAATGAACCGACATCGGAATCTTCACCAGTTTCCGAGCACCATCGACATGTCAACCCTATCAACGCTAGGCTTACTAAGGTTCGCTTGCAAGATGAAGAAGATATCATCTCGCCCCGAACGGCGTTGGCAGACGTCGTAAACGGCTCTTTTGACTCGGAGGAAGACCTCTCCATCGATGACGCTCATCCGCCTGGTACAGTCTCGAAGAAACGGACACACCACGACTCCGACGACGAGTATGAACCTCCCACTAAGAAAGGAGCTGCACGTCCTGCTGACCACAAGCGTGCTGTGGCTACGCCTCATACTATGCGCAAGAAAAAGTGGGTCTCTTCTTCAACATCCTCTGTGCGCACCATCTTGCTAACGAGAGTTGTGCATCCCAAGGGGCGGCGCAGATAAGCAACAAGAGTTGCAGAACCTCGACCATGTGTATGGTCGACCACTTGGTCTATCTTCTCCATTGACACCCTATCCGTACGAAGAAATGGATATCGGTGCGGAGGTGCGGAGGTTTCTACAATATACAGTCAACTATGTGCATGCTAACACTTTCCTGCGTATGATGGTCAGTTCCAGGACGTAGAATCGCCGTTGCCATCGCCCATCACCCATGCAAAGGCACTCCCAAATCCCAACGAGTTCGCCAAAGGGCAGTTGGTCCTCGTCCGCACTTACTTCCCCTCTCAACTTCGAACGGACAGAGAGGGTCTTCCTGGAGCCCTCGCCACCTGGGAGGGCCCTTTCAAGGTGCTCGACATGGTCAAATCCATGTCTTCCGGCGAGCCCACCCAATGGAAGCTGGACATCTCACTCGGGCCCGATAGTAAGCCATGGCTCGCCTCTTTCCCCGCCTCTCGTCTCCGACACTTCACCGGTGCCCGGGGCCCAGAGGAGTACAGGCGCGAGGTCGTCAGTTCTCTACGATATGGGAACAATGGCCAGCCGAGGAAAGCCATCGAGACGATTGTGGCACAGATGAAGCATGGCAAAGGGCTATACTTTTTGATACGGTGGGAAGGCTATGGAGTAGAGCGTATGGAGTGGAAGACGAGGAGCGATGTGAACATCAAACTGGGCAAGAAGGGAAGGGAGATCTTGAAGTGGTGGGAGAGCGTACTGGCCGATGAACCGAATGACTCTGATGAGGCGTGACGAGTTCATGGCATAGGTTTTCTGTATCGCTAGTTTGCTTTGTTTTTGGATCTCGCTGTGCTGCATGCTTACTATCACGACTGTGAGTACCGTCTTCTCTGTTCCAAGAATTGTTTGAAAGCCCTTGCTGATCAGTTGAATGTTTCCCTAGCTCACGACTCGTTCGTTGTCCGATCTTCTTTGCTTTTCACGCCTATCCAAGGCCTTCGGCCTTTCTTGTCTTGAGTATTGCTTATTCTCTCCTATATTCTTGTCCTGTACCTGATTACTATGGGTGACCATGGCCGTATTTTCTTGTCTCGTAACATCTCTTTGGCTCCACCATCTTGTGTCTGTGTACTGACGCTATAACGTCTCTATATCTTCTCGATGTTTCTCCTATATACGTGCTGAGTACGATCGAGCTCTCTTGTATCGTCTGAGCAATTATGCTTTTTTTCTAACAGTCTACCAGATACTTTATGACAGTTATTATCTACACTCCCATGACAAGTGGGCTCTTTCTTGGATTTCTTTGGACCCCGCTGTGCGATCTATTAGAGCATAATGGTGGCCGCTCTCCTGTGTCGTCGAGCACATACAAACTCTGACAAGAGGATATTGTTTTGTACAACAAAAGTGGTGCATATAGCCCATGTACGCCCAATACAATCACCGCCGCGATGGTGTATCGGATATTGCTGTCACTAAAGAATCCCGGCCACTTCCGAGCTCTTCCGAGGTGGCTGGTTCAACACAGTCCGATGCCACATCGCGGCACCCCAAGCAGGCTGAGAGCACGCTACATTGCAGGTTTAATTCCGGGCTTCCTGTGAAGATAAAAATGAAAAAACCCGAGTGGCTCAGTCTGCACTACATGGCACATTTTTTTTGTTTAGGAACCAGGGCTAGGTTTTCCTGCTTGTTTATGTCACAAAGCCGAGCCCCCGCTCGACCATTTTGGCATTGCTATCGTCCTCCAGTCAACGTCAGGGTTCGTGTATTCACATTGGCATAGGACACGGTAGTGGGCATACTCAGTACAACAACCGGGCAACAGGGAATACACGGATAGCGCATAACGATACACCAGTAACTTCCGGGGTGAAATACACAATATTGATTTGAACCGTCCAGAACCCAACTTCTACGCGGTATATTCTCCAAACTTGACATGTCCCGTCTCGCTCGCATGAGCACTTGCCTCCTTCTCACCTTTCAAGCCCTTGCCACAAACCTATGCACAACCAACAAACCGATCAACATTACTTGCAACAAAAAGAAAGGATAGAGCGGAAGAAACGACAACGCAAAACGCACCTCGCACTTCAAATCAAACGTCGCCGTATTCGTAAACTTCCTTTTCTCTCTCAACTTCCCCGCCAACCCCTTCAACGCCTCCAACACCTCATCGCTCCCCTCATCCTCTCCCAAGATCGGAACAATACTCGTACAGAAGTCCGCAGGGACGCCGAGCTCTGGCGCTAGCACCGCCGCATCGTAATGTATCCCGCTATAGATGAGGAGTACGCGATTGCCTGTCGAGGATCCGGTGGAAGGGGTGAAGTGGTCGATGCGGCCCGTTTCGACGTCGATGGACGCGATTTCGGTGGAGTAGTGGGTGGCGAGGATGGATAGTTCGATGGCGCCGCCCCAGGAGTTGGGGGAGAGGATGGTGGAGATGTAGTCTATGCGGGAACGTCTGGTGGGTGGGTGGTTGTGAGATGGCGATGAATAGGGGAGAATGGAAGGGAGTGTGGCGAGAGGCGGAGACGTACCCGAGGATGGCTTCAGTCCATGTTTCGGAGTCGTCACGGATGGCATCAGCAACGACTATATGAGAAGCAGTAAGTATTAATGATAGCATGATCATATCCGTAGGATACTCAGACGTACTCTGTCGGATAGTTTTCGACTTCTTCATGTCTTGCTCAAAGACCAACGCCACAGAAGAGAACAGACATGAGTTATCATCTGGCACAATCTACACGTAGCATTCACGCCCTCAGTGATATTTCCATCTCCGGGAGTTGTATCACGTACCTGATGTACGAGGTATTGTCCGCCCACTTCTACATAATCAGGACCTCCATCGCCTCCGCCCCCAGCAGCGGATCGTGACGAAGTTCCCGCTGAAGATGCAAACGGTGGTATGGACGCCGGTGGGTTCACAATTCTAGCTCCAGGATCAACAGGCAACGATGGTCCAGAAGGTCGTGCAGACGAAGCACCACCAGTCGATACAGGTGCAGCAGAGCGAGACGAAGGCTTCTCAGTGACGATGAGCTGTTCGCCTGGCGAAATCGCTAGACTCGAGAGGGGAAGCTCAGGGACAATACCGGTGAGTTGTTTGGGTGGATATCCTGCTCTAACTGTAGAGAGATGAAGAGTGCGAGCGCTGAGGACGAGTCAATGTGATGCTCGATGGATGACGCACGGTCTTGGGCTGAGGGTGGGATCTCCGAGGCTGCGAATATTTCCTGCTGAAGATCCTGGACGGTGAACGACTCGAAGTCGACTTGAAGGGTTAGGACGCCCTTGGGATGGCGAAGCCGGATGGGAGCCATGATGAGAACAAGTGCGAACGCTGCGTGCAGACAAGAAATGAATGTCCCGCGAGCAGACGACTCAATCGATGACGTCGCCACGCACCGTGAAGTAAAAGATGTCTGCAAACATATCGCAAGAAAGACGACGCCAGCAGGATTTGAACCTGCGCTCCCATAGGGAAACAGATTTCTAATCTGTCGCCGTAACCACTTGGCTATAGCGCCTGAAATATGTGGCCTTCTGTCTCTTCATATTCCAATTCATGATGTGAACAGGCCTCCAAAGAGATTCGGCTCTTTTGCGAGAACTTTGTGCATCGTCAGTCCCGCAAATCAGCTGCGAAACCCGCCGGGATCTTCAGTTATACGCAGCCAAATCCATTATAGCAGAATACACTTTCTACTCATCGCCCTCACCGTCACCTTCCTCTTCTTCACCCTCTTCGAACTCCTCTACGAACCCTTCTTCATCCTCCTCGTCTGGGACCACAAGACGAAACCTCGGCCCATAAAGTACCCAGAACCCCACAGTCCCCAACGCCGCCATCCCGATCCACAACCGCCTCATTCTATCAAACCGCTTATCCTCCTCGCTTTTCTCCTCTGTAGCACCCCGTCTATGGAACAGACCGGCAGGGTTGGCCGACCAGGACGTGAAGGAGGGGAGTAGGGAACGTATGGAGTAGGTTTCGGGTGGGAGCATGTGCAGCTGGGTTTTGTAGGTCTCTTGGGCCGGCGCGATGGCCAGGGTGGGGAAGGCCGTGCGGAGGACACGGTCAGCATGCGAGACGAGGGTTGGATAGGAAGATTCTAGTAGGGAGGCGAGGAAGGGGTTTGGGAAGGGTGGTTTGAGCATGAGAAGGATGTGTGCGGCGAGGAAGACATCGATAGACGTTGGACTACAACGACGTCATGGTGTTAGTATCCCTCCGTTCCAGAGTTTGAGATGTCTCAAGTAGCCTACCGGTCGTAGTAAAAGAACCGATTCTCGCCCAGTAGACGTGAGTAGAGGTCGAAGGCGTCCCTTGCTCGGTCAAGCACCTAAACCCCAGCTATTAGTCAAGCCCAAATACAACAGAGCTCACAGATAAATAGGCTTACTCTCTCCCTCTGGAATGTCTCTTTGAAGATTTTCTTTGGGTCTGCCTTCTCCTCCTTCTTTTGACCGAACTTCTTTTCGGCCTCCTTATCCTCTACTTCTTCTGCATCAACATCCCACAGACCGCTGGCAGCAAGCCGGTTTTGATGCATCTCGCGCATACGATGTGGGACATAGTACCTCTGTGGAACCGAGAGGAAAGAGATGAGGGCTGGGTGGGTCACGCCGGTGTAATTCGTTGGGACGGAGTAGAAGTTATGAGCCTGCCAGAGCTTTGAATGAGCACAATATATTCACTGCAAATTCAGAGAATAGGATGCGCACGACAAGGTCTCCGAGTGTAGTCAGGATATGAGCACACCAAGCTGTTCGCTGGGCACGTTCAACAGGACTGAGCAGCGCATCGAGGTTGGTGGAGAATATCTGTTCCGCGCCAGACTCATCCTGGACAGGTAGAGAGTTCGGCGACAGACCCGAAACATATTTTATGATGGTGGACAGAGGCGCGGCAAGGTGATTTCCATGAGTCAAGTAGGGAAACTGTCCTACACAAAGAAAATATTGAGCAGATAGTTCCGGGACGTCAACGAGGAGAAATGAGGTATCATACCCACCACTGGGACTCTCGTCTGGATTGGCACACTCGATTACTGAGAAGCGGTGTGGGATGGCAAGTTGGAGATAAAGCACTGAGGCAAGACTAGCTGGATCAATGGAGGGAAGGTCCCATTTTCCTGGATAGATGTGGAGGACGGGCGTGCCCAGGATGTTCGCCATGGTGGCCAACTCTACGAGAGAAATATAGGTGAACCGCGAAGAGGGACGCGTCTCCGGGCCGGCGACCCGCCGTCGCGTCTCGCCCTGCATCGTTGCTCGCCACACTCTTCTTGCTCTCCGCTGTTCTAGCTTTTCGACTTCCCCGCACTCTTGCTCCACAGTCATGGACGAAGACCTCATTGTCGTTGACGACTTTGAGCCCCAGAAACCGCTTACTAATGGCAACCACACTCACCCTGTTGCCTCAACTTCGACTCCGACAACGACGAGCACCCGACCCCAACGTGCCGCCGCTCGTCGACGAGGCTCTCCTAGCTATGACCCCGACTTCGTCTCCACGGAACGTACAACCCGCTCTCACACCAAAAGTCGCTTCGCACCAAAGCTCAAACTGAAGCTGAGCGACAAAGCCGCTGCCAATGCTCCTGGTGTCAGCTTTCTTGGTCCGTATGATAGGGAACTCGACTCGGACGATGAAGAGCTTTCATTCGAGGAGCAGTTCATCCTTAGGATGCCGGAGGGAGAAGACTGTGAGAGGTTGAAGAAGGCGGTGGCTAGTAGGGAGGTTGGACCGGACGTGTGGTTCAAATTCAAAGGTGCGTGGCGTTATGGCTTACTCCCGGATATCTTGTACGTTTTCCTGCTCTGATACGGCATTTTCGCTTTTTTGCGTGTGATAGACTCTCGAAGAGCTGTTTTCCACATAGGAAATCACATATACTCCTCTAAACTCGTCGACCTGCCATGCATCATCGAGTCACAGAAGACGCTCGACAATAAGCAGATGTTCAAGGTCGCAGACATATGTCAGGTCGACACCCTCGCTTTCTCTGGAATTTGTTCTGTTCTGACATCTAAGCGTTGTGTGTAGATGTTGCTGGTTGAAGATAAGATCCCAAACGAGGATGCGCTAGGGAGCAACAAAACATTCAATATTGACGACTTCATCTGGCCACACGGTATCTCACCACCCCTCCACCATGTCCGCAAACGTCGTTTTCGGAAGCGTATCAACAAGCGGACTATCGAGAGCGTCGAGCAAGAAGTCGAACGATTGCTGGAGGAAGATTCTATGGCTGACGAGGTCAAGTTCGGTTCGTGTCAATCTATCAGTATAGCTAACGCTGAGGATATTGACCCTATCATTCATTACGTTCAGACGTCCTCGATAACGTCAATCCCGACCTTTCAGACTCCGAATACCTTGAGCGGGAGGATGAACCTCTCGACCCTCAAACACCCGGTGGCCTCGCTTCTGAGCTCGGTGACGCTCCCACACCTGCTGCAGGCGCATTAGAGAAACATAGCGATGACGAGGAGCTAGACGAGGATGACGAAGGAGACGGTGACATCGATGAGGAGCTCGCAGCCGAACTTGATCTCGCGCTCAATGACGAGCAGGGGGATGAAGAAGAGGACGAAGAAGATGAGGAGAGTGAAGATGAAGACGAGGATGATGAGGACGAGGACGAGGATGACGAGATCACACAGGCTCGTCAGCTCTTGAATGAAGAGATCGGAGACTTGGAGAAGGCGGTTCAGAAGAAGGAGCACGAGGTGGCTAGTGCGGGCAACCCGCTGATCAGGAGGAGGTTCGAGGATATGTTGAAGAAGTTGAGTGCGGACCTGGAAATGAAGAGAGCGCAGAGGGACGAGATGAGGGAAAAGGCGAGGAGGAAAAAGCTGGGACTTCCGGAAGATGATGGGGCTGGAGATGATTCAGGCGGGGAAGGAGCGGGTGAGGGTGACGATGACGGTGAGGAGGGCGGTCACGGCGACATGGAGTTGGCCATGGAGCTTGCCATGGCGATGAGTGGACCCCCTGGACCACTCGGCATCCCTCAGCAAGGACCACCCGATATGATTGATGAGGATATGGATCTGTTTGGTGGTGATGGTGAAGATGACGGTATGGATGTTGCTGCAGGGTAGTTCCGGCTGTCGTGCGTGACCTTCATCCTCTGTATTTTTAATCTTATCCTCCACGTTGTAATTATAATCCAGTGCTTTCTGACCGTATTATCCTTAGTCCTTAGCGCTCGCGCATTCATCGCTTGTAAGGACTGGCATAATGCATGGCGGCTTCAGGCTTTACTGGATTTGGGGCATTGTTTGTCCATTCGCCGATGCCTCCGCTCACCATAAGGTTATCGGCTAACTAGCGATTCTGTTCAATGGATCCATTAACAAAAAAAAATGGAATGCTGGAGGGTCAAATCTTCGAAGATACGTGTCACATAGCATGTGTTCAGTCTGACACGTCCGTTGGTCGTTCCTTGTCCATGTTTTCCCTGCATAAATTCCCAGTTTCATTTAATGTTTTCCACCCGATGAATGTTTTGGATTTTAATAAGGTCTGTATCTGTCTGCGGGAGTAACTGGTATTTATTGAATTCATCGGAACGGGGTTGTATACGCCATGCTCCAGGTGCTCGGCGTGCTTTCAAGAACGACGATTCACGTGACTCATTTCGCGCCACAAAAGCTTCGTCGCGTCGCATCGAATCCTCTCCGTCCGACCACCACCACCTTCCATACCCCTCAAGATGCAAGCACAGGCCACCAGGGAAGTACAGGTATGTGTTCTTACTTCTGGGTACTGTAGTGTTGTCTGACCACTATACGGGGCCCCAGAAACAGAAGACGATCTCGCCGGCGCAGTCCACCGCCACAGTGCAAGCCTTGCTCAGGGCAAGCCTAGGGGCTATCACATACTTGAGGTACGATATATGCTATCAATATCACACAAGATAACACGCTCATTGTATTATATTCCTCTTGACAGAGATCTGCTTCCTCAAGATAACTTCTGTCAAAGTGAGTATCTTTTTCTGCAGAGCGCCGAGCAGTTCATCAATGAACGTCTACCTACATTACAGGTTACTTGACCTCCTCCGGCGCATCCTCTCAGGGCTCAATATCCGACTCTTTCTCTCAATCTCAATCATCTCAGCCCTCTGACGTCAACAGCACGCCCCTTCTCTCCGCCGATGGGACATTTGGAGAACGTGCCCTCAGTGGGTATAAAGTCAAAGTGGTGCAAAGGGGTTGGTCGGCCGAGGGCGACAGGTTGCTTGACTATCTGGTGCGTTCCTCTAGTCACTGCTCCCGACGTATGCGTGAGCTGAGCCCGTTATATGCGTGTAGGAGTATGGGCTTTTTGACGCTATTGAGAAGAAGTACCTTCGGAGCTTCATCTTCGCGATCTATCTGGTACGAATAGTTCGTTCGTTTATTCTGAAATGAAGGCTGATATACATGTCAGGACGAAAACGACCCAAATAAGTAGGCATATATTCTTGTATAACTCTCATTTCGCTCGCTCTAATATCTGTTTGCAGCATTGTGGAGGCTTACACTTTCAATTTCAAGGTGATTACCCCCTTTCCCTCGATTTCATAGCATATACTGACCCTTCAATCGACCGGCTGTAGTACTATGCAGTCCCGGGGACTGACACTGTCGTTCCAGTCATGTCTCTAGGAGACGAGTTACTAAAGCTTTCGTTGAATGGGAAGAAGGCGATAGATCCGGCGACGGAAGCTATCAGGTCCGGGAGGATGCCAACTATGAATGATGTGAAGAGGGCCATAAAGGTCCGTGATCGCTACTTCAACATATGTCTCTTTGTCCGACTAAGTCTTTTCCAGTCCTTGGTCAAGTCTCTGGTCATGGTGACTCAACATATGGATTCTCTGCCAAGTCCGTCTATAGCATATATTGAACCTCGTATAAGCTTCTAAACCACACGTTTTAGGGCGCAAATTTGTGTCGGTCAAAGCGTTCTATTACCCCCATACCCCGGACGACTATGAGCCGTACGTTTATCTACTCTCCAATTGTCGACAGTGTCCTGATAAAGTTACCCAGTCCCCATTTTGAACCGGGAGATGTCGATAAGGACAGGTGGTTCTTCACAACCCATGAGCGGCAAGAGGCTCCGGAGAAGTTCAGTATCGGGAGTATAGATAGCGGTCATCATGGGTATTTAGACTCATACCTCTCGCTCTTTCCTCAGCTCGCTTCATTTAGCTCATGTGAACCTGTTTCTTCGCATTCCAGAGTTAATATCAGTGTCGCCTCTGTGTCCGGATGCATCCCCTCCTCTAAACAGAACGCTACGGCACCATTTACAGCACTCGACTCTGGCCCTCATATCGCATCGACCTTCGTCGAAGACGAAGCTTCTCGGCGCGCACATATCGAAGCTACCAAACGCGACGCCATGCAGCGCAAGGTGGTTTGGGACGCCGAGACGTTCGGACGGATCGACATGGACGACCTCGATGCGGAAGGAGAGGTCGACTCGGAGTATCAGCCGTCAGGAAGTCAGGCGGAGAACCTCACGCAGACTGCTGGTGTAGTTGATGGGGAGTGGGCACCCTTAGGTGTCAGAAATGAGAAGGGGGATATCATACCGTTGTCGTTCGCGGAGAAGGAGGCCCTCGCTAAAGAGAACGAGGCGATGGAAGTGGACGAGGACGATGAGGTTACGCAAGAGCAGTTTATTGCTGGTCAGCGGGAGAACGTACCAACTTGCATTCGGAAGCTTGTTTGTCTCCTTCCATTTTCCCTCCCCTATCGCTTGGTTCTCTAACCATTTCGCTACTTTCCAGGCCGGTAAGGGTCAAGAGGTCGACTTCGACATCGAACCGACACAAGTCGTCGAACACACCCAACTCGCCACTCAGATTGTCTCTACACAACGTCTCGGTCCCCCCACTTCCTGGAACGAGTCTTCCTCGCCAGCTCGTGCCAACGTTGCCGCCTCGTCCGCGACGCAGAGAAGCAGCCTCCCTCCGTCTGAGCTGGCTATGGAGCTCGATAGTAGCCTTGATATAAGTCGTGGCCTGGATACCCAGATGGTCATCGATGCTGACCCTAGTCAGAACCATGATGAGATACTTAGTATGTGCAATGTTCTTCGTGCTATGCATCTTGCCGATGCAGCATCCTATCATACCTTTTCCAGACACGGAGACGCAGATCGTGGACGATGATCCTATCCAGTCCTTCGAAGGCGAATATGATCAATACGACCAGCGTGGACGTTCTCCTACTCCAGTCCCACAGAAGAAAGCCGCCCAACGCTCGAAAATGCGGCAAGTCTCGAGTCAGGATGAGGACGATGCCCTCCAGTGTCTCTGCGGAATGAACGTCAGTCGCACTTTTGTTTATCACATCCTTCAATGTCAAATCTTACTGTTTATGCCATTCTATAAAGCTTCTTGCTGGAACTCTTGTCGAATGCGAGGGTGGGTGCGGGAGGTGGCATCACATCTGGTGCATGGGGTGAACAATCTGCGATTTGTCTCCTGAGCTTTTTGCTTCTGACCAATTTACTAGATACCACTCCGAGAAAGACAAACGCCTCCCAACCAAGTTCACCTGCTTCGAGTGTCGCATCCGCAATCACGACAGCTGGGAAATGATCTACATACAGTCTTGGTGCCAGGAGATGTTCTCTCAATACAGTCGTCTGGCGCTCTTCAGGCACGTCTTTCGTTCAGACTTTCGCCTGCGGTGTAGACTATTTCTGAAAGTGTGGCGATAACATTATAGACGATCTATCAAGATCGTGGAGGTGCACGAGCCAAGATCGCATGTTGAATTTACGAGGCTTCTCAGTCAGTCTACCGGTTGGGAAACACTCCTTGATGCAGTCTAACCTAGGCCATCCAATAGAGTGTGAAGCACAACTCGCTGGTCAACTCTTCAAGAGACTTGAGACCGAAGGTATGGGAGTTCTCCTCTCTCCCCCCATGGACTCGCCCGTAATTATCATTCCTTCTTTATTAAAAGGTTTCCTCACCGCGTCCGAGGAGGCTCCCAACAAGTCACATAAGAAGAAGGCGCCGAAAGGAAAGCAACGCAAGAACCTCACGAAATTGGAGTATATCTTCGTTAAGTCGTCGAAGCGAACCACGAAGTATCACGATTACTTCAATCCTAGCCCAGAGGTTGAAATTAGGTTGATCGGGATGGAGAAGAGGGTAAACAAGCGAAATTTTGGGTGTGTAAAGACTCGTATAAGTATTGATTTGGGCGTTTTCTTAGATGCTGGAGATCAAGGCCAAGAGACGAGAGGCAGACATAGAAGATATGGATACAAAGTACACCGGGTTTTCCGCCTCATTGCCATCCGTAGCTAATACCTTAACCGCCCGTCTAGCGAAACAAACGGTCACTCCGCGTCTCGCCACCTCACCCCGCGCAACAACATGGCGCCACCTGTGCCTGCACCTGCACCCCTTGCGCCCTCACGCAGCTTCAATTTTAACCAAACATTCAACCCCCTTGATCCTCCTGCCGAATGCTCGCAGACACAGCAAGAAGCATCCCAAACGCAAGAAGAATCTCAGGATTACCCACCTGACTTCTTCCTCCAAGCACAAAATCGCGGATCGACAGGGACTCAGAGTGTTTCCGGGCATAAGAGGAAGCTTGTGGACTGTGACAATGGTGCTGATGATGAATCTGGGCCTGGGTCGCGAGTGAAGACGAGGAAGAGGTCAAGGATATCTATTGCGCCTGCTCTCGACCTCTGTGATTAATTTTGCGTGCTGGTGACTCGGAGGATGGCTGTTGTGTCCGGACTTGGCTGGACTAGACTCTTTTCTCTTGCTATGATCACAGGGAACCCGAACGCTGTGAGCTGGCTGTTTTTTGCTGAAGTCTTGGCGGATATCTTGCTCTTTCTTGTTGCTAGGCCATCCCTCAAATGGAATCGGATGGATGTGGACTCCATGTACGTGCTTCGACGGCTCTGAGACTATAGTATGCATATGTCACTGTATTTGTATCACTGTTTTGAAGTGAACCGCTAACTTGTGGATACTTCTTTGAAACACTGGAACATGATTCGCGAAGGCCTTGTTCTCCCTTTCAAAATCACCATCTGCCATTAACGACAATGGAGAGAAACCCGGTATGAATCTGCACCTCAAAAAATACACACAGATGAAGCAAGTTATCGCAGAATGTATGAGTCCGCCCTCATCAATGATGAGATCAGCTCATCAATATTCCTCGTCTTCATAGTCCTCGTCTTCGTCATCATCGCGATTGTATGGGTTGTTGTTGGCATGCTCCATTGGTGCTTTGTCCACCGATTGCATGTGTCCCTTACTTGGTGGTAGGGCTTCGAACTGGGCTTTTCTTTGGTCGGCTTGGTCGTCCACCGGTGTCCCTTTCGCTAGCTCAAGCCACATCTTCGCCAAATATCTAGACGCCCAGTCCAAACAAGTCACCAGCGTCAATTAAAGCCAAGGAAAACAACAAGAGCATCTTCGAACGTACTGTGCTTCTGTACCTGCACACCACCCGGACGTAGTATCTCCCAAACCAAGACAACGTGCCATCTGAGGAAGCGAGAGATCCTTCCCATTTACTGGGTTGAGCGCATTGATCATCTGGCTGACATCGACACAGTGAATATCTCCGCGTCGGAGGTCGTGGCGTGTTGGTGGCGATCGGCTGCGTCTTGGTCTGGCGCGAGGATCTCTGGAGGAAGAGGCGTTGTGTGGTTGTTCGCGTTTAGGTGAGCGGGAGCGGGCTCGTGGGCTATCGTAGCTGCTTAAAGTAACGAGTAAAAATACTGGCTAGCTGTGCCAACTATAAGGGTGAGCAGAAGTATACCTGAATAAACCTCCATCTTGTGGCACCTTCTTCCATCTCGAAATGTTGACCTTAAGTTTCTGCAGTGCTGCACCCACCAAGCTTCTGTTGGCGACATCCGTACGGAGAGGTGCTTCATCGTAAACAAGGATTATGACTGGCTCGGAAGAGGATTCCAGGGAGGTGAGGAGTGTTTGGATATTCAACGAGAGATCTGCGAAGGGAAGGGTTTGAGATGTTGTTTGTGAACCCGGTGCAGCTGGCTTTTGATTATTGTCAGTAACCTTGAGATGGAAGTAAGTTGAGAATGATCAAGTCTTCTACATACCAATCTCTCCAACCCCTTCTTCTTAAGAGCGCTCTTCTCCTTACAGGTCAGGTGGTGTGTCTCACCAAACACCAACTGGTTTTCCCCCTGGTCAATGTTCCTTGCCACACGGAACGTCGTGTATCCGACGTCGAGGAGCTGAAGACTTTCTGCATCGCGGAGCCAGTCCAGATCCTCAGCCCAATAGTTTAAGGCGAGAGCCACGAACTGAACGTCACCAAGGACATCTCGACGGTATCGTCGATCCAATCCGAGGTATACAGGATCAAGATCATGACGAAGTATTTGGTAAAGAATCCTGTCCCCGACAAGAGGATTAGTCTCGAGGCGGGATGAAATGGTACGGTACACTCACCTCGAATGCTCAAATGCCGCTCTTTGCCAACCTCTATCCGTCACCGCCCTTCCATCACTCGCAATTGTAACATAATACCCCTTATTCGCAGAGCTCGTATCCATATCCTTGCCCTTCTTTGCCTTCGACCCACTAGCCTTGGGCTTCAGCCATTCCATTTTTGTCTTCAGCTCATTCACATTATCGAAGTGTATGGGGCTGAGGGATAGGAAATTGTAGGCTTGCTTGTAGTTGTTGACCTGACGGCGGGCTTTATAGGTTGGGATGAGGAGTGAGGATGCGCCGTTGGGCAATATACCTAGCGTTAAATGGTAAGACAGTTAGTTGATAAATACGAACATAAAACCGAACAGCAGACGCAGTGGCGAGAAACATTTCGTGACGCCACACAATCGACGGAAGTAAATCTGGGCGGATCTGGGCGCGCACTCACCGAACACCATATCAAGCCCCTGTCCCGATCCACCACACCAGCTCCATATAGCATTGTAGTCCGGATTCCAGCTGATATGACACGGGTCCTGCGTGTTAGTGATCCGACATTGGCCAGCCATTCCTCCCATGATCCTGTAGCGGTAAAGATGCACCTTTGTTGACCGTAAGGATAGTCGGCCTTCCAACCACCGACTTGATAGTAGGCTCCAGCCATAGTACGCAAGTTACGTTTATATAGGACCCCAGGGCTCGATAGGAGGTGTACGGACGGAGGCAGCTCTAGACAGCTCCAGTGCGCGACGGGGAACGTGTGTATGAGGTCAACTTATCGACGCGACGCGACGCGTCATCCGAGCACACGGACGGAGCGCCACTCAAACATCCAAACAAAGTTGTGGCGCACCGAACGAGACAGCAGTCTATCATATCACATCATGATAGGCCATCATTCCACTTCTCTCTCCCTCCGTTCTGTTCTCAAAACCAGTCTCCAACCAAACTCTGAGCTCGATCTCTCTAGCCTGCGTCTTCGTTATGTCTTCTGACCGACAATCATCCATCGTCGCCCTAGTCTATATCATTCGTCACGGCGAAACCGACGAGAACCGCAAAGGGATCATACAAGGGCAGCTCGATACACGATTGAACGACGAAGGAAGGCTACAGGCTGAGAGGGTGGCCGAAGCCTTGAGAGATTCGCCGGTCCAGTTCGAGAGAGCGTGGACTAGTGATTTGGGAAGAGCTGTTGCGGTGCGTTCCCACTCCTTCATGAGAACATGAGTCAAACGCTCATTTCTATATGTGCGGCGCCCACAACGGAGGGTAGACCGCTGAGGCAATACTCAAATATCACCGGGATGTGAAGCTGGAGAAACAGAAGGAACTCAGGGAAAGGGTGCGCATTATCGATATATCCACTACTAATGCGTGGCTAACTCTATACATATTTACATTATGGCGTGAAGTACCTCGGCGAGCTGCAAGGCAAGCCTGCGACAGATCGTAGTATAATTGGGTACGAGACAGCGGAACGCGCGGAGGACATGTTGGCGAGGGGCCGCGGCTGGTGGAGGGACACCGTTCTCTCTTACACGTCCGATCTCACCGCTCCCAGTGCCCTTTCACCGCGCGATCCACCAAGCGTATTGGCAGTGAGCCACGGTGGCTTCATCAGCACTCTTCTGCGCGGACTCACGGCCGATGGGTCAGTAAAGTGCGCAGAGGGTGTCCAGGTGGGGCATTGTCCGAATACCGGGATAAGCATCGTCGAGATACATAGAACCGGCGAGGGGAAAGAGTTGAAGGGTCTATTGGTGCAGTATGGAGATATAAAGCATTTAGGGGGAGGGGTCGGCGTTGTGCAGGGTAATGCAGACGAGCAAGCTATGCCCAAGCCTCAGGACATTGCGGGATGTTAAAACCTTTGGGAGAAAGAACACGATTTTCAATACGTAGATGAAGATAGATCTTGGGGACGAAGACTAGACATAGACAGTACCCAGAATATAGTATCACCTTTACATGGTTATGTGGCTTCCAGCGAAGGCCACAATGAGAAGGTAAAAACGATATGTGGCAGCGTCGCATCGGATATTGACATGCCCAACTGCTTCAATCAGATTGAGGCGAGTCTCCAATATCGGCCAGAAACCCATTTGTAGGCCGACAACGCGAAGATATTTCGCTGATACATACTGTAGGCTGGCAATCAGGCGCAATTACTGAGAAAGGCGACTCTTCCTCAAACCCGGTAAATGACGAGACTCGAAGATGGAGCTGTGATCGTATCTTGATGGTAAAGCAGGTCTTAGGATAAGCTCGAGCAACCTGAGTACTCAGATGTCTCTACCTTTCATGCTCCTGCAGTCCCGTAAGTGATATTGCCTGGCAGAGGGTTGCGGTGACGGACTTACGTCGAAGTGCTCGGAGTAGTTGACCGTAGTGATCTCCGTCTTGCGTCCTGTGGCAAGTGACGCTATTCAATGTTTTTGCAAAGCTTAGACAGCAACGATATTTCAGTTTTTCCGATAGATCAAGGCAAGCTACGCACCGAGAGGGTGGAACGGAGAATATCATTCACGGGTGGGTGGGCAGTCATGCCATAGTTCTGTTCGCAAACTCACTGCGAATCTGAGCCTCCAGAACCGAACCGGAAGTCCACGTCCAGGTTCACAATATATCTATAAACCGAACGCATCAAGAATTATCTGCTCGCCAAGCATCTGATGATGAATGTTGGATTGGATTGTTCTCCTATAACAGAAGGTAAACAAAGTCTTCATCATCGTGATGGTACACATTCGCGCAGGCTTTGTGGGAAATGTTTCCTTTGGTGAACGAGCTTCATCTTTCTCCGAAGTGACGACAAAATAACCGTGTCCAGCGTGTCCAGCGAGAAACGGTTGAAAATGACTCCATGGCCTTTGGAACTTACTTGTGTCAATGTGGATCCAGTCCCGAAGCTCAGGTAGAGGGGCTAGTAGATCATACGACAGTCACCTTAGTCGGTAGCAACCGTGTGACGAATGCTTCGTCAAGATTGGCTTTAGGCAAGTGAGCAAGGCGACTCTTGAAAATTTATGGTGCGAGGTGTACGAGGAAGATTCAAGGAAGGAAGGCCAAAGGTAGATTCGAGCAACTTTCCAAAGTGGCGCTGGGGAAGTCGGCTCCGGGATGCTCCGGGGAGGCGGAAACGGCAACGCCACAAATCGAATGAGGACTGCATGACTTTGTCAGTACGATCCACAAGCGCTCAGTGTGGTCGGTAGGTTCTAACTCGCGCATGGATGGGGCAATCGCCTGTTTACTTATGACTGTCTCAGATCAGCATCATGATCAGTCTCTGCGCTTCTTTAAACCCGTTCTTTTCATGAGGGCTGGCGTGCGACTCGGAGTGCTGTCTTCTCGGTGACTTGGCCCTGAATAGATCATATCTAGTATAAAGACTCTTCACGATCCTCCCACACATTCTGCACTGGCTTGTTTCCCCCGTCCATCTGACATACTGACCAGCTCCTGGGGTAGTCCTTCTTTGTCAGTCGACTTCCGCTGTGCTCTGAGTCTTAGGCCCTTCGGTGCACGCTAGACCTCTGCTGCCATGGAGGCTAAACACAGTAGTACAGAGCTATCGCAGAAGTCTACCAAGAATAACTCTGGGTCCAAGCACCTCGTCGTGGACTCGTATACCGTCGATGAAGCAGCAGCTCTGACCGCTGGCCAGGATTTTCATGTCACACCAGAAGATGCTGCCCGCGTCAGGTGAGTACTATTGGTGATTTTGTGATTCGTACACTTATTCCTTAATCACTATGTCGTATTCTGCAGACGGAAGATTGACTTGCATCTTATGCCCCTCATGTGCCGTGAGTCTGATATCCCTGACCCAAAAACGTAACAAACGTTGATCATCATGACGGGGCCGCAGTGCTATATCTGTGCGTTCACTTCAAACACTGGCTCTAAATAAAGCTTATAACATACATTGCCCAGGATGACCTTCATGGACAAGACGACCCTGGGACAGAGTGCGACTTTGGGAATATTGTACGCCAATCTTCCTGCTCCTCGTCGTCAGTTGTCTAAGATGACGTGCAGGACAAGTGCCAAACTGACGACGGACGAGTTCAATTGGCTGGGGACAATCTTTTACATTGCATATTTATTCTTTCAATGGCCACAAAACCTCGCGCTACAGCGTTTCCCCGTTGGCAAGTGGATGAGGTCGGTCCGAGCCACGGTTCTTCCTGTGAATATTGGACTACTGATGGATCGTATCTGGACCAGCGTCAACGTATTCGTCTGGGCCGTAGCGCTGCTGTGTCACGCTGCATGCAAGTCTTTCGGCAGCCTTTTTGCTGTCCGGCTGATTATGGGCATAGCGGAAGGAGCGATAACTCCTGGATTCATGCTCTTGACATCTATGTTTTACACTCGTGTAGAGCAGACAAGGCGCGTTGGCTACTGGTGTGAGTCACCTTGTTTGTTATGTTTCTTTTGCTTATTTAATGGGTCTTGCGCAGTCTTGATGAATGGGGTCGCCATCATCATCCTCGGTTTTGTGGCTTTTGGGGTTTTGCATACCACCAACGAGAACTTCCAACCATGGCAATGGTACGTTCGCCCCCCAACTTTGACGCTCCTCATCTGCGGTTCTGATGCATGTTTTGTGCATGCGATTGTCACAGGCTCATGGTCATCACCGGCTTGATTACGCTGATCATTTCTGTCATCTTCTGGTTCTTTTTCCCGGACTCACCTATGACTGCACACTTCTTGAGCGAGGATGAACGTCTCATTGCGGTCGAACGTATCAAAGTGAATCAAGCTGGAGTCGAGAATAAGCACTTCAAGCGTGACCAGTACGGGTTACATCTTATGCGTACGGGGCGGTTTGAGCTGAACTCCCTACTTTCTAGATTCGTGGAGACTATGTGTGACCCGAAGACGTACCTTCTCTTCTTCTTTGCGGCATCCTCTAATGTTGTCAATTCGGTGAGGCTTCTCACTGCCGGCATAGCAATGTTCAGGGCTCAAGTGCTCATAGTTCATCGTATGCCATATAGCTCACGAACCAACGGCAAATCATAGTCAAGCTCTTCGGATTTTCTACCATAGACACAACCCTCCTTGGTTGTGTCGATGGAGTCGTCGAGAGTATGCATCACAGTTTCCTGCATACAGAGAACGCAGGCTCAACTTGACATCTCCAAGTTCTGGTGATCTGGCTCGGTGTGTTCTTGGCCGCACACTTCAAAAATGCCCGCGTCTACTCTGCAATATCTCTCTACGTGCCTGCGATATTGGGTTCCATTCTTGTTACCACACTTCCAGCTGATAACAAGGTCGGGCGGCTTTTCTCATACTGGATCTCGAGTGCGTCCATGTTCTTTCCAGGTTTGATTGAATCCTGCGCTTATGCACCTGTTCTTCAGTCTTTGCATTCCCGCCGTTCGTCATTGTCCTTGGTTGGGTTGGCCAAATCACCGCTGGGCACACAAAGAGTCAGTCGTCTTCCCTATATGTATTCTCGTCTCACACTTTTGATTGTTTCCAATGGCATGTAGAAACTACTACGAATGCCGTCGTCCTCATCGGTTACTCGGTCGGGAACGCCGCTGGTCCTGCCATGTGGAAATCACAGTATCAACCTCTGTAAGCCCACAATGCATGATCGTAACAGAGTTGACTCTAAACTAACGCTTTGCTGATGCCTCGCTTCGTTGACAGGAACCACGTCCCTTGGGCCATCATCTCCGGCTGTTCATTTCTCTCTGCAATCATCCTGCTCATCACTCGCATCTACCTCGCGCGAGAAAACAATCTGCGTGACTCGGAGAACCAGGATAGCGTATATGACGACGCCGTCATCGTGGTGGAGGATGGCAGCAATGAGAAAGAGAAGGAAAAGAAGGTCGATAAGGTATGCATTCCATCTCTAACCGGGATGTTGTGGACGGTACTGAACAAAAGGTCCACACCTCCTATAAAGGCATTCTTGGACTTGACGGACAGGCAAAACCGCGACTTCAGGTATGTCTTGTGATTCCAGGCAGTTCGGGGATTTCAGCTGGGTGGAAGATCATGCTGGTATTAGATTGCGTATCATAGACCACTTCTTGGGGTGTTATGGGCTCCTCGGTGTCAATATTATTTTCTTTCCTGATTTGTGGTTCTATACAAAGAAGAAAATACTCTCCTTTCTGCCGTGCATTGTCCCAGGGAAACCAACAACAAGTACAACAATCCAATACATAACACTACGGACAACACTACAAGAACGACGAAACCTTTACCGGCTTCCTCACTGCCGCAGAGTTCCCCTCCTTAAACTTATATGCCACCCTATATGCCTCCACCGCCGCATTAGAACTCTTGGCCCCGGGCCCATTCGCAGCACTCGATGAAGGCTTTCTGCCTCCAGCCTTGTTCGTTGACGGCGTGACCTTGATCGGACGTCCAAAGAAGTCGACAGCAGGCTTGTCAGCGATGTCGATTTCTTTTTCCGCTGGGCCTTTGGCACGTTTCCGAGGTCGGTCTTCCGGTCGCGCTCTCGACAAGGTTCCCTCCCCGGTGCCCCCCTCCCCTTCGCCAGGCTGAGGTTCGTCAGCATGATCGGCATCCGCTGTATTCCTGTGAGGTGAGGCGCAGGCAGGGCCGAAGTCCGTAAGTTAGAGTTCAAAACCCTGGCAGTGGGGAAAGTTTGGGTGCAGGGCGAGAAGGGAACGGGGGTAGCAGAATGGAGATCGTAGGGTATGGGTTGGCGCGAGTTTCGAACTTACCTGGCTCCGAAGAACGACGACGATTTACCGGCTTTCGTGCGCTCTACGGCCTCTGCTTGACGAGCGATAAGCTGGGCGTCAATCTGAAGCCCGATGTCGAGATTGTTTTCAGTAAGGCAGACTGGATATGGCGAGCACAGGGATCTACGTACCTCGGCGGCGACGAGGTGTCGGACGGCATAGCGAGACACTGCGATGTCGGAAGCTCGCTTCCCATCGTACGTCACGAACACATCGACGGGCCTACATCATGACGAAGGACGTTTGTGAAGTGACTTTGGGATGTAGCAGGAGAAGACTCACGGATCGAGTCTGTACACCAATTGTCCATCCTCTGCTTTCTCTTGAACGAATCGGAGCTCAAGGGAGACCATGATGCTGACCAATCGAGCCAGGAGAGCCTTCTCCTCCGGCCGGATGACTTGACTATTCACCTATGACATGCCGGAGAGTTAGTGACAAGGCTGACAACCGGAAAGGCAAGAGGCATTCGTACTGGGCGAAGAGGTGGAGAGATAATTCGGTTGATATATGGCGCGAACTCCAGATGGAGAATGTCATCGCTGATGAGGTCCCGGTGATGGCCCGTATTATGGCCATTACCCACACGGACGGAATGTGCGAGCGACTTAAAAATCTCCTCATTAGCTCGTGTTCGAGTAAAGTTCTGCATCACAGTAGGAATAAACAACAATTTAGCAAGATGGTCATACTTGAAGAGTGGATCTGGACCCACCTCCCAGTCAGCTTTAGGTCTTTCGACCTTTGGTCCTCCGCGTACATGGAAAAGCGGATAGAAGGCCACAAGGTTATACGCCAGGTAAGGCATCAACGCATACTCTCGCTCTGAGTACATCGTGCCAGAGAGCATGTCATACGAGACTAGCCACTCGTTACCCTTCATGTATCGAGTAAAGGTTCCGTCATGTTGATGTAGGTTGGCGTAGTGCTCGAAGCATCCTACGACATGAAGTCAAGCGATGGCAGAGTGAGCTAGAGGAAGGTGACATACCCAATGCCACACGATCTAAGGCCCCACTGGCCTCCACATCCCGACTGATCCTATCCACGTACTTCGAGTCCTGTTCTTCGCTCATCCCGAGCTCCTTCACTCTCTGTTTGTTCATAGGAGCGAAGAGACTGTTGAGGACAACATTGAACGAGGAGTCTGCTTCTTTCATCCCGGACGTGGCCTTGCGTACTATCGGCTCCGTCACGGTCTGATTCCGAGCTTTCAAGAGCTGCGGTAATGATGATAAAGAGTTAGCGTCACGATCAAAGAAGACGACAGACAAGTTGTATCTGAGAGGTACCTGAAGGGTGTTGAGACAACCCCTGAAATCGCCCATGCATACTCCGACCAGTGTCGTCAATGCTCTCGACTCTGCCTTCAAGCTTTCTTCCTCACAAATCTCTCGTAAACGCTTGACCATATGGAGATCTGCAGGTCTTGAAAACCGAACGATGCGTGCCAGAGGTCGTAGTTTTGCCAACGAGGAGGCATACAAGTCGTTGCATATACAGATGATAGGACGGAGAAGTGGCCGTTGGCCGTTGGCTTCTTTCTTCTTTCGCCCTACAGAAATGATTAACCACCGTGTGGGAAGAGATAATATAGACTTACGCTGATTCGATGGCTTTTCTAGTGCCATTTGTGTCAATTTATAGATGAAACCTGCACCCTGCTAGACTGTAAGCACGTAAACGCAATTAAACCAACAGCAATACTTACATTGTCACCACCTCCCGTCGCACCATCGATCTCATCTATCACGACCAGGTTTGGTCTTGAGCTGCCTACAGCGGCCCCAGATTCTATGGCCGGACGTATTCGTTCTTCCACTACGGAGGCCGAGCGAGCATCACTGGACAGAATATTTCAGAAAATGCCGGAAGAAGAAGACCTGGTGACACAGACCTAGCATTTATCTCGAAGACATTGTATCCTGCTTGTCTCGCCACAACATGAGCCAATGTCGTCTTACCCAAGCCAGGTGGGCCAGAAAGCAGCAAAATCTGGAAATATAGTTAGCATGAATCCGATATTATGGCAGTGAGTGTCCGAGCCAAACCTTCTCGTATGGCCGATGATACTGATCCGGCGGCTTTCCATCCACATTTTCTTCCCTGGCTCGCTTCTTGCCCTTTTTCTTGCCAAACACACAGTAATCCCATTCCTTCACCCAGCCCAGAACCTCTCGATGTAAGCGCTCGTCACCGATTAGGTCTGTATACTTTTGTGGGCGATATTTGTCGACCCATAGCGTGTCTTCTGGTTTCACAGTAGATGAACTTGGGCGATTGAGAGCATCCACTCGGGCTCCCTCCCTAAGCAAAAGGTGTAGTCAATATCGCAAGAAGTTGTAAAACCTATGGGGCTACTTACTCTCGGGCTAATCTGATGGCTTCGTTGGATGACAGCTCGTCCATGAGTCGGTGAATTGGGACATCTAACAGTTTTCCCATTTGGGGAGTAGACGAACTCGGGCCCTGGAGACCATCACGAATGCCAGTTACTATTCGCCGCTTCTGAGAGAAGTAAAAGGCCTTACCGCAAGCAGCACATCCCTCTTCGTTTTCTTTCTCAAGAATATGGACTTTCCGTCGAATGTTGTAGCACGAATAGATGTTCGAGGAAGAATAGAGGTCATATGTCCTGCTCCGGTGCCCTTTGTGCGTCCGTACGGTCGCAGAATTTCTTCCGCGTCGGGAAATTCTGCCAGAGACAACTTTGAATCTCACTGGCATGCATCATAACGAAGTGGTCCTACCTTGAGACTGGGACTGTGATTGTGAGGTTTGAGGAAGCTCATCATCTGCACAGAGCTCAGTACATGAGTAATGCCGTAGAAGGTAGACCCGCGCCCACCGGCTGTACTACTTGTGCGGTTGAGCAGTCCGTTCGACTGCAGGGGGGAGAACGTCGTTGACTCTTCATCATGCAGGGATTGGGTGGTAGTTTGTGGAGAGGCTGCTTGGGTGTAAGGGAACTATTGGCTACGCAAGAACGACGTCTAAAACAGGCTTACAAGCTGGAGGTGAATCGGTCATCAAGAGGCCATTTGTCCCCAAAGGTGACATGCTTGCTTCTGGCGAAAGGAAAATGATCATTTCAGACCCAACCATAACTGACTCTGACTACAATATTGACGCACCTAAGTCCATACCCCGCTCCTTCGTAGGCTTCAGCAAGCCTGCCGATTTAAATGTATATTCCGCTTCCTCCTCCACCGTCTCTGAGTCCATATGCATATCGTCCTGAAGGCCGCTCTTCAAGGTATTAGTACGCCCAAGCAGCCCTGTCGGTTTGAAACCAAGGTCATCCTCGTCTTGGAACATATCGAGCTCGTCGGGCACAAGAGGTATGGGAGCATCACGTTTGAGACCCAGAAGACCTGTCGGCTTAAAACTATCGAGTTCCACGTCGCCAGACATTTTGATGTGAGAGAAAGCGATGATATGATGGGTGACTTGTGCAGAATTTTAGATGTCTATGAAAGCAGCGGGCAGTATGAAAGCTCTGAGTGAGGTGACGCGAGGCAGTTAAACGGAGACGCGTCTCGGGCTCGCGTCGACGCGCCTGTGGCTGAACCTCCATTGAACGGCCTTTGCCGGACACCGCAAACTTGCTTGTGCCACTGTGGCGTTGTTCACAAGATTGGCATTTTAATCACGTAGTTTGTGCATGGCTGATGCGCATAAGGAATACAGATTCACGAAACAGAAATCACGAAAACCAATGGATTAGTAGATACAGCCGTCGTACAACAACATTACAGATTTCCTTTCCAACCCTGTGTCCTCCCACCTTACGCCCCATTCACCTTTGGCACGCACCAGTCTGCACCAACCCGACTCGCAGCAGCCATGACGGCCTTTAGACCCGAAGCCGCAATATCCGTATCCGAAGCGACACCCCAGCCAAACTTCCTCGCACCTTGACCCTTCTCATCCACCTTCTCATACAATAGCTCCACATACGAAGCAGCCAGCACCTCCGTGCCCTCACCCAGCGAATGCTCGGAATATTCCCTGATGGACAACGTACCCTCCAGATGCGCATTCAAGCAAGCTAGGGAAGCAGATAGAGGACCGTTCCCAATGGCCTCCACCTTCCTCGTTTCGCCATGTAGGGCTAGCTCTCCTTTCAGGCGAATCTGCTTCTCGGGCAGATGCTCGAGATTGAACGACTTGAGCTCAACCTCCCTCATTCCTTCGAGGGCCTTCCATCCGTAAGTGGCCCTGAATAGCTCCGCTAGCTCATCGTACGAGATGACACCCTCCGTCTCGCGAGCCTTCCGCTGGACGACCTCGAAGAACACGGCCTGCAACGATCTCGGGAGCTGAACACCAAGGATGTTCAATAGCGCAGAAGCGACGTCGGATTGGTCTGAGCGAGCGTTGAACCCGACGCTTAGCTTGAGTTCGGGCAGAGGTCGATCTTCAATGTGCGCGTTCACTGCGCTGAGCACGGCTCGTAGCTTGGCGGTCGTTGAGTCCCGGTCTACTCCGACACCCCACCATGACTTGGCGGATTTGCGATCAGTAGGAGGTACGAGCTCGACGTATGCTGCGGCGCGTGGAGGTTGGCCGTCGGCTGCTTCGACGGGATGCTCGTTCAATTCGCGGAGAGCCAGGTCGATGTGTAGGGAGGTGCTGAGAGCGTCAAGGAGAGAGGAGATGGGGCCGTTACCGTCGCCGCGGATGACGCGCAGCTGGCCGTCGACGGTGACAGCACCGTCAAACATGTGGAGGTCCTCGGCGGAGGCGGCACCAGTGGGGTCGGGTACGGAAGACATCGTGAACGAACGTAGACCCAGCCTTCCCTCGTGCTTCCCCCCGCCATAGTGATATGTCTGGCGGAAAGCAGTCGTGATGTCCTCTACCGTCATCTCCCTTGCCTCCCGATCCGAAACCGCTTGTACGACCGAGTAGAAGGCGATTTGCATCCTTCTTGGGACGTCCAGGTGGAGGTACTGCTTGATAAGGTAGGCAATCCCTCCCTTGCCAGACTGCGAGTTGACACGGATGACGGCTTCGTAGTTCTGGCCCAAGTCCGCTGGGTCGATCGGCAAGTAAGGCATCTCCCATATTTCCTTCTCGCCTCTCGCTCTCTCTGCTGCATTTCGTTTCGCTTGTTCCTCGAAGCCCTTCTTGATGGCGTCTTGATGTGAACCGGAGAAAGCGGTGAAAACGAGCTCGCCGGCGTATGGGTGGCGTGGGTGGACAGGAAGATCATTGCATTGTGTGACGACGTCGATGACATGTTGAAGATCGCTGAAGTCGAGATTAGGGTAGATGCCTTGGGTGTAGAAGTTCAGGGCGAGATTGACGAGATCGACGTTGCCGGTACGTTCGCCGTTTCCGAACAGACAGCCCTCGATTCGGTCGCCACCAGCAAAGAGAGCAAGTTCGGCAGCAGCAATTCCAGTACCTGTTCGAAAGATTCAGTCCTGCAGACCCTTCTAGAGTGTAACGGCAGACACAAACCTCGGTCATTATGAGGATGCAAACTGATGATGATATTCTCTCGTTCCGATATGTGAGTAGAGAAGTATTCGACCTGTTACAGACCGTCAGTACAGAAGTGGAGCAAAAAGTGACCAATTGTCTCACCTGATCAGCGAAATGATTCGGTGGTGCAACTTCTACTGTCGCGGGCAAGTTGAAGATGATACGGTCATCGAAATTCGGACCAGCTCTACCCCACGTCTTCTTGACAGCTTCACAAACTTCGAGCGCAAAGTCGGGCTCGGTTTGGCTGAACGTCTCCGGACTATACTCGAACCTGAACTGGGTGCCGTACTTTTCTGTACACTCATCGGTGAGTTTGCGAACGACCGCAGTGTGTTTCACGGCTAGGGCAACAGTTTCTGCTTGGGAGTTTTTGAACACGACGGAACGGAAGAGGGGCGATACGGCGTTGTACATGTGAATGATTGCTCTTTTGCAGCCGGCAACGGAATCGACTGTCCTTTTAATCAAGTCTTCTCGAGCAGGAGTCAAGACCTAGACAGGACAAATGACCATTCAGTATCGATACAACCAGGTAGTAGACAAAGGTATAATTTTCATACTTGAATCCAGACATCGTCCGGAACGGAACCATTCTCAATAAGACCTCGAACGAAGTTGAAGTCGGTGTCACTAGCAGCTGGGTAGGCGACCTCAATCTCCTTGAAGCCACATTCGACGAGAAGGTTAAAGAAGGTCGTCTTTTGCTCGATGGTCATAGGATTGGCGAGGGCCTGATTTCCATCGCGGAGGTCAGTGGAGAGCCACACGGGTGGCTTGGTGAAAGTTTTGGTCGGCCATTGACGATTGTCAAGTTTTAGAGGTTTGTACGGCTTGTACTTTTCGTCGGGGTGGATGCTATATCATGAAAGGGGTGAACAGATGATGAATATATGGATGAAAGCTTGATGGTAAGAACGTACAGCATACACGGCATGATGAAAAATTCGTGAGGGAAAGAGCGTGGGCGTGAAACTTGGCAACCTTTATGGCAAAGAGGTCGAGTCGAGTCAGACTCGAGCACAGTAATAGAAGGGCCTGTAGCGGACAAGTGCTTTCGTCGGCTGTAGGTTTTTCATCCGCCCCCCTCGGCGAAGGCCTACCGATGTAATTCTGACCCCAGCTCCAGGTTAGGGTCATAAACGAGTCATCCTCTTCGTTTTCGACTTGTCGCGAAACCACGAAATTGCCCTAACCGCTAGCCACCATGGCGTCCACACTCACCGTCTCGCCAAAGGCGGCGCCATTTCCTTTCGCCGCTATCGCTATCTCAGCTTACACGCAAAAGGCCAAAGTAATCTACGACGAGTCTGCTTCGACGCTCACCCTTGAGCTCGATGGATCAAAGTCTACCTCCGAGCAGGATGCAGTAAAGGCTCTGGCCACTGCAGGAGGTCTCGCTGAGGACAGTGCGAAGGTTCGTGTATGCTATTACACCTTTCAAACTGTTGCTCATTCGGTTGGTTTTTTTGTGTGTGTAGACCCCGGCCTACTTCACGCTCGCGAGTTCTCTAGCTACCCAAGCTTCAGTCCCGGAAATTATGTCTGCTCTCAATTCGCTAGATGACTATCTTGCCTTCCGCACTTATCTCGTCGGACACGATATCACTGCCGCCGACTGGATGGTCTGGGGTGCCCTCAAGGGTGCGTATTTGCTCAATCGTCCTCTTCCTCGTCAAGCCTAATTTCGTCGTATGCAGGTAACATCAAAATTATCGGCCTTTTGAAGAACAACCTGCACCAGCACCTCAATCGCTGGTTCACCCACCTCGAGTCTTTGGAATGCACTCAGGCTGCTCTCGCCGGTCTCGCAGAGGCGAAAGCTACCAAGGCCCGTTCCAATCAAAAGACCGCTTCCTCCTTCGCCATGGGCCTTCAAGGCGCGAAGCAAGGACAGGTCGTCACCCGTTTCCCTCCTGAGCCCAGTGGCTACCTTCACATCGGACACACCAAGGCCGCCATCTTGAATCAATACTTTGCGCAGATGTATAACGGCAAGCTGTTGATCCGGTTTGACGACACGAATCCTTCTAAAGAGCGGGTACGTGACTGGAGGCTACGATGATTAGATGACGCAAGGCCTGACTGAATCGGATTGCCTGCTTAGACCGAGTTCGAGGAGACGATCTTGGAGGATCTTAGTCTTTTGGAGATCACAGGCGACAGCATCTCGCACACTTCCGATTACTTCGACAAGCTTTACGAGCTCGCGATCCAGATCATCAAGGACGGGAAGGCTTACGCAGATGATACTGAACAGACGCAGGTTCGTCTTTGACGATATACGATATTCAACTAAACTTACTAGGGAGTGCGTCTCATTATAGATGCGCCAGGAGCGTTGGGACGGCATTGCTTCCAAAAATCGCGATGCCACAGTCGAGCAGAACTTGGCACGATTCGAGGAGATGAAGAAAGGCACTGAAGAGGGTCTCCGATGGTGCATCCGAGCAAAGATCAGCGTCGATGACCCCAATAAGGCGATGCGAGATCCCGTCATCTACCGCTGTAATCTCCTTCCCCATCATCGAACAGGGTACAGTATATTTCTACTGTCTTTCAATTCTCACCAAAGTACTTACACACCTCGTCTTAAATATTATAGTGACAAATGGAAGATATATCCCACGTACGATTTCGCCTGTCCCGTTGTCGACTCCATCGAAGGCGTCACCCACGCACTCCGTACAAACGAATACCGCGACCGTAACCCACAATACCACTGGATGATCTCCGCTCTCGGTATCCGACCCGTAAACATCTGGGACTTCAGTCGCCTCAACTTCATCTACACCCTGCTCTCTAAACGCAAGTTGCATTGGTTCGTCGACCAAGGCTACGTACGTGGATGGGACGACCCGAGATTCCCTACCGTTCGGGGGATCAGAAGGAGAGGTATGACGGTTGAGGCGTTGAAGCAGTTCATGTTGGCGCAAGGGCCTAGTCAAGCTATTGTGTCGCATGAGTGGGACTCGATCTGGGCGTTGAATAAGAAGGTGATCGACCCGATTGCACCTAGGTTCTGGGCGGTCCTCAAGAACAAGCCGTACGCTCCTTTCTGAATCACTCGTAGTCTGAGGTTGCATTAGGCTGTTTGCTGATATCGGCTGTGGATGCAGAGTGCCGGTGACTATCAATGGTGGTCCTTCGACCCCAGAGGTTAAGACACTCCCCAAGCACAAGAAGAACCCTGACGTCGGCGAGAAGCAGACCGTCTACAGCTCTTCCCTCCTTTTGGAGCAGGAAGATGTTCTGTCATTTGACGACAATGAGGAGGTATGTCGTCTCAAGTCTGACAGCATTCTGCAGCTCTCAACTCTTGAACGCAGGTCACTCTCATGGACTGGGGCAACGCCATCGTGCGCTCCAAGACCACCGACGCCTCCGGTGCCGTTACATCCCTCACCATGGACCTCAACCTCGCCGGCGACTTCCGCAAAACCAAAAAGAAAATCACCTGGCTCTCCCAACCCACCTCCGATTCTCCTCCCGAGCACCAGCTCACCCCAGCCGTTCTCATCGATTTCGACTACATCATCACGAAGAAGAAGCTTGAGGACGGAGACGAGGTCAAGGATTTCGTCACGCCTGTCACTGAGTTCCGCGAGGAGGCGTGGGCGGATCCGAATGTGAGGTTGGTGAAGAAGGGAGAGGTGATCCAATTCGAGAGGAAGGGGTACTATATTATGGATGGTGTTGTGGATGGCGTTTGGGAGTTTATCCATATTCCGGATGGAAGGGCGGCAGGTTTGGCCAGTAAGGCTGCGACGTCTGCAGCAGCAGCACCCGCGAAGACTCAGGCGGCTGTTGAGGAGAAGAAGGCGGATATCTTGGAGACGCCGGTGGAGACGAAGATGTATAAAATGGATAGGGTGTACGGACAGGATAAGCCGGTCACTGAGGAGGCGACGAAGATGTACAAGATGAAGAACATGTATGATGTGTAGAGAAGTGTGCTAGCGTACACGTTAGAGGAAGAACCAAAACTTGTTGTATACAATATCATGCTCGCACCATCTCTGACCTTTTAGTATGCTCTTGTGCCGAAATTCAATTGGTGTGGCGATGTATGTGGCGAAGGTTTGCCATCGGAAGTCTGACGTCGTGAAACATTTGAAATTCTGATCATACGCCCATAATCCTACATACCATTTGGCATTTGTTTGTTTCTCCTCTTCCGAACGGAACCCCATTCATCCCTACCTCTCCATCCACACACTATCTTAACCTACATTCTTACCCCGCATCGGTCAACGCCACAGGACTTTGCTAGCTCGAGCTCGTCGTGGGTCTTGGTGGATCTATGACCACCAATGAACGTTCCTCAGTCGACCATGCTATTAGGTCTGCGGTAGCAGGCGGGTTTGCAGGCGGTGTCGTATGTACGAATCGTCATGGTTTTTCTGGTATCGTGACGCTGACAACCTCCTTCCATTCCTGCTCTTGGGTATGTTGGATCTTTGCCGGTGCTTGTTCGGCTACTTAGGCTAAGACCGCCGTCGCACCATTGGATAGGCTGAAGATCTTGTATCAGACGCATCATCATGAGTTTAAGCAGTTTCCAGGTGAGTACGTCTCCATGATTGCTGCCGAGGATGGCCTACTGAAGAACTGGATTATGCGTAATGTGAAACTTAGAGAGCTGGAGGGGAGGTATTCGAGCGTTGAAATACATCGTTCAGACGCAGGGGTTTCTAGGCCTCTACCGCGGGCACTCGTTGACTCTCGCTAGAGCTATACCTCACGCTGCAATTGGGTACACGCTGTATGAGTATGCCCGAAAGGTGAGTCGCTGATGTATTCTTTGCGAGTACGTGGACTGAGAAGAGTTTATAGCTTATAATGCCCACCAAAGAGAGTGAGACCTCAACTCGGAGGTTTCTTGCTGGTTCGGTTGCTGGTACGTGTTGACTTTCCGCTTCGCTTTGAACTTCTTGAATTCACTGCACAAAATTCGCACAATATCCCAGGCGTCTCTGTCCTTCCCTTTACCTATCCTTTCGAACTCGTCCGCGTACGCATGGCCATCGAAAGCCGAAATTCATCTACCCCTCGTCCCAGTCTTGTCTCCGTTTTTCGTACAATCTACCGTGAACCATCAAGTGCTGTCGCCATCTGGCCTCTCTCCACTGGATTCTCTCATTTCTATCGTGGCTTCCTTGTCTCTTTACTGGGAACCGTACCCTACCGCGGCGGCATCTTCCTCGTATGGGAAACACTCAACGCACAGGCTCAACACAGATTCTCGGACGACTTCCAGAAGCAGTATCAGAAACGAATACATCTTGTCATTGGAGCGACGGCGGGAACGACGAGTCAGATCGCGACGTATCCATTGGAGGTGATCAGGAGGATGCAGCAGGCTAGTGGAGGACTGGCTGCTATGGCCGGTGCAGGAACTTCGAGTGCTGGTGCTGGTGCTGGCTCGCAAGCCGCCAAGGCCGGAGATAAGAGTTTCCTGGGATTTTTGGAGACGGTGAGGAAGGTGTACAGTACTTCGGGGCTTAAGGGCTTTTATGCAGGATTGGGAATCGGACTTGTGAAGCAGGTGCCGATGCATAGCATATCTTTGACGGTCTGGCAGGCCGCGAAGCAGGTTCTCGATGTTTGATCACTCTACTCGCATACTATTTGCACATACAATGGATGGTTTCTGTACAAGCAATGCGTGGGCAGAGTCGAGGGTCAAGACCTGTCAAGACTCAAGACGCGAGGCGCGACTGAGACATGTGACAAAGGTGGCGACTCACGTGCGTGCGAATGTTTGTCCTTGTTTGTACGCCGTTTTCAACAGGAAATGGGACAAATAATGGGCGCTGCTCGACGACGACGACAACGACGACCGCGCCTCTGATCATCCCACCTTTCTTTCACACTGGCTTAGAACGCGCGCTTGTGAAGATCTATTGGCTGACGCCTGACCCCTCAGACGGCCCCGCTCGCGCATTGGCATGGCCCATCGTCGCCCGACATACAATAGTCGTTTCCAGCCACCGTCCTCAAGCTCGAGCAGCCGTCGACGCAACAAGTCACGAAAGACCCCTTCGAGTGTTGCAACCCAGGCGCGCCGACGCGCTCAACTCGTCCTCGGTCTCGCTCTGCCCAACGGCAAGCGAAGCTCGCGCCAAAGCAGCGCATCATCTCGTAATTCCCACGCTCGGAGCGCGTCCTCTGCTTCGCTCGACTCTGATACAGACACAGACTCTGGCGCGGAGACACCCCGTCCTGTACTCGCACCCTTACATTTTAATCTACGCCGGTTGCCCTCTCGTCTTGCGCTCGCTCAACAGAACGAGTCCATGCGCGGCGTGTCCTCGAGTGATTCGGGCGGCGGACCTGTGCGCGCCGGTGCTAAGAGGAAACGCGTCGCGAGCGGAAACGAGAACTTAGGGAGCCACAAAACGACGCGTCGCAGTCAGCCCAAACGAAGGAAAGCATCAGACTCGTCCGACGAGGAAGAGGAGTCAGTGCAGGAGGAATCGGAGAGGGCGAGTTCCATGGAAGTCGACGATCACGATGGAGGGGAACAGCAGGAGGAAGAGGACGAGGAGGAAGAAGAAGAGCATGGTTCAGACCAGGGTTCGGACGACGAACATTCATGTCAGTCTCTAAATTCATTTCGTTTCTTTGTTGACTAGAGTATGAACGTGTTACATCACATAGCCGAGGACTACCTCATCAACGCCGCTCCGCCCCAGCAGCTTGGCCGTCTCCGCAAAGACCATCTAATTCGTTTGTACACCGCATCTGGTCTCTTCACGGACGATGCGGAATCTCTCACCAAGAAGGACATTGTTGAGGCCATCATGGCTGCCAGAGAGGAAGTCGCATCTTTACCTCCTTCGTCGCCGCCTGGCCGCGACGGTGGTTCGAGCGAGTATTCATCAGACGATGGTAACGCTGCTGGCGGTGAAGAGACTGATTTCGCCCCCAGGCCATCCGGATCCAATGGTCTTCGTCGCAGGGCAACTATGAATAACGTCGGGGCCGTCTCCGCTAGGCCCAATAAAGGCCGTAGTTATTCCTTGGGCAATATCGAGCCGGCAACTTCTCCATCACACGCGCGAAGGTCATTGCGGAATTCAAACGAGTCTGTGGAAGAGATGCCAAATGGACACGTGAAGTAAGCCTTTGTTCACCAACTCTTCTGATCTTTGATCCTTTCGGCTTACAATTCGGTTTCCGTCAGACGGAAGTCGTCTTGGATCGCTCGTCGCTCATCACCTATCATGTCCAACTCTACCGCGTCCTCCTCTCACCCAAATCCCTTCCCTTCACCTCCAGCCACGCGTCTTCGGTCCCGTAAAATCTCCGCCGATAGCAACCATGCTCCATCTACCCCTGTCAAGGGTTCCAGTAAGGGCAAAGGCAAAGCGAAGCAGGTCGAGTTTAGCGATGACATCCACGTCGCAGCTCGCATCACTCGTCCTCACGTATTCCCGCACACCCCTGCCCAAACCCAAACGTACCAGACCCGTCACAATCACTCACATCGTACGACTGAGCCCAACCATATGGCCTCGCGATTGGGACTGACACCCACACGGGCGGGTGAGGAGAGCGATCTGACAGAGCCGTCGGAGAGCGAGGCCGAGACCGTTGTCACCACTCAGCCCAGTCCGCGTCGATTGAGATCGAAGGACAAAGTGTACGGTCACTCGCCTAGCCGTAATCATGTGCGCTCACATAGTAGTGCTCATACACGCTCGACTGGTCGGAGGTCGACGACTGAATCTCAGGAAACGCCGAAGAGCAGACGCCCGAATAAGACAACACTGCACCGCATAGCGATGGAGATGGAAGTCGAAAACGAGGGTGAGGGTGAGGAAGAGGAGGAGGAAGAGGAGGTGGACGAGCTTATGTCTTCGAAGTCACCCAGTCCCAGGACGTCATCTGCTTCCAAGAAGACGAGGTCTTCGAAAGGGACGGTGCAGCCCCCACCGCAGTTGGCGGCCCGAACTCCTCTGAAGAGGAGGCTGAGGCCTCGGACTGTTGGTGCGAAGCAAGCGTATGTAAGTGGTGTCGCTCGGAGGCCGAGGAAGGTGCAGACCTATACACCGCCTAGTGATGGAGATGATGAGGGCGAAGAGGAGGAGTTTGAGTTCGTTGACGGCGAAGAGGACGTTGAGGAGATCGAGGTAGATGAGAGCGAGCAAGGAGTGGATGAAGAGGAGGAAGTGGAGGAAGAGGAAGGTGATGCAGATGAAGATGTTGAGATCGTTGACGAGGAGCAGGTTAGCGCAGATGAGGGCGACGAAGAAGTCGAGGAATCGGTGGATGGAGAAGAGGTGGAAGTTGATGCTGAAGAGCAGGAGGAAGAAGAGCTTGTAGCAGAGCCTCGTAGGTTACGTAACGGGAAGGTTGTTGGGGAGGACGAGGAAGTCGATGAGGAAGGAGACGAGGAAGTCGAGATGGACGAGCAAGATGAGGGCACTCAAGACGGTAGCGAAGCGGAGACTGCAGCCGAAGCTTCCCAGGACGAGGATATTGATCTAGAAGAGGCAAGCGAAGAGTCAGACGCGAGCAACGAGAGCGAGTACGTCGACGATGTAATGGAAGATGGTGAGTTCATTTCCTCCGTCATCATCACGATGATAGCTCACCGAATTCATACAGTCGATCTCACCATCGCGACCGCCAAAAGTCTGGTGCGCCACCGTCGGGATGTCCTTGTTCGTCTCTGTGAATCGCGAGACCTCGATGTCGAAGGCACAAAGCCCGAACTCGCAAGCGCTCTACTCCAGTGGCGTGACAGACAAGAATCTCCTTCATCTACAGGCACTGTTCGTCCTCCATCGACGGCCAGACCTCGCGCCAATGGGCGTCGCAAGCGCAGCTCAGGTAGCCCGAACGATTCCCCAGTCCTCTTACGGTCACATCATGTGCATCTTGACGAACCGAGAACTCCACCAATCTCGAGCCCCAATGGTCATGGAAGGGACAAGGATGAAGAGCTTGAACTGGATCTCGAGAGCCTTGGCTTGGACGATAGGGAGATTCCGCCCGAAAAGTTGACCAAGTTGGAGAAGATCGGGAGCGGCGGCTTCAAGGACGTATTCATTGGGAAGTTCAAGGGTAGGAAGGTCGCGATCTCGGAGTTCAGGGGACAGTTGAGTGCCAGTGCGTAATCCTTCCCTTATATTTCATCCGTCTATTTTAGCCCTTTGCCCGGCGTCGGATGAAAATTGACGCTCTTCGGTTTTTGGCAGTGGATATCAAGGAACTCAAGCTTCTTGGGGGTTTCAACCACCCGAACATCGTCCGTTTCGTGCGTGTTTCTGTTCAGGCTTGGGCCTAGTTACTTCCACTGACGCGCGTTGTTGGCGCCTCCAGTTGGGCGTGAGCATTCCGGAAGACACGCGGATAACGCCTGTCATGATCGTCAGTGAGCTCTGCTCCAATGGTGACCTCTTCGACTATGTCCGGAATGTCCCACCTCCCTCACTCTATCGGATCGTACGTATCTCACTTTCCGATCGTTCACCTTTTTCAACCTAACAATAACACGTTTGCATAGTTGAGTATCATGCTTGATATCGCTCGCGGTTTGGAATACCTGCACCTACGGAAACCATCCGTTATCCACCGAGACTGCAAATCGTCGAACATCCTCATCACCTCCAAGGGTGTCGCGAAGATCGCCGATTTCGGCCTAGCTAAGGTGAAACAGTCGACGCGGTCGATGGTACGCAGCTTGGTGGGCACTGTGAACTGGCAGGCTCCTGAGCTGTGGCACGCACATCCGAAGTATAATCACAAGGTGGATGTGTTCGCAGCCGGGGCTGTATTTTGGGAGATGTTGCAGTGGCATCTCCCGAACAAGAAGTATCCTTGGGAGGGCATGAACGAGCATGCGATCTACGAGCTGGTTGGTGCCAAGCGACAGAGGTGTGTTTTCTTACTCCGTCATTGCACATGCTTGGATAGACTGCTGATCGTGCAACGTTTGTGTCTAGGCCTTCACTGACTGGATTGCGTCGGCAGTACTGCCCAGAAGTTGTCGATCTCATCGACCAAATGTGGGCACAAGAGCACCAAGATAGGCCTACGATGTCTGAAGTGGTGCAGGAGCTGGAGCGCCTCGTGAAGGCCTATCGCTAAGCGTTGCTCTGGTTGTGCATATCGCACAGATATTCTTACCTCTGCTTTCTTATTTTATCTTTCTTTCTTTGCTAGCTTACAAAAATGGATGGTCCTTGTTGTGTATATACTACTTGCTCTGTTATCGGCCTTTTCCTCCTACTCTACGCTCAACTTCTGTCGTCCTGGTATATGATTTGTACCATCTTTTGTGTTGTTTTGATCGTTTTTGGTTCTCCTGACATTACACCAGACCCTTCGCCCCCATCTTACCCTCTGATCCAGAATCCTGCAGTTCGATTCACTCACCCCTGCATTTAACTTTTCCCTGGCTTGTTCCACTCATCAATGTATTTTATCCTCAACCCAGCCAATACATACTTTTGTGCACACAGTGTATATTGAGGTGAAGCTACTACCTCCTTTGGGTGTGAAGGGATGAAGAGGCGTTACGTAAATGCCGATGTCAAGTCGAACGAGTTTACGAGCCGCCACTCGCGTTCCGTAGCACGTCTCACCAAGCCCACAGCCGCCGCATCGTCCTCGTCGTTGCCATCCTCCCTGCTTGCCACGTCGTCGACAACCCACTCATGGCGCCGACCACCGCTATCCAGGCCAGAATTGCCGCCTTTGAAGGCAAAGGGAGCTCAAAAGACCTGCCAGAGAATACTGTACCGTTCGCCGAATTCACCGACTCGCAGTCAGAGTCCAATCCGAGCCTGTCACCCACAACGTCCTCCTTCCCTCCCTCTTCGCCTCCAAAGTCAATAGATCATTCTCCTTCGATGACGAGCAGCTGCAGAACTTCTGTCATCGACCTCAAAGACTGGGTCATCGACGACGGCCCCGGCGTGCTTCCTTCTGCTCTACGTGAAAATGGTAGCAGCATGAATGGTGGTGTTCGGTCGAAGACGACGAGTCCATCATTCAGACCGACGATGGGACGAAAGTCCCCGCCGAATTACGATCTCGACAGCACGCCTCTAATCAATTTCGAATCTTCGCCTCCCAAGTCTCGTGTCAAGGTTCCACCACTCCCACCTCGGAAACCGTCCCTCCAATCCCTGCGCCCACCGTCATCGCCCATCGTCATTGGCTCTAATTCATCTCCTAAGTTTGGTGCTTCGTCGAAAGGATCGCAAATGCTGAAACCGCCCGAAGCAGACCATTCGTATCCTCCCAATCTGTCTGAACTCGATGTCGGCAAGCGAGGGGGCCACGCGCCGGCTTCGTCTATATCCTCGTTCCATTCTCTCTCGCTTTCGTCGGATGGTGGCACATCTCCTGGTTCTCTTACAAACTTCATGCAGAGCTTTCCGATGGACAAGGAGAAGACGTCGGAGAGAGATAGGGAGAGAGATTGGCACGAACGAGAGGGCGATGGTGACAGTTTGAATGATTCTTTCGAGGACGTATCCGCGCCATCTTCTTTCAGCCCTACAAACACATTCATTCCTCCCTCTCGCAATCCTCTCGTCAAACCAACACCTCCTCCAAGATCCAAGTCACAGTCAAGAGCTGCACCACCACCCGCCGAACCTCCAAAACTTCCCCAACGACCTAAACCTCGAGTCTCAGCCCCCACATCCATAACTTCGACCGCGTCCGCACCTATCTTACCCACCTCTTCTTCTAGCAACACTGTGACCGGCCGAGGTTTCACCTCTTCCCCGACCTCTCCCGCAGGTTCACGGATTACCTCGCCCATACTCACACCCGTGGCTTCGACTAGTGCGCAATCGACCGGCAGTGGGAGTAATAGTAGTGCCACAAGTCATGCCCTTCGCCGTATTCCGCCTCCGCCTCCAATATCATCCTCGCACTCGCACTCGCATGCACATGCACACCCACACCCACATACACCTACGCATACCCCTCCGCCTTCACATATCTCGCGCTCGAAACCTCCATCGCGAAACCCTCTCCCGTCCGGCTCTGCGTCGGCATCAGCCTCTGCGTCTGCATCTACGTCAGATCGTTCGTCGATCTTATCGCACGGGTCAACGTCATCCCGAACAAGTCTCAATACCCATACCGCACCTCCGAAGCACTACTCCAGTAACTACACCTACAACTTCAAGGGTTCAGGCTTTAGCACTAGACCATCCGCGCCTCCACTCGAAGCTCGTGTACGATATGATGCAGTCTTCGACGCGAATGTCCGAGCGAAGCAGAAAGCTGCTGCATCCGGGTCGTTGTTGAGTCCTCTTTCGGCGGGTTCGGGTATGAAGAGAAGTATGAGGCAAAACGCGGGCTGGAGGGGTTTGTCTGTGGATCTTATCACAGATAATCCGACGGAGAGTGAGAAAGAAGCGAGTGGTTCGAAGGCGGGTAGTAGGGAGAGTGACTTGAAAGAGGAGTATGAGATTGTGGAGAAGGATGCGAGCTTGGACGGTAAGATCGTCAAGATGATATGGCAGAAGTCGAAACTGGAAAAGTCGAAGTTGAGGGATATTTGGTGCGTCTATCCTCTCTGGTGTTGGCTCTTAGTATATATCATGCAAACAGGCATCTCATGCCACAACTATTTGATTTTCCCACTTATCAGGATGGAGTGCGATCCACATTCGCAAGGCTCACTGGACCGACAGGCGTTCGCACTGGGGATGTGGCGCATCGACACCGAGCTCGATAAAGCGCAGAAGGCTAGACGGGCGGCCTTGCTTAGTAGTGCTAACTCGAGGAGCTTCAGGCCAGGTGGACGTAAGCCTAAGAGGATGGATTCAGGGGGATCCATTTCGCTCATTCAGATGTGACTATGTTTCCTTGCTTTTCTCGGACGCGCTCTCCTTCCGTATATACCCTCCCTTCCTTCGTCGCAATCAGGCCGCTCCGCTCTGTCCACTGGCATCACCCATCATATCTCTACCTCATTTGTACCTTACCCACTATCCTTACTTACTGCGATGTCTCTATCATCTCTCTCTGCGTGGTCGGCCGGCCACATATACATCATATTTCAGACCACACACGGGTTCCCTCTCACACTCGCTCTCTGCTCTCTGCTCTTCATCTTTCCATCTATGTCTTCCCCTCTGCTGGTCATCGATCGGACTTTTCACACAACCTCATTGTCTCCCAGTCTGTCTGAATAGCTTTGCACTTATTTATCATTCTTAATGCTTTGATGACCACCTTACTCGAGAGTCTGTCTTGAATATTCCCGCCGTGCATCTAGTGGCGTTACCACATCATAGGCTGGTCCTATGCAAGCAAGCAACCAAACAACACATCGCGTCCATGGCTGGCCCTGTGTTTCGACAGATTCCGGCACGCTCTCTGTTTACTGATGTTCTTTATTTTGTTGAGCAATTCAGGACATGGTCGTACATGAAGGTTCATTGCAAGGTGAGTCCTATTTCTCGCTCGGAAAGAGTATAGTAATCTAGACCATATTCACATAGATTCTAAGTTTTTTTTGTCCACTATGTAGGTTGCCATTACTGCCCTGCATTCGGGTTCCTCGACGCCACCTCCACCTAATCAAGTCATGCTTTCGGATTGCTTCCTTGATTCGCAAACCCGAATGCTGATCGTCTATCTCTTCATCCTTGATGCACTTGACTTTTGACCCTGTTCCGGTCCCGTTTCTCGCCGTCAATGGACTCCACCCTTTGGTCGTCGCTGCCGCTGCCTCTCCCATCATCGACCTCAAGATATACTCCGAGTTTGTTGGCTACTTGCCTCCCTGACGAGCTGGTGAAGACACCAACTATTGAATAATTCGGCGGTGGATCCCTTCATTCTTCTTGCCTCTTTTCAATCTTGTTCGCCCACGGGACAGGTGGTCCGTACATGGCCCTGGTGTTCGGTTCCTGAGTTTCTTGTTCTGATTGTGCAGGATTAACCACATTCGGCAACGTAAATCATGATACGCGCGGCCACGTCTATCGTGTATCTTCTTTCATTGCTAGAGAAGAAGCTGATAGCCACATCTTTATAGGCTACAAAGGCCGTGCACCGGGTCTTTCATGTGGATCATATTGATCGAGACGCCCACCAGGTGCTCGCCGAGGCATGATGAGCCTGACATTTCAAACACAATGCCGCCCACAGCACAAGGACTTCCACCGGGGCAGGGTTCGTCATCGTCTCTGCCGTGTGCCGACTTCAAATAACAACTAACAACCATGATTATACAGTCATGTTTGGCCCGAGAGTAGCGCCACCGCGTACTCTTTGAAACAATACATCTGACCACCAATGGCATAGCTTGCCATTGGAAGACGAAGAAAGTCCACCTGCCGACTATCATCAAGCAATTGTTGAGCCTATGCGTACGAGGCCTCCACGCACCCGTAGGTCCTCCATGCTTATACATGTAACATAAGCACTCTGACAGTGGACGCGCAAACCTTTCAACTCTCACAGTGATTTATTCTTTCCTGAAACTCGAGAAGGCCGAGGCCCTGTCACAATCTTACGACAATCAGGAGGCATCCGTCCTATAGGCTTACGCGGAGCTTGGCCGCCGCTTCTTTGGAGGCCCAAAGGGACCAGGTAAGGCACGAAAGGTGGTGGTGGTCTGTCGCCGGGGACGCGTATGCCCTTGCCGTGCAGCGCACCACTTACCGGATGCAATGGGCACAGAGTGGTCAAAAAATATAAATATGGTGTGCCCGAGTGTCTTCCATGAACTCAACCAGGTCCATTTACAGCGACTACAGTCTACAGTCCTCTACCCCAAATCACGTCAACGATGTCCACTATCAAGTTCGACGGTCAGTCTACAGCCGAGAGTGTCGCCCATGTTCTGAGCGACAAGATCGTCGGCAAGACTGGTGAGCTTCATGTCTACTTATTCTACTAGTTGTCCAGTGTATTGAGTCCTCTCAGTTATTATTACGGGTGTATCTCCGAAAGGGATAGGTGCGGAAGCCGCGCGTGCGTTCGCGAAGGCCGGCGCAAAGGTCGTTCTTTCTGGCCGCAACCAGAGCAAGTACGCGCAGCTACAAGTTGCAAGGTGCCATGCGCATAACTTGATCCGCTTCTCTTCATCGCAGGCTCCAGGAGACTGCCGACGCAATTAAGAAGGAGACTCCTGGCGCGGACATCAGGGAGCTCATTCTCGATCTTGGTTCGCAGAAGTCCGTCCGCAAGGCAGCCGACGAGGTCCTGAAATATTCCGGTCCTGTTGACGCACTTATTCTGAACGCCGGTGTCGTGCGTAACATCTTGCCCGAGTCCCTTGCTATGCGGTCAGTAGGACTGACCACACGTCGATAGATGGGCACTCCTTGGGAGAAGACTGAGGATGGCATCGAGAAGCAATTCGCAACCAACCATGTCGGCAACTTCCTCTTCACCAACCTGATCATCCCAAAACTGCTTGAGGCACCTTCACCTCGCGTCCTTGCGGTCTCTTCTGTCGGCCACTTCTGGGGCCAGGTCCGCTTCGAGGTACGTTACATTGATACGTTTGAGCGGGCCAAAACCAACGCTATGATAGGACTACAATTTTGAAGATGGAAAAGTCTACGACAAATGGGAGGCATAGTAAGCAGAGCTTCTCTTGAATGTGGGCCCAGTTGACAGCGTCCACCGTCCAGCGGTCAGAGCAAGACAGCGGTCATTCTCTTCGCCGTTGAGCTCGCGGAGCGTTTCAAGGATACGAAACTCGTCGTATTCTCCTGCCACGTACGCTTCCCGCTCTCTCTGACATCGCTCTCCGCGGTTTATCGATATGATCATTCAGCCCGGAGGTGCCGCTACTGGCTTGGCCCGTCATATGACGAAAGAAGACCTCGAGAAATTTGCAGACTATTTCAATCCCGATGGCACGCCAAAAGGCAACTGGTTGAAGACCGTTGGCGAGTGTGCAGCCAAGTGAGTGTCAGCGCGATCTCTTGGTCTCCAGTAAATTGATAACGCTCGACTCGAACAGTTACCTCGTTGCTGGTTTCGACCCGTCCATCGCCGGTTTGTCTTCTGTCTAACGTCAACCCACTCGTATGCTAATATTTTCCCGCCGGCGCTATTGTAGATAAGAGTGGCTCCTACCTCACCGATTGTCAGGTCGCAAACGAGCAAGCCGCTCCTTACGCGCTGGACAAGGTTTGTTTTAAGTTGCCATATCTCAGCGCATGGTCTGACCGCACGTTTGTGGTTGTAGGACAGTGCGAAGAAACTCTGGGACTTGAGCGAGAAGCTTGTGGGCCAGAAATTCCCCGCATAGATCTGCTATTCAGGCCTCTTTGTATTCATATAAATATTCATTGGTAGATGTATTCCCTAGACTGCGTGCTGATATTGAGCTCTACCGTTTGCTAGTGCACGCCGAGAATTCAGGGTTTGACATCCATTTACAACGAGCAGAGGTCGAAGCTACCCCCTCGAATGGTGGCCCCGCGAGTGCCCGCGAGATCGTGGAAACAAACTAAAAGCCGTCAGAGCAAGGAAGATAATCCGGGGAGGAGACAATCGTGTGCCCGTTTTCCGGTTTCGGAGCCAAAACGGACCAAGGTCCGAGATTTTGTCTTCGCCAATCGACGGTGCCGAGAGATGCCGATCCAGCAGTGATATGTGCCACCCACGCCACACTCCTTAGCCCACGAGTGGGCAGAAAGGGTGAAAAGGTCTAGAGGGAATCCGATTGATTAGTATTCAGTTTGGTCATTGGTTGAATGTGTTGTTCGTGTGTGCGCACTTTTGGGAACTGGTGTAAGGCATGCTTTTGCGTACCAGAGAATACTGTAGAGCTTGCATATCTCATCTATGAAGAACGCCCGTGGCTTCATTGGCGGCGTCACTACGACGAACTATAGGAGTAACAGAGCGAGGATCTTCCAATGCTTAGATGATAAGAATACATTCAACCACACTCTAAGCTGCGAGCACATCCCGATCCTGACTTATCATACCAACTGGGCGACGTCCAGCCTTAGGCGCCCGTGCTCGCCGGCTCCTTCCCAAGACGTCGCTGAACGCTTGCTAGTTTTCGAGCGTTTTCGCCTTCGGTCGGGACGTTCGACGAGGAGCGGGTACCGATACGTATGTCGGTGGCGATGCGGGGGGCTCCTTGTTGGTGTACGGCTGCGTGGCAATCATGAATGGCCTTCATGACTTCGGACCATGGTCCTTCTACGAAGATAAAGAAGACGATGGGTGCCCCAAGAAGGAAGGTCCAGAGTTGAAATAGAATATACCTAGATTGGTGCCATATCCACTACAGGGATTTCAGGAGGGGTGCCGCCGAAGAGCATAGCGCGAGCACTCACTGCATCTGGAGGACGATCGGAACAGGTCAGCCTCTATTCTATGGGGGTAGATGACGCCGATGGCATACCTTGTATTTCAAGCCACTCTTTTCAAGAACGCGAGCACATTCGGTTATGTACTCCCCGACCTACCGTACAGACTGATTAGCGTACGCCACATTTAGAACCGGCTCAGATTCAAGAGATACCGAAGGATCGCCAGTGCCAATAGGGATGAGGCAGAAGTCTACGGAGCACCAGGAGTTATAAAAGACCCTGAGAGCAGCTTAGGAGATGCAAACCTGCTACAGCATACAAATCTTCAGCCATGATGGTGGTGCGAATCAAAGAGGGTCGTGTGGCGCAAATGCCGCGCGTCATGGAGTGAGGGCGCCTAATACGTCTTGTCTCCTGCCTCTACTGTGCCACTCTGCGCACAAGCAGCCTCGTTCAATCTCAGGCTCGTCGGGCGCTTCATCTCTCTCGTAAAGACACGTCCGCGAGCCAAGGACCGCATACGCAAGCCCACCATGGCTTCACCTGGTCGCCGTGCTAATAACTCTCGTCCACTATCAGCTTCGCGCTCGTTTCAACAGTCTCTCTATGCTCCTGGCTCAAGCTCTCGCCCATTTTTGAATATGCTGAATCCTCTGGGCCGCACATACCAAGGATATACGGCTGCAAATCAGTCCTTGCTCGAGGAAGAGGAGGAGGAGCGTTCACATGACGACGAAGACGTGGAGGACGATGTGGAAGCTCAGACGAGCAGGAGCGTCCGCCGAGGGAAGCGGCCCAGTGGTGCCACCATGAGCCTTCTTCGACCCAACATTCACCATGAAGATAAGATTCACGAAGAATCAGAGTCTGATGACGATGTTCCCCAGAGCTTCATGATCGAGTCTCCCCATAATCGACGACCGCCACCTCCCTCGACCTCCACGCGGACATCGAAGGGCAAAGCTCGCGATAGAGGAGACTCATCGTCCGCGCAGCCTCCAGGTCTTGATGTTCCTCGGATATCTGTTCCACCACGGCCGTCAGAAATCAATATTGATGAAAGGTCTTTACCTTCACCATCGCCACAACCTTCGAAGCCCATGCGTGGGCTAGATGCGTACGAGCGCGCTCTTTGGAACTGGGTCAACGTCTACAACCTCGACGCGTTTCTGCAAGAGGTGTACTACTATTATGAGGGAAAGGGGATTTATTCAATTGCCTTGACCCGTGGCTTAAACCTTCTGTCTGTACATCCCTCATCCTTTGTTGCGGCGCCACACTAATCGTTTGTTCGTAGCACAGTCGGGTTCGTCATTAGCTTCTCGACATTTCTACTCCGATGCGTCAACTACTCGCGCATACGGCCGGAGGGAGTAACCAGATTGTCGGACGTTGTGGTCGATCGATGTGTGGCGAGGTATGTGCCATAATTTGCATGATCTAGCTTTTTGTCTTACTGTGCGGCGAAGGTTCTCGGGATTCACACTTCTTTTCTTCCTCTTGTTCTGCGCGTTCTACTTGTGGCAGATTGTCTCGTTCGTCACGGGCATCATGCGCCTCGCGGACATGTACCGCTTCTACACGTATCTTCTCAAGATACCAGATGTAAGTGTCCTACGTGAGCCTCGTACCCGCATTCCTGACCAGGTCGCCTTTTTGTAGGAAGATATCTCAACTATATCTTGGCCAGAGATCGTTCGCCGTATATCCAACATCCGTGACTCCAATCCCCTCACCGCCATATCCTCCCGCCCACGAGACAGCGACGGTGCCAAACTCGATGCGCACGACATCGCCAACCGCATTATGCGGCAGGAGAACTATTTGATTTCACTGTTCAACAAGGAACTTCTCGATTTACGCGTTCCGTTGCCAGCTGGGATTGAGAGGATTGTGGGTTCGGGTGCCCCAGCGGGTAAAGGACGGACGCTCACGAGGGCTTTGGAGTGGAATTTGAGGTTCTGCTTGATGGAGTTTTTGTTTGATCAGAGAGGTAGAGTCAGGAAGGTGTTCTTGAAGAGTAAGAATAGAGCGGCGTTGATAGAAGGGTAAGTTGCTGCTATCATCAAATGCAATGAACCGAGACTGAGTCGGATGCTTACACAGGCTTCGGAGAAGGCTCATCTTCATGGGCATCCTGAACGCAATATTTGCACCATTTATCGTTCTCTATCTCCTCATGTATTCGTTCTTCCGCTATTTCGAGGTCAGTCCGGCCTGTTGTCATCATTAAATTTCGAACTCATCGCTGGTATGCCTCAGGAATACCACAAGAACCCATCATCAATCGGAGGCCGAGCATATACTCCCTTCGCACAGTGGAAATTCCGCGAATTCAACGAACTTCCCCACCTCTTCACGCGTCGTCTCGATGAATCATACCCTACCGCCAATATATACATCGCACAATTCCCGAACGAGAAAGTTGCCATCGTCATGCGGTTCGTCATCTCGCCTCGCTGCTTTCTTTCCTCGTTTCTTTGGCTCACAACAAGTCGCAATCTTATTATTATACCAGATTTGTCGCGTTCATAGCGGGTTCTTTCGCTGCGGTCCTTGTTCTCGCTTCGATCCTCGATCCAGACATTTTCCTCCATTTCGAGATCACGCCACACGGGACAGTCGTATTTTATATCACCGTATTCACAGGCATACTCGCCGTGGCACAAGGAATGATTCCCGAAGAGAACAGAGTGTTCGACTCGGAGATGCTCATGATGGAAGTTGTGCAGTATACGCATTACCTCCCGGACGAATGGAAAGAGAGGCTACATTCTAAGAAGGTACTTCCTCTGTCTCCCTGCTCGTCTTTCCGGCCCGGTACTGACAGAATGTTTTGTATCGCTTCCATCTATAGGTCCATCAGGAGTTCGGAGAGTTGTTCGACATGAAGATCCTGACGTTCGTGAAGGAGATCATCTCCGTCGTCTTGACGCCTTTCATATTGTGGTTCTCCCTCCCGCGCTGCGCTCCCGCTATCATCGATTTCTTCAGAGAGTTCACGGTTCACGTGGACGGTCTCGGGTTCGTGTGTAGTTTCGCCGTATTTGACTTCCAGAGACACGGAAACGTGAAGGTACGTTTTCGATCCCATTCACCATTGACTTGTGTCATCGCCTCCCACCACATTCATAATTGTTCACTGATTTCGGATGTCTGTGATCAGTTCGGCGCCCCGACGACGGTGAAAGACGAGAAGCTCATGTCGAAAGAAGGTAAGATGGAGAAATCGTTCCTCAACTTCAAAGCTGCACACCCGGAATGGATGCCCTCCGACCCCTCTGGATCCCTCTATCTCAGTCGCATGGCGGATTACACTGCAGCGACCAATAACAACCATCCCCGACGACGAGCCGCTCATGCGCACACCGCCTCCAATACCTCAGCGCACAGTCATGGTCAAAAGGACGGAGACGCGCGAAAGGAAGATATGGCGGCTACTATGGTCCTGCCCTCCGACGAAGAGCATCTGAATGCGAGGGCGAAAGAGTACGAGAGGGCGTTGCATGAGAGCCAGAGCGCGGCGCTGGCGAGACGGAAGATGGGAACGTCGGGTGTCATGTTCGGGCCTGGAGGATTCGGAATGGGAGGAGGTGGGATGCAGAGCACGATCTATCAGAGCGGGATGGCTCAAACGGCCGTCCTAGGCGATTCGGAAGGGAGCATTATGCCGCCACAGCAACATACACCTCAATCGCTTTCTGCCCACCCTAGCGTGAGCACGAGTCTCAGTCGAGAAGGTTCCGGTATAGGTGGTATAGCACCGGAAGATAGGGATGCGGACGGGGGCGTCGGGAGCGCGTTGGGAGAGAGTTACGTGGATGGGGAGGGGGCGAGGAGGGGTAAGATCGTTAGTGGGTTGAGTATGCAGGAAGAAGAGGAGGAGGTTGAGGATGGAGGTGTGCTAGGGCTGTTGGCGCAGATTTATAGTGGGAAGGGCGCGACGAGGGCGGGGCCGGCGAGGGTGCTGTAAACATTTTCTTTTCCTCCTCATATCTTCCCTCGGGTCGGGGCCCCTCGCAATGGTGAGGGGATATGATATTGGGTTGAGCTTGGGGAAGCCGTGGTGCGGGGATCGGGGGGAGCGGTAATGTTATATAGATATCGCATCTTGGTTGGTTTGTGCATATAACGTTCTGTCTGTCCGCGTCATGACTGCACGAATCTCACATTTTTTCTCAGTCAAGAATCTTACTTGTTGATTTTGCTTCATAGGTGCAGCCCATGGCGTAGGGAAATGAAACCGTGGAATAAAATAGTAATTGGCAGAGAAGGTCTAAGGAGTGCGGCACAAGTGGCACATATCCCTGCTGGGCTCGACATCTCTCACACTAAAGTTCCGGACTGCCTCCCCGCTTTTCCTCTTCCTCCTCCCACATTTTCAAGAAAGACTCCTGAATAGACCCGCCGATAGCACGCGCAAGTGGCATCGGGACTGCGTTTCCCAGCTGCTTCAATTGCTGTATGACATGGGCGCAACCGTCGTCAGCACGTTCCTCTCGAGGGAAGAGTTCGGGGCAGCAACAGAGGAACAGTAAGACTCACGTCCTTGATGACCTTGTTAGGCGTTGTCTCCACAGACAGGAGCTCGTAGTCATCTGGAAAGCCTTGTCCACGCGCGACCTCTCGAACGGTCAGGATGCGCCGTTGCTGTGATCTCCATCAGTGTCTGCGAATGATAATATGGGTGTACCCCGAACGCCAAAAGCCCTGCTTACGTTCGGGTGAAGCAGTCGACTACCGCTGCTGTTTGGTGTGAACGTCGTCATCGCTGGAGGACGTATTTAGTCGAAGCATAGACGCGACGAGAATTGGACGTCATCTTACCAGTGGCGTAGTATTGGCTCGCGTCGAGTCGACCGTATGTCGTATGCTCTGATGGTGGAAACAAACTTCAGTCAGTCGGTGGGTTACCCTTGAAACCCACTGCGGTACTCACTAGACTCAAATTGGAGCCACTTGGGAAGATCTGTCCATCGTCAGAGAATCACTGAGTATTCGGTAACAACTTGAATGTTCGAGTCGGAGAAGAACCATACCGTGATGGTTCACATTAGGGCGCATGGGAATGTTGACAGATCTGTAATTGCCGATGAGTGTCGCGCAAGTTTTCAGCTTCAGTCGAGGGTTGGGTGGGGACATACCGCTCGACCACATTGACCCCGAACCTCGGGGTGTACTGATATCGCACAAGGTCACCAGAGCCTTCTCTCATCTCCCGCTGATACCTATTCTGCGGCTCTTTGGCGTACTTCGTCGGGATCTGGAAGCCCACGTATGGACTACTGGTCTTCGAAGGTATGGCATCTAGGGCCGGAACACCATCATCCTCACGCTGTCTACTCTTTTTCGAAGCCCTGGGGTCCGCCCTGGATGCGAGTCAGTAAGATAGACATCAGAGAGCGATGTTTCTTACCAGTGGAATCGTGGCTGAGAAATTAATGCGTCTATTTAGCCGCGGGCCACAAGTTTCGACGAATGCAAAAGATGAGGGTACTCACGAGATCACTGATGGCTTCACCTAACCTCACAGATCGAAGAGGCGCACCGTAGTAGTGGTCCTGAGACTCGTGAGCGCGGGTGACAGTGTGGAGAACCTGGTTGTAGCACAGGCTGAACTTGTGTGCTCTCGGAACAAAGACGTGAGTCGGGACAGGGAACTTCGGAAGGGGGACGCCGGGTAATGATGCCATGATGATGACTCGTCGACGGTCTTGAGGCGAACCATAGTGAGGTGCGTGAAGAAGGGCGATATGAACTTGATACCTGGTATTGTAGTAGCAAAACCCATCAGAATGCAGGTCTACAGTCTGGCGAAGCAGGATAGAGAGAATCTGAGGGTGAACTGACCCGAGAGCCGTCAACACACGAAAGATGAGCATGATAACACCCTGAGGCTTTCCGTCTACAATCCGATACCCTTTCTTCTTCCCTCCGAGTGGGAAGTGTAAAATACCGAAAACGTTCTCCATGACAAAGATCGGTGGCCGGTACCAGTCTACATAGGACAGCATATTTGCCACCAATTCATTCCTGCATTGAAGAATACTTGTCAGAACTGCAACAATCAAAGGCTGACAATATCAATGAACGTACCGAGGGTCATCGGGGTCCTGGAAACAAAGGAGTCAATAATGAATAGAAAAGTCTTTGGAGTGTACTGACTTTGTTATGATTCATGCCGCTGTAGGACTGGCATGGCAAGCCTGGAAGTTATCTATTAGTATTCATCTTCGGACAAGGTGGAAGAGATGTCCGGGTACCAGCAACAATGATATCGATATCTCCAGGTTGGGGCATTGGATGATCTAGTTCCAGAGTATTTGTGCCAGCAATGGCTTTTTGAAGGAGGTCATTTGAGGAATGGCAGTGGAAAAATGTGTCTGGATGATTTTTCCTAGTACAAAAGGTGTTAGATTTGAGCAGGGAGGATAGTGGGACAAACATACTTATATGTTAGGGAGCAGGATGCATCCATCTCTATAGCATGCTGAATATGAATTGAAGGTAACTTGTTTAGACCAGTAGAAAATCCACCGGCCCCTACAAAGAAGAACTCAACAACATCCAGACATGGGGCAATAAATCAGATAACAAACCGGCAAACAATTCCATACCACGACATGGTTCATGTGATTGGAGTAGCTTCTCATGATGAGAGAGACCATCAAGATGTTTGTTATAACAGGACAAACAAGTCTCGACATCTTCGGGTCCTATGTCATGCAATGCCTCAAATGTCTGCACCAAGGGGGAATCTCCACACTGTGAGACATAGAAGTGATCATCATAAGACAGCCATGTCTGGAGATCATGGGTAGAGTCTTTGTGAATGACAAAACATTTCCCAGAAATCCGTGACGAGTCAACGGTGTCTGAGAAATCTGTGAGAAAAAGGTACCGCTGACCGGAATGACCAAGAAGCAGAATAAAACTTATTCACATATTAATGGGTGTGTAACAGTATGAGAAGTACTGACCTCATCTTGCACATAACTTCTCTGCTCGAACTCCTTCCCTCTCGACACTCTCCTCACAATCTTATCCACCCGGCCAAGATATAAAAGTTGTATAGTGACCTGCACTCCGTGGCTCCTGCTCCGATCTGGTGTGCCTTTTATTCTTTTGACTTGGGCAAGGTCAAAGAGAACATCCGGATTACTCTTAGAGCGAACGTAGACAAAGTCCCCAATATGATACTCTGTACCAAATTGGGAGAACATTCCTGGAGAAAACTGAACCTCTGCAGCCTGCTCCTGCAACTGAGATTGTCCGCAAGACAAGCAGAGCTTATGCAGATCACAGACAGCCAGTGCCTGTGAGACTTCTGTGTCTGATAAACCGACAAATCCACAGTCATCTTGACTCCAGATTCGAGGACTAGAGATAAGAGACATACACAAAAAGTTGAAAAAATCATCATGATTGCTGTATATAGAATCAAACCCACCTGAGGTAGAAATCATTACAGACTGCAGAACGACTGTCAGGCATAGGCGGCTCCTGACCGGGAAGCAGATGTCGAATATGACACTTCTGGTAGATACTTGCTAGGAGAACATCACCACAGGACCTCTCCATATGAAAGAGGATCTGTGGATGAGCGGTATCTCGTAGAACAGTCTGAGATCCATGTGCAAACCACTTGATATGACATGATGGTCCTTTACGCTTGTCCTCAAGATAGCAAATCTCACCAAACCTTAGAAGTGGACTAAGAAACCAACCTGGAATATCAAAGAATTCACTCACCACTTTGAGGTTGCTAGAGGATTAGAAGATGCAACGGCCTTGGCATTGAGTGCACGAGCGGAATCTGCATCTTCACCAGGCTGTACCATGACAACATCTCCGACCTGATGCACCACATGAGTATAATGATTATTTTATGAGAAATATAAATATAACAACCTTATAACAGACACCGTCAAGCTTCACCGATTCATACTGACCAGGTGCTGCACCCACAACCTGTTGCCCCCATAGAATGACTGGATCACTCTCGTGGATAGGGTATGAATCATGCAATACTGGAGAGAAGGGTCGAGGAAGTGGGGGACCAACAACCTGGAGCTCTCTTCGGAACCAGGGCTGACAAATCTGAGCGACCAATGGAGTCACAATAGTCCGCAACTTGTTGACGAGGGGAGAAGTTTTGCCAGGGTGCTTGCTGGAGTGCTGCTGGTGATGACAGGTCGAGAAGTAGAAGTCGGAGTCGGGAATGTCGGAGAGCAACTCATGAATAAGTGGTACATGGCCAAGATGAACGAGGTCGCCATTCTCATCGTGAAGGTCTTCGAGTCGGATAAGCAGGAATGGTTTCTACACAAGGTTTTGGGAGTATATCAAGTTCAAGAAAAGCTAAAGGGGGCTACTAATCTCTCGTACCAATGTCATAAAATCATCCTTAGCTAAGTCTCGACCCAGCATAGATTTTGTGAACTTGAGCACTTCCGTCGACTCCGGAGTAACCTGGAGAGAGTCGATGAATTCTCTAAGTGTTATTCCATTATCGTTGAGGGCAGAGAACGCCAAGAGGTAGAACATCCTCTCTCTTGCCCAGAAATTGACGAAGAACGGGCGGTATGACCGAGCTGGTGTTTCAAGTATGTACCATGCATACTTGGTCTTGAGATAGATGCAGCTATATATTGTTTAGTATCAATAAATTATGGGAGGATTTAAGCAAACCAACCAGTCCAATCCAGATTCTGAATCATAATGATGCAGATTAATGTCAAGGATCTGTGAGAGCTCAACTCGTTGGAGTGAGCCTAGTGTTGTGGCCACACTCTGCTCTTCCAGATCGTCTAGCTCAGATGGATCATCCAACTCGTGTGGCCTGACTTCACCTGAAGCGGAGTAGTGGATGGTCGTGAAGGGGAGGGAACACAGAGACTCTACCGGGACGATTGACCGATTACCATGTTCAAAGATGACAAAGTTGTCTAGGACTCTGACTGGTATACTTTCATTGTCCAGGTCTTCTTCATCTTCTCCCAGAACCTCCCCAAGGACTTGTAATTCATCCTCAGGTATATCATCTTCAACCAGAGGGTATGTTGTGTCTTTAAACAAATTTATCAGATGTGGACATGAATGTAAAACCAGATTATGAACAACCTGGGATGTCACAGTCCTTCTGCGACGGAAGAGGATATATATAGCTCGTTTCTTTCTCCGAATCTGATGGCTATAGAGTAGTTAATATGAGTTAAGAGTGGCAGACATTAGATAGTATAGACATACTGATGATGCGACTATGGGGTTCGAGTCAACTCTTCTCCTTTTTCGGACCGGTTCAAGGAGGATACAATCAAGAACTGTTCGCACACGAGAATTGCGCGTAGACATTGAAGATATTCCAAACTAGCCGAGAGTCAATAGATAGGGTTAAGAATATGGACTCTAGTAGATCAAGGACTCGAAGGAGAGAGAACTGAGTTGGCCGAGAGCGACGAGCAAGGGCTGTCCGAAAGGCTGTAGAGAAAGGAGGAGACAGAACTGAGATGACTGTGCGGCGAGCAACGGGCTGACCGAAATACAAAAGGGTGCCGTGACGAGAATGAAACAGTGGAGTTGCGGAGGGACGTAGTCGATGGTTGAGAAGACAGAGAGTCGGCGCGGTCAAGGCGCGGTGTGACACCTGTGACTTGACGCGTCGAGCTTTCTCAGGCTCGAAGAGACGCGTTCGTCTTCCACTGCCATCGGCTTTGCATCTCGCGCTCTTGAGCTATGTCTCTACCAGTCATAAATCTCGCCGGCCAAGTGAGCTACGATCAGGAAAAGGGTAACATCCTTGAAAATACAGAATTTCAACATCTGCTGACGCGCCTCTCCAGAAACAATCGAGACATTCCTCAAAACATTTGTCGGCACCGCGAAGGATCTCACCAATGGCATGGCCGACATGGATCTCTTTGACGATGACGACGATGATGGAACTGCTACCAGAACAAGAGGCTTGAAATACATGTCACAACTGGTGCGTGTTCTGTTCATGTTCACACTAACGCATTCTAAGCGATGATCTTTTCAGCAACGAATCGCGAACCGTGAACAGCAAATGCTCGTGATCGACCTGGAGGACGTCGTGAAGGCAAGTGTTTGAGCCTGTAACACCCTTCCTTGCGTTTCTCATACTCGAGCACATTACAGCATGAGAAGACAGTTGCAGAACTTGCCTCGCGCATCCAACATAACACCCGGCGATATGTCAAACTGTTCAACGAGGTCGTCGACCGAGTCCTTCCCGACCCAACAAAGGACATCAGTGACCAGGACGAAGTTATCGACATTATTATGCACCAGCGCCGCGAGCGTAACGAGCATCTTGATGGAGTGCAGAGCGGGTTCCCAGTTCATCTTCTTCGACGCTAGTGAGTGACTTATCATCCTCGAGCACCCCAGGCTCTGACATGGTCCTTTCCAGCAACCTATACTTCAGGCCCCTTCTCTCGGACGTTGCGATGGCTGTGCGAGACGTTAGAGGCATCCACCTAGGCAAGCTTATCACTGTTCGTGGCATCGTCACTCGCGTGTCAGAGGTGAAACCACTCCTCCTCGTCAACGCCTATACCTGCGACCATTGCGGTTCCGAGACGTTCCAGGAGATTTCGAACAAACAATACACTCCCATATTCGACTGTCAAAATCAAGACGACTGTGTCAAAAACGGTATCCATGGGTCATTGCACATGCAGACGCGTGCATGTCGGTTCAGCCCGTTCCAAGAGGTTAAAATCCAGGAGATGGTACACCACCTCTTACTGCTACGTATTAGTCTCGCACTCATCTACCTTCTCACCTTAGGCAGATCAAGTACCAGTCGGCCACATCCCGCGTTCCATGACCGTCCACGTCAGCGGCAACCTCACTCGCACTATGAACCCAGGCGATGTCGTTCATCTTGGTGGTATCTTCCTTCCTATACCCTACACCGGCTTCCAAGCCGTCCGCGCGGGTCTGCTCACCGACACCTATCTCGAAGTCCACGACGTCCACCAGTTGAAGAAGCAGTACAGCGAAATGGAAGAGACGCCCCAGATTATAGCTGCCATCGAAGAACTCAAGGCCGACCCTGCGCTGTACGTCAAGCTCGCACTCAGCATTGCACCTGAGATTTACGGACACGTCGACGTCAAGAAGGCATTACTCTTGCTTCTGGTCGGTGGTGTGACGAAGGAGATGGGCGACGGCATGAAAATCCGTGGCGACATCAACGTTTGCCTCATGGGTGATCCTGGTGTGGCCAAATCTCAGTTGTTGAAGTATATTTCGAAGGTTGCTCCTCGAGGGGTGTACACGACGGGCAAGGGTTCGTCGGGAGTCGGTCTGACTGCCGCTGTCATGCGCGATCCAGTAACAGACGAGATGGTTCTTGGTGCGTTTTCTTACTGGACTTAATCGCGACTGATGGCTAACGAAGGGATTTTCAGAGGGAGGCGCACTTGTTCTCGCAGATAATGGTATTTGCTGTATAGACGAGTTTGACAAGATGGAGGAGGCCGATCGAACCGCGATCCATGAAGTCATGGAGCAACAGACGATCTCCATATCCAAGGCAGGGATCTCCACAACTCTCAATGCACGCACATCCATCCTGGCTGCGGCCAACCCCCTGTACGGTCGATACAACACCAAAGTTTCACCGGTCGAGAACATCAATCTTCCAGCTGCACTCCTCTCGCGTTTCGATCTCCTCTTCTTGATTCTCGACAAGCCATCCCGAGCGGACGACGAACGGTTGGCGAAGCACGTCACACATGTGCACATGTTCAACACTCATCCTGAGATGGACTACGAACCTATCGAGCCACTTCTCATGAGGTACGCCATGTTGCAGACTTCCTCGATCTTTCAGAACTGACGTATCCTTTCCCAGACATTATATCGCCCTCGCCCGCCAAAAGCGCCCCACAGTCCCCCACCAAGTCTCCAACCACATCGTCGAATCCTACGTTCGTCTGCGAAAGGTCTCCAAGGACGAAGAGGAAAAAGCCCACACTTACACCTCCGCCCGTACCCTCCTCGGTGTCCTCCGTCTCTCACAAGCCCTAGCAAGGCTTCGGCTGGCCGAAACCGTCGAGATCGATGACGTGGAGGAGGCTCTCAGATTGATGGAGGTCAGCAAGGAGACTCTCGCGGATGAAGAGGACAAGGCGAAGGTTGGCCAAGACCGGAGCGCCACCAGCAGTATCTTCCGAATCATCAAGGCCATGGCCAAAGATGCACGACCTGCGCGGAGGCGTAAGGCGCGTCGGATGGGCCGGGGACCGAATCGCGAGCGCGATATGGATGACGACGATTACGAGGACGGTGACGACGACGACGACGACTCTGGCCTGACGCTTCGGATGGTGGATGTCAGGTCACGAGTGCTCGAAGGAGCTGCGTTTACAGAGGCACAGCTCATGGCTTGCATTGCAGAAGTACGTCCCTTCTTGGCCCAGTCTTTAATCTTCGCTGATCCAACCTCTTCTTGCACAGTACGAGAATACCGAAGTTTGGATGACAATGGCCAACGGGACCAAACTGCGTTTCAACGATTAGGGCTTCCGCTTCATTCGTCTTATTTCTTCGCTGTCTGCTGTCTTGCTTTCTTGTACTACGCGTTTTGTTTCAGGGTGTCTATATGTAGCCAGTAATACCATTTGTTCCCATCCTAGCCAGTGCCAGAAATCCGTGATTATTCTCCACGTCCTCAAAAGCGACGTTGACTCCTCCTAAAACGAACACCGAATCAAATGATTATTTAAATAACGACAAACAAAACAAATGTATATCCAATACTATAAACCGTCCCAGTCAACAGCCCAACCGTCCCTAATCAGTCCGTCCGTCTCAGGCTCTCGGACGCATGCTCCCAACTACTCCCACTCCCGCTCCCATCCGGACTATCCCTCTCGCCATGCCCAGGCCTCTGCAGTTGCAGCTGCTTCTCCACCCGCTCCTGCTCATCCGGCTCGTCCTTATACGCCGGCGTCCCCGTCCTCGACGGCCCCTCCTCATCGTCCAAAAACCCAGAATGGAACCCCAAGCCCTCTCCGACCGCCCTCTCCCGCGCGTCCCTCAACCCCGTATTCTCATCCGCATACTCATCCTCATCATCCGACACCTCCCCAAACGCATCATACAGCTCCTTCGTCCCCCTCCCTCCTCCAGCCCCAGACCCACCACCCCTTGCTAGAGAACTCATAGCTACGTCGTCGCCCGCAGGTAACGACGCATACGCAGCCCTACGTCTCCGAGCCGCTCGTCTCCAGAAGAACACGCCCATCGAGATTCCGAAGATGGCCACAGCGCCGAGAGCACCGAAGAACCACCTCTTGTCAGAGACGAGGTTGCCCATATCGGAGAACCAGCCTTCGTCTGCTGTGGGCGTCATGGACGATGAAGGTGTCGATGTGGGCGATGCGTCGGAAGGTGTGGTGTTCGTTTCCTCTGCGACGTCGTTCGGTTCGGTCGTGGGTGTGTCGCCGGCACTAGTAGGATTTGGGAACGCGGGTTGGGTTGCCTCGCCTTCGGCGGTTCCGTGGTCGCCTGGAAGATGTTCGGTCGGTTTGGCGTACGTCTTGGTTGCGGTCGGGTCGCTGCCTTCAGTGGGGGTCTCTTGCTGTACTGTTGGGAGTGTGTGGTCGAATAATCCGATCTGGTATGTTTGGGCGAGAGAGGGGTCGATGGTGGCGCCGAAGAGGGACAATTGCCAGCCGAGGAAGTTGCCAGAGTGGTTCTCAGTACCGATGTCGGAGACACGGATGGTCCAATCACCGATAGGGTTTTCATCCCTTCAGGGCAAAGTCAGTCAAGAATGTTATGCACAATGCAAATGTATTGATCTGTGGTGAAAGAACTACTCACCAATGTTTGACAGACATGAACCTCCATCCCGGGTAGCCATCCTTGTCAGCGTCACCACGTCTCCGCGCAGCCAACACGCTCTTGACACCGTTCGGACTGACAATCTCGACCTCGACATCGCCTCTCCGCGTATGTGTGATCCACACGCGAACAGTAATATGCTCCAGCGTCTCCAAATTATGCTGGTCCATCATCTCCTTCGTGACAGTGATCGTGCTTTGCAATCCTCCAGGAACAATGAGCTCTCCTCCACTCATACTCCCATCCTCATCGCACGTCCCTTCCGCGATCTGAACCGCAGGAATCTCCAACCACGCCTGTGGCTTGACAAGTTCCCAGTTCTGCGCCGCGGTGACGAACTCGTAGCCATTGAGCGACCCAAACCCGTACTTGTAGGAGAACGGTCGTCCGGCGGCGGTGTCTTCCCAGTCTGGATCCTCAGGGTTGATCTTATCTGCCGTACGAACGCAGAGATGTTGGATGTCGCGCCATGTGAGGTCGGGTCTGAAGAGTATGATCGTATCAGCCGCCAGGAAGCCTATCAATCACAACATGAAACGAAACACACCTGACACCGAGAGCGAGAGCGAATACGCCGACCGCGTTTGGAGCGGCTGCGGAAGTGCCGCCGTGGGTGGTCGCGCACTTGTCCTTGCCCACATCCGTAGTAACCTGAGAGTTATATGAGTTAAGGCTTGGCACTCGAGTGTGGAGGGAACATGGAACTCACGATATGATTGCCACTACCAGAGCTGAAAGCCACCACCATGTTCGCCGCGCATGACTCCGAGTATGGCGGGTGAAGACCCTTGTAATCAACAGCGGCGACAGTGACAGAGTAGATGCTGTTCGTGTATCCGTCGAAGTTGCATTGATCGCCAGAAGAGGCTCCATTGCCACTCGCAAATACGAAAATAGACCCCTTCCCACCACGACCGTTCTCCACCCCATTAAGCATCGCACGTTGAATGAGATAGCCAGGTGCTTCCATGGACCGACCGTCGTCCGGTGGACCCCAACTGCAACTGAAGATGGAGGAGTCCTCATAACCGTAGTTGAGTGACGAAGCCTCGTCGATGTCCGAGATAGGGCCAGAAAGAATGCGAACGCCAGAGATTTTGGAGTTGTAGGCAATGCCCATGCCGCACACGGTGTTCTTCACAGCTCCGATTTGACCGGCGCACCGCGTCCCGTGGTGGTCGTCGAAGAGTTTCGGGGTCGGAAGCTCTTCATGGTCGTTGAAATCATACGAACCAGCAGCCCACTGAACACAACAAATGGTTCGAACCTCATGATATGATTCATAAGAGAAAGAAATGGACGAACAAAGTTGTCTGCTAGATCATCGCTGGTATAGTCTAGCCCGTCATCCACCAATGTCGAAATGACGCCCTCGCCCGTGATACCCATTTCCCACAGCATTGATACATTCATCATATTCTGCTCGTACTCGTTGTTCACCAGATGCCACTGCTGCGGGAACATAGGGTCTTCGATTCCCAAACGTTCTGCGACCACATCTGCGGCTGACGGCTTGCTCTCGTCCGAAGAGTCATCGTCCTGTGGCGTAGGTATAGGCCCACGTTTTGCTCGTTGTCGAAGTTCTTGCCGTTCAAGGTACTTCACCGAAGATGCTATACGACGAGCCTGATGTGAATGTTCTGAACGAGAGTGGAGCGGGGAAGATGCGCGTTGGTGAAGTGTTTGTAGGTTATCGAGCACACGGTCCGACTCAGAATTTGACTTGAGAGTGCGCACGACCCAGAGGTTTTGGAGATCACCCAGACGTTCGACGACTTCGAGGCCGAGTTCGGTGGCGGCTTCGGCCAGCGAGGCACCAGCTAGCGGATTGTGTTCGAGGACATAGTAGTCGTGTGTGTTGTACGTGCGCTTCTGTGGCCGTGCGGTGACGAAGAGAGCGTCGTATGCGAAAAGAGCGAAGACAAGAGATAACGGTAGTCTCATGGCGGACGAGAAGAGAAGAGAGCGTTGTGCCCTCTGAAGAGGAACGGTGATGGGACTGAGAGGAGAGAGGACTTGAGTTGCGCCTCAGTTACCGGGATTTACGGTCCACGTGGCGGCGTGGGTGGCACCTTCAGAGCTTGCAGTATGTGGCGATTCGTGAACGCAAACATAGAATCCAGCCAGCAGTGCGGAGGGAAATCATGCACATTCAAAACGTATATATCCAAGTATGAACAAATAAGACATATACAATAAATTTAATACACGAAATGTCTGCAACCATTTCACCGCAGGCGATGGAGGTTCTTCCCGTTCTGATTAATATACCGTTCCACCGTCAAAGTTTCGAACTCTGTGTTCAGCCGTTCATTGGGAAGCACCCCACCCGAAGCCTCCAACAAGTCTCCAGCATACGGCCTCAACCGACTGCGTAGATCTTCACCGACCTCTGAATTCTCCCACAAGTCGCACGGTGGAAAGTCTTTCAAGGGCTCAAACTGTATCATGCGACCAGGTCAGAGACATCGATGAGCAGAAGAAGAGATTGAACGCACTTTCTGGTCAACCTGAACGTCGAGAAGGTCGCCTTCTTCATCTTGCAGCAGGAATTTCAGAGCGTAGACGAACGTCATAGGTGTGCCAGGCTCCATACGACTGCAAAAACTACACGCATTGTCGTCGGCTGATATTCTATGAAGATGAACTATCAGTGAATAAGAGCATCAAGACAGCGAACAAAAAAAAACGGACCGTTTGTGACAACCATTGCAAAACTTCCAGACGCAGTGTTCTACTGGTGAGGGCGCTATCTTGACGACGCGAGCTCTAACGGTGAAAAGAGCAGGAGACTTCTCGATACTCTTAAGCTTCTTGATGGTGCCGGCATCAATACGCTTGGAAGAGCCTGTCTTAGTCTGAGGTTGTGCGGTTGCACTCGCTCGCCTAATATTATTGGTCTCCAAACTCTCACTCCATTCCTCTTTACGTCTGCCGGAAGGAAAGGGAACGCTCAGACAGAGATGAAGCACGAACAGGATCAAAACATACCTCAAAAGCTCCAAAGATTCATCGTCCTTCGCATGCTTCTCGTTGAACTTATAGATGAGCCTGTCGTTCCCCGCAAGCAGTCCAGCCAAACCCGTGGTTTTCCGGTCGTTCACATGGGACTTCCTCAACTTCAGGTTCTTGATAAGACAAAAAGTTCCAGCAGGAAGATATTTCGCGTGGTTACTCTGGCCATCCCGTAGGTCTATCTTGACGATCATGCCATCGAGATTCTTGGTCCACCCAGCGGGTGGAGGAGGAAGAAGATCGTCTCGTTTGGTGTAGTCGGTCACGTAGATCGTTGAGAACCCTCTCGAGTCAAATTGGCTATGGAGGACCTAAACGCAACGCCAAGGATGGTCAACGAAAGATTGACAGTGATAGACTTGATGATCGTCTTACCTCAACAGTCGCGTTGAAATGCTCCAGGCCGACATCCTCAAAAAGCTGATGTTCGAACGTATTCGGACTTACGTTCGTCTCTTTCCACTTCTTCTTCCGTCTATAGAGGACTGTGAGCAATTTTCAGAAGCCAGAAGCTTGTAAGCACCTACTCCAACAAAGCCTTCAACTCCGGATCCTCTGCGACGTCAGTCTCGTCCAACTGCTCCGCTTTACCCGCCTCCCTAAAACTCCCCTCAATACAATCCCTGCGGCTTACTTTCATCCTCGTATTCGAAAACTTCCAATACTGCCCGGCTTTCAAACGATGACCAAGTTGAACAGCGGCCTCACCGTACATTTCAATCTGGAGAACCTTGTCGGATAGATTGGGAGGGCACCAGCTCTCGGTGGGCTGGAACATTCCTGCTTTGGCGGTATAGTCCGTGACATAGACGCTGTAGTTCGATCCGTTTTCGTAGACGTTCAAGATCTATATGCAAACAAGATCTTACTCAAGACATGGACTTCAAGGGTTATGGGACGGCACGCACCTCAACCGTACAATTGAAGAATCCCTGCGGTTCCATATCAGGGTCCGCGTCGCAAATCAGTCGATGCTCCCTCGTCTTATTCTTCCTCTCCCGTGGAACGGCGATCTGCGTAATAGGCCCCTGTCTCCTCTTTCTCTCCTCCTCGACCGCCTTCCACCACTTGGACAACTCGGCGCAACACTGAAGTTCAGCCGGCCTTGGGTGCCAGAACGGCGAGTATGTCTTGTCCCCGGAAGAAGCGGACCTAGGCACTCCGGTCAGATCGCCGTGCGTAGGATTACCAGTGGAGTCGTAGATGGCCCAATGAGGCGTATTAGGGTAGCCCGTCGCCATTTTAATTTCGTTGAAGTCAACTACCTAAGAGTGAAAAAAGAGGGAGAGAATGTTAATACTCATACGGGCGTGGATTAAATGACTGAAACCGACTTTCAAGTCTCGAAGCAACACAACGTCTCCGACCTTGCAAGGAGGGAGCCACGCAGAATGCTCCCGCGTGAAGAAATTGACCTTGAATCCAGCGCCCGAAGGGGCGAAATATTCTCCGTGAGTCTTGAAGTTTGACTTGTCCATAAGGGTTATTGACTTAGTGAGATCTGGGAAACAAATGAGATTGCGATTTTACCGCAACGGGTTCATGCAAGAAAACCATACTCACCGCCTCCTTTGGCAGTAGTGACGTCCTGGCTGCCGGTCACGACGCCGATGACAGAAAGGAAGGACCCTTTATGCATGGACTGAACATGTTCTAATGAAACATAATCTCTCTGTTATCCCTTGGCTTAGTATGTTAAAAGCGACAGACACAGGAAGACTTACGCCTTCCGTTTTTAAAACAACTTTTGGCAACAGATCGGTCTCGTCAAAGACAGCAGACCTTTCGCTCGCAGGCAGGGGAGTACTTCCGGAGGCCTCGGAAGCTGTCGATGGCGGCCCAGCGGACAGCTTTCGCTGATTTACAGCATCATTGCTTGTCTCGCCTGCTCTGACGCTTCCGATGTTTATGACCTGACCCGCAGCGGGTGGTGGAGCCCTGACAGAATCCGCACTGCTGGGATCGGCGGCAGCAGCAGTGACCGGGGGAGCGTGGGCTTGATGTGAGTCGACAGTTTGCAGTCTTTCGGCTCGTCGGCGTTTCTTCTTGGACGGCTTGAGCACAGATTGGGCTACGGACTTCTGAGGTTCGACGCTATCAAGGTGGGTGGGCGAGTCGAGGGAAACAGCAATGAGTTGATTGGTGAGTGAGGACTGGGACAGTTTCTGTGCTGGTGATGAGCCGGCGAGGGTCGCTGATCGAGAGGAGTGACCGGGCGAGTTGTCGAAAGGTGCTTCAGAGCTGAGTATTATATCAACAGCTGTGGCGTCAGCTTCAGATTCCTCGCTGCCAGGATCAGACCGGTCCTCTAAGTCGTCTGCCGGCTCGGAGGATGAGAACCAGCTATCGGGATCCCGTTTCGGTGGTAGTGGTGGCTGCTGCTGCTTCTGCTGCTGCGGTATTATAGGCTCTTAACTGGCGTTAGCGAGAGCTAGTATGAAGAAAAGGTATGGCTTACTGGGGCCCGGCCAAGTGTTGATAATCTTGGGAGAAGCGAGCGGAGTTCCCGATCGCTTCAAGAGCTTGAAGGTTATACCCTTCATGTACCGTAGCCCTATCACCTTCTTTGCTTTCTGAACCTCTACGCCTTTGAGAGAGAGGTCGATCTCGTCGTCAACGGCGATATTGATATTGCGAGTCCATGGCTCCTTTCCCTGCGAACCCATGTCTACGTAGACCTGTCTGTTGACAGAGGACTGATCACCTGAGAGCTCCAGCTTAAAGCATTTCATTTTGGAGAGAACATTGATCACTCGTCCGGTAAGAAACCCGGCGGCGTCGTCGTTTCTCAGTTCAGCGAAGCGCCGTCTGTACATGAACAATCCATTTGGATCAAGTTTGCGGCGTTTCGTGGATGGACCTGGGTCGGCCGCTGCTTGGCGCTTCATGTCTTGAAGTTTGGGGAAGGATAGAAGAGGCAAAGACCAAGTACAGCGAGGTTGCAACGGTATTGTTGGGGACAATCAACAAGACGCGTTCCGTCACGTCGCGACGCGTCTAGAAACGGAGAACTCCGAGAGACCCGTAAACGCGTGCGTGGGAGAGCGTGGCCCAAAACGTCATGGCCACTCTCTCCTCTCTCTTTCACCGCGCACTGTTGGCTGCGTCCAAAGCTACAGACTTACCAACGATTGAGGATGCAACACAAGTGAGCAGCATGGTGGCTAATGTCTGGACCGATTTCTAATCCTCATTTACAGGAACTTGTTGACTCTGCTCTGAAAGACTTGAAGGATGTGCGCACACGGGTTGCAGAACTTGCTCTTTTCAGCGCGAACGAAACACTAGAAGACATATCGACTCGAAATCTTGTGTATCTCCTGGTTCCGTTTACTGTCGCAGAATTAGAAGGGCGCTCGAGGGCCTCTGAACGAGATGTTCGGTTCAAGAAACTACTTGATGCTGAGGTATGTGGTGTGGCCCATCGCCGACAGTTTCTTGCGGCTCTTGTCACTGACACCAGCGTCCGTCCCTGATCCCAGCGTGACTATAGGCTCTTCTTGTCTGATCTCGAGCTTTACGAGGTAATACCAGAGGACGAACGTGAATTGTACGCGAGACGGCCGTCCTCTGTAGCGGACGCAGCGAAACGGAGAGAGACCAAGATCAAGCAGTACAAGCAGGAAAAGGAAATACGGGCCAAAATTGAGGTGTGTATTATTTTCAAGCAAGTTCAATGTTGGTTTGCAGACCCATTTTTTGCGCCATGGGTGTGACTGAGCTTATCATTCTCGATGCAGGCAATTCGCAAACGCCGGAATCTCCTACCCCCCTCCGACTCCTCGCCGACAGACTTTGACCTGATCGCATCCCTTCTTCCTTCGCCTTTGACGCCCGATACAGACGAGGATGACAAAGATACAGACACCGACGATATTCTTCGTGAAGCAACGCTGCTCCTCCTGAGGCTCACCTATGCACAAGCTCACTCCCAGCTCGAGAGTATAAGCCTCGAGCTCGAGCTTCTACGGAATGCCCCGCCTGAATCTCCCCAAGAACCAGACGATCAGAAATCCAAGCCGGAGAATGAGGTGGACTGGAAGCTCGACAGGCCCAGCGGACGTTTAGGTGCTGCAGGTGGCCCGATCTTGGATCCTCAGGGCAAGGTAAGAGATATCCTTTCAAGTCTCCTTTATATTGCCTCTCATCGATGGTTGCTTTTCTCCCAATGATCCACAGCCTCTTCGGCCGTTCACAATTCTTCCCGCGGGAGCAGCCGACCGAGCTCGTCTGCAAAGCCAAGTCTTCCAGGCGGATCATCGATTGCCTACCATGACTATCGACGATTACCTCGAGGAGGAGCAACGGAGAGGCAATATTATCACCGGTGGTGGGTGCGTATTCTACTTCCATTTCTCGTTTAAATGAACGTGTCTGATGGTTATTGTTTACGATGCCTAGCGCTGCATCTGCAGCAAAGCCCACGACATCGGAACAGCTGGCGCTTGACTCTGAACAGGATGGGACTGCGTTTGGTCGAGACAAGGAAGAGGAGCAAAGGCAAAAGGATGAGAACTGGGCGAGGTACACGGATGAAAACCCTCGGGGTGCAGGAAATACTATGAACCGTGGATAGTTTCCAGAGAAGTGTATCTCACTACAATGTGTAAGTTAATACTTGACAAAATATTCATCAGGTTTCTCCTTGGAACGACTCTTCACTAATCGGTGGGCTTCATACACAGATGTAATTTTAAGGTGGCGACGGGAATAAACTGCAGCATCGTACGACAAGACAATAGGGTGTTGCGAACCAATAGTCTCCAGATGCTGACCTCACACAAGACAGTCGTTGTATGGGATCCACGAGCATTTGTGCACCCGGTCCCCCTGTTCGCTATTCTTAGGTTTCAACCTTCAACCTCAGAGACATCGTCGGAGATGGGGCCAAGTTGAGGCATATGCTGTACGACAATAACCAATGCTCGGGGCTCACGGTGCACTCGGTGTTGATTGTAATGGCTTGGAAGGTGCCTCTTCCCGCTTGTGGCTCTCATAGATTGACTGGAGGTATGGATGTGGTATGATAGCTGTGCTCCTCGCAGCGATGGCAACTGTCAGCAATATGTCTTGATCCGTCTCTTTGCTGATAGATTGTAGAATAGGAAGCAAGCGCGACTGGAGTCATCCTGGGCGATCTGCTCCCGCACGTACGCTAAACGCCTTCTCCTGCCCCTGGTGCCATCCGGGACGCGGTCCTCGTTAGGTTTGTACGAACTCTATACCTAGTCCGCGGCACATCTAGACCCATCCTCATGTGGTAACGAGCTTCCCCCATTTACATTCTTCAGAGCTTCAGCAGAGATTCAGACGCAATGGTAAGTACGTCCCACCAGATCTTCTGAAAATAATTCTCACATAACTGAACTGTCGCAGGTGCCTTCCATTCGGCGAGAGCATCTAGAAGATTAAGACTCTTGTCGCAGTATGGCAGGGCACGGAAGCAGAGAGCGGGCTGTGCTTGGCGACGATTAGAACGGCGACAACCCTAACTCACAGTAACTCACACAACCTCGACGGACACGCGTCATTCATACAACCTCGACAGTTATCCTTCACTACGACTCAGGAAACTTATATGTTACGAACAGATGTAGGACACGGTGTTGGACGAAGGATGGTTGCGATGACAAGAGACAATGGTCCTCCAGCACATTTGCCTCTCCATCGGGTACAGTCGGTGACGATCCTGCCCGTGGTTCGAAGCCTGACGCAACAAGCTGATAGAAAGGGAACCTGGAAGAAGTTGTCAACAGTTGCTTTGACCCGCGTGCAGTTGCATCTTGTAACCCCTTCCTGACCCGCTCCTTGTCTGATGGAGATAGCATACGACTTGTCAGTGCTTACGTCGCTACCCTGAACAAGCTTCGGGTCCATTGGATAGCCTGCCTTGTCGCACGAAGTCCGGCCATGCTTGATAGGAACACGGTCAGAGCTCATATTTACCTTCTGAGGCTTCCTACAACTGCATGCGGAACTCATAGCTATGGTAACCGTATTCTCGTAGTGTTCTATGCCGTCCCAAACCGTTTGATCTGATATCCTGGCAGTGACCACTGCCAGTACTATGTTCTCTATGCCCAACGGGTGCTGTCAGGAAACTGCATGGAAGTATCATGCGGGAATGCTATAAGAGCCCGTCATTCACCATGTCCTGCTTCCCTAGCCTTCGCACTCGCCTTCCTTTGCAGCACTCTAGGGACAGGTTCCCCTTCGTATTCGTCCATTCATCTGCCTGGAGCCCATTCTTTGTTGTCCTTCACCAGCTAGTCTGCATTTTGTCCTTCGTTCTTTTCTGACACCTTTTACCTTTCCCTCTGCTATACCCACTCGATCAGATGTACTCCAAAACCCTCCTCGCCTCCTTGGCCCTTTTATCTTCTCTTGTCGCTCCTGCACTCGGACACGGTACTATCACTGGCGTCTCCGGTGCGAATGGCGTTCAGGCAGCCGGGTAAGTTGCTACTGTTCGAACTACTACATGGCCGTGGGTTTCTGTGACTTATTCTTCGTCTCTCTTGATATACAGGTTCGGTATTCTCGCGTCTACACCTCGTAACGGTGCTCTTCCCAAGCCATTCGAGCAAGACACCAGTGTTATTCGAGACAAAGAGATCCAGGCAGGCACTACAGGCGTTTGCGGCCGTACGAAGGCTGGAGGAAACAACGACGTCGCGACACAATTGGCTAGTCTGTATTCTCACCGACCTATCTCATGGTGAATATACATACTTATTAGTTCGCTGTTCACGATATCTAGATGCTTCAGCCGCTGGTCTACCAACCGCGGGCGCAGACGGATCCGTGCAAATGACCCTCCACCAGGTCAACCAGGACGGCGCTGGGTAAGTGTATCTCCTCTTATCTCATTGTCTTTCAGGATTTCTCACTGTCGCTCAATCTATTTGATTATTATAGCCCGTATACTTGTGAATGCTCTGCAGACGGTACAGGAGCCGACTTTGTCCAGATGGATGTGACGACCAATGTCCCAGGTGTGGCAGGCCTCAGCCTTGCCGCCGCAAAGGACTTCGATCTCGTCGCTCAGATACCAGCGTATGTTCATCTCTTACCACGCTCATTCGTGTATTGATTCTATACGGCTCTTCCTCAAAGTGGTGCCAACTGCACTGGTGGCCCCAATGGAGACGCGTGCCTCGTTCGCTGCAGAAACCAAGCTCTCGCTGGCCCCTTCGGCTCATGTGTTGCCGTTGGCAACTCGGGTTCCAGTACAAGTACATCCGCCGCTGGTGCTGCAGCAAGTAGCGTCGCCGCGAAGCGGGAGCCCGTGAAGCGTGTTATCCATTCTCGTGTCGCGGGTAAGCGGGCTGGGTACTGGATTGATGTATGAGGTGTCACGATTTGGACAATTTCTTTCCTTGCGGACAACGGACTGAGTCGTAGAGGACTGTAGCATGGTTATGGGTTCATCTTGGTAGCTTTTGTTTGGACATTTTCTTTGGCTCGTATGCGTTGTTTGTGCTTCATTCAATACATAGGTGGCGTTTGGCTGAAGTGAACTTATGGTACAACATCCTTGTTGTTCCAGCTTTCGTCGGTCTGTAGAAATATGGCTCAGAAAGTACATATATCAGTCCAGACCTCGCTCTATTCAGGTGAGATAACGGGTCTGGCTTGAAGTTACGTTTATTGTTTAGTTTCACGAGAGCTGCCCCAGTATCATGATCAAAATTATGACTTGTAGAAAAGCCATTTCCGCAACAGTGCCATTAACGTATAATTCTACTGCTCTGACCACTCGAAAGAACCAATAATGGCCGTCCGTCCAGACAACGACGCTGAGCTCGGCGAAAGAATCGTCATCCTACGGTTTTGAATGTCGATATTCGTACTAGCCAGATCAGACAAGACCACGTCAGCCTTTCGCCATCATAACTCCGACCGGCTGTGAAGCGTGACTCACACTGCCAGGAAACCAACGACATGCAAGTCTAACACCTCTTCGTCGTATCTCTCAGCCTCGTCTTGATGGGGAGGTGCAAGCAACGCCAACACAGCATTGAGCAGGCCAGACCCAGGGGAACTCGGGTCGACACGAACGGGCTGCATCTCGGATACTGTACGCGTAGCACCGATAGGTAGGGCTGATGATGGAGCCATCGTTTCTGCAGAGTAACGTAAGCTAAGTCCTTGTTCACGAGAGAAATTTCCTGTGAATATACCTTCTCCTATGCGATAGATAGTGAGGTCGTCGAAGCCGATGATGGAGCTACTGGGTGAAAGATGCATATTCATGGCAGTTTCGCCACCGGCGGTAGCGTTGACGTTGGGCGGGAGCCCTGGAGGTCGCTCGAGAGGGGGTCCATACATATAGTTGTATATCTGATAGGCATGGATCCGATGACGATAGGCTGCATCGAGCTCAACGACCTGAACACGGGGACTGAATTAGCAATAGTAAATGCCGTCGAAAAAACCATAACACAGACACCACCGGATTTAGGTATCTTCACGACCGCCATACGGTTCCCGTACGTGCGTTGCATCTCCACGTTCAGCTTTTCGTGTCCAACCACGAGGATAGTGTTGACTGAAAATGATTCATTTGAGTTATCAAGAGGAAGACACGGGTCTAAGGATAGATATACTTCGAAAAGCATCTACGCAGGCCTTGATGAGCATATGCCTATGATCTGCGCCCATTGAGCTCGGCGAAGACGCAAAAGACGACGGTGTATCGACGATGATCCCGGCCACGCATCCTAAGAGAAACTTGAGCGATCAGATTGGTGGCATGACATAGGAGGATGACCACCTTCAGGGTCTGCTTCTTGGCGTGCAGTGACATTCTCGCCCAGGTTGCGAATGAGGCGGTCCATCAGTAGTGGGTTGCGTTTTGTCCCCTCATGACCATACCAATATACCAAAGGTAACAAGGCGTTAGAGTCGAGCGTCGTGGGTGCTGAAGTCGCGGCTGTACCAAGTGGACTTGCAGGAGATGCAGTAGGGAGAGGGGAGTGAACGGAAGCTGCAGATATGGTACCTGGAACAGACCAGCCACCCTGAACGAATGTAGCGCTAACGTCAGACAATACCATCGATAGAAGAGACACCACCTACTTCACCAGGATCGGTGTTCACTAATAGAGGTGCCCAACCCTGCCCAGCACGGACAGCGTAGTTCGTGAGTATTTTGCACACACTTGTCTTTCCAGAATTCTCGGGACCCATGATCAGGACCCGCGGGGGTTCAGACGAATTTCCATTCTCCTCCACCCCGGGAGGGGGAGGCGAACCATGTAAGGCGCGTAAGGCGCGCACGCGTAGGCTCTCAAGTGCAATATGAACGTTGGCATACGCATACATAGGCGTTTCCTCTGATACATACTCTGTGGAGGGATGACCTGTGACGTATTCCAAGGAATGGTCGATAAGTACCAGGGTAAGCAGAACAAAGGGTGAAAGTACTCATCTCAATGGTACATCCTTGCCAGGTGAAGACAGCTGCCTTGCACTCCTTGCCAAAGAGATAAGTTTTACCCTCCGCCAACTCAGCCCCATAAACTTCTGCATGTCCTTTAGAAAGCTGCTCGGCGGTTCAGTATCAAGAACAGGGTGCGTATGATACGCCAGGATAGTAGTCAGGACTGCAAGTGAAGAATGATTCGTACCTTGATTGCGAGAGACGTGCCAGGATCAAGCTCAAACCGATATTCTGTCTCTGGATCCAGGATCCATTCTTTAGCTGGCCCACTCCCCCCAAAGTCAGTATGGTGTGCCATAATTATGAGTGCCACCGCCAGTTCAGTGTGGCTCAGGACAGGTCGAAGTTTGCCTTTGAGGAGGTTTAGGTTCTCTTACGTCATCCGAACAAAAGATTTCCCGTTCGGGCTTGCCGCCACCGCCCGATCATTCGGCTCAGCACACCCTGTCGGTCCTACGCACAGCCTCTTGCACTCATTCCGTGATAAGGTGGATGGTCTCAAGTATAAGTCAAAAAAGATATACCATTCTGCTGAGGCGACGCCAGCAGGATTTGAACCTGCGCTCCCATAGGGAAACAGATTTCTAATCTGTCGCCGTAACCACTTGGCTATAGCGCCTTGTAGAGGGCACAGCGGCCTAGATATGAGATGAGGTCGTCTTTCTCTCTACTTGTGAAACATACCCGACAAAATTCACGGAAACGAACAGACACATCCGTATCAGATCACACAAACGGGGAAAGGAAGAAGACATTTTTATTATCGAGTGCAGCGGGACGGTTCAAAACTCCATCAGACATCCAGTGCTGATGCGCGAACGCACGCAAGAGACATGATAGAGCAGCAAACAATTCTAGCCACACCCAATGAATCTAGACACGCAACCGCCGAAAATCCACTCCAGATCCACACTTCGTCCCATCGCCGCATCGTCAGAGAACAACCATCGCGCATCGAACCACCCGTCCAGTCCATCCTCGTCCAGTGTTTTTGAGCCGGCGGCAGACCGTAGGGTAGGAGTCGACAACGAGAAGGTTTATGAGTTGCTAAGCTCCTTCGCGAGCGCCTCAGCCTTGACCTTGACATCCTCGATGGTACCGGTCATGTAGAAGGCACCCTCAGGCAAGCTGTCGTGCTGGCCGGAAAGGATCTCCCTGAAAGAGCGGATAGTCTCCTTCAGCGGGACAAGCTTTCCCTCGAAACCGGTGAAGACCTGGGCGACGGCGAAGGGCTGCGACATGAAACGCTGGATCTTACGAGCACGCTCGACCTAGGAGGGTTTACATGAGTTAGTTACTGATCGTATGAAGAACCAAGGGTATGACGTACAGTCAGCTTGTCCTCTTCGGACAACTCATCCATACCCAAGATAGCAATGATATCTTGAAGGGACTTGTAATCCTGGAGGATCTTCTGGACAGCGGTGGCAGTCTCGTAGTGCTCCTTACCAACCTGTGTAAAACTGGGTCAGGATGGATGTAGTGAAACTTGAGAATGTGTGGTACTCACGATACGAGGGTCAAGCATACGGGATTTCGAGTCGAGGGGGTCGACAGCGGGGTAGATACCGAGCTCAGCGATCGAACGTGACAACACAGTGGTGGCGTCCAAGTGGGCGAAGGTCGTTGCCGGTGCGGGATCAGTCAAATCGTCAGCAGGGACGTAGACGGCCTGCACGGAGGTGATGGAACCCTTCTTGGTGGTGGTGATACGCTCTTGCCTGGAAATATGTCATAAGCATAGGTTGGAATGAAAGAAAGAAAATTTGACGTACATGCCACCCATGTCTGTGGACAAGGTGGGTTGGTAACCGACGGCAGAGGGGATACGACCGAGCAAAGCAGACACCTCGGAACCGGCCTGGGTGAAACGGAAAATGTTGTCGATGAAGAGCAACACATCCTGACCCTCCTCATCACGGAAGTACTCGGCAATGGTGAGACCAGTAAGGGCGACACGGGCACGGGCACCAGGGGGCTCGTTCATCTGACCGAAGACGAGAGCGACCTTGGAGTCACCCTCGAGGTTGATGACACCGGTCTCAATCATTTCGTGGTACAAGTCGTTACCCTCACGGGTACGCTCACCGACACCTAACGAGAAAATTCGCGTGAGAAGCCGGGAGCAACAAGAAAGTGGGGAGTTGTTGACATACCACAGAAGATGGAGAAACCACCATGGGCCTTGGCGACGTTGTTGATGAGCTCCTGAATCAACACGGTCTTGCCGACACCAGCACCTCCGAAGAGACCAATCTTTCCACCACGGGCGTAGGGGGCAAGAAGATCGACGACCTTGATACCGGTCTCGAGCACCTCAGCGGTCGTGGACTGGTCGACGAAAGCAGGAGGGTCGGCGTGGATGGGCTTGCGGGTAACACCCTTGATAGGACCCCTCTCGTCGATAGGCTCACCAATGACGTTCATGATACGACCAAGAGTGTCACGGCCAACGGGAATCTGGATAGGAGCACCAGTGTCGATGACCTTTTGGCCACGGACGAGACCCTCGGTACCGTCCATAGCAATGGTACGGACGGAGTTCTCGCCCAAATGCGACGCGACCTCGAGGACGAGACGACCACCGTGGAAATCCTGGACCTCAAGGGCGTTGAGGATAGGGGGAAGGTTGTCGGAGTCGAATTGAACGTCGACGACGGCACCAATGACGGTCTTCACCGAACCAATAGCGGCCTTCGCCTCGGTTGCGTACGTGCGCGCTGTGTGCGGAAATTTACGGGTAAGACTCGTGTTTCGACAACGACGCGAACAGAGGTGTTTAAGGCCATTCAAAAGACACGCCAACAGAAGTTCTACCCCACGAAAAGACTTGAAAAAGAGCAGAACTGACCAGCCTGGGTGGAGACGCGCGCCGGGCGCTGAGACGCACGCTGGTTTGCTGGCGAAGCGGGAACAGCACGGGAGAGGATGGGGGCAGCAGCGGCGGTGGAAAAGAAGGCATTGGTCTTCTTAGCGTTGTTCACCGCTCTGCGGGAAAGACGAGTGACGCCGCGGGAGGTGAGCATCGTGGGCGACGACGACGACGACGACGAAAAACAGGGAGGGTTTTGGTTGGTGCACAACCCGACGCAAACATCCCCAGGGTATTCTCGGGTCACTTCAAGCTCCGCCCCAATTCCGCCCCGACAGCCCGCCGACGCGCGCCGGTCCCCTCACCAGGTTGGTCGCCACCTCATGGGATCGTCGTGGTCATTGCGACGTGCATAATATATTTTCTTATGAGCTGGTAGGGCATAACTCGTGTAACAATGACGGGTAGGACGCAATCTTTGAATCTCGTTCTAGCATATTATATATCTCTCTATTCAGCAGAGAATTGGGCTGGGCCACACCACCTCTAGGCCGCCAATCGGAATGGGGGACGAGGGCCTTGCGGATGTACCAATGATTAGCCTTATGGCTCTGGTCGGTGTACATAATCTGACGAGTTGTATAGGCGTGGACAGGCGCGATGTGTCTTGGTAGCACGACTGTACACGCTGGACAAGAAAAATGCCAGTCAGCACACGGAGGCGGCGGATCGGGTGGCCGTCAAGTTGAAGGTTCCCATCCAGTCCAAGAACGTGTGCAATCTAGTCTCATACCAGCCGGTGTTAGGATCATTGAACCGACCCTTGTTGATTCAAGCTCGCGACTCAAGAATACTTACCGCAACAAGGATTACCTTCAAGAAGTTCGGCGCGTTGCAGATAATTTATGGCCAGCCAGCAAGGGTTATGTATCCGCTGCAGGGAGTAGTATAGGGCCCTAGCAAGGTGTGCTCGTCCTTGTGTATATGGTTGAAAGTCTAGCGGAAAATACTAATGGATTTAGCAGGTCCGTGGCGGTAGCATCCCTCGGAATAGGCGTGGTAGGTATTAGCGATGCTAGACGTACATGCTCATAAGAGTTCAGTAGGGCGAGGTCAACTCGGCAACTCGTAAGTAGTCCAGTAATGAGTGCCCTGGGTGATTTTCCGCGGGATATGAGCATACCTATGCGACCTCGATTGGAGTTCGGATGTGGTCCAGTGGTTAATCAGTGACTAGGATCGTTCATTTAGAAGGCCCTTCCGAGGTCGAATATCATTGCGTACTCGTTGCGACAAGTCACCCATTGACCAAAAGTCATGCTCGTTAATGGCCTGCATGTCGCCGTATGCTATACGTACATTGAACTTGGCACAATGAGATGAAATTAAGTTATTTATCAAATACCGATAGCATGAATGTATTCACCTTTGACCATCGTACACAATTCCTCCACAAACCGTAGGCAAGACCATGAAATGACCTACTCAAACGATGGCTCATCTCCCTCCAATTCGTCCCTACTCTCATCCCTAAACCCACTACTCCCCTCCATCAAACTACTCTCCTCAAACTCAACATCCTCCTCCCCAGCCTCCCCACTAACCTCCACACTCCCCATCCCCTCCAAAAAATCCTGATCGTGATCCATATCTCCTCCCTCCGCATACCTACTGCTCGACGCGCTCAGATCTGGGTCCATACTCTGGTCCGGATCGATGCTCTGGTCGAGATCCCTTGACTCACTGGCAGCGACGCTCTGGTCCAGATCTTCCATATCGGCATCGAGGTCCCTGCCCTCTTCGTCGTCTTCGTCATCGTCGTCCTCGTCGTGGTCGGAGGAGGAACCTTCGTCTTCTTCTTCGGAGGGTGCGGGTGAGGAATGACCACCGTCGCGGGATCCCAGTTCACCGTCTGAGCCTTCGTCGGCCTACAAAGAAGCAACGTCAATGGACAGTAAAAGATAATGAATTTAAACGGTTTAGGATGAGAAGGGTGATATACTTCAACATGCTTAAGGCGAGGGAAGTGAGAGTGTGACGAGCCTCAATCATAAAGGATGAAAAGAAACTTACATCGTTCTTCTCCTCGTGCTGCGTCGTCGTTTTACCAATAGGCACGAGGAACGTATACCCTCTATTATTGATCTCAGCCCTCTGTCAAGAAAACAAAACCGAGAAACAGGTAGGCCGTCAATATTACATTTCGTTACCGCCACACGCCACAATAGACTATCACAAGTCAACAATGACACAGTGATGAATACACGTACGATATCCTCCAACTCCCCCTCCTCATCACTCAGATCATCCATCTCCTGCACCAGGTCACGCATGAGATTCATCCGACCCGTGTACCGACCCCCACGCGGCAGAGGGATGGGGTGAGGTTGTGGTGGGCGCGGGAGCAATGTCGGGAAGATGAGAGGACGCGGAAGGAGCGTCGGCGTTGTCACGGACATAGTTCACAGCAAGCAAGTATAGTAGATGTATATGGCGAGATTCACGAGCTTAGAGTGTTGTCGTACAGAGGGGGACTCAGCGGAAGAGGTGAGCGCGGTAAGTAACTCATGTGTGGCGGAGACCATACGGATCAGTCCGAGTGGATTGTTGACATTGCCACGTGTATGACACACTCGCCAAGGACCCGGGAATCCACGAAAGTTACGTTCCACTCCAACTTGCGAGCACTCCATAGTAGACAGGTTTCTGGTCCGCACATACATTGGCAATAAATTGTAGTTATACAACACCATGATATGCTATAAATTTCGTGCTCTTACACACTTCCCATTTCGTATTCCACATTTCACTGCACCAAGTCCGTCTAACACACACTGACTCGAAGTGCCCGAGTCCACGGGCCCAAACATTCACCACCGCACTGCTCATCGCTCTCCAAGGGCAGCCTCCGGCTCCACCGGCAAATCCTCAAACAAGAAATTCCACAGCGCGTCCGGATTCTTAAAATCATGATGCGTGACGTTGACCAGATAACGCGTGTCGCGGATGCCCTCCAGGAGCTCGCGTTCTTTCGACCCGGGTGGGTAGAGCGAGGCCCAGTCTGTCCATATTGAGAAGGCTTCGTCCTGTGTTATCGAGGGCAAGGTGAGCGTTGAGACTTGAGCAAAAAGGGTGGGAAGGATGATGTTACCTTCCACGAAAGGAACGATTCGCGTTCGATGATCGTCGATTGCACGATTTCTTGTCCAGGGAACACACCCCACGTAACCGCATTCCTCTCTCCGTCAGCCACATTCGTCCTCAGATCATCCTAGATAACGTCCAAACGCATCGTCAGCACCGACCCAATCCCACCGCCCGACCAAGAACAGAACAAAGGTAAACAAACTACGACCCACCTTGAAATTACAAGCCAACAAATCCACCTCCCCCTTCCCTCTCTCCCTAACCCTCCCCTCCAACCTCCTCACCTCCTCCTCCCCAACAAAAAACTCAACAAACGCCTTCTGGTACACATACCCGCTCCTCGGTCCCCACCCAACCGTCTCGTCCTCGCTCCTCGCCCCGTCCACGGCCGGCTGCGACCCGACGGGCCACCAGCCGAGATGCGCTAGACGTTTGAGGTGCGGGAGGATGAGCTGCGATTCGGAGGAGAGAGGAGAGGGGGAGAAGGGCCAAGAAGAGGCGTGGAAGGTGAGGAAGCGGAGGCAGATGGAGGTTATGTCGGCTGGGGAGGTTGGCCGGGCCCATTGGGAGGCTTCGTTTCGCTGAACATTTTCAATGCAGCAAAGTGAGCGAATTGACGGACTTGAGAGGGTGAAAGAAATGTGGAACGTACGAGTCTGCTGTAACCACCCCAGAGGTCCTGTGTCCCGAACGCCGGACTGTTCACGTCACCGAACCGGCCGTTTGGGAACTCGTCCCACGTCGCGGCGTTGTTGACCTCTCCCTTTCCGACTTCTCCTTCCTTGGGGAGATGCGAATTGAGGCCAGAGGTGGCGTAATCACTCGCGTTGGCGGGAGTGACGACGAACTCCGACTTTGGCTCAGGAGGGTGGACGATGGGACCTGGTGTTTCCTGTGAGCAACAAAATCATCGACGGTCAGTGGTAGAACAAATTGTAGAAAAAAGGGACAAAAAGCGTACAGCAATGAGCCAGTTTTGGAACTTGGAGGGACCTTTGTGGGCCCAATCAAGGCCTTCCAAAATGCGTTGAACGCTCTTTTCGAGGTTGAGAGTCGAGAAGTGGAAGCCAGTTACGCCTCCTTCGTTTACCAAACGTTTGATCAGCCGTACGGACAGCGAGACGCCGTAGTCCTTGACTTTTTGGTCGTCGTGCTGTATGAACACATAACAAGTCAAAAACACGGCTAGTAACTGAGAAGAAAATGCGAACTGACTTTGATGGGTTCCAACTCGGCCTGGATTTCTGGTGGGATGTGGGTGCCACACAGCTTGGTGAGACGTAGGAAGGAAGAGTAGGTCTGCAGGGGCATGATTCCGGGAATGACGGGAACGGCGATGCCTAAAACTCATTCAGTTCACTCGACTCCAATTTAGCGAGCCGTGCCACACACCTCTTTGCCTAACCTTCCCCAACCAGCGCATGTAGTTATCGACGTCGTAAAACAGTTGGGTGACGATGAAGTCCGCTCCAGCGTCCACCTTCGCCTTCAAATGGTCGATTTCCTCATCCTCGGAGTATTCCTTGTCCGTATGCCCATCGGGGTAAGCTGTATAATAAAGTCAAGTGACAGCATACGAGTGGCACGCATGAGTAGAACGAAACACCAAAAGAGCTATCAAGATGACCTGCCACTCCAATACAAAACGAGTCTGCGAATTCGGGCGTGGATCGGATGTACGAGACGAGGTCGACGGCGTGCGTGAAGCGTTGATCCACAGGGGTCCATTCTTCTTCGCCTCTCGGCGGGTCTGTTTAACAAACAGAACAGCAGACCGGGTCTCTTCAGCCTAACGCCGCATGACATTGATCACGAGAAAGCGTCCTGACCTCCTCTTAAGGCAAGGATATTCTCAATGCCTATCCTTTTCGCAGCCTATCCGCCAGATAGTTTAAGCGGCTCCGAGTCAGTACGATAGTGAGCAGGTGAGGAGGGGGACGAAACGGACCCTCAGCGCATCGTCGACCATGCCCTGCTCCATATTCGTGCATGTAACATGCACAATCGTATCGACGCCATAGTCCCTCTGCGTGACCGAAGCGAGTTCGAGCGTACGATCCCTAGTCGAGCCTCCTGCACCCCATGTAATTGAAATCGCAGAGGGCTTGAGCTCCGTAAGACGGGATATTCGAGAGAGGAGGTTGCTGAATCCCTGTAGCGAGAAAGTCGGAGAAATAAAGTGGGTCAGATAACAAGTCGAGGCCAAGGGGGAGTCTATTTTAGATGCGAGAGAGATCAGGGATAGCAGGAAATTGGCCGACCTGGTCTGTTCTGGGTGGGAAGAATTCAAAGGTATAGAAGGGATTATTGCCCGACGCGTTGATTTTGTCAATGAGCCTCATGCTGTGCACACAATGTGAGTATAATCTGTGCAACATTCGCACTGAAGGCATACCTGGATACGAAGAGCAGAGGATGGAGGACGAGGACGAAGAGGAGTGCGAGAATGTTGGGTCGAAGTCTAGAAATTCGGACTTGAGAGATCGGAGCGCCGGGCGGAAGGCGCGCACGCGATGGGCCACAATCCGAGTTTGCAATTGATTGATGACTTGCGCGGGGCAGGCCGACGCCAGGCTGCCTCAATCGCCACGCTCCCGCTCGTCCCACTCGTCGCCAACCCGTTCAACGTTCAAAGTCTTATATTGCTTTCATTGCACCCCTCTCCTTCATTTCCCTTCAATTTTGATTTCTGTCGTTGCGAACCAAAAATATGTCGAACGTTCCTACCTCACCAAGTGCCGAGATCTCATCCACGTCCCTCAAGCGGACTAAGATCGTACTGCTTGGTGACCAGAGCGTAGGCAAGACCAGTCTTATTACCCGGTACGTTCAACTTCGTTTCTTCTCATATAGAAACTCGTCTTTATGCTGTGTAACTGCGGGAACGTGCAGGTTCATGTACGACACGTTCGATAACACTTACCAAGCTACCATCGGCATCGACTTCCTCAGCAAGACCCTCTACCTCGACGACCGGACAGTACGTCTCCAACTATGGGACACCGCCGGTCAGGTCCGTCCTCCTCTCTTCTAACTCCCTCTCTTACGACCGTACTCACCGCTTCGTCTATATACGATCAACATGTCGCGTCGTGAACATGATGAACGCGTATAGGAGCGGTTTCGATCGTTGATCCCATCCTACATCCGGGATTCGACAGTAGCCATTGTCGTGTTCGACATTACAAGTGCGTTCACTTTTGCCTAGCCTAATGGAAACGTGGCTTATTGTCGGACCCGAACCGAACCGCACTGCTAGATCGAGCGTCCTTCATGTCGACCACAAAATGGATAGACGACGTACGGTCGGAACGGGGAAACGACGTCATGGTCGTCCTCGTCGGTAACAAGGCTGATCTCTCGGACAAACGGTACGTCCTACATTCCTCTACTACCATGCACTCAGTACCACGAAGCTGACTTGCCCTGTTCATACCCGTTGGGATCGGTGGTGATGTAAACCAGACAAGTGACACTAGAAGAAGCGACGGCAAAGTCGCAACAGCTGAACATCATGTTCATGGAGACCTCTGCCAAAGCCGGACACAACGTCAAGAGCCTCTTCAAGAAGATTGCTATGTCGTTACCTGGGATGGAGAAGGAGAACCAAAACGCGGAGCCAAACGCCAGTGCGTTGACTTCGTTTTGTTCACCCCTACCAACCTCGCACCCTTCCTGCATCACCCTCACATGATCTGACGATTGACTGACCCCGTTGTATCAATGTCTGCTTTTCCATCTCCTCATTTCCTCAGAAATCGACGTCACCTCACCGCAAACGGCAGAAATCCCAGAGGCATCCCAATGCCAATGTTAATACCTCATGCCATCCGATCGTCCACTCATCAGATCCTGGCCAATCGTGTACAGCCGTATACCAATGACTATTTACGCGCACTGACGAGCGGGACGGATATCTGACGAATGCCACGAATCACGATGCAGGGAAGCTAGAGTTTGGGTTTGAGGGTCGCGGGGTTGGGGAGCTGTGGGGACTTAGCGCGGGTGGACGTCTATCTGGAGTTCTTTTTTTGTTTTTGTTTTTTGTTTTTTGTTTCTCTCCATTCTTGCGTTTCTCCGATTTTACTCTCTTAATGCACCCTTTCTAGATATCATATATCATACCTCGATTTGTTCGGTCTTAGTTTCTTGTCTAGCTTCCAACTCAGTCTTATGGACCATACCATGCATCCGTCCGTCCGTTTGCTTGCCTGATGCGGGAAGGTTGTGCTTGTGCCTGCGCCGCCTGTGTCATAGAGTTTTTGAGCGTTCGATCCCCTGGATCGTCTCAATAATCGACGTCGACCGAAATGGTCCATGACCCACACAGAGCTTCATATCGACTCTCAAGCTCATCGACACCCTTTCCACACCAAAGTGCATTATTTTACTTCGCAAGCAAAGGACCTCATCACATACATGTGAATGGTCCAAACAACAGCATCCAGCTCTCGATTGATTCGCACCATTGGCCACCTTATCGCACTCACGTTCCCCTACCACCATCAGCAACAGTAACAACGACCCTCCACCTAACCAACATCCCACCCTGCAACAAACTAGCCTCCCACGCCCACTTCAACCCAATCTCTCGCCTCCTCCTCCTCCCTTCCTCGACATCTTCCGACTCACCCATACCAATATCCTGGTACATCTCCAGCCTCTTCACATCATCCCACAGCTCCCCGACCCTCTCATTCGACACATCAGAGACCGAGACGATATCGAACCGGTGATGTTCAAGCCTGCGAATGAGTTCGGGGAGGGTGATATTCAGTGGTGTCGTAGACTTTGAGCGATATCGATGTCGGTCGTCTTTGTTGTTATTATTCTTGCTATACGACGACGACGGAAGGAACGGAAAAGCGAGGAGCGAATAGGCCGAGGACGAGCTCCATCAGAGATGGGTTCCGTATCGTCGACTCGAGCGTCATCGTTTCTCGTTCGCGATCGATTTTGAGGTGTTCAAGTCCGGCGCTGGATGGGGTGGCGGATGAGGATGCCTTGATGCGAGAAAGAACGTGGTCGAGTCTCGAGTGAGGTACGTTATCGAGGTCGATGGGACGTCGACCGTTCCCTTCCGGAGTTTGACGCGCTACCATAACGTCTCGATGTCAAAAAAAAACACGCATTTAACGATGGGTCAAAACGCATATACCCACCTAAAAATAAAAACTCATCGACCTATCCAAACTCTTATCTTCAATCCCCACAAAACACAAACAAAAGGACCCAGCCAAGAAAACACAACTACTCACATCGAACTTCCACCCCAGATCACCGACCACTCCCCTCCAAAGTACACCCCAAGCCACCTCGGACCAAAACGTCGTATCCACCTCCAACTTCACTCTCATTCTCATGCTAACCGTCCGTCCCTCTGCAACATCCACCGCTTCGTCTCGCGTTCTCGTCGACATCAAAAGCCTCGGAAGATCCCTCCTCGCGTTCCGGAGCTCCACGTCCCCCTGAACGACATCTCTAACTAGAGCCGAGAGCGGCACGCATATCATCTTCATCTCCGTCTGCCCACGAGCGCTTCCAAATCCACTCCGGGCTCGCGATCGGTTAGCGAGGGCGATGTAGTGAGGTGCCCAATGCGAGGTCGTGGGTATAATGATCGTTTGAAGGGCGTGCAGTGCCTCGACGTCTATATCGTCGAGCAGAGAAGAAGTATCACATAGGTTCGTCGAGCATCGAGAGGTCGAGAAGCAGAATGAGAGTAGCCAGGTGATGAAGACGAGGGAGGCGCTGCAGAGGATACTAGCGACGCCAGCTGAAGGCAAGGACGAGAAAGTTGCGACTGAGACTTTTATAGCGCCAGATACGTCGAGTAGTCGCCAAGCATCATGTAGTGGTGGAACAAGATATCCGTAGAAAAGACGTTGCCAGTCGGAAAGTCTGAGCGCTCTGAGGAGCGCCGTGCTCAGCGCGCGAGAGTATTCAGAGTATGAGGTTGACGAGATGAACGATGGGAGAGCTGAGGCCCACGACGCATGGTGCAGATCCAGATGCAGAAAAGACATCGATCCTGGAACGGTGGATGAGGACAAGTTTGAGCTTCGACGTAGACGCTAGAGCAGACAAGGACTCGGAGCCTGCTGGCGGTTGCCCCTATCGTCTCCAGCGGCATTGTCCGCAGAGCGGAGCCAAACATCCGGGATTCGAGTTCGCTACCCGGTGGGAAACTGAGCCTGACCTGTCAGCTTGAACTTGAAGTACAGTAGTGGTGATCATACGGCCGACGAAAGGGAGAAATAAAAAATGGAAAACATCAAAGATAAGGTACAATCTCTATCCACATCGTCATCGCAAATAGACTAGTGTTCCAAGACCAGGTAATGTAGTCGTAGTCCACAACAATTCACGAATATTGTCAAATCCAACAGCCTAAGTCAAGTACTTACAACCTGGACAAATCCCTCCCCCAAACACCTCTGGAACACACCACGAAGAAAGAAAGTCAGTCCTTATCTCACCATCCAAAAGAAAATCCAGAAAACTCACCTAACAATCCAATCAATCATCAACAACGCCCTCGTCCTCAAACTAACCTGCTCATTCCAATAAACGCTCCTCCACGCATACATCGCCACCAATCCACCCATGAAACTCATGTTCCCCAGATCGAAAACCGCGGCATTCCCGATGTATGCTAACATCCCGAGATGTTTGTACACGAACGGACGGGCGACGGCTTCGTCGGGCTGGTCCGGGAGCTCGTTGGCGAGGAGGGTGGAGTGGTGCGTCGCGAGTTCGTGCAGCTTTTTGCCGAGGTATTTGCCTTGTTGGGCGGCGACTTGGGCGGTCTGTGGGATGGAGAGCATGAGTGGGCTTTGTCGAAGGGAAGGAGGGGACAAGAGCGAAACGTACAGCAGGCAAGGCAGTGATCTTATTCCCGAGGTTCTCAAGCAAGACAGCAAGCTCATTCAGATTCAGGCTATTGTCCGCGTCAGAGTCGTACAGGTTGAACAGCTCTCGAACTTCAGATAACTGGCTTTCTGCCATGGGGATCTTCTGCTTGATTCGTTTCACTACATATGCACCACGTTAACTTCCACAACGCAGATCGTGTATGTATGCAAGTCAAGGAAGACGCACCCATGACTTCCCACTCGTCGAAATCGATCTTTCCGTCCTTGTTCTTGTCGGCCTCGTCCACAAGGTCGAGTAAGTGTGATACAATGGAAGTCTCGATCTAAGTCGCGAACAAACATGTATGAGCCTAGTGCTGGACAACACGTGTGTGGGTAGACACAAAGAGGAAGAGACAAAGAATGGAAGGTATAAAACGCACAGTAGCACAATCCCCGATAGCATACACATCTCCCTGTGGCGCACCCTTCACGCGCAACTGAGCATCCACCTCTATCGCCTTCTTGTGCACCTGATTCGGGAGCAGACTCGAGACCTACAGAGATTGGATCCATCAGAACCGTCAGCACATGGAAAATCTCCTGCTGTTTAACAGGTGGGTGTGGAGGATTAAAATAGGAGATGAGAAAAGAATGATGCCTACACGAGCCGTAAACGGATTCATCGCGATCCCCGTACTCCAAAGCACGAAATTAGTGGGTATAGAATGCTTGACGACTGCTCCTGTTTCGGGATCTTTTGCGCTATATTCTACATGGTCCGGGTGTACTGACGCCACGCTGAATTCAGTGACCATCCAGAATGTTTTGTCAGTGAAAAGGCAAATGAAGGGAAATCGGGTGGGACGAGTGAGCGAACTGACCGAGCGGAAGTGATTAAGTTGACCTCGTCGCGTTGGAATTTGTCTTCGGCGTATTTGGAGATGGCTTCGGAGTACTGTGCAACGGGAGGGTGTGTTGCATGTCAGACAATAGTGCGGAAGTTTGGTGAGCGGGACGAGTTAGTGAGTTGAGAGATTCGACGTACGGTATTCAAGATATGTTCTCTAGACTGAATGACGTGAATCGAAACTTCTTCGCGGACGAGCTTAGGATACTGCACAGCACGACAGATTTAGCCTCGACTTCAAATTATGAAGGTAAGATCCACGAAGATACGCACGTAGTTCATGATATCTTCCTGACAGAGGTCGTATATTTCCTAGGGAATCAGAAGCAAATGTTGTTCAGCCTCATGTACACAGACCAAGAACAGGTCTTGAACACACAGCAGCAGTCTCAACACCTGTGGGGCCACCACCACAAATGACGAAGCTGAGTAGCCTCTTGCGTTCCTCGGGTGTCGTAGTCGGAAGCGAAGCTGTCTCGAAGTTATCTGTAATATCACATCAGCAGTGTGGCCAGCAGAATCTACTCATGGAGGGTATAGCGTACCCAGAACCCTGCGGCGGATGGCCTGCGCGTCACCGACAGTTTTCAGCTGGAAGCAGTTTTCCAGACCTGGTACACCGTGTGTGCTCGATACAGAACCGACTGCAATCACCAATTTGTCGTATCTGACGAATCCAGGTCATGGTCAATACAAGTGTGGCGTCAGGGGTGAGTGTACGCGAAAGACGCGTACGGAACGTAGAAGTTTCGCTTTTGACCGTCGGGCATCTCAGACTCTACTTCCAGGAGGCGTTCAGACATGACGAGGTCGACTGCACGAGCGTGTATAAGTTGACCATGGAGCCGGGCGACAATCTTGCGGAGTGATTCTATGAGAGACCGGACGGAGACGGTACCAACTGCTGCAGCTGTGAAATGTACAGGTGATAAATGGGGATCACTGTTTGATTCAAGTTCGAATAGGGGCTTACACGGAAGCAGAGGGGTAAACGTAGTGAAAGTGTCGGGCGATATGAGGGTCACGTGATAATCTCCGGGTGTTAATGTCTGTAGTGTGGCGACAGCCTGTAGGGAGTCCGAGCGGAATTCCATTCACATGTGAGAAGGCAGAGTAACCTTAGGTTGATGTTGCACTTACACCCCACCCAGCACCAACGATAACTAACCGGGGCCGATCCTTCAACTTCGCGTTCACCTCATCCTCTTCGTCACCTACGAGCACGCTTGCGATAGGCAAGTTCTTCGGGCCACCGAGTTCAGGATGTAAAGCGAGAGGAGAGACAGGCACACGATCGATGTGTTTCTCGTTGTATGTGAACGCATCGTGGACGAATATACAACCTGTGAAGAAGAGAACGCCGACAACGGAGGAGCCCACGAGGTAAGCGGTCCATTTAGCACCAGTTCCGCAAGTCTTGAGGACTTTCCGTGTCCTCGATGGTTCTGGTGGTGGGGGAGGTGGTGTCGATGGGCTAGTAGACTGATTTCTGAGGGGTGTCCTGGTGGAAAGATGACGGAAGGCGACCTGACTCTGAGTCAAGTTGAACTTGGGTCGGGATTGTGCATGAATAAACAGTGCCGAATGTTGTGACGACCGAGCGACCTGGCGCGCGCCCAGCGCTGCTGGACGCGACGAGAGAGCTGCTCTTGCCAGAGACAGCATGGGAGGTTGTTGTAGGGAGCTGCGCTGACGCGAGCGATGGTAATGGGCAAGCGTCGCCCGACGTCGTCCGCTATGTATATCTCTGCACCGCGCTGCTCCCTGACGTCATGACAAACCACATCCTTGCCCCGCCCGCTCCGACGATGCTTCATTCTTGCGTATGTATATATTGCTCGATTCTTCCCGAAAGAGCCAAGCCAGATGTCATAAACTTCCTCAAGGCGGAGTGCGAGGAAGCATAGCTCTTGCCACCAGGTTAGAACGCGAGAACAGACAGGAACAGACAGGTGGCGGTGGCCTCAAGTACATAGTGTTCTTCCTTGATGCCGGCGACGTTTTCTAATGCCGACACGCTCTTCATGTATTATGCCGACGATAGTGCCACCACTTGATGACGAACGGAGGCAAGAGACAATTGGATAGTGAGAACATCGCGACTCCTTCGCATTGCATACACCCCTAACACCAAGAAACAACAGCTGGAAAAAAGACGGGACCAATGAAACAAGAATAAATTACACATTGAGTGATAGTGATAGATAGATAGAAATCTCAGGCCCACAGCCCTCCTTCAACACCTTACCCTACCCTAACACCATCTTACACCCAACAAAAGAACCCTGCCTCCACCCCACCTCGCTAGTGTTGCCGCGACCACTCGCGTCAGCCCAAATCAGTCGCATCCATAGAGATCGACATGCCCCTCTGCGCATGCCCATTCTTCATCCTTCTCGATCTCACAGCGAGTGGCCTCACCCAAAACTTCACGAGGCCTACCTTCGTGGCTGTCAGCAACGATCGCGGCAAGAAGGTTATCGCCGTCAGGATGTCGCCTTCGAGTTGTTTCACCTATAGACGAAAACAAAAAAGGTCCACAGCAACGTTAACAAAGCGCGACATATAACGGGGACGAAGCAGAGAAAGACGTACCAGCACAGGTTGCACCACCGCGACCTCGTTCCTGGACGGCGCTGGATGATATCTCGGTAACGGGCCCTCCGTGCCCGGAGGCGGAAGATGCAAGGTCGACCGATCCACAGTCCCTTCTCTTTCTCGCTTTCTCAGCACGAGCGACAGCGTGGATGCCATAGATTGTCGTTGTTGGTGGGCTTGAAATTTCGGGCGGTGCAAGATGCCACTCGAGAAGTCCCACTGCGAATCAGTCAGTATTTCTGATCCATGAATGTAAGTTGTTTGGAGAGGGAAGGCCAGGACGTACGAAAATGAGCTTGTTGTCCTCGCCTACGCTGCCGAAGCGGTACGTCCGGCCATCACAGCGGACGTCGTCGAATGCGACGGCGGAAACGAAGGACGAGTGACCTTGACATCGGGCTATCACTCTTTGTTCCCAGGGAGAGTAGATATTGACGAGATCGTCTTGGCCTCCTGTCTGCAATCGAGCGGGAAAGTCAGCACGGTCAAAAGTGATATAGATGGGTGTGTAAGGCTCACGATTATGAAGCGACCGTCTGGGGACCACGCCACACAGGTTAGAGAACCGAAGTAGGCAGCATAGCAGTCTACTAGTCTGCGGAAAGCGTAACAAGTTAGGAACGGCCACAAATCAGATAGCTGATGATAACTCACTGCTCTGCAAGCGCATCAATAACTCGAAGACAGCCGTCTTCTGAGATAGCGGCCACAAACTTGACATCCGGGGAGAAAACAAAGTCTGTCAAGTACACGCCATAAGTTTTGGATGTTGTTCAGAACATGGGATCAGGATGCTTACCAACAAGACCTCGTTTTGACACCTTCCAATGGCTGACTGGATTCTTCGCCGACTTCTCCTTATCCCCTCTCCCCGCCGAAGCAGCCGCAGCCGCATTGACAGGATGCCACGACGGCATCGTAACACACATACTATCCAGCGGATTCCATTCACTTACACTTTGTAGCAAATCATCCTGTGTTTGTGGAGAGCGCGGGCCTGGCGAGGTCGGTGGAGATGCAGGCCGGGAGGCCGGCTCGTTTGGCGTGAAGACGCCGTCATCACGGTCTCTATCGTAGACTATTATGGTGCCGTCTGCGTGGGAGACGAGGAAGAGGTTTGTTGAGGAGGGAACCCAGCGGACGGAAGTGCAGGGAGAGCTGGAAATTCTGCCCTACAAGCGTTCAATGATCTGTTGCATTCTCAACAAAGCACGTAGAAAGGGATCTCACCTGCTTGTTCAATCGGCCGTATCGCTGGGAGAACGGGTCTAGAAAACTGGGGTTCAGCTGTGGTAGTTGAAGTGAACGGTGAAAGGATTCTTACCGAACCAGATGAGATCACCAGTGTTAAACCCAACTACAATATCCATACGCTCATGGTTTACGGTTGCTTGGTTGATATCGTGACATGTGGGGAAAGCAGAGAATGATATTCGGGCTAGTGGGTCCTAGTGCATTCGATACAGAATAAATATCGTATACCCACACCAAGCAACCCAAAAACAGAGAGCTCACCTTGGTTTTAGCTCCAACCTCCACCCAATAGAGATTCTTTGCCGAATTATAGAACACGTATGTAGCCTCTCCCTGCTTCGCCTGAAGCGATCTGGAGAGACCCTCCGCAGAGTGTAGCCGAGTGATAAAAGTGGAAGAGGTCGTGCGCATATTATGCTTGGGACGTGTCAAGGCTTTCTTCTTCCCCGCAAGCTGGTGGTGAAATAGACCATGGTGGTGATGGGGAGGATCTTGGGGAGAGATGGGAGTGACAGGTGAACTGTCCTGCACATTGGATACATCTGGTGAGTTATTGCTTTCCTCCGGGGTCTCGCTGCTCGATACACTGAGACCATCCTCCTTCGCTGGACCGGGAGGTGCTGCAGCCCTATCCTTCCAAAAATCTTTGCCCGCTCCACCGAGGAGCTGCGTCAAGCCAGGAGCACCGCCTTTGTACGAAGAAGGGAAGCGGACGATGACTGTGGAAAGTTTGGTGGGGTATATCGGCTGGGGACCAGTAGCGGTGAGTGGGAGAGACTTGTGTTCCTCCGTTACAGAATAGACGCCTTCCGGAGCGACGAAGGTCGAATCGTTCTCCATGATCCCTCGACCGCCGACTGTCGCTGCAAGCTCGGGCTAAGATGAGGACGGGACCGATAAGCGTATGGTGGAAGTAGCACCAGCGGTGTTGAGCGCGGACAGCCGCCGTCTGTGGTGGCGAGAGTGAACATGGGTCAGAACGAAGAGCATGAAACGACCGGATCTTGCGCCCATTTACCTTCAACCGTTCTCTGTCGTCCACTTCGATGAGATCTATCCCCCGCCGTCTGCGCCTCACTGTCAGTATTTTATTTTGTGATATTTATCTGTTCAATGTGCTCACTATCAGAGCTGGCAGATTCGAGCTCCCCGCAGCCGCCGGCTCAATTCCACAGTGGCGGAGCCCCCGCCCGCAGGTGGTTCATTGCCAATCAGCGCGTCTTCCATCCTCCGCACCACTTCCGACTCAGCCTTGCGCACTCCAGGTATAAGATGGCACGACGACGACAACGCGGATGTGCATAGTACAGCGATCATCACTGGGAGACAATGTAGGAAGATGAACCTTTACCAGGCGGTTAGAGACGCGATGAGGTGCATCCATTGTCTTCTGAGGCTCGGCTTCTTCTCAGGCATTCTCATACCGCGGGGTTGATCATGCTCTGACGATCCTTGTGTTGACTCATTCCGGTATATAGTATTGCGCTGCTGAAGGATGAGAACGCTGTCGTATTCGGAGAAGATGTAGCCTTTGGAGGCGTTTTTCGTTGTACCATGGTCCGTAATCATCGCACTTCCCCCGCGCCACACCGATTTCTGATGCTTTGTCCGTAGGGTCTTGCAGAAGAATTTGGTTAGTTTTGTTCACATCCACCTGAATTTATATATCTGACGAATTTCTCAGGTCGCGAGCGTGTCTTCAATACACCTCTTTCAGAGCAAGGCATTGCAGGCTTCGGAATCGGACTCGCTGCCATGGGCCACACCGCCATAGCAGAGATCCAATTCGCGGATTACATCTACCCAGCCTTTGACCAACTTGTAAACGAAGCTGCTAAGATTCGATACCGCAGCGGTGGTCAGTTCAATGTGGGTGGACTTACCATTCGGACGCCAACAATGTCGGTGGGCCACGGGGGATTGTATCATTCCCAGAGCCCTGAAGGTTTCTTTATGGGTGCAGCTGGGCTGAAGGTACGTTCATCTTTCTGTACGACGCGTTGCACTACAGTACTGATTTGTCCCTGAAGATCGTCATTCCACGTTCTCCCATCCAAGCGAAAGGTCTTCTGCTTGCTTCCATACGAGACCCGAACCCCGTCATCTTCATGGAACCAAAGATATTATACCGTTCCGCAGGTCCGCACCTCACCTCATCTCAATATATATCACAATCTGATGTTCTCTTCCTCATCAGTCGAACACGTCCCAGTAGACGACTTCACCCTCCCTCTCTCCCGCGCCGAGATCCTCACTCCGGGTACAGACCTAACCCTCCTCACCTGGGGCACGCCCGTATACCACTGCGAAACCGCCCTCCGCATACTCTCCAACCCACCCCCGTCCCTCGCACCCCACATCCCTCAGTCCCTCCGCTCCGCCAAGATCGAACTGATCGACTTGCGCACGATATTGCCGTGGGACGCGGAGACGGTGATCGAGAGCGTGAAGAAGACGGGGAGGTTGGTCGTCGTGCATGAGGCGGGGAAGACGGGAGGTGTGGGGGGAGAGATCGCGGCGGAGGTGCAGAAGAAGGCGTTTTTGAGGATGCAGGCGCCGGTGAGGAGGGTTGCGGGCTGGGAGTGAGTTGCTTTATTTTCTTCTTCGTCTTCTTTCTTCGATGAGTGCGCGTAGAGGGTTTACTGACGGTGTTTGCTTGCTTGTTTGTGCAGTACGCCCGTTGGTTTGCAGTACGAGAAGTTCATCATACCGGACGCTGTGCGGATATTAGACGCTATCCTCGAGACTTTGACATATTGATCAAGTGCATTGAATCGCAACACGTTTTCGAGTTCTCGCAACGCATCGCAATGTGTATATGTAACTATTTGTGAAGTTTTTTCTGTACACTAATGAAATGTAATAACTTATCATGTTTCTTCTGGATGTGTGGCGCAGTTCCCGGCGTGCTCACTCAATTGTGCTGTCGAAGGGGTCAGGCCCTTTCGAGCGGCACCACACTTTAAGAAGTTCGACATTTGACGACAGCGAGTAAATAATATGAAAACACACACAGCATAGGAAAAGCACGAAAGCACGGTATAGTCACAGCAATGATAGTACAGAGTCAGAGCGCATATCAACCGTACACCAGTCCCACATTAGATCCACAGAGGTTATTCACAAAAAAAAAAAAAAAAAAGAGAACCTTGAATAGGTAAGGAGCTCAGGAACGGGTGTTAGTCGCTGATACTACTGACTGAGCATGCCTTGGCTAAGTCGCATACAATGATAGTGGTATCGTCAATATAGATCGGAGGCTCCCTAGTGGGAGAAGACACCATCTTTTGATCCATGCATGTCTCGAGCCTCTCGACATTCGTGCCACCGAGTAGATTGACCAAAACCTCGACGGCTCTGTTGCCATCCTCACCGTTCCAGTGGAGATCAACCGGATGACCAAGGATCTCGGCCAAAGATGAATCAGGATCGCCTCGGAGCAAGGCCGCGACGACCTGACAGGGATCGACCTTGCACGGCTCTTCGGGTTCTTGGTGAAACACCCAGTCCCCACTAACGAGGTTATCGACGCCATCGGTGAAGATGGTGATGATTGGTCCGTCAGCCCAGTAGGGCTGAAGATCAATGAAACGCACGGAAGGCGTTGCAGATAAATAGGGTGGCGTTATGTTGTATTTAACTACGGGGTCCGGGTCGAGTCTGTTGGACGTCGTGGGCATGAAACTGAAGAGATAATGCTTGAACGAAGCTCTGAACTTGAGGTCGAAATCGCCGATAGCTGGAAGGTGGAAGTGAAAGCCTTCGTAAAGCATTGTTTAGATGAGAGATTAGGAAGGGACCTGGGACAAACCTCGTGTCATTGCGCTACAGCCCAGAATGCGACCTTCATCGAAGATATGCTCCTCAGTCGCCCAGTGCTCCATTGCCACTTTGAAATATTCCTGTGGATTCTTGAGATTATGGTGCTCGTTCAGTCGCTGCCAATCTATCGAGCTCGAAGAACTGTTCGTCGAAAGAGCTAACGATTTAGATATACCCAGGTTGGTCAGAGAAAGAATATATAACGGTGCAAGAATATTGCTCACCAACTGTCGAATCGCCTACACCGATAGACCACATAAACTGATGTGTAACGTTTATGAGAGAAATCGCGAGAGTCGATCCACACCATGCACGTTGCAGGACTTCTGTGTGCTTGTCGATCAATGCATGGGCCTGTGGTTCTGTGATTTTGGATGGATGCGGACATAGATGCTTCACTGCACGGCCTATTGAGTCGTCAAAGGCTTCTATCTCATTTCGCACCATAGCGCCAATGATTGCATCAGCCTCTTGGATGTTTTGTCGATCCAAAATACCATGCAACTCGGCTTGGATGAGGTAGACAAGTGCTTTGCGCAATCGACCGGGCAAGTTTGTCGCAATGTAACTGGATGTCGTGGTGCCTCCATGACCTAGACGAGGTACCAAAAATATGAGGCTTTGCAGATGTACAGCGCAGATTTATATTGGTACCATCGCATACGGCAAGAAATAGCCATTTTTGCCCAAGTATTTCCCATTCCTCAGTCACAAAGCGATCCTCATTAATTCGGTTGAGGTCAGGTTGAAATGTTACCGTATGCACTCCCATTTCCTTGACCGTTGTTTTCGACAAGAATGTCTCCAAGCGCCCTCGAGAATCATAGAGCTTCGACATTCTCCGCGATGGAGTGAGAGGCTGAGTGGTATAGAGATATGACGGTGTGACAAGTTCAAGATCAAGCTGCGGGAGTGTGGCGCTTTTGACACTTCGTTCAATTCAAACTCCGCTATGATTCGAATACTTGGCTTGTTACCGATGGCGTGGATGCCCACCTCCATCCTCCTGCACGTCTTCCACGTAGTGGATGCCTGTCCGTAACGATGTAGGACTCGTTCTAGTCCTAAATCACACCCAAAAGGTGAACCGGGGGAGACCTCGCCCCGAATCCCAGGTTATTCTGGGATGCGTGACAAAAATTCCACGAAAAGTTCACCTGTAGAGGGCTGACCAGAGGAAATCTGACAGCTGTGGAGCTTTAGATCTGAAGGAGGGGTCGGACCCCCCTCTCCAGACCAAAACCATGCTCTAAACTCGCTTCTCGTGCCCAATCCAGGAGGGAAAGCTTCATCCGGGGCACTTTTTTGAATGATCCGGGTCGGTTCTGCCTGGCGCCGAGATGCCGACGTCGTCCTATGACGGGCAAGGCTCGAAAACTTGGAGTTCTACACCCAATCCAAATGGTACTTACGGTTTGGAACTCCAGTTCTCACACAGGCAGATTTCCGGTCATCAAGGTGTGACATGACGGTCTAGGATAGAATCTAGTACCTGAAGCGTTACGGACAGGCATCCTGGCTAATAAAATGAATCGAGGACGACTGAGGAGATCTTGAGACTAAGATAATACGAGTCAGTGTGAAGGTCGGGTTTTGAATCTAGATGAGAAGTTGGGTAAGGTTGCGGTTTGGACTCAAAGTTAGAACTCATCTATTGAACTAAGACTCACTTAGAACAAGCAGCAGCTCGCTGGGTTGCGTGCGCATCAGGGTTGAATAGTAGGCTGCAGCAAGTGGCGCGTTGGCAGCAAGGTGCGTTGGCGACATATTATGTTTGAAACTCCGACAGAACTCCGACAAGGCAACCATAAATCTCCATAATCGTATCTGGATATCATAGTAGGGGACAAAGAGATTGAAGAGTCCGCATGGTGAATATTTATCAAAGGCCACACGACAGCGAACTATAGCGTCAGTGCACAGCGAAAAGGCGTAGCAGTGGCACAAAAGAGCACAAGCCGACGATAGCAGCGATGATTTCCTTCGGCGCACGAACAATGCAACAGATGCAAGGAGGTGAAGGACAAATGCACGTGTGGAAGGCGACCGTGAGTGGGAATCACGTAGAGAAAGCTATAACTAACGAATATGCAAGACTAGAAAGCTCAAAGCAAGGACGGAAAGGGGTCAACGGAATAACGCGATACAAGGCCTAGGGTTTCAAACTGGAGGACTGGGAGAGCTAAGAGAGCTGAGAGAACGAGATGACAAAGACAACAATGGAAACGATGATAGCTCGTGGCGTTACAAAACGACAGCGACGAGGACAAATCTAGACAAGAACAAACGCAATACGACGATGATCAAAGCGAGATGGAAACAAAGAAAAAGACAAACAAATCTGGGCGGACAAACCTCTCAACGCCTAAACCTAGTACCGGGGACTGGATCTGGATGGGCCCTCGTTCGGGTCGCCAACCCACTGAATGGGCTGTCCCTCTATCCATCGGGAGATATCGAGCGGAGTCGGCGAGCTCGACAGAAGCTCGTGTTGGCCAGAGAGAGTCATCGGGTCAAGGAAGACCAGCTGTCCCGGAGGGGCGCCTGTAGGTGTTGAGTTTGAAGCGGAGGCTCGCGCTCTCTTACGTTTGCCAGTGGGGGTACTATTGTTGCTCGTGGTGATGGCAAGAGCAGGTGGCGGGGGTATAGGACTCAGAGCTGCATGGATCCTGGCCGACGTTGAAGCCATCGCGGACACAGAGCGATTCCGAGCAGGGGAGGTGTTGGGGGGCCGTCTTGGGGCCCCTGGCGGCTCTTGGAATGGTGAAAAAGTCACCTGGGCCGGAAATTCGACTGGTGAATTTTGGGTCCCAGACGCTCGCGGAGAGGGTTGCTCTTGCTCCTCTGATGGATCTTGACCGTCTGTGGTCTTGGGCACTCTGTGCGAGCTTTCTGAGGCACTCTAAGATAATACAATAATATACAGGAAACCCAGAATTACGACATCTTTCTGAGATGTGGGTTGAGAGTGGGGCCTAACGTACCCTGTCCCGCTTCGCCCCTACGGTTGGACTAGGCGTGTCTCCGTCGCGTGATGCCCTTTCTTTCTCCTTACCCTTAGCCTTCTTTCGGTGTGCCGAAGATGGCTCTGGGGGAGGCAACATGCGGCCAGGGATATTATGGCCGTTGATAATCATCCACTCTATGACAGAAAAAGGAGTTGAGACACGTGGTGCTATTTGTCCCAAAAGAGACACACGTACCGAGATCACGATAGCGCCAAACGAAGGTGACTTCAGGGCCGGGATTCGTATTGTCGAAGGGTTCAAATGTACGAGTGAGCTCGTGTTGATAGCCCGTGGGCCTCGCAGCCTCGTAGCTGATCGCGCAAGAACAGAACATGAATGACCTGTAACTACGTTTGAGATAGAATGCTGTGACGTACCCAACTGCGAGGGGGAAATGTCTCCCTTTTCCCTTCATAGGCTCCGGAATGGCATCAACGATCGAGTTAGCCCCGCAGTGTTCTCGCAGGGTGACCTTCTTGATCCATAACGCGATCTTGCCACACTTCTGCAGATCGTACCTGTAGTCCAGCGGTGCATCCGACGGGTCTATGCAGCGACACCCAGAATGCCATCCCAATCGTCAGTGTCAATATACAGCAGAATGACCAGTTGGACACGCACTTTGATCTGGGACCTTCGCGAACGAGAATGGCCGCTCGCTCTCTGGACCAGTCCTTACCCCGGAACGAAAACTCGTTCCGCTGCCGTACAAGAACTTTCCGGGGACCGTGACACCATCAAGCTCGATGTAGGACGCCGAGGCGATTCCGCTGCCCCGATCCCTCCAGTGAATCGTAAACGTCTAGTGAGGTCGATGTTATCATCAACAACGGCACTTCGGGCGGCAACGCGATAGGAATGGTTGGACTAACCTTGCCCTGTTCGGCCAGAAGGAAGCAGGATATTTCTCTCGCCGCAGCATCGCCCTTGACGTCGTACACGGACATTATCTCGCCATCGCATTCGAGCCAGGCATCAAAGTCCCCGTATGAGAGCATCGATGTCATGTCTGTGGGTGTGTGTTGTTATGATAGGTGGGATACGAGTGGGGGTGTGTTTGAAAGATTGTTGTGTGTGTGCTGGCTTTTCTATGATTATCGACGTGGGCGCGCAAAAGTGCGGGGGATGTTGAGAAACAAGGAAAGCAAGATAAAGCAGAAAGCAACAATGCAGCACGAAAGCAAGAAGGCGACAGCTATATATACAATTTCAGCCAAGATGACACGTGCAACAAAGTACACAATCAACAAGGCTCACTCACCAAAGAACAATGAAGGCCGAGGCCTACGGCCGAGCAAGAAAAGAACAAACCGTGCCGGAAGAGGAACAAGGAGATTGACACACAGGTTGAAGCGCTCGAGCCGAACTGAACACAACGTGTTTAGGCGCGCTTCTTTCAATCTCCGCCGGAAGCGCTATAGTCACATGATCGCGTACACATTCAAGCCATGACTTATGTTGAGTCGCGTCGCCATCATCCTCTCCGCTGCTCGACGCGTCTCGACGAACGCGACTATTCCTTGCTCTTTACCCATTCTTCGAGATAGACCATCAGTCTATCCGCACTTACTTCGCGAAATTATGCCTCCCAAACGTGCAGCTAGCTCCAAACGCAAAGCCGATGCTTCTGAGTCGGAAGACCACGAAGAGGGTGCCAGCTCAAAGGCTGGCACCAAAAAGACGAAAAAGGCCAAGGTTGACTCGAAACAGACAGTGGAGACTAGTTCCGTGCCAAGTGTGGCAGCGAACGGTCAACCAACGAACAAGGTTCTGCCAGTCACCATTACTTTCCCTCCAAAGACATCAGATTCGGTACGGATAGCTTCATGGAATATTTGTGGTCTTGCTGCCAGTCAGAAGAAGGTGCGTCTAATCACTTTATGATGCAGCCGCGCACTCACGTCCCCTGGATGTAGGGATTTAAATACTACGTGGAAGCCGAGGATCCCGACATCCTGATCTTGACCGAAACAAAAGTAAACGACGAACCTGTCGACCCGGCGCTCACGACCAGGTTTCCACACCGCTACTGGTCCATTTCGTCTAAGAAGACCTACTCTGGCACTGCGGTCCTCTCCAAAGTGAAACCATTGAACGTGGATAAGACGCTTCCTGGACACCCGGATCCTGAGTCCGTGAAGGGAAGGATTATCACCTTGGAATTTGAGGGCTGCTATGTCGTGGCGACGTATGTTGTCAATGCGGGGCAGGGTCTGAAGGTATGTCCTGGGCTCTTCATTTTAGAGTGTCGACTGTTGACGTCGGCCATCCTCGCGGGTGATAGACTATGGACGCGAAAAAGACATGGAACAAACACTTCGATGCGTATATACGCGAGCTCGACACAAAGAAACCAGTCATCTGGGGAGGTGACCTAAACGTCGCACCAACCGCCCTCGGTCTGTTTTTCCCATGCCGTTTCACTCATCATGCGTACATACTGACCTACCTCCCCCACCATCTTCATCGACGACAGATCTTGCCAACCCGAAACCCAACTGGAACAAAACCCCAGGTTACACAGAAGAAGAGACATCTGCCTACGCTCGCATCCTGAATGGACCGTCGCATCCGGATCCATCGGAAGGTGCTAACAAGTTTGTCGATGTGTGGAGACAGCGGAATCCTGAGTTACGACATTACACGTATTGGGGATACAGGTGCGCATCCCCCCTCTATCTATTTACTTGAGCGTCCACTAAATAATAGATGGACCTACTTTGACATGTGCAGGTTCAATGCTAGGCAAAAGGGCATTGGCTGGCGATTAGATATGTGTAAGTATTCTTTCGATATCGTCACCAACACCTCACTCATACTTCTGCACACAGTTGTCCTCAGCGAACGAATAGTAGACCGAGTCAAAATGTGCGAGATCAGGAGCGATATCTATGGTGCATCCGACCACTGTCCGCTCGTATTGGAAGTCCAGGCGCCACTATGAACGAGATTCACTGCTTTTATTCGTCTGCTATCCGTATCATGTTTTGGTTCGCTTTCAGCACTGTACTATATTCCCCGTTAATGGACATTATTGATTCATCGATATATAAATAAAGCACGACACATCCGGATCGTGCAGAGTGTCCAAACATGAGCGAGCATAGGTATACCAAACCACGGAACCATGAAATAATACCAAAACAAACAATAAAGCAATCACGCAAATAGTCCATGCCCATACACTCTAGCGCTCAAACACCAGAAAGACGGTGCGAGCCCTACACCTCCGGCAAACCGCTATAATGCGACGCCCCGCCAAACGTCGAGGCATTCTGACTGAAAGGTCTGGCAGAGCCAGTGTTCGAAGTCGTGTTGATCGTGTTGTTGGTCGTGTGTATGGAGGGACCTGACGGGCCGGGGGATGCTGGAGTCGTCGTCGTCGCGGGATATGTACTTGGGTCGGAGGGGTCCTGTGGCATATCAGGCAGTAAGACGGAGACGGGGACGAGCGGATGAGCAGAGTGATGAGATACGAAACATGAATGAGAGAGGGAAGAATGAGACGCACATAATACTTCATCGGAATCCCACCCTCATTCGAAGGCGACCGCTCGTCCGAATATCCACCCTCATACCCACCTCCTCCCATCCCGCCAACCCCATACCCCGAATACCTCCCCGCCGCCCCTGCCCCCACCTCACTCCTATCCTCCACACTCGGCGCAGCCTTATAATCCGGCCCCCCACTCGCCCTCTTCCTCCTCAAAAACCACACGCCCAATCCAACTAAAGCCGCCAGGCCCACCAAGCCGCCCACGACCCCGCCTGCGATGGCTCCGGCCGGTGTTGACGTCCGGGAGGTGACTTCTGTGGGTTGGGAAGCAGAATCGGCGGAGGAGGTTGCGGAGGAGGATTTGGTTCCTGTTGCGGATGCGGAGGCGGATTTGGAGGTGCTGAGGGTGGAGGTGGCGACTGTTGTTGGGCCGGAGGTGGCTGTTGATTCGACGGCGGCTGGGTTCGGGTTTGAGTCGTGTGAGTGTGAGGGCAGGATGACAGGAGGGAGGGGTGGACTTACAGGTATCCGCTTTGGCAGAGACGTTATCAAAAGTGTCGGAGTCCTGCGTAGGTTTTCAAAAAATGCAAAGCGCAGATATCAACATCCTGAAAGTCGAGGAACTCAAACACAGAAAGGGCTAATACTGACCGTTACCGTCAAGTATGCCCAGCCCGGCACCCGCGTGCCACTCGGTATAGACTCCGGAAGACTATACGGGATATAAGTGTCGGTTAATCCGCATAGATGAAGTGAAGGTGTAAGACAAGCAGACTTACGTTCCATCAGCACCAACACTACTACAATTCAGCGCCCACTCCGACCACCTACGAACGAAAACAGTCAATACACACATCTCAACAACCCGACAATTCCCTCTCCTCCTCTTCCTCCTCCTTATGAACAAGAATCAAAAAAACGCACTGTATCCATTCCCCACCCTGACATCCCCCACACGCGCTAACGAGCGAATAAACGACCGTATTGCATTTACACAGATTGTCTGTATTCGCGACTGTAGGGCCGGTATAGTGATTATCGGGGAGGAGGGTGGGGATGGAGAATTCTGCGTTCGTTGCGGAACGTAAAAGCACATATTCAGATCCCGAGCAGCAGAGATACTCGAAGGAGGAGGGAGGAGGGAAGAAGAGAGACGTACGACCGCTATTACACACCGCTTCGAGGTAAGCCGCGACTTTACACGGGTTCTGCTCCAGACTGTTGTACGACTGACGAAACATCCACACATCCACACACAGACAGAAACGAATATCGAAGTCAGCAGTCAGCATCATAATAATACGACCTTTCAAAGCTTCAGTATTCGATCGCGCACGATATCGATTCCTGAAGGCTGAAGGAAAGGCGTGGAAATTATGGTGGTGGTGAACTTTTGCTCACCCATGACCAATCAGTGTCATCCGTACAATTCGGCGTACTTATTTGAGCTCTCGAGTCGGACGTGAGGAGCAGGAAGAGGAGCCCGATCGAGCAAGATACACTGGCAAAGCGCGAAACAGACTGAGGGGCGGAAGTGAACATAGTCGAGGCCGTGATACCTGTGCAAGCTTCAAAGCAGTCAAAGCAGAATCTTCAATCTCCAAGCACTAGGAACGACCAAGAGGTACTGAAATCGCGAAGAGTCGAAGTCGACGACGGGAGGGTCCAGGATCCCGCTCACGATGGCGGACAGTGACAAAGAACTGCAACTCAAACACGGGGCACCTCCTCCCCTCCCCTCACCCGCATCCTCGCACGGACCTCAAACCAGGCCGTCCGTCCCTGTCCTGGGCACATATCAAAGGGAATGCAAATAAATCGGTCCACGCGAACGGCCCAGTACGTGAATTTGATCGTTAGGACCTGTTAGCGCTCGACGTCCGATTGATGGCGGCGTGAAGGTTGTTTGATGTGTTGATGCACGTGGGATAGTGGGATGGACTGGGTTGTTTTTGGGTTTATTGAGAGGGAAAGGAGGGCAGGACAAGGCGTGGATAGTCTTGGGCTGTCACGGAGATCAATGGCAAGGAGGAGGAATCCGAGGATGGGTGATAAGGAGGAAGGAGAGGCGCCACAGTGGCGTTACTTTTCATTCTGATGATTAGAACATCTCAACATGCTTCCGACGCTTCTTGGCGCACTCGATAAAATTACTATCACTTGTTACTGGCATTCACATCTCTTTACTGCCTTGAAGTCCCGAAACTGCTATCAAGTAGAGGCGTATTTTTCGACTCAACAGACTACAACAAGCTCGACGAAGAGTCACGACAAAACACACCTTACTACCACCTCCGAACTCGAACCATCGCTTCCTCCTCCCACCCCCATCTCACCACCCACCTCCAAAAAAAGCCCTCACACCCAACCGCGTCATCCTCCTCGCCTCCGTCCTCCCCGCCTCCTTCGAATCGCCTCCTTCTACGTAACCTCCCATCCACGCGATCGATTACTTACTCACTTCAAGTTCTCCCTTCTTCCTTCCGACTCCACAGCCCCACAATCACCCACAATCCCCACCTTTTTCCCGCCGTCCCGCCGATAAACAAAGACTCCTCCCTTCCTCCTGGAGTACGAACACGTGTACTCCGTCAAAAGCCAAGCCAAGCCGACAAAAAAGGGGTCTTCGCTTTTGCGTGACGTATCATCCTTTTTTTGTGATGTGATTGTGTGATTGTCGCAGATAGCAATGACGTCGATCGGACATTGTTGAGCCGGGGAATTGGTGTGGGAATTTTGGAATGAGACGCGTGGGGGCGGAGCCGAAGACGCGTCGAAGGAAGGGATTGGACGCCACAATTCTTGGGAAGGACGAGGGGATTCGCCACTTGACCTCTCTCTCTCAACCTCCACTTCGGCGCTATAGCTTCAACACGTATCATATCATTGTCAAGCATAAAAACATAATACATCAACGAACATGCCGCCGTCTAACGGTAAGTCATTCATGTAGCCACATTCCTCCTACTCCCAGTCCCACCCCGTAAACGACTAGATGTATGCGCATATATACACCCCTATCCCTCCCTGCCATACATGTCCACGCCCCGCCTCCCTTCCTTACGTTCCCCCATCAAGACTTAGACTGACCTATAATCCACCAAAGCAGCCAAAGCCAAACAAACCAAATCAGTCCCAGTCCCAGCTCAAGGTCAAAGTCGTCAACGACGCGCAGCCGCCCCGAAGAAGTTCTCCAGGGACGAATCAGGCTCGGACGAGAATAGTAACGACGACAACGACGCGGAGGACTCTGACGAGGAGGGTGATGAAGATGACGATGAGGAAGAGGACGAAGAGGCGGATGATGAGGAAGATTCTAGGTGAGTTTTATTCTGTGTTTTGACGTCTGTCTGTGAGCCTCAATGACTGATAACTCGACACGACAACGCAGCGCTATGTTCCTAAAGATGTTCGACGCGATCCGAAGTAAGTCACATCACATCACATCACCCACTACTCACCCACCTTCTCTCCCTCGAATCCACCTTTACGTCCCTTGAACCCACATTTACGTCCCTCGAACCCACTCACTCACCCACCTCCACCTCCAGAGAACGCAGCAAAATCCAAAACAAACCCGCGCGCCGCAAGACAGAAAGACCTGAACGCGAAGAGCGAGAAGTATAGACGTGAAGCGGAGAGTTACGTCGAGGAGGGGAACGCGTATATGTGAGTACTTTCTCTGTACCCTTTTCTCTTGTCTCTTGTCTTCTTCTTCCACCACTGCGCGTCGGACCCCTGGCGCGAGATGGTCGCCTGGCGCAAGACATGGATGGATGTGTACTGACCTATCTTCCGCCCACGATGTATGATGTATGATGGATGTATCACACGATCAGCGACGACCTCATCTTGAGCGCGTCTCTCCTCCGATCGGAGAACAAGAACAAGAACGCGATGAGGACGAGGGAGATGCAGATGCAGAGCGCGGGGGAAGGGCTCTGGATCGACGCGAGCGTCCGTGACCCATCCATTCTATCCGTCGTCCTTCTCCATATAAAAACTTACTCCTGGTGTGAATGGACTACGATAGGTGTCGATGAAGACGGCGCTCGAACTGTCTGCTGTTGGAGATATCGCGGGAAGACGGGTGGACGAGATCAATGATGCTTGTAGGCGGAGTGAGTGCTTGCCTACCATCATCCCATCCCAATTGCATCCCCTCGGAGAGACTCTGGATGATATCAGGAGACCCAAGAAGCAAGAAGTTAGAACTCAGGCTGACCCGCAGCGTTTGTGTGTTATGTGTGTATGTGCGTTTCCACCGCAGTCGCGTTACAGCCCGAGAGGCGCGCGAAGAGTCTCCGAGGATTGAAGAGGACGGTGCGGGAGGACGTGGCGGGGGTTGTAGAGCACGAACAGGTTCGTTTTCCTTTCCTTTCAGTTTCTCACATCCTTCTTCCTTCGCTCTGGCTGGCTATTCCACGCAAGTTTATCGCGAAATCGGTGTGGCGGATGAATTTGACAGCTGATGGGACTGGTACAGGTTGCGTCGGACGCGGAGGTGCTGATCAGGAACTACAAGGCGATGCTACGCAGCCGTTGAGCGTTGTGCGCTGAGCACCGAAGCACAGAGTACAGAGTTCTTGGAGGGATGGATGTGGCTAGACCAGAGGTACCAGGAGATGGAGTGGCTCATGGAGAGGACGGAATCCGCTGCGCTGTTGCTTGTTGTAAGATACGGTCTGTGAGAATGCTGTGTAACTTCGGGGTGTGTGGTCCGAAGAAAGGACTGAGCGAGAGACGGTCGCGAGTGATGTCAGCGGTGGGAAAGGCGTTATCGTGAGGACAGAGGAAGACGAGGGTGTGGAGTGACGTAGAGGCGGTGGCTTACATAAGGGACGCACGAGCAAGAAAAGGGTCGCGCGGATCGGTGGATGCTGCGAGCGAACGCCTTCGTATACGACCTCCGCTAATCGACCCTCCTCCCAATAGCCGCAAGAGATGGCGCACTACTCGGACAAGACGCTGGTGTGGACGGCGAAGCAGCCGGCAGTGAAGGAGGACAACCTGCCCGCGGAGCCGCTGTCGACGGCGTCGCCCACCGTGCCCTCGCTCTTCGGCGTCCCTCTCAAATACATCTCGTGCGTGCTTTCTGTCCTGCCAATGTGGCGGACGTGCTGACGTGCTGCTCTAGTCTAGTGACTCTGGCAGTCCAGAATGCATCCCTCACGCTCCTCATGCACTATTCACGCGTCTCCACCCCGCCCGACCAGACCTACTCCGCAGGCTCTGCCGTCCTGGCCACCGAGCTCCTCAAGGGCCTCATCTCCCTCCTCATCGCCTTCTCCCGCCTCGATACCACTTCCCCATCACATACCCTCTCCCTCCCCCCCCAGCAAAAGTTCGCCTCTGCGCTCAATCCCCGCGTCTTCTTTTCCCGCTGCAGGCGACTCGGGAAAGAGGTGTTTAGACCTGACTGCTGGAAGCTCTCCATCCCCGCTATACTCTATGGTACGCGCTCTCCACATCTCTCACATCCGTATCACTAACCGAATCCCCCCATAGTTATTCAGAATAATCTCCAGTTCGTCGCCGCTTCGAACCTCGAAGCGGCCACCTTCCAGGTCACCTATCAAATGAAGATCCTCACGACTGCAGCCTTCTCCGTCGTCCTTCTCCGGAAAAAGCTGACGCCCCTCAAATGGGTCGCCCTCTTCTTCCTCGCCCTCGGCGTCGGCATCGTTCAGATCCAGTGTGGTGTCTCAAAGGGGGCCGATTCTTCTGCCGTCGCTTCTTCCGGCGCACACGTCATGGACCCCATCCGAGGCTTCCTAGCCGTCGCTGCTGCCTGCTTCACCTCCGGTCTCGCCGGCGTCTACTTCGAGATGGTCCTCAAGAACACCTCGGGCGACCTCTGGGTCCGCAACGTCCAGCTCTCCCTCTTCTCCCTCCTCCCCGCTCTCGTCCCCATCATCCTCGCTCCCTCCTCCTCCCCCGACACCCCAGCGCACTCCGTCCCCTCCCTCTCCCACATCTTCGCAAACTTCACCCCCTGGGCATGGGCCACAGTGCTCACCCAGGTCCTCGGCGGCCTCATCACCGCGCTCGTCATCAAATACGCGGATAACATCATGAAAGGCTTCGCCACCAGTCTCTCCATCGTCCTCTCCTTCCTCGCCTCCGCAGGCCTCTTCCACCTCCCCATCACCGCCCCCTTCGTCGTCGGCGCTTCCGTCGTCCTCTGCGCTACATGGCTCTACTCGCAACCGGACAACAAGAAAGTCCCGTTCTTCCGCTCGCGCAGATCTTCCGACGCCGCCGTGCTACTACCACTCTCATCACGCAACGCATCGAGTTCTTCGCTCTCTTCTTCGCCTAGACCGAGGGTATCACATATACATACGCCTTCCGCGTCGACTTCGGCGTCATCTTCGCCTGCTGCGACGTTTGCTAGTGTCCACCATCACCATCAGACCTCCGTCACGCGTCCGGGCCAAGCACTTAACCTATTGCCGTCCATAGGCCGGAGAACACCGCCTTCGTCATCACCTACCACATCGCCCACGACCCCGACGAGTGAGTACGAGCGGGTACTTGGCGGGGTTGGTGGCGTGGCAGGAACAGCAGGAGCGGGAGCACCGCTGATCGAGGTCGTGACGCCCGGGGGATTGAGTGTTCCGGTCCCGCCTGTGACGAGGTCGGTGAGTATGCCGACGATTAGCGGCGGTGTGGGTGGGTTGGGGTTGGGGATGGGAACGGGTGGGAAGGAGGAACGGACGGGGACGGTGGGGGATGTATAGGGGGTGGGTGGTGGAACAGACTTAATGATGGGTGGACGTGGGGTTTTTTTTAATGCTGCGTGGTGAGGACGGGTGGGCAGGCAGGCAGCTGAACTTTTCTTTCTTCGAACTTTCACCCCTTCGAACATTCACCCTTCGAACATTTCGTATAATCCGAACTTTTGATTGTTGAATTTTTGATCTATTTTAAGCTATTTAGTGTTTATTTCTCTCATTTCTCTCATTCTCTTTGCTTTTTGCTACTTGCTTCCGTTAACCACACCCGTTCGTTTGCCCACCCGTGACCTTGTGGTGAACAAGTTCAAGCTGTTGCCACGTACGAGCGTGTGGCGAGTATTCGAAATGGGAATCAAGCTGGATGGACAAGTGCTAGTTGGAGAAGCAATAGCAATACCGAGAGTACCAACAACGGCGGAAGTGATGTGATGAGCATCTGCATCGCCATACCTGTGAGTCCTTGCGCAGCCCTATCCCCTCCCGCGTGCTCTCGTTTTCTTTGGCTTGGCTTGGCGTCCCCCCCCCCCCCCCCCCCCCCCCCTGTGCTTTGCTTTGCTTTGATGCTGACGAATTCGCCGTTTTTTTGAACCCTGATAGGCTGGTTGCTTGTGATCACATACGGGCGTAAAACTCCGTTTCTTATCGGGAACACCTACGTATACCTAGCGGTGCCCGTGTTTTGGCTAGCTGCGGTTTTACGCAGCTAGGACTGTTGATAGTCGTTTTTTTTGACCTTTTTTCTGTTTTTTGAAGTTTGAAGTTTGAAGTTTGAAGTTTGAAGTTCGCTAGCCAGCCTCCCTAGTATGTTCATCGTATGCTACGACCCCGAATAAACTTACCTTACCTTACCTTACCTTACCACAGACCATGACACGCTATACCACGGCACGTTATACCACACCACACCTCCACCTCTACCTCCACCTCCACCCTCCCCGTCCCGCCCTGCCCCTATTCCCACCCTGCCCCTCTGTCCCGTCCGTACGACGGATGAAACCCTCTTCTAGAGCTCTAGAGCTCTACACGCTGCCTCTCTACACGCTACACGCCCGCCGTGACGATGACTCGATGACTCGATGGATTCTTTCTTTCGTTTGTTGATTTTTGAGACTTGAACGCTGTTTGATTTTCGAATTGTCTTTTTTTCGACTTTCACTTTGCTTGCTTTTGGACGTTGAGGATTGAGCATTGATCTGGACTGTGTGGTCATACGCTATCATTCCTCATCCCTTCATCTTCCTCGTCTTTCATATCCTCCTGAGATCCTTTCATCCCCATCCACATTTATACCCAGACCCGCATTCCCTTGCAGTCGACCCCTTTCCTAATCCTTCGATTTTCCTCTTTCGACTTTTCACTTCTACGTGGCGCGCACTTCTTCTTGTCTGTTTTTTTATCATGCTGAATGGTTACTCGTTCCTTTCTGCTGAACGTTGAATCTGTTTTGCCGAACTACTAGACTCTTTCCTTCCCTCTTTCCTTCGTTCAAGTTTAGACATTGCCCTTTCGTTCATTCCTTCATTTCCCCGCCGCCGCCGCCCACCCGTTCATTCATTCATTCATCCCTTTCGGACTTTCAAAATACAATATTCAGCCTACTTCCTTCCTTCCTTCCTTCTTACTTGCCATTTTGTTTTGTTTGTTTGTGACTTTTGTGATTGAATAGTGAATATCGGACGAGGAGGATAAAGTACATACGACAATAAAAGGAATGAAAACGCGGATTCGAACCATCATCAGCCTGCGCCTGAGGACCAAGAAAAGGTAAAGTATGCAGTCATAAATGGGGCGCTGGGACGGACAGACAGCTAAGAGAGAGAGAGTTTGTTTTAGTTCTCCAAAGAGTACATTATTATAACTAGGATTTTACTGATTTAAAATTACCCAAGCGCGTTGGCATCAGACTCGTAACCAGTATCTACTGTACGTTGGCATGGATGACTCTCAACACTGTCAGCCTCGAGCTTTCCCATCATTATTATGCGCTTCATCCTCCGCGTTACTCTTACTCGTCCTACACACCGCTTGCGCTTGAGGAATCCTTCGATGCCGGTATTGGCGAGTGCTATCGTGAGGAGGAGAGGAAGAGGAGGAGGAGAGGAAAAGGAGAGGAGGAGGAAGAGAAGAAGAGGAGAGGAGGAGGAGGAGGACGACGACGTCGAGTAGGGGCTCGACGGCCACGATCAGCAGCCGGGCAGGAATCCGCTTAAGCGAATGTCATCTCCGATTCCCATCTCGCCTTTTAGCCTGAAGCGGAGGAGAGCAAGGTTCATTCCGAGGGATTCGTTCGCTCGGGATCGCATAAGGGTATGCCAGTGTAGCCTGCAGGCAGCGGTCGAAACGTCGAACTGTCGAACTGTCGTGCTGTGATTTTGTAAGGACTTATCTAAGTATCGAGCGGGAGGACTGTTACTGTACACGTCGATAGAACACCGAGACCTGCGCGACGTATCGTGGTTGAATGCTTGCTGAGCCTGGATTGTTCAGTGTCGAGGAATATTGGGATTGGTACTTGTGTCCAGGTGCGGATTTTGGGCTTTGGGAGATGATGTCGAAGAGTCTGTGGGAGATGAGGGGACGAGGTGAGAGGGGGGTCAAGGCAAGGTGTTGGGCGGGTAGCGAGTGTGGAGGATTAGGAAGATAGTTAGAGGCTCAGGGATTGATTTTTTTTTATATCGCCATCGGAAGTGGACCGGGTGACTGTCAAAGCTTAGGATACTAAGTTACTTGCTCGGCCATCGGCAAGACTGGCATTCCGACGATGACGGAGACCAACGTTAACGAAGGAGCTCTGAAAGACAGGATTGTGTGATACTTATACGCATGATGACCTGCGGAAGACGTTGCGGGCGGATAGGGGCACCCATGGGAGGTCATACGATGATGCTGCGTATGGATGGAAGAAGGGAGTGATAGATGATCCAGGTGTTAACGTTGAGTACGTTGGTGCTTCCTATGACTCCAACAGTCGACATAGGAGGCAGAGGCAGGAAAGGCAATTGTTGTTCGGCTCGCGCTGGGTGTCACTGTGTGTACGAAAGAACGTGAGAGCAAAGTCGCGTCAGTGGGTTCGTACATCCGAAATTTTCGAGCATTCGAAGGTGTTCGACGAGGGTGATGCAGCATGATGGGACTCGAAAGTCATTGTATTTCGGATCAAGTGGATATACACATGAGAACAACAAAAAAGGTATCGAACGAGAACATAAGAGATGTCGGAACACCAGGTGACCGGTTCCACCCATAAGGCGAACGCCTGGATGACCAGCCAAAGAGTGCACAAACTTTCGTCTGAGGTCGCTGGAGATGAAGGGCTGCTGTGGAAGTATGATTGCGGGCCCTTTATGTGGTAAGACAGCGCCTGGGTAGTTGTTAAAAGATGAGAGAAAAGAGGAGGGTTGGAGGAGAGAGCGAGGGTTATTGGGAGCTGTTTAGGGCAGGTTTTCTTCGGGGTTTTGCGAGTGGCGTTTAGGATGTATTTGTGCATTTCTTGTTCGTTTCGCCTTGATAGCGTTCATATAATACTTTGCCGTTATGATCATACGGCAGACCTCTTCAGAATGTTCATGCCTGGATAGTTTTTTGAAACTACTGAGGGCTGGGCGGAACAGCTGGTCCGTTTTCCGACGGGAATATCGGATGGTTACATACGCGCCGTGAGGATCTCCCTCGGGCTCCGTCATCTCATTCGCAATGTCAGTCATTCTATGCTCATGTTCTCAAGGGCCACCCTTATAAATAGCAGACCATCTCTCCTCCATCGATCTGCTCTACGGCCACCACCTTACCTACCCCGCAATCACTTGCTTCGACTTCGTCCGTATACTTCCAGCTCAGCTCTTAAGATGGCCAATACCCCTATCAAGCTTAACGATGGTACCACTATCCCATGGTACGCGTCGCGTGCGCAAGTAACCCAGGGATTTTGACCGGTGATATTCATCGTCGTTTGTCTCTTTGTAGGCTTGGGTTCGGTACTGGCACTGCCCTCTACGGCAAGGACACAGAGAACATGATCGTAGCCGCCATCAAGGCAGGCTTCACCCACCTCGACGGTACGACCGTCCTTCTCCCATCTCCACAACCCACCATACAACGCATCTCATCTCATCCCACACATCCACATCTCTCCAGCCGCCCAAGCCTACGCGAACGAAGACTCCCTCGGCGCCGGCATTCTCGCCTCGGGCGTCCCTCGCTCCCAACTCTACATCACTACCAAATTCCACGAACTCGCCCCGGGCCAGTCTCTCAAATCGCTCCTGCAGGACCAGCTCAAGAAGCTGAAGGTCGATTACGTTGACCTTTATTTGATACATACCCCCGTGGCGTTCAAGAAAGAGGGAGAGCTGAAGAAGTTGTGGACGGAGGCTGAGGAGCTGAAGAAGGAGGGGTTGACGAGGAGTATTGGCGTTTCGAACTTTAGGATTAAGGATATTGAAGTCCTTACGACGGGTGGAGGTGCTGTGCCTGCTATCAACCAGGTATGTTCACATTGGTTTTCCCCTTCCTGAATGTGTGTCGTCGGAATAGGGGCTAACTGGTGCTCTGGGCCGCAGATCGAGTACCACCCCCACCTGTTCAAAGAATCGCAAGCCCTCCTCGAATTCCACGCCAAACACCAGATCGTAACCGAATCCTACGGCGGCCAATCTCCCATCTTCCGTTCGAAGGGCACTTCGCTCGACGCGGTGCTTACTCCTATCGCTGAGAGACTCTCGAAGGCTTCGGGGAAGACGATCCAGGAGGGTCACGTTCTCATGCAGTGGCAGAAGGCGAAGGGAGTCGTGTTCGTCACGTACGTTCATCCCACCTCTCTCTTTGCTTCCGAAGAAAGCGAGGCTGACTCTGTCGATGCGGTGATGCAGGACTACTTCGAAGGAATCGAGGCTGCACGAGTATATCGCCGCTGCGGACGTCGAGGGGCTCACGGCTGAGGAAGTCAAGGCTATCGACGAAGCCGGAGCGCAGGAGACCCATAGGCACTTCGTACGTTTTTCTTCTTACACTCGGGATTAGAATATAACTGACCGATGCTGACTGATTGACTGGTTTGGTTTGGCGTTTACAGACGAGCTTCTGGCCTTCGGATTAGGCAATGGCATGAGGCGTTCTTGCGGACGGGAAATGAATTGTACTACGCGGATCAGCCGATTGTTGTAGACAAGCTTCGAAACAAGGAAGTTGTATCACTATGTTTGTATGTTGACGTTTGATGGACGGCTATGTCACTCTGCCAAATAGCCTATAGGCACGTTGACGATCCCTCAGACCGTGAGCATGGCCACTCAATCGCCTGGACCTTGGCCTCCACGCTTTCTCTCTATGTCAAACCCATTTCAGTCGTGGTCGCTGCTATGTTATTCTTGGATGTAAGCTCAAGTTCTGATTCCTTATAAGTATCCAGCGGTGCGTCATCGTCATCGGGAGTCCGAACGTTCCCTTGGGTCTGCAGCTGGGAGCTTCGACTGGTCAATGGGGCTATAAAGGCCCATATTAACATTACGGGCTCCACCCACTCCTTGTCCTTTCACAGAGCACGATATCCGTCTCTACATCTACTGACCACGAAACATCCAGCCAGCACTGAATTAATGAGTAATGGCTAACACATCCATCAAATTGAACGACGGGAACGCGATTCCCTGGCTTGGATATGGCACGGGTACCGCATTATACCAGAAAGACAAAGAGTGCGAGCGGATGGTGACGGCTGCTATCAAGGCCGGCTTCACGCATCTCGACGGTACGCATCCCTTCCTCTCCTTGCTATACCATTTGAACCTCTTCTGACCATTTGATTCTACTTATACATTGACATACATGGTGACCAGGAGCTCAGATGTACGGCAACGAAGCCTCCCTCGGTTTAGGCATCCTCTCTTCCGGCGTCGATCGCTCCACGCTCTACATAACCACCAAATTCCACCAACTTGCTCCCGGGGAAACCGTCCGGGACAGCTTAAAGGCGTCATTGACAAGGTTACAAGTGGAATACGTCGATCTGTTTTTGATGCATACGCCGATGGGATGGGGTGAGCCTGCCGGCGAGGGTAGTAGTAAGTTGAGGGAAGTGTGGAGGGAGTGCGAGGATGTGAAGAGGGAGGGGTTGGCTAGGAGTGTGGGGGTTAGTAATTTTAGGGAGAGGGAGTTGGAGGAGGTCATGGAGGGCGCGAGGATCGTTCCGGCTGTTAATCAGGTCAGCTCTATCATAAGTCGAATACTTCTCGTCTTCGACGAGGTTGTTGACCGCAGATACAGATCGAGTATCATCCCCATGTCCACGACACCATGGCCTCTCTTCTCGCGTTCCATGACAAACACGGTATCGTGACCGCTTCATTCGCCGGTCTGTCACCTCTTTTCAGATCCAGGAGTGCGACTCTGGACACCGTGCTCTCCAGTGTGGCGCAGAGATTGTCCGAAACGGCAGGCATGCCGGTTTCTGAGGGTGCGGTGTTGATGGCGGGGCAGAGGGCGAAAGGTGTTGTGTTCGTCACGTACGTTCTGAATTCATTCTGTCCTCTTATTTAGTCTCAGTCTGCTGGTGACTCGCCCATGGGCGACTGATGGTCTGTGTCATTTATGTATAGGACGACGAAGCAGGAAGAGAGGTTGAAAGGATACCTCGCTGCGGCGGAAGCACCAGACCTTACGCCCGAAGAAGTAGAAGCGATTGACGAAGCGGGCGCGAAGGAACATCATAGGCATTTCGTATGTTACTTCTTTGTCTTCGCCCCTTCTGGGCTTTTTGCTTGGGTCTTTCACCTTCTGTCGCTTTGAAAGTCGGAGTTAATATTGACACTTCCTTTGGTTGTGCGCAGATGACCTATTGGCCGGGCAAGGAGGAAGAGTAGCTCATTCGAGGGCGGAAGGGAACGAATGGTAGCTTTTGAGCAAGCTATGATGATCATGCAGAATTGTGATGATAAACAAGTATTGGGTATATTCGGCGCCAAAGAAGATGCTTTAGTAGGATGTATGCTAGCAGTGAATGGATCACTTGTACGGAATACCTGTATATACGGAAAGTTGATCAGCATCATGGATACAATCGAAATTGACGGGAACGGGAACGTCAACGCACCGTTTTGAAGCTATAATTGCAACCGACCCAATGAAGATTCGTCAGTTCTCCCTCAAAGAAGAGAAAATTTGCGAAACTTACCCTCTGGAACTCATCATACGCCGTACTCCTCACGTTCTCATGCGCATTCTTCACAATAGCCATCATCCACTCCGCGGCCTGCCTCTCATTCAACCCCAACGCGTACCTATCCCTCAACCTCTTTATCGTGCCCTCACCTTTGAAACTGGGCAGACCCGTATCGAGCATGAGCTGCACGGTGCTGATAAGCTGTTCTGCATGGGGTCGGATGGCGAGGAATGCTTTGACGGTGAGTTGTTGGAAGAGGGCGTAGCCTTGGGAGTAGCGGCCGCCCATGAGCACGACCATTTCGTGGTTCAATTTGAAAGATGAAGGTTCGAATTTGACACCCTGGAAAGAAGGTCAGGATGAGGCTTGTGGGAAGGCATGCTATGAAGAAAGTACTCACTCCAGGACGTAAACACGCGAAGGGGAGAAAGAGAACCTAGTCAGGCCATGCATACAGGAGACAATGGGATGGGAGAAGGACTCATCTATATCGAACAGGAACCCAAAATCTGGACCCGAAATGTCATAAATAACAAGCTACAGAATAGGATCGGCCAAAACGCACCGATGTGGACAATGTGGCCCTCGCCGTCAATCATGATGTTACCGTTGTGACGATCCTTGATCTGCAAGATGTAGCAAGCGAGGGAGTACGCAGCCATGGATTGGATGAAGTTCAAGCGGGCCTTTTGAAACGCGACGGAGTCTTGGCCGCCGTATCTGGCGACGAAGAAATCGAGCAAGTCGTTTACTTTAGCACGACCCATCTCATCACGAGAAGTGGCGTTGGGGACGACATCGATGACGCCACACTACAACAGGATATAAGCACAAAAGAGGTATGAACGGGTAAACGACGGCACATACCCCTGGAGCAGTCGCAGTAACTCGGTACGGGTACAGGTACAGAGTCAGTCCAACGCTTGTGAAGATGTTCTTGAACATCGCGATGACTTGCAGAGCAAGGACATCTTGACGACAATCGTCTCCAACCTTGAAGATAGCTTGAAGCCAGACGTCGTGGACCCTGCGGCGCTCGCCCTCGTCGTCGGTGGTAAGCGCGTCGGGATCTTCGCTGATGATAACCTCTTGCTTGCGAACTTTGAACGTGGCCATGAACGGTGCCTGTCAAAACCATGTATCAGAGGTTGCATATACAAAATGGATGAGTGACCAACCTTGGCGTGACTCTGCAAAGGCCTGCCAGACTTCTTGTCGATGTCAATGACCTGACCATCTGGGTTACTGGGTAGGTAAACTCCAACGTCGACAACAATCTTCGCCATCTCCTCGTCGATCTTGGCCTACGCATACCCATCAGTTTCCCTAAATTGATTCGCAGCCAGAGACAAATTCGACCTTTTTCTCCGGCTTGGTCTTCTTGATATAAGGCTTGAGCTTCCCTGAGATGGAGGTGACCTCATTGAAGAAACCAAACTCTCGGTCATAGAAGTCTCTCGCTTCTCCGGAGAGCGAGTCCACGATCTGGTCAGTCATAGCGTCGAGGGCGGGTTTCATAGGGTCCTCCTGCAATGACATTAATATCAAGTAGGTGGTGATCCTAAGAAACGAAACTCACGACTTCAGCCATATCGTCCTTGTAACAGTTAGCCTTCATGTTCCAGATGATCTGATGGCAGAACAGCTGCGAGATCTTTGCTGCTTCGAATATAAAGTGCTGGACGTAGCCTGCCACGTGTGACGTTAGAGAACTGGTTAACGCATAGAGCACAGGTAGTCTAACCAAGGTCATCGTAGCGCAGAGCCTGCACAATCTGAGGAACAAAGAAGAAAGAGAGGTCCACTGGATGTTGCTCTAGGGTTCGGTGCGCATACTGAAGAATGAGCGGGTTGTTTTGGAACCGACGCTCGAAATACGACACGGCGATGACAGGAGGTACAGGGTCCCAGACGAGTAGATACTGTTCTCAAGCCGTTAGGAACTGTAACCTCAGGAGAAACTTAGTTTGACACACCTTTAGATCGCGATGAACGCTGGCGTCCAACTTATCACCGACCAAGAATTGCAGAGCGTCTGCTACATGAAGCAGTTTGCGAGGTTCTGAACGGACGGACCGCGCCACTTCATTCGTGACGACAGGGTGCTTGAATCGCTCCGCAAAATGGATGGCAATGGCGGGGTCCACCTCCCATACGGTGCGAATGGCGGCTATCCAAGTGTGCTAAAGTATGCATGTCAACGATGGCCTCTTGGCACAAAGTAGGCTGCTTACTTCTACCATGGTGCGTTCCACAGTCTGTGCGTAGTCATGTCCTCGCTTAGCTTCACCGACGGGATTCGCCCACACGGAGAGTCGATACATCTCATTCTCCACAAGGAGCTTTAATGGGGTGCTCATGCTCTTGATGCGGTCAACGTAGGCTGAGGGTCGAGTGTGGACTTCAGACGATGTTATATGAAAGACTAGACCGAGAGATGCTCACTTGAATCCATGGCGGCTGCCTGAACTGCAGACAGACTGGAGATGTGGTGCGACAGCCTCGCAGAATCGTGCTTCAGCATGGACAAAAATTCGCTCAATATCTTGATGTCAGCCTCCATTTGCAGCCGATTCGCTCCATGAGACCATCTGAGCAGTGATTTAGTATCTACCACCCGATCAGTAAACGTAGCACATACTGTGGTCGGACAGCGAACCAGGAGAACGCGGCAACATAAAGACTTTCCCGAAGGATGTGCTCGCAGAACGTATCAAGCCTGGAGCTGCGCAACGTTTCGAATGCGAGCAGTAAGAACGAGAATCTTGGTTCTCGAGCCAGAGCATGAGTACTTCGGACAAGTCAATTAGTTTGTCCTTAAATGCAGAAGTGCTTCAGAGGCGCACCTAAGGTTTCGGTGGGCCCTGGCAGAATAGAGCACCATGCGTTGCAAGAGGAACATGATCCCAGGCTTGCGATAGCGTGCGGCCTGCAAACGACTGAAGAACATCTGCAGAATCAAGGTATGTGGCCCAAGGTGGCGACGGGCGTTGTTGGTGAGTCTGTCGAGGATCTCCTTGTCGGTGGGCGCATAATCAATCGGATGGTAGAAGGGATCGTCGTAACTGGGGGGATGTATTGAGTGATGTTCCAGTGGAGAAGCTCGAGAAGGACTCACTTCAAAGTTGGTGAGAAGAGGCCTCTGCCATGTTTAATCGACATCATCCAAGCCGACTGAATTTCGGTCATCATAGCGATCTCGAATTCAGGGCGCTCTGAGATAACCCATGTCCAGACTTCAATTGCAGCCGCGATCGATGCCGGCGTGAAGACCTCGAACGGTAGCATGACACAGAGGTGCACCAGGGTATGATCATACTGCCATGCGCATCAGCAGATTAGTTCAGACAATGCCACGGAGATATGTACCTTGGACATAGCGATAATGGCAGAGGAGCAACGGAAGAGCAAGCGTTTAACGTCCTGGATGGTGAAACTACTGTGTCTCTCGCGGACATCATCGAGGGTCTTGACGAGTGTCTGTTTGAGAGCTTCGATGTCAGCAACAGGATCCTCGTCTGTAGGGGCCGTTTCGATGTTTTGGCCTGCAGCGAGGGAAGGGGCATTAGCATGCGATAATATAGATGGTATAACCGTGGATATTTACCGCGTCGGCTTGCAAGGCGAAGCCCTGCAATTTCGCCAGCGAAGTACGCCTTGGACGCAATCTGGCTAGTCAGGGTCTTCGCACGGTCCGGCTTGTGCTTCGACAAAGTGGCAAGAGAAGCTAGAGGGGAGGATTCAGTACGCAAAATTGCGTTATGGTGGCCAAAGCAAAAACTGACAGAGCTTCCGCTCAACCGGTCCTATGACTTTGCCAAATCGTTCGGCAATCGAGGCACCCAAATCAACAGAGTCCACCGGCGTCAATGACTGATTAATGGCGAGGTATTTCTGAGAAGGGATGTGAGTGTGTGGACAGACTCTCATGTGAGGTCAATCTACCTGCAAAGTGGTTTGGAGCTCCATCGGAGCGCGGCCGATGGCAAGGTCAAACCAGGTGTTCGTACTGCGCTCAAGCTTGCCCAGAATCTCGTCTCGCACTTGATAATCATCGCTGAGCTGAAGCGTTATGTTCGCCCTTTCGGAGTAGAATTCGTAGACTGGATTGTACTGTAAAAATAAACGTCAGCAGCGTAGTAGTCCACGCAGACTTTGCGAACAAACCTCGTCAATCAATTCGTTTTCGCATGAGCGACGTAGAAGAGTTAGAACTTCCAAGATAGCGAAAACCAATGGCGGGTCGCACAGCAGAGACGGGAATGAGACGAGCAGCCGATTGAGATATTGGAACGCAACATCTCGGGCCTTGGCTACACGGTGTGTGCTTCCGACAAGCAGTTTCTGAAGCTCTTTCGATAGAGGTTCTGGCAACACTTGGTTCCTCGCTTGCACGCTTAACTCGAGCTCCGAGCCATCCATAACCTATAAAAACAAAGCAACGAGTGTGAGCTTTCGTCAACGGCTGTAATCTGCAAACTCCTACCCTGATCGCCATTGACTGCATGCAAGTACTCAGCTCGGTCTGCTGATTGACACTGTTGTTGACGAAATACTGCACTAGGGAAGCTGGGCGCCCGGTAGCTGATCGCATGCTCTCGACTTGGTGCATTGTGAGCAAGAGAACGACCTGTGCCGGTGAGAGGTAACGAATCTGCGAAAAATGGTTCGGTAGATACTTCGAGAGCGCGGTACGGTGCCTTGGCGAGTTCTGGGATCACGTCAATGGTAATTAATACACCAGAGCATCGACTGTCTTACCGTTCGCGCATAGTCCTGGCGCAGAACATTGCTATACTCAATGTCACTAGCAAGTGATTCATGGGCTTCCTCCGACACCAGTGCTGGGGCTTTCACAGCTATGCGAGAGAGAGCCGGTCTTCTCCAATCCGTGGCAGAGACACCCTTCTCGTCCGAGGCGTAGAAGTCGAAGAGAGTGCACAAGAACCACATGTCCCGGAATTGGGCAGTCATTTCTGGCGTGGCGGTATTCTCCGGATGATAACCCGTGTGACCGAGGAGAGCATCGATGGGTAACAAGAGCGAGACCAACTGCTCGATCATCTCTTCCACCTTGAATACAACTGCATTAGCTGCGTGTAGATAGATATGAAAAGAGGTGTCACCTTGTTTTGATGAACGGAGGCAGAAATGTTCTGGATCGCCACACCTTTGTCGCGGAATAGCGTCAATAGCTCGAGGAGGTATATGTCGTAGAACTCTGGTCGTTGATGCAATTCTTGAGCGAGCCTGGTCTGCGCCGCGAGGACCTGGGAAGCAAAGGGGCCGGTCAGTGTCATCAACCGTGTGTTATTTCTATGTGACCGACCATATTGTTCGAGAAACGAGGGTCGTCCATGTTTGCGGAAAGGTTGAGTGTAGAGAAAGCCCGAATTATGTCTATGAAGGATTCTTCAGGAGCGGCCAACGCTAAGTCGACGAGATTGTGGGCGATAGCTGCCTCCACTGTAGGTTCTGCTGCACGAAGACGTTGAACGAGCATCGCTATAGTGAGCTTTGTGACCTACATTATCGTGTTCAGCGATGAGAAACTGGCGTGTGACGGGACAGTATGACATACCTCTTCTTCTTTAAAGTCCAAGGCCAACCTTGCCACGACGGATATGGTGCTGATACCGATAAGCCTGCGTTCATCTTCCGTATAAGCACGCAAACCGGTTTCGATCGAGTAGAGCGTGTTGTGGTCTGAGCCGTTCATGCCGCCGTTCAAGGGTCCATTGACATCGTACGTCTCCTTGCTGGTAGCGGCGATATAATTGAGTAGGGAGTATATGTTAGACATAACGAGGTCGTCCCCTGGAGCGAGCTATATCTATGTCAACTAAAGCTGCATGCGAGAATGTAATAAAGCACACCTTCATGCAAAGAGCAAAACATTTAGCAGCTGCGGCGAGAGTGGCTGGGGCGCGCGTTTCGCTGATGAACTCAAACTCGAAGGCGGGAAGAGGAGAGGTGATGAAGCGGCGTAAATGAATGGCCATCGACGATGCATTTTCTGGGAAGCTGGTGGGGTGTTAGCAATGCAGCAGCGGTGGTGTTGTGGAGGCTTACTGTTGTACGAGCACCGTGATAGCCTTCAGGGCAGCAACTTGAACCAGGCTATCCGAGATGGGAGATTCTGTGCTAAGCAGAATTCTGAGGCGGGAGAGTAAGCTATCGTCCAGAGCTCCGAGAGCAACTGCGCAAACAGAAGCAAGTTTCTGAGCGGCGACTGTGAGCCTGGGTCCACCTGTAACAGTCAGAACAAGAACCCACCAGACTCTCCGACATTGTCTCCCAGGCATACGTGTCTAGTGAAGGTTCGGATTCCATTTCTTCAATCTGGACCAATAGTTCCGAGAAACATTGCATGGCCAGGTCTAGTGTCGCCTTGAGTGAAACCTGCACGGCAGAGTCAACCACAGTAGATTCGTCGGCAGTGTGGCGCGTCAGAGCGGACCATGCTTCGTTCGCAGCTGCAGCTTCTACAGGAGCGGATCCGGTACTTCTCGGCGTTGGGCCTGGGGGACAAAGTGTCTGCGATAGAATGGTCCACTGGGCCTCGATGACGCAGCACACGAGAAAGTATCCGTTCAGAGGACGCCCGCGAGAGACATAGCGGGAGATGAGAGTCTGGATGTAGTGGTGGGTATCAATGTCATCGTCGTCGTCAGATTGGAAGACGTCGACGAGAGAGCGATTTAAGTGTTCGATCACGTCTGGGGAGAAGAGAACGTTCATGTGCTGAGAGAGGGTGGTCCAGTCTTGCAGACTCCACGAGAATGGCGTAGAGGTGACGGCACGGTAGAAACCATGAAACGAAGGGGAATAGTGGGTCAAAACGTCGGAGGCTAAGAGACGCATTAGTCTGGCGGCAGCGTGTATATATGGCACTGCATACCGTTCTCATGCTGTATGCGGTGGACAATGATGGAGGTAAAGTTAAGAATGGCCTCCGTTATCGCGTTCCTGTAGTCTTGATAATTATTTGCTAACTGAAGTAGCGCAGATATCGTAGAATAAGCTAGCTGGTCGGGGAGTGACCAATCTGGAATTTCGGTCAGCCTGAGTGTCACCACCGACGTCCAAACGACGCACCGTCCCAGGTTAAGTTATGGTCAAAGTCGATGAATGGTATGTCCCGCAAGATATCCAGGAGTACAGGGACAGCGCTGGGAACAAGGTCATGTGGAAGATTGATGGCCAGTTCGCCAAAGCCAATGTTACACCTCGCCCTTGACGCGGGCTATTAAGAGTGTGAGTGCGAAAGTCAAGGGCGTAGAATTGATAGCGTACCATGAACACTTTCTCAACCGCTTGTGCAGCATTATCGGTAGGTTCGGCATCCGATATCTCGCGCGTCGTCACTTTAGAGGTTATGATATTGATTGAAGAATCGAGACTGGGGTCCGAGCCATGCTCAGAAGAACCGCCGACACTCGCGGCGAGGTCAGTGAGGATGAGTTGGTGAACGTTCAACTCCAAGCTATAACAGAAGGGTTGTCAATTACAGACAGCAGCGTAACGGGTCAAAAAGACAAACAAATCCATCTCAATAGCCCTGCTCGAACTGTTGAGCCGAATGGAAGAGCGTGAAAGACGGCAGCGGTGATGTCAACAAGTCTCTCGAGTGCTCTTCACCCTAAATGGGCAAATTTATCCCACGGTTGCTGTAACCACTTGGTTAGGATGTCGATTAGGATGTCGCGCGTCATGTCAGCCCGTTCTGAAGCTTTATTGACCTCTTAAAAAAGTCAACGATGGTACACGCATCTTGTTTGGTTGATACAAGAGCAAAACGATACGACACCTGCAGGATTTGAACCTGCGCTCCCAGAGGGAAACAGATATTCGGGCCGGAAGATGCCGGAATTTCAAACTCCGCGGCCGTTCGAATCTGTCGCCGTAACCACTTGGCTAAAGTGTCTTATCATCGTCCAGCTAAGCTGGACTACATCCAGAATCTTTCCTGGCCTCACAGCTCTCGAAACCGACCATCCACGCTCGAAACGGCGCACTGAGTGGCTCAGAAGGAACGGAAGATCCGGAAGCGAATACTGTGATTGATCGCATTGTTCCGGGCCAATTTGCCGTCTCGTGTTGGCTTCGCAGTTTGCGAGACCCAAGTATTCAACATGCGACCGCGCCACATAGGCACCCTCGCGCAATGCATACTCTCATAAGTTGTTTGAAAATATGGTCTCATGGCTAAGATGTCTTAAAACTTAGAAGAGTCATGGACCCAAATCGAGTTTTGCACAGAGGTCAGCCAAAAAACCTCATTACTGAGCTGCTAACCTAAGTATGACAAGTATAATGCGGGCAGACTGAAACGGGCAGAGGCAGAGGGGAGATAATTAATCCGACAGGCTCGAAGAGTATAACGGGGCTGTACAGTCAAGAACTATGCGTCGAAACAGAATGATGGGTGAGGCACAGACAAACGGACGAGAGAGACTAAGTGCGAGGGTGAGGCCGGCGACACAGGAACAGACGAAACAGAAACACTGAACAGACAAGCAAAGATCGAACGAGAAAAAGACCGAACAAGGAAAGGACTGAGCGAAGCATAGACAGATATGAGAGAGACCAAGCAGGACAGGGGCAGACGAGAGAGAGACCGTTCGGGACAGAGACAGGCGAAAATGAGAATGGATGAAGCACAGGCAAAAGAAACAGACGGGGTACGTGCAAAAGACCGTTCGAGAACAAGAGAGACGATTGAAGTGTCATGTGAGAGGGGGGACACATATGTGCAAGGGCAGCGAGACGAGGGGGCTGGGAAAACTTCCCCTATACCACCCGCGCCATGTTCATACTAAAGAGCTCGAACCCGCGTTGCATCCAGAGTCCACGTTCACTTCGTCATTGGCTACACCCGAGGCCTAGAGAGAATCAGGAGGATATAGTTGGTGTAGTATGAAAGAACGACAGACCTGTAGACGGTGAGCGCAGTCGCGCTTCCTCTGTTTCGTGCTGGAACGAGCAAGCTCAGCAGCCTAAGACAGAAAGCTGAGCACTCATATGCTTACGAACAACGGGAATGAATATCGCGTACCTCTTCCGTAATAACCACCGAATATATCTCCGGTAAAACATAATCACCTTCCATGCGCCTATAGCTCGCTTTCATGTGGCACTTAGAAGACGATGCGCTGCCCATGATGTGGGCGACAACGTCTCCGGTAAAGCGTTTGTAACAGCCCAGGCATCTCCCTGGAATCCCAACCTGAGTGGAACGAGATGAGAATAGTGTCATGAAGGAAGATTAGAAAACTCGCACCTCGACGTCTGTGTGTGTCGTCTTCGTTTTCTTCGCGTTAGAAGGGGCAGGTGAGGAAACAGAGTCTGGAGGGTCAGGCGAATCCGAGTCGTGCATGCGCTTCTTGCCTTTCGAAACGTGGGAGACCACATCCTTCACCCCACTCTGCCCCTCCGTACCGGTCTCCATACGAGCCAGCGTCATGTCGTCATCGCCATTAACTATCTTCTTGTGGTGGTGAATTCCTTTGAGATTCTCTGCTAGTTTGGCGTAGATGTCTGGCGCGATGGCCTTGACCAGGGCCTCATTCTCCTGGATGGTCGTGCGACGACCGGCGCGGAGAACCATGACAGAAACGTCTGCGGGAGGGGTGAGTCCAAGGAAGGGTGGGCGAAGGGGGAGACCGTCGATGAGGAAAACGAGACGTCCATCTCGTCCTTTTTGACCTTTTCAGAGAGCGGCAGCGGAACAAGGAAGCGACCGGTGTTTGTGCACGGCGGGGCAGTCGTGATTCCATATCGAGAGACGGATGAAACGGCGGCGAGTGGCCGGAAGCGCAAATCGAAATGGATTGGTGATTTTGGGAATGTGATTGGGTGTGCAAGACGAGTGATCCGCTTGGTGGACACGCCTGGATGGCGAACGCGAAGGAATGGGCGATGTGTTTGCTCGTTTGGGAAGCCGTCCACATTAGGAGCGACATGGCTGTGTCGACACAGACGAACGCATGTAACGGCGTATCTTTTCACGACTTATTGGAGGCCCAAAAACGTACTGACTCAAGCGACAGACAGGAAACTGAGGCCGAGAGTCGACGGAACTACAGATTGGAGACTGGAAAGGGAGGCACTGATACAGAGTGAGGGCAGCACCTACAAAAGTCGGGTGGACGTGCCGAGCGGGGTAGGGATGCCAGTCGAAGTGTCGTGGATTCGCAGCGCATCAAAGAACGCTCAATCGGGGAAACATGTTTGCTCGTTTAGGAAGTCGTTGACAACCAAGCTGGGAGCAACGTGGTCGAGAAGAGCGACGGCGTATCTTCTGGCTACAAATGGACATTTCATTAGATGGAGGCTCCCAAGCGCAAACAACATGCGTTGGCAGGCGTTGGCTTGACCTGGAAGCGCGAGCAACGAAGGAGAGAGAGTGAACGTGAAAAAGATATCGCGTTGTTGTGTGAGAGCAAAGGATGCGCCGAGTGAGGAGGATGCACAGGCAAGCGCGTCAACCAGAGTGTTTACTGCGAGCAGCATGGTGCATCGAAAAGAGAGACGCTGTTGCCGACTGAGTATTGACACTGACAACAGGAGTACGACGACGAGAGTTGGGAAGAAGTGTAGTGTGGCGATGTGGCCCAAGAAGCGTGCACCTGATTGAAGTCGCGAAACATGTGATCGTATTCCTAGACGCGCGCCTTTTCAAGTTCACGCCTCTCTCAGCTTCCACTTCATCTGCTCATCAATCGGAAACCATCATCATACCCTCTGTATTTTGCCTGTCTTGTAACATCGAATCTTGCTGTATATCATATGTCCTCTCCGTTCGAGCAAAGTGCTTTCCAGTCTAGCCCCGCGATCGAGGAGATGCTCGGTTTCCCAGGCTCTGGGGACGGATCAGACCCAGCCAAATGTCCTCACATCATGTCGGCATTATCAGACGAGGGAGAGAGGGGTATGTTGGTGAAGAAGTACAAGGCCGCGGTTGCGTGGAGTGCAAGGAGATCTCACGACGCGGTGCATTCGGCGAAGAGGAGGAAGGTGCGCACTACCGTTCACGCGCCGTGGATGTCAGTAGCTAATATGTCTTCAGCTGTCAAGCCCAGAGTGCGGAACCTGTGGCATAGTAATGCACAGACCTTTCGTTTGCCTTTCATGTGGATATGCTGGGTGTTGGAACGGAGAGCATGCAACCGAACATCTCGCCGACGAGGGCCACCCATTCTGTGACTACTTTCTGCTCCTCGCGTTGTATATAGGTGCTCATACACTCGCAGGTGTGGATGTGAAACTCGGCTCCGTATTCTGCTCCGAGTGTGACGACTTTGTCTACGACGGGACTTTCGACGGAATCTTCCACACCACAGTGCTGGACGTTGAAGAGAAGACGACCAAGTTCCAAGGTGATTAGATTCGTATTATCGTCGAATTAGAGCAGAGTGAATCTAAACCATTGCCATATAGTTGCAAAACGGAGACGTGAAGCATACCACTCATGGACTCCATCTTCGATCGATACTGCCGCTCTCGAAGAGACGGCCAATTTACCATGTCAAGGTATATATATCTGAACGGTTGAGCATGCCGCACTCTCGACTAACACTCCGAGCAGGTCGTAGGGGATTGCTCAACCTGGGTCAAACATGTTTCCTGAATGTGATACTTCAGTCTATCGCCCACAACCCTCTTCTGCGGAACTACTTCCTCAGCGACAAGCACAACTCCAAACTATGCAAAGCTAAGAATTGCACATGTTGTGAGATGGACAACCTATTCACTGAAGTACAGCTTCAATCCCTCTAAGTGATCCTCCGACTGATTGATCTCGTCTATCACAGATCTATACCCCTTCCGCTACACCTTATGGCCCGGCATCCCTCCTCAGTACAACTTGGCGCGTCTCCGCTGACATTTCCGGGTACGCCCAACAAGACGCCCATGAATGCTTCATCGCCCTCCTCACCGCCATACACGAGACTTCCCGCGGACGGACAAACGTCTCATGCAACTGCGTCGTTCACAATACCTTCGCAGGCCAGCTGCAAAGTGACGTTAAGTGCGAGAGATGCGGGAACGTGACTTCCACATTAGACCCGTGTTTGGATGTGAATTTGACCTTAGAGGGTGGGAAGCCGAATACTTTGGATGGGTGTTTGAAGAGGTGGGCATTTCTGGACGTGAAGGAAATATATGAATGATGCGACGGAACTGCAGATTTACGACACCGGAGAGACTGGGATCGAAGGAATATACCTGTCAGAAGTGCACGGGGAAGCAAACAAACGTACGTTTAATCAGCGTATTCCGTTGCCTCTTACATTCAGCTGATCATTTCCCAGGGAGAAGCAAGCAAACGTCTATCCATCAAGAAACTTCCTCCCGTCTTGTCTTTCCAATTCAAGGTGTGTGATATGGTGTGTTTCGTTATGAATCACAAGCTGAATCCATGTCATCAGCGCTTCGAACACAAGTCCCAGGATCGCCTCTCAGCGCAGAAGATCGATGCTCCTGTTCGCGTCCCAGCATCCATCAACATGGCACCATACACTACACTGGCTCTGTCTTCGGCTGCGTCTCCCGTCAATGGTGCGGCCAACGGGGCGGGTAAAGTCAAGGTGAAGATTCAGCCGGAAGACGTGCTGAGCCAATTTTCGTGAGTTTTCTTCGAGGCTGGTGAAAGTGCGTTAAACCTGATGACGCCGACAGGTACCCTGGACCAGAGGCTATGTACGAGTACGACCTTTTTGCAGTGATCAACCACGAAGGGCAGATCGACAACGGACATTATACCAATTTTGCACGGTTCCGTGACGAGGTGTGTTAGTTCTGCGTGAACTCCCTTACATTAGCTCACCCTCGCCTTTTCGCGAATCAAAAAGTGGTATCGCTTCGACGATGACAAGTGAGTGTTTTTTCTACCTTGCCTTTGTTTATATCATTCGACTGACTACTTTACTTTGATAGAGTGTACCCTTCCACACTTCCCAACGTACTTAATCCGCCCGCACCTGTATACATGGCCTTCTATGTCAAACGCAGGCTGGATTACAAGCCCGACATGACGCCAACCTATATTCTTGCTCGTGAGACCGAGGCTCAGAAAGAGAGGGAGCGGGAGAAGCTGGAGAAGGAGCGAAAGGACAGGGGAGCGATTGCTGGTCCGAGTGCGCTTGGGGGTAATAATGGAATCACAGGCGGAGGCCATGCGGAGAAGGGATTGGTAGGAAGAGTTGGGGGTAATGGCGGGGCACAGAAAGGGACGAAGGGGGTGAAGGGGTTAGGTGAGGTGGGCGGCGGTGGTGGTGGCGACGAGAGCGCACAGAGAGAGCGTGAAGAGAGGGAGCGTGAAGAGCGCGAGCGTGAGGAGAGGGAAAGGGAGAGGGAGGAGAGGGAAAGAGAAGAGAGGGAAGAAAGGGAAAGAGAAGAGAGGGAGCAGGAAGAGAGGGAGAGAGAAGAGAGAGAGAAGGAGGTAGAAGATGAGCTTTTGGGTATGTTGTAGACGACAACTGCTATGGTGTGAGATATGATATTGGTGCTGCTGTTTACTATTAGGCGTGGTGAAGACCCCGGAAGATGTTATCATAAGGCAGGAGTTACGCACGGGCGGCCATCTGCAAGGTGGCAGCAAGTCGAGTGGCCCGCTACGCTGACAGCGGACGGTGCCACCGTGACGCATAGATTTGTCAACACCTTCTGAATTCAACAAACCACAACAAGCGTACGTTGAAACATTAATTACAGTTATTTTGGCGAACGTCCTTGTGCGTGCATCCAATAAAGTCTGGCCTCTAGGTCAGCGATTTTTTCCTTCTTCCAGTATCTCTCTATGCAAGTAGTATAACTGATCACTAGAGTTCTCCTTTCCCTTTCAATGGTTCAACAATGAATAGAATATTTTCCCTCAGGCCTAGCGTTTCTCTCCATTTGCCAGTGAAGCATAATCTCCGGCCCTCTCAACCAATCATGCCCAAAGCCAGCACGTCCTCCGCCTCTCTGCCTATCTCCGGTCTCTTTGGTCTTAATAAGCCATCGGGTCCTACATCCATGCACATCGTGAATCAGCTGAAAATTGTCATGTCGAGATCACCGCTCTTCTTCGAGCCGGAGAAGGTGGAAGCGGGGAAAGGCAAACAGAAGGGCAGGAGGAGGCGTGGAAAGGATATGTTGAAGATTGGCCAGGGAGGGACGCTCGATCCTTTAGCGGATGGTGTGCTCGGTAAGGACTTTGTCGCAATCAACGGGATGCTTTTGATTGAGACCGATTGTTTGTCGCGCTATGTAGTCATCGGGGTAGGTAAAGCGACTAAGAAATTGAATGATTTCTTGGATTGTGCGAAGGTACGTATACCTGACTTGATTCTACGCTACTCCCTCATGGGTTCGCGACCATCAGCTAAACATCATTATAGGAGTATACCGCAACTTGCTTGTTAGGTTGTGAGACTGACTCGTACGATAGTGAAGGCGTACGGGTTCGTACTGCGCCTTGGCGACATGTGACCAAGGAAGCCGTAGAGCAGACCTTATCGCAATTTACTGGAGAGATCGAACAGACACCCCCAATGTATGTCCGTCACTCAATTGAGTCTGGGTGTTGCTGACATCCTTCGGCGACTGTCTGTTTGCAGCTTCTCCGCCCTGAAAATGGATGGGATGCCATTGTACGATTATGCACGTAAAGGCATTCCGCTTCCTCGCCCCATCGAGAAACGCAAAATCACAGTCCACTCTCTGGAGTTGATCGAATGGAAAGGCCAAGACCATCCTTACCGCTGGCCCGAGAAGAAGTTCACAGGCGAACAGCAAAAGGCCCTGGAAAAGATGCTTTCCGGCGTTAAGAAGGAGGTCAAAGTCGAGGACCAGGGCGAAGACGTAGGAGAGAACGAAGTTCCGAACGCTTTTGTGTTGAAGATGAAGGTCTCCGGTGGTACGTATGTCAGATCCATCGTGCACGATTTGGGTCACGCCCTAGGCTCGGCGGGCCACGTCGTCACCCTCACCCGTTTGAGGCAGAAGAACTATGTGTTGGACGGAGCAACGCCGGAAGAGGGCGACCATAAGTGTGTGGAGTGGGAGATAATTGAGAAAGCGTTGGACGATGAAGGCGAACGCGACGCAGATGGAAGGACACTGTGGGAGAGAGAAGTTCTAGATAAAATCGCAGTAGTAGAAAGTAACGAAGCGAAGAATTAGAAGTCTTGAGTGTGCGTATTCATTCCGTGATATGACTCGGAGATGCACCTCGATGTGTCCTCTGCTGTGAGCTCACCAGGAGTTTACTCCACCCCATTGCCTAGCAGATTCGTTGGCAGGCTCGCGGCGAACCGCCCTTTCTTGGAGTTACGAATCGCCGATCCTCGCAGCGCACTTATGTCTAGACCCTATATGCGATCCTACGACACTACCGGTCCACATCCGAATGCTGAACTCCGTCCTGCCCTGTCTAGCTTTGTTACACAATCAATTCAGCCTATGCAGCCATTTATGAACGCGAAACTATACCCTCCGCCTTGCTTGGAGTGGCAATTGGCAGCTGCTTCTGGTACTGCCTATGTACGAAACCGCTCTCGTAGTATAAAGCCATGGCTAACCCCGCGATGGGCGCCAATGCACCTCTTCGTAGACAGGTTCATCGAGGAAACCTCGGTAGCTCATCATCGTGAACTATGTTCGGACAATCTACCTGTTCGGCACTTAAACATTCTTCCTCTCGTCGTCTGTCCCGCTTTCTTGATGTGCTCCAGACATACGGAATTTATTCAGCGCGTTGGGGTCAGCGGGCTTGCTTTATGGTTTAGCCTGTTCCCAAACTTATTTCTATTTCTTGTACAGTGGGCAGTTTTCCCGTTATCTTCTCTTGACATTTCCTTGGTGGCGCCACTCTACGTGCCCTTGAAGCTGTATATCGTCTCGTATAGACCTCGGTCTCTCCAAGGATATTTTCCGCCAGCATCTCACCTGATCATGTGCGTTAGACCAGCATCGAAGCTTTCCAAAGTGTCCAGCTCGTTCAATCATCATGTCTATACGTGGACTTTTTGTCTTGTGCGTACTCTTCTCAGCGAAGTCACGGGCATGCACTACGCCCTGACTCTGTTGTGTCATGACCAGTTCCTTGAGGTCCATGTCCAAGGTATTACATGTTTGACGCATCTTCTCAAGAGATCTTCAATCTTTGAGTAGAACGCAATTGATGTCTTCCTCCCATAGGACTACGTACACGAGACAATCCTGTGAGAAACCTTCCTATCTGCAGGCCTTTTCGCCCTGTGTATTTGCTCTCCCAGACTCGTCACTCGACAAGGACACAATCTGTGGTGGTTAGTTCACGTCTGACCCCCGATTAGTCAGTTCATATTCATAGCCCGCCCCGGAGGAGGACACGCGTTCCTGAAGAGTCACATAGTCCGGAGGTAACGTCCATCGGAGCCCTTCAACCTTTTGTTTGCCTTCCTCCTTCTCGTGCGGGGGCCGTCTGTGCGTTTGTCCGAACGAGCGGTAATGTCTGCAGATGACGTGGTTATAGAACGTCACGTTGCGAACTTCTGCCCCTCTGGGGTTCATGTACGCTCCTCAAACCCTCAAAGATACATGATAACTACCTCTTTGCGGCGTCATATGTTTCCTTCGCATGAAGACTACAAATTAACTCGTAGGACCATCTCATGGACCGGCGCCATCCGCGCCCATGTGAGAGGTCTGTATAGACACTGCGCGTTCCAAACTTGGCAGTTGTGGTTGGAGGAAACGAATACTGTTTCTGTTGCCCTTGATAGAGCGAGTACAACGACTCGATAACGGTGGTGGATAGATCGTCGTACGACGACGATTGCGCATCTGCAAGCCCATGGTAGAAGTGTCCATGAACCAACCTTTAGTCTGAACCTAAAGAAGAGATACGTCGGCTCTGGCAGCCGGGGAGGGCCGCCACACATGAGGTGATGGCGGGCCGCCGGACCGATTCCAGGGCCTCGTCATCGGACCGAGCTGAACCGTATCTATCCCAAACGCTACTATAAAGATGGCTATGCTCGGGTTCAGAGTTCTGTCTCCCTTTCCTTCCTCACCGATATCTCCCAATCGAAATCATTGCAATGGCCGTCAACGGTACCAACGGTGTTCACCCTTCCCGTCCGCTAAAGGCCGGTATCTACGCACCCATCCCTACTTTCTTCCTCCCAGAGAGTGAAGACCTCGGTGTGTGGTGTTTCAGTCTCGTAGTCTTGATATGTTTGTTGAACTATTATCATCAGATGTCCCTTCATTCGAGAAACATATTTTGAAGCTTGCCGAGGCCGGAGTCGGGCCCCTCTTAGCTGGGTCGATGGGCGAGGCTCTGCATCTATCGCACGATGAGAGGTTGGTGCTCGTCAAGGCTGCCCGCAAGGTATTGGACGGTGCTGGGTTCACTGAGGTACCGATCATCGCCGGTACAGGGGCAGGGAGCACGAGAGAAACCATCCAGTTATGCCACGAAGCAGCAGCGGCCGGCGTGGACTATGCTATCGTCATTACCAGCGGGTACTACGCCGGTGCACTGGCAAATAACAAGAAGGCTCTCAAGGATTTCTTTGTTGAGGTATCTGAGAAGAGTCCTATACCCATCATGCTCTATAACTGTGAGTTTAATTACTTCACAGGGACGACGTGCGGTCATCTAACCTTCACGTTAATGTGCTTCCCTCCTTCCTCCCTTTCCCCAGACCCCGGAGCAAGTGGAGGCATTGACTTGGACTCCGACCTTATTACGGAGATCGCGACCGAATGCCCGAATACGTGTGGAGTGAAGCTCACGTATGTAGTCCTCATGCTGTTAATCGATGCTCCCGCGCGTTACACCGAGGTTGACTCTTCACTATTCCATAGGTGCGGCAATGTTGGAAAGCTCACACGTGTATGTGCTACGGTTTCGCAACCTTCATTCGCGTCTGCCCACCCACGCAAGAACTCGACCGCGCCTTTCTTGGTGCTTGGCGGTTTTATCGATTTCCTGGTCCCCTCCACGTTCGCGAATGGCCACGGGGCCATCACAGGACTGGCAAACCTCGCCCCAGTACGTTCTCAATCGGCGCACATCATATGAGCGCATGTCGACTCATTTCTGATTTGATTTCAGTACGCGATCGTGAAACTCTTCAACCTTTCGCTAGCAGCGGTCACAGATCCCTCTCAGCTTCCCGAGGCTCAAAGGTACCAGGGCGTCATCGCTCGCGCCGACTACACCATAGCGAAGTATTCCATCGCCGGTACGAAGTTCCTTCTGGAGAAGGTGTACGGTTATGGTGGTGTTCCCCGGAAGCCGCTCCCACCCACCGATCCCAAAGTGGCTGAGGCTCTCTGGAGTCATGCGGATGTAGAGGCGCTCATTCAGCTGGAGCGGGAAGCTGGCGGGAAGCTGGCACACTGATGGAAATCCATTCGTTGGCCGTCGTCTTTCGCTTCACGCTTTCATGATCTTCTAGAATGCTTTTATCTATCATCTATTGTGACTATACGCTGCACCCTGCCCGCCCCTGCCGCGCTCTTTTTTATGACCTTACAGAAGCTTCCGCTTTCCGCTTTACTGTGCCTAGTGAGCGGACACGAAAGCTCTACACAAGAGAAGATATGAAACTGGTCCTATTTTTGTCATTCAACGTGTACATCATCGTAGCTACATCCCCAGCTTTGAGGTCGATCAGACCTCGGGCATGATTAGAATAGTGCTTAGCCCTGGTCCGTGATGGGTCCGATGTATGACCGTACACACCTTTTCAACATGCGTGCCCTGTCGTAATTTGGTTGTTTAGTGATTTTTTTCTCTGTGCTCACGCGCTCGCATCCCACAAACCCTGTTGGCGTACGATTCACGAGGAAAGGTTAACACATACCAAGGCACACCCACTGCTCCGGATTGAGTGCGGGAAACGATTGCACATGAGCACGTATGCTCTAGCGCTCTATCGACGTACTTGGGGGCACTTGCAGGTAAGCATGATACTTTTCTAGATCGTTGCTCCGCTGAATCGACCATGTAGCGTAATCTAGTGATTCTGGGTACGTATGTAGTAGGAGGCAAGTCGCCGCTTTGGGCATCGTCACTTGATTCTATGATCCTGACGTACCTTGCAGATAAAGCATGGGTAGCGGTACCAGCTGACTTGAGCGACACTTCGACACCTCTGAGTGTTCCAGCGATTTAACGGCTCATATATTCGTTTCGCGAGTAGGGCAACTGAGTGTTTCGATGCAGCTCCGACGAGATTCAGACAAGGTGAACATTCCGTGTGGGGAAAAAGGGGTGATCGACAGAGGCCACGCCAATCGACCGGTCAAAATGCGGGGTAACAGAATTAGATCTGTAGCCGACGCGATGGTCACAAGCGCGTTCCCGAACTCTCATCAGAACTCAGGCCGGTCCATCCTCCCGCCTTCCTCTTATTCTTGGACCACAACGACAGTTGCTGGCGCATCGCTGTCGTAACAGCATTGCAGCCCTCTACCCATCGACACTATGTCGTCGCTTTCGGCGGTGAAATGGGATTGTCGTTTACTGTGGAGGTCGAAAATCGCGGTGTGCGCCACTTCTGTGCATGAGAAGGGTGAGCGTTGTCCTACAAAGAAATGATCATGGACTGATGTTGGGTGCGCAGGACCGTTGCTTTCTCGCTTCTTTCACTGCTCGCGACGAGCTTTCGACGAGGCTCAGCAGACTGCATCTACAGAGGCTGACTCCAGTGAGTTATGACTCGTCCGCTCGAATATCGAACGTCGGCCGACTCGCTTGAACCTTTGCGCAGGCGTCCCGTACTCCTCACTCGTCGTCGGGACCCCTCGAGAAATATATCCGAACGAACGTCGAGTATCCTTGACTCCTCAGAATGTCTCTCTGCTCCTTAAAAAGGGTTTCTCCAAGGTGTTGGTCGAGCACGATGCCGGAGCGCAGGCCCAATTCCTCAACGAAGACTACGAAAAAGCCGGCGCCACACTTGTGTCCAGAGAAGATGTTTTGAAGACATCAGATATATTGCTCAAGGTCCGGCCACCACTTCTGGGTAAAGAGGCAGAGTACGTCAGAGACGGGAGCACCTTGATTTCTTTCATATACCCCAGGCAGAACAAGGAAACCGTGGAGGCGCTGTCGCAAAGAGGTGTTAATGCATTGGCGATGGATATGATACCCCGGATCTCTAGAGCTCAGACGTTTGATGCTTTAAGGTATGCTCTTTCTTCGTATCACTCACTCAAGGTTGATGCTCAAAGAGGTGACATCGTAGTTCAATGGCCAACATTGCTGGGTACAAGGCCGTATTGGAAGCTTCTAATCACTTCGGTCGATATATGACTGGACAAGTTACTGCTGCTGGGTAATACCCCTTTCTCTCTCTACTTCCAAGTACTCTACTGATATATAACTTCTGGACTACAGGAAGGTTAGTCGAGCTTTTAACCCATAGTCATGGCTTTGGTTGATGTGGCGCTAACGCCACACGCCACATTAATAGATTCCTCCATGCAAAGTTCTTGTCATTGGTGCAGGAGTGGCAGGTAAGACTATTTTTACCAAATCCTCCGATGATGGCCATTCAACATATTATTTGCAGGCCTTAGCGCTATTGCTACAGCTCGACGTCTAGGTGCCATCGTTCGTGGTTTCGATACCCGGTCTGCCGCTCGTGAACAGGTTCAGTCACTTGGTGCTGAGTTTATCGAGGTCTCCATCAAGGAGGAAGGTGGCGCAGCAGGTGGCTACGCGAAGGAAATGTCTAAAGAGTTTCATGATGCAGAGATGGCACTCTTCATGGAGCAAGCTAAGGATGTAGACATCATCATCACTACGGTTCGTTCTATAACCTATCTAATCAGCATTCATGGCATCTGAGAATATCGGTCTACAGGCTTTAATCCCTGGTAAACCGGCTCCAAAGCTTATCACTAACGAAGTAAGTTACGCGGTTGATTCGCATTTGTCTGCGGATGCTTAACTTTGGTCTAGATGGTGGCGGCCATGAAGCATGGTTCGGTCATTGTCGATTTGGCAGCAGAGGCTGGTGGGAACTGCGAAGCAACAAGGCCGGGCGAACTTCACGTCCATCGAGGAGTGACCGTCATCGGTAGGTCTTGCGGCCTTAGTTCCCATTCGACTGAGCCTAATATTCACAATTACAGGCTATACTGACCTTCCTTCACGGCTACCAACTCAGTCCTCGACCCTCTACTCGAATAACATCACCAAGTTCCTGCTTTCCATGACACCTCCAAATACACCCTCTCGCTTCACTATTGACCTTTCCGACGAAGTCGTTCGCGGTGCCACAGTTCTCCTCCATGGATCACTCCTCGAGCCTGCACCACGCGCGCCAGCCGTCGCGTCTGTTCCCCCGCCCACGACATCCAAAGCCGACGAGAAGAAGACAGAGAGTCTCGCCCTCACGCCATGGCAGAAGGCTTCAAGGGAAGTTGCAACGGTGACGGCGGGTATGGGTGGAGTTGTGGCACTGGGAAAGCTTACTGGCCCGCTCTTCATGAGCAACTTCTTTACGTTCGGGCTGGCGGGTCTGATCGGGTATAGAGTTGTATGGGGCGTGGCACCTGCATTGCATTCACCTCTGTATGTCTGTCTTCATCCTTTGTGGGTTTTTGTTGGTCATACTAAACGGAGTGGGTTTTGATAGAATGTCCGTCACCAATGCCATCTCAGGTATGGTCGGAGTGGGAGGCCTGTTCGTGATGGGTGGAGGCTATTTCCCGCAGACTATTCCACAAGTTCTGGGTGCTCTATCGGTTCTGCTTGCTAGCGTCAACGTTTCAGGAGGGTTCGTGATCACAAAGCGCATGTTGGATATGTTCAAACGTCTGTGTCACTCCTCCGGTGCACACCATAATAAAGAACTAACTCCGTATCGCACAGGTCGAGGAGATCCACCAGAGTACGCGTGGCTGTATGGTGTTCCTGCTGTTGTCTTCACCGGTGCTTTCCTGCTTGCTGCCCAGACAGGGATGGCTGGCCTGGTGCAAGCGGGATATTTGACCAGCAGCATACTCTGCATAGGTATGTTTTTTCACCATGAAATCGAGACTTCGTATTCACCGCTCGGTCCCCATCAGGTTCCCTCTCTGGTCTTGCCTCTCAGGCCACAGCTCGTCAGGGCAATCTTCTCGGCATCTTAGGTGTTGGCTCAGGAATTCTTGCATCCTTGGCCGCCGTCGGCTTCCCGACCGAAGTTCTCATCCAGTTTGCTACTATAGCGGGAATTGGAGGTGCTTTCGGTGGGATTTTGGGGAGGAGGATCACGGCGACGGAGCTGCCGCAGATGGTCGCCGCCTTGCACAGTAGTGTGGGTTTGGCCGCGGTGTTGACGAGTATTGGTAGCGTATTGGCAGCTGGAGGGGACCACCTAACGACCTTGCATTTGGTCACAGCATATCTTGGGGTGCTCATCGGTGCGTTCTCCCCCCCGATATCTGCGCCCAAATACTAAGCTGGGAGGTGTTCAGGTGGTGTCACGTTCACGGGATCCATTGTGGCATTCATGAAGCTGGCTGGAAAGATGGCGTCCAAACCACTTGTGTTGCCCGCTCGTCACTTCGTCAATGGCTCCCTCCTGGCCGCCAACGCTGCCAGTTTGACAGGTTTCCTGATGATGGCTCCCTCTGCACCGCTGGTAGCTGCGGGATATCTGGGCGTAAACACGGTTCTTTCGTTCATCAAGGGATACACGCTCACAGCCGCCGTTGGAGGTGCAGATATGCGTGAGTATTTTATCGAAGGCGAAGGTCACAGTATCTGGACTGACCTCATATTACTATACAATAGCTGTGGTTATTACGGTGTTGAATGCGTATTCGGGTTTCGCATTAGTTGCGGAAGGTACGACCTCATCTTCTTGCATTTTTCTTGAGGTTCCCCGACTGACCGACTGAACACAGGCTTCATGCTTGACAATCCATTGCTAACGACGGTCGGCTCCCTCATCGGCGTCAGCGGTTCTATTTTGTCGTATATCATGGCAAGTCGCTAGTCCTAATGGTTAGCGTCTCATCGACTAACCAATGTCCCACTTCCAGTGTGTCGCAATGAATCGGTCACTTACAAACGTCCTGTTCGGAGGAGCAGCACCTGCCGCAGCGCCTTCGGATTATAAGATCGAGGGTAAGATTACCCAGACGAACGTGGACGAGGCGGCGGAAGCGCTGGCTGGTGCAGATAGTGTCATATTGGTACGCATTGTACTCTTGATGGCTCATCGTCCATCTAATGCTACCTGAGTCTGACGGGTTGGCCTGTAGGTGGTAGGCTATGGTATGGCCGTAGCGAAAGCACAATACGCCATCTCCGAAATAACGTCAATGTTGCGCGCAAAGGGAATCAACGTCCGGTTCGCTATTCACCCTGTCGCTGGTCGCATGCCCGGACAGTGTAACGTCCTGCTCGCGGAGGCTTCTGTTCCATACGACAGTAAGTCTATTTGCCCCCTCCCCATGTAATCTCCAAAAATGATCTCACTGTTTCTTCCTTGTGACGCCTGACATTTCCCATTACACCCAATTCAACAGTTGTCCTCGAAATGGACGAGATCAATGACGACTTCTCCGACACCGACGTGACGCTCGTTATCGGCGCGAACGATACCGTGAACCCTATCGCGCTCGAGCCCGGGAGCTCCATCGCCGGCATGCCAGTGCTTCATGCATGGAAGAGTAAGCAGGTGATCGTGATGAAGAGGGGCATGAGTAGTGGTTATGGTCAGTCTTTCTCTTTTCTACCCACGTCCGCCGTTCGATTCCCTCGAGAAGAAATGTGCTAATGTTCTTTCTTCGGACGTGTGTGTGCAGCGGACGTACCGAACCCGATGTTCTACATGCCGGGTACGAAGATGTTGTTTGGAGATGCTAAGGATACGTGTGAAGGTGCGTCTCGAGTCCACATTCTACTTCTACTGCTCCACCTCTGATTCGATCTCGCTGCGCATTCCTCTGAATAGCTCTGAAACGGAGCCTGGAGTCGAAAGTGGCGCCTTGATTATACATGTGTAAGAGGAAGGATGGGAGGATGGGAAGATGGAGATTCGAGTGGGGCTTTTGGAGCCCGAAGTCGCCATGTAAGAGTGGAGGGAGCCTCAAGGCGGACATTGATTCACTTGTGGCATGCTCGCGGGGCAGGCTGCTCATGTGGTAATAAAGCGATGTATTTCTCCGAATATTGAATTTGCTGTGTACTCACATATGTCCTTTGCTTGCAATACATTTCTTGCTGTACTCTTCATTCATCATCGATAAATAAATAATATCCAGCAATTCTATTCTCGCTGTGTCAGATTATGGCACCGTGGATCACAGTGTACACCACTGCTTATGGCGAATCGACAAAGGCATCAAACATGCCCTCTGGAGATACCAATCCGCATCAAGGAACAGTTGTGGGTTCCTTACCAGCCAATCTTTGATTCCGTGCAAGCAACATCCCGATCGACATGCATCATTGACGCCACCAACACCGATCCACCATCCACCATCATACATCAACGAGAACCTTCAGCGAGGAGCGCAAGCCCATCATCTAGAAAAATGTCACTGTTCATTTATTCTCCTTCCCTCCCAAATAAACCCATGGTAATAAACTGAGCACCCCATACTGTACGATATACTATTAAGCGTTCCCTTTGGACCTGGTTGAACCTTCTTCTGGACCAACGACCAGGAATAAGACACAGCATGACATGACATCACGAATAAATAAGACCTCCAGATAGAAAAAAAAAACAAAGACAAGTGGGGGAGTACAAATACCCAGATGGGTAAGAGATGAAGTAACAAGCTGGTCGTCCAGTGAGCGAGCGAATACAACCACAACGTCTTGTGCGTTACATACAGGACTATCTTGATAGTGATCAGCCCGGAAAGACAGAGGTGGCCTTCCTCAGACCTCTGGAAGCCCGGCATACTGGCTACGATTCGGCTGTAAGTCTTTGTTATACGTGTTGGTTGTGGTGTGAATCGTTGGCGACGATGGCGAAGGCGTTGTAGGGAACGTGCTGGGGTCCGAGGGATTCTGATACACCGATAAACGTTAGCGAGTTCGTGTGACCTTCCACCGTCCAACTACGGCACAATACCAAAAAAAACACGTACATAATACTTCCTGGGCGTCTCACTCATCCCTGGCAAGCTCTGATCCCACTGACCTGCCGCACTTCCAAACCCAGGCGAAGCCGTACTATCTATCCCAAACCCACCCCCTCCGCCGCCACCGCTCCCGTTCCCAGCCCCAGTATACATTGCCGATGGCGGCACCCTCGAATTTCTCCTCCTTATCAGGAAGAAAGCGATAAGTCCAGCTATGGCAGCGACGCCTACGACTCCACCTACGACTCCGCCTGCGATGGCACCGGCGTGTGATGAGGAACCGGACGAGGAAGAGGAACCGGTGTTGGCAGGTGAGCCTGAACCGGTTGAGGTGCTAGAGGCATCGGTCAGGGAGGCGGGGAATGTGGATTGGCCGGTTGTGGAGGGGTTGATGGTGGTTGCGCCTCCGGTAGCGGAGGATTCTGCGCCACCTGCATGGCGGGGAAAGAAGAGACACGGTGAGATTTTCACGAGTTGAGAAGGAGTCTATGATTTTTGCAGATGGGGATTCAGACATACCGATCGCTGCAAAGGCGGATGTGTTATCCCATGAGTCGAGGCCCTGTCGTGAGAAGGTCAACATCATACTTTTCACAGTCGACGATAGTGGAGGATATACGCACTGAGACGTTCAAGTAAGCCCAGTGAGGTACCCTTGTTCCGCTTGGAATTGTTAGGCCAGATGGAAGCCTGTTTGGGTGGCGCAATGTCAACAATGTACTTGATCATCACCAAAAACATCAGTCAGTCAGCTCACGTTCCCTCAGAGGCAATTGCAGTGCAGTTGTGGTTGTACTCCGAATATCTGTGTGTGTAATTGATGGAAGCATGAGCATTACGGGAAGGCATATAGCTGTCAGAGACATGTACGCACGAAAGCCAGACAGCCCCCTGACAAGCGTCGCATGCGCTGATCAAGGAGTAGACGACGGAGTTGCACATGCAGATATCGCCTGCTTGAGCTTGACTTGGCCCTGTGTAGAAGCTGCCCGGGGTGAGCGGTGGGAGACTGAATGCTGAATACCGAAGTCGCGGTGAGCCTCTGGACTGATAGCTCAAGCACTATGTCACTTACAACCACTGCTACAGACAGCTTCGAGGTAGACGGCCATCGTGCATGGCCCCTGGTTTAGCGAGTTAAACGTCTGCAAAGATTTCCACCAGATATTTGCCAGATGAGAAGATCAGATTAACCAACGCTGAACCCGAGGAAATGGAAAACTCATACGAACCCACTCGTACGACGCGTCGGTGCAGTTCGGTGCGCTCAGCTGAGCCACTGCCGTCGGGATTACCCTTAATAGGCCAACGAGGGCAAGGCAGACTGAAGAGAGCACTCTCACTTGGAACATGGTGGTGGAGCGGGAAGGGGGAAAACGGCCTGCCTTAGCGCCCTCGAGAAAGATCGAGGCGTGGTTTATAAGAGCAAGAAGGGTGTCGGCGGAAGGCAGACGGCGTCGGAGTGTGCATCATGCCTGTTCGAGAGCAGTGGCGACTCGCATGCCGGACGATGCTGTACACTGCCCTTGTCCTGCCCTGATCGTTTTTCAGCAAGGCGGATGATAGCCGAACATACACATCCATTTGTCAACTCTCGACGCCGTCCTCTGCACCTACTTACATGTATCTTTCTGGATTTATGATTTTCGAGTTTGTGTGTGGTCAAAATGGCAAGGAAGTGGTGCACAGACCAATATAAGTGATCCGGTGCATCGAAATACGAGGTCTGGTGGCATGGTTAGAAGCAAGAAGCCACCAACTGCTGCCAGAACGAACGAGAATAGATCACCTTCCCGCACTTTGGCGCCCAAACTAAGCGCCCACTGATGCTGGGGGCCACGTGTTTGGCGCCACATTATATGTGCTTTTGTGCACGTCTGCTCGCGTCCCGCGTCTCTGTTCCTCACTTGCACGAGCGGCGTGTCGGCTTGCGAGTACATTGTTCAACACAATTTACCAGATGACTTCGTCGTCGATACCGTTCACAAAACTCTCATCTCTTCCGTCATATAGCAAGACATCACCGTCACGGCTGCAAGCGCTCTACGCTGATATCTCCCGACAAAAGACTTCGAACCCGACCGCCTTCCAGTCTAATGTTTCTTGGTGGCGTGCTACTCTCGACGCCATAGTCTCCAATGGCTGGCAGTCTTCTACTCCAGATAAACTTGTCTTGAAAGCAGACCGGAGCTTGCCTGAGTCCTTGCGATACGAGGGCACGGGGAAACCGCTTTGTCTCGCTACCGTCGTCGTGAGTTCCTTATGGTCCTAGACCGGTCATCTCGTTTGAACACGACGCTCACCAACATATTAACTAGCAAAGGCTGAGCTATCAGAAAGCCGCACGCTGATTCCTCTATCCCAATTTCTCTCTTCACCCAAATCCATATACGACCCCGGTTGGCTCCCATACCGCATCGCCTCCTACCTCGTCGGCAAACCTCTCTGGTGGACACTCCAGCAACTCAATATTGTCGGATCCGACGAAGCGGGCCATGAGAGTGATACGCAAAGGTGGAAAAAGGTCACTGGCGAGTACGTGTTTGTTGATCTTGTTGAGCGAGCCGCGGAGAATGTGCTGGCGAAGCAGGATGGACGGACGGGCGTCAGTTTGGCGGAGAGTTTGTACAGCTTCGAGGGGTTCAAGGAGGAGTTCGGAAGTATGGCGTTACCGGGCGTCACGCTTTCGGATACAGACGTGAAGGTGTTAGTGAAATATCTGCAGAGGGATAAGAGGGTGCTCATCGCGGACAAAGAGGTATGCTTGCTCATATAGTTGTGCGACGTCTGACCATTTGACTAAAGTCACACTCATTTCTCCAGGTTGTCAAGTTCGTCGACCTGGGCGCCACTGCAGAGCCACCAGAAATTTCAGCCGTGGATCGAGGCGTGCTTGAGCTGAAGAATGCGGTGGCGAACCTAGACGCCCAAATCGCCAACATCCAGTCCAAGATTGACGGGTCCGTATCTTCATTTGACATCTACCTCTCTTCTTTTTACTGTCCACCATCACCCATCATTCCACTCTCTTATTGATGCCACACGATTCGGATCCGCCTTCCTATCATCCCCACATCCCCTTTCACCCTTCGTGCCTTTGCGATTTGCAACTGCCAAACTAACTGATGGATTGACGGCCGAACGTCCCCTTTTGTTTACATCTTTCCATGACAATATGACAGATGTACCGAAAAAGCAACAGCAGCGTTACGCCAGAAGCGGAAGGAGCTTGCGCTGAGCTATGTGCGGTCGAGGAAACAGCTCGAGGACGTGTTGAAGCGTCGCCTTGGGTCACTGGAGACGTTACAGTCAACACTTTTACGCGTCGAGGCCGCGGCAGGTGACATCGAGGTTCGTTCTCGTTCTCGTTTCAAGTTCACCTAACATCAGCCCGATGCCCGAGATTGAGTCGCGTTTGCTGATATATTACCTTGATTGACGCGTGAATTATCATCAGATAATGAAATCCTACGAAACCTCGGCCTCCACACTACGGTCTATCCTCGCCCACCCCTCCCTGCAACGCGACTCCGTCGATAACGCGCTCGACGCGCTTTCTGCAGCTACGGCTGACGCGCGTGAAGTCGATGACGCTATCAGGTTGGGCGGGGAGATGGCGGTTGCGGAGGCTGGTTACGAGGTTGGCGAGGAGGAGTTGGAGGCGGAGCTGAAGGCTTTAGTGGAGGAAGGGGAGAAGGAGAAGATGGAGAGGGTGGAGACAGAGAAGGTTATGGAGAAGCAGAGGGAGAGGGAGAAGGAAGTGGAGAAGGACAAGACTGTGGCGGATGAGGGGGAGAAGGTTCACGAGAAGGAGGTGCGGGTACCTGTGGCTGCTTAGAGTATGGGTTCTCGGTGCTAAGGCCTGACGATCGCAGTAGTACTAGATAGGTCAGTGCTAAGGGTGTCGACTTGATGACCTTTCCATTCTCTCTTCTGTGCATAGTAATTACCATTGTATAATACACACCATATTTTCTTTGACACTTTTCAGCCTAGGCCTGTTTTATATCCGTGTCCTTGCGCTCTCAAGCTAACTTAGATCGCGGGTCTGTGGCCCGCACTGCGCCACCCTCTCACGCCCTCAACGCGATCGAGATTTCGAAGAACGCTGTCGCGTCGAGAACGCGTCCATGCCAGTGCGCGCAACACGTTCCCCGCTCTGAATCATCTCCGCAAAGTCTCCACCACCGCTTTGCCAGCACCCACATCGTATCCTCTTACATATACCTTCAGTCCCAACAGCCGATACACACTCGAGCTTCTCAGAATGCCATTGATCGTCTTTGATCCCGAAAATGTTGGGCCCGGCCTGAATGAACTCTGCGAGGACCTCTCGAACCCTACCGCAGACTCCATTGCGATTTGGTGCGGCGTCACTGGCATCAACGAGTCCCGGGACTCTGTGCTCGCCGACCTTCCGGCACCCCAGACACTGAAGTTGTTCAACGGTCATGTAAGTCAGGATTCGATGTCGCTGCTGTTGTCGTCAGCTAAAGAACCTTTGGATATCTGAACCATGGTGGTGAAACGTGTCGATGTGGTGTAGATGGGTCACTTGCAGAGAAAGCCGAGGGACTATCAGACCAGAGTACATAGGTGTGTACGCCGCCCACTGCGCGTACGTTGCAGATTCGAAAAGAAAACTGTCGCTAATGGGCGGTGAACGCTTCTTCCAGCGAATTCTGCGCGAAATACCTTCCTCGGGCCACAGAAATATGGAGGAACGACTACAGGGCGTACAGCCCTTCTATGATGGCTATAAACACCTTCGTCTTCACGTATGTCCATCCACACTGATCATACACCCACACGAAGTCGATAATTTCTAGCCTATGACCATCACTCTAATCCGGCCATCCTCATCATCATACAGCCCCTATTTCGTCCGCTTCACCCGTACCCCATCAGGCGCAGGTATGACACCCCTCCTCGCTTCACGCATCGCCGACCTCGACCCCAGCACCGAATCCGACCTTGACGTCGACGCGATCGGCGAATTGGTCCAGTTCTTCTCTACTTTGATGGTGCTTCAAGGAATGCAGGATATCAACGCGGAGGATAAAGAGAAGGTGAAGACGAAGTGTAAGGCGTGGATGAGGAAGTATAGAGGTACTGGAAGGGTGGCAGAGAATGGAAGTGATAGGTGTTTGAAAATGTTGAATGCGCCTGGGTAAGTCGTTGATGTCTTCACGCACTCGTATAACCTTTGAGTCGTGGACTAATGGTCTCTCGCGGTTGGAACGGAATGGTGTGTAGAGGTGCAATCACCGGAGATTTTGCGAGAATGAAAGATTTGTTGAACGATATGGTCGACAAATGTGGCCTCGAGAGTTGTAACGTCCGGAAGAACGCAGGCGAAACAGGTAACCTTTCGCAATGCGCTAGGTTCGTTCTCTACGTTCTTCTTCATTTATGGCTCCATTACTGTTTATTGATTCATGGCTCCCCTAGATGCAAGACCACCGTATACGTAGGTCATTGTACTTGCCTTATTTTGTTTGGAGTCTCATCAGCGTTTTCCTTTGCAGTGCAGCGCAGCTCACCAAAAGCAACACTGGCCTACGCACAAGAAGCTTTGTATCCCGCCTAGCTTCTAACTCAATGCCGCTTGACGTCCACCATTCGCCTTCCCAGAATTCCACCATGTGAATCGTCCTGCTCTCGTCTCGTCCTGCTCAGTCATAACCAAATATCGCCAATTGTTGTATGTATTAATACGTTTACTAGCCAACATCTGTGCTATCTTGTTCTTGCTTCATCTTCCCTGTATACTATCTTGCCTCCATCCGCTATCGCAATTTTATATCGCTTTCTTGCTGTCTTCGTTTCCCATGTCCTCCTGCCTCAAAACTCCTCGACTTCATCGCCCTGCACCTCGACATATTGCGTTCTCATTACATTAAACAAGGGCACATCGCTTTATAACGATTGTCTTCCTCGATCTTTGAGTCTGATTTCCAGACTAATATTGCCTATGTGAGTGCTTCTTCCACGCGTGTCTATCATTGTAGGCACTCATTATATTTGTGCACGATAGGGGATGTACGTCGTACAGGTATCCCTTGCCCTCTGCCCATATTACGCCGATCAAGGGCCACTCTCGTCTAAAGTCGTCAGGCAAACACGCAACGTCCAGCCGCGTTTGGCTTCTTCCTGGGACTGACGCCACTAAAATATCGACATGAACGTGCTCCCGCATGCGAAAGCAGACTCTCAAACCACGACGATCTTCCTCCGCCCTTGAGCCTCTTTTAGACCCTTTCCCCGCCTTTGCATCTATACTAGCATCTTGGTTTCGAGACTATGCCTGTGCCACCCTTTGTGAGGAACCTCAGCGCTCCGATCGTCAAGGAATTCGAGCGCCTCGCGAAACAGAAGAGGTGGGATAGGCTGAAGGATAGCAAGGATGAGAAGCGGAGGGACAAGTATTGGGCCGAGAGGAGCAGGTTTATTAGGAAGGCGGTAGTGGATGACTTTACGCGGCTGTATGGAAAGGACAAGACGGACATGGAAGCATGGAGGAGGCTCCTTCGTGATCTTGGAGAGAAGAAATCGCCGCGCGATCCTAAGGATGGGCAGAAGGTATCTGCTCCGGGCGTCACTCTGGCGACTTCGCCCGCTCATCTGACTACTTCTACAGATAGCGCAATGTATCTACATCAATATTGTGCAGTTTATGGACGTCAGGGCAGCACAGACACGTCCTGCCGATGAGCGTCCTACACTCGAGGTCTTCAAAACAAGAAAGGCCTTGGCGGAATGGACCGTGGAGAACGATATGTTATTCCCTTTGAAAAAAGCCAAAGCCAATAAGTTTCTCAAGTCGCTTCTTATTCACCTCTCTCTTCCCCGGCCGCGGCACAACACTCCAACCCCCCCGAAAATCCCGAAAATCGAGCCGTTGAGAGGTCGTGATTGGGTATTTGTACATAAGTAAATGGGTCCGCTATTCGCACGAACTGTAAGTGTGTTCCAGGCTATGAACTTAAAGTGACTTTGTCTGACAAGACTCATAGAAATTCTGGCTCAGAAGTATCCGCCGATATAGTTTCTCTTTCACCCAAGCTCAGTTGTTCGTATGGACACTCAGTCCCAAAACACTACCTCCAGCGAGGATTAAGTCCCACCCCGCACCGATTCGCGCAGCACGAACGTCGTGTTTGTGGGTGGTGATGGACGCTTGTATCTCATGTTTGTATTTCCCTTGTAATCCAATGCATGATCGAACATGCTCCTTCCTTGCGCCTCCATGTCCAAATGGCCGGCATTGAATACACGCGTATATGCTTCTGTCCAGAATCCATAACACACATCATAAGTGCGCTAGATGACCCCCTTCCTCTCCCTCTTGCCGCCCTATTCGCTTTCCCCGCCGCCGCCCATAAACTCTGTTTAGTCTTTCAATCTATCTAGCTGGACCCATGTCAATGCTAGTCCGGCGTCGAGGGAAGCCCCTCCGTGACGAGTTCAGGCGCATCTCCAGATTAGAACAAAACCGCTGGCATAAAGCATCGTACAGGGAGGAACGGAGGCTGGAGGGCATCTTCGTGGGGACTGCAGCCGTCAAGGAGTTTGGCAGACGGTACGGTAGAGACCCGAAAAAGATCGAGGGGTGGCAGAGATTGTGTCGCGATCTTGGGTTCAGAAGGGTGCCCCACACGATCGAACAGTGCAACGCGGTGAGCACGCGATTCTCCAACGTACTCGAGTGCGCTACACGGCATCCCGTCTGACCTTGAACTTCTGGTTCGGTCTTGGTTTCGTATACACAGATGTTGGCCGAAAGAAATATTTACGTCAATATCGTTCAACTGATAGAAGCGCGGTGCGCCTTGAAGAGGAAGAGGAGGGTGATAATATTTAGAAGTCAACTGGATTTGGCCTGGTACAGCTGGCACATGAAGAAGTCGTTTCCTCTGTCAATCGCTCGCTCGAATCCATTCCTTTGGCATATTCTGGCACATAACATCAACCAACCTAAGAAGCCCGGACCAGGTGTCGTTAGACATGATTACTACTCACCACGGTCTGTATTATTTTCGCCCCGGGCAATTCTAGCGACGTGACTTACAAGGTTAACAGTGACCTCGATTCATCTCGGCTGCGATGGTCGATGGAACTGGCAGGTTATCGATCACGGTTCCTCGAACAACTGTAATCTGTAAAAAGTGTCTCTTTTTTCTGTTATCGTACCCTGGCCATGAGATACGGTCCCAATTATATTAGTGTCGATTCATGGCAAGGACTAGTAGTAGCGGGTGACCAATGTGACCCTGTCGCCTGCCTAACAATATGAAACCAGAGGCTGCAGTGGGTAGACCGCAAAAAAAAGTCAATCACAGAAGCAAATGGCATTTCCTACGCAGTACACCCAAATCGCTAGTCATTCTCAGCCCAGAAGATCTCGCATGTCCCTTCCCTCATGGTCCTCAACACGCAAGTCATGCAGCGCCAGCCACCGAAGGCCTCGCAGAAGCACCTTCCTATGGCGATCCCTCAAATCGTTCGTCCCTCGCGGATTCAAAAACCGCACAATTCGAAGCGAAGGGGTTGGTGGAGTCATAACCTGTCTCAACACCATAAACACTTCTTCGTATACGGCATCACTGTTCTGTGACATCTCACAGAGCAGACCAAGGTGCGTCATCTGTGGAGGAATGCGCAGGCCTTCGAGTCTTGTCCAATTCGAACAGATTATAATGAGGTGGACGAGTCGAGGGTAGTACTCGGACGAGAATGATGACAGGGGGCTGTAAACGTTGGACATCGAGGAGTATCTAATATACAACGTAGTCAGGTTCGCGCCGAGAGTCGCCATGAATGGTGCCCTGGAAGGATGCCAGTCCCTGGCGAGCTCGGCTATGAAATAGAACTGTTGCAAGGCTGGGAATGTTATGGTATTGTCCGGACTGGGGACGAGTTCCGGAAGTTGGGAGAAGGTGATGAGGGAGGTGAGGTGACGCGCTGAACCGATTGGAGCCCGGGTATCCATCATGACAGGAAAATCGCCATGAACAGTACGAAGAGCGGGCGTCTTGCTTAGTATCTCGGCGGTCAGATGAGCGTAGTCGTATCCCACCTCAAAGCGGAAGCTAGTGCCCCAAGAGAGCATTTGTAAGGTCGAACCACATCTCTCGAAAAGGGAGACTGCTATGGAGTACGGCGCAGTGTAGTATTCACCACGACTGGGGGGATGAGCCAACACAAAGATGGACAGGTTGGTAAGAAGTGAAAAGATTTCGTCGATGACCTTGACTGTCATCTCTCCGAGGGACACATTGTGTGGTGAGTCGCGCAATCGGAAGTCGAGACGGCGTGTCCACCAACCAAGGGGGTGAGAGTGATGATTATCATCACCAACAACAATGTCGTTTTGCGATCGGCGCAACGTTTCCAGAAGTGTCGCGAACATACGCTCCCTGCCTACGAAGATAGACTGGTACAACAGCGGCATTCCGAGGGTGTACCACTGCTTGCACACCCGAACGACGTATCGTTTCGTGATTAGAGAGTCACGTATGTCTTCTTGTTCGTCACGGATGCCAGGCTTCGTGATGCGATTTCGCCATCGACGTGGTTCAGAGCAGTCGAAGGGATCCTCGATGTCGGGATCAAGTGAACCAGGAACCAGTGTAGCCATTTCTAGAATGCGCTGCCATATCTCTGGAGGGACATGGGGCAGCACACCAGGCTTTCGGTTCCAGGATGCAGACATGGTTGAAGAGGTATGTAGATAAGACCGAGGGCGTCTAGTCGCCCTGCCACTGTGATCAAAACATGGTTGGTCGTGCGATCTCGACAGCTTGGAATAGGGCCTACTCACTTTGTATCTGTGATCAACTCTTGAGTAGAACTGTCCGCTAGCTATCAGGCTAAAGGCGCGATTGCAATGACTATGCGGCGAGCTGCGATGTGGTGGTTGCGATCAAAAGATGTGCCGCCCCGGGCCGAAGAGACCCGGTTACAGTCGTCCCTTTGTCCTCCCGTTCCGGGTAAGCCCGGACCTCTCCGACGTCATCCATCATGCGCGAGAAAAGGGCATACTGTTGGATCACCGACTGGCATTCACGAACGTCGTTGACGAGAACAATTTGCTGAAAGTGTTGTTCTGGTCAAACATAATCCACATTCAAGGTTCCCCTTGTTTCATGTTAGAACCGATGCCTCCTAACACATCACTTCGACTACGGTCACGGTAAACCCAGATGCAAAAAGGCTGAATTCTCCAGTATACACGAAGCTTGGTTTTGCGACAAGTAGATAAAGAGAAAGAAAACGGAACAAGGACGCAAACGCAAACACAAACACAACCGAAAGCGAGCTACAACCGTGTCCATTACGATTGTCACCACCACATCTTACCATCCGCACCGCGACCCATCAACCTCGACGCCCACCACTGCCACCCAAAGCGCAGTCTATGTCAAAGCAGACAGAACCAACAACGACAACGAATTGCCGTATGGAGGAGAACGTCTAGTAGACACGCTTGAATGGCGGGACAGGCTTGCACTCGGCCTCATCGAGCGTGTGGGCGATGACACCGCGGTATTTGATCTCAACCTCAGGAGATTCGACGTCGTGTTGCCAAGTGAGAGTGTGCTTCATCCAGTTCTCGTCATCGCGCTATCGAGGAAGCCCAGATGTCAATCACGGATGAGACACAAATATAATGCGCAAGCGGACGAACCTCTGAGTAGTCCTCACGGGCGTGAGCGCCACGCGACTCTTTACGAGCGGCAGCAGCGGTGATGGTCTGGACGGCATTTTGGAGAATGTTGCGGAGTTCAAGGGTCTCCACGAGGTCGCTGATGGGTGTCAAACCCTGTTAACCACTGCATCCATGTGGATACATAACAGAATAAGACTCACGAGTTCCAAATCATACTCCTGTCCTTGATCCCGACCTTCTCGTAAGACTTGTAAATGTCCTTCAGTTTGACGACGCCCTCATCGAGCGTCTGCTGCGTCCTGAACACAGCAGCATCGGTCTGCATGGCCTTCTGCATGGCCAACCGAATCTTTGCCGTGGGTTCAGGTCCATCGGAGTTCCTGATTTTGTCCAGGTTCTCGACACTGTGGAGACCGGCTTCTTCTGGGATCTTCTTGTGTGGCTTGCCAGGTGTGAGGGTCTCCTTGATGTGGTGCGCGCAGGCACGGCCGAATACGACAATGTCGAGTAGAGAGTTGGCGCCGAGACGGTTGGCTCCGTGGACAGACACACAGGCGGCCTCGCCGGCAGCGTAAAGACCAGGGACGACCTTGTCCTTGCCATCCTGCAGATCAAGGTCATTAAAATATGCTGGCCGACGAGTGTGACATGAATAAACGTACTGCGTCTTGAGTGATGACCTCGCCGGTGTATTTGGTGGGAATGCCACCCACTGCCGCAATTGTCAGCAAAGAGCGCAAGCTAAGATATATCGCCACTCACTGTTGTAATGCACGGTGGGCAAGACAGGGATGGGCTCCTTGGTAACGTCGACACCGGAGAAGATAGCAGCAGTCTCAGAAATACCAGGCAATCTCTCGTGAAGGACCTCAGGCGGCAAGTGGCTGAGTTGGAGGTAAATGTGGTCCTTGTCGGGACCAACACCACGACCCTCACGGATTTCGATGGTCATGGATCGCGATACGACATCGCGGGAGGCCAAGTCCTTCGCAGTGGGAGCGTAACGCTCCATGAACCGCTCTCCCTCAGAGTTAAGAAGGTATCCTCCCTCTCCTCGAGAGCCTAAACCATACTATCAGCCATCAAATGCATCACAAAAGAGAAAGAATAACGGACCTTCGGTGATCAAACATCCAGCGCCGTAGATACCAGTCGGGTGGAACTGGACGAACTCCAAGTCCTGCAAAGGAAGACCTGCACGTGCGACCATGGCATTCCCATCTCCCGAGCAAGTGTGCGCACTAGTACAACTGAAGTACGCTCGCCCATATCCTCCAGTAGCCAATACAGTCTTGTGAGCACGGAATCGGTGGAGGGTACCGTCCTCCATGTTCAAAGCAATAACACCGACGCACTCGCCATCCTCCATGATAAGATCAAGGGCAAAGTACTCGATGAAGAAGTTGGTGTTGTGGCGCAGTGATTGGCCGTAGAGGGTGTGTAGAAGGGCATGTCCGGTACGGTCGGCAGCGGCGGCACAACGATAGGCCTGTCCACCCTTGCCGAACTTGAGAGATTGACCACCGAAGGCACGTTGGTAAATCTTGCCCTCGTCGGTTCGAGAGAATGGCACACCGAAATGCTCGAGCTAGAAGGGTACGGGTTTAGAGAATCACAGGCTAAAGGTGTGTTTTCTGCGCACCTCAATAACTGTCCGTGGAGCCTCTCGAGTCATGTAATGGATGGCATCCTGGTCACCGAGCCAGTCGGAACCTTTGACCTGTCGAAACGAGTGAGCAAACGACAAGGACATAGAATGGTTGAATGTAACTCACGGTATCGTACATATGCCACCGCCAGTCGTCCTCAGTCATGTTCTATTTGGCCAACATCAGTGTCATACTCTCCAGGAATCGCATTCCGAGCACTTACACCAAGTGCAGCATTGATACCACCCTAGAGGGGTTCGTCAGTACTCGTACTTCAAAACCACACATAGTTCACGTACCTGTGCAGCGACAGTATGACTTCTCGTCGGGAATAGTTTCGTGATGCATGCAGTGTTGAAGCCAGCCTCCGCGAGACCGAAAGCAGCTCTCAGACCGGCGCCACCAGCACCGCTGTATGTTATTCCGTTAGCGCGCAGCTGGCCACTTTCGAACCGGATAGGGCACGTACACAACAATAGCATCATACTCATGCTCAATCAGAGGGTACTTTCCTGACGACCAAGACTAATACCCGAAACAACGAAAGCTTCAGCGTCATTGCAAACGCTCTGAACTGAAAGCCATGTCAAGACGGACCTTGACCTCCTCCGCTTTAACAGGGTTGGTCGCGACGACCCTCCGAGCGACAGCAGAGTTATGAAACGCACGCGAGCGCTGTACGCTCTTCGACACGGTTTTTCTGAGCATACCGCTGGCAACGACGGCGGGCGACGTGAGGAGTGATGAGGAGAAGGGATGTTGAGCGAAAGTGCAAAGGCGGGGCCGGCAACGAGCACGAGCTCAAGTACGGGGACAAGCACGGCCGATTGACCCGCGGCAACCGGCCAATCATGCGCCTGTGATTTCTTCCTCCGATGCGCTCCGGCTCGAGCCGTCTTCTTTCTCTTCCTGCTTCGTCCTACCAACTCCGAACATTCACGCATTTGTAGACGGCATGTCGAGATCTCTGTGAGTGTGAGAGTAGACATCGATATCGGAGTGCAAGGAAATGAGACACCCATTACATTGAGCAACATGGATAGCTGTGGACAAGTGATATTACAAGATTGGTATACGACTGCAGTGTCCGACTTCTCGATCTCTACCGTAGCACTCCAAGTGGATCGTGGTGTACCTTCTGCAACGGAGCTTGCTCACGGACAGGCTGTCCTGCAGACTGTGACTGGGATGGCGGAGGTGGTGGTGGGTACGATCCCGATGGTGTCGTCGTGTGTGACGGCGATCGACTTGTGGTTGTTGATGCTCGGGGTGGGGGAGCTAGCGATGGCACGGGCACGGGCGAAATAGCATTTGAGAAGTCGGATCGTGTATAATTCCAAGGGGCACGGGAAATGTTAGCGCTCGGCGTGCCCGCACTCGAGGAGGAAGTAGCGGGACTGAGTGGATTGGGGATTTCACTTCGAGGAGAGACGAAAGACGGAGCAGTTGGTCGGGGTGCGGATGAATGTTGCGGCGACGATCTTCGGGAGGCGATAGGTCTTGCATGAGCAACAGATGGTGGAGCGGCAGGATGTGAGCGTGGTGGCGGGGATATGATGGGTTGTTCTAAGGATGATTGCTCCCTCTCCGCCTCTTCCTGCTCTCTTCTAGCCTTCTCCTTTCGCTTTTTCACCTCCTCATCGCTGATTAGTCGTTCCGCCTCAATTGTCGTCACGCTCCCTAACAGTACATCTCTGACGTAAGCCAGAGACTCCAGTGCTTCACGTTTCCGAGCCTTGATGGTTTTAGCCTCCTCTTCGGTCGGTATCTCGCCCTCATCAAGGAGGAGGGTGTCGACGATCCATGAAACGGATTCTCCTAGCATCTTCTGCTTCACCAACATCTCCGAGACATCCCTCTCCATCTCAAACCTTGTCCGGGGCTCCCATGGTGGCCGTTCTTCTACGGGGCGCTCATCTAATAATGGGTATGCGGTATATGAGGCCGACTGGCTTCCCGGTGAACGGGCCATAGATGCCGAGAGGTCTGGTAAATTGCGCTGAAACAACACACAAGCAATGGTCAACATATTTCAATCACTGGAATAAGACTTAAGGGTCACCTTGACTTCGGAAACAGCATGCAAAAAAGCTTTATTGATCCCCAACGCTTCTCCCCGGTCCAACAGCCCCTTCGCAATCATCTCCGGCAGAGCTCCAATTTGCGAACTCGATTGTCTCGTATGTCCTTGTCCCGGCGAACTTCTCCCACCCAGACCTATCCCGATGCCCGCACCAGAACCTCTTCTTACCCCGCCCTCCGCTTCGCTCGCACTGACACTCGCTCTTCTCCTTCCTTGCCCGCCAGGACCTCTGCGCAATGGTTGCGTCAGTGGCTCCGGGACTTCTGTGGGTAAACCAAGCAGGTTTCGGTTTTCGAATACGATGGCGGCACCTGTGGCGGGGCTCGGGGACATCTGTAGGGTTAGAGCTTGGCGGAGGAGGAGAGTTATGCGATTGGATTCTGGGGTAGTTGGGACATTGGAAGGATTGGGATAACGGAGAAGGTAGGTTAGTTGTGTGCTGTAGTCGGCTGGTATCACTGCAGATGATTGTCAGATAGGACTTAACGCGTACGGAAGAGAATCAAAAGGAGGAACGAACGTTGGTTCCGTATGCGCATCAGCATTGCTACGCATATCCATGGTGCGAGCTCAAATGACGGGTCAACTGCAAACAAGCCATCCCACATCATCATAGCATCATGCATGTTGAACTCGCGGGTAAAAATCAGCCGCAACCACCGTCTGTCCACCGCATAACAAAAATGAATCTCAGCGTCTCAAATATCCCAGTTATAAGACTTGAACTCACATCCCGTAAATCTGCGGTTCAATCCCCGCTTCCTTCATCCTGGCCCACAGCGTCGGATCCACACCTTTCAGCAGCTCTCCCTGTATCCTCCCACACTCCCTCAATATCGGCGCCACATACTCATCCGGCATCTTGACCTGTCCGTTGGGCACGGTCCCATTCCCTGCTGTATTGATATTGACGTGGCCTGAGAAAGGTGTGGCGGCGTTGAGAGCTGTAGGTGAGAGATCTAAAAGGTTCGGCGGAGCCTCGCGCCACTCATACCAGCGACCTACGCCTCGCATGACGGTAGTGAAGAGAGCCCAGGCGTCGGCCGCGACCCAGCGGCGAGAACAGAGTTCGCTCAGTGAGGTGGTGGTGGCGTCGGGTGTCGGTGTGTCGGATGAGGAGAGCGAGTCGTAGTCCACGGCATAGTAGAGTGGTGCGAGAAGTTCATGCATGCCTTGGCGATAGCCTATTGCGGGATGCATGACAGAATAGAGGAAGAGAATGTTGGTGAGTTGGGATTGGACGACGGGTTCGCGGAAGTACGCTATATCTGGAAATCTAAGCGCAGACGACCATGGATAGTTGGGAGATGGCGTGAGCAGCATTCTAGAGATTAATGCATTTGAGACAAAGAGCGACGTACGTCCGTTCTACGTCCTGCAGAATAGTCTTCCTCAGCTCAACAGCCGCGAACCATTCCTTCCATGGATTCTAAACGCCGATCCAGCACCCAACAAACCAACCACCAATGAGCAAACCACACATTCCCCAACTCATTCGAGAGACCCAAAAGATGGCCGTAGAAAGAGTAAATGTCTACCTCATCATGCAAACTCAACGGATTATTCCTCTCCAGATTACTCGAACCCTTCCCTGTCCGCTCCGGTGCGGTATCCGCCCCTGGAATCAAGAAGCCATCTTCGTAACTTCCATCTGGAGCCTTCATCTTTTCGAGTAGTAAACGTGTGTATTCTTGGCGCGAAATTTGGACGGATTCGACGTAGGGTTGTGGGGTCAGTGGGAGATCTGGTGGTGGTTGAAGTGGGCCTGGTGGAGTGAGAAATATCTGATGCGGTATGGAGGTAAAGTAATAAACGAATTAGTATAGATACATTTCGAGGGCATTGGCAGGACGCACCTTCCATGCTATACTTCTTCCACAGACACCGATGGACTCCCCTGGCGAATGAAACAGACGACCTCCGAGCGCCGCATCTTTGATCTTGGACAGGCTGAGATCGGAATGAAATAGATGATCATACGCTGCTCTTCACCCACAAACAAGCAAACCGAAAAACAAGTGCAGGAGTGAGCCACCATGCAGAAGGATACAGAAAGAGCTACAGTTGGAGTAACCTGATGTCTTCGAGTGGAGGCCGTGTTGTCCGACGTTCCTCGGATGTCATGGTGTCGTCCAAGCGTTTTCAGTATTCTAGTAAACACGATTCAGGTATGGAAGCAGTCTCTGAATCTTGCACAGCAATTTAGATGGAATAGAGCAGATGTTGACAGACAGAATGAACAAGCGGTAGCGGGTCTTGACCGAAACGTCCCTTGGTGGTTTGGTGACTGCCACAGTTTATCGCAAAGAGCCGAATGACGTTTTGAGCCACAGACCGGGCTTGCCACATCGGTCTGTGTGGCACTGCCCCTATCCAGAGCAACTAGCGGAAGATACGCGGCTCGGTACTGTCGTTTGAGTATCTGCCCTTCTGAATTTGCACCGCAGATGTACAACAGGTAGCCGTCACGATAGCTCCTCCAAGTTCGCTCAAGGTCACTCCGGTTCTTACAGAAGATTCTTACGCTGAAGCCGATCGCGTACAAGAAGACCACTGGTGTGCAGGCCAGAGGAAAACGGACTATGCAACGTGAACAATAATCAATAGCCTCCTATGTGCGCCCTGACTGGTATAAAATAGTGCACCAGGCGCCTACAACCGACGTCCTGTGTCCCGCGATTCCCATTCAGAGGTCCAGTCATGATGATCACCCGCACCCTGAGAACATATACGGTATAACAATGATCGCAACTGGTCAACGTACAGATCAGCTCAACCTGTGACATCGGATGGCCACGATTGAGATCTCACCTCCGTCTTTGCCCCCTGTCTGAGGTTATGGGGGTTAAAACCACATCGAGACAGAGAAACTGGTCTCTTCGCTCCTCATCGCGTGCCACCAACCCGGTGGGAAGAACAGGACGTCTCCAGGGTGTAGCGTGGCATTTTGAGCCCGAGGAACAGCGTTCTCCCAGAATGCAGGGAATGTGATGGTATCGCGATGGCGTTCGTGGGGAGATTCGGCAAACACGTCAACACGGGAAGTGTTGCTCATTGAAGGTTCGACGTTATTAGATGCCGGGTTGTTGTGCGCTTGTGTGTCGGTGGTTGAGGAGGAAGATGTAGAAGGCGGATAGGGGTACATGGACGTGGAGATAGCAGGAGGTGCCAGCCAAACGGTTTTGCTACCGACGATCTGAGCTACGAAGCGTAAATAAAAAGATGTTATATAGGCTTAGACCTTCGTTCTTACCATAGAAGTTGTAGTACGGGTCCTAGCGATAGATGAGCTCGCAACAACCATCCTAAACAAAATTTGTACTCACCGTGTGGGCAGGTGAAATTGTGCCTTTGGGACCTAACCAGGCATTGACGACAAGTTGATCGTCGTTTCCTGGTGGACGATAATCCGGATAATCAGGCGGTGGGGGCGGGCACGAATACACATAATCCGGAACAACAACATCATCCCGCAAGGACGGAAACTGCGACAGGAGGTTATGTTGTGCCAGGTACAGCACCGATGCGTCGCCTTTGCCAGACTCGGCAGCGCCATCAGAATCCTTTTGTTCGTTCTCGAGACGGTCGAGGAAGTTGTCCCACTCCATCATTCGATGTGACCAATCATCCGCTCTGTAGTCACCGCCAACCTCGATGGGAACGACGCGACCGCGACCAGAGACTGAGCGTAAGTAGGCAAAGGATTGCCAGGGACGGTCGGTCATGGCGGGCCAATCTCGTGCGTAGCCTGAGAGGATGAACGGTTGCCGATGTAGATGTGTTTTAAACTGTGTGAAAGACGGAAGGCTGTCGAGGCGAGGAACACTTCCAGTACTTGCCATAAGTGGAGCGTTCGAGGTAGGCCTTGAGCTAGGGCCATCTGGTCTGGTGATGTTCAAAGGTGGTGAAGGAAGATAGTCCGTTTGAATCTTGGATATAAGAAAGACAACAAGGTCGTAACGCCCCTCGCCCGGAGCACCAGCCACAACTAAGATGTGATCCAATAGGGCGATAGCCCTCTTGACGTGAGGTTCGCTGCAGTCCCAAAAGACGATTTCCACCAGTGCGCGAAGCAGACAGGCCTCGGTATAAAGCCTCCTCCAGCAAATAGACTCTTGGGGTGGGGACGAGGCCATTGAAGTATGTGCAGCTTCTATCAGATCGTCCAACTGAGCCGACGATCGAGCGGGCGCGTCAGGGCTTGGATGATCAAGAAGAACTTGGGCAAGAGAGTGGAGTTTCTGAACATGTTTCGACCCACACGGGGATAGTTCTAGGTACGCGCATCAATATATACGTTGCAGGGTTGATTCTAGCGAGACCTGCCTGTAGCAAGGATATCCGAGGAGCTCTGAAGCTGTTCTGCGAGCTCGGACAAAAGGGCGTTCTGCCAGGGCATAGTTTCTGTCAGAGTGGGAGATTGGACAAGAATGGACAAAGCAGACGACGTCAGCGAAGAAAAACAAACACTGCCACAGCGCGAAGCCACACTAGGACAGATTTGGAAACCGATCAGCCGGTTACAGGCCGGGAATTTTTTTGCGTGACCAGCTGGATACATAAGTAGGGCGGCCGACCCAGGAGCGTGAGAATTTCCCCGACCGTTTTGATTTTTCTGTTGACTGCAATCCCAGCACCGGCCCGGCCCCTTTTACGTTATGTCCTCGAGGTAAAGCTCTTCCCCGCATCCGCGATTCTGTGGCACTCACCCTCATCATTTAGGTTGGACCGGCTCCTACTTCTACTCGATACAGGCTCTTCCACCTCTGTGAGGACCACCGCCGCCAAACAACTTGCACAACTTGCCGCAAAGAGTGTTATATCAGATGTCGCCATCGAAGAAGACGTCAAGGCACATCGTCCCCATCTTCCGCTCGGAGACATCTCCGGGTGGCAAGAATTAATGTCGGTTATTGCAAGGGTAGATCCTCTCCCACGCTTTCCTTCTTGCGATGTGGCGCGCTCACCATCCTCCAGATTCTTCCTAACCTTCATTCCAAGTCGCATGAGACGCGGTCTGCTGCTGCCGTCGCTCTCCAACACATCTTTACTCTCGTTCCTCTTTGGCACCCTTGTCAAAGCTGTGATGAAGAAGATCCAGATTGGACGAAAGTCCCCGCCGCTCAGCCCGAACCTGAATTCCCTCAGTTCTCCGTAGAGGAGCTGATCCAGAAAGGCACCCTGCTTCTTGCATCCTCTGGCAAGGAGTTTGCGAAACGTAGTTTTTCTAGCCCAGAGGAGGTCAAGAAGGCTAGCAATGAAGCTATGCGCGGACTGGGACTCGACTTCATGGTCTCCCTTGGTGCCGACGACGATGGAATGGATATCGAAGATGAACTTGCCGCTGACGCTGGACCCGATACAGATCCGCACTCGAACAATGGCGCAACGAAGGAAGAGGAAATTTATCTTGACTCACCTCTCACCCCGGTTGGCGAGTCGGCTTCGAACTTCAATTTGAAGAAAGAGGCTTCACCTCTTACCGCATCCCCATCCACGACCCCGACTCGACAATCGCCGATACCGCCCGCCACGTCTTCGGCGGCACCACAACCTGGTACTTCTGCTTCACCTCCCGCAGAGACAATGACAGCCAGCCTTTCAGCTCGCGAGATGAACAGGCTCAAGCGCAAACGAAAGCAGGGAAATTCCGCATTTGTTCCCGCTCCGCCTCCTCCTGCTGCGGGTGCGAAAGTGCACGCAATGGCTACCGGACCTGGAAATAAGTAAGTGTTCCTCCCATCTTCTTCGTTTGTTTTCTCACTTTGCTTCGATCCTCAGAGCCCGCCTCGTAGCTGCAGAGGATCATCCGAAGCCGCAATCTCGATCAGATAGCCCACAAAATGCACATGCGGGGCCCTCTACGGAGAAAGTCGTCGTCGATCCCATGAAAGGTGGCGCCGTTTCTCCGAAAACTGCAGGATCGCAATCCAAGGCCCTCGAAGTACATCATGGACAATGGATCTGGGACGGTCTTGTCAACGTTCTGGAGGTTGACATCTTTAGTCCTGCGTGGGAAGTTCGTCACGGTGCTGCAATGGCTCTTCGTGAGCTACTGAAGGCTCAGGGTAAGTATGGTGGGACAAAAGGTTTGTCATTGTTTTACCTTTCGTGTCCATACAGTGTTGATCCTGAAACTGCTCGTCTAGCTGGTCTGAAACGCGAAGAGAACGCCATCACGCACGAACGATGGTGTAACCACCTTGCCGCAAAGCTTCTTTGCGTCTTCTGTTTGGATCGCTTTGGAGATTACGTGTCTGACCAGGTCTGTGCCCCTTGTAAGTCTGAGAAGTGTTTTCATACTGATAAATTTGCTAGGTCATCGCACCAGTCCGTGAGACGGTCTCTCAGACACTAGCCTCTCTCCTGCTCCACATGCCGAAACGTTCCGTATTGCACGTCCACGCCGTCCTCTTGCAAATGATTAGACAAGACTTCACGATCACACTGCAATCCCCGCCGCCACCGCCGCCGAAGGGTCGTCGTGGTGCGCAACAGAAGGAAAAAGGCAAAGAGAAAGGCCATGTTTGGGAAGTTCGACATGCCGGACTCCTTGGTATCAAGTATGAGGTCGCCGTACGGAGCGATGTCGTGGAGGATTCCCTGATGAAGCAGGATGCTAAGGAGGTCAAGATGGAAGAAGCCGATACTGCTGGACTTCCGAGTGGAAAGGAGGTATTGCAGGGCGTCGTAGATGCCGCAGTGCTTGGGTCAGTGGCTTTCAATCATTGTGAACGTATCATTTCTGATGATCATTCATAGGCTCGGAGATCGCGACGATGATGTGCGTTCTGTGGCGGCTAATTGTCTGCTGCCTGTAGCCACACACCTGGTCCGCCAACTGCCAGACCGTCTAAGCCTCGTTTTGGCAGTCCTGTGGAGCTGCCTCAGCGACATGAAGGATGACCTGAGTTCAAGTGTTGGCGCTGTCATGGACCTGCTAGGTACGCAAAATTTTAGGATTCACTGCCTCACCCATAATGACCTGCTCGCTGTAGGTAAACTCGTGTCCTACGAGGAGGTCATCTCCGTTCTGGCCAATGAATCTTCGTCGTAAGCGAATGCCTTCATCTACAAGCTCTCTCATACTCACACCTGGCTTTCAGACGACCTCTCACACAGCTTGCGCCCACTCTGTTCCCCTTCTTCCGCCACACAATTCCTACCGTCCGTTTAGCCGTCGTCGAGACTCTTCACTCTTTCATGAACGTGCCTACGCTCCCAAAGGACTGGGTTTCGACGCCTTTCCTTCGCCTCCTCTTTCAGAATCTCATCGTCGAAGAACGACAAGACATCCGTGACTCTACGGTCGCTATGTGGCGAACTTCGATCGGACTTCTTCATATGAACCAAGGCCTATTAGAAACGACTGTGGACCAAACACTTTTGTACGACTGGTTCGGAATCATGATGACACCGCTTGGTACTCCTCTTAATCCGGCATCTTTCTACAATCCGGTGGTCGACGGGACTGATCTAGACTCGACGGAGAGACACAATGTGGACAGGAATATGATTGCTGGAGATCTCATCCTCGTATCTCAAGATACAATCTGGAAGGCCCGTATAGCGTCAGCTTCTGCCTTGGCGTTCATCATGGCACATTGGGGCCCGACGGTGCATCTCGCTTTATGCTCAATGTTCTGAACTTGCAACTAACTAATTTTATCGTAGATCCAGGACGTCGACGAAGCCTTCTCAACTATCCTCCTCCACTACATAGGCTCGACCAGTATGCTTCAGGCCGTTCTAGCCGCAATAATCGCAGAAGAATGGGCCTTACAGCACTCCGCTATGGCTCCTCCTTCCAGCCCTCTTCTCATCGAACTTTCCCCCTTTGCGCGCGAGCTCAGCCATCGCACTCTCGCTTGGCTACAGGCCCCACCTCCGGCTACATATCACGAAATGCTTCCTCTCTTTGCTCGCATTCACACCGAATGCAATGGCCTCATGACATCCTTCGTTACGGACTGCAAGGTCTCCAAGGCCAGTCTCCCGTTGATGAGCCCCGACTACGACGCCACCGGCATGAAAGAGGGCAGTTTCTCCCTCGAAGATGCTCGCGCTATCGTTGGCAGGGAGTTTACGAGGCTTAAGGATAGTTTGGGCAGGACAAAGAAGAGGGAGTTGGCCCATCTGGCAGATAAGAGGAAGTCGGTGGAGGCGAGTATCAATCGGTATGAGGAGATTAAGGAGCAGAATGACGTTAGGGTGGCGGCGGCGTTTGCAGCTGCATTCGTGGCTCTGAAGACGACACCGGACAAGGTCACCCCTCTTGTAAAGGGCGTCATGAACGGGATCAAGGTCTGCGCCTCTCACTTCTGTTTCTTGTTCTATTTGTATATTCAGCTTATATTCGTGCCATCAACATAGGGTGAGGAGAATGTCGATCTCCAGACTCGCTCAGCGGTCGCCGTTGCCGCCTTCGTGGAATTCTGTGCACTTCACAACCTCCCTCAGCCACCAGCGAAGATCGTCACGAACCTCTGCACGTTCCTGTGCCAGGACACTCAGCAGACACCGCCCTTTGTTGCCATGAGGAAACACCTATCTGGGATACTGTCCTTCCAGACCAAGACGGTGGACGAGGCAGCGAAGATTGAGACTGGGCAGGTAGGAGGGCTCAGCGCGAAACTGTCTAGAAGGGGCGCGGGAATCGCTTTCAAGGAGCTCTCCGCCAAATTTGGGTCAGAGTTGCTGACTACCATCCCGAAGATGTGGCAAGCTATGGCTGGTGGTATCTTGAGTGCTTGCGAAACCGGTAGGCTTGGAGTCTCGAGTCAGTGCTAGTCGCGTCACTCACGTTATGATACACAGACTCACCAGAAAAGATGGACAACCTCATCGAGAAGCAGTTTGGTCAAGACGTTATCGACTCTCTCAGCGTTTTGGAGGCTGTCGTACCCACTCTGCACCATGAGCTCTGGCCACAGCTTCGCGAACTCTTCCCATTGATCATCATGGCCCTTCGTAGTCGCTTTGCTATCATTCGTCAGGCTGTTGCTCGCTGTTTCGCCACGATCTGCGACGTTATGACAGTCGACGCCATGCGCCATGTCATCGAAGTTGTCATTCCTTTCCTCGGCGATACCATGAATCTAGCCAATAGGCAGGGCGCCACGGAACTCGTTTACAGTTCGTCCTCTCATGATACGGGCATTTTCACGCATTTATCTGATCACTTCCCAAAGATATTGTCCAGAAGCTGAATGACAAGGCGCTACCCTATGTCATCTTTCTCATTGTTCCAGTCCTCGGTCGCATGAGTGATCCTGATGATGATATCCGCTCCACGGCTACCAATACGTTCGCCGCATTGGTGAAGATGGTGCCACTCGAGGTAATTGCTTATATCTTCTATCCCAGACAGTACAGGCTCTCATCTCGCGTTATAGGCTGGATTACCAAGCCCTCCTGAGTTTTCCGAAGAGCTCCTCAAGCGGCGGGATGAAGAGCGACAGTTCTTAACTCAGCTTTTGGATGGCAGCAAGGTCGAGCCGTATCAAATACCGGTGCACGTTGAGGCAGAGCTGCGTCCGTACCAGCAGGATGGCGTCAACTGGCTTGCTTTCTTGGCCAAGTACCAATTGCATGGTATCCTTTGTGACGGTAAGAAATCTCGTTTTCGGACGCTCTAGATATGAAATGCTGATGGCCAGGAACTAGACATGGGCCTTGGCAAGACACTCCAGTCTATCTGCATCCTTGCGAGCAAGCACCACGAACGCAACGAGCGATACAAGCAGACCAAGTCTCCCGACTCTGTTCACGTCCCATCCCTTATCGTCTGCCCACCAACTCTGACTGGCCACTGGTTCTACGAGATCCAGAAGTACGTCAACAATCTCAAGCCGATCATGTACACGGGGAACGCGCGCGAACGGAACAGAATGCTCCCAAAGTTGAAGAAATACGACGTCGTCATCACCTCGTACGAAGTCGTCAGGAATGATATCCACACGCTGCAGGAGATGAATTGGCATTATTGCATTCTTGACGAGGGCCACATCATCAAGAATGCGAAGACGAAGCTTACGAAGGCGGTCAAGTCTATCCGAGCACATCACCGTCTTATCCTTTCAGGAACACCGATCCAGAATAATGTCCTCGAGTTGTGGTCGCTCTTTGACTTCCTGATGCCTGGATTCCTGGGCTCAGAAACATTCTTCAACGAGCGATACAGCAAGCCGATCTTGTCGAATAGAGATGGAAAGTCGAAGAATAGCGAGGCCGGTAAGTTGTTTGACATATTCCCCGAAACCTTTCCTCAATCTTGTTCTCTTTCGCAGCTGCTCTTGCCTTGGAGGCTCTACACAAACAAGTTCTTCCATTCGTCCTCCGTCGCTTGAAGGAAGACGTTCTTCACGACCTTCCACCGAAAATCATACAGGACTACTTCTGTGAACTCTCAGACGTCCAGAAACAGCTTTACGACGACTTCTCACAATCTAAAGCCAGAGTGGAAGCTGAGGATGCCATCAAGTCATCGAGCGCTGTGGCCAAGTCAGGCAAGGGTGGCGAGAAGCAGCATATCTTCCAGTCGCTGCAGTATTTGCGCAAGCTCTGCAACCATCCCGCTTTGGTACTGAAAGGCGATATAGACGCTTTCAATTCCGCTTTGACGAAGATCGGCCACAAACCGGAGAGCACTAGCGTCAGCGATATCCAACATGCACCCAAGTTACTGGCTCTTCGGTATGTCTCCCCTCTGTTTTACCGGCCCATCCGCTGACGTACGCCTTTTCTATACAGTCAACTACTCGTCGACTGTGGGATCGGAGGCTCGCCCGCAGGTGTGGCCGAGGTGACGAAGAGCGAACTCGCCGATGCCGAATCTTCAGCGAGCGGCGCTTTCTCGCAGCATCGCGTGCTCATCTTCTGCCAGATGAAACAGATGCTAGATATCATCGAGAGCGACCTGTTCAAGAAGTATATGCCCTCAGTAACCTACATGCGTCTAGACGGCAACACGGACTCGAAGAAACGGCACGCTATCGTGCAGACGTTCAATGCGGACCCGAGCATCGATTGCCTTCTTCTCACTACGCAAGTCGGAGGTCTCGGTCTCACGCTGACGGGAGCGGACACCGTCATATTCGTCGAGCATGATTGGAATCCCATGAAAGATCTCCAGGCTATGGATCGCGCGCACCGCATTGGTCAGAAGAAAGTCGTCAATGTCTACCGGTTGATTACGAAGGGCACGTTAGAGGAGAAAATCATGGGGTATGTCGACTCAGATATCTCACCCTTCTTGAACCAGGATGCTAATATTATCAACAGCCTGCAGCGATTCAAGCTCAACATCGCCAACTCTGTCGTTACTCAGCAAAACTCTGGTCTGTCCTCAATGGACACAGACCACGTTCTCGATTTGTTCAATCACTCGTCTACTAACGAAGCTCCGAAGAAGGAAAAGGAAGGAGGGGCGGGTATTTCCAAGAACATCTTAGATGGGTTAGAGGATCTTCCAGGGGAAGAAGAGTACCAAGACCTCGACATGTCGAGTTTCATGGGCTCTCTTGGGCGTTGAGATGTCGATACTTCTACAAGCCATTTACGTCCATATGTTTATTCACTTGCATCATCTTTTCCTTCGTTTTTCTATATTTCTTGCATGCCTATACGACGATTTCATTTCTGCCACGATATGCTACGTCCCATAACAAGCCATTACATGATGTTATTGTAAAGTTTCTGTCCGAATAATACGTCTGCACATACGAAGCTACCTAGTCAGGAACTCTGCACTACTTCCTACAATCGCTATGTACGCATAAGCCATAAAAACGTCATCGCATGATGCAAGGGTCCGTAAGTCCGTCATCTGCATGAAAGTCGTGAAAGAAACCAGGGTTAGAAAAGGTAATACGGGCCACCCGCTCTAACGTTTCGACGATTTCGATGAGGAAGATGATGTCGAAGCCATTGAGGAGCCACCAAAGCTAGCCCTATGACCACTACCGCTCCTACTGCCCCAACAATAGCACCTGCTAGTGCTTTGGGATCCACACCCTTGGAAGAGGATGTACTGTCTCCTGAAGAGGACGAAGGTGAAGGTGAAGTCGACTGTGATGAAGAGGTCGTTGATGTAGACGTCGCGTTCGTCAGGCACGATGCATCGTTGCCCGTGGTGATGAAGAACGGGGTGGACTGAGCGAACAGAGAGACGACTTGCAATGAGTCGAAAGCGGCGACAGTATATGCTCCTTCACCGATATCTACGGGATCCCAGGTGAACGAGTTCGCAATAGAAGGAAGATCGGTTGTGAGTGTGAGGTTTGAAGTGAGACTTTCGGCGAAGGATTCGGAGGGGGGATTGGTAATCTGGATGGTCAGGGGTACGATGGTGTTTCCTTGGTATATCCAGGAAAATGTAGTGGAGCCGCATGTAGTGGTATTTCCTGGTTGGGAAAATGTGAGATTGCCTGTTGCGGACATAGTTGTGGATGGTGAGGAGGAAGTAGCGGTAGATGTCTGGCTGGTGGATGAAGATGGCGTCGAGGGAGGATCTGGGGACTCGCTCGAGTCCTTGTCAGGTCCTCCTTTCTTTGCGGCCAGTATTCCAACCAGGCAGAGTATGATGAGGACTGTAGTTTTCGCCATCTCGAGCGATCTAGGGTCAGGCGCTTCAGCAAGTATGATGTGTGAGGAAGAGAACCGGACGACTTACGGGCGAGCGAACGAGGGACCATGAAGCGAGGCAGAGAGTCGAACGATAATTGATCAATTTAAGAGTCTCCACATGTGAACAGGACCTCGCGACTTGTGCGCTCTTTCACTTCGCCGGAGAAAACATGGGAGGATACCTTATCCCCGGTGGCATAGGCTAGAAACTCGCCGGATCAATTTGCAGCGTGCATTCACAGTGAATGCGGTGACGGTACCATGGTATGCATTTGTTTCTCATGCAAGGTCAAACAAAACTCTAAACAACGGGTTCTTTCGCATCCATAGATAGATTCCTCAGGCTAGATCGAGTATAATCCAGCGGGCATAACTGAGCGTCCTAGAATGGTCTCTAGTACGCTTGGCCTGAGGACTTGGTTGAGCAAGAAAGTAGGATCAACTTGGCAGGATGTGCGTTCGCCATCACGAACCCCTTGCAAGTGGGGTAAGTGTGAGAGCGCGTTCGTGTTGAAGGCTCGACGTCCACACGCGCATTCGGAGGACACATCCAGCGCTTATATGTGGAGTACGGCATCGGCCAGTATGGTGTGAAATCTTGTAACCATCGCGCCAGGGATAGAATTAGACCTGAGTGGAGTGTTGGTGGGATGTTGCAGCTGAGTCCTGTGTAAATGAAAGCTTGAAGGGAATAAGGTTGCGATAACCGGGACAGTAAACAGATGTACCCGACAGCCTGAGGCATTTTCCTCTTGCATATACCGATAAGATCGCATTGCGCAAGGATCCTCTGCTCGATTCCGTGAGGGCATTGTCGTTTCCCAGCAGGGCGACCCGTTCAACGCCACATTCGTACTAAGCAGGCAACCCGTTTGTATATTTCCAGACCAAGAACGCACCTACGGAGTTATCGAGAGTCTAAGAGAGACAGAGACGTACAGTTAGAGCTAGTTCGCAGATGGAACCTGGGCCTGTCGGAATATTGATCGACATGGTGAACGTCAACGGTTGAACTGACCGTGGCATTTGCTTTAGCGCATGACTCTTCGTGCGAACGTCCAGTACGTCGAAAGGCATCCAGGTATAGCTCCAAGATCAGCGGCGCCGGCCTAACTTCGATATTTTGCCCAACGACTTAAAGGTCGAGAAAGAAAGAGGCAAGCAAGAGGTCACTGCCATCCAAGTTCAACATGAAGGTCGCAATCATCGGCGCAGGCCCGAGCGGTCTTGTCTGCTGCAAATCTTTGTTGGAGAATGCGTCAGAGGAGTACCCCTTCGACCCGGTGGTATTGGAACAAGAGGAAGACATCGGTGGTACTTTCCGATATCGAGCGTATGAGGTTGGTCCCCTTCTCAGGTCGGTCGGCGTTCTACTGTCTGACTCTGAAACATCTCGCTTTTCCGCATTGACAGAACGCCACACTCGTGTCATCCAAGCAGCTCACGTCCTTCTCGGACTTTCGATTACCTCTCTCACATCCTGACCATTTGACGTTGGAGGTGAGTTTATACTTGACGAACTGGAATAAACGACTGGTGCTTGAAGTTGATCTCGATATGCTCAGGAATACGTTGATTATCTTCGTGAATACGCAGAACACTTTCAGCTCCTCAAGCGCGTACAACTTGGCTGCAAGGTTGTCAGTATCTCCAGAAACCCTCTAGGTGGCCACCGCATATCCTTCGTGAAACGAGTGAAAGATGGCGAGGCATGGACTAGTGGTGAGTTCTGTATTCGTCGCTACTCCATTCGTGTTATTCACGGTCTGGTGTAGAACCTGAGATCCTGGAAGTAGCATACGTTGCTGTCTGTACAGGTCTCCATGTCGTACCATCGATACCCAAAATACCTGGTATAGAACACGTCCTGGAAAATCGGGAGGGCGACACGGTGCCCGCTCGTAAGATCTTCCACTCGGCACAGTACAAGTCGCGTTCACAACTTGCTGGTCGACGAATTCTGGTGCTTGGGACCGGGGAAACAGGGATGGACCTTGCGTACGAAGCCGCAAAGGCCGGTGCAAAAGAGGTCGTTCTTTGCTCTCGTGGTGGATTCCTCTCGTTCCCTAAAGCCTTGGTACGTCCTCATTTTTATCACATGAACGGATGCTCACTGGATGATAGAATGACTTTGAAGTGTTTGGGATCAAATTTGAGTCTCCAGATCCTCTGCCTATCGACTCCTTAATCACCAACCTAGCAGAAACAGCCTACGTCGTATGCACCAACCCTTGTCTCCTGTCAACGCGATATGTGCTTATATACTGCAAATATAGCATCCGTGGGTAGCTGCATCACATTTGCGCTGGTTGTGAGTGTTGCGTCATCATTGTTCAGAACTTGCAGTTTATCTACATCGCTACTCTCAAGTGTCTCAGATGCAGTCATCAAGCGCGTGCTTTGGCTGTTGACCGGGACTCAAGCAGGCTGTAACCAATGGGTCGGAGAGCTAGCACCGGAGCGATTAGGTCGAGCCTATGTCTTCCTGAACAAGGTGAGTACAGCATGCCTAGAAATCGAGCATCTACTCATTCTTTTTAGTCACACAAAGCTATGCCTTACATCAATCGCCCCTACCGCAATCGACCGTTCTATCTCGACTACCTGTCAAAGTATATTGACCCTCCAGAAGATGCACAATCCAATTTCTCCGTTGAACTCGCACCTTTTCCTTCTCACGTCTTACCGAACGGGCGCGTCGTCTTTCCCCTGTCGAAGCGGAAGGACGCAATGAGAATGATGGGTCGCGATGTCCGGCCTGATACTGTCATCTTCGCTACGGGATATACCCAGCACTTCTCGTTCTTTGACGAGAAGGATGAATACGGAACACCGGCAGAGGCGGACATCAGAAATGTCGTCAAGAGTGGGGACGAGGGTGTGGCGTTTATTGGTTTTGTGAGGCCTGGTGTTGGTGAGTACTGCATTTTGTATACCTGCGCTCATAGGCTCATGCCCATGCTGGTGTTTTAGGCGCTATTCCCCCGATTTCTGAGATGCAGTCCATGTTTTGGGTCTCACTTTTAAAAGGTCAGGTCAAACAGCCGCTGCCGCCGCCGCACTATCATCTTCTTGTCAAAGAGAATGCGCGCATCAAGTACGGCGTCGACCATTCAACATATATGTCAACTTTGGCGAAGGACATTGGTGCCGCTCCTGGTCTCTTGGATTTGTGGCGGACCTATGGAACTCATGTGCTTGTGTGCTACTGGTAGGTCAACTGAAGTAGAGCATTCCGTTCCCTTGGCTAATTACGATGCACAGTTTTGGAGCAGCTTTCACTTCTTTCTACAGGCTGGTTGGACCTTACAAGTCGAATGATGTCGTGCCTGTGATCAAGACAGAACTTTGGGAAACTATCACGCGACGCGGGATTCTAGGCAAGTTCATTGCCTTTGCCATGTTTGTGCATAAACTGATGGTGAGCGCAGGCAACCTTCTCATGGGTGTGATACCTATGGTATTCTACCTTGCAGTGAACGCTGCTGCATATGCGACGGAGAAGATATGGACGTTATGTGGTGGGCCGCCGTTATTTGATGAGGCGTGGCAGAAAACTTGAGAAGTGTGGCCCATTGTATCTACTCGTACTTTTTCTTCTTCTTTTTGGACATTATATTATATTATTCCTTCACCACGTACCAGCCCACTTCATCATGGTTTTTGTGATCGAACATGTACAGTATCTCAAAACAAGGTAAACATCCCTCATTTGTGGGGCATGCGTGGGACACCGCTGTCTATAGACGCGTTTGCGCCTGCTTGCGCGACGCGATCAACGGTTTTGCTGTTCCATAACCTCTTGGTCGATGTCGACCGTGGCATATAGGTCCATTGCCCCTATTACTCACCAGAGGGATCTATTTGCTCAACCAGTCTCCGCGCTCTGTTTTGATCCTGTCTCCGATACTCTCTGGGCCGGTACAAATGCTGGCAATGCTGTGGCCTACTATACACCTCGCGGAATGCGAGGCGTCACCTTTCGCGTTGGAGGAAATCTCGCCGTGAGGAATATTCTAGCTGACGAAAGCTCGGTATTTGCTAGCGGAATAGATAGTAAGGGTGTGGGTGCATGGAGTAAGGGAGGGGTGAACAAGTGGTATCACCGGTGCGTACTCCGTCGACTATAGTGGTCGAAGTTTGTCGGATATTGACCTTGACGAAGATCTGCCACGTCTGTGACGGCGACTTCGAATACTCTGAGCTCTTCGAAGACTCTTGCCATTGCTACTTCGACTCCAGACTTATTGCTCCTCAACGCGACCACAGGGAGTGTCATCCGCCAATCATCCGTCCCTTCCCTCATCAGCCAGTTACATTTCTCCCATAGCTTTCTTTTGGCCGGCTCCTCCGATGGCTTCGTACGATGTTTTGACTCCCGAACGGGCATGCGACGGGAAGGCGGTGCTGAGAGTTCCGTCAAAGCACATCCGAGCGAAGTGCAAGGCTTGCAGTCAAGCGGGAACTACGTCTACACGATTGGATGGGGATTGAGGTACGCTCGCGAACTATTTAATGGGCACTGTGTTGAGAAGGCATCTTAGGCAGGCTCGCACGATACCCGATCCTTTGGTCAAAATGTATGATATCCGGACGATGAAACCTTTACCGCCCGTGCCATTTCCTGCTGGCCCAGCTTTCATCAATGTTCTCCCCAAGCGATCCTCTACGATTGTCGTGACGTCAAATCAAGGTCTTATAAATATCGTCGATACATCGAACCCAACCAATGCAGCGGAATTCTATCAGGTCTGTACATGCCTGGCCAGGATTGTGCGTGTGGTATGTTTACTGTTGTTCAGCTTGACACGACTGCTGTCGTGCGGTCTGTCGCCGTAGCACCGACAGGAGCGTATATGGCTCTCGGAGACGGAGACGGTGTCATTCATCTCATGACTGCAGCTGATGATGAAGGCGAACATCCTTTCAATGGGTTTGAAGGACAGCCAATAGAATGGGCAGATACACCAGAGCCTCTTCAAGATATTGAATGGGACGATTCAACGTCAGATATCTCCTTAGCTCTGAGTCTCTCCCAACGTTCTGAACTCACATCTTAGGCCACTGAATCGCGTTGGCATGCCATATTACACCACTCAACTGCTCTCATCCTGGACACCACAACTCGATCCTTCAGGAGTCGTGTCTCTTCCGACTCCCAAGATTCCCGAGGAAATCTCCAGAAATCTTAAGAAGAACGACAATGTTTGGTATGCTGCTCTCCCCCGTGAGTTCCGGGGGCAGCGAAACATGGTAAAATCTGCGCCGCGTAAGGATCAAGGACGGTTCAGGAGCGGCAGATCTCGAAGTTCAGTAAGTTGATCACAGAGTTCTACGAGTATGAAAGAGCGCTCATCCTTGTTGGAAGGTTGACGAGGACTCGTCGGTCAAGGATGTTGTCGGTGATGATGTTCCGAGGAAGTATGCGAAGGTGGAGATCGAGTACTCAAAGTTTGGTGTGGAAGATTTCGACTTCGGGTGTGGCCTTTGATCTGAAGATCCTTCATCCTTCATGGCGCTGATTCTCATATTGCTCATAGCTTCTATAACAAGACTGAATTCAGCGGCCTTGAAACGCACATTCTGAACTCCTACACCAACCCATTGTTGCAAGTCATGCACTACATTCATCCTATTCGCCGCCTCGCCAAGTCCCATATCACCACCAGTTGTCCTCGAGAACATTGTCTCCTTTGCGAGCTTGGCTTCGTCGTGCGCATGCTTGAGGATGCTAGAGGTACAAACTGCCAGTCCACGAACTTCTGCAAGACGGTCAACGTTCTCGCACATTGTACGTCGAGACTGAAATTAATTTACAAAGATGTCATTTGCTAAAGATGTCCTTAGCACTCAATGCCATCGAGCTCATTGACTACGGACGGGACTCCATCGATATGGATCATTCACACATGATTCAGTCTTTCCACCGCTTCCTGATGGATCATCTCAGCACCGAGAGCAATGCCTTCCCACACAATCCCTCGCTCATTAGCTCACCTTTCTCGCCGCCTCCTGGACAGGAAGGTATGCATCAGCCAGCGGCTGCACCTGTTACGCAACTCTTGGGTTTAGATGGAAAGAATATCATGATGTGCACATACTGTCAATCCGTCAGAGAGAAGGACAACTTAACTCATGTGGTGGACATGATATATCCTCGAAAAGTACGCTTTTATTGCCGCATCTCCTCACAAGTGTTCTTATATTGCTTTTTGTTTTGTTCAGGGAGACCCAAGCGTCGGGACCGACTTTACGTCTGTTCTCAACGCCTCCTTGGTCCGTCAACTGAGCCACAAAGCGACCTGCCCGTCCTGTAAACACTTCGTCAATCTCGAATCAATGCGGTCTATACCTACAAGTAGCCTACCCGCTATCCTGGCCTTGAACGCAAACGTCCAAAGCGAAGAAATCATGGACTTATGGTTAGACAATCGCAAGCAAGCATTCTTGAAGCCAAAGGTAACGTTGCATGGGCAGGTGAACGGTATTGATGACCTGGAGAGTGTTGTCTACGAGCTAAGAGTACGCTGTTTTCCCTCAATGCTGAGCTCGAACGATAAGCTGATATGAGGTCCAGTCGATGGTGATCAAAGTCGTTTCGAAAAACAGACGGACTCACCTGATCGCGGTTGTCAGAGGTATGGTCATATTTTCTACTGCATTCTGTATGTGCTCTGACTTGGTATCTTTAGTACCCGAGGCTGAGGGCCGACCGGAGTTTGAGAGCCCTTGGTTCGTCTTCAACGACTTCGTCGTCCACAACATCTCGGAATCCGAAGCGTTAAGCTTTACGGGGAAGTGGAAGGTATTTTTTTTCCCATGGGCCTTTCTTTTCTCAGTGGACTCAACGACATCTCAGGTCCCCACCATCCTCTATCTCGAACGTCTAGGTGCTCGAGAGGCATTAGATTTCTCGGGGCTACCAGACGCAATCGATCCTTCGATCCTCAGCCGCGACACATCCATATCGCTGTACGTATCATCCCTCCTTGAGCATATCACGTACTTATCTGCTCAATAGAAACCGCGACCCCGCACTCATCAAGCATGAAGTCCTGCGTGCAGATGAACTTCCCAAGCCGGGAACTCTGGTCGCCATTGACGCTGAATTCGTGGAAATGCAAGCTGTAAAATCTGTTCTGTCCTGTGCATAGGTATTAGTTGCTGACTTTTTCCCATAGGAAGAAACAGAATACCGCTCAGACGGGACCAAGAAGGTTCTCAGGCCAGCTCGGCTGAGCTTGGCCCGAGTCTCTGTGCTCCGTGGCGATGGACCTAAGCAGGCCGTACCCTTCATCGACGACCATATTCATACGAGTGAAGCCATCGTGAACTATCTGACCGAGTTCTCCGGGATCCGATGTACGTCCCTGTAACCTATGTTTCGAATTCGCATCAACTCATGAGTTCGTCCTCGCCAGTTGGTGACCTCGATCCGCATAATTCCCGGTACACACTGGCACCACTCAAGCTCGTGTATAAGAAGTTGCGTTTGTTGGTGGATCGTGGGTGTATCTTCATCGGACATGGCCTTTCAAAGGACTTCCGTATCATCAGTATGCCTTTGACAACCTGTGCTCCATCATGGTCCTTATGACCAATATTATTTTCACAGATATATTCGTCCCTCCGGAACAAGTCATCGACACTGTAGACCTCTACTTCCTTCATGCTCGCCATCGTCGTCTGTCCTTGCGCTTTCTTTCCTGGTTTGTTCTAGGAGAAGAGATCCAACTGGACACGCATGATTCTATCGAAGATGCGCGCTGTGCTTTAATGCTCTACAAGGCGTACCACGAATTTGAAGATCAGGGTGTGTTTGACCAGAAACTTGATGAACTTTATCGGGAGGGCCGCAAACACGTGAGTATTTTACTCACCTTCTTTCTTGGTCGTATAGCCCATTCATGATATTGATTGGTACTGTTGATGGCTCGTCACAGAACTGGAAGCCCCCAGCGCCCGCTGGTGCCACCGTAACCTCGGCCGTACCATCCCCTGCACCGACACCATCTGTGGGCCCATTGAACCCCTTCGCCATGATGCAAGGTGGGCTCCTACAGTCTGCTTTCATGCCCGGGGGCTTTCAGCCTACACCACAGGCCGCACCTTCGCCTGGAATACAAACCTTCTTTGGTGCCAGTCCACAGCCTCAGTTTGGACGAGGGAGTCAGAGGACAAACTGGCGGTAATTGACGATTCTGGGTAGTGGGCACCGGGCACGAAGTTCATGAACGAGATATCAGTACGGCATAGCAATTGTGTATTCAAGCATGGATGTTGTCTGTAATGTCTCACACTGTACAATGACCTATGTAGCATCCAAGGAGATCGAAACATGTGAAAGGATCTATCAGACCTTAGTTGAAGAATCAGTCGCGAAGAGCGGTCCAATCAATACCACCATCTCGACCATATTTCTCTTCTAACCACTCGTTCGCCTTCTTGAAGTGTTCATTGCCTAAAAATCCACGATACGCTGAAAGAGGCGATGGGTGTGGAGATCTGAAGTCCTGTCATCAGCGGGCATGCGAAAAAAAACCATGGTGAAGCTTTACTCACTTTAGTACAAGATGCCTCGTCTGTGAATATCCGTCGTGTCAGGTGAGGGATTTCTCAGCTTGTGAGCAACTAGGACGCACCTCGTCTATCCCGACAGCCTTACACGTAGCCTGCGCAGGTGCACCCCAAGCTAGGAAAACAACGCGCGCGTCTTCTCGATGGGCGACCGCCCTTAGTGCAGCCGTAGTTAGTTGCTCCCAACCTTTTTTGCTGTGAGAGTTCGCTTTATGTGCTCGGACGGTAAGTGAACTGTTCAGGAAGAGGACTCCTAGTTTGGCTAGAGGTGTTAGATCCCTATCTCCCATAAGGTTGAACGAAGTGAGCATGATGATTCTAAGAGCCACAGGACAGTACCAAGTTGAGAAGACTGACCCCGTACGTGGTATGACAAACGTTGGATAGTCGGCATGCATTTGTTTGTATATATTGCGCAGGGAAGGAGGAGGCTTGGTTGGGGGTAAGACGGAGAAAGCGAGTCCTGGTGTGTGTTTCAGCAAGATCAGATATCGCTGTGCTGGAAATTTCCTACCATGGGCTTGATTTACATCATGGTACGGATCCTGGCCTCTGGACGTCTACTTCAGCATAGGTAGCAGAAGGGAGAGGCCGAGCCACACATACATTACGACGACTTTGACGGATGGGAGTGGTGTTAGACGTGACCACGAATAGATATCTCGTACTAAGAAAAGTTCAAATGTTAATGGTACACAGGTAGCAATAGTTCGATGTAAGTCTGACCAGCAGGATATATTGTCTGAGACTTATTTTCGGTGAGGATGAAATCCTTCAACTATATATGCGTGACACTTCAGATTGTATCTGTCATAGACACGAGACATAATGATTTTACCTTTCGAAAATATGGTTTGCCGAACTCTGAGGAAAGAGCATCGTACCAGCTCTTTCCCATTGTCTCTTGTTCCAAGCGCTCGAAGATGGCCTGCGACGAGCTACTCTCTCCTTCTGCTGTCTTTACAGAAGGCACGAGGACGTCATCTGCGATACTATAAACGTAGCGTTGAGCGATTATAAGCAAGTGAACCACTAGTCCTCCGTACCGATCGGTTTCTGCTAGGTCATCTGTCGCTATGGATGTTCGTCTCTTTTTCTTTGGCGGGCTTGTGGTGATGAAACCGCCTTTGCCGATAGCTGCGGCTGCCACAGTAGGCACCGAAGTAAGCTTCCGCTTAGACGAGCGTGTTGACGACAGCATACAAAAAGCGATAGTTCGGGTTATGCAATGGCAGCTGTAGAAAGAGGCAGCCAATGTGAAGCAGTTAAAAGAAAGTTACTACGCGAGGTTACGCGTCAAGACGCGCACCCAACACGAGACGCGACTTGACACGTTTACGGCAATAGCCGTGTGGCGCAGGATGTGTGGCATCCCTACGCTTCCCTGTCCGATTCTGCTTTATACCTCCCTATTTCCTCAGTTTGAATGTGCATAGTGTTTCAGCCCATATCACATCGCAAGAGTATTTCATCGAATACCAAAGACGAGCTCGGGATGCCTGCCGAGTTAAATATCAGGAATTTGCCCATAAGTATTGGGTGTTGTGCTAGGTATTACCTTCCAGTCACTTTTCGAGGGTAGATTTCATTGTTTTCATTCACGAACTAGGCATTGCATTGAATAGTCCACAAGTAACGACTGTAGATATCAAGTATGACTAGGTCAAAGATAGGAAATGCTACAATTTTAATCCGTATATGAATGAGGCCATGAAAGGAGAGGGCATGGAACGAACCTGAAGGCCGCGTGTGTCAGGATGTGCATCAAGTATGGTTACAGAGCCATGAGACTAGAGTAAAGAGAAGGTGAATGAAAGTCGTTAGTTGGAAAAAGAGAAGAGACGCGAGAAGTCGTGATAACAGTCCATTTTAGACAAAAGAAACCCTTGCTTGGTCGTTGAGTGAGCGTGCTGCTGAAGGCGTGAAGTGATCGGGGGAATTCCTATGCTGAGTGTCCACAGAGATGCCCGAGTCATTGATCTCCACGGTCTAGACGGAATGATCAGGCCGAGATGATGAAGAAAATGTCTTGTCTGAGTACGACTTACGTCCAGAATTCCAGTTGTGGTAGTTGTGCGCCTACCAATCAAGTCAACCTTGAACTTGATTTGGAGAATGATTAGGCAGTAGATTATTCCCTGCACGGAGAATCAGCAGGCAATCCATTGGTGATGACCTTTTGTACCTGGGATTGTGACTCACCACAAGGGAAGGCTGCATGTCGATGGCGATAAGCTGGCCTAACGACCCTCGAACGTGCATCACCAAAGATGCCAGCACGTTGATCGTGTAAAGGGCTCCAGACTCCGCGAAGACGAGTATGAAAGGCATCAACATCCGCCAGCCAAACTCCAATCTCCGTGCATTATAAACACACCACAAGGAAATCGCCACTGTGACCGAGAACGGTGTCAAATCTACACAGGGATCACACTGAAAGGAAGCCACTTACGGGTCGTGTAAATGTTGAGAACGAGAGTCAAAGCGAGATAGGTAGCAACCCAAATCTCGACATCCTCCGAGTCGATACTTGTAATGAACCAACTGCGGGCTTCTCCGATGAAAGCAGCTACACCGACCCGGTATGAACTTGTCACAAATCAACAACGTTGATACAATTGTGAGTACGCACCGAAACATCCGAGAAAGCAAAGGATAGGAAATGCCGTCGCTTTGAACCGCCTAGAATAAAGCACATGGCATCGCCATATCTAAAGACAAGATATCATGAGACAGTTAATCTTGTATATCGACTGTAGTGGAGAGAACAACGCAACGAGAATGCCATCCCCAAGCAAGGTCTGAAAGCTGACGAAGAAGACGTCTGCGCCGAATAAACTTTTGCCTTTGCTTGTCAGAAAATAAAGGCCTGAGCTACCGGGGAGGATTTGTCCAAAGGTTTGGGCGAAATTCATCCCAAGGTGCTGGTGAAGGTTATGAGATGTAGTTGGACTTTAAAAAAAGTTGGGTGAAATATGTTTACCACTATAGCAAAAGTGACCATGGTAAGAATTGTCGGCAATATGTACCCTTTGCAATCGGATGTCCGATACTGCGTCAAGATGGTGACGCACGCAAGTGTGACGAAGATCCCTGATGACAATACAGCGGGCACAAACCGAAGGTTAGAACCAGAAAGATTACTTCTGCAGGAATGACATACCAGCTATGAAGCTCTCCAGAAAGAGGCCAATGAACTCGGCTTCGTCAAGTGAAAGCACCATTGTGAGGAACGACAGTCTGCTGGGGGTAAGAACAGAATGTCGCGCGCAGACGGTGGTGAGTCGCTACGCGGTTGGAGTGCGCGGGTGCGAAGAGAGGATATATAATCCAAAGAACCCTAGGCTGGGCTTATTTGCCGATCGGACGACGTCGAAGGCGAATATATGCGATGGAAGCTTGTTTTTACGCATGACATGGAGTCAACGGCACCGTACAGCGGCGATTCCAGATTGAGGCTTCCGGTTTTCGAGCTTCTTATAGGACGATATCGATGCTCTGTGGGCACGGTGGGAAATGCTATCTAATGAGTGTCGTAGAGCGGAGAATTTCGGTGCAAGAATTACCACACTGGTGAGTCGTCAGAGCGGCGACGTCTCAAGACGGATCAGGTCGAAAAGACTAAGGTGGTCAGCCGTGGCGACAACAGTCAGCAACGTGGAGCTTTGCTAAGAAAGTGCCGTTCCTGCAGGATCCCCGCTCTCGACCACGAGGTAATGGTACGTAAGTGCACGCATTACATACCAGTACGGGAGGACCCCCGACAATCACCTATGAGGTTTGATCTCGGTGCGGGGGTTTGGACGGCGCGTCAGCGCCGAGGTCTGAACCGAAAACGGGGGTTTGGGGGGCGGGTTTTGGCCCGATGTATGATCCAAAAGCGGGGGTTTGGGGAGCGTGGTCAGAGGTATGATCCCAAATTCGGGGGTTTGGGAGGGTCACGGTCAGCAACGAAGGTCCGATTCGGACGAAATTCTGACCTTTTCTGCACAGAAATGGGTTCCTCATGACCATCATTATGAGCAGTTCTCCGTGAATTTGGGTCTCAAAACCCAAATTCACGGAGAACTTACCCTTTCCTAACCTTCACATAACCTCAACTTCCCCTAACCTAGCCCGGACATAACCTCAACATAACCTAACCTATCCCGGTCTCCTCTTGATATCGACCGAAACTCCGCTTGTCTTGCGCATAGCGTGGACGGCTCGGTCAAAAGAGTAGACCAGGTTTGGGTAAGGTCAGGCTATGTCCGGGCTAGGTTAGGGTAAGTTCAAGTTGAGGTTATGTGAGGGATACTCATAACATTTCGAGGACCCTCAGAAGTGGTTCCACAATGGTAGAGGCCCAACTAAATTTATTACGATTTATTGCTTATTTTCGATGTATATTCTCGAGGCGGGGGTTTGCCCGCCCTCGAGCGAGGTATGATCCCAAAAACGGGGGTTTGGGAGGCGCTTCGCGCCTCCGAAAATTCGGGGGTTGGGTGCAGGGGCCGGAACAGACCTCACAGGGGGTTGTCGGGGGTCCTAGTACGGGTCGCATCTGGTCGCATCAAAGCATATTCAAGGAGATGGTAACGGGCCAGGGCTGCTACAAACTTGACCACGGGCTGAAAATACCTCTACTTACTCGCGATTTGTAGTTGTGAGCGGGGGTCCATAGACTGTATGTCACAAATACATCTTGTCCGCGTACATAGCAAATTGCGATCTTGACGAAATTCAAAGCGCTGCAGAGTGCCACGCTTCGCGGCGAAGATCTACTCGAGCTCGATCTAATCTTTTGCCGAAGCCAGAGAACAAAACCTTCGAGGTCGCGGTTTGAGTTTCCACGATGTCTTAGTCATTCCCACAAGAGATAAGTCTGCGGACATAATGGCATGTCACCGAGCGAAGCAGATGGCATAAACTCACGGTACAATTATCGAGTCGCTACCGTTTACTCTTCGCAGCCATCCTCTTCCTACCAGTTCTGACCTCCTTCTCAAACTTGCCCCGCTTTCTCTGCCTCGGACTGTCCTCGGGCAGATCATCTACCTCGCTTCTTGATCTGGCCCGAGCTAGCGCGCCAGCCTTCCGGCCCTTCGTCCTGAGTTCTTCGTACCCATCCCCGATTGCGCTTCGCCTGTCTCTTCCCACAGACTTCAGCACATCCGTGAACTCATCCTCGAAGCCACCACCTCTCCGCCGGCCGCTGATATCACCGGAGCCGCCAAGTGCGATATCCTCTTCGTCCTTCCGCCTTCTCTTATCGTCCTTCTTTTTCAAGACCAATCTGGTGAAGTTGTCCTCTTCGAACTCAGTCATACGCTTGATTTCGCGCGCACGGGTGCTCTGCATGATTGGAGCTGCACCAAGACCAGACGTAGATTCGAGGTAAGGTTTCGAGGGATCGAGCCGAGCCAACGACGAGAGCGCAGTCGGAATGGGTGCCCTGCGAGAACGTTTGTCCTTTCCGGACGACTCGGTATAGGGCATGGGAGCGAGCTTGGGAGGACGATAAATCCCATCTTGACGAACTTCTCCGTCCGCTGCGTCTTCGTCATCCTCATCGCTCATATTAGCGTGCATAAGCGCTTGCGGATTAGGTCGGAAGGCAAGAGGGTCTGGGAACAATTGCGTGAGATTGACGGCCATACCCACGAAATATTGTACACGTACCGTCTAATGCATTCTCGGTGGATTCTTCCGCCACTCGGACGAGCTTTTCGATTTGATAGCGCATCTTGGTCTCAAGGACCTTGATTTTCTCAAGCACGAGTCGGCTTTCAATCATGGAATCAACAAGATCTCCAGGTTCCGACCCTCTCGCATCTCGGTTCGCTGCGCTGAAAGGTAGGGTAGGTACGGTTCGCTCGCGGAGAGAATGTCCCAATGCGCGACGGGAGTTGAGAACGACGAGAGACTGAATGTATGAGAGAAGAAGATGGTGCTTGAGTGTGATAAGTGAGATCCCTTCCTTCAGATCTGCGTCGGATGATTTGGTCTGCCTAGGCAATGGACACGGGTCAGTCAATAACGATTGTGTTGAAGAGTTGATAACAAATGAGACGGAACAAACAGTTACTTTTCCCGGAGAAGTTTCAGTTGCTCACGAACGGAAGAGAGACTGCTCGTCATCTCATCCATAATGTCGCAGAACGCTTGCTCTGATGCCTCAGATTCTGACATGATGGCTGACCGGTTTTCCTGTTGAAAATTTTTAAGATCGTTAGTTCTGAAAAGCCATGATTGTCGAGACTAAGTGTGTGTGTGTTCAGTAAACGGTTTTCTAGGCCGCCATCTCATGGAGATGTAGTGCATAACCTCAATGGATACTTTTGTATCTCAGAGCCCAGTGCGTTTCATCCTTCGTCTATGAGGGTTAGGGAAACCGTACCGACTCACCAAGTGTATACGCCGTCGATGCTGTTGTCGTCCGCGACCAGAAGCAGCTGGTGGTCGATGGTGAAGAGGGGGGGCACGCAAATTGAACGAGAAAATACAAGACCAAACAAAGCTTGCTCGCGTGCGCTGATGGAAGCGGCTGATGCCACACCGCCACCACAAATAGACATGCGTTGACAACGTTCAAAGCAACAGGCCTCTCTTTGCTTTCGACGTTCACGACAATTTATGTTCACAGTTCTCTTCAATATCTAACTCATCACACTGGTACTATTCGTCAATCTCAGCAAACTTTCCTGCTTCAAGTCAAGTATGAGCGACCGTAGCCCCGTCGCCGTACGAAGACAAGGTCAATCAGCCAAGGCTGGTGAAGGCAAAAGTAGCAGTCGGGATAATGGAACTCGCGCTCTTGTAGAGGGCTTTGATGCCATGGCTTTAGGTGGTGGTAGTAGACGACGTTACAGTGACCCTCGCGCAGGTCCCCAGTTCATCGGTGGTTTCAAGGACACGGGATCCAAGCCTCTGCCAAATGCTCCTCGTCCTGGCTTTCCGGGCTATCCTAACGTGATGCCATCTCCTCACGAAAGGCCACCTTCCTATACGTCGCAGAATGCACCATCTTTCCCTGGAGGTTTACCGCCGCTTCCTAGACCGCCCAATGCGCCGTCCATACCTATGCCTGAACCTCAGTATCAATCCCTCACTATGCAATACGCTCTTGATTCGTCTACCTCTTCTCCCCATATGAGCCCAGAATACCGACCAGACACCAAGTATAAACCACCATCTGACACTACGGGTCACCTCACGCCACCCATACCACCGCCACACGTCACTCGTCCTCATTCCGATCCAACTCTATCTCCAGAGGCCCACGCCCAACCTTCAGGTCAGCGCAAGGACCAACAACCCCCTCGAATTAAGCCAGTAGTACCACCTGGCCGGCACCTCAGAGCCCATTCCACCCCGCCCTCACCGATCACTCCTGCGAACGATTCGTCGTCCAACGCCGAGGCTGTCCAATGTAGCGGAATGACCAAGGCCGGGAAACAGTGTACGAGACAGGTCAAGGTGGACGCGTCAATGAGGAATATAGGGAGCGGAGTGGATGTGTTCTGTTTTCAGCATGCGAAAGAGGTTTTGGCGCCTTCTGGATTTTATGATCGGAAGTCTGGGCAGAACTTTATCAAGTTTGCAGGTATGTTGTGGTACACCTCGTTCTCAAGATAAGTAACTTGTGATCCTGACAACACTACGCTTAGATTGGATTCCGGACTACTTACAGCCTGGGACGCAGGCATCGCTCCGTGCGGAAATGGAGAAAGCGAGATCTCACACGGACGAGCCAGGATATATATATACATTTGAGATCCTAGGTTCGTCGTGTGTTTACTTCATTTTGCCCTAGTTCCTACGCTTATGCCCCACAATCACGCAGACCCAGATGAAACAGAGGTTATCCATCTGAAAGTTGGCCGCGCCAACAATCTCAATCGCCGCATGGACCAATGGGGCAAGCAGTGCGGCTCCAAAGAACAGATCGTCCGTGGCTGGTGGCCCGGTGGTATCGTCCACGATGAGGCCAGCCTTATGAAGGGCACGATAAAGGCTGGCGAGAAGGGTGCTTGGTGTCATAGGCTGGAGAGATTGGTCCATCTGGAGTTGGCGGACTTGGCCACGAACACGCCGTACTTGCACGCTGGATTTCCGGGCAAGGGGAAGGCCAAGGCCACTGCGAGTGGGAGTGGGAGTACGAGCGGAAATGGCGACGGGAAGGACAAGGACAAGGGCAAGAAGGGCAAGAAGGATATCAACCGTTGCCCTGATTGTATGTATTCCTCTCTACACCGTTTGGAGTGGACGCGCTAACCTTTACGGTGAATCAGGTGGTACGGCACACAAGGAGATCTTCTCTTTCGTAAGGGCGAAGAAAGGTACCTACAAGGACAAGGAGTGGGATCTCATCGTGAAACCTGTGATTGAGAAGTGGGGCGCTTTCGTGGAGGCGTATCTGTGAACTATACGCGTTGCGCGCGCGAACTACTGGCGTGATTTGTGTTATTTACGACTCTCTTCTTATGGACTGATCTTCTTGACCTCCATTCTCGACTAGTCGGGACTGTATATATCCTTCATCTCTATGTTATTACTGTACACGCACGAGGAACCAACCTATGTATTTTCATATGAAGTACCGTCAAACTCATAACAGAACTCCGAATACGTACACGCCATACGACCCATATTTATATATCAACATCGATAGTCAGTCCTACCTGGGGTGTAGAGACAAGAAGTGAACGTCAACACATCCAGATTGCCAGATACGATCCGTGGTGTAGATTCAGAACATCAAAACGAGGGTTTGAAGCAAAGCTTCTTATGAGAAAGCCAGTCTTGCTTTTGATGCTCCTGGCCACACTGGATCAGAAGGAGACGATTGAGCGTTGTTTAGAAAGTATTGGTCTAAACAAAAACACTTACATAGATTGTACATTTGCATCTGGAAGATAAGTAGGAGGGCGACTTAGTTGGCTACAAACGTGAAGAACTTGGACATAAAGTACTCACTCCCACAGCGAGGAAGTTCGTGAGAACCGTGCGGACGACGCCTAGTACAACCTTCAAAAGCACATTCGTAGAGATCCTTCTCAAATTTCGCCTTCATCATTCGGAACATCATCGAGGTAGCGCTAAACATCGATCCATGGTCAACATACGATAAAACTCTGAAGCCGTGACACGAAAAACAACGCACAAATTTGGACTGAGCTGAGCCCGGCACCGGTCGGCAGAGACCTGTAGCACGCCTCCCGAATCTACACGTTCTGTCTTCCATCGGTGCAATTTGGGAGTCAACGCCTGTATGTCTCCCTGGCTGATACCCTCTCTGCCCTGGTAGACTAAAAGAGTCGAAAGGAACTGGGTAGCCTCGCCCAGTTCTTCTCCTTGGAGGGAAGAGACTGCCGGGTGGGCTGCCATCCGTTTAGCATGTAGAATAGCCATGCCCTTGCCTGCATCAGAGCGCAAGAAACGAGAGAAATATGGTCTGTGTGACGGGATAAAATGGGTTTCAATTTAGCGATATCAGTATTATGTATATTTTGGACGATTGGACGCATGACCTACGTGTGTGAGATGACATTGAGCATCATGACAGAAGTGCTCATGATACTATTGTTCGATCTGAAGGCTTGCGCTAAAGCAGGCAGATGCAAAGCTGCAAATTCACTGTGTGGACAAGGGATGAGATTTCGTTCGTGTCCGTCAAGGAGTAATACACGAGGCCCGGGGGAGGAAGAGGGGGCAGATATCGGCGGGGGGACTTATACGCAACTGATACAATTCATCTTGAACACGCTCAGGCAGCACTTGCAGTGAAACAAGCTGTTATTGGCCATGTCAGCGGATGCACTCAGCAACATCATGAACATTGCATCTGGTACCGCTACGGACGCTCACCTGTCCTCTAAGCAAGAATTCTCGGCGACGCTCTGGAAGAGAAGCGATAGAAAGGCTTGCGAGACCACATAAATCTGCTAGAACATCGGGGGTGGTTGGCATATAAGGCTGCATTTTGCTGAGAGGAGAGGTCTGCACACGAGGAGAGTTGAAAGAGGGAAAGATGCGGTCAACTTGAAAGGACAAAAGGCCGCACAAAAAGGCCCAAACGCGTGTCAGTGTCAAATTGAAATTGCGCGGTCTTGGCATTGTGGCGCATGGCAAATTGAAATACAGCAATTGTGGCCCACACAACAGTACCGAATCGCCGGTCGGCATATTTCGAGTATTTTGATCCTTTCCACCCGTACGGGGAATCAGGTTTGCACCAAGGTCCATATAGTAGTACATGGACCAGATTTAAGCTGGAAACTGATGGGGATGAGTAAACTGAACAGGCGACATCGAAGTAGTAAACTAGATCTCCGCCAGAAGACAGGCTGCACTTCCTATATGCCGCCGAACATCATGATGGTCTACATCGTGAGCTGCGTAAAGATTCCAACATTAGTGCGAGGCTGAATCATCTGACAGACAGAACGTACAATCTTCGACTTCGCCCCATCGCTCAATCTGACTGGACACCTCGACCCTAGCCGCTAATGCAGCCTGTTCCACGGTGAGCCGCTTGTGCACAACAGCAAGTGCAATCAGGAACGACTTGGCCGTGTATGCAACGTGTTCCATGGCTGAGCAAAGGTATATGAGCTCGTCAAGTAGTCGCAACAAAAACAGGTACCTACCGGCCATTTCCCACTGGTCAAACTCACTCAGGATCTTGCTAAACTTCTCCTTCGTCTCTTTGGGTTGCGGATGGAAGAGAATGGAGTCGAAGGTCTTGATTTCCACATCAAACTCTGAGCGGACCCAATCGAGAATAGGCATCCAATGCTCGTTTTGTAAGCGGACCACAGGCGGAGGCTCGTCTGCGTGAAAGCTGAAGACAACCAGTCATTTCAGAAGAGTCGACTGATGAGCAAGTATGCCACGCACCATATTGTATCGGTATCCAGGTACTTCAAGAGCGTATCCCGTACTTCTGCCCGCGACGTTTCCTCGGCCATAGCATCAATGGCCCGTGCTGTGAGCGAAGTCTGTTCCATTGGCTATTGACACACAAGCGCAGGAGCCATGGAGGAAAAAAACACACCATCGGGAGTGCATGAGGTTTCAATAACGTCAATTGGTTCTCCCACTCCGAAGCGATCAAGGTGGCCACTAATTTTTTGTGTGGAGGAACGAGCAGCTGGTTCCCCGACGGTGTCTTCAGCGGTCGTTTATCCAACGTCACGGTCAACGCGTCGCCCTTTTTCTCAACATCAACAGTCTTCCAAAATCGTTTCATGCTAGTCTCCGCACCTAAGTTTGGAATTAGCGAACTCGCGACGGTTGTGAAGAATTTGTCGGACTTGACTTACGATTCGTGGCCGTGAGGGGAGCACCTTCCGTAGCGACGGCAAACGCACGCTTCCAAGAAGTGATGGGAGCTTGCCATGGTTGAAGCCTGCAAGTAGCAAGCACAGGAGGTAATGAGCGACCAAGTCGAATGGCAGACATGGTGGTAATGACAGAGAGGATGAGCAGACGCAGTCACGGGGTTTACGCGTCGCGAACTGAAATGTCATCGACGCGGACTGACGCGAATGCGGGGCGGCGTCTTGCTTCCGCTCCCCCAACATCTCCCACAATGGCAAACTCGAAGGATCCACCAGCGTCGCCAATGAAGCAGTCTAGGATATCTACGTTTTTCTCACAAAGTCCTACATCTCAGGCGAAAACTGCCAGGCGACACTCACCTGTACCCGATGAACGACCGTCCAAACGCCAAAAGACAATCCAAAAGCCACTATTTCGCCAGGACTCCCCACAGCTTGACTCAGATTCAGAACTGCATGGAAACCAGCAGCATTCAGTAGCGACAGAAAGATGGCGACATCGTCGTTCCCAGTCTCCTGAAAGTCACCCTCTTCAGCTCTCTCCTGCAGAGCAGGCCTCTCGCGACAACTTGCGTGCCGTGCTTTCCAAGAAACTTGTCATCGAAAACAACGTCTCTAGAAGACGAGACTTGGATATACAGCAGGATTTTGAACCCTCTGATGAGGACGAGACGGACGACGAGGAACAGCGTTCCGTAGCTTCAGACGGCGACTCGGACAGTCAGTTTAAGGCTCTGCAGGAGATGTTCTCTCAACCCTCGAAGAGTAAACTCAAGGGGAAGGCAGCCAGTGGAAAGAAGTCAGTCAAACCGCGCGGCAAGACTGTAGAGATAGGGCCCAGTGGAAAGCGATATACGCCTCTGGAGCTACAGGTTGGTACCATATTGTCCTCTTCCAGTTCGCCAACTCACCCTCTTATTCCTGAAGGTTCGTCAATTGAAGGACAAGTATGAAGGTGTGCTCCTCATGTTTGAAGTGGGATATAAATACATGTTTTATGACAATGACGCCCGTGTAAGTGTTCTACTCAATAACTGCATATCAGTCTCGTTCATTCTCCTGCTAGATTGCTGCCAAGGAGCTCGGAATCGTCTGTTTCGTGAAGCGTAATTTTGAGACTGCATCGATCCCTACCCACCGCGGTGACATACACCTGAAGAAGTACTTACATTCGCCCGATCATAGTAATTGCCCTGATTTGCTCACGGTGATTTTTATCAGGCTGCTCTCTCAAGGCCACAAAGTAGGCATCATCGCCCAGACAGAAACCGCTGCATTGAAGAAAGTTGGTGAAAACCGAAATGCGCCTTTCACTCGGGAACTTGCTCACCTATACACCGCCACGACGTAGGTCACTTTCTTAGTTGAAAGGAAATAAATATGCTGACAGTCTGCTAGCTTTGTAGATGAGATGGACTCGGTGGATGCATCTGGCGCTTCGGCTCCTCTCCTCATGTGTGTGGTCGAGGAGCCAAAAGGTGGCATGGGTGTAGACGAAAAGGTCATCGTTGGGATGATTGTTGTTTGTCCTAACACGGGCGATGTGACCTGGGACGAATTCGAAGGTGAAGTTCTTACTTATTCTGAACGGTAATAAACTCAGAGCTGACTAGCCACAGATGGTCACATGCGCACGGAACTCGAAGTGAGTCGTACATAATTATCTGATACCGGGCCAGTAAACGTTACTCACACCTGCTCTAGACGAGAATGGTCCACACAAAGCCAGCGGAGTTATTACTCTCAGGTCAGAAACTAAGCAAGCCGACCGAACGCATGCTAGGCTACTTCGTGACGTGCGTAGCACAGGAATTTTCTGCTCAGTTGGTAGAACTCATCTCTCACTCAGGCACGCTAATGGCGACCATAAGATTCGAATGGAGAGATACAAAGACCCGATGACTTATTCGGATGCCTTTGAATATGTGTCCGCATTCTACACACGCAAGACAACGTCTTCGAAGGCGTCTGAGAGCTTCAAGTCCGGTAACGTCTCAATGTACCAATTTTTAAGCACTGTTCTGACTAAATGACTCCAGGTGAACTAATGGCTGCTGTGACCGATTTCCCGAAGCAAGTCGTAATCGCTTTGGCCCAGTGCATCAGACATCTGGAAGCCTTTGACATCGCGGATTCACTCCTGGCCACAAAATTTTTCAGCGCGTTTATTACCACGAACCACATGCTTCTGAATGGCAACACACTCACGAACTTGTTTGTCCTTATGTGTGTCGCATGAAGGATCATACACTTACAATGAATACTCTTCAGGGAGATCTATCGAAATGAGACTGATTTCACGACACGGGGGTCTCTGATGTGGATACTGGATCGTACGACAACAAAATTTGGCTCCAGGCTGCTTCGAAGTTGGGTCGGTAGGCCACTGGTGAATAAATTGTAAGACTGATTCCCTTCCACGTATCAAAACGAAAATATTGATTTCGTTTTTGACAGAGCATTGCAAGAACGTACAGACACTGTGGAAGAAATTGTTGCCAGCCCTTCCATGAAGTTGGTTCAGCTGCGGTCGGCCCTCAGGGGTCTTCCTGATCTCGCAAAGGGTCTCAGTCGAATTCAATACGGCAAGGCAAGTATTCCCCGTCTTTCCCCTTGGTTTGTTTCATGGTTCTTCCATATTCAACTTTTAATGTGTAGTGCACACCCAAAGAGCTCTCAGTTCTCTTGCCAGCGTTCAACAAAGTCGCCATTATCTTCCCCGCCATGGACAACGTCTCCGATGTCGGCTTCAAGTCGCCAATCTTGAACGACATAATCGCAACCTTGCCTCGCCTGCGCGAACCGGTACAGGAGCTGATAAGCATGATCGTGCTCAAACGGGCTGCGGAAGGAGACAAAACACTGATGTGGTCGGATTCGGAAAAGTATCCAGCGTTGGCTGAAGCAGATATGGGCATTCAGGCGGTTGAAATGGACCTGGCCGATGAACTGAAGTCTAGTAAGTCTACCGATATTCGTATTTTGATCAGTTATATTGTACTGACAGCATGTGATAGTTAGGCGTGTCCTGAAGAAGCCTGCTCTACAGTGGAGTTCTAGCCGGGGAGATGAGGTGCGATATACTTATCCTGTCTTTCTTGGCCCGCATAGCCTGATAGTATCCTCAGTATCTCGTCGAAATACCGAAAGCCGAATCCTCCAGAGTGCCTGCTACTTGGCACTTGATCTCCAGGTTCTATCTTCAAACTTATACGATTGTATTCACCACTAACAGTACGTTCAGTACTAGTAGATTTCGCCGATACCACAGCCCAGTCGTCAAAGCCAAGGTCCAAGAACGAGCACAATTTAAAGAAATGCTCGAAGCAGCCGCTAACGACGCCTTCAAGTCCTTCCTCAACGAGATCTCTCAAAATCACTACGCCCTTCTCCGTGACGCCGTTAACAAGCTCGCCATCGCTGATTGTCTTATGAGCCTGGCTCTCGTCGCAATGAAAGGAGACTACGTCAAGCCTGAATTCACGGATGAAGTCGACACACTTGAGATCATCGACGGTCGACATCCAGGAGGAGAAGAGTTGAAGTCAGAACCATTTGTGCCGAATTCGGTGACCATGGGCCAGGGCGGTCAGCGGAGCAAGATCATCACGGGTCCTAACATGGGAGGAAAGAGTTCGTCCGTGAAGATGATTGCTCTCATTGCTATAATGGCACAGATAGGGTCGTACGTCCCTGCAAAGGCCGTCAAATTGAGCATGATGGATAGTATTTTGACGAGGATGGGAGGTGAGTCTTGCTTTTGCTACGTGGCGTAGGTCCCAGCTAATGCGTATGGCAGCCTCCGACGAGCTTGCGCGTGGACGTTCTACGTTCATGGTCGAGATGTCTGAGACGAGTGACATCCTGTCGCAGGCAACTAGCAAGAGCCTCGTCATCCTTGACGAACTTGGCCGTGGTACTTCCACTTTCGACGGTGTAAGTCTTTATGGTCTACTTCGGCCTGATTGCTGATGCTTAGAATGTCTCCCAAAGATGGCCATAGCGCAGGCGGCCATGCACCACCTTGTGCAAGTGAAAAAGTGCAAGACCCTTTTCATCACCCACTATCCGCTTGTGGCAACCGAACTTGAGCGACGCTTCCCTCAAGAGGTGCAGAACCTGCACATGGGTTTCAGAGAGGAATCTCGAATTAACGGCATCCGGGAAATATCCTTCCTGTATCGGCTGACTGAAGGCTTGGCCACTGAGTCCTTTGGGATTGAGTGTGGACGATTAGCCGGAATACCCGAAGAGGTCCTGCAAGCCTCAGCTGTCCAAGCGGCGAAAATGCGTCGGCAAGTCGAGGAACGTCACAGGCGAAACAAGTAGGTCCGCCTTGAATACGTTACACAATGGTGTACTTATTGCTGGTGTTCGCCAGGACTCGGAAAGCTGCCCTTTTGTTGCAGCGCTGTCTGCAAGCACCGTGCAGCGACACCTTAGACAATCTTCGAGACGCCATGGATTCGCTGTCAACGACCCAGACTAATATATAGATACTAGCATCCCACGATCTACAAGGACGGACATCATGCAGTCTTGGATTTTTTCCGCTTCGCCTTCTTCCCATTTACCACTGGACTCTCATCTACAGCATCATCCGCCTTCCGCTTTCCTGTCTTGGATTGACTACCTTCCCCATTTTTCTTGGATTTTACCTTACCATCTCCCGACTGTGCTTGGATTAATTGCAGGACCTGTTTGCACATGGAATGTAACCCGGTAGAGGTCTTGAACCGATCGTTCGTGGTAAGAGCAGTGAGGACGTCGTTCCATGCGGCGGGTGTCCAGGCTTTCGACAGGTCACCAGATTTGTCCGAAGTATATCGCTTGGTCTGACGGACTGCGAGGAGCGCGAGCTTGAGGAGGTCTTTCATTTGTGCTGCTGAGAATGTGGACTCCCGGCTTGCGCTCGTGATCACCTCTTGCAGACGTATCGAGAGCGCTGTCATGAATGGCACGAACTCGGCTTGTCGATCCTCCTGCGAAATAGCAAGAAAGTAAGTGGTTGTGGGGTTCCCGATAGAAAAATTACTCACCAAGGAAGGCATCTGGTTGATGAGCGTGTGGACAAGGTTGAATGCCTGGCATTGGCGGTAGGTGTTGACGGCCTTGCTCGTAACGCTTAGCATATCGTCTCGCAGACCCCACGCAACAGCTGGGTGCCGCTTGATGAGGTCGTCGAAGAACTTCGCGTTGAGGTCGGACGCCTTCCGGGTGATGAAATCGACCAATGAGTCTCGATATACTTTGGCCACTGCGTCATCTGCCTGGCTTTGCAAGAGCACCTTGGAGACATAGAGACTGCATTGGCTGATGATGGCCAATGCATCCGATGAATGCACCTTCCGAGCACGGGTGTGTAGATCTTCAAGTACGGGCGCGACTTCGGTTTGGTCCATGTTGGAGGGTACATCCTTCAGCTTGCCGATGCGAGAACGAAGCAGACCGCCGGTTTTGTCGGAGAGTTGACGTTCGTCGGACCCCGAGCCGAGGACGAGGTCGACGAGGGGAATGATGAGGCGAACGATGAGAGGCGAGGTGGGTTGTCTTTTGATAAAGATATCGACGAGGTCAAGGATACGGTTCTTGAAATGAGTGGCTTCGCGTTGTGCGTTTTCGTCTATCGCAGGCAGCGCGTCAGTGATACCGAGCGGAATATGCTAGGCGAATGACATCTCACCTTTGCCCTTGCCCTTCCTTTGTTCCTTGAATATTTGAGCCAGCTGATCATCAATGGCTATCATCTGGTCGTCGTCCATGTCCTCCTCTTCAGACTCGTCATCGGATTCGCCGGTAGCAGCCTCTATACCGTTTGCCCTGAGAACCTCGGTGATCTTCCTGCGAAGCTCAGGATCCTCGGCTTCGTCTCCTTCACTCTCGTCGTCGTCCTCCCCGGTTTCCTCTGAGTCATCCTCTGACTCTTCAATTTCCTCGTCACCAACTTCCTCGCCATCATCTTCGATGTCATCCATCTCGTCGTCCTCGTCCTCATCAGCCAAAAGCTCCGACGGATCTCGACGTTCGAGTTGCTACACGTCACGAACAGTATAAGCACCAATACTCCCGTCTTCACTTGAAAATGAACCAAGACTGGAGGGACTTACGCTCAAGATCAGGTCCACCGTTGTTCCCTCGACAGCTCCACTGAGCAGCGAAAAGCTCTGGTTCCCGACGGCGCGCATGTAAGCCGTCGCTCTCTCCATGAAGCCAATGATTGTATCAACGAGCACGTCGATCGGCTCATTTGACGGTGCCTCCTCAGCAGCATCTTCGGTGGCATTTTGTGACTTCTTGGAATTTTTTGAGGACTTTTTTGATCCTTCGGGGAAGAGACGGGTGGCGCCGTCGATGCAGGCCTGATGTCGAGTTCGCGTCAGAGCTATGAACCTGGAGTAGAAGTAATAGTGCTTACCTCTAATGACTCACTATCACTCGAACCGGCGGTCTCGTCTGACGCGTGCAGTTGCAAAAGACATGAAAGAATAAGCAGCTCTGCACCCCTCGCTGTCTCCTGCTTCTCGCCAGTCACCTCATGCAGCCTCTGCGCCACCGCCACTGCCTTCTCATTCAACTCCAATTCATCCTCCTCAAGCTCCCTTACGAACTCGACATGCTTCGAATCCTTCCGTAGCTGCTCAACTGTACGAAGCACCTTCGAGACCCAGAACTCTCCATCTGATGAAACACCGGTCAGTTTCTGTGCTTTGGAGTCATCGCTGTTGGTTGATTTGATGACGGTTGATTGGGTGGTGAGTTCGGCAAGGCAGCTTAGGAGACGGGCACGACATTGCTTCCGGAGGTCATCCGACAGAGGTGGTGAGAGGACCGAGCGGATCTAGAGTTTAGAAGGGTAAAATGAGTACGATTATGGGACGTTAAAAGCTTCAAAAGACGAGATATACCGCTAATAGAGGGCCCTTCTCGGATTTCTTCTTGATGATGAACATACCATGAACGGTGAACCAGTTCAAGATTGTATGCAGCCATTCGTCGTTTTTAGGGATGGCGCCATTCCGTACAAGAGCGGCAAGCTGGTCGATGACCCAGCTTCGACGAGAGTTGACGACCTGGATATCTTCCCTTGAACGGATAGATCAGCTCACCTCTATCACGACCACGTCAGATAGGCGCACAAACAAAGGAGATACATACTGTTCTTCGCCCGCTTTCTCGCTGAATTGACTCAATAAGTGGTCGATGTAAGACTTGATGCCGGTCGTATCCATAGTCGTCAGGAGAGACTCAACGGTCTTCGTCTTCGTCAACTTATCGAACTGTTGGCTGCCGTGGACACCAGTCAACTGTAGGATGAACGAAAAACCAATGGTCGGGTCTTTCTGCACGACGGTTTGCATCGATCCTGCCTGGAAGAATCATTAGCTGACCACGCGCAGCGTGGTATAAATAACGAAACCGACTGACGATCTGTTTCGCAAAGCTATGCAAGTAACGATCAAAGTGGGAAAGGTGGTTGATCCACGTCCGCATGAAGTTCTTGGTGAAGAGCATGGGCAGGTCTGAGGCTTGAACCCGAGGGAGGGCTTTTTGGAAGATAGCGAAGCCCCAGTATTTACGCTCGATAGACGCAGAGTTGGCAAATAATGACTCTGTAATTTCGCAAAAGCATCAAACACGGCGTCCTCGAGTTAAACAGCGAGCTAACTCACCATCGACCACGATGCGGAAGAATTCCTGGAACGAGCCTTTCGGGGCACGCTTGCTGTCGAGAGGAGGCACAAGCTCGTCGAGTAAAACATCCCACACATAATGTACCTGGGGCTTCCACGACCTTGCGTTCACCTTCGGTGCGTCCTCATCATCTTCTGCACTAGCTTCCTACACATTTCACACAATCATTAACATTACACCACACAAAAGCAACGTTACATGACGAAAAAGCACTCACCCTAAGGATTTTGGACAATGCGACCATATTCCCTGTGTGCAGCACATCCCCGTGCTTCAACGTAGGTCCCAGGAGCTTCTTCCACTCTTTGTCCGGCCACATTCTCTGCATCTTCACCGCCAACGCCACCTTCTCCGGTCCCCACGTCTTACCCTCCTCCCCAAACACCATCTCTAGCACCTTATCCACCGCCTCATCCTTCCACTCGACTTCCTCACCGCACTTACTCAAACTCTCGGTAGCCAATCCTAAAGTCCACCATGCGCTCTCTCTCAACCAGCTCTTTTTCTCGCCTAGAGCTAAGAGTTCGCTGATAACAGAGGTAAAAGATTCGAGGCTTGAGACGGAGGTGGTGTGGGAGCTGGAGGAGGGGAGCGGAGTTTGACGGGTGAGAAGGCCAGATTGGATGAGGGAAGTGAGACCGAAGAGACGGGCGAAAAGGAGATCGCGTTCTTCTTGGCCAGTGAGGGAGTTCGTGGTTTGTGAGGCCGAGATGATGAGGGAGATGATTTGAGAAGAGGTGACGGTGTCGATGCGAGAGAGAAGCTAATTTTATGATAACACACATATCTCAATAAACACCCGGTACCAAAATAAAAGGGCTACCACAAACGTACCTCAGTCAAAGCAACAGAAAACCCAAGCCTGCTACTCTCCCTCGGACTAGCCAATCCCCTAATCAACCTCCGTATCGAGTACGATACATCGGCCGCATTCAACAGATTCAGAGCCTCATCTTCCGCGTTCTTCCCCTCCTCCTCGTCTTCGTCCTCCTCCTCGTCTTCTTCGTCTTCCTCTTCACTCGACCCCTTAGTCACAGGCACATGTGAAGCCTGCAGCGTCTCCAAAACAGTGATAAGCTTGACAGAGGCATCCAATCGTTCCTTCTTTTTCGCCGACGAGAGATTCCAGAAGAGCGGGAGTGTGGTAGACATTGCGTCTCAAGCGTTGGAACCCCGCAGATGCAGCCGTAAAATGAGCCTCAGTCAAGAGGTTAAAAGTGTAAATATGCTGGGTGAAAGAGCCGGAAAGCTAGGTGTGGCACCTGCTGTGAGAGCTCAGATTCCGGAGTGAAGAAAAAGAAAACACACGATCGGAGACTTGGATGCCAATTTGAAATAAAAAGTCTGCATCCTCGCGTGGTCGGTACCTGCTGTTTGGTCTTATTGAATTTAGAAGGCTTTGACAAATAACCATCAACAAACGCCACATCATATCCTCCAACGTGTGGCGGTCAGGCTGGACACGGGAGATCGGACAGGTACAATACTGGACTAGATAACATTGAAGGAGAAAAGCACGATTCTATTCTACATACAGCCTTTTATACTTTGAGAGCGATAAGATCCGAAACAGCAAATCCACCCAACGATACGACTTCTACTTATAATCCAATCTTACACGAGAACGAAGCAGGGACAATGGACAGCAAATAAAGAACGGAGAAGGGATCGAATATGTTTGTTGTGAGAGGGGAAGTGTCCGTATATCACCTTTGCTTCTGAAACAACGAGCAGATAATTCCGGTAATCAACCCTGGACGTCCAATCCGCTCCTGGGCAACCTAGGCTCGCCCTGGGCGTAGGGCTGGCCGGTCTCCTTCCTCATCCTGTATTGCGACACAGCAATCAGCTTGTCAGAAACATAACAACAAATCAGGGGGGGGGATCACTCACAAGTCATTGATCCACGCTCCGTGCGGCTTGACCTTTTCTCCTCGCGAGTACATGACCGCCAAATACAACCACGCAGCCGCGTTACCCACCGTACCGACCTCATCCGACACGTTCGTCCGCGCAAACTCGCTCGTCTTCTTGTAAAGCTCCTCGTCCGTGTACAAATCGAACAGGTACTTCGCGACGGCGTCGTTGTCGCCGACATCGGCGAGGTAGCCGGACTTTCCGTGCTGGATCTGGAGGGGGATACCACCGGTGCGGGAAGCAACGACGGGGACGCCAGCGTGGAGAGCTTCGGAGACTTTGACTTCGAAGCCTTCGCGAGTGGAGAGCTGGAGGGCAATCTTGGCGTTGGCCATGAGGGCATTGAGGACTACAACACATAAGCAACGATGGTGAGCAAACAGTGGCTTTAGTAGTTGACGAAGAAAACGCACGCTGATCGCTTGGTGGGATTCTCATGATCACGATGTCCTTGGAATAACGCTTATACTTGTCGCTCGCCACCAACTCCAAGATCTGATCATAGATGATGCTCGCATCGGGGTCATCGACCGCACCGTGCCCACAGACCAACAGCTGCGGCATATCCTCCTCCTTGATGTCGCCCGCCTTCTCCAGAAGCCCGCGCAGTTTGGCGTACGAATCGATGACGTTCGGAATACCCTTAGACGGGTCGAACCTCGCGACCTGGACGATGTAGTCGCGGTCGGGCCACTTGAGCTCCGTCATCTTCTCTTTCGCACAGAGCGCGGTAAATTCGCCCATGTAGTATTGAGAATCCCAAGGGTCGAGCTCCTTGTTCAGGCCGTCAAGCCTATTGTGACGTGATATCAGAGACAGCACGACATATAGGTCGGAGAAAGAGGACATACCAATCAGTAGCAGCGCCCATAAGCCCAACAATCTCTATAGGGACATCGCTGGGGACAAATTTATTGACGGGGTGACCTGAAGATAAAATTAGTTAGGTGGAACAGATAAAACGCTGTCGAAGGAAGACGCACTAAGGAAAAGATCCGCAAGCTGAATATTATTCCACAGATATTTCCACACCTCCTCTTGGGGTGATCCCGCATTGTGCACGAGGTCACTCCGAATCTCGATGTGGGAGCGGTAAACGATGGGAACCTCAGGTCGAACCTTACGGATCAGGGGGATAAGGCCTGGCATCTGCGGGTCGTCTGTGGGGATAAGAAACCGACAAGTGCCACAAAGTCAGCATCTTCCTTCCCAAAGGAGGTGGCAGGGGCTGAGAACAAAGGCCCTCAGGTCCCGTGAGGTGGGCTTCTACAAGACGTCAACCATGACGAGTATAGACGCGTCTAAGTCGAACGATACCCGTCACAGGGACAGGGAGGGTACCCCGGAACGAAGTGAAAGAAGGCGTTGAAAGAAAACATACCGATGAACGCAATGTCCACTCCACCTTTGGCCAAAGGCCCACCTTCGGCCGTCCATCTCAAACCGTTCTTCAATATCCAAGCATCGAAGTTGTCCTTCGCTTCCTTCGTAAGACGAAGGTCAGGCGCAGCGACGCCTTGAAGGATATTGTGGTTGTTCTTCGTCGTCCTGAAGACTGAAGGTGACGGGTTCGGCACGTACCTAAGTAGGAGCGCGACCAGATCAGTATATCAATTCAGTCAGTTCAAAGCGCTTCGAAGTGTGGGATGCGGCAAGAGAGCGCGGGCGCGCTCAGAAGATGAAAAGCATCCGAGAATCCGGGGTAAAGATCGAATCGAATGTGGGGTGGGATGAAAAGGCTCGTGACACATTTGTTGTGTGAACAAAGTGAAAGAGAAAGCGGAATAGGGATCGAATGGAAACCCAAGGGTTGCATCGAGCGAAAGTAATGCAGGCCGAAGCGAACAGAAGAGGGCGTAAGGTTCAAGGGCTCACCAGGCGCAGTCTACGTCCAAAGCAGCGAGGAATCGAATCAAAGCATGTCTCATCTTGATTACAGAAACAGACCAATGAGCCACAAATCCAAGCGCAGATGACTGGACGCGCTACTAAGATACTCACGAGAGCAACTCCTCCTGTGGGCGGTGATTACACGCGAATGTGAGCATCAGCTTCATGCCTGATCCGAGGGAGTTGCGTACCTCCTTGGGGAGTGGAAGAGAAGAAACCAATCTTGACTTTCTTCTCCCGAAGCTCATCAGCGAGCCTAGTGACAGCTTCCCAAGTGCCGCTGCTGACAGAGTTCCTGTATGCCTCCAGGTCATCAATAAGATGGATTTTTCCTCCGGCGTCAACAGCAACCTGGTTGCGCGGGCCAATGCTCAAACGTGGGCTATTGTTGGGACCAAAATACATGAGACATTTGCGGGCCGCAGAATCAGCCTGTTCATCGACGGTCCGGGGGATGGGAAGCTTGGGGGAGATACCCTGTGGCACAGAGAGAAGGTTTGTATTGGCAACGTTGCCGAGGACGGATTGGTCGACATAGACGGTCGGGGTCTCGGCTCCGGATGGAACGTAGGAGCCAGTCGTGGACGAGATGCGGTGCTTAATGTTGGGCCTTGTAACGGAGTCGGTATGGTAAGGCTTGATGTTGAAGACGATAGGGACGATATCGAGCTCAAGCCAGAGCCTAGTACAAAGGTTGGGTGCCTAGTAGATCGATAGTGAGTTTTGCGGGGCGTGTGGGGGAATAGGGGCTACCACGAACCTCACGCAAAAGACTGAGGGTGACGCCCGCACCGAGGAACTTGCTGAGATGTTCATGCGAGAAATTGCGGAGGGTCTGAATCACATGTTCCTCCACGTCTGGGGGATCGTTTGGGTTGTAATCGAGGAGAGTGTCAGAGAAGTCAGTGTTGTAGACCGAGTCGTGAATGGAGATCGCGATCTCGTAATTCTTATTATTGTTGACGACTGCGCCAGAGATACCTGCCCACATTGGCTGCAACATATGTGACTTCAGCAGCCCGAACATTGTGAAAACAAAGATGAAATAATATACGTACGGTGAGGCTCACGTAGCCCTCAGCATTGGGTTTCTTGCTTGAGTGGGAGAGTCTACGTTTGGCAGAGGCAGAACCTTTCGAGATAAATTCGTGGTGAGCATCGGTGGGTGCCATCGTATTGTGAGTGGGGATAAGGGAAGAAGAAAGAGGAGTGGGCGGGGGAGAGGGTATATATACATGGGAGGCATGACCTGGTGGCGCCCGTAGGACGGAGAGAGATGATCTTAGCGGAGCTCTGCGTGTTCCTCTTTTGCCCGTTTGTCCGGGTGGCGTCCGCCGTATCCACCCATTCGAAACTGATGTTATTGGCTTGCAAACGGCCTCGTTGACGTTCACGTCCATGCTCTGCCCGTGCGGTGGGCAGCCAGAATGGGATCCAGACGCAGGCTCGGCCGTCTGCACGAGTTGCGGAACGCTCCAGGATGCGTCTCAGACTGTCCTTGCCAACGAGCTTGACTACGCCACGGACAGTGCTCGCCACTTTCTCCTCAATCGTACCAATCCGACAACTCTCAAGAGCGTCCGCTCAGGCTCTGGCCCCTCCTGGGACCTCGCAGGTCAGGGAAAGGAGGCTAATCATGAACGGAACAAGGTACATTTCACCCCACCCAAACTGTTTCGTATTTCGCGTTCAACAGACCTTTCCCCGCCTCCCTGTCACCCTGTACTGATTATTTTCCCATCCAGCTAACGATCCATGAATCTATTCGCACACTCGCGATTCGTCTCGCCCAGCCGGGCGCAGCTCCTCGCGCTCAGGTTCTCTTCGATATCGCGATGCAGCGAGCAAAACTCCGCTGGGGACGCACCGCGAAGCTTGCCTCTGGCGCCACACTCGCCCTCGCTCTTCGCGAAGCTAGTCGGGGTGACCTGACGAACGACATCGCCGTAAGTCGAAGTTTGTTCCTTTCCCTCTTGATTCTACTGTCCCCCTTGCTATTTTTGTCTAGCCTTTGGAGGGCCAGAACGCCCCCTCGGCATGACCTTGTGGCCCCAACTGTCCCGTAACTCATCTCGTGACTGAGATGCATTGGTAGGCAAACTCTGCCTCTCTGCATCATCTGCATCACAATGGTTGCAGTGCGAGGTATATCAGCAGGTCTGGGCGTGACCAGCCGCGGAGCATCATGTTTCACCATATCGCCAGCGTGCATCTAATCTAACGCGAACATATCTGTTTCGAACAGAACATGCCAGCAGCATGTATTTTCATGTCTTCCAGCGTTTCCATGTTCGTTTGAACGTGGGTGCCCTGGTGCGAGGCCGTCGGCATGTTTGCCTTTTTTTCCTACGTGAACTTCGGCCGATCTTGAGCAAGTTGAACTAACTCTCAGACTCGAAAGAGATGGTGTACGTCCCTTGTTGATACCGCGATCATATGGCTCGTCGCAAGGACCCCGTCCGGCCTTGAACCTGACTTTGCGCCTCCTCATATGAACAGTTGTTATGTCCGTGTATTCGGAGGCTTGTTAATGACATCTTACCTTTCAGTCTACTATGCTCATGAACAAGGAAACATGGCCACTAGAAGACATGTGTTGCGAATTCATACGGGGCTACAAAATCATATGATGCTATGTACCCAAGATTACTGGTCTTCATGCCCGAGTAAACCACTCCTATTCTTGTCTATCCTCGAAGGGCCCTCCTTGATTACCGGATCACCGGTGCTCAGGTCCGATTGCCCACTTTAGTTCTTGATTTGAAAGATCTTCCACCTATTGTCCGCCCAAATCACCGTTTCCATTCGTGGTCTATATTGACCTGCTCTTTAGGCCTATTTTATCGTATTCATCTCCGTTCTAATGCATGTGATGCTGATATGTTACCTCGCCACAGTACCTCCTCAATCTCTCACCTAACGCCCTCTCACGCGCCCAAATCCGGCTCATTCCCCTCCTCGAACTAACCCTTCCACAAGCATCTCCAACAGCCCACATACCCGCGCTCATCGCCCATCTTACCACTGTCGTATCCTTGCATTCGACAACATCGAAGCCGAAGAGATCTAATTCGTCCACGACACCTAATACGAATGTCACCCCTACACCGAGCCACACTTCCATTCCTACTTCTACTTCCCCTAATAATACGATAATCCCGGCTTCAGCAGCCAACTCCGAGTGGGCCCCACCGCAACCGACATGCACTCTCCCAAATGACCTCCAAGCCTTCCTCCGCCCTCTCCTGACACCCTCCAAAGTCCCCGCCATACTCCACACCGCTAACGGACTCTTCCAGCTTCTCACTTCTCCTTCTCCCCCTCTATCCTCTGCAGCAAACACTCATGCTTCAAATCCGCCAGAGGACACTCCCAACGCCCCGGCACAGGATATCCTAGATCCTGCGGCCACAACCGTCCAAAAACTCCTCGCTCTTCCCTCCGCCCTTGCCGCCTCATTGCTCATTCTCTCCCTCGAAGCACATGCCACACCTGTCCCCCGGGCCGCGCCACACGTGCTCGACCTTGCGAAAGAATTAGGGAAGAGGATATCATTAGGAGGGGGTGTGGTCATGGAAAGATATAGAGTGCTCGTGGACGTTGTTGAGAAGGGGATCGAGGAATTGCCTTGGCTAAGTGGGGCTACGAGTTTAGGGAGTCGAGGTGGGAAGGGCGGAGGGAAGGGGAAGGGGAAAGTTAAGAGCAAGAGTGCTGACGCTGGAGAGAAGGGGAGGGGGAAGGACAAGACGGAAGGAGGAAGGAGAGGTATTGTGGCGAAGGCGGTGGTTGACGTCGTACAGTTCCGGCAGGATGTATGGAGAAGAAAGATCCAGGAAGGCGGGAGGGTTGACATTGACATTGACGAGGAAGATGATGGTGAGGGAAGTGATGGGTTGAATTTAACGGTGGATTTGGAGGGCGACGGAGAGGGAGCAACTGGAACCACTGGTCAAAATTTGCCACATTATGATTCTGCACCGACTACTACAACCACAGACGACGAAGCAAATTCTAATCCACGGAAGCGCAAAGCTACTACTAATCTACGCCCCTATTCAACGATAAATTCACTCTTGCCCTCTTCATCAACGGCGCCACCGCCACACCTCCGTCCCACCCTCATCCCCCACAAACCACCAAAACGACCCCGTTCAGCCCGTACCCTCGCCGAATCTTTTCTTCTATCCCCTCTCTCTTCACCATTGCCATCTACCTCGTCTACACCAAGATCGACGCCGACCACGTCCAAGATCAAGTCTCATTTCGCCGACAAACCACCAACTCTCACTTCGTCATTATCCCTCGAGCACACGACCCACTTACTAGCCCCCGAAGTTAGTCTGTCAGATCGTCCACCAAGTAGGCTGCAGTTATTAGCCGCAATGAGGGGTGGCGAGGGAAATGTGGGTGATGATGAATTGTTTGACGAGGGGGAGTTGGAAGGATTCTTAGTTGGTGTCGATAGCGAGGATGGGAAGGAGGGCGTGGCGGATGAGATGAAGATAAGGGAGTTTGAAGATGATGAGATGAAAGATAGGAGAGGCGTTCTATGGTCTATCTGGGGTACAGAGAACGTAGGGAATAACGGACAAGAACACCCACCTATAACGAAGACGCAGAAAGGCCCTCCAAAACCCAGAGGGAAAGAGCGCTTGAATATGGAGGCTTTGGCGAAACTTTTGCATGATGATGAATCTGCAGTTATGGGAATCGAAGGAGGGCTCGATGCGTTATATAGTATGGATGGGGGACATGAGAAAGATGACGAGGACGAGGAGGAAGGCTTTGGATATGGTGAACATGGAGAGGAGGATGGTGTGGAGGTGAGTGACTGGAGGCCGGCGTCGCCTGGAGGTGATGTGGGCGGGTGGGATGAAGGGTTTTGTGACTGACTCTTACCTGGTTGCATGAGCGTTTATGGTGCGCTAGGTTTCGTTGTAACTCTGAAGCAGTAGTGAGTAGCGTATGTTCATAACATGACCATCGTTCACTTTCCGTTCCTCGCACTGGACATCAAGTGCGCGGTGAATACGAAAACAGAGAGCTCTTGATAGATACGTTTGGCGGTCCGTCATACTGTTGAGGCAGCTCAAAACCAGCGTGTATGCAGACAGTATGTAGACGCAGCGCCGCATTTCGGTCCAATTACCCGGAACGCACAACATTTATTTCAAAGCTATTTGCTTCCGTGCGGACGCCTTCTCCGGGGATCTCGTCACCACGAGCTCGTTTTCTACAGCTGGAACCAGGTCAATAAATCACAAGGGATCAAGATGATAGCGAGATCCAAGGAGGTGAACCGTTTCAAGAATACAAGTTGGAAAAGGAAAGGTCTACCAGCAACGAGCGATCAACAATGTGTCTTGGGACGGAACGGGAACTTCAGATGCCCAGACGAGTCGTAAATCCCATAACCACGCTCTTGGTCATCGCTGTAGATATGGGCAAACCACCCTACTCCACCTCCTGCTAAGGTCTTCAGATATCCACAGTGTTTCTCCAAGACTTCGTAATACGCCTGTGTTGTGGTATTAGGACATCATCGAGTCAATCGCTGTCAGGCTTATAGAGAGACGTTGAGAGCATATGTACCTGTTCATTGGGTATGTCGGCGACAGCGTTTGGACTACTGGGCTCCTGAGCCGGAAAGTTAACACTGGAAAGCCATCCATTCTACATGCTCAGAGACAGATCAGATGCCGTATATGGGTCATGACATGCGATATATCACCTCGTCGAAATACATCTTCTTGCCATGGCCATGCTCGATGAACCATTCCAGGTCACTGTGGACTATGGGCCATGACTTGTTTGCTAGATGGAGTATCAGATGAACGATGAAGCTTGTCTTCGGAAAGTGTATAGCGCAGTCCATACCAGTTGTGGCAGCTATATTGAAGAGTGGAAGCATATGTATATTGCTGTAGGATGTAAAGAAGTTAGACTTACGAGCGGGAACAATATGAAAACATGTTTATTAAAACTTACATCGAGTCTATGGCATCCAGGACGTTCTGAGCGCCGCCTCTCTCCTGGTATCCATAAGCCAGTTCCGACACGGTGACTGGTATCCTGAGGCCAGAAAGGTTGGCCTTCGCCGCCAAGACCTGGGTCGTGAGGTCGTTGGGGCTCAGGACGTTGTCGTAGAGAGGTTCTGAGCCAAATTGCAAGACACGGGTAACGTATTTGGCCTTAGGGTTTGTGTGTAATGTCTTGAAGAGGGTGTCGCGCCGTCCGATCCATTCGTCGGTCCCGTCAAAACCAAACCTGCGCAAAACGGACACATTAAGAATGAGACTATGTCGTGCTTGAAGGTAGCAAAGTCACGGACCAGATCAAGGCGTGAACTCCGAGAGTGTTCTCCCATGCAGCTGTGACAATGTCATCGCTGCAGAGGAACTAGTCAGCGAAAAAAAACGCCTGGATATTGTGTCCTCATACGCACTAAAAGCCATGCTTGTCACAAGCTCCATATAAGCGAACGTAACGAGAGTTGAAAGTATTGCGGATATCTCTGAACTCTGTCCTAAGCTGTTCCAAGCTCTGACCTGCACAGAGCGTGACACCATAAGCAGAAATAATGTTAGATCAACATACTCGCTCACATGCGGTGACTTCGTAGCTGAAGCCAAGGAAGGCATATTCGTCTGCTGACTTGCACCACCAACCATCAAGACTGTCGGGGACCTTCTGCGGCATACTGAAACCTAGAGCAGGGAAGCATGAGGGGGACCGCGAGCCTATGGAAGCTACTACGTCTTGTTGGCCTGCATGTATGTTGTCATAGGCAAGGGTACTGGCTGGAAATGCAGCAAGTAGAGCACCGAGAGATAACAGAAGTAATAAGAACATTGTTGCGAAAGTCCCGCACACAGCTCGAGGACTGCAGGGGGGCACAGAAAGTCGGAGACTAGGTCAGAGGACTCCCTGCCTGCCAGGTCGTATTTAAGCCTGCTTTGATCATGATCAGGAGCACCGGCGCATGAAAGGAAACAGAAGTGGCGCCTTGTCACTCATTTTATGGAGCCAGAGGCGGATGCGCAACAGAAGAGCCAGAAGCCGCCGTTATATGGTCATAGGTGTAACAAGTGAGCGTCGTCCAGAATCGAAGCACGCGTATGAGCGACGTATTTGGGATGAGGATCGCTCTTGGGCTAGGCGAAGGACGAAAGACAGCTGTGCGGATCTAAAACGGAAGGCAAATCGGAGGTCAGAAGTGGCAACTCGACGTTCGTGGATATCTGAGAGAAAAGTGGACAGCTGCTAATGTTGTTCATCTTGATCCCATCCGAGTAACAGCGTTCATCGACTCGGTTGAGCTCAGGCTGGAATGTTACCGTCCATGTCCTAGAGCGTTGCCTTCAACAAGAATAATTCCAAGCGCCTCCGACCGTCATCGAGCTTCGACATTCTCCAAGATGGAGGTGCAACAAGTTCAAGATCAAGATGCGGGAGCGTGGCGCTTTTGATAGCTGGCTGCTGATGGACCACTTCGTTCATTCAAAGCTACCCGCCAACTCCGACGCCACAAGACTAGACCGATATATGCAGCCAAGATTGAAAGACCAGCACACGGCGGAGGTTCGCATGCAGCCTGAGATATCCTGTAAAGCAATGACTAATTTCGAGCCGAAGAACCGGTCACTTCTCCGCTTCATCTCCTTTTTCCACCTCCCTTTCTTCCACCAAGTTCGCCGCAGCCATCACTGCCTCCTCTTTCTTATCTTCCTCCTTCTCCTTCGCACTAGCAGCAGGTATCTTCACAACCACAAACTTCCTCGTTAAGAGGTTGAAGAAGCTCCCAAATATCAGTGCGATAAGAGTGCAGCTCATGATGATCACGTTGTATGGCATGCTGAAATCCGGTGTGGCGAGCTCCACCAGGAGGACAGGGGTATAGAGCCGACGAACGCCGTCCCAGCTCCTCGCTCTTGATGATCGTCCATGCGCTTGGGGATGAGAACCCTCTGAAGTGTTTATTGAGGATGAGGGTCCGTCGACAGAGGTAAGGGGCACGAAGACGGCTGGTGGGAGATCCCAGCCGCGCTGCGCATCTGGTGGGTGTTCTGTATACCGGAGGAAAGACTTGCGGATGTTTGCATGTAAGTGAACGGTGGTCAGCGGTGGTAGGGTAAGGATGGTTTGCAGGAGAGCGGGACGGTCATGAGGTACTGGCGGCGTGTATGTTAGGTTCGACAGAAGATGGTCTGAGGAACACAATCCCAGCGTTAGTTTCGCCGTGCATGGCAGATAAAATACGTGAAGGCTCACCACAGGGTATAGTCTCTGGATAATGGCATTCAAGGCGAAGGGTATGAAGATAGAATTCGACATGCCAGGGCATAGTTTCGAGATACAAAACTTGGATCTCGGAAGCACGGTTGTTGCGTATGACGAGCGAGATCTTTCCGTGAGATTGACTGGTACCCTTCAGTGTGCGTTGTACGGAAAAGTCGGTGAGTGAAGAGAAGTCGAGGGCTGAAACATCAACCAGTCAGGTTAGGGCTGTCCAACATAGGATAAATGTGCATACGGTATGTGAACGCTCCTTCCTCAGGCCATTTCATGACCACATCTAGTTCCTGGATGTCTGGCAGCGCAGTACAATGTCATGAATATTGTCGAAGAACACCGCAGACGAGATGCGCTTACCTGAGGTGACATCGTACGTGGCTATCTTATCCGTGACCGACAACGGCTCCGGTGTCAATGAAAAACCTGGACCTATGTTTGACGGTAGTTCGACATGTATTTCGCTGGAATTCGCTACAGGACATGCTCGAGGTATTGTTCGGTCGAATATACTCCGAAAGCCCCAGTCTATGACAGCATTAATATCTACAAGCATTCAGGCAGGTGTATAAATACGCACCTCTCTTGTCGTCACCAGAGCTCCTCACAGGATCAAATACTGCCTGAACCGCTAATACCAACTCGACTCCCTCTCCTGCCTTCCACCTGACATGTACTCCCAGTCCATGCCAGTTCGTATCGAATATCTTATGTGGCGCAAGCAAAGCCGCAATCCCTGCGCGTCCAGGACAAGGCAAGAGCTTCAGGAACGGTGTGAGGTTTTCAGTACAGACGTGTTCTGCGGCTAGGGTCGCGTGGCGTAGAGCATGGGTATGTGGCGAAGGAAGTAGGGGAAGATCACCAGAGGGAGGAAAGGCGCGTGTGGGGGATGTTGTGCGTTGGTTGTCCATTCCGTTCAAGGAGGCGCAGAAGAGACCTGCAAGCGCATTTTGCATACCTTGCCATCGTTCGTCGATACTATACACGAATGATTAAACTGCATGGCATGAGAAACGGAGCGTACTCACCTGGATGGTGCACCGTCTCCCATCCATGCCCACAACTCTGCACCACTGCCAACGCTAGACTCGTCTGGGTATCCCCACCGGTCATAATCCCACTTCCCAGCATTCAGCGTTAGGTGAAGCTCTGTGATGGCGTATTCACGTAAGATCTGTCCGAGTGCCAGAGGGAACAAGGTATAATGTTGTGCTAATGCCAGAGCCATCTTTTAGTCACACTGGTTTCTCTGCTGAAGGAAGCCATGACTTACAAGTATCATCCGTCCCTAGACTATGTGGTACACGAGGGGCTACATCTTTGAGTAGTGTTTTGAAAGCGAATCGAGCAGAGAGCTTCCCATCCGACAGAGGTCGCAATGTCAGTTCTTCGTTGTAGACCTCATTTGTCTGAGTTGCTGAACTGAAGTTCACGAAGGATAGACAAAGTAGCCACAGATGTGGTGGTAGCCTCATGTTCCCTATGAGCAAGGTATTTGGAGGAGGTATATACGGTGTGGCATGGCCTGGGATGTTTGTCGTCGCGAACGACCATGTTGGGCCACACTTCTATCTCACGGTGATCGCCACTCCATTTGCCCGAAATATCCGAGTCCTTGTCTGATCTAAATCAGACATCTACTCCCTACCCAATGCCTACCACACCAGGTATGTGACGGCCACGCGAATACAAGCTATAGACTTTTGACGTGATACTCATTTTGACGTGGCAAGTACGCATATTCAGAATCTGACCAGGACCATGTTGATCCGTCCCAGCGGGCCACGCAGAAGATGTTCCGCACTCCCCGAGATCTGTAAAGCGGCCAAGAAACAGTTCTATTGATGTGTAGTTGGCCTGGCGTACGTGCGAGAAGTTGTTACAGGTGTAGTATCGGGCCATGTATACGTATTAGCTCACGGAGGCGCAAGATATACTTATTTAATATAACTGTAAAGGTCACTGCATACTAATAGTGGTGTGGCCTGTGAGTGTACGCGGAACGCAAAGGTAGGATAGGATAGTATTGTGGGTGTCGATGCTCTAATCCTGCACGACGTCCTCCTTGCGTGGTTTTACGTCCTTCATCAAGTCCCGTCCCTGTCCGATAATATTCTGCGCCTCGTTATCCACCATGATACCTAAGAACCGGGGCCAAACCCACATCAGTACACAGCTCAGACAAGGAATTGAAGGAGCAGATCACTCACCCAACCCCTCCTCCCTCGCCAGCCCCAACACATGCTCCAACTCAACATACCCATCCTTATCCACGTCCAGCTTGTCCACCACATTCTGCACGACGTCCTCATCCGGCTTATGCTTGATCACAGCCAAAGCCTTCTCGAGATCCCTGATCGGGATACGTCCTTGTGGGTCGCAGGAGATCATCTGGAGGGAGTTACCTACACGGGCGTCGTACTCGGAAAGCTGGCCGTCGATCTTGGTGAGCATTGTGCGGATGCGTTTGGTCAGTGCTGCTGAAGGAGACTTGGGGTCCTGTGAGGGTGAGTAGAGTTAGTAAGCGATGGGTAGTTCGTGGTGAGAGATGGTTGGTGTGTAACGAACCTCCTCGGCTTGAGAGTTCTCTTCCATGAGGGCACGAAGTTCATCTCTTTCTTTAAGCACGCTAGATTTCGCGGACAAGATCGAGAGCGCCTCGCCAAGTTCCTTGAGTTGTTCCGTGGTCATCCTGGCGTCCTCTTCCTCGAAGCGTTCAGGGTGCAACTGAACACCGACCTGGATCAGCACTGGAAAAGTTCAACAGAGGAGAGACATTCAGGAAGAACCTACCTCAGAATCAGGCAAAAGCGACTCAGCCATCTGTGCTTCCTCCTCACGCTTCGAGCGCTCCTCCGCCTCCTTCTTCGCCCTGCGCGCGTCTTCCTCCTTCTGTTCCTGCTCCTCTTCGTCCTCGATGAGTTCTTCCTGTTGTTGCAAGACCTCGAGCTTCTGCTTGTACGAAGCCTTGTCCGAGTCGACCTCGAGTTCGGCTTCGTTCAACTATTCACGACAAAACATAGCCATCATCAGTAGCCATCTCGAGCGAGAAACAGAATATGGGGCGCAAACGAACCAGGTTATCAGGCAGGCCACTCAACACATGTTCCAAACCCTTAATGACGGACTTCGAGCCACTCTCTCCCTCCCCAGGCTTGACATCGAAATTGAACGCCCTCGCAAGGATCATCAAAACACCAGATACCCGATTATTCAAATGCAGCTCAATCCACGTCGTCAGCTCCTCCCTCAACCTCGCAGGACTGACACCAAACGTCCTAATCCCACGACTAGCGCACGCGTGCTGCAATTCCGAAACCGAGAGCTCGTCGACGCCTTCGGCGTTGATGGACTGGTCGTCACGACGGAGTTGGAGGAGACGGGAGCGGATGGCGCCACGGAGGAAGTTGTCGGTTCCGAATGCGTTGAGACCCATGTAGCGGCAGGTGGAGACGAGTTGGGGACGGGAGAGGTTGTCGAGGGTAAGGTCGTCGTCGAAGAGTTTGGCTACGTTGATGACGTCTTGTTCTGAGGGAGATTCACCGGTAGATCTGACCTATGTGTGGGATACACGATTGGTGCGGTTAGATGTTTGTTTTAAGCGATATTGGAGGCTAAGCATACCTTGCGGAAGAATTCTTTGAATGCGTCGGAGCCAACGATGTGTGCATTGGCTTTGAGACCGGATTCACGGAGAGTTTCTTGCAAGAATTTGGCCATTTCGAGACGAACGCGAAGGAGTTTCCGACTCTTCTCTTCCTGTATTGTGACATCATAGTCAGAACGGCAAACTCGTCATATGCAACTGGAATGTAACTCACAGCAGCATACTTGTCCTCGAACGTAGACGGAAGCATATTGGGGAAAAGCTTGAGCGCAACCGGTAGTAGAATTTCCATGAACGGTACGATGACGAAGACCGCAAAAGGAATGAGACGGAGCAGATCTGTTGTCGTACGCTTCAACTGTAGTCACACGAAAGGCCCAAAAGTCGCTTTCTGTCAGGAATCATGTTGAGACCTCAGCAGATGCGTAGACTTACCTGTCTCCGTTCTCTCCTTGTCAAGCTTTCACCGTGCAGGATTTTCCATTGCAGTCTTGCCGAGATCCTAACCTCCTTCGCCAACAGCTTCGAACCATGCCAATAATGCTGAGCCTCATGCTTGACCTTCTTCCAGACCCGCGTTCCTAATGGTTCTTTGGGTTCTTCCTTGGGTGCGGGAGGCGAAGCCTTCGGGGTGGTATGAGAGGTATTTGGGTCGTTTACGGCGGTAGTAGTGTGCGGTGTGGATGACGAAGTTGCTTTGGTAGTGTCCGTGCTCGCGAACCGTGACGAAGAGTACGAGCCGATGGCTGCGACTGTTCGCGAGTCATTGTAAAGAGGAGACCGAGAGATAGAGGTAGCGCCAGATGAACGAAGTAGGGTGCTTATTAGACGAGGATGTAGTAAGATAAATTTATTAGGAGCTGGCCCGCGTAGAGAGGCATGAAGAAGGGATGAGGGGGGCGGGCGAGGCAACCATAGAGACATAAGAAAAAGACTAGACGGCCACTTCACGGCAAGGGTGCCAGGGCGAGGAGAACTGAAGGTCCTTCGTATGCAATACGGTCAGGCAAGATGGAGAGTGAAGCTTCGTACTTGCTGGTTTGAAGAAAGATAGATGGAGGGAACTTGAAGTGACGCGCCGACGGTCGGGCAAAATACGCGTGCTTCCGGCGGACGCGACATTTGTACGCCACAGCTTCCGCCACACCTCCTGTTCTCTCCGACGTCTACGGCCGCATCCCTTTAGTGAGATTCAGAAATCCTTGCACAGCGAAGATAACACAAAAGAAATAGTTGCAATATTTGCGAGTATAGATGAGACGAGCTCCACGAATTGGATGGCAGACACTCAGATATCGCGAAAACGGTATGAAATCCTCCATGGTACTAAAAATACATCTTTTACACGACAGAGTACTTCCACTAGAATAATACAGCATTTGACCTATTCATCCTAAATGACGCGCCTACTGCTTGCCATACACCTGCTCTTTACCCGCCGCCTTCAACGTCTCGTCGCCCACCGCATGGCCATAAGCCATGCGAGCCGCGCCACCAGCAACGGTAGCAGCACCAGAAGCCATGCCCATAGCATTATTCACGACGCCGGTGCTTGACGAGGTAGTCGCGCCAGGCTCACGAGTTGCGTTGGCCCAGCCGTCATCTGTACAGGTCAACGAGGCCGGATGTCAGCACCAAGCCTCTTAAACTAAATCGAAGTGGAATTGACGAACCTTTATTCGAGTTCTCGTTCAATGGATCGATGTTCGAGGACTCGATGATTCCTGGGCGACCCTCAATAACACCGGCGGTCTGTTTGAAGGTTCGCTGAGCCTGCTCGTGTCCCGTGAAATTCGAGCCGGCACCGGCACCCAAGTCCTCTGTCGTTGGGTCCGTAACCTGTAAAAACAGTGCCAACACCATCAGTTATAAGCCCAAGTTTTAAAGGTCGCGTGCCCGTGGTTAAGTCACTCACGAAGTTCGAGGTAAGAGGGTCGGTGTGCATGCTCGAGGTGGTGGGGTTGGCGACGCCGGGGTGCATGTCAACGCCCTTAGCAGTGCCGAGGTTGTGGTCGTTCAAAGACATTTTGATATGATGTGTATGGGTGGTTGATATAAGTAGTGATATAAGTTGGTGGTTATGTGTGGATGGAAGATGCGAGGGAATGGCCAGTGAGGCGACCCGGAGGTCTTATTTATACAGGTCGAACATGGAGACTCCTTGATTGATATGACGTCGGCGGTCCTGGAGGCCCACAGCGAGACGTCAGAATGTGAGAGGTTCCGTTCTTACCTTTGGAGCAAACGACGACGGGGAGGTGACGTCGTATACGGCGGGTGGCGCGGGAGAAAAGTCTTACGAGCCTCGTGTGGCGTAGTGGCGAAACGTCTGAGCGAAGGTTGAATTTCCTTAAGTTCTTCGCCTCGAATATTGTTCACCATTGAAGCAGCTGAATAGAAACAAAATGGTCCTTATGAATGAACGAGAACTCGTTAAACTAGTCGTGTAGTCTCTTCTCGCCACTTCTGCGCCTACAGCTGTGGAGTGATTCCACTTCCTCTAGAGCCACTCACAGTTCTCGTGGCCGCCAAGGTTTACGCGCCTAGATTATGCCAGGTCAAGTCAAATGGGACCAAGTCGATAAGCCCTGCGAGTAGCATGTAAGGGCACAAACCAGTCAGAGAAGAAGTGTAGCGCGCCGGTGCCACTGTGCAGGAAAGAAAGCGAATACTTCGGATGCCCACGAAAGAAACTATTACTCGTTCCGCAGACGGATAGTATATTACCCCAAGGAGCGCTCACACAGGATGCAACGACAAGACCCAGTCTACCACTGACTCCGGTCAGTAAAGAATTTTAGCCTGGCCTCGAGACTGAGGACGTGAACCGCGAAGTCGCCTGCGTCTATCATAGCCCAGCCGTCACTGATCTTTCTCCTCGAATTCGGAGGAAGTGGAAGTGGTGGGTTCATGCCTAGTAGCTATATGTAGTTGGTCAGTGACGTGTCTACTGAGCACCGGACTGAGGCAGACTTACTGTTTTCCGTACAATGCGCACTACCGATTCGATGGCGCCCCTATTCTCCGTGCCTTCTTTCACCTGCATACAGCAAATGAGAAACTTGTTTACGAGCCAACTTGAGGCGATGGAGCCATTTCTACGCACCTGAGCAAGCACAACCCAACTCCAAATACCACCTTCCAATAACCCATTCCCAACTCTTACACCCTCACCGACATACGTCCGACCCCTCTTTCTCCTGCCCTTTGGCAATTGTTCCTCTAGAGGAGGAGGTCCTGGAGGAGTAGGCAGTGGCCTTCTTACCACAAGTGCTGAAGGCTCCAGATGCGGTGAAAGTGCGAGCGCAGAGTGAAGCTCTTTCAGTTCGTCGGGTATGGTAGGAGGCAGTGACGGAAGGAGTGGTGAGAACGCAGGAGAATTGCGGATGGATTGAGGTCGTGGTGTTGCGTATATAGGTTCAGTATCGTCGACGAACCATGGTTGACGGTTTTGAGAGGCGGAGAACGAGGCTAGAGACGGTTCGGACGACGATGAGGGCGTGCTCAGAGCTCGCGTGAGGGTGAGTGGAACGCCATGCTTGAATCGAGCCGCTGAGCGCGATGACAGCCGGACAGCTTGCATGATTTATGACCTCCGATGCTCTGAGTAATGTTGAGAAAAATGAGCAGGATATTAGAAGGCTTGGAACGCTAAGTCGACGAGGTGACGTACAAGTTAGTGTAGAAGAGCGTCCGATGAATGTTTTCGACGCGTCTTGGCGGCACGCAGCACTTCATCCACGAAAGCCTTGCAATCACAGGCCGGACGGTAGAGCGCTTGCTTCACCCTCTTCTCTCTCATCTTCCTGGTTATGGCTCTCCGGATTAGTGTCATCATTTGTGCTACGTCTTTTCTTCTCGGTATGTTTTTTTGTGCTTCGTGAGTACGGCCATGTGTGAGCTGACGGATATTGGTATTGCGGTCTCCTCACGCTTGCTTCTGTGCTTCGTGGTCTCGCCAACACCTCTCTTCGTTACCACCATCTCGCGGACCATAACAATGCTACGAAACAGGGCTCTTGTTTACTCATTGGATTGCGGACTCCCTCACACTGTGGAAAGGACCTGTGACAGATGAACACCTTGCCACGGCAGCATTGTACTACCACATCCTCACTAAAGGGCCTTCATTCTTCGGATGGTTTGCAAACCTTGCCGTAGGCATCACTGTACTCGGCGGAACCGCCATCCTGTGGAGTCTGTTAGATGGTGCTGCTGGGAACTTGATGTTTGACGGTGGAAGTGCTTGTGAGTCTTTTCTCTTCTCGGATAGTTCAACTTTGTCAGATCAGTATTGCTGATACTTTGTTTCTGCTATGTCATACAGTCCTATATTGCACGGCAGTTGGTGTCTACATCTACTCTGTCATTCCCAGTATGTCCCCTTGCTTTTAGCAGGACTATTGAAAGGGACTCGATAACGTGGCAACTAACATGCATTTTCGCGTCCATTCCGCCAGACCTCCTGTCAAACTTCTCCACGTTATCACCATCAATTTCCACCGCCTCTTTCCCGGAAGCACTAAAAGTGGCGACACTCGACCTCGCATCAAAACATCTGGTCTGCAGCGTCGCGCTCACAGGCGTGATGGTTTTTCAAGCCGGTCGGTGGTGGGCGGAGCGGGATGATGAAGACGAGGAGGAAAGCTTGAGAGGAGAAGAGTCAAGGTCGGATTCGAGAGCGGGAGAGCTTTCTTCTGAAGCGGTCACACCAGAGATCCCAGAGAAGATGTCGGTGGTAGAAACGACGGAGAAGGAGAAGGAAGACAAGCTGAAGGGGTCGTTAAAGCCAAAACGGCGATGAGGATGTGGGCTGACGTCGGTCGTCGTGTTTTAACAACCTAGAGGGGGAGACTTTCTTCTGCCGTTGACGAGTCTGGGTGGAGCTGTAAATCGCCATCATCGGTTCGTTCAAGTCGTCGCTGTTGTCGTTGTAATATCTTCGTTACTTGCATACCCGTCCCTTCACCCGGTCTCGCCGCCTCCTGCATGCATATTTTCTTTTGCTTTGGCTTTCCAAAAACGGGACGCTCATCGTCATCTATTTATGACCTTTTCCTTCGTCACCTTCAGCTTCAACGCTGTGACTTTTTGCACTCATACTGCACGATAGCATATGGAATGTCTTCACCATGACCTCAACATTTTTGCAGGATCTCCCATGTCTTGTTCGAGAATCGGCCTGTCATTCGCTCAACATGGCACTATACCAATACGGAGGAAGGTAAGCATGGTTCCAAAATAGCGCGTAGACGCCTTTATCACCCGGGCAATTTATAACAGACATCCCCATGCTCCATTGCAAGAAGTAAGCTTAGTCAGTTCTACATGATGTTCAATATTAATCAACGCAGACTTTATCTTAGGTGACAAATCTTTCCTTCGAAGTACATTAAATAAATAGTAGACGGGGGAAAGTTTGAATGGCTAAGCCTGACTGACCCTTACACACCTACATGTATAAAAGGGCGCAGAACGTCCACCGCCGCATACAGCACATAAGCCGCCGGCCACTTTTGCTCCTCAGCTCCTCCACTCTCCATGAGACGAGTATAGACCTCTTTTGCAATCAACCGAACGCTGTGCAATCGATGGCTGTATAACACATCATATCCGTTCGGAAACTGTCTGTCAAGTTGCAGACGGGCTTCTTAAACGACACAGACTATAGTCCATCTGAATCATCCAGGTTCGTGGCAACTAGTGGTCGGATGGAGTCAGAGTATCAGGTCGCCGTAAAGTATGTGATCCTAAGCGGTGTCCGTAGACCGACATAGCCTCGAGGAAGCGCAATAGCAGTACGAGTGAAACCTTGGAGGAGGCGCTTCCATTGAGGAAAGGTGCTGTATAGCATGCGTAATGTGTGCATAGGTCCCACGAACGATTGTATGTACTTGGTGTACCTCTGCCAAATAATACCAACCAGGCGAGCAACTGGGAATTTGCCTTCGAGGCGCAGGAAACGGATGGGAGCCCGCCGAGGGGAAACTTGATTCTCGGAGTCTGAGGCGAGATATGCATTCGACCTCGCTCTCGAGACAAAAGAATGCATGTTGGAAGCCATGAAGCCGGTGCTTGCGGTCATTCGTAAAATGCTGTAAATTGATTTCAAAAACCCAGAACACCAAATCATCAGGAGAGTCAGGCGAGGATAGAGTCACGGTGCGAAGCTGCCAGTGATGGCCAGGGCATAACAGAAAAATCCGTAAAATATATATGTAGCAAAGAAGCACTCGCCCGGATTGTCTTGACCTGATTCATACTATGATTGGTTGACCCCTTCCTATGCGAGGGCAAATTTGAGGGAAATCATGGTTTGTTATGTCTTTACCGCATTGCAGTGGCACGTTCGGAGCCAGCGGCGTGGCACGAACGGTGCTCCGAATACGGCCGTTGTTTGCTCGGGACAAACAGTCCTCCTCGACGGTTGCTGCATCCAGCACACGCCCTTCCTCATTGTCCCCGACAGCGTCCGTATCCCTTCCTTGCATCATGCGCGCCTCTCCTATTCGTCGTCAACAGCTCGGTGGCCTTGTCCCGCCCAAAATCGCTTCCCCCACCATCCTCGTGAGTCTTGCAACAACTTACCACTGCTCCTGCGACCTCCCGAGCACATCCGGGTTCATACCATGTATACTCAACAACTCACGATACTTTGTTTGTTTCTTTTGCATGGCACTCTACTTTCGCATCGACGCACCTCTGTGGATAGTCTGCCGGTCAGGGCGGTGACCTCACCCCGCTCGTCAACTTCTACGGCAAGCTTCCCAAGGGCCGTGCGCCTCCTCCCGCATTCGGCGGCCTCAAAGCCCGTTTCTTCAATGGCAAGAACGCGTCCGCTGCCCCCATTGCGTGGATGATGCTTGGCATTTTCGGGATCGGGTATACTCTTGACTACCAGAGTGCGTTCTCATCCCATCTCACCTTCTGGTATAGTGACTAACATACGGGTTGGTTGGTTGAATTTTTGTGTGCAGTGCACTTGAGTACGTTCCCGAATCATCTGTATCTCTTTGATGTGTTGCTGGGAAGCATATTATGGCGATCTGATACCCCCGTTCTATTTTTTTTTGTTGCAGAGCACCACAAGAACCACGCTCACTAGAATGTTGTTATGAGGTTCCTGATGTAGAGGTTCTAGAAAGTCGTCGTGTTAGGAGGAGTGCCAATACTATCGGTTTGCGAAGTTGGTGGATCCGCTTTTGTGGCATGTCTATGCTGGGATACTGGCCCCCGGCTTTCCCGCTGGCGTCGCGGCAAAATGCACCCCGTTCGGTCTGGCTTGACGAACCATGGTCAAGGTGGTCACCAGTTTTATCCCAGGGGCAACGACCGCCTTCTCTGGATGGAGTCAACACTAGCTTCTGGCAACGAAGTGGCGCCTTGTTCGACGGATTCACTTCCGGGTTGCTCCTTGGAGGTCCTTAATACTGGAAAATCGTCTTGCCTGCTCAGTTCGAGGTTGCTTCTTGGCGTATATCCAAGTCTAGAGTGCACGGTGGCTTTGGTTTGACTGCGGTAGGTCCTAATGGATGGCGTACAAGGTGCCATCTCACTTCTTGCGGACCCTTGTCGACATTGTAACGGGGTCCAAATGTATCATCTCCGCATCTGAACTGCCCGAAGTGATTGCGAGAGGTGTGAAGGTCGTGACACATTGTTCTTAACCCCTTCAAGAGATAAATGATATGCCGACTTCGCCGTCAGAGTATTCCATTCGGTGCATTCGTATCTCAGCTAGTCGATAGCTGGATGTGTGGCGTTGCGATGGCTTGTCGTTCTGCGTTTGAAATTAAACTGGCTTTGGGCACATTTCCGATCCTGAACATCGGTCAGATCGACTCGCAGGCTGGTACGTACGCCTCTTGAAGCTCTGATGCCCACTATGAACTGATCTATGTGTAGGACGAACGGTGTACTTCGTCATGAGACAGGTATTACGCCATTTTCTCTACACCAGGCAAGTTGCAGTCCCGACATCGTCACTATACGCCATACACATTGACATCATCATCAGTATTGCTCAAGTCTTCAAGGCGATCTTTGGAGCTCGGAAGGCGGGACTTGTACTGTTTCGTATGGGGATCCTCGGCGTTGGCATGTGTGCCATTTGCATCCATGCAAGGATAGTACGAATTCGGGATCTAGGCTATGATGTGGGCGTAAGTGGGATTTAGTATGTGTGGAGCCCCACACTGTTCTCATCAGTTGACGCTCTACTGTGAATTCTGATTGTGGTTCCTGTGGACAAAGTTTGTGGCGTTGCTTCCGAGTCCTATTTCTCCTACCCCTCTACATGTCTTCCGCTCGGTCTGGAACAACCGTACAGAAACCATCGAATTCTTTGCCCAGCTGACGATCTTCCTGTTGGTTGAACCTTTGGGGAAAGGAAGCGCAGTCGTCATGGGTCAGCTGTCGAATTCTGCCTCATGCGTTTCTTAGTACCAGTGACTGAACAAATAGTGCTTGTGAGCACCGCATCACGCCACCCTGACCCAAAAGTGCAAGGCCAATGTCTAGAGTCTGACCGAGGTATGTTCACCGCTGTGTTGCACCTTGTCACTAATGCCGTCTTGATGAATTAAAATGTGATCCTAGCCACCGCTTGAGACAAAGCGTCAGTTGGTTCAGGCCCGTCGCTCCGAGCTATATTCCTCCCAGACCCTTCCACTCGAGGGCGTCCGGAATCTCGACTCAGCCCTATCACCGAATGACGGTCTTAGCGTTCGGAGGGAGCAAACAAATAGTACGAGCTGTCCCATTTCTTCCTACGCTGGCAATGATTGATTCTGACCTCACAATCTTGATCTCGTTTCACAGAAAAGCGTTAACGGTACCGGACATAATGTCTACAACCCGAGCGGACGCGGGAGTTGCGCTGTATGTTCGGGTCTTATAAGTGCAGATGTGTGGCGCCGGTGTAGGCTTCCTTCTCGGCCTTATCTCTTTCCAGCGGTTGGAGGTAACCCGTTCCATCCGGGGTGGTACTTCAAGCTAGCTTGGAAGCCCGGGTCGAGGACTCTCAGCTGGCAAGGAACGTTGATCCGAAGAACGCTTGGAGTATAGGTGGGCACTGCTGGCGTTCCTACTTCCGTGTATCCGTTAGCTTCGTAGTGGTCGACAGTTCAATTGCTTCGGGTTTAGCGTGCGTATGTCATAGCTTTTCTGCCTTGGGCAATTTTCATATCTCCAAGAAAGACTCGGTCACTCACTTGTTCTGACTGGTGTCATTGTTCGCTCTAGACGGTCTGATTGATCGGCACGACCTCCGCTACACATCGCCATCTCACAACTTCCCTGGGTAGAAGCAAGCGGACTACCATGGCTCGGCCCTGCCCTGTGGAATGTCCAATCGAATGAAGGAAACAACTGGGGCGTCACGGTCAAGATAGACGATGGGTCGGCCCAAATCTCGACAAATAGAGGACTTCCGCCTTTCCCCTTGCGTGATCCGTAGTCAAGGACCAGTGCTCAAGTCCAAGTCCCGATGGCGGTAAGTACACTGTCGCACGCCGTGTGTGCATGTTATGACCAGTTCTATACCGGTAGGGTCAGCCCAGAGCATCAGATATTCGGTGTGATGTTTCACGCAATGGTTGTTAGCCTCGTATTTGGGCGCAACATAACGGAGCTCCCCTCATCCTTTTTGCCATAAGATGTGGTTTCTCACGTATTCCACCCTGGTATCCACCCCTACCAATCCCCAAGATATCTCACGAAATACCGTCTCCGTTATGTGCATGGGGCACGAAGAGGACATGTCCGGCCATCGACCTTAGTTCACTCAGGTTCAAGCTCTTGGTCCTTCTGCCCCTCATCTTGATCCCCTGACGTCTCAGATGACCACGCACAGGCTTTAGGCCGGCGGCTGTTTGCGCCACCCTGCACAAGTGTACCCACGGGACGAGGACTTCGAGAAGCGAAGTGTGCGTAGATCTTACTGTTATCCGTTCATAAAAATAACCATAGTCTTGAGGTGAAGTCAGTGTTCCGATGCCCAGTTGCATTTTTCACGAACGTGCCATGACAGACGGAATCGAACGGGCTTCCTACGTTGACGCTCCTGGGCTTACACCGAAACGCGCAAAAAATCGAACCGAACGACTCTCGCGCTGTCTCTCTTGTCTCGGGCTTGCAAGCGTTATTCGCGACCACGGTGCTGATCCTCACACTTTCACTGGGATGTTTCGCCAATGCCAGTAGCCTTTTACGATGCCTCACATCACCATGTGAGTGGTTACAGGTGGTTACGCCACCGTCGGATGATCTGACTCCGATAGTCACCTGGGCGAGAGGACGTGCGTTTTATACCGCTTGCATCATAACGCGCTGTCTGCTGTCTTCCTGACAGCACGTTCCCGTTCGTTCGTGCACCGCGTACCTTCTGGGCTTTCAGAAACAAGACACAGGTACGCCATACATTGTATCTTCGTCATTGATTCTCGGGTTGTTGAATGGAAGTTTGTTCTACACTTAGATCGTATGCCACAGGTCCGAATCGAGACATCTTAAACTTGCGAACCGGTACTGGCGGACTGAACGCGGACATCGATGTTGTATCCCACTGGCAAGGTACCTCACGCCGAGACCACAAGCTCAAGCCGAATTTTCTGTCTTCGGATCATCAGGCTACCGCGTACGGAGCTTCAGAAGGCAACTTGTCTCGAAGGTTGAGTCATCTACAGCAGACTTTGCGCTTCTCCTAGTCTCCTCCGTGCTAACTTGAACGTTCTTACGATCGCATTGTCTCGAGTGGGCCGTCACATTACGCCTCGGAGGCTTCGGATACCGCTCCAGTATGGCGTCTGCTCTACTTAGATCGGCGCATGAACTATTTCTGAAAGGTAATTGTTCAATGAAGAAGTCTCCCCAGGGATTGCAGCTGCACTATATGGGTCTATAAGTGCTCTAGGAGTCCAACCAGAATACGATGCGAGGTTCACGATAATAAACACCGTCACGCGGTTGGATGTGATGCGCTGTGGCGTGGCAGCTTGACCGAGTGACGGGATCTTCTCGCGACGCTCTCTGTTTCTGATTCTTCTGCTTCGATGTGGTTGCATATCTAACTATTGACTGCATAAGCTTATCTTCATCCGGGTACAAAGTGTGGCAGAACCGATCCTAATAAAACTTCTTCCCTTATTGGTTGTGCTCGAACAGTCTCGAACCAAACATGGAAGGGTGTTCTGGATAGGATGAGATGGTCGGAAGACTGGTGCAGATGACAGTCAATTCTTCTCAAGAATTTTCAAGGCACCGAGACAGCGAGAATGACAGCATCTCCCCATGTGGCAAACCACCGAGGAAAGTTGGGCAGGGACTGTCGGGTCTCAAATGAGAACCACGCCGCCCATATGACCTTGTACTTTTTCGACGCCGGAAAAAGAATGCTTTCACAGCTAAGTATGCGAGAGGCACTTGGCGGGACAAAACTGTGCAGGTCCACATGGACAATCGTGTTACGATAGCGTGAAGCAGATAGAATATACAGTGCAGTGTGGATCATTATGCGGACGGTAATGTTGACGATGCGGGAGGTATATGTTGTACAGTGCAAGGAGGACGGTGGTGATAGGTACAATAAAGCGATGGATGTGCGTGCGATTGGATTAAATAATGTACAATGCTTGCCGTTATTGTAGTCGTTATGAAGACAGGATACGCATAACCAACGAGAGAATGTCGGCATCCGAGGATGTATGGGTTCCGTGGAAAAGCTGAGTGAATCAAAAATCCATGCATACGTTCCGGAATGGAGCAATTCGATTGATGGGCGACCACTGATGAGTTCGGATCATGCAGACGAGGACGTTCAGCGGCGTGCAGCTGCTGCACGACACTGGAAACAGTCATCGTTCACTGTGTCGATGACTTTTTGAACATCTGCGCCGTAATCCTGCGAGACGGCGAAGCCGTGAAGTATGTCTTTGAGTACCTGAGACAAAGACCACCACAGGAAGCAAGAGAGACATACCCTGATGCAGCTGGAATCGCGGCAGCCTTTTGGATGAAGGACACTACGTTCACAATGACTTGCGTTGCAGTCCATAATAGCCACCACTAAGTGGCGCTGAAAGTGCTGCAAGACGGTGATATTAGACCGAGTGTATACGGACCAGATCGAGATGTTTATGTGGGCGAACGTACACCACAACGGGCCCATTTGGTACCTTCACTGTGACGGATGAGCAAAAGGAAACAAAAAGCACATGGATGGCCCTCACGCTATACGGCGACACATGAAGTATAGAGTACTAGAATTCTTGGGGTGTGGCAAGGAGGGGCGGACAAGATGGCCTCGGAAAGATGAACGAATGCTTTATATATGATGAAAGGGACGGAAGCGGATCAGGCACGCTGTGTAGGAGCCGAAGAAGAGGGCTGGTGTCGATGGGTTGCATCGCTGAAACGTTCGAGGACAGCGCCCTTTATATGCGGATGGAAGAGACAAAGAAATGAACGGGCGCGCTTCGCTCCCAGTTCGAGCGTGCTCAAAGGCTGGTTCAGTCCGGTTTATGACGTGCGACGGAGGCAAATGCAGGGCAAATGCCGGCGTCGCCTTCCGCTTAGATCTCTCCTCCGAGACGATCAACATCCATCAACGCCTCCATTGGATATTCTTCAGAGCACGAGTCTCTCGTGGGACGTGCCGATACTTCGATACACATACTCATGACGCTAGACCTGCCCGACCACGCATGTCCGTACCGTCAGCAATTCTCGTCTGCACCCATTTTTCTCGTGCCGCCCCACGGCCACCACGACGAGGGTGCATTCATGTTCGCTTGTTTTAAATAATCCGACCAGCCTGCTTGTTCGTCCTCGACCTCAGAAAGCTAATATTACCTCGCGCTTCCGTATGTTTCCGCTCCGGTATCCTTTGCTACCTTTCTTTTGTCATCTGATCACGTCTCTTGCTCTTCCAGACTGCGGCTCGTAATCAACATACCCTTAAACATCTTCGGCCTTCTCACCTTCCTGGAAGTTGCCTAATCTGAACCCTTCTCTGTGAGTACATGTGAGTGCTGAGCTAAATTCACGTGTACGATGGTGGTCGTATTTTTGGATTAGTCGCTGCGGCCACTTTCATCAAACAACTCTTGGCCTACTCCTCGTCTAACCCAGCTGCGGTTACTTACATTCGAGGATACATCTGAAGACATGCAAGACCAAGATCAATGGTGTAAGTGTCCACAGGCTTTGCAAGTAGCTCCTGCGAAGCTTGCGCTACATTCCGGTCAGAACGACGTCTATCATAGATCGTCCGCGGCCGACGTAGCTTGTCCTTGATTGTCTGCCTGGATCGACAGTACCACTAGTGGCGGTGAGTAGTGTGCATGCGGTAACTTTTAGCCCGCAGAACCGACATGTATCAGAATTCTTATCCATTTCTTGGTCTCTTTAGAAGTCGCAGGCCGGTAGACTTGGCTGGAAGACTCGAAAACCGATGCTCTCTTCCATACACAAGCATTCTGTGGAATAATCTCTCATCTGCACGCTGATATCGGTTCGTTCTTCCCTTGTTGCACTACGATCTCTGTCGCAGTTTTCCATAGGACTTTACTCGGCCTGCGACGAGTCTAGATAACCAGGACACTGAGCTTCGGCTCGGACCATGCTCTCTGATTCGAGATAAGAGACGTTGTCTCTTTTCATCCCAGCTGCAGCTAAAGTAGCGGGGGCGCTTGCGATGCGCTAACAATCAACAAGAATTTCTCCACTAAGGCGATTTATTCCATCCAGCCTCGTCAGCAGATCTGGCACTAGAGATATTGTGAATCTGCTCTAAACATCTCATTCAGACTTTATGTCGTCTGCAAGCTAAGCATGGTTCAGAGCCCCATCGGCGGTCACCATCGATCTACCTCCCTGCGTTACTTGATGGTCAGCACAGCTACTAACCTAACTTCACTACTTTGCAATCCCTGGCTCTATCTAGTATCTCTATCTATCTCTCAGCGATCACTGCGAGACACTTCTCCCTATCCGGATACATTGCCCTGAATCGAGTTCCATGGCTCATCTTCCATCTGCAGTGTATTTTAGCGAGTTACTCGTGCGTCGTCCCTGTCTCACGCATCCTTCTCCGCTGTATGGGCTGCTTATCTTGTTCGCATTCACTCAGTCCACTTCTCCAGGTTCGAACACCGACTACGACTGCACTACTGTTCGGAAAGTTGACCGAATTCCGATGTAGGCTTGACTCCTGACTCGACCATCTTCGCCGAGCAATCGAAGGTGGTCAGTGACCCTCAGGGACCCGTAATGTCTCGGAGCTTTGGCCTTCTTCCGTCATTCGAGGGTCCGATCGTCTACGGACGACGACAACACAAGGACAGCGGAGCTCGGACTGCTGATCGGTTTCATCGTGCCTTTATAAGTTATTTACAGGTGCTCTTATACCACTATGACTTATCGATCGCTCTTTGTTTTCATGCACATGTTTCGATGCTCCTCATGCGACTTCACTGACTTTGTTGGTCCATGAAGCTGGTGTCGATTTTGAGGGGTTGCTACAGAGCTTTGTGTGGGATCCGCGGCTGCCATTCTCGAGATATATGTAGCACTATGCACACAGGAGCTGTCATGCTACTTTCATGAACATATATGACTTCTGGGGTCTAGCAGTGGAAAATCCTGAAGCAAGGAGCTTTCGGTACGCCACTGTGGCGCTCGGATTTCGTGGGAAAATCTACCAGAACATTCTCGTTCCTTCTTCCGCCAGGTCACCTCAGGTCACACGGCCTTGTAGGCCCCTATTTCACCCCTTTTATTGGACCGAACGCGGTTGTCGCAGACGTGTTTCCTCTTCAGTCGCGTTGCTGCCCCATAACACCTCTGTACCACACCTCATCATTATCACCTTCGAGAGACTTATTGCCCATCTAGTACTCCGAGTCACAGCACGATGGATCCTGGCGCTACATCTCAATTAACTTGTGCTGCATGTAACAAGTCGAGCTTGGGCTCAGACGCGTCTACCGGTGGTCTTCAGAGATGCTCAAAATGCAAGACCACATACTACTGCGTACGTGCCTTTTCTTCATGCATGTCTGGCGTCGCCCGCTTACGCGAACGATGTATACTTCTTTTAGTCGCGGGAATGTCAAGTCACGCATTGGCCTTCACACAAGTCTCAATGTCACGCTACCGCCGCCGGCTCATCCACAAGCACCTCAGCATCTCCATCTTCAAGCAGTGAAGTCACGGGTGTCATGGTTCCTTGCGACGGCGAACGTCGTCTGCATGGATTCATGAAGTCCGTTTCCATCGGCCCTGACCACCCCATTCACACAAAGGGTGTCGTTTCTCCCGTTTCGCAGAAGCTTGGGTTCCCTGTCGTTATTTATCGACATCTTCCAGACGGAGGCTATGGCGCGGAATATGATTGTCAGATTGCGACGTATTTGATGATCGACCCGGTCTCTGGTTTTGCACCCTTCGAGTACGCTCAATCTCCTTCCATAATATTCGCCTTTGTCATTTCTTCTGCGATTCAGTGCGTTAACTAACTTTTATTTGTTTGATATCTCGATATGTATACGTAGGTGGCAGTCCGCGGTGGGCAGCGTCACAGTTATGCGGCAAGACGGAAAACCCCTCACCACGCAAGCCCTCGAGACCCTGTGGATGTTCTGCTCGAATCTGCTCGACAGGTTTGGCGACGATGATGGTGGGCCTGGCTCACAGCTGAAGCATATGACGCCGGCAGCCTGGAAGAAGTTTTGTAGGTCGTATGTTGAAGAGGTCAAGGGTTATGGCACGAGGAACGACTTTGACGATGTGCAGTTGCCGTTCTAGTTTTGCCATCGTCCTAAGTGTGTGCATTGCTAGTGTTTCTCAGTTGGCATTGGATGCTCCTGGACTTCTGTTTCTCATGGCTCGTTCTATGAAATGCTCGCGGTATGGTTATGTATGTGTATACTGTATTTCCGAGGAGCACCCGTGTATATATCACCATCATTTATTTTCTCTATGTAGTATTCTCTTCGTCTACCCGTTCCAGCTTACTCAACGCATTGGGACGTCGCATGGCTCATTATCTCTGTGCAAAGCGCAACACACTTGGATAAAAGCTATTGATACATCGTTGCGACTGATTTTGGAACCATCGCACCTCGACAACTAATATACAAGTCGCATGCAAGCAAGAGCATTTACAGAGAACGTAGATTTTCCCGTATGTCATCTGCACCAGGCTCATTACTGAGCCTGATCTGCTCTTTGGTCTCTGGTCCACCTGGACCTTCAAAATCGCGAGCCTTCGTGAACCTGGAGGACAGGTGCGAAGTTAACGCCGGAACAAATAGAACAAGCCAGTGCTCGAAACGTTCTAAGAGGAAGGATGTCAGGATGAGAATAAAATAAACACACACCGTTTTTGGTCCCGCAAAAGGTCACCACCCTCTTCTACGGGAATATCTTGGTTATCTCCGCCGCCAGTTGCAGCCGTACCATACCGGACTGAAGCACCGGGGAATCTGTCCTTCACAGAGGCGTCGACGCCTGATTCATAGGCTGGTGGTCGTTCGAGGGTGTAAGTAGACGAAGACGCAAAGGTATGATGTAGCTGTCGAGCGTACCAGAGTCGGACCCGTACTTGGGATCCCTCGTCGAGGCTTTGTGGCCCGACATGCTGTGGTCGTTGAGGTCGGCCTCTGCTTGCCTGGCGATTTGCTCGTTGGTGGTGTTCTGGTATTCCGAGGACATGATGTACGGTGGAGAGATATGAGTTTGAGTGTTTGTGAGAGGGGTTCGATGTGGGGGCAATTATATCGGTCCATAGGAGAGCCAGAGTCCGTTTAAATAAGTATCAGACCCGGAGAGGGTGCGGGTACGTGACATCATACAGGCCGCCTATGAGCGAGGCTATGAGCGCAGTGGCCTTGCTTCTAAATCCATCACTCTCTATAAGTGAGTATAAGTGGCTTCTGCAGTGGGGTGTAGTAGGAGAAATTTTCTTGAAACTCCAGTAAGGATTGTGTGAGAGTGGCTCGCAATTATCACACCGGCCACCTCTGGCCACCTCCATACGAAGCAAATCATTTTCCTGGCTCAATAACAGCAGCCAGATTAAGAGATACGAGCTGAGCAGAAACACCACAAGATATTAGAGGTCTGAGACTGAGCCTGAGGGATACAGATTTCAATTCAATACAGAGCCCGTTATTAGGCTTCAGGTCATGCCATGCGCGAGTTGAGGGTGGACGTAAGTACCTGAAATTTATCCGGTTCTTTAACGTCGATATGTCAGCTTTTTTACATGTGCTTGCAATGGAATCATGAATCTGCCCATGAAAGACGAAGGATCCAAGTGAGAAACGGGTCATACTATTCTGCGTCAGTGTTTGAACGCGCCGGCCACTTCCGAGCGCCACAAATTAGCGTGAGAGATTCTCGCTGATGACAGGACGGTCGCGCTCGGCGTCAAGCTCGACACTGCTCGACTCATCCACCAAACGTACCAATTACTCTATCATCGTTGTCGCCGTCAACGTCCTCAGCAACTGTCATGTCTTCTCGAGCGGGTGGCCTCTACGGAGGCATCCAATTCTCTAAAACAAACTTCGTCTCGTCCGTCTCCGAACAGGACACACCTCCAGAAATTGAGATGTCAAAGGCCGCCGAGACGACACCGACCGATGCAGCCTCTGCGGCTACATCGTCTATGGCTGCGACCGCGCCTGCGGGAAGCAAGCCCACAGCCGGTATCTAATTCCACTGCTGCACCTGTCCCCATATTCAGACCGTGTTTATTGATCACCGCAACCCTCGTCACATCTCAACGTCACCTCCAACACAGGCTGGTCTGCAGCCCTCGCGTTCGCACCCGTCAAGAAAAAGGGAAAGGCTCCTGCGGCGCGCATCCCTGCTGGTGCTACTCTTGCTGCATTTTCTCAGCCAGTCACGGTCAGTGCGCCACCGACAGTGCCTGCGTTTTCCACTGCGGTCATTGCAGCTGCTCCGGAGCTGGTCCCTCCACCACAAGCGGCAGGATCTGCTCAGAAGGCCGGATGGGGAAAGAAGGTCAAGCCACCGTCGATGATCTTGGATGACGATGTGAATGGCTTCAAGGGCTCCAATAAGCGCAAGGGTGGAGGAAAAAAGAACAAGAAGGTGCGTTGATTTTACTTCCCCACTCAAACTGTAGTCGCTTATTCGTGGTGTCAATCCCAAGAGTAAGCTCGGGCAGCAAGTCGCCGTATGGGATCCTTCCGAACAGTACGATCCTATGCGTCCCAACGACTATGGCGAGTTCAAGGCTTTCAAGCGCAGAGAGAGGGAAGAACGCAGGGAAAGACTTGCTGAAGAGAGACGTATGCAGAGTGAGAGGAAGAGGTTCAGAAGCAGCAGCTACAGTGACCGTAGTCGCTCTGGGTCGGAGGACGAAAGACCAAAGAAATCTGGTGAGCATTACTTTTTTTTCATCCCTGTTCAATGAGACTCAACGAACTCGACCCAGGTCGTTACGATGAGCATGTCGATCGATGGTCCCGCGAAGATGATGATTACGACCGTCCATGCGGTCTCGGCAGTGGCTCTGTCCCTCCTCCCGCTGCTGTCCATACCGCTGACACGACTGGCGACGAGGCCTACGCGCGTCGGCTAGCCATGTCGACCGGAGCGCAACCACCTACTTTTGCTGCTCCTGCTATCGCCGAAGCGGTTCCAAACTTCGAAGAAGGCCCCTCCAGACCAGAGACAGGCGAAGAGGCTTACCAACGTCGTCTCGCTCTCTCAAACCCGTCTGCCTATATTCAGCCTCCATCTGGCCCTCTTCCACCCTTCCCGCCTCAATTCCCACCATCTTCGGCCCACTCACTTTCACCTTCACAACCTCCTCTGAGCGGTGAAGCACCCCCATTTTACCCCTCCTCTCGCCCCGTGTCACCTCCTTCCGGCCCTGAGCTGGCGTACAATCCTTTCGCTCCTCCAGCAAGCTCGATCCCCCCACCCCCGCCACCTGGCGGCCCCAATGCAGCGATGGAAGAGCGGGTAAGGAAGGCTGCTGCGATCGCTGCGAAGTTGAAAGCTCTCGCGCCGCCCGATGCGTCCGGGTCTGCTTCGGGCGTCGTCGTCGAAGCCTCCCCTACGCCACCGCCGCCAGGTGATGATGGACCGAAAGACTTTGCGGCGCGTATGATGGCGAAGTGGGGACACAAAGAAGGGCAAGGACTCGGTGCGGACGGTTCTGGGATCGTGCATGCGCTCACTGTTGAGCAAGTCAAGGCTGGAAAGCAAAAGGGAAACAAGAGCGTTCAAGAAGCGCCCATGGCCCCTCAGAAGGGCAAGGCCAAAGGCATGGGTATGGGTGCTGCGGGTGCGGGGGCTGGAGGGATGGGAAGGATCGTGAATGCGAATGAGGATGCGAAGACGAGGGAGGATAGGGAGAGGTTTGGGGATCCGAGTAGGGTGGTTTTGTTACTGAACATGGTTGGTCCAGAGGACGCGGATGACGATGATCTACCAGGCGAAATTGGTACGTTTTCCCTACCTATGATACACCAAGTTGCCATACTTACTGATGACACTTGTATCTGCACCAGGTGAGGAGTGTTCGAAGAACGGGACCGTTGAGCGCGTCATCGTGCATCTCGTCCAACCGCCGCCTCAGAACCCAGAAGACGCCGTTCGGATCTTCGTACTTTTTAAAGGTCCTGCTGGAGCGTGGAAGACTGTTCGTGAGCTGGATGGAAGGTACTTCGGAGGGAGGACTGTCAGGGCGAGATATTTTCCTGAGCGGGCATTCGGCCAAGGCCTGCTCAATGGACCGTTAGCTTGAACGATGTTCGCAACATCATGGTGTTTGCGGGGTGGAAGATGCTGGCGAATGTGTTTCGCGGTGGATGATTACCTATGATGTCTTGCTTTTCGATATTTTATGGTGGTCCAGACTCTATTGTACTTGAGGGTTTGTGTTGTACCGATTTTCCTTCTTATCATGTTTTCTGTGAAACTATCACTCAATGCTGTTGAAGAGGCTCATATTCTTGACATGTGTTCGTGTCGTATACCCGTTGAATGCTGAGCGCCTTTCACAAGAGCGTGGGAAATTTCACGAGGATTTAACTCACGCCACAAAAGGTTGGGCCACATCGCGTTTAGAGTCCAATAACGTAAGAGAGGTCCTTGCCCCCCGTTTCACATACAAGTATAGACGGAGTGGTGCATCGGCTGCACAAAATAGGAAACAAGTAATGTCATTCTCATTACATTAGCCTACGCTTCAACAATCCAAATGGCACCAGTCCACCCAAACCATCAAAACTAAGACGACAAGTAGGATAGTGTAGGGGTAAGCATAAGTATACCAAGCGACCAAGAAGAAAGTAAAGAGTGGGAAGAGCGTCCAGCAAAAGAAGGCCCTGCTGAGTACGGGTACTATGGGCTACACTGTATATAGCGTACGTACGAAAGTCCAAGATATGCCCTGAGGACAATCATAACCACGCTGACGGAACGAAAAAGACGGACGAAGAGCTAAACGATACAGAAGTCTAAAAACACAACCCAATTATGATGTATACACAGGCATAAAAGCGTAAGGGTCGTCATGTCCATCGTTGGCATAGAGAAAGCCAAAGCGAGTGAATCACCATGGTCGTCTACAACAGCAGGCCAAGTACGACGCCACCAAACGCGAGCGCGAAGCCCGCGCCGTGGTTGAACGAAACAGTGCTGAGGGCACCGTTGCCGCTGGAGGTCGAGTTGGATGAGGTGCCGTTGATCTGGATGGCCTTGGCTTGGAACGCTTCGAATGTATTTGCGCTGGACTCATTCGCGTTCACAGAGAAGACCTGGGAAGGGAACAAAGCTTCAGTGTGGGAACGTTGAGAGACGTGAGGAACTGTGGCGTACCATGCCTTGACCGCAGTGGCCGGTCTGGGCACAGTAAGCCCAAATGGGAGAAGTCTAGTAAGGAAATACCAAGAATGTCAATAATGACTTCGTTTGGAAACAAGTTCTCCGGAACTCACGTCGTTGATCTGGATCGTGAAGGTAGGGAAGCTCGTCGCATTGTCCGCCACTGGCATGCTGTGGATTTCATCATTCAATTAGACTCAACATCTCTTCAGGAGATAGAAAAGAACACTTACAATCCAGAGGCGAATCCAACCTGTCCACTCGTGCTCGTCGACGCCAGCTTCTGGCAAGGAGCCGCGAAGCTCGACTGCGTGACTGTATGATTCTTCTGATGGAACTCGAATGTGACGGTGTCGCCGGGCTGAGCAGTGATGTTCGATGGCTGGTACGTCAAAACAGCGGAGCCAGTTCCGCCGACGATGACTTTGTGGTCCGTCGTCGAGGATGATGTCGAAGTAGCAGCAGTAGATGCCGTGGTACTGGTGGGTGTGGTGGCAGTCGAGGAGGCAGCAGAAGCAGATGTGGATGCGGTGGAGTTGCCAAAGGCGTTGGATTGGAAGGTCGAGAAGTTAGCCGCGCCGTTGATGGCGAAGACCATGCCTGTGCAACATTGTGGTAAGTGGAAGAGCACGAGTGGCTGTGACAGAAGATGTAAGACATGCCTTGTTGACAGTGGTTGGCTTGCCGGCAGTAGACCCAGACGGGGTTTGTATCTTGCACCTGGAATTGAGCGGCGGGGAAATTGTCTGTGACGTCGGCCGCGACAGGAATGCTATGATATGGGCACATAAATGAGTAAGCGTGGGCAATTCAACTAAATCAAAATAAATGGTAATTACAATCCCGAATCAAATCCACCATCCTTGGGGGAACAAGGTTGAGCCAAGGTAGACTGAGTGGCGGTATGGTTCTGTTGCTTGAAGATGAATGTAACAACATCCCCAACAGCGGCCGTCTAAGCAAGAACAAAAAATATTAGACAAACGGTCATGATTATTTATAATGGTGCTCTATGAATGAAAGTACTGACCACTTGGTTAGGATTGAATTGCAGAACGCCTGTGCCGCCGACGACCACTTGTAACTCAGCACCCTTTGTCGGAGGAATTGCTGCCAGAAGCGTAGCTGCGAGCACCGTGGAGAATATAGCGAACATTTTCACTAGTAAGAATAGAGCGAGAGTAGTAGAAGGTCGCAGGCTTTGAAGTTCCTGAAGAGTGCAGTCAACTGCAGGAGAAATTACAAGACGACGACCAGGTCAAACGAGAAGGAAAAGTGAAAGAGAGGGAGCAGGGGGAAAGGTGTTGAAGCGACATCTCTTGGCGCATGTAGATGTCTCTTATAGCTCAAAAGCAATGACAATAAGGATGACCTGGTTTGGCAAGACAAAGGCCGTCGTCGATCTTCCTCCGAGGCATTGTTGCCAAGAACAAAAGGGAGAAATGATCATGCGCCCACGCGAGACCCGGCACAGTGGCGCCGAGATCCCCGTGAGTCTGACTTTGTTCTCTTTCCTGGCTGTGCGATCTCACATCGTCGTCCGACACAATAACTCTTCATACGACCCCTTTCGACCATATGTACCGCTTGGCGTGGTGGCGGATACGCTATCCGCAAAAGCGCCTCAGCACGAGGGCCCAGCCGGCTTGATTATTCCCTCTTGTCCTCGCCTTTGGAAGGGATATTGCCAGGCTGTGTCGCGACGTTCCCACCAGTGCTTTTAGGCCCAGTGCGTGGTAATAATACTCAATAATTTGCTAATGTTTGCTTGATCGACTCGGTGGTGAGGTCACCCGGCGCAAACAGAAGGTCGAGTCATACGCCTAGTCACACCAACTAATGCAGTGTCCGTATCATAAGGATGCATCGCAATCCCCAAAGGAAAACCATCTTGCTCTTCTCCAGCCATTATCGAGACCGCTATGGCTCAACAAAGTACACCAAAGGTCGTTAAGACCTCATATACATCCCGACCTGTCAACATTCCACCTTCTTTCCTGAAAGATCCTCTACCCCACCCTATCTCCGTCGCACACGTCGATTTCCCGAACGGCAACCTTCCAGAATACGAGGGTCTCTACGCTGTAGTACTCGATGGTGTTTTGACTTCCTCCGAATGCAATGAGCTCCTCGGTCTTTGCGAACAAAGCGTCGACGATTCTTCCGTTCCAAATGATGGTCTATCCGACTCTAGAAGCGATGATCGTAGCAAAGCAGCCGCACTATGGCGTCCTGCGATGGTCAACGCCGGGCCCGGCCGCGAAGTCATGCTTCAAGACTATCGGCACTGCGATCGTATTATTTGGGATGATCGAGAGGTGGTGAAACGCATATGGGACAGGTGCGCTCTGGACGAAGGTGTTCAAGAGCAGTTAGCCAGGATCGGAGGGAAAGGGAGTGCAAAGGTGCAAGGGTCTTGGATGGAGGAAGGGGGTAGTAAGTGGAAGTTTGTGAGACTAAATGAGAGGATGAGATTCCTGAGGTATGGGAAGGGGATGTTCTTCAAAGGCATGTCTGTCTCCCTCCAAAGCTTCCTGTGGAACTGGATCTGATGTAGCATGCGGACCGCAGAGCATTGTGATGGGTCGTACGTTGACCCCGAAACCCGCCAACGCTCGTTCTATACCCTACATCTCTATCTTAATGATAGTGCTCCTCAAAGCGACAGCGAGAAGTCTCTAATCGGCGGTGCCACTACGTTTCACTCCGACGACATGAGTCGCAGTATGGACGTAGACCCTAAGGCTGGGCGCGTACTCATATTCCAGCACAAAGGTCTGCTGCATTCTGGCGCCGAGGTGTCCTCAGGGATCAAGTACACGATGAGGACGGACCTCATGTTTGAGCTAGAGTCGAAGGAAGAGTCGATCCTGAAGGAGAAGGAGAAGAAGAAGAACTTCTTGAGCAGGTTCGGTAAATCTTGAGTACATGGTCCGTTCTCAGCGTCGAGCCTCAGGCCTCATGTCCCTTCATTAGTTACACAGTACTGATTGACTCATTGTCCACCGTGGTTGAGGCTTTGTGTCGGTCTGATTGGCATGTCTAACGTTCTCTTCACATCGCTATCCCGTAGTGTCTTTTTGCTTTGTATTGAGCTTCATATCTGGATTTATTCCATGACGAAACCGTCACCTATCAACTTATTCGATATGCTCTGGAGGCTATCTGAAGGGTAGACTGCACACGATCTTGCAACTTCGAGATCGCCTTGGAAACATAGGCCGACTTTTGACCCTGCAAGCATGCTCGAGCAAGAAAGATGATTAAAAGAAATATGACTATAGGAACACAATCCGAAAACCTCCACGCTAAACGCTCCCCGCACCGACTCAATCATACTCATCGAAATCTACATCGACCGGTCTCAATTCCTGCATCCTCTCCACCGCCTCCCTAACCTCCATCTCCGCAAAGCTAGCCGCCTCCCTCGCGCTCGCAAGCCTGTCTTCCAACTCGTTCGCCGTCATCGATCTGAGCGCATCGCCCGGCTGACCTTCATCGCCATCATTCACCATGCCCAACGTATCAAACTTCTGTAGCGTGTTCCCCGTCCTCGGCGCGAAGCCGTGCGGGTCCCAGCCACTGTCGTTGAAGGAGAGTACGGCTCGGACGGCGGCGGTATTGATGTCACGATGAAGCTCCTCGAGCTTGGAGAGTTGGACTTCCATCCAGCGGGCACGACGTTCGAGCGCGAGTGTGAGAGCGGCAACCTCGTCCTTGCCGTTCCCTTCCTCACCGGCTTCGTCAAGGAAATCATCGCCCTTGAGCATGTCACGAAGGACGCCGTCGAAAGAGGAACTATCGTCCCAAGTGGTACGAGGAAGGAGGCGAAGGAGATCGGAGATGGTCTGGGTCAGAGTTTCGAGGAGCTGCTGGAACGAGGAAACCGCGTTGTCGATCGATCCGGACGGCATGTTATTCGCAAAGGAGCCACCACCGACCGAGAGCGCCGAGAGCGCGTGGACAAGGGGACCGTACTCCAAGGGCACTTTGGAGCTGGGATTGATTTTCGAGGCGTCGAAGAAGGGGTGGTTGATCAGGTTCATCTCCGGGTGCATGACGTTGATCTGCGACAGGAGGTCTTTGACAGAGGTGGGCTCGTTGGAAAAGGCCCTGTCGACAGACTGACCCCTGGAGCTCGCGGAGTTCGAGTCAACGAGACTACCGTTGGCTCTCGGACCAGGCAGTTGAGGAGCTTCAGAACCAGCAGCGGATCCGAGAGCAGAGGCTGCATCGATGAGTAGTTCTTCCTCCTTAGGGATCCTGATTGGCTTTGTGGCGGGACGACTTTTCTTCGGCATCTTCGAAAGCAGAGGCCCTTGGCTAGTAGGCTCAGATGAAACGGGGGCAGGGACAGGGACTGTGGAGGGCGGGCGAGAGCTATTTCTGCGCGGAGACGCCGGAGGCTGAGTTTGTTCTGCCTTTGGAGCAGTCTGACTAGTTGCAACCTTGGTGGACGCCAAATTAACGGCTTTCTTCTGTTGCTGCTGAATAGCTTTCTCCTTGAGCGCTTGAGCCGCCTTGTCCTCCTTGTCCTTCTTTGCCTTTGCCTGCGTATTCTCCTTTTCCCTCCTAGCCTCCTCCTTAGCTACTTTCTCCTTCTCGACCCTCTCCTTCTCAGCCTTAGCCTTAGCTTTCTCCATCTCAGCCTTCTCTGCCTCCAGCCGCTCCTTCTCCTTTAACTCCCTCTCCTTCTCCAATCTCTCGTTGTCCAACCTCTCCTTCTCCGCCTTCTTCTCAGCTCGCTCTTTGTCCTTCTCAGCCTTCTTCTCAGCCGCCACCTTTGCCCTCTCCATCGCCCTCTCCGTCGCCGCCGCTTTCTTCAACGCCTTCTTCGCTACCTTGGAGTCCATCACTTCCGTCGCCGGCGTCGTCGCCCCCGATGTCCTCGTCGGCCCCTCATCGGGCTGCTCTTGGGTTACCGGCTCGGAGGTACCGATGGTAGACGGCTGTGGAGGCTGCGCCGTCAGCGCGGGGAAATCGGAGGACGAGAGCAGGGGGGACGGAGTAGATGCAGGTAAATCGGTGCTCGGCACTGCGCGAGCACGTTAAATCACAAGAAATATATCATGTCATTGAGAGCAAAAGAAAAAGAGAAAACAGATGCGATCGTTTATAAGAGGGTGGATAGAGCATATGTCGTCAGCATTCCAACCCTCGAATAGATGTGTGCAACACCAAAGACACGCAACGGACGGAGGACGGAGAAGGCGACGAGGGCAGTAGTGGTGATGGTAAAATATGATGCATGGAAAAGGTCCGGGAACGTCGTCCGAGTTCGAGTGCCGTTGACGACGATGATGGGATGCAGGTATGCGGCCAGGGTGGTATGGGGTTGGATTCACGAAATTCGCCAATCAAACACGATATTGATATTTCCGCACTGAGAAGGCACGGCGCTCGGTACTCGGTACGAATGACCTGGGACTCTCCCCCCTCAAAACTGAACGGAAATCGTACTCACCATTGGCCATGTCTACATTCCCCATATTCCCCATGTGCACCTGACTAGGACTCGGCGACAATCCGGGCGGCGGGTACGCGATACCTGGTGGTGGACCGTATGCGAGCTGCGCCTGTTGCTGCTGGTGTTGGTGGTGATGGTGGTGTTGATGCTGAGCAGCAGCGTAGGAATCGAGACCCATTGGATTTCCATAGCGTGCATCGGAGGGCATAGGTGAAGCGAAGCTAGCTGACATGATTGCTGGATCGTTGAATGGTTGACCGGGTGTGTGCCTAAATTGAGACATAAGATCCTGTTGATCTGCGCCACATAAATCATTGTCAGTTCCAAACATTTATCTCTCGAGGTAGGAATTGATAAACGCAGATGGGCAACCCACCGGCCAACGAGCCAACACTCCCCCTGCCAGCAACGCTACGATTCCTATCCCTACTCGACTCGATGAACTGCCTCAATGCATCCTCAGTACCAGAATTGTGGTCAAATGGCTGGAAGCGTGCGGCCTGCTGATTCTGGTGCTGTCGGTGATGCTGCTGCGCAAGCGCATGAACCTGGGCCTGGGCCTGAGCTTGAGCAAGCATCGGTGAACTCGTCGCAGAAGCGCTGTGAGGGTTATACTGATGGTGTTGTTGTTGCTGAGAATGTTGTTGTTGTTGCTGTTGCTGCTGCTGCTGCTGCTGTTGATGTTGCTGTTGTTGTGTCTGCTGCTGCTGTTGCTGCTGATAGGACCATTGAGACGCAGGGGAAGTCACGTCATTCGTTCCATACATCGAGCTCTGGTTAGTGCTGTCCGTAGGGCTGAGCGGTGTGGTCGTGGCCATGGGGCTCGACGTAGAGCTCATGGTGCTCCCACCTTGTCGTCCACCACGCGCAAACCCAAATCTTGACATCTTGCGCGACGGATCCTCATCAAGAGCCATTCGTCGAGCAGTAGCAGCCGGATCGTTATCTCCGCTGTCAGCAAACGGATTGAACGAGCCAGTATATAGCGGTGACGTAGACTGCTGCCCATTCGTCGGCAGATTCTGGCGGGAAGGATCGTAGATGGAATTGGTGGAATTGAGAGGGTAGCCCATAGCAGCCGCATTCATCATCATCGGAGCAGGGCTGTAGGTAGAGCTACGAAGGGCGGGAAACGCGTCCACGAAAGTGCCTTGGAACGGGATAGGAGGCTCTGCAGCAGCGACAATATCCGATATCGCAGCATCTTCCGAACCTTTTGCAAGTTTCGGATCGAGGTTGAAGCTGAACCCTCCGAACTCGTCATTGTTCTCCGTAAGAGTCTGTAGCGTCCTGTCGAAGTCGGGGAACGGGCTGATACCAGTAACGGGTAATGCAGACTCCCGACGCGCCTTCACATCATTCAACAGAGCCTGGGCCGCCGTCGACATCTGATAAGTCTGACCGGCCTGTGCGGCCTTGTTCGGTGCAGGTAGACCGGGAGGAGCAGCAAGGCCAGGAGGCACGGCAGGCAGACCAGGAGGTATCGAAGGAACAACCGGGGGTTCTGGCGATGCAGACGTGGTCGGTACATCGTGCGAGCCAATATCGGAGTCCACTGCAATCGACGAGGTCGGTGAACGCGGAGGAGGTGGCGGTACCGGTACCACCTTTTCGACCTTCTCCTTTTTGGGTTTCGCGGGGGTGCTGTTGGCGGGCGTCATAGAACGAGCTGTAGGTGCAGGAGCTGGTGTATTGGGCCGAGAAGACGAGGCGATCGATGACGGTTTGGCCGCGCTCTTCGTTGCTACACTTTTCGCCTCCCAAGCTTTGGCAGCTGGTTGCACGTCTGCCTTAGCGGTCGAGTGGCCGTCCGTAGAATCTGCCGGAGTAGCTGCTCTTTGTCGTGTTGTCCCACCACGCCGACTTGTCCGCGTAGAGGTCCCGCCTGCATTGTTTGTGTTATTGTGTAACGCAGTCGAGGTTGGCGTCGTGGATGCTCCTTTTGCCCAGGATGCGGAACGAGGCAGACGTGCTATTATTAGAATGATTAAGCCATCTACCCCGTGGAGAAGACAAGAGACGAACACACCTGTCGGGTCATCAGGCTTCTTACCCAAAACGATATTCTTCCGAGTCGTCTCTGTATCTTTGATGGCATGTTGCCTTGTTTCACCAAAGAATGATCAGCACTGCAGGACGAGATGAAAATCATGAACATAGCCACGTACAGCGTCGACAGATCTTCCTTGGTGAAACAATCCTTCTCGTCGCCCCACTCGTGTAGGTTCATACAACCATGATCTGTACAACTGGCGCCTCTGAGAAAGGCCATACAATACTTGGTAGTGCCGAAACTAGCCCGCATAACTTCATTTCCACCGCCAGGAGAGGCAGTCCCGTCCACAGCGGCTATACAACGCGCGGCATCTTCGCGGCGGTGGTAGGTGATATACAGCCCCACAACAGGCGGCTGTCCTGAGGGAGTGCGCTTGACGAGGAGGATCTTGGAAATCCGACCATATTGACCAAAATATTCATTCGAGCGGAGGGTGGGTATAAGCTGTTGGGGATCGTGATGTGTTGGCGGAAATGACACGTAAAAATGAAGTACAGAGCGGCGCACCTCCTCTTTGGCGAATCGTGGCCCTATGCCAACGACATACACGACGTTGCGCTGGACGACGCGAACATTAGCAAGATGGCGGCGGCCAAGGGAATCGAGTTCTTTGCGCTCTCGTTCCCGCTGTTTCTTCTGCTGAGTCAGCCTTCGATGACTGCAGAGCGGAACACATTATGAGAACGAACAAGTCACGAAGAAGAGATAAAAACGAGAGGGACGCACTCTTCCTTGTTTACGGGCTTGAACTGTACAGTTTCGTCCGAGTACTCCCTCCTGCATGCGGGGCACTTCTTGTTCAGATTCTCTTTGATATGGTGCCAGCAGAAGCGACAGATCTTCATAACGTCAGTCAGATTTGCGGGTGAAAAGTCCTCACGAAAATAACGTACCTGGTACCCGCAGGGGCATGGCTTGAAGTTGAGGTCTGACACATCCATCTCTTCCAGACAAAGAGGACAATCTTCACCCTCCTACAATCGAGATGAACAGATATGAACATGAATAGACGTCCTCCGATAAGATAAATCCAGAGACACCGACCTCTTCGTCGCTCCAGTACGCGTCCTGCACACCTGTCAGAACGTGCGACTTGGACTGGAGAGCGGAAACGCTGGAATGTACGACGGGCGCTGGCAGCGACGGGTGCGGGTGTAGCTTCACGGACGACATTGCTGACGATGTTGAGGATGGGGGATGCGACAAAGGGGACGAGCGCGAGGCAGGGGCGAGGTGGAGGAGACAGAGAAAGTTGGGCGAGCGCAGAGAGCAGCCGGCGACGACGCGCCTCAACGAGGTCCGTTTTCCCACGCTCACCCCATCGTCAAATTTGGCCTCCGTCGCCCGCCTCGTTTTTCTGCTCGCTCATTGTCGTGTATTTTGCTCACTCACACCGCTTAAATTTACATCACAGTCTCGAGTACGTGTTCGTATTTGTTCGTTCCCATTGCGGTAAGAACAGAAGGTTTTGTGACACCCATAGAGCTCCAGCGCCACTACCTTCGCCACAAACTGTTTGAGACAGGGGGTGCATCAAAACTAGTACGGATATGGATTCTTCTATGATAATCGCTCTAGCGCAAGAATTCCCGGGGCGAGGAGGATTAATGCAACACATAGACGCCGCTCAACAAAGAGGCGATTGCATGATATTGGCGTGTTCGTTTGATGAAGCTCGCAGATGATCGATGTGGCCCAAGTGTGGCCCAACAAACATGCCTTCGGTAAGCGCTTGTTAAAGCTGGGAACTTGGTGAACAATATCAGTACGGAAATCGGGCTATCATAGCACCTGATTGTTTCCAGCGATACCCATAGTGATGAAAAGAGGCTACAGTGGGAAAAGATACAGATACAAGCAAATCGGACGTTCAAAGCGTTCAAAGCGCACATTGTCCTAGGACTCAGATGTCGAAATCATCGTCGTCGTCCAGTTCTCTCCGCTGAAACTGAATTTTCAGAAGCAAGAGAGCCTGTTAGCTAATTTCGAAATCTGAAGTACGGAACAAAGACCCACCTTGATTGTGCCCTTCGCGGCAGTCTTGGACTGCGCCTCCTCAGCCTACCGCCCGCCTACCGTCAGCAGATCTCCCAAGTGTAAAGAAACTGATGAAGGGAAGGGCAAGAGAGACGTATAACGCACCTGCTCCAGTAGATCAATAAGTTGGTTCTCGCTCACCCTCCCTCTCAGCTGTCCGGACTGTGCCATCCTCAACAAGATCCCCTCAATCTGCCGAGATCGTTCGGGTGAAACCAACGATATTCTCGATACTATACATCCAGAGGTGATGCACCGTATCAGTGTGTAATATTCGATCGCAGCCAAGGTGTAGCGCATGCATCAAGAGCCGAGAATAGTAGACATGTGGCGAACAAATGCACGATTCCTTAGTTCAATCATAGCAAATCCTTAGGTAGAGTCACGGAGTTGTACGCACATCGCTCCCTTGCAGCAGGCTCCAGCACAGTAGCCAGTAAATCCCCCCTCATCTGCTCCTCCCGCTGCCTGTTCGCTGCCTCCTCTTCGCCACCCTGGCCCCCCGCTCCTCCTGCTGGACCTCCAGATTGTTGAAGTTGGTTGAGACGTGCGGCACGGAGAGCAGCGAGTTCTGGATCAGCCATTATAGATGCTCAGGTCAAAGGGTTGATACAAAGTGGTATAGAATTGTTCAAGAGATGGAAGACAAGTAGAGTACGTAGAACGTTGTAGAAGTGCCGTACAAAGCCGTGACTGGCTAATTGCATCACGTGGCCAGAAAACGCGTAAATATCGCGACGCGTCTCAGCTCTCTAGCCAGATTATCCTAGCTCTGAGTTCAATCGTTCACGCCCGCCTCATCACAAAGTTAACTCCCAACACAAAGCCCATCATGCCGCTGCATTACACCGTTCGCCGTTTCCTAACCAAACCTCGTACTCTCCTCTTACTTCTCCCCCTCCTCCCAATCCTCTTCTACTTAATCCACCACCTCCACACGAACACCTCAACCCTCCAACCCGACCGCGACCGTCCTCGAAACTCCAAAACAGCACATCCCGCCAACCTCCACTCGAACTCCCGTTTCTACACAAAGCAAACCGGAGGCCTGCAAGCACTCAAAGGCTCCTGGCCTTCGCTACACAGTCTACTCGATCTCCCATCCCACCTAACAGACGGTCACGCTCTACCCCTCCCGCCGAGCGATGCACACATCCAGTATGAAGCACTCGCGCTTGCGTTGTCCGCAGAACGTGAGCATCGAAGCCTTATATCAATGTTTGATCTGAGAAAGAGGGGAAAGAAAGGGAAAGGGAAGGAAGACGGGGAGCTGTGGCTCGCGAAGGACGCAGTCGTGGAGCCGAAGGCTGAGATGGAGGAGATCAAGAGGAGGTTCAGAGAAGCGGGAGTTATGGAAACCAAGAGAGGGCGGCGGGCAAGTGAGGAGGATGAAGAGGTGGCGCGATGATGAGACATCTTTTTGAAGGGGCCAAGGTAAATAAGGGACTATCGAAAAGGTTGGCTCGAGATAGCTTCAGAACCGAACGGTGGAGGTCAGGCCTCAAATATATCGTCAAAATAGCCAGTGTTATATCCCCAGGAGCAACAGGCAGGGCAAGCACCGCAAGACCCAGACAGAAACATGTAAAAATATGGCATGCGATTGAATTTGGGGGATAGTGTAATAATTGCGGTGCAGAATGCATTGGGAAAGTGTGAAGACGTGAAAAAAAAAGAAGCAGCGCAGATGAGTGCGTGGCACTGAGGGCAATTGTTGACGGAAGGAACGACCTTGCCAAGCTCCTATGAGGAAGTCCCTACAGGGCCATTTCTCCACGAGACAAACTCGTCGAGCAAGGTCGGCCATGCCTATATTCGATAACATTACGATGTAAGGTCAGACTGGTCACACGATCGCGAGATGAAGATAAATGACTGACTCCTTCATTCTCATCGTAGTTGTCGAGGTTGGGGCTGATCGTCTGGCAAAACTCCAACATCTAGACAGAAGGGATAATAGCTCAGTGGGATGGCACATGTACAGCACAAGGAAGCGTCACATACCATGTGCCACAAATCTTTGTTGACGCCCTTGTACGACCCCGCCTCCTACGCAAACCAGTTAATCACCCCAATCTGGGAAAGCTGGGATAGAGACGTTTACCGTAATGAAATCTACGATGTCACCCATCAACGGATATTTTGGCACCAGTAGTACGGTCCATAGCGCAGTAGCCGTCTCCATATCAATGTTCCTCGAGTTCTCCGGTTTCGCCAGCGTGAAACAAAACTGATAGAGTGAGCCGAACGCCTTCTTCGTGTCGCGTGCATATTCATGATAGCGTTTGCGATTGTATGGGTCCCCTTCATCACCAGGCTTCTTGACTTTTCCTGCTAGGCTAGATGTTGGACGGGCGGCGGGTTTGAGTGGCGTTTTAGAAAGAATGAGGAGATCGTTGAGGTCATTAAGAGCTATGGCAAGCGTCGGTAGAGAGGATATTCTTGGTTGTGAGACTTGTTGTCAACAAAATGCGAGCTAGGATCAAATGTTATAACAACGCACTGTAAGACGTCCATCCCTTGTGACCACTGCTCCTTCGTAATCTTCGCCATCTCCGTTGCATCCATCTGCCATGCAAGTAGCATGGGTAGAGCACCCTCCATAGAAATGTCCGCATCTGTGCATAACTGCTCGAACCCTTCTGCGCCAATGAAGGATGGATCGTCCACGTCGGCGTATGTCGTGAACAGCTTTTCCGCGCGGGCGGCCGAGTACGGCTCGGGCTTCTACGCAGCACTAATGAGACAGAAAAATCACAATCACATGTAGGAAGTTAAACGTACCGCAGGAGCAGGTATGTCCTTCGCTTTCACCTTGGTATCCCTAGGATTATGTTCCGACACACCGTCAGTGTCGAAGATAGTGTCATTCGATCCACTCAGACCACAACATAGCAATGCGCGCAGTATCATCGCCAACATAAAAACAGACAGCAGCCCCCACCACAGAATAGGAAATGTGATGGTAGACGTGTCGAAGAAAGAGTACTGCCAGCCAGTAGCAGCGCCTTCCTCAGGCTGTCCCCGGAAGGAATATGAAGACACGAGACAACCTGCCACGACGCCGTTATGGTGACGCAAGTAAACTGCCAATGATAGCAATTGTTAGGTCCCAACGGGCTGGTGTTGCTGCTGCTACTGCAAGCAGCACAGTTGGGCTGCCCGGTTTCGAAACTGGAGGGTCAAAGGAGGAATGGGAAGCGCGCCGTCGCGTGCGACACACCTTTTCAGGGCGGTGGACGGTTCCTGAGATAATTATAAGCTTCCGTTGATCGACAAAATTAAGCTTTACTTACGTCATCACCTTGGCTGCTTAGAATGACACAATCCGTGAAAGGGAGCGTAAATGCAGAGAGGGAGGAAACGAACTATGAGTTCGGGAATTGTGGGGGAAATACGGTGGAGGAGGTACCAACATGGGTTGAGCTGCAGCCTTGGTATCATTCCTAGGAGACAATGATGGTTCTGAATCATGCAAAGCCTTAAATTAGCAACGAAACGCGTAGCAGAAAAACACCAATACGCACAGACAAGGTAGAAGCGTAGCATGCAACACTGCTAGGACGTACTTTGTGGACCCATTGGTCTCCTTCACTTTCCGCGTCGTCTTCGTCTTCTTTGCTACAGGAGCCTGGGCCATGGCGCCATCAACAACCGGCCTATGCGCACAATAGAAAACACATTACAGACGTACAAGCTTCTCAGTATCCTGCGCTGTAGCACTTCACAAGAGAGACGTGGCATGAGCGCAGACATATAGTGTATCTCCAGAAGGGACGTACTTCGGATCTGTAACGACAACGCACAGGACATTTAGATAACTATGAGCTGGTATGAAGAGTCCTCAGGCGCACCTTCTCCTTCCACCTTCTTGGTCAGACGCTTGGAGCTACGCGTCGCCTTCGAAGCCGACGCCGTCGTGGTGTCAGCACCAGCGCTCTCCTCTCCGCGTTTCCTCTAATGAGAACAAAGTGTAGATGTTAGTTCGTTGCGACAAAGCCAGCAACATAAGTATATCCATGAATGCAAACACACCTTTGGCGGCATGCTGGTTTGGGTGTGGAGAACGGAGAGTCCGGGGAAGATGGTGGTCAATAGCAGAAAGGCAAATGGGCCAAGCGCGGTGAGCCTGAACGCGCTGGAGACGCGCCATTTCATCACGACCACGTGGCTTTCATTTGTTCATGCGCGTCCGCATTTGGCCCGTTGCCACTCAGTCAGCAACCTTCTCTTTGTGGCCCAACACCTCCTCTACTTCCTGAAAACCGACATCATGGCTTCATCATCGTATAACCCCAATCCTACGGTCATTAAGCTTTCATCGCGGAAACAACAATCTGTCCATAACACCCGCTCCCTTTGGGGCGGCGAGGGAGAAGACGACGGCTATGGTACTCCGGAGGAAGTCGAGCTCATCGACCAAGATGAAGTGTTCGGTCTGTCTGTTCTCATCATACCTCGAAGTATGCCCACTCATACATTACCTTTACATAACGCGTTGTTGCCCGGAATACCATGTAACGCATGCGATGCTGTCCCGCTGTCCCGCCCTTTCTTCCGGCGACTTGTTCTCCGTTTCTATCATCTATCACCGGACCATCGGACCCCAGACTTGATACGTTCCATCAGTGATCCCGAACATCCATCTATGACGCTCGAACAGCTCGCCGTTGTTTCTGCACCACAAATTACCATTCTTCACGATAAGAATTCCTGCCTTGTGGAGTTCACGCCCACTGTGCCGCATTGCGGGATGTCAACACTCATCGGTACGGTTTCATTCTTTCCATGATTTGATCTTCATTTCAAGTCTTCTGCTCTTGATTCGCATGGTAACAACTAATATGCGCGTTTGCAGGATTATCCATCCGTGTACGCCTGATGCGTAGTCTTCCGAACCGGTTCAAGATAGACATCAAAGTAAAACCCGGGTCTCATCAGAGCGAGCTCGCAGGTTCGCATCTATTATATCTTTTCAGGCCTATCATTCTCCCTGCATCTCATTGAACATGTGCTGGCGATACGGCAGTAAACAAACAGCTAAACGACAAGGAACGAGTCGCTGCCGCTCTGGAGAATCCCGCTTTGACTGAGGTTTTGGAGAACTGCTTGGCCAGTGCCGGTCGCCGCGGTCAGTCACCAGATATGCAGTGAATGTGCTCGTGAATAGTGTAGTGTACAACTCCGGCGTTCATTGTCGTCTGATGCGGCTAGTCATCCATTCGAGGCAGACGATGCATTGTTAAAGTTTCTTCACATGCTGTATGTATTTTCATTGTTATAGCAAAATTGGGGTATCAAGTGGAATATCGAAGGCAAGAGCATACTGGTCCATAGGTGGAACAAAGGGAGAAGAGGCATGGGTCGGTAGGTTCACTAATACGGTGTATCTAAACCGGAGACCACCATGTGATAATATAATGGAGGGAATATAGTCATACTGAAGCGGACAGGTATGGGAGATGAGGGATGTAAGATGCCGACATGGAGGGGGACGTAGATGCTACAAAGGTGGTGATATCGTAATGTGAGGGAAAAGAGAATGCGCTGTGGTGGTATGGGAGCCATAGCGGTCTATGGTGTGGTATAAGTACAAAATGGGCAGTATGAGATGAAAGACTACACGTGGTATGGGGTGCAAGTGCGATGCCACGGAGGAAGAGAATAGCGAACCAACAAAACCAAAAGATGAAGAAAGAGTCAGTGTGATGCCCGGTCCATTGAAAATTGAGGGAAGAGACGGAGAAAATAAACAAATATGTAGATACAACAGCCAGGACGACGCAAGTGGCAGAGGACGAACAAAGGGAGTAGGCGCAAGAATGGAGTCGAAAGAGTCGACAATGGAACCCATCTAAATCAGCCATCCAGGAGGAAGTCCCAACTAGGGTCCCTGGGCGAATGGTCTCTATGTCTCTGCTTCTCGCCCTTCAAGTTCTTCGAACTCAAGCTTCTCCGCATCAACTTCCATGTCTCCTTCGCCGCGCTCTCTGACGTACCGTCCCGCACATCCCACATTTTGAAGGTCACATGTCCTTGGGCAGACACTTCGATTTCGTCCTCTCCATCGTCATCGTAGTCAGAGTCGTACTCGTCGGGGACTTGGACAAGATGATCATCAGAAGGGAAGGTGGTGCGGGGGTAAATGTGGTTCATAAAGCCTGCGGAAAATGTGACTCTGCGGTTCGACAGAACGGAGGGTCGTGAATGTGGGCGCGAATGGGATGATGATGGCGAGGGAGAGAGTAGACGGATCGCGCCCGAAAAATCGGAGGGGACATAGATCGTGACTGGCGCTGTGCCAGAAGCGTGTATAGATAGGAAGAAGGGTGTCCTCGTGCTTCGGCGGCACTAAGGTGGGATGGGTCAGCCCGACAAACAAGGACGGTACTTAAGAACGCGGCTCACGACTTTGGTTTTGATTTCGCTACGCTCACTACTAATGAACATGCTCATCCGGTGTCCCGCTGGTTGATTATGGGCTCGGTAGTGGGGAAGCATGAGCGAGAGGTCGACCGAGGACGTCTCAGTGGCGTTGACGAAAAAGTCCCATTGTCCTTGGTGGTGGTAATGGACTTTCTGCGTCCCCACAGTGCATGAGGAGTATGATTTCACAGCATTTTCAGAAGAGCCGTGACATGTACTTGACGCCTTCGAGTACTGTAAATCACCAGGCAGATCCCAAATAAACAGAACAACTCACGAAGTGCGCACTCGTAGGGCTAGAAACACGGTGGGACATGGTTAAGAGCAAAAACAAGAACGAAAAAGAGGAGAAAGACTGGCTTGACGGCGAGAAGAAGAAAGGGGGGTGTACGGCGGCAGAGGCATCGCGGTGGTTTCTTTTAAGTATGCGTTGTCTGCAACAGGCAGCCCTTGTTGCAAAAATCGGAAGGTCTCGAAACCGATCACTTCCTCCGGCGCACGTTGCCAGTGCATTTCCCCATCGGGCGTGCGCCGCCGTTTGGGCTCGTGGGGTGCCGCCGCGTGGGGAAGTTGGCTTGTTTACCAGCACCGCACGAGGCGCGCTCGGCTCACGCGGTCGTCGGCACTTGTTCCTCAGTTAAGCGGATACATTGTTTTAGGACGCGGTCTTCGAAAAACATCTGTGGGTCCCTACCTTGCTTATTGTTTTCTCTCCTTCGGTTCGAATTTTTCCCCGGTAGCTCAGATAGCTCCGAGTTAGATAACACGCGCTCAAGATTATCCATGTATGGAGGAAGGATAAGAAGCAGAGGCATCGAAAGCCAAAGTGGACTAGTAAGGATAACGCTTGCAGAAGACAAGTTCAGCTGCTGCTTTGGGCAACGCAACGTAGCAACACGTAGCAACTCGGGTCCCGATATCCGAGGAAGCAGTCAAACGAGGTTGCGCTTTGAGCGATGCTCGTCAAACGCTCCCCCATGAAGGTGAAGACTGGATGTTGACCGTTATAGCTTTCCTTCAAGACAAGTTTAGAAATTTCGCTCATATTCACGACGAGCTCTTGTCGTGGCTGCGAACTACGACACATCGAGTTAGATGTGCATAAGAACGGAGTAGGCAAGGAATGAGGCCGGTCTCACGACCGCGTCTAAATTCTGCATATGGAGCCAGAAGGAACATCTTCCATGTTTATGGAAGGTCGCGATTGTGCATCATCTAACGCTGACTACTTACGCCTATCTCTTACTGTGGGAAGAATGGGTGAAGAGAAGGGTCTCGAAATAGATACTCGAAACGAGCGCGCAGCGTTTAACGAATAGCAAAACACAAGGGTCTTCAGATTACTCCGTTGAGTACAAAGCCATCCATCAAAACATACGAAATACTCGAAGTGAATGCACATTCCTGGATGCCGTGCTGTGAGCCAGGGTGTCGTAATTGATTTATCGCTACTTTCAACGATGAAGCTCGCGAAGACGGTTCTTCAGGTGTGGTACAGCCTACAGGACTCGTGAGGGGAACTGGCACAATTGAGATATCCGTGGCGCCCTGTAGAAACGTCCTCTGTAATCATCGGTATACCGAAGCAGTTTGGGATGCAAGGATTTCAACAAGCTGAAACTGGTCCTGGAGTAAGCTTGGCCGTCGAAGCCCACAGCAGCGTCTCCTCGCAAAGAGCACAGACTCCCCGTGATATCAGAGCCATGCATAACATACTGCCACGAGAATAACTACAGCTGTTGTGGTCCTAAATTGAACGCCTTCGTCTGTATCTGAGATCGCAATCAGAGAGCAGGGCTGTTTGTGATTGATCTCATAGTCAGACGGTCACCTTCTCGAAAGCCAGTATTCAGCAGCCCATACGTACTTAGTACAAAGTACACCTTGTGTGGCAGTGTGGGCCTGCTGTCTTGAAGGATCTAAAGTATATTGCAGAGGAGACACTCCGCTGAGCACGGACAGTATGAAACACAACCTGGCTTACCCTTATTGTTAATCGACCTCGGTGTAGCCGATCATTGTGTGGGAGGGTTATCCTGGGGAATATTTGAGTGTGCATCAGTACAAAGGGAGAAGAAGAGGAAAGCAGACGAGATGCCGAAGTGACCTTTCGCCACTACCACGAACGATGGCGCCACAATCCGATACAGATGCAGCGGAGTTTGGACGAGAGGGTCGAACACCCTCTCCATCCACTCGCATCCATAGGTGAACTACATTGGTGATGCGCTCACGTCTCTAGAAAGCACGGCGAAGTATGAGAACGAAATGCATCGCGTGACGCGGCACTCACACCCGATGTGGTGACAGTACATGCGGCATCGCCTTCAGTTACTGGTGACTGTGATTCAAAGCTCAGGAGATGTTCATCTTTTGGCAGAGTTCGCCATCGGGGAAAGAGCCGCTCGGAGGAGCGAATGTTGGAAGTAAACCGCGGACGGGGACTGGTATGGCTCCACCGGTGTTCAGAATACCACTAGACCGCTACACGAAAGGTCAGTTTAAGGATAGCAGGGAGGTCAGTGCACTCAGCTCACTAGAGGCTTAGCATTTGTGCGGATACTACCGCCTTGGCCAGCAGTAGCGCAGGCCAAGCAACTGAGATGAAAGTTGTAAAGCGCCGAGATAGCTAGACAAAAAATACACCATTTCGTATAGATAGCTGTGAGGTAACTACCCGCGGATGACCTCGTTAGGGTGCACTCGTTCAGAAGGAGGTCAAGAACGCGAACGCAGGCGAGCCACTGATAACACTAGGTAGAGGTGACGACGTCTTCGCAAGGACATTGACTTACTAAATGCTGCTTGTAAGTGGCTATCTGAGTTTTGATAAGAACTGCAAGAAACGATGCTTTATGGTCTGATATCTGACCTTACGCCGTAGCAGTTTAGCGTCTCCTGGACCAGCATGGCTCGAGGACGGAAGAAGCTGCACTTGCTGGTTTTCGGGCGTTCGCAGTAGCTCCAATCTGCGACAAAGCATAGGGCTACGTGCCTTATGCTTCAAGTTTTGGCCGTATAGCCGTTCATACGTACCCTTTTCCTATGGGCGGAAATCTTGGTAAGGGCATTGGGGAAAGAGTTGGGAACTTATCTTCAGCCGATGTCATACACTTATGAATCGCGCCCCGATTGACACAAAGTCGTCGGATCAAGCACTTATGACATGTATAATGAAGCAACATAGTAGTTCGCGGCACATATCGAATGTCAAGTGTGTGGAGACAGCAGGAGACATGATCAGACACGGTTTGCTCGATGAAGGCAGAGCAAAGAAAGAGGCCAGAACGTCGGGAACGAAGCCAGGCAGCCGGAAGGTTGAAACTGCGAGAGCACCACGTGCGGACCGCGTGGGTCTAAACTTTGATGTAAGTAGATGTCCGCTCCCCGGCGTCTGTTCGTTCAACACCATCTCCTTTCCATGTTCGACCAGGTTTCTGCCTGAAGCCCCATTTCAGCCCCATCCGGCACATCCTTCCTTTCCTAGAGCATACACCCGAACAAACTGACCTGGTATTGACCCGAAGTTCCGTGACCCTCGATTTCTATACTTGTAGCCACTTGAGGATACCAGACAGTTACTTTCCTCGGTGACGGGAACATGGCAGCACTCACCTTCTGGAAGCCGGGAACCTTAGGTCCTGGCAGTACACTTGATCGAGCCACCACAAAGGAGGAAAATTTAGTGTCCTCCGCACCGATCTCATCGGCATATTCGATACAGTCTCAGCGCGAGCGGCTTCCCGTGTTCAAACACAGTAAGGGTAACCTTCGGTGATTAGAGCTGAATAACTCTAACGAGACATTTCACCTCGTGAAGGGGATGAGCTTTTGTACTGCATAGAGCGATATCAAGTAGTCATTGTGATGGGGCAAACCGGATGTGGCAAAACAACTCGTGAGTGTGAATGTCCGCCCGAACTCGTTCCTGTCTTACATTCGCTGACTTCCGTTAGAGATCCCTCAGTATCTGTATGAATCCGGATGGGCCTCAGAGGGGAACGTCATTGCTTGCACACAACCTCGACGCGTTGCAGCAACTTCTGTCGCCGCTCGCGTTGCCACAGAGGTCGGCTCCGTACTAGGAGATGAAGTTAGCTTTGTGTCCCCTTGCTGACCGTATTTACTCTATGCTGACCGTGTTCAAGGTCGGTTATACGATCCGGTTTGAGGATGTCAGTAGCCCAGAGCGAACGCGTATCCGCTACATGACGGATGGAATGCTCTTCCGAGAGACCCTACTCGACCCATTACTCAGTCGGTACAGCGTGATCATGGTCCGTTTCTCGCCCCCTCAAGCTAATCTAATACTGCAATCTGAAACACTGTCACAGATCGATGAAGCCCACGAGAGAAGTGTTTACACCGACCTTCTCCTTGCTGTATTGAAGAAGTAACTCTCACGTTTGTCCCATCTGCGTCTTACTCACAAGACTGGCATCTAGGATCTGCCGGAAACGCCCTTCCCTACGGCTCATCGTCGCATCAGCCACCCTGGATGCTACGGCGTTTCTTGAGTATTTCACATCAAACAATGCGGCCGACAGTGCGACCATTGTTAGTTTGGAAGGGCGGGTATACCCTGTTCGGGTGGCGTATCTCCACGAGCCAACACCGGACTACGTTCGCAAAGCAGCTGAAGTTGTATGTGAGATCCATGCCCAGGTAGGTAGCCTCGTGCGGGATTCTCGGGTTTCAGCTCTGATCACGTCGCATAGCAAGGAAGAGGCGACGTCTTGGTTTTTCTCACAGGCCGAGAGGAGATTGATCGGTGTTTAGAAGAGATCGAAGAACTGAAGTCAACGTTAGTCTCTACTTCCTCTATTAAACTAACTCCTACTGACAGCATGTACCGCGATACAGTCTGACTCGTGCACCTTTGCAGTTGATTCCGCTGGCATTACACGCCGGGTTATCAACTCAGGAACAACTGCAGGTTTTCGAGCCCACCCCACCAAATGCTCGAAAGGTCATCGTCGCGACGAACATCGCCGAGGTCAGTCCAGAGCGTCTGTCTCCCCACAAGTCTGACTAACGGCCACCAACAGGCTAGCGTCACCATCGACGGCATCAAGTTCGTAGTAGATAGTGGGCATGTCAAGGTCAGTATAATATTCTTCAGGGTCGTATATCGTCTAAATTTATCGGATACTCGAAGATACGGATATTCAACCCCACCATGTCATACTCCTCTCTCGCCGTCGTCCCCACCTCGCAAGCTTCTGCTCTTCAACGAACAGGCCGCGCCGGACGAACTTCAGAAGGCATCTGCTATCGCCTATATCCATCCGCCACCTTCGATTCTTTACCTTATAGCACACCACCCGAGATCACCCGTGTTGATCTTACAACTCCACTTGTGCAACTGAAGTCTCTAGGCATCGACGACCTGATGAAACTGGAATGGGTTACTATGCCGCCGTCGGAGAGTATACTGCATGCTCTCAATGAGATGCTTCAGGCGAGGCTCATTAACGCTGATGGGCACCTGACTGTCATGGGGCAGAAGCTGGCAGAATTCCCTGTGGATATCAAAACTGCCTGCATGGTGCGTTCTGATCCTCCACACAACATTAGCCACTAGTTCATATTTCTCCGTCAGCTCTCCAGCTCGAAAGACTTCGAATGCGGTGATGAAATTTTGACAATCGCCGCCATGACCAGTATACAAGTACGCTGAAAGATCCGGATATGATGTTTTGGTCCATGAATAACAGACTTACCCTCCGTTCCAGGACGTCTTCACCGTCCCTGACGGTATGTCGTCAGCGGTTGCCGAATTAGAACATCGCAAATTCATCGCTGAAGAGGGGGTAAGTGAGCCGATTCCGTTGACCACTTCCTATGTACTGATATTCCATGCAACAGGACCACCTTACTCTTTTAAATGGTATGTGCATGTGACTTGATTCCGTGTCTCATACGCTCAAGCCCTTGTACAGTATACAACGCATTCACTCGATACGGCAAATCGTCTTCATGGTGCAAGAACCACGCACTCTCTTTCCGTGCTCTATCTCGAGCCGTTTCTATACGTTCACAATTGAAGAAGTACATGACGCGTTTCAATCTGCCTATGGAGAGCTGTGAAGGAGATGCCAAGCGTCTCCGACAATGCCTCGTTCGAGGGTATTGGAGGAACGGGGCGAAGATGCTTCCGGATGGGACGTATCGTCCCGTCCATGGCAATGCGGTATGTCATCCACATGTCGTTTTGGAAGAGGCGTTGCTGACAGAGAGCTGGTATCAGGTCCTGAATGTGCATCCGAACTCCGTGTTCTTCACGAGAAAGCCGAAGTCGGGATGGGTGGTATATCATGAGATTGAGGAGGCAAAGAAGACATTGTAAGTCTGATTTCAATGTTACGCGAGACGCTCCCCTGACTGTTCTGCCAGTATTTCTATCATCACTGAGATCGAGCCCCAATGGTGAGCTTAACCGTTCTGACTGGTCCTCAAGCCTACAGGTGAGACTGACGATTTATACTAGGTTGATCGAGATGAATCAGTGACCAAAACATGCATGTCGTTGTTACGATTATACTTCGAACCGAAATGTTGCGTGGCTTGCTGTTTTCGTCCGCTGTGTCCTTTCATACATCCGGTATCTTCCGCTGATAATGGTTCATTCACGTCCCGAATTACCAACGCCTGGAGTGTGAGCTCTCCGTATGTATTGTGCGCTTGATCCGTCAGGTTAGCATTGCAATCGTGTAATATTCAGCCTCCCAGCGTCTTGCCTCGAAAGAGTCCACGTTCAGAACTATTGACCTCAATGCGCCCGAAGCGGCATATGATAACCGGGAATCGCCACCGAACTCTTTATGCAGTACGGCATCATGCAAGCGAAGAGAAGATTAACCATAGGCGGACAAAGTGGTCTCATGATACGTGTTGCTATGCTGATGCCACGGAGCTCAAGGAGGGTGTGGGAATGCGCATTCAATCCGCGAGTACAGAGATCGGTCCCAGCTCGTACATCTCTTCTTTGCACTCATCTCCCAGCATCACCCACTTGCGAAGCTTTTCATGTCGCCAAACAAGCGTAAGAAGACCAAGGCCGAGCTCAGGGAGGAAGCAATTCAGCAACAGTGGCTGAAGGAGCACATAAACATTTCGCACTTCAATCCCGAGCGAGCGCAGGGCATGGAACTCGAAGACGAGGCCGTCCATGTCACAAGTTCTTTTGGTCCGACTTTCGGGAGGTGCTGGATTCAAATCGTGCGTTATCGTTGTGCTCTTGCTACACTAATGTTATTCAAACTATTCATTAGGATAGAAACACGAAACAGAAGTGTTCTAGGACGCTCTCTCGTGAGGACAGACTGATAGCTCAAAAACAGTATAGAGCATTCTTGAAAACGCGAAGCTCAACTCAAGGTATGTGCATTCACATCACTGCTTGCATTCTGGTATCTTACGAGTTCTACATCGTATAGTACCCCAAACGCCTCGGGTAGAATCTTCTCGGACGAGTGAGTCAAGCATGTTTGCTGAATTTGCGCGGTAGGCAAGGCTCTGACCAGGACACTCTCATGCAGATACGAGCACCCCGTTGACACCGAGCACTCCGTCTCGCAGAAGAATCGTCCCGACTGAATCGGAGCGCATTGCCTCTGGGTCAGGGCTCAGGAGAAGTACGTTAGAAACCTATATACAACCACATCAGTGGACACACTGAATCATGGAACCATAGGTCCGACGATAGAACCACCTGCGACTCCTACGCGGCCCAGGCAGAGCTTGTCGGTTATGGCATATCCAACGCCGCCACCAACAACGAATCGAGCCAACAAGAGGAAGCGTGATGAGTCTATTGCCCGCCCTGCACCAGCACCATTCCCTGTGGTTCTACCGCTAGGTGAGGCGGGGCCGTCGCATATGGTGAGTTTGTTAGTCACGGCTTCGCCATCAGAACATTGGCTGAAAACCAACTCGTATGCAATGCGTCTAATCTCATCCGCCTGAAGACACTTGACTATCGCGAAGACGAACCGGATTCGGATATAGAAATATCAGATATGACCGAGGTATGGATATCTACTCGAATTGTCTCTGAAGTTGTATTCACACGAATCTACCTTTGCATAGGTACCATCTTCGTCATCCGGGAAAGCGAACCGGAAGGCCAAGATGAAGATGCCGCGAGGTGTAAGCGAAGACTTCACAATGCTCTCACCGATTGTGTATTTGACCCTCACTGCAGCAAGAACGCGTACGGGAAGAGGGTGCCCCGACCGACATAGATCTGACTCTGTCGACCGATTCAGAAAGAGAGGTAAGGGCGGGCTAGTTACTCTGCCTCCAAAGTTTTCCCCGCTTATGATCCATTGCGTACAGTCACCGGCAACATGCTCGACTAAAGGAAAGGCCAAACAAGCCAAACGTCGTCGATATGCCAACTCTGATGATGAATTCCCGATCGAGATCATGGACAAGGTGACTGTAATCCAGATTATATAGTAGGCGACGGTGTTCGGAGTACTGATGCATTCTGCAGTAAACTGCCTCAGCGACTCTGTCCATGTAACCATACCGTCTTCATCCAATGCCCCTCTGTCCGTCTTGCTTCAATCCCCTTCGGTCTCTCCAAGAGTTCCTGGACTTTCAGAATACTCGCTTCTATGTCAGAAATCTTGCTTGTACTACCATCTATTATCGCTGCTTCGCGATGTTTGTTTGTATGCTGGACTACTCTGCTTTCAAATTTGTTGTTGTTCTCTCGCACCACGACGGGCAGGCCGCCCACCTGAATATATTCGAAACGCCACAACTCCTCGGGGGCAACAACCCTGATGAGCCTTCCTGACGGCTATCTCCGTCGACAGAGGTAGGGATCTGATATCCGTCACGTAGGGAATGGAACGAGGTCCGGTGGGAATGCGCTTAGTAGATTGAGATAAGTAGTCCGCTGATTCACCTCACGAAATGTGACGTTCTTTCCCTCTTCCCCACTTTCCATCGATTCACTATTCCCGCACTTCTGCATGGCAAGGCAGACAGAGAAAGAGAAGGCGGAAAAGAAGAAGCGTAATGTTAAGATTCAGTTATGGATGAAGCGCCAAAAGATCCCTGTTGGTTTCAACAGTGACTTAGCTTGGGGGTATCCACTGTCTTCTGCCAGGATACACGTAGGTCAGGTTCCAGGGAAAGAAAGCTTCGGTCGGTGTGTTGCCGTACGTATTCTTCTCATTTATGCGTGCCAGTGGTCCTATTCAAGCTTACCACAAATGCCTCCATGTCCACGCATACAGTCGAAGGACCGTCAGGTCGGCTCTGATGTTAGTTGGCAGAGACAGATTTGCTCCGATACTTTGTCCTTTGAACGGCGAACGGAATGGGAAGGAAAGCTCAGAGACTTTGAAGCGTCATTAGACGGTCATCAGCGTGAGTCATAGTACGTTTGTGTTGCAACTAGACCCATTCAACACCATCTACCCCCATGATTTGCAGAACCTCAGCCCGCCCCAAGACCGACGGCTAGAAGAACCCCACCTGTAGCACCTCGGGTAGTACCAGTGTTGGAGAGTAAGTTTAGATATTTCACTGTACATGCACGGATGTTGACCTGCAGAATTGTTCTCCTAGATCATGCAGCTGTATTGAAGCTACCTACAACACCGACTCGCCCCGAGCGGAATTCGGCTGCTGGATCATATCCAACTCCAAAGTCAACCACAAAAAAGAGGAAGCGCGATCAACCAAGTAATGCACAGCCTGAGGTGGTGAGTTCTTGCATCTGAGGCTCGCGTCAGGTCCTAGGTACTAAATCAGCCTTCATGTCGCTCCCATCTCTTGTTTACAGGGGAGGCACATTGAGGTAGCAGCTGAACGCCAAGCTGGCACGGCAGATTCTGATGTTATAGAGATAGTGAGACCACTCCTGGAGCTCTCTTGACACAGTGCTCACCGATAAATTGTTTTATAGACATCCTCCTCCGAGTTGTCTTCCGGAGGTGAAAAGAGTCGGAGCTTGAGTACAGCGAAGCTACATACACCCGTGAATATCCACTGTCCAATGATCGTGCGCGGTTTGGTTGACATAACGTATTTGTCTCCGCTTTTGACAACGGAGAAATCTGACAGAAGGAAGCACGACAAGCCCGTTGCTCTACCTCACACGTCAACATTTCCTAAGCAGGCCTTACCGGAAAACGAACAAGGGCCCTCAAATAAGGTAAGTCGTTATTCAGTGTCATCACAAATCTGGTCATGACTGAGATCCTACATCTCACTTCTATTCCTACCTACAGCTCAAAGCCCCTGTCTTCGAAACTGGCGAATCGGACTCTGATGAAGACTCTGCCCCAGTGAAGATGATGGCAAGAGTATCTTCACTCTTCTCTCAACCGTAGCTTATTTTTGATCTCTCAGAAACAAAAGCTAGCCCGATTCAGATACTCTGGAAAAGGGGAAAGAAGGGAATCGGCGGCGAAGCCACTTCCACATGTAAGCTATCATTTTGGCAGCTACATAGCTGGCAAATCTGACCGTGATTGTGTCCTATAGCACTCCAAATTGTCTAAAGGAAAAGGCAGTAGAGCGAAGCGAACTCGTACGAGTAAGCCTTCTGACGACGAGTCCGGGGTCGAGATAGATGAGTCGGTACGTCCTGATCTCCTAGCTACGATCGAGACTCTGCACGATTATTGACGTGCATTAAAGAGGTCTGCGCAACCCGGTGTTTCTGGTAAGATGCCTATTTGCTTGTAGGTTTGAAGCCAACATCCTGTAACATATCAAACTCTGGACGCCTTCGTACTCTTGCTTTTCTCCCTATTACTATATGTGTATTTCTTGGACCTCCTGTGGTTGTGAAAACATATCTTCTTACTGTATTGCCCGATAGTCGGCCAGTATTAGTATGGATCATGTTGGGTATGGCTCGAAGGGATATCGGTTTACTACGCAAGTAACGCCACAGCTCCGGATTCGTTCTAGGGCCACACAGTGACTGAGCGCTGAGGTTAGGGTCAAACTCCAACTCTGTCGTAGGTGCGGATCCGGGTTGCCCATGTAACCACAGCCAAGAATGATACTGCTACGCTCTTGCCTTCCTTCTCCCATAACTCGCAACCAAAGGCATCGACATAAATGCCTACGAGGCCAGCACCGGAAGCTTTTCTCTTGCTCACTCTACCCAATGCATCGCTTCACACGCCCACAGAATCTCACAGCGGAATTCTCTACGTCGAATATGTGACATTCTCTCTTCCTCCACCTACCTACTCGACTCCCGAAACCCCGGACGTCTTCCTCGTCTTACGTCTTGGCAGTTTTGAGACCGTACTCGACCCAGCTCGGAGGATCACTCAGTCTGAGAATAACGGGGAGCATCGTTATGTCTTCCAAGGCACTCAAGCGGATGGGGAGATGGTACTAACTCTACCAAGCGTGGGGGAGAAGGAAGGCAGGGTTGCCGAGAATCTTGAGACATTTCAGAGCATCTTGGCCGAGTATGGCGATTATCAAGGGTCCTCTTCTCAGCATACTGTTCTTACGGATGTCAAGCCTTCCGACAGTCCTGTCTCAGTACCCGGAGGCGCAGGAACAGCCATGGGCTTTCACGGAGACGAGGATTTACGTGGTCGGTTCGTCCTCATGGATGAAGACAACGGTCGGATTATCGGTGCCCTCGACAATCACATCCATGTCCAGGAGGATCCATCGCTGGGACAGAAGGGGCATGAGAATGATCCCGTCGTAGTAGAGCTCCCAGAGGGCGCAGATAGCATCGAGCAGTTGAGCGAGAGCGAGGTCTTGGTCAAGACAGTACCACCGGAAGAGAGGGACTGGCTGTTCAAAGGTGCAGTTATGGCCAGGTGCGGTCCTCATCTATGCCACAATCAGTTTTCGCCTGTTCCCCGCGTGCTAATGATACTCTCCCTCTATAGCTATGTTATTTCCGGTGGGACGACGCTTCTCACTACTGCCATGAATACCGCATCGAATTACTACGTCAAGAATACCAAACCTGGACAGCACCAGCAGCCCTCCGCCTCGCCTGATGGTTCGAGAGACCCTAACGCTCCTGGTACTCCACCGGTCCCACCCTCCCGTGCTCTTCTTCTCCTCTCCTCACCTACGACCCGTAAACATCTCTCACAGATCCACGCCGTCTCCGGTCAAGCCGTAAAACTCTCTGGAAAGACGGCTGCTGCTGTCGAGGGTATGATCTACCGCGTTGTAGGTGGCGGCTCAAAATCCTCCAACGACCCTAGTACGGCCTCTCAGGGCGGCGCGACGAGCTCATTGACCGCGAATGCTGCACGTGGTGTCGCGAGTCCGAGCTCGACGTCAGGCAGACTAAGTCCAGCTGGTGAGAAACCACCTCTTCCACCCCGGAAGATTGACGACGGAGCACCACCATCATACTATTCGGCTTCCTCTGCTACCGGTTCATACGCACCCCCGGAGAAACCTCCGTTACCTCCACGCAAGTCCGCCGCAGGACCAGGTTCTGCCCCTACCTCAGGTCACAACACGCCAGTTGCTGAAATACCACCTCCCCTGCCCGACCGCGGCAAGGGCAAATCCAAATGGGGAGGCGTTGCGCTCTCTGCGGCCCTCATCCTCTCCACACTCTCTGAATCGTCGACACGGATAGTCGATGCAGGAGGGAGTGCACTGTCGAATGCTGTTGCGCACAAGTATGGCGAACACGCTGGAAATAATGTACTGATGGCGGCGGGGACTGTGAAGAATGTGGTGCTCGTGTACGTGGATGTCAGAGGGTTTGGAAGGAGAGCGATTGTCAAGAAAGTCGCGAAAACGTATGTGAAGGGCCAGATAAAGAGTAGCAAGGATGCGCAGCTTAGGAGCAAGGAGAAGGCGGACTAGTATGGATATATCCTTGTGTTCCTTCTGGGCTTTTTGGCGTAGTGGACATTGGACGAGAAGTTATGTAGTGTCATGGTTAGATACCTTCTCACGGGCTTTTGTACTTCATCCCTCCACTCTGGAATACTTTGATATCACTCAAATTGCGATGAACTAAAGGAAACGCCATGAATAACTAACCTTTTGGCGTTGTAGTAGAAGTGATGTGAGGACGAGAGGGCACAGAATCTATTTGCTCTCCATCGATTCCAAGGCTCGGTGATATATTTCGCGGTCGCGTCCACCTTAGCGGCCCATGTCAAGGTCCTTACCGCCAATTTCTCAAGAACCTCGACTTCCTCACGAACTCAAACGCCGGTCTCCCCAGAACAATCATCTATGCCAAGATATATATAAACTGATACCAAAACTCGTACACACCTAGACCCAGCAGTGCAAAGACCCTCTGCTCTATAAACCGTTCAACCCTCTACAAAAGCATCATCTCCGGCGCTGTCCCTCTACTCTCGAATGCGAGCCAATCCGCTGTGCCCGTGGGCAGTAGTCCCATTGACCGACATTTCCAAAGCCCTAGGGCAAGTGTGAGGACATTGCACGCGATGTAGACGAGCTTTTGTAGTGGAAGGGTGGTGAGTGACTTCGCGTTCGAGGGTGCTGTTCCTGGAGCAAATTGTGCGAAAGCTATGATTCGGAAACAAGGGGAATATTGGTCATAAGATGAACTAAGAGGACGCAGAGATGGGCGTACCGGTGTTGATCGCTGCAACATTCTTGAATGGTGACAGGAGGAGCATGAATACAATCCCCATGCTGAAGATTTGGACTCCTCCTCCTGACATGTAGAGCATGAATGCCTGCATCGGAAGAGACTTCGCTGGCGAGATGGCGAAGTCCCAAGCTCGACTCGATTTCAGGGCCTCATATGACGCGGCCTTCGAGCTATCTGGAGCTTTGGACGACGACTTGGTCTATATTGGAGACTGATTTGAGTAAAGCCGTAGCCGCTTCATGGAAGAGGCCATCATACAGTCGTAAGAGTCCCAGTGAAACCAGGAGGTTTGGGAAGAGTACGCCATCTTGGAATACGTTAGTTGTTGGCAGCTGGCAGAAATGAGATAAACGCGTACTTCGTGGCCTCTAGCGAGCTGTAGTCCAAGGTTACTGACATGGTTAGAGAACTCTGTAGATTATATGACGATGTGAGGTATGGCTAGTGGGCGTTGAACTTCGCGCTTAGCAGAACAAGGAATCTTAGGATCTAAAACCGTAGAGATGGACATCTGAATAGTGTAGAATTTCAGACGGCCTGCAGTGAATTCGAAGGTCGAGCCACTGTGGGAGACGGAATGGGTGAATTTCACCTAAGAATAGGTGAATTTCACGTTTCACCCAAATTTCGGTGGTCAAGCCTTGGCCCTGCGGACAACCCAATGGAATTTCACCCGAACTTGGCGAGGATCAGTAAGCCTCCTGAGAATTGACATAAATTCGAAGGAAAAGAAAAACATCCCAGAGCGAGAAGCTGGTTACTTACTAAATCCTGAATGTGCACATAGATGTGTGCAGTGGGTTGTAACACTGTGGCCCGTGAGGCACTCGAGTACTTAGAAAGGCAGAGGTTGTGGCGTGCGAGCATATGACGTCACTGCGTTATGCATCCAGCGCCAATCGACTCGCCACGAAGTTTGTTGTCTCTACATACCACCACCACCGCATCTCGCACTCTCCACGCTCCCCACGAGCAGCATCCCAACGCTCTACGATGGGAGGCGATAGCTCTTTTCCACAAACCTCATAGCTTACCGTGCGGCACTGTCTGGCCCCTTTTCCCTGGTAGTAGGTAAAGGAACCCAACACTCGACTCAAGAACACCATAAGCACGGCACTACACTTGTGGAAACGGTGCGTACTCCGAATTCAGCCTGAGCCAGCTGCAATAACTCGTCGTCTCTCACTTGTTTCTGCTCTACCCTCAGCTAGAATTGATCAAGTCAATTCACGTGCAAATGTTATCGCCAGCCGCGTCTCACGTCGAATTGTCTGAGTTATTGGTTCTTGCGTGCGTGGAGGGTCGACAATAAGGTGAGCACCTAAAATTACTTGTCGAGCGTGAATGCTTCGCGCTTGGTACGCTCGCGGGGAGCTTCTCGCTTGGCCCTTTATACCACAAACTCCTCCGACATGTGGTGCGTCTCTCTCTCTCTCTAGCCTCATTTCCTTGTTACTAGGCCTAATCTTGTTATCAACAGGGATGAAGCTCTTATTCTTACTCCCATATGCTTGTGATTATATGTAGTGAAGCCCGAGATCTCAGAAGTGACACTGTCTGGGGGCAGTCTGTAGATTCTTTCCATGTATATATATAGTTCTGGCCCGAAGCAATATATCCACTTGCTCTTGCTCTTGCGTGTGCAGTTTCATATAGTCCGAAAATGTATCGTAGAGACCAAAGACGAAGAGCGTGGATCTGACACCGAGCCTATCAGAATCCGTCCAAGCTAGGTGGATTTTCACCCAAAATTTGAACGAAAACTTCGGGTGAAAACGAAAACAAAGGTTGGGAATTTCACCCAAAGTTTTCACCCAAAGATCAGGTGAAGCCTATATCCGTCACCCGAGGATTGGGTGAAAATCCTGCATGTCTTTGGGTGAAAAATCTGGGTGAAATTCACCCGATGCGTACCCCCCAGTGCTCGAGGTTAACGGCGAAGTGTGGCACTCCAGTGGCACCGCGACGTGTGACGCAGCAGTGAGGGCCACATTGCTGAATCCCGGAATTGCGAAGGATCTCATTCAATGCGACAACGCGGAGAGTATACGTAGGCTGGAGGCTTGGTAATAAGTAATTATAGTATGTATTTGACGGCGAAGAGACATGGGGAGTGTTCTCGGAAAGACGACGGACCCCTGAACAAGCAAGAACGGACAAATCAGCAAGAGAGATATATGTGCATTACAATAGCCACGAATCGAATCACACTTCACAATCTTCCAAGCTCAAGGACCCTTCAACTCTGGATCTCGCCCTGCTATCCATCGCTCAGCTTCCCCGTCCAGATCGATACCAAAGACATCTCGGAGGACCAGTACTCTCTCGCTCTCGCTCAACAGAACCTTTTCCTCAAGCTTATGTGCCCCAAGACGCTTGAAGGTCTTTGTTCCCGCGTCCCCCAGTACCCACCTCCCAACCCACCGTAACCCGCTATCAGAGAGGACGGAGCGCTCCTCCTTTCCTAATTCGACATCGGCCAAGTCGTCTAACGTGACCTCGAAGGCTGTGTTGACTATCACGGTCTTTGTGAACATCCCCGGCACGGTCGCCACCACGTAAGAGGCTGTCTCTATGTCTACTGGGAAAAACTCGAGCTCGTTGAAGGTGTAGAGAGATTGCCATTCCAACTCTTTGGATCCGATGGGTGAATGCGTAACCTGCATATCCCAGTCGCGTAGCGGGACCACGCCAGAAGCCTCTTCCGTTTCTGAAGAAAGGAACCAACACATAGCGATAGTCAGTGACATGACAATAATGAAGTGGAACTAGACCAACCGAGACTGCTTGCGGGATGAGCGGCACGTACCACGCGGTGTCGTTCAGGCGGAAAAGTTCCCCACACCCAATGGGCATCGCTTTCACTCATATCGGTGAGAAGGAGAGGCCGAATACCACCTGAACCTCCATAGCCAACATCGACAACGTAGGTCTGGTTGGATCCCGCGAGGGGCTGGACAAGAATGACGAGATGCGTAAGTGGCCCATGTTGGTGTCTGTTCTGGAAGAGACCTCGCGCTGGAGCAGCATAAGCCCTAGAGATGTAAGGATGAGCATGAAAATGCATACTTATCGGAAAGAGGCTACCGATATCCAAGTCCGCGAAGCATGCCCAAGAACAGACTATTCTGGCCCATACACCAACTTCCCGACCTATAAAGAACCAGCCTTTCATAGGCACCCTCGTAAGACACAGACATACGATGCTCTTTTGTGCTAAACCGACCAGGCCATGGAATCAGCAATGAACGAGGGGACGAACGGTTATGAATCTTACTAATGCAGATCGACGTTGCTAAACGGGAACGCAACAAAATGGAGGTACATCAGGAGATGGAGATTGTCGAGGTTCGGATCGAACTGGTCCGGAGTAACAGTGGACACAGGCCATTTGATACATTCGAGGTATTTTTTAATCTGTGCATGCGAGTATGGTGAAGGACATGGGCGAATGAAAGCGCCATCGTGCAAAGTATCCTTGGCCACCATCGAGCTCGTCCTGGATGAACTACAGGAGTATTATGGCTTACCACCGGCGAGGTTAAGAGTCAAGTTCTCGTCTTGACCAAAAAGACGAACTTAATCGCGATCATAGCCCCGCCCGCAGTGGTCGAGTCACAGTAGACCTTCCGTTTGAATCGTTCCTGGCCGTCGGGATTCCGCCAACTTGAAGATACGCACAGGTGGAAAGATAATGGATAGTTTGCGACTGTGGTACTTGTCCTGCGAGCTTGATAAAAGCCAAACAGGATAGCTGCACCAAGTTAGGCGGATTGCACGCGTATAGAGTCATCTAAATCGTGATAAGTATCATGATGCGAGGTGAAGGAGAGCTCTTGAGGATGATCAACCAATCAACGCGGCCGCGACAGTGGCGTTTGGTTCTCTACGGCGGTTGCCGTCTTCAGCCACAGACGCGTTTAGGAAATTGATTTCTGTCAATTATTTCGACGCGTTACTCTGAGTCTGCACGCGTACATCACACCTCTTCCCTCGAACTTGTCTCCCCTTCACGGTGTAATCGCTATGTCTGACGACCTATCACCATCATCTCCAGAGGTTATGAATGCCTTCTATCGCCGTTTATATCCCTTTAAGTCTGTCTTCAAATGGCTCAATCACGAACATACCCCGACGCGACAATGGACGAACCGCGAGATCGCTTACAGTCTTCAGAACGACGTCTATCTCCGCTACCAGTCGTTTGCTAATGCAGACGAGTTCAAGAAACAAACATGTACTCTGAATCCTACTCGTTTCGAGATTGGGCCGGTATATTCTGCCAGGGTATGTGTGTCTTTCGACTGCCGTGAGTTCGCGCACTGATAGTGTTCATGATCGGTGTTATGTTATTGTGTAGCCCAAAGACAAGAAAGTCATGCGAAACACGGCTTTAACCCCTCTGCTCCGCGAACTTGTGTTCGATATTGATATGACAGATTACGACTCCATCCGTACCTGCTGCACAGGCGCCTCGATCTGCAAGCGTTGTTGGGGGTTTATTAGCGCAGCCGTCATCGTCATCGACAGCTCTATCCGGGAACATTTCGGGTACCAGCACCTACTATGGGTATATTCGGGTCGTCGTGGTATCCATTTGTGGGTATCGGATCGGGAAGCGATGGAGTTGACGGACGAGCAGAGGAGGGCGGTAGTTGGATGGATGACGGTCGTGGCTGGCGGGAAGGAGATGGCCAAGAAGGTGAATGTGAGGATAAATGGAGGGAAAGGGACCGAGCCTTCACTGCCACCAGCAGTCAAGTAAGCGCCTTTCTCACTATTCGAAATGGCTGGTAATCATCGTATCATACAGGGATGCTTTGGGAATACTGGTCGGACGGTTCACTGATCTCATCCTAGCGGATCAAGATTGTTTCCAGGAACGTGCTAGATGGGAGGAGCTATTGAAGCTGATACCCGATAAATCCATAGTCAGAAGCCTGCAAGACAAGTGGGATGACGATGAAGACCGAACATCAGAAGAGAAATGGGATAACCTCAAGCGAGAGATTCAGAAGTACAAGAAATCCGAAAGAGTCGGTCGTCTCTCATTTATCATCATCCAGCATCGGTTAATCGGTAATAATTTTCCTTGAGACAGGGTCCAATGATGGCTGCCCTGGAGGATATTGTCCTGCAGTACACTTACCCGCGGATCGACGCTGAAGTCTCCAAACACCGGAATCACTTGCTCAAAGCTCCGTTCTGCGTGCATCCAAAGACGGGTCGCATTTGCGTGCCTATCGACCCGGAACTGGTGGATGAGTTTGATCCAGATACTGTGCCCACTGTGGGTCAGCTTCTGCAAGAGCTCGACGCTACGAAGACTGAGTCGAGTACGGAAGAACATTCCGGTGCGTGTCGGGTCACGCTTTATACATGAAAGTCCTGAATGACTTTACGGTTCCACAGATTGGGAGAAAACTTCGCTGAAGCCCTACGTCGACATGTTGGAGAAGTATGCAATGGGACTAATGGGCGAGGTGAGGAGGGTGAAGCGAGAAATGGGTACGTGGGCATAAATTTCAAAAAGACACAGCGGGCTCACCTTACGCTTACTTGCAGACACGTCCTGGTGATGCGTCGCGGGCAGCACTGATATATGTAGATCCTTGTACGAGTTGTGTATAGATATCGCTTCTTACGGAGGGCATATCAATGGATGTGATAAGAATGGGCCGTATTGACGAATTCACCTGCATGTGGGCCACGAGCGAGTCAAGCAACCCGACAACTCGGTAAAGGACGGTTACGACAAGCGGGATCATAATATTCGTAGACATTGCGGCAGAATCAGAATGTAGGTGAAGAGCATACTCAGAGACCACATGAACGATTAGAGCTGTGGTATAGTGGCATCCTCGAGCCCGGGAATGTCTAGATAAAGCCTCTTTTCTTTATCCGAAAGCCAGATACCCAATACCATCTTAGCGGACATGGCTAAACTAGCTGCATGACCCCCCATGGCAGCGAAGCCGCACATATCATTTCGCACCTCAAAGAACCCAATGGCTTTAAGAGCCGTTGGGTTGATCATTGGAAGCTCATCCTCCTCCACGTCGAGCTCATGGGCGATACCGGCGCGCAGATAAGTGTGGGCGACATTGCCGGTATGCAGAGCATGCTCGTTCCAGTGCTCTTGGAAATCGATGTTTTCCTACGATCACACACATCGGTCAACTCCTTCAAGGTCACGGAAGGTGATGGCTACGACACTTGCCTGTGGGTGAGATCCCATGCTTGATTTGAAGACCTCAAAATTATGGCCGATGCTAGTAGGCCCAGAACCCGATTTGATGAGGCATAAGAGCGCAAGAGCTGAAAAGAGAATACGCAGTATCAGCGAAGAGCAGACGCCAAGCAAGAGCAATGAAACAGACTTTTCTTCCATAAATACATCTGAGTAAGGGAATAGAAGTGAACCTTCTTCAACAGTGCTTTTGGCGCACCCGCTGCAAGGGACGACCGGTAATAAGCCTCAATACTGTGGTGGGAGCTGAAGTGAGAGAATAGTGAGAGTCTTCCGTCCCTGGAGTCTGGCCCCTTCAGCCACGACTCTTGGTATGCATTCTCCAGCAAGACATTTTGCCCCATCTGGACGAGTGGGATATGACCATAGTGCTTGTAGATGCGGCTGCTGTCGATTATGCTGGGCGTCCGTGGCCAAGGGTAGTGACGAATGAGTTTCGAAGGTTTCTTGAGGAGGTAGAAAGCGGGTTTGAAGTTCGATAGCTTTCTAGATGAAGATTGTGCACTGAGTTTCATAAGATCTCTAAATAGAGTTAGGATAGAGACAGTTGGAGTGGATGGTTTACCCTGAGTGCTGGTCAAACAACATGTCGTAGTTTCCCCACAAGTAGCCCATGAGCTTCAGAGTGCATGCTCGAAAGGTCGAGTTGACATGAAGACACGCAAGGAAAGGGTTGATGTCATCCAAGTCCTCAGGAGTAGCTAATAGTCGATAAAGATAATCTCCAAAAGCCTCGGCAAGAATAGGATAGAGGAGCTCTACGGGAAGAGCGAGGTTTGTGTTCACAATGGCGTCGTGGGCGTGGAGCCTGCCACGACTGGGAAGTTTCTTCCTTTTTCCAGAGTGACGAGAGATGCTCGCGAACAGCGAACTCCAAGTCCCGTGAGATATTGCAGAGGTAACTTGAAGACGCATGCCTTTGAATGTAATAGACTGGAGCACTCTGCGAAAGCTCGTCACGGTGCAAATACGTCGTTGGCACCCGTCAAAGTTCTGACCTTTCAAGTTGTGTAACTGTGTTTGCCCCATGTTTGGCGAGAACATGTGATATTGTTGATCGTGAGTTGTCGAAGTCGAGCCGCGGCCCGGGTGATCTTCCCTTTTGAAGCAGCCACAACAGGCCCACAGTAACTCAGCTCAGGTTTTGCGACCTTCTTCCCGCCATCCACGACAAGCCAGGCGTCATAGTAGGCGATGTGACATTCTTCTCTCTTTTTAGGTTGAAGATCGGGTTGCCAAGAAAGGACGGGGATTATTCCTCACGTCTCGTACTCCCGGGTATCGAGGCGCAGATTAGAAAATAGTGTTGAAGTTGGCGAAGCCTGAGGCCCAGTGATTAATACGCGTACAGTGAGTACAGCTTCCCGTTCGGACGATAGGAAGTACTAACAAGTAGCCCTGAATACGATAGTTAACACAGTATAATGCTACAATGCTACATTAATGACCGCCCAGTGTTTTTGGACGAGTCTCATCTGCGAGATCTGGTGTGGCGCATAGTGATTACAATTTGAAACAAAACACGGACGACGATGTCTTCCTGGTTAGAGACAACCAATTATCCTCATCACCACTGCTGCCACTCTGGGAACGCATCCACACAGATATCAAGCTCCCAGTCGCTCCTTCTCACCGCCCAACAAAACAACTTCAGCCCATTCCACCCCTTACTCCGCACCTTCTGTGTGATCCTCATCCACGCTCCTTCTTCCTTCAGGATCTGGGCCTCAAACACCCTCCTTCTGTCATAGATCAACATCGACGTCGTGGCCGCGTCTACCTGCACCTTGACGATGAAAGGCGACGTGCCGTGCGAGTTCGGCGGAGGAAGACCTAGCTTTACGCGTTCCATCTTCTCGTCCATCTCTTCTTTCTCTTCAGCGAAGTTCGTGAAGCGGTTGACAGCCATGGCGTACAATGGCTGGCCCGTTGCCGTCTGCAGCTTGAAGTTGACTGTCTCCCAGGTGGCGCCCTTAAGGGAGGCACAGAGGGCTTTGTGCGCTTTCCAGTCGAACTTCTGGCATTCTGATCATCCACAGGTGGTCATCAGCATTCGCCGCCAGATATAAAGGGACGTTCGAGAAGGTACTGACCTTCACTGCAGTACCGAATCGTATGGCACCTCGAGCACTGTCTCTTTCCCTGCTCGCCGCACACGTTACACCCGTCATTCTTACAGTACGTCCCTAGGTCCTTCGCGCTCAACGGACCAACGGGAACCAAAAACGATAGCGTAAACGTCCTCTCCAACTTCGGGTCCCTCTTCGGCTTGTATGACGGCGCTATGCGTTTGCTGTTTGACGCAAGGATACGAAGGAGAAGTTGTTGTTCTTGGGTGGAGGCAGTGATTTGGATGCCGGCTGGCGTCGTGGACTGTTTGCGCGCTGAGGGGACGGTGTGGCCCTTGGTAACTTGGTCCTGCATCCAGCAGATAGATTCGAATGCGGCGCTAGGGTCTTCTTCTGTGGCGTGTTTGTAGAGGACAACGAGTATAGGGGTTTGAGCGTCGAACTCGTAAACATCTACAATCTGTTCACGCAGACCAATATAGAAGTCAAGTCAGTGAGATACTCCAACAAAAGGTCTAAGGAAGAGAGCCCGGCGCTATGTGGCCCCCTTACGCCACCCAGCGTAGAAAGAACACTCACCCGAAACGCAATCCCAGAAGTACCCTCTTGGTTCTGCATCAACGCCGCCGAACACCCCGTATCCCACAAGTTCCCAATACTCATCATCGTCTGCCTCACATCCATGAACGGATTCGCATAGAGCGGGAACGGATCGCTGGGTCCCATGCCCGACTGCGAGTTCGCCACCATCGTCGCCTCCTGCATGTTGTGCCTCTCGACTGCTTTCAACAGTTTCTCTGAGGACGTGCGAGACCATTTTGAGAGCTCAGCCGGGTTGAGTTTCCCGTCGGAGGATGAAGAATTGGGAGGAAGGAACTTGGAGATGCGTTGTGTGGAGTCGAGGGCTTTGAGGAGGCGGGTGTTGAGGGCTTCCGAGGGCAACTTGGTCTTTGGAGGTAGGACGATGCCGAGGGATTTGAGAAGCTCGACAAGTTCTTCTCGAGATGCGTCCATTGTCGCTGTGAAAGGTAGAAAGCGAAGGGTTGAAGGTGTGCTGCGTGCGATACAAAATGGGAGCGAAAAAAACTGAAGAGGAGATGAGTAAGGTTGTCTTAGTTTTTGTATGTCCAGACCCCTATCGACGATCGTCTCCCTTTATTCTCGATGTCAGACACATCTCGGAATCCACGGAAGTATACCGAGCAAATAGGTATTTTCCTTCATTCATGGTGAATGCTCGAATGAACCCAGAAGACCATGCGAACGCAGGCGCATAATTCACGAACATGTAGCTTCCAACATCCGCCTCCCTCAGAACTCGCCACCATGGGCGGCAAAGCATTCCTGAAATCCCTCCCTCACCACACGTTCCCTCGAATCCCCACCACGTCCTATACGCCCATTAAATCACACCTCCTCTCGCGCCTCACTCCGCACTTCAAAAACATCACCGTTCCGCACGAATGTCCCGAGAAACATGACCACGGCGACATCGACTTCGTCGTTTCCGACCTCGTTGACCCCAATGCCAACACTAATATGAGTGCGGGCTCGAGTGCTGGTGAGAGCTCGAGTATGGCGCGGTGGAGGCACGATATTCCGAAGGCAATTAGAGCGGAGCACATTCAGTCGAACTTGGGCAAGAAAGGCTTCGGGACGTGTCAGTTCGCTGTCCCATTATCGGCGCTGGAGAGCATCGTCGGAGAAAGGAGCGTAGACGCAGGAGAAATTAGGGTAGATGCTGGCCTCGAGAACAGCGAGGCGCAGGAGACGAGGACAGGAGAGTCACAGACCGCGCAAGATGGGAGGTATTTCCAGGTCGACATGGTAGTGTGCAAGGATAAAGATGAACACGACCGTTACGCGTTCTATAATTCATATGGAGACCTTGGTTTCATCATCACTCGACTTTCGAATTGTGCCGGTCTATCCTTCAGTCCGAAGGGTCTCTCGGTGCGTACCCCTCTTCTTTTTCCCAAACTTAAGGTCAAACAAACACTAAACTACTAACTACATGGAACGTCTGTCTAGATAGCACTCCCATACCTAGTACCAACATATTCTCCGACGCTCCTCCTCTCCACCTCTATACCGTCCATCCTCTCCTACCTCGATCTCGACCTCCCACGATGGCATTCCGGCTTCCTCACCCAATCCTCCGCCTTTGAATGGGTCGCCTCTTCCAAATTCTACGACCCACACCGTATAGCAGTCCGCGAATCACGACTCGGGCCTAAAGGTTTAGCTCGAGCTCAAGAAAAAGTCAACTCACCAAGCTCAAAGAAGAACGCCCAGTTGTCTAGGGAGATGTATCAGAACTGGGTCAGGTGGAATGAAGATCTGAAGGGGACGACGAAGGCGAAGTCGATGGCGAAGACGAGGAGAGTTTCTAGAGGGGTGTTTGATGGCGGTGTGGAGGAGCTTGGCGCTGGTGTTTGGGAGGTGTTGGAGACATTTGGGAAAAGAGATATTTACGAGGAGATGGTGAGGGGAAATATGGAAAAGGTTCAGAGGATCGAGGAGAGGTTGGAAAAGATGGCAGGGAGAAGGTAACTCAGGACCTGTGGTGCGCTGGCTTTTAACGCCTGAGTGACACCTGGCTCGATATGTACTCACTTTACAGCATCCTTACAATCAAGATCAAGCTCATCTTATGGCATTGGCGAGAGCCAGTAAAGACTAAAAGATAAATTGCCAAAACCCGCTCACAGAGCAGGATCTGAGCGCGAAGGTATGGGAAATATAAGACAAATGGTGTGAGTAAATAATAAATTATTAAGAGCAGATCAAGGGCATAAGGAGCCTCCCAACTATCCTTCAACGAACAGCTGAAATAAATCCAATGGATCTTATTGTGTACTTCGCCCCTTACTAGCACTACAAGGTGAGGGAAGCATTATACTTAGACCATAGCCACGATCATTGTACTTTGGTCTTCTTGCCAGCGTCTGCAGCAACTCCGTTAGTCGAAAGCCCGATGAGATTGGTAGCCACATTACTCACTCGTACTGTTCTTCTTAGGAGTTCTATTCGACAGTTCTCCGCCTTTCCGCGCCTCCCTAACTAGCCCATCCTTCGCTGCCTCGTTCGATTCTTCGTGGGCAGGACTCTGGATTCCGAAGTTCTTCAATGTCCTTCCAACGAACAACACTCCGAGAGCTACGACACAAGCTGCCCTCGCCGTATCAGAATCCACAGGCTGCAACTCTCCGATATTCGGACCCGTCTCGTTCAAGCCCTTGGATTTAAAGCTTAAAAATGCTAGACCCAAGGGGCTGAAGAAGGAGAAGAGCAGGGAATGAAGGCCGGTAAAGAATGGTTGGGCATGTGTGAGTGTGGCGTAGAGTGCCGTTACAAGCGGCGCCACCCAGAGATCGGTACCTGTCCAGCCCCAAGGCAGGAGCTCGGGCGGAGTAGTGATCGTTATAGCATGGGGTTGCAGCAGGGAAAGGGAGTTGGTAATGAATGGGCCACCGTTGGCTGTGAACTGGAGGTAGAGGTTTTCATGAGCCTTCGAATGGGTATTGAATATGAAAACGGCCACTTACCAGAGCGGTGATCAATAATGTCCAGGGTGATGTGGATATCAGGGGCGAGGCGTGCTTCGTAACCACAGTGGGCACGACATTACAAAGGAGCAGAGCACGAGTGAACGCGTCCACTACCGCACAAAGGAGCTCGTTGTATAAACCGGGCATGGGAACGGCTGGGAGAGCCTCGACAAGGTAGTGTGTGGCAATGAACGTGGCGGGGATGGCGCCCCCGAGCATGAAGGAGGGCTGTATACCCAGCCAAGGGGCTTATTCAACAAAACATGTCAGTACAGAGAAGTGATAGAGTACAACATCGAAGGAAGAACGCACCCACGACTGCCTCGCCACCGTAGACCATGACGAGAGTCGTCACGAGATCGCGAGTGCGCGCTCGACTCTCGACTTCTGCGCGGTCCTTCCCAGGCCGCCCGCCCGTGCCTCCTCCGGTCGGCTTCGACTTGTCGATGTGCTCTCTGTGGAAGGTCTCGCGCAGTTGGCGCAAAACAAGCGCGAGCCTGAGGGCTCCCACAACGTCAATGGGCGTCACTGTGACACCGAAGGCGGCGAGGGAGGCGATGGGCTGCAGAGACACGTCGTAGACGGCCATAATGGTAGACAGGGCGGAAGACATGGCAAGAATGCACAAAATATTCGAGTCGTGAGGCTAGAAATGCGTGACAGGCGAAAGAGCGACGACGGTGGGCTGAGTGGATGTTCTAAGGTACTTGTTTATAACCCGGCTGGAAAGCTAAGCGCCAATAAGCCTAGGACACGACGACTCGGAGTTCATCGAGCGCTAATTTCACAACGTTGCCGGGCGCCACTTGCCATGGCGTGTGCGCTGTTTGACCTGCTTCAGGTAACTGCTCGGCTCTCTTCTGTTTCTCTTCTGAAGCATTCTCAACTCAAATACGAGAGAAATACCTTTGAGGAGATACTGTTCTAGTGAAGGTTAAGTTGCGGGGTAGGTTCGCACGCGCCACAGTGGCGATGTACAGTGGCGCACAAAAAGAATGCAGGTGGCACTGTGGCCCCGACCATGATCCGATTTTTTTTCAGTCATGCTATGTGATCTTGCTTGGTCTTTTGCATCATGGAATAGGGCTATATGTGGTGCCGTCTTAATGTGCAAGTTCTGTGTGAATAGCTATAAATGTAGTTGTAGAATGCCAGATTTGAATATAATCGTTGATTTTCTGATATTTTTGTTTGCACTTGGAAGACCTCATCAAATCAGATGAACCAAAGGATGCACATGCTATTGAGAAGGTATATTACAAGATTGGGTATGCAACTGGACAGTATGAAAATCATGTGTGATTCTGGCTAGGAGGGACATTTCTGCAACAAAATGCAGGGATCACCAAAAGCCTGCAGAAGACACAGTAGCAGTGATAATCACTCCAATTACCCTATGAGTGATTCAATCCTACATTACACCTTCGTCATGGGTTATCTATAGTAGGTTATGGTATAGCCTGGATATTCTGGAACACCATGATGATCCCTGCA